TAGTGATCGATGTTGGATACTGCAATGAACCAACCTTTCCTTGGTATAACTTGATCTCAGCCGGTGTTGCTGTTCCTTCGAATGCCTTCATTTCTTCCACCGGGAGAGGGGTGTAGACAGGTGGTCGATCGGTCAAATGATATCTAGCAGCCATACTGCTGATATATGCGTCTTGGCAAAGCCAAAGTTTCTGTTGCTTCCGATCGCGTACAATTCGAATATTCAAAAACCATTCTGCTTCTCCATGATCCGTAAGCTCCCAGTGTGCCTCCAGATCCTTCTCAAGTTGGCGAGCTCTGTCTCGTTCTGACGGGTGGTTCGCAATAAGCATGTCATCAACGTAGAAGAACACGATTATGCCTTGTGTTACGAAGACGCAGGGGTCTTCAGGGACCTGTGTGAGTCCAAGTTTCAAGAGAACCCTTGATGCTTCCTGTTGCCAAAGCTTCGGTGAGATGCGCAGACCATAAAGCGCACGATTAAGCTTCCAACACATCCCTAGCTGTTCAAATCCTTCAGGCATCTTCGTGTAGGTTTCTGTGGGCAGTATGCTGTTTAGGAATGCGGTGACTGCATCTCGCTGACGTAGATCGAGATTAAACGCTGCGACCAGGGCAAACATTACCCGTGCTGTGCGCGCTGCTAGTGTCGCCGCTCTTTTTTCCTCAGGCGATATTGTCTCAAGGTCTCCTCTTACACAGATGCGTGCTTTTAGCTTCAGCAGATAACCGTCTTGGTCGAACTTGTATGCGAATACCCATCGGAGTGGCAGGATCTGTTTCGACACGTCTTTTGGTCGTTTAATGACGGTGAATGATGACTTTTGCTGCAAGGATCGTATCTCCTTCGCGCAGGCAGCCAGAAAACCTTCAGCCATTGGGTGCTTCAACATGTTCTTCCATCCATCAGGCGCAGGGGGTAGGTCGTCTCGGTGGCGTTGCAACGGCTTCTCTGTGTACAGCGCGGCGGCAAACGTACGCAGTAGCTCCGGTGGATCTTCTTCAGTCTCTGGCAAGATCGTTGCGTATGTTTGGTAATCCGGATCTACCCTCGGTCTTCTTTCTCTGCGTCCATTCATGATGTTCGCCGTGACAATCCCGTCTCTCCTTTGAGTGTGGAGCTCAGCATGTAACTGCTGTTCGCTCTCGGAGAGCGCGTCTGGATCAGGTTGATTTTCTAGGCTTTCAAGCGGAGGATTTGGTTCTGGCGGCTGGTCTTCCTCCTCGTTCTGTTCTTCACACTGGTCCACCCCCTGAGCAGCGGCAGGGCCAAATTCAGCGGTATTCTCCTCTGGTGGACTTGGTGGTAGTTCCGGTATCACTTCTGGAGGAAACGAACCAGGGAGTGTGCTGTTAGGGGGATCTTCCTCAGGTTCCGGGGTGATCGGTGCATACACCCCCTCAGGTGTACGGTCCTCATGATCAAGTTCTTCCTGGTGTTCATTCTCTGTGCCTTCATGATTACTCTCGTGGAGTTCTTGTTGGCGATCTTCCTGCGTGTTCCGGTTGACTGATCCTTCCGGTATTCCAATGTCTTCACGGAGGACTTCAAGTTGCTCCTCCTCAGTCAAAATGGTTGCTTCAGGTTCAGGTACACTTTCGATATCTTCCCAGTACCGCATATCAGACTTCCACTTCCTCGATTCATCGAAACGTGCATCTCTCACGAATTCTATCGTATTCCTGGCAGGAAACCAGATCTTCCACACGTTCGATGCGACATAGCCAACGAGGAACCCAATCTCTGCACGGGGAGAGGTCTTCTTGGTGCGTGGGATATTGCGAATACGGCAGTACGATAACGAGCCATATACGCGCAGGTTGGCTAAATTAGCCTTCTTCATCCGTTCGCCGCCAAAATCCCTTCGTGCTTCATCCCAAGGCACGATCCAACGATTCTCCTCCTTTAGATGGGTAGGGATACGGTTCAGGATCCACACAGCAGCGCTAACCATCTCGGGCCACAGTTGACTCGGTAGCTTGCTCTCGATTTGAAGGTGTCTCGTCATGGTCAAAATCACTCCTCCCGAACGTTCAGCAGGTCCGTTTTGCTCGGGATGGTAGGGGATGCCATGTGATACCACAATGCCCATATTGTTCAAGAAGCCTTCAATCTCTGCGCCTGCAGCTGTTTCATTGTCATAATGAAACGATTTGATTGGTATGTTCCACCAGTTTTTGATCAGAGCGATGAATTTCCTGATTCCATCTCTGCACTGCGACTTCAATTCGTGTGTGTATAGCCAGTGAAATCTGATGCCTTCAACGTAAAAATGTGTCATCCACCGATGTCGGTTGTATGCGGGTGAAAATTGGACCAGATCGAAGTGAATTCGGCCATATCTTCCAAAGGTCTGGCCAATTGGTCGTCGTGATATCTGTCTCGGTGCGTTTGAGAGATTGCACACCTGACAAAGCTCTCCTTCTTCGGATGGTGTTTCTGGCAGATCTTCGTTGATTTTAACACCATCTACCATTTCGGCAGTTTTCTTCATCACACGCGTGGATACGTGGGCTAATCGACGATGCCAACGATCTGCTGAGGCTTCCGAGACGAGAGGTTTCACCGATCTTCGTACTGCATGTGCGTGGGCAAGGGTTTCTGGTGAGGAACGAGGCTCTCTCGGTTGATTAAATGCCCATATTCCTAACGACTCCATGAGGCGTACACTAATGACTGATTCGCCACTCGAGTCCCTGATGCACTCGTTATCCTCGTCCCAGCGAACACCCTTCTTTTTCAGGGCTCCATAAGACATCAAATTGGCATGGAAATGAGGCGAATATAACACATTGCTCAGTTTAATTCGTCGAGTTGATCCGTCAGGGCCCGCTCCAGTCATGACAACGTTTCCAATACCTTCTACCGCAGTGATCGAATCACCTGTCTTCAGGCCTGATTTCATCGGTTTAAAGGTTATGAAGAGGTCTTTGTCGTTGCATACATGTACTGACGAGCAACTGTCGAGGAACCAACGTTGTCGAATGTCATCATCGGCGCCTCCCGTGTTCTTTACGCTTTGGAACACCTGTTCGGGAAAACCTGTGGTGAGGAAGGAGCCATACAGTTGTGTGCTATTGGCCGTATTCGTGGCAGGCCTCACTCCATTCTTCTCGTTGTGATCCCTGACAGATTTCTCTATCCAGGCTTTCCACGCCGGGTCTTTCGAAAGACGATCTTCCACTCGCCTCGCGGTCTTCTCAAAAACTTCTTTGTCAGGGAATGCATCCCGGTTGACCGCCCAGCACTTCCACGGCTTATGGTGACGGTTACCACAGGGGCAATATCGCTTCGGGATCGGTGGTAAAGTTCGTTCACGTGGCGATTCCTGCGCTTGCTGGCCTTGCGGCTTTCCCTGCGGTGGCTCTGGTCTAGCTTCATCGAAACCTTGCAGTGTCGAAAACGATGCTTTGGAAATAGTGCTGACAGTGCTCGCGCTCTGTGGGTGCAGCTCACGATAACTTCCTCTGAAGTTTTCAATCAAATCGCGAGTATCCCATTCTTCCTGGTTCAGCACGATCGCCTCAAATTTCAGCTGCCACCAAACAGGGAGTAGATCTTTAACAGCGCGGAGGAAGTCCTTATTGGCACTCTTCATTTCTGGCAGGTCTAGGCTTACACCTTGCTCTCTTAGTGCATCCCATTCATTGATCCACTGATCGATATCAGAACCCCTCTTTGGTGGTGAGGCTGACACTCGCTTCCACTGTGCACGGATATCTTCTTCTGCCGCAGATGATCGGCCAAATCGGGTTTGAAGATATACAAGCCGTCCGTATGGGGTTTCGTAGTTAAGCATCGAGGTGTGATGGACTGGATCCAGATTTGAGATGATCCATTCATTGATGGCATCTAGGCTCTTGTTTTGCTGTTCCCATTCGGCAAGGTCCAGCTTGTAGATATCCATACGATCTCTCCACTCTCTCTTCGCAAGTTCGTTGCCACCCTCCGGGTATTGCGGTCTTCGAGGTTTGCGAATTGGCTTTTCCAGATCTTCTTCTGCGGTGTGAGGGTCGATCAGTTCCCATACCCTCTTCTGTCGTGCATAGATCTTGATTCGTGCGAACCAATTCCTCCATTGACTTGGTTCCTTCAGTTTTTCGCCCTTCATGGCGGAGACAACGGTTGAGTCCATATTTGTCACGTTCTCTTGCAATTTCGTTCGATGGGGAGCTGATCGGGGTCGACGTCTGTCCTGTTTGGCTATCGCGGTAAACCTGCGTATGTCTTCAATTGACGAATTTAACCCTCTTAATTGCGAACCGGGCTCATAACAGTCGGAAACTGCTTAGTAAATCATAGCGCGTACCAATCGGATATCAACAGGTCTGAATTTCTATGAAGCCCCTGGCTGGCAATTTGTATGGGCATAACAATGACTAATCTAAGTGGGATATGGTATCTCCGTTCTCCGATCTCCACTGCTGCTGTTGTTCCGACATGATAAGACCGTGCGGCTCTGGGACACGGCGACAGGCGGTCTACAGCAGACGCTCGAGGGCCATTCGAACGCAGTTGTTTCGGTAGCCTTCTCGCCCGATGGCCGGCTGCTGGCGTCCGGCTCTTCTGATGAGACTGTGCGGCTCTGGGACACGGCGATGGGCGGTCTACGGCAGACCTTGAACGCCACGGGAATGGTCACCAAACTCGAATTTTCTCAAGATGGTTCATATCTAATCACCAACTTAGGCACCTTCGATCTTCAGTTCGGGCTCCAACAGCATGCTTCTAGTTCAACCCATGAGTGTCTGGTGGTTTTTATCGAGCAAGGACTGTGGATAAACCTGAACGGCAAAACTGCATTATGGCTTCCTCCTGACTTTCGGCCCACCTGTTTTGCGGTTAATGGGGACCTCCTTGTCTTGGGACACGCATCAGGGCAGGTTTCTTTCCTACGATTTTGCCTACAGTAGGCGTCAATCATTCGCATGGTCATTCCCTCTCTATTTTCTAATGTCTTTGTAAAAGAAGGCCCTGGGAGAGAAACGACATCTATATGGTCTTTCGTGCTAATAGAATGTGCCATCAAGTTCCACGATGTTCTACACAGTATATTCTGGTATAAACCGGGCTTTTCAGACAGGTGTTCGCAGAGGGCTTCGATCATCAGCGGTGTTACAGTCCGTTTCTGTGACAGTAGGCTATTCTTGCAAAAGAGTCCAATTCGACAAGATAACTAGTCTAAGGAAAGGAAGAAGAGAGAAAGAAAAGAAAGAAAACGAAAGAGGCGCGCAACAAAACAAGTCCCTCGTCTCTCCTCCTCCTGTCACATGACCTGAATCGACTCACCGCCTGGACAGGCCTGGCAGAACCCACCTGCAGTGTCACATTTCCCCCCTCCAAGATTCGCTCAGTCCCGTTGAGCGACTTTGCCATCATCCTGGTGCTCATCTGGGTACTCGTCCTGCAGGGCGCAGTTTATCCAATGCTGTAATCTCGCTGGAGGACCCGGTTTGCTCGGGTATTTCTCATGGAATTCCTGCACCTTGTACGGCGCATTGCGTAGGTTGCCTGCAGGATACCAGGTGTTGTCGATGTCATAGCCTTTCCATTTGACCTTGTACTGGAGTTTGCGGTAGTACAGGCGAGAATCCAAAACGTGGTCAACTTCCCATTCGTCTTCGCCGGCTATATTCACAGGAGGTTCCGGATCTTGAATCTGGCTGGTTAAGGGTGGCTGACCTGGTTTACTGGCCAGACGGAGCTTCTCCGGTGCGAAGACAGGGTGGATATCGTATTCCGGTGGCAGTCGTAATTCAAACGCATGGCCCACCTTTCTTACGACCTCGAACGGCCCAGCGGCTTTGTGGGAGAGCTTTTTGCTGGGCCTCTCCTGTCGTAGGCCTTGCAAGGTAAGATAAACGGAGTCGCCCACGTCAAAATTCACGCTCCTCCGGTGCCGATTGGCCTGAGTTCTCTGCCGGTCTTGTGCTTTAGCCATCTGCTCCTTCGCCGTTTCCCAAGCATCGTGTATGCGCTGGACGTAGTTCCTTGCTTCCACGGTTCCAGGCTGGTCCTGGGCAGTCGAGTCCTCCGAGTCTTGCCAGTCGAATGTCATTCTCGGTTCGTAACCTCTCTCGACGAAAAAAGGAGACATGCCAGTAGACGCTGATGGAAGGGAAGCAGCGGCAAGATCGATCATGGGTAACCACTCCGACCAGTCGTCTTGATGGTGGCTAACGTACGGTCGCAACCTCTGCGTGATGTACTGGTTTGCGATCTCAGTCTGCCCGTCCGTTTGAGGGTGCCGAGCCGTCGATAGCTTCCTCTTGATTTGCAGGACACGACAGAACTCCTTCCAGAAATCAGAGATAAATTGTGGCCCTCTGTCAGATACCACGGAATCCGGGATACCACTCCATCGTAAGATATGCTTAACGAAGAGTTCCGCAGTAATCTTCGCATCGACCTCCTTAGTGCATGGAATGGAGATTGGCCGCTTTGTGAGCCGGCACACAACCACCATGATATTGTCGTATCCCGCTTTATCCTTCGAGAACGAGCAGAAATCGATGGTAACATGTTGCCAAGGTCGCTCGGGTATCGGCAGTGGCTGGAGGAGTCCCGGAGGGTGATCCCTCCAGGCCTTCGTCCTCTTGCAGACATAACAGTGATCCACGTACCTTCGTACGTCTCGAAGCCATCCCGGCCAGTAATAGCGAGCTGCCAGGAGTTGAGCCGTTTTATCGATTCCGGGATGGGCAGTGCTGGGTTGCCGATGGATTTCGTCGAGTAGTCGAGCACGAAGGTCTCCATCATCGGGCACGACAAGTTTTCCATCACGAAGCAAGAGTCCATTCCGGATCGTCCATTCGGATTCCTCGTCTTCGAGGGCTTCCCGCCTTTTTTCCTCTAGGCTATCGTGCGCAAGGTTACTCTCTTTCACCCGGTCAACTAAGTCGGCGGTAGTTGACACTGGTTCCACTGAGGTCTGGTTCACTGGCGCTGGTTCCACTGACGTCGGGTTCACTGGCGCTAATGTAACGTTTCCTGGGTCCTTCCAATGTCGTTCAGGAAGTAACACTAGTTCACTCGAATCTTGGCGATCCTCTAAGTCCTTCCTTGAGAGAACGTCGGCGAGTACGTTCTTTTTGCCAGCTCGATATTTAATCTCGAAGTGGTAATCTTCCATGAACTGGCTCCAGCGAATCTGTCTAGCATTTAGCTTTTTCTTTGTTCGGAACCACTGTAACGCCTGGTGGTCAGTGAAGACCTCGAATGCCCTCTTGTTTTGGAGGCCGATTAGCTCTGCTTCCCATTCCTGAAAAGCACGAATAACCGCTAGCAATTCCTTGTCATGAATTTCATAGTTCCGCTCCGCAGGGTCCATGGTCTTGGAAAAGTAAGCGATCGGGTGCCAATGATTATCCTTCCCGAGCTGGGAAAGAACAGCTCCCACGACCCCATCCGAGGCGTCTGTCTCGACCCGGGTCTGCGCTGCTGGGTCATAATGAGCCAGGATAGGTGCGTTCGTGAGCATTTCTTTCAGCGTGGAAAAGGCCCTTCCGTGTTCGGCGGTCCATTGCCATGGGGACGTCTTCTTTGTTAGGTGAAACAGCGGTTTCGCGATCCGACCATAGTTCCCGATGAAACGCCGGTAAAAGTTGCAGAAACCTAAGAATGACTGTACCCCCTTTACCGTTGATGGAGGCTTCCAGCCGTGAATAACCTGGACCTTGTCTGGGTCCACTGCGATTCCGTCGGCGCCCACGATGAATCCTAAGAACTTCGTCCTCTGTGTGTGGAACTCACACTTACCGAGGCTCGCCTGCAGCCCGGCACTCTTCAGTCTTTGAAGGACGTCTGTCACATGCCGAACATGGTCCTCATATGTTTCACTGTAAATCAGAATGTCGTCGACAAAGGCCGTGGCATAGACGTCGAGGGCATCCCCAAGAACGGAGTTCATGAACCTCTGAAAAGTCGCCGGTCCGTTCGTGAGGCCGAAAGGCATCACTCGATACTTATACGACCCATACCTAGAACGGAAGGTAGTAAGATCCTCGGAATCCGGGTCCATCCTGATTCGGTGGAATCCTTGTCGAATGTCAACCTTCGTGAAGTATCGAGCCTTTCGTACACGCTGCATTAGCTCATCGATCAGCGGTAATGGATAGACATCCCTTTTCGTGACCTGATTTAGTTTACGGAAATCCACACAGAAACGTAATCCACCTCCTGGTTTCTTAGCGAGGAGGATTGGGGAGGCAAACGGAGCGCTGCTAGGCACGATGAACCCTTTCTCTAAGTTCTCTGTGATATATGTCTTTGCGGCCTCGAGTTGCTCCACGGACATCTTGTACAGCGGGCAATATCCCGGTGTGGCCTGGTCCACTAACTCGATCTTGTGGTCAGTCCCAGGTCGGTACGGCGGTAGTGTATCCGATTCCTTCTTCGAGAAGACATCCGCGAACTGGTGATACTCCTTCGGGATCGTTTCTCGGATTGTCCGCAGCTCCGTCTCTTTTTCGGAGAGTTCATCGATGGCATGCTGGATCTCGCAGAGGGAGGTAATAAAGGTCTCCGTACCGGGTTTACGGGCACATCTTTCGAAACCGACCCGTCCGATCGCTGCAATTTCGAAGTTTTGGAGAACTTTCTCTGGCTGTACCTTCCGATAGGGAGTCGGCGTTACACTCTGATTCGACAGCGCCCGGTGCATTTTCTTCAGGGTATCCTCTCCATGGGAATGGTTATATGACCGTGGGATCCGTTTCTGGGGTTTAGATTCCTTTTCCGAGAGGAGACCCTTCTCAAACTTCCGGTCACGTCGTTCGCAGTCTCTCTGGTACTCTAGATCCTCCTCCACGCATGGCCTTCTGAGGATTTGCATGGGGATTGGCCGTGTCAATTGGCACGCCACCTCTTCCTTTATGGCTTGAATCTGAGCTGGCCATAGTAGTCGAGAGTTCCGACTGTCCAGCAGCACGTCCTGTTCTGCTAGCCATAGCCTGCCGATGATCATGTTGTGGTGGCCGATGTCAGCTATCATCATAGTTGCCAATGGCTGGCGATGGTTATCCACGATCAGGGGTACTCTGGCGACATGGGTGATAGGCGCCGACTGTCGCCCATCGTACGCTCTGATCGAATGTGCACCCATATCCTGCACTCTCGCAGTGCGTAGACCGTACCTGCCTAACTTCTCCACCACCCGGGTGTGAATCATAATGTACATATCTGCTCCAGAATCTACTAACGCGTTGACTTGAAAAAATAACGAATTGATTGGAATTTGTGCCTTGGTCAGGAAGCTCTTAGATGAGAGCAGCTTCGTGATGTCAATTCCGCTAGTAGATTGCCGTGAGACGCCTAGGCGGGAGACTTGCCCTAGGCGTACTCTTTTCCCTGCTCGTCATCCGATCCTTCGAGTTCCACAATGCGGGGATCCGGGGTCACCACTGTTTCCTTGGGTTTAGTGGAGGCTGTCGCAACAGCCGCGGGGGTAGTAGTAGTCTTCTTTGGGCACTGGAGGCTGATGTGTCCGGGTTCTTTGCAATAGAAACACTTTCCTTCACTGACCAGTTTGTTCCGTTCCGCATCAGTCATTCTAGCCGGCGTAAATCCCTCTCGTTTGACTCGAGCGGTGGTCGGCTGGCTGGTGCCCGATGTGTTAAGGGCGGTGTGTGCGGTCGTGGTTCTTGCGCTTCCTCCTACTGTGCCACCCCGGTGATTCCTGCGGTCGGTGGATCGATGCTGTTGGAGCATGATCTCGTGGGAGATGCTCTGGCACTGTTCAGTGAAATTGTCGAACGTGACATGGGACTGGTTAACGGCCAGCATCATCTGGGTTTGAAGTAAGTTCGGCAGTTTCAAGTAGAGGTCGCGTTTCAAGTTCTCTCGGACCACGCATGCTTCCTCAGCGAGCTGGAGGAACTCAGCTAAGAAATCCGTGAAACCATCACGGGGCTTCATCGTTAGCTGATGGTAGGCGGAGTAGGCTTCCGCCTTCCGATTCGGGTTAGCGAACACACTTCGCAGGTGACTAAGGATATCTTCCGCATCCTCGTATGGCCTGGTGGAGGCTTCATCCATGCGGGGGGCAATATGGAGCTGGGCTTTGCCCTCGCAGCGACTCTGTACATAGAGCTTACGATGTACTGGTTCAGGATAATGGTCCGCATTTGCGAGTAGCTTCTGGCGGATCGTTGTGGCCCAAGCTTCGTATCGGACTTCCTTCCCATCGCTAAACATTGGTGCGTCAGGCATACGAGCAGATTTCCTCGGGACCGCAGCTTCCATACTCGGTGTGCTCCGGTTCTGTAGATCGAAAAACTTCATAGCCATCTCGTTCTGTTTCGCCACGGCTGCTTTCTCTGCTACTAGAGCGGCTTCGAGGGTGGTTTGAGCTCTGTTCTGCTGCTCGATTGCTCCCTGGTATTGGACTAGGGCCTCATCGTTGTCGTTCTGGAGCTCGATATTCCGTGCCTCGAGTTCGTGAAACTTCTGTTCGAGGGCTTGGTACAGCGTCGAGAGCTTAGGATACCGATCTTTCTCTTCGGTGTTTTCGAGTCGCCTCGCGACCGACGACGAGTCGAGTCGGAAGGAGATCAGGCGAGATGCGTGTCTCGGTGTGGTATCGTCATTGCCAGCGGCAGTGCTGGGCGCGGGATCTGGGTTCGGAGAAGCCATCCTAGCTTCTCGGCACGGTCGGCAACCGTGGTTCGGGATCGGGATCGGGATCGGGATCGGGATCGGGATCTGGAGCGAGTCGGGATTCGGTGGGGTGGACCGGTGCCAAGATACGCGTTACAGGAACGCGCGTCTGTGCGGCCGGCGGTCCAGAAATGAAAGTAAAAAGAGACTAGTTATTATGTGACAGTAGGCTATTCTTGCAAAAGAGTCCAATTCGACAAGATAACTAGTCTAAGGAAAGGAAGAAGAGAGAAAGAAAAGAAAGAAAACGAAAGAGGCGCGCAACAAAACAAGTCCCTCGTCTCTCCTCCTCCTGTCACATGACCTGAATCGACTCACCGCCTGGACAGGCCTGGCAGAACCCACCTGCAGTGTCACATACTTAAGCGCTTTCCATAATTGGTCAAGTTTTGACGATGTCAAGCATTGTGCCGGTGCTTATAGACACCAAAATCCGCCGTGAGTATTCTTTGACCTAACATGTCAGACCAACAAACTGATGCATATCAAAAGACTTGACATGGACCTACCGATCATCGATATTCTCTGTCAAGCCAAGGACGCTAACCAACTTCCAAACTCAATGGTCCTATGTGACCGAGAGCAGTGGACAAGTGATGTTGAGCTTTATGCCCCGGGCTACTTGGCTCTCGAGGCCGAAGGGCGCGGAGGAGAGTACCCCCTAACCAGTCTCACTGTGCCAGCCTCTATCGAGTCAATTAAGAAGCAGGTTATGATCAAGGTGCAGGACCCCAGTTTCACACACCCCCACTTCTCATTCATTACTCCGGGTCGATTTCCATGAATCTACTAGCTTCAAGTCAAGAAAGTCGTTATCATGCCTTCCAAGGTTAGGATTACACGATCTTAATTGAACGCGCCGTGGACTAAGATCGATGAAGCCTTTGTTGAATTTACCTAGTCTTTCAATATACCTCTGAGGATGTGACTTATCTGAATTATCTTTTAAGTGGTACGTTGAGCCAAGAACTTCCAAGAATTTCCCGTAAACCAAGATCAACCCCAATAGATCGGCGCCGGGACGATCAAGATCTCCGCTCTCCGCCCAACTTGGCGCGACCCGCGCGTCATGCAAGTTCCACCAACAAACCACCACCACAATGACCCTCCTCACCAACGCCCGCTCAGTAACATGTAAAGCAATCAGAAAAGCAACTACAAGTGCGATCCCACGAACCCTCCTCCTAACCTTCGACGCCTTCGACACCCTCTTCCACCCCCGCAAGCCCGTCACGGAGCAATACGCCAGCACGGCCCACGAATACGGCCTTTCCAAAACAGAAATCACGCCGGAGAAGCTCAAAGCCACATTCAAAGATCCTTCCACGCCCAGATACAAGATACCTGAACTATGGTCGCGCCGATGTTCTGCGTGGCCGTTACGGCGGTCCAAAACAATGCGGCGCAGATCTTCCGTCCAGACTTGTTGATACTATGCTAGACAGGTTTGCAGGTGCGGAAGGATACACGTGTTACGCGGTGCCTGCTGGTCACTGTGAGTAGAGCTGCTTCCGGGTTGTACTCGCCTAGTTCTACTTCGAATCCCAAGAGTATCTCGCAACCGTACCGTTGCTGTGCTAAGCCTTACACGGACTCGGGTCCTGTTGAGTATCTTGCAGGATGTGCCAGTAGTGCGCGCCAAGTAAGTCAGTCACCAAGTGTTACCACAAGATGAGCTCCCCTACTTGTAGGTTGGGTTGTCTTAAGGGTGAACCGTAGAGTGCAAAGTCCAATAGGTAGTAACCAAGTAACATTGTATGATTGATCGCGAAGAACTAAATACATGACGGTGAATGAGTGTCCTTATATATCCAGTCCTTCCTATCCCCTGGTGGGATGGGTTCTCATCCCACGATAGGATGGGTTCTCATCCCACGATAGGATGGGTTCTCATCCCACGATGGGATGGGACATCACGTGATCTTGATGTCTTCGTAATCCTGTGGTTCAGTCATTCGTGGATGCCTCGCCAGTTGACACCAAGTTGATTGGTTATCAGTGCGTCTTCCCCCGCATTAGCGTGGTGTGCTTAAGTGTTCCGTAACATGAGGGCCACGGCCCTGACAGCGCAAATCCCAGGCAGGAAGGATTCTTTGGCGCGTCTCTATGTTGATCAATATCTTCGCGTCTCGTCTGCAAGCGATGTCTTTGCCACAGGTGATGCCGCCTGTGCGATTGCCGACGGTCACAGCCGGTACGCTTTAATGAGCTGTCAGCACGCAAATCAACTCGGTCGTGTATCAGGCTACAATGCCGCAGCTGTGCTCTTGGGTAAGCCTCTCATGGAATACTCGCAGGCTGAATACAACTGCTGCCTTGATCTCGGGTCCTGGGGTGTGCTGGTTGCCAGTGGCTGGAACAGGGACGGCATCAAGCTTTCGGGAGATATAGCGAAGCGAGTGAAATGCTATATCAACCAAAAGTTGATATATCCGCCGGACGATATTCAAGAAGCTCTTAGATTAGCTGATCCTGTTACTTTGGATTCCTATAGGTTGTTTGGAGAGCTAGCTCAAGTGGTCGGATGAGTTACAGAATCAAAGCTTTGCATATTCCTAGGAGTCCATGTATGTAAAGTCCCCATTAGCCGCTTCTACGGGGGCCATCTGTAGTCTTTCAACTTACGCAAATAGGCTTTGGCTCTATCATGAGAGAGAATAATGTGAACTCGCCAGCTTGCAAAAGTTGGACATATGCCCGTCTGGTCTACCTCAAATGTCAAACCTATCATAGGTCTCCTAGGACACCTCTCGGTAGAAAAATTGGGGTATGAATAGCTTGCCCATTTTTCGGAGGTGATCAATGATTTCGGCGATCCGGGGTTCAGACCTGTGGCTGACGCTCATTGACTTATGAAGCTCACTGGCTCATTGGATCGGGCAGTACAGTGGGATTTGAATTTCTATTTTCCAATGGAAGGTTATGGTAGAAAATCGTGGTACGACATAACTAAGCTCACTCATCATCGAGCACTGTAAGCCCCGCGTACCCCTCCTGCTTCACTACTTCAGTATCTACAACAAACACAGCGATCATCTTAGCATTCTCAGTTTGGCTGCTGTTCTCCGAAACGGTGTGGTGGCAGCCAGGTATCTCCATAAAACTTTCCCCAGCTTGATACACCCGAGGTGGGCTACTATTCACCCCACTTAGTATCGTTCCTTGAGTCACGAAGGCAACAACAGTGGCTCCGCCATGCCTATGCGGAGGGGTGAATCCATCAGGTGGATACTCCAAAGCGAAGGCAATTATGGACTTCCCGGGTGCATTCGTGAGCTCGTAATCATAGAGTACTTTGACTTCCTCTCGGGGTCGGGGCCTGAAAGATTTAATTAGTAGATATACAACAGACACTGTTGGCATCAAACCTAAGTCTTCGATTGAGAGTCCGAGGCCATGTAGTTGAAGTCAAGGATCTTCCTTTGAATTTGTTCGCTTGGTATTCACGCCGAGGAGGGAAAATCGATGAGATGGCTTCGGTCAATTTGTAACCCAAGTCGATGATCGCACTTTAAACCGGGATTTCGGGGATCATGGAATTCGGGGCGCGGACTACCTAAGGCACGCCGCACGAAGTGGTTGGCAGTTGCCCTCGAACTATGATTTGCGCAGCCTTGGAAAATTACTCTTCTCTGTTGCAGCATATAATCCATGGCATCCGTTCGCCCGTTCGCCCGCAAGTGTCTGAGTCTCAGTGTCAAGTGCTCCAAAATTCATCAAGGTACAACCTGGTGGCATTACGACTTTCCCGGAGGCACTGATGCCTGAGATGATGAATCTTGTCAACAAAGTGTGGCACTGTGGCTGATGTCTGATTACGATAACTTTAAATTATTTAATGGCCAATGAGCGCTGCCCGGCAATCCACCGGAAACCGGATTGCCTAATAAAGTTTAGTAGTTCAGCGGGATCAAGGTTCGTTACGTTCGTGCGGGTTCCCGAGTACCCGGATCCCCGCTTCGTAACTCGCACCTCCTACGTAGGTGCATTGCGAACTTCGAACGGCTTTCCTGACTTTCTCAACTAGCATGACTTCCACGAGCACTCCAGTTTACCACAGAGCGACACGTTCGCCGTTGGCATGTTTGCCCTGCCGATCACGTCACGTGAAATGCGACGGCAAACAACCATCATGCACTCGCTGCGCCGAGCTTGGCCAGCCATGCCAATATGCTCGATCGCGCCGAGGTGGGCTAAGCCGCATAGCACTAGAAGAACGACGCAAAAGAGTCGGCACTGCAGGAAATGCAGTTGTAGTGACTACGCCAAGCCCGCAGAGGGCAGCCGTTGGTCAGGTGAGCCAGGAGGTCGCTGGGGGGAGCTTCCTGATTGCTTCAGCCAGCTTCAACGTCCCAACCCAGGCGTTGAGACCTCAGACCTGACTTTGCCACCAGAACATCAACTTGATATCACCGATATTCAGAATGATTCGTTGATCGACGCTTACTATAACAACTTCCACAAATTTCATCCATTTCTACTGCCGCGGAAACACTTCACGCGTCTTTTTCAAGATCCGAGCCGACAACCCAGCTTCCGACCGCTCGTCGCAGTCATGCGGCTTGTTGGGTACATATATACTGCACGAGGATGGTCCATCGCGCTAGAAGATCACATAAAGGCTAGCTTTTCACAATTACTCTCAACAGATCCTGTTATGGTCCAGTGTCGACTTCTATACTCCATAGCACTGTTCTGGTTTGAACGCAAAACCGACGCTAAATCACAAGTGGACTCTGCTATCTGGCTAGCCACTGAGTGTAAGTTGTTTGAGCAGGACTTTGCATCGAAATATGGGGCCGGTGATCTCGTTTTGCAGGAATGCTGGAGGCGGACGTGGTGGATGCTTTACATAGTGGACGCATATTATGCAGGGACCTTGGGTACTATGAATTTCAAAGCCTCTGCTATTGCGGCTACGGTTGACTTGCCCTGCGAAGAGTCGGAATACGAGTCTGGGGTATGTGCGTGCACCGTCTCGAGGGCAAAGTGGATGGCTGACCGGACGCAGGATATTCCAGATCCCAAAACATTAGATCAGTTTGACAGCCGTGAATTTGCTTCCGATGATATCGGGTTCTCATCGTTCGCTTATTTAGTCGGTGCCGTACGATGTGCAGCCTTGGCAATATCCACAGTGCCGAAGGCCACGAACAAGGACAACTCGGAACGGATGATTCAAGCTGCGGACTCGGCCCTGAATGGGTGGCTACTCCTACTACCAAAGACACACAAGCAAGTCATGGACAAGGCCGGGGAGATTGATGAGATGATGTTTCAAGCGCACCTACTGATACATGTGTGAGTCTACTACTTTATCCTTCTTCGACTGACTTCTATGAGACACCGCTGACCACAGGCTCTTAGTGCCACCATTGGCTTACACCGGTCGTTGTCAGATCTCAAGTTTAGCCGCGCCGAGGGTATTTCAAGCTGTGCACGCGAACCGCCCCTCGACAGTCCAACGCCAGATCTCGCAAACGTGCACACCAACCGAGTCCTCCGGTCCGCAGAGGCACAGATCAGACTTCTAGCATTACCTGCTCTACATTTTCACCATACCCCATTCACGACCTGCATGGTCAGTGAAGGGACTCTGGCATTGCTTGCTGCATGTGCCTTTCGACTAGAGGGGAAAGACTTAACAGTCACCAGAGAGCAGATCCGAATGACTATTGGATGTCTGAAAGCATTGGGAGAGATATGGCCAAGAACGGCGAGAAACGTGCGGGAGATCCAAACAGTAGCCCGTCATGTACTCGGACTAGGGTCTAAGGCTATGAGTGACAGCGGTGGAACCAGGTCGAGTGATGTGCCAGACCTATCCGGTGGCGAGGGACAGGGGAGTGTGGCGTCAGAGTTCGAAGTATCAAGCAACAACATGGATGTTTTATCCTCATTGGCTTTTCTTGATGATCTTTGTGGGTGGTACGACATTGGTGAACTTGACCCTGGTCTTTCCCGAAACAATGTAATCTTACCAGAATAATGTGATATTGCTATGGGCCTTACTGCAAAACCATGTACAGCCTAGAGATAAAGTTATGAGCACGACTTCCGGTAACAACAATATCTTGTAATTAGTTGCCTAGGCGATTGTATTCCAATTATGATCCAATGCAGATTCAAAGTGTCATGAAAAACTTGCGGGATGGTTATGACTCCTCCATGCCGATTCCACTGAATTGGTTGGAATTGAGTCTATCGACATTTCAACTATCATTGTTGGGTGCACATCATTTATTTAATGTAAATAGTCTAATTCAGCGAGCTGCATCCCGGGTTTACACCCACTGCTTGTTTCCAAAATGAGAAACAAACGCACCACCAAACCCACCCTCAATGCTGGCTTTCTCCCAGGTGGAGCGGAGATGCCGGATGGACTCTTCCGGAGAGATTGGGCCCTTGAAGTGAGGCGCATATGCTACGAGCTTGCCTACGAATCCCGTCATGCCCTGGAGCTCTTCTGGTGTCGCTATGTTATACATTAAAAAAACGTCCAAATGTTTCAATCTCGAAGACATGATGGGATACGTACCATCCGCATAATGGCCCACATCCACTAAGCCCGGGCTGATAGCCAGGAAGAGGACACCGTCTTTCTTGTATTGCGCATTGAACTTGGCCACGATGACGTTTAGAGCCGCCTTGGAGGATGCATATAAAGCCCCAATATCGATCTCGCAATCGTTGGTCAGGTCGAGGTCGGCCAGACCGGTCGAAATGGCAATAACCTTCTTGATCTCGCCCTTTAGGACAAGAGGAAGGAAGACATGAAAGAGGTGGATGTTACCAGCGACATTGATCCGCATTAGCTCCGATAACACAGCGTCGACCTCCTCGGCCTTATCGCTCCTATTAGACACATAGCGTTAACTGCAGATCAACCCGTACAATAGCCAGATGGAAGTAGACCTACAATGCACCAATGGGTCCATAGGCGTCCAAGAGGGGCAAGTAAGCTGCGTTGGCCACTAGGTAGTCAATTCCACGATCGCCAACGATCTCGGCCGTATCGGTAGCGGCTTGCTTCAAGCTAGCGTACTCGGTGAGGTCTGCATGGCGGATGTGGACATTAGGACGGCTGCCCAGCTCTGCCGCTATCTTCTTCTCCGTCGCAGCTCTGTCGCGGACCAAACCGACGACTAGGTTCTCCTGGTCCTCCGAGATCTGTTTGAGGAGCTCAAACTAGACCACGTTAGATAAAGACAGTGTGTCAGAGTAGAAGGCAGACTCACCCCAATTCCCCTGGACACTCCGGTGATAACGTAAACGGGCATATTCAAATGATTGACTATTCTTACTTGAATAGGCTGAGTTGTGTACGATGCAACGAGGGGCTAGTCTTCAGTGTTATAACTACATAGTTCGATTCGTTTGATACGGTACCCCAATGGCTTCATGTAATTATGTAGTGCGTAGTTACACATTGGCCCCATAGTTAGTTAGTTACAAGGTGCTTATTAATGATGATTGCTTACCAACATAATCGGATGCCGAAGCCCGAGGGCGACGTTCTTCGCGTTTCTTTCTTTCTTGGATTAATCTCGGCGTTTGTATCTCTCCGTTTTTATGTCGCCGAGCAGCCGGTGGTACTGGTGGTCCGGTGGATACATGCAGGGATAGGGACTCCCGGACTTGCTGCCTTGATTAGATGACTCTTGAAGAAATATCGCATACCCATGGTAGCTCTGCGGCGGACAGCAGATCAATGGGTCAACTTGTGGCTGGACCGGCATGTCAAACTATCAGGCCTGGGACTACAGTCTACGGACCCTTATAGACACTGACGAACGACGATTGCATCCGACAATCTTTGAAGGGAAGAACTCGGGACACCACCCAAAGTTCATATCCCACCACTCCCCATCCGAGCTAGTCCTAATGTGGTAAGCGCATTTTTGTCTACATGATATTAATTACTTTGTGTTCTGTATGGTATCATGCGAGGCCATCGACCCACGGTGATCCTGAGCATGAGCGCCCTCATAAAGCGGCGGCAGCCTAGATAGGAAAGGCCCCACCCGGCAAACTTTATCCTCTATAACTAGTATAGGTATTGGCATACATGTATCTAGTTCATCTTACTGAGCTCTCTACTGAAACTCACTGGCAAATCCATCGCTCATTTGAACTCGGCATACGCAAAGTCTGCTGGAACCAGGCACCGCTGTCGCTCTCCAAGTGCATATAAGCCCGTCATCATGCCAATAAAAATGGCCCCGACCGGAGGCACCTTCATTGCAGCACCATTAGAGACTGATCCAATCCAATGAACATCATCTCCCGTGCCTGCACAATACCCAAATCTATACTTTGTGCCACAGTCAATCATAAGAGTAATATCAGTTTGATCGTTCAACCGATACTCCGTGGCATCTCCCTCTGATGGCTGGAAACGGATGAATCGGCCCTGGTCGTCCTTACGGATACCGATACTACTGTATGTGAAGTAATTCAGCCACAGCACAGTGCCGGCTTCGGTTTGGTTGGATATAGGGTGAAAGGACAGCTTGGTCTCCCATCTGCAGACGCGATGGATTTGTTTGCGAAGAAACATCGTTGGACAGGCCGGAACTGACAAGTTGTAAGGCCCTCCATAAAGACGAAGGCGACCGGGGCGCTCAGTAAGCGAGTAGTCGTTGACAAATGGAGTGTCTAATTTCTCATTAATCAGTGTATGCCACTGGTTCACCTCTTTCAGACTTACTCTTTCTATACCATCCTAACTGCATACGTGACTCTGAAAAGTCATCTCTCCATGCGACAGTGGTTTCGAACTGGTAAAGGCCAGGTCCTTGTGAGATGAGAGAGATTTTCTGTCCTCCGTTAATTACAGGCCAGTCATTCTTCCATTCCAGAGTCACTAAGAATGTCTCCCGGCCTAATACATTTAGTATAATCGCCAAATATGACTGCGAGGTACCGTTACCTAGTACGGAGTCTTCCCATGTGTTTCCCTGTCTGGTAGGGCGGACTCCAAGCAAGACTGCCCACCAATTCCCTTTGCTGTCCTCGACCAAATCTGCGTGTCCGGTGTTTTGCACTTCGTCTTCAACGCCATTACGCCAAAGGGGGTTGTTTGGTCCGAGCTCCCACAGTCCCAAGGGGCCGACTTCACTGCGATGGACCCATTCACTATGGCCACCCTCGGTGCCTCCTTCAGCTGTGAAAAGATACCAATAACGACCGCGTTTGATGATATGGGATCCCTCGGCGACACCAGAAAGCGATTCGCGGATCAATTGAGGCTCGGAGGTAGAGTGTCCAGTTGCGAGGTCGACAGTACAGATGTGAATGGCAAAGTCTTTTAGTTCGTCGCCTGGTGTTGGATGGATCTTTCTGTAGGTGGATGATAGATAAATGGTCCCATCTTCATCCAAAAAATCTATCCGAATAGACAAGCGTCATTCCAAGTTTCCTGGCGATAACATTTACTAAAACTCACGTCTTGGTCAAACCCAACCTGATCAAAGAATATGGGATCAGACCATGTCTCCTCATTCCATATATCCATTGTTTTGACGTAGAATCCCTGGGGCCACACCCGATCGTCTTGCTGGGGACGGTAACGTTGAAAGCTCGCCGCCATGATGTAGAAGATACCCCCATGATAGCGAATTGTGGGTGCCCAGACACCTCCTCCGGGCTCCGGGGTATGGACTTGGAGTTGACTGGTCCGCGTCAACGCATGACCGATCAACGTCCATTGAATCAAATCCCGGCTGTGATAGATAGGAATCCCAGGGAAGTACTCGAACGTGGAGGTGATTAAGTAAAAGTCCTCGCCAACCCGAACGATGGAAGGGTCGGGATTGAATCCTGGAATGACCGGATTATTGTAAGTCATTTCTGTCCTTGTGCTAGTTTCCTGTGTTAGTGGCGGCGTCGGGTTGGCTTATAACGCCAACGAGACGAATACGGAGTATCGTGTATAGTTATCGTGATTGGTGGAGAAATAACCGCCGCAGAATACATAGCCGAATCCATTATGGTATGACTTGATAGTTAGCGGGCAGCAGGGAATGAGTACCTAAGATAGGTATGAATGCTTACCTTTCGTTGGTAGAAGATGATCTTATTCCATCTTTCCCGTTCCATCTCATAGCCCTATAGACATTGCCTCAGCTGTTAGGTAGTAGGTAATAGTTTTTTATGTCCTCTGGATGTTATGCTTAGAGGACAACGTGGTGCTCGAGAAGTTGATTCTTGTAAGATCTTTTTCGCACCATACCCCGAAGCAATAACCAGAAATAAACTACATGAAGACAAATATTATATCATTGTCATCCGAAGTTTTCCCGAAGTTTTCTAGACCATGTGGGGTCCCCGTGCGGGCCCTCCAATGCGCCAATGAAGCCCCCTCATGGATGCAGACAAACTGGGATATTGTCGCTTGCTTTTCCAATTTCCTTCCACTCAACTTCCACGTTGTTTCCGAGGAAATTGTATCTGCTTCATCAAACGCAATGACATTATGACAACGACCTATGCGGTTCAAGGATCGCGCGAGGATAGTGTCATTACTCTTGAGACCTTACCTCAGAGCCAGCAGTCCAACGTAGTCGTATCCGCGGCTGCTCCCAGTGACACATTTCCAGTAGTTGAAAAGTGGAATGATCCCCGCATAAACATTTATCGAACTTTCTCGACATTCTGGTGTTTCCTCGTCATGGGTGCTGTGCGGCGTAAGTTGATTGCGCAGATGACGTCCAAAGCCATGCTCTAAGCTTGGTTCGGCCAATTTCTGACTGCTCATAGGCCTTGATTCCATATGTGAGGTGCTTAATTTTCCGGCCTATGCGGTCCCTGTCTCATCATATATGCAGCTTGAATCATACTATCATCTATTATACCATCGTCTCTCTAGTGTTCTTGTCGACACTAGTAGGTTATACCGCCACCGCGTTTCTCAACCACCGCATCCACTATACGCTAGGCCAACGTGGCGTTGCCATTATCGGTCCAGCGTGCCACCTCGTTGCCTACGTCGTTAATTGTGTGCATCCACAGTATCCGGTACTAGTAGTCGCTTTCATCTTCGCAGGGCTCGGAAATGGTCTGAGGATGCACCTGGAATGCATAGATTGGAAACACGGCCAATGCAAATGAGCTGCTGGGAGTATTGTATGGGATATATGGAGCTGGTGCAGTTGTGAGTCCATTGGTCGCAACGTCAATGATTGTCAAAGGTGGTTTGCCGTGGGTAGTGGTACTACTTTTATTATGTCATGGTGAGGGTCCACCTGGGCAGCTCCAAGTCTTTGGCCATAAGCTAGTTCCATGATAGGTCGCCTGTGCCGTCATTGAGTTGGTGCTATCTGGTGCATGCTTCTGGAAATCGACCGCCGAAGACTTCCGCGCATCTAACACGGCATCGGTCGGTAGTGACAATGAAGGCGGGCTGAGGGATGCGCTCTTTACGCGCCCAACTGCTCGGGTGACCTGGCTTTGCGCATTGTTCTTGCTGGGTTATGCGGGAGTGGAAGTTGCTCTTGGGGGGTGGATTGTTACTTTTATGATCCGAGTTCGGCAGGGTAGTGCTTTTGCCAGTGGAATGACGGCCACTGGGTTCTGGCTGGGTATCACAGTTGGACGGATCATTCTTGGGTTTGTAAACCCCCGCGTTGGCGAGAAAATCGCAATCGCTGTGAGCATCACCCTGACTTATAGTCGAACCATAACTAATCTCCGCACCAGACTTACATTGTCGCCTCCATGGCGTTTGGTCTGGTTCTGTGACTCGTGCCCCAGTTTTATGCATCGGCCGCGGCTGTATCTCTCTAAGGTTTCTTTCTAGGCCCTCTTCTCCCCGGAGCAGTCGTGATAGTCACCAAGCTTATTCCTCGGCACCTTCATGTTCCCTCAATCGGATTTGTGGCAGCCTTTGGGGGTAGCGGGGCGGCCATTCTCCCCTTCCTTCGCAGTTGGCGTGCTGGCACAAGCCAAGGGGGTAAAAGTGTTGCAACCGTTTATCATTGCTTTATCAGGTGCAATTTTAATTACATGGCTGGGATTGATTGCCACGGGCATCCAAGATGAGAAACGAATAGACATGTGGAAGAGTTTTTTCCGGGGCTGACATGTGAAATGTTTTGTGCCTGTCCCTTATCAGATCCGACTATTAGGTTATCTCTGGCCAATTTTGGCTCCCGTGCTTGATCATGTGTCGGGTGTCTTGCCCGTAGTCCCGTAGCTTGTTTTACTGCCTACAGGGATTTATTTGTGCTTCTGCATTAGAAAAGGGTTACAGTCGTCCCAGGTTGCACGTGGCAGCTTCCCTATACTTTTTAATCCTAATACTATCGCCTATTTGTTTATCAAGTTTTGTTCCTGCTGACTGAAGACCATACAGTGTGATCCAGATCCCGAGGAGATACATGTAAGCCTTATCGAACACCCTATTATCTTCGCCTCCATAGCCAGCGCCCACATCCCAAACCGAGGTCATCCACTAACACTTGAGTCTTGACTGAGTGTTTCGGGGTACACCGTAGACGTGACATACTCAGATGAAACACCGGCCGCGGACTCGCGGATCTTACGATCGTTCTACACAGTACCCGATCTTCGGGCCAGTTGGCTGATCTCGGGACGGACTGAGTCATCGAGCCGAGTCACCGACTCACCTGTTTCCTTCAATTCTTAGCTCTCCGCTTCCCCATAACCATGGATCTGGTAAAATTCATTTGCGGGGGTGACTCGGCTACTCCGGTCAATGGAAAACTTATAATTTACTGCTTACACGTTGTAAAGAAGGAAGATGAGTCTACAAAGTCACACAATGGGGTATCGGAAAAACCGGCGTTCCTCGGGAACGGGCGATCGATTCCGTTGCGCTTTCCTGATTGGCCAGCATGTTAAGCCGAGGCACTTTCCACATTGAGAATGACCCTCGGCCCTGGGGCAACCTCGTCTCCGTCATTCTTCCCCCCACCCCCGGGGTTCATAAGTTCATAACCATTCACTGATCCCTTTCGAATCTGCTCCTCTCACTAGTATCTCATATTTATTCTTCTTCTCAACATGCCATCACCTCCTCCTGATTGGGTCAAGGCCTTGAAGCCATCGGGTCCGCAAGGATCCGAGCTTCTCCAACAGGAACGCGCACAATCCAACGTCAATGTCGAGAAATTGTCTGAGTTGCTCCATACCAAGGAAGCCTTGGAGCGACAGAAGTCCTTGCTGGCTCTGTTGGAACCAGAGAAGGTGTTTGATAAGTCTCAGAACCACTCTCTCGGCCGTGTAGAGCGGTTGCAGCGATCGCTGGGCAAGGCGAAGCGTCTCCAGCAGCTTGCGGAACAGCACAAATGGTCGTTTGAAGAGCTCCACGCAGCGAATGAGTTGATTGGCGAACCTACTCCTTACGGCTTGCATGCTAGCATGTTCCTGGTACGTGCATTGTGTCTCGCACTCAAAAGAAAGAAACTCAAACTAATCGTTTTCATTTTCATGTAACTAGGTGACCCTTCGGGAACAAGGCACCCCCGAGCAGCACAAGCTGTTCCTGGAGCGCGCAGAAAAATACGAAATCATTGGTTGCTATGCGCAAACCGAACTGGGTCACGGATCGAACGTCCGCGGTTTGGAAACCACTGCCACCTGGAACTCCAGCGATAAGACTTTCACCATCAACTCCCCCACATTGACTGCCTCGAAATGGTGGATTGGTTCTCTCGGTCGCACCGCCAACCACGCTGTCGTTATGGCCCAGCTATACATTGATGGCAAGAACTACGGACCTCACCCCTTTGTCGTACAGGTCCGCGACCTCGAAACCCACCAGCCATTGGAGAATGTGTACGTGGGAGACATTGGTCCCAAGTTTGGCTACAAGTAAGATCGTCCTTATCTCCGGTTCGCTCCTCGACTAACCACCTTCTTCAGCACGATGGACAACGGCTTTCTGTTGTTCAACAACGTCAAGGTGCCGCATGTGAACATGCTGGCCCGCTTCTCGCGGATTGACAAGGAGACGAACCACTACGTCAAGCCTGCTATGCCTTCCCTTGTCTTTGGTACATTGACCTGGGTGCGGTCCAACATTGTTCTGCAGGCCGGCGGCGTTCTAGCCCGCGGTGTCACCATCGCGACCCGATACTGTGCGGTTCGGAGACAGTTCCAGGATCGGGATGCTGATGCACATGCGGGTGAGAACCAGGTTCTGAACTACAAGATGGTGCAGATCCGGTTACTGCCCTTGCTGGCATCCATGTATGCTTTGCATTTCACTGGCCGTGGCATGATGCGCCTTTATGAGCAAAACCAAAGCCGCATGAAGGCCGCCAACTCGCCTGGTCAGGACTCGCGAGGTGCCGGACCGGAGGAGCTTCGTGCTGGTGCGAATCTTCTGGCAGATCTGCACGCCACCTCTTGTGGTCTCAAGGCTCTGGCCAGTACAACTGCTGGTGAGGGTTTGGAGATTTGTCGCCGGGCATGTGGTGGTCATGGCTACAGCAGCTACAGCGGCATTGGTGCCTGGTACTCGGACTATCTCCCTACCCTGACTTGGGAGGGTGATAACTACATGTTGACCCAACAAGTCGCACGTTACGTATGTGGCAATCCTCTTCTCATTCCATTCTGCTTGCTTGAAACTAATATCATCCACAGCTTCTCAAATCCGCCCGTGCCGTTCTCGCTGGCAAAGCTGCTGGTAATGACACTAGCCAGATTCTCCAGACCTACCTTGACCGGCGCGATAAGGGAGCTTCCTTTGATGTGCTCGAGGAAGACAAGGACATCGTGGCTGCCTTCGCCTGGCGCACGGCGCACCTGACCTTCGAGGCTCTGAAGCACCGTGATGCCGAGCAGCGATCCTGGAACAGCCTTCTCGTTGACTTCTGGCGCTTGTCTACTGCTCACTCTCAGTACCTTGTCGTGAAGAACTTCTACGAGGCGGTTTCCTCTCCCCAACTCTCCGCCGCCTTGGATCCTGAGACCAAGGGTCTGATGCACTCCCTGTTCCGTCTCTACGCCTTGCACACTCTAGAGCGTGAAGCGGCCGAGTTCTTCTCCTCTGGCGCCGTGACCGTGCGACAGATTACCCTCACACGGACTACTGCCGTCATGAAGTTGCTGGATGAGATCCGTCCTCACGCTGTCCGCTTGGTCGATGCCTGGGCGATTTCGGATTGGCAGCTGGACAGCAGTCTCGGTCGCTATGACGGCAAGGTGTACGAGGATCTGTTCCGCCGAGCAAGCGAGGAAAACCCGGTCAATGACTTGGTGTTTGACCCTTACCCATGGAACTCTGCATTGCTCAAGAATGAGCCGGCTAAGAGTAAGCTATGAAAACTGGAGGGTCTCTTTCTTTTTGCTTTCTTCTGATGTATTTACTACCCCGTTTTGTTCAAGATACACCTCGCTAGACTATAGAGTGATAGATTTCATCTCAATAGAATGGTCAATGACTTACTAAACAATTCAATCTAACAAATCTATCTATCCGTCATCAAGGCCAAGGTTGCTCCCGATGATCAATCCATAGGTACGTGTAAGCAGTAGTTATGTAGTTATGTACTGTGCTAATTCTTACCTCTTCACCCGCGTTAGCCAATCTGTACCTGGTAGTTTTAACTATGCCCTGTGAAAGACGACGGCAGTCACATCCGGATCGCGCATTGTCAGATTCACCGGGCAACTTCACAGAAATGGATATACTGTGGAAAGAACAGTTTGGAGTTGGAGTACCCTTCACTTTTAGTTCTCTCCCTAATGGCCAGGGAGCTCGAGTCTCGCAAAAGGACCGATCACCTCGGGCTGGGCTACTTGTCTGAGGAATACAACTTGCTCCAGTTGACGAGGCCAAGAATGATTAGCTTTTCCTCCTCGCAGGTGTTTTCATCGAGAATTTGTTGGGGGCCTTTCACTGTCAATCTGTTAATACAAACGCAGGATTTCCTTCTCAGATGATGTTTTCAGGATCTCTCGAATCGTTTCGACACTCCAGCACCATTGCCGCCATTGTTACATGTGCAATGGTAATTGACATAAGTTCCCTCCGGAAGTTGTTGGTCCTGCGGCCTCAGATGCTGACAAAATGTGTAAACTCACGGGGCATTGTCTGAATTTGCCTCTCGCTATTCGCTAATGTTGCCTTGTTGCACACTCGACAAGCCACCTATTTGCCAGAATAGATGCTCTCAACGGGTAGCAAAGGCATTGACATCGGAAGGAAAGATAAACCAGTCTTAAGAGCGCGATCGGCTCTTTTGTATCGAGATTGTCGGGTCCTGCTGACTACTTGAGATGGCCCAGCGCAGGAAAGCCAGAGTTCCTCGATAGTATTAGAGCCCTCTAGCAGAAAGGGGAGAGACCCCGTTCATATGATGGCTTGAATTGATACCAACCCGGTTAGCATTACAACGGTACGCTCTTTGTTGTTCTTAGCCCTGCATTCCCCCAACCGAATGGAAGCCGAAAGCCGAGCATAGTGCCCACTGCCCGCTTCAGGTCAACTTGTATCGTTGAATCTGAAGCTTGCTCATCTCGCTACCATCTCGCTACATACTTTCGAACAAAAGCTCCACGGTCTAGACTTTGTCTCCATGGTGAGAGTGAGACTCTATCCCGGATAATATTGTTTTATCTGGGGGCATGACGTCGGTATACCGTTCGAAATTGCGAGTAGCGGGCCGACCTCGCATTTGATAGCACTGAAAAAGGAAGAACAGAATAATCTCAGGCAAAACACTCAAGTCTCGGGGCAAGGCGTCCAATGAATGATGTGGAATATTAGGCTAATTCTTTGCAGAGTTGTGATCATCCCGCGGGTAAATAGTGTCTCGGTTAATAGCGGGCTAATAGCGGTTAATAGTTCGGCTTCCCCCCGATGCATCGAATGCCCCGACTGGCTCTCCGCAAGATCCCACCCCGCTTAATGACGCCGTGCCCACCCCCGGCTTCTGTGCCCCGGCTTCTGTGCCCCGGGATTTCTCCTCGCTCCTCCGCATTTTACTGCGTAGTACTCCGTAGACATGTTGATCTTTTCCGAACCGAGCTCTACGGTCCCGGGGTCTTCTACCGTGGAACTTGGCGTGTTTTCTGCGGAATTGTGCATTGGCCTGCCGATCTGCCACCACTGGTGACTTATAAAACGCCGTGCCGCAAGCCACATCGCGATGACAAGGTTCATGATTCAAGCGCCATCATGTATACTATAACGAATATCTACGGTATGTATATTTGGCCCATCGGGCATGACCACAGTGCTAACCTATCACAGTGCTTGCTGCCTTTGGCACCATTGGAGGCGCCCTCTTCGGCTTCGATATCAGGTTCGCAGCCTTCTTTCACCTCGTATTCGATACCAGAGAAATTAATATGACTGTAGTTCGATGAGCGCCTGGATTGGTGTCGATACATACACCGAGTACTTCGGCTCGCCAGACTCCAATCTCCAAGGCGGAGTACGTGATCTCAGTCCCCAACTATGCCTCGTTGCATAGCTGACATTTCACAACAGATTACAGCCTCGATGTCCGCTGGTTCTTTCGCCGGTTCGATTGCAGCGGGCTGGCTTGCAGATATCCTAGGCCGTCGTTATGCACTGATGGTTGCCTCTCTTGTATGGATCGTGGGCGCCATGGTTCAATGTAGTGCGCAAAACGTCACGCATCTAGTCGCTGGTCGTGTTGTCAGTGGACTTGCAGTGGGTGTGACCTCCTCGCAGACGTGCGTTTACCTGTCAGAACTTGCCCCTGCTCGCATCCGAGGTCGCGTCGTTGGTATTCAACAGTGGGCAATTGAATGGGGCATTCTGATCATGTACTTGATCGCATATGGCTGCGCGGTGGGAGTCTCCGGGCCGGCAGCGTTCCGCATTTGCTGGGGTATACAGGCTGTCCCTGGCCTGATTCTCTTCATCGCATTGTTCTTCTTCCCCGAGTCTCCTCGCTGGCTTGCTTCACAGGAGCGATGGGAAGAAGCATTGGAGACCTTGGCCATTATTCACGCCGATGGCGACCGCCATGACCCAGCTGTCCAGGTAGCTTTTGAAGAGGTCCAAGAGGCGGTGCGAGTGGCCCACGAATCTCAGGATATCTCCTTCCTTGCCTTGTTTGGGCCTCGTGTGTGGAAGCGCACGATGTGCGGCATGAGTGTGCAAATGTGGCAGCAGCTTCTGGGCGGTAACGTTGCTATGTATTATGTCGTTTATATTTTCGAGATGGCTGGCATGGTAAGCTTCTCCTCAAATATCGTCCCTCGGGCAGCTTTGTTAACCATCGATAACAGACGGGTAATACAACTCTATGGTCCTCTGCTATCCAATATGTCATCTTCTTGGTGACCACGGGCGCTATGCTTCCTGTTATCGATCGTGTTGGACGAAGGAAGTTGCTTCTTATTGGATCTGTTACCTGCATGATTGTGCACTATATCATTGCTGGTGTAATGGCCAGCAAAGGACGCCCTGTCGCCAGTGTGAACGGCAACGCCAATTTGACATGGGAGATCAATGGCAGTGCCGGAATGGCAGTCATTGCCTTTTCCTACATTTTTACCGGCATTTATGGCTTGACCTGGGTATGTAATATTTATTTCCACCTACGAATATCGCGTCTAACAATCTTAGGCTCCCATTGGATGGATTTATGCTGCAGAAGTCTTCCCGCTCAAGTATCGAGCAAAGGGTGTTGGCGTGTCGGCTGCCACCAACTGGATCTTCAACTTTGCTCTGGCCTACTTTGTTTCGCCAGCTTTCCACAATATCCAGTGGAAGACCTACATCATCTTTGGTGTATTCTGCACTGTAATGACGTTCCACGTATTCTTCACGTATCCGGAGACTGCAGGTCGAACTCTCGAGGAGATCGATTTGATCTTCGATACCGATGTCAAGCCATGGCGCACTCATGAGATTGGAGATATCTTTGGCGAGGAGGTCGAACGCCGCAAGGAAATGGGTCCCAAAGCGGAGACCAGCGGTGAAGCAAGTCACAAAGAGGTGGTTTGACCTGGCGACGGAAGATGTTCAGAGCAACACGTTCGCGGCTAGCGACATAGTTTATCATGCATACCAAGCGAATTGAAACATATTGTTGTGACATGGTATCACATGCTTAGGGCCTACCTTTGGTGATCTGGCTTCCCTCTACCTTAGCTAACTACTTGAACAGGCATCCTGCCTGCCGTAGTCAATCAACTCTTTATCTTTCTCTCCTGATTCTCCGGCTTCTCCGAAGACGTATACAGCTCGAGGATCTTACCTGAGCATACTATGGGAACACGATGGCTGAGAACAAATTTGCTGACACCGGACCAAGACATGCTGTAGAATGTGCGGCTCTCAGGGGACATAGCGACAGGCAGTTTAGATTAGAGTGAGAATACAGAAATAGAGTCCGACTGGTCCAATGTGGGATACTGGGATAGTATTGCTGTATTTGCAAAATCAACTGAACAAGAGTCTAGACTTCCTGGACCCGACTACCGCGCCTCGGCGGCTCGGTTGATAGACCGACAATATTGGCGGCAGACAAGGCTTATCTCTCCTCGCTACCATCGCTGTAATTTTCGGCATGTTGAGTCAGGCTCTGGTTTTGTGCCTTACCCTCCTTGCTGAGGTAACTAGCACGGCGAACGGCATCATCCTCTGCGTCGTCCAGAGTACGTAAAAGCTCGCCGTTGGGACCATACATGTGGGGCTCACTGCGGGCGAGTGACACCACCTCGAAGACACTGGTAGTCTTGCGGAAAATACGGTCCATCTCCTCCAGTGAGCGCATGGTAGTCTCAGGGAAGAAGAAGTAGACCACCGGCACGATGGCCGCATTGCTAGACCAAGTTAGTACAAGCCCGGCGCGGTGAGCTTCTGAAAGAAAAGGATAAAGACTTACATGACGGCAAAAATGATATAAGTCTTATAACCGATGCTTTCGAAAGCAACTGGAGTAATCATGACAACCATGAAGTTCCAAATCCAGTTGGATGAGGTAGCCAATGCGTTGGCCGGGGCACGAATCTTCAATGGAACAATCTCAGCGGGATACAGCCAAGTCATACCAAGCCAACCAATGGCAAAGAATGTATTAAACACAAACAGGAAGACCGTTTGGGCCACTCCTGCCTTGACGCCGACGGGGGTTTGTTTGTGGCTGGAGGAAATGCTGTCGGCAATGGCCAGCACTACCATTGAGATTGACATCCCCACGGCACCAAAGAGCATGAGTGTTCGACGGCCAAACTTCTCAATGGTGAACACAGCTATCCAGGAGGCGATGAAGTATTCTGTGCCATTACACGCAGAAATCAGACGTGAGGTCGTGGCGTCTAAACCAACCTGCTGTTCGAGTAGAGTGGGGATATAGTAGGTGATCAGATTGATACCAGAAATTTGCTGGAACATCTGATTCACATATGCGAGCATGGTACGGTGGAAATGACGGTCCTCGCCCATTGTGAACATGTCTCGGAACGACCCCGTTGCCATTTCGAGCACAGTCGCCTTGATAGCGGTGAATTCAGTTTCGATAAAAAGCTCGTCGGTCTCATCGCCCATCAAGCATGTTAAAACCTCCTTTGCTTCTTCCTCGCGACCTTTCAAGATAAGCCAGCGTGGTGATTCGGGGAGGAACATCACAAATCCCAAAATAATTGCTGCGAAGAAGATCTGGAATGCTAGCGGGAATCGCCAAGCAACTTCGTTGGGGTCTGCGAACATGAGGCCGAAGTCGATCCAGTAGCTAATGGTTATACCGCATGTGATCATGGCACCCTCGATCATGACCATCTGGCCTCGGCGATGAGATTTACAACATTCTACAAGAAGTCAGAAGCAAAGTCATATCACGGGTTTACCTGCCTCGCAATATGAAACACAACGATGTGAGGCTGGTAACTGGTTGGCACGGAGGATGCAGATGAATCACTTTTGACTTACCTGACTGCCAAGTAGGGACTGTGGACGTGTTGATTCCGTTGCCTGGTGTTCCTGTCAGTGGATGACTTATATTCCTCTTGTTCTCCATACTAACCAAATCCTGTGACAAGTCTACCGACGATAAGTTGAGCCAGTCCATAAGACGTGCACTGAAGGATGGCACCGATACACATAATGAACGATCCGAGAAAGATTGCCTTGCGACGACCCAGGATGTTACCGATCCAGATTGTGGGAATTGAACCTGCGAAACATCCCAAGTTGTACGCCGCGACTGTGATACCTTGTCGGGTTGACTGGTTACTCCTCGCAGCGGGGCTCCAGTCTCCAGTATAAGATTCAAGTGTGTTGATCTCGGGGAAATATTTGACGAAAGAGTCGAGGGTCAGCAAACCGCCAGTTACACCTTGATCGTAACCGAATAGCAGAAAATCCATCCCGGCGACAAGGCCGATGGCAACCTGAAGCTTGGTGCCATTGAGGCCCAAAAACCGCTTGGTCAGCATGTGGGCGACGCTCAATCAAGGTCCTCTCTATATGTCTAAAACCAACGAAAGAAGATAAAAGAACTAGATTTGGAGGGATATACAGAACTGGGAGCTCTGACAGGAGGAACTCGACTGGGTTTAAAAAAGACTGTAGGGGGCACTTGACCTAGGTTTTGGACCGGGGCCCCTGGAGAAGCTTGTCTTGCAGCCGGACTACAAAGCAGAAATACACGAAGTAATTTGGAGAGTAATCCCTGCTACAGACCCACCATTCCTTCAAATTACTCCATACTAGCAAGTAGGGTCAATAACCATTGGCTATATGATATATCCGGGTTACAGTATGTCCAATGTCTACACTCTACAGTACTTCGCACGGACGTTTGGCCGGAGGTCAACTGCCCCCCGATCTGACCTCAGGGCACCTGAGGCCACGCGAGAAAGCCAATCAACAGGACTGTAAGCCGGGCAAATGCATCGACATTTAAAAATGTTCCCTCGGCTTCTCCAGACTCGGTTAGCAGGTGTTTCGGGGTAGGCTAGTTAACGAAAGCGCGGCCCCCGCCGATCACTTTTCAGCCCGTCCGATGCCCGTTTACCAGAATCCCCGCATCGAATTAAAAGATCTGGAAGCTGGGGAATGGTTCAGGGGTTTGAAAACAAGCACTTTCGGGCGGTGCCAATACAAGCCAATAAACGCCACTATTAGCTTGTCATTGCTTAGCAGATCCTCCGAATTAGCCGAGGCTTTGGTATTTCATCCCGCTCACCTGTCGGAGCGACATATGTCCTTTTGCCCTCAGCTCCCATATTGCGTGTACGTACGGAGTAGGTACGGAGTAGTCCGTAAATGTACATTGTACATGGGAAAAACACAGTGACTTATTTGACATGAATATCTGTCCTATTGGATGTACTTTCCTAATTTGCTTCAGTCACTTAATCTCAATGTACATTACGTAGGTAGCCCAATTCGTGATTCTTTTGCTCTTTCTTGCTATTGCGCTCCTGAAATCTGAATATCGAGGAATTGTAAACAGTAAACATGTAGTGAGTAGATCACCTCCCCTTTTAGGCAGTTCCGGTTGACGCTGCGAATCACGTTTTCTTGCTTTGTCGAGTACGGAATACAGAGAACATACTGCGTAAAAGCCCTGAATTCATTACAACGTAACTACTCTACTCCATACATCTCATGATGTTTGAGAGAAGCTCAGGTTGTCTTGCTTCCAGACCTCGTGGTTCTCTGTCACTGAGGTCCTTTCTGCTTCACTCACACGGCGTGCAGATCGCAGCCCAGGGCCATAGGGGGCGCTGGCTCTCGTGGTCTGGCCTGTGCCGTATTTCGCATAATCGCAGGCTCGTAGGGTCAATCTCTTCCACAATCGTCCCCGCAATGCACAAAGCTGTGGGTGGATTACAAAGAGCGGGGTATAAAGTACGGAGTACATCCAGCAATAGGTACCTGAATATGCAGAGAAGCGAGGACTACATTCGCAGTCCCTTCTAGATCTTTCCCGGGGTCTGACATTTCTTGTCTTGAAGTCCCCGTTGTAAAGGTGAGACACATACTGCGCTAACGACAGAAAATATAACTAACGGGCACCACTACTCAACCAGCTCTAACCAGAACAACCTATTCACCGGGCTACATCGCAGGATCATTGACAACCTGAACAGTTGGCACATGTGTTGTTGACACTTAGTGCCCTGGCCACCTTGTCATATGCGGGAAGTTAAGCGCTGCTTGGCACTTCCATCTACTGTGTAACGGTGCGGCGCCGAGATACAGCCTAGTTCCAGGGAGGTTGTACTTCCATTCCGAGAAGCAGAAATCAAGCTACAAGCATTATGATCGTTTGTCTCGACTAGAGACAGCTGTGTATTGCATCCTCCTGCCACATGTAAACAGGATTGTGTGATCGAAATGTGGCTCAGACAGTGGCTAAGACGGGATCGACAGTAATGCCTCCAGAGCTGGATGTCAAGCCACCTTCCCATCAACTTGGGTCAGCGTCATGTCATTAATCCGTCCTCCGAGATGATAGTGCCCCTTCAGCCATTGAATAGACTTTCTATTTATCCCGAGTCATGGGATGATACCTGTTGTCGGTCCGGTACTGAGAGAAGTTACACCTGGTCTCACGGGAATGTAGGGTCCCGCGAGGGCATACGTCAGGAGTGATGGGGCTGGAGTAGCAGATACTAGGCACTGGCAGCAAGCGCATACACCTTCTCGATTCCATTCGTCGACTATGTGTCCCTTAGTAGTCCTGTATATTCTATTATCGGGAGTGTCTCGACGGTCGAACGTATCATTCTCTAAGCAGAAGGCATGAGGTGGATGATGGTTGTTTCGGCGTGGTAACCATCTTCGGGAAAGCACAGCATACCAACCAGCACAAAGGAATGTGGATAGGAAAAAAGATCTCGAGCATAAGTCAAGGTCATATATACCCCTTGCGTAGTTCTTCGGGTTACAGCCGTTGAAAGTAATGCAAATCGCCGTCCTACAAGAAAAGCACTGTGCTTCCGTTCCTTGAATTTATGTGCCGAACTGCACCTCGTCTATTTTTTATGTGGAGGGCGCAGTAACATTTGAAACAACTTTCATGACTTTCTACCGTGACAACAGAAGCTAGGGGAAGTGAGTATGAGGTCTACGGCAGACACCTCGAGTATGAGAGACTATGAAGTCTTCACAGATCGAGATGATATGTCACTAAAAGAGTCGGGAAGTGAGGAAAGCGACGACGAAAAGCAAGATTACCCACCGATCTCAACACTTGCTCCAATTCTAATAGGACTTTGCTTTCAATCCTTCTGCATTGCCTTGGTAAGTGTTGAGTGGTTGATTACCCAGTCCCTCTGTGCTTTTCCGAGCTAACGTGGATGACTTCCTCATGAACCAGGACAACACAATCCTCTCAACGGCCATTCCCAAGATTACTGAAGAGTTTAACTCATTGGGCGATATCTCTTGGTACGCGAGCGCTTATCTTCTAACGACATGTGCCGTCACCTTACCGTTTGGCAAGATATACACATATTATTCAACCAAGTGGACATACCTGATTGCCCTCGGACTGTTTGAACTCGGTTCTTTAATATGTGCAGTCACCCCGGCATCACAAGGACTCATTTTTGGCCGAGCAATTGCCGGAATTGGATCCGGAGGACTGTCACCCGGTGCGCTGCTAGTGCTCGCGAATAGTGTGCCTCTGCACCGGCGTGCATTGTATTTTGGGATAATCGGAAGCATTAGTGGAATTGCGACGATCACAGGTCCTCTGTGAGTACCGGCACAACTGATTTTTAAGATTGAAGCTCATCGAACGACAGAATTGGTGGACTGCTAACTGATCATGTGAGCTGGAGATGGTGCTTCTGGATCAACCTTCCTTTTGGTCTCCTCACTGGTCTGGTCATTTTGTTCTGCTTCAAAGACCCAACAACGCCAAAACCGAAGCTGAATCTCCTGGAGCAACTCAAAAGGATGGACCCCATTGGGATACTGGTGTTTATCCCCGCTATCGTCTCTCTTCTACTGTGTCTACAATGGGGTGGGACCAAATATAGCTGGAACAATGCCCGAATCATAGCCCTATTCGTTCTCTTTGGAATATTTGGCTCCGCGTGGTGCATTATACAAGTCTGGCGACAGGACGAGGCAACAGTGCCGCCTCGCCTCCTCAAGAACCGAAATGTCCTCGGGGCGGTGATTCACGCTACATTCCTAGGTGGCTCGTTCTTTGTCTTTGGATACTACGTGAGTTCCGAGAACGATCCTTTCAATTCTCTCCCTGACATTTCTCCAAGCTCCCTATCTGGTTTCAGGCAGTCAAGGAAAATTCTGCCTCGGAGTCCGGATTCAACAACCTCCCGATGGTGGTGGCCATGATCGTTTGCTCCGCTCTAGGAGGGCTCCTTGTGAACATAGTTGGTTACTATACGCCACTCATGTTCGCTGGGAGTGCATTTCTGACGATCGGCGCTGGCCTGTGTACAACATTCAAAGTAGACAGCAGACACCCGCAGTGGATTGGGTACCAAGTGATCCTTGGGATTGGAGCAGGACTCGGTTTCCAGCAATGCATCAATGCACTTCAGACTGTACTGCCTCTACGGGATATACCTGTTGGAATTGCCATAATTACTTTCGCACAGAGTCTGAGTGGCGCAATGTTCATTTCGATTGCCCAGACCGTGTTCGAGAATGGTCTTGTGGCGAGTATTGCCATTAATGCCCCCATGGTCAATCCAGACGCGTTGATAAAGGCAGGAGCCACGAACTTGTCCCATCGTGTACCCGAAGATATGCTCTCCTCTGTGCTTCTAGCCTACAACGTCGCCGTTACCCAGACATTCTACGTGTCCGTTGTCGCCGCAATACTTTCTTTCGTCGGAGCAGGACTTGTTCAATGGAAGTCCATGAGAAAGCTACCGAAGGCTGGTTGCGAATACACAGATTAATGCACTGAATACAACAAGCTGCCAGCGCTCTAAGACCTCAGGTATTGGACGAGAGTAGATGTTCAACTATGTAATTGTCCACTATTACATGGATTTGTTCCCAGGAAATGCCACCTTGAATTGTTGCTAAGGCTGTTGCCGTGGTAGTAGCCGTTCATCATCAATCTCCCAGCATGCACCGATAGTACGTCCAGCCTGGGGGCCATCATTATGTAGCCATGAGCCACTGCTGGGCTTTGGCAATCAATCAGAGGCTCAGAGCATTGGAACTCCTTTGCTCTACTGCAACACATCCAGACACCCTGGCTTTGCTTTGGTAATAAGAAGATAGCGGTGTGCACGAGATGTATGTATTTTCCCCATGCCGAGAGAGTGCAGCAAGACTGGGGGCGCGGTGAAGGCTTCAAGTGATCATTCATCAAGGCGTTCGCGATGAGGACGAGTATATCGATATGACGTCATTGAGATCCTTGGCACCGCCCGACTTCGCCAGTTGGCAGGTCTACGCATATTTGCATATTTGCACTTTTGCACTATCTGAATCTGAACCGAAGAAAGGAAATGATCAACTAACAGCCCCTTGGGCAGCCCCTCGTGCTCAAAGACATGCTTATCCGGCCGAGGTTGCAACCTTGCAACCTTGCAACCATCTGTATGACCGCGGACTCTGGACCGTACCGAGCAGCCAGCGCATGATGATGGCCTCATAAGAATACACAGTTGGAAACTGACAGCGAAGCCATCGGCTCGGACATTCGAATGGAGAATTTACCTACGCCACCCGAATTTAGGGCTGACATTTGAGGGCAAAGCAGACGAAAAGCAAGGCTAAACCAGATTTCAAATGAGGCTTCCTCGGATAGTTAAAAGGGATATCGGATGTGCTTCGGTGAGTGCGATCGGGAGAAAGAGAAGGTCCAGACGTATAGATGCTGTCAATGTATGTTGTTTATGTAGCACAGAAAAAAGGCAACGCGTAACCAAACGCCTTTTCGAAAACGGTATTATAAGCTCATCCTCGCAAAGAAAACAGATAAGTGGACACGTTTGTGACTTGCAGCATCTGGGGTATATAAAGGGCCGGGTAAGTGTCAAGTGCTTGTAGATGGCAAGTCAACGAGGGAAGGCATTAGACGCTATGCCATGATTGATGATTTATTTGGGGGGTAGATGTGGTGTACAGGCGAACTCGGGTCGCATCTCCAACGACCTACGTTCTCGGTTTGGGCCAGCCATCGATGTCTCCGAACCAACGCGACCGATAGATCTCATCTCCCTTCATGATCTGGTGACGCACACCATCGACCACGAGACTCGTATGGTTCCCTCGGTACAGGTTCCATAGAGACTGGACGTATACGAAGCTTCCATCGGGAGCAAGGCTGAACCCCTTCAGGTCCGACTGCGGCAACTCCTCGTACTGTCCCTGACGATTGATCCCATGGCGATCGTTGGTGGTGACCTCGAACCCGCGCATGTACTTGTCAGTCACTTCTTCGTATGCGGCGGTGAATTGCATCGTCTTAATATCGAATGCATGGAGACCGATATCGTTCGAGACAAGGAAAGTCCGTTCGTTGGGGACCGGCACGAGATCATGCGGTCCAGACCACCAACTATATCCATGCCCCCATTCAGTATCGATATCGTAATACTCGGGGAATCGGAATCGATAGGCTTTATCCTCGCGGAGTTGGCCCGACACGGCATCAAACGGATATCCCTGGATCACCCCGTAGGCCGGGACGGGATCTGAGCCATCCGCGGCAGCATCGGTCCCCGTCGCCCACAGCACCTGGAGTTCCTCATCCCAGATCATAGCGTGAATAGCGCGCAGACCTTCAACCCTCTGCAACACTGGAGGTTCATCCACGAGGGGAAGAGCCGAACTCATGTTATAAACCAAGATTCCATCCCAGGGTCGCTGTCCGGTGGTGGCGACCGCGAGGCGATCACCGGGTAGGGGTTCGAGGGTGTGAGCGTTTCGCAAGTCATCGCTCTCTCTGCTGACGGCAAAGGTGATTTGTTTATCGGTGGAGGGATATTCGGGAGTGTGGTTGATGACGACGACGAGATTGCTGTAGATGGCACCGACACTCTTGCCGTCTCGCATCCACTTCATCTCCGTCGCGTCGTTGGCATTGCTGAAAAGACCGCTCTTAATCCGAGGAGGAAGCACCTGTGTCACATCCTCCCTCTGCCAACTCCATTTCACGACACCCTTCCTATCATGAATTTTCAGTATGGCAGGGACGCCATAGTGACCCGTGATAATATCCTGCCATGGCCCTGGTGCAGGAATTGGGATCTGACCGTCATCATTCCTGAGTCGCGGTTGAGGTTGAATCAGAGGGGGCTGAAAAGCTAGCGGCTCAAACAATAGCGCAAACCAACCAAAAACACCCGTTAACATGGTGATGGATAGGAGAAGAGACCCGAAACAGGAACGAGATTATTTTTAGCGATTCAAATCAATTTCCGGCGGAGCGGGGCGACTTTTCTTGGCTTTGGGGGCCTTGGAGAGGGGCCAAATGTTACCCCGAAAAAAAAAGGAAAAAAATGGGGAAAAAGAAAAGAAAAAAGGAAAAAAAGAAAGGGAAGATGAAGAAGAAGAAGAAGAAGATTGGTAGGGAAGTACCAAAGGAAACATATACGAAAAGAGAAAGTGAAAATTTCAAAATGTCAGACGTCGATGGCTTGAAAAGAAAGTGGGAAATTCTCCACTTTACTGAGAACGACTACTCCGTACGGGAGACCCTGTTGGATCTTTGGGGCTCAATTGATCTTCCCCCTGCCTCCCTTCTCCTTTCCTTCTAACATACTTTTTCCCTCTCCCTCATCTTTCTTTCATGGAGGGTCGAGAGTACACATATTTATCATGAAAGTTGTTCACGCCGTCCATGCTTATCTGAGCCACGGCATCCGACGTGTTCGCGTCTCTCCTGCTGAGACTCTGGATGCCGTGTGGGACTTTGGTCGTCGCTATTTTTTTACCCTTGCCTTTTTCTCCTTATTCATTGCCAAATTTTTGCATCTTTACGCTCATATATATTCTCTGCCACCTCCACGATTATTCCTATGGGGTCTCACTTTCTTTTTCCAAGATGTGATGCTTCTACTATTGTTCCGCATCCTCTGCCAAAGGGTCGCGTGGCGACCGGCAGCCGCCGTACTGGCGATTTTGGTTATCCCGTCTAGGTAAGTGTCCACGTGCCCCTATTATACCCCTAACGACCCCCTCAAAAAAAAAGAAAAGAAAAATAAAAAAAATAAAGAGGAAAGCATTGAAGACTCAAAATGATCTGAATACTAATAAAATATCACAGTTTGATAGTTTCTTTTATGGCAGCGGCCAATACCTCCTTCTATGTCTTCACCGGTGCCGAGATTCACTGGCGCCAAGCCAAGTCCTTCAACGGCGATGCTGCCGCCATCCATACCTTGCTCTCGGGTCTGACCGGATTTTTGATTGTCGAGGGTATCCTCTTGACGGTATCATTGTTCGCAGCTCATTCCGTTCATGCCATTACCGGAGGTATTTTACATGTGTGGGCATGGCCCTTCCGATGGGTGTTCGCGCGTGTGCGACCGCACGTGGAGCCCCTGACGCAGCGCTTCCGGCCCCGTCCCAAATCCCAGGCCCCCGATCTACCCGATCCACGAATCTACGAGGAGATTGCCATGGATGACAACGACGATGCCAGTGATCACGAGGAGGGAGATCACCTACTCAACACGGAATTGCCCAATCGACTCCCAGAGTCGAAGCGAGTGACTGACGGTGTTCCCCAACGGGCGCTGATTTTGGGACTGTTCAGCCTGTTCCTCTTCCTCCGGTTTTTGCGACCGTGGGACCCGGTCTATATGTATATGTCGACTTCGTTGCCCTTGAGCACAGTCATTGAGGGCGCTGAGCGCGTTTCCCCGGTCGATACTACCGGCACGCCGAGCTATTTTGATTATTTGGACAGCTTTACCGCATTGGCCCCAACAGTCCACTGGAAATGGATGGCGAAGGAGCCTATTGGAGGCTTCGAGGATTGGGATCAATCCAACCCCCAAGCCGTTCACTACAATCCCCAGGTGGATCCATTGCACATCTCGAATCTCAACAAGCCAGTTCTGGAGGAGATTCATAATGCCTTGGCTTCCGGCGATGTCAAGATCAAGCACGTCGTTTTCCTGAAACTCGAGAGTGCGCGTGCCGACATCTTCCCCTTGCAAAAAGACAGCTTCATGTACAAGCGTATTGCCGAAACTTGGGATGACAAGACGATTCCCCCCGAGGTTGAAGACCGCATTGCAAATCTCACCCGCACTGCGCAGCTTCTGACCAACTTCCCCACCGGCTTCGAGCACAATGATAACCGTTTCAATGGCCGCAAGGCTTACGGCGGCATCAGTGCCAAGGATGCCATCACCACTTCCACGTACACTCTCAAGAGTTTGACAGGCAGTTTCTGTGGTGTGACACCCTTGGTGGCTGATTTCAATCGTGAATTCGATCACCACATTTACCAACCGTGTCTGCCTCAGGTCTTCGACATGCTTAACCAACAGCCCGACATTACTAGCGAGAGTGATGATTTCACCAAGTGGCCATGGCACTCGACGTTCATGATGTCCGTTACCGAAATGTACGACAATCAGAACAAATTGACCCCTCACTTGGGATTCCGCGACAAGCAAACCAAAGAGACAATCACCAAACCCGAAGCGAAACATTATCCTGTCAAATCCGAGGAGGTCAACTACTATGGCTATGTTGAACAGGAGCTCCGCGAGTACATCCGGGACGCTTTCGACGACGCCGAACGTAATCATCAGCGTCTCCTCCTCACGCACCTCACGAGTACCACTCACCATCCGTGGGGAGTCCCGAACAATACCTACGATGAGATCATGGGTTCCACGTCTGGTGCGAACAACGACCTGAACCATTATCTGAACACGGTGGGGTATGTAGATGATTGGCTCTCAGAGCTTATCGACATTCTGGAGGAGAAGGGAGTTGCGAATGAGACTTTGTTCGTCATGGCAGGAGACCACGGTCTTTCCCTTCCCAATGACGGCGGTATCACTCCCTACGACAATCCCCATGTGGGCAGCTTCAAAGTTCCGATTGTGCTCGCACACCCTCAACTCCCCCCGTTCAGATCGATAGCCCGGTTATTAGCAGTCAGATCGTCCCCACCATCATCGACTTGTTGATCGAGTCGGCATCCTTGAGCACAGACAGCACGCGGGCCGCTCGTGACCTGCGCTCGCTCTACGAGGGACAATCCTTGATCCGACCCCAGGTCGTCAAGCAGGATCAGCGTGAGGCCTGGCATTTCACCGTCATGAACACTGGTGGTTCATGGCTCTCCGTTCGGTCGGCAGCCCGACCCGAATTCCGCCTGGTCATTCCTCTGGTCAACGACGTGGAATGGCGTTTCTCCGATGTGTCCAAGGACCCGAATGAGCTGAGCCCGATCGAGCGCTTCAGCCTCGTCGATCTAGCAGCGGCCATCAAAAAGGAGTATGATGAGGAAACCCTCAATTGGCTGTACAATGCAGCCTACGTCTCCAACTGGTGGGTGATGGATAACTGGGACCGGTGGGGATTCTCTCCCAAGAACAAGACTGCCGAGACGTAGGGAGCCACGACGGGCTTCTTATCTTGTTATATTTTATTCCATCTATCCTAATATTTTGCATGCCTCATCTACCAAGAGTCTGCTTGGGACGGGGGCACTCCAGGCTTGCGACCGTGCCGCCGTGGTGGGACCCGCCAGTATGGTGGCTGGTCCCCAGGACACGGATCGGGACTAAGCCGTGTGCAGCATCGCCTGCCACAGTGAAGCTTTGGGCTGATCTACACGATCAGCGTCAGTCTCGAGATTGAGGATATCCTCTGTCTCCCACGCGAACTTCCGACCGATCAATTCGGCGCGTCGCACGGAGTAGAAGCGATCTTTCTACATGTACTTGTTTATATATCCATCCTATTTAACGCGAACTTTTGTACCTGATCATATGTGGATGTCATTTTTCCATTCTATCGCAAATATGAGCATTGGTTCATTTGGTTCGATTCTTCAAACCGTATGCACGTGAACCGCTACACATATACCTATCCATTCAACTAGATTCAATAATAGAATGGGCAGTAACCAAACTTGAAAGCAGTTTTCTCGCCATATCTTGGGCCCTAGGTACCTACCCGTGCAAGATGAATCGGTGGTTCATGAGATAAGCTTGTAACCTTATCTCTATCCGGCGACCCCCTGATGGAACCTCGGAGGCATAAGGCTGAACCCCTGGCCGGTTGGGAACTTGGGGGTAGTTGTAGTTACCTAAATCTGAATACCACATACTATTTGCAGTCATGAATGATGATCATGATGATGAAATGCTGCTTTACTTAGTACTGTGTATATAGGTAGCACCAGCTGAGTGTCATGCAAGCGACGGGAGCATATAATGAGGATAAAGTTGATGGGCAGGGGCTGGATTGAATCCAGCCTGAGTGCCTGGGAACTTCCATAAATTTATCATATCCGGAAAAGATGGTCTCAACTGATGACGTGTTGCAAGGACCCAGTGGCCTAGGTACCTAGGTTTTCTTCACTTATCCCGCTAGTACTTCAGCATGGTCCCTCCATGGATCTTTGGTAATGTTGCGCGCTGAGCAGGATACCTGGGGCTACCTATTCGATGGAGACAATATGCAAGTACCTAGTCTTAATCTAGGTTGTACACTGTAGAACCCGGCAGAACCCGGGCAGGTCCCTACCGAAATTGAACGGAAGTTAACCAATGGATTCTGTCTCAATTAGGTATCTTGATAGGACATCGGTAAGCACGGGATACTCGAGATCCAGGGGCTTTCCACCAAGGTCGAATGGGATAACATTTTACGTTCGCCTGAAGGGCTCGGAAAACATTAGCGACACCCGCGGGCATGACCTCTATCCAAAATCCCAGTCTTATCATGACAGAGAAGTATGTATTTCTTTGAATCTCCATGCATCTCCCTACGCACTGGGCAGTGCCAATATGTGCGCAAGAAATTGAAAGCTCCGTTGCTCCATGACTCCACCTCCGCATTTCCCCCGCACTCCGGGACTCTGAGAGATTTCTCTTCACATTCACTCCAATCTCTCGGTTGAAAACCCTCGACAAGATGGATTCTCAGGGGATCAAGCGAATTCGACAGGCTTGTGCGAATTGCAGGTAAGAATTTCTCTGATCTTCTTCAGTCCGACCTTGGCTAAATCCAGACTTCTCCAATACATCAGGCGAAAGAAAACAAAATGCACAGGCGACCGTCCCATTTGCTCCCACTGTCGTCGCAATCGTCTTGCCTGTATTTACGAACCGTATTCGTCGACAGTCGCGGAGTCAACGGTCAACCCGGTCCCAGTGGCCCCCATGGCGAATAATATGAATGTGGGTTCCGACCTCATTTCAGAAGCTGTTTTCAATCTCGTCGATGTTAAATTTCGAGTCTACAACAATTTAGGTGGATCTACTTCAAAGAATTAGCACAATTGAGTCCCGCTTGGCAGAGCTCAGTGGGCAATCCGCGCATCAGAACGAGTACGGCCTTCCATCTACTGGGTATGGTATTGCAAACTGACGCATATCTGGACGTCCAGGGATCTCACACCTCATCTCACGGTCACTCGAAGCCAATTGGCGCACGCACGACAATTGCCACCAACCACATTCCAAGAAAATGCGTATGTTTTCTCCCCCTGATTCGAGGAAACAGCCTCCGTTCTCCCTACAGACATACACATATGAAGCCCCTCGGTCGCTGATATTGCGTGATTGTGGAACAGTTCTCTTTCTCTCCTACCCTCATCGATTCTCAACTCCGTCATTGACACGTATTTCGAACGCGTCCACAACCAACCGTATTCTTATTTCCTGGAGTCTTCGTTTCGTCAGAAGCTCGAGAGCAGTTCTTTGCCACAATGCCTTATTCTAGCCGTGCTAGCATCGGCAGTACGATTTTCCAATCACGAATTCTACGCAGGCCGAACTCAGGAGGCATCGCAGCAGTATGCCAGAGAATCATGGCTGTCGGTTCTCGCAGATCACTTGACCGTGGAGGATAATTTGAATGTCCATGTTGTGCAGACGGTCAATTTACTGGCGGTGGTGGATTATACAGGTACGATACCCCTTGAGGTCTTTCTTTGTTGTCCGACTGACATATTTCACAGCCGGTCGCGTCCGGTCAGGATGGCTCAAAATCGGCCTGGCTGCCCGAATCTCGCAAGATTTACATTTGATGTCAGAGCCTAGTCAGTGGCTGTCCTGTTCAGAGCAAGAGGAGCATCGCAGGGCCTTTTGGTCCATATACCTAGTGGACAAATTGATCTCCTGCGGTCGGTCGCGACCCCTGGTCATCCTCGACGAAGATTGCGAGGTTCAACTGCCATGCGACGAACGCAGCTTTCAAAATGGAGAATGGCGCAAAACAAGCACTATCGGTCAGCTTCTAAACTGGAATTCAAAGTTGACGGAGAGTCCAAGTCCGTTTGCTCTCGTCGTTTTGATGGCGTCCATATTTGGCCGATGCACGCGATACGTACATCAAAACAGGAAAATGGACGAGATGCCACCGTGGGATCCGAAATCGGAATTCTCCGCTATCAACTCCTCGTTATTGCTCTTAGAGTCATATTCTAAGAGTGGGAACTGGCAGCTGTCAGATATCCTCCATGGCAGCGTCCAGGCCGAAGGCACTGTTGATCGACAAGAGATTGGACATGTGATTTTCGCTCATACCCTTTTCCACCTCTGCCACTGTCTACTGAATCATCCATTTCTCGTGCGACGATGGCTGAAACCGTTTGGGGCCAAAGCTCCCGCTAGTTTCTCTTCTCGAGCCCTTCAAGATGGGTGCGATCATGCAAAACAGCTGATGGACCTCCTGCGGGAGGCAACCGAGTATGGATATCTTGTAGAGTCTTCCTTCTATGCCTACTGCATCGCTGTAGCTGGGGGAATCCATTCGCTGGCTTCACATTTTGATCGGAGCAAGGCACGGGACTCGGACAGTCTACACTATCTGCAACAGAGCATAGAAGCTCTAGAGAGATTAGCAAACCTATGGGTACATGCAGGGAATATAGTAGGTTGACTCCGGTTCTTGATGTCCATGATCTACTAAACAAACATATATCTTTAGGCCGCTCAGCTGCGAGAATTCCATTCTATCTCACATAGTTTTGCTGATCTTCTCGACCCAGGCCACCTGATGGATGAGCTTGATTTTGGCTCGGAGGAGACTATGTGGTCAATGATAGACTATGCTATTATGGGCACCGATCCCAGCAAAAGGCCACTCTCACCCAAGCCTAACGCCCATTTATCTTCCACGGCTTGGGGGGTTCTCGAGCCTGGAATGATGGGACCCGCGTTCGACAGTCCCAGTGCTAATTTTCTCGGTCTCACGCCCCCAATGCAACTCGAAGGGGTTGAACAGTTTTTGAATTGCAGCCCAGGAGCGAGTAATCTGATTTAACCAGAAATTGTCGAGTTCTTAAGCTCCTCGGACACTCGGACAGTTGATCTTCACGAGTTCGGTCCGCTCGGCCCGACAGCTCCCTTCGTCCATTTCATCTGAGCCAAAAGGAATGATTCATGCTGTTTATCGAAAGGATAAACTGCGGGGAAATTAAACCCATTGGTACACAGCATGGCTCACCAACATCAAGCGTCACCCTGGGAGGGTGTTGCCTCTGGCACGACGGCAGCCATTCTGGCCAACACAATTGTTTACCCTCTGGATGTGTACGAGGATAATCCCTGACATTCTTCTTGCATGAATAGTCTCTGAATCTAAAGATTTCCAGTGTCAAAACCAGGTTACAAGTTCAAGTCCAACCACCGAAGCCGCCAGAGACGACCGGTTCTCCAGAAACCCAAGCTCATTATGACAATGCCGTCGATGCCATCCGTCACATCCTCCGCGAGGAGGGCATTTCCGGCCTCTACAGCGGGCTGGGTAGTTCTATTCTCAGCACGGCCTCGATGAATTTCGCCTATTTCTATTGGTCAACGGCAGCCCGAAGCATCCAACAATCCACCTTTCAAAGATATGGAATCGCCGACACAAATAGTATCAGTAAGGAACTGGGACTGGGGGCAGTAGGTGGGGCGATGGCTCAGTTATGCACAAATCCCATTGCTGTGATATCTACGCGGCAGCAAACCTGCAAAGCAGGTGACGAGAGGAAGTCTATGTGGGAGACAATGAAAGAAATCTGCCAAAGTGAGGATGGCTGGACTGGACTTTGGAGAGGTTTCAAGGTCAACTTGATCCTTGTGATCAATCCCATGATTACCTATGGTGTCTATCAGTGGCTGAGAGGGGGGTTATTGACCCTGAAGCGGGGGAAAGCTATCGGATCTGGTGATGCTTTCTGTACGTTGTTGGCTTTCCTTGCATGTTGTCGTCTGCATCTGCTGATTCCATCGGGGAAAATAGTACTCGGTGCTGTATCGAAAGTGTTAGCCACCTTCACCACACATCCACTCATTGTCGCAAAGACAATGTTGCAATCCAAGCCCCCCGATTGTCGCCAGGGCAAGCCTTTCTTGGGCTTTACCGAGGTTCTACTGTATATTGTCCAAAACGAAGGGTTTTTGCGACTATACAAGGGATTGGCACCACAGATCATCAAGGGATTCTTGGTTCAGGGATTGATGATGGCACTGAAAGAACGGTATGTCCCATCGGTATTCTGATACCCCGACGTCTGAAGACTAATCCAATCATGTAGAACCGAATCCTTGCTCAGGAAAGCGATATTGCTAAATGGGAAACGACTGCCGCGTCCCTCAACGTTGAAGTGAACGACCGTAGGATCAGACAAAGATCTGTGCCAGAACGGCCTTAAGAGAAAAGAACTTCATAGTACTCCTGGTTTGATGTTGGTAATCTTCACATTCCCTAACTACTGGTTGCTTGGGATCTGCTGTTTTGATCGTACCAACACTGATAAAGGACATTGAATGCCTTTACGCCATGAATTTGGATCGACGTAAGAGTCACAAACTGGTCTCATCCAACTTCCTCGCCCATTCCAGGCACTTAGGCGGTGTAGCCAATCTATTACAGCTATGTTGTAACTGTATGCGACGCAAGTCGAGGTGAGAGATGTCCACGACAACCAGATAGGAAAATATTTGTGATGTCACACTCACACCATAATAGGATTTCCAATCAACGACGATCTTCGCAACTTCCTCGGTCCTACTGTCGAATGTTGTTCTCTACTTACGATGTCTTAGTCCGACGATGCTCAGTTCGGTCCGGGGTTGGACTGTCGCGGTCCGGCCCCAGGATCAGGGCCACCTTCGGTGCACATCGATCCACATTATACCGCTTTTGTACTAAAACCCCCACAGTTGGGCTTGATTCTGGAATACTCAATGTCTCATTGGTTGGGGATCTGAACATTCGGATCCACAGTATTGTATGTCCGGGCATGATTCACTCCACCCGGTCCGGGGTTCAGAACAAGATATAGAAATCGCCCTGGGTGTCTTATACTATCTTCTAGACTTGACAGCAAATTTCAATCCTCCCGGCCCTTCCAAGGTTCTAACTGAAGTCATGTCTTCCGTTTCTACAATTCCGTTCGCCGATCCTCTCTGGCTGAACCGCAGTCTGAGTGCATATTACAACGACTCCCACCGACGACTCCAAAAAGAGGCCCGGGAGTATGTCGATACCTATATCGCCCCCTTCTGTGAAGAGTGGGAAAAGCAGGGTTTTGTCCCACAAGAGGCGAGCACACCGGCAACGAAAAGAGAAGCAATCCCAGCTAACGCCTTTTCTGTAAAACAGGTTCACAAGCGCCATGCAGAACTCGGATACACAGCTGTGAGCTCTTTCCCGCTCGCTGCAGACTATCTGGATGGCCAGAGACTTCCCGGTGATATTGATCCACGAGACTGGGACGGATTCCATGACATAGTGGTCATCGATGAAATAGCCCGTTGCGGATATTTGGGCGTCATCTGGGCGTTGGGATGCGGTAACTCAATTGGTGGACCGCCAGTGATCAACTTTGGCAATGAGGAACAGAAGAGAAGATTTCTCCCCGATATGCTGAAGGGAAATATCAGATTCTGTCTGGGAGTCACGGAACCCGACGGTATGTTTTCCAGGTCATTTGAATAGGACATTCCCACTGATCAGGACATACAGCTGGGTCTGATGTGGCTGGACTGACCACCACAGCGAAGAGAAAGGGGGACGTCTACATCGTCAATGGAGCAAAGAAATGGATCACCAATGGCATCTTCGCGGATTACTGCACCGCGGCCGTGAGAACAGGTGGAGAGGGCACCCAAGGCATCTCGGCTCTGGTCATTCCGCTGAAGGCACCAGGGGTGACTTGCAAGAAACTTGACAACTCCGGTGTCCATGCGAGTGGCTCAACGTACATTGAATTCGACGAAGTGGAAGTGCCTGTGGCCAATCTTCTTGGCGTGGAAAATAAGGGATTCCCTGTGATCATGAACAGTATGTGCCCCCATCTATTGACAGTGGCATATAACTAATTCTGAACGCAGATTTCAACCACGAGCGCCTCTGGCTTGCGTGCACTTCACTGCGGATGGCGCGTGTCTGTGCTGAAGATGCCTATCAGCATGCCATCAAGCGCGAGACGTTCGGCAAGAAGCTCATCGAGAATCAAGTGATTCGGGCCAAGTTTAGCGCCATGGCTCGCAGTCTTGATGCCACATATGCGTGGATGGAACAATTGGTCTACATCTCCGAAACGGCAAAAGAACAGGGCGTTGATGCTTCCATGGGAGGTCTCTTTGCCAACTTGAAGGTTCAGGCAGGTCAAACACTGGAGAAGGTCAACAGGGAGGCACAGCAGGTTATGGGTGGACTTGGCTACTCAAAGAACGGCCGTGGGGCGAGGATCGAGCAGGTCAGTCGCGATGTGCGAGTGATGGTGGTGGGTGGTGGGAGTGAGGAGATTCTTTCGGAGTTGGCTGTCAACCAGGAGATTAAGAGTATGAAGAAGAGCAAGCTGTAGATCAAAGCATGTACTTAGCCAGGGAGGCTTATACCTGTTTCACTGTTCATGGAACTTCACCTTTGGAAATGCATCCCACGCATTGAAAGGATGGCATATGACCAAAGACAGCTTGTCTCCAAAAGGTCCAAAAGGGCCCAGGCGATAGATGCGTAGATACTACAATTTCATGCATCCAGCGCAATTCACCAAGTCAAAATCAGATCATGTAGGATTCTATGATATTCTAAACAATTGAACAAAGAATCTTTCCCTCTTCCACTGCATCTCCCGTCTTCCATTCCGTTTGAAACTTCCCTGTAGCCGCTACAGAGATATTCACCTCCATCTTCATACTTTCAATGACCATCACGGAGTCACCGGAATTGACTTCATCTCCGTTGTTCTTCAAAATCGAGAGAACTTTGCACGGCATCGGTGCCGAGACAGTTTTCTGCTCTGTGCCCTTATTAGCCTTGGTAGTTGACCGTTTGCTTTCTGTGAATGAAAGCAAAGTGTCGCGATGGAACTCGACATGAGTGCCAATGACAGGGAAATGGCAATATATTCGCTGGCCGTGATCAACTTGTCCCGCCAAGTTATGAGCTCGAGTTGAAGGAATGGCTACGTGAGCCATGATCTTTGACCCATTGACTGAGATCTCAATGGTCGAAGCAAGCCAGGATTCTGGTACAGCGGGACTTCCTTCCGCGGGGCGCCATGAGTCGATCCGGACTGCAAACGGTAGAGAAGATGTCACTTGTCCAGTTCTCAGGGCCTGGCTGATTTCATTATACTGAGCGGAGATCTCAGCGGCGGCTGAGATTTCTTCGTCCTGAGAGAATTGCCGAGGTGGAACCGGGAAAAGATATGCTTCCTCGTTGCTGTTTGGCTCTCCTGCCCTCTTCGCCTTCCAAATGCACATCGTATGTTGCTCTGGACCGTGGTCTGATCCATGACCAGCTCGGTTAGGCCAACTCTTTGTAGTGATAATGTCACAGTGGATGTTGACTGGATCAAATCTTTGGTTCCGGAACTGCGAGCGGACATTGCGGAGAGGTTTAGAGCGCGAAAAGGACGTGGCATAATCTGGGAGCTTTCGAATCACCAAGCTTGGAATAATTGATACAATCTTCTCGAAGTCGGGCATGCTCTTGACTGAAGGATTCTGGAGAAGCTCGTCCAAATGGGAGGGAATAAACGAGGTCGTATATGCGGGATCACGGAATGCTGAGTTCAATAAACAAGATTGCATGAACAGCTGATTAGTCCTAACGCCAACACAAGCAGTGTGCGCTAGAACCTTAACCATCTTCTCAATCGCGAGTGACCTTGTTGGTGCCCAAACCACAAGCTTGGCGATCATTGAGTCGAAATAGATAGAGACTGACGATCCAGCTTGGATGGCTGTTTCATAGCGAATGTCTCGGCTAGGGGCTAAGGCACCAGTTGCTGGTAACCAGAGGTGGACTTTGCCGTGCTCTGGGAAGAAGTCCCTCTCGGGGCTCTCGGCACACAGACGGCACTCAATGGCATGTCCATCTTGGGTAATATTCTGCAACTGAGGGAGGTTTTTCAAGTCTCCGCCGGCGGCAATAAAGAGCTGTAGAGCCACCAGATCGACTCCAGTAACTTCTTCGGTAATGGGGTGCTCAACCTGTAGCCGTGCGTTGACTTCAAGGAAGTAAAATCGATTTGTTTTGATATCGACAACAAACTCGACTGTGCCAGCATTCTCATATCCAATGAGTTCTGCTACTCGCACTGCTGTTGCACTCATTTGTTGGCGTGTCTCCTCGGTGATGAAAGGACAAGGGGTCTCCTCAATGACCTTCTGGTGCCTCCGCTGCACCGAGCAATCCCGATCCAGAAAAGAGACGACATGACCATGCGAGTCTCCCATAATCTGAATCTCCACGTGCTTGCTGCTCTCAATAAACTTCTCCAAAATACAATCGTCAGATCCAAATGATCTGAGAGCTTCGGATTGAGCGCGCGCCAGTTCATCCTTGAGTTGACTGGCTTCGCGGACAATACGCATTCCCTTTCCACCACCCCCCGCAGAAGCCTTAAGCATGACTGGGAAACCGATTTCTCCTGCGATCTTGCTCAAAGTCTCAGCATCTTGGCTTGATCCCGAAAACCCCGGAATCAACGGAACATCAGGTGCATGAGCACTCAGGTAATCTTTTGATGATCGCTTGTCGCCAAGTGTGGACATGGCACTGGGGGTAGGCCCAATGAAGATGAGCCCTGCATCACGAACGCGCTGAGCAAAGTCTGCGTTTTCACTTAGGTACCCGTAGCCAGGATGGACGGCGTCGGACCCGGTTGTGACCGCTGTTTTTACCAGCAGGTCGATATCAAGGAACGGGTTGCGACTACTGCGGTCAATGCTTCCAATATTGATGGCTTCATCTGCATCCCGAACATGACGAGAAGAGGCATCTCTAGACATAGCGGTTAGTCACAATGTATCCTCCAAATTGAGGCAACTGGCCACGTACTCGTCAACATAGACCGCCACAGATCCAATGTTCAATTTGCGGCACGTCTGGATAATGCGGCAAGCAATTTCGCCCCGATTTGCGACCAGGACTTTCCGAATTACTGGCCTGCCATCTTTGCCAAGTGGCTGCTCGGCGACAAACAGTGGCTTGCGCACAACTGAAGCATCATTTAAAGGATGGGTGAAAGCCATGGTGTAGGCCTGGATGTCACAGTATGTCAAGGGTCTGTATGCAGAGCGATGCAGGTCATGAACATAAGAAATATCCAAGTCATCCAACTCCTTTGGAATAGTTCTGCAGTGGAGCTCCCGAGCTCTGGTCCGGTTGCTCCACCGCGTCGGTCCGGGGTCCGGAGATCTGGGGCAGACCGGGACCCGAACGCGTCGGACCGGTCATTTTGACCAAGATGGAGTAGATGGAAAAGAGGATGGCTAAGAGAGAGGTGAATCAGGATGGGCCTGCAGGGTACGGCAGGGCTGGTCTTTCCATTGCCCCGCTGGCTGAGCGGACAAGAGAAAAGGAGAAACAGTGGGTGGGAGGCCACGAAAGACGATCTTCAGGCATTAATATTAGGCACCAGTATTAAGGCAGAAATCCAAATGTTAAGGCATAAAACCTTCCTAATTTGGATTCAAGAGACTCGTGCTAGATTTCTGGGTTAGTCTTATTAGACGATTGATTCACTTCTCCTCCTCACTATACCTGAAAGCATACAGTCGTCATAGACACTCAATGAAGATCTACTACGGAGGGAACTGCCAGAGCTATCTCTCGGCCATACATTCATAGAGTATACTCCGAACAGAACACCGGATACCTCCAAATTCCAACTATCAATCTACATCAAATGCGTGCCAGCAGGTTGTGTGTCTTTGTCCCCGTTACTGCTTGTTGCGACACCACCTCCAAGCATAACCCCAGCACATCACGCGTGTCTCGCGGATCGATGATTCCATCATCTATCAACATTGAGCTTGTCGAATAACACTCTGCATCTGCTTGGGCTCTTTCCCTAAAGCTGTTTACCTGCGTTCTGAGCTTCTCCGGTGAGAGAGTCTGTCCTTTGGACTTGGCACTGGCTATTTGCACATTTTCCATGACGCCCGCCAATTGATCCGGTCCCATCACACTGCAACGGCCAGTGGGCCAAGAGAACAAGAACCGAGGACTGTATGCTCTGCCACACATAGCATAGTTGCCAGCTCCATAGGAAGCACCAAGTATAATCGAGATGTGAGGCACCGTCGAGCAACTCACCGCCGAGACCAGTTGGGCACCCATCTTGATGATGCCGGCATGCTCGGCTTTAGCACCGACCATGAAACCAGTCACATTGTGAAGGAAAATGATGGGGGTATTTCTGGATTCGTCAGTTTGCCATTTGCCCAGGAGGCTCTTTCCAGAACTTACTGCTGGTTGCACATGCGAATGAACTGCGTGGTCTTTGCCGCTTCATTGGGGTTGATAACGGAGAGCTGGTTGGCGACAATTCCCACGGGAAAACCTGCACAATATGAGTTAATAATCCCATTGCTCTCTTTCAGTTTCAGCTTTATTCGTCTTACCCATGATATGAGCCGACGCCGTGATCATATTTGGTCCATATTTCGGTTTGAAGACGGAGAGACGGGAGTCATCCACGATACGCAGCAGGACTTCATTCATGTCGAATGGCTTGCGGATATCCGGGTTTACAATTGAAATAACATCCTCGATAGGATATTTCGGTTCCGCAGATTCAATCAATCCAGGCACTGAAGGAGTTCGTGCTTGAAGCGTGGATACCCATTCTCGTGCTTTGCGGATAGCGTCAAACCTGCCACCTCCGCCGATCAGTATCAAACCAAGAAGAGAAAGAGAGTTCCCAGACTACCGTACTCATCAGATGCGATTTGGTCCGCCAACCCTGTTGTCACTGCATGAACTTTGGCACCGCCCAGTTCTTCCGCGCCAATGATTTCGCCGGTGGCCATCTTCACTAGTGGAGGTCCACCGAGGAAGGCCTGAGCCTGGTTCTCGACAAAGATAGTGTAGTCCGACAGTGCTGGGTGGTATGCACCCCCTGCTGTCGAAGACCCAAACACAATGGCACATGATGGCTTTCCATGTCGTGTGCGAAGAGCCAGGTCGCGGAATAATTGGCCTCCTTTGTGGAAGACTCGGAATTGTTGAGGAAGGAAAACACCAGCCTATTCAAGTCAGATTATATCTATTTCTTCATTGGACTGAGGGAACCTTACAGATTGAACCAACGACACCAGTGGAAGATCGTTTTCAAATGCGATTTCCATCATGCGGTTGACTTTCAGCACTGGTCGTTTTTAGCACATGTCGCTGGATGTGGGCTTCCAAGGTTCTTACCGGTCATTTCATTCCATGCACCTCCACTTTGAGTGGGAATATGAGACATCAGGAGGCATACTCGTCCACTGTATATGGTTCAGCCAGAAGTCCGGTGGGAAAGAAGGAGAAGTGTTTTCTACCAAATATTGCCAATTCCTGCAATCAAATTTCCGCAGGGGGTGGAGTTCTCGTTATTAAATCCAGTAAAAGCTCCGAGTTCCAAGAATGGTGAATCTTGGTCTAACAAAAGTGCGACACGATCCCTTGCTATCTCGGTGGTTATTCATGGCCCAAGTATAGGTAGCGAACTGGAGAGACTCACGGAGCAATTGCCCCCGGCTTTGATGTCTTCGCAGGGAAACATTATTTCCTTCTGCAGAAACCTCCCTAAGGGCTTCCTCAAAGCGGTCCAATACAAGCTTCCAACTTTCTTTGTTTGTTTGAAACTGTTCACCCCGAAGGTCGATGTTGGTATTCACCACCGGAAAAGAAGAGTCGGTCGCCATTGTGCAGAAAGTAATACTTTCAGACTCGATTATGGTGTTTCAAAAGTTCAGGTTGAGGTCTCAAATTCTTTTTCCAGGGTGTAAGGGAATAAATCCCCCACACAAGATCATATCGGCCCCAGTTTTGAAGATTACCCGGGGTGGAGGCTGGTCGGTCCGAATCCCGGGAGCGACGGTGCGGACAAAAGAGCTACTCACAGGAAATAGCGGGGAATATTGTCTTGGCCGTTACTGTTAAGATGTATAAGCATCTGAGATCAATTACGAGCGTGGACATTGCTCGAAACCATATTGTTCAACCTCCAATCTACAACCCTCTTCAACCGCGCAGTATCCTTTCCGTCGGTCTGCCATGGATTTCAACCTTGCACTCGTCTGTGGTCCCAAAGAGCCCCAACTATGGCTGAAACGAATGGGCGCTTTGATTGATGACCGGGCTGTCCAGTCTGGGGATCGCACTGCTGTTGTGTTCCCATGGCAGTCCGTCCGCCTCTCATACAGTCAACTGGCAGATCGAAGCAAGATCATGGCCAAAGCAATGTTGAAGATGGGCTTGCAGCATGGCGACTGTGTGGGTATCATGGCAGGGAACTGCTATCAATATATTGAAGTATTCCTGGGTGGTGCGCGCATCGGATGCCCTGTTGTTGTGCTGAACAATACATACACTCCCGCAGAGCTGGAAAATGCAGTCTCCAGAAGCTGTAAGTTAGCGAGTATTTCTTATTATCCGTGGTCTCTGGTAGTCAATAGCTTACAGTCCAAAAGCCTGTAAGCTCATATTCCATGCTACCAACATTGGATCTCGAAATCTCCACGGTCATATCGAGGCTCTTCGCGGACGACATTACCCGAATCCGGCCCTCCCTGATCTTCGCCGTATTGTCTCTCTCGGACTAGAAACATTTCAAGATGGCGGTATAGAAGTTCAATTATATAACGCATTCACGTCCAATGGCCTGTCTGAGTCAGAGAACAATTCCTCCTTGGAACAAGCGGAAAGTCGAGTCATTCCTGAGGATGTGGTGAACCTGCAATTTACTTCTGGTAAGGAGTTCAGACTGAGACCGAATGCAACTGTTCGGGACTGATTTGGCTCTGTAGGGACCACTGGCTCACCCAAGGCTGCAATGCTTACACATACGTGAGTCTTCCATGCTTCTAATCCTTCTGCCTATACACCGACTCCAGATCAGATTCTTACCACAGACGATACAGCAATCTGATCAACAATGCCCAATTCGTCGGCAGAGCAATGCGACTCACTCCCGAAGACGTTGTTTGTTGCCCGCCGCCCATGTTTCATTGCTTCGGACTTGTCATGGGTTTCCTCGCCTCATACTTCCACGGCAGCTCGATCGTCTTCCCGTCCGATTACTTTAATGTGGATAAGGTCGTTGATGCCATCCTCAAGGAGGATGCCACTGTCCTCCTCGGCGTTCCAACCATGTATATGGCCGGATTGGAAGTCATGGCAAAGACGGGACAAAGACCCCGTCGACTGCGTACGGGACTCGCTTCTGGCTCGCCGGTTTCGCAAGATCTCATGAACCAGATACGAACGACAATGGGAGTGGAAAAGATGCTTATCGCATATGGCATGACTGAGACCAGTCCAGTGAGTTTCATCACTTCATTGGATGATTGTGATCAGAAGGGGACCACAACAGTAGGTCGCGTTTTGCCCCATGCAGCCGCCAAAGTTATCGACGCTGTAGGTAATATTGTCCCTCGAGGTCAGCGAGGCGAACTGTGCACCAGTGGCTTCCTGTTGCAGAAGGGATACTGGAGGAATGAAGAGAAAACCAAAGAAGTGATGAGAAAAGACGAAAATGGTGTTTTGTGGATGCACACCGGCGATGAAGCCATGATTGACGCCGAAGGATATGCACACATCACGGGCCGAATCAAGGATCTCATCATTCGAGGTATGTCAATATCCTCTGGTATTCTCTTCGCTTACTTACATTCGCATTCAAATAGGTGGAGAGAACATCTTTCCCCGGGAAATTGAGGAAAGGCTGATGACCCATGCTTCTATCTTTGAAGCCAGCGTAGTCGGAATAAAAGACGAGCGATATGGCGAGGTTGTTGGGTGTTTCTTGAAGCTATCTGAAGGGTGTCAAAGACCTACAGAGCAAGAAATCATGCAATTTGTTAGCGAGAAATTAGGTCGGCATAAAGCCCCCAAACACATCTTTTGGCTTGGAGATGCTGGCGTGGGTGAGGAGTTCCCCAAGACTGGCAGTGGCAAGCATCAGAAACATGTCATGAGGGATATTGGCAATCGGTTGGTGGGAATGGCACCGGTCAAGGCCAGGCTGTAGTACTTTAGAAGGAAATAGTTACATTGGAAGACGTTCTGAGCTTCGTTCTGAGCAGAATGGAATCAATGGATCATGGATGTCCATGTCGGATGGTTTGAGTCAGCTGCTGCCTTGCTGCCTTGCTGCCTAGTGGCAGCCTTGTTAATGAGGCTCCTTAACTTTTTTCACCCTCAAGCAGATCAGAATAGATTCCCCTAATGATCTGTCAGCGATTGGCCGATTGCTTGCTCGGTTGGCTTCGGTCCTTCGGACGATAGTTCATTCGGTTCGATTCCGAAAGGGATTGACTAGGCGCCAACCTGCGTAGACGGTCGATCCTGGTCGTCTCGGTCCGAGGCTCGGACAGCTCAACTCCCCCTCGATGTCTGGGCAAGATCCGGTCCGGTTGAGACCGTCAAAGATACTCACTTGATGAGATCCCCGGAAATTCGCCTGAAAGGATGTCTCATTGGAAGGGTATCCGCTTGACACGTTTGCCAACAATTAAATACGCGACACCTAAGCAGCGCGACAGCAACGGGGCACGTCGATTTAGGCAGACTACTCTAAGGCTACTGCAGGGAGAATCTTCACACCAGACGAAACCAAATCAGTACAACTTCGGAGAGCCTCGACAAATCTCGCGCACATCTCAACCCTTTATAATGCATCCTGCAGTTCGAATCGTGGAAGTTGGCCCACGGGATGGACTTCAAAACATCAAAGGCGCAATCCCCACCTCAGTCAAGCTGGAGTTGATACGCCGACTCAAGCAGACTGGACTGCGCACAGTGGAACTGACTTCTGTCGTCTCACCCCGGGCAGTTCCTCAATTAGCAGATTGTCGCGACCTTCTTCGTGACCCAAGCGCCAAGACACTGTTGCAAGACTCGCAATCTCGTCATCCTGTGTTGGTGCCCAATCTCAAAGGGCTCGAAATTGCCATTCAACATAATGTCCGAGAGATTGCTGTCTTTATCAGCGCCACGGAAGGGTTCAGTAAGGCGAACATTAACTGTACGGTGGCGCAGGGCATTGAACGGGCGACTCAGGTGATAATTGCTGCTACAAATGCCGGACTCGCTGTGAGAGGGTGGGTCGATCCTGTTCATTCCCTTTGCAACTGCGGGTAGTTTTCTGACATAGTCAACAGATATGTCTCTTGTATTTTCGCAGATCCATATGACGGTCCAACTCCATTGCCAGCAGTACTTCGCTGCGTCACAGCCCTTTTGAGCGCCGGCTGCTACGAAGTCAGTCTCGGGGACACGTTGGGCGTTGGATCTCCTGCCAATGTGCGAGAGTTGTTCCAATATCTCGCGAACAACGGTATTCCAGCAGGCAAGCTAGCAGGCCACTTCCATGATACCTACGGCCAAGCCGTAGCAAATGTTTGGGAGGCCTTCAATTGTGGAATCCAAGTTTTTGACAGTAGCGTGGCTGGACTTGGTGGCTGTCCCTTTGCACCAGGTGCCAGGGGAAATGTCGCATCCGAAGACCTCGTGTACATGTTCCAGAACGCCGGAATCGAGACAGGTGTTGATCTTGTGAAGCTGGTTGAGACTGGAGCCTGGATATCGAGTCAACTGTCAAGGACCAACTCCAGCCGAGCTGGAACGGCACTAGCAACCAGAGCGCGACTTGCCACGCGTACGAGTCCTGAAAAGACTGATTCGAAAACCATCTCTCTTCTCACATGGAAGCTCGTCTCGGAAACGGACGGGCTGCAGATCTACCGGTCTGGCGTAAATCTGAAGATCGTCTTAAACAGACCAAAGAACGGGAACACTCTCACGGCCATCATGATCGCCAATCTGACTCGAGTAATATCAGAGGCTAACACCGACCCATCAACCTCACGTATCATCATCACCGCTAACGGCAAGTTCTTCTGCACGGGAATGGACCTAGGCAAAGGCAGCACTGCAGTTGGCGAGGGCGGATCTACCAGCGACAACCAGTTCATCGGTCTTACAAGACTCTTCGAGGTGATCGACCAATCTCCTAAGGTAACCATTGCAGCAGTCAATGGGCCCGCTTTTGGAGGCGGGGTGGGATTGGCGTTCTCTTGCGACATTCGACTGTTCACACAGAACGCAAACCTGACGCTGAGCGAGGTGAAGCTAGGACTGTGCGCGGCAACGATTTCCAGATATGTGATTCGTGAATGGGGGCTTGCATTCACTCGCGAGGCTATGCTCTCAGCTCGTGCTGTCACACCGCATGAGCTGAAGGCGATTGGAGTCGTTGCTGGTATCGTTGACGACCAAGAACATCTGCGCATTAGTCTAGATGAGCTTCTGATCCAGCTTAAGACTGCTTCTCCTAATGCTTCGAGGATGTCAAAGGAGCTGGTGAGACTCGCTTGGGCTCATGGCGGCGAAGAGAGGCAAGCATCTGGAATAAAGAGTATTTTCGAGGAGATGATGCGGTCAGATGCCGATGGAGCTCATGGGGTGAAGGAATTCCAGGCTAAGAGGAAGGTAGATTGGGATGCCTATGTTCAACAACAAGGAAAGGCCAAGCTATGAGGACGCCAGAACTGGTAGGTAATTATTTTTGATAGAGTGGAGCTCTTCACGCTCAATGAAGTCTTGTGAAAAGAATTTGTGGACATTAAAGTAAAGCGCCGCCAATGACCAAACGTACAACTTTCCAAATTAATATGTACACAGGGACTCGACATGGAGATCCAAAAGTAGCAAACAGGAAGAGGAGAAGCAAGATCCAAGCCAGTACTGAATTCCGCCACGCCGATTAAATGCTGTAGGATTGATCCAAAAAAAAGGCCCCTGGCGTACCAAGGCCGTCGCAAGGAAGACCCGATGAGAGTCCCATTGCTCATGTCTCATTGCTTCGTGCAAACAAAAGAGAAAAGGGGGGAAATTAACAAAGGAGAATCGTGGGAACGCCATCCACATACAATGCGGAAGCCTCCAGAAACAAGGGATATCCAACTCAAACTCATGAACACGAATCAAAAATGCAAGCATTAGATGACGACCACATCACCCTCCGCGTCCGCGGGGTCAGAGACCATCATGTCCCCGTATTTACCAACCGCAAGCAGCATAGTGTCATCCTCAAGGTCGATAGCGCTGTCGTCATTATTATGCCCTTGGAAGGCCGGGTCTTGGAGAGACAGCCGTTTTTCGTTCGGAGGATGTTTGAACTCCGGCTGTTGAGTTCGGGGCTGGGCCTGCTGAGTATTGTGAGCCACGGGACTGGGGTCGGTCTTGACTCGGGCATCGTTTGATACGTCAAAAGGGGATGCCTCAGTGGCGGAAGCCGGTCTCATCTGAAAATTCCCGAGAGATTCCGGACCGAACGTTGCGCTTTGCAGAGATCCAGGAGTATTGCGCATAAACCCGCCCTTCTCAGCTTGCCATATCATCATCTCGTGGAAGAAAACCTTGGTCATCCACCACGCACTGAAGCTAGGTGCTCCAGCTAGGGTGAGACGGTGGAGCACATTGTCCCACAGAGCATCAACCTTCTCAATGACACACTGGGTACGGTGGTTGGAAAAGGCGGCGGGAATATTGAGAATGAACTGGACCCATTTGTCGGGGAAGTTGTACTCGTCTCCCGGAGCGCATTCGACGGGGAACTTATGAGCCGCAATAGACTCAGGCGTGTCAGGTCTAGTGTAGAAGGGCAAGCTTGTGGAGGGGTCTGCATCGGACAAAGGAGTCAACAAGGCACGAATGTCATGCTTGAGGATCTGCTCCGTTGCTAGCTCAGCACACGTGGGAATATTGGCCTTGGTCATCATATCACTGGGATTGACCATCGTTTTAAAGTCAGTCCACATCTGGTTTCGGTTATCGGGATGGCAAAGCCAAGCAGCGGCAGCGTTAGCTGCCTGGTTCACATCAAGCATATGCTTGAGAAGGTTGCAGAATATGTGGGCGGGAATCAGGCGTGCTAGGGAAACATGCGTTGGTTGAGTCTTGAAGGTTTCAGCGATGTGCCCACAAAGGCGTTGTGAGATGGAGTTGAAAGCGTCCAGGACTGGCTTGGGGACTACCTGGGTTGTCAGGGGCGCCACGAACGCAATCATCTTCTGATACATCATCCAATCACACTCCTTGATCCATGGAGCGAGGTTAGGATGGGTCAAGAGCTTTTGAACAGGAACAGTGAGAGTTCCATGGAACGCGGAAAAGTATTTCATGAGGTTCCTTTCCTTGCAGTATCGGAAGCTGTCAATGACCGAGATGCAGTGGGATCGATATAAGGCAGCCAGAGCCGCTGCAACTTTCGAGTCCGTGTTTACTGGTAGATAGCTACGCAGATCAGGAAGTTGAAGGGTCTCATTATCAACCTGCGTGTTCTCATCCATCGGGAACTGAAGCATTTGGTGGATCATCTTCCCAGCCTGCTGGGCCACGTTCTCACGGGTGATCGTTGCATCTGGGCCGGATTGGGTGTGGCCCTGACAGTTGCAGTCTGCAGGAGATGGGTTGTTCGGGAATCGAGGGGCGAAAGAAGTTGTAGGAGAAGGGAAGACGGCAGTGTCGGCAGTCGGTTGATGTACGCTGGCACTGAGGCTTTCGTCAGTAAGAGTAAGTTGGGAGATGAGTGAGCTGAATCTTACCTTCTCGAGCGCATGCCACTGGCGGATCGTGGGGGCATAGAAGCGGCACCATTTTGATGTTGGGGAACCTGCGGGTTGAGTGGCGCAAGCTTCTGTTGTTTTTCCTCAATCACCGACAGATCCACATAGTGATACTTTGACTCGCCGCGGACTCCGAGACGTCGGGTCTGTACATTGGGGAAGATGATGCGAACAAGCTTTCCAAAGGACGCAGGGTTCAGGACTGAAACTCGTTCCGTTCCACAGTTCTCTGCGTAGCAGCAATAAACCCGGTCACGACGCACTGAGCCACTGCTCTTGCGGCAATTCTCTCTCAACCTTTGCAGATGGTTAGAATCACGATATAGGCACTCAGCGCTCGCGGTCAGATTTCTTACCAAATCATTGCGAAGACCTGCTTCACTTTTTCGGCCTTGCCCCCACCACCCTCATTCTTCATCACTTCAGCTGCCATTTGCTTGAGACTCCATCCCTCGTACTGGCGAAGGAGCTTCCGCAACTCGTTGTCGTTTGCGACAGTGGAACTGGCTCCTCTTTTCTTTTTTCCGCCCGGTTCCGATATCTCTTGTTCCTCAACGAGATGGTCCGGAATGTGGTTTTCCACGCCACTGTCGTATATCGGCTGGTATTGTGGAACAGAAACGTTGGGCAGGCCATTCGGAAGATCTGGCTGTATCGAGTGATGGGACATTGCGTGACCTTGCATCGGGTGGTTTGGGAAGTCTTCTGGTCGGTGTATCACAGAGTGGGTGTCCTGCATCGATTGATCCAAAGACCCAGCATTGGAATGATGTGACAACTGGTTTCCGAAGCGCATCAGCATATCCTCCGGGTTGTTGAACATGTGTTGACCATTTCCCACTTGCGAGGTCATAAATTGGGGGAATCCGTCGAGGTGTTGGTCCTGAGTTTGTTGGGTGGTGCTCGAGTGAATGCTTGCTGTCGAGCCTCGGGATCGAGGACGACGGCTAGCCCTTGACACAGCCTCAGAGCGTGCTCGCACTGGGTCCGCAGTACCTGGCCGGCTGTGAGGGGCGATCTGTGTTGTTTGGGAGACGACACTGCCCTGTGAATGAGCACGGGCTAGAACGCACGTCAGGATGGCCACCAAAGGAGTAACAACAGATTCGTTTTGGATTTCGTATTGTACTTACCGAGTTCTGGGGGCATCATGTTCCGTTCCAAGTGTTCTGTGCAGGTTAGTAAGTGGAGGAGCCGGTAACCACAGCGATGGCCAGTCCTGCGTGGTTCTTTCGCACGATGTTTCCACGATCATTCAAATTCACAAAATTTGGCAAATACACCTGACAACAAAACATACAATCTATAGCAATCCAAAATCATCAACCGAAATCCACTTGTCGCGAGCCAGCAGGGGCTATGTCAGGCTAGCCGCGTTGTGTGAGTCGAAGATGATAAACAGAAAAGGGCCGTTCCTCTGACAACGTTGTTTTTCCCAGGTAGTCACGTGCGGCGGTCAGCATTCCTACCAAACAAAACAAGGGTCTTAAGCAATGTGAACACTATGTTGATATGTACAGAGTGGTGACCTGGCTATATGTAAAGTCTGGTGTAATTGCAGCAGCTATTCTATCACAGATCGATGGTCCATAAGTCATTTAACAACGAGAGCATAGTGTTTTGGAAATTCTGAACTTGGACTTGGGAGGGCCGGTTTGCCCCACGTGACCTATGTCAACAAAGACTACGGAGTACTCCGTACTGACTCCGTAACTACTGTGTAGGTATGTCACATGTGCACCTGGGCAGATGTAGGATGGGACCCGGGATATTAAATTGTGAAGAATAGCATAATACCTCACCAATCACCATATGCATGTTGTACTCAGTAAAAACAAATCAATTGGATACATACCCCAAAGACAAAGAAGTGTACTCCGTAGTCCGTACACCTTCCAAGGTTCCAGGGAAACCTGAGGTTGAAACTGCCTGGGCGGATCGTCCAATTACATCATTCTACGGCCCGAAATTGTTCCGACTCCATCACGTCACACGTGGTTGTATGTGTGTACTCCGTACATCTCTAACTATGGAAGTTAACGTTAACTAAATAGTTAGTTAACTATTGTTTTTCTGTTAACTAACTAGGTAGTAGGTCACATTATCTCATTCAATAGGTAATAAGATTAAGCTCTAGGTACGAAAGTCCAGCTGAAAACACCCAATTGGCCATACCTACTATCTTCCCCATGTACTGACCAAGGTATATCCTCACCAGCAAACAGCCCGACTATATGGAACGGAACTTCCATGATGCTACCTACGGACATAGGTAACCCTATGTCAATGATATTACTTAATTGCCTGGGCAGCCTGATATTGCGATGTACGCAGTATTCCGAGGTTACTGATCAAAAAGTTCACGTCCCATGCCTGAACAATGATAAATGTCCGATATCGTCTGACTGGAACCATGGAAAGAGGGGGTCCCACACGGCAGAACTCTGGAACAGGCACAAACCCCAGCATAGGTTGGCCTCTAATTGGCTTATGCTGATCAACAATTTAATTTTAGAACTCCTTGGCACCCCAAAGACAAATCACAAAGCACGGCGTTTCACGCGAGATCCGTGTAAGGCAGTAGGGCTGTGATGTCACTAGTTTAGGAATTATCTCCAGATTTTCCCTCTCTTCTGATTTCCCCCTGTTCTCCAGTTCTTCCCCAAAGCCCCTGAAACATGCAGAAATTCAAGGAAAAGTTCGAACATGGAGTCGACCACCTAGAGGAGTCATTAAAAGGTCAGTAGAGACAATTCACCCCGCTGGGACACGGGAATTGACATCCTTTTGGAAAGACACCCATATCCACAATGTCAAAGCCGACGCCACACATCTAAAGCACAAGGTTGGCAAGTTTTTTAACATCCTCAACCCGAACCATCGCCATGATGAGCGACACGAACAAGAGACAGACCGCAAACGCTCCGAGATCGCAGATTCACACCGGTTCAAATCTTTTGCCCCTGTTCACGATGGCAATCGCGTCAAGTGGTATGTGGATGGCAAGGATTACATGTGGGCAGTCTCAGAGGCTCTAGAGAAAGCCACCGAGACCATCTATATTGCCGATTGGTGGCTCTCCCCAGAACTCTTCTTGCGCCGCCCTCCAGTGGATAATCAGGAATGGCGATTGGACCATGTCTTGAAGCGTCGCGCAGAAGCAGGCGTAAAAATCTATATCATTGTCTACAAAGAGGTCAGAATGGCCATATATCGTCGGTATCAGAAAGCGCTTTATTAATAATTCGTCTGCAGGTGAACCAAGCTCTGACTTGTAACTCTGCGCACACTAAATATGCCTTGCGCAACCTCTGCCCCGAAGGAACTCCTGGCCACGGCAACATCCGCGTGTTGCGCCACCCCGACCACAATGTCTTTGAGAACGCAGCCGATATGACTCTCTACTGGGTATGTACAGAACTTCCATTAGGCTAGAACCAAGAACTGACAGTCAACAGGCACACCACGAGAAATTCATTGTAATCGATTACAATGTGGCCTTCATCGGCGGCATTGATCTTTGCTTTGGACGGTGGGACGCAAACCAGCACCCACTGGCTGATGTTCACCCCGCAGGTCTGCGAGACGATATCTTCCCGGGACAGGACTTCAACAACAACCGAATCATGGACTTCCAGAGCGTAGACGACTGGCAGAGCAACGAGGTCAGCAAGGCTGACTACGGCCGCATGCCCTGGCACGATGTGGCCATGGGGCTCCAGGGAGACTGCGCCTATGACATTGCTGAACACTTCGTGTTGCGCTGGAACTTCATCAAGCGTGATAAGTATAAGCGCAGTCATGATGTAGATTGGCTGTTGATGGAGGGCCGCACGGGCGATCAAGAAGATATCATTGCCGTGCAGCGACCCAAGTACCCTTGCGGCGAGTACATCCAGCACCCGCTAACCCCCCTGTCCACCAAGTCTCGCGGCAATATAGGTACTGTGCGCGCTCAGATTGTGCGAAGCAGTGACGACTGGAGCAGCGGTATCCTAAACGAGCACAGTATCCAGAACGCATACTGCGAGACCATTCGCAATGCCGAGCATTTTGTGTACATCGAGAACCAATTCTTCAGTATGTCTCTCCGGTTCCAACGTGTAAGAATTCGCTAACCTTCCCAGTCACTGCCACCGGCGACCAGCAAGCTCCGGTTTTCAATCAAATCGGTCGAGCAATTGTTGACGCCTGTGTACGTGCAGGCAAAGAGGGGCGCAAGTTCCGCGTCATCATCGTTATCCCTGCGATTCCTGGATTTGCTGGCGATTTGCGCGATAATGCTGCGTTGGGTACTCGAGCGATCATGGACTATCAGTACAAATCGATTTGTCGCGGGGAGCACTCGATCTATGGGCAAATTGAAAAGGAAGGCATTGATCCTAGAGGTAGGTTTGTCCTGGATTCTAATCCTGGTTTCGAATGCATGTCTGACACGCTTGTTCAGAACACATCTTCGTATTTGCACTGCGTGCTTATGATCGAATTAACAAAACGCCTGCTCTTGAGGAGCTCGAGAAGCAAGCTGGTGTTACATACCATGATATCCAGCGCGGTATCGCCGAGTCAATCATGAGCGAAAGTGTGCACCCGGCGGTGGGCAAAGAGGGTGATGCCAACGAGAAGAACTACGATGCCGATCAAAGCCAGAAGGAAGAAACTCTGCGCAAGCTCCAAAACTTCCAAGAGAAGGTCGAGCAAAGAAAGGCCGAAGACGGATTCCACAGCAAGGATACGGTTTCGCAATGTACTATGTTGAATGGAGGCAAGGTATCTGACGAGAACTGGGAAGGCGACCCAGAAGCCGAGAAGGACAATTTCGTCCAGGAGGAGCTGTACGTGCACGGCAAGGTGTGCATCGTCGACGATCGCACCATCATCTGCGGCAGTGCCAACATCAACGATCGGGTAAGTAAAGCGGGCGCACTCCATTCCCCATTCTGTTCTGTATCTGACACCGGATAGTCCCAACTCGGCTCGCACGACAGCGAACTAGCGATCGTCTTGGAAGATCAAGAGCTCATCGACAGTCGAATGAACGGGCAACCGTACCGAGCGTCCAAATTAGCGGCGACGCTACGGCGCCAATTGTGGCGCGAACACCTAGGTCTCCTGCCGGCGCAACAATACGACGCCACGGACCACCCGAACGCGCGACCGCCCGATGAGTGCCTTAATGAGATCGAACTCGGAGCGGAGAATGAGTTTGTGACGGATCCACTGAGCGATGAAGTCTGGAACACATGGACATCACAGGCGACTCAGAATACGGAGACGTATCGCACCCTGTTTCGGGCGGACCCCGACGATAACATCAAGACCTTTGAAGACTATGACAAATTCCGGCCGCGGGGCACACACCGGGAAGGTCATTTGTTCGATCCGTATGTGCCTGTCAAGGAAGTGCGTGAGAAGCTCGATCTCATCAAGGGCCACCTTGTCTGGCTGCCGTTGCAATTCTTGTGCGACGCTGAGATGGCGGAGCCTGGATTGGCTGTTAATCAGATTACGGAGGTGAGTTTGGATTGTATCCAATGACCTAGGCTTATTTTCGAAGGGATTGCTAACTGGTTTGGACAGAGTATTTACACTTGAGTCGAGATCTGGACTTCGAAGGAAGGAGATCTGCACATACCGCGGTGGGGTGATTATTTCCACTTTGGTCAACAAGCACATAATCCGACTGTCATTCAGAATCAATATTGGATACCCTAGTACAGAATACCAGATAGTCTAATCAACTTTCGAGTGTAATCAGAAGAGCTACACGGGGTACGCAGTCTACTATCAAATAAATCGACGGCATCTTCCAGGCCCTTCTAAACAACCCCAAACTCCAGACAGTACTTTTGCCCTAGAGACAAAGGTCCTTGCGTAGTGGGGAAACAATAGAGTTGTCCCAAGGCCTTGGAAACCTCTAACCCTTAGCCGTGGTTTAGTCTTCCAAGGATGGTCTAGCCTTGCTTTAGTGTTGTTCTAGTTATTTAGTCTCGAGCTAGTCGATTTAAGTGGCATTTTTAAGTTCTCTTAGTCCCAGCGATGGACTACATGTACTGTGCCTTTGAACTTGGTAAAAGAGATCTGATACATCTCATTTTCCAATTGAACCTTGCAGCCACTTGCAGTCTTCCCATCCACCGGAAAAATATTCCTCAAAGGCCAGATGAATGTGGAGAAAATCGGTCTCTTGGCAATCGATCCTTTAAATCCTCCCGAAGTCCTCCGCAGATGCCCACAGGTTAGCACCTCGGTACTTTTATTGCATAATTTGGTCATAGAAGGGTCTCGAAAATGTGACGACCGGATCTCTGACCGAAACTCTGAATTGGCTTTCCACATCGGGCTCTAAAATTATGGGGTTCGTATGGCGATTGGTTATTGTCACCAGCTTCGATCGGCCCATATCTCTATGTAGAGACGACACAATTTCAGGTGTTGAAATAAGGCCAATTAAGATCTACATAGGACAAGTGGATTTGGGTCATCGTAGGGATCCCAATGTCGAAGGGCCACGTTCGGCCGAGTATGGAGTACAAACAGTTGCATGCATAGGACGGCACACAGTAGCGGAAGAAACCAATGAATAACCATAGTATCACAATTTCCTAGCAAAACCAAGTGTAGAATACAAGACCATTGGTCCAGAAGAAGAGAAAAAAGATAAGCCAAAAGAACCTAGAACCCGATCGAACAAGAAAAAGAAGAAGAACAGGTCTAAGTATAACTCCTCCGAATGCGAGCACGAGATGCAGTCAAAAACTTTTGGGACTTTTGGGACACACCAAAATGCATCAGAATTGCAAAATCGCCAATCGAGGGCAACGAAGAGGGACGGAAAACGAGATCCGACTCCAAGGGGCTGGGGCCGTGGGAATTACCCTTGCACTGGTATTATGCAGAGGAGCAGATCCCTCCTGTAAATGTCGGGGGACCAATGCAGTACTCTGGAGGGGGAGTTAGCATGTTCGCAAGGAGAAAACAATTCCAAATCATCAGGAAAAATCACTCACCAGGGCTCATCTAGCTCTTAGTGTTGTGGCACGAATTGCAACGACAGTGGCCACAGATCTTGCAGCGCCAAATGGCCACGAAGGGACCCGAGTTGCAGTCGGAGCAACGCCAGGTCAGGATGTTGCCATTGGTAGCCTGGACAATGGCAAAGACGTGACCGGAACACTGGTTGGCCATAGTGATTTGATGGAGTTGGATTGCTGTTTCAGTTTAGTACTTAGTTCAACATGGAAACCCGAGGGTTCGTTCACGTACATATCAAGGACCCGAGGGACTGGAAGCGTCGATCCACAAGACACGGAGAAGATATCCAAGTACTTGGATTGGGGAGATTGGAAAGAGAGAAGAGGTAGAAGATAGAAATGCAAGATGAATGTCAATGAGGCAAGGTATTCGAGAGTCGATGTCTGAGAGATGCGACTTTCAAGCCAGGACAACTCAGCCATTATATACTGCTTGAACAGATCACGGTGAGAGGAATCCCAGATGCAACCAGTCGACAACTAAAGAACCGAAATACGCAGCAAGCCGTGACGACGCATGTAACCGGGATGAAGTGTGGAAGAATAAAAAACAAATGAAAATCCAAAACAATAGGGAATAGAAGGGTATTATAAGTCAATAGATCTATAATTGCATGGCAGTTTAGGCGAAGACACGAGATCTCGAGGGCATAGAGAGTGATAGGGGTCGTATAAAAAGAAAAGCCGAAAGCCAAGTATGAGACTGTCAGTCGAAATATGACAGAGCCATGGCTAAGGATCGAGATCGACTAACTAAGTTAGGTTAAGAGATCGAGGTACTTTCGACCTATCCATGGATCCGTATATCGATCATCTCGGTACTTTTGGTCTTTTTTGCTTTTGGGCTCTTCCCAGCGATCCGGTCCGATCGATTGCATATTCAATCTCAATAGGGTCAACTCGAGATGTAACGTACAGTGTATTTGCACCCTATTTATCAGGTTCAACCTACTTCTCTAAGGATTTCTAGGAATTTCCCCTGAAAGTCTCGTCAATTGATACATCAATTTGCGCTTGGGCCGAGATCCACTTTCATCGATTCAGCTATTTCGGCTGTTCCATAAGGCATTCTCATCTACTCTTCCATTCCTCTCCTATCAACCCTGTAGATCGCCCGGGACACCCGTTGCATTAGTGCTGGCGCTTGGCCCAATTGCTTATTGAATAGCCGCACCGGAAAATGTAATTGTCTCGTTTAGGATCTCTGTCACATCCATAGAATCCACTTGTTTCTTCTGAAATTCGACTGCAGTCTAGCCATCTTCTCCGGCGACTGCATGGGGAAGTCCCAGTTCTTTTTCTCATGGTACAAGAGTACAAGAATTGAACACAGAAAACGGCAAGAGCCATCCCCCGTATACCATTGACATGCCAGTGAATTTTCTCTGGGGTAACACAACGGGAGGTTGTCGATGTTGTATGGTCGAGTCCGTTCTGCAGCTCTCAACTGAAAGGGGTAGTCAAGGAGAGACAGGGATATCTGCATTTCCGACAGTTTTGCAGGGAAGGCTTGACTATGTAGTGAGAGATCCATCTGTCACCCCTGAAGAATTGCAAATAGGGCCAGCCAGAGCCGTTCGAGAAGACAAGAACGTTATACTTGGAAAGACCCTGGTCTCATTGATGACAGAGAGCTAATAGAGGGAGATATAATTCCGGAATAGTTGTCGATCAAAGGGAACGTGCACACCGACACTCCCATTGCGTCGAGATATCTTCTCTGCCCGGCGATCGCCAGACCACGACTAAATCACCAAACCAGCTTCCAGAATCACGGCCAACTGCATCGAGAGAAGGGCAAAGGATCGAAGTCAACCGGACAATTCGGCATCATTCGGAAGGAAACCGTCCTGCTGATACACCCGACTACCAGCCAAGTTTGCTCGGTGCATGATCAAGGCACAGAAGGAAAAAAAAATGTCAAGTGGGAACTGTAAATTGTTTGCTATTCAAGTACGGTATGTATGTTCGACATCGCCTCTTGCACCACTTCCACGACCGCGAGGCCAAGTGTTCCAAGGAACTGAGAAAGGGGTGACATCTCCATGCTCTCGCCTCCGAAGAGGAAATAGCATGGAGCAAGAAAACAACATCAATTCAATCTGCCAACGCTCCGTTAAGAACACCTTGTGGGAAACGAGATGCTCCTGCAGAACCCAGAGTGGACTGCATCGCTGGTTTGGGGGAAGGGGGATTGGGATCACTCTACAGCTGGGGGAATAGAGAGATGGACCGGAGAAAGATCCGGGAAGGGGGTTGTTCATTGGATAGAAAATAGGTATCATGTCATCAACGGTTGCAGGGGAACCTGCGCATCAGTATGCAGAGACACCACTCCAGGCGCTCTTGTTTGTTTCGTAAAATTTCCTCATTACTACTGTCTGCCTCATCAGTCGTTAAGGTGGAAGAGGGCCGAGACGCTGCTCCATTGTTAGTGAATGATCACGCGACATCTATGGAGAATAACCAACCTTTCACCATAATGGTGTCTCCGAATGCTCTCCGCCAAGAGACTCGACACGTCAATGACAATCAACTTCTTCGATCGCCGCAACATTGAGGGTGAGATCGGGAAAGTGTTAGTCACGACGATGTGGTCAATTGACCGGCACGCTTCCATCTGGTCCAGAGAGTTCTCTCCGAACAGTCCGTGGGTGGCAATGCAGTAGACCTTACTGGCCCCGCCACGTTTGACAACAGTCTCTGCAGCCGCAATCCATGATCCGCTCTTGTCAATCATGTCATCGACGAGGAAGACAGATCGATCGCGCACCTCGCCCACCAACGTGATGGTCCTTTCATCAGTGGGGCCGCCGCAGACACTGGCTTCATCATCAGACTCGACAGCGTCAAAAGATCCACCCAGCGCATGATCGGGAGGCTGCGACGAGGCGTTGGAGATGATGGAGTTAGCCATGGCATCAGTGATAATGTCTGTATTATCGTGGCTGCTGCTGCCAGCTCCCGGTGTAGTGCCACCAGAATGTGACTCTTCGTTGATACGATAATCGTCATCAACCAGTTGGCCTTGCACCAGACGGCCGGTGATCACATCTCGCACACGCACGTCCGTGTACTCGCAAGCTGCTTCCAACTCCGACAGGCGGCGGGCCGCAGGCGGGGTCTCTGGGCGCAGCAGGTACCGTTCGGAAGGGGGAGTGGTAGGCTCCCGCTCTTCCGGAATGGGAGGTGTTGCAGGTGCTCTGTGAGCACTGTGCATGTGAAGCTCAAAAGGCTGTGACTCCTTGGCAATACGTGAATCATCATCCACGGCATCGAAGAATACAGTGCTGTCACTCATGGTGGCCACGGGAACCTTTGGGCGCCGACGATCTGTCGTCACGATACCGAAGTTGAGCTTCAAGGTATCGGCCAGCGAGGTGACTCGCTTGGTTCCACCGGCATTCTTACTGACGACCACGGCGTCTTTCCAGCCGGCAACATTCATGCGGATCCAACGGGCGATGAACGGTTCGGCAAACAGGTTGTCGACCGGCTTTCCGAAGAACCCTTGCATCTGGGATGCCTAGGAGCCCATCAATATCCATAGTAGAAAACTCAACATCGCATAGAGACATACGTGTAGGTCCATAGTGATAACATGGTCCACGCCGGCGATCGTCAGGAGGTTGGCTAGCATGCGGGCCGTGATGGCGCCACGGTGGCTCTTCTTCTTAGATTGACGCGAGTATGGGAAGTATCTCAATCGGGAGTCAGCATTCACCGCTTCAATCAGACAGGACGGGCAGCATACGGCATGACCGCTAGGAAAACGAGTTAGTGGGGCAAGCTCTTGGACCTGGAGTGAATGGTGACATACCTGTGATCGACTTGGCCGAGCCTCCCTTGCACGCTGAGATCATAATCAGGAGCTCCATAACACTGTCGTTAATCTTCTCGCTTCCACTCTGGATGATATAGACATCCTGGTTTCGCACCGAGGTATCGATGTTGACACTCGTCTCGCCATTGGCAAATTTTCCTAAGTTAGCTTTGGCTGGAACAGTGCCCAGTCGCTCGCAAATAGTCTCTGCGAGACGTGGATGGGAATTTCCCGAGAATATCTGAACGCCCCGCATGATGTAAAAAACATGAGTGACGTGAGGGAAAGAGAAAGAGAAGAAGAAAAAAAAATCGGGGAAAAGTTTCGGGAAAGTTGCTAGACAGGTCTGAACCGTTCACCGTATTGAGTTTTTTCCTTCCGAGGCCGATGGACGGGGTTGGATGTTGCATCACCACATCCCCCCCACCATGTCAAAATTTCCAGAAATACAAGGCGGAGGCTCCTTGATTTTAGCCTGGCAGGTCAAAGACAAGCATGTGCTAGTCATCGGAGGTGGCGAGGTACATGATTGCTATGATACGAAGCTATATGCAAGCTGTGGCTGATCTATATATCTCCGAATAGGTTGCTGCGGGGCGCATTGTGCATACCCTCAATGCCGATGCTCGGGTCACTGTGGTTTGTCCTGCTTCTGGACTCAACGATGAAGTAGCTTTCCGAGTAACTGCAAAACAAGTTGCACACATTGATCGGAACTTTGAGCCGTCCGACCTTGATAATGTGGACATGGTGCTTTGCGCCATTGACGATCCGGAGGCCTCAAGTCAGGTCTGGAAGCTCTGCAAGGAGAGACGAATTGCAGCCAATATCGCCGATGTTCCGCCCGAATGCGATTTCTACTTCGGCAGTGTCCATCGTGATGGACCATTGCAGATTATGGTCAGCACCAATGGGAACGGGCCTAAGCTGGCTAGCATCGTGCGCAAGAAGATCGCCGAGACCTTACCGGCCAATATGGGAGCTGCCATCGAGAATGTTGGAAAGCTGCGGAAGAAGCTCCGGGAGGTTGCACCCAATCCAGAGCAAGGTCCGAAGAGGATGAAGTGGTGAGTTACTGCATTCTGGCCCTCTATGCAGGACTATGTGGTAGCTAACGTCCATAGGATGTCCGGTGTCTGTGAATCGTGGAGCTTAGAGGAGCTCGTACAGATGACCGAGAAGGACATGGACAGTGTATTGTCCTTTTACGAATCAGGGAAGATACCAACATCACAGGAAATACAAAAATAGACAGCGAGAAATTCAAGAGATATCTGTTCTTATCAATACAACACCTATGGACGTCTAAAAGTAAAACAAAATGTCCTGTGGAACAACACGAGACCCGAATAGGGCTATAAAACGCTTGAAAGATTAGGCCGGCAATGATATCCAAAAATCAAGCAGACACAATTAGACATCGCTATCACGGCGAGCCGCCTTCTGGGAGACGGAGCTGCGCGGGCTGATAGGGGCGTCTAAGGGATTGGGCGGCGCAATGCCCAGTCGGACCTCGCCAATCCGACGTAGCAGAGACTGAAGAGCAACGCGAATCTCCGGGTTAAGATCACGACTCAGCAACTCGATGCCGAGCGGGTAAAATGTCTCGATATGCTTATCAAAGTCTTCCTGCGGGAAGTTGGTATATCCGTCAATGACATCGACCACCACTGGACGCCAAGCTACTATGTTGCGATGCTGGGTGTCCTCTTCAAGACGAACGAAACAGCCAATGATATCCGCACAGAGTCTAATGAGGTTAGCAAGAAACAACACAAGACAGGATGGTAGGTAGAGTCAACTTACGGAATCAGTGCAGCCTCGGTCTCTGCGCGGCTGCTTCGTCTCTCTTCCCGCTCATCGTGGTACATCCGGAAAAGGATACGCACGTAGGTAGAGGCACTGCCGCTCTCTTGTTTCAACAGATTGGGAGGCTGCTTCATGAAGCCTTGGCGCCAAAGTTGCATGCGTAAGTCCTTATCCTCGTTGAATTTCTTCGCGAACTGATAGCTCTTCTTCAGCAGTCCCATGAGCCGGAGAAGCTCAACACTTGGGATCTCTGCATAGACATTCTCGTTTGAGAAAAGCTCATGAACGGTCTCAATCATGAGAAGCTGCAGCACGCAGTTCGTGATTATACGGTTGAAATACCGACGTCGAGCGGCAGTGACAGCCGCTGGTTGCTGCTGGTCCGACTCAGGGCGATAATCTTCTAATTCGGCGCGGGCTTCACTTTGCACAGGAGGATTTGCATGATCCTGGAAAGATGATGTGCTTTGGGACCCGTTGGTCTCAGGAAGATCTCCCGTTGTAGCAGCCGCACCCGGAGACTGCGCCGAGTCTCCATTCACTGTTTCTGTAGGTTTCGACATCGAAACAGCAGCCGTGAAGAGTTCATAAGCGGTCGTCTTGCTGAATAGCTCCACGAAAGCTCCAACGATTTGGGACCAATGTTCCTGCTTGAACTTGGTGACATTCTGCAGAATAAGTTGTTGCAAGCAATTACTTCCAATGCGTGCAATTGTGTCATTTTCTTGACAGATGCATAGCGTCAACAGTTCCAAAAACCGGCTCAGCATATACTCCAAGGCTTCGAAATAGTGTGTGAAGAGGGTGATCATGTTTCGCAGCGCCTGGATCATTGTCGTAGACAGCCAGACCGAAAGGTCCTCGTGATTTGGAACCTTGGACATTTCGGACTTAGACTGCAGGACAACGAAGATTGGATAGAGCAGCTGTCTCCAGAGGACATCCCAAAATTCCCTAGGGAAATCGCCGCCGTGTCGGATCAGCGTATCAAAGAGGTATGTAAGTGCCCGTGAACGGACCTCGAGGTCATCGCCAGTCATTAGTACATCCTGGAATGCAATGAGAATGGGATACCAGAACTGCTCCTCTTGAGATTGGCGTGTAAGTTGTTTGGCAAGATTGGTTCCATTGTCCTGGAAGGTAGCCGCCGAGGCACCACGGTGTGACAAGGGACATTCCGGGGTACGCAGCATCTTGGTGACAGTAGATCTGAGGGTCTCGATTGCCTGCAGCGATTTCTTTTGAAACTTGGAGTTCTTCGAGAATTCAGTCAGGCAAACGATAAGGTCCGCAAAAGCGCCTTGGGTGATCACTACGCCAAATCTGGTGTTGTAGACCTGGGTTACATGGTCAAAGGCCATGTTGACGATGGCTTCTGTTCGATGCGTTAGTGACGAACGAGAGACGGAGTAATACCAGCAAGCAATCCTTACCATAAGGTTCCCGTGCTGCAACCGTGAAGACGCCAAACATGGTCTTCCACCCGGAACGGATATTGTCACCACGGGCCTGGATCATCTGGATAAGGCACCGCAGAATCATGTCCTTGACAGCAGCGCTGGTGCTGTTCGCCATTACATGCTCAAATGGCTTAAGGAAGTCCTTTTGGAACTTGAAACCAGGCAACTCCTCGATCTCCATGAACCGCATTGAGAGTTGTCGGAGCGAATCCAACGCGAAGAAAACAACCGTAGTGTTGGAGTGGCAGCCGACTTGGTTAAAGTGTTGACCCAAGACGTCCCAAATCTTAGACCATTCAATCCTGACTCGAGTCATATTATAGTAACTGATCTCGACTAGCTTCTGCAAGCTGTAGGTGCGGGGCGAATCAGTGTGACCGGAAGACTGAATTTCTTGCCAGCTGACCTCGCTCAAGGCCCGGACAAAATCGATGATGGCCTCATGCGACAGGTTTGCGGTATTGGTGAAGATACGGTCCACACCACGAATCATGTTTGCCGAACGGCTCTCGATAGCAATTTCTGGACGGAAGCCAGCTGGCCCATTAACAGAGCGGGGGCGAGCCCGCCGTGTGCTCTGCATGGATCTGCGAGAGTTATCTACCGATGAGGGAGCCCTGGAAACATCAGGCAGCGATCCCTCATCGACGCCATCGCTCAGAAGTTGTAGCCGATCAAGTTGACTGACGCAAGTCAGAACATCCCGCCATGAGCTCTGGAGATGATTGCCCTCCGTGAAAGCGACATCGAGCAAGGCTTTCAAAGCTTCGACATTCTTGGCCATCATCTCCCTTACGTTTCCAAGGTTGGTGAACTTCGCCAAAGCAGTCACAAATGCGACACGAGGAGTCTCTAAGCCGAAGGCACAGCTGATCCGGATAGACAGTTTGAGTCCCTCCATACAGAGCCGGATGGTTTCCAGGCTCGACGTGTCCTGCATTGGGGCGGACAAACCAGACAGGAAAGACATCCAGGTAACGTTGAACATTGACCCAACATGACGTTCTGACGTTGCTGGAATGAAATGCGAAAGCGCGTCTTTGACTGCGGTCTTGCGTTGGGCTCGAATAAGGGAACGGTAGAGTTGTTCTGTCTTGTTGGCCATTTCCTCAGAAGCCTGTGCGTATCTTTCACCCTGGAGGTCTCGCCCGACGGTAGCAAATACTTGCCCGGCTCTTGTGGCAAGGCCAGTTGGAGCGGCAGGTTGAGGGTTCAAATTAGCAGCATGTTCCTGCTCGGTATATAGCACAATTTCGTTGCTTCCGATCTCCTCATAGATGGCTCCAAGGTAGTCAGCCGGCAAATCCTGACTGTCATTAATACCACGGTTGTTCTTGATGAAATCTTCCTTGGTCATTCGGCGGCCCTTCATTTTTGTGCTGTGCTGATCCGTATTGAGTAGAATCACCGAATATGCAAGTACATACGCCGTGTCAGCATTGGCGAAGGCATTGGGATTTTGAGTCGTGTAACGTTCGGCGAACTTGAGCATGAAGCGATCGATCTTTTGAGCCTCACCAGGTAGGCGGAAATGCTGCAAGAAAAAGCGTAGGGCATCAACAAAGCGCCGCTTCCCGAAATCCATCAGATCAACGAAGGCGTGCATGATGGCGATGTTTTCCGGCTCGCCCTCGCCAAGATACTCTCCCAGCATAGCTTTGTCAATGCGGTCAGTGCGTAGCATGAAGCTAGCAATGTCTTCAGGAGACTCGGATTGAATAAAGCCTTCCTGGAGCAAAGCCTTGATGCCACGCTTGGGCTTGAAGTTGAATTGTTGCACGGCATTTGTGAGAGCGATTTTGCGCTGCTTGACTTTTTCGATCTGATTTGGGTCGTCTTCAGGCATAGGTGTGGACCGACCTGTTCCGCCCTCGAAGGACTCGGGATGTGGTGAAACCAGTACGCTTGTGTCCAAGGACTCGCGCGAGTTGTCCATCAGTTTCGACGGGACAGCTGCCTCGGGCTGTTCATCGATGCGCTGCGCCGCCCAGTTGTCCAGTGAGCGTAGTATCTCCACCAGACACTCCAGAGCCTGCTGCTTCAAACCGTACTCCGATGGAATGTGAGGCATCGGGGGTGATGGAGCAGGAACAATGTGGGCAGTTGTCAACGAAGGAGGTAGAGTTCCTCGATGATGCCACTCAGACCCAACGCTTGTCATTTTGGTGTGTTGTTCCTGGTATTGTTGTTGCTGAGAAGGAGTTGTTGCAACCGGTACACTCGCGTACCGTGACAATTGTTCAATGACACTGAGGAGGTTAGTTCATGGCCAAAAGAGATGGGATAGAATCTAACAACACATACTTTTGGAAAATATTCTCTAATGCCGTCCTATCACAGTCGTAGTTGAGATAGATCTCAACTAGAGCCCGTGGGTCGCTACCTAGCCTCTCCAAAATCTCCAAGAAGTACTGCTTTTGGAAAGCAGGAGCTCCGCGCTTTTCAAGAATGGCCAAATAGATTTCTTTCAAGAACACCTCGAGCTCCTTCTTCATCATGACTCTCATGTCCTTAAGCATCAGCCAGAAAATCTCACAGCAAACTTTGAAGACATGAGGCACCGCGCTGGAGCCATTGCGACTTAGACTCAGACATAAATGAGGCCGCACAGCCAACAGGAGATTCATGCCACCCGCGCTGGATGAGCTGTTCTTGATTGCTGCTAGAGGAGAGAGAAATAGCGCGGTGTGGTTGTTAATCAAATAATGAATCAAATGCAGTGAAAGTAGCTTCGATCTCATGTTCTGGGATTTGACATCTTGCTGCTGCTCATGAGTCAGGACCTTATGGCTCAGCTTGCAGAGCGCTCGGAAAACCAAGAAAGCATCTTTGACATAGATGTCATCCACATCGTCCTCGGCCGAGCTATCATCGTCCTTCTCCTCGAGGATTCCTGACATCGATCGCCTCGCCGATCGCTTAGCGCGGGTGACCGTAGTTGGGGCATTGTCATTGACAGAGGTGACCTCGTTGGGCGACTCGAAACTCTGCAAAGTGAGTTTCTCGGCGGTGGGCTCTTTGGACACCGGTTGATCTGCTGGAGACACAGAAGCCACTTCTGAATTTTGACCCACGTCACTGGCCGATGCGTCGATGGATGAAGATGGCTTTACCGACTCTCGCAGGCGAAGCTCTTTGAGGTCCAACCGTACTCGCACTCGCTCAAAGACCGTGCCGACCATTTGTGTAAGCGACCCCTGGGCGATCTGTTGGTTTTGACTGGATTTGGAGTAAATGAAAATGTTGTAGATTTGACGGACGGCTTTCAGGAGACCAGCTCCATGCACCACGATCTTGTCGTTTAGGACGGCGGCCAACAGCGACTTGATGATTTGTTGTTGAATCTCAATCGCCGTGGCTTCATTCTCAAAGCAGTCGCAGATTGCATCAATCGCGCGTTCGATAAGTGGAGGCTGCTCAGGGTTGGGTTGATTTGCCGTTTCTGCGGACGGGAATGCAAAATAGGAGTATGTGATTAGCTTTCCGATGCAATCCAACGCAGTTACCTGCAGAGGGATGCTGAGCGCTTTGCTCGCCAGATGAAGAGGGCGGAAGATGAGCTCCGGGTCAATTGCTTGTCCGTCGAGTTGCTTGATGTTGGTCAAAGCGACCTGTGTGGCTTCCTCCAACTTTTTGTCCCGCCGGGCGTCCCGCGAGGCAGCAATATTGTCCAGGGCCGTCACGATAAAGACTGTCGAGCTGACCGGACCGGATCGCTGCGTCATGAATGTAGCAGTTGTTGAGCGCGAATCGGATCGCAACCTGTGTTCCGTTGCATTGTCCTCCGCGGACGGTTCCTGAATGGTGGGCGGACCGTCTGCTTGGGGCTGTTGTTCAGCCTGTTCAGGGTCATCCTTAGGCGGCACGTCTGGTTTCTCTTCAACTCCCTCCTCCTTGGCCACTTCATCACCTTCCTCCTGGTTCGGGTCTTCTGGTTCGGTATGCTCGGGCAATGTAGGCTCGTCTGAGTTCACTATTGTAGAAGATACATCGGGGGTCTCCACGGGTTTCTCGGGCATTTCAATGGATTGGGTCGGCTCAGAGCCGGGTTCGGTGTCCGCCATTGTCAGTGTGACTCCGGGCGGAGTGATCTAATTAGACCAAAAACATCGAACAAGCAAACGTGTGGGGAAGCTCAGAACAGTCGCGGTTGCACATGTAAGGACGGGGGCTGCGTGTCTTCTCCAAATCGGGACTAATGCAGGCTTACCTCATCTACATAGCCCCCGGGCGGTTTCAAGCTAGATGCTGGTCGCCGGTTTTTGTCCGGCAGAAAATTAATTGGTCGAATGCGGATTTTGAGACATTTTTGTTGATTTTGCATTATGTAATATTTAACATTGTACTAACTAACTAACTAACTAGTTACTTATTTGTTGGAGATGTATGTAGGGAGTCTGGCATGACTGGTCATAGACTCATATGTAGCTCAAGCCTTTGAATAAGAGGTTGCTTGTACCCTACTTATTCTGAAGACTGAAGACATATTTGTCTGCTCATCCAAGGCGGTGAAAGGAATTTGCGCCCAGATCGAGACGGAAAAGCCTAGCACGTGACTTTGTCGGAAGAGGCCGCTGCCGCTCCTCTCACCGGGAGCCATAGGTAGCTCAACAGAAAAGTTCGTGGTTTAGAGACAACTCCTTCCACCCCAACCTTATCCATTCTCTGCCTCGACCTTTCTCTCGTGCCGGCCTCTTATAATCTTTATCATTCCAGCGGAAAGGGGTCTTTAATTCTTTCATTTCACTATACAAACACAACTCAGGAACCATGGTTGCGTCAGCTATTCGGATGCGCACCCCGGGCGCCATGTTCATGTCCAGAGGCGCTGCTGCTATGCGCCGGCCGCAGGTCTCTTCCAAGCTCCAGGAGGTCATCCAGTATGTTCTTCTGAGATCGATTGTGATTCTGGGTTGATACTAATGATACTTCTTCCAGGAATCAAGTGCCTGCACTCTCTGCCCTTTCTCGCTTCTATGCCTCCAAGTGTATGGCAATTGCTCTCCCCTAGTGGTTTCCGCCTCGATACTGATATATCTATTCACAGCTTTCCCCCCTCACACAATTATCAGCATGCCGGCTCTTTCGCCGACCATGACTGCAGGAAACATTGGTGCGTGGCAGAAGAACGCCGGAGATGGTCTCCAGCCCGGTGATGTCTTGGTCGAGATCGAGACCGATAAGGCACAGATGGACTTTGAGTTCCAGGACGAAGGTATCCTGGCTAAGGTTCTGAAGGAGAGCGGTGAGAAGGATGTCGCTGTTGGTTCGGTAAGCACAGTTTCCTAACTTTTTTTTTTTCAAGAGAATCGATCTGACTGAATTCCTTGCAGCCCATTGCTGTCCTTGTTGAGGAGGGTGCCGATGTCTCCGCCTTCGAGTCTTTCACCCTGGAAGATGCCGGTGGTGACAAGAAGGCCGCCCCCGCTGAGAAGAAGGAGGAGCCCAAGAGCTCTGAGCCTTCCACCCCTGCCCCGGCTGAGGAGGCACCCGCCGCACAGGAGCCCGAGACTTCGGACGAGAAGCTCCAGCCCAGCCTTGACCGTGAGCCCTCTATCAGCCCCGCTGCCAAGATCTTGGCCCTCGAGAAGGGAGTGTCCATCAAGGGTCTGAAGGGTACTGGTCGTGGTGGCGTTATCACAAAGGAGGACATTGAGAAGGCCAAGCCTGCTGCCACTGGTGTCGCCACCGAGTCTGCTTACGAGGATATTGCCGTCAGCTCGATGCGCAAGACCATCGCCAACCGTCTCAAGCAGTCCATGGCCGAGAACCCCCACTACTTCGTCTCCACCACTCTCTCGGTTACCAAGCTTCTGAAGCTCCGCCAGGCCCTGAACGCTTCTGCTGAGGGTCAGTACAAGCTTTCTGTCAACGATTTCTTGGTTAAGGCTTGTGCCGTTGCCCTCCTGAAGGTGCCCCAGGTTAACTCCAGCTGGCGCGAGGAGAATGGCCAGGCCGTGATCCGTCAGCACCACACTGCCGACATCAGCGTCGCTGTCTCCACCCCGTCTGGCCTGATCACTCCCGTCGTCAAGAACGTCCAGGGTCTCGGCCTCCAGAGCATCTCCAAGCAGATCAAGGATCTCGGCAAGCGTGCTCGCGAGAACAAGCTCAAGCCCGAGGAGTACCAGGGTGGCTCCTTCACCATCTCGAACATGGGCATGAACCCCGCTGTCGAGCGCTTCACCGCCGTCATCAACCCCCCGCAGGCCGGTATCCTGGCTGTTGGCACCACCCGCAAGGTCGCTGTCCCTGTCGAGACCGAGGAGGGCACCATTACCGAGTGGGATGACCAGATCATCGTGACTGGTAGCTTCGACCACAAGGTGGTTGACGGTGCTGTCGGTGGTGAATGGATCAAGGAGCTGAAGAAGGTGGTTGAGAACCCTCTGGAGCTTCTGCTGTAGACAGCGGAAGTTTTCTTGTCCGACCCCTTTGTAATCTGTATTAAAACACCTTGCCTCTCGCATTAGACCATTACATAGGTCCCTTTTGTCTTTTGAACTATTTAGCAGCTTTGAATCCTCTCAATGAATATTTCTTTTCTCTGACTTATCTAAGGTCTTTTTTCCATCTGGTGTTCCGGAGCTAGTTCAGTGATAGCCACATGATAACGTAGGTGGCTGAGTGTAGAATGAGGTTTTTGGATCCTAAAGCAATGCCAAACCAGACCGTTTTTTCATTCTTATCACTGATTTAAGTACAATATTCATAGGGCTAGATAATGTTATTATGCTGTGTACAAGATAAGCATAACGATATACACAGTAGGATCACGGTCGAGGCGCGAATGACCTGGAACCCTGGCAGTGGGCCCATGTCAATGACGTGATGTCACTCCCCAGCTTTCTTATAAAACCTTCCAAGGTTCCCGCTCCCCCTCCTTCACTTATCCATCACGTTTCTGGTAAGTCCTCTATTTACCTCCTTTAAAGATTTGTGGAGAATTCCAGGTGTTGACGACGAATTCCAGAAACCTTCCCTAATAATCTCACTCGCCACATTATGTCTTACGCCGACGCAGCCGCAAAGGGCCCCAAGCAATCGCCCGAGGAAGTAAGTGGTTCAAGCTCCTAAATCCGAATTGCAGCACTAACAGACGACAGGCGTGAGTCTACTAGCATCTAGTCAATTATCCCATACTTAACTAACAATTGCTTCAGCCGTGCCCCCCCTATGGGTGGAGTCTACCACGATGAATCCGAAAGCACAGCCTCGTTGATCGATGTTGATGGACCCCACGTGCAAACAGTGGAACCCGAGTTCCTTGAGCAAGACGTTCAGACCACAACCCAGGCCGAGCGCATAGAGCGCGAAGCCGAGGAGAAGGAGAAACGCAAGCGCGAAGAAGAGGAACAGAAGAGGGCCAAGGCTTCCAAGTCCAAGAAGAGCAGCGGTATCTGTGAAAACAGCAGCAACCCTGTCTTCCTGGCTAACGCCGCCATCGCGACTGTGATTGGCGCAGGCCTCGGCTTCGGTGCCTACAAGCAACACGCACGGGGCAACCTCTCCTGGGAGCTGGTCGGCCTGTCTGCTGGTGCCGTTGGTGTCTTTGGTGCTGTGGACTACTTTGTCAGCAAGTGAGTGTTGCAATTATCTTCGAATCGAGTAACCGCGATACTAATGCGAAGTCTAGATGGTTCCTGCAGAACAAGTTCCCCCCGAAATAGATGTGCCATGTTTCATGTCTTGTCCGGCGTTGCCTGATTGCTTTTTCATTTGATATACCAATCCCAGCTATTTTATGGTTCTACATTGTGTTAATTTGGCGAAGATGGAGTCTTACCCTAACGACGAGATCATTTCCCATCGATTAACAGTTGTACAACGTGATCGCTACCTCGATGTTTTGTACTTTGTAGCGATCAAGGACGCTATAGAATATGCACACCTAGCATAACTACCGTGTACATAGATAAAATCATAAAACTAGTCCGAAACCTGCAGCTGTCCGCATTGTACCTGAAGGCGGTGAATTACGTCAGAATGGACCCAAACAAGACCATCTGGCCTTCAGTTGGATCAGTCGACCACTTTGTGTTTGTGGGGAAAGAAAAGTCGCTAGCTCGGGATCTTTGCTATCACTTTACATTCCTGCCGGCAGTCCTAGTGCTTCATACTCCCCAAAAATACGCCTCGAAATTCAAGCCCATCCATACGGACATTGCGCCGCATCGACAACATGGTATGTTGTAGTTCGTCCTGTTCTCAAGTTCCATGACTGACATAAACAGAACTCACTCTTCAACTCTGCCTTGAAGCAATCATCCTCCATTCGCCGTGATTTGGACACCTTCTCACAGTCCCCGGCCACCTCCTCTCCAGCATTACAAGGTGCGCTCCTACTTCCGACTAGTTGCAACCCATATTGACTTCAACCTTCTAGGCCAGCTTGCAGCTTCCTTGGCATCGTTGTCCCGTACCGTCGATGACTATTCAGAACTTTCCAAGAAGGAGCTGATTCCCGAGAAACAACAAAAAGCTTTCGACCGCGTCAAGAACTTCCGAACTGAGCTTACAGAGTATCGAACGCAATTTGATCGACTGCGCAAAGAGCGCGAGGATGCCGTATGATTCGACTATTCTTCCATCGTGCGCTAGTACTGACTCAATCTAGCAATCGGTAACCAACCGCAATGAACTTCTAGGCCGTCGGCCACATCATGCAGCGACTCCCGAAAATCCCTATGCGCAATCCTCCCTCCCACAGACTTCAGCTTTTGCACCCTCATCCTCAGGCCTCAGCTTTGGCGCAAGCCCAGCGGACTACAATCGCGAAACCCATGCGCTCCGTGAGCAGAGCTTCTTTGCCAATACACACACACAATTGGACGAGTTCCTAGACCGAGGAAGAGCTGTCCTCTCCGATCTTGGACAGCAGCGTGAAGTACTCAAGGGTACCCAGAGGCGACTATACAGCGTCGCCAACACTCTCGGTATAAGTGGCGATACCATCCGAATGGTGGAGCGACGGGCGCGCCAGGACAAGTGGATATTCTGGGGTGGAGTGGTGGTTTTCTTCTTGTTCTGCTGGCTTGTACTGCACTTTTTGCGGTGACCAGGGTCATCTCTGTGGTTTTGGGTGCCTTGCAGGTATTGTTGGGAGAGTTTTGAGGGCTTTTTCTTTTTTCACCTATCAGGTACCATGTAGGTTCAGGTCTTGTATCTTGTATTCATCAGCGCCGGCGTTGGTCTTTGGTCTTTGGGGATGTTTAGGCTTGCCAATCGTCTATATTTATTCGAGAATGTCTAGTCTTGACTAGGTAGTTATTCAATTATACATATTCCTATTGTATTCGTGCTGGATGCGGCCATATCTAGCCCATTCGCTGGCGTAAGTAGTATCAAGAAGACTTCTTGACAACCTAGGGAGACGCATTATAAGATCAAATGGAACAAATTCGGAGTTCATTTCGCAGATCGTTCACAATACAACTGATGAGATACAAGCGTTCTCTATTACAAGAACATCTCATCTAACCCATAATGTGCGGACTAAACATCTGAATGGCTGAACTTGCGATCTGGACGGCGGCAGCAATTATTATACCAAACTCTGCCATCTCATTCGACTTTGTAGTGTCAAATGGACCGAAAGTGTTCATAACTAGAAATCCACCAGCGTTGCCTCCGTTCTTGAGATGATGTTCATACTCTTGCACAAAAGGTACGAACGTTAGGAAGAGCGCATGTCGGTTCTGCGAGATTAGAAGAAAGCTAGAGTAGAAGTTGCAAACATTAGTGCATCATTCAGATACAGCGATTTTGTTTTTATAGACGATCACTTTCAACTCACTGGTCATTGAAACAAGCCCCTGCTTTCCCTGACGAACTTAACCATCCAGCAACTTGACAAGCCTGACATATAGACCTCCCTCCGTCCAGACGCGGCTTGAGATACGTCCCAACCGATCAGGTGATAGTTCAAGAATGTTGTGTTCAGGCGGGACTGGTTGGCGACAAAACAAGTCCTCAAACTCGATGTCAAGGGTACTGCTGGGCTGGTGGTAATCTGTGCGCCGCGGCGAGATGTCGTAATAGACTGCCATAGTTGAGAGTTGAGACGTAACGGGGCCGCTGGTGTCGCAAGGAGCTAACCACCTTATCTAAAAAGAAACAGTCTCAACTCATGATCGATGTCTTTCGGTCGATAGACGGGCACGATGATGCCAAGCTTCACATGGCCCTTCGAGTTCGTGAGCCACCATTCCGCATCTGCCCGCAGCTTTCGATATGACTCCGATACTCTCACTTCGACCACGACGGTCGGCCATTTTGCATCGCGACCTGGAATAGGTTGCGTAGGGGCCCATGACTCGTCGGCCTCCTTGAAGAAGACACGCCTCGGACGCGCGAGGACCCTACCGGGTCAATCGACTCGTCCAGTCCCATATCGCGTAATAACAAGGCTCTCTTGTGAGATCTGGGTGCTTTCTTGTTCTGGGGAGTGCTAGTCCAGGAATACTAGGTCTCGAAGTTGTGGACGAGTGAGATGATTTGTGTCGGAGTAGCCAACGGCCCAAACATGAGACGATGTATAGGCAACTGGGCCATTCACCTCGCTTCCTAGCTCACTTGGGCGTTTCCGAATGGTATCGACGTGATCAGAAAGTGCTGACATTTTTGGCGTCCGAAATTATAGTCTTAGTAAATGTTAGGTAACTTGGAAGGCTTCCAAAGACTAATAAGTCATTTTTACTTAACCAATTGGATAACGTTAGGTTAGAGGTGATCGTCACACAGTGCCAGTGACGATGAAGGAAGGAGAAAGCAGAGACAAGAGAGAGGGGAGGTAAGGGAATAATTGAAAGAGAGGTAAGGTGCTCCTACCTAGTAGAGAAATAGGGAAGGAGAGGAATCTGGGAGAAGCCTTCAAGCGATGCTACGCCTTAGGCACCGAGGCAGACTGGCGGTCTAATCTGCTTCATTTAGCTTATGATATTTGATAAGGACATGTGATTCTTTAGCCTCTGCCTAAGGACATGACGATGGCAAGATATGATTATCGAAGAGTAGAGTCTGGTAACTACTAGACAGCATAGGGCGCTAAACCCAAAAGGTAACACTAACCTCGATACAGTAATCCATAGACAGTAGACTCGGGATCGAGATCATGAGGACGGAAAAATTCTCATCATCTACTTATATGCGGGACTTATGCTCTTAAGTATGGCATTCATAGGATGAGAATACTTACATCGTTTGCCATCTGATCTAACTTTTCTTTCTCTTCTTAACTGGCTTGGCCAGCCATCCTGATGCGCCCGCCATGAGCATCAGCATGGACCTTCTCGGTCTGGACGGTCTGGAGGGGTTTGATGCCGAAGACGCGCGTGAGTAGTTTTTCTGTTGCTCAATGAATAAGAATATCAAGTATTAAATCTACAACCCAGCACCTGTGGTTCCAATCTCAGCATCACAGTCCTTGAACGCGTCTGCCGCCTCCCGTGACCCAATCCCGACGGGTCTGCCGCGTCTGGACAAGAATTTGAATGACCTCCCGGAGCAGCCCAATCAAGGCGGAATTCTGCGTGGACATATTACAGAAGTATTTGGGCCCCCAGGAACCGGAAAGACCTCGCTGGCGTGAGTGCCCCTTTAATCACCCCGCTCCAATCCAATCTGACCGAGTTATAGGCTGAGCATCGCCCGCAATGCACTGCGCGATGGCAAGGTGGTCTGGATTGGTATGTCCCCTGCCAATTCCCCAACCAGCTACCCTGAATTACTGTACTCACACCGTTAGATACGGACTGCCCCTTACCCAGTCCCCGACTCGAGGAGATGTCCTTAAACGTCGATGATTTCATCTATTTTCGGGCTCATACGCTGGCACATCTTGTAGCCCTGCTTGCTCGTCCACCGAAAGGCTTTCCACCCCCAGAAACAAATCTGCTAGTTGTCGACTCGGTGTCGGGTCTATTCCCGGCTTATTTCCCCAGCTCGATAGAGCTCAAGGATCAGTTCGCCGAGGGCAAGATAGCCGATAAAGCACATCTGCAATGGCTGCTCAGTCGCAGGTGGAATATTGCTAGCGAGTTAGCTACGCACCTAGCCAGACTCGCTGCGAGAAACATCGCTGTGCTGGCTATCAATCAATCCCACACAAAGCTCCAGGGCGAACCCCATGCGACTTTGCAGCCGCTTCTATCGGGAAGCGCGTGGGAGGCCTGCGTGCAGACCCGCATTGCCGTATATCGTGATCTACCTGATGAGCGATGTGCAGACGTTGAGAAGCGCGCGGGTAAACCATTAACAGAACAAGAGGAGGACCTGAGCATTGCATTTTGTGTTGAATCGGTATGTCTATGTCTTGTCTTTTTGTATGCAAACCCTGCCTCTAACTTGCCTAGGATGGACTCTATGAAACCGAGAGAAAGGAGTTCCTATCATCTGATCCTGTGACCCCACCGCCCAAGTCCCCTGACTTTGAGTACTATGATCCTCCAACGCCGACTCCCTCGCCTATATCCTCTCTATTGTCCTCGGCGCCACCCACTCCTGAAGTGGAGTCTCCGAAACTACCATCGCCCAAGCTGGTCCCCCCGGAAAAGCCTCTGCCAACATCAAATAGGAAGCGGAAGATGGACGAGGTGGCTGATAGCCAGGACGAGGATGAAGATTCAGGGGAAGAAGAAACTCCCTGGACAGGCGAGGCAACACTGAACACGAATCAACGATGAAGTCATATATCATTTAGCGCAATTTACAAGCAATAAGACATAATCATTACTGTACACAGCCATGTTCATCCCGCCCTGTCAGACTCCACAAGGATCCCCCTTTGAACAACCCGGTCTCCGTCAGGTGGAGCCAAAAAATCCTTTGGCTCAGCTTGCTCATAACGCGTATCCTCAGTCTGGTCAGGCGTTTCAGGCGGTCTCTGCATCGAAGAGAGCGGGAACGTATCGGCAATAGCGATTGAGATAGGGTGTCTAGAACCTTGAATAAGATCGACCAAACGACCAAGCACAGCAAATTCAAGCTTGAGTTTGAGCGAGTACACAAACCCCTTCAGGGTGATCTGCACGGCATAGAAATCCGCATATTCGAGACTCAAAAGGAGCAAATCCATTGCGATAATCGCGCAGTTGATCCCAATCAACTGGTACATGATGCCCCGTGCATCTGGGCGTGAAGAGACGTCCGCCCCAAGACGTAGAAGCTTGACTGTCTCAATCACATACAGCGTCGACAGAAGACTCTCTTGGATCGTGAATCCGGTCAGCTGAATCTTCTCCATGACGTTGTACCCATTCACCCAGGCCACATCGCCGGTGCGCACGATGTTCGCCCCATAGGTTAAGATCGTGGTCGGCACATGCAGAAGAAAAACGTTTGCGACGATAAGCCGCAGCACCCGTCGCAAAATGCGCTCGTCCCGCAGCACAAGGTGCAGTCGTGAGTACAGCACGACCGATTGCCCGGTCACCATTGTCCACCACCCGATGGTCAATACGGTCACCGACAGCACCGAGTCGGACTGGGTAAAGAACTTCATCAGGAAGCCAATTGAGTAAGGGACGACGCCCACACAGCCTGTGGTGAGCAAGGACCAGAAGTAGAGCCCGCGCCACCGTCGGAACGTCGCTGCCACGAGCACGACCAGTTCTGCGACGTTGTAGCATGATAGTGAGATGAAGGTGAGCAGGATCATCTGTATCAGGTCACCCTCTTTCGCGAGGGTGCCGGATATACCATCCAGCACGTCCTGGGGAACGTCGGACATGATCAAGGGAGAACTCAGAAATTCATTCAAGGTTCGAAGGTGGAATGAGTGACCGGACTCGCAGGAGTCTCGTTCACCACTGTTTGATATGCCCACATGTTCTAATGGGCCAGGATGGGAATGAAAGGAGTTTGAACAAACGAAAGAAGAAATGGCGGAAACGAGGGTGTGGATGTCAATATAGACTGGTCGTACAGGGTGTGGCTGGCCAGAATGTGTCAATGCTCCCTCTGATCATGCAGGTTACCAAGGCTTGGCCTGTGCGCATAGATGGGAAGAGGAAAGGAAAAAGAAAGGAAGAAAGGCTTTGAGGTCAATAATAGGGGGAAGCCTGAGGACATCCCTCGAGACATCGTAGCCGAAGGCCGTTGAATGGCGTCCCGACTGGCCGACACCGGAAGAAATTGGCGGCCGTACTCCGTAGTGGCCTGATATTAATCTTACGCATCCTTCGATGTTGTGATTTTATATAATCAAATTAAAAGTAGGGGGTGACTCTACGTTTGCTTCTTTTGAAGCATTTGGAACAGCTATTTACATACGCACTTGAATAGAGAGGGAGACTAAGTAAGAAAGCGGTGCGCCGTTAGCCGTCTATGGTTGGCTTCGCGATGTATAATTAGAAATCGAAATCGACCAGACAAAAAGGAAATATTTCATTCAAGTCTACAGAATCATGTGTACTCGTTCATAGATTGGTCAGGTAGTCCTCAATCTGCTCCTTGGTCAACTTCCGGAATCGTGGTCCCTGAGCACCCTCCACTCCTTCGAAGCCCAGCAGGTGATCAGCTGGCGGGCCAACAATGCCTAGAATGGTGTTAGTGGATTGCCAACAATCATAGAGTAGCTATGCAGCTGGAAAGGGACGCAAAACAGCCCTAGACCCAGACTTACCGATTTCTATTGTGTCACCATTCATCTCACCCTCAATCGTCTCCTTGAGTGTCAACAAGGCAATGTGGATGGCATCTTCCAACTCCAACCCTTCAGTGTACCGCTTCTCGAGGAAAGTCTTGGCACTCGTTGCGTGTTTACCAATGGCCGTCGCCTTCCACGGGTAGTAGCTGCCGCTGGGGTCGACCTGGTAGAGACTGGGACCACCCTTCTTGATACCGCCAGTCTTGCCGGAGGTCTTCTCCTTCTTGTCGCCCTCCTTAGCCTCTTCCGACTCGGGCTCAATACCCTCGTCCCAACCTGCAACCAACAGACTCACACCGTATGGACGCACACCACCGGATTGCGTAGCTTCTTGCACTACCCGAGCAACATCCTGAACCAATATACGGGTGGGTGGGTATTCGTTGTAGATGCGCTTGTAGCCTGTGTGTGAGACCTTGCGGGCCTTATCGACCAGCACGCGGTAATCGGGACCCATACCGGCATAGACCATGCCGATATCTGGTGTGATCAAGGAGATCTTGGACAGAGAGGGAGGATCAATCAGAGGCGAGGATGATTTCTTCTCAGTCGCGAGCACAATGCCGTTCGTAGCTATACCGGGAGCGGTCAGCTTAGCCCTGAGGTGGGAGCGCTCTGGAGGTTTGCGTACCTTTGATTCCGAGGGCGGTCACACCCTGGTTGACTGCATTCAAAGCATATTCTATTTTAATCAGTATCGATGCATAACCCTAAAGACGATGGTCCCTACCGATTTGCACCAGCTTTCCGCTGTAATAGAGCTCGAGTTAGCGGTGTCAATTCAACGGGGACCAGCCACCCTTACCTGGGGGAGAATGTAGTCAACGAGAATGAGTAACGGTCCGCCATAATTCGGTGTCAAGAGGAAGGAAGGAGGAGATGGAGAGATCAAACGAAGGGGAGCTGTGTTGTAGGCAGAGATGGGTGACGTTTGACGCGGTAGAGCTCACCAAAGGCGGTGACCCCATCGGGCTTAGCCGTGGGGGGTTGGCGAACCTCGGGCTTTTCTGCTTTTCCTCTTTTCTCTTGTCTTCTCTTTCTTCCATTTACTACTTTGACATATTTCAAGACAAGATTCAGTAATTCTTCTCTCGGCCTTCGATTGTCAAGGCTCGAGCAGACCTCGATGTGAGAACCCAATGGCAGACACGCAGAATTATCCTCCACGGGTCTGTCGCATCTGCCTAGAAACCGTGCTGCCCACTTTTCAACCTTCAGAATTTCTCCAGAAGCCTCGAGTGGTTTATGAATCCTCCGATCCGGAATCTGGTCGTTTGTTAAGTCCTTGCCAATGCAAAGGCTCCTCGCGTTATGTCCACGAGGGTTGCCTGCAGTCATGGCGCCATGCCGACCCCAAATATGGGACAAGAAACTTCTGGGAATGTCCTACCTGTGGCTTCCAGTATCGTCTCGAGCGTCTAACCTGGGCAAGTTGGATCAGTAGCACTACTGCCCAATTAACTCTCACCATCGGCATTCTTTTGTTAACCGTATTCCTGCTTGGATTCATTGCTGACCCCATCATCGAGTTTTACCTGGGCCCTGTGGAAGTCTACACTGAATTGGTGGAGGAAGATGCATCCTGGCTGGAACACTTCCTCAAGGGACTGGCATCTTTGGGCCTCTTGTCCTTTCTGAAGGCAATATTTGCGCTGTCGCCTTTCCCTTGGAACCTACGATCTGTGGCATCAGGTCGCAATTCAAGCCGTAATCGGGCCGCCCAGTTGAACTGGCTAATGATTATCGTTGGCATTGGGACTTTCCTTTGGGTATGTGTGATCATCTTTTCATGACTATTTGACTGCGGCTAACAGTTGATAGGCTGTTTACAAAGGAGTTCGCTCATGGAGTAGACGCACTTTAGAAAGGGCTGGCGAACGAGTCATGGACGTATCACTCCCAGGGGATGAGAGTGACCCAGCTGTCCCACCAGGTGAAGGTCACTCTGGAGTCAAGACAGACTAGTTCCAAGCATGAACTCGCACTACTTAAGTTGCCGTCCTCCTCTGCCCCATGAGACGTCGATTAGTCAATGTGCGAAGAACACTACTGCCTTCGATAACTCTTGTCTGGTCTGCCTGAGAAGCAGATGAATGATTTGAGAACGTTTTGTACTCGAGCCACTCGCTGCTTCACTAATCAGGCAGCCTCTTGGGGAAGGCAGTCCACCACTCAATTCCATGAAGCGTTCTGACTTCTTCGAGTCTACAACCAATAGCGTCTTTGGATTGAGCAGTGGGAAATTCCTCTATCAATGCATTCTGTCATTCTGTCACAAAATACACATAACTAATGCGAACAAGAATATCATTTCATTTGCCTGTCTCCCATATAAAAGAAGTGGCCCTCAAGCCTCACTATCCTTGTAAGCCCCAAGCTTGAACAGCTTCTTCGCATTCTCCCGGCCAATCTTCAACCGATCGGTATTCGACATCTCGGCCGAATCAAACCAGTCACAGGCATCCTCAAACGTCTCAAACGGATAATCAATAGAGAACAGAATGCGATCCGAGCCAACCTCCGCCATACAAAAGTTAAGCGTGGTAGTCGAGAAATGTCCCGAGGTGGTAATCCACAGATTCTCCGCGAAATACTCCCGAATCGTCCGCTTACACGTCTCCTGCAGCCCGAGCATCTTCTTCCGATCCTCGAACCAGTGGTTAATCCGCCACATATCGAAGGGGATATGCTCCCCCAAATGTCCAAGAATCACCTGCAGCTTTGGGTGACGGTCAAAGACCCCGTTGGTCACCATGCCCAGCGCGTGAAGACTGACGCCGTGCGCAAAGGACAGTGGCGGCCCGATGAGCCATTTTCGGTCTGCCCAGAGTTTTTCGTAGATTGTTCCCGTTGGGTTGCGCGGGTGGAGATACAGGGGTACGTCGAGCTCGGTGCATGTCGCCCAGAAGACGTCCCATTTCTCGTTATCGTAGAAGATCATATCATCGCCGTCGGCGCCGGCGCGCTGTGTGTCATTGACGAGTGCTCCGAGGAACCCGTACTGTGTTACACAGCGTCGCAGCTCGGCGGCCGCTTCTTGTGGGTCATGCATGGAGAGCGTGCTGAATGTGTTAGTATGGGTGTACTCTGCTATAATGGTGTGGATATTTTGGGTTGCACTCACGCAAAAGCGGCGAATCGGTCTGGGTGCGCTTTCACCTTCTCCGCAATATAATCATTGATCTCAACGGCCAGTGCCTGCGCATCCTTTGCATCCCAGATGTCTTGCACGCCAGGTGCTGTGTAGCTGAGGATCTGGAGACCGACGCCGTATCGCTCGGCGAAGTCGAGGCGAATTGGTCCGACGTCGTTGATCTCAGCTGTGTGCTTGTCTGTGTCGGTTGCGAACATGCCCGCCCACCATTTTGTCTTCTCCTTGAATCGGGGAAGCGCAAAGGCTTCTTCGAGTGCGATTTTGCCGAGCATTTTGGACCTTGGTTGTTTCGGAGGGATGGTGAGAGAGCTTGAGAATGCTGTCATGTCGCAGCCATCCCATTTATAGCTATATGCGGGGACCCCGCATCTCGGATTGCAGGCATTGTAACCTTGCGTCACAGTGTATATAGGTCGGATTCGGAAAGACCGTCGGATGAAGTTGTACTCGAAGCGACGGTGACGGGGGTAGACGCGGTCCGCGCGGTCCGCCGTTGCGGGTCGGATGTGGGGAGCGCGGGATAGCGGCCATGATCTATATCGGATCTTAGGAGTTGGTCTTGAATGCTAACACCTATGTCGGCCAAACATTTGATAACATAAATTTGATATACGCGTTAGTTTAGCTACAATCTTTAACTCCTTTTTACCAATCTCAACATATACCTATGGGTCGTCAACATTAGTGAATCCATACATTCGAATGACCGCTAATATCTACAGCAGTGTCGGCCCGGGAGAATCACATCGTACCTTTCAATCTTTCAGAACACGGCATTTGCTATTTCATACCTTCTCTTGATAATCTCAAATTTGGCTATATAACTAGCTGATAACATGAGGTAAAGTATACCTATAGGGACATGCCCCGTGGTCAGCTTCGTAAAAAGTATGCAGCAATCCTACTCAGACTTCGCAACAACCTTGATTCCACATTGCTCCTTTGGCCGACAAGTCGCCTGATCATTCCAATCAGGAGTAGGTGGGTTATTCATTCTTGCTCCCTCACCATCAACCATAGTAATATTGAATCGCATCAGAGCACACGCAACCACAAGTTTGATCATTAAAGTACCAAGCCGCTGGCCTTTGCAAGCATGCTTGCCCGCCCCCCAGGTAAGGGAAGGAGTACCTTGTTCAGTGGCTCGTGAGGGATTCCACCGGAGTGGTTCAGGGTAAAAGTTCGGGTTGAGAGCTGTGTCCGAGAATGGATACATAACCAGTGACCCCGAGGGGATCGTATATGGCCCGATTGTAATGTCTGGGCCGGTATTCTTGCGCACCGCCGTATATGGCTGAGAGGCGCGCAATGTTTCGCGTATGCAGATATCAAGGTTCGGGGTCTGTGATTCCCAGGCCGAGAGTGGGATCTCAGACAGCGTTTGGGTGAGGTCTCCCCCAGTGACCGAGGGTGACGAGGAGGCATGGGTGGAAATGAGAGTTTGAATCTCTTGTTCAACAGCCAGGAACCATTTCGGATGGGATGCGAGGTTCATGATAACCCATGACACTAGAAGAGATGTCAACCGCTGTTTCTTCTCGTATTAACCTTATGAATAGCAGACGTACATATTGTTCCGGTGGAACGAGATCCGGCCAAAGATAGCCCAAGCATGAACTTCGGGGAAGATCAGTTAGCAACATTTCGGGAACTTGGGCTGCAGAAGATCACTCACCCCGAAGATGTGAGTTGTGCTCCCTCCATCGTCGAGCATTTGCTGTAGCATATCGTCTGCTTTGATGCCGCTTCTTTTTCTGGCTTTGATGGCACTTTGAACAGATCTATAGGTTTGAATTGAACATAAAATCTTCTGAAAGAAGACTGGGCCAGGCAGCCATGGTAACCACGTCGAGTGTGGGTTACCAGGATTATCAACGCCATCAAAGAGTGGTTTGAGATGGGACAAAAGTATAGGATCATTGGCAATATCAGCACAGGCAATGCGCATGATCAAGTGGAAAGTGATCTAGAACAAATCTCAGTGATATCTTCCAAAGGTAAGATTTGGATCTACGAACCTGGTGAAAGGAAGAGCAAGGGTCGAGGTTCCGCTCGCTACCCCAGGAGTTCATTGCACGCTGACAATCGGACAGCAATAGCGGGATGACTAGAGGCGGATGCACATTAGTTGATTATCTCTTCTCGCCTTGTAGGCATAGACTGACAGTTCTGAAGGATACCAGGCCGTTGCATTGAGGCCATTCGCTTGACTATGCCGCTGACTGTATGAGGATCAAAGCTAGCACCCTGGGAAAAGAGGGATTAGTTATCCGCAACATCAGGCTCACTGAGAAGGGAGTTTACCCTGCCAATCACGATGGAAAATGTGTCATATAGAGCGAGATCTTTGGTCTTGAAGAAGACTTCTCGACCTACATCCGTAGAAAGCACAATGGCATTGTTCTTGAAGAGAGTAGTCTGCCAAATTGAAGATGAGGTAGCCCTGAACCCAGTTTGGATAAAATCAAACCTCTTCTCAAAGAAGGACTGCGTGACTTTCCATCCTGGTAGTTGCAGGATGGGAGGGGATTGTCCTTTCCTGGAGGGAGGTGTCACCGGCAGGTATAATGTGCAGATCAATGCAAAGAGCACCAGAACCACCGACGCCAGGCCTCCCAGCTCTCGGAAGGCCACCGAGTCAGGACGGGCAAGTATAAGATGAGCCAAGGCGTCTTGCAACATGGTGAGATGAAAGTGTCCCTCGGAAGAAGTCAGGGTCTTGGGTCGCAGTTAAGTATCCGGATGACTTCTTTACCTCCCGGGATGTCTGTCCTTCAGGATCGTCCTTCTCTTCGAAGTGGAGGCCTCAATTGCCCATGTTGGTTGAGGTGACATGAGGAATTGAGCCGAGATGCTCGAAAGCCAAAGTTAGGATATTCGCCGTTCCTTCCCATATCACATCATTCTAGGATCCTCGGCCCACTTACTTGAATACTAAGCTGGTCTTACAGTCATGATGTTGGGATTTAGTACTTTAGAGCCGCTGTTGGTTGTTGGTTTTTGTCTCAGTTCGTGTCAGCATTAGCGTTCATGCATGCCATATGGGCCGAGACTGACGGGCCGTTGATTAGTTTCTCCTAGTTGATTAAATCTTCCCGATTTGGTTATTCTTATACTACTCACTGCATAGTTCTCATTTGCATGGGTTAGTTAGCAGATTGTGGTGTCTTCATCCATGGGTCCTCTCAGCAGATAGCTTATTCCCTCTTCAATTCAGTCAAGCCTTTCAGGTCCCATACCCCCGTCTATCTTCGTAGATCACAGTAGTCACCCGACGTTCCATCAGTATCGGAACAAGCATCGTGTTCGGACTCTCTGTTGACTGTTAGGTTTGGTCAAGTATGCATGCACCAAAGTACAGCTGCAAGTCTGACGGGTACCAACATCTCTCGCATATGATGCCCGTAATATGCCTTGTAGTATGCCCTTCTTACAAGGTACTCCACTTTGCATAAGCGCCATAGAGCCTCAGTCGTGCAGAATGGCAAGGTTCAGGTATGGGGGCCAAACAGCCTACCCTGGATAGAAATCTCGCCTTACATTTCCGAGTATGCATTGAACGACAATGAGCAATATCCTAAAATGATTCATCTATTCTTCTTCCACATATTCTATGGTTCAAGTCTCATATATCCTCAGTACCTATAGCTTTCCAATTGACTCGCAATTGTACTCCGTACTTCTGCCCGCATATAGTACATCGTCACCAACAATTCGAACATCGGCTCGACGAACTTTGAGCCAACTTTACCGATGTGGCTTGCTTGTGTTCAATGGCTTTGTCAAAGACCAACAATCATAGGTATCTTTCTTCGCTCGGGGTTTTATTTTAGTGTGCATATAAGCGCAGCCATGATATGCCGATTAGCGCTGTCGAGTACGCCACAATACTAGGGCTGACCTGTGGAGACCCTGGCCAAGCTAGAAGATGACACAAAAACCCTGCGTCCTCATCTTCCGTTTACATAGAGATATCTTCTTGACTGGAACGGTGTCGTATTGTCGGGATAAAAGTGCCTCTTTCTTCTTTATCGTCTGGGCAGAGGCTGAGAATTGCTCGTATTTCCGAGTAAATTGTGGACAGGAGCGAAAACGCATTAGATCACGGGAATTGAAATGATTCAACTAGCCTGGCAGCTTTCTGCCGGCCTTGGTAATCGGCGCTGGCTTGCGAACGAGGCAGAAGGGCTATAACTACTCTTCAGCCTCAGACGACTCGTCTTCACAAAGAAAAGTGCTGCTCATCTTCTCAGCCTCTTCATATTTCTCCTCCAGCAGCAAAGCGACAAGGTCCTCGCGTTCCTTCCCGGGCTTCCCCATCGTCTCGGTAGGGAGGCTTGTCTGAGCGTGCTATTGTTTGTGTATGCGACGAATGTTCGTCGCTTTTGGTCACGTGGACAATATACTAGTAACTGTGATCACGTGGTGATCACTGACCACCAATAGGCTCCATTCCCCAGTGAGTTAGTGACTGGAAGAATCTGGGTAGTGGGTACTCCGTATGGTTCCCAGTTTCCCACGCCAGATCTATGTCTCACGTGATGTGATTATTAGTCATGACTCATGAGGTTTCGGGTTTTCTCATTTCTGTTTACATTTCCTCATTTCTTTCTCCCTAGCTTCTTACGCGTGCCCCTTTCACCGCATCTCATACTCTCAAACCTTCACCCACCACCCTCACCCGCAGCTTTGTTCTACGTCTTTAAGAATGGATCCTGAGGGTATCTTTGCAGCATGTGCCGGAGAAGCCGTCAAGTAGATGAGTTTCGAATCAACAAGCAAGGGAAGCGAAAGAAAACTTACGAGCGGCATTCTAAGAAACGTCCATTGGAGGTCAATGACTGGGAGAATTTAACTGAGGTCCTTCGCAATTGGAATCAGCGAGTGAGTAATCTAAACTGACTACGCCTTGCTCATAGAACCAATTTGAAATACTGGACGGCAAATACACATTTGCTTTAGATGCTCTACCGGTCGACTTTCGTTCTCTACCAGTGCAGGAGAATGCATTCCTTCGATTGGCGCTAAACACGGCAATGCGGAAGCTCACTGACATTATCCGGGACGAAGGAGGATTTCGGTTCACGCATATGGCAACAAATGGCGCAGGCTCTTCATATACGTACCGCTGTTCCCAAGATGTGATGAGTATCAAAACGTATGACTCTACAGTGGAGCCAGAGAAACGACGGGGCGGTCGACGCATGCAGCGATTCCCATGCGAGAGCAAGCTCTGCATGGGCCCTTGTTTACTAAGTCGAACCCTGACCCTTTCGATCCATCAAAATGGCATACGCCCTACGTGAATATCGAGGTACCACCAATGGTGCACGAAATGATCAATGCGCGCGTGTCAAGCAAGACTCCATCGGAGATATTGATTGCGTGATATTTGCGCCTTGGGGTAACCGAGTAGGCTTCAGTTAGGACTTCAGTTAGAGGCTGGGGCACGAAGCCTCTGCCCCGGCCTGCCTTCACCCGCCTACGCGACCTTGGGGGGCTGCGACTTCATGCCCCAGCCTCTAACTGAAGTCCTAACTGAAGCCTACTCGGTTACCCCAACTACATGTTTGCGCCGTTTGTGCTCTCAAGCCCAGACGGGGGAAAAGTTATATCTTTCTCTGGGTTTGCGATCCAAACGAACCAAACAACCGGCGTCTGCATCAACTGCCTGATCCAGTCTTCCCTCCTTTTTTCTGTTGCATCAGCATGTCGGCACTCTTTCTGTTATTTTTTCCCACGAGGTTTTTTGCAGTTTTGATGAGGCCGGCTGGTATCTGCTGTTTTCAGGCATTTTCCTTCTCCTTTTTCTCCTGTACATAGCCGTAGCGTGGGGGAGCTTTCGATCAAATTGGAAAGCCTATGAGGTATTCATAATAATCTGAATGGTCTACTTCAAGTATTAAATCCCACATCTTGATCTGCAGCCAACTCCTCCCTCTCATACAGAACCTCCGGTCTTACGTCCCTCCTCAACAAATACCGCCTAACAAAATATCCAATCTGCCGAAGACCATATCGCGCATGAAATCTTGTCGGCACAGAGAACACTTGATCCAACTCTTCCAGCGTCTTTCCCTTTGTCTCCGGCATAAATAGGAGCACCAACCACCATCCAACCAGACACCAGCTCCCATACCAAGCAAATGCACCTTGTGCCGTGAAGGCAGCCAGCAGGGATGGCCACGTCACGCCCAGAATAAAGTTAAAGAACCATGTCGTTGCAGTGGCTAGCGCCATTCCGTAGGACCGGACGTAGAGTGGGTATGCCTCGGCTGAGTAGGTGAATGGCACTGGTCCCTCACCGGGTGAGTAGACAATACCAAAAAGATAGGTTCCCAGTACAATGCAGCCAAGACGTGCATTGTGACTACTCTCTGGAATCCAGAAGCTGAAGCCCGTGAAAAACATGGCGAGAGACATTAGTGGGAAGGTCAGTAGTAGCAGGTTGCGCCGGCCGAAGGTGTCGATTGTGTAGATCGCCGGTATGGCTAGCAGCCAGTTGATGACACCCCAGCCTAGTGAGGCACCTAAAGCTGCTGGTGGAGAGAATTTGGCCTGTGAAATTTTCTTAGCGTTTGAGGTGACAGGGAGTAAGTCAATCCTTCAAACTGACCTCGAGGAATATCTCGGAAGAATAGTATGCAATAACATTGACGCCGCAAAACTAGTGGGAGTCAGTCCTATAAATCCTCCATTCGATCACTTTGTGAGGAAAGAATGTTCCTACCTGCTGCATGAACATGACAGTCTGCGACGCCAGCATCGCTCGCCGGTTCCGCGGGACTTTGATCAGTTCCAGCAACTTGTTCCGCCCAAGTTTCATACTACTCTCCGCTTCCAACAGAGTATGCATGTAGTACAGGTCACGAGCAGCCTGGATTTTATGATGTCGCAGTGTACACATCGACTGATACGCACGGTAATACTGCTTCTGACTCATATACCAGCGCGGCGACTCCGGACAAGCAAAGACAAAGCAGCAAACCACCACAGCTGGAAACATCGCCGAGGCCATCATACAGCGCCAATTCAGGCCGACGATCGTACTGGACTCGACATTGTAAAAGATGAGGTCGGCTGCATAGCCGATCATGAGCCCAAATGCCGTCCACATCTGCCACTGCATGACCAGGGCACCTCGAATAGATGGCGGCGCGGTTTCGGCTGCGTACATTGGTACTGTGGCGGATTTGGGACCAATACCAAAGCCAAGTATGAACCGTGCGATGAACATCGACCACCAGGTCGAGACAAATCCTTGCCAGAGACAGGCGATCGCAGAAAAACAGCATGTTATGAAGATTGTGCCACGGCGCCCAAACCAGTGATTGAATGGGACGGTTAGCCAGCAACCGATGAAGGCACAACAGAGGTAGGGTGCCGAATTGACCAGGCCGACGAGCCAGGTGCTTCGAGAAGAATCATCGCCGATTCCGAATTGGTATTTGTAGAATATCTGAGCTCCGTTCACGACCGTTTCATCTGTGAGTGTCAGCATTGTCATCATGAAAGCAGGTTTGAATGGGTACTTACCCATTCCCTGAACCGCAGCTGATAGAGAGCATAATGCAATCACGCCATACATCTTCCACGGCTGGGACCAGCGATGTGTGAACTCCCGACTCAGTACTTGTTTCTCCTGACTCGTCAGACCAGCGACATTGGCATATCGTTCCGGAGACTGTGCCAATACAGCGCCCAGCTCAAAGGCACGAATGTCGGATCCATCGCCCATCTCATGGAATTCGGCGAAGGTGCGCCCCTGATTCCGTAACTCGGTATGGCTGAACCCAGCCAGCGGGTTAGACAGTTTCGCATTGAGATTGCGTCGTGCGCGCTCGGCCGCTGTCCCAAATGGCCGTTGCGGCACGAATTTCTCGGACGGCGTGACGTCGACTTTTCCCTTCTGTTTCATCATCCTCCGTTGAATCTACAGGAGTTGGTGTGAAAAAAATGGTAGAAGTGTGAATGCTCGGTTTTTAGAGCTGGAGTGACAGGGGTGTCCCCGAGACAAAGAAACTCGAACGCAACCATAACATGCGACTTTTGAGTCTATTCTCGGGGGCATGTGCATGTACAGTGACATTCAGGTGGATCTGTCAAAGCATGGAAGCACCTGTCAAAGAACAGGCATACGGTTTAGAGGGTTCATATTGGGCTAGTCAACGATTCTGGGAAGGGGTGATTGGCATAAGGTAAAGGCCCTAAGGGGCTTGCGGACAAAGAATCGCTCTGATCTGCTCGTAGGTTGCCCGGTCCTAGGCTGTGCCTGCATATTTTATTGACAGTCAGTCGAATGGAAAGACCAAATGAGTGTTATTGAGGGATGGTTGGGCCCTGGGTTTCCCTGCTATAGTTGCCGTCCCCGTACCGATTAAGTTCGCAGTGACTTAGTACTCATAGTAGAAGATCGATAGACATTAGTACAGGTTGCCGAATGGCCAATTGTGGCCAGATCGAAGACCGTTGTAGGCACGCAGCGGTGGCCAGATCATTCGGCAACTACAGTCCCTCCGCAAAAGTTTCCGTGGATGCGGCCCCACACCCGCGTTTTTAGAACGCGTGCCAACCAACTCACCTTCTTCAAACACCTACCATAGTTCCCAGAACGCCCTTACGTCCTAATAATTTAAACAAGGTAAAGGGAAGTGAGTTATCTTCATACATATGCGGTAAATTTATTGGCCAAGCTGAAGTTGGGACTCCCACAGCCACTATTGCGCGACACTATAGTTTATCCCCTTCAACCATCCAATATACCCTTGCACAAGAACGCGCCCGAGCAGATGGGAAGAGCTGCCCTCGACCTGGGAGACCCCCTATTCTCTCTGAGGGTGGCAAACGCTTGAACCTGCGCTTAATTACGCGCGATCCCTCTATCGTGTACTGAGAAATTTGCGAATAAAGCGGTTTAACGGCTTAGGACGACACCCTTTTTCGTCTAGTGAATTCCTCGGGCTATGACCATTGAAATGCTAAAAGAAAACCCTTCCTGACTCCGGAAGTGGCCGCACTACGTCTAGAATGGGCTTTGGCCCACTGGAATTGGATGTGGGATGAGTGGAAGCGAGATGTGTGGAGTGATGAATGTTCCGTCGAGATCGGAAAAGAGAGGCCCGACTGTTTGGTCTTCCACTTGAACCACGTCAACGAGAAGTATAAAAATGAACATGTGACCACATGCCAGAAGTTGAAAGGTCTCTCTGTCATCATTCGGGGCGCGATCTGGGGTGGTGGTTCCTCGAAATTATACCAAATGGTTCGAGATGAGGCATCCGCCCGAAACGGCTACTCAGCACGCACATATCTCGATGTTTTAGAGGAATATCTACTCAAATTTTCGATGATATCAACCGCATATTCATGTAGGATAACCCCCCGGTTCATACGGCTCGTTTACCCAAGTCGTGGTTGGATGAGCACGAATATGATGTGATGAAGTGGCCTCCGTATTCGCCGGATCTGAACCCTATCAAACATGCCTGGGCTAAGCTCTAAAAAATGATGATAGGATAAATCCGGACCTGTAATCATTTGCTGGGACCCCTTGTGCATTAAAAGAGCATTTTTCCAATTTAATCGACCGGGCGTGGGAGGAGCTAGGCCAGAATTACTTTGACAAGTTGGTGAGGACGATGAACCACAGGGTTGAGGCTGTTATCTCCTCTCAGGGGTGGTACACTAAATATTAGACTCTCTAAATAATATCATTAGATTAATCAAGCAATTCCCCGTCGAATGATCCTATTTTTACTGTGATTACAAGCGATGGCTGATGTAAATTATTTACTTCAAACTCATGGGTTCAAATATATATATTCTCGGTGGGGCGGGTCCACGGAAACTTTTGCGGTAGAACTGTACATCGCAATATGCATCTCCGGCCAACAGGCGTCAATGTGGATTACGGGACGTATCTATTGAAGAGGGGAACGCTCTAAGGCTGTGTGCTCTGAGGCACACGGGTCGATTCAGCAAGTACCACCTAGCATAGCATCAGACCAGAGGAACAAAGAGGTTGGGCGCTTGCGCACAAGAAGTGAAATCAGAGATGTGTAGGAGTGTGTATTGCTAACTGAAGCTACCTCGCGACTATATCTCCAGCGCAAAACTGCAGACGTAAGGAACGCTCACGTGAGAACCAAGGGAGTGGACAGGGGAAGCATGCCTGTAGGGGGAGGTCACACCTCCCCACTACACTATCTACGATGAAGCAACGCACACTGCATCGAAGCTATAGAATGAAAAGGAGCGACAATCTGTGGAAACCTTTTGAATCATGTTAGCGATGATTAAAACAACTCGACATGAGAACAAGGTCAAAAGCTCTATCAGATAACAATTTGGTACAATTTTGATCAACATTATAGTTCAGAACAGGTCTGTGTGAAAAGGTTGCTTCATCATAAGAGAGGGAGGAAAAGTATCTGAAACTTACTGTTGAACAGTCAAGCTGTCCCTTCAAACCATTCTTGAGGTGAATGTTTGTATCAGGAACAGCTGGTCTAGAGGTCGCAGAGAAGGCCTCTGCGCCTCTGTAAAAGTAAAGCCGAACAAAGCTTCATCATTCTTCATCAGCCTATACCAATTCACAAGGGTGACAGGGTCAAGGTCGTATCTTCAGAGCCACTGCCATTTGGATGTGCAAAGAGTGCTAAAGTCAAGAGATGAAAAGAAGAAGGAAAAACAAAGTGAAAAAATAGTACCAAGTGGAGTGTGCTTTGCATTGTTTGCACCAACTAGAAAAAAAAGTGGACGATAGCAAAACAGAACAATTCATTTCTCGGCGTTTGTACTGCAAATTGTTTGTATTCTTTGGCTTGTATATCTTCAGATACGCTTGTGCCATACCTTTTTTTTTCTTTTCTCTGGTTCTGAATCATGGCCGATACAGAGAGTCCAAGACTGGAGGAGCAACATAGTGAGAGATCTTCAATAAAATCCCCCAAAGAGTCTCGACTAATCATCTAAATTCTACAGCTCCAACCAAGCCTCATGCAAATGTCCGTACCGATGGCCGAGCCTTCAATTCCCCCAACTGGCGTATGAAGGTCGAAAACCCGGCACCTTCTACAAATGCTAGCCCCGCCAGCCCCAACCCTACGGTCCCTATCAATACCACCCGGGCAGCCTTCAGTCGACCCGGAGCGCACGTCCCCCAAGCGATCAACGATGGCCGCCGCCTATATGTGGGCAACATGCCCTACACGGCCAAGACGGAGGATGTGGAGGCGCTTTTTGGAGCGTCCAACTTCCCCATGTATGCCTACACTTGAACCAGATCTATGGCCATGAATTATCGCCCACTGAACTCCCCTTCATAGCCAGCGCATTGATATTGCCCTTGACCCTTTCACCGGCCGAAACCCTTCGTACTGCTTCGTCGATTTGCAGAACAAGGACGATGCCGAGCGTGCCATGAGGGAGCTGGATGGCCGCGATATGCTGGGTCGCCCTGTCAAGATTAAGCCCGGTGTTGTCAAGTCTCGCGAGCGCATTCAGAACCCACCTACCCCCTTTCGCATTGAGCGCTGGCGTCCACAAGACAAACCGAGCTTTGCGAAGATTAACAGCGACTCTAGCAGTCGCGTGTATGTGGGTGGGCTGCCACGAGTGACCGATCATGACCTTGTGCAGACCAAGATCGAAACTTTCTTCGAGGGATTCAAAGTGTAAGTTTGGGTGGCTTTTCTGATCGTGTGATTGATATTAATGGCCTTGTGATTATAGTGAGAATGTCAGCAAAGTCTTCACCCCTCACCCCGCCAAGCAGTTCGAACCCGGCGATCACTATTATCTGTTTGTCGATGTCGACACTCCCGAGGCTGCCGAGAGAGCCATGCGGACTCTAAATGGGCGTCAAGGGCCATGGGGTCGTCCTTTACGGGTACAATTTGCTCGTGGTCCTAAGGTTGATTCTGAATGAGCTCCCAGGTTCTTGCTACTTGAAAATACCCTTAATAATGATACGTCTCACATTTGCATGAGCTATGATACCTGAAAAGAATACACAATTTCATTCACGATTTCTCGCTAAGTTCTTGTTGGCTTCCCTTTTCTTTTCGATTAGTGCCTCGGTACGATGAGGTTATAAAGCTGTGCTATTAACTAGATAGCGAACGGAGAGTCCAGCTCAGCTGTGAGGATCCATGGAGTAGTGCCAATCTGCTACAGTCTACACAGTAGTTAACACATAACTACTAGCAAGTTAGTTTGCTCACTCGATTTGAGCTAGGGCTATGTCATCATTCTCCTAGATCCCCCGCTAGATCGACACTTGCAGCATTGACTTGCTCAATGCAAGAATCAACATCCTGCTTCTTTCACATTAGTGAATAAGTCTACAGTGCCTACTGTATTGGCCTGACCTGTGTGTACAAGATCAGTCTTATCTATAGATTAGAAACCAGTTGTATGTAGAAGATTCAATGATCCACGAGATGACGTTTAGTGGGGAAATCCAGACCAAGACTCACCGCATTAATTCTCCCTGAATCTTGTCCATCACGTTTCTTTCTTTTTTCTTTTATTTTCTTTCTTTTTTTTTTCCAATTCTCTGACTCTCATACATATGTGATTTCTGACTATTCACTATATCAATCCTTCCACATCTTGTTCAATTCCCCCTTCACCTCCAGACCTATGTTCAGTTGGAAATCAACTTAATTCCTCCGGCTTCGGGTCGGAACTGCCCCCTAAATCTCCCGAGATCTCTGCTTCTTCATCGCCCAATCGTCAAAATGTCCTCAGCTGTTCAGAGTCAACATAAGCAATTCGTTGCCAGTGTAAGTGGATGTGCTCTTCGTCTTCCTTTTTCTTTGCCCCCCGTTTTTGATTTGTGGACTGTACGCCAAGGCCTAGTATTTTCGTGATTTGTATATGCCATCCCGGGCTTGTTATAGATGCATGGGGTCACTGGTATTGGTGTCGTGGCATGAGCGATGTGATGCCCGGGCAATATGATGCGGCTCATGTAGAACCTGTGGCGGTAAACAACCGACGACGACGCCACCCTGTATCGTTTGTGTTGATGCTGTTATAATTCCGCTTCTCTCTCTTCCTTGCCCTTTCTCGCATCATCAAAACATCAGCATCCTGCAACTCTCATCTCCAAGATGTCATCTGTTAACATTACTGTGAAGTCCGACGACTCGAAAATATGCGTGGTCATGGTGGGCCTCCCGGCCCGAGGCAAGAGTCTCATCGCCGGCAAGGGTGAGTAAACCATCATTCCAGATGAGATCGTGAGACTGACATCTGACAGCCATGCGCTATCTGGGCTGGGTTGGTATTCCTGCACGTGTCTTTAACGTTGGGAGTTATCGCCGGTTCAACACACCGCAGCCACAGGCAACCTTCTTTGATCCCCACAATGAGGAGGGCGAGCGGATGCGCCGAGCTGCCGCCGAGGCCGCCATGTCTGACATGATTCAGTGGTTCAATGCTGGTAAGGGCGTTGTGGCCATCTTGGATGCCACCAACTCCACCAAGGAGCGTCGCCAGTGGATCTACAAGAACTGCCACGAGGCTGGTATCGAGGCTCTCTTCGTGGAGTCAATTTGCGATGACGAAGACTTGATCATGACCAACATAAAGGAGGTCAAGACGACTTCCCCCGACTACAAGGGTCAAGACCCTGAAGTCGCTGCTCTTGATTTCCGCAACCGCATTCGCAACTATGAGAAGGTGTATGAGACCATCGATGATAACGAGAAGCATTACACTTACGTCAAGCTTATCAACGTGGGCTCCACGGTCATCATCAACCAGATCAAGGACTATCTGTCCAGCCGCCTCGTCTATTACATCCAGAATCTTCACATCAAGCCTCGTTCCATCTGGCTGTCGCGGGTATGTCAACATGAATCAACTGAAATTTTGCAGAGAATTGAAACTGACGAGAATAGCACGGTGAATCTGAGTTCAACCTGACCGGTAAGATTGGAGGCGACTCTAACATCTCCGAGCGGGGTGAGGCCTATGCTCGCGCGCTCCCTGAGCTGATGCGTAAGTCCGGCATTCCCGATAACACCAAGATCGTGATCTGGACCTCGACCTTGCGCCGCACTATTCAGACCGCTCGTCACCTGAAGGCGGAGACCGGGTATGAAAAGCTGGAGTGGAAGGCGTTGGATGAGCTGGACTCGGGAGTCTGCGATGGTCTGACTTACGAACAAATCGCCGAGAAATACCCGGAGGACTTTGCCGCTCGCGACGAGGACAAGTACAACTACCGCTACCGTGGCGGCGAGTCGTATCGCGACGTCGTCATCCGACTTGAACCCATCATCATGGAACTGGAGCGCAGTGAGAACGTCATCATTGTCACTCACCAGGCTGTCCTCCGCTGCATCTATGCTTACTTCATGAATGTGCCTCAGGAGCAGAGTCCTTGGATGGAGGTACCTTTGCATACTCTCATCAAACTCACTCCCCGCGCGTATGGCACTGAGGAACAACGCTTCAAGGCTGATATCCCGGCGGTGTCGACCTGGCGTGGAAAGGGTACATCGGCGAAGCACCAGGACTTCCCAGCAGAGGTTAAGAAGGAAGAGGGCACGGAAACCAAGCACTAGTGATGTTTTGATCTGCATCGGCGTGGCGTCACCTGGATGCGATCCCATTTGGACCGCATAAGTTACTCAGATACCAAAACATGATGATACGGCGCTACATACTCTAACTACTTGAATCAATGGATTTTCACATCATGTGTCTCATTTGCAATTGTAGTATCCTCCATTCTTTGCAAGTTGCATAGTATCCTAGGGCGGGTTACTACTAGTACCCAGCGGGCCAACAGCCACAGCCTGCAGGCCCCACCTACCTGAAAATAAATGCTGACTAAGGCCTGAGTCAGCTGCGGACGTCATGCGGAGAGCTCCAGTAGCAGCGCCCCTCGAACCTCCAGCGGAGAGAATTGAAGACAGCACGCCCATGTTGTCAGCATTTACCGCGCGGCCGCTCGTCGAGCTCAAGCCGCGCGACAAGTCCCGCATCGAATCCGTCCTAGCCTACGGCGACCGCCTCCTCGCCGGCCTAAACAATGGCAACCTCCGCGTTTACCGTGTTACCGACGATGGCAAGACGGAGCTCCTGCGCGAATTGGAGAAGTTCTCCCGATACAAAGTCGAGCAGCTTGCCTTGATTAAGGAGGCAAATGTGCTGGTCTCTCTCGCTGGCGGATATGTCTCACTACACGATGCCCAGTCCTACGAGCTGGTTGAGCAGCTCGCTCAAACAAAGGGTGCTTCCGCCTTCGCCATCACGTCGAATGTCGTCAATGATCCTGATACAAATGTGCCGGCAATTGTGTCCCGTTTGGCTGTCGCTGTGAAGCGGAAGATTCTCATGTGGGCTTGGCGCGATATGGAGCTGGAACGGGATACCGCTGAGTTGAGCTTGGTCAGTGGTGTCAAGACTCTGACTTGGGTTGCGGCCACTCGACTGGTTGTTGGGTTGAACTCGAGCTTTGTCATGGTCAACATTGAGAGCGGGCAGTTCACAGACCTCGCTGGACCGGGCAGCATCGAGGAAGCGGGCCGGTTCACGGGCGTCGGCGCTGCAAGTATGAGCTACATTGGTATGGGAGGTATGGTGCCGCGGCCGCTTGCGACAAGATTAAGTGAAGGCCAGATTCTTCTGGCCAAGGATATCAACACTTCCTTCATCGGCGTCGATGGTCAACCTCTCACTCGCAAGCAGGTGCCTTGGAGTCATGCGCCTGTGGAGCTTGGATACTCGTACCCATTTTTGTTGGCTTTGCACGACTCATCCAAGGGTGTTTTGGAAGTACGGAATCCGGAGACTTTGTCACTACTTCAGTCAGTCCCGCTACCCTCAGCTAGTATCTTGCACATTCCGCAGCCGAATATTAGCCTCGCCCATGCCGGGAAAGGGTTCCTTGTGGCGAGCGATCGCATTATCTGGCGCATGGAAGCTTTGAGCTACGATACCCAGATTGATGCTTTGGTTGAGGGAGGTTACCTTGATGAGGCCATTAGCTTACTTGGAATGCTGGAGGATGCTCTTCTACATGATAAACCGGGTCGACTACGCACGATAAGACTGGAAAAAGCACAGAGCTTGTTTGCTCTGAACAAGTATCGAGACTCCTTGGATCTTTTCACTGAGGTGTCCGCACCCCCCGAGAGTGTGATTCGCCTGTACCCTCGATTGATCGCAGGCGATCTCTCCACAGTCCAGGAACCCGAGGTTCCGAACGGAAAGGCGAATGGGTCCCAGAGTGATGGGTCGTCTGAGGATCTTGCTGCTGGGCAGGCCTCCATACACGGAGGCTCTATCAGGTCGTCTATGCGGAAGCCCGACGAAGGAAGCGAGGCTAGCAGTATCCGTGGAGAGGAGAAAGGTACGGGAAGCTCCATGTGTTTTTGTATAAATGCTAACCGACCCAAAAGGCCTTCGAATTGCTGTCCGCGAGCTACAGGGATACCTGGCAGATGTTCGCCGACGCTTCCAGCGCTTCCTCAACCCCGATGGTTCTCTGAAAGCTTCTGCACCAATTGGAGCTACAGATGAAGCTAGTGACTCAGTTCTCAAGTTGCTCGATTTCCCATCTGCTGAGGATTTCGCCACAGAAATCCGAGCCAAGGCACGATTGGTCGACACCACATTGTTCCGTGCACACATGTATGCGACACCATCACTAGCCGGGTCTCTCTTCCGCATTGCCAACTTCTGTGATCCAGATGTGGTGATGGAGAGACTTGAGGAAACCGGCAGATATAACGACCTGATTGATTTTCTTTACGGCAAGAAACTACATCGCCAAGCACTTGAATTGCTGCAGCGGTTTGGACAGACAGAGAGCGGTCCCCTGAGTGGCCCGACACGCACAGTCGCATATCTCCAAAACCTGCCGCCAGATCAAATTGATCTGGTCATTGAGTTTGGGGAGTGGCCACTTCGTGCTAATCATGAGTTGGGAATGGAAATATTCGTGACCGACACCGAAAACGCGGAGACACTGCCCCGTTCGCGAGTGCTTGCTTTCCTTGAGAAAATAGACATCCTGCTTGCCATTCAGTACCTCGAGCATGTCATCCATGAATGGAACGACCTGACTCCGGACATACATCAACGACTGCTCATCTTATACATGGATCAACTCACATCCAACAGCGGCCAAGGGGAATGGAAGGGTAAATTCTTGACGATGTTGAAAGATAGTGAGCAATACTCGCCAGCGAAGATGTTAGATCGGCTGAATCGAGAGGGTAAGTTGCGCATCATTCTTCCAAACAAGCTCATACTGACAGATGCCAGATCCCAACTTTCACGAAGCGCGAGCTATTCTGTTTAGCAAAATGGGCCAGCACAGACAGGCCCTCGAAATTTACGTTTTCAAGCTTGAGAACCACGAGAAAGCAGAAGAGTGAGTGATATGTCATTGTCCGAATCGCCGAAATTGCTAACACCGAAAAGATACTGTAACCATGTACACCTCGCCGAAAAGGGGGAAGAGGAGAACTCCATCTATCTGACCCTTCTTTCCCTCTATCTCTCCCCGCCCCATGGCTACGAGGCCCAAAACGACCCCGCGATTGACCTGCTGGCTAAGCACGGCTCGCGTCTCCCAGCCGATGCGGCATTGAAACTCATACCAGACAAACAGGCCGTGCAGCAACTGGAGTTCTATTTCAAGGGCCGCATGCGCGCTGCGAACTCGGTTTTCAATGAAGCACGTATAGTGGCAAACCTGCGCAAGGCACGAGATATGCAGATCCAAGCCCAACTCGCGATTGGCGAGGGCGTCCGAGGTGGAGGTACACGGGCTCGTCACGTCACTGTCACTGAGGAGCGGATATGTGGCGTCTGTCATAAGCGCTTAGGCGGGAGTGTGATCAACGTTTTCCCCGAGTAAGTCGTTCATGTCTTTTTGATTTTCGAGTCGTTCACCGCTGACATATCTCCAGCAACACCGTGGTTCACTTGGGATGTGCGAATCGAAAACCGAGTTACCGAGCTGAGTAGTGTGCTTGCATTCTTCCTGCATTTGCGTTCGCGGGGTTGTTATTTTATTCTCGATTCTTGTTCATGACTGTATCTTCCTCCATCTTTTTTTGTTTCGTCGCCTCGGAATCTCTTTTCTGTTGGCTTGTTTGTGTCGACGGAGGCTGTTCCGGCGACTTTGATACCCATAGCATTTGCCCTTTCCGGAATTCATATCATGATCATGCACTCATGCATCGTCCTCGATCACCTCCTCTCCGTAGTTCGCTTCCTCTTTGGCTTCCTGTGCTGAAAATTGACCCTGCAACTTGTCCTCCCCCATGCGCTCCGTGAGGAAGACGTTGATCTCGAATTCATATCATGATCATGCACTCATGCATCGTCCTCGATCACCTCCTCTCCGTAGTTCGCTTCCTCTTTGGCTTCCTGTGCTGAAAATTGACCCTGCAACTTGTCCTCCCCCATGCGCTCCGTGAGGAAGACGTTGATCTCGTCCTGCAGCTTGGGCACGAGCGACTGCAGCGCCGAGAGGTGAGCTTGCTTAGCGGCCAGAGTACCGGTTGTAGTTGGGATCACATGCTCGAAGGTCTTGGTTGCTTGAGGAGCGGTGTAGACTGCATTCAAACTGACTGTGTTGGAGGCCATTTTGAAATTGACAGGGGAGTTGGAGGGGAAAGAGCGTGCAGCGGCAGGAAATCATGTCCACAGCTAATGGGCCATACCGCCTTACTTACCGCCTTTCTGTCCAGGTCCGTTTGTTCAAGCTTGCCCGTGGTCACTGATGCCGGCGTATTCCCCAGGACCCCGGCTCGATCTATTTGAATAAGCCCAGTATATCTCGCTTACTGCTCTTCTAATCATACGGTAGCATTCTAAGGGTCTTTGGGTGATTACTAGTGAGACAATGGCGGGAGACTAAGCATGGTGATAAGATGATCATCGTGGAAATAAGGGACAGGAGAAGACGATATTGAAAGGCCTTGCAAGACCAGTACGAAGCATGGCAAGGATTAGAGGCAATGGAAGGCATCTTATAGAAACACGAAACGAGAGTCTCCGATGTTCAGACCAGCAAAGCTTAGCGTCCCCCAGAGTCTCCGCAGCTTTCGTAGATCTGATATTCTGCCAGATAACTAGCGTTGTCATCGTAAATCCAGACCGTAGAGGTAGGGATCGGCGACCGTGGCTTTTGTTTGTAACGTAGGCACCGATGCTTTGCGCCCAACCCTTAAATCCAACAGAGAGTCTGAGAGAGAGAGGCATGGACTATTTATAATGAATCCTACGTTCCGATCCCCCAATTCGCCAGGGCGTCAGCGAGCGCCCGCTCCTTCCCCTCGCTACCCCCGACCCCCGTCCGATGACGAAGACGAGGAAGACGACTCCGATGAAGACGACTTGGGTCGCCCCGGATCCTCCGGCAGTGACGCCTCATCCAATGTGACTACCGTTTCCGCTGCGCCAATAACCCCGATCAATACTCAACTGCCTGCTGGGAGTTATTTCCCTCCACAACCACGCTCGGCCACTTCACCTCACCACCCCATGCCGAACCCCACAGGGCGAAGGCCCTCTGGCCGGGGCCCCTCGGTCGAGCTACCCCGGCTTCGATCACGACATCACTCGCAAGGGTTCTTTGAGCCTACTCTGCCAACGGCATCCACAGATCAGGTTTCTACCGTATCGGCCTCCCGCATCGCTGCTCAGGCGGCAATGCAACAGACAAAGAGACAGCCAAATGTACATTCCCCAATGGAGGATGGGTCACGGCCGAGGCGTAGTGGAAGTGCCTCGCCACCTCTTATGCCTGCACCATTGCGCGTCAATCAACCCTCGCCCCAACCGCCTCAGCCTGCACCAGGCAGTGTAGCCACAACAGCTGCCAATGTCGTCTTTCCGCGGGCAGGTGCTCATCCGGTGGAACAACACCCCGAGAAACAGAAGAAAAAGAAGCTTTTCTCCAAGCCAAAACATATTGGGATCAGCAGAGACAAAGATCCTAGCAAGGACCGCGGTCTTCCCTCCCCGAGCAAGATCAGTGGGCTATCGCGCATGGTCAGCGGCTCGAGCTCGAACTTGGCCGATCTATCCTCGAACAATTCATCTATGTACAATCTCTCCAATGCCTCGGTGAGCACAGTTGTCCCAGCAGACCGGGCCCCGGCACCGGAGAAAGAGAAGGATAAGGACAAACACAAGCACCATTTCCTATCAAGGCAGAAACTGAAACTCAAAGATCGGAGCGATGACTTCAATCTCCCTCTATCCTCTGCTTCGAGTAATTCTCGTCCGGCAGACCCCAATGCCCCGAAATCTCTATACTCCTTCACGAGCCCTGCGTCTCCGGCTCCAGGTGCGACTTTTGGCAAGTCAGTCAGTGGACTAGATATCCTGCATGGCGGTCGGGCACTGCGCGAGAAGAAGAAGGAAGAGAAGAAGGAAAAGGAACTCGCTGAGGTCGAGCAGACGGAATGGCTCCATGCCGGCGGGCCCCCGACACCGGGTGGTTTCCCCGGCCCGTCTCCCGGTGTAACGGCGCTCCCGGATTCTATCCTGAAGGAGACATTGCAAGGGTTTGGGTTGAATAACATGACCCCAGAAGATGCTTGGGACTTCCTCAAGGCGAAGCTGCTGGTCATCTTCGATGGTGAAGACGTTCGCATCGCCATTGAGGATCTCAACAAATTGGTGCTTGTTCATCTGCAGCGTTGCGTGCTGAAGAGGGCCCCTACTTCCATTATCACGGATTTGCAAGAGCTACTGCAGACTGGGTTTGCGACTTTGAATCACAGTTCGCTACTAGGTGTTCCAGACGACAAGTTGGTTCCGCACTTGGTTCAAATATGGTTACTGGTGTTTGGCACGATCCTCCCCTTTATACAAGCAGTCTTCCTTCCTTTGGACCTGGAATTCAAAGGTTGTGGATCCTTGATGACTAGCCGCGAAGCCGGCGAGTTCTGGGGTGTACTGCCTGTCGGTGGCACACTCGATGTGCGCAACTTAGTGCTGATCGCCTTCCGTGACTGCATTATCCTGAATCGCTACGATACCCTCAAAGCAACCTTCTCCCGCCTCAGTCTGGACTCTATCAACTCCGGATTCCCCACTCTCAGCGTTACAGCCAAGAGCGCTGGCGCTGGAGGTCGTCCCGGCACTGCGGCCTCGCTCGACGCCGGCTTCGGCAGCTACACTTCGCAATCCTCCACCCACCTCAGCACTGTCGCGGACAGCTATTCATCTGACAGTATGGGTGCCTTGGCCAATCTCCCACGACCAGGTAGCAGTGATTCCCGTAGTCGCGCAGCCTCCAACACCTCTTCCAACCCGGATCCTCTATTCTTCCAGTCGGTCGCATCGCCCCCAACCTCCAACAACAGGCCGACTATAGTCCACCGCGTCAACTCCGCAGACTCGTCCCATATCATTACAGAGACCGTCGGCCGCATGCTACAATGCATTAGCGTTCTGGCAAGCGTGCAGACCAACGATTCCGCCCAAGAGCGAATCGAGGTCCTTGGAAAAGCTCTCAAACACAACTGGCTCGGCCGTGGTCGCACTGGCCGTGATCGCCGCGGTTTTGTAGGCGCCAAGATCCGACCTGTCATGGTTGGCGGTCCTCCTGTTATCGATGATGCAGATTCCCTCAATACGGCCGGCATCAGTGTCGGTGCTAGTACCAACGGTGGATCTCGAGGCCGGGGTGATTCCTCATCATCGGACTGGAGTTCTCATGCCCCAGCGCCAGGCATGAACGTCCGTAATAGTGGTAGACGAGAACTGAGTGTTCTCTAGGTTTCTCTGTTTTCTTTCATGATTGTTATGACTCTGGATGGATAAGCGGGGCGTTTATTATCAAAGGAATTGATATTGAGCCACTTTTGAGCAACTACTTTACTATTCTGAACATTTTGTGTAATCGTATAATTTTCGTATTTTTTTTGCTGGTTTTTTGGTTTTCGTACTTTTCGACCAAAATCCAACAAATAGTCCTACATAGTGTACATAGTGTGGACTGTGGTCACCTGCTGGCCCGGTCAACTGACCAGGTGACCCATCCGCACTTTCTCAGGGATGAACGTGTCTCACCACACTGTCCATCCCACTCATCAACCCCGTCAATGGAAAGGAAAGAATGAAAATTGCCTAGTATTCTCTTTGAGACCTGCCCTTTCCCTTGCGGCTGATCTTGCCCATGGCCTTCAGGGTCTCGTACCGGGCCTTGCAAACCAGCCGGGAGATCCCCCAACCGAACTCCATCGACAGGTCCCGGGCGACCTGCACGAAAGCCTCCTCATTCATCTTCATGTACTCGTGCACGGCTTCTAGACGAGCATCCTATCCGAAAGTTAGCAATCAATTCATCAACTTTGGTCCTCGTTCAAGAACATCTGAGAACCGAGGCCAATCTCAAGTGTAGGTCATACGTACATCAAACCCTGGCCAAGCCCCGATCTGGGTCCTCATATGGCTCCATAGTCTGCGCAGGACAATTGAGGTTATCTCATTGCTGCCGAGCTCCCGGTGGTCGTTCCAGATCTTCACGGTTTCCACCCACGAAATAGACGTCGCATCCGCCGTCTGCCTCATCAGTGACATCATCTTATCCGATTTCGAAGCTGATTGCCATGAGGTTGGCACCGGATGGCCGCTGCGAAGAGGACTCGTGGAAATGGAGGCTGGATGCTGCGGAGTGACGGGTGAGGACACGCTCTTGATCGTGGGCTTTGAGGGAGACCCGGAGCTGGAGAAGGATGCCTCCATGGAGGAGGATCTGCGGGTACTGGGCGGGATTGCAAAGCCGGTTGAGGTTGGTACTGGCTGCTCTGTAGTGTACTGACTTGGCTCGGGCAGATTGAACCGGACTCGCTTCAAGGATGAGAGCCCTTTGACTTCCACCACGGATTCCCCGATCTCGCCACGCGTCTAGGATGGACTTGTTAGGCCGTGTCTCTTCTGTTTGGCTTATGCTTGGTGGGGATCGGGTATGTGCTTAGGACTCTTGGTTTACGAGTTTCAGCGATGCCGTTAGCTCGACATTGGGAGTTTGAGTAGCCGCCGTGACAGTACACAAACCAACAGGTGAGGGCCCCCTCGCAGCAAGCGAACTTGCGAGAGAAGTGCCAGGTTGAGGAACAACAGGATAGGCAAAAGGTCCCCGAAGCCGTGGGTCAATCACATTCATGAAAGAGACGGATGAATATCTCTGTCTCAGGCCACGTTTTTCTTCATGTTGGATATTCGGATGCCCGCGAGTGGGGGGAGGCGATGGCTGAGTCGGCGCGGGTTGTTCAGGTTCTTCGTCCGGGTCCCATGGAGACAATCGAACAGGGAGCAGATACATGGAAGGTGAACCGGGGTTCTTGTCTTTCTTTTTCGAGTCGGGGAGTATTGTTTCTTTTTTTTTTGGTCTTTTCTGTTTTTCTTGGGAGGCATGATGGCTTCCGCACAAAGAATCTATATTTGATGATAATTGGAGACGAGTCAAGCGGCTCACAGAGGCCTCGCCTTGACGGATCAACTGAAGGTCCATTGTGTGATGATGGTGGGATAGTACCTAGGTGAGGTGAGGAAGGTGAAGACGGAATTACAAGGCGATGGAAAAGGTTAGGGATACATCCTGAATGAGTACCAGAAGAGAATCCGTTGGTTGAACATGTGGTAGACTCCAATTCTTCAGAGGCAGGAGCCAGATACCCAAGGAGACTGATGTGAGCGTTGGATGCTTTGTCTGTAGCGCTAAGCGCTTTCCCCCTCGTCGTGAATCTCCTGGTCCTCTGGAATCCAATCCCTTGCCTCAGCACGTTGGCTAGCATCATCCAGGACCCCATCCTCTTGGGTAACTGCTTGCAGGAGCACCTAGCCAGCGACACGCCGGGTAGAGTGGTTTTTCAGGCCAATATTGCTCAGCTCATCGTCCTTCGGATCAGTCTCTTTGGAGGAAAACTCCTCCGAATCACTCTCGTCAGACGAAGATTCCTCCTCCAAATCACTCTCGTCAGACGAAGATCCCTCCTCCGAATCACTCTCTTCGGATGACGAATATTCTTCAGAGTCGCTGTCGTCGTCATCGTTCTCTCCGGGGTCTTGGGAACCATCACCGAATTGATCACCCTCGTCCTCATAAGGGCCGCATTCATAAGGTCCCTGATCGTCGAAAAGTTCAGGCGAGCTGGGGCCAAAGCACTCGCCGAAACTATCGTCATCGCTCTCGTCGTCGGGTACTAGTACTCAATGGTCAGCAAGATATCATGGCAGGATTCTCGACATGGTCGGCAGAAGTCGTCGACCTATTTGGCGTGGAAATCTGAGGACGTTGCTCGTCGACGACCTCTATGGGACGACTCACTCTTTGTCGACGATGACGCTTGAAGCATCTTCATCAACGACGATGCCTTATCCATCATTGGCGGCATATTTGCTTTGTGGGTCATGATGGGAACAGGTTGTATGACTTGATCTTGGTCGACCATAGTCCACATAGAACACTCGGAGTGTTGGGGGTTGACGAGGAAGAGAAGGATATTTCGTTTCGCGTTTCGAATTTATGCCCCTCGTAAGGTCGGCGACGGATGGTGTCGCCTCTTCGAGCTTGAGGTCGTCGACGGCGACCTCGTCGTCGACCTAGATCGGGAAGAAGCCGTGGAGTTGTCGAGACTTAGGGCTACGTCGGCGGCTACATCGACACATCGTTTTGAACGGGCGCCAACTCACCCGCCACGACTGGTATTGGAATTTTCTCCTTTTGCCTACTTATATCCTATTGTTTTATTGTCTTTTATATACGAAACCACATTCAAAGCTACATTTGACATGGTGGTGTAGATCCATTCAATCCCAGGCAACTAGAGAACACCAGATGGAACACTTCACCCTTTTTCTCGGCGAGGGCGTGTTCATATAGAAGTATGTACAGTTCTACCATACTGATTTTACAAACAAAGACCTCAACGTAGGTTGAAGCCCTTCCAGACATTTAGCCCGGGCCAGTCCTACGAAGCTGTGAAATCAAGAGAATACATAACCTGAGGCATGAAGGAAAAGGTCATGCCTCAGGTTTTGTCCAAACCAACAGTTCCAGTCGGATTTGAAAGACATTGGACGAGACGGTGTGCAACCACTATGGAGCCGCATAGTAGTCTACGCATAGTTGAGCGTGACGGCCAGAGAGGAATACGATGAGTCAGAAAAGAATAGATGCTAAGTACCTAAAGATTCTAAAATAGCTACAAGTTTACAACTTTACCAACACATTCATGCGTGTATATCGTGGGGGCGACTGATTGGCTTTGGGGCTGCAGCCTTGGGATGTCCGTCTGAACATAAAGTGCGTCTCACCCTTCCTTCTCTTTCCTGGCCTCGTCATCTTTTATTTCTTTCCATTTCCCTCTTACTTACTTACTTTTCCCTCATCTTTTGTAGAGACTTCCCACTCTCTAGCAGTCTTAGCTTATTGTCTTCCAACTTGATCACCCTTAAATCCTCCTCTTTTCTACGACTCTGTCAACCTGTTAAATCTCATGGCAGACCCTACTTCTACCACACAGGAGGTGAAAGATGAAGTGGTTCCTCCAGAGAACCTGAATAGCTCTGCCCAGCCTACCCAAGACGCCGTCAAAGAGGCCGCCCCCGCATCTGAAACTCCTCCCAAACTCGTCTGTAAAAAGCATGAGGCCAAGAAGAATAAAAGAAAGAAGAGCCAGAAAAAGTCTGATACCGATAGCTCTTCCGACTCTTCTTCTTCTTCTTCAGATTCCGATAGCGATGCCGACTCCGAAGAATCCGATTCAACGGAGAGCGAGTCTGACTCAGATAAGCGTAAGCGACATCGTCTACGAAAAGCACGTGCCAGACGAGCGATGAAGGATCGGAAACGTCGCAAGAAGAGGAAGCAACGGTCGCGCAAGGCTGAAGCTGAGGCGGAGGAATCGGTGTCTTCTTCTGAGTCCGACTCGGAATCTTCGACGGACTCTGATGATGAAATCGATGATAGGACGCTACGGAAATTGGTGTCCAAGCTCAAGCTTAGCAGGAAACGGGCGAAGAGATTGCGTGAGATCAATGCAGATGATCTGGCGGCGAGTGAGCCGGGGGAGACTCGTCGGGAGAAGCGGTCAAAGAAGAAGAAGCCAGCTTCAAAGGTGGCTTATAAACGTGTAGATCAATGTGAGTTGGTTTCTTTGACTTGTCATTTGAATGTCAAATCAATTTGCTAATCTTCTTATAGTATGGGACACGACCATTCACAAGTACAAGCTCACCGAGACGGTGGATGACCCCGACGCCGACGAATGGGACCAATACATCTTCAATGTCCGTCGCAAGTTCAACTGGGAGAATAAATACATCGAAACGGTGGTTGATATCAAGAGCAAACATCTCCGTGATGCCCTTTCCAAGATCATGGACGGCGTCAAGGGTGTGAGTCTTGTTCAGGAGCCCGCCGTCGTTGATCCAAACATGCTATTCCTCTACTTGGAGGAAACACGACAGTACATGAAAGAGCTGAAAAAGCAGTCGCGCAGCGAGAAAAAGAAAAAGGCTCGCAAGTCCGCTGCTGCCAAAGCGGCCCATCTCAAGGTTCTGGTCAAATACCTCGACACCGACTACGCAGACATCAAGAAGACACTCTATCCACTGCTCGAGGCCAACACCATCACCTTTGACCTGTTGTGGGCTCTGTACAAGCCAAATACCATCGCTTACACCCCAACATACGGAAACGCCGATGAGCCACGCGCCTTCAAAATCGAGTACGCGGTCAAAGAGTCCTCCTTCATGAAGGGCCAGTGGTACAGCGTCGACGGCCGCTACCTCGAATACGACGGGAAAGACTACGGCTTTGGCTCCATGTCCGCCGAGGTCGAGGCCTTCAAGGGCGCCAGAAAGATCACCAGTCTCGCCTGCTACCCGCTCAAGTACCACCGCGACGCCGAGGCCCTGCGTGCGAAGCTCATCGAGCGTGGAAAGCGCTTTGTCGCGCTGCGCGGTATGAACTATCGTTTCCATAAGGGCATGGCCTTCTACAAGAAAAAGCGCACCTTCGTCATCAAGGTGAATATCAATGGTCGCGTCATGATCGACCCGGCTATCCACCGCCGTATTAACCCCAACTACGCTATTTCCACCGTCCGTCCCAAGGATCCCGATCTCGTAGATATGGAAGATCTGGGTTTAAGTGATGGCGACGACGAAGGCAGCGATGGCTGCTGCTGTGGTGGCTCGGACTCGGACTCCGAGCACGGCGGTGCCTCGGATACACCGCGAACCATGTATAAGGTCATCGAGGATGCCGAAGGGAATCCGCGCGTGGTCGAGGTTGAAGTCGATGAGAACGGGGCGGAGGTCGAGAAGGAGAAGTTGGACCGGATTGATGGCGCGGCGGGTGCTAAGGAGCGGGAGTTCTCCGAAGAGGAGTTGCTGATTGCCTCGCCGGTTGTCCTGGGTTTCGCGTTCAGTGAGAAGCTCTGGCTCGAGTTCACGATTTCCGGTATCAGCGAGATCGAGTGGGATAAGGATGCTTTTGCCTCGCTGGTGCTCCCGGAGAACCAGAAGTCGATCGTCAAAGCCCTCGTCGAGTCGCATACTTTCCATGCGGCGGAAAATATCGACGATGTGATTCAGGGCAAGGGCAAGGGTCTTGTGGCTGTCTTGCATGGACCCCCGGGGACGGGTAAGACCCTGACAGCGGAGGGCATCGCCGAGCTACTCCGTCGCCCGCTGTATATGGTCAGCGCTGGTGAGCTGGGTACAGACTCGCGGACTCTGGAGGCCGAGCTGAACAAGATTCTGGATATTGCGCATTCCTGGGGGGCAGTGCTGCTCCTTGATGAGGCTGATGTCTTCCTGGAGAAGCGTACTATCCATGACATCCACCGCAACGCTCTCGTCAGCATCTTCCTCCGGTTGTTGGAGTACTTCCAGGGTATTCTCTTCTTGACTACTAACCGGGTGGAAACCTTTGACGATGCCTTCCAGTCGCGTATCCATGTTGCATTGCGCTATGGCGATCTCGCCTCCAAGGCAAAGAGGAGTATTTGGAAGATGTTCCTCGAGCGCGTGCGTGCTATTGAGGGTGTGCGCATTGCTTCCTTCTCTGAGGAGGATTATGACATGCTCTCCCGGCACACGTTGAACGGGCGACAGGTATGTTTTCTTTGGTTCCTTTTCTATACTTCTCGATTCTGTACCTAACCGATTCACTCAGATCAAAAATTCTGTCCGCACCGCACAAGCTCTGGCCGTCAATGAGAGTGCGCCGCTCTCGATGGAGCATATCAAACGCGTGCTAGAGGTGGCCGAAACATTCGATCAAGACCTGCGCGGCGGAACGGGATACCTGGACGCCATGCGCAGCTATACTTGATTTTATCAATCTTTTATACTCATTTCGGGAGACGTCGCTTATTGGAAATCGGTGCAGATTCGGTTCGCTTATGTTGCTTATTGTCGTTAAGTTCCTTGGCTGCTTTTCCAACTCATCTCATGTCCAGGGTATTACATTGCGACTTAAAGGCGAAGACTTCAGGTAGTTGACTTTTCAATGCACCTGACGGGGGCGAAAAACGGGTTACAAGTTACCTATCAAAGTCGTAGGGTAGACCGAGTTATAGATTCAGATGAAAACGATCTGGTATAAAGAACATGGTCATACACTTTCATTAATACTTAGTAAAAGGCACGACTCGCTATGGGTGGTTGTACAGTGAACATTTAAGGGTTGGACTTGACGAAGTCAACACCCTTCTTGATGTTCTTCTTCAGGTCAGCCAAGCAGGCGTCGAGGAGACCCTGCTCGTACTCGTTGATCTCGCCAACGGAGTGGATCTTCTCAGCACCGTTGGGGCCGAGCTCGACGCGGGAAGCGAAGAAGTCAATACCCTGGTCCTTGTAGAGAGGGGAGTCGACGAAGGTGGGCTCGATGACACCCTTCTCGCCCTGGGCGGCGCGGAGCAGAGACTCAGCGAAGCGGGCACCGGCCATGGCCATGGAGAGGGTGGCGGAACCGGCACCGTCCTTGGCCTTGACAACCTCGTCACCACCGAACTGAATGCGGTTGACAAGAGCATCGCGGGCCTTTCCAGCGATGGAAGAGTGGTTGGACTGGGACAGGAGGGGAACGATGGTGACACCGGAGTGGCCACCAACGACGGGGACGGTCTCGCCAGCGGGGTTGGTGCCCTGGACCTGCGAGATGAAGCGCGAGGCACGGACGACGTCAAGAGTGGTGACACCGAAGAGGCGCTTGGGGTCGTAGACACCGCGGGCCTTGTAGACCTCGGCAACGATGGGGACGGTGGAGTTGACCTGTGTGACTGATGGTCAGTAAATGATGCAAATTGTGGCAATCGCGCGATTGCGATTGTGGTTGCTACTTACGGGGTTGGCAATGACCAGGATGTTGGCCTTGGGGGCAGCCTCAGCGGCGGCCTTGGCGAGGTCGCGGACGATGGAGGCGTTGGTGTTGAACAAGTCATCACGGCTCATACCGGGCTTGCGGGGAACACCAGCGGGGATGAGGATAATCTCAGATCCCTCGAGGCAGTCACGGAGACCGGAAGCATCGGGAGTGTAGCCGGTGACGGTGCTGTGGGTGTTGATGTGGCTGAGATCAGCAGCGACACCTTCGAGGACAAATCAGCGACGGGGTTTGCATCAATTAAGTCGTATCATCATCATACCGGGTCCACCACGGATATCGTAGAGGGCGAGCTCAGAAACACGGGGGTTGAGCTTCAAGAGCAGGGAGAGAGGCTGGCCAATACCACCCGCGGCACCGAGAACGGAGACCTTGGAGGCCTGTGCGAGTGGGTTAGCAAGCTGTAAAGATGTAGTGAAAAGACAATGCGTACATTGATAGCGGAGGCCGAGAAGGCACGCTTCTGGAAGAGGTTGACAGTACGACGAGCGGCAAACATGATGGATGATTGAGAGGTGTGAGGAAGGAAGAAGGAGAGAAGGGGAAGATTCCGGTGAGAAAGAGAACGCGGCTCCACACTTTCCGAGCTCCCGTGCGTTCTCGGATTAATGGCCTTTTCTCGGTTTTGTACGTACAGTCGTACACAGTACAGAGTATTGGCGAATTGTTTCTTAGGTATGCTATATTCTAGCTAGATATCTCTCTAAGACTCACTTCATACCATGGTTGCTCCCTACTTGTCAGGGCTATCGTTGAGCCTGCTAGGGCTTGCGCCCGGCTCCTAGCCTCCTAGGAAACGATATAGGCTAATAAGGGCAATTCTACCAGAGTGTCTTCAGCTGTTGAGACTTGAGTCTTTGGGAAGAGACGGTGAGACCAGCTCGTATCACAATAATGTAACAAAGAGTACTTCCAATTGGACCAAGGATTGCCGAGGTATGCCTCTCTGTAGCCATTGAATGCCAGCATAACTACGGAGTAAGCTACCTCAGTTACCTCAGCCGCCCCCCTTCAAAGGGCGGTGGACATGACTATCCACCGCCTGCTGCTTCCAGCGATGACAGTATCTGACCGATATCCTAGGTAGTTGTACTTCAAGTCTTCCCTCGAGTCTCCATGTCCATAGTCGAAATCCTCCTTGGAGTCAACTCCCCTGTCGATTTGGTTGTCATCCTGTCATTTCTGGCTGTGCTGTATTTTGGTCTGAAATCACTGAAACCACCAAGCCGTCCCAAAGGATGTCGCCGCCTGGGATTACCACCAGGCCAGAGCAATCTGGATGATGAGTTCGATTCGAAGTACAGCCACGGCCTCCCCAATGGCCAGGATACTCACGGTCGCCCATCATGGCGCGTGAAAGCATTGTTCAGCTATCCGCTTAAATCTTGCGGTGCTGTGGAGCTGCAGACTTCTAATGTCGTACCCACGGGGCTTGAATTCGATAGGCAGTTCGTCTTTGCCGAATATATCGATGATGTATGGAATATTCGCACCTTACGGAATGCAGGCTTCAATCGCCTAGCGTTGATTCACCCTCAGATCTGGATTCCTGATCCGTCTGCCCCAGACTACGATGCCGACTTGACGGAGGTCAAATCGCAGGGTGTGATGCTAATTTCATACCCACGGACACCGCCAGCAGGCTGGCATGGTCTGCCCATCAAGGCCGGCATGGCACTCAGGATCCTTGAAAGACAGCACACATTCCAAGTGCCGCTGTTTCCACCTACTGACTCTGAGTTCCCACTGGTCCCGGTCAAGATCTGGAAAGACAAGACTCTAGCCTATGACTACGGAAAACTGCTCCCAGCATCTTTACACGCATATCTGGGCTCTGACCCGTCAACGGGCACCCTCACACTCTTCCGCGCCAGCACACCCCATTCGCGGCAGATCTTTCGCAATGCACCGCGTAAAGAAGACATAGGCTTCCAGCCGAACACAGCATTCGCAGACGCCTATCCGATCCACCTGCTCAACATTGCCAGTCACCGGGACGTAGCAGCGCGCTGCTCCTACGCAATCCCACGACTAAGCATCCGCCGGTTTCGTGCAAACATCATCATTCAAGGACCGACTGCCTTTGCAGAGGATCACTGGAAGCGAATTTCTATTGGCGACACAGAAATCCACGCATCCTGTCGGACTGTGCGGTGTCGGCTGCCTAATGTTGATCCTCTGTCAGGGGATAGGCACGATGCTGAGCCAGATCGGACGCTGAAATCATATCGGAGGATTGATGACGGTGATCGGACTAATGCTTGCTTGGGCATGCAGCTTGTTCCTTCGAAGGAGGAGTTTGTAGTGAGGGTTGGGGATGCTATTGAGGTGCTTGAGACTGGGCCGCATCAGTATATTAAGATGTTGGCTCCTGGGGAGAATGTTGAGGGTGTATAGATAATAAAGCAGGATGATGTACGATACGCAGTTGGATGTAGAAACATAGCCCCTGGGGTCTATGCTCATTTATTTCAGCCATTCTTCTGTCTCATATCCCCCTAATCACCTGATGATCCCTGTCATATATTTGCAGGCTTTGTTCCCAATTCCCTGCCCAACTGCCCAACACCCCTCTCATATTCATCCTCAGTCAGATAAGAGAATCGACCCATCCCTCAAAGCCCAAAGGTCAAAATGTCCGAGCTCAGGGCCAGCATCAAAGCAAAACAAGCCGAGACCCTCGCCCGCCTCACCCCAAACACCCTACATATAGCCCTCTACCTCCGCTCTGACCCACCCCTCCCAAACGACTTCCACTGGGCCTTCTACCTCCACAACGGGACAGGCTCCACACCAGTAGGAACAAAATACCACGTCCGGGGGATCGGCGGCGGCTGGATCCCCGGCCACGAAGCTACAGCCGGGATCTTCGCAGAGAATTTCCTCTGTGTGATGATTCAGATTGGGACGATACCCGCATCCGCACATGCACGGGTGGACGAGCTTATGAGGATCAATGATCAGACTCTGAACTCGATACCGGGGATCACTTGTCGTACGTGGCTACTGGAGGTGCTTGGTGTGCTCGTTGAGGAGGGATTTGTGCACTGTGATGTTAGGGAGTTGGAGAAGGATTGCATGGAGATTGGGAATGAGCATAGTTGGTCTGCTAGTACTAATGAGCAGCCTCGTCCTGCTGTTATGTGGCGAAAAGCTTCTTTGTACTGGCGTTTCACCGGGCGTTGTTGGCTTGGGTCGGTGGTGCTTGACTATACCTTTAGTGCATAGCCAAATGAAGCCTCCTTGCGCCTTAGGATGCTAAGGTTTACGTGGGCCCCACCTGGGCAACGGTCAGGAATTTCCTATATCCGTAGAAATGCACTAAAATTACACGGAATGATGTAGGAGACAAGACGTTGTTGTTGAATGTATTGTTAATTATATGCATTGCAATCATGCAACAGTGAAGGCACCTAGATGGACCTCCTGTATGTATATGAGGAAGACCCTAAACAAGGCAAGATGCAACTCCAAACACCATATTTACATGACAAAACCTTCCAATCAAGCACTCGGACCAGCCGGCTGCTCCATCTTAGTAGTCGACGACTGCTGCTGGGTATCCATCTCCACACGGTAATCATCCGACTCATTCGACTCGAGAACAGGAGCGAGATCATCATCAAGCTCGTCCGGAATGAAGAGATTAAGGAAGATGCCGACCAGCGCACAAATTGCAAAACCATTCTCCATGACCAGGTCAACAGCATTAATTAGACCCTCAAGGGCGTGGTTGTCACCCTTGTAGGAGAAGAAGTAGCCGAACCACTCGGGAACGAGTGTGACACCCATGCCAACCGCGAAACTAGCCGTGAGGATGAAACGGTTGCGGCGAGTGAAATCAACAGTGCCAATGATGCGCAGACCACTGACGGCCACAGAACTGAACAGGAAAGCGGTCATACCACCGAGAACGGCGCTAGGGATTGCGACCAGCGCAGCGGCAAACTTGGAGAAGATTCCCATGATAACCAGAAACATGCAACAGCAGTAGCCAGCAGTACGGTTGGCACACTTTGTCAGCGCAATGACACCGTTGTTCTGTGCGAAAACGGACATCGGACTGATTGTCATCAGACCGGCCAAAAGACAGGTGATACCGTTGCCCAGAACACCGCCTTGAATCCGGGAATCGAAGGTAGCTCCCTCGACCTGGAGTCGGGAGACATCGCATGTCGCCGTGATATCACCAATCGACTCCATCATGATAACGATATATAGCGCGAGTAAGGGCAGAATCAGAGGAGGGTAGACCGAAAGCGGGAAGGTTTTGACCCAAGGGAAAGAGGCCACAGGTGCAGCAGCGATACCAGAATTATCGAAATAGTTGCACGCCGCGGCGACAATCGAGCCGACCAGCAGTCCAACAATCACAGAGCAACTCTTGAGAATGGGAGGACCCCATCTCTCGCAGATGATGATTGTGACGAAGACAAGGAAACCCAGACCAATGAACTCGGGGCTTCCCCATGGCAGAGGGTGCGGGGCGCTGGGGCTAGGGCACATTGCGCGGGCAGAGGGGTCAAATCCGCAGGATGCGCCACCGGCCCAATCTTGCATTGCGGATTTGATGAGCGAGGCACCGATCAGGAGGACGGTGGGACCGGTGACGAGCGGAGGGAAGACGCGGGCAAGGATCTTGCTGCTCATGAAGGACATGCCAATTTCGAGGAGGGCGCAGAGACACGAGGTGCCGAGGAGGGCACCGTAGCCCCTTGGACAGGGGAGCTTAGTTCCATCTTCGAGGGTAGGGCAGTAGCCTGATTTATACATTTGGGAGAAGGCGCCCTGGGCGACTGTGATCGTTGAGAAGGATGTACCTGCATGAGCCAATTAGCACACGATATCGGAAGCGGGGATGCGAAGCTGCGGGGATTCTCACCAACAACCGAGAGAAGTCCAGTTCCAATATAGTATTTTGTTCCCTTGATGTGAAGGCGGAACATCTGAATAGCACTCAGGCAACCGGATACGATCAAAGAGGTCGAGACGAGGTATTGGTAAAGGTCATCGCCGAAGTTGGCACCGGCCGCCCCGCCGAGCAAGATGGGTGGTGAAATCACTGATGCTCTTAGTCTCTGCTCGCATTTCATATAGCTATCTGGCACTCACCACCAGCCAGCATTGCAAGCGCATGCTGCAGACCCAGAATCAATGCGAGCACGACGGGCACGCGATCATCGAGACCGAAGAATGGTGCTGATTTGCGGGCTCGCTTTGTGAATGGTAATCGGGGAATGAAAAGGTATCCATAGTCGTAGTCTCCTAATAAACCCTCTCTGTTGGTCGTCAGTCAAGTTCATGCCATTGACTCATGAGTCATGAATTGAAGCCATACCGCGTTGTGAAAGTTTTGACCGCGTATCGGACCTTGTCGGTGATTGTCCGCTTGGGTGTATGATCAGGACCGATCTGATCTGGACCGTCCATCTTGAAAGACGTCCGAATAGAATTGGAATGTACAGATTGACTTCAATGCCACGGGGAGGAGACTTTATTTAAGTTTCAAGAAAAAAAAAACTAAAAAACAGCTCCAATACGCCCCGATCATCGGTAACCCTTAAAGTTCGGGAGTGATTCGGGGTGGAGATGACTAAAACGTGGAGGATCCACGCGATAAACCAACTGGCGGCTGTACAAGGTACGCGGTATGTAAGTGTTATCGGACAGATTGCTGAGTGCATGGAGTGCGATTAGGGCAATTAGCAAGAGCATCGCATAAACCCCCTTGGCGGCCTAACTGGTTATGGTTAGGTCCCCCATCTTATCAGGTCCTCATAATAGTACCCAGCAAATCAAAAATACCCGCCGAGGCTGCATCCATGGGTCAAAGTTGAAAGTGGGGTAAGTTAAGATAAGGAAACAGCTGTCGCAAGTGTCTGTGCCTCAAATGAATGTATGGAGTACGATAGACGGACATCCCCTTACCAACCCTTAGTACGAACTTCTACTGCTAAATTTGTTTAGATTCGGATAACAGAACCACTGCGAGACGTCATACTGGTAGAATACTGGGGATAAGCAGTCTGCGCACTTGTCTGCATGTATCGGCTGGGATAAGGTCTGGACTCTGCCTTCCATTTTAGTGCCCGCCTCTTGCCGCTTTCGCTCACTGCGCAAATCTCAACACGTTCCTGGACATACAATTGTCGAAACATGGAATCTGTAGGTATATACTGACCAAGTGGCTTCCATCACTGAGTTGAGCCGCATAGGGCTGTAGCAGAAGCCGAAGTCGGACTCCGAAGATGGGACAACCGTTGTAGCTAGCGGATGGCCGCCAGACCATCGCAACCTGGATGATGGGAAAGCATACTGCGAGCTATCTGCAGGAACATTGGACGGTGTCAATAGGGGGCAATAGATGCTCATGCCGACATTGACCTAACACTCCCATGTCAGTGATCTTGAGCCTGAGCGTCCTCGTAAAGCGGCGGCAGCCCAGATAGGAAAGGCGTAAGATAGTTCCCGACAGTCCGGGGACTTCATCTCCACAACTCGTAAGGAACAAGATTGTCTGTTATCTTTCTGGGGTTTATCTGATATTTGACAGTCGGAGGGCGCCGTAGGGATTTCTTCAGCAGGTGGAACACTCCGACCTCTAAGTATTCTTATCAGACAGCCATGAGATGTAGACATAACTCAATTCTCTATGGCGATAAGAACACAAATTCATTCTGATGGTCGAGATAAACATGTTCCCAGCCTCGGGAAATTTCGCAGTGTTCAAGAAAGCGCGTCACAGAAATGCACGTCGATTGCCAGCTGCTCGTCCGTGCTATTTCCCCAAGTTTGCTCGCTACAGCCATATCGTGCCATCCTTTCATCTCATCCCTTGTCGACTCCTTCACCCATGATATGCATAACCCGTGTGATGGTCGCGTCGCTCGCCCATATTGACTTGTGACTTCACATTGCATTCCCTTTTTGCCATCAAGCTCATTCCTGGCTCTCCCTTGGACACTGACTCATGGTCATGGTGGAATCATGATCCGCTTGATCGCAGGACCAAGCAGGGTCATTGGTATGACTTGCAATTCGGTAGCCATTATCAGGTTCGCAGGCGAAAACCACACTCCATCATAATTCGATACGCTTCGATACGCTTCGATACGCTTCGATACACTTCTCGCAAATTGATATTGTTGGATGATGTTCATTGCACACTCATGGAATGATTTCATTATAGGACGATCGCCGAGGTCAACAACTTAGGGACGGGGTATTCTCGCATGAAGTCAGGAATTAGGCACATCGTAAGTTGTAGGGAAGAGTGAATTGGCCACTCAGCCCTGTTCAGGTAATCTTAGCATGAGGTGATTGGTTAAGAAATGGGATATTCCCTACAAATTCCGAGGTCCAACAAACCTCGGTGGATCCCATCTCCTTCTGGGCAGGCCAGGGCGGACCGGATGCTGAGTAAGTTGCCATCGAGCTCTGATTGGGTATCTGGTGCCTGAAGATACCTGTTGATGCCTGAGGCATGAAAGCGTTGGGGCTGGCTGGACCCAACATTCGCCAGAAAGTGCTGGGCCACGCCACTGCCGAGTAAACGCAGTGTAAAAGTCTATCGGGGTCTACCTCAATAAACAGCACTTCTTCTCTTTCTTCGCGAAAGTAGACTCTCTTTTGCCTCGGGATCTTGTGACATTTAATCATCGCTTTGATTTGATTCGTCTCTCCCCCAGTGATCCCCCAAATCCCGTAGATCACTGGTCCGGCTCCTCCCAACGCTCAAGTGGGCCCCAAGTATAAAAGTCCTTTGGGTCCTCCTGGGTTGAATTTCCTACCTCTTCCCACACACAACTCACTTACAACCATGTCGTCGAAGGTCGACGCCACACGCCCGCGGGCGGCAGACACCAAGAAGGTGCACATCGCCGACACTCATATGACACGCCAGAACTGGTACAAGCATGTCAACTGGCTCAACGTCGTCCTCATTCTCGGCGTGCCCCTGTCAGGTTGTATCCAGGCTTTCTGGGTGCCTCTGCAGTTGAAGACCGCCATCTGGGCCGTGGTCTACTACTTCTTCACTGGACTGGGAATCACAGCGGGTAAGTAGTCTCAACAAGAACGAGACACGAACAAAGACTGACTCTTCTCCCAGGATACCATCGTCTGTGGGCTCACTGCTCCTACTCCGCCACTCTGCCTCTGCGCATCTGGCTTGCTCTGGTTGGCGGCGGTGCCGTCGAAGGTTCCATCCGCTGGTGGGCTCGCGACCACCGTGCTCACCACCGTTACACCGACACCGAAAAGGACCCGTACTCCGTGCGCAAGGGTCTCTTGTACTCGCACCTGGGATGGATGATCATGAAGCAGAACCCCAAGCGTATCGGTCGCACCGACATCACTGATCTGAACGAAGACCCCGTTGTCGTTTGGCAGCACCGCAACTACCTCAAGGTCGTTCTCGGCATGGGTTTGATTGTGCCCATGCTGGTCTCCGGTCTCGGCTGGGGTGACTGGTACGGTGGCTTCGTGTACGCCGGTATCCTGCGCATCTTCTTCGTGCAGCAGGCCACTTTCTGCGTGAACTCTCTTGCCCACTGGCTGGGTGACCAGCCCTTCGATGACCGTAACTCACCCCGTGATCACGTCATCACCGCCCTCGTCACCCTCGGTGAGGGATACCACAACTTCCACCACGAGTTCCCCTCCGATTACCGCAACGCCATCGAGTGGCACCAGTACGACCCCACCAAGTGGACCATCTGGGCCTGGAAGCAGCTCGGCCTCGCCTACGACCTGAAGCAATTCCGCAGCAACGAGATCGAGAAGGGTCGGGTCCAGCAGCTGCAGAAGAAGATTGATCAGAAGCGTGCCAAGCTCGACTGGGGTACTCCTCTCGACCAGCTTCCCGTCATGGAGTGGGACGACTATGTTGAGCAGGCAAAGAACGGCCGTGGTCTGATTTCCATCGCCGGTGTCGTTCACGACGTTACCGATTTCATCAAGGACCACCCCGGTGGTAAGGCGATGATCAAGTCTGGTCTTGGCAAGGACGCCACCGCCATGTTCAACGGCGGTGTCTACTACCACTCCAACGGTGCCCACAACCTGCTTTCCACCATGCGTGTCGGTGTCATCCGTGGCGGTGGTGAAGTTGAGATCTGGAAGCGTGCTCAGAAGGAAAACTCCGAGTACGTCCGTGATGAGACAGGCCAGCGCATCATCCGGGCTGGCCAGCAGGTCACCAAGATGCCCGAGCCCATCCCCACTGCTGATGCGGCTTAAACTGAACTTTTACGACAATCTTTGGCCTTGCATCGGTGTTGGCGTTTCTCATTGTTTTCTCTTTTTCCTCCCATGTCTCATCAAAAGCGGACTATGTCGCACTTCATAGATACCTGTAATCTCTCATGAATTAGAAACGAACTTTTTACCTCTTGATTTGGATCCTTCAGTTTTCAACTGTAGTTGTAGGTGCATAGGAATCTCGAGTCGGCAGCTGCCTGGTCGAACTTGAAAACTCAAGTGCGGGCCCGCTAAGACTATCACATGTCAAACCTTCAAGTTCACAATGCATTGTATGGACTTACAGTTTACAGCATCCTTGTACTCCGTACATGCACTACAAAATGTTGTCTGGTTGTATGCATACCTCCAATCTTTTGGCAATTTGGCTGGTTTGGAAACATGTTTAGCGGGACACGGCTCGATCAGTTGTCCTATGAGTGTCCTGACCCGGAGCTGGAGGCTCCCATCGACTGTTTCCTGGGTTGTGTAGAACTATTTGCGTCTATTTTCTACTTGAAGATAGATCACAGGCATTGTCCCACTTTTAGTACATGTTCTACAGCTTCTAAATGGCAATCCTAGGGACTTAAATATGCTAGGTCTTCGCTATCAGCATGTAGGCACCTAGAGGCGAAAGCCGCCACTTGACGGAGCAACGATCCGACGTAAAAACGTCAATCAGATGGATGGTGAATATGAGAACTTAAGGTTGTTCAAATTTGACTAAAATTGACTTTTGTTAGAATCGGCCATCTCTGACCAACGTCCAATTAATACAGCTGGGCACCCTTCACAGGTGATGTGATACTGGAAGACCTCGGCAGCGCCAAGACTCATAGCTATCTGTCCCGACTCCCCGCAACTACACAGTAAACAGCTTCAGATCACCTGACAAATTCATCCTCCTCTCCCCTCAATTCACCACCTCTGCAATTCCAATTCCGCCCACTATTGCTTTCACCGCTCGTCTCCACTTCCTCATCGCCCTCCTTGCCATCCTCATCGTGGCGCCCTTCCTCCGTCTCCCCGCCCGCCTATCATCTGTGCTGGGCCACATACGTACCAACGTACCTGTACGACTATTGACGACCTCCAGCATGGCACCCGCTCATCTCCGGACGCCACCCCAGGCCCCGCCTACTTTCACTGCAACCCCTCAGTCAGTGGTCGCTGATGCTGAGCGCTTGATCAAGAGCTCGCGAGCCATTCAGGACAAGGTGGTGGCGGAGATCAAGCCGGATGACGCGACCTTTGCCAACGTTGTCCGGCCCCTCGCCCAGAATGACAACGAGATGGCACTAGAGTCACACATTCTTGGTTTCTACCAGGCTGTTTCAACTGATTCAAAGCTGCGAGATGCTTCGTCCAAGGCTGAAGAGTTGATGGATGAGTTCTTCATTGAGGCGGTCATGCGCGAGGATATCTTTAATCTGGTCGATGCAGTGCTGCGCCGCAACGAGTCTCTCGACCCCGAGTCGCGCCGTCTTCTGGAGAAGGAACACAAGGATTTTGTCCGCAATGGTCTCGGCCTACCCGCTGGGCCCCAACGGGCCCGCTTCAAGGAGATTAAGAAGCGGTTGAGCCAGCTAAGCATTGAGTTCCAGAAGAACTTGAACGAGGAGAACGGCGGTATTTGGTTTACCCCCGAGCAGTTGGCGGGTGTGCCCAAGGATGTCCTGGACGGACTCAAGAAGGGTGAGGGCGAGAATGACGGCAAGCTTTGGCTGTCATTCAAGTACCCTGACCTCTTCCCCACTATGAAGTACGCCACCGATCCCGAGGTTCGAAAGCAGGTCATGATCGCCAACGAGAACAAGTGCAACCAGAACGTGCCGCTGTTCCGGGAATCTATTGTGCTTCGTGATGAGGCTGCCCGTCTTCTTGGCTACCCCAACCACGCCGCCTTCCGTATCGAGGACAAGATGGCCAAGACTCCTGAGACTGTCGACAAGTTCTTGGGTGATCTTCGCGACAGGCTGACCTCTGGTGGCCGAAAGGAGGCCCACAAGTTGTTGGAGCTGAAGAACGCCACAGACCCCACGGCCGATGGCCGCTACTATCTGTGGGATCACCGGTTCTATGACCGTCTTATGCTCGAGAAGGATTACTCTCTTGACCAGCAGCTGATTGCTGAGTGGTTCCCCTTGCAGACAACCATTCAGGGCATGTTGAAGATCTTTGAGGAGCTGTTTGGTCTGGAGTTTGTTGAGATCATTGGCGAGGACCGGGCAGCTATCGCCCCCACTGGCCAGGGCAATGATATTGTCTGGCACGAGGATGTCCAGGTATTCAGCGTGTGGAATGACGAAGGCGAGGGCAGTGGCTTCGTTGGATACTTGTATCTGGATCTGTTCCCTCGCGAGGGCAAGTATGGCCATGCCGCCAACTTCAACCTACAGCCCGGTTTCGTCGACAAGGACGGTAACCGTCGATTCCCTGCTACCGCACTGGTGTGCAACTTCACCAAGCCCCAGCCCAAGAAGCCCAGTCTGCTGAAGCACGACGAGGTCGTGACTCTCTTCCACGAACTGGGCCACGGCATCCACGACTTGGTGTCCCGGACCACCTACTCCCGTTTCCACGGTACCAACACCGTGCGGGACTTCGTCGAGGCACCCAGTCAGATGCTGGAGAACTGGTGCTGGACCCCCTCGCAACTTCGCTCTCTGAGCCGACACTACTCAAGCCTCTCTCCCGAGTACCTGGCTAGCTGGCAAGAGGCCCAGGAGGGCAAGGCCACCACCAGCACTCCATCAGAGCGTATCCCTGACGACGTGATCGAGAACCTGATCCGCACCAAGCACGTCAACGATGCCTTGTTCAATCTGCGCCAGCTGCACTTCGGTATCTTCGATATGACTGTGCACGAGCCCAAGACCCATGCCGACATTGAGGCTCTCCCTCTGTCAGCCACGTACAACCGTCTCCGCCAGGAGATTACGCAAATGGATGGACCGGAAGCTCTGGGCGCTGGCAGCGAGTGGGGTCACGGAGAGGCGACTTTTGGACACTTGATCGGTGGTTACGATGCTGGTTACTACGGATATCTGAGGTAAGTTCTAGATGGGCCTTGCCTGGGTGGTTATGATACCATACTAATCATTATCTTTGCTCTGCAGCTCCCAAGTCTACTCCACCGACATGTTCTACTCCGTCTTCAAGGACGACCCCATGAACAAGGCTGCTGGCCGTCGCTACCGGTACCAGGTTCTGGAGAAGGGTGGCAGCCAGGATGAGATGGAGACTCTGACCGCGTTCTTGGGCCGTGAGCCTCAGACCGATGCATTCTATAAGGAGCTGGGACTGGCATAGGGTGATGCTCAACCATAAAGCTTTAGAAGCTCATTAGCGGTTCTATACTATCCCTCTATATCATACAAGAGTTATGGCACTCACCACTCACAAATACAATGAATTGAATGAAATACATTCCTGTGATTACCGTATGTACATTGAGAAGACACTAATAGCTATTTGACCCTACAAACCACCGCCGTCGATGTCATGAACGTTGTGGATACTGATAAGCCCACCGCCTTTATATTCTGCAATTCTCCGCAAAGTAGCAGCTCTCTTTTTCCTCGCAACTATATCAAGCTTGAAATCCACACATACGACTTCACGAATAAAACACTTACGATTCTATCCTCTGGCTCTGTAAGTATCTACCTGAGATAGGCGCAGGAGAAGCATACCCCAAACCGAAACTGCAGACTAACGAAAGCTTCCAGGCGCATCCCCAACACAGCAAACCACTTTAACGAGCACAGCTCTCCTGAGTGACTGAGTCCTCAACTCAAATACCAACCACATTACTCCCACATAAGGGAAGGAATACCAACCAAAATGACCGAACGCCTCCCAATCCAAACCCAACACTGCCGCTTCTGCAACCACCTCCTCCTAGCAACGACGCGCAAAATCGACACCCTTCCCCGGCGCACTGGCGAAGGCAAAGACAAAGCCCTGATCCTGCCATTGGAGCGCAACCACTCAGCAGACACAGACGCAGACCCAGATACGGATACACCAGAAGCCTCTCTAGAGAAAGAAGCCGGCAATGGCAGGAAATCACGAGCCTCGTCGCACACGACACTATTACTAGCAACCACGGTCCCGGACCGACGGGCGACGGTAATCCGGCGCGAAGACGGGATTGAGAAGAGGCTTCTACTACGGTGTGGGCGGTGCAGGGTTGTGATCGGGTATTATTTGGATCGGGTGCATTGGGGGTCTGTTGGGAATGAGAATGAACAGGAGGGAGAGGAGGAACGGCCGCCGGCTGTTTATCTTCTTCCTGGGGCTGTTGTTGGGACGGAGAAGATGGGGGGTGAGGGGGTTGGGGAAGGGGAGTGGAGGGAGTGGGTTGTTTAGATGTACGTTCATACGCAGTCAGTGGGATACCTTAAGACATAATGCTGGATGGTGGAATGTAAGACATGTACATTCTACGCAATAAGGCTATAGCCCCAGAATCCAAAAAGAAAAATACAGCTTGATAATAAAAACATACAAGACGAAGGTTCTCCAACGCGCCGAATTTCAATCCCTAGCCATTTCCATGTCGAACGTAAATCATATCGGGGTATTAGTTGGCGAGGATGGTACGGACAAGATCTGTAACAGCAGTTAGCAAGTGGCATGATCAAGTATATACGACAAACATACCTGTGTAGTTAATCTCGCCGGAGCTAGTGTCCACAGCCTTGAGCAGCTCATCGACCTCTTCATCGGACATCTTCTCGCCGAGATTCGTGAGGACTATGAACATCCGTCAGTATCCTGCTCGCCTCCTATCCCATCGCACGAGAGCATAACATACTGTAACGCAGCTGTCCAACACCAATAAACCCAGTCATATCCTTATCAAAGACCTGGAATCCACGACAGTACTCCTCCGGCTCACCGGGCTCGCGGAAACCACCGGGACGATTGAGGACCTTCAGGAAGGAGTCGAAGTCAACTAGACACACGCAAAGAGTTAGCCGCGGTGTTCCCCTCATACCGGATAGCGACATGCGATCGCATCGACCAGTCAAGCGATCGCAAGCAATGACAAGAATTTAGAAGGGAAAAGAAAAACATACAGTCACCACCGACAGACTTCTCCAAGTCCGCGATCTCAGCCAACGTGGGGTTCTGACCACAGGCGCGGAGGAGGTCACCGAGGAGGTCACCGGCGACACGGCCGGTGCCACGACGGTCGAAGAGCGAGAACGCTTCTTTGTAGTTTGTAGAGGCCTGATCGTGGATATTAGCCATAATGCAGATGGACAGTCAAAGTGTTCGATGGAGAATTGGTGGTACAGTTGACGCATGAAGGGGGGGGAAGATTCAAGGGGCTGTCGGTTAACGAAGGCGGGAAAGGGGAGATTGTGGTTGGACGGGCTTGAATAAGAAGTCTGTCAACAGGAATTCCAACTCACCATTTTTGGATGATTTTGAATGATTTGGATGAGATTGAAGGGAAACAAAAATGTAGGAAGGTCAAGTTTGAGCAGGGACAACTTGGATGTGGGATCGGCGGTGGTTGTTAGGGCAACGCTACCCCGTATTTAGATACACTCCGTACACATACAATGGCACAAGGGTATACAGATAAGATTAAATAACAGCGGTACATATATAAACAGATCATACACAGTACATTGTTATGACTGCAGCTTCATGATACAGCTGTCCAGCAGCCGTGCCGCCTCTCCCAGCAGCTCCCATCGTGGTCTGGCAAAGGAGTCTCGGAGAATCATCAGCAGCCCAAGACACCCGTTGCGCCCGCTCATGGCCTCCAATTCGTGCGGTTCTCGGATCTCGCCCATGCGATGCAAGAACGTCTGCATGTCGCGCTCCCGGTCGGTCACGGTTGCGAGAACAGGGGCAGGACGTAAAGGTCCGTCTAATGCAAAGCCATATGTCCATACCACCAGTGCTGCGAAGTACATCACCCACGGTCGATGGAGCAGGTAGTCATCGCGCGCGGCATACTCCCCTGGCGGGGTATTCGGGTCTGAGAAACACGAGGACAAGAACTTGAGCGCGTAGAACGTGGCATCCCGTGCCGACGCCTTGGTCGCCCATTTCTCTGTCTTCTCTCGTGCCGCGGAGTAGTCGCGCGCTGTGATAGACCGGCCCATCAACCTGCCGGCACCAGCATATATTTGCAGATCAGCTATGTCGACATGGGAAGCCATGTGCGCCAGCCCGTGGAGCACGTTGCGCGACTCAGAGCTGGTCGAAGGACCCAGGGCCTCGTCAAAGTCGCGACGCCAATTATCGAATGCCCGGAGCAGTGCTGTTCTCCATTTATCCCGTCCCCCGAGCGTCTGGCCGACACCGAGCGAGCTGATCTGCAGATCTCGCTGGTTAAGATGCCAGCAAACGCTCAGCAAGCCGGACATGATGATGATTCGCCCGAACGCATTTGTCCGGACGGGCTGTCCGTTGAGTGTACGCTTGAGACCGTCCAAAAACATAATTGGCCGCACGCCATGCGACTGCAAGCTGGATTGCACCCGAGCGACCTCGGCTGCGCTTGTGGCAGCCCACAACGCCTCGTCACAGGGTAATGGTAGCCGCAGTTCGTGGGCTACCATTTTGGCCGAGTGTCCGAACATGGTTGCATGTGTTGAATCCAATACAAAGGCAGCAAATGCCACCCGCCGGGTCGCTTCCGCCTTGATCCAGGTTGACCACGACTCGTCTTCTTCTCTAGTTTCCGGGGTGTCAAACGAAGAATTACCGATTAAGGAACTTCCTCGGCGCATGAGGGTCAGCGTCGTGTCGTGATGAATATGTGCACGTTCATGCAATGCGCGCGTAGAAAAGAGCTTTTCGTAGACCTCCAGGAGCAACAATGACTGGAAGACCCAGAGTCTAGCTGGCGGGCGGAAATCGGCATCCATAAAGATTTCCCACCGCAAATGCCAGGCAATGAAGCTGGCTAGTTCAGACGCTGCCTCTGTAGCCTCCTGGCCGTGAATCTTGTCCAAAGTTGCCGCACCAATCGCCATAATCGCTAGCAATAATAGATTCGGGGTCCGATCGGCGGCAAATGTCGGCTGATGCAAGATCGGAAGTTGTGCATGGAAATGGTACCAGTAGGAGCCAATGTACGTCTGCATCATGCGCAAGCTCATGACATGTCGGTCGTGATTTAAATCTCCGTCCATCAACGCATCTTTGCGTTTAGCACCGGCTGCATACGCCGCCTCGTTGAATCTGGTTGACATCAAGCGCAGCAGTTCTTGTCGCTTTTCTTCGGATATAATAGCCGGTGGCGCCCCCGAGTCCAAGATACTCGTCACACTCATCGGATGCTGCGGGACGACCGAGCAAAAGTCATTGCTATATGCAGGCTCGTTCATATAAAATTGATTATGGACCATTGGGACCATGCCATAGCCCAACGGCGCAAGTGGCTCGCTGAACAGCCACGCTGCAAAATCGTCTGCCATCGCAAATGGCGATCGGTTGTAGGTTTCCCCGCCAAAGATCGGGTAAGACATAGAATCGAGATCGATGAGATTGTCAGGTTGGTCCAGCACCGGTGGAAATTCCTGGTATTGCGCCACTGGCATCTCATTGCTTTCCACACTTGTCGCAATTGGATAGGTTGTCACCGGGAACTTGGGCTCCTCGGAGCCAACAAAGTACTCCGGCGCGGTGATGGCAGGCGACGGAGGAGGGGAAGTCTTCGTTTCATTGTCGGTGAAATGATCTCGTTTCTGGAGTTGGGAGCCGCTGGTGGTGTGACGTTCACGGTGACGAGTGCAGAGGTCCTGTCGCACGAAGGATCGGTAGCAGTTGGGAAAGTCGCAACGATAGATTTGCTTTGGGGTATGGTTGAGCGCATGGCGACTCAGGTGTTCGGCGCGAGAGTAGCTCTTCCCACAGCCTTCAAATGTGCATTCAAACTTGCGATCGGAGAGGACTTTGCGACTGCGTCGCCGTCTCTTCGAGGGTTGACCGTCGGTCTCCATTTTCATGCCATGGCATAGGGGGGAGCTTGTGCACGTGTGGAAAATCGGGAATGCCGTAGATATAAATACGTCGGAAGGCTCGAGGAAGTTCGTTTAGAGAAGAGAAATGATTTAGCTAGGTAAAGATGAAGCGCAAAATCGGATTCGGAGAGTGTCTGGGGGAAGTGCGGAGGTCTCGGTGGGGTCATGACGGAGATCTCAAGACTCGATTGGTGAGATTCTACTTCCAAGGTTTGTCCAGGTTAGGTACTACCAGTAAGTACTACACAGTACAACAATCTCAGGAATATACTTGGTTTAGGTGTATATCATATACCACAGAGTATAGCAGTTCGCATTATATATCCGTCTCTCAAAACACAATCAGACTCGGTGCCCTAGCATAGTGGAATATATGCTGCTAGTAACTATTAGGTTGTTTCTGGCTACTAATCACCCCTGTAGGTATATGTGATTGTGAGCGGCTAATTTCGACAGATGACTTCTGCTTTCCTAGATAGACAGTACTGCGTCAAAACTAAGGGATAAAGAAACAATCTCAATGATGCAGGCAGCAGAGGTCTAAAGCGATAGCTAGGCGGCTATCCTTATGCAAAGGCTTCCTGGTCACGTTCCCCGACTTTCTTACAGCTAAACTCCTTCGAGCTGCCTCAAAAATACCAGGATAGGGCAGCCGATTGACAAGGAATATACAATTACAGGTAGAAAATAGATTCTCAATAGATTCATTGCTCGTATTCATGTGCCTGCACACAGAGAGTGCGCCAGAGACACGTCTCGGTGCAGATGAGTTGCGACTGTATGAATGTGGTCTACCGAACCCAGGTCGAGCTCATACAAATAACCCCGAATGGCAATCGTGAAGCCAGATCCTTCTGGTCAGGCCGGCGCACCGGCAGATCATAATTCATCACGAGACCGATCTCGCGCCATATCGTATATCACAGGGCGCGTCATAGCAAAGGATAAACACCTGGATGTGCAAATGCTCCCGTGGTTTCTTTCAGGAAATAAAAAAGGTGCTGGTCAGCACGGAGAAGATAAATGTACAGTGAGAATCTCATCCGCTGAATCGGAACCGGGTGGCCTCGAGACGGCCAAGGCCATCACGCGGGGCCACGTTTCGTCGGCGATACGAATTGGTGAAGTCTAAAAAAGATGTTAGACAAGGTAATGGGGATGAGAAAGGAGGGGTAAGGCATAGTTTAACGGACCTTGGAGTAGAGTACGGATCTTGCGAGTTTCTCCTGACTGTACTTTATCGGAGAGATTCTTCAGCAGTCGCTCGGCCTCTCCCTGCTTGATAGAGCCACTCGGCAGCATCTGCAGGGTAGTCTGCAGCCACGCGCCGGTTTCGTGAGGGAGCAGTTCGAACATTGTCATCATGACACCCGAAGCATCAGGGAAGCAGTCACCGGGGAAAGTGAACATCATGCCAGTCAACACACGCTGCGTCAAAGGCTGGCCTTGCGACATGATCAAGGCCTTGACAGCCTCGCGAACCTCGGGAGGGGTAACGTAAGGCTGGCCTTCGGGGCTGGTAAACTCAGAGACCATAGGCTTGTCAAATGCAAAGCTGAACAGGTCCCGGTAATAGTGAAGCGTGGCGATAAGAGGGTCGACTTGTTGAAGTGTGAGAGCACTGAGCGCTGCAGAGAAGATAGGAACGGCAAGAGACGAGCTGATGCACTTTTTGGGGTAGTATCGAACGGCATCGGAGGACAGGCGGAAGAAGTCTTCAATCACATCGGGCAGATTCTGTGGGGGGAGGTCATTCAGGATACGCAGGAAAGCAATGGCTTGTTGTTCATAGAACTGGTAAACGGCATCGCTGGTGGCCTGGTCCACATAATCCGCACCGTCAGAGAACTCGCGCACGACTGCATCCGTAGCCCAAAGGAAACAACCCTCTCGCGAGGCCTGGAAGCCATTGGCAATACTTTCCGCCAGAGTAGGCAGAAGAGGAATCATGCCAGTGCGGTACGAGATAATCATGTACCGCCAGCATCGACACACTCGCTCGAGAATGGGCGTGGAGGATGTAAAGTTCATGACAATGGTGGTCATGATAGGCAGAACCTCCCCGCAGTATTTCACAGCAGGGTTTTCTTCTCCCGGTGCGACGATGGGAGTAACAACCTGTACAAATATGGTAATCAGCTGCAAGTGATCAGCCACCGCGCGCTGTCCTTCTTCGTCCTGTGCATTGTTGGCAAGGTTCATGATTCGGGCCATGATCGGATCGCAGAACATCTTCAAGGAATCGTAGATTTTCTCAAGAGGCTGCACGGAAACAACAGCGGCAACACCTTCAGTAATTTCCTCCTGGCTAGCGGGCTTCAGCTTGTCAAGGACGGACTCAAAGAAGGTATGAAGCTGAGCGATATGGCCACCAAGGAGTTTCTGGCAGTCGGTTCCCAAAAACTTGAAAGCAAGAGCAGAGGCCTGCACAACTTCTTGAGAAGAATGGTGGAAACCGGAAATCACATAGTTGAGCTGGGCTTCCAATGTTTCGGGGTGGAGAGCAGTCCACTCCGTGTAGCGAGCCAGCGCCATGATCGCCTGGAATCGTACCTTTTCCTGATCAGGAATCTGAACGATCAAAGGAACCAATTGCCCAAGAATGGTGCTCTCTTCTGGGTCCACCATACGACCCATTGCGCGGAGACCGAACAGAGGGGCCTCCAACTCCTGCCAATGAGGAACATGCTCATTGCTCGCCTGCGAGGCGTACTTGGCAACCCACTGTTGGATCAATTGGTAAATCTTACCAAGACAGTCGTTCACACCCACAACAGCACAGCAGTCCTTGAGGACATCACCCATCGCATGGCGGAACTGACGGAATTTCTCTTCCTGCTCGCGGTCTCCACCAAACAAATCTGCTTCGCCTTCTTCCGGGCTGGGGAACTCCAGGTGTTTCACCATGATGTCCACCAGTTGGGAAAAGATGGCCTGGAAGTTGACTCGGGCATCCGTGTATCGGTCCAGGGTAATGTATTGCTTCAGTTCATACCAGAAGATGAAGGTCAGTGACACTGCGTCGCGCTCCCAGTCCCGCGCACAACATTCAAGAAGCGCCTCGACGAGACCCCGGAACTCGTCAGGCAAACGTGCAACAAGAACAACCCAGGCTTCACCAGCCTCTGCAAACATTCTTGTGACGCCCTTGAAAGCTTCCAAATCTTCGGACTCTGCTGTTTCGGCAATCTTTGGGCGGAGTGCCATCAATCGTGGGTAAAGGGCTTGAATGACGGGCAGCGACTCATCCACATCCTTCGTGTCGCGATAGAGCGTGCAAATGCAATCGACACCAGATTCAAAAGATACATCGTTATCCAATGCCTTGAGGATGACGTCCATGAGAGGGGACTCCACGACTTTGGCGGCGGGAATTTCACGTAGCCACGAGGTAATGCAATCGAGAAGGCGGGGATTCGTGGCGGCGGTAGCTATCGAAAGTCAATTTTGTGCTCAAACTCAACTTCCAGACTTAGAGGTCGAATACATACGAGATGACTGGGAATACTGAATCATCAGCTGCAGGACCTGCTCGGCATTGTCTTCCAGCAACTCCTTGGTTCTCGAAAGCAACTCGTCTTCCTTTAGTACAAGTCAGCAAAGCCTGATTTTTGTCGACCGGCGTATATAAACATACGCTGAGATTGATCTTGCGACCTTCGGTCACTTCCTCGGGCAAGATCTTCAAGAATTCTAGCACACAGTCTCCCGCGCTGCTTCCCAAAGCTGCTCCGACGGTTGCCAGAACATCTTTCCATGCTACCATCTGAATCGCCAAACTGGCCAAGCATACACATAGTTGGGTCTGGATCGGGCGCGGGCCAGGTGCAAATGCCACCAAAAGGTTCAGGACTGAGTCTCGTAGGGCCAATAGCGAATCCGGAGGAAGTTGGTCAAGGTCAAAAGTAATCTGCGCAATCAGAAAAGACCACAACGATGCACATGGAGTACCCTTACCTTTCCTTTCAGTGTAGTCGCGGCGAACAGTTTGGCTTCAACCGGCACATCGGGGGACTGTAATAAAGCATGGGTGGTTGTCCAGGCCTCAATCTGCAGGCGCATTCGAGATTAGCAAAATGTGCCCCTCAATTCCTAACCACAAGTATCTTACTGATTTCTGGAACTTCTCGAGGAATTCATGGGCTTGAGTCTTCTCGGACCTTGACACATTGCCTTGCATTGTCGCGACGGCCGCCAGGACCGGGGCAAATGCCTGCCCGGCATCCTTGCTGGCCATATTCAATTAATCAATTAATCAAGGCTCAGCAAAATAGCAAAGAATGTATCAGCATCTGACGGGGACGGCGCTGAAGAGGGGGGAGCGAGTTGAAGGTGGGATGGTGGCCGTGACGAGATAACCGTATTACGGTAATCAAATCACGGGACGACCTCCAGGCCCGCCAGAGCTTTCTTCGCCTTGTTTCCCCGTAACAGCTATCATCTCCGACATAACCTCACATCATGGCTGGCCGCAAGACATTGTTGGCTCCGATCCACTACATTTTCAGTCTACTGCAGAAGCGCAGCACTGTCTCAATTTGGCTGTATGAGCAGCTCGCTTTCCGGATCGAGGGGAAGATTCGTGTATGTGTTTCTTTACGTGCTTCCGGTTGAGTTGTCATTGGAGCTAATGCGGTGATAGGGTTTCGATGAGTTTATGAATTTGGTCATCGACGATGCTGTGGAAGTGCGCCTGGCAACCAAGACAGAGGTCGAGAAGCGCCGGCCATTAGGTATGATATTCTACTGGCCGCGGAATCCCACGAGAACACGGAACTAACTATCCGAACAACAGGCCAGGTCCTTCTCAAGGGAGACAATGTCTCTCTCATCCAGGCCGTTTGAAATTTCGCTCTACCTTTTCTATTTCGATTTGCGCTACACCCTGCGGTCCAGGTATCGACCATCACCAACCACGATCGCATCTATCAGCCAGTCATGCTCCACCACGGGAATCTCCTCGGCGAGCAATTGGTCTTGGAGGGAAAGGGCAACTGCCATGGAGTTCAGTCGGGGATATACGGATTGTTTCTGGGATTACTTACCAAGGAATGGCATTTTGCGGGTCAAATTCGAGTATCGCGTTAGGAAATGATCATAATATCCTTTACCATGACCGAGTCGTCGGAATTCGTGATCAAAGGCCATGCCTGGCATCACGATAAGATCCAATCCCTGTTCCATTGCGTTCTGGCGGCCTTCAATTTGGGTAGATAGGAAAGATGGGATTCCCCATTTGTCCGGCTGTAATGACTCGAACTCGGTCAAGGATCCGAGTGCGAACATGTCCATGACGGATGTTTTCTCCTGCGTGTGAATATATGGGATGTAGACATTCTTTCCCTGCTCTAGAGCATCCTTTACGATCCCCGTTGTTGAGAGTTCCCCACTTGGCATAGACAAGTATACGGCGATGTTCTTCGCATTCTGGTACTCGGCCAGTGACAGGAATTTGGTTGTAGCAGCACTGGCTGAGTCGGGTTAGTACGAGCAATACCCAAAGGCGAGAAGCCAAGCTGACATTGTTGACTTATTGCTGTTGCCGACAACGCCTGCAGGGTTGAGCGCATCCTCCTGCGCAAGTCACGTTTTGCGGTTTGAAACGCCATTCTGTCCAGATACGTGGTACAGTGGTAGTTATTCTGGGAGAAGAAATTGAGGGATGCGATCCGCCGAGGTAGTGTATGTAAGTCAATTTAAAAATTAGACGCCGACAAAAAAAGAGGAGGAAAAAAGGAAGGTCCTACCCGGGTTCGAACCGGGGTTTGTGGTACTTTAAATCGCCCAGACGGGTAATTTCAAAAACCACAGTGATAACCACTACACTATAGAACCAGTGCTTGTAAAGATCACAACTTTTATAATTTATTAGCCATCACTGTAAGTTGCGGACATTCCAGTCGCTATTGGTAGGGGCATTGCTATGTTATGGTCTCCACTCGCAATGAAGGGCGCCCTTCAAATACTCCCCTACTGTCGATTCTTCCTTCATCAACCAAGATGTTTTTGATTTGGGCTCTTTTGGCGACAGCCGCTTTGGCAAATGTCGAGGATTTGATTGGGACCTGGACTACCAAATCTCGTGACGTTATTACAGGTCCAGTATGTGGAAGTATAGTATCAACAAACGAATGAGACTAACGTGCCCCAGGGATTCTACGATCCTCTCAATGACAAGCTACTCGAGCCAAATTTGACCGGCATTTCATATTCATTCGACGACAAGGGACATTATGAAGAAGCATACTATCGCGCAATCTCAAACCGTCAGTCCGTGGATATATATAGTTCGTTGGCACCATGCTGATATTGAAAATAGCGGCCGATCCAAAATGCCCAGGAGGAATCATGCAATGGCAACATGGTTCCTACACTGTGTTCGGAAATGGAACTATGATATTGAAACCAATTGCTGTCGATGGTCGCCAGCTGCTATCGGAGCCCTGTCGGAAGAAGACCGGCTACTACACACGATACAATACCACCGAAGAATTCAAGGTATATACATCCCTCCTATCTCATTCAATTCAATCTAACCGCATAGTCATTTTCCGTCGGTATTGATAAATACCATAAAATCAAACGTCTTGACTTGACTAGGGCCGATGGTTCGGTCCTTCATCCCATGTACCTCGCCCACCAACCACCAAAGATGCTACCCACCACAACGCTGAATCCCACGCCAATGGGGCACAAGTCAAAGCGTGAGCTATCGTCACAGACTGGATTTCGTCTAATCAGCAGGGACGAGCTGGTTAACCCAGACCGCTGGTGGTGGTTAGGTGTTTTGATGACATCCGTTGGAGGAGTAGCTTTCTTCTATTCATGAGCATCTACCTAGGACGGCGTTGGAATGGAGTTAGGGTTTCATTATTCTGTGAATTATAATGAGAATTGGTTGCCCGGGACTGGGGCTATTGTGACACTAATATACAACCTCGTAAATGTAAGCTCAAGAAAGCGCGCTTTTCACCTCGGCGGCCACTTCTCTGCGGTCAACTGGCTTGCCATCCAGCGGACCCCCTGCTGCAAAGAGAGCTTTGAGCACGCTTCCTTGGTTGGGTTTTGTGTTGGCATTCATCATAGCACTGATCTCGTTGGAGACAATTTCCTTAATCTCGGCGACGGGAAGAGTCTTGACCTGCCCAGCATACTCCTCCAACACAACAACCTGTGCATCCTCCTTCTCCTTCAAGTCTGGCCGTTCAGCAGCCTCAAACTCCTTGGCTGCATCTTTTGCAGCACTCAAGCGTTTCCGGATGAGCGACAAGAGCTGGATGTCTGTTTGGATCGGCGAGGCGGTTTTGGCAGCATTGTTGGTCTCGGAAATCAAAGCGCGAAGCACATTGAGTCTGATCATAAGCCTTCCAGTCCTCAAGAGTAATATGGGAACGATTCGCACCTTGTAGTATCCTTGGCTCGCATAGCAATTTTCAGGTCAGTCCGCAAAGTAGCCATCAAGGGTGGCAGAACCGGACCCGTGGAGTTCCAACGTACCAGACGAGCTGGCACACGTGAAGAGAAACGAATTGAATGAAACATTGTAATTGACAGCCTAGACAATGAGAACAAGCTCAATTGGAGATTCAAAGGTGAATGGGGAAGACAATCAATCTGAAAGGCGGAAGATCCCAACTGGTCTGTGCGCTCCCAGTGTTGACTCTCGCTTTTCGTAAAGACCTTGAATAATCCAAACTCCTCCCCAGACCTTCTCTCGTCGTCATTCCCCCACGTATCTCCTAGCTCGTTTTTTCCATCCGACGTACACTGCAGCTCCTCTGTGATTTTTAGAGGGGGATTGTCCCTTCCTCCCTACTACAGTCGTCATGTCGTATCCGACTCTTCCAACAAATCTCGCTCCGGCGACGCCGCAGAAACCCCTTCCTGGAGCTTACTTTCAAACACCAGCTCCAGCTACAACACGAACTCTCCCACCATTCCCAGCGAAGTCGTCGGTGCAGCAGACCGAACCTCAGACTCCCATGCCAAAGCTCCCCCCGGCAGCCTCTAAGACCAAAAATCAGACAGTGAGCACCGAGGAACGCGGGGCGAAAACGATCAATAGCAGCTTGCAAAGCGAGTCGCGCTTCCCAGATCTTGACAGCTATTTATCACGTAAGACCACCTTGCACAAATCCTACAACAAAACTGACCAAAAACAGAGGGCTCGTCGTCCGAATACAACATCTCCGCCTCTCAATCATGGGCGCCATTCCAGAAAATCAAAACGTACGACATCCCCGACCAGATCTTCGAGCAATACAACCGCGCGCAAGTTTCGACCAGCATGGGTCTGTTTGCCGAGTTGAACCACGCCTGGGTAGCGATTGACAACGCATTGTACATCTGGGATTTCACACACCCCAACCCGCAATTGGTGGGATTCGAGGAACAACCGAACAGCATCAACGCTGTCAAGTTGACCAAACCGCGTCCTGGAGTTTTCTTGCCTGCGATCACCCATCTGTTGGTCATTGCGACGACGGCAGAAATCATTTTGTTGGGAATGGGCCACGAGACCACGCCCAATGGAGGTAAACAGGTCTCTTTGTATCACACTGGGATGTCGGTGGCTGTCCGAGGCCTGGATATCAACGTCTTCGCGGCAACAGAGTCCACTGGACGCATCTTCTTCGGAGGGTCGTCTGATACCGATGTGCACGAGGTGACCTACCAGCAAGAGGAACGTTGGTTCCAGGGCCGGTGCGGTAGAGTCAATCATACCAGCTCGCGTCTATCAGCGTTCAGGCCATCGATGAGTCTGACGAATCTTGCCCAAAGCGCGTCCGAGCACGTTGTGCAAATGGCAATCGATGACAGCCGAAACTTGCTTTACACACTTTCCTCCGCGTCTACAATTCGCGTATTCCACATGGGACCGGAGGGTAGGTTGAACCTCGCAATCACCAAGCGTGCCGTCGATATTTACTCCAATATTGGACACATTATCACCTCCAACGAGACTCTCAATCCCAAAGTCAAGATTGTGGCAATCAGTCCCGTACCATCTACAGAAGCTTCGCGTTACCACCTCGTTGCAACGACGGCGACTGGCTATCGCATCTATCTAAGCGCCACTGCTTCAAACAGCTGGGCGCCCTCGTCAACCAGCACTAGTCCCCCCCACGAGCATGCAGGCTTTGCATGTGAAAACACCACCCGTCGATATCTCGCCCGGTGTGAGCGGGGTGGCATCATCTATCCCTCCTGTTACAACTATTGGTACAAGTATTGGTGCGGTACTACCTTCTGCTGGTCAGATCAATACACTTTCACCTACTCGCCTTGCCGAGCGATACTCCCCTGGTTATTTCTTCTGCTTCACTACCAAGGATGCCCAAAAAAAGATGGATACGCTTTTCGTTTCGACCCCAGATTCTGGTCGGATTGCTCAGTACCAGGAAAACTCGGTCAGCGGTAAAGCAGCTGAGTCGGCTATCGTCCTGGAACTGGGCGGCAAAGCAGAGGATATCGGACTGGTTTCGGCACCATCACCGGTGACCAACGAGCTGGCTGTCCAGTTTGATCATCCAGCTGCAGAGATCGCAATCTTGACAAACGGTGGAGTCCATATCATTCGTCGACGTCGTCTCGTGGATATATTTGCCGCCTTGCTTCGTAGCGGCGGCAACCCTCATGAGGGTCTGACCGGAGAGATCCAAAATTTCCTCAGAACATATGGACGCAGTGAAATGCTGGCGACGGCTCTGGCGGTGGCTTGTGGCCAGGGTATGGAGATTTCCCCCGACCAAAGACTGACCCGAATCACCGACCCGGATGTCCTGGCCGCAGCACGGCAAGCCTTCATCACTCAGGGTGGACGGGCTCACTTGAATGAAAATGCCATTGCCGACGGCTCAACCTCTGCTCTTGATGCAGTGCAGCCGTCTCCTCGACACACGGGTATTGCATTGTACATCTCCCGTTTGTTAAGGTCTATCTGGAAGGAGAAAATTGCCAAGGTGGGCAATGGACCTAGTGGCGCACAATCTGTTTCCGCGTCCGTGAGCTCGAGTAAACTGCAGACTATCCAGCATGATCTCTCCTCATTGGAAGAGTTCTTCAAGGTGAACAAAACATTTATCGATGGGCTCAACGGGCCAGACGCCCTTTCCCGGGTAAACAGCAAGCAAGAAGAAGTGGCTCTGCAAGCTGAGCACCGCGCATTGCACTCTCTTGTCCGGTTGGTCCAACACACGATTGAAGGCATCTCCTTTGTACTTGTGCTATTTGACGAACGTGTTGATGAAATTGTGGCGACCTTGCCAGCTGAGTCAAAAGAGAAGTTCCTCAGTCTCACCTTTGAGGAATTGTTTAGCTCCAGCAAGGGTCGTGATATTGCCAAGGAGCTTGTGAAGGGCATTGTCAACCGCAACATCGCGAAGGGCTCCAATGTCGAGACCGTGGCTGATGCCCTCCGACGACGATGTGGCAGCTTCTGCAGCATGCAAGATGTCGTGATTTTCAAGGCACAGGAAATGTTGAAGCGCGCCACTGAGGCCGGTGCGAACACTGAATTGGGCCGCAACTTGCTCAACGAGAGTCTGCATCTTTTCCAGCAGGTGGCGGAACACCTGCCCATGGATTATCTGGTTTCGGCTGTTGACAATTTCATTGCCAACCAATTCTTTGCAGGTATGTCGTCTCATTCCCTCCGCTGTTTCATACTAATTCGGTCTCCTAGGTGCTATCCAGCTCGCCCTCAATGTCGCTGCCCGATCCGACAAGTCCAATATGGCCTATTCCTGGATTATGGATCAGCGTCCCGAACAGGTGCTTATTCCCCTTTATCCCAATGGACCCGCGCGCCAACTGACGCACACAACTACCCAGGATCCCCGCAAGGAATACTTCTTATTCCGCAAACAATGTTACGATCTAATCTTCAAGGTGATCCTTGCAGTTGATACCCTCGCTGCATCTGACCCCGGTATGATTGATGGCCAACTCACCACCGTTGCCAAACGTCAGAACGAGGCTTATGGCGTGATTTCCGATTCGACCGATGAGGTGTTCCTGACGAGTTTGTACGACTGGTACCTCGAGCAAGGCTGGAGCGACCGGTTGCTGCAGACCTCGTCGCCCTTTGTGGTCACTTACCTCCAGCGCAAGTCGAACGATGACCTGGGCCATGCTGATTTACTCTGGCGATTCTATGCCCAGTCTCAGCGATTCTTCGAGACTGCTCAGGTTCAGTTCCATTTGGCCAATAGCGCTTTCGTGCTACCCTTGAGCCGTCGCATCGAGTACCTTGGACAAGCCCGCGCTAACGCTTCAATCTTCACCCCGGACGTCGGTCGTCAGTCAAGACAGCGACTGTTGCAGGATATCTCAAACCTTATCGACGTGGCCAATATCCAAGATGACCTTCTGCAAAGATTGAAGGATGATGAGCGGATTATTCCCGAACGGAAACCTGAGATTCTTCGCGAGGTCGATGGACCAATTTTGGATATTAGCACAGTAAGTCTTATCTCGTATCAAGAATTGCCCTGTGAATCAATTCAAAACACATACTAACTTCTTCGATCAGCTATTCAACAAATACGCCGACTCTGCCAGTTACCATGATATCTGTCTCCAGATTTTCTACCACGCAGACCACCGCAATGCGGCCGACGTCAAGTCTACCTGGCAACATCTGATCGAGAATGTCCATGACGCCACTGTTCAGCGTGGCTCACCGCAACCGTACGAAGCGGTGATCGAGAAAGTCCGCAGCCTTGGAAGTCGCCTGCGGATGTCCGAGACCATTTTCCCCATCCGTGAGCTCGTCCCCATGCTGGAGCGGTATGCGCTGGAATTCCAGCGTAACGTTGGCCCTGCTACCTGGGTGGTTGATCTATTCATTGATCTCGGCGTGGCGCACGAATCACTGTACGCCGTGCTGGAGACCATGTACTACACCGACGAAGCGCCTTTCCACGGTTCCAACCGGCGGTTCATTGCGCATGACCTGCTGTACCTACTGAGTGGGTGGTTCCAGGAGACCGTGCGCCTGGGCGGCATGGTTTTCGGGTCGGATATCGTTGCCGAGCGTGTATCTGAGATGCTACTGATCCTGCAGCAGAGCGGTGTCATTAGCGGGGACCAGTTGGAGATCGCTCATGAGTTGCGGTCACGGATTGACGACATCCTGCGTTAATGTGGCGTCCGGAGGGAATGCGGGGATGGCTGCTCTCCGCTGCAGATCTGCATGATGGTGATTTGGTTTACTTGACATATTTATTTGGACCTTTTTGGGAACACGGTGCGTTCTGGGATTTCTGTTTGTAACTCTAGGCGTGAGGTGGTAATGAAACGAATACAACAATCCGACATGCAATGGCTCAAGGTTAGAGGGAGTTTTCGCCCTGAATGTTCAATAGCTTTGCAATACATATTTCAATATTCCAAAGGTTCAGAACAACAATTCAATATGATTGAAGTTCAATTAATCTATATCCAACCCCAAAAACACCGAAATGATCCCGTCTATCACATTATGCAGTCTATTCGAATACCTCATCCTCCTCATCCTCGTATACAGGAATAGGCTTCTCACCCAGTGCAATCAGGCGGAAGATATGACGAGCTTTCGCACCATAATCATCATCCAAGTAGTCGACAATTGCAGAGTCTAGTTTCATTAGCAAAGGTCCCTCAATTCCTCTCTCATCTTTAGGGCGAAACTCACGAATAGTCGACCGATTATCAAACATCACAATAGTCCTAGGCTGCCAGCGCACTCGCACCTGGAAATCATGACCTGTAACGAGATGATTCATAAGGAAATCCAACACCCACTTGGTCTCGGAATCCTTGAGCCCATGAATGCGGGTAATAAACTCGCCATTCAAGAACATACACTTCTCCCCAGAGACCGGGTGCACCCGTATAAGTGGGTGGACCGTATCCACAGGATCTTTCCTGACCAAGCCACCCGTCAAGCGAGCATGGGCAATCATCTTAGCAGAAGAATGAGTAACCTTCAATCCATCCAGGAAAGCCCTAACAGGCGCCGACAGTCGCTTATAGGCTAAATCCGTGGCCGCGAAGACGGTATCACCCCCGACCTCCGGACCCTGCAGCAGGCCGAGCATAACATACCCGGGAGGCTGGATTTCGTAGCTGACATCTTGATGCCAGAGGGTAGTAGTCGTGCGCTGCTCGAGGAAGCGGGCGATTTCCTCCTTGTTGCCGTCGCGGTGGATGATATGGAAGGCGGGATGATCGGTCATGGAGCCGGAGACGGGCTGGTAGTTTGGTTTACCGAAATGACGCATGAAAGCTTCTTGTGCGTCCGGGCCTGCGTCTATGAGGTCCTGATCTGGGAAGGCGACGACCTTGCGCTCTGAGATGAGGAGGGCGAGTTCATCTCTTCCGGCGGCGGAGAGGGAGGAGAGCTGGACATTCTCGACGACTGTTCCTAGGCTTGGCTGGATGTGGTTGACCTTTGCGGAGGGAGGGAGCAGGTTTGGTTTTGACTTGTTGCGGACGCGCAGAGCTGGGTCTTCGTAGTCAAAGGGTTGCAGGGGTTCGAACCAGACTGGGTCCCAGGATGGGAGGTATTGGGGGTATTTGGTGGTGATTTTGGATTGCTTGTCTACATTGACGTAGGGGATATTGATGTCATAACTAATTGGTTCTTCTTTCTTGGTCTTTGTTTGTTTGGGGCGATGAACGGGGGTTGAAGAGGGCATCTTGTATAGATATACCAGTCCTGGTAGAGTCCTGGTAGAAGTAAGAGTATTGATAAGATGGGGAAGAGAAGTGGGATTGAGCACGTTTATATATCGTTTAGTACGGAGTATACAAAGTAAAGGACATATCGCATATGATCACACAAGCTAAAACACTAGGTGCTTCCCTTCATTTCCGAATGGAAGCCGAGTTGGAGAACGAACAGCGGTCAAGATAAAATATTCCAATTAAAAAAACAATTAAAGTCAAATACTCCGTAAACAAGGGAGTCAATTGAAGCCACGGTAATCGAATCCCTAACATCTTCCTCAACTCCAAGGGACAATCCCCGTTTCCACTACAGTTTCGCCCGCTTTTCGGGTCAACCCTTTCCAAAGCTTCCTCCGCTTTCACACCGCTATCTACCATCTAGTACCTCCGCATCCTTCACATACATTATACTAGTGAACTCGAAGATAAGGCGCCATGCAGTCCAAATGGGAATTGCATTATCTTCCATGATCTATGCATGCGGAGATTATGATTCGGCCACATGGAGCCTCGGCCAGAAGCCATTTAGGCAGCTCCAGGAAGGGGAAAAAATGGGAGAACAAGAAAATGAGAGACGGGATTCAAAGTCAAAGAACAGGATGATAGTCTACAGATACAGGGATTGGTACCTGATCTTGCGGTCTACTTGCCGTGTGGTTCATGCTAGCTGTATGGAGTAAATGAATAAGGATTCATTTTTGGTTGGTTTTGACCTATCGACTTTGTACACAGCAGTACAGCAAGGTACAGTAGCTAGGAGATTCCCTGCCCGCCGAATGCATGCCTACCTTATCCTGGTGATGTAATTTCAGGCTCTTGATATGTGCGCAGGGTGTCCTCCAAGGTCCTTTGTTTACAATGTACGTACGAGGTACTCCGTACTCCATACTCCGAATGGAGGGTACATGTGGATATCTGACTGGGTCGGGATCGACCCGCCCCGACAAACGTAGTTACCCCAATGTCATCATTGCATGGAAAGGAGAGTGCTAGACATATCAGGGCACCAAATCTCCTGAAAATCGGGAAGCAGCGGTGAGATCGGAACATCCAATGTTGCTCTTTTTCCGTTCTGAGTAAACAATATGTCCGATGGGTGTTCACAGGTAAACCCGAGGCTTGGGTACTCGGTAAAGTAACCATGGAACCACAGACCTTAACCTTGGTGAACCTAGGTTCCCACTAAGCCTAGCAAGAAAAAAGCAATTCTCACTATTCTTTAGTCTCATAGTTTATCTGAGGTTCCAAGAATTGAACCTATAACACATGTCAGCTATAGTTCCTTCTAACTTTGTTCTTTTCCAGATTGTTCCTTGGTCACCTGATCCACTCTCCCTTTTCTTTCCCGTTGACCTCCCTTGTACCACTAGTTCCACTACCCATACATTGGACTTACATGTACTCCGTACTCCGTACACTTACACTATCTCCTTGACTGCCCCCCTTGAACACTCCATTGCATTGCATATGATCCAGCGCAATCCCGATACCGGAATCTTCAACCCCAGGAATCCGGCACAATGGGCATCTGCAACCGCAAACGCGATTTAGCCTATCTCCTCTTCTTCGTCACCCACATTCCGATCATCTTCCGTATGATTTCCTATCTCTCCCAATTCGCTATCTCCACCAAAATCTCGATGTGATAGACCCTTCACATATACCCTGCATACTAACCCCAAACCCAGTAATCGATACTGTCCCCCTCCAACCAGCCTTCCTCCAAACAAACCTCTCCCACCAGCTCCGCGAATTCTACATAACCACCTACCGTGACAAATTCTTCGAAGACCCCGCGCCAACATGGTTCACCGTCTTCATCTGGATGGAACTCCTGTACCATGTCCCAGCCTCCGTTTGGGCAGTGCGCGGCCTACTTAAAGGTCAGTTACAGCAAAATCAAGTAGATATTCTGCTCATGCCCGTGCTCCTCCTCCCGCCCCATGCTCGTGCTTCGTACATATTACAGTCCTACAAAGTATATCCCTGCCGAGAATCCCTGCCTCCGATCCAGTCCAGTCCAGTCCAACCCCCCGGGAGCCCACCCCCTCCACCCAACGAACATCCATGGAAAAATTTATATGTCATAGTCGATATCAAATGGCTGCAATTGATCTGCGACGATCTGACTACTAGCCTTTCTTCTTCCAATGGATAACACAAATCTTGGGCAATGACACAATGAACACGAAAGTCGCATCCTTAACTGACAATATTTCCAACTCATCTAGACCACCCCCTCGTACCTGTACACCTCCTCGTCTTCGGTGTCCAAGCCTTCATCACCTCTCTGACATGTCTGGTCGACGTGTGGAGCTGGACTGATCGCTCGGTTGCCCAGAAACAGCAACTTACCATGCTGTATAGTCCATATGTGGCGCTAGGTATGTAAAGCCCATGCAGCAGCAGGCGGGTCCAGGGTTGCTTAGCAGATGTCGCAATGGATCAAGGCTGACCAGGATTACTGACACATTGTAGGTGGCCTAATGGCTCTAGATATGATGTTCCGTCTACGCGACAAACTAATGCCGAAAAGCAAGCGCGAATAAACACTGCCATATAGACACACTCACACTTTCTAACTACTACCTACATGGTAGGAACAGCGAACCAGGAAAGAAATAAAAAAGAAAACAATCTAATGTACTGCGGCCAGCGTTGTAATTGTACACATACGTGCTTTGATCCAAATCTCGCTAATACAAGTTCCCGTCCCGACCAAACGCCCAATGTAAATGCAGGTAGACTTCATCCGTCTCAGATCAAATCAGGAACCCGATCGCATGCTCCAAGTCTCCATGCGCCATATCTAAAGCCCGGATAGCTTCCTCGCGCGAGAATCCCAGCTCAGTTATCTTGGCAATAGAATCCTGCGGCCACCGTGACCCCGGCGCAGGCTGAGTATCCTGTCTCGGTTGTGACCCTGATGCAACGGAGCCAGAGGCATTCGTTGGAGGAGCAGTGGCATTAGCAGCGGCGTTATTCTCCGCTTTATGCGTAACTGCGCCAGTGCGGGCCCCTATCTCGGCGCCATCGGCGCCTTTCACCGTAGGCTCAGCCTCGAACTCTTCAGTCAAGTGCTTGGGGATATCGCCCTCGCCGAGGAAAGGAACCGCCTGATCCTGAATGACAAGGGCACCACGCCGGAGGTCGATACAGGCCTGGTGACGACGGAGCATGTCCAGACCGAGGAGCAGGTCGATCTGCTTGCCTTCCATGACGGTGAAGGAACAGGGCAGGAACATCTCCCCGATCTTGATCTGGGCGGAGTGAACGCGGCCCAAGATCGGAGCGGTGCCTACACCCTTCGCGATACCGCCGTAGCGACGGTCAACCAGACGCATTATGTTACACGATGTTGCACACTCGGGGGACATGATGGTCACCTGGGCACCGGAATCGACAAAGGCGTTTAGACGGTGGCCGTTTACTTCGACGGGGATGTAGAGCATTGTGACGCGGCCGAAAGCTATGAAAAAAAAATGCAATTGGTTAGTTTCTTGATTCTCATCGATTCAGCAGCCTAGCCGGCCACGCAATGACGTAGAAACATACACTCCGGGTGGTGCTCCATGGCATTGTGTAGATTCTCCGTAACAGCATTCTGGCGAATGATCTCTTCAATTTCCTTCTGGTTATCGGGGTTAAAAGGGTCGGCATTGAGCATTGCAATACGAGCTTCCTTCTGTGCCTCCTGCTGCGCCTCACGCTGCTGCTGTCTAACCAGGACCTCACGGAAGCGCTGAGCATCGTCCGCAGCTTCAGACAACTCCGGATTCTGTCTGCGGACGGCCTCACGCACGCGGGGATCGCCCAGAATGTGTAGACGGATAGTTTCGGGGTCCGGCATGCCGGGGCGGGGTTGAGTATTTTGTCTGGGGGCGAGGGGGCTGGACGCCGCGGGGCGGGTAGCTTGAGGTTGAGGGGCGCGCAGGGTGACGTGCACGCCGAGCATGTCGCCTTCGGTGATGCCGACTTGGTCTAGGGTTTGGGAGGGGATCTGAAGGAGGTGGTTATTGTATACAAGCTGCTGGGCTTCCGGTGGAATAGCTGTTTCGCTTTCGACAATGGCCTTTAGAAGCTCGATTGACATATCACCGCCCACTTCTAGGTTGATGATGTCGGAGTCCTCCTGCTCGGGGCGGATAACACTGACGGTGATACGCATGGTATCGGACAGAGGGGTGTGAATGAAGTAGAAAAGCAAGTAAAAATATAGAACAGAGAAAGCCCGTAGAAAAGGGAAGTGTGGAAGAAGCCGAGAGAAGTAGAGAGAGAAGATTAATAAAGCGGGAGAACACCTGACTTAGTAAAGAAGCTCCCTTACGTCCACTTTTCATTTTCCCTCCTACATAGACTTTGGCTTTAGTGCCGCAGCTAACCCTCGTACCATGATCATCTTCCTATTGCATATGCGTATTGAGCCCCGCGCTGAGCCGTTTAGCTCCTCCACTAAAGACCCATGCCCCCCCCCAACGGCTGACGGGGTACTTATCCGCGGCAACAGGGGACTGGGAGCCTCGAAGAAAAGTGATCTAAACGCGTTACACCAGGGCTCTACGATCTTGACTCTACTTTTCTTGTAATGTCCGGTACAATGACTTTAGATTGCGCCAATGACTCTATCATGCTGCCAATCTAATAGCGGGGCTCTCTAGCCCGCGGCCCGTCCGAGAGAGCCCCGTGAGAGCCCCGTGGCTGGGCCAGTTTCTCAAAAGTACAGGTCGGTTCGACTCCGTCCTACACTAGCCCTAGACCAGTCCTGAACAAGCCAGGCCCAAGCAATGATGTCGCAATGGTTCTCGCTGTGACCCCCGCAGTTGAAAAGTCGCGCAGAGTACTTGAACCGTGGGCCAGGCGCTCCTCGGCCATATCGGTAGCGGCAATGCTATGCGCCAACAGTGACGCACGGATCGGCGATAGCTAAAGCGCTCAACATTAATTAACTTAAGAGACATGTAGACATGTGGAATATTTCCGCGTGGCGCTCAGAGCGCCACCATCTCTAGATGCCTTCTCAAGAGTAGTCTACACTCTACACCGTCCCCAAGACCTGCTGACAGCCAGACGTTCGAAAAGAATGAGGAGAAGCAGCCCTTCTCCCGGATCGATACGGTACTTCCCGACTAAAACGTAGGTCCCCAGTTTGAAGATGGCCGTTTCTAGAGTGGTGCATTAGTGCTCATGTTTCAGATTGGCTCTCGTCTTATCCCCGCCGGTGGATCAGGCATCGTGCCACTTCGGGAATTTTAGAAGGCGAGAGCGTTTCTATGGAATCTTCCTTCTTAGCTCTGTAGACTAAGTGCCTTTTAGACTTTTGCCTTTGCCATATCTGTACTAATTTACCTATCCACCGTTGGCTAACCGCCCTAAGCACAAATAAAGAGGACATCGTGGGCAGGGCTCGGCTTCAATGAGATTGACTATCTTTTCCAATGAATGAACAGTTGCGACTTCACGCCAATGATTCTCATATATGAGACGTGGTGACGACCAACTGTCAGCTAAGTTGTCTTGGCTGAAGACACAGAATAGCTCCTGCCCATCTCCTATGCATTTGACTGAGATCTTTTTAAAGCATTCGCTTGTTGAGAGCACAGCATAGCTAACTTTGTTACAATACATTGTTCAACAAAGAACACAATAGGCCTTATATCAACAAGCTATGGGATTGGTTGCGGATAGCTGTAGAGACATCAGAGACTCTCCAATCATCACCTTGTGATCATTTCGTCAGTGTACCCCCTTGTAGAAACCTAGCGCAGTTGGGGAATTACCATGCCCATATCCAATATAGTCTAGCCGACCTTGGGGAAGCTTGTGGGATCATGTTCGCTGTCGTTGACGCTCGGATATGTTGGATTGATGTAGTCTCAAGAGAGACAGGCAGTTCGGAAATCGTGATATTGAAGTAAATACAGGTCTACTTAGGTACCTCCCTCACGAGAGCTTAGTTGTCCGAACTTGGAATTGTCAAGGCTGCTGTTGAAAGGCCATGTTGCTTGTGTCCCAGCTGCACATCTGATTCGACAGACCCCTGTGGAATCCCAAGAGAACTGACATGGGTTACTCAACAAGAGTGTCGATGAAATGAGGATACCCACAAAGAAAGAATGAAAGATAGCCTCGGAAGTCATATATACCATAATTCATAATATCGTCTTACTAGTATCTAAAACTAGAACTAGCAATCAGGTCCAGGGTCGAAGAACCGCAGACCAAAAGAAGCAACAAGATGAAGGAACCTCCATCCTTCCGGTTGGGAAGAGATAGCACACCTAAACTCCGTCTTCCCAGTGCTAGCGGGCAGCGAGGCTCGGGAAAAACCGCGGACCAGCGTATCCATGTACGATGATGCTCTGAATATCAAGATTGCTGTCAGCCCGTGGGTTCCACAGCTTAATGAGAATGAATCGACCGGAACTAGAGAGATTAGTATTCATTCCTGCACAGCTAGTGGCCATCAACTCACGGAGGTGGATCGAATTTGATCGTGACCATGCTCTTCTCTCGCTCAATAAAGAAACGGGCATGTGGCATGAGAACTTCTGCAGTCGATGGAGAAGGTTCGGCCGGCGGCACGAAACTCCGACCACGAATCCATACGTGGCCGGGGCCGACGTCGCCGTCCATACTGGCGCTGAGCGCCTCTAACCGTCGCCGCTGATATTCGAATCGTCGGTAAAGTCTAGTTGAAGGTTCCTCGTCATCGGTGGGGGGCTCATCGGTATCGGACGGGGGATTTTCTGTCTGTTCAGCCTGGGTGCTTTCGAGCAACGCAGCGCGCCAATCTTCATCGTCACCAGAATCTTCGTTGTTTTCGCCGTACTCGGTAGTGATGCGGAATTGCGCCTGTGGGTCTTCAGAAGTATGCGGAACCGAAGCCGAATTTGGGCCCACGAGGACTGTGCGTTCGAGATTTTGGAGAGGCGGTCGATACCCGCTCAGGTACTCCTGGGATGGCTGCATACCACTGCGCCGGGGGGCTGGACGGCGATATGGGCCGCCATGGGAGTATTGGATTTGGGATTCGGTAGTGCGGGTAAGCAGTTCATCGGATGTCATAGCGACGAAGACCATGCCTTCTTGAATACTGGCTCTATTAGCCAAAGACACGTTGGTCGGCATATTCGGTACATACGGAGCATCGAACCCGCAGTGAGGGGCTTTGATAACGATCTTTTTCAAACAGAACGGGGCCTCGCCTTGATGAGTAAGGAGAATGTTGCAGCGGTCTTCTCTGGTAGAGTAGACGCTCGTATTGTTATCCAGGACGTTCTCGACACGTGAAAACGAGCTTTCAGGATCGTAACTTCCTCCGTCACAGCTGACGACCCTCATACGCAGTATCCCTGGGACTACTTGCCCATAATGGCCATAGTTGAATCCTCGAAATTCCTCGCGGTTGTCGTCGGCATCCAGCTTTCGACGCTTCATCCGTCCTTGGCCATCACGGCTGGATTGGGCGGACTGGCCCGACTGCCCAGAAGGAGGCATAAGCGACGGTGATCTGGACGAAGATCCGTCTGAGCTCGGGCGTCTGTACGCCTGCCAGAGTGGAAGATTTCGAATCGAATTGGGCTCTGGTGACCTTAGACTCTGAGACTGTTCCGGGTCGAGCCAAATGCTCCGAAGTTGTCCAGTGGGACCGAATGTCCTGACCTCAAACTGTTCAGTTTCAATACCGGCAGCGGTCCGCGGTTGGTCAAGGTCGGTACGATCGAAAAGAGCTCGGTCCAAAGAATTTTCAAGGGCCTCTTGATCTAGGGTTTCCAGAGCACGGGTTGCGTTGTAGGCGTTGTAGGCACCGGAGCGATTTCGCTCCGATATGAGATTGCGGAGATAGTGGAGATGAGGGGGATCGTTGGGTCTGTTAGGACGGGGGACACGGCGAGAGGAAGAGGATGAAGCACGGGGGTAATCGTAGCTCCCTGACTAAAATGAGGTGTAAGACACCAATCAGACGCAGACAACATAGGAGCCATGAGAGACATACCATTATTCAGGTTGGTGGATCCCTGAAGGTGGAGTTGCTTCTGTCGGGGTTGGGATACTAGAGTATGTCGAGGAGATCCCCCATACGACTCGGCAGAAGACAAAGCAACTCGAGAAGAGTCACTGGGTAGGGATAAGGCAACAATCTGGAGACATGCAACCTTGAATCCTCGTCGGTTGTTTGATAACACGTGATGGGTCGATTAGATCATCGGAGGTGGAGCGGGAACTCATCAGTATCCTGACTTGAGAGAGGGAGAGAGAAAAGCAAACAAAAAGAAGAGGAACTATTTGTAGTTGGATACCTACAAGGGTCCTCGACTCCTCTTTGTTTGTTCCTGTTAAATAGGAAGGAACCATCCGAAATACCTCAACCTTGGGAGGTACCTGGCGGTCCTTCCCTTTTGAACACTTCACTTCCCAGGTCCTACCGTCCTTTCCTTTTTAGGAGCGTTGACATAATCATTATACGGACCGGACGCGTGGGAATCACCTGATCATATACTTACCAAGTTACCGCGCTCTACACAGTACTCCGTACAACAAGCCGAAAATGCTGGCGACATTCTATCTGTTGAAGGTCACGGGACCTCGCTTGTTCCTGCAGGGACCTGCACTGTTACTGAGGCTGCACATACTAGCTAGTCTCACCTGTACTGTGTGGATAGTTTCTTTCTTCTTCATCTATCACATTTCTACAGTTCCACAGTAGACATCCTCTATCACTATCGCGCCGGTCTCTATGATCACATCGACGTCCCGTTCGTGAGGTAGTGATAGTGAAGAACTGAATGGCTATAACACGGATGGAGCAAATGACTGGGCTATGGCAATGTGACCAGCGAGGCCGGCGTGATAGACCCACGATGTATCTCCAAGGCTGAGCTTGCGTACCGATGGCGCATAACTCGATTCTAAGTGGGCAACTCCGTGATAGACTCATCTTCGGCACTAGTGATGTCGCGCAGCTCAACGAGACTCTTGCTGCCATCGCCAAGGCCCCCTTGACCTTAAGGTTGCTGCTCAGGTTGAAGAGATAGAACACTGGTGAGTCTGAGGCGCCACTGTATAGCTACAACTCCTATTCGGGCAAGAGTTTATGAACGGGGTGAATGTGAATGGGTCATTTGTGGGTAATATCATGGGACGAATCTCATTGTGATGGCTTCAGAGGTTGAATTTACTTCTTCCTAGATGTCTGGGCTTTAGAATTCTTCAAAAATTCAGTCGTTTCAATATTTGTGACTATCATCAATCCCTAGTAGCTGTATATCCAAGTGTGGCGCTGATCTCCCCGCCTCTCTGTGCTCGATTCCTCCATAGCAAATCGAGCTTCATCCCAACTCGCAATCTCCTTACGTCGTCGACGATTCTCAATCATGTACAGACCTCGCACAGCACAGAAACCACACATTCCAACTGCAATCAAAATCATGGTGACAATCAATGGAAATCGGTATGAAGGCCCATATGTAGGCTTGAATAGTTGTCCAGCAATAACGCCAGCCAAGTTGGACCAACCATTGAGACCAAGAATAATAGCTCTCGTCCCCTGAATAGCTCCATTAGTAACTGCTTAGACCACGAGGAATGAATTTCATGTTTTCGTACCTTCCAAGGCGTATTTCCAGCCAACCACACTGCGATCAACGGGCCACCAGCGAAGACTCCCGAGAGGCAGACATGTGAAAAGCCGTACCGCACCTTGGGATTTGATGAGGTGGCCATGACAACACAGCCGATCAATCCTAGTGTCATCCCGAAGACGGTATGCAAGCTTCGCTCTTTGAGCCGATCAGATGAATAGACGATGATGATCAGTCCAACTGTTCCAACGATAAAAGGCGGCACAGACATCAAAGTGGCCTTGACACCCTTGTATCCCATACCCTGCACAACCAAGGGTAGGAATGTAGTAAATGCTGTTACAGGCTGTAAAAATGTTAGCAACCTGTAAAATCATCCGGAGCCTCGATACATACCAAGACACTCATTATATTGCACACAATAATGAGCAGCTTTTTCCAATCCTTGAAAGCATCCTGAATATCCCGCCACGAAATCCTGGTATCCTCCTCCTTGAGGTCCAAGTCCTGGCTTTCGGTTCCATAAGCTCCCAGTCTATTCCCTTGCGCATCTACATCAGCGGTCGTCTGTTGATCACGCTCCATTCGGCGTATAGCATGCAGTCGCTCCGTTTCTGTCAGAAACCACACTTTGGACAAATTCGACGGAAAAATAGCAAGAGCCAACAGCGCCACGAATATCGTAAGAATTCCCTCAACCAAGAACACCATTTGCCAACCACGAAGCCTTGAGGTCTCGGTGTGGAGCAATCCATATGCGAGAAGACCAGCAAAAGCTCCTGCCACGGAGTACATACCCGAGAAGACACCCATCCTGATTCCAAGAGAGAACTTTGGGTAGAATGTTGACATATAGTAGTAGGCAGTAGGTGTGAATCCGGCCTCAGCTACGCCTAGTAGCAAGCGTAGGGCCAGAAAGGTCGCAGAGCTTCTAATTGCAATGTGAGCTATGCAGATGCTGCCCCATGCCATCATCAAGGCGGAAAGCCACCATTTCGCTCCTACTCGGCGGCCAATGAGGCTGGAAATTGGTTGGAGAGGGACGTATGTTGCGGCAAACTGGGGTTGTGTTAGAGCAGCAAGGAATAATCAAGTTGGATTGGGGACAGTACCAAGGAGACTGAATTAGCAATATCTGTAGGTTTGAGATGGGCGTCTTGGACAAAGTTGCTAGTGGCCACATATCCCACATTTGTCTTGTCGATACCAAGAAGGATAAAGCCCAGTGACAGGATTATGATGACAAAAATGTCAAGTTTGAGATTGACGCGTCGATCAAGTGCTTTTTCTTCTTCTGTAAAGGGGACATATTGAGGGACCGTAGACCGAACTGGGGCGAAACCGGGCTTTGCAACCTCGACCTCGGCGACAGAGGCCTTGTCAATTGTCGCGAGAGGGTGCTCCATGTTGGATTGCAAACGTAATAGCAGGGATATTCCCTAAAGGCATGATGTGACCGTGGCTTATTTATACTGCGTACTGTGTACTGGTATTTGTGCCCAGGCTGTGGGGAACCATCGACTATCCCCACGCGCTAACCCCGCAAAATCTGTCAACTGCCGAGACTCCGATATTTTGGGGTTACAGATTGATCTTCTGACATCTATGGGGTACATGTATCAAGGTCCATAGTTGATCTATCTAAAATAGCGTCAAGATGTCCCCATCTCCCAGACGCCGGAAGAAATTGAGCCTCGAATGCAGTGTCTGCAAAAGGTGCTACGCCAAGAGAGAACATCTTCAGGTGAGTCTGTTCTTCTTTTGTTGATGAATACGAAGTTAACGATACCTAGCGACATGAGCTAATCCGTGAGTCTGTTCATCGACGCCCCACGGTCTTCGGGTTATAGTAATCTCTTGTGGCAGATACTGGCGCGAAACCATTCGCATGTGCCATCTGTGACCGTTCATTTTCTCGACAAGATGTGTTGAACAGACATGCCCGTGTTCATCAAAATTTACCTGCAGCTCAAGGAGAGCGTCAAAACCAGCAGGGTAGTGCTCTTCCCATGCAGCAATTGGAACCAGACCCAACGCCGTTCCCAAGTCAAGGCCCCAATGGCACATCCCTGGAAGATTGCTCGGCTCTTCTGTGGCCTGATTCTGAAGATCTCTTGCAGAGTATCCTCTCCATGGGGACAGGCCAATGGGAGCTTGGGGCGCAAGTCATGCCACAGGCTCTTGCGGTCCCTTTATACCCCACGAGCTATCCATCGGGTATCTCACCATCAGACCAAAGTACTATTGTTGAAGATGGTGAACGGGCTATTCATTCCTTGAGTGGGCTAATCAGTGAGACAGTATTTTACCCTAAACCCATTGTTTGTTTGGAGTCAGTCAACTAAGTGTCAATATAGTTCTGCAGCGTGACAACACCGACAGCTTTGACGGGGTTGAACTCTCGGTTCCTGGACAGCTCCTTACATATGTTCTTCAAGAATGTCGTACCAATGTTTCCTGTCATCCATCAGCCCACATTTGTCTTTCGTGACTGTCCTGCTCCTTTGCTGTTGAATGCTATTGCGCTGGGGGCGCTATTTCTGGGTACACCTGATGCGACAATCAAGGTAATACCTATGCATCGCTCTGTCTCATTCATCCATTACCAGCATCTGATTGATTATAATATAGTCATATGCCCTATGGCAACTCGCACATACTGCCGTCGCAACATCTTGGCATAAAATGCTCGCCCAAAGAAGGGCCTACGATTCATGCAATGGGGTTTATCTTGCTCAGACAGTACTTCTGAGTCAGATATATGCTGCACTGTCAAAAGCATGTACTCTTAAAAGACTCCCCGGCCATAAAGCAGCTGTGCATGTCTAACGGCTTGGACAGGACAGAACCCTCCGAGTGACGAGTCAAGTTTTTCATGGACTGGCGATATACTGGGCCAGTCACTGCGGAATGTACGAAATGATAGACCAAGCTCCGCTACCAGCTGCAGATGACTCGCCTGATATTATTTCAGATGCTTGGAGTATCTGGATTGCACGAGAAACTCGACTACGAACGCTGCTTGGATTGTACATTGTGGATGGAGTCGTCTCGCAGTTCAGCGGCAACCCGACTTTCGCTCGTCATATGGCCAATCCACTCGCTCTCCCGAGCAACGAGAAAGCCTTTCAAGCTCTCTCAGCTGGCGAATGGATTGGGATCATGCATCAGAATGCTGTATCATCCGGGTCAAATATCCGATTCTGCGATGTCTTCCGATCTCTTTTCTCTACCGACGAAAGAGCATCTACACTCACACCCCGATGCGGCATTTCATTATTCCACCATAAGGTTATTCTTGAAGGCATTCGATCATTGGTAGCAGATGCCAATCGAACAGATCCACCACCAGTCGGTGTCCCCACAAAGGCTGAAATCAGTCAAACGATGAATCGACTGCGAGCGCATATAGTCGGGGAGGAGATATTGTCCCCAACAGAACAACTGGTGGCCCTTCTGCAGTGGCACACAATCGCTCTAGATCTCGTCGTCAGTACAGCAAGGGGAACGCGCCGAATGTGCTATATGCATGGGATCTCCCAGCGCATATTCGGGGGCGACAGCCGCGACGAGACGGATATTGACCCTCGCCGGTGGGCACAGAGTAAATCTGCCCGTATTGCACTCCTGCATGCATCACAAATTCAAGATCTTGCAACTCGTTTGCCTCTTGGCATGGCATATGATGTCAATGTTCCTGGTGCTGTTTTTGCTGCGGCTACCACATATAGTGCTTTCGCTCTCGCTGGGGCTGGGAAGGTAGTATTGCCTTCTATGGTCGACTGGGAAGCTGTGATTCATTCCACAGCAGCAGATCCTCCAAGCTCAGGGGGCTCCAGTACCCAGGAAACTTTGGCATTCATCGATGGTACATTTTATGTACGAGGCCTGCTTCGGGACCTATCATACGAACTCACCTCCATTCGGAGTCTTTTGCGAGGCCTTTCACTTCATTGGGGAGTCGCACAGGAAATGGAGGAGGTGGTCAACGCGTGGATTGAGAGGTGTGCTTGAACATAATATTGTCTACTTTCCTACATACATAAGGAGCAAGCAAGAAATCATATGGTCTCCTTTGGCCAATCTGTAAGTTACTATACTAGCATTGCTTTCCTTGAAGATACTTCTTAACATCCATGAGGTTAAACTTACCTCCACTATACCACAAACTTTAAAGCCTGTTTAATTACTTAAAGTCTGTATAAATGTAATTAATGAAGTTCCCCATCCAACTTGACACCCGCGGTATTTGGATTTGTCCCCGCGTTCCGGGTTCCCCATGTTCCCCATGTTCCCCACGATCTTGGCATGCCCTAACGCCAAATAGTACCAGCGTGTTTAAAGCCACTCTAGTCATAAATACTTGATCTCCGATTCTGGAACATGAAGCTCTTCCAACTCATAAGGGTTTGGACCGAATACAAGTGCCGAAAATGGCAACCGCAATCCAAGATGACTTCAACCTGATCGAGGACAACAACCCAACCAAAATCTACGACCAGTTCAACCACCTCCGCGCAACATGTCCAGTCGCACACACCTCTCAAATGGGCAGCTTTTGGATGCTTACCCGCTACGAGGATATAAAGCGCGCTGCCGCAGACACAGAGACTTTCATCTCATCCGTGAAAGCCGTGATACCAAGCGACCCACGAGGCGTCCGCCGCGCACCCTTGAACACAGATCCACCAGCCCACACACCCTATCGCACAGCCTTAGATCGCACTCTCAAAGCAGCGCGGCTGAAGAGACTGGCGCCGATCCTGGAACAACATGCTGAAAGGGTATTTGATGCTGTGCTGCAGTCTGGTCGCGTCAGAGGAGACGATTACCCCGATCATGACGGTCACACTAGCCATATAGATATATCTGCTCAATTTGGCGCCTCCTTTGCGGCGTGGGTCGAAGTGTCCTGGCTGAATCTCGAGGAGGATATCGCGCCTGTTTTGGCGAGCACGGCGGCCAAGTGGGTGAATGCGTGGCGGCAGCAGAATGCCGCAGAGACAAGTGCCCAGTCTGCGCGACTGTATGAGCTTGCCAGGGCACTTTTTGCAGATCGCAGGGCTGCGCCGCGAGATCCAGAGAGTGATCCTGCCTCCTCGTTATTGCAGGAGGTTGGGCCGGATGGACAGCCTCTAGACGAGGAACTCTTGGTGTAAGCTCTCTCTCCAGATCAAGCTGTATTGGTTTCTGACAAATTATACAGTGGAGCTCTCCGACAATCTCTCGTGGTCGGCATGGTCGCGCCTCCGATTTTATTAGGCGATATCTGCGCACACCTTTCCCGCGATCGAGACCTACAAGCCAAACTGCGAGCAGATGAAACACTTATCCCAGCGGCAATAGAAGAGTTTGTACGTTTGTACGTACCATATCGTGGATTCTGTCGTACACCGACACGCCCAGTCGAGCTTCATGGTCGGACGATCCCAGCTGGCCAGCCTATTTCGATGACATATGCAGCAGCGAATCGGGACCCAACCGTTTTTGAGGACCCGAATACCTTCATTCTCAACAGAGAGAATATAAGTTCCCATTTAGGGTTTGGCAGAGGAAGACATCGTTGTGCAGGCATGCCGTTGGCTAGAATGTAAGTTTCGTCTTGCTCTTTGAATGGAAAGGGGTTTGGTCAAGGACTTATTCGATGTTTCTAGAGCACTTCAGATAGCGCTTCGAGTGATACTGCGACGAACGACGGACTTCGAGGTCAACGGACCTCTTCAATACGCTGGTATGCCAGAGATGGGAATTACTAGCTGTCCACTGAGGGTCACACATCAATAAATGCAACCGTCTGTATATAGTTATTGGCTGTAATACATTCAAATCACATTGTGGGGAAGATAGCCCAGACCCTATAGTTACAACTTACACAGTATGACCCACCATCAATGGATTGTGCAGGGGGTATTTTAGAGAGTAGCTCGAGCCAATTTTCCCCACGATGCAGTGGAAGATCGACGTAGATCTACCTGTCCCTGGACTTCCCCATCTTCGTATGCATGGCTTGTTTCTCCGCAAAGTCTACGGAGTACGGAGTACTACCTGCAACCTAATCCCCGCGCCAGAAATGGCCAGGATTCGAAGCTAATAAGCTGTGAGTGAAGCATTTATAACAATGCCTCAACGCCCCAGCTCCAATTCATTATAATCAGCAATTCATCTTCTCTCTCACTATGGGTGTCCTGCACCTCTTTCTGCTCGTCACCTCGGCGTATCTCTCATCGTCAGCCGTGACAGTCAATCCCAGTCCCCATAGCCCAACGGGATATGAGGTGACTTTACCTACGTCAACAAAGATGCCCGCAACGTCCTGATGGGAGGAGACATCTACTCCTTCACCGATCAGTGGCACACAACTCCCCAGTATAGCGCCGGCTTCGACCTGCACGACTATAAACCCGGTAATTTCCTGGCTCCAATTGCCCCCGACTTCGGCCCCGGTAGCAAAAATCCGGGGTACGAAATGACCAAGAAAGAGCACGGCAAGTGGACTTACACAACCTACTTCCCGTCCGGCACATTCACGTACAACTTCATGCCCGACTGCGACTTTGCCTCCAACTGCAGCGCCGCCGGCCAGGTGGTTACCGATCCGGACAATCCGCCAATACAGAACTATCCCGGCCAGCAGAACTACTCCATGTTCCAGGTGCCCTTTGACTCCCGCCATCAGAGCTACGCAGCTCTGGACCTCGACTTCTCCTATCAGCTACCCATCCCCTCCAGATCCCGTACCGGTACCATCTCTTTCATAAACTACACCTCCCCGGGGTCAACTGTGCCCGCCCCAGACATCGGCGACTACGCCATCTATCTGCCCGCAGAATACGGCCATATCCGCGGCAAGAAATATCCCCTCTTCTATCTCTGCCACGGCGGCGGCGGCAACGGTGGCGACTGGCCGAACCGAGCGCGGGTGCAGCACATCTTTGACCGTCTCATCGCAGAGGGACACATGCCCCCCACAGTGGTGGTGATGCCCTCGTGGAACGCGTACATAGGCGTCAGCTTTGCATCCATCAGGGAGAACTTCATGGAATACCTGTTCCCGCACATCGAGCAAACCTGGGAAGTCACCACGGACCCAGACCAGAGGGCCTTCTCGGGCCTATCTCTGGGTGGTGCGCTGACCTACGAGATGTATGTCAATGCGACCAGCTACTTTGGCTACTTCGGGGTCATGTCAGGGGCGCTGCTGCCTGGGGCGCCGCAGAGCGCTTACGTCAATGCGACGATGTTGAAGGCGAATCCGGCGCTGGGAGATCGGGGAGTTTATGTTGGGTTTGGGTTGTATGATATTGCGTTCGATGACTGTAGGAAGTTGCAGTATGCGCTTGACGCGCTGCAGATACCCTATGTTACAAGGGTGGCGCCGTGGGGGGCGCACTATTTTAATACTTGGCAGGATGCGCTGTGGAACTTTGGAAGGATTGTGCTGTGGAAGGAGAGACCTCTCACAGTCGAGGCTGGCCATGGGGTGGCGTAGGTAAAATCGCGGATTCTATCTCCACCTCCGCTAGCTCTATCTCTAGCCCCATCTACGGAGGAACTATCTCCGAGGGTAGCTTGCAATGCTCGCAGTAAGGAGATTTATATGGCTTTTTCTTCTTTCGCATGAGTGTGACGGGAACATCGTGTATTCTTAAAAAGTAACTGCAGAGATTCGATTCCTTGCGCAAAAGAAACAAGACTAGGAGAAGGAAAAGAGGAAAATCAAAACAAACAGTCGCAACCATCACGTCACGTGAGTGGAGATGTATGATTATGTAATGCGGGTGCGTCATCTCAACTTTTGTCAAAAAGCGGCAAGAGGTGAACACTAAAACGGGAAGAGCAAGGTCTCAAGCATAGCTTCATTTGATACCGCGAAAGGTCCAACGACTTCAACAGCCATTAACTCTGAACACCCCCCAGTCGAAACGAGGGCAAGATCCAAACTGCCAGCCCCACAAGATCGAACCTTTTAAGGTTACTCCCACCTCAATCAACCGGCCATGGCCGAGCAACAGGACAACGCGCAGTCAATCAGCGCCGGTATGGCTCATCCATGGCCTCCAATCACGACCCTCGCTAATTTCGCCAGATGAAATTGCGCTCTACGACCGACAGATCCGGCTGTGGGGAGTACAGGCACAGGAAAAGTGAGCGCAACCTAGCTCCCAACTCACCACATGTGACGTATCCTAACCACGATCAGAATTCGATCCGCAAACATCTGCCTCATTACCGTCAAAGCTCTCGCCAATGAAGTGGCCAAGAATCTCGTCTTAGCAGGTATCGGCTCGCTCACCATCATCGACCACCAACATGTCACGGAGGAAGACCTGGGCGCACAATTCTTCGTCGCCGAAGCCCTGAGCGAGCAGGAGGTGATTGGCAAGAACGTGAGTCAAAACCGCGAGACTGGACACATCAACCATCAGCTTATACCTCCATCCACTAACAACCCCGGCAGCGCGCGCAAGTCGCAGGACCCCAAATCCACAAGATGAACCCCCGCGTCAAGCTCCACATCGACACCTCCGACGTGAAAACCAAAGAGTACGAATTCTTCGCGCAATTCGACATCATCATCGCAACCGAACTAGACTTCAACACAAACACAATCGTCAACGCTGCCTGCCGACTAGCCAACAGACCCTTCTACGCAGCCGGTCTCCACGGCTTCTACGGCTACGCCTTCGCAGATCTCATCCAACACGAATTCGTGATCGAACGTAGCAAATCCAACATGACAACCGCAACACAAGAAACACCTACTCGCACGGTCATCAACATAACCACCAAGGAAGAACAAAGCAAAACCAAAGAACCCAACAAGATCATCGAACTAGTCACCAAGCGGGAAATCTACTCTCCACTCATCTTAGCAAACACTTCCCCCTCCCAGAAGACTACACCCGACTCCCCCGCCGCCGAAAACAGGTAACCCCACTCCTAAGCTGCCTACGCGCGCTCTGGGAATTCGAGAAACTCCTCGGTCGTCGACCGACATTCACACACGAAGACCTAGAGCTATTCACCAAGCTATCGCGGGACCGACACCAGGAATTGAAGTTGGAGCCGCTGACGCTGGACTCGGTGTTTTTGCGCACATTCTTGCAGAACTTGGGCAGCGAGCTGAGTCCCGTTGCGGCGTTCTTGGGCGGTTCTGTGGCGCAGGATGTCATCAATGTGCTTTCGGCTAGGGAGCAGCCGTTGCAGAATATGCTCTTGTTCGATGGAGAGAAGAGTATAGGCCCTATTTATCCGCTTCATCCTTTCTTCCCTGATCGGACCGAGTTGGCTGCTGTGCCGCCGGTTAGGAATCCTGTTACGGTCCCTCTTACTGAGATGGGTCAATGAGGGGAGGAAGGGTAGACGATGGAGGGGAAGGCTGGGGATGGGCTTTTTGCATCATTGCGAATCTCATTGGTTTCGATTTATTTACACAAGGAGTTTTAGATTGATCTCAGCATGGATAGCAGAATACCACTACTGGACGAACAGAGCATTCTTGATATTTCATATTGATATCAACTTCACACGAAACGATTATGTGCAATTTTGTTTCGATATAATATTTTGGCTACTCAAACACAAAGCCATTGTAGCGAAATCCAACGCAATCCAGTCCAAACTCCTTTCAACCAAGACGCCGTCTAACAGAATGTGAAATGTGACATGATGCACGATATACCCGCAAAAAAGAAATAAATGAAACAATTCAAATCGATCACCTCAGTGACGACCCTCCACTTTTCCAAGTTCTTCATCACTGTTCTTGCGCGGTCCCATGGAAGGACCCTCCTCATCCTCATCGGAGATCAAACCGTGGAGCTCGAAGGCCTCGGCATCTTGAATCTGCTGGGAGTTCGAGCGCGCACGACCATTAGCGTTCCCGTTGAGGTTGGAGTACATGGGCCCGTCCTGGTTAGTGGAATCGGAGTTTGGCCAGGCGTGGACGGCGTAGATGTGGAGGAGGATGTTGACGACTGGAGTTGGATTAGTGATTGTTCGGGAATGAAGTCAGTTGGGACTAGGGTATCTTACATAGGAAGAGGAGGAAAGCAATGCTGTAGAGGATCAAGACGTAGGCCACGTGGGTGATGCCTGCGTTGTGCAGCAAGAGCATCTGCTCCTCGGTAGCGCCCATGAAGAGGAAGCCGGAGGCAAAGAGCAACTGTGAAAGGTCAGTGTTTAGCACAACTATGGTGGCGGGAGAGAAGACATACAAATGGAGTCAGGTATTGGAAGCTGTTCGGCTCAGAAAGAGCAGGCTTGTCCTTTAGCACGAACGAGATCTCAATGATGCGAACCAAACCAGCAGCCATCAAAGTATATCCGAAGATAGAGTGGATCATAGTACTGATCATCAATGTCTGCGGATGAGCCGACATAGCATATCCAGTCATCAAGATGACAAGGGCGGGGATAAGATTGCGCTTAGGACGGCCGCTGCGGCTGCGACTGAGCCACATACCGAGCAGACCAGCGCACCACCAGACGATACCCATAGTAGTGTGCTGCAGATCATTGTGCACCCACGGCTGACCCCATCGGTGCTCGGTGAAAGTATTGACACAGCCCCAAGCGGCGATGATAAGCGAGTCGAAGAACTCCTGGCTGCGACCAGTGCGACGCAACCAGTACTGACCGACCAGCAAGAGAATAGTCAAACAGATACCATACGCGATGAAAGCAGAGCCCATGATGAAATGCGCCAGACACTGTCCGAGGTGATCATCGCGACAGAAACCGAGCGCCGCGATCCCGCCGAAGAGCATCTGTGCCCAGCTGACAACGGGCATGATCTTGCCGAGGACGCCGTGAGCCAGGACGAAGATCCAACGAATACGCGCCTGGCCCGCCTTCACGAGGTGTAGCTTGAGGTAGGCGCCGAGCACGACTTGCGCGACCAGCATCAGCATCAGCCAGTTTGCGAAAGAGGCGTGCAGGTTCTTGTCGAATTGGCGGCCTTTGTGGGCATGACCGAGGAAGTAGGCGAGCACAGCGATGACAGTGCCGACGATTTGAACGGGGACGTGCCAGCGGGAGCGGGTGATCTGTTTTCCTTGTTAGTGCGGGACTCGGAATTGAAGCATAAGCAGCGGAGTTGGGAGATGGATAAAGGGATTGAATCAAGCACATACCCCGAGGACCATTCCCGTCGGGAAGATAATACCAAAAGCGAGACCCATCAGAATCATATGAGTCCATAATGTCGAATCCTGAGGACATTGTCAGTCTTTGTTTGAAGGGAACGGCGCCGGACGTACAATAGGATCTTGGGAGATCGGTTCGCCCTGGGGGATATTCTCATGGCCGCCATGGGCGAAAGCCAAAGCGACCAGTAGGAACAACGTCCATAAAGACGCTTGACGAAGAAGCGCCATGATGTGCTTGACTGAAGTTGAGGGTTGGAAGGGAGAAAGAACAGATGCGGGTAACAGGCAACCCAATCCGGAGCATCCGATTATGCGGGACGACGCGTGGGGCCGGTGAAGATGGAAGAATAACAAATACTGAAGATGCTTGACTGAGTGTGAGCAGTGTGACGATTATTTCGGCATCCGACTCACAGGAAGTCGAGAATAGCAGAAAAAACAGCAACTACGGAGTAATCTCCACGAACTTGATGAGCCAGGGAGCCCTCGAGCTTGGGACTCGATTATTCAGCGTTGGTTGTGATTGGCTGGCAGTAAACTATGGCATAGAAAGACAAGACTTTGGACCTGCTCTCTCTCTTGCACTAAGAGACTAAGATCTGCACAACATTATGGATAACAAGGAAACCAATGATCTCAAAGACAAGAGAATAGTACGACTCCAGCTCTACTACCGCATGTAACCACTAACACTCGCAGTCTGCCCTCCGCGCCTCAATCACGAACCTGGAAGCCAAGCGCTCCGAGTTGGAAGCGGAACTAGCTTCCATTACTACCAAACTCAAGTAAGACAGTCCCTACAGCATACAACTAAATATCTAGAAGAGAGCCGGGAATATTGCATCTCTAATCTCTACCTATGCAGAGATGATCCCAATGCCACAGTGGAGCGTCATATCCGACTCTTGCATGATTACAATGAGATCAAGGATGTTGGACAGGGATTAATGGGGCTTATCGCTGATTCGAAGGGGGTGAGGCAGGTTGACGTGGAGAAGGAGTTTGGGGTTGGAGATCAGGATTGAAGGGCAGTAGCGAGGACAATTATTGCAAGTACGGAGTATGGAGTCTGGAGAAGGTATTGGCGTTGAATTGAGATCCATTGTATTCATCTAGTCCTTAGGTGCTTGATGCAAATCCTTTTTTTGTTTGATCGTTTCAGAGAGGGGATGAAAAGAGAAGAGAGGCAATGCAAGGGAGAGGAGATAGTTTCCCATCAAAGTCAATAATTATCACAATGAAGCGAAAGAGGGAAGAAGAGCGAAGAGGGTAGGAGACATAAGGGAGAAGAAAGATGTGAATAGAGACGGGAGCTGAGATCCCGAGGAAAGTAGGAGGGTATAAAAGGAGTCGAATGGTGGAATAGAGGGGTATGATACAGGAAAGCAAAGATAGCAAACGATTAATGGGTCTTGCCAAGAGACTGAAGGTTGACGAGCTCAAAGTAGCGGCCCTTGTTGCGCAACAGCTCGGTGTGGGTACCGCTCTCGACGATCTTGCCTTGATCGAAGACATAGATGATGTCGGCCTTCTGAATGGTACTGAGACGGTGAGCCACGGCGATGGTGGTACGACCGCGAGCGGCAGCATCCAGGGCAGCCTGGACGACCTTCTCTGACTCTGAGTCAAGGGCCGAGGTAGCTTCGTCCAGGAGCAAAATCTTGGGGTTACGGAGGAGGGCGCGGGCAATAGCGACACGCTGCTTTTGGCCACCGGACAACATGCCTCCCTTGTTACCGACGACGGTGTTGAAGCCATCGGGGAGAGACATGATGAAGTCGTAGATGTTGGCGTCATGGCAGGCCTTGATGAGCTGTTCTTCGGTGGGGTCCTCGTTCGCACTGCCGAGAAGGATGTTCTCCTTGATGGTGCCCTGGTAGAGAGTGGGCTCCTGACTGACCAGCGCCAGGTGGTTGCGGTAGGAATTGACATTGAGGTCGGCGATGTTCTTGTCATCCACGTAGACGCCACCAGAGAGGGCATCATAGAACCGCTCGAGAAGGGCGATGGTGGTACTCTTGCCACATCCACTAGGTCCGACCAAGGCAACGTACTGACCGGGCTTAACGGTGAGATTCAGACCGCGGAGCACAGGCTGCTCGGGACGGGTAGGGTAGCGGAAGTGCACATCCTTGAACTCAATGGTTCCGGTGCAGTCGTCCATATTCTCACCCTCTTCGGACCATGTGTCAATAGTGGGACGGCGTTCGAAGAGTTTGAGGAACTCGGCAGCGGCGTTCTTGGCTTTGCCCATGTCCGGCGAGAAGGAGAACACAGTGCCAGCAGACTGAGCACCGAACAAGATTTCACTGAAGCACACGAAGAAGCGGAACGTGTCGTATTCGTGATGTCCAAGCAGGGTTCCACCGTACCAGAAGCCGAGAGCAACGCAGAAAAAGACCAATGCCTGGGAAGCAGCGTACAAGGACGAGGACTTGATGACTGAGATCAAGCTTGCGCGACCCTGTGTCTCGAGCTGGCCGTGGTAAATTGACCAAACGTCGGTCTCACGAGTAAGCGAAGCGACAGTGCGGATAGCTGATGTAGCCTCGCAGGCGTAGCTGGCAGATCCCTCGTAGGCGACCTTGGAGCGTGCCTGGAATGCGGCAAGCATGTAGAAGCGGTAGAAGCCGCAGCCGAGAAGAACCGGAACGACGGAGATACAGACAAGAGCAAGCTTCCAGCCGAAAGAAAGAGAGATGACAATCGCAGCAATGAGAGTAGTCGAAGTCATGAGGATTGTTCCAAGAATCTGACCACTGATGCCGGACAAGTGTTTGGTCTCAGTCGAGAGGAAAGAAGTCAAAGCGCCGGTGCTGTTTTCCTCACGGTCGAAAAAGTTGATATCCTGGCGGAGCATGACCCGGAAAGCCTTGCTGCGAGCCTTGCGGATCAAGCGCTCGGAACTGAATGCGAAGGCGATACCGTGGACCGAGAAAGTGATAATCTGAACGATTCCAACGATGAAGAACATCAAGGACCAGAAGTTGGCATCCGATCTCAGCTTATCGAACTGTGATTTGGGCAAAGATAGTGCGCTGATGGCTTTGGCGTACAGGAAGGCTTGAGTAGGCTGACCGCCACCGGCGAGAACTGAGAAGCAAAGACCGATGATCATGTACAAACGTTCTTCCCGGTTGAAAGAGGCGATGAACTTGATGAGAGTCCAAAGCGAGTACTTGTTGCCGCCTTCACTGATCCTCTTCGCGAGGACCAGACTGGACACAGACTTGCGAGATTCCTGGCGCCGGATGTCGTCTGCGAACGCTTCGGCATCTTTCTCAAGGGTCGAACCACTAGCGAGAGACTTGACGCGTGCGATGTGGGATTTAGCCACATTGTCGATGCCACCTTCGGTCTCGTCCTCGTCCAAGGCATCGGCGTCCTTCTCTTCGTTGATGCGCTGAGCCTCCACAAGCTTGAAGTAAGGACCGTCATGTTCAGTCAAATCGTCATGACTACCTTGCTCGACAATAGCTCCGTTGACAAAGACAACAATGTTGTGTGCAGTCTTGATGGTCGACAGGCGGTGGGCAATGACAATGGTAGTGCGGCCCTCGGCAGCACGGTCCAGCGCTGCTTGGACAACACCTTCAGACTTGGTATCCAGGGCAGAAGTGGCTTCATCCAGAAGCAGAATCTTGGGGTCGCTGACGATAGCACGGGCGATGGCGATACGCTGCTTCTGGCCTCCAGACAGCAAGAAACCACGTTGGCCAACATTGGTTTCATATCCTTCGGGGAGAGCACTGACGAACTCGTGAGCATTAGCCATCTTGGCAGCGTTCTCGATGAGCTCCTTGATCTTGTCCTCGGATTGGTGTTCAAAGCGTGTTCCGATTAGACCGTGGCGAATGTTGTGATAGATGGTTGTGCCGAAAAGGACAGGCTCCTGGCTAACCAGAGAGATCTGCTGGCGCAGCCATCGCAGGTTGAGAGTCTGGATGTCATGTCCGTCCAAAAAGACCTGGCCGCCAACGGGGAGATAGAACCGTTCGACCAGACCGACCACGGTACTCTTGCCGGAACCAGAAGGACCGACCAACGCGGTGGTCTTACCAGCAGGCAATGTGAGAGACACGTCCTGCATGACAGTAACTTCAGGACGTGAGGGGTAGATGTGTCTAACGTTGCGGAACTCGATGTGACCTTCGACGTGGTCAAGAATGATGCCTTCATCTGAAGTGGGGTCTAATGGAGATTGACGGTCGATCGTTGCAAAGATCTTGGTAGCAGCGGCCACAGCGCTGGTGAAAGCCTGGGCGTTCGGACTGACGTTACCCAGACTGAAAGATCCAATGAGGATGGCCATCAGAATTGTCAGAACGTGTCCAACATCAACCTTTCCTTGAACCAAGAATCGGGAACCCATCCAAAATCCGAGTCCGTAGTTCATGAACATGAGGCCAAACATGCAACCGACCATCACGGCAAGGGACATTTGCAGGCGCATGCCCCAGCGCTCTGCGCGACGCAAATGCGCCTCGTACTGCTTGGCGAGCTTGTCCTGAGTGCCGAAAGCGGTTGCATTGCGGACGGAGCTGATGACTTCCTCGGCCACTGTGCCACCAGCACCAACACTTTCCAGAGAAAGCTTGCTGTACTTGATGATGACTCGAGAGCCACCACCCATGATCAAGACCAAGGCGACAATAGTCGAGGTACAGATACCAGCCAGAGGGGCATACTTGATGTAGGCAACCACAAAGGCAGTCACAAATGTGGCAAGGGCAGTTAAGGTCAAACCAACCTTTTCGGAGACACCGTCCTGGATGAGGTTGGTGTCGGCGGTGATACGGGTGGTGACTTCACCAGCACCGAGTTTGTCGAAATAGGCGATGTTCTGGCGCAAGATAGCTTCCAGATAGTGCTCTCGGATTTTCTGGGTGACATGTTCTCCGGTGTAGATGAAACCGACGGTGCTGATGTAGACTGTGAGGAACTCTCCGATGCCGAGATAGATGAAGTACAAGACGTTCTTGGTCAATTGGTGGTAAAAGTCGTTGTAAGAGATAGTTCGAAGCATGATTTGTTGGAAAGCTGTCGCCAGTGAACCGAAGAGAATGGTGAAGAGTGGCAATGCAGCACCGGCGGCGATGGCGCACAGTGCGCTGACCACAATGATGAGGATATCCAGGGACGAGGCATACCGGTAGAGACCGAAGAAGGAGATACTGACAGTAGGCGCGTCTAGCTGGCGCTTGAGAATCTCCCTCTCATGCGCTGGCAGATGGGCATAGAGCGCATCTTCCTCGGTTGAAACTGTAGTGCTCTCATGCTCTTTTGCTGTCGATGTGGACGCGGAGTCGGAATCGCGCTTGTCGACAGGTTTCTCGGTGGGCTTTTCATTCAGTTGAGGATCCTCTGCGACCTTCTCAACGGCCGACACGCCCTCCTCGGGCTGTTGCATGTTGATCGAATTGCTCCTGTATCCGGAGGTCTAGTCCATGAAGGTCGGAAAAGTTAAGGTGTAATCAAAGGTGGAGACCGTGGAGGTTAAGTGAAGAGATAAGATATCTGAAACCTTGAGAGCCCAAGGGTTCTGGAAAGAAGGTTCGAAGGGGAAAGAAACCCCAAAGGGAAAGTTAATATTATGATGATTCTCAAGGGGAAGGAAGGGATAGGAGAGAACTTGTTTAAATGTTTATTCGTTTGAGGGGGGAATTTTCTGTCTTTTTTATTAAATTTGTATACTTTTGACGGCCTTAAACTAGCTTCTTTTTTTTTTCGTCCGGTGGGTCGGAACCTCGCAACTCCGACCTTCTTTATGCAAGACAAGTCACCCGATTTGGAAATCGCCTCACGATTGGGCTCTTGAAGTAATCACTGTGCTCTTTGTATGTTAGTTATCAATGTGGTATTATCTCTATCTTGATGATGCGTCCCGATTTAGATCTGCATTCTTTCTACATTCCTTTGTGCAGGGGTAATGCCAGGGCAGCCCCTCGGTCACGTCCCCTTCTGGGGAACTTCCCAAGAAACGCGAGGCGGACAGCCACAAACCGTTTGAGATTTGCTTCTTTCCATAGTTGAGGCTGGGCGGTATGATCAGCGCATCGGTGGGTGTGGCATACTACTAGTAGTAGTATCTTCATACAGTGAGTCATGGACACCTCACACGCGGGCACCCAAACTAGAAGCTTCGACTTAATTATGACGCAAAATACGGAAACGAATACGGAGCGAACTGGACTCACTGACTCATTTCGAAGTCATAGCTCGACATTTCTCACCTCTTTCGTCCGAACCCTGATCCATGTTCCAAGTTTATTATTGTCCGGACATAAGACGCAGATATGCAAAGTGTAAAGAAACACGAATGCCTGATATGTGATTCGCCAGTCTCATTGCCACGATTGGGGGAGTTGTCCGGGGTGGGACCCCCACGATCTGGACCTGTTGCCCGTGCATACTTTTCTTATGCTGTCGGCAATTTTCGTCCCCGATTTCCGTGCCTTTAGGCTAAGCTTCATGGATCTCGGGAGCCTAAACCCCGATCAAATGATGCGACATCGAACGAAGGCGATAGCCTTCTCTCCCTTTCTTTAACGCGAAGCTGGGTCGGATTCTCATTTTTGGCGCAGTCCAGGCAACCCTTTTTTCGCGGTGATCAGACGCTTTGAGAGCGTAGCCCGTCTACAACGACCGCTGTGGACCCCTTCGGGCTCCCGATTAGGATAGCTCTTCATCAAAAGCTAGGAAGCCCCTAACTAGTTCCCCCAAAGGAGTATAGACGTTCGCTTCCGAGATCCAGCCCTTCACCGTGGAGATGCACACTCACGCTGCAGATACAAAGTGATAGATAAGCGGCGTTCGCTAGCTCTTCATGCCTTGACTGTAGGATCGGGAGTGACATCTTTCACTCAGTACGAATCGCACATTACGGCTCATGCATGTAATATCATAGCTACTCTCGCACCTGCTCATATCCCTGACTCTTACCCTTTAAAGGCCCGCTCCTGCCTGTACCCGCCGATGAGATCCAATACTGTGTAAAGTAAGCAGCAGATCGATAAAGGAACAAAAACATGCAAATGCCTATGCTACCGCCACGCCTTCCATGACACCTGCAGGGTTATCTGAGCAACTGGGGTCCCGGCCTGGGCAAGCCTTTCCGGGCCAGAGTACTACTACTAGACCCGCACTTCGGACCAAAAATGAACCAAATCGATTTGATGTTCCTGCCTTATCACCTTATCGCCTTATCACCTTATCGCCTTATCACCTTATCACTTTATCACTTTATTGTGGCCTCAGGCATGAGGCTCACATCACCTGACCCAACCGAAGCGAAAGCCAAGCCCTGCCGCACACAAACCATCCGCACCCGAAGGTCGACAACTTCATCCGTCCATCCCACAAGCTCGCCGTCGCGATCAATCCTTCAAGATGCCGGTATGTTATAAAACCCGTCCACATCATTCTCGCAAAAATGCTCGCCGTTCTCGCCGTCGCCGTCCCTGTCCCCGCCGTGCCAAAAGTCTTCAAATTCAAGAAATAAAAATTCTAACCCTTCATTTTCCACACAGAGCAACAAGACCTTCCGCACCAAGCAAAAGCTTGCCAAAGCTCAGCGTCAGAACCGCCCCATCCCCCAGTGGATTCGTCTGCGCACCGGCAACACCATCAGGTAAATCGCACCTTCGAGATCCAAAAATCCAATCTTCATATCCGGGACCGTCGAACATGGGAAAAGTGCGACCGGGGGAAGAACAGGGTCCATTCAACCATTCACCCGACCGCACCAACCCAAGCATGGAAGGATAGAAGATTCGGAAATAGGACACAGGAAACACGGAATCGAATAAATGGCTGATACAATTCGAACTAGATACAACGCCAAGCGTCGTCACTGGCGTAAGTCTACCCTGAAGGTCTAAGCAGACCCTCAGTATTCGCAACCCTCCGTCCGGCCATTCTCGAAAGCCCCAGTTCAGCTCGCGATGTCATATGGCAACGAAGTTTGTCTGTGCGGGGTGGTTCAAGGGTTTTGATGATTTCGAAAACCTCTTCATGATGTGACGCCCACAACCGATTTTCGAACAAGATGCCTTCACGATGAACTTGAGAGCGCTAGTGGATGTGGAACTACTCTTGAGTGCAGTTGCAAAAAAATTCAATTTTCAATCTTGATCCGGGTCTTGCTTTGGGTTGTGCCTACGTTTTTTTTAAAAGATCTTTGACTGGGGTCGTCGTTTTCTCCACGGTTCCGAGTGGGGATATGATTGGTTCCCAACACGCCTGAGTATTGATATTGATTGCGGGCCCGGATTTTGTTTGCAAGAGGGTTTGTCGGTTGGGGTGATCGTCTTCTTGCTGAGGGCGGGCTTGTAGGACTGGTGATGGCGGGGGATTTTCTTTTTTCTTTTATTTGATACAAATATGATCGAATTGAACTGAACGTCCTTTCGCCTACTTGGATGGTCCGATGTCTGTAGTTCTTGATCTGGACGCTGCATGTGGGCCTTTCCATGCTGTCTGTCCCTGGCTGTGGTGTCACTTCGCGCATCAATCCACGTAGTACAGCGGACAGCCTGGCTCTACGTTGGTACTAACTTACACATTGATACGGGTAGATGCCGTCATATAGTACGGATAGGGCGATTATGACCCTGCTGCCTACGGAGTAGAAAGCTGTGGATTAGAAAACATGAGCCAGATTTAATTTCATGAATGATGAACTCAATATCGGTGTGTAAATGTAAAAGCAAAACGCCCCAGAAACTGATCGTGCCTCAGATATACTGAGGCTGCTCGTCTCGATCCAGCAAAGAGAAAAGACAAGTTACTTCTCACAGATTTAGCGACTAGAGAGGGGCGGTCAGTATAGATTCGATCAAAAACTATAGGTGGCAGCAACTCACTCCTCGGCCCACTCATTCTCGCGACGGATCTGGTCCTCCTCCTCGGGAGTGAAATCATTCTGAATGTTGAAGGTCTTGCGAATCTCCTCCGGGGACTTGCCCTTGATCATGTTGGCAACGGTCTTGCAACCGACGTCGAGAAGAGCCTTGATATCCAGGTAGTTGGCAGCCTGTGCGATAGTCAGTATATATACTTGAGGAATGTGGGATGTCTAGAAACGTACGAGGATAATCTCAAAGAGCATTTCCTGGTCGACCTGCATGAATTTCTGGTCCCACTCATCGATGTCGGTGGTCTTGCGGCGGTTGTCATCGTCATCACTGGCACTGGGGGGATCGTTCTTGTGGTGTTCGCACCACTCAATCACCTTCTTCAGTACGGCCTCGTTGACCTGGACAAAGCGTTAAAATCAAAACGGTCTGTATTTAATGAAATAGATACTCACGTTAGGGATAGGAATAGCTTCTCCAGAATCACCCAAGTCCTCAAGCATATTCTTGATCAACACGGACCGCTCAGCGGTGGTGCGGTCTGTTCAAAATCTGTCAACGTCACTGGTGACTCAGGCATCCCAGGCGTTTGAGTATAGCTTACCGACCGAGAGTTCGACTCCATCGGAGCTGGTGAGGGTGATAGCGCTCATATTGATGGATAGGAGAGGGTATCTTAAGGTTAAATGAGCGTCAGACTTGTCGGTTTCAAACGATGCGGGGCAGGGTTCAATGAGTGGGGATGTGACTGACAAGTAGAGGTAGACTCAGCCAGAGAATATTGATTGAAGTAAAGTCGGTGAAGCTATAGTTATGAGAGATTGGAGAGCGGTAAGTGAATGGAGGGGCGAAAGCGTGGGAATGGCAAACTCCGTCGCCCAAACGGGTCGACGTTCACGGGGGCGGAAGGTTCAAGATTACTAAGGCGCGTTCTACTTCTGCCCCAGGGCTTAACTCCAACCCGCATCTTTGAACCTCTACTGTGTACTAAATTGCACTAACATAGTGTCATTATTGAGAATTCTCTTTCGTGCTAGAAAGATAATCCAGAGAGACAAGCAGCCAGGCTGTCTTGGCAAACAGAGGGAATGCTCATATGCCAAGCATCGGATGAGTGCAGTGTGTTGTGATCTAACGCGCCAGACTGAAGTGTTTAAGTCAAGCTGCTTCTATTGAATTGTGGAGGCATTTTGATAGTCGAATCATCATTTGTAACTTTGTTTCGACTTTCGATGCATGTCGATCTATCAACTACTCTGGAGTCCGTATGGTAACTATCTTATGATAGCCCTAAAGAGCATACAGTGATGTGTTTATTGTGTACTAGGTATACGAGGTATACGAGGTCAACTTCGTCAAAGAAGATTCTGACTCTTCAAAAGACACATATGTTAATTTAATATATTATTGCTTTGCTAATGCTCAGCAATGATTGTGAATAACGTACTATAAGTACTCCTTTCCCTAAACAATGCCCAGATACACCGCTTCAGCCCTGTGATATCATCCGTCAATACGCGTGTTGCTTTTCCTTACTAGCCGCTTCAACCCCTTCCACTCCTTTCTACTCTCTTTATTCTTTTCGGTTAGCCCTTTTCATTCCTTATTTACTTTCTAATAATGTCCATGTGTCCCTCCAAACATGTGGCGACGAACATACTTACTGTTACTGCTGATTCGCGTGTACTTCGCGTTGTCACCCAGCTATCTACATCCCGATGAGAACTTCCAGGGCCCAGAGCTCTTTGCAGGTGCGTTGATCTGTCCAATGACTGAAGGAAGGCGATCACAATGCCACTGCGACAATGCGCTGGTATAATTGTTGTGGCTTTCCCAAGCATGAAAAAAATGATATGCGAGACCCGGCGGTCCCGCGACTCCCTATACGAGGGAAAACATTATTGACCAGATTGGCTCGATTTACAGGTCGCATTTTCTCCTTTCCCTCAAAGCTCCCATGGGAATTCACCGTTGAGCATCCTATCCGCAGCTTATTTCCATTATGGGCAGTCTACGAGCTGCCGATGAGCCTGTTGAAGTGGTTCTACACGGAGGTCGGGTCAGGGAGCGCCCCACCCCACTTGGTATACTATGTGCTACGCAGTGGAATGTTTCTGTTAAGTTTTGTGTTGGAAGACTGGGCGATCTATGAACTAGTACCTTCTCCGCGCCATCGGCGCGCGACGGTAGTGTTGGTGGCTTCCTCCTATGTCACCTGGACATATCAGACGCACACCTTCTCCAACAGCCTCGAGACCCTGTTGGTCGCTTGGGGCCTGGTTCTGATTCGACGCATTGTCGAGAATAAGGTGCGGGAGCAAAGCTTTAGAAACATGCGATTTGAGCTAACTTGACTTGCAGCGATACTCGTCCTTCTTTTCCAACACTGTGCTCGCCTTCATCGCAGTGCTAGGCGTCTTCAATCGCATCACCTTCCCAGCCTTTTTGCTTCTCCCAGGCCTGCAATTGCTGCCTCAGTTCCAGCGCAAGTGCGTCAATCTCCATCCTGTTTGTATTCACAACATCGAACCCATGTGTACTAACCCCGCATTCGCACCAGGCCTGCCTCCCTCGCAACATTCCTATTCTTCGGCCTCTTCTTCTCCTTCGTCGCAGTCTACACGGACACAGCCTTCTACCGGCCAACCGCATCCCTCCTTGAGATCCTCCGCGACCCTATCATAACCCCTCTCAACAACCTACTCTATAACACCGATACCTCCAACCTAGCCCAGCACGGCCTCCACCCGCACCACCAACACTTTACCGCGAATTTATTCCAACTCCTCGGTCCAGCATACATTGCCATGCTAGTATCACTCGTCCAGAGGCCCATGGTGCCATCCTGGATGCGCAATATGCGCGCCCTGTCCGCCCTCTCTGCAACAATGCTCCTCTCCCTCTTCCCTCACCAAGAACCCCGTTTCCTCCTCCCAGCTGTCCCTCTCCTACTCAGCTGCGTGCCCCTGCGCCGTTCTCGCCTCCTCATCGGGACATGGGTCCTCTTCAACGCAGCCATGGGCTTCCTCATGGGCGTATACCACCAAGGCGGCGTCGTCCCCACCCAGCTAGCAATGCGCGATATAGTCTCCTCCAGCACAACCCATCATATCCCCCCGCAACAGTCTTCTGGTGGAAGACATACTCCCCACCACTTTGGCTTCTCGGCGGAGACAATCAGTCCACCGAGATCGAAACCCAGGATCTAATGGGTATTCCAGGAGTGGAGCTGGTCCGACGTCTGGAACAGGTCGTACCAAGGTGCTCATATCCCTCATCTATATTCCTAGTCGCACCCACATCGGCCGACTTCCTCGACCAGTATGCTCTATCTGCGACCAATCTCCAGAAACAGAGCTTACAACTGCATCCGCTCTGGTCATATCGGAAACACCTCAGCCTGGACGACATGGACTTCGCCGAAGACGGGATCTTCTCAACTCTGAAACGAGTTATAGGACGTCGCGGATTGGGCGTTTGGTCTGTTCGACGCTCTTGCATATAATATTTTTCTCCTTCTTCTTCTTCTTTTCTTCTTTTCTTCTTCTTTTCTTCCTCCTTTATTTTTATTTTCCCTCTTTCTGCTTGCCCTGGACATACTACATGATCTCCATTCCATGGCTGGGCCTTGTACCTATAAATCACTTACCTATGGGTTCAGACTGGTTATCTGTGTCGTTCATATGGGATATACCCGGTTCCATTCCAATTTCGGGGGTTGCAACGTCTCTTTCTCTGAATATTCTTGTCTGTTTTGGTTTACTGGGTCCGTACGATACCTTTTGCATTTGGGGGCGGCGACGAGGGTTATCTTTGGGTGGTTCTGTGGGCTACTTATACGTATATCCAGGAATTTGATCTTTTCATTGGCCTTGTTTCTTTCTCTCTATTTAAGCTGATCAGCTGCTCAGCTGCTCAGCTGGTGGTATCTATCTCCCTGTAATAAAGGCTAGTCTGATAAGGGAGATTAGGGTTATGCTGCTACTCGATGGGCATGACATCCATAGGTTGTATTGAAGTGCTGGTGTTCGCGTAGGAGGTATGAACACATTACCTACACATTACTCTAGCCGGAATGTGGTTGGAGATATATACTGTACCTACCTACCTTAGGTAGATAGGTAAGTATTCCTGAGCAGAAGGTTGGAAGGAAATGCATCCCGGGCAGTCATGCGGAAATATATTCCACCCGTCCCACAGGTCATCTGGACTAGGTTGTCAATCGCCACATAACCTATAGTTACCTAAACCTAGGTGGGTACCTAATCTAACTAACGCATGACCCCCATGATGGAACTTATCTCTGCTATGTAAGATACCAGATGACCCGATTGAAGAAGCAATTTCAACCAGATTCATCTAGAGTACAGATACGTATCAACCTCAGCCATACGCGATTACTCATACCAATATGCAGCGAACAGGTCCCATTTTGCCCATTAAGGTAGATACATGACAGTTGTGTTGGAGAAAGGGTAGATAGCGGGATGCAAAAAAGCCAAGTCCACACTCAGCAAGCAGAGACTCAAGACACCAGGCTAATCACTGGTTCGTATTCATGGGAAAGGGGGGTCTGGGGGTAGGAGAGATGAGGGAATCAATTCAAACAGCACCATGCTTGGTATTCATCATAGAACATAACGTTACGAGGGAAGGAAGAGGGAGGAGGAAAAAGAAAACAAGAGCACATTTCACTCTTTACTCCTCATCCTCATCCGGCTGGTCGAAGAGGAAGTTTGCTGCCAGTTCCTCGTTCTTGTCGCAGGCGAAATAGGCTTGGATGACCGAGTCACGGGGGAAGCCCAGACGGCACAGCTGGTTAAGAGTTAGTTATTGGGACATTTCGAATTGATGAGAGGTTCAACATACACGCTCAATAGCATCGCGCTCCTCTTCCGTGACCGAGATAGCCTGTGCACCAGGGGGCAGAGCACCCTCCTCATCCTCCAGTTCCTCACCCAGAAGCTGCAAGAACTGATCGGAGTTCTGTCCGATGATGGAAGCAATCTGGGGATTCCCGGCGGCGACCTGTTGCAGGATAGGCTCGAGCATGTGAGGCTGTTGCTGGACAAGCTGACGGAGCTGCTGGAAATGAGGGTTGCTGCGGAGGAAGTCGAGGCTGCCGAGAGCTTCGCCACCAGCGGCACCAGCACCGGCACCAGCGCCGGCGCCACGAGGACGACCACCGCCTTCACCGCCAGCTTGGGCAGCGGCTTCGAAAAGGTTCAGGGGCTCATCACCACCAGTAGGAGCAGCAGCAGGGGCAGCGCCAGTAGGGGCAGGCTCAGCGGCTTGTTGTTGTTGCTGTTGCTGTTGCTGCTGTTGTTCCTGAATGTTCTCGGGGATACCCTGGTATGACGCTTAGTAGAGATTCGAGCAATATCCCCCCCAAAAAAGCTTACGGTCAAAAGATATTCGATAGCACGGTCGGGGTTGTAGAAAGCGGCGCGCATAGCACGGTCGATATCGGTGCGTGCGAAACCCATAGCCTCCATCTGGACAACTGCGCCCTCGGCAGCAGATCCCATGGCGAGAGCGGAAGGATCTCCGAAGGCAGGGCCACTGGGAGCGGCGCCGGCTGGGGAGGGAGTCGCAGGAGCAGCAGCTGGGGGAGCAGCAGCAGCGGCCTGGGGGGCGGGAGGAGGAGCGGGGGTCGCCACAGGAGCTCGGGCAGCTGGGGTCGAGGGAACTTGGGGAGCGGCAGCCGGGGCGGGGGCGGCCTTGGGTTGCTGTTTATGAATTCGTCAATTTGGGCTCGATGGGTGAGTCAATAGTAGAGAACACGAATCTGGTACCTTTCCAGGCAAGCACACTAGGAAGTCCTTTTCTTGGATGTTGTAGGACTCAACCGTCTTATCGTCTTGAAGAATCTTTCCTACATTGGGGGAAAGAGTCACGAGTTAGCCATGGAATCGTGAATGGCAAACTCCTCCGGCGACAGAGATCACTTACCAGAATAGATGACCTTCATGCGCTCTGCCTCATATTCGCCCTTCTCTTGGGCAATTTTGACCTTGACCTCGCGAACCTAGATAGATGAGCCCCGCACTCGATGATGTCGGCTAGTTGTAGCGAAAGAGTCCGACGTACTGTTTCAGAAGGCTCGACATCGATGACGAACTTCTCCTGCTTCAGGTCCTGTAATCAATAATCGTTAGCAGTCTGTTGCTATGAGGACCTCATGGGCAAGTTTCTGTACCTTGAACGTGAGCTTCATTTTGCCGCTTTTTGAGTGAAACCGAGAAGAAAGAGGGCAGAGAAAAAAGATGGGAATTGAGATGGGGAAAAGAAGTTACGAGAACCAAGACTTGATGTGAAGGATCCTCTCAGCGATGAAGTCGAAGAAAAGTCGAAACAAGAAAGAAAGTAGGAGGGGAGCCGATCCAAGGTGACGATGATGGAGAGCAAACGAGTGCGGTGACCGCCTTTGGGCAATGACCCCAACTATGTACTTCGAACTTCGTGCACATTTGTCCAACTTAATGACCTTTTGCAACTCACCAGATTGCTATGATTTTGCCCTACACAGGACTCTCTTTGTGCGGTGCACCTCGGCAAATGCGGTATACCTATATTCATTCGATTTCGAGCCGGTTGCCTGTTGGCAGCCTCGATGACAACATTCATGGCTGACGTCGAGGGGACAGGGCCAATTGATAGGTTGGCGATGCAGATCTATGTCCATCTTGGTCCCAATGGCATACAAGACCTTTCTGGAATGTGTTCACGGTCGATGCCCTGACCTGGGCCTATATAACACAGTATTAGGCGTCATTATTGCCTTTCAAGTCCTCGGTTGGCTGGTAGCACGGTCGTGTGCATCGTACATTGTAGTGTGCGTTGTACATATTACACCCGCATAGAGAGAAGACATTACATATGAGGAATCAATAAGCCACACGATTCACGAATCTCTACGCAGTGAAGTAGTTTTGGAGAATTGTAGTTATTGATTGAGGCGTCTGGACTCTGCAGTCTGCACTGTATCCCGAGAGCCGTGGCCAAAGCACGGACGTTCCTAGACCAACCATTTCGTTGCACATACTACTTCCAAGACAGGTCACGATGCTCCCAGCCATGCCTATCTAACACAGTATGGATCTATAAGATCTAATTTCAAATTACCAGAGCCACGCCATAGCCTCAATACAGGTTGGCCGAAGTTCCAGAGGCCGAGTTTGTTTCCATCAGAAGGGCCGATGGACACATCACATCCGGCGCGGCGCTATTGAGATCGGGAGGGAAAACCCACCATCTTTACCGAGTCCTGACATCCACAACGGACTGATGGATCATATCTATAGTGCCATTGTTAGCGGGATTGACCAAACTATCGGATGCATACTCTGCAGAGCGGGTCTGGGCTGCCGGGGCCTCACTACAATGTACCCCGGAGTCAGGCACCATGACTTCGCCTCCAATTGATGGAAAAGCAGCATTTGTCACTTTTCCAGGTACTTTATGCAGCTCCAGCCAAGGGATCTCTCTTCCGCAGCCAATTGACGTAGATCCTGGCCCAGTCGAGCCTTATCGGTGACCCTAACCATCATGCCGGGTTGATGGATCAGACCGATCTCTTCTGAGAAAATTTGACAGGTTGCGACGGGTTGACTTCCCCGGTCGATACACTTTGAGCCACGCTGAAGTGTGCATCTCTCCGTCCCGTGTTTGCGAACCCTCCTCCTGCGTCTACGCGTGCCAGATCATAAATACCGGCATGCCCGCTCTCATGGACTCCACAGATTTCACACACTCATTACGTGCATTGGCGAACGTCTTGAACTGGCAGTCTGCCAAAGTTTGGCCTCCCACACACTCTCTTGGTTATTGTTGGTATACTTCCTGGCTTTCTTATTTGCCAAGTCTTTCTTTTCTGTGCCGTCGCCATGTCCTCCTTGTCTTACTCACTGGCCGGAGCCTCGTTGCTCTTGACATTCATTGTTACCATTCTTAATGGTGTTTGCTATGCAACTTCAAAAGCTTCATCCGATGTGGCGCCCGTTATCTTGAGCGCAGTAAGCTGCGTGGCCGTGATTGCCCTTGGTCTACTGCACCACAAGAACATCCAAACTGCCCGTCTACAATGTATTGGCTTCACCGGCACATATCTACTCATTGCTGCAGCTGCATCTGCCGGGGCGATGGCAATGAGCCCTCAGGCTTCCGTCTTTGTCGTTCGCTCCATTTTCTGGGCACTCTCAGTGTTTGCACAAGCCCTATACTGCGGCTACCTCTCCACGACACTAGCCCAGGAGAAGTCCAATACCGAATGGCCACGGGGCGACTCTCGACAACTTGATGAGGTCTCACCAAACTCGAATTACCTCCCATCGCCGACTCGAGTATGCCATTTGTCCGAACTGTTCGAGCCAAAACGTGGCTCTCTCCGCAAATATCCTCGGCGCTCCAGCCGCTACTCGGACACCACTCTCTGTCCTTCGAACATGAAGGACGACAAAAACGCCTCCATCGACTCAAGCTCTTCATCAACTCGCGGCTCACCAAGCCCAACTCCAACGAACGGGTCATCAGACCATCTCCCAGACCGGGACCCTCGTTCCCTGCCCCGGGGCCCCCACAGCATCCGCAGCATGCCCAGTTTACGCCGAACCCCACCCAACGCCATCTCTATCTCGAGCCGGGTGCAACCCACCGTGCCCTCCCCCACCGCGTCGACTCTCCGCCTCGACTCCCCAACCCCATCACCCTCCCACTCGACGTGGGAATACAATCCCTTCGACGAGAACAACATCCACCCTCTCTTCCGCTCCACCAGCCCCTGTCCATCCCCAACATTCGCCCCCGGTACAATTGTCAAAGGCTCGGCGAGCGCGGGACAGACCATTACGCCTGGGACGATTAAACGCATGCGATCTGCCCGCTCCTTGCGCGACCAGGGCCGACGTACGCCCTCTCCGTTGCCCGGGATGGGATTGGAGTTGAACGAGACCCATGTCCGCGGCAACCAAACTCGCGGCAGTCCTACGCATTCAACTTTTGAGAAATATGACCTGAACGAATCCCCTCATGAAAAGTAATTGACCCACGGTACCTTTGAGCACGACTTGCAATGTTTCTTTTTTTCTTTTTTGTGCGTTGATATGAATATGGTGTTATGTAAATAAAGGATTGAGAAGGATATAATAGGTCTTAAGTACTTCGATCTGGTTGGAATGAATTTCCGGTTGCATATACAGTGATTGAGCTCCAAAGAAACTTATCTCGATTTCTGTTGGCATACTGTATTATCTCTTCGTTTGACTATTGGATGATTGAATTGATCCAAACTGAATACATCCCAAGATCTCTGGTATTGCAGTATATCATTCATATAGCCAGTTCAGGTAGAAGACACCCAGTGTACAATCTCCTCCCAAAAAGGATCCTGAAGCAAAGAAATAGTTGCATTCAAGTACGGAGTAAACCTGGACTATGAAATGGCCGCATTCGACTCGTCACCATCTCGCCAAGTGGGTCCATCTTATTTTTCTTGTCGTACATCATAGGGAGAGAAGTATGGTGTAGACGAAGAAGTAATCCCGTGATTCCCGTCTAGAAATAATGGATATGATAGGAATAGTAGGAGAATGAGTACAGAGTATTGTCAGAGATCTCCTCCATATCGGGGTCAAATGCTCCGGTACTTGTGTGCCGGAAGTGGCTGGGAATGGGACAGGAAGGGGGTGACTACGTATGAATCTATTCACTAGAGGGACAAGATAGTTGATGAATCCTTGAATCTATTCAGTCAATGTCATTATTGTTCCTATTCCTATTCTTCCCATCCAATCCTACGGGTTGTCATTCTGTGCTATTTGAATCCCGAGCCTCAGCCGAGTCACGGAAAAGTACCCGACCAATTGGCCATGAGAGGAAAAAGAGAAAGAAGAAAAGATTGAAGCTTGAAGCTGACAATTGATGAGACAATTGAGCATTGGTGAAGTGATTGAATAGTAGCTGATTCATTCTCTAACTATTGAAAGCTTCCTATAGTTGGTCAACGGGCAAGATCCAAGGTTCTCTCAGCTACATAATCTTCTTCTCTCTGTTTTCCTTTTCTCTTCTTCTTACATGATCTTTCTTCTTTTCTCTCTTCTCGTTTTTATTCTCTTCGTTTATTCTCATCTCATCTTACCAAGATACTCCATTCTGGTGTTCTTCCCATCTCTTATTCTCATCCCCCCCCAACTTTCCATCCATCGGGCGAAAAGTGAAAGTCTCGTAGATCCTTCGATCTTCGCAGTACACTTGACACTTAACGCTTGACACTTGACGCTTGACACTTGACTCTCTTGACGTTTTCTTCCTTACTCCTGACTTGTCACTTGTCGCGTCTTTCATCTTTACTTTTTCCCTTCATCTACTTCCATCAATTCCCCCCCACAACGTTCTCCTACCTCTTCCACTACTACACCCTACTGTCGCATTCTACCCTCGTGACTGTACTCTTTTCCCCATCATTTCTCGATTTATTTCCTCTGTATTCTGAAGCTTTCAGCTTTGCGCTTTGCACATTTCGAGTTTTCAACACCATCTCTCCCCCTGTTGATACCTGGTTCACCTTATTCACCTTTACTCTTCATTTTTCCACCCTGATTTCCCGTACCCGTGTTGGAGCTCCACACCCCCCTTGCTGGTACTGGAACAAATTTCCCGCTGACTCGCTTTTGTCAAAAGACAACAGCGATGGTGGGAAGAGTTAAGAAAACTCGTGCGGCTGCACAGACTGCTGCTCGCACTCCTAGCATTTCTACGCGATCGGGACGCGCCGCCCAAGGTAAGTTTCATCTCATTTTGTACTATCGGTCCGATGTCTCATCCCCATGTATAGATCTCATTTTAGCTCCCACCACTACCCGGGGGAGAGGCCGCGGCCGGGGACGTGGTCGCGGCCGTGGCCGTGGCAGTCTTTCTGGTCATATTGCCGCCAGCATTGAGGAGTCGAGCAACTCAGAAGAGGTTCACTCCCTCGTGGTCACCCTCAAAATTCGGCCCGAAAAGTTGGTCCAATTTGCCACTGCCGATGAGGATCATGATGTTGACCGTACCCCTGTTGGGAATCGGGAAAGTGCACCGGCTGGTGCCGTGCAAAGCCCAGAGACTCCTCGTACTCGCCGTCCCCGGCATCCTCGGACTGTTCCTGAGTCCTCACGGACCACGCGGCAGTCGGCAAGACGGAAGCCAGATGAAAACGGCGTCTTCGAAGATGAAGTCTCACCAACCAAGATCGTGGGCACTGAATCCACTCACCTAGATGATGATATGGACGAGTCCCACGATGACGAGGAACCCAAGTCCGAAGTTCCTGCTCTAAAGACCTCTCAAACCCCTCAGCCCCGCTTCCTTGCTTCAGCTTCAGTCTCCCCAGCAGCCACCCAGGACGAGTCAGCTGATGACACGGCCGATGAGATGGAACTCACCAAGAAAGAAATCATTGAAACAGCCAAAACGAAGGCTGCACAGACCCCTGTCAGCCAGAGCCCAATGCCAAAAGATTCTGAAGAAGTGTCATTGAGCGCGGTGTCGTCACCCCGACTTTCACGTAAGCGAAAGTCAATTGAGACCCAAGACGGAACGAATGCGAACTCAGAGAATGCAGAGACCAAAAGACGACGGGTTGAAAAGACTGAGCAGACTCCAGAGAGCCATGTGCAAGATGGCCCGGAGACTGATACCCAGCATGACGGATCATCTCGGGAAGGCAGTCCCGCTAACTCTGAAGAATACGACAACCCTGCTTACGCTCCCTCTGTTCGAGGAGGCCGTGGAGGTCGTGGAGCCCGTGGTGGCCGCGGCCGTGGCCGTGGTCGAGGTCGTGGTCGCGGAGGTCGTGGAGGCAGTACTGCTGGCTCTGAGGGGCCCCTTGCCCCGGTCAAACCTGCAGCAGTGACCAAGTCTCGAGGTGGCCGAGGTCGTGGCCGTGGCAAGGGTGTCAAACGCGGCGGCGGTAAGGACAAGGAGAAGAAGATTGATGACGAGATCTGGGATCTGGGTGAGAATTGGCGTGGTCCTACTCCCGAACCTAGTTCAGATTCACTACCAATCAAGACCCGCGAAGCAGAACTGTCTGCGCTTTTCAAAAAGATTGGCCATGTTCAACAGGGGGCCTTGGCAGTGCTCGCCGAGCGAACCATGCGCGGACTGGCTCGCAGCAAAGATTGGCACGAGAAGTGCCCCGAATTCACCCGCTGCCAGCAGGATCTGGATTGGTATGAGGCGAAGGCAACGAAAGTACTGGAAGCTGAGTTCAAGGAAAAGTCTGGCCTGGAAGCGCGGAAGCTTGAAGCCGATCAGTACATCATAAACAGGAAGGCGGAGGTGAGTTTTGAAACCCATTTGTACATTTGCTCCTGGCCGAACAGATGCTAACTCGCACGAATAGAACCTCATCGCGGAAATCCAAGAGGAAACCGTGACCATGCTGATGGGGAAGATGATGGTTCTGATTGAGGGCCGTCGGGTAGCGGAGGACGATGAGCATACGGAGGTGAGGACCCCAAAGATACTCCAGAACGGGGGAACGACCGCTAATAGGCTCGCAGTACGATACATCCGACTCCGAAGAATCTGTCAAGCCGTTCCTGTTCCGAGATGGCGAGGCGCCCGCTAGACAGGTGGAGCGTGGATTCGCCGCCGAGACAGTTCGAGACCCGGAGGGAACGGCTGATTGGTTGGCGGCAAAGGAGGGCTGGGAGGAGTTTGTCCAGCGCGCACGCATGGGTAGGTTGAATGAGGAGATCGCACCGGAGGTCGCACCAGCAAAGCCCACCGATGACGAGGATCTGCACGTCTGCGTCACGGGGGCCTTCGAAAGCCTCCTCGAAGCGGCACACCATATCCAGGATCAAAAGTCTGCCGGCAAGTTCGTCAGCTACGATGGTGCTTCCGATGCCCCCCCCGCCCTCACGGGCTCTCTCCATCCTGGCCGACGCCGCCCTGGAGCCCGGGCCCTCCCCCCTTCCCATGATGCGCACAGATCCGAATTCCCGCCACCGCGCGCTCCTCCCGCAACCCTCCCATGCCCACAGTGGGGGCCTTCCACCATTCATCCTCCCTCGGCCCACCCCGACCCAGCAGCCGCGACGTCTTCTTCCCGCGCACCAGCAGCTGGGTATGGGAATGGGGCTGCCGGACCCCTTCGCGATGAACGGTCCCCCGCAGCTGCCCCCGCCCCCGGGATCGAACTTTGCCCGTCTGCCTCTCCCGGGCTACCTGCCCCAGGGCCATGCGCCCTCGCTCTATTATCCACCCCAGCCGCCGCCTCCACCAGGCTCCCACCCCCCGGCTCCGCCGCGCCGGTATTAGACCGGCCGGCGTTCATGTTTGAGTAGCATCCTCTCCCAGCCTTCCATGCCTACACGAGGGGCCTTCCACCGTTCATTCTCCCGCGGCCCACCCCGACCCTCCAGTCGCGCGGCATCTTCGCGCACCAGCAGATGGGTTTGGGAATAGGGCTGCCAGACCTTCCACGTTGAACGGTCCCCCGCAGCTGCCTCCGCCCGGGCTCGGACTTCAGGGCCATGTGCCCTCGGTCTATTTTCCGTCTCCGCCGCTGCCTCCACGAGGCTCCCACCCCGCGGCGCCGTCGCTCCGGTATATTACTGGCCGGCGTTTGTTTTAATAGCGTTTTCCCCAGTTGAGACTTGATACCAATGTTTTGTACAGTCGATGCCCTCCTTTCCCGAGTGGGGATAGGGAAGGGAGGCATCATACTTTTGTTTGTTACTTTTGTGCTAGTAGGGTACGATTACGAGATGAGTGAACTAATCTCAACTGTGAATTGAAGAGAGTAAAATTAATTCAAAGCATTAAAAATGAAGTAACTCGAACTGAAAGTAGTAGTAGGTAAATTGAGTATCAAGGATGAGCCAAAAGTCAGCTACTAGCCTAATTGTTAAGTGAAAAGCATACAAGAGGAAGTAGACAAGCAGAATAGACAAGCAGGTTGTGAAGGGAGACTAGTATTGCTATCTAGACCTGGTAGATACCCAGAGGCTTCATCCCACACAGTTCATGGCTATCGCAGAATGACTCGTAACTCTGGGACCGTATGCACTTGCAAGATGAGCCATACGGCATACCTAGCTTAGCCAGGCTATAGAGAATGACTGTGAGGGCGAAGTAGGAATGAATCATTGTCAGGATGAGACAGGATGAGTCAGTAGATGGAAGTACTGGTACTTCTACTACATACTATTTGTAGTAGTAAAATAAGTACCAGTACATAGTATCAGCCCACCGACTCGCCTCTGCGGCTCCGGCGGGGCAAACTCAGACGGGGCTCTGATTGGGCCGAGCTGTTGGTCTTTTTTCAGTTGGATCGCACGTCTCTCGTCGAATTTATTTATCTCTCGCGCATTCTTGCAATTCTCTCAATTCAAGATTACTCAAAAGTTCGATCTCTGTTGCTGTTCTTGCTGTTCCTGCTAGTTCCGTTTCTCTCTCGACCCCGCTCCGCACACCTTTTTCACCATATCCCTCTGTGCTCTTCAGTGCTCTTCAGATACTCTAATCATGGCTGTTCGCGCGCAGTTCGAGAACTCAAATGAGTGAGTGGGAGAATACTATAAGCGGAACGACTGGATCTGACTGTTTCCTAGGGTCGGCGTTTTCTCTTGCCTGACAAATGCCTACGCTATCGTTGCGGTTGGTGCTTCGGAGAACTTCTACAGGTGTGTCCGCTGAAATGGGGAAGGATTGGGATTTGAGAATGGCATGGCAGGGGTCGGAATGGGCGAATCGTGGATGCAGAGCACATACCCTTCTAGATGCTGTGCCACGTCGAAGCTCAAATTCTATCTCCGCCACCCATACACGCATGAAGAACCCGACTAACTTCAAACCCTAGTGTCTTCGAATCTGAACTCCAAGATGTTATCCCCATCTGCCACGCAACCATCGCCGGAACCCGCATTGTCGGTCGTCTAATTGTCGGGTAGGTTGGATACAGCCAAAAGAACGGACTTGAGAGAAAAAGAGAATGCTGACACTCGCCACTAGTAACCGCAAAGGTCTCCTTGTCCCCACTACAACCACAGATCAAGAATTGCAACATCTACGCAACACGCTCCCGGACGAAGTCAAAATCCAACGCATAGAAGAGCGCCTTTCCGCGCTCGGAAATGTCATCTGCTGTAACGACCATGTTGCAATCGTGCACCCCGACTTGGAGCGTGAGACCGAAGAGATGTGAGTAGTGTCCAGATCCACGCCAACTTCATTTGGCCGATTCTCTTCTCTTGACCTTCAAAACTAATATATCACCAGCATCGCCGACGTCCTTGGCGTAGAAGTCTTCCGCCAAACAGTTGCCGACAACGTCCTCACAGGCTCATACATGGCCCTTTCCAACCAGGGTGGAATCGTGCACCCCAAGACCTCAATCCGTGACCAGGACGAGCTGTCCTCGCTCCTGCAAGTTCCTCTCGTGGCCGGCAGTGTGAACCGCGGTTCCCCCGTCGTCGGCGCCGGCATGGTCGTCAACGACTGGCTCGCCATCACCGGTCTGGACACCACCGCCACCGAGTTGAGCGTTGTTGAGTCCGTCTTCCGACTGGGCGAGATGGCACCTGGTGGTGCTGCCGCTGGTGTCAATAAGGACAGTATCGTGGAGAGTTTCTACTAGGCATTCGGTCCTTTCGATTTTTTGCACTGCTGAAGCTCTTTACGGTACATGGTCCTGTTCTTATTTTCACGCTGAAATGATTTTTTTTGATTCACAAAGTATAACTGGTATTGAACTTTCTTTTTCCTGTTCGGCTCTGTTCTGTTCGGTGTGTTGGGTCTTTCTGTGGGAGTCTTGTAATGCTTATGCTTGCTTGCATCTGCTCGAATGAATCATGCATGGATAGAATTGGCAGTATCAAGATTTGGAATTAATCCTGAGCTGGATGTTGACCTTGGTATCTCCTTCCATCTGTAGATATGATATTAGTCTAGGCCGTTAGTATGCTCTTTGGTCTACTTTTTCAACATTCAAGCTCTAGCTAGACCACTCGTGAGTCTGTTCGATAACCATTCATTGTGGCTAGCGCGGAGGCAAGGCACTTCAGTCTAGTGCAAACATGGATTCTTCCATCTGGCCCCTCTAACATACTGCACTGAAATGCATCAAATAATGCCATTGGAGGATAAATGATAAGATTCATGCAGGCAAAGGCCCGCTCGGATTTTGATATTCCGCCAGCGGTATGGAATTCTGCCGATCTTATTATGTTATGAGACCGCCTATCATACCGGCGCATGGATGTATGCAAGTCCATCCGTACATGCAGTGAGGTATGTATCCGTCCATAGATACATCGTATACATCATACGTGCAGATATATGCATGAATGTACGCAGAGTAGATATCAGAGAAAAAGATGAAACTTCACAGCCGAAAAACGGGCTGGATTGATGCAAACTAAGAAGATTTGCACTGCGCACATGGGGCTCCGGGGTATTCGTAACGCAGGAAGTGAAAAGAGAAGAGATAAAGTTAAGAAAAGAGGAATAAGAATAGCAAATAATGATAAAAGAACACGGTAGAAGCGAAGAATTAGAATCTGCATATGAGAATATGATCCTCATCTCATCGCCTGGCCTTTAGGCCTCCTCAATCGCTTTTGGGTATTGATGCTCGCGCATTGAAGTAACAATAGAAAGAAAAAAAGCAAGAATAAGACAGACGCCGCTGATCAAGGACAATCTGTCCTGATGCGCTCTGTCCCTTTGACCCATTACGGGCCTGTCTCCATGGCACTATGCTCCATGGCATTGTGCTCGGGAGATATTTCTTCACCGCCGTTATCCATGTCGTTATCCATGTCATAATCGCCGGCGTAGTCCATCGGAGCACCGGCTGGAGGAGGGGGAGGGGGAGGTGGCGGAGGGATCGACTTCTGCTGCTTGTAGGGAGAACTGTTCCCATCCATGGAGCCATCGAAAGACGTAACGGAGCCACGCTTGCGCTTGAGGTCGTCGTATGGCATGGGAGAGCTCGCGCCATCAACAGCCGGAGTGTCATCACCGGACATCTTGGTGTCTGTGTTGGGCTCCTCGGTTCCGGTGTTGGTGGTTGCACCCTGGGACTGGGCGGATTGCGACTTCTCTCTGGCGCGAGCGGCGTGCTTCTCCGCGGCCTTTTGGAAGTAGGACTTGCAGTAACCCTTCACGGTTTTCTCGTGCTTGGCAGAGATCATGACTGTGGGGTCGGTGACGCGATTCTTCTTGTAGTCGCTTTCGACCATCTTCTTTGAGATCTGTGATTGAGATGTGAAGGTTAGCCGAGTCACATCAAACGGAGGTGAAGTGAAAGAAGTCTTACCTCCTTGGCGAACCGCTTCAGATCGTCACGGGGGATTTTGTTCTTGTAACTGTCCACGATAGGCTTGATGATAGGGAAAAGCTGTGCTATGTGTTAGTCTGATCCTTTTGCCATGCTCGGATTGTAAGACTCACGGTGTTTTCGTAAATGCGCTTCTGTTTCTCCAACGGAAGCTTGCGCCACTTCTCGCCATCCTTTGGTTTCGCCTCCGTTTGGTCAGCAGAGGGGTGAGGAGTCGAGGGGGTGTCACTATTCCGAACGTCGGAAGGCGTTTCCTCCTGGGAGTTCATGATGTCGTCAATGATGCTTTGTAGAGCGATGTTGGATTGTTTCCTAGAGGCATGTTCAGCCGGCGTAGGTCTCGCAGGGAGGGCGGGCAAGGTTGGGCGTTCCCACGTTGTAGCACCAGTTGTAGAATAATAGTAGACGCCGCGGCCTTCTGCCTCCGCAGCGAACCACCCCTCCGGCAACGGCATCGGACGACGCCGGTTCTGTCTGCCCCACATAGCTTGGTCTCGACGTTGTTGCGAAGGTCCGCGTGAAGCACCTTGTAAAGGTGGAGGAGAATGACTCGGACTTCGTTGAGGTTGTTGTTGCCTAGTCTCTCGGCGCTCAAACTGGTTGACGGCGTGCCTCGCGTCTTTGCCACGTTTCTTGCGAGGAATTCTATAAGCAACCTCAAGCCCAGCCCAGCTCTCTAGCAGAGCAGCAGCTTTCTTTGCCACACGCTCGTCTTCGCAGGTTATCAGTGGACGGATGTTCGCTTCGATCTTAGAATCCTGGATTTTGTTCCGCGTCAGGCGCGGGAACCCATCGAGAATGTCTAGAATCTGCAAAACCACGTTCTGGTCTTCTTTCCATTGTGCGAGTTGAGAGTTCAAAATCTGGTAGCCGTGCATTCGGACTACCCGACTTCGAACCCGCTCATCCTCGCAGCGCTGGATACGACCCAGCAACTTGACTGCAATCCATTTATCCTGGCACTGCACCAGAGCTGCCATGACCTTGGTCACACTATCCTCGTTCAAGGACTTGGGCTGCACGCTGTCCACATACTCCTCATCGTTCTCCTCGAGCTTCTTTTTCTTGGGGCGTTTCGCCACAACAGTGTCCCAGCCATCGGCCTCATCGATACCAAGAGCCTCAATGGTTGCATTGGACAGCTTGGTTGCACGTTCGGTCTGAGTACGTCCGCCAATGAAACCCGTGCACATCGGCTCGCCGCAGTAACAAGGTTGAGGATCGGCGCCGTAGCGGTCGACGTTATAGTTGAAAACAAGCTCCTCGCCGGCCTGGACGGCACGCTCGGCGAAGATTCCCATGCGAAGCTTCTCGCCCACGACCCATTTGTCCACATAGCAGTTCGGGTTGCAAGAGTGGTTGCAGAATCGTCCCAAATTGCCTCGCTTGGTTGCATCGACAAACTCGCCCTTGTTCAAGGACATGAAGTAGAAGTGTTTGATGCCCTCCTCGTCGTACTGCCTCATGCGCTTCCGGAATTGGGCCTCGCCCACGACTTCGCCGACATATTCGTAGATCAGTTCTCCCGGATCAAGGTTCGTTTCCGCACGCAAGCCGAATCCTTTCTTCTCGGTTTTAATCACGGCAACCGGTGCAAACTGTCCTTTCTGGAACCGTTGGTTTTGACAGTCGGCACCGCAGCCACATTCGCCGGCGCATTCGATCTTGGTCGCGCGATTGATACAATCCGAGTCTTCGCCGCATGCAATGTTCTTTCCGAGCTTCGCGTCTATTTTAGTTTCATTAGCGACGTATTCACCAAGGTGGAGTCACGAGAAAGTGACAATTTCCCAATAAGTCCTCGAGGACTGGTGTGGAAAGACGCCGAGACTATTCGAAAAGACGAAAACTCACCCCACTCTTCAGCGCAATCGCATTCCATGGCGTGCTCTGTGTATCCCATGTATTTGTTGGCGTACACGCAGCCGGGGATCTGTTCAAACGTGGCGAGCGCATCTTGGGTGCTATCAGGTAGGTGGTCAAACAGCGGCGGGGGTCGCGACACGACTTTCCGCGAGCTGCGAGACAGTTTGGCCGGTTGGCCAGGCTCCTGCTTGAGTACGATCTCGCCGACGTCCGATTTCATGGTAGACTCATCGGAGTTGGAAGGGGACTCGAGTTTGGGATATGGAGATGAGGTACGTGTCTCGTCGTTCGTCGAAGGATCGTCCTTGACCGGAGCGTCGGCATCGTTGACTTGAACCGGCTCTGGCTCAGAGTCCGCGCTGTCATGGGCAGACATGACGACACGGACTACGATGGAGATGTCGAAGGAATGAGAACTGGACCGGAATTGGAATTAGGCAGAATACGAAGTTCGTCTGAAGAGTTCTGCCCAGAGGAATCAAGGGGTCCAGAGCGGTCAAGGTAAGAACAATCTCATTGATAAAAATCTCCTAATTTGACTCAACTCGAAGCTATTGTTATGTCCGTGTTTTCTCTCACCGCCTTTCTGAGTCTAATCGCTTTTATCGCATGTCCGCCCGGTGCTTTGGATGTTTGGAGCACCTCCTGTGTAGGCCTCGTTGGATGAGTGGACTTGGCTTAATTCCAGCCCATCGAAGAGCTTACCCTCTTAGGGTGTATCCAGGCCAAAGACAAAGGTCCTAAGAGGATGACAACTGTTTTTGCCAATTCCAAGTTGTTTTAACGTCTATGTCCTTGTTTGAGAGATCAACTGTGATCTCACAGCCATTCCAGTGTGGCGTGGCCGCGTGGGGAGCTTGATATCCATCGATAGGCTCATGCAGCACTATCAAAAGACCTTCTAAACAGTGTCAGGGTCTTTCAACATGGCGTAAAGACCTCGATGGTCAATTCCAAAACTCCGCGATAGCTGAGAACGGACTGCGGAAAAGGGGTCCAAGATAAGAATGCAAGTTCCAAAGGCATCTAGACAACTGGACCACATCCATACATGGAAGTAGGTAGATTGAGTGGATGTCACATTATCACGGAAGTCTGGATGTCGTGAGTCTGGGCGGGAAATCGATTGGATGAGGAGGAATCAAAAGTAAAAGCGCGTCTGCATGTGTTGTTCTGCGTCAACGTGGATCTTAAGTCTGGTGCGTTTATTATCAAACATATAACTACTGTTGTATGTAAGTATCGTCTGGGGATTAAACTGGACTGTATTGAATTAAAAACATTTGGTTCTATCAAATAGTACAAAGTTAGGGTTGAGCTGCCTTAGGCTATCACATCTGTCATCACATTGGTTCCATCCATGGATCCAATGTTTAGTGTGATATAGGTACTTTCTACTTCAGACCTCTTCTCTTCTACATCTCCCCCAGGTATCTCTGTTCATCTGTCCTCTTTCCCCTGTTGATCTAGTTACTGGTATTTTACCACTTGAACCTCATGGCTGCACCTCGGCGGAGTCCTCTCTCCACTCGGCTCGTCTCTACCAATCGTCCTGGTCCATTTTCGTCAGGACCACCCGCTGCATGACAGACGCGCTTTTTTTTACTTTTTTTTCTTTCTGTACGATCGCCCACCCTAACTGCCCCTGAGGCTAGCTTCAAACAAAACCACTGTCTTTCACAGGCGAACCAACGTGCCGGGCCGGTGCTCTCACCTATCAGCATTCAACCTGGGATCCATGATTCCACTGTTTATCAGAAGAGAAAGGACAAAACCAAAATCATGGTACTAAGTCCACCAAAACGGAGGGGAAAAAACAAAAAAAAGGGAAAATTCACAGAACAAGGAATAACGCTTTCTCAACTGTCCCTTGGTTCTGGGACTGCCAGGGCCAACCGTTTCCCGAACCAAGATGCAACTCTTCTCGATTGAAGCTAAGCCCAATATACGGAGCATAGTGCATTGATGCATTGAATTGTCTAGGCATTCACCCCCCCAAGACATATGCAAAAAACCTCCATCTGTTCGATGCAGCCCCCACTCAACTCAACCCCTCGATCGTACTTTTGGAGGAATCAGGAATTCATACCCTCCCCGCTTCCCGGTCTTTGTTAGTGGTAATTTTCGCCCTTCTCGTCCTTCTAAACTCTTCTGGAAAAGATGAAACTGCCCCGGCCGAAACATTCATGCCCTTTCTACTGATTTGGTATTGACTTTACATATATTCTACCTGTACTGTATTACTCTCCAGAAAGCATCGTCCCTGCAGCTTTCCTCCCGAACGCTGGTCTCCTGCGCGATCCCGGCTGCTCAAGTCCGTTTGGCCAGAAAAACTTCCTGGGAAAAAATCAAAAGGGAAAAAAATATTATTTACTAAGGGATGTTGAATGGAGTTTGATTCTACTGCTCCTTTTCCATTTTCTTTGGCTAGGAAGCCTTCAATTGCGAGATCGCTCGTTTTCCTCTGTCATCCCTTTCGTTTCGTCTCCGCGTGGGAGGATATGGGGACATAAGAGACCTCTTCTCATTCTCTGTTGGCGTCTTTTGATTGATTCCTTTTTTCTTCTTCTTCTGGACTCTCTCTCTCTCCATCGCTCTCTGTGTTCAACCTCCCCCTCGGCCATAAATGAGAGATCAATTGGTTTGAATCGCGTATCACGACACTGACGACTCACGTTCGCTCTGGTTCTTTTTCCGGGGACTTAATGTGGGAGGCTTTCTTTGTTTTTTTGCAATCCTTCTTTCACGTTCTATTTCTTTTCTTCTCGGAGGGAAAGGGAAGTCGGCTGTAATCCGCTTCCATGGTCTGGATATGTCGAATTTATCTGATAGGCCATGGACCGAAGAGGACAAGGTATGGCGATCCTGTGGCAACCGAGTGTGAATTTGATGCTGATCAAGACCAGTACACGCTGCTTACCGAGATCCTCAAGAAAGCTGGATTTCCCTCTAGTTATCTAGTCCGCATGATCAAAGACTATGGGATCACTCCCAATTGGGAGCATATTCCTCTCCCACAAGGTACTATCGTCCAATTGCCGGCTAAAGAAGAAAAGAAGAAGAAAAAGAACCAAAGCTTCGCAGATCAATAACAACATGGCGCTAACACATCCGATCAAGGCCGTTCACTCAGCTCGTGCAAAACAGCCTATCACAATATGGTCCAGCAACCTACGCATCCTCCAACACATCCAGTGGCTCCGTCTCCATTTCCGCCGCGATTCGATATGACCGGTCCGCCAGCCCCAATGGACCCCAGCACTCTACGTAAGCGGCCGTTATGCCCGTCCGACAAACCATTACCTCGCGCCATTCAGCCTCGGCCACCCGCAAGCACCGCCTCGTATAGCAGCGAAAGCGGCGCATCAGCTCAGCTCTCCCCGAGACTGGATCCCGGCACCGGCGAACCACCCCGCAAACGAGGACGCCCAAGCAAAGCAGAGACGGAGCGGCGCAAGCTCTTGGCCGAGGCTCGTGGGGAGACTTATCCTGCACCCCGACGGTCAGGGTCTGGCAGACGCAAGATTCCTCCTTCACCGACCAGTCCCGCGCCAGGCCCATCGATGACATCGTTCCCACAGGCGCCTCAAGCCTTCCATGGACCCAGACCAGGTTCAGTGGTCTACGACACGTCATCTATGCGCTCAGCGATTCCGCCCCCAGGTCCTGCTCCCGCTCCAACATCAAATGATGAGCGTCGCGATATGCCACAACGCATGAGCGCCAATTTGCGCGAGTTACCGCGACCAACAGAGATGGGCCATCCCCTCCCTTCGCCACATACGTTGCAATTAGGGCCCCCAGATGCCTTTCCCCGGCTCAGCAACCCAGCAGAACGACCCTACGGCTTTCCGCCTGCAGATCGGTTCTCCCCGCCGGACAGTGGTCGCCGCGACTCGGTTAATAGTCGACCTGACCAGCCACCAGGGCCATACCCAGAACGAATGAGCTCGGCACCAGCCGAGAAACTTCCACGATGACAGTTGATTTCAGATTTCCTTTCTTCTCAGTTGCTGTCGCCATTTTCATTCTTATTTCCGATCTCATTTTCGATTACAATTTCGACTTCGATTTCAGCCTTTGCTTTTTGCGGCCCAAGCGCCATGATTGAATGATCAAGCCAATGATGAACAATAGACAGCGTTTCGTGTTGTGTTTATTGTATGCGGTTTTTTGTCCAAGCTCTTCAAGCGACCTCTTTTACACCTCGACACTCTCACTTCTCCCCGGCTCCACGCATAAACAGCCATCCATTCCATTGCCTGCACGTCTATCTGTCCAAGGTACTCTGTACCTGAGTTAGATGGGCAGGACGGATAATGCGGTTCCTTTCTTCTTTCTTTGTGGCGGTGACCTTCATAAACCCCTTGACATGTTCACGAGTTCCCCATGTTCGATGAAGATAACGGTCTTGATATTCTTGATGTTCGATGATCCCCATGATTGAATGTTCGCACCCCTGCATTGCGCTTCAATCCAAGCAAGCGAGTTCCCCATCTGTTCTCCTTTCACTCCTGCTTCCACTCGTCTCCTAGGCAGATTCACAGTCTATGGTGAAGCCTACTGCAAACCCCACGATGCAAGACAAGTCGTTTACGCCAATTGATGCTCTCAACGCCTGGCATCTTTCTTATTTCGCTTCTACACTTGCTACTTTTGCTTTTTGACTTCCTCTTCATTTCCCAGCCCAGCCAAATTTCTAGCGTGCTATATGCGTTTCATGATGCTCCTGCATGGCCATGGCGGGCTTTTGAGCTTTTGGATTCTCTTCTCGAGGCTGACATGTAATATAATCTACACTTCTGATTTATTTGATGTTCTTGTTCTATTCGATTTTGGGTTTGGGTTTGGCTTTGGCCATATTGATTCTCGTCTAATTGACTCTCTCATGATGTCCCACGTTCCTCACGTTCCTTGCTATGACAATGTGCTATGACAATGTAATATCTGAGTACTCGATCACAAGTACGGAGTAAACTGTTTCGGCCATTACTTATTTGAAAGGAAGTATGTGTATACACAAAGCGGATGAATCTCGATTTCCAAGACCTAAGCCCCGATGCCAAACTAACCAAAACGAGAAAATGATATGCAGATGCGAGTACACCATAAAAATCAGAATGCGTGGGCTAAGAACAAGTACTAGAAAACTAGCTATTCCCTCCAATGACTTATGCACAGATCATATCCTGCAATACGAATAGCACAGAGCCCATCATTCTACATCAGGCTTACGAACCCGATTAAGAAGCCGCGCCAAATGAGCCTTGGAATCCCCGCTCATCTCTGTAGAAGACACGCCCGTCGCCTCGAAAGAAGACTGTTCAGGCTCAGGTATAGATTGAGATGAGACTGACAGACGTTTCGGAGGATGAGGACTGTGTTCCTGGTGAGAACCATAATGATTATCGATGATCGCATCACCAACACCACCACCCTGCACCTCTGACCTCTCAACCTGCTCCTTTTGCTGCATAATCTGTGAACGTAGAGCGCTAACAGCAGAGCCGAAGGACGAGTTTGCTCTCGATGGAGAGGTGAATCGCTGCCCGATCTGCAGATCCAATGCATTCTCCTGGGCCAGTCTCATCACTTCGTCGCTGTTTTTCTCAATGCGGCGAGTCAGGTATACCTTCGGCCCAGTCTCGCGGTCTTTCAGGCTGCGCTTGATACGATCGAGTTCCATTCTGTAGGCCGTCTCGTAGATATTGAAATCTGCAGCGCCGGGTGACTCACTGACGATCTGGACTGGCTCATCGTCTTCCATGGGCTCAGTATCTAGTGTGGTTTCTGGTCCAAACATGGACGTCGGCTCGTCACTGATTTCCAGATTGCCGGATTCGTGGTGCGAAGAGCCGGTGTAGGTGGACGGTCCAATGAAGAGATAAGGGAACTCCTCTTCCAGAGGATCGCGGGCATGGCCTCTAGTCCCCTCCAGGCTGCGCTTGGTAGCAGCAGAACTTGTGCGTGAGAGGGGAACATGAGGCGATCCAGATTGGGAGAGGGGACGAGCTTCGCGGCTATTGTCCAACGAAGACCTACCGCACCGGATGTAGCCGAGATCTTTCCGCTCTTCGAATACACCGCTGGGCATTCTGCTGCCGCTTGGGCTGTGCTCCGGTTGGGATGAAAAGCTGGCGGAGTCGCTTGACCCGTGAATTCCGGGTCTGTTTCGCAATCCGCCGAAAGGACGCCGACCGAAGGCCTTGCGCACGCCTGCACGTAGACCATGGGCGTCGTTTTCCTGAAGATCTATTCCCACTGTTGGGAAGGGCTCATCTGGGTCCATTTCCATTGGTGGCTCGACGAAGTGGCTCTCATCATCCCCGCCAAGAATGCTGCCACCGAGAATGCTTTGCATTGGTGTCTCTGATTTGCTGGAATTTCTCAGTCTCTTGAACTTCTTGGCGGCTCTCATCTGTGGGTTTTATTAGCCAGTATATTGTTACGGTGGGAAAGTCACATACCACAGTCATGAGATGTCCCATGTTTCGCGTGATGGCCGAGTTCATCTCCTCCTCTGTCGGCGGCTCAATTATCTGCGCCGTATTCTCTTCAAATGAAAGCAGAGGATCCGTGCCATTTCTTGTTACCCACGGGTGTTCCTATTTCTGATTAGCATTGGCGGAGAGTGCGACTGTGATGGACTTACTCGCAAGCCAAACATATCAATTCGTTTCTCGGGATCTTTCTCGAGAAGCCGTCCCATCAGATCTTTGAATGCCTCATCGAGCTCATTCTCGCAGACCACTGGATCTTCCCTGATACTATCGTACAACTCAAAGATACTTTGCTTCTCAAAAGGCAGCTTCCCATACCGCAGGCAATATAAAGTCACCCCCATTGACCAAATATCCGTTGCTTTGCCAGATACATCGCCGTGTTTGACAACGCACAGCTCTGGCGGGAGGAAGGCTGGTGAGCCAGCCGATTTAGCAGTGAACATGCTTGAATTCTTCTCGAACATCTCGGAAACTCCAAAGTCCACGACTTTGAGCACATCATCGTTGGTCACTAGACAATTGTCGGGTTTTATGTCTCGATGGACAATCCCTTGTGCATGCAGATACTCGATCCCCAAGATCAGATCGCGGAACCAACATCGACATTGTTCGTCATCATAGGGATCTGCTCTCTCCTCCAGGCCGACTTTCATGACCACGCCTTTTTTGCACATTTCCATGACCATATACAATGAATCCTCTGTCGGATCATCCAAAACTTCGATCAATGACACGAGATTGCTATGGTTCAATTTCTTCATGATGGCAATTTCCTCCTGTATCAGATATAGAGGATTCTGTGCAGCCTCTTTATCGTCACTTGAAGGATGCCGATGTAATGGCGAGTTGAAATCTGTTCCTGGTCGTCTGGGGCCTCGCGGCCGTCGTAACAGATGCGACTGTGCACGTTTCCTTAGCCTTGACTTGGAAAATTCTTTAACCGCCTATATTCGCAGACAATTGGACCGACAGTTAGCGTGTTTATCCCCCATGCTGGCAAGGCTTATATCCCGTAGGCCGTGCTCATACAAATTCATTGCCAAACTGGTCCGCAGCCAGGTGAACAGCTCCGAACGATCCACGTCCAATCTCCTGCTTAATCAAATATTGGTTGATGCGGTGTTCTGCAGTGCCATCGTCTTGACTCGTATAATATTCGGAGCGGGCGTCCAGTGTTTCCTAGTCGGCATCAGTTCTCCGAAGCTGTCACAGCGGCAGTGAGAAACCCACCTTCACCGGACGTCTTGCTCGTGGGTTTCGTCTCCGATGCCTCTGAGGACTATCGTAGGATGCAGCGCTATTTCCAAGTTGTGCATCAGCATACTGTTTCAGACACAGCAAGTATCTCCTCTCATTATGAAACCCACCCATCTCTGCCCGCCTGGGGACGTGCATTATTTATACCCTCCAAAGTCTGAGATCGCTCTGCAGAGGAATCCAAAGGAGTTTCCACATTGTCATCCATTGAGATAGCTGTCCACCGGGTACTGGCAGCGAAGATGTGGGGTAAAAGGAAGTAGGAGTGGGGTTTTTGGTAACGTGAGAAGTAGGTTGTCAGCCTTACGAGGGGGTCAACGGTCAGACGCAAACAAATAGAATTGAAAAGATACCGAGCGTATCAAAAGAAATGGCCAGTCAAATCAAAAAGTCCAACAATCTCTTAGGCAGCTCCGTTCCGATATGCTTTATCGATACGGGAACTAGTTTCACCGCCCGTCTGTCAACTCCCCTGAACATCAACCACGCACATCGGTTCAATCATACTACACAATGGTCGTCTACTCATTCTACATCTTTGATCGCCATGGTATGCTGATCAATTGATACACTCGCAACACTTTCGTATACTAACGCTCTTCTAGCGGAATGCATCTACAAGCGCCGTTGGCTTCCACGCCCGACCTCGACCGTGGGGAAGTCCCGGTCTGACACCGTCTCCGGCGCACCGCCAGCGAATCTCGGCCAGACAGTGCGGTCGACAGACGATGATTCAAAGCTGGTATTTGGCACGGTTTTCTCGCTTCGGAACATGGTGCGCAAGCTAGGGGGCGATGATGACAAGTAAGCCTACCACCCCCGAGGCAAGCCAGACAAGACATGCTCCAAGTCTTCTAGATTTACCCATCAAGCGGATGCTAACCGGAATAGCTTTCTGTCATTCACCACCAGCCAGTACAAGCTTCACTACTACGAGACGCCGACGAATACCAAGTTCGTTATGTTGACGGATCTCAAGAGTCCCAGCATGCGCATCGCCTTGCAGCAGATTTATATCAACCTTTTTGTGGAATACGGTTCGTGTGGCCCATTCATCTCGTTCGATATAGCATGGAGCATGGCTGACCTTGTGTCTAGTGGTCAAAAACCCCCTTTCTCCAGCCGAGCATCCTGGTGGTGTGGGCGTCAACAACGAGTTATTCGAGGAATCATTGGAGCAGTTTGTGGTACGTGCATTTTAGTTCTGGCTTGCTTCCCTAGTTGTTGACTTATATTCTGATATGGTAGCAGACCCGAGTACTTTCATGATGTCAAACTGGGCATGCCTCGCGGCATCGTGAGGTTGTTTCGCGCCAACAAGTCCACGGAATGGAAGAAATTGCTTGTCTCGCTGGGACCAATCGAGGCCAGCATATACTACTCAAATATCTGAAAGGCATGATAGTGGCATAGCTGCAATCGAGTGCACACCGCAACGGTCTGGCCCTTTATCACACGCTGTATTATGGCTACCTGCAGCAACGGCACAGTTGGCAGAGACGAGAGGCTCGAACAGGATACGGTACACAAGCCAAGCACGACGGGGATAACCATACCGCCTTTTCACGTGGCTGCCGCTCAATGAGATGTGGTTCCTCCCCCACGTGCCATTCCCGGCGTCTCTACGTTGTACGCCGAGAGACGACGGCGCAGCGTCTCCCGGGGGCGCGGCCCACGACATCTTGCTTGTTTATTGTATGCTATTATCAAGAACACAGACCGCAGTCGTCTTTTACTGGGTGTTGGATGTCTGTCAATGAAGCCAGTCCGAAGGGAAAGAGTCGGGAGGATGAATACCACTGATAACGCAATATTCTCATCAAATATCTCACTCTGAGTGCGATACCAAGCTCCTGGTCTGGATATGTCTGCCTTATATAGCCCAGGGTACACTTAGTACAAAAATAAGACCTCAGATGTCGCAGCCACCAACGGACGAGACCAGACTAGACCCTAGGCTGGAACGCCTATACTCTTAATTCGAGCTGCTACAGCCAAGCTGCCCGCCAAGGACCCATGAGCCTTCCGCACCGGGCCAGTGTGGCTCGTGTCTCTGCTTCTGTATGGAGGCAATGACCCGACGAGCCGATAGGTGTAGACTCGAGAATGCAGTACTTCAAAGGGAATGAGAAGCCAATGGCTGGGTCGTGCCCGCAATTGATAGCTACGTCAGACGAAGGTGCAATAAAGGCAAAACAAAATGCATCCCCGAGGCAATATTGCCGACCTCGAGAACAAGATACCCACAGACAGCTCTCAGCTCAGATAATCTCCATCCTGCAGGACTTGGCTTAAGCACAGACACACCTCATGCGCTGGTACATGTGGCACACCGAGCTCCAATAAATCCAGATTATGCGACAGCTTATCTTAAGCTCGGACCAAAACATTTGAAAGGAGAGATACGCAGTAGACCAGCGGATGCAAAGTGAAGCCCACCAATCCCACTTCGGGTCTGTGGTATCCCAGCAGTTGCAACCGCAAACTGGCGGTCAAACATGCAGCTGCATCGGAATTTGAGTTGCGGCCGGTGTTGGTTAGTTGGTGGCTCTGAGAGGTGATTTATACCTAGACGGGACCCCGGTAGATGAGCCCGGGGACGCGATAGGTACAATCATATAGCCAATGATCAGATGTCTATATACAATGTACGATGTACCTACTGTTTAAAGTTACCAAATTTCGGGGTCTTGACCACGATGCGAGGATGGACCTCATACATAAAGGAGATGCCTCCTTTCCAGACCCTCGGGTCAGAAAAGAGCGAATAAAGCACTCCTTTGGTACTAAAGCCGCATCGAGCTCTGCGTCGGTAAACAATGGGACATCACGGGATATTGGCAAAAGAGAATGCATGCGTGATTCGATCGCGTCCGTGTAGCGGTCCATTGCAGCAACCGTACTATCAATCTGAGCAGCGCACTATGGGTGCCAACACCACAATCCAATTTGATGTCGCGAAGTCGCTTCTTCATTAGACAAGTTTCTCTCATTCCGTGGATCGGCCGTGATTTTTCCCATTCGGAGCATATGGATCCATAGGGTGAGGATCGTTTCTAGAGGAAACCACATATCCCAATGTTCAGCAACTGGCTCGATACTTTCTGTATTCTCAATTGTCAATGGGAACGAGGCACGATGGTTCAGCTGGTCGTAGACAACACCAAGACAGTGGGAGCCTAGATAGGGAGATGTGTCGTAAATGACCACCACCCGTTCTTTATCCTCGAAATCGTTGTCTTCGAGGGGGAACGACTCGTCGGCGAGTTTCATTCGAAGCCTGCTCACCCAGTAGAAGAATCCCGGCGTCGGATCATAGATTGAATCAGGGAATGAGTTCAATGATGGGTCAAGCCGAGCGCGAATAACTTCAATATTTTCGTTCGGCTGGTTGAAGAACCATGACCCGCTGGCTAGGGCGTCGAGGTTAGGCGTATTTGTTCCGTTGCGGGCCATGTAGGCATATGCGACCAAGTAGTTGTGCAATCTAGCGCAGCGCTGGAAATCGAGTGTATCTTCATCGCGCGCTGGATTCTCATCTGAAACAAGAGCATCTACGATGCCAAGGATATGTTCTGGCGTGGTGTTCATGATGAGGGTTGAGGGTTGAGGCCCTCAGGACTCTCAGGGGGCAGTTGAGCGGCGCGTGCCTCTGAGGCGAGAGTACGTGTGCGGAATGATCATCATCATATGATGGTGTCGAGGAGGCCATTTCTGGTCCCTTTGACGCCAGAACCGGTGGCCACAGCACAAACGCCTTTGTTTAGAAATACTCCGTAGGAGTGTGATTGGAGTGGGGAGTGGGGTGAAGATGATGAAGAGGGGTAGGCGATTAAAGTGAGTTGTATGACTGAATATTACCTATGATATTGATATTGAGATGGGATAAATGTAGAAGTACTCCGTACCGGCGTACATGTTCTTGATGTAGCTGCATACAGCATCGATAGAAAAGGCTTAGCAGGGTTGCAAGACAAGCAAGACAAGGTACACAGTGGCTTTGTACCGGGAAATTAGCTAATTTAGGATGTGGTGGTTCCTCCGTCCTGACTGTGATTGGCGAGGGAAAATCCCTCGTAGGTTCAAGGTTTAGTTAAAGCTTGTGTGTTTTGCTTTACATGTGAAATGTAGTTTGCTTCCTACATACAACATACATGCTACTTCGTACATGCTAAGCTGCTAAAACCTATTGAGTCTGTTTTGCCGAGGTCAGACGGGCTTATTCGGAAACTGACTGTAATCTGGGGTAAGATGAGCATTGAAAGAGAAATATTGTGTCGTGCCATTCTGTACTCCGTATTTCGTATTAGCTCGGAACTAAAGCCCCGGTTGGAAGCGAAGCTCCTGTTAGTCTGAAAATCCTCGATGCTACTCCACTACTCCCGAAAACATCTCCTTTCAATGGAACCGAAGGGGCAAGAGATAATGAATATCCTATACCCTAGTTATGTGGTGAAGCCCGTATGGTTTAGACATAAGGGCTGGCTCCTCCTCTATTGATACTTTTCGTCCTCTTGCGACAACATCAGAACTGCAATCTATAAACGCAGTCATCCGTCAAACCACGCTAAAAAAGAAAGTTACCCTTAGTCGATGGTTGTATTGTACATCGTATACATCCGGCGGGTGACTCCATCTGAGACGGTGAGACCCCACGTTCTCTCAGACTCTCCACGACCCCAATAGAGAGATGTGCATGATTGACAGTCGATTTACGTAGTAAAGATCGACCCGGCAGTGAGTGGCGGCACTGGCGGAGATTAATGTAGAGATCAGGAGCGTTTACAGCATATATGATTCGATACGAGTTGAACAGGTAGGACTAAGGAGCACGAGTATGTATATGGGGAAATATGACTATTGGTCAAAAGGACATTTAGGATTTGTAAAGAGGACAGTGTCCTAGCAAGGAAAGGTTCATTCCCCGGATTATGAATGACAGCTATGGCTTGTGGCTATGTATGATGATCTTCTATCTCATCTCATGCCTTTTCTAACTGCGTATGTTCCACAGTTGATGGATAATGACCGTCCCCCACCTACCTGACTGAGTCATGAGGCATGTCTAATGCCTGTGTATGACTTACATAGTAGAGATCAACAAATGCTTCCATAACGGATGAAGGGATAACAGTGAAAGGTACCCCTCAACTTCAAGCCTCGGCGTATGTGATACCGCCACACGGCGCACCCAGTTGGCTGGTGCGGGGCCTGATCGAATCATGGCCGAGCTTTAATCGTGCAGATTGCACAGCCTCCATGGGATGTGGTGGCGGAACTATCAAAGCCCATTTCCCCCTCAGTGATTTGATTTTCTCTATAAATACTATCTAACTATATGTAGCAACATGAGTTCATATTGCATGTTGTATATGAAGACGTCACATCGCTAACGTCATGGTAAACCCCGAATTAAGCTGGTGGAATTGCTTAATCATTACGGCACTGGGAGAGGACCCAGTTCCAGGCTTTCCGAAGGAGAAGAAAAAAAAAGGGAAAAAGATAAAAACGTGTGATTACCCGATTGCTTTCAATGTTTCATTACCAGATTTTAAATCTCTCACCATAGAACCTCGGACCAAATCCTTTTTGTTCTCTAGCTGCGCCACTTCTGCTTAAGAATGTGTGCGAGCTAAAACCACTAGTTAGTTAGGGCCTAGGCTATTTTCTCTCCATTAATAATACTTCATAAGCACTCCGTATACAATAGAAGCATCGAGTGTGTCCTACATCCATATAGTAGTACAAACCTACACTTTAACGGTCTCACAGCCCCGGAATCACCGTATGCAGTATGTAGCCCTATAGGTCAGGACCAAAATCACGTAGAATCGCTGCAGTGTATGAACATTAATAATCTTTAAAAGGTAACCCGTACCGTTACAATTCCCACATTTTTGCTTTCCAGTACCTTGAAATGGAGTATTTCTTTGATTTCCCCCTTTTTCCTTGGATTAAGCTGGGTAATATTACCACATCTGCTCTGTAATCCCCGTACACAGAAGATTTCCCCCCGCCCCGGGCGGTATTTCAGGTTTGAGCATCGCCAAATTAATCCCACTTACTTCCCACCTGATTTCTCTTCCTTCTAATATTCTTTGCTCTCCTCCCTTTAACGCTTGTCTATATACCCCAGGGTCCTCTTTTGCTACAGGACTTCATCTTTGGTGTGCGGAATTTTCATATATTCGCTTCGTCTTTGTGCCGAAGTCGCTGTCGTCACCTTTCGTTCTAGTTGCCTCAGGCCGATAATTGCAGGCCACCAACATTTTGTTTTTTCTTTCCTCTTTGCCCGTCTTACCTCGTTCTTCGTTCACATCTCTGATCCATACTATTCATAATAATTTGCCTTGCGACAGCTTCCTTTGAGCTATAGACGCTGTCGCTAAACACTGGGGACGGAGACTTTGCGTTCCACCCCTCATTCTTCCAATCTTCACTTGTCGATCCACCGCACATGACTCCACCTTCCCATTCACCTGTGCCATCCGCAGTCTCGTCCGCCGCAACTTCACAACACTCATATGACCCTCCGGATGGAGATGCTTCGGTAACCCGCGCCTTAGGGGGCATGAATCTGGCCGCCCAGGCAAACGGGGACCACCTACCTCCTCCGGCGCTTTCTCCTGCCGCAAAACCCAACAAAGCTACAATGGCTTCTCGACTCACACGCATGTTCTCCAGTGCCGGAAAATCCACACCGAGAGAAAACGCCGACGTTCCCCGTGATTTCTCAGATAGTAGCTTGGAAAGCATCCAGCCTATGAACGGAAAAAACTCAAAACCTTCTTCTCGACCCGCCTCCAGACCACCTTCTAGACCTCCTTCACGGGGAGCCAGCTCCCGAACACCGTCAAGAAACCCTTCGTTAAAAAATGAACCTGTGGAAAAGCCAGATAAGAAGAAGATGGAGGACAAAAAGGGCAAAGACGGAGCCGCTCTGGCTCACAAGCGATTTGAGGTGTTATCAGAAGAGCTTGGCAATCACTCACATCATCTGCGAAGCGCAAGGCGGCAAGAAAAGCTCACCGATCTGCTGCGTGATATGATAGGTGGCCGGAAAAAGGACGACCAGGCAGATGAGCAGCAGCTATCGTTGATGTCGACCTGGATTGATCAGTTCAAGACGGAGCGTGATAAGCTGGCTGCTGATAAGAAGGGTGGTCCTAATGCTACTGCTTCGTTGGTGGACAAGTACGGCAAGTGCCAGGAGATTGTGGGCCGTGGTGCGTTCGGTATCGTTCGAATCTCGCACAAGGTCGATCCTCAAGACTCCAAGTGTGAACAACTGTATGCCGTCAAGGAGTTCCGCCGTCGACCCCAAGAAACGACCAAGAAGTATCAGAAGCGGTTGACTTCAGAATTTTGCATTTCCTCGTCGCTCCGCCACCCGAACGTTATCCACACACTCGACCTACTGCAAGATGCCAAGGGAGATTACTGCGAAGTCATGGAATATTGTGCAGGTGGAGATCTCTATACCTTGGTCCTGGCTGCCGGGAAGCTGGAAGTCGCAGAAGCCGACTGCTTCTTTAAGCAGTTGATGCGGGGTGTCGAGTACATGCACGAGATGGGTGTCGCTCACCGCGATCTCAAGCCCGAGAACTTGCTTTTGACCACCCACGGTGCATTAAAGATCACCGATTTTGGAAACGGCGAATGCTTCCGCATGGCCTGGGAGAAGGAAGCCCATATGACCGCCGGTCTCTGCGGATCAGCTCCTTACATCGCCCCGGAGGAGTATGTTGAGAGGGAATTCGACCCCCGGGCTGTTGATCTCTGGGCGACCGGAGTAATCTACATGGCCATGCGCACCGGACGGCATCTCTGGCGGGTGGCACGCAAGGACGAAGATGAGTTCTACCAGCGGTACCTCGACGGTCGCAAACATGAGGATGGATATGCTCCCATCGAGACGTTACATCGGGTAAGAACTGCTAATGCCCCTGCTGCGGTTGCAGACCAAAGACTCATCAAATCTCAGGCTCGTTGCCGGAACGTGATCTACTCCATCCTCGATCCGAATCCCTCTCGCCGCATCAATGCTTCCCAGGTCCTCAAATCCGAATGGGTGCGCCAAATCAAGCTTTGTAAGGCCGGCGAAGAAGGGTTCTGATTGTTTCAACACAAAATTATATGGTGTCGAGATCATACGCTCGCTCCATAGGGTTTGATGGCATCGGAACTATCTCCCATCTAACATTTGCATCATAGGGTGGTTATCTTATCATCGACCCATTCGAGGCCAGGCTCGCTATTATATGTGCTTCGAATGCTCCTGAACGGGAGGCTCTATTTGAGGGTTTTGTTTTTTTCTTATTGGTTTTGTTTCTTGATGCTCGTTGGGCTCCGGCGCATTTACTGTATCCTCCAGCCTCTTCAGCCTCTGCATTTCTCTAGCTTGTGCTTTTTTTGGATTCCCATGTCTTCAACGTCAATGCAACGAAGAATCATGACCTTTTTCTTATGACCGGTTTTTCCCAAGGTTTTCTCGGAGTTTATATCGCCCGGTCTTTTTTTTTCGCGTTCTGGGGTTATGGCCGATACCTCCATACTGGCGTTGGTGGGCATCTATTTCTGAACATTCTCCTCTTGTACCACTATGACCAGCCCAGCTTTAGCGGGTGGATATGGGCATCCTCGCTTGAGCCATGTGCACTGGATTCTGGGGTCCTCTATCAGACGTCATTGTAGGCAGACTGCTGTCAATAGGAACAGGAGCACGACCAGGACCAGGACCAGGAACCAGAACTCAAATGGGATGTCCCACATGGGAGGTTGTTTGGACTTGTTTTCTATTTTGCATTCTTATTCTCGTTTCGACGTCGAAGTCTGCATATTACAGATGCTTCCTGTACATACGGTTTAGGCATTCTGAATTATGTTCCATGTGACTCGCGAGTCGCCTGTGCTTTCACGTCGCAGCCCGACAAATTACTCATTACAGCATACCGGGATATTCCTTCTCTCATTTCGCATGCATCCCGACTCATCCTCTAGCTTAATAGTTCACGGGCCCCGAGGTATGACATCAACCCGAAGATCAGCGCCCTCAAAACCCAAGATCTACAAGTGTGAGATCGTGGGGCAGGTCGCAGAACCTCGATTAGGATATCTCCCGACACATCCGAATCAGTGATATCATTTGATCAGGCTAATACTTCTGATCACAGATCGTCCTCCATCTAAGAAGAAAATACAAAAGCACCACTGATGCAATCAGGTGTGTCATGCCAAGCTAGCAAATCTCAATAATCCCTATATGCACTCTTGGAATCTCCAAATGTTGTACAAGCTATGTCAGGATACAACCGGTAAAAACATATGCCTAGATCGAGCAGATTCTGGAAGTAGAGAATTACCCAACAGCTCTTGGCGGGATACAACTCATCTGCCAAGGTCTGCACATAGCTCAGCTCTTTAGGCATCTGCGTTACAGGCTGGGCAAAGTGGATAAGGAAAATACTTCAAGATGCACATGCCATGCAAGAGAGCGGATGCAAGACCATCCTCCATTATGTTACTGTGAAGGGGGAGTTATGTTGAAAGAATTCTATGCTGATGCCGATGATTATCTCTGAGTTGATTGCTCGCTCAAGGTAGTAACGACTTGGACGCAGTGCCTCTGCTTCCAAGCTATGTGAGGATTGTCTTGAATATGTCTGTACTATCACATGGATACACGCAGTATAGGTAGTCTAGTGTACCTGGTAATACCGTGTATTGCAAAGAGAAAGACCCATACAGCTTATCAGAACCTGAATAATGCAACGGTGAAAACTCCAGCCCTACCAAATGGATAAATGGATGACGTCGCCGCATCCGGAACCGCGTGACATAAGCACATCACTCAGCCACACCAAGCCACGTCCATAAGGCAGACTTCAGGTGGTGACGCTTGGCATCGGACTTTGTACTTGGGACCTCCACGACACTCCTGCAGCTAATCTGGGAGCCTCTATCTATTCCTACAGTGCTCATATCTGGTCTTCCTTCGTGAACGCACTCACGTACCGCTTGTACAACCTGCAACCCTCAGCCGATCACCATCTCCGGATCCTCCCAACCACACCGCCACCATGTCTTGGGCAGGTACGCCTCTTCCCACCAACCCTCGGACTCATGATCCGGTGTTTGTGTGGACGTATCTAACTGGAAGGATGAATAGGGTTTAAGAAGAATGTCAACCGTGCGACGACGCAGGTGATGATGAAGACGGGTAAGTGTGTCGAATCCTACCCCGCAATGGATCGAGAGGGCGATCGGATTAGATCCCGGATCAACCATGCGCTCTGCGCTACATCTTCGTTACGATGTATGGATATGGAACAACTGCTGACTCGGTGATTGGTTAGGACATGTCGAGAGGACAAATGATCGCGACTATGAGATCGAGGAACGGTATGGTTGTTGTGTGCTAAACGGATATACCGGGGCTGAGGTTAACGGAGCTGAAACAGGCGGTATCGGACCATGGAGACTGCAGCGAACCGGTTGCAGAAGGAGGCAAAGGGATATCTGGATTCACTTCGAGGTGGGTGACTTGTTGCCTTGTGGATCGTCGGTGTTGACAGTTCGGCTGATTATTCCCAGCCATGACGGCCTCACAAATGCGCATTGCGGAGACAATCGATGCCTTCTATGGCGACGCGGGAACAAGAGATGGCGTGAGCCGGAGTTACAAGCAGGCGGTCGAGGATCTTGATGCCGAGACAATTAAGGCTTTGGACGGGCCATACCGGTAGGAAAACCTTACTTTGTTGGCAAGTACACGCAGAGTATCGCTGACAAAAGCCACAGTACCACTGTCCTCGATCCCATCACTCGATTCTGCGCCTACTTCCCGGACGTGAACGAATGCATCAAAAAACGCAACCACAAACTGCTAGACTACGACGCCATGCGCGCCAAGGTCAAGAAGCTAGCTGAGAAGCCCGACAAGGACGTTACCAAGCTGCCACGCACAGAGCGGGAAGCCGAGATGGCCAAACAGGCTTACGAGCAGCTGAACGAGCAGCTCTTCACCGAACTACCCCAGCTTATCGACCTGCGCGTGCCGTATCTGGACCCCAGTTTCGAAGCCCTTGTCAAAATCCAGCTGCGCTTCTGCGCAGAGGCGTACTCGCGCATGGCGCAGGTACAGCAGTACCTTGACGCGGAGACTCGTGACCAATATGCCAAGGGTGATCTGGATAACCGGGTTGAGGAGGTGTTGCAAGAGATTCGGGATTTGAGCATAGCTGGAACCGTTTGAGCTGCTCTTCTCCTGACTTTTCTATTAGCATAATGTGGACTGTTCCTTTGCTGCGCGGAAACACGAGAAGCAGGCGCCTCCTCGCTTTGGTTCTTTTTCTGCTCTCGTTGATAAACTGCGGCAGTCCTTTTCTTTTCGCAGGCGTTTTTCGTGTATATGGTTAATACATCCACAAGCCGAGTTTACATTTATCTTCATCAACTCCATGCCCTCACAAGAAGCAGTCATCCCGTCTATAACTGCGTCACATCCTCGGGTGATCGACGCCTGTACTCGAACAGCTTCTATAATACACATGTAATCTATAGTATACAAGCCCCAAAGACCGAAATCAAACCTTCCCAGCAGGTCTGTACAGCTCATCTCTAATGACATCCACAACCGACCCCGCCATGGCACGATAGCTCTCTATCTCCGCCTCCGTAGCATTCTTCAGCACATAATCCGAAACAGCATTCTTCTCCCTCGACGTAGGCCTTCCAATCCCAATCCCGACACGCAGTATCGACAGATCCCCCAAGACCCCTGGACCCGCGTCCCTCCCCGCATTCCCGGTATTCGCATTGAACCGCGGAGGATACAACTTCTTCCCCCGCAGCGTCTCACAAATACTAATCAACCCACGATGCCCGCGCAAACTCGCCTTCTCCGGCCCACCCGCCTTAACACGTAGCGTGCCCCGCTGATTCTCCAGTTCATCGTGTAGAATAATGAGAGTCGTGGGCAGTCCTTTTGAGAGCTGTGCAAAATCCCCATCCTGTTCCGGATTCTTTTGCGCAGAAAGAGCCGCAATCCGCTCAAGACGGGAGTGACGCTCTTTCGCGAAGTCTTCTAGTCTGCGCACGAGTTTCGGTCCGGACTCGTTCATCCAGGTTGTGCTGTGCCAGGTTTCGTGGTAGAGGCCTGTGTTTGGAAGGTGTTTTTGGAGGAGGGGGATTACGGCGTCGAGGAGGAGGTGGCCTGCGCTGTGGCGGGTTTTGTGGTAGGGGGATTTGTTGCCTATTGATGCTATGAAGAGGAGGCGCCGGGGGAGGGGGTCCATTTTGGAATGGAGGAGGGAAAGAGGAGAGGAGAGGGTGGTTGGTTGATGTATTTTATGTAGACAGTACTGTCGCAAATTCGAGGTTGCGGGTTTGGCTCAGGTACGGAGATCGAGATCGAAGATCGTCTCGTGACTTAGTTTGTCGGAGATAGTCGCTTATCTCCGGATATATTTCCATCTCTGATGGAGAGATTGAGAGTATCGACTTACAAGGAGCTAGACCGCTAATTATATACAGAAACCATTGTGCTACCGTCTGTGCTATATATTGTTATTCGAGCACCTAGTATTCTACTCCTTCCCAACCCCGCGAAATTCCTTGCAAGTCATTGCCAAAGCTGCCCAATAGGGAAGTCCTATTCGCCTCGAGTCTTGAGTAGGGGGAGTTTGTAGTTGCTGAGGGTGAAGGATGCTGGGATGAAGTCACCTTGTGCATTGCTACCTGATGTGTCTTCATGCTTCACTTTGCGTAGCATGTTCGCCCAAGTTGTCTATGATGTACTTTTGAAGCCATTCGTGTATGGTCTATGTGATGACGGAGGCTAGGAAAATGTATTCAATTCCCTTTACAAAAAACAACAAGACTAAGAGAAAAGAAAAGAGAAGAAGAGAGGAGAAAAAGGAGTAAAGAACAACACAGCCGAATTCCTCCTATCACGCGGCAAGTCCTTCCCTCATAGTTCTACTGTGTAGTTCCATGTGCTCTCGTCACATCACCCCCCTCCCAGACACGTCCGTCCCGCTGAACTGGTTTATTATCGTCGACACGATCCTCTGGATACACATCGTCCAGCGCGCACTGAATCCAACGCGTAAGTCTTACCGGGAGTCTGGGCCCCCTGGCTTCTCTGGGTACCTCTGGGGACCGTCGCGGAAGTTGGCCGCCGCGTACCACCTTCTATCTCCATCGTCCTAAATAAAGTTCGTAGCCTTCCATTCCACACGGTACTGCAGTGTCGGAAGTCGCAAACCGGCATTCAAGATGCACTTGACTTCCCATTTGCGACATTCGAGACTACAATACCAGGTGGAATGGAGGGGCTACGAACTTGCGAGGATGGAGTAGAAGGTGGTACGTACCCGGCGGCCAACTTCCGCAACGCTCCACAGAAGATCCAAGAATTCCACTGGAGGTACCCAGAGAAGCCAGGGCCTCCGGCAAGACTTAGGCATTGGATTCAGTGCGCGCTGGACGACAAATACCCAGAGAACCATGACGAGGATAATAAACCAGTTCAACGGGACTGAACGTGCCTGGGAGGGGGGATGTCCGATGTGACGAGAGCAGGAGGAAGTTAGGAACTTATGTAGTTTACCTCAGTATCTCAGCCGTCCCCCTTTCAAAAGGCGGTGGACATGGCTATCCACCGCCTGCTACTTCCAGCGCTGCTGACTCAGGCCTTTTAGGGGGACTGCCGCAAGCAATCCGATTAGGTTTAGCGCGCCAAAAATCCGGCAGAATTTTTGGATCATGTGATGATGATTATAGTCTGAGACACTGAGGTAATAACTATGTAGTAGGATTATCATAATGGTAGGATTATCATAGTGAGTCATAGACTTATCACGTGATAACGAGAGGACTTTCGGAATTCGGAGAAGTCAAGCTGTTTACCTTGGGAACCAACCTCTACATTAACATTGGTTCAAAGCAATCACCTTCCGATATAAGATGGGTCTTGTTGTAATGTGATGGCGAAGGCTATGAAAGTGTATTCGATTCCTTTTGGTGTCTTGCACTTGTCTCTTCTGTGGGTCGTTTCATAGTCTGAATCGGAATGGGTCTCGTCATCTGACAAGCAATCTCTTCCTGCTGCCCTGCGTACCTTTATGTTCTTCATCCCGTCCAGTTTCTGGCCCACACGAGTTGGAGGTTCTTACAATCGATGGTGGTGCCTCTGTCTGCGCACCAGAGTCTTCCAAGTATCATGTCATGCCGACCCGTGTCGGCAATCAACATGGGAAGGTCGAGCTGTCTTCTGTTGGCCACAATCAGCGGTGCTCGAACACTGTGAGTGATGGGGTTCGCAGGTATCCCCTCAAAAGCACACAAGGGTTGAGGTCGTCGGAGTCGCTTTGTACGGAGTCCATGAGGTGTCACTTTGAGGACTACCCTAATCCACACAAAATCTTAGTCCTCCATCGGGCTTCTTAGCCATTAGAATAGGCGACGCGAAAGGAGCTGAACTTGAAACGATGAATCCTTTCTTCACGTTCTCGTAAATGTAGACTTCGCAGCTTCCAGCTGCTCTAACGACATCTGTCTACAGCCGACGGATCGAATTATGAATCTGTTCATTGAAGAGAAACGACAAGCTTTTGGATATAACTCCCCTAAACCCATGCAAATAAAAACCGGAGATAACACAAAGAGACATTTACAGCTGGAATAGAGTTCTCGTCTTCTCCAATCCACCCTTCCATTCCCACTCCTGTCCACTGGCACGCTGGATACCCTTATCAACACGACGCAGCTTCAATGTGAAGCGAGGTCCCAACTCCTGAAGACCGGTGCGGATACCCTCAGCACCCACCATTTCTTTGCCGTCAGCACCGACGACAGCCTTCTCGGTCTCGCGCTTCTCGCGGAAGACGTAGCGGTGGCGACGGACGAAGATGTAATCACGCTGATTGTGCAGAGTGACGACCTGTCGGCCCTCAAAGTCCGGCTGAGGTGGGAAGAGTGTGCGGAACAAATGCGCAGTCAAAAGACCGAGCGGAGTGCGGAAGTTGTTAAGGATCAGCTCGGGCCAGTGTTCGGTGGCTCGGCCGTGGCCTGGAAGACGCTTTCCTTCGACCCAGTTGCTGATGGTGAAGTGGAAGGTCGGGCCGACTGGCAAGTGCACTATTGTCAGGCCAGAAGGCTTCTTCTGGTCTTCATTCAACACGACGACCGTCGTGAAGTTGCGGTTTGCGGCGAACTTGGAAATCTCACGGATTGAGAATTTGTGCGAGTATCTGTGTGCATTACGTCGGATATACACGCTGTTCGGGAACACGTCGGTAAGGATCTCAGCTTCGTTGTGGAGGGTAGAGTTGAGGCCGGTGGTGATAAGGATTTTCGGGGTGGGTGGAGGCCCTTCGGTGAAGAGTGTAGGGAATTTGGCAGCTAATGCTTCAGGAGCAAGGCTCAGGTTTGTGCTGCGTGTTGACTGGGTAGGACTTGTGGCACGCTCTGTCGCAGTTGGCAAGGATTTCTTCCGGCCGCGGCTGTCATCTTTCTTTTCCTCCTTGTCTTCATCTTCGTCCTCACTGACGTCTGACTCGAGCATACTGTCGACGGACTCATTATCTGACTCTGGGGCATCACTGTCATCCTCGCCCTCTTCCAACGGTCGGTTGAGCTCGTCTTCCTCTTCTTTCTTGGCACGCTTGATGCGCTCAACGTCAACGCTCAATCCCAGCCCAGTCTCTTCGGCGTCGTTATCGGGGTTGTTCCAGGTACGTTTGCGCTCGAGGGTCAGAGGAATATTGCGGCTAAGTCGTTCTTCTCGTAATTTGGGGTTCTTGGCTTCTTCTTTCTTGAAAGCATAGCGCTCCTCTCGGCGCGCAGCATCTTTGGCTCTCTTGCGCTTGACGTGGTTCATCTTCCGGCGCAGTTTGTTGCCGGTCTTCATGTCATCCATGACGCCTGGAGGCGGTCCTGATCGGCCTTTGACACCCATTTTTGTAAGCTGGAAGGGTACAACGCTGCTGTTGAAGGTCAATAGAAAATGTAAAGATCGCCGAGAAATAAATTATCTCGGACAATCATTTCCCCGGAGCGACAATCTGCGATTCGACCTTGTGATTCGGAGGCCTCCTTTTTAAGAAGGGGAATAAATAAAAAATTGGAAATATACCGACCCAATTGTACTCTCTCTTTCGTTCTATACCCCCTTGTCCTTTATTCTCTCCGTGGTGTCTGAGGGGCTGCGTGGTGGATGACTCAATTGCCGCGCCTGCGATTCCCCCCCCCCGCTCTTTTCTTTCCCCTCCGTCTTTCTTTCGGACTCAGTTTAGGACCTACACCCCTCCCCCGAAGCCCTCGAAACGAACCGCCAAGATGGCCACCGTCAACACAAAGACCGGCCAGTCCGTCGACCGGGCGGTACTGGACTCCATGCTCCGCCGTCGCATGTTCTACACCCCCTCCTTCGAAATTTATGGTGGCGTGTCTGGCCTGTACGATTATGGCCCACCAGGAACCGCTCTGATCGCCAACATGACCGATCTGTGGCGCAAGCACTTCGTGCTGGAGGAGGACATGCTCGAGGTCGACACTACCATGTTGACTCCCCACGAGATTCTCAAGACCAGTGGGCACGTGGACAAGTTCGCCGATTGGATGTGCAAGGACCCCAAGACTGGCGAGATCTTCCGTGCTGACCACTTGGTCGAAGAGGTGCTCGAGGCCCGTCTCAAGGGAGACAAGGAAGCACGAGGCCAGAAGGTTGCGGTGGATGAGGAGAAAGAGGCCAAGAAGAAGAGAAAGGCCAAGGGCACCGAGGCCAAGAAGCTGGACGATGCTCTGGTCAAGGAGTACGAGGAGACCCTTGCGCAGATTGACAACTACGGCGGTCCGGAGTTGGAGGCGCTCATCAAGAAGCACGACATCCGCAACCCCGTCACCGGCGGCGAGGTGCTGCCTCCTGTTTCCTTCAACCTCATGTTCCAGACCTCTATCGGCCCTAGCGCCAACATGCCCGGCTACCTGCGCCCCGAGACTGCTCAGGGTCAGTTCCTGAACTTCGCCAAGCTCCTAGAGTTCAACCAGCAGTCGATGCCCTTCGCCTCTGCCTCCATTGGCAAGTCGTTCCGTAACGAGATCTCTCCGCGTGCGGGTCTCCTGCGTGTGCGTGAGTTTCTCATGGCTGAGATCGAGCACTACGTCGATCCCGAGGGTGGCAAGAAGCACGCTCGCTTCCATGAAGTCAAGGATGTTGAGATGACCTTGCTCGACCGTAACGTGCAGCTGTCCGGCAGCACTAAGCTGACCACCATGACTATCGGCAAGGCCGTTGAGACTGGACTGGTTGACAACGAGACCCTGGGTTACTTCTTGGCCCGTATTCAGTCATTCTTGTTGAAGCTTGGTGTTGACCCCACCAAGCTGCGCTTCCGCCAGCACATGGCCAACGAGATGGCTCACTACGCCACCGACTGCTGGGATGCCGAGTTGCAGACCAGCTACGGCTGGATCGAGTGTGTTGGCTGTGCTGACCGCTCTGCTTATGATTTGACTGTCCACAAGGATAAGACCGGTGCCCCTCTTGTTGTGCGCCAGGCCCGTGCTGAGCCTCTGCGCGTTGAGGAGTACCAGATTGACCTCGAGAAGAAGAAGTTCGGCCCTCGATTCAAGAAGGACGCCAAGACCGTTGAGGCAGCTATCGAAGCTCTGTCTCAGGAGCTCCGCGAGAAGCTATCTCTGGATCTTGAGAAGGATGGTAAGATCGAGGTCGCTGTTGAGGGTGTTGGGTCCGGCAAGGTTGAGCTGGAGAAGGACCTCATCAAGATCGAGAAGCGTACTCGTGTCGAGAACGTCCGCGAGTACACTCCTAACGTCATTGAACCGTCCTTCGGTATCGGACGTATTTTGTACAGCATGATCGAGCACTCCTACTGGTCCCGCGCCGGTGACGAGACACGTGGTGTAAGTTTTCCTTTGATATCTGGACTTGAACGTTTGTACTGACTGACTCAGGTCCTTTCTTTCCCTCCTGCCGTGGCCCCTACTAAGGTCCTGCTGGTTCCCCTCTCCACCCACGCCTCCTTCAAGCCCTTGACCCAGCGCCTCACCTCGAAGCTGCGCAAGGCCGGTATCTCCAACCGTGTCGATGACTCGTCCGCCAGTATCGGCAAGCGTTACTCCCGCAACGACGAGTTGGGTACTCCCTTCGGCATCACTGTGGACTTCCAATCCGTTCAGGACAACACCTTCACTCTGCGCGACCGTGATACCACCAAGCAGGTCCGTGCCAGTGAGGACGAGATCTTGCAGGCTGTCAAGTCGCTCGTTGACGGCGACGAGACCTGGGAGGATATCCGTAAGCGTTTGCCTGAGTTCACTTCTCAGGAGATTGAGGAAAATGCTTAGATTGCATGATAAAAATACTATTTATTACTTCTTTTTTTCTCTATCTTATTCCAAGATCTTCCCAATATTAGTCCTATCATTGTACAGTATACTCCATCGATCTATACACGGTAGATTTCATTCGTCGCGCTAAATGCTTAGAGGCGTCCGAATCCGATTCGGGCCGCGCCAAGAGTCCGGGGCATCTCCGTCATCCATCTGTCCTCTTTCCGCTCTGCATCAACAACAATGGCGCCGACGATACACTCTGCCAAATTGACGCTCTCGTGTCCGCTCTTCGCCGCAGACTTTGATCCGCGCAACAACGGACGACTTCTAGTCGGCGGAGGAGGCGGCGAGGGGCGCAGTGGAGTCGGAAACAAGATCGCAAGTCCCACCTTTGACAAAGTCGTTCCAAACCAGCAAATGCTAACCATTGATTTCTGTATAGTCTTTGATTGACACTTCGCGTCGCGACGAGATCGTAGAAGCTGTTGAACTGAACCTATCGCGCGATGAAGACTCGGTGACGTCGCTGGCTGCGGCACCGCTTGCTGGAGACGAGGCGGGCACGCTTGTTGCTTTGGCCGGCATCAATAGCTCTGTAGAGGAACAGAAGAAAAACAATAATCGGCATTTGCGCGCATTCCGATTTGAGGCACCGTTAAAGAATACCGCTGTTGCTGCTGCAGACACACCAGGCGCCAGGAACAGTGAGCAAGGCCAAAAAGAGGGAAAGGCAGCTCCTGGCAAGGCTACGGCGTTATCCCAGGCATCGCTATTCCGAACGAAGAACGGGCCAGGATCTTCAGATACGTACCAGCGAGTGACGAGGCTCTCGCCGTGGGCGAAGGAGAAGGATGGCACCGAGAAACACGCACGGATCGGCGCTGTTGCGACAGGACTGGCTCAATCCGGCGAGATTGTATTCTTCAGCGCCACGGAAGCTCCCAGCGAGAAGGATGTTATCGGCCGCATTCAATTAGCCAGCAATGAAGAGGCCGAGGACTTGGATTTTGTCAGCCTCGAACACGAGTCGGAGAAGACCGACGACGCCCATGGCCGGTTCCTAATGGCATATACCAATGGCACGGATGTGATGGTCGGCGAGCTCTCGTCATCCAGCCGGTCCAATAGTTCTCCCGATGTTCGGTCTGTCTATACCATCCCACTACCCGCCAGCGGAGCCCGCACAGGACGCCCCAAGTTCCGCGCCCTGCGATTCCTCTCGCCTAGGACCCTCCTCTTACTCCAAAATGCACCAAACCGCGGCGGATGCGAGCTCATCCTTCTCCAACTTCCAAGCGCAAAGTCAAGCAAGTCCCGCATCTTACAGCGCCGCAAGCTCTCCAAGACCGTCAAGATCGGCCTCGGTCTCGACATATGCCAACTCAGAACGAACCCGCAAGGCCAACAACAAACCGTCATAGCAGTCAGCGGCAGCGACAACTCCATCACACTATTCACTCTAGAATACGGGCCAAAGCGCGGCTTCAGCAAGTTCCGCCCCTACACAACCCTCCGCGACGTGCACCCCTTCTCAATGACAAAGCTCACCTTCTCAACCTTCATCGCACCACCACACCCGGTAACCCCCGAAGTCGGCCCCCAGAACATCAAACTCGCCTCTGTCAGCATGGGCAACACAGTCGTCGTGCATACATTCCCCCTATCCCCCTTCCCAACCTCCTCCCGCACCCCCCGCTACGTCCTCGTCGTCCCGGGCCCCGCCGAAATCTGGGAACTAGTCTACAGCATCGTCGTCCTCCTCTTCTCCCTCTTCGCAATCTGTCTCGCAATGCTCGCCTTCACCGAGATCCGCGGCGGAACACCCCCCTTCCTCGGTGCCACCGAGTGGCTCCCAGATGGAATCCGCAGTCTCATTGCCAGAGACTACGTCGTCCCACCACGAGAAAAGCTAACATACTTCGACACACTCTTCGCATCAAATAACGCCAACGGTGAAACCGTCCCCATCGCAAAGACCTTCCCAGAAGCGCAGATAGAATCCCTCCGCGAGATCCTAGACCGCGTACACCGTGTCGGCGCCGCACCAGCAGATCTGGAAACGACTGCACCGCAGTCTGTGTCTGTTATTGTGCGCTGCGACGCGGAAGAAAGCGTTCTCGTTGAGACGGCTGAGTCGGCGGTCGAGGCTGGGGATTTGGAAGAGGAGAAGAGGAAGTTGCAGGCTTGGATGGATCTTTCGGAGGCTGAGCAGAGTGCTTGGAAACAGCGGCTTGTGGATGCTGGGCGTTGGACGGCTTCTGAGGGGGAGAGTATTCTTCTCGGTGTTCTGTTTGGTGAGACTTGCGGGGCGTTGGGGAGGGCTGTTAGGGAGGAGTTGGCGTGATCTTGTTGCTTTATTTCGGTCTTATGTATGAATTGTTATATAGCTATTCGCTTTACGCTTGTCAATGATATGGTAGATGTTCTATTACTTGCTTATATCGGGAGCCAGGTACCTACCTACTGCCCGTCGTCGTACTTTTCGTACTAATAGACTATAACATCTCATGATCCTACCTAGTCTAGGTAGACCGAGGGAACACATAGTTCGATTTAACATCTCATTGAAAGACTACGTGGGCACTGAATCCACACGCTTATTGGAGTGCACGCCTAAATCTCAGGAAAAGACCGATTCGAAGTGGAATGGAATTTGAACTAGTCTTCGCTTTTGCGCAATGGCACATAATACAGTGCAAGTTGCAAGTCATGAACGTCATAGGGGGAAACATGGTATGGTGTTTTGTGCAAGCGAAGAAGGAAAAGAAAAAACAAATATATCAAACGCCGAATTACCCTCGCTCACATTGGTGTATGATCGTAACGAACACAGGAACGCAGTAATGATACCCGCATAAGAGTGCGGCGAAGGAGGGGGAATAACGCAGGAAGAGCATTGTCCTTGTGAAAGCATTGGATGCTCGAGGAACAAGGACTTCTAAACGAAGATCGCGTAGATAAGAACTCAGATTTCAGTGGAAGATGGGACGGAAATAACCCCAGTCATTTACTGGCCACTAGCCTTCTTCCAGCGAAGCAGCTCAGCCAGACTATTCAAGCTGCACCCGGTCTGGAGGAATTCGTGAGCGAGGAGCTCGTCAGCAGTAGCGCGACTGCGGACATCGACGCAAAGGCAGACGCTCAAGAAATTCTTGAGTTCCCTGGAGAGCTTATCGGGCTTCTTGAGGCGAGGGGTGCCGTTGGTGGCAATGAGGTAGAGGGCCTTTAGGGGCTCTTCGTTGAGGTAGGGAGGTTCAGACTCAATCATCTCAATGGCCATGATACCCAGCGACCAGCAATCGACCTTCGAGCCGTACTCCTTCTGCTTGACCACTTCGGGTGCCATCCAGTAGGGGGTTCCGACCATGGTGGCACGTTTGCTCTTTTGTTCCGTGAGCTTGGCGCAGAAACCGAAATCGGTGATCTTGACATGGCCGACACGGTCGAGCAGCACGTTATCACTCTTAATATCACGATGAATGATATTTTGGCCGTGTAGATGGGCCAAACCCTTGCAAGTCTTTAGAGAGAAAAGGTTAGTATATGAATCAAGATCAATTTTCGGATAGACAACATACCTCCGCACAGATTGTGGCGATCTGGTTTTCACTGATATTCTGGTTATTGTCAATCACATCAGTCAGGGCACCGCCCTCCATGAACTCCATAACAACCCAGAGCTCATTGCTTGATTCCTGCAGGAATGAGTCGAGGAAGTTGACAATGTTCGGGTGTTGGCTGTCTTTCATGACAATGATTTCGTTGACGATCAACTCCTTGCGGGGCTGGCTACGCAGATCCATCTGCTTGATGGCCACTTGGCAGCGCGCGCCGTAGGTCCGGTATAGTTCACGGGCGACGCCGGAAGTGGCGCCTTCTTTAACTCGCGCCACATACACGGATCCAGATGCACCCTGGCCAATCTTGCGTTGCTTGGCGTACGAGTCGTTCGGATTGTCCCTGGAAACAACTGCCCGCAGGCGATCCATGACCTCGTTCTCTGACATGGCCGACATGCGCACCTCCTTCTGACGCGGCGAGTCTGCCTTTTTGCTGAGCGCAGCCTCCGCTTGACGAACGCCGTCGGGGACGTGCTGCTTGTTTCCATTTTGCTTGTTGGCAATGTTCAGTGGCTTTACAGCCTGAACAGGAGCTGGCAGGCGCGTCGGTGGGGGTCCGGCCTGTCCTTTGGAACCATTTGGCTGATGGCGACTCGACGATCCAGGAGCCCGAAGGTCATTGGGAGGATAGCGGGACGTTGAGGGACCATGGCGGTCATCAGTCCGAGGAGCACCGGGTGCGCGGGGCGTGCCCTGGCCGTAAGGACTCTGTGAGGGTGGCGCGGGCGCGGGACGCTGTGCGGTGAGCTGCCGGGGGTCTTGCTGGCGAGAACCTGGCGCCTGAGGAGCCGGGCGGCTTGGTTGGTAGCGGCTGTTCTGCGATGGGTCATCGCCCCCATATCCACCAATCTCCTGCTGAGCCATAGGAGGACGGCTCTTCGGAATGGATGCATTGTAAGCATCTTGTTCTTCCTTGTCGCGACGAGCTTCCTCCTCCAGCCGGCGACGCCCTTGCTCAGCCAATTCCTTCATTCGTTCGGCTTTCTGCTGGTGCTCCAGCGCGCGGTCCGACTCAGATTGCTTCGACTGGCCACTATCGAGGCGCTGCATAGGTCCTGGCGGGGCGGGACGTGGGGGGGCAATAGAATTACCCATGCTACTGCCATATGCGTTAGATTTCCCGTTGGGGCTGTTCGTTGTAGGGAAGTATCCCGGATTCTGCTCGCGCATCTTGATATCTGAGTAGAATTCGAGGACTTCGATAACTGCCTGTGGGTTCTTCTTGTAGTCTTCCTTCGTGATGGCCGAGGATGTGAGAAGCTTCTCCCACTCTGGCGGCAAGCCGACAAAGGCGCCTGTGTGTTGATCAAAGCCGACGTGAACCCGATGACTGAAGTTGGTGGGGTTGCTGACACCACCCATTCCAGGGCAACGCTCGTAGATCTTGTCAATCCACTCGTAGATTTCATCTTCGGACTTGACCTCACAGGTGATGGTCTTGGTTGGTAAGTCGCGCGCCAGTAGGGCAGCTTTGGAGTTCGCATCTTTTGGGTTGGCTAGACGAGTAATCTCAAAAGCCATCTTGGAATCCTCGGAGCGGCCCACATTGGTGACGGTGGAGAGAGGGAAGGTAATCACTACCTTGCCACTATCGCTCTTCAAGAATTCCAGCTTGTACTCGCGCAAAATCAAAAAACGGGTATTCCAGGTTGCCAGGAACTTGTCTTCTTTGCAGCGGACAGTGCCTTCTTTGATGATCGAGATGCCATTTTGGCCGCTATTGCTCCGACCCGAACCCAACGAGGAAGTGCTGGGGCTAGGGAACAGCGAAAGGTTGGCGGCCGCTGGACCCGGAGTGCTCGGTGAGTCCAAGCTCATCTGACCGAAGGCGGCGGTTGTGGTAGGTAGAGTCAACTTGGGGGGTCGTTCGGTAGGGGGGCGGGGAGCTGGCCCCGGATTCATAAACTGGTTCTCCGAGTACATCTCTCTATAAGGTGGATTAATGGGTGAGACTGGACGGAAAATAGGATCAATACATACTTTTGGTAGGAGGTCATATCTCAGGGATTCACGGGTTGCGCAGGGGAAAAGGTACACGAATGCGCCGAGACCTTAAAGCCCCTCGACACGGGCTAGCGCTAGTAGACGGGGATCAGCGATTGGGTTCAGGAGAGCGATGGCCTGTGGATGAGTTCAATTTGTCCTCGGACGAACGATGCAGGATGAAATGGAATTCCCCAGATAATGAAGAATTAGGCGTATTGGGCGTATTTGGGGTGTGGGGGGCGGAGGATTCTAAGAAGGGCGCTGGAGGGGTAGGATTGGGGGTTACCTTTTGAATCAGGAGCGGTCCTCGCACTGCGAGGATGCTCGAGAATAGACAACGCAGTATCGAGTTTTGAAAAAGATGGTAAACAGAAAATAAACGAAGCAAACGGAGAGTTGTGAGTAAAGGAGAAGAGGAAAGGGGGAGAGAGGGGGGAAGAAAGTCCCCTGAGATGTAAAGAGTAAAGAAGTTCATCTACAGAAAACAAGCCTCTGCCAATCAAATGGCCAGATCTTGGGGATTGATCCACGGTTGTTTCTTTCTTTAATTGTTTGATTGATTTGATTGATTATGCTATTGGCTTCCATGTTATTGAATGTAATGTACGTCAATGTCTATACTTCTCCAAATGGATGATTGAACTTCAACAATCCATTCAATCCACCAACCCAACCTTCGTGTGCTTCATAACCCACACTCCGCCGCATGACACTGGGTACTCCACCTTGCCATTCATTCTTCCCATGCCGCATCTCCTCATTCCAGACTCGTACTTCCATGCCAACTCCCATCCCTTGACCCAAATTGACCCCATCCAGACTGACTTCCAGTTCACGCCCTCGGTTCTTCTCATTTAGTCGCAGTGTGATTGGAGTGCTGGAAGGCAAAACCAAGGGTCGGAAGCTGAGACTACGCGCGCAGATGGGCGTCAAAAGGATAGATGGGACAAGGGGATGCACAATACTACCCCCACTGCTTAAACTGTAGGCTGTACTCCCAGTTGGGGTTGAAATTATGATACCGTCCGCCACAGCCTCGGTCAGGTACCGGCCACCCACAAACACGTCCACCACGGCCAAGTGTGGTTCCTTGCCACGGTGAATGAGAAGTTCATTCATCACGTAGACCCCTTGACCCTGGTCTGTCTTGGTTCGGATAGGCGTTGTTTCAGTTCCGTCGGCAGCGAAAAGACCGACCTTCAAACGGTTGCGCATCAGAATGCGCGCCCCACGTGTAGAACCCATAGATTTGCCCCGGACGGATGACCACCCGGTCGGGCCCATTTCGAGTTCATGTTCTGTGAGTGCCGCTGCCGCCCCCGTAGGATCTTCCAAAACAGGTGTGCGATCCCCTGCTCCGGCTCCAGACATAAAGACTTCTCGGAAAGCCCGCTTGTATTCTGAGAATTTCCACTCACTCAAGAATCCTAAAGTACCCATGCTGAATGATAGAACAGGTGGGACGTTGGCGCATGTCGCGAAAAGGGAGGCTGCATGGAGTATCGTGCCATCACCGCCCAGCGTTACCGTGAGGTCAACCTTATCGTGAAGCGCGGTGGTCTTCTCATCAAGAGCGACCGAGTAGACAGGAAACGATAGTTTCGAATGTACTTCCGCCGCCGTCTTTGACTCAAGGATCACTGCGATAGATGGGTATGTAGAGGAAATATGACTATTAACAGTCAGCTTTGTGCCAAAGAGCTTCATCCTCATGTGCCGAGTTCGATCTTACTTCACAAGTTCGATCAAAGAATCAGTAACCGCTGGAGCGCAGTCTTTGCGCACCAGGAAGATGTTCCGCGGCGGAGCTGGCCACTGAAGACACAAAAGCTCTCCTTCATCACAGGATTCTGGCAAATTTTATTAGGAAACAAGAAACAAAATGACCGGTCCAACAGGTCAAGCCACACCTTGGTATTTGGGTATCAGGCGCTGGGACAACGATCCGATATCTCTGATCTCGTGACATGCTCGAGACGTGGAAAAATGCTGGCGCAAGGGCAGGCGGAAGGGCAAGCGGGTAGTCCTACGGAAGATGGTGCCCAACATGTTGGAAAGGAAGTCGTAGGCCTATTGATCAGCCCTAGTCATTTGTATTAGCCAGCTTCGACTTCGAGTATGAGTAAGGTTGAACTGGATGGGAGATGCTCACGTCAATGCGCCATCTTTTGGCCTAATGAACTAGGGTGTGTAGGAAGCTGAGGCGCCAGTTGGTTTACTGCGCAAACTGTTTCAGAAAGATATCGTGTCGCGAAGAAAGATAAAGTTGAAGCAAAACAAAGTAAATACGAAGATACGAAGTAACTGAGTGACCGCCTTTCGTGACGTTATGAGGCTGTGAACGTCACTTTCAGGCCCACGAGATCTGCCTGATTCCACTCCCCTCAAACTTAACAAACCTCCTACTCTTCCAGCTTTCTGAAGCTTTGGACCTCACTGGCCTTTTATTATTCCGTTCATTCCCCCAGGTCATGCCAAGATATCCCTGCTTATAGCTTCTGTCTAGCTCTTGCGGTTGTTGCAATCTGAGCCCACACCTGTCGATCATCATTACTCCGTACCTCCGCACCTGACAATATTCATTTTGCGTCTGGGCGCTGCGCACCTAGCAGTTGAAGCCCCGATAGCTTCCAGTCTACTACTGGACCTTATACCTCAGTTTCCCACCCACTACGGACTCACGGAGTAGAGCGACAAGGGCCTCTCCAAATCCCCAGATCTCCACCATGGAACCTGCCGAGGTTCGACAGCGCAAGCCACCGACCGCCAAGAATACTGGGGAGCTTCAACAGCTATCGACCAAACCACCCTCCGAGCCCCGCCTCAAGCATGGCATTCCTATGCAAATCCTGCGATCCATCCTGTTGATAACATGGGTTGATTGCTGTATTGTCGTGATCTGCGTGACACAGCTGATTGGTGCCCCGCTATACCTGATCAACAAATACTGGTATTATTCATATATGGCATATACAAAACAGTGTTTCTCACTGGTCCTCACTGCTATCACGGAATGGATATCACCAACACTCTTCCGCGTCAGTGGTGATGCTAGTGTGCGTGGGCAAATCCATATCTCGAAGGATGGGATGCTGGAGACGAGGTTTCCCGAGCGTCTTGTCCTGATCTCGAATCACCAGGTCTACACTGACTGGATCTACCTTTGGTGGGTTGCATATACCAACCAGATGCATGGGCGCATCTTTATCATTCTGAAAGAATCGCTCAAGTATATTCCCCTTGTGGGCACTGGCATGATGTTCTACGGATTTATCTTCATGGCTCGCAAGTGGACGTCTGACAAGCCCAGGCTCCAACATCGCTTGGAAAAGCTGAAGACAAAGTACACCGGCTCCAACTCGGCCCGCCCGCAGTACGACCCCATGTGGCTGCTAATCTTCCCCGAGGGGACAAATCTGTCTATCAACACCAAGGGACGCAGCGATGTTTGGGGAAAGAAACAGGGGTTGCCTTCATTCAACCACATGATCCTTCCACGCTCTACAGGGTTATTCTACTGTCTTCAACAACTGCGGGGAACCGTAGATTGGGTGTACGACTGTACAATGGCCTATGAAGGGCCACCGTACGTTTATATCCTTTTATGTTTTTGCTTTAGCGCCGAAATCATACTGACAAATTCTTTATAGCAAAGGAAGCTACCCTGATAAATACTTCACACTCCGCTCCACATATCTGCAAGGACGGCCACCAACCTCAGTCAACATGCATTGGAGACGGTTCCAAGTCTCAAAGATCCCTCTTGATGACCAAAAAGAGTTTGAGCAATGGCTGACTGCACGCTGGGCCGAGAAGGATGAGCTTATGGACCAGTACTTTGAAACCGGTCGCTTTCCATCTGACTTGGCTGGTACAATCAAGGCCGATCATGCAGTAGATGCTCAGCAGGCTGCTGCTTCTGCTGGATATGTTGAGTCGTATGCTCGCCTGCACCACTGGAGTGAACTTGGTCTTATCTTTGTGGTGCTGGTTACAGTTGCTTGCATTTGCAAATCTCTTACAGGCTGGCAATAAAGTGAATAATGTATTTAGATACCTTTTGATTATGTCAGTTACAGTAGCAGCTTTTGCTTATGCCTATATTATTGTTATACAATCAAATCAGATTGTGAATAAATTCATTCATGTCGTTCATTATTATTGTAGTTCTTTGAATGCGGTGTGGCGGCCGGGCAGACAGCCTGTGGCGGTGCACTCCAGCCACTCCAATCATCCAATTCTCACCTTCTCATCGCCGCGCTGTTAGTCCCCGGAGTCACTTTTCGCGTTTCCTCCAATTTAGAGGTCGCTTTCCTCACTGGTCCCAATTCCTTGTATCTTTTTGATGGACCACCTCGCTTGATCATGAGTTGAGGCTCCTACAATCCCATACCTACTCGCACAGTGGCCTCATCCCTCCGGACCCTCCCGTTGCTGAACACATCATGGCGCCTTTTGAGAACGGCCAAACCAATGGCCTCAATGGTGACGCTGCACCTGCAGCAAGCTACTCAAGCTATGTTCGTTTCTCAGACACTCCCGACGCCATCGACATTCCCGCATCCAGCTTCGACAGCGAAGTTGAAGTCAGCTTGCTCGAGCTCCCCGATGACCCGACTGAGCTTTGCACCCTCCTAGAGAACGAAAAGGCTGCCAAGAATTTTTGGATGATTATCGCGCTCGCCTACGCGAAGCGAAAGCAGTACGACCATGCCATTGATATCTTGAGTAAGGGCCTGGCCTCCGTTGCCCATGGAGCGACAAAGGAAAAACTTGGTCTGCTGGGCTGGATTTGCTGGCTTTATTTGCTGAAAAGCCGATCTGCTCCTCGCGTTGCGCCTGAGGGCGAGCTTTACTCGGAAGCCAAAACTAAGGACCACTACCTGCAACTTGCGACGTCGACCTTGAACGAGGCCTCCCGCCTCAACCCAGCTTATCCTCCTCTCTTCTTGGCTCGCGGCGTCTTGTGTCTCCTCCGCGCCTCACTATACGCGCCCCGCCCCGTTCGTCCGGGTGCAATTGATACCTCGGAAAGAAACGAGTCGCTACGACAGGCTCTGAAATGCTTCGACGAGTCGTCCAAGGCCTTCGGTGGCCGGAACATCATGGCTATTCTAGGACGCGCTCGGGCGCATTACATGCTGGGAAGATACGCGGATGCACTCGAGGGATATCAAAAGGCTCTGGTCAAGATGCCTAACCTCACAGACCCAGATCCACGTATTGGTTTAGGATGTTGTTTATGGCAGCTGGGCTTCAAGGATCAGGCCAAGGTAGCCTGGGAGAGAGCGCTAGCTCTGGTATGTCTTCACAATCTGCGAACGTCTTGTCTTCTCGAATATTAACCAACATCGCCACGCAGAACCCCGAGTCCAAGGTTGCCAATGTCCTCCTCGCCGTTTACTACCTCCACGACAGCTCTCGCCGATCCACCACCGACCCCATGTTCGGCTCAATGTACAAATTAGCCATGACCCAATACACCCAGAAGGCATTCAAGTTGGACAAGGAATACCCTATCACCTGCTCCATGTTCGCCAGCTACTTCCTACTTCGCAAGAATTATGCAACCGTGGAGACCCTGTCGCGCAAAGCTATCGAGCACACCGATGTTATGGCTATCGCAAGTGACGGCTGGTATCTTCTTGGTCGCAAGTCGCACTATGAGGGCGACGAAGCACGTGCCGCGGAATTCTACAATCGTTCGGATCAAGCTCGCGGTGGAAACGACAAGGGATATCTTCCTGCCAAATTTGGTGCTGTACAGATGCAGATCACGAACAAGGACTACGACGGTGCCAAATTCCGACTGGAGAAGATTATTCAGCAATCTAAGAACCCGGAGGCCATGACGCTGCTTGCTGCTATCCACGCGGAAGAAGTCTTTGCTGCTCAAAAGTCAGGCAGCAAGGAAGACAAGTCTACCGAGGCAAAGCGAGCGATCACTCTGCTGGAGTCAGTGCGCTCCATGTGGAAGAATGAGAAGCTCAATCTCGCTCCTGACGAGTCGGTTCTCGTTTATCTTGCCCGTCTTTACGAAAGCACTGCGCCAGATAAGAGCATGCAATGCCTGACTCAACTGGAACAGATCCAGCTAGCCGAAATCCCCGAGGAAGCTCGACCCGATATCGAGGACCAGGACAAGTTGAACGCTGCTCTGAGGGAAAGCCTTCCGCCGCAGCTGCTCAACAACATGGGATGTTTCCTATACCAGAACGAAAAGATTGCTCTAGCTCGTGGCCTGTTCCAGTCTGCACTCAACGCCTGTGTACAAACACAAGAAAAAGAGAATGGCACCGACACCGATGCGCTCGTCAGCACAATCAGCTACAACCTCGGGCGAACTTACGAAGCCGCAGACATGTGGGACGAAGCTAAGAAGGTCTATGAGGGTCTTCTTGAGCGCCACAGTGACTACACGGAAGCCAGTGCTCGCCTGACCTACATCGCCCTGCGGCAGAGCCCCACAGACGAGGGCCCTAAGAGGATTAGTAAACTTTACGAATCCGACAGCTCAAATCTGGAAGTTCGGGCACTCTACGGATGGTACCTCAGCAAGGCGAAGAAGCGCGTTTCCAACCTGGCAGAAGACAGCGAGCAACGTCACTTCAAGCACACGCTGCAGTACTATGACAAGCATGATCGATATGCTTTGACTGGCATGGGCAATGTGCATCTCCTTGCCGCCCGTGACATGCGTCGCGACACTGAACAAGACAAGGAAAAGCGTCGCAAGATTTACCAGCGCGCTGTAGAATTCTTTGACAAGGCTCTCCAACTAGACCCCAAGAACGCATATGCAGCTCAGGGTATTGCGATCGCCTTGATCGATGACAAGAAAGATCACAGCACTGCTGTGCAAATTTTGTCCAAGATTCGGGACACACTCAAGGACCCAAGTGTTTACCTCAACTTGGGCCACGTCTTCGCTGAGCTTCGTCAATTCTCACGATCCATCGAACATTACGAAGCTGCATTGTCCAAAGATCGCCAGCGTGATGTGCAGATTCTAGCTTGTCTTGGCCGCGTATGGTGGCTGCGAGGCAAGCAGGAGGCAAGCCTGGCTGCGATGAAGACAGCATTGGACTACGCCACCCGCGCACGCAATGTCTCTCCGGACCAACTCCATCTACAGTTCAATGTTGCTTTCCTGCAAAACCAAATCGCCTCTCTCGCATACGGTCTCCAGCCTACTCAAAAGACGCTCCAGGACGTCCAGGAGGCGGCAGAAGGTCTCAAGGAGGCCATTGAAACCTTCGAGCGTCTTTCGAGCGAGAAGAACCCGCCCTACCCTAGCGCTGCACTAGAACAGCGTGCCAACATGGGCCGCACCATCAGCAAGCAGCTCGACCGAGCCATGCAGAGCCAAAAGGAGTACGAAGAGAAGAACGCCGCCAAGCTCCAGCAAGCCCGGGAAGCTCGCGAAGAAGCCAAGCGCATCCGCGAAGAGGAGCTGCGCAAGGCCCAAGAAGTCGAAATGGAGCGCAAAAAGCGCATTGCTGAGGAGCGTGCGCAGATGATCGAAGAAGTGCAACGGCATGCCCTGCAGCGTGCTGAAGAAGAGCGCGCTCGCGAGGAAGCCGAGTTGACCAACGATTCCGAAACCGGCGATCGAGTGAAGCGCAAGAAGAAGACCGTCGGCAAGCGCAAGAAGAAGGGCCACGACGACTTCATCGCCGACGATGATGACCGCGAGGCTGCGCGGAGCGGGGTCGACAGTGAGGGCGAGGCGGCGCCTAAGAAGCGGCGTCGTCTGGAACGTCGATCTGGCGGCAAGGCTGCTAAGTCTGGGAAGCCTGGCAAGTACAAGAGTAGTGAGATGGTTGTTGATTCGGACGATGAAGAGGCCCGTGGATCTGCAGACGAAGACCAGGACGACCTCTTTGACGACGAGGAACCAACGGAGGATGCTGCACCGCGTCGTCGTGGCAAGGCTACTCGTCGTATTGCCGACGACGATGAGGATGAAGATGAAGATGAGGAAGAGCAGGTTGAGAAGGCTGTCAATGAAGACAACAACGATGATGAATTGTTTGGCGAGGGATCTCCAAAGGCCGATGAGAATGCAGAGATGCAGGAGTGAGTTTCTTCATGTTACAATATGTTGTTTTGGTTCTTTTCGAGAGTTTTTATTTTCTGTTTCCTCAGGCGTCTAGGAAGGGGCCCTGCTGAGCTACAATATGATAGTTTATCTCCCTTGGACTTCATGCCATGTGTAATTATTAGCATTGATCTTAATGGATATTCGCTACAGCGAAAAGACAAATCTTGTCCATTGAACAAACCCTAACGTTTTACCAAGCCCAAGGAGAACAGAAGACCCCATGGAATACTGAGCGATACCAATACAATCCGCAAAAGAATGCAGATGATCTCCTTCCTAAATGCAAACGGAACATGCGGAGGCAGCAGATTAGAAGGATCAACGCCATGTCCAAGCGTACCGTACCCTACCGCACGGTGTCTGCCTCTAGCACACGAGCCAATCCCCACAGAATCCAAGATCAGACCGCGTCAATTCAATGTCGGTAAGACTTCTGTGATGCAAAAATTGCTTGTGAAAGGCTTGTAAGTTGTAACTGCCGGTGTCAGGGCCAGCCCGATGGGGCTCGCTTATGCATCCCGCAAACCGTATGTTGGAAATGCCCGTGCGTTGACTGGCTATTACCCGGCTGAATATACTCTTATTACTCCGTACCCCTGTCCGGCTCCTACGCGGCGCAGGAAGGACAGGCAGATATGGAAATAGCTGGCCCCTGGGTAAATGAGGTACGAGGCGTCCTATGTAACGGCTTACGGTAGTGTACGCGGTCATACCTGAGGTAACATATACGCAGTACCACTGAAAGGAGCCATGTATGGGCTCGAAAGAGAACACGGTATTCAATAGGACGTGTATTGGTAGTTCGTGATAGTTGCCCTTTCGGCTTAGTTGCCGAGCGTTAATGAATTGTGTGTATGTACGGTCTTGGGGGCTGTGCGCTGCAGCGCTTGATTGGGTGTTAGCGTCGGATTGAGAGGCGAGCTCGTCTATTAGGGCATGTTCTTGGTAGGAGCATGCTATTTGTAATTATGGCCATGTCTTTGAGGAATTGAGGTTCAACGTTTCTATACAACGTGAACGTGAACGTGAACTTCAAGGTTTAGGTTCTTCGTTGAAGAAGAATCCAAAGATTTGAGATCCAGGTCTTTCGCATCCTCAGACTCGATTTTCTGGCGATGTTCCGAATCCGGACGCGGTAATCGCGTATAAGGGAGAGATAACCTGAATATTGTCCAGTGACAAATAGTACTGTGTTGATAGGACGATGGAGATGACCCACCATTGAAAGCTACCGTGCTCTTAGGGAGAGGGAGAAATTTCCCGCAACTCAGGCCAGACCCAGTGAATGACTCCAGATTGGCAGTTTCCTTAGCCATCAAAGTGGGAGAACTGACTCAGTACGGAGAGGATGTCCGGTGTCCTGTAGCATTCTTGGCTAACCGGAAGAATGCTCCGATCCAGTACCGTTGCAAATTGCAATAGTACAGTGGGACTGTGGGAGTGGGACGTTTGTACGGGTTCACCCGGATGGGTAGGACGGGAGGGAAGCAACCTTAAAAGCCTTAAGCTTGTAGTTAAAATTGTGGGTTCCGTGGAAAGCTGCAAAAAATTTCCGACTTCTTAGATGCTGCTTTCGGGATTGCTTCGGGGATTCTGCTTTACACAAACTGCAATTATCGCGGAGTCATTCTATTGTCTACACAGTACATTATGTCCTATGCATGCTACAAGCCAGAAATCTAAAACGACCAGAACGACATTCTTTGATACTCATTCCCGAAAGAACTCAATGCGCGATATAGAACAATCGACTGCACAATTTCCAAATCGAGACCTAGCGTAGGATTGAAGTCCGCGATGAGATCAATGAGATGCGCCCGTTTTATGGTTCATCGCCCAAACCGTTGAAGCCATCAACAAATTGCAATCCAAGGATCATTTCCCACCACTTATCACCAGCAGCTCTTGCCCTTACTTCTACAACCTCGCAATAAATTCAAAATCCCAACCACAGTTCCGATCACGGCCTGTACCACATTCCTACTTCAAAGGTTAACCCTAATTCTCCGACGATCCACTTCATCCAAACAATGGAAGTGTCATCGGCCTAGGCCCAGGATCACACTGTATTCACGATGTACAAGCCACAAAATAGACAGTCCAAAGTAAACTTCGCCAGATTCCAGAGAGCACGTCAACTGTTTCGCCGGAAGCATCAGTCCAAAACCTTAGAACCTTAGATACGATGAATCTATCTAACTACTTATATGGCTCGAGTCTTGCCAATCGCCAACGATTCAAAGTCCCTACCTTCTCCTCTGTCTACGCCCTAGACCCCAATATAAAACAGCCTAGTCAGTATCTTATACACCTACCAGATACCAGATGTCAACCTCAGACAACCTGGTACCACCTACAACCCGTATCCTAACCCCCACTACAGTTCTGGCTCTTGCAACGCCAACATGCGTTACGCTCTCGTTGCTCTTGCTCCCACAATCCTGGCAATTACAGCACTCGCCGTCCCCATCTCAAACCACGACGGTGCGCGTGCTGTTGGCCACGCCTCCAATGTCGACAGCAACAAGGCAGCAGAAGTCCCCAGGCGCGCCAACGAAGACCTAATCAACAATCTTGGCGTCGCCGCCTATGTCGCCGGAGACAAATCTCCCCGCATCGTCAAACGTCAGTCTGGCGGCAGCGCTGAAGCCAGTAACGGTCAGGCCAGTGCGACGGCTGGCAATGGCGCGACCAGTGTTTCCGCTAGCTCTCATGGCGATGGTTATGCCAGTGCGCAGGCCAGTTCTCAGGTGAATGGGCAGTCTAGCGCTCAGGCTAGTGCTGGGCTGAATGGATCTATCGGTCTGTCCAGTACTTTGTCCAGTGGCACGAAATCCAGTGGAAGTTCCAGTGCGGGTTCAGGATCAGGTTCTAGCTCTGCCTCTGGTTCTGGCTCTGGCTCTGCGTCTGCCTCTGGTGCTGGATCTGGGTCTGCGTCTGCTGCTGGATCTGGGTCTGCGTCTGCTGCTGGATCTGGGTCTGCGTCTGCTGCTGGATCTGGGTCTGCGTCTGCTGCTGGATCTGGGTCTGCGTCTGCTGCTGGATCTGGGTCTGCCTCTGCTTCTGGATCTGGGTCTGCTGCTGCTTCTGGTGCTGGGGCTGCTGCTGGTGTTGATCCCGGTAGTGGTTCCGGTGGAGGCTCCGGCAGTGGTTCTGGTTCTGGTGGTGGTGTTGGTGCTGGTGCTGGTGCTGGTGCCGATGTTAGTGCTGATCCTGGTACTGCTGTTGGTGCTAGTTCTGGCGTTGGTGCCAGTGCTAGTGGTGGTAGTGGTGGTGGTGGTGTCGATCCTGGTAGTGGTTCCGGTGGAGGCTCCAGCGGAGTTTCTACTGCTGGTGCTGGCGTCGATCCCGGTAGCGGTTCCGGTGTCGGTGCTGGTGCTGATGTTGGTGCCGGTTCTGGCTCTGGTGCTGGTACTGGCGTTGGTGCTAGTGCTGGTTCTGGTTCTGGTTCTGGTTCTGGTTCTGGTTCTGGTTCTGGTTCTGGTTCTGGTTCTGGTTCTGGTTCTGGTACTGGTACTGGTACTGGTTTAAGTGCTGGTGCTGGTGTTGATCCCGGTAGTGGCTCCAGTGTCGGTGCTGGTGCTGATGCTGGCGCTGGTGCTGGTTCTGGTGCTGGTGTCGATCCCGGTGTCGGTGCTGATGTTGCCGGTGGCGCTGGTTCTGGAGCTGGTTCTGGTGCTGGTGTCGATCCCGGTGTCGGTGCTGATGTTGCCGGTGGTGCTGGTTCTGATGCTGGCGCTGATGCTGGTGTCGATCCCGGTGTCGGTGCTGATGTTGCCGGTGGTGCTGGTTCCGGTGCTGGCGTTGATCCCGGCGTTGGTGCTGATGTTGCCGGTGGTGCTGGTTCTGGAGCTGGTATCGATCCCGGTCTTGGTGCTGATGTTTCTGCTGGTGCTGGTTCCGGTGCTGGCGTTGATCCCGGCGTTGGTGCCGATGTTGCCGGTGGTGCTGGTTCTGGAGCTGGCGCTGATGCTGGTGTTGGTGCCGATATTGCCGGTGGTGCTGGCTCTGGTGTTGGTGCCGATGTTGCCGGCGATGCTGGTTCTGGAGCTGGTGCTGGGGCTGGTGTAGACCCCGGTATTGGTGCTGATGTTGCCGGTGGTGCTGGCTCTGGAGCTGGTGTCGATCCCGGCGTTGGTGCTGATGTTGCCGGTAGTGCTGGCTCTGGAGCTGGTGTCGATCCCGGTCTTGGTGCTGATGTTTCTGCTGGTGCTGGTTCCGGTGCTGGTGTTGATCCCGGCGCTGGTGCTGATGTTGCCGGTGGTGCTGGCTCTGGAGCTGGTGCTGATGCTGGTGTTGGTGCCGATATTGCCGGTGGTGCTGGTTCTGGAGCTGGCGTCGATCCCGGTCTTGGTGCTGATGTTTCTGCTGGTGCTGGTTCCGGTGCTGGCGTTGATCCCGGCGTTGGTGCCGATGTTGCCGGTGGTGCTGGTTCTGGAGCTGGTGTCGATCCCGGTCTTGGTGCTGATGTTTCTGCTGGTGCTGGTTCCGGTGCTGGCGTTGATCCCGGCGTTGGTGCCGATATTGCCGGTGGTGCTGGTTCTGGAGCTGGTGTCGATCCCGGTCTTGGTGCTGATGTTTCTGCTGGAGCTGGTGCTGGGGCTGGTGTAGACCCCGGTATTGGTGCTGATGTTGCCGGTGGTGCTGGCTCTGGAGCTGGCGCTGATGCTGGTGTTGGTGCCGATGTTGCCGATGGTGCTGGTTCTGGTGCTGGCGCTGGCGCTGGTGTCGATCCCGGTCTTGGTGCTGATGTTTCTGCTGGTGCTGGTTCCGGTGCTGGCGTTGATCCCGGCGTTGGTGCTGATGTTGCCGGTGGTGCTGGCTCTGGTGCTGGCTCTGGTGCTGGCGCTGATGCTGGTGTTGGTGCCGATATTGCCGGTGGCGCTGGATCTGGTGCTGGCGCTGGCGCTGGTGTCGATCCCGGTCTTGGTGCTGATGTTTCTGCTGGTGCTGGTTCCGGTGCTGGCGTTGATCCCGGCGTTGGTGCTGACGTTGCCGGTGGTGCTGGCTCTGGAGCTGGCGCTGATGCTGGTGTTGGTACCGATATTGCCGGTGGCGCTGGTTCTGGTGCTGGCGCTGGAGCTGGTGTCGATCCCGGTCTTGGTGCTGATGTTTCTGCTGGTGCTGGTTCCGGTGGCGCTGGTTCTGGTGCTGGCGCTGGAGCTGGTGTCGATCCCGGTCTTGGTGCTGATGTTTCTGCTGGTGCTGGTTCCGGTGCTGGCGTTGATCCCGGCGTTGGTGCTGATGTTGCCGGTGGTGCTGGCTCTGGTGCTGGCGCTGATGCTGGTGTTGGTGCCGATATTGCCGGTGGTGCTGGTTCTGGTGCTGGCGCTGGCGCTGGTGTCGATCCCGGTCTTGGTGCTGATGTTTCTGCTGGTGCTGGTTCCGGTGCTGGCGTTGATCCCGGCGTTGGTGCTGATGTTGCCGGTGGTGCTGGTTCTGGCGCTGGCGCTGGTGCTGGTGTCGATCCCGGTAGTGGTGCCGGTGTTGGTACTGCTGCTGATGTTAGTGCTGGCTCTGGTGCTGGTGTTAGTGCCGGTGCTGGTATCGATCCCGGTATTAGTTCCGGTGGAGGTTCTGGTGGTGGTGATGGTTCTAGCGGTGGTTCTGGTGATGGGTCGAGTGGTGGTTCTGGTGATGGTTCTATCGGCGCTTCTGGTGATGGTTCAATCGGTGCTTCTGGTGATGGTTCCGCCGGTGGCTCTGGTGATGGTTCTATCGGTGCTTCTGGTGATGGTTCCGCCGGTGGCTCCGGCGATGGTTCCACCGGTGCTTCTGGTGATGGTTCTATCGGTGCTTCTGGTGATGGTTCCGCCGGTGGCTCTGGTGATGGTTCTATCGGTGCTTCTGGTGATGGTTCCGCCGGTGGTTCCGGCGATGGTTCCACCGGTGGCTCTGGTGATGGTTCTATCGGTGCTTCTGGTGATGGTTCTATCGGTGCTTCTGGCGATGGTTCCATTGGTGCTTCTGGTGATGGATCCAGCGGCCACTCCAGTGGCTACTCCAGCGGTCACTCCAGCGGTCACTCCAGCGGTCACTCCAGCGGTCACTCTAGCGGTGGTTCTGGCGATGGTTCTATCGGTGCTTCTGGTGATGGATCCAGCGGTCACTCCAGCGGTCACTCTAGCGGTGGTTCTGGCGATGGTTCTATCGGTGCTTCTGGTGATGGATCCAGCGGTCACTCCAGCGGTCACTCTAGCGGTGGTTCTGGCGATGGTTCTATCGGTGCTTCTGGTGATGGATCCAGTGCCCACTCCAGCGGCCACTCCAGCGGTCACTCTAGCGGGTCTAGCGGCTACTCCAGCACTTCCAGTGGTCACTCCAGCACTTACACTGGCCACCCCAGCACTTCCAGTGGCCATCCCAGCACTTACACTGGCCATCCCAGCACTTCCAGTGGCCATTCAAGCAGTTCTAGCGGCCATTCCAGCAGTGGCCAAGTCGGCAATGGAGGTACCGACGATTACACCTCCGATCTCATTGACGATCTTGGTGTCTCCGTTTCTGTCGGCAGTAAAACCGGTGGCAACGCGAAGCGCTCCGAACATCCCCCAGCTGCAACCATGGTCTAGACGTGAGTCTCCCCTTTGTCTCTCTGAAAAGCAAGCAAAACTAACGAGTCACTTAGAACTACTGGACTCTCTCAAAAGTTTGGATTTCGAAACATAAAGGACTGGCGTTTATGGATAGAGCTTGGAAATAATTTTAATCTTAATGAGCCTTTATACCTGGCAAGCAATACAAGTTTAGCGTTTCTCAATGTTCACTCTCCGTATTCCCGCCCTGTATTAGACCTGGATATAGACAAAGAAGTATCGCCAGAAACCACGGATAAACAAGTCGACTATGCCTAATAGTCTATGTGTTCATCCGTTATTTGCTTGCCCAAGTCCTCCTATGTATCACAAATTGCCCTGCAACGTGAAAGGGACCCCCGGTCAACCAACACGGTCTACCCCTGCCATATCCTATCATATCCCCAGACTAAGCCAGGCTAACGGTCATTGTCAGGTTACATTAAAAGCGCAAGCGGGTCGTCGCACATAGTGGCATCAATTATTGATGGCGCAGCTATCTCAATGGAATGGAAATGGCTAAATAGAATCAGCCTCATGAATATGACGGTCAATCGCCCCTTATAGTACTCCGTACATAGTATGGGAGAGGCATAACTAGTAAGGAGGGCAAACGTTAGATTGATCCTTTCTCCACATAGTTCCAACGGGGTCATGATTTTCCCACCGGCGACCGTTGGACTGGGGTCAGACCGTCAGGCTAAATTGATAGTGTGTTACGCGATACTAGTCTATATTTTAGGCGATGAAAGGTCTCTTACATAGAGGGGAAGCCAGACTTTCCGTAACTTTGGACGTGCATCCCTTGACGCCCACTGCCCTGTAACACCACTATTGTGCACCCAGCACTTTTACTCATTCGGCTGATGTTGACGACTTACACAGTTAGAGAACAAGATGCCAACAAGATGCCAAGGAATCGCTGAAACTCACAACCCTTGCGACAAAGCGTTAGCCCAGGCTATCAATTACGCGGATCTTTCTAAGCTCCCAGCAACAGAAAGTACCTACGGACCCTCCTGTCTAGCAGAACCGACTACGCTGCCCAAGACTACCAATCCCTGCAATGCAAAGATCAACTCATCAGCCGCAGCAAGTATATCGGCAGCCATGACATCTACTTTGCATGTGCTTCGGGATCGACCTGGGGTAGCTTGCCCAACTCCATCGTCTAGGAATGCAGCCTCGAAGGCGCATTTGGAGATGGGTGGCGCCTGGATTTTGACGGCTTCCTTGCTCACTTCCATACTTACTGTTGTAAAGGTGGTTGGCGCTAATCGCATAATTCATATGGACATTTCGATGTAGACCCGAAAATTTTCCATGTACCTTTTACATAGCCATGCCATAACTATAAGGTACATGCAAAGTTTAGAATCTTGACTATTGGTTAGAACGAGGGTGATGGGTCGTCCGTGGCGCACCCGCTTCAGGTGTGGGAAGCAGCGAAGCTCAAAGGCGCAGATACTAGTCAACGCCTCGAAAACATCCTAGTTATTGATTTTCCAATTATCTAAATACGTAACTCGGAGACGAAGCTTTCAGGGGAATTATCTAGATCTGTCGATCCACGGAAATATGACCGTCTAATCGAATGGGGGAACGGGGACGAGTTCGTGACCACGGTCGCGAACCATGTCACATGTAAGTCGAGCTAAATTGCCATCCCATGGTTCCAATCGCGGTACTCCGTACTCCGTACCTGTTCCAGATATTCCACGGGCCATCTGGAATTTCTCCCTCTTTACCTCCGTGAACCCTATCACAGGATACAACAATGTAGGTACCTCCTTCAATGGATCTCGCATCCATCGAATTTGGTACTTTGCTACACCCTGATTCTTCTCTTTCGGTCTTCCAACTTTGTCTCGGAGCCAGAAGACAGTTTTGGACCTATTTTTGATGCAGATCTGGCTTCACTGATATGACTACGGAGTAATAACCAATACAAAATGCATAACTCCAAAGCTCAATGATGATCATCGTGGACGCGAACAACTGGTGGAGATGAGGAACGTGCTTTGTTCATTTTAGACCTTTTAAAAAGGAGAACGGGAGGCTCCTACTTAAAGGATCCATGGTTCAATTTTGCCTGAACGGCTCGCCATACGGAGAACCGATGTAACGATCTATGATGAACATTGTACCTGCGTAGTGCGGCACTTAAACTTATTTTTGTTTCAAACCCTCTCTACTCCGTACCTTTTAGATGTGCGTTCCAAACTACGAATCTACATGTTTTTACGGAGTACAAGTTCTAGACTACAAGATCGTCAGGAGTTCCACTTTACCCTTCAATACACATTTTTCTGACTACCTAGCGGTACACTGAAATAGACTGAGACGCGTTCGTTTCTTTATTTTCCTTCTTTTTGCTTTTTCCTATGCTCCCTTGTTTCGCATCGTGCTAGCTGCAGCCTCACGGTCCACCTTCTACACGAGATAGGAAGCTGGCTGGCGCAGGGTAAGATACATCCCATAAACCAACACTGTGTGCAACGTGGTTATCGCGATCATCGCAACGGTACGAAAAAGCTAAAGCAATTCTGTGCAACGATAACAAACGAAACACCACGATCGATATTCATCTCTAATCCTCGTCCTCCCCGCGTACTTCATGTCTATCATATGTAGTGCTACTTCCAGGGTAGTAATATGCACATACCAAACACAATGGATATACCCCGCCCTGAGACAACGGGCGTCTCCGACAGGAAATGTAAGGGAGACGGGTGACTCGCGGATATTCACATTCTTCAACTTCGAACTACATCCCTGAGGTTGAGATGTGCAACTCTAAAGTCGGTGTTTTGCTTTTTAGTCTCTGTTGAGAGAGAAACAATTGAAAAAGAATTAATTCGGAGCTGACATGAGATAGAAGACGGGCGCTCCCCGAGGCTTGAATTAAGCGATCAAACCCCAGCAGCAGCGTAAGATCACATGATTGCAGGAAGACAGGAACACGGAGATCCTTGTCTATCATTTTCGAAGGATGTGTACTCCGTACGGAGTAGGTTGAGCTGGAGAGACTGGAGAAAATGCATTGCGTACTGTGTACAAAGTAGTTACTCCGTCTCCGTACTGAGTAGACAGATACATAATCTACTGTAGCAGCTCCCAGTTTAGATACAGCTCGATTGTAATATGAATACATCGGTACAATGTTATTATGGACCCCACTGCCGGATCCCGAAAACGTAGATTGCGATCTGTGACTTTCAATCCCAAGCCCTAACTAGTTACTATGTACGGAGTAGTTATGTTGCTCATTAAAACGCTACCCTCTTAAATCCTATTCGTGATAAAAACCGTTGGACCGAGGCTCCGCTCTGCGCGGGGAAGGGAAGAGGCGTCGGTGGCTGGTCTCAGCGCTCACGCAAGGCAGAGATGAGACGAGGGACTATTTTCGCATGGAGTATCTAATGAATTAGAGACATCGGTAGCAATGTATCATGTTCTACTTGGTACTCCTGTAAAAACGTGTAGAGGGGGGTGGAAAGGGAAGGGAAGAACAGTATGCGCCCCGACTTATCGGGTGATAAGGGTTTGTCTCTCCAGCCAGGGCTCTCCACTCGAGTCTGGGCTCTTGACTCTGCGACTTCAGTAAGTAAGGAATTCAGCAGTTGAGAGATTTCAATATTTTCCCATTGGGTATTGAGTTGGATTTACAATTATCCAATAGCATTGGACTTTGAGCTTGCATATTCTGTCTTCTTGCTACGACATATGTAGAACATACCGGTAAGGAGCCATCTACGCAGTTTAAGCCGGATCACGTCTGTGTATATCGTATTTCCCCCTCTTTGCCAGTCAAACCCACAACATGACCGTCGGGGGTAGGGCAATGTACTAGAATATAAACTGAATAACCCAAAACGGAGCGTACCGGACCGCGGATTCTTTCTTGACTAGGAATAGCTTCTTCTTGCTCCTTCCCCACATGCGGGTCCCCAGCACGTTCTGAACCATCCCCTTGGTCCGATGCATAACTATGCCATTAAGGCAGTTCGGTTCTAGCTCCGTTACAGGAATTTCCTGGACGTTGGGTACATGAACCATGGTAGCTATCCCGCGTTATTTTCTCTTTACAATACTTTTCCAATGTTATGTTTCTTATTTCTTATTTACTGTGATCTGTCCAATGTTTGTGTAGAATATGATCAATGATCAACTCGGTTAGATGCATAGTGTGACCGCTTGAATCTAAACAAAGGACAAATATTGAACAGCAATAACTCAGATCGAGTTGGAGAACATCATACATGCTGATAATTCCATGAAAAAAAAAGAAAGAAAAAGGGAATTATTTAGAAACAAATACCATAAATACCCCTGAACGCGGCTCCACCACTGCCCCGTGTCTTGTATGTACATCGTGTATGTCAATCGTATTGCCCCGTCATCGAGTATTATATTAATTTATTATCAACCTCTCTCCTGTTCCACTTGAGAACCGTTCCTTTCCACTTTCGCTCCTTTATTTTGTAGACGGCGGAGATCTCCAGATTTCCCATCTTATCATGGTGTAGTTTCCTCTCTTTCAATTCCCACCATGTCGATATTCGCACCGCCAATGGCCAAACCTTGGGAGGACGACGGTAGTGACCGTCCATCCACGAACTCTTCCAACGAGCAGCCGGAGCATGCCGCCCATATCCGCTCCAGGTCAATTGCACACGCTCACAGCCCCAAGAGGCTATCGGTCTTCAGCGGCCGCTCCAGAAGCAATACTACCACCTCAACTTCCTCACGCCGCTCACCGGCTTCTTCCATGACCTCGGCAGATGGCTCCAGTCCCTCCGAAGACCGGGCTCCGTCATCCTTGGGTCTCCGCTCCGATAAGCACGACAAGTCAGCCCGCTCATTTTTGGCGCGGGGTAGCCGGATTCTGCGCCGACAGGGTAGCAAGATCAACATCGTCGCCACGCTGGACGAGGTAGACGAGGCCGAGCGTGAGAAGCCTCGTGCGGAGAGGGAGATCTTTGGGCGTCGCTCTCGTCAAACCGATCACAGTACGTGCGACGAAATCAGCTAACAGGTGAAAGTGTGGACGCAATTGACCTCGATTGATATAGGCGAACGCATGAAAAGCATCATCTCGGACCCTTTTGATTTCCACCACTTGACTCATACCAACCCGTCACAATTCCAATCTTTGAATCAAACCCGCGAAAATGACCTCGTCACCGAGTTCTCGGCCATCCGAGCAGCTCAACGTGCCCAGACCGATCTCAAAGGTATCCGTGCCGAGGACATTCATTTCCGTAATTTCTCCAGCGATGACCTGCCCGGGCTTGGGACCGCCACAACGGTCGACGTGCCCAGCGTAAGCCCGCCAGCTTCTCCCAAAACACGCCGGGACCACGTGCGTAGTCCTTCCCGCGCCAACGAAAACTTCTCGCGGCCAGCTTCCAGATATCCTCGCTCCTGTCCCACAACTCCTCCACCTTCCGCTGTGCCGGAGACCCCCGCACCTGAGACCTGTGAGCCAGAACCTCGTGCCATTGACGAAATCCTGGGCCTGTCCTCTGCAATGACGTATCCGGAGTGTCTCCAATCAGTGCAGCCGACTCGCTTCTTCAGCTCGGAACCACCTGCATCTGACACCAGGACCTCGTCCATGAACAGCCACTCTGACCTCGACGATGTGCCGGAGGAAGAGGAAGCGACTCGCTTCTTCAGCCCTGAACAAAATGTGAATGATCACACTAGGAACTCGTCCTCGAGCAGCCACTATGACTTAGCGGATGTCCCAGAGGAAGCGGAAGCGACTCGGTATTGGCACAGTCCTGATTCTAGCACAGGGAACCCCCATTCCCGCACAGCTTCTCACGCCAGCCCACCCCCAGCCGGTACCCAGTCACCCAAGACCACCAATTCTCCGATGTCAATTCAAGTCGCCGAAGAGCTGTCCAGGAAATTCTCCGAGACGCTTGGCTCACCGACTCTTCCTCAACATCTTCAGCACGCCCCTCATGCACAGATGGCGATCACAACACCCGAGGACATCACCCGCCTGCACCAATTTTCATACGAAGAAGAAATGTATGATTCATGGGACGCAGACATCGACTACTGCTACGAGCACGCAGCCGAATCCACCTCCAACTTCGACTGGTCTCGCACATCCCTGGACGAAGGCCGCCCTCAAATGGGCGTAACCTGTAACGAGGCTTCCTGGCTCTCCCCAAGGACCAGACAGCTCCAGCCCAGCCCACTGAGCACATCCGCCCTCCCCACCCCCGACTTGGACGCCAGCCCAGCGCAGTCAGTACCTTCGCACTCCGCCGCGACCCCCTCAACGGCAGACTACGAGCGGGAATTCATCGCACGCAGCGATGGTTATTTCCAACCCGTGAACTCAATGCTCCCATCAATGGGCAAACAAATCCCCCACGAACCATTGTACGAGGAGTACTTGAACGACAGCGAATCAGACCGCCACTTCCCCTTTTCCCAGGGCATGATGGGTCCCATCTCCCCGCGCAGCAGCTTCTCCCCAATCAGCAAGTGTAACTCACAGGAGAGCCTGATGCTCTCGCGCGCCGCCTCCATCGCCCGCAAACACCGCTCCTCCGTCTCAACAGGCAGCGTCCCCGAGTTGATCCACAGCCTATCCAGCAGCCGCGAGCTGATGCCAACAGACCGGGTGACCGCTGGCGAGGCACTCACCCGTCCATCCTCATCCTCACACCACCGCCAGACCAAGAGTCTCGCCGAGGCGCACTTCTTCCTCCCCAGTGGCAGCAACACCAGTCTCGACGGCGTGGAATTCCCAATGCCGGCAGTGCACGACCGCGCCAAGTCTGCCTCCGAGGTGGATACAGCGCCCGTGAAATTTGAAGCTCCACCCCCTGCTGTCCCGACCAAAAACCCGAACCGGAAGAAGGGTCGTTCGCCTTCTTACTCTCTCTTCCCATCGCTCACTGAGTGATGCATTACCATCGTTACGATCAACTCCAGCTCGGAGTTTGATCTCAATTTTCTTTTCTTTTCACCCCTTGCATATGATATCTATCACATCTCTCGCTTTGTCACCCGATAGACACCTCACCTACCGCTCCATGAAGTCCACGATCAGTGTTTTCCTAGTTTCATTTTCATCTTTGTTTAACTTGTCTTGTCTTTGCCTGTGAGCCATACTTTTCTTATCTGTTTGCGTTTTTGTGTTTCACCTGTTGGCCTTGGAATCTTTCTCGATGCATTTCTCAGCGATAGCGATTTTTACCGGCCTGGTGTCTTGGAAGGGAAATTTGGGAAAAGAAGAAAAAAAGGACTGGGAAAGGAGGAAATCTGATTGGGAATTTCCATTTTGTTGGGGTCTTTCGCTTGTATTCAATTTCTTTGCCTTCATATGTTAGACTCTGTTTCTTATAGAAGGGGCTTATTGCTCCAATACAACGCGTTGGTTTGCATGACTGTCCTTTCTACATGTAGTAACTAGTGTGCGAGAAGCTGTAGCATCAGGCCCAGAGGATTGGTGGAATCATTGATGTATCTGGTCCAGACGGTCAGGCTGATTGTTGCATTGACTGTCTCTTGTCTAATGTCTTGTCCTTCCTGCTCTCCATACAATCCAAGTTCATAAAAATACATGGCCATCTTGAATGTTTGGTAATCTCCATGGACTGTACGATCATGCTACTAGCAGCCCATGATCCCTGCACGACTTCCCCGGTTCTGTGATCTGTCTCATCTGGAACTTGACTCTGCATGGTCGACTGCATGATCATTTTCGACTGCACCGTCAACTGCATCGCCAACTCCATTTCCACTTGGATTTCCACTTGGATTTCCAATAACTGGCGCCCCAGGCCACCACCCCCAGGCAGGTACGGCTCCACCCATCGGTACCATCATAGTACGATAACCCTCACCTTTGAGGCAGGCACGATTGCGTTGACTCAAATCCGAGAACGGGGTGTCAGTAAGTTGTTCGAAGATACGTCTCGGGCCCGGCCCCGTATGTCCCAGGACCAATATTCCAGGCTTTCCAGCACGGGAATGAACCATCCACAGAGGGTCATCTGGGCGACGGCCTGCACCAAGACAGATCCACCTTGTGATCAAAAGCGTGACACAGTTCTGTGAGTCTGTGTATAACTCAATCATAAAGTCGGTGTTGCATTTTCCGCAGGTACGAGATATGTGACAGAACCAGTCACCAAAGCGCGAATAGTTCGGGGCGCCGCGGCGTGCGCTAGCGATTTGCTCGATATACCATGAGAGCGGAGTATGTGCGCAAACCCGGAAAAACAGATTTGGATTCGGTTCTGCCTTGATGTGGAACGCAGGCAGGCAGACCCTAATATCATTCACGAGCATTATATCCTGGACTCGCATATAGAGACTCGGGGGATCGGGACATATCTGGGTATCGACGGAGAATAGGACAGTTGATCCAAGGCAATTGGGTCCAGAGGGACTGTGAGATCTCACTTCCGTGAAGGATAGGCTATTCGTGCTAATCCCATATTGAGGACCGTAGTAAAGTTGTCTCATAGCAAGGTTGAGATGAGCGAAGTGGAAAATGTAATTGGTGTACACCTTTTGGCTGTGATGTAGCATCAAATGCAATCGATCGAATAGACAGAGTGCCTGTCTCGGGGGTTGCTTCAGGGGGTAGCCACATCTGAAGTCCAGGAGTGTCAGACCTACTAGCTGGGGAAAACCTGTTCTGCATTCCTGCAGAGAATTGCAATAGTAGCAGATGAAGTAACGTGGGTGATCATGCTCAAGTCGACGCAGGAGAGATAACCGGCTGTCGTGGTTCATCGTGAGGCGACCGGTGATTCTCTTGAGTATCCCGAGCAATCGATGGCTGCAAAGTGAGAGACTGTAGATATCTTCCGGTGGAAGAAAATCTGCAATGCATAAAACTACCTCGGGGGGAAGACTGGTAAGCATGTTTGGAGGTTCAGGATCCTGAAGCAAAAGAGTGTAACCTAGGCGTGAGAGTACGAGATATACTGAAAGTCCTCTCAGCCCTCGGGTTCAGATGGATGGAATACTCTGCTTCGGGTGTTTCTCAGAGCATGCGGGAGGGCAAATGAATGTGCCTTCGATCAAGACCGGGGTGTCTCGTTGACAGAGAGCGCCTCCGGGAGGGCAAATGAATGTTCCTTCGATCAAGACCGGGGTGTCTCGTTGACAGAGAGCGCCTCCGGGATAGTAAATGAATGTATCCTCGATCAAGACCGGGGTGTCTCGTTGACAGAAGAAAGGGACGTAAGTATCGCCAGTTGGAAGACGTCAAATAGGGCTGTCACGACCTAATATGGAAGGAGACGCCCACGTCCGCAGCTCAAGGAGGATTAGTACGGACAGGTACGTTACCTAGGGAACCTCCCAAGATTGGAAGCAGCTTTATGTGATCTATAGCGTTGTAGTTAGCTGAATCCATGCTATGTGGGTTGCAGATGTACAGCCCTGAAATGTTCTCTTCCAGAATGTGGTACCTAGGTTCAGGCTCTCGAACTGCCCTTCGACTCTCGAGGGGTCTAGTTGGGAGGAGTCAACATCTGATACTTGCCGAGTGTTCGGATGATCCTTGATATGTCACCATCATATGTGACCTCATGTAATTTATTAGAGGCGTTGCCGCATTGGAAGATGCTTCCATGAAACCTGCGCACTTGTGTTAGTAGTAGTATTCTGTCTGAAGCCGTTAAAACTGGCCGGTTCTGCAGTGATCCTCTGGATGTCTGTTCAAAAAGAACACCCCAAGCAGCTCTTAACAATCTAGCCCCTGGGCACCCAAGTAGTACTAAGTAGTCAGTTGACTGTTGAAGCCCTTCTAAAACAATGTAAACATACCTACATGTATCTAGGCAGGAGTGACAGGACCTATCTAAGAGCAAGATGGCAGTGGCGGTGGAAGCATACCTGCCTAAAGCGGTTAGACCAACAATCATCTGATTCGTTATCTTATCGCCACAACTCATCGCTCGTCATTCTTCTCTCTTCAAGTTGACTTCAACTGTACAACCATGGCCTCCTCTTCTTCGCAAGAGGTGGCCAAGAGGCCTGATGGCCAGCTCATGCCTCCCCCACCGCCCCCGAAGCGAGTCAAACGCCCCGCAACTGTCCTCAACGAAGACGTCTACACCAACGCTTTGTCCCACATCATCGCCCGCGATTTCTTTCCCGGATTACTCGAAAACCAGGTCAAGCAGGAGTATCTGGAGGCCCTCGAATCAAAGGACAAAGCATGGATTGGAAGTGCCAAAAGGAAGCTGGCTGATGTCATGCGCACGCCCACTCCGGGTTCAAATATGAGGCGAAAATCAGAGCACGCATCGGTCCCGGGCACACCGCAGCATTTCCCGTCTACGCGACCTGAAGACACTCCACATGGCTGGGGAGGGGATACACCTATGTCGGTTGTCTCGACTTCCACGACAGCCACCGAGACACCAGACTTGAATATTCCCGATGTATCAAATATGGGATTGGTTGCCTTCCAAGCAAAGTATACCAGCGAAGACAATGAGGCCTTCAACAAGGTCCTTGATAAACAGAATGAGAAGAAGCGAGAGAAATATCCCTGGTTATGGAGTGGGAACAAAATACCCTCGGCACGCCAAATTGCGCATCACCAACGAGAAGCCAAGCGCATCACAGCTCAAGGCGGAAACCCACAAATGGGTCTCATCAAACACGACGAACATGCACAACCGGCTATCAAGGCAGATTTGGATGCCCGCCCCGCAAGGCCTGACACGTGGAAAACTCGCCCAGATAACACTCTTATGTTTCTCCCTTCCTCAGTGGAGGACAGTCACGAGACACTGGCCCAGAAAGCTGAATCGACGTCCCGAGCAGCACCCAAACGAACGCTCTACCAAAACACAAGGCTCTTAGACCCAAGTGCTGCCGCAGCAGCGGATGCCGCGAATTCCGTTCCCCCTTCGCCTTCCATATCCGCTATCCAAGATGCTATCGCCGGCCGACCGCATCTCAGCGAGTCCGAAGCCGCATCGGCTTTCGCAGGAAGTGAAACTCCCAGGGTCAACGGATATGCCTTCGTCGATGAAGACGAGCCTGAGCCGGAACCTGCCTCTGGCTCAGACGACATGGAGGTGGACTGGCGCCTCCTCGGACCGAGCTCTGAAAAGCCCAACCCATTCAAACTCGGCGAGACTGGCAAGCGCGAAGCCCTGCATCATCGCATGGTAGACCGTGTGGCGCGGAACAAACGTGCTGAAAAGGCCGCCCGTGTCACGAAGACTCCTGTCTCGTTCACGCCCCGTTTTGCCAGTAGTCCCCGGTTAGACTATGGGCTGCAGTCTACACCTGGAGCTAGTTCTACTAGCGGCTCTGTGTCTGGTGGGTATTCTGGCAAGATGCTTACACCTGCGGCGCAGAAGCTGCTACAGCAGGTCGGGCGGACGCCCAGGTCTGGAGAGAAGTCTGGACTGGGGAATGTGTGGACACCGACACCTCGGCGAAAGTGATGTTTATGGTTTTCGTTTTGTCGTTTTAGCAGCATTATACCACTGGATAGGCCTCATCGGCGTTACATTATTATTTCATTTTTTATTCCTCAGGACGTGAAGCCGAGTGTACTCCGTAAGAATGGTAGTCCAGTATGAACGAGATGAGATCGGAATGGACAGGAACCGCAATCCCGAGTATCCCATCCGGTCCCGACGTCGGTACTACGAGGTCGGCTTTGTAGTTCGACGTGCTCTTGACTTCGTACTATTTACATATCCGACAGATACCTTTCATCTTCAGTTCAATATTGGTTAGAAACTTAGACCGGTCCTGAGATTCGTGGGTTATCTACATGCCGTGACTTGGAATTGGAGACTAACAAGACCACAGATTCCATGAACTGGTCCGAGAGTCAACATAAATTGATCTTCACATAATCAATCATGCCAATATCTTCACTGATATCTCAAATGATGAGCATCTCAACCCCAGAGAACCAAACTGCATCTCCAGAATCAACAACCTCTGAAAATCTCCCCAAGACCAAAGATTCAGAAACCATTCCACCAACAGAGCCAGCAGAAGAAAAAGAAATCTCCACACCCAAAACATATTCCCCAGCAACCCTCCTCTCAACCCTCCTATCCCCATTCTCCAGGTCCTTCTCAAGCACATCCTCAGAGAGGCAGACCACCAACGAGAAAGTCGAAGAGAAAGAGAAAAAAACCAACCAAAACACACATATCAATTGAACCCCCAACCCCAACCCCAACTCCCATCAAAACCCCAGTTGAACCAGAACCATACTACACGCCCGAAGAAACACCGCTCTTCAAAACCCTTCTCAAAACCCGCCTAACAAGAACCCGCACAAAACAGCTCATCCGTGCGGGAGAGCGGACATACAATGATCCCCCGCCGCCGCCGGGATTGGGTGATTGCTGTGGGAGCTCGTGCGATCCTTGTGTGAGGGATTTGTGGAAGGAGGAGATTGGGATTTGGAGGGAGAGATGGGGGGATAGAGGGGTTGAGGATGGGGAGAAGAGTGAGGAGGGAGGTGGGGAAAAGTTGGAGTCGAAGAGGAAAGAGTTGGAATGGTGATTGTTCAGCTCCATTATATGAGATAGGTGTGTATAGGGTGTAGTGGACATGAATGGGTGTATGATTCTGTTGCGGAGATGGCTGGTTTGAGACCTCAAGGTACGAGGTTCAGGATGTTACATGCTGCATACTAACTACCTGACTATGTGGTCAGACATGGATAATTTCCACAGGAACCAACAGAGCCATCCAAAGACATGTATTCAGGAACAATCTACACCAAAAACATAACCCCCATAACAATCAAACTAGAAACCCAAGCCCAAGCACCCAGCCTCACCCCAAGGCTCAAAGAATACACAGCCCCAAGATAAGAACAAGTGATAATCCCATCAGAATTCCGATATCCATACGAAGAATTCAGCAACCTCCCCTCCGGACACCCGAATCCGAGCGCAGACGGACAGTCCTTAACCAGCGTATGGCAGATATCCTGACAAGGCAGGATCTCCTTGTACGGGCCCGGTCGAATCTTCTGATCGATAATAGCATTTCGCGACGAGTTCGACGCCACTGATTTCCGAAGCGGACTATCAGACGGCAAAGACGAGCCATTGATGAACTCCTGGCCTGCATTACGGACGGCCAAGTAGGTGGCTGGATTGCTGTAGTCTGCGCAGCGGGGGATTGTGACGCCGCAAAGCCATTGTTTGTATGCTTTTGCGCAGTCGTCGCAGTCGACGGCGAGGGAGAATCTTGATTCCGGGGGAGCTTTGCATTGGATTTGCTGGAGGGAGTTGCTGAAATTTTGGTAGTAGGAGGCTGCGTAGTCGTCGTAGATTGTGCGGAGCTTGTTGACGCTGAGTCTTGGGTTTGAGGGGACTGCGTAGGCGACTTCCGAGCAGAAGGTTAGGTTGAAGAGCACGGCACAGTTGTCATCTGGAAACGGGGTTAGAATGGGGATTTTGCTTAATTTGGGAGGGTGTATAGATGTGTCTTACCTGTTTTGGTCGTGAAGTTCATCGGTTTCCATACCTGGCCGCCGCCGCCGACAATGCCATTCCCAGACGCAGTCGAATTGCCCACCATGGCCAGAAGCCCACTGTAAGATGAACTCTGGTTCAGTCCTGTGATGTAGAATTGCTCCTTTGGCTTGTTTCCAAGTCCGCGGCTGGTCATGCCAACCTCGGTGGAATTGCTGATTCGGCCCACCTGGGAAAGCGCATCGAGGGCGCAGAACGATCGTTCCAGCCCTCTCAGCGATGTGTCATTGCTGTTGTGGGCGAACATAGTATACGGAGGAACGAGGTTCATCCACTGACGGTAATTGGAGGAGTTGCTCGCGGATAGGGTGAGATTGTTCGTCACCAGCAGCGCGGCTGACACGTCCGCGTCGATAAAAAACAAATTAGGGTCATCATCCACGACTTTGTGAAAATAGGCGTCGATAGATGCTGCAATCTGGAAGGTATAATCTCCAGTATAGTCGGTCGAATTGGGAGCCGCGACGCCGATGAAGACATCGCTATCGGTAGTCTTAGTGATTCCCACATACCCGCCAACGGCAGTGTGAACCTCCTGCTGCGAATCATCTTCCCCCGGTCCCGGCTGCTGCAGCTTCGCCGACTTCGAGACATACACTTGCAGCTGCGGGAATCCACTTTGCGAACTGGTTGTGTTTCTATGGGGTTTGCTGCAGGTCGTAAGCGACAGATAGACTGTCGTCGTCTCTCGCTTCGCGAGATCCTCGTCTCGTTTCCGTAGCTCTTGGCGCGATTCAAAGTCATCATCAGTAGCATTCACAAACGCAGGCAGACCCGTGCCTTGCACGCCGTGCTTGCCGTTCACCACGGCCGCCGGCAGGTAGAACCATTCCACAGCGCCGATCTCGAGCGAGCCCGCTACGAACTGATTGTTACCCAACGCTTTCGCAGCATTGGGGTATCTGCGCACGAGATCCAGCCCATTTGACTCGCCATCTTCGTCGGCACTGTCGCGGAGTTCGAGCCCATTAAATGAGTCTAGCGGAACTGGGAATCCGGCCCCGTCACTGGCGATCGCCCCTCGCAGGTTCGATGTATTTTCTGCAGCGGGGCTATGGGTGGTTTCGGCATAAGCGACGGAGTTGCAGGCGAGCGCGAAAAGGAGGCCGATCGCGCTAATTGTTGCAGTAAGATAGCACTGCAGCGCGCGGTATTGATGTCGCATGGAAAAACGGAGGGGAGGGTGTCGCTGCACAACTCATGTAGCTTGGCAGATAAAGGTATTACGGGCAAGCGGTGGCATACACCAGCTGTAAACCTCTTCCTGGAGGTTGAATCAACGGCATGTAGTCGAAGTCGAAAGGTGTTTGGATGAGACCTGGGCTATCGTGGAAGATGCCCGCCTTATCAATTTGGCTGCCTTGGTGCCTTGCTCGGAACACGTACGCGCAGGAGTATTTAGGGCACGAGAGAATTTACAGATCTCAATAATCTACGTTGTTCGGTTCCTTTCTCAAATGTATGTAGTATTTCATTCAAAAATGTATTGTACGAAGGGCAGAATGTATAGCAGAAAATAAGAACAGAATAGACTCAAGTCAATCGACAATTCGACATGCAAGTAATCTAATTTTCAAGTTTCAACCCCCAAGCCTCCATAGCAAGCAATAAGCAATCAGACCAGCCGCTGCCAGCGGGCCAGGGCCATGCTGACAATAACGATACCAGCCATCACACCTAAAATGCCGAAGAACCAACTCAATCCAGGCGTGTTCTGGCCAGGAACTTGGACGTTCATACCGAACAAACCACAGATCAGGTTCATAGGCACCAGAATCGTGGCAATCAGAGTAACCTTGCTAAGAACCTTGTTGACGTGGTTACCCAGCACCAGGTTGGTGACATTCAACTGTGCCAGGTAATTGGTATGCGACCGACTGAGCATCTTTTCGAAATGCGCCAAATTCGACATCATCGTCACGACGTGATCCTGGATATCACCCAGGTAAAGACCAATATCGCCACGGGGGGTCACCGAGTACTGCTCGTTGCAGCGCTTGGAGAATCCACGAATAACATCTGCTTTGCCGCCTAGTAGGCGCATCAGACTCATGACCTTCTTTCGCAGGCCTCCAATGCGGGGGAGGAACGATTCAAAATCGTCAACGCGAGCGATGAATACGTGATCTTCGATCGCCTCCGACTCCAATTCCACATCGCGGATCACGGGGCCGAAGCTGTCTACAATGTCGTCAATCATTGCATAACAGATCCAGTCACTACTGAGGGACACATAGTCTCGCAGTTTTCCAATACGCTTCCGAACGTTGGAGGCGTGGGGGTTATCCTCAAAGGAGAATGTGAGAACGCCGTCTCGGAAGACAACCATGTAGAAGTTGACAGGCTCGAGGAACTCCTCGCTAGTCTTATCCATTTGGAAAAAGGTTCGGAAGCAGACAAAGTAGTACTGTTTGAACAGCTCCACCTTCTCGCGAGCTTCCTGCATCTGAATATCCTCCGTTGTCAGCGGATGGATAGAGAAAGCCCGAGAGATAGCGCCCAGTTCCTCCTCGGTGGGGTTGACAACATCCAGCCACCACACGCCTCCTTCGGGTCCAAGCTCAAACAGGTCTCGGAAGGTCTCGCCAGGGAGCACAAGATCTCCCAGGTCGGAAGCGTGCACTGTGGTTTGGGACTCAGACGAGAAGAAGCCAAAGCGAGTGCGCTGGTTTGTATTCTGGAGCGTCTGAACCAGCTCCTTTTCGTCTGTGATTTTGCCGTTCTTCTTCTCGTCTACATGCTGTGTGTCCGACGAATCGATCTTCTTCAGTTCACTCGTATCAGAGCTGTCAGCGCCAGGGCGCAGGTCATAGAATACGCGGGGTCTCTTGCTCTGCGAGCTGGTGCTCTGCTTGCGGTGAATGCCATCCAGGCCTTTGGGGCCGGGGTTGAGGGCCACAAACTCTTCAAGTTCCTCGTAGTCGATGACGGGAATACGGCCCGGCGGGTCGTAGCAAGCCTCCTCTGCGTTTTCGAAAGGCGCATCCCCCAATTGTGGTCGAATGACACTGGCATTGCTGAAAGTTGGACGCCGGTTGTGGGTTCCGCCTGACACGGTGCGCTGCAGAATAGCATCGAGGTCGGGAGGCGCATGACTGTCCAGGGTATTGGCGCGCTCGCGGCGACGAGGGTCGGCAAAGGCTTCGACTGAATTTGGCGGGGAAGAGGATCGAGCGGACACGGAAGAAGAGCAGGAAGCATTGGTGAGATCCTGCTTGACGATGCTCACGCGGCGAGGAGTCTGATACGTGGCATTGGGATCGACTGAGAATCGTCGGCCAGTTCCGTTCATCTCGTTAAGTGAACGATCGTCATCCACCATGGCATTTTCAAAATCCCGAAGAATCGGGCCGTCGCGGTAGGCATCGTTGGCGTTAAGCAGATCTGGACGCTCAAGCATTTCCCCGACAGGCCCAGGGGTGGTGTCGTGCGGGCTGTAGGAACGCTCGACGGGTGCTTCAATGCGTGGAGGCGTTTGCATCTGGAGGCGGTGATCGTCCAGTTCGGGTACCGGGGTGCTGTACCTGGTCAGGTACATAGACCTATCGGATCTGGGAGACTCCGACATCGTGAGCTCTTGGTGTATGAGGATTATACAAATGCGATTAGGGCGCCAGATTAGCTGATTTGTTGTGTGGTCGAATTGTTATGTTTGCTTCTTGATAGCACGACGGCCGGAGCAGACGCAAGCCGGTACGAGGTTCGTTCAAGGGTGACGGCCCTCCATCCATAAGCCAGACCCTTCACAAGGGTCTGGCGTTACCGACTAACGTCTGACGGCCACAATAAGGACGATGTTGAAACCCAGTTAGGGGGTCTGGTGTCGCCCCCGCAGAAGACCCGGAATTTGGGGCCTGCAAGAGGGTGGAGGAGAGAAGCCTGAGTGTAGCGAAGTCCCGCCAACTTGAAGAAGTGGGTAGTCGAGGAGCTAGGATGCTCCAGGGTTGCTGTTTCGACGAGAGAAGCGAGTGAGGCCGGCTCGCAAACCTTTCAGTTGATGACGTCGAGATATGAGTTCTCGATTGAGGGTTTGACTTGGGGACAAGGAACCAAAGACCTTTGTCCTTTCTGAATTGAGATGTCCAAATTCACCAGTTCGAGGTGTGAGAGAAGGGAAGGAGGGAAGTGGGAAGAGGTAGATTAAGTGGCGAGAAGACGGAGCGGCCGAAGATGGTTTCGGAAGCCGTCCACAGAGAGGCAAAGTCACAAAGAGTAGGAGTTTCAGAGGGCGCTACTGATAAAGCACCTCAGGGGTTTGGCAATAAGGAGAAGAGAGAAAGACCACAGTGGGGGGGGGGGGGGGTGGCCAGAACTAGATGTATGAGAGACACAAGATTCCAAGCTTTGGTGAAAATTTCAGCAAGCGGGTACGTGCCCGGTCTCCCGTTTCAGCAGGATAAAGGGGAATCACCTAACAAACCAGGAGAGCCTACGGAGTATTCTTAGCTCGAAAGCACTGCGTAGCTATCTGATTATTTGAGGCATTTCCTGCCGAATTTCATTAGGGCATTCAAGACAATATGATCGCGGCTTTTAGGCCAATTGTATTCGAGTGAAATCCCGGTGCTTATTAGCGTCTTACTAGAATTTGCCCCCACGAGGCATTTTTGTACTTCAGTCTTCAACCTTGGAATTGATCTAGGTTTAGGTTGGGATCGTGAAGGAGATGACTTTTCTAAGTTTTACTGCATAACACCGTACGATGTATTCTATTTCTGTTCTTTTTTTCACTTCTTGGTTCTGTATGTGGGACTGTTCTGTAAGAACAACCGTACTCCGTACTCCGTACAGTAATGGAGACGGCAAGAAGCACACCGACAATGCAAAAATACAACGAGAAATTAGGTAGACATTCCAAGTTGACACTGTTCCTACTAGGTACTCCCTACAACTTGAACCCAATACACAGTATCCGTACTTTGTAGCAATCCCTCGTTGATCGAGATCCAACTGTCCCCACTCCGGTTGCCGACGTCGGCCAATTTTTTTGGAACGCCAAGAAGTTCAGAGTCACATATCAAAGAGGACTATTTCAAACATTGTACTCAGTAACTCGGACTTTTATCAGCAAACACACACATAGAAGTCAATATCTGCAATGACTTCTTTCGTGCTCAAAATCCCTTGCTCCTCGGCCAACATTGGCCCCGGGTTTGATGTGATCGGCCTGGCACTGTCCCTCCATTTGGATATCCACGTCACCATCGAGCCCACATCCTCATCCCAGTACCCTTTCAACTGCGCCATCACCTATGAGGACCAGAGCAAGAGTGTGGAGCAGATCAGTCTCGACCCAGAAGTCAATCTGATCACCCGAGTAGCCTTGTATGTCCTCAGATGCCACGATCAGCGAGCCTTTCCCGTGGGGACTAAGGTGCACATTGTCAACCCTATCCCGTTAGGCCGGGGTCTGGGCTCATCTGGTACCGCCGTGGTGGCCGGTGTCATGCTAGGAAATGAGGTGGGTAAGCTGGGTTTGAGCAAAGAGCGATTGCTCGATTTCTGCTTGATGATTGGTAGGTTACTATGTTTTTTTATCTCCCTTCATCTGAATCTCGGAAGGGCGGAACTGAAGATGGGATGTCATATCGTACATGAACTAACACGTGAGGACAGAACGACACCCCGATAACGTGGCTGCTTCCCTCTTCGGTGGGTTTGTGGGCACCTATCTGAATGAGCTTAAGCCCGAGGATGTGGCACGAAAAGAAATCCCTCTCAGTGAAGTCCTGCCTGCTCCGGCAGGTGGAGTTGACACCGGTATCAGACCTCCTGCGCCACCAGTGGCCATTGGTCATTACAGGAAGTTCAACTGGGCTCCAGAAATCAAGGCCATTGCCATTATCCCCGACTTTGTGGTGCCTACGGCCAACGCCCGTAACGTACTCCCGGAGACCTACTCCAGGGCGGACGTGGTATGTTCGCTGTCTCAAATATGATGTATACCCCTTTGAAAACTAATCCATGGCTAGGTCTTCAATCTTCAGCGCGCGGCACTCCTCCCCGCGGCATTGGGAAGCTCGCCGCCGGATCCTGACATGATCTTCCTTGCCATGCAGGACAAGGTGCACCAGCCTTATCGCAAGACACTGATCCCGGGATTGACTGAAATCCTCCAATTCATGACCCCTACCACTCAACCCGGTCTGTTGGGAATCTGTCTCTCCGGTGCAGGACCGACCATTCTGGCATTGGCCACAGAGCGCTTCGAAGAGATTGCTGACCGCATCATCGCACGGTTCGCTGCCAATGACATCACCTGCCAATGGAAGCTACTCGAGCCAGCTCACGATGGAGCTACTGTCACCTATAACTAAGATATAGCGCGCTTTGTTTCGTCAAAATGACTGCTGCCTGCGAGTGAGCGGTGCGTCGTGCTTGGCACATCGTCGGCAGCATTGGCGCATTGGGACTCGGGGAAAGTCTGCATAGGGCTATAATGGAAAGGAGAATTCCTGCTTTCAGTGTCGCCACATGGGTCATGCAAGATCTCGCTCTCACCGCTGCTCCTTGCTTTGCTCATTGCAGGTCCATGTGAACCTTCCGACTCGGCAGGTTGCACTTGGCTGATTACCGAACTTGCGAATTTTGTACGATGGTACATGGTGGGCTAGTGCTAAGGACTTGGTTCCTCTCAGCAATGCTTTGACTCGGGTACTCAATTTATGGCTAGAAGTATAGATGGCGGGCTACATCGAATGAAATCATGATCAACCACGTAACACAACCACCGAAGCTAAAAAGAATAATCTACTTAAGAATCCGGTCAGCAGCAAGACGTAGCAGACTGGAGAATCTTGAAAGATCCAGTCCATCGCTAAAGGTCATAAAAGATACTCCGACCAAACGCCCAGAATAGTTGTTGTAGAGACAAGGCGGTCCGATGTGGCAGAAGTCAAATGACACCATTGCGATAAGCCGCTCGGCGTCAACCAAGGGATCGTGGAATTCAGCCTATTGACCACAGTTTCAACTAACTTGCTTCAATCATGGATGATCTACTCGCGCCTATTCAAGATGCCCTGGAAGGCCAAATTGTGCGCCCATTCCCTCTGTCTCCGTTGTTCCCGCACCCGGATTGAAGCTAATGACATCTCGATAACAGGACTTCCACGGCCAGCGTCTGGCAGAGCTCCTTTCTACAGTTTTGCTGATTATCTCCGGGGTATGTTGAGTACCCATGGGGTTGTTACCACCGGGTCTAACATTACTGCTATAGGCTGCCAGTCTCGTCATCGGATACACCTACAAAGACATTTACCTCACGTTATGGACCGGTTTGGCGGGCACATTGTTCACAGCTCTCGTTGTCGTCCCACCCTGGCCTGTATACAACCGCAATCCAGAGAAGTGGCTTGGCTCAACGGGCGGGAAACCAAACCCACGCATAACGGTGGACGGCGTGAAGGTGCAATAAGTGCTTGTCAAGCGTAATAAACACTGGATTGATAATAGCAGCGCTTTCTTGTCTGTTACGAAGTATGGAATAGCATGGAGCTGTTCGGCATAATAATTCGAACGTCGGACAAACACCTGTGTTATCGTAAAGATCCGGATGTGTCAAGGGGTTTAAGCTATCAGAAAATTGGGCATGTAGCATAAGCCAGAAATCATGAATTTGTATCGTGTAGTTTCTCCAAAATCCTAGGCTCAACCGCTTTACCGGCCGTACTTCTGGAATTCCCAGTCTCGGTTGTCCAATGGGCAGACCTGACGGGTCTTCAGCCATCTCGATATGCAGTGGAAGTGGAATGCGTGCTATAGTAAGCAAGTGATTAGTCCATGATCAAAGGGTTGGATGGGGTGGATGCGGGAGTCCTCACGTTGCAGATACCCCAGGCAACAGTACACTCTTCCGTTGTTGATGATCCTTGGTTGGCCTGGCATTCAATGCCTGTTGCGTCAATCGGTTAGCTTGTCGGGTATGAGAATTCAGAGGTATGGAGGTTAGGCGTACACAGATCCATGATGTGGTTTCGGCAAATGGCGCAGTTATCGACAACGATATCCCACGCCCACAAGGCAACGGCGTTCCACTTTAAAGCGAGTTGTCAGTGTCATGTAGGCTTTCGAAGGAGGGACTTGTGTACCTTCTTGACCTCAAACTTCTTCTTGTCGCTAGCATCGGTGCCCTTTGCGACCGCCTTGCCCTTGGAGGAGCCTGTAGCGGCTTCTTTCATCTCCACATCGGCCATCTTGAGAATATCTGCCGGGCTTGAATGCGTTGTGTTTGGGATGCTTGGCCGAGACAACAAAAGCTATCTGGAGTGGGGGGATCGGGACTGTGACTGAGGTAAGTGAGGCTCCGACAGACGGTTTAGGGCAATGATCGAGAGCGGTGATGGTAGTCGTAATGTGCAAACAGAAAAGTATGGACATACCTCTTTAGCGTTGTGGAAAGAAGACGTGCTTTCAAGGTACCCAATGCACAATGAGACCAGTGACCCTGTCCAGCAGTTGCTCTCACGATAAAGGTGTTTGGCTGTGTTTGCTGCCGCTATCGCGAGGCAGGTGGCGACTTAGTCATCACGATCCGTCTCCCCTCCCGGTTTGGCTGCATCCGACAACCTCTCACCCCAACCCAATAACAATGATTTTATATTCATTTGCTTCTCTTCGTTCTTCTTCTTTAGAGATGTTTACAGTTGCTGCCTGTTATTGACAACCGTTCCATTCACTTTGAGCTACCCAAGACGTTCCAGCGAACCGTCGATGTTTGCCTTTGGGCGGCAACATCACCTGTCTACCAGCTTGACTCACCTTGCGACTCCTTGACTTTCTTGGTTTTACAAACTTCACTTTCTCTGCTTTCTCGGCGTTGTCATCTTCTAATCTTGTCGACACCTGCTGAGCAGCCTCTGACTGACCTTTCCTGATTCTTCTCTTTACTGCTTCGTCATAGCGTTGCTCTTCTCTTTCTCTTTACCTCTCCCACCGGCTGCCTATTTTTCAAGCCATCCGTCGCCATGTCGACTCAATCCCCTCACCCTCCAACTCCCAAGGGCTCCCGCACAAACCGACGCCCCCAGAAGAAGAATATGACCCCCCAGGCTCCGAAGTCTCAGCCTCTCTCTACTCCCCCCTCCTCTCCGCCGCAGACCATGACCCCAGGCGTTCTCCCAACTGGCGCGTTGAACAATTTCAATTCTTCGAAGAAGGCCCCGCGTTCAGGGAAGAAGCAGCGCGATCCCAAAGGTTCAGCAACCCCGCAACATGGCTACCATAGCAACGGATACAGCGGCCAGCGACAAACACCCAATCATCCCGCTGTGACTTCTCCTCTACCGAAGTCAACAACACCAGCCTACGCGGGACCAACCTTCCACGCATCCCCTGCCCCGTCCGCCTTGCCTATTCCCAGCTTCTTCTCGAAATCAGCACCTGATTCAAAGCTCGCCCCTCCTATCGAGACCGATAGCGACGATGCGGAGCCGGGACCCGATGCGACTCCCTCGAAGCCTCGAAATAAGACCCCCATTCTGGCTGACGAACAAAAGCCTTCCCCGCTAGATTTTCTTTTCCAGGCTGCCGTGCAAGCTAGGGACGCCAAGTCCACCGGCAGTCATGAGGTGGATAGGCTGCGGTCTCCCCAGACTGAGCCCAGGGCCGCTCGCACCAATCCTGATGGAATGTTTGCTTTCGAAATTGGAAACTCTGACCACCCCCGCAAGGCGGTCAACTCGGGTATCGGTCCTTCTTTCGCGCCATCTTATCAAGACCGCATGAATGCGCTTCGACCGCCTAGTGCCTCTCAGTCACCTGCGGCCGCTGAGGAGCAGCACAGAAGGAGGACCGAGGAGTTGAAGCAACTCTTGCTCAACCCGCCTGCGCAGAAGCCGCCGTCTTTGGTTCAATCTTCGAGTGATTATGCTGGAACATTCGGACCTCGCCCGTCTAATGTTCCCCCTTATGCAACTCCCGTGCGCACCTCATCTGGTCCTCCGTTGACCTTGTCTAATGGGTCCTTTTCCCCGCACTCTCATCCGCAGCAACCGCATGCTTACCCTCACTACTCCCAACATGCCCCCTTGCCTGCGCGCCACTACGTTCCGCCTCCATCCATGCCTCAGTATCATGGCCGTGCCTCGAATGGACACCCCAGCGGCGGATACTCGAGTGGGCCTTCCCCGGCACCGTCCGGCAACCCCTACCTGCCAGGTTACGAGTCTCAGTGGAGTGGTCACGGATCACCCCACCAGAGTTACGCCGCGCCTTCGTCCCAGATGCCTGTCAACTCGCCGTTGCCATCTCAGGCGGCGGATACCCGGCAGATCGAGAATGACATTCGCCGGGTATTGAAGCTGGACACCTCTGGGGGTGCTCCCATCATGTACGCTTAGCTTCATAATCAAGCAGGTTGATCAAGATTGCCTGCGATCTTGCTTGACTTCGTTCATTGGCAGGCACATTCTTATTATCTCAACTCTTTGATTTCCCTGTTTGTGGGTTCGGTTTTCTTTCGGTTATTCCTGCACTCGTTTATAAAGGGCCTTGGCTGGTATCGGGTCCCTTGGTTTCACTTATGTCTTCCTTTCTTGCGACGGAGGGCTCGTTGCTTTCTTACTCAGGCCTCTGGTGCCAACGTTCATGATGCACAGCACTGGATGCTATGTTGACTAATGAGGTGGTTATTTTTTGGGCTTCACCTGACATTCCATCGTTTGGCGTCATGGGTTCTTTTCGGTGTGATGCATCTAGTTCTCGCATTCGGGGATGAAGACTTGGCCAAGCCGAGGACGGCTACGAAATGCATGGTACTTGCTTTTCTTCGTTATTTTTGCTCCAGGAAGAAGGGCATTGGGCTCCTTTCGGTTTCACTTTTGGCTCTGGTCGAATATCGGTCAGCCTTCCGGGGCTGACATATTTGACTCTTCGTTGTTTCTTTGCCAGTCAATCAAATCAGTATTTCCCAAATCCGAAAGCACGTACATTGTACTTCGACGCGAAAGCCCTAAGCTACATCGCAAGTGAACTAGCCACACCGTTGAAACAAGTTAGAAGTGGCTCACCGGATAATTGCGGGGTGGAGTTCAACGTACAAGAGACAGAGCACATTGGCTGGATCCCTGTTGATCTTAATAACTGCCTAGTCCCCGACTCCCCGGGCTTTCTACCGGGAGAAATGTATGGAGTTTTCATTCAACTTTTCAAAGGCGTAGAAACACGAAGCGCTGAAACAATTGAAGGATGTCATTGAAAGTGTACACAGTAACTATTCCTTTCTGGACTATATGGTGGCGCAGTTCTACAACAGTTAGGGCTCTACTCCGTACAATAGATATGGATTACTCCAATGAGATCCACTCGGCCTTTAATTTTATTTCATGTTCAGCCACAGTTCCAGGGGAAGTAGAACCCAGGCCCGAACCCAGTATTGTACCTTGTTCCCCTTGAACTTTTATACAAAGCAGCCCTGGAGATGTACACAGTACAATGTACATACAATGTACATACATCGTAGTCTGGTCTGCAGCTCAATGATCGTCCCAATCTTGAGCTCAATCGGAAGTTCTGAACGGCACTTCAATATGTCATCGAGGTTGCATTGGGACAATGACATTCAAATCCACGAGTCCAGTGCCAGACCTATGCCGTTGACATATGTTCCGAGGTACTTCGTACAAGTACATACTTGGCACAACGCCTCATTGCTGATTCGCATTCAAAAGTTTATGACGATATCAAAGGGATCTACATACCAGACGCTGTGGCCTCGCTGGATGCGGCCAGGTGTCAATGAAATAGAGTCATCTTTCGTAACTACACAGTACTGAAGTGATCAGTGTAAATTGGGCGCGGTATTGCAAAATTGTGAACCTTCATGATTGTTGTAAGATAAATTGAAAGAAACCAAATTCCCCTCATCCCGGCCTTTTCTCCTTCCTTACCTAATTCTGGACCTGCCCCTACCATTTTCACATCAAGCATTCAACGACATTTCTTTTCCTTTCCATCTTCTGAATTCTTGCATTGCTTACTCCTGCGTCGGAGTACATTATTCTCTGTCACCAATGACCGCTTTTGCGACCTAATCTTGGTTTCCCCCCCCCCTGCTCAGCCTGTTTTTCTCTATAAGCCAGACACCATGGCGAATATGTGAGTCTACCTCTTGGTTGTCTGCTCGACAGAACTGACCAATATAGGTTTACTTCGACATGGCGCTCCTTTTGGCATACCATGACCTCCAATGACCGCCATGCCTCCCACGACTCCCCCTACCGTACAGGGAGACACGTCCCTCTCAACCAAAGCCGCCATGAGCCACTCACATCTGTCGCAACCAGCGCAATCGAGTCTCGCCCAGATCTCTCCAACCCCTACGATGACGAGCCAGCAAAAGGATCAGCAAATGCGCAAGCAAGCGAGTGGACTGGCTCCCCCGATGACTTGGACTCTCCTACCCGCCCTTACTCCCCTGGAATGAGATCGGTGGCATCCCAGAAGAGAAGATCGAATGACCAAGGCGAGGGTGCGCCAGAAATCCAAATGCAAAGCTTCCACGATGGAGCACCACCACCGCCGCCGGTCGCTCACTCATGGCGGAAGATTGAGCGTTGGTTAGAACACAATTACGAGGAACTGCTTGATCAACTCGGAGAAGGATGCACCCAGAACGATATAAACGAGCTGGAGCACGAGCTCGACTGCAGTCTACCATTAGAGGTGCGGGAATCCTTGATGATTCATGACGGTCAGGAACGTGGTGGTCTGCCTACCGGTGTCATCTTCAGTGCCATGCTGCTCGACTGCGAGGAGATTGTTCAGGAATGGCGCAACTGGAAAACGGTCAACGACGAATATCTCAGCGGTTCAACTATGCCTCGCCCGTCCGCCAGCTCCGCAGCCAGCTCCTCTGCGGCCGGTCCGTCTCAGCCCAACCCCGGCATGTGGCGATCAGAACTGCTGGACCGCCAGGATTCCCAACCGCCCGGTGCCGTTCAAAAAGCATACGCACATCCCGCGTGGATTCCTCTTGCCCGGGATTGGGGTGGCAACAACCTTGCCATCGATCTGGCACCCGGCCCCGCTGGAAAATGGGGCCAGGTAATCATCTTCGGCCGTGATTACGACTGCAAGTATGTCGTGGCTCGATCGTGGGCTGCATTCCTCGCCACTCTGGCCGATGATCTGTGCAGCGGCCACGTTGTCGTCGACGAGGAGACGAATGAGCTGAAGCTGAAGCAATTCAAGGCTCAAGGCGTGGAGCCCCCATATCTGGAAATTCTGCGCTGGAGGACGGATCAGAAGTATGGCCGCCGTGTGCCTCGTCGAAAGGGTCCGGTGCCCAATGGTCTGGGCGTAAACTCTTCCGGCAACCGGTCCAGGAGTCGGGAGTCCCCTTACGGTAGCCCCACGCGCGCTGAAGAACGAGGTCGTTCGCCGCACCGTTTCTCCAAGAGTGGAAACGCCCAGAGCCCTAAGACGCCATTCGGTGTGTCCAGTCCTCTTGCACGGGTGACAGAAGAGACGACAAGTCCCATCACCACTGCAGGACCCTCGATCTCTGAAGACCCCAAGGAAAACGACAAGGGAGCTGGAGACGAAGACCTTATGGAGGTCGTCACCCCACAAATCTCCAACAAGGAGAACGAAGGTTTCCCGAAACCCAATGAGCTCAAGGAGACCGAGAAGGTAGAGAAGGCTGACTCTGCAGAATCCCCCGGTGGCTCCAGTGGCTTGGAGTCGGAGGTGCTGGGTGAAATGAAGAACGTGGCTATTTAGAATAAGCCTGACATCGAGGTCCCGTTTCTCTTTCTCTCGGTTTTGTTTCAAGGGCATCTGGCGTCAATGTTGAACTTGTGGACGTGTTTCTGCTTCTCCTTGTATAGAATTTTCCCCCATTCCTGTGGCCTCAGTTCACGGCATTTGTTGTAACTCTATGCTGTCCTGTGCGTTTGCCTTGTTGTGGTTTGGCTTTGCCGTCGAGATGGCTCTGTGTTTACGGTCTTTGATACTTTTCTTTGCTTGTAATTCTATGATGACAGTCTTGCCTTTTTCTTGTCTGACTCAATCCCTTTACTTCTTTGATCTTAAGCTGGGCCTAGAGCATACGTATAGTTGATGCTGTAAAGCTCTATGGCATGGGTATCCCGTATAACATCAATCTAGGTCATCAATCCATTAATATACAGAAATCATGAGTCCATGCCCAACACCCTCAGAGCTCAGGACTCTTAATCCCAATCATCATCATCATCATCATCACCCCGATTTCTCACATTAGGATTCGCATTCCGAATGCCCCGTCTCCCCTTCTGTCTCCCAAACGCTCTTCCACCACCACCATCATCACTATCCTCACTCTCCCTCAAATCATCATCCTCATCCCCACCCGCAATCTTAGCCCCCAGCAAAATCCCCTTAACAACCAACCTCTTCTCCAAAACCCTGACATCAAACCCTTCAACCCCATCAAACCCCCGAGCATCCAACCCCTCAAACCCAACAACCCGATCAACCCCAACCCCATCCTTAAACCCAATAACACAAGGCAAAACCTGAATCCCCAGCTTCGACGCAATAAACGGCGTATTCCGCACATCAACCCTCGCAAACGAAACCTCGTAATGAGCACTCGCCAGCTCGCCCAGCCGCATATCCATCACCGCGCACCGGGCGAAGTCCGGGTGTGCGAAGTGAACCAGACATCTGCTCGTGCTGGTTGTGAAGTCTAGCACGGATTGGTCGTTGGAGAGGGTGGGGTAGACTTCGTTTTGGAGGAGGGAGGTGCTGCCGTGTGTTGCGGTGGCGGAGTGGTTGTCTTTTGTGGCGGCCAGCTCCGCGTTTAGTTGTTGGATGCGCGTGTCGCGGTAGAGGGTGTCGGCTTCGTTTTCGAGGGTCGCGAAGAGGTCGTCGTCTGAGTCGGGCATTTTGTGTGGAGGGTGTGTCCCTTTGGAAGTGGTTTTGGGCTTGGAATCCCCTGTACACAGTATTTCGATGTGAATTGGGATTTTCAGGGGAGTGTGTGGTTGGGAGGGTTGTGGTTGAGGTTTGGAAGATCGGTGCTCCACTGATATGCTCGGTAGTCTTGGTACGAAGTATGAAGTGGTAGGAGTTATGAACAGCTGTCTAGTTAAGTTGGAATTGAATTGAAATATGCTTGACTTGACTTATTCTAAAGGCTATCTGGAATCCTGGGCGCATCTTTCTCGTAGATAGTATTGCAGCTACCTATGTTGTACTGTGGTACACCGTACTCCATAGTCACGGGATGATGATCGAACCCCCTACTTGTATGCTGTAGAGATGGATCATTGAATCGGCCTCCGGTCTCTTGCCAGATACCTCCTATAAGTATATCAAATCATCCCCATCGTGTTAACTGTATTAACTGTCGTATCGTTCAAAACAGTCCCGCTGAGTCATCCGACCTTAGGTAATCCCGTGTCTGCTTCCGGCGAAATCTGTTGTTGTCAAATCTCCCTGGGTCTTTTCTTTGGTCTCTTTGGTCAAATCTCTCGACTCCTTTCGTTCTTCGACTCCCCTCTGGATCATCTCACTCGGTATCTGTCATTCTGGTCCCTCGCCTCTTCACCAGCAATCAGCCGATAAACCAATCACCCCTTTATCTGCGCCATGGTCGAAGACAAGAAATCCGACGACTATACCGTCGACATGAATAAGGTCGACCAAGGCCATAAAGAGTTCGAGGCCGCGCCGGCGCCGTCTCCTGTTCCCCGCGCCGTTTCCTCCATGTCCAACAACCCCGCCCTTCCGGTTCTGGCATACTGCGGTTCGTCGATCATGATGACCGTGATGAACAAGTATGTTCTGTCGGGCTTGGACTTCAACTTGAACTTCCTCTTGCTCTGTGTTCAGGTATGTGGTAGCTCGTGCAATGGGATTCGAAGCGCATCTCTAACAATGACAGTCTTTGGTCTGCATTGCCGCAATTCAAACTTGCAAGTCCATGGGGCTTATCACATATCGCGATTTTAACACCGATGAGGCCAGAAAATGTATGGACTCCAGTAGCCTGGCTTGGGGATAGAATTGGCAGCTGACATTATTCGTTTTTTTTTTTCTCGTATAGGGTTCCCCATTACGCTCCTCCTGATCGGCATGATCTACACTGGCTCCAAGGCCCTTCAGTTCCTCTCGATCCCCGTTTACACTATCTTCAAGAACTTGACCATTATCCTCATTGCCTACGGAGAGGTTCTCTGGTTTGGTGGCTCGGTCACCAACCTCACGCTGTTCTCCTTCGGTCTGATGGTGTTCAGCTCGCTCATTGCCGCCTGGGCTGATATCAAGCATGCCGTCGAGAGCTCCGGTGATACCTCCAGCAAGGTCTCCACCTTGAATGCTGGATATGTTTGGATGCTTATCAACTGCCTGTGCACTTCGTCCTACGTCCTGGGCATGCGCAAGCGCATCAAGTTGACCAACTTCAAGGATTTTGACAGTATGTGAATTCTGCTAGCCTGGTTTTGGATGTGTATTAACTGAACTCTCTAGCCATGTTCTACAACAACCTCCTGTCAATTCCCGTTCTGCTGGTTCTCACCCTGCTGGTTGAGGACTGGTCGTCCGCTAACCTTGCCCGGAACTTCCCCGAGGCCAACCGTGATGGCATCTTCTTCGCCATGGTTCTGTCCGGTGCCTCCTCCGTCTTCATTTCCTACACATCCGCGTGGTGTGTCCGCACCACCTCCTCCACCACCTATTCCATGGTTGGAGCGCTTAACAAGCTGCCCATCGCCCTGTCCGGCCTTATCTTCTTCGACGCACCAGTCACCTTCCCCAGTGTGTCCGCAATTGCTATCGGCTTTGTCAGTGGTATTGTCTACGCTGTCGCCAAGATCAAGCAGAACTCCAAGCCCAAGACCGGTGTTCTGCCCACGCCCGTCAGTGCCAGCAGCCAGAGCATGCGAGATTCGCTTCGCTCTTAGTACATTGGAATGGGAGTATGCATCTGACTGGTCAGCGCATAAACCAAAAGCCCGTGTCCACGGTGCTCCTTTGCATGTGACATTATGATTCACGTTTCATTGCAGCCGCAGGGGACTTGTCTGGTATGGGGGAAGATCCTGTGATCACTTGGGTCGGTGTTGGTGTTCTATTCTTTCATTTCTCTCTTCTGTTCTTTCTTCCCCCTTTTGTGCCTTTCTATGTCAGGTAAGCTGGTGAGCTTTCACGGCTTCTCCTCCCCTGTTCTGGATCTGCAGTATGATTTAGTAATTCTCCTTTTTTTTCTTCTGCACATGCGGCCATAGCATTGTTTTTGTCTGTTTTATTCGATGTATATAGCTATGCCGCGCTCTGGGGGTTCCAATAGAACGTGTGTTTCAACTAATATGACTGCTTCTTGGGATTGATTTGATCTTATATGCGCTATTCATTCAGATGTCAGGTCTAATACAGCCCCTTGTCACTTATTCGTCATCCAAGAGTGCTTAATGCCCTAGCCAGTGTATCTCACGTGACCTGAAATCCTATTATGCACGGCGCCTGAGGCAACACTGAGGTGAAGCGGGTCTCCCAGTCCCAGCCGATTTCTCATCAAATTACGGAGTAGCGTGGTATTAATTGATTTCAACTATCAAAGATAGGCAGACTACATCCAATTGTGAAATCAAATGAGATCACCTCGAAGTTGAAAGCCTGTCTTCTATCATACTGCATACTGCATCACTGCGTATAGTTCGGATCTTTGCTTGGCCGAGCTTAATCCGCGATTTTCCTCTTCTCATCCTCCACCTTCAGACATCGGACAGGCTTGGATACAGAACAATACGAAGTATTCCAAGGAAATACTCTGATCCCAATCTTCTGCCATGCCTCGCAACAACAAGAAAATGAAGAATGCTCCTCCGCCTCGCGCTCGCGGACCCTGCAAACCGTCCGCTCCAGCATCAGGTCCCGGCAAGGGCCAGCAGCATGGCAATGGCCAGAAGCAAGGGAATGACAATTCCAGTGCACCGAAGAAAGGTCCTATGCAGGCAAATCAAAGACCGATCGTACCATTTTTGAGGAAAGATCGAGTGTTGCTGGTTGGCGAAGGTGAGCTTGACTGGGAGAATTACCGTGCTTTGTCCTTTTTCTTCCCCTTTACATGCAAGAATGTCTATTCAGTTGGGTCCTATGTGGAATTGACTCCATGGGAGATTTCACTCGATGCTGCATTTCCACTTTGATGCATAAGATTTGCTGCATTTGCAACATTCATTCCCATATCAAAGCAAGAAACATTCAAAATAACGCATTATATCCACAAACACCCCTAACGAAAGAAAAACAGGAGACTTCTCATTCGCTCGCTCACTAGCAAAGCAATACAAGTGTCGCAATCTCTGCGCAACATGCTACGACAGCAAAGAAGCCCTCTACGCCAAATACCCGCAAGCCCCACAACATATCGAAGAGATCCTCAACGCAAGAAAGAAGCCAACAGAAGAGCCAGACTCCAAAACAGAAGACTCAACTCCCCAATCAAAAGACACCAAATCCCCCAAAGTCCTCTTCTCAGTTGACGCGCGCAAACTCGGCGCCCAACCCAGCGTCGGCAAAGAGCTCCGCATCGGCTTCCCACGCCGCGAGCGCAAACGACCAGCCTGGTACCAGCAGCCAGAGCCGGGACCAGCGTACCAGCCAGGCGGACCGTGGGATGTAATCTGTTTCAATTTCCCGCATGTGGGCGGACTATCCACGGATGTGAACCGACAGGTACGCGCGAACCAGGAGCTGCTAGTTGCGTTTTTCAAGGCTTGTGTGCCTCTTGTTTCTAAGGCGCCGCCGTTGATGGATGCTGAGGATGATGAGTGGGTTTATGAGGATGGGGAGGAGAGTGAGGATGATGACGAGGAAGAAGAAGAAGAAGAGAACGGAGGCAACGATGATGAAAGTACTGGGAAGGGATTCCGGGTTGGTCCTGGACAGATTCTTGTGACGCTTTTCGAGGGGGAGCCGTATACGCTTTGGAATATTCGGGATTTGGCGAGACATGCGGGTTTGGTTGTTGTTACTAGTTTCAAGTTTCCGTGGGCTTCTTATGAGGGGTATTCGCATGCCAGGACCGCGGGACATATTGAAGGGAAGGATGGGGAGAGGGGTGGATGGAGGGGGGAGGATAGGGAGGCGAGAATGTTTGTGTTTGAGGTCAAGCAGAAGGAGGATGGGAAGAAGGGCAAGAAGAGAGGTCGGGATGATTCTAGTGATAGTGAGTAAGTAGGTGGCTGTATACCTATGCTGCATCTTCATCATTACTGTACTTTTAATGTATGCTTCTTTTGACATGTAGATGTTGTATGAACGTCGTTGGATCTATTAGAGGTTATGAGGTAGAGGTTCACATTATGTACACTTTCTTCATCTCGTTCTCGCTAAATATCTCACCCGTCGTCGGGTCTTTCACCTTGCCTGCCTCGACTGATCCTATCTTCGTGCTGATGTCTAGGAGCCGTTGTTTCCCGTAGATTCGGCCATTGGGTAGAACTATCGGGTCGCTTTCTACATAGCTCTTCGAGTGGTGGGCGTACGGCATTTTGCGCGCTAGCTCATTTAGCTCAGTCGAGCAGATCGGACATACAGATGTCGATGTAGACTGTGAATTTGAGCTAGATGATGTGTATGCCGAATGGCATAAAGGCGTCTTAAGTGCCGAAAGCCCAGCCGAAAGAGCAATGTGCAATAGTGGCTGTGACGGGAGCGAGAGCAATTCATGGTGAGTCTGCACGAACAGATTGGAGAGATATTGCCAACGGTCTAGTGCAAAAAGAGTCTGTACTCCATCAGTAAATCATAGTACAGGCCGCATACAAGTGTTGACGTACTTTGTAGGGCTCGGCTCGTGTGTCCTGTGTGAAAACAAGCAATCCTGCTGCACGCAGAATCTCTGAATTCTCGGATTGCTGACTTGAGATGAGGTATTTTTTGGCGTGGATAATTGCCTCAATCTTCTTAGACTTGTCCTGTGTCCTGACCATCTCGATGTATTGCTGCAACCGGAGTTCGAATTCAAGATTATGCTTCAGATACCGCCAGTCAGTCAAAGCTACGAAGAAAGTGCCGTCCCAACTAACCTTGCTCTTTTTGAGTGCTGCTTTATTCTCCCCGCACCACTGTAACGCCTCCTTTGTTTCCCCGCGTTTCAAGCTCTCAACCACCCGTTGGCACTGTGTGAACACACCGAGATCTACTAAATCCTCAATCTTCTTCTCCTGTGCCAATTGCGTCGCACTTTTCGAGTATCCCGAGCGCAGCATGTGGTCCACGAGTAGTCGGTCCAGTCGTACACGTGACCACTGGTCATACATGACATCCGCCAGACTTGGAATATGGTGCATGGTTTCCAGGTGTTGGATGCGCTTCATTGATTGTTTGTGTATCTCCTTCTCCTCTTGCTGCAAAGTCTCCATTCTCCGCTTGAGTCCTTGCATTCTGGATATCATTGCGTCGAGTGCGGCAAGTGTCTGATCGGGCGACTGGGTGTTGGAGAGAGAGGCATTGGTGGTGTCTTTGAGTGCGGGGATGACATATTCTTTCTCTCGCTCGACAGCTCGTTGTACAGCTTTGAAGTTTTTGCGCGCGAGTTCCTGGGGGAGCCGGAGGAGTGGTTGGTCCTATGTGAGAGGCAAGTTAGGTCCCAGTTTCATCATCGTCATAGGTGGGGAGGGATATTTACCAGGATGATATGGCTCTCAGGGTTGAGCTTGGTGGACGTTAGTTCTGCCATGGCGCTCGTGCCTTGCTTTTGTATCTTTTGCGTCGTAGGATTGTACTGTGTAGTTGGAGAATTACACAGTACAGGACATGACGTGGAGGGGGAGGTATGCGGAGAGTACGGAAGATCAAAGGTCCGGCAAGCACTGACCCACTTCTTGCGCAGAGTCGGGTTCTGGACAGTCTTCTGGTAGACTGAGTGTAATAAAATAACGTGACCGACCCACCCGTGAGTCCGTGACCCCGGCGGAACTGAATATACTACACTGGGTACGGAGTACCTACTGTGTACTCCGTACTATGGGAAATAATGACCAGTGATTGACCACTAGATCACAACAAAGTTACAAAAACCAAGGTTCCTGTTTATGGCCTAGGGACCTACCTCCCGAGGCTCCCTTTGGTCTTCGCTCTTTCCTCTTGTCACTCGCGGCACACCCACTCCCATCGATTTCCAACCTTGTATCCTGCTCCATTCCATTCTTTTAACCTTAGAAGGGGGATTCGGGAAAGTGTTTCGATTCCTTCCCAAGTGCGGGCAAGTGGATTCACCGAAGTGGTTATATATGATAAAGGCCAGGAATATTATGATTGCCAACCGCGCGTCGCGCAGGTCTCATATACTCCGTACTGTCCCCATCACTCGGTTCTAAGTTCACGGATCTAAGAGGTTGACTACTAGGAAACTGATAGCCCGGAAGAGGACACTTCCCGTAGAGAGTCCCATAATCTTCTGCAGAGAGTCTTACCTGTACGGGACCATGAACTGTCTTGACACTTTCAGAGTGCCAGAGGGCCATCTTGCATTCTCATCTTTCTGAACAGCTCGACATACCCAAATCTCTCCGTATATCACCATAGCCGAGATGCCAGCCGAGATACCAGATCAAGGCAGCTACGATCTTGACCTTAGTGGGAATGCCGACATATACCTCACACTTCGGATCAACAACTCTCGGCCAGAAATTCGGGTTGAAAAGGGGGAGCGGCAGAACAACAGAATACATCGCTCCCAAGTAATTGGGATGAGCAAAGAAAGGAATCAGGCCAATGCCGAGGTTATTGTTACTGGACATCCTCTGATAATCCCGTTTGACGCCCTCTTCCATCGCCAGCCAGTTGACCCAGGGGGAAAAGATCCGAAGATATCAGAACAAGAACTGGAGGCTCTTGCAGGGTCGATTTGGGAAGAACAGGGCTGGTAAGTGTGGTTTCCTTGGAGTCTTCTGACATATTATGCTTTGACGGGACAGGTTGCGCTACGAGTAACGTGGCGCACTCGACAGTGAGAACGATGCCATTATCTTTGCTGCGGGCACACGATGATCATGAGCATGAGCCTGTCTTGAAGGCTGGCTCACTCATAGCCAACAGCCAAGGCGGTAGGTAGTACACAGTAGGTTTATAGCAGCTGAGAAAGACTACCATTGGAATTGGAAGCAAGCATGTACGCAACTTATTTCATGTTGACCGAATTCAATCACACGACAGTACATTCAACAGATAGGCAGCCAACAATATGAACTCTGGCATAGAACAAATTTCCCTTTTGACCCAAGACTCCGGAAATAGCAAAATATGGTACAGGAAAGGAACCAAATGGTCTTCCTGGAGTGCATCTAGTCGCTGTCATCGCTATCATCCTGCTGCTTGGACTTCCGGCGCTCTTTCTTCTCCTTCTTCTCCTTCTTCTTCTTCTTGCGCTCGGCCTTCTCCTCGGCTGTCTCGCCGTCGTGCTTGCGCTTCTTGTTGTCGGACTCCTCCTTCACGGGTTCGGGGGATTCAGCCTTGGGGGCCTCGGTCTCAGTCTTGGTGACAGTGGGAGGGGCGGCAGCGGCGGGGGTCTCGCCCAGAGGGAGGTTGAAGTCCTTGTACTCGCTCTTCCACTTGGCGGGAGTAGCCTCGTTGGTGCGGCCATATTTCTGATATCATAGTCAGTATGTTGTACGGATGTCTCGAAACAATGCATGCAACTTACATCAAGAGTACCAGCAGTCTTCATCTTCTTCTTCTCAAGGGCAGTAGGTCCCAAGCCCCAGCGGCGGGGGTACAGGTCACGCTCCATGATGCAACGCTTGACCTTGGCAACAACGCCGTGGTCGCAGGTGGTAAGCTCGACGGTAGACATCTGAGCAATACCAATGGCAATAGCCTCACCCTTGGTGGTCATGAGGACAACCTCCTCGTGGCACTCAATTCCGGCCTCTACATAGAACAATCAGTACAGATCACAAGTCAGGGTAGAAATTTTTTTTCGCATACCGTAGCGGAGGAGACCAGGAATCATCAGCTTGGCACCGTAGCAGACGGCGTTAACAGCGCTGTCCTTGACGACGATACGCTTGTAGCTGGTGAGCAGGGACTCGAGTGGGCTGATGACCTTGCGGAGGTAAGACTCGTCGCGGTTGTTATCGTAAACCCACTGGGCATCCATCACGTCGTGCAAAGTGACCATACCCTTGCTCTCGTCCATGGCTCCGGAGCGAACGCGGCGAAGCTCCTGCATGTGGGCACCAACACCGAGGAGGAGACCAAGGTGGACACAGAGGGTACGGATGTAGGTACCGGCCTCACAGCTGACCCAGAAGACACCAAGGTGGCGCTCGTTGTCGAACTCGTAGTTCTTGCTCTCGTGGATAGTACGGATACGGAGCTGACGCTTGACGGCGGAGATGAGAGGGGGACGCTGGAAGAGCGCACCGGTCAAGGTCTCCAAAGCGCGGACAAACTGGGCCTCGCCACCGGGGATCTTGTCGTGCAGACGAATCACACAGACATACTCCTTACCAGCACCCTGCTGGGACTTAACCAGACGGGTGGCACGGTCGATGCAGACAATCAAACATCCAGTGACCTTGGGATCAAGGGTACCACTGTGACCGGTCTTCTCGGATCTGTGAGGGAGGAATTGTGTTAGCATGGCTGTAAACCCATTGAGGCAGTCTGAGGATGCCAAATTTACCTGAGAATCCGCTTCATCCAAGCCACGACCTCATGACTGGAAGGGTTGGAGGGCTTGTCGAGGTTGATAACACCGGAGCTGATATATGACTTGAGGTCACGGCTCAAGGGGGAAGAGCCAGCAGGGATAGGGGTGAAGTGACCGGTCCGAACGAGCACTACAAGAAAAAGTCAATGTCGGCCAAGTCAAGGACGGAGATTTAGGACAAGCGTACGCTTCTCATAGTTCTTAAGCAGAAGCGGCCAATCCGAAGTATCAACGGAAGGAACAGACGCTTCAGGCTTGATGGCGTAGTCCATCTCCGAGGTCTTGACAACTGCCATTTTGTTGGTTGTCGTTGAGGAATGCGCGGTGAAAACCCCGAAGATTTTGTCGAAGGAAATTTTGCGAGTGCGGCAGCTTCAGTGCCCGAAGGGGTTTAGCGCCCGGAGATGTTACCACGTGACCTCAACTTTACGCCTCCCTTTTTCGAGAATTTCCAGACCTGGGACTATTGGCTGATTATCTTAAGGAAAATTTGCATTGGTTCTGCCAAAGAATCACATTTTTCAGTAATTCGAGGGAATATCTCATTTGTTGCTATGTTCGCGCTGGGTTCTTTCACGTATCCCTATCTATGACAGGTCACATCATGAACGTCGAGGATCTGCAAGTGCAGTCGCTCCTCCCGTGCAATCTGACCATGTTGGTAGAATCTGCATGGATACATGTCTCGATCTAGCCAAGTCTCCGACCAGCGCCTCTGCCGCTCCAAGAACTCGAAGATGTCCAGCCACCCAAGGATACTCCTGACGTTGTTGCTGACGATGGCTGGTTACCCGGCCTTGGTGGGCGAACTGCCGTGCCATATCCTCTATTTCCGCTGTCCTGATCGTGGCGAGTAAAGTACCTCTCCACGAATCCCGGGACAGTGATGAAATTCCTTCCACCACCGAAGGTCGGGTAGATGCGAGTGAGGAAATCGTAAAGGTGGGCAGCGAGAATTCCCATTGCCTCTATCAGAGCACTATGCCACCCATTCCTAACCATTTCGACGAGGAGCATTGCATACGGCAGGGCAACCGTTGGGATGTCGATGAAGAAGAATCTGGTTTTCGTTCCTCGGTTCGTCTGGGAGTAGGTGTAGACGAAAGCCATGATCATGGCTGATACCAGTCAGCGTCTGCAGGGAAGTGAGCCAAGTACGGGGAACTTACAATGTGTGAGGATCATCGCGTTCAGGTAAGCACCTGCGGTGAGCTTGGAAAAGTTAGCAAGTTTGAAACACACATGATGGACTACCGGGAGGACGAGTGAAATAGAATGTGGATGGTATTGGAGAATAAGAGATGTAGACGATGTATATAGAAATGTAGGGCACCTCCGATACCGACGCGACATAGAATCACGCCAGCGAGCTCGAAGGAAATCCCACCATGCCCACACCTGCGCAACACCTGAATTTTGCGAATTATATGGCGGTGTTGCACAGATGCAGGGGTGCTCTCCCTCGCCTTCAGGAACCGCTTCAGCTAGATTTCGAAGCTGGGCGGGCAGTTATAGCGAGGGATTGGATATGAACGCGATCGCAAGTGCAGAAAAGAATATGAACGTGCAGACCACTCTACCGAGTCACTTACCATGAGGTTGAAAGCTACAAACAGGAGATACACGAAGAACTCTCCTGCGGCCATGCTCCTCTCCACGGCACCGCCATAGCGGTAAACTATCAGTACATTAGCATTCTGATCAAGCCAGACCAATGTGATACCGAGGTATCGTACTGAAGTAAAGGTCAAAGACAAAGTCTAGCTTCGGCCCGGTTAGTAAAAATGGTGTGACCAGTCTGTAGATCTGCGGAGGCCATTGGAATATCAGGCTTGGTACGAATGGCACATAATAAAAGTTCCATAAGCCACCATAAGTCACAGCGGATTGAATCAAAGTCAAAGTGGTGAGAGTCCTGATCGAAATAGTCAGTAACGGGAGCTCAAATCGGCAGAGGAGAGCTGCATACCTAGTGACTGGAGGAGCCGCCCAGAATATATCCATCTTGGGAGATAAAGTGTTACTTGATGCTTAATCGATCACGGCATAGATCATTACAGCCGCTCACAATAGCCAAGTTACTGTGTGGTTAAAGAAAGAAAGAGAAGGACAGGTGGAGAGAAAAAGGTGTGCAAAGCTAGCTTCGGTAAAGTTTCTCCGAAGTCCGGCCCTTACGTATTCGGGACCACCGGTCCCGAGATCCCAGAGAATTTATGCGAGGGGAGCAGAGGTCACATGACCAAGCAAATTCCTTCGTGAGCAGACTGCAGAGGCTTGGGGCTTGGGCCCTTGGCTCGCAAGCGCTTGTCTCATTAGCGCCACTTTTCTGCCACCTGATTGCAAACTTTGTTTAGCGAGCCCGATAACTCCCCACCGCCTGTGCATGAAGTCTCCCGCGTACCTTTTCTCCTCTTCGTCCTCCAATTTCTTCACCACGGAGTCGATCTGGGACAAGGCGGTCGACGGATCCCATTTATCTGATCAGTCCTACATCGACATTGGGAAAGAAACCTATCCTGATGGCCTGTCACGTTTCCCAATGTCAATGTAGCCTTGTAGATGGATAGGTTTCTTTCCCAATGTCGATTTAGGACTGATCCAGATAACTGGGATCCGTCGACCGCCTTGTCCCTGATCTGACTCCTTCGTGAAGAAATCGGAGGACGAAGAGGAGAAAAGGTACGCGGGAGACTTCATGAACAGCCTGGGAGCCTTTACGAAGGCGTCTGCGATCCGAAGTCGAACAATGCATCCCCCTGCTCTAGCGCCAACCTGCCTCCTTCGCGGAGGTGCCAGCAGAGGCATTAGAAAGACCCTGAATGTATCAAGGTTATTTACCATCCTCAATATACACAGAATCAAGAATCAATGTGAAGCAATAGGCGAAGAATGCACCCAACTCCTGCTAGGATAAAGCGCTTTATTTCGAACAGCGCAAATTGGAAACAGAAGGACGTTCGCAGATTCAAACCTACCCTGTCCCAGCTGTGCCAGCATACCCCATTCTAGCATTGACCTGGAATCCGCCTATCCCTGCGTCTGAGGTGCAGAACCCGGCCAAGGCCATCACTAGAGGCCACCCTCCAACTGCATCTGCGCGGCAGGCCATTTCCCTGACCAAGCGCTCAATCCAGCGCTCGACCCAACACCTACCATCCGAATTTGAGATCAGCGAGATGCCTCAAAATCCCGGTTCCGAGCAAAATTATGGGATGGCCTAACATGGTTTAGTTCGTGTGCGAATAAACGCAACCTATTTCTTTACCATCTACACGTCAAATTCATTTTTGGTTGCTCATAGGTACTATCCATTACAATTTCGAGGTACCTGATCCTTAGCTATGGTTACTGTATGATTTCCTTTTCCTACCTTAGGTTTACAAAAGATCATCATTCATGGAATATATGTTCATTCCAACGAAAGGGGTATCTATACCTATATCATTGCGACCTCGTCCGTGCAGTACCCCGAACAGCCATTCCTCCATCTGGACCTTCAATCCATACATCCCAGGCCCCGGACTCATTCTTAGGCTTGCCGCAGATAACCAGCTCCTCCTCAACGAACAGAGGTGCTAAGTTTCTATAGTCAATATCGCTAATGCAAAGATTTAACCGGCTCAGCTGTTGCTGAAGCACGGTCAGCAGAAGCGTGAGCGTCAGTGGGCCATGTACCAATAAATTTCGGTATCCTTCTTGGTTCTGGGTATAGCTCTTATCAAGATGGATGGAATGGGCATTGAAAGTCAGCGCTGAGAATCGAAATAAAAGCGCTTTGGTAGGTATGAGGGCATGGCGGAATGTCGCGTCGGAGGGGGCTTTATTCTCGCGGTGATTTATTAGCACATTTAATCTTATGTTCAAGTCTTGGAGGTTATTTGCGCACGTTTGACAGTCCTATTAGGCTCGTCGAACTGCGCTTTATCAGCCTCGATCTGGGCGCTAGTTTTCAGGCGCATGAAGATGAGGTCGCGGTTCTCGATAACAGATGATTCCCCGACATCGTCTTTGTTTTCTTTCCATAGCCGGTCCCAAGTCTGCTCGGCCGTTTCTTCCTCGGGAACATTGCCAATGCGTCGCTCGATTGTAACAATTACTTTCTCGTCTCCCTCACGTCCCTTGACTGTCACGTTGCGAATTGATTCTATGCAGACCGCGCGACTGCCATCCAAAGGTGGACTGGGCACGGGGAATCTTAGATTTCCACCTACCCAAAGACGCCGACTGAAAGGTTCACCGGGAGTATGTAGCTTGTCTGTACAGTCCGGGAGTAGTTGGGACAGTGTCACTTGCGGCGGAAAATAGATCAAGTGGTGGCCGACCGGTAGCGGGGACGGATCTCGTACTGAGGGCAGGGTTGTATCATCAGAGGTTGTGGACTGTGGAAGAAGATCACGAAGCGTAAGGTTCAGAAGATGGGAGGGTTGGGGATGTAGATAGTCGTAAGTCAACGGGAGCTTCCTCGTGGTCAGTTCATTGTGCAAGCGCTCCGAGAGCGAGCTGTAATTCCGAGATGCAAACGTGCCTCTCAAGTAGAGCAGTGACCGAAGCGAATTTCTCTTCGAGGGTAGAGACATCTTGGGAAGAGCGCAAATCGTGAAGTCCAAATGCCGAGCAACACAACCTCACATCCCTGCGTCTGTTTGGTTTGTTTGTGGCCTATTTCGGAGTTACGTTTAGCCCTCACCGCTCAGGGACCGAACATCGGATGTCAACAAGTTGAGATGCACTCGGAGATTAGTTACACAGTAGATTCAATTCTACACAGTATTTAATTCCAACCTCCCCATTGGCGAAGGCCACTTCGTACTACAATCACAATGACTCGCTTGAGAGTAGCTTTCCTAGGGCCACTGGCATCCTTTTCGCACCAGGTATGAAAGCCGCACCCCACACCCTTGCAAAACGCCGACGATTGATCCCCTTCCCAGGCCGCCGCAGACTCCTTTAGCAAATTGACTGCCGATCTCCTACCTCACGCCTCATTCGCAGATGCCTTCGCCGCACTCCAAAATAAAGAAGTCGACTACGCCGTGATCCCGTGCGAGAACTCGACCAATGGCTCGGTCGTCCAGACGCTAGACCTTCTGGCAGACCGGGAAGATGCATATACAGACGTAAAAGTATGCGGGGAGCATTACTTGACAGTCCACCACTGTCTGTTGGCGCGCAAAGGCTTATATCCCGGTGGTTGGGCGGAGTATGACGGCTCAATAACCAAGCTCTATACACACCCGCAGGCATGGGGCCAATGCGAAAACTTCCTGTCGAAACATTTCAAGGGCGTCGAGAGACAAGATGTCTCATCTACATCCAAGGCGGCGGAGATTGTCTCGAAGGATATGGTTGAACGAGGCGCTGCCATTGCCAGTCGCTTTGCGGCGGAACACCATGGGACGGATGTGCTGCGGGAGGATATTGAGGACAGGGCAGACAACACTACGCGTTTCCTCATTTTGAGAAATGTGCTCAGTGAACGAAGTGCGCAGCTTGAATTTGAGCAGCCGAGTCCGCCTACGGTGGGAGGCCAGACCGCTCAACTTACCCACAAGACTTTGATTACTTTCACGATCGATCATTCTTCTCCCGGTGCTTTGGCGAATGCGCTGCTCATTTTCAAGGCTCATGGACTGAATCTCACGACCATCAATACAAGACCGAGTTTGAAGAAACCGTGGCAGTATATCTTCTTCGTTGAGTGTGGGAAAACAGCATCGGAAGGGAACGGAGAGGCTGTCCGCAATGCTCTCCATGATTTGCGACAAGTCACTGAGACATGTAGGGATTTTGGGACGTGGAAAGACCAGCTGAGGGCAAGCAATGTTTGACTCTACTGACTCGCCCTGAGTTGATGTTTTAATCTGATCTGTTCGAGTGAGAGCACTACACTGATTGTTGTGTCGACGCGATGCAGGCATCCTATTCACTGAAGACATTTCGATCTACTATACGAATGAATGAAAGAGCAATGCATGTACGGTCGACGACGGGCAAAGCGCGCAAGACAAAAGTCATTTACAGTCGTTTACAGTCATTTAAGTAAACAAGAGCACCTTCTATAGCAACAGCAACCTTTTCAAGTGCCTTTTTTTTAGAGCAAACAATGAACGAAATGCCAGAAAATGCCATCCCGGGAGGAAACGACAGAACTGGCCAAGCACCAACACAATCCAACGCCGTCCGGCTTACATCGAGTAAGCAGTGCAAGCAGCGGTGGATGACCAAATGCTGTTGCTAACAGCACCCAACCTTCTCATTGCAATTTGTTCCTTCATCTCAGACACCGGGGTGACCCCAGTGTGTGTATCATGGAGCTTGGATGACACTGTAGTCGAGAATTAGCACTCAACCCCAAAGAGACTAGCAAGACTGAATGTCTTACCTCTGAGCAGCGTCGCTGCGTTTGGACCAGGCCGGTGGTGGTTATCCTCTACGGACGCCTTGGTTCCATCGCGGGAGTCGCTGTCATGTTCCACGGGGCGAGCCGTCAAAAGGCTCGCCGCGGGAGCTTCTGGCCGTTCATCCTCGCTCTCTGCGAGGGGGCAATACCGTCAATCTGCACCAGTTAATATTGGTCATGACCCCAAAAAAAGCAGAAGGGAACTAACCATCGTAGAACTCGTCATCGTCACTGACATCGGCAAGCTGTTCAAAGTTGACCTTGTATCGGAGGATAGCACCAATACCACCGAATCCCTTGACGAACTGGTTTCCTTCGCCGGATCGGTCAGACACAAATTCAAGGGTGGCTCCGAAGTCCTTGTAGGCCTCAGCGAGCCACTCGAGGAAGGAGCTTGAGTCGATAACCTCCATTTCCGCACCAGTGTCCTTGTCAAGGAAAAGTTCACGGTTGGCCTCCTGGGTCTTGTTCGTGTGCAGAACAACCTCAGTGCCTGCCGAAGTCTTCATGACCCAGCGGGTGACTTCCAGGTTCTCGTGAACGATCAAGATTTCAGCAGCACCAAGCTCCAGTGCCTTGAGGGTATCTTCAATGCCGTAGCAGACCTTGCCGGTATCCTGACTGATCTCCTGGAAATACTGACCAATGAGCTTCTTCTCCTGGACGAACTTGACATTGCTCAGGGTCTCGCCAGCCAGTTCGATGGCCTGGTTGAAACCGTTCTCGCCACCGTAGGAAACATCAACAACCTTGATGACCTTGGACTGCAGACGACCGTCGAACAGGTCAGAGGCGTTGAGATCGTTCTTGAAATCAGCAGAACCCGCCAAAACGATACCAGCAACATTGGGCTTGTCGTTAGTGATGTAATTCTGGACAGCCAATTCAGCGATCTTGCGAACATAGTTGTGGCGCTTTTCCTCACGCAGACGCGAGAAACGCAAAGCGGATTGACCACCACGACCCTGTATAGATCAGTAAGGATGAACATAGTATTCGACGAAAAGAGTTTACTTACGTGCTTCTTGGGCAGATCGACAGAGAGACGCTGGAGGATCTCACGGGTGTTACCACTGAGGGTACCGAACAATGTACCGTTACCATCCATAACGATGAAACCGAACTTCTTGTCAGCCTCGAGAAGCTCGCTCAAGGCTTCGGTGTGGAACTTGTTGTCACAGAGGTAGAGGGAGGTATTGATGGGCTTGAAGGGTTCGAAATCGATGTTAATTTTGCGCTCCTTTCCTTCCGAGGTGATAATTTCACCACAGTACACGACCAGTCCATTGGGAGGGACTTTGTTATAGAGCTTCAGACGCTGCTGAGTAGAGGTAATGGCGGACAAGACGGAGAGACGGTTCACTCGCGACTTGATGTTGGATGCGGTACCCTATTGGTGCAGTTAGACAGCGTTCGGCGCAAATCAATCTGGGACATGGTTTACATACATATTCTTCAGCCAACATCTTTGCTGCTCTGCTGATCTGATCCTTGGGGGCTTAATTGAAATGTTAGAGGCGGCAGTGAGTGGGGAGGGGCAGTGACCGCGTACGAATAATGAGCGAGATCATGGAAGTTCCATTTCCACGAGCGGATTCAAGACGCTTGATCAGCTTCTTGACCTTCCAGATCTCGATATTCTTCTCTGCTTCGTTGGGCGGAGGGGCGCTCATCTTGGCGAGGCGACAGTTGGTCAGGGGAAAGAGTATCGGAGGCCCTGCGGACGCCTAAAGATCGGTCAGTACTGGAACGGGAGTCGGCGAACAAAAAATTTGGGTCTTCCAACCTTTTTTACACCTAAAAATGAGTCAGTGCCTGGACAGGTGGCGAAAGTGAAGGCTGCCTAGTATTTTTTCATATATAGCCTCAGAGAAGGAGTCACTCACCGTAACTTTATGACGTTCAAAAGCAACAGGCAAATTTCCTCGTGGGGAAGTTTGTTCGAGGGGTCCAGTCGGTTGGCCTGATGAGGTAAGCCAGGGTTACCCCCAGGGCCGACGGGTGACGTATCTGGTACTTGTCCGGATAGGCCAACAGCCGGGCGGTCAGGTACCGGTACATGTGGCTCATTTTTCATGCATGTAGGTGTGTACTCCATAGATGTAGTTCGTGTACTGTGTAGAACCATGTCTACCTTGAAGTATATCGAAATTGGCCTCAGGCCTCTTTATGGTGGCCACGAAGACGCCCACTGAATTGTGGCTTTTCTCTTCCGTGATACTGCAACGCCTTTGGTCCCAAGTTGGGCAAGAGATTGACATCCCCACAGTGTGGTCAACAAACATGGCATATGCATACATAGAAACGTACAGTCTATAGCAGATCTAATGGTACTTCCACTGCAATATACATACAGTGGACTTGATCCCATTCAATTAGTCACATATAATGCGTAAACAAAACCCGTAGCTTATCAAATCGTGATCCGCACCCCACAATCTTTGTGGAAGCTCAGACGCTAAGCTCTTTTCAATATCGACTCGCGCTGGTCTCTTATCTGTCGATAGCTATCTCCATGTGATAAGTGAGGGGAGTTTTCCTGATTCCCTTCTCTCGGGCTATTTGACCTTTCTCTCGCCCTGCATCTCAATTGCTATTTGCCGAGTCCTTGCCGAACTTGGACCACTCGATATACAACCACGAGGTCACGATAGCAGCGGGTTGGTAACGTGGGAACATGGCTAGGAACGGAAGAACAGACTACGATGACAGTGAGCCGGTATCAGGCTCCTTGAGGATGCCAGCTGCGACGCCAAGCTCATACGATTATGGCAATTTAGATCGGGGCAGTTCGATCGCCGAATCCGAGATTGGAGGCAGAGAGAGGTAATAGCGCGGTGGTTGTACACGAAAGCTTGGAGTATGGCTAATTTGCTCCTTACAGGTCATCTTCGTTCTCATCTCGATTTCGCCAAGCGGGAGGTGTTAACAGTCTGGACAACTTTGCGCGATCTTGGCAGAGAGCAGCTGCCTTCCCGGAGGTCATTCCAAGACGATCTTCCTTTGTGTCCGTGGAGTCAGACGATGAACTGGCAATCGCTACCGGTCAGAGCTACGGTTCTCAATCCTGGGGTAGGCGCTCCGATATAGAGCGACCCCTTCTTCGTGAAGTCTCGGACTCGGGCTCGGGCTCAGACCGGGATGATGGGGATTCGCGAGCACCCGATTCATCTAAGAGGACACTTCCTAGTACCAGACTGCTTGCTTCTTCGTTCGATAGGGGTTTCGCTACTTCGTACGGTACGATCTCCTCGCGGATGAGTGAGTCGACGCGGCGAAATGCGATTATTTTTCACAGAGAGCAATTACCTCACGCACATCTAGACGGAGCTGGAGACCCGGATCGGGGTCCGTTGCTTGTCAAGCATATTCAACACGAAGATGGCACAAAGGAGGACGTCATTGTCGGACAATCCACTGTTCCGCAGACAATCTTCAATTCGGTCAATGTGTTGATCGGTATCGGCTTGCTGAGTCTCCCCTTGGCCTTGAAGCATGCCGGTTGGGTAGTAGGGCTGTTGTTCCTCCTGTTCTCCGCAGTGGCAACCTCCTACACTGCCAAGATTCTGGCCAAATGTCTGGATGCTGACCGGAGCGTTGTCACGTATGCTGATCTCGCTTATATCAGTTTCGGACACAATGCCCGCTTAATTACCAGTTTCCTGTTCTGCCTGGAACTTCTAGGTGCATGTGTTGCGCTAGTCGTGCTTTTTGCAGACAGCTTATACGCTCTGCTACCTGGATTGAGCATCCTTGAATGGAAGATCGTCTGTGGAGTCGTACTTATCCCACTCAATTTCTTGCCACTACGATTCCTGAGTATCACTAGCATCTTGGGTATAGTCTCATGCACATCGAGTAAGTCTTCTTTGCATTGTGTTTGATTGCGGTGGGGATATGGGACTGACTGCTTGACAGTTGTGGTACTTATTTGCATAGATGGCCTCATCAAGCCCGATTCCCCGGGCTCCCTGCGACAGCCAGCTAACACGTTCCTCTTCCCTGAGAACTGGGCCACCATACCTCTCAGCTTCGGTCTAATCATGTGTAAGTTCACAACCAAAGCAACCATGTTGATATATGCTAACTTTGTGACAGCACCCTGGGGTGGGCACGGCGTCTTCCCTAACATCTACAGAGATATGAGACATCCTCATAAGTACGGCAAGAGCCTTTGGGCCACTTATCTATTCACGGTAAGTACATATTGAAGTGATAAGAATGGGATTCGATTCTGACAAGTTGACAGTTTACTCTGGACTGCTCCATGGCGATTATTGGCTGGCTCATGTTTGGTGATATCGTCTTCGACGAAATCACGGCAAACGTCCTCACCGTCACCGACTACCCACAGTCCATGTCTATCTGTATTATAATCTTCATCTCGATCATTCCGCTCACGAAAGTACCACTGAAGTGAGTACAATGCCTTCCTCCGAAGATTGTTCTCAAACACTGCTGACAAGGACAGTGCCCGGCCTCTTGTGGCCACATTTGAAGTTCTTTGCGGACTCCATGTGCCTGCTCGGGAGGGCTACGAAACCATCCATCAAATCTCACGGGCGATGATCCGCGTTATTCTCGTGGCCATGATTGTGGTTTTGGCGATCGTCTTCCCGGCGTTTGACCGTATCATAGCATTCATGGGATCGTTCTTGTGTTTCACCATTTGCATCATCCTCCCTCTTGCATTTTACCTCAAGATCTTTGGCAAGGAGATCAACCGAGGTGAGTATATTATGGATTGGATCCTGCTCATCGTTTCTTCGATCTTGGCAGCCGTGGGCACCGTCTGGGCCTTTTTGCCACAGGAAATGCTCACTGCAAACTAGTTTACCCGCAGCGTTGGCGCAGCGAGTGAATAGCATATTGCACATCTTTGCATACATATAATCACTTTTTGTTGAGAATGATAGCGAAATTGTTTCTTGTCCCGCCGGACCTTAACTCCTCCTTTTTGAAAGACTTAGGCGAGTAGTCACCCGTATGTTCCCAAAGATGAAAGACGAGCTTCGAAGTTCGTTTGCTTTGAGTAAGACGGAATCCCAAGCAATTCATAATCTCTCCAAGCCTTTCCTCGTTAAGGTAGCGTGAGTTATCGACGCATGCAATCGGCAACACGAGGAAAAGACTTGGCGCAAGCTCAATTGGGCATTTCGAGGTCAGGAACTGGACACACCGCTTGAGCATCTCGCCTCGTCCAGTGGCATCAGGGACATAGTTAAGCACCAAAGACAGACTGATTATATTGAAACGTTCATCCTCACCCTCAGGCAAAGGCCGTTCCATAAAATCCTGCTTGAGAATTCCAGACTCTTGGGAATTCAAGTCGATGCGCGTAACATCCAATGCCGGGTTGATAGAGCAAGCGTTTTTGGTGCTCAAAGCACCGACTTCAAGGACGCGGAGCTTCGGAATGGTCTTGTTCCATTGATTCAGCTGCGGCTTGATCCAGTCGATGAGGACTTTGCTGGAATCACCGCCACGATCCATGGATTGGCCCAGTTTACTGGCGATCTGATAACTCTCCAAACCGCCGTTGGCTTGGATTTGAGCATCAATACTGCTGACTTTGGCTTCATCGCCGGCTGCTAGGGCTTGCGCCCGAGCTTTGAGAAGTCGATGATGAGAGCGGATTAGAGTGCGGGTCGCTTTGGCTGAGAGCGAGGCTCCCTTGGACCTGGCGATTGGAGGTCGAGTATGCGACAACAACATCGGCCTCTTTGATTTTCTTTTGGGTGCCATTTTGTGAAAGAGACCGGGAAGTCAGAGAAACAGTCCAAACACCGAGAACCGTTCGTGTTGATCAAGTTCTCTTGAGGAATGAATATACACAAGGTGAGAAGAGCGCCAGCTGCGAAAGTGATGTTCAAGAAAACCCGAAGCTTGAAAAGATCCCCAAATACGATGCTAATTCTGATTGGTTCGAGACCATACATACCGTAAGTGGAAGTAATGAAAATTACACAAATACAGATCCAGCCGATAGAGGTCACCTGACCCACACAGCGCTAGGGTTTTCGCTAAGCGAGCACCACTCCAAATCCGCTCGACTTTTGACATTGCGATAATCCATCATCGACAGCGACCGACGACAGCCATGGCCCCCTCCGACAACAAGACCGGTATGTTCAAAGCACTATGCGCTACCTCTATTGCGATTGCCGACTTGCCATTTGTGAATTCGCCTTGTGGACGAGGATATCGGGGTTCAAAAATTTCGACATTTGGAGATCACCTCGCAAAGCGCCAGACAACGCAAGGAACATATCGACAAACACATCTACATCGCCAATCAATATGTCCGCCGATCTCGAATGCGCCTCCAGCTCTGAATATCTCTCTGAATCCCTCGATCTACCACATCCACACCGGCGAAATTCGCAAATGGCAATCTCCAATTTTTTCTTCATATTTCGAACTTTCCTCTACTCAGTTCACAAGCTAACGAAATACTCTACAGGCAAGAACAAGGCCAACGCCGCCGCCAAGGCGGTTGCCAAGGGCGCTTCGGTACGTAGCAAAAGATGAAGCAGACCAAAGAAACCCTTTTGGAGCCTATCGCTAACGCGGTTGTGGCAACAGCTTCACAAGTCCCGCAAGGTGTACACCTCGGCCACCTTCCACCGCCCCAAGACCCTCCAGCTGTCGCGGTCCCCCAAGTACCCCCGCGTGTCGGTCAACCACGGCCCCGCTCTGGACTTCAACAAGATTGTTCTGTACCCCCTGAACACCGAGTCCGCCATGAAGAAGATCGAGGAGAACAACACCCTTGTCTTCATTGTCAACGTCAAGTCCAACAAGCGCCAGATCAAGCAGGCTCTTAAGAAGCTGTACGATGTTGACACCGTCAAGATCAACACTCTTATCCGGTATGTTTCCATTCTTCGGGAGGAACTCAATTCGGAATGTATAACTAATTATGTGATAGCCCCGACGGAACAAAGAAGGCCTTCGCCCGCCTCACTCCCGATGTCGATGCTCTCGACATTGCCGCTACCAAGCTGGCCATTGTTTAAATGGGGTGCTCGAAATGGGATTTGTCTTGGGTTTTGGCGAACTTGTTTTACACTGCGGTGATGCTAAAAAACCAGCCGGGCTGAATGATCAAAAAGAACATAACTTGTGAAAGTGAAATGCCACGATTCCACACGAATCACGGACTTGTCGGTCTTGTATTGATGACTTGTTCGAATATTGTAGATGTAGTGTCATTGTAGATATATGGTAGCTTGCGGAGCAGCGCAAGGCAGTTTCAACTTGTCACAGGCTTTATCTGATGTGGCAGCTCAAGTATCGCCTTATTTAGTCTAGGCATGAAGCTTGCTCCAGCTTAGCAGACCCTATCTTCGGTGGGTACTGTATCTTCCAGCATCCCAAGGCCTTCCAAAACGACCCCATGTTCTACAGATTTACACCTTAACAAATTAAATAACGAGAACGACATGGTCCATAACTTCCAGACTAGTATACAAAAGACATCACCGTCTATCCACCACCAAGTTCAAACCCGAAAGAAACCGAGAGGAACGATGCAGAGCACCAATCGACCCCCACCAACCCAATCCTAGCAATCTATTGCGATTCTAGACGATGGCGCCTGGGAAAGAAAGAAAACAATAGAAACGAAAGCAAAAGCTTAGTGACCAGGTCCACCACGCATGGCATCCAACTTGGACAAAACAGCCAAGCTAGTATCCATCCAACGGTCAACGCAGTTCTGCGCGCAGGCGGTCTCGGACTTATCGAGGGATCCGGACGAGATCTTGCTGGTGATGCACTTTTCCCAGCACACTTCGTTCAGGTGGTGGACAGCTGTTGAGGGAGTTAGCTGGGATTCTTCGAGATGACACAATCAATTGCAGGAGCTAGACAGATATCACATATCACGAATCACAAGAACCCATGTAGATCCAGATATCCGATGAGGAAAAAGAGGTAACTCACTCTGTTGGATATTGGACTTCTGAGCCTCACTGGTCAAGACCTGGTTGAGCTCTTTCTTGTCATTCTCATTGAGCTTGGTGAGATCGAGTTGCTGTTCCATTTTGGTTATTGAAGTGTAAGGTAGGAAGTAGAAGGTAGAGATGCGATAGTTGTAGAGTGTAGGCTGTAGAAAGATAGTGTACTAAGGATAGCTAGTATGATCCCATCCGCATCAAAATCAAAAGGCGGTAACACCCGGCACAAAAATGACGCGGCAGTTTTCTGCTATCGATAGCGAACGTTCTTTCCCTTTCTTGACTTCACATTATTAACCATCCAAACCTCAGTCCTGCACAATACTCCCCAAGACAACCTCTATCATTGATAGCTATCTGCATCTGCATCTGCTTACACAGATACCACCATACACATACATACCCAGCACGATGCCTCCAATCCGCACAGCCCGCAATCGCAAACCGCCCCCCGCAGGCTTCGACGATCTCGAAGATACACTGCTAGAATTCAGCAACAAGATGAAAGATGCCGAGAATGCCTCGCACGAAGGAAAGAAGAAATACGAGGTTCTCTGGCCCATATTCCAGATTAGTCACCAGCGTACGTATCCAGCCCTTTCTACCAAGCTATACGCTACGCCACCGTGCTCTTAAGCATGGCAGTTGAAACAGCAAAAGCAAAAGCGGAAAGAAAGCGAAAGCTAACATTTACTTATCTACAGGCTCACGCTACATCTACGATCTGTACTACGAGAAAGAAGCGATTTCGAAAGAGTTGTACGACTGGCTGCTGAAGAATAAGTATGCCGATGCGAACTTGATTGCGAAGTGGAAGAAGCAGGGATATGAGAAGGTATGTTTTGAGTTGAGTTCTGGAGGTTATGGATGCTAACTGGTATCAGTTGTGCTGTTTGCGATGTGTTCAGACGAAAGAGACGAATTTTAATTCTACGTGTATCTGTCGGGTGCCAAAGGCGCAGTTGAAGGAGGATCAGACGGTTCAGTGTGTTAGCTGTGGCTGTCGGGGTTGTGGAAGTAGCGACTAGGGAGTCGACTCGAAGTCCCCTGCATTAATGGGATAGGGCGTTTGGGTAGCATTTCTTCAATTTCTTTCTTTTTATTGGATCCATTGGGTCAATCAGATACCCTTAGTTAACTACAAGACTGAATGGCAGTTTGATAATCAGACAAATGATCTTCAGCTAAACTACATTAACTACCAACGCCATCCCATTTCCCTTAAGCCCCCAACCATCATAAAACCATATCGCTTGCATGTACATCTCATCGTCATTAATGTCGTGACCAGGCCATCCCGGGCTGGAAGAAATGTCAGAACCCGGCGCAGCCCAAAAACTCTCAAACACCAGAAAACATCTCGAACCAACTCCATACACAAAACTCAAAACAAAGACAAACGGGGAATAAGAGGATAGTGAGAACAATGCATCGGGAACAAACATAACCAACAAGGGTGTCTCTCAGAGATCCCACCCAAACAAAACAGAAACCAGTTAGAACAAGGTGGTATTGCGGTGGCTGATGTGCGGTCGAGAGTGAAGCGATTTGGGCTTCAGGGTCTCATCTCGACTCTTGCCTCCGATTTTTTGGAAGCCCTGTAGGAGATCAACTCCATCGACGTCTGTTGGGCTGTCATTGCTCTCGTCGAACAGGTGGAATGAGAAGAAATCTTCCTGGCCAGCATCTCCGAAGCGAGTATCCGGGAGCTTGGACGGCGATTCAGGAAAGAATGCAGACTTGGAGCGGGGCAGCGGAGGTATCCCCAGCTTGGTATTAACGTTGCTGGAAGTGATATCTGAAAGCACAGGGTTACCACCATCACTTCGTTGGCGTTTGGCTGAACGCTTCTCCGGAGAGCCATATGTGACCTGTCCTGATCCCGAGTCTGCGAATACGTCGAAGCTGGCATGGAAATGATCATGATGAGGTGTGTATGTCTCATCCTGAAGGTTGAAGGCGGGGCTCCAAGGAAGAGTATCTTCAGAAAGACCCAAATGCTTAATGGGCGAGTTGACCATTTGCTGAATCTTGCGACGATGATTGCGCAGGTTGGTGTTAGGAGACACAGATGGCGGAGGCCTGGCGGGCTTCTTGAACTTGATGATCGGCGTCAATGGAGGTGGCTGCATGCTCACATATTGACTGCGGAGAGGCGATGAACCGACGGTGGGATTGGGGTTTTTGCGAGCTGCCGGCTGACCAGGGCTCACCTCGTGAGAGGAGCTGCGCATGCGTGCAATCTCTTCTTCGGCACGGCCGCGTTTGATACGCGGTGGCTCAATATCCAAATCAGATGTCAGAATGTGGCCGGCCTTGTTTGGCCGCAGAGCTGATGACTCCAAAGACGAGAAGTAGCCGCTGTCATTCATGGTGATCGACTTGCGTTTGCGTGGACGAGGCGCAGGGGTAGGGCCGGACTGGGTCGGTGTTGGAGGTGTACCCTGGCGGGCGAATCGAGGAGGCGCAATCGGGGGAGACGATCTGATGGCCTGCGACGGCGAAGAAGGGGGCAGTGGGCGTGGCGCAGGCATTGGGGCCACTTCGTCCGCATCGTCTTGAAGAGCCGGATCGGACGCTGGCAATGTCGCATCTGAAGACAAGTCGTTTGGAGGCGGTCTGGGAGGAGGTGCACGGTGAGAAGGCGCGGAATATGCAGGCTGTGGCGGTACCATCCAAGTCGTGGTGCTGGCCGTTTGCGACTGGATGAGATCCTTCTGCGGGGCGGCGGGGAGAGGAAGGCTAGACATAGTCGCGCGGCGCACTTGTTTGTCCTTCAGGAACTGAATCTCCATACCGGGCTCAATGGCCCAGTAGTTGCCCTTGCCAGGGTCATCCTTGGGTCGCTCTTGCTTGATGAAAGCCTTGTTCAGACTAAGGTTGTGGCGAATGCTGTTCTGCCAGCCTGGGTCGCTGTTCTTGTAGTACGAGAAGGTGTCGGAGATCCACTTGTAGATCTGAGCCAAGGTCAAGCGCCGATTGTTGGCGCGCAATATGGACATGCCGATCAAAGTCGCGTAGCTGTACGGTGGCTTAGTACCATCATCTTCAATCGGCGGCATCTCGTGCGGCTCCGGGAGGAAAGCCATTGACGCGTCGTCGCGCTTTTGCTTCTTGTTGGAACGTTCTTTCAGCGGCGCAGCCTCCATGAGTGTGCGCTTCATCGGCAGTTTCGATTCATAAGACGGTTCTGGGAAGTCTGCGAAACTTTCATTGGACGGTTCTTCCGGGAAGCGGTTCTCTTTTGAGGACTCTGTGTTGACGCTGGAGAAGGTCGTGAAGAGGGCGGAATGTGGCATTGATGGTTGAGAGTATATATGGAAGGGCGCTTTCTTGGTTGGAGAGTCGGTAGTAAACATGGGAGGAGCGGGAGCAGAGATGGGGACGAAACCAAGTTTTCCGTGGCCCGGATGCGAGCCTTGGGAGTGAAGGCTTTTTGTCGGCGATGGCCTGTGCGGGTCCGAGGGAGGAGGGAAAGACGAGTTCTGAATGGGCTGGAGTGGTAGCGGTGAGGGTTGCAGACGGGGCTGCGATCTGATGATCTCTTGCGCTGATGGGGCTAGCACTGGAGGAAAGTGTGCGCCCGAAGAACGCGTCGGTCCCATAATCTAATTGATAGGACACCAAGTCACACTGCCACCAGTCGCCAAATGGACTGTGTGACGCGTAAACAGTTGAGGGAAAGGGCGCGACTGTTCAAAACAAGGCCTCCGGCCGAGTTTGCGACACACGAGCGAGCCGTGGCTTGGGGGTGTGTGATGAGACTGTGCAGAGAATTCCAAATGAACCAATAGTAGATCGAGAACTCCAAACAAGAAACCTCAGGCCGTCATGCGCAGGCAAGTTGGGCCCCAAGGCGCTAAGACGACAACGTCGAGGCGCGAATCAGGCGGCAGAGATAACCAAGTGTGGATGAGGTCTTTGGATTGTGGAAACTGAAAGGGAAAAATAGCCAAAAGGACCAAGTGTCCAGTTTTCAGGATAGAGATAGAAGATAGAGATAGAAGATAGAGATAGAAGATAGAGATAGATAGAGGATAGGATAGAGGATAGAAAATAATAAGAGAGAATACAAAGAGTCTAGGGAAGAAGAGAGAAGACCTCGGGAGAGCAAACCGGCTTTGGTTCAAAGATGGGGCTCTTGTGGAAGATCAAGGTCAGGCTCTCGAGATAATTTCTTCCTCTCTTTTTCTTTTCTTTTCAATAAGCTTGGAAGGCACTAAAACATATTATAGAATCTAGCAATGTTCAAGTCTTTCAGAGAAGTAGAAAGGCGGGGGGGGAGGAGTTAGAGAGAGGAGATCGAAGATGGAGTGGGATAAGACGATGATACCTGTCAGGTATGGTCATATCTTTGACGCGTCACGCGTTTTAGTATGGCGATTAGGGCCTATCAGTCCTGTAATTTTGGTAATCTGAATTCAAATCTGGTACCAAAGGGGGGGGCTCGCCCTTGCTGGCATTTTTCTAGCGCCGATCTGATCCACCGATGGACGAAGTATGCGACGGATGTACTTGTATGTCAGGTCCAACAGCATTATTTGGAGGAGATGACACTATTGAATATGTTCTTATATATGGATTATGGAATTGGAGGTAATTGAGTTATACGGATTACCTCAAGATATAGCACTCAATAATACTCACTACCTAGTACCTTGAATATGTACGTTGTTAAGGTCATATAAATATACTCCATGACATGAGTCTCAGCTAACAGGCCGAGACAACGCCAGATACCAGCTACGTACTTCTTTAATCCCACCATCAGCATCGTCATTGGCTCGACCATCCCGGTATGTGGACGTGTCGATGTAACTCTGAAACGGTCGACTTCTTCTTCACCCCTTGTTCCGCTTGTCATGGAGGATCTTCCTAACGCCCTTCCCCGGGACCCCGACTAGTGGTCGATGGCTCTCAGCTTCCTCGAGGGCCAATGGACTCACTGTGCCTCCAATGCATGTGCTGCAGTCTTGTCTGCAGCTGCCGCAACCTAGTCAGTACGTAGTGGATTACTACTGCGTACTAAGTCAGTACTCGATTGGAATAAAGCGGAGTGGCTATTTGCTCGAATCTAGGGGAGAACCCTAGTCCCTCAGTCTCCTACCCTTACTTTGTAAATCAGAGACCACCATGTAACAGATTTCATGCACTGTAACTAGTATATATGCTCTCAACGCCTGGAAGTGATCATCACTCAATCATGAATATAAACGCTTCATGACATATATTCTGCAGAACCAGAAAAAGCAAAAATGAAGAAAGAAAATGGAAGCTGTACAGATGAAGGAAAATAGAAACACGCAAAAATTAAACGAAGCAGACGCCAAGTCCCATGCATCACAAAAAAAAGAAAGCATATGCTTGGTCTTCCCACCAGATCGTGCCCCCTTTCTTTCTGGGGGCTTCGACGGGCCGATGCCATGACTTTTCTCTATCTTAATAAAAACCCAAGGGATATCTTCTAACAACCAAAAATCTTTGCTCGACGCAAAATCAGGGGACATTTAGTCCAAAAAGGTGAACATGCTCGTATGGATGATATTCAGGGCACGGTCGGCATCTCGTTCTTCAATGACGCAGGAAATATTGATCTCACTTGCACCTGTGAGGGGAAAAAAAGACAGTTAGTCCCAGTCAAGGGTAGAGCGAAGGGGGTTGGGGGAGCGGGGATCAGCAATTATTCACTCACCTTGCGAAATCATCTCGATATTCACGTTGTTCTCCCCGAGAGTAGTGAACATACGGCCGGCTACGCCGATCATATTCTTCATCTGTTTGCCGACCAGGCTGAGGATAGCCATCTCAGGAATGATGTCCACGGTTCCATACCGCCCGAGGTCATTCAATGCACCTTGGAGATCCTCGTTCACGATCTGATATTCATCCCGTCCGTTGCCATTGAGCATGGGCATCTCCGAGTGAAGGGCCAAAGACACATGGACCTCACTGGTCGAGATCAAATCAATGGAGAGGCGCCACTTGTCCAGCACGGAGAAAATGCCTGCAAAGAAACCATGGGATAGCGACCGCTTGTTGGAATGTACGTTGATGACCAGGATATTGTGTTTGATGGTCACTGCCGTGGGCCGTTTGGGGGTCTTCAGGAAACTGGGACTCCGGGTGCGGAACAGACGGGGATCATGTCCTGGTGTGGTTCTCTCTAATTCGGCCACAGAGTCGGGGAAGATGATGGTGCCCTCGTTCCTCGGGTTCATGACATTCTTGATGCGGATGGGAATCCGTGCGCGAATAACTTGCTCCATGGTGAACGGATGGATGACTTCGGATCCATAGAACGTCAATTCGGCGGCTTCGGCGGGGGTGATGGTGGGGAGCAGGCGAGCCGTGGGCACTTTACGGGGATCCGCAGTGAAGATACCGTCAACCTCCTTCCACACTTGCAGCTCCTGCGCGCGGGTGCCAACAGCGACAAGAGCCGCACACAGATCGGTATATCCACGACCGATCTGATCGAGCAGACCTCCGGGAATGGGGCCGAAGTAACCGGTCATCACAGGCACTCGATGCCCACAAACCTCGACCTTGCGACCGAAAGCCGCAGCCAGGTTATTATAAAAGTCCTGATCCAGACCGTGGTTGCCAATAGGGAAATCAATAATGTCGGACAGATCCACATACTGCGAATCCACCCCGCGGTCTTGCAGCAAGGCGGCCATGAGCCGACAGCTCAGCTTCTCGCCGGCACTGATTACCTTATCCACACAGCGTGCACTGATCTCTCCCAGGGTCTGGGCGGCCTCGAGGACCTTGAGTACTCGTTCGATTTCTCCGGTGATGTCCGCAATCGCCTGCTCCCTCAATTCCGCCGACTGCAATTCTTCCTGGGCGACTTTGACATGTTCCAAACGAACAGCCTCCACCAATGCCAGATAATCCTGCGAGTTAGGGTTCTCGGCATGCCGCGCTGCTCGCAATAATCTATTCGAAACTTTGTATCAGTACCTCGATCTTATTCGGCCGGCAGGTATGACAGTGACTCACCTGTTTGTGGTGCCTTCAGCTTTGGTCGAACTGCTCCGTGCAGAACATACAACGGCAACTCTGTTGTGCACAAGGCTGGGTCTATAAGGGAACTCAATCAGCGTCCATCTCAACCATCAATTCGAGAATGCGTCATACTTGACCACCTGCTCAGTGATGTTGAGCGCGAACTTGCCAACACTAGTGCCGCCGAATTTCTGCACAACCCAATTGCTGTGGGCCTGTGCAGTTGTTGGCGAATTTGAATCCAGTAGTGTGGTGGCCATGGTGTCAACCCCAGATTCAGATACCTAAGTCAATATAGTAGTCGTCCAAGGGAAAGAGGAAGTGGTTTGCGAGGGAAGACAGGCGAAAGCGGAGACTCTTTAGGCCCATTCCGGGTCCTGAATTTTTTTAATTTTTAATTTTTAATTTTTTTCGGTGACTCAATTGCCAATAGAGTTTTGGGTGGTGGATACCGCCTTCTGGATTGGGCCAGGTACCAGACGATGTCGGAGCCCCTCGGTCACGCCATTTCTCATCTGCCCCTCGCCAGGTGGGGTGCATCCACGCAGTACTACAAAGTATACGCCGAACAACATAGATCAATAACTTGGTCGGTTGGTCCTGTTGATAAGTACAACATGCCATGACTGACTGGTTATCATTCTCCGGGCTATTGTCTACTTAGTCTTTGATGTCTACTCTGTACATTGTCATTTATCACATCTTTTCCTTCTTTCTTTTACTCTTAAGTTATCCTGCGGCGAACTGGTTACTGGTATGCTACCGAGGCCCCCAGTGTGTTAGTTATCCCGATCTCACGTAATTCTTATATGACATCTAGACATGTGCAACTACGGGGGTCTTGATTCCGAGGCCTCGAATTCGATACAGCTCAAGCAAACTAAATTCTCCCCGCAGGATATGCATAGATGTCGACAAGTGGATCCAGTACAATTGTACTGTATAGGCTTTGCCGCAAAGCCTTTGGCAGAATCTACAGTGGCGTCAGGATAGAGCGGGTGGTAACAGGGTGGCTGATGTACCGGGATAAAATCTAGATCACAATCTTCCATGCAATATTCCATTCTGGTCAACGTTGTGTTCCATGGCTTGCATACATGTATACTGTACCTCCGTACGTTGTTGATGTACGGCCGTACGCCCTAGGGCGTATGGATATGGCGGTGGGTCCCGACAAACGGGCGTCCTCATTTAGGCATCAAATCAAGCAATCTTCTTCGTGTATACTTCGATATACTTCCGACTCAACAACATTGTATTTACTTTACCGTCACTTTTGATCATTTTCTTTAGTACACTCCTGTGGATACACTCATCTCTATTTTGGCACACATCTACCAAACCAACATATCAATTTCCTCTCCAGTCACTTCTGGACGAAAATATCATGGCCGACAATACCATCGCATCATGTCCCTTTTGTCCCTTCACGGACTCCGATGCCGACTTTGTCACCCAGCACATAGAGTTTTGCCACCCGGAGACCGGGTTGTCTGGTTTCTTGCAGGATGACCCGCTTGAAACCCCTGATCAAAATTTTGCTCCGCAGCCAGATGACGAATACGGCGCAGACAAATATGTTGATTGTCCACATGGATGCGGTGAGACGGTAGCAAGTACCGAGCTATCAAGTCACCTGGATCTACATGTTGCAGAGGATATTGCATTTGACGACACGGCGGCAACAGCGGGACGCTCAACGACAGACTCATATGTCCACGATGACTACCAGGCGTTTGACGATGGAGACTCCCTCGATATTCCCGATTACAAGAAAGGCAAGCGTGGGATGCAACGAGACTCCACGCGAGCGAATACAGCTAAACAGCCTCGCCCTCACAGTCCCCCACGGACTATCAATGCCAATGGCGTCAAAAGATTGGGGGTATCTATCCTGTACCTGCTGACCCGTATCTGGATCATCATATACTGATCATTTACAGCGCTCAGAACTAGGCCCCCATGCCCACGAGAAGAAGATGCCATCATGGCTAAGGAACATGTTGGAAAAGGGCGGCAGCACATCAAAGCAGACCCAAATCACATCAGACGGCAAACTCATGCGACGCGAGGTAGTGGAAAACGAGACTGACAATCTTATTCCCGTCCTTGCTCGTTTATGCGAACAAGACAGTTCTGTCAAACGGGCATTCTTCTGTAGCCCAAAGGTGCGCCATATTTGTAAGATGCGCCGAGAAGGCGGGTTCTGTGGATATCGCAATATCCAAATGATGGTATCTTGGCTGCAGAAGTCCCGTGGATTTGGCCACGAGCATTTCTCCGCTAAAGGGCCAACGATTCTTGAGCTGCAGGACATGATTGAGTTGGCCTGGGATATGGGATTCAACAGTTCTGGAAGAGCAGAAACAGGTGGTATCAAAGGCACACGCAAATTCATTGGAACACCCGAAGTAAGTTTCTAGTTGGCACGCTTATGTTCAGTCTTGCTAATGATGGACTAGGCACAAGCACTTTTCATGAGCCTGGGCATCCCGTGAGTTATCTAACCTTCTTGCCTTTGACGCCGCTTACCCAGTCACTAGATGCGAAGCGAGGAGCCTGTCGGAATCAAGCGACACACGGGCCTGTGATGCCCTATACCAAGATGTCGCTGAATACTTTCGGTCAGCTTGTTCACCAGAAGATGAGCAAAAAAGGATCGTCAAAACCGATCTATCTCCAATCTACTTCCAGCATCAAGGTAAAGCCCGTTATCCTTGTTGGCACATATACTCCTCTCTAACATGACCAGGGCATTCGATGACCATCATTGGATTTGAAATTCGAGAAGACGGTAGTTCAAATCTGCTGGTCTTCGACCCAATGTTCAAGACTTCTCCTGCAATGGAGCGTCTGCTTGGGACCTTTGTCAAACCCTCTGACCCGACTCGTCTTCTCAAAGCATACCGCAGAGGAACGCCTTATCTGCAAAAGTACAAGATCTTTGAGCTTCTCAAGTAAGTGACCAATTCTTGGTGGTTCCAAATTTCCAGTGCTGATCTATGGTAGGCTACCTGTTTACAACCAGCATGAGACTGCATCCACATAGGCTCAATTATTCTCATTCATGACGTCGCATAGCCTCAGCCTTATACCTGATACCTGATACCATCATTACCATGACCGTTTCATGACAGAACATTGAAAGTCACTTTGTACACACTGTTATGCATGTTGTTGCCAAATGCGGCAACTTACCCCTCCACGATAAGATAGCCGGAATGAAAATTAGTCCGATGGAATTATTTCATCTGGGGAAATCAACCTTCACTTGTACCTTCAATTCCTATTTAATTCTCCATAAATCTCCATAAATCATGCGCACCTCTCCGAACGTGATCATCACTGGCACCCCCGGCGTGGGCAAGACCGTGCACTGTGAACAACTCGCGCAAGAAATCGGCTTGAAGCATCTGTCCATCAACCAGATAGCCAAAGACCGTGATTGCTTCGACGAATACGACGAGGAATTGAAGACATGGGTAGTCGATGAGGACAAGGTAGGACAACTTTGGACGCACACAAAGCCGCTGGCATTCCACACCTTTCGTCAAGCTCAAGACCAAGAATTCACATACTAACCCATATACTCCGCAGCTCCTCGATGCCCTCGAAGACGAAATCCCTAACGGCGGCTACCTAATCGACTGGCACGCCTGCGATCTCTTCCCGAAATCCTGGATCGATCTCGTCGTTGTGCTCCGTTGCCCCACTACAGATATCCTATATGACCGACTTTCCTCAAGGTAAGACAATCCCGGGAAACTCCTCAATCTACTCGACTCAACTTCTAACATTTGTTTCAAGGGGCTACCACGAGAAAAAGCTAGAAGAAAACGTCGACGCGGAGATCTTCGGCGTCCTAATCGACGAAGCGCGAGAAGCTTTCGACGAAGAGATTGTGGTAGAATTGACGAGCGAGCAGGATTCAGACGTGGACTCGAACTGTCAGCGAATCGCGCAATGGGTCGAATCATGGAAGCAAACGCAGCAGAACGCGGACTGAGAACTGGTCTCCATATACAACATCTTTCTTTTTCCTCGTTTCTCATTCTATGGTCTTCGCCTAGGCCGAGTTATATACCCATTGGCAAATCGATTTACCGTTGTTCGGCGAGCCACTGCTGCAACTTCACCAGCGCCTTGTATCTGTGCGAGATCTTGTTCTGTTTTGGGATTTCTTAGTAGATATCTTTGTTTGCACGGTCAACACGCTTACCTTTTCCTCCTTGTCCATCTCGGCATAGGTTTGTTTGCCGTCATATTCAAAGATCGGGTCCCAGCCTAGTCCATGTCAGAGCTTCAATCTTTAATATACATCGTTGGGGATATCCAACTTACCAAAGTTCGTCGGGCCTCTGGGTCGCACGATAGCACCCTGTTTACAGTTAGATCGACACACACACACACACATAGACTGTAAATCTCTCACCTCAGTTCTCCCCTGGAAGATAAGCGGCTCTTCACCGGGCCCGGGACAAAAGGCAAAGGTACAAACAGCCTCAGCACCGCGATCCTCAAACCCATCAAGCATCTTATTCAGTCCCTCATGGCCCAAATTCTCCATAAACGATTTGCTAGACCCATCAGCATGATTTCCACAACACAAGTAAAAAGAACAGAAAACATACATATAAGGCCCAGGCAAACCCTTAAGCGCGCGGAACTCCAGCGCCGTATCCTCCGTCAAAGCAGGACCATTGATCTGCGCCTCATCAGCATTATACCCTTTCAAGTTACCCCATTTAAGATTGAAAGAGTAAAGCAGAACATGGACATGGGCATGTACATACCGCTTCAGCCGCACGTCTAGCCTTTTCCTTAGCGATTTCCTCGATTGTGCCCTGGATCTCGGGGACGTCGACCTCCTGGTTATCGACTTCGATGACATTGCCGAGGATGGCGCGCACCTCGCGGAGCTTGTTCTTGTTGCCGGTGATGAAGTTGAGCTTGGTCAGAGGCATTTTGGCGTTGGTATGATTAGGGATGTGTTTCTTCTAACGTTCAGGTGTGAAGGCTTCGGGGTTAAGGTGGGACTTGGAGGACCCACTGGGCCCGTCACCGCTATCCTCCAGGGCGAGGTACACACAGCGGTGCATACTGACGAGTGCTTGGTGAATTTGTAACAATGCCATTCTCTAACTAATTCGTTACACTCCATGTTATTACAACGGTACTACCACCTACAGTAGTTAGATGCAATGCTGATTGTGCCTAAGGTTGTCCCCATAACAGGGAACAGGATACAGAAGTTTCACCATAAATTACTTCAAGTCTAGGCCAGCACAATATGCAATTGAAACAAACGAAAAAGCGCACAATATCGCAAAGGTCCTAGATAATGCAGGCAAGTCGTAATCCGTAGCTCGCAGGAAATTTCCCCCCAAGTCTAATATACAACAGTACAGATCTATTCCTCAATCGGCCCGTTGTCCAGCTCCAGCCTATCTTGCTGTGCTATCGTTTGTGCGGACACAATCTCGGCCAGTCGTTTCAACCGCGGTGTCTGAAGCCATGAGGGGGTGTAAGTCTCCAGAGCCGTGATGACTCGCGGCTCGGCGATCTCATACGGTCCACTGTCCTCCATATCCACCGCCGCCAGAAGAAGCACGTCGCTCTTCTCGGTCACGCGAGATGCCACTGCCTTCATGATCTCGCCGTTGATGGGCTGTTCGTAGTCTGCGACCAGGTACTGGTTCAGCAGTTTTTGGATTTGGTTCGGTGACAGCCTGTAGCACGTGAGTCAGGGATCATTTACGGGGAAAATTGAAAGAAGACACTCTACTTACATCCAACAAATGTCTTGAATGATCTCGATGTCATTCAAGGTTGCCTTCTTCAGCTGTAGAAGCTTGGTCGCTTGCTGTTATAGGTGTTAGTAGAATGATCAAATAAAGCTTAGAAAAAGCAACTTACCATCAGGTGCTCCAGTTGCAATGTCCCCTCTGGCATATCGTGACTCTTGCACCACTCCTCAATCCGAGTGATGTTGTAGTTGATTTGCAGACCACGCTTCCACGACAGGAAGTTACGTCGCATGAGGAGATCGTTGAAAGCAGTGACACCCACGAGTCGGAGGAGTTCCGTGACAGTCTGGGTGATGATGCTGTCCTCGAGGTAGAAGGCCTTCATCGCCTTGTAAACACCGTTCAACAGACTCAGGAGGTTGTCCATGCTGTAAGCGGGGCTATTGTTGGAAGGCAGGAGCTTGCCGAGGAAACGGTTCGTTTCGCTGGTGACGAAGCCGGGAAGCGACTGGGACTCGATGATGGCCGGAACGATCATCTTGTACAGCTTCTTCTTCAAGACCTTCATCCAGGTGTGGTAGATGTTGAACTCCAAGCTCTCGAGGTCGTGCTTGACGATTTCCAGGAGGCGGTCATACTCGTAGTTCTCGGTCTTCTGTGCTTCGTACCAGTCCTCGGCCAGGAAGACAAAGGATAGCATCTCATGCACGTTGGAGAGCCAGAAAGCACCGGGGTTGATCGCGTCATCCCCGTCATGTTGCATGACCTCTTGTTGGATTGACTGCATCACATTGGCCAAGAACCGCTCGGACTCCTTCACAAATCCATTGTTCCACATCTCCGATGTGACAAGATTGATGAGGTAGGCCGGGAACAGCACTTCCTTCTCGGTAGGTGCTGGTGTCGAGCTGGGAAGTGGGATCTTCAGATTGCGGATGAGACCCATAGCAACCTCCTCGTTGAGGTCCTCCTCTTCAGAAAGCAAGTTCTCAAGTTCGACCTCGACCGACTCCTGACCAGGAGAGATGGCCGCGCTGTGACTGGCAGCCATAGACCCAGGAGTGACTGCCATTGAAACGGGCCGAGGGTTGTATGCACCGCTAAAGCGATCTGTGTCAATTTTCTCGGCGCCGGCACTACGTCTCTTGGGCTTAGGCTTCTTCGAAGACACAAGGTTGATCAATCCCGGTGGAGGGGTATGGACCGCACCGCCGTTGGGCAGTCCCTCGCCGTTCACACCGTTCACAGGCACAGATCTCTTGGCCACCTCAAGCTGTTCCTCGAGGTCGGAAATCCGTTGCCGGAGAGCAGTCTTGTCCTTCTCGTGGTCGATATCCAAAAGCTTGAGACGCTCCAGTTCCTCGTTGGCGGTTTGGAGAGCCTCGCGGGAGATTCTCTCCTCCTCTTGGAGGCGCTTGATAGTAGCCTGAGCTTCAGTGTGGCTTTGCTGAAGCTTGGCCATCTCTTCTTCAATCGCCTCCAATCGGGCTCCGGTGATACCGGCCTGGTTTGCTTCGGCCTGGAGTTCCTTCGTGCGAGCTTCCAGGGCATTGTGTCGAGTTCTCCATGACTTCAATTGGGCATCGTAGTTGTCCAGCTGCGAGACCAGGGTCTTGTTCTCGAGCTTGAGGCTTTGCAGGTACTGAGTCAACTCGACAACCTTATTCTCCAGCTTATAAGAGATCTGCTTGAGATCGCGGGCATCCTCGCGGAGTCTCTTGTAAGATTGTCTTGCCTGTTTACCTCTCCAGAGGTTTTGAACAGTGATGACCTGGCGGCGATACTGTCTCCAGGCCCGCAATTGACGCCATGAGCGGAAAGCACGCTGGATGACCTTGGCTGCATTTCCATTGATGGTCTCCATGATGTTGCGTCGGCACAAGAATCCCTTGGCGATAGACTCGAACAGTATGAAGTTGTTGCGGATTTGATTGTACTCCTTCCTATCCTTCTGACCACGCCAGACCCGCTGGATCGTAGTAGCTGCCTTTGTCCGACGGATCTCCTGGGCATGTTGCCGTGCCAGGAAACCACGGATAAAGGCCTGCGTGGTGAGAATGGCCCCACGAGCGTCGAGGTAACGGCGGCGGTAATACTTGGCACGCAAGTTCTTCTGAATCATGATGGCACATTCATTCAACCTGGAGGTGCGGAGGTTTTCGAGGAATGCAAGCATACCAGCTCGGAAGAAGATCTTGGTAAGACCCAGCTGGTACTTGTCCTGCTTCTGGTCTCCCAGCGCCTTTCGGAGGATAGCATGGCACATCTCCCGGATCTCCGAGGTCCATTGCGAGGAATGACACAGCATGTAGTAGCGAACGGCAAACTCTTCATAGGTCCATCGGGTAGGGTAACCAGCGGTACTGATTCGGACAGTTTCCAGGACACCGCAAGCTCTCAACTGGCTGAGAACCATGGGGCCCTCAAACTTCCAAGCCTCCTTCGCCTCATTGGGCTTGATGCAACGAATGTAATGAACCTCCGTGTTGTTGATAGTGTGCATTAATTCAATCAGCGAAGACTTGAAAATGCCTCCAAGCGTGGGTTTCCGATTGACCGCAACGCCAATTCGACGCCCTGGCGTTGCTGGGGCTGGCTTAGACGACACAGAAGCTGAATCCTTCTCGCGGACCGCCGCGGCGGTGTCTAGAATCTCCTTGATGAAAGGATTCGACGAATTACGCAACACCTCCAAATGCTCATCCGGAACAGTGTCACGGTTCTTCTCGATAAATCCATCAGACTCATAGGTGACATCGACTGCATAGTGACAGACGGTGAATGCCGATTTCCCGAATCGAGGCTTCTTGTAGAACTTCTGCTTGTCGGCCGCAAAGTTATGGTGAAGCTTGGTGACAAATTGCTCGTCCGAGCCCATAGGGAGTCGAGACTCTTCATCCAAAAGGGCCAAGACACCGAGCTTCGCTTCGATGAGATCGATACATGGCTGATTATCAGAGAAGTCAATGAAGGTCCAGTCGATCTCTTCCCGAACATATTCTTCCTGCTCAAGCTTGAAGACATGCTGGTTGAATTCTTGCTGCAACTTCTCATTGGCGTAGTTGATACAGAATTGTTCGAAAGAGTTCTTGGCGAAGTGTTCGAAACCGTAGATATCCAGGACACCAATGAAGCACTTGAACTTCTCAAAGACCTCCTCAGTAGCAAGACGTCGGTTAATCTTGTCCACCAGCCAGTCGAATAGACTTGAGTAAATGAACTTGGCGACGGAGTCCCGGACAACCAAGGCCTGTTGCTGTGTCAAATTGGAGGTAATCTTCTCACCACGGGTAATCAGCTGCTTCTTCACAATCCACTTCGCAAACTCAGTCGCATCGATCCCAAGCATCTCACATGCGCGGACAAGTGAAGGCTCGGTCGACGAGACGGATGAATCTGTGCGAGTAGCTGTGATCTTGACATTACCGAGGTGTAGCAAAGCGGCAAGAACGCGGAAAATGCCAGTTTGGTCTTCCTTCTGCACACCGATCACAGCCAATGACTTTCTGGTCGCTTCAAATTCAGCCTTGTCGTCGACACCGTCAATCACCGGAGTGCCACCCTGGTTCAGATATTCAAAGTCTTCGGCAGGTAAGAGACCCAGCTCCTGTTTCTCCGCATCGGAAGAACCGGCCACCAATTGGTAGAAGATGTGGTAATTGCGCTCTTTGAGAGGCTGGAAGACCAGTCTGGACCGCTCAAGGAGATATGTCCGAATCTTGGCACCGATGATGTTCGTCCGGTCATCAAACATGATCTCGATGTATTTGCCGAAACGGGAGGAGTTGTCGTTACGGGTGGTTTTGGCGTTACCGAAGGCTTCCATCACCGGGTTGGTAGCTAGAATCTGCTCTTCGGTCTCACTGATGGCATCTGCTCGGCTGGTGCTGTACTTCCCAGGCTGATCCGAAGACTCGCGGGTCGCAAAGTAGCGCATGATATATTTGGCGCTCACGGTCTTTCCGGCTCCAGACTCACCAGAAACCACGATTGTCTGGTTCTTTCCATCACGAAGCATGTCCCTGTATAAAGCGTGAGCAAGATTGGATACAAGCAGACGGGAAAGAGACGACTCTTACGCGAAAGCTTCCTCGGCAATTGCGAATAGATGAGGTGCCTGCGAGGCACGGTGTTTCCCAGCATAAACCTGCACCATCTGCGGCACGTAAAGCGAATCGACTCGAGCGAACGGGTTGGTTGCGATCAGAACGATACCACTGTAGGTATAAATCTCCTTCTGAGCATATCGGAGTTTAATGGCCTGAAGGACTTCACAGGGTCGTCAGCGGACAGCAGTCAAAACAGCGATGGGAAAGACAAACCAGCGGGCTCGTTCAAATGAGACAAGTTCGTCAGGTCTTCACTTGCTTCTAGCATAGCAGGGTTCATGAGCGGTGGTAGGTTGGGGTTGTTATCGACCTGCAGTTCGGACTGCGTGGTCTCAACGGTTCTGGTCTGCACCGACAAAACACTGTTAGTGGGCCAGCTTTGCACGACCACGACCACGACGTGACAGAGATAACTGCGCGTCGTCGATCAAGCAGCGTGGAAGACACATACCTCCCCATTTTCCAGCTCGAATATCAGCTGCACTTTCTCTCCATCCTCCAGCTTCTCCTTCACTTCAGATGCCAGCCACCCTTCTGTCGGATCGGGCTGCCAGGCCCGTGTGCCGACCTCATAGATGTGCGCCATAGGGAATGTTTGTCGTTAATCGTGTTGAATGCAATGAAAGATGTTTGCGGAGCTCGGGATGATGAGTGTTTATGGAGATAGGGTATCGAAGGGAAAAGGGAATTTGCAAGGTCCAAAGACAAGGGGGACGTCTTCAGCCCCTCATCTCATATTCCGAAAGAATAGAATAAAAAGAATGAAGATAAGCGATACGTAGATGGAGGTGGAAACGAAAACCCTTGAATGAGACTAACTGGCCATTTAGCGAGAGCCCCTGAAGGAGCTTAGGGAAATATACTGGGGGGCGCCACAACCCCACAGGCCGTCACCGCCCTTGGTCTGCATTGAAATGTACCTTAAGCTGTTTACTACGGAGACTTCTTCCAAGCTTCATATGGAGTATGTAGTTTACATGTATATTGATCATAGTAAGGTATTGCGTGCTCTTCCAGACAATGCTATTCCTCATCTATTGGGCCTATCCAGGGACGCTAGGGTTGCACACGATTATGTCAAGTATTCATTGAGTATTAGAAGATAGAGAAGTCACGCAAGGGCACAAAAAGGAAAGCAGAGCAAAATATCGAGAGAGTACGAATAGTCTCGTGTCGGGCATTCACCACCGGCAACTTTTGGAGTTTAGTTTTGCTTGCACTCGGCGGCCTCTTTCTTAGGCTTGGAGGTACCGTCCTCCTCGTCTGAGTCTTCCTCGTCCACATCGCGGTCAGAACCGAGGTCCTCATCGTCCTCATCGTCGTCCTCCTCATCCTCGTCATCATCATCCTCGAATTCATCACCCATATCCTCACCGAGCTCCTCGAATTGAAGAGCCTCACCGGTGAACCAGTCGATGGCACGGGGAATGAGCTTCTCCTTGATATCCTCACCAAGCTGGTAATCAAGCTCCAGACGCTCTTCGATATCGCTGGCGACTGACTCATCATCCTCGGCGGGGGGTTGTGGGGGAGAGAAGAAGTTGAAGAAGGACTCGGTAGGCACACTGATCTTGACAACGCGGGTCTGCTTGGTGTCTAAAAGGAATCAGTTGTCAGTCTCAATGTATTTACCCGGTAAACGAGTGGTACTTACTCTTGTTGCGCTGCTTCTTGCTCTCCAGGCGGAGAGTCAAGTCCTTATCCTCCTTCCAGTCGATCTCGGATCCATCGGCGTGGTCGTAGATGAAATCGCCACCGTACCCACTCTCATCCTTGTAGTAGTATGACTTGGTGATGGTCTTGTTGGTGAAGAACTCATTCTCGGAGAACTCGAAAATAAGGCGGAATCCGGGTTGGTCAAGGTACTCCATGCGAATGTCGGTGAGGTGCTTGAGAGCCTCCTCATCGCGCTCGGTGATCATCTCGGCGAGTGAGATCTGGTTCTTCATAGCAGAGAGCCAGAACTCAGGGATTCCGTTCTGTGGTGCACCCTCCTCCTTCTTGGATTCCTCCTCCTTGGTCTCCTCATCCTCCTCCTCTTCTTCGTCCTCCTTTCCGGCTTCAATCTCGGCCTCGGTAGGCTCGACACCACCGTTGACAATAGTAGAACGACGTTCGTACAAAGGTGTGAACTTTGCGAAGTACTTCTTCTCGAGTTCCAGGACCTCCTCTTGGAACTGAGCTTCAAGCTTGGAGTGCTCCTTCTGGATACCCTTCAGACCAGCGACACGGCGGCGGACGGAGGGGGGAAGAGACTCGATGTAGCCTGACGAGCGACCGACGAGTTGGCCAAGTTTACCCTGGATCATGGAGACCAGGGCAGGGTTACGGGCGAAAAGTGAGGCAGCAGCGGCTTTGTCAAGGGATTCTGCAAAGAACGAAAATACGGTCAGAAAAGAAGGTCGATGAAGACAGAAAAGAAGTTGACTTACCCTCCTCAATGCTGGAAACACCAGGCTGCTGGGCGTGAGACGAGATAGGAGCATTGTTGGCTGGAGTGTTTTGCGGGGTCCTTTCTGCAAGTTAGTCTCTATATATTTTTTTTTCTTTCGATAAGAAAAAAAAAATGGAACAGGGACTTACGGTGCGACCGGGAAGTCAGCCTTCTTATTTCTGATGGGCTCAGACATGATGAATGCGTTAGACGAAAGGGAGGGGAGGTGGGAAGAAGGAAGGAAGAATTTGATATAACGTTTTGGGGGAAAGAGAGTCTGGAAGATGGTGGGATCCTTAGCGCCCTGTGGCCGAGGGGCTTGGCGGGACGCGACGGTTCTGGTTGAGAAAGTCTGCAAAAACTGTCAAATTCTCCCAACAATACCTGTAAAACACACACTTTTGTTCTTTCTTTACTGCAATTTCACCGTTCCATCTCTATCGCTTTACATTAATTAACGTGACTTCCAACGCCGTACGATCGATTGTTAAATCGGAGATTTCTGCTCCCGGTGGCGCGCGTTGGAACCACTCTTTCTCCCCTTCTTTTACCCCTCTCCAATTACAATGCGGTGGATCTGAGGCCCTATATGGATGTCTGTTTCTTCTCTAATATGCTCTCACTAGAGATGAGTAATCTAATTATTTGGAGGAGATAAATGTATATATGGAATATATGGAACGAAATTCGTCCATGGATACTCTGTAGAGACAGTTATATTTAGAAACATATGTTGCATGATTTGCTTGTCTGGCCTAAGGCTACACCTAGGCACCTTTGATGACGTTTCAATATGCAGGTATTCAAGCCATTGAGATCTCTGTTTCTCCTATCTCCCTCCTAGTCCGGGGTAAAGCAATACGCCGTAACCCCCATACGGCGTAGAAGGACCTGGGTCGCGCTATGTAGATCCTCCCGTACAATCTCAGATCCATACACGATCGAGTGACAAATGAGATGTTACCCCTTGAAGAGCGAATAGGAGATATTCAAACTCATCTGTACTTGTAAATCTTCCAGACTTCCCTGGCAGAGTATTCATAACACATACTGTGTGCCAGTATGGAGTCAAATTGTACTTCGTACACTTCAACTGGCATTTGTCCGGCAATGTTTCTCGGACGTCGATCATTATCGGATGGTCACATGGAGATAAGGTGCTCTCCGCGCTGTGGGACACCCGATAAGTTCTAACCGGCTTTCCTGGATAGTCGTGCTCCGCGGTAAAATATTCTCGATTCGTCCTGTGTCAGAACGACTTCTACCCAGAATACCATACTACCACCCTGAGAGGGTTGCCGGAAACCGGTCAAGAGAGAAGATCTCTCTGAAACATGGGAAGCCGTGCACAGTCTCCCTCGGGGACTGGTCCTGTGGACCTCTTCATGCCTCGGAGTGGGATGCGACGCGATTCCATGCGCAGCAGGTTCTTACTCCTTTCCCTGGATCTGAAATATTTGAGCTTGTGCTAATGAATCTGTAGCATGAGTGTCGTGTCGGACGTGGAAATGGCTCGTAACGAGGTACGTCAGATCTCTGCTCTTATGCTGGCCTCGGTACAGTAGCTAACCCGCACTAGGTCTTTGATGGCCCAATATCTGAAAGCATTCCTTCCAGCGTTGTATCATTTGCACACCGCCGTGACCGAGCAGGCTCTACCGTGAGCTTTACCTACTTCCAAGATGAGGAAGATTTCGCAGAATGGTCGAATGAAGATGCGGTGGACGAGCAAAGCGAGATCGATATTGAGTCTTTACATGGCATTGGCGACGCAGATGTCGAGTCAGTCCGGGGATCTTTCGTATCTAAGCGTATGTCTACCTCGCGCGACTCGATCGAGCGTCCACTTCTTTCTCGCTATTTGTCCGCCAGCTCGTATGGTCGAGACCGACGAACCGGCAGTCGATTGAATCAAAAGGTCTATATCGCATCGGAGGATCTGACCGCCGTTTTTGCCGGATTTTCCACAAGTACTGGAGGATATGCTCTGTACATTGCTCTTTGCATATTGACCGGTGGATTTGCCTACCTTCTCTTCCGATGGCTGCCACGATGGCGGGTGAAGGTGATTGGGAAGGCAACGCCGATAGGAAAGTGCCAGTGGGTTGCCATTGAGGTGAGATCCCCAGCGTTTTATGAAATGTCATGCAATAACCGTCTAACCTGTGATAGGATCAATGGAATCAATTCACCATTCACGAAGTTGGCAGCCAACTCTATGGGCGGCCGCTTTCCACAGTCTTCGCTGATTCGTCGAGTTATACATACGACGAAGATAGTGATCCGACACTTGCTTCTTTGCACTTCATTGACTATAGACACCTGCGATTCTTCTACCATCCCCTCGAGGATAAATTCTCGTTGGTCAATGGTTGGAAAGATCCCTCATGGACTAATGCGAAGGTCATGCGGAGTGGATTAGATGCCGATGAACGAGATAGCAGAGAACAACTCTTCGGAAACAATACCATTGAAATTGACCAGAAGACAATTCCTCAGCTTCTCGTCGACGAGGTCAGTTTGCCTTTCCTGGTGGTTCCATCACGGTAACTGACAGTATACAGGCATTCCATCCGTTCTACATCTTCCAAGTTGCCAGTCTCTTGTTGTGGTCCATCGATGAGTACTATTACTACGCCGTTTGTATCTTTCTCATATCGTTCTTCAGCATAGCCACTACTGTGCTAGAGACGAAATCAGTGAGTTCTAGGCCAACATGTAGGGAAATGGACGGGACTAACGCCGCTCTAGACCATGAAACGGCTCAGGGAGATCTCTCTCTTCGAGTGTGATGTGCGCGTGCTAAGAAACGGGTTCTGTGAGTTGGTCCAGTATATCACATTACTGGATGGTGTAAGCTAATTGTAGCTACAGGGCGATCTGTCTCCTCCCATGAGCTGGTGCCTGGTGATGTGTATGAATTCTCCGACCCTTCGCTCAATCAGGTGCCGTGTGATTGCATATTGCTATCGGGAGATTGTATTGTGAACGAGAGCATGCTGACTGGTTTGTCTAAACTACCCGTATGAATGCTCAATGCTAATTTGAATAGGGGAATCTGTTCCTGTGTCCAAAACACCACTCACCGATGACGCCCTCAAATACCTCGATCTCAGTACCCCCTCTATTCATCCTCAAGTTGCCAAACACTTCCTGTTCAGCGGCACGAAGGTAATCCGGGCTAGACGTCCTCAGAACGTCGATGACGATGAAGCAGTAGCGCTGGCAATCGTTATGAGAACTGGCTTCTCGACGACCAAGGGCGCGCTCGTTCGCTCGATGCTTTTCCCGAAGCCTTCTGGGTTCAAATTCTACCGTGACTCGTTCCGCTACATCGCAGTGATGGGAGTGGTCGCTATCCTTGGTTTCATTGCTTCATTTGTTAACTTTGTTCGATTGGGTGTAAGTCAATGCTCGGACAATCGATTATCGCTCATCTGCTGACCAGCATAGCTCGCTTGGCATTTGATCATAGTGCGAGCCCTCGATCTGATCACGATCGTTGTACCACCAGCTCTTCCGGCCACACTTACTATTGGAACCAATTTCGCACTTTCAAGATTGAAGAAGCAGAACATATTCTGTATCAGCCCACAGAAGTGAGTGACTGATGTTCAATTAGGTCTGACTGCCGACGCTAACACATGGAAACAGAGTCAATGTGGGAGGAAAGCTGGACGTCGTGTGTTTTGATAAGACTGGTACTCTCACCGAAGATGGGCTGGACGTGCTCGGAGCACGTATAGTGACCCGTGGTAAACGGTGCGTTTCTTTTCATGTAGCAATCTAAGCTATCGCTGATGAAAAACTTGCAGATTCTCGGAGTTGCTCTCTGATACGTCTGATGGGTTCCTCCTTCCTACTGCAAATGCAAATTCGTCATACGATATCGAAAAACAGCGAAAGATCGTGTACGCAATGGCTACGTGCCATTCCCTCAGGGTGGTGGACGATGAGCTATTGGGAGACCCTCTTGATGTGAAGATGTTCCAATTCACCAACTGGACGTTCGAGGAGGGAGGACATACTGTTTCTGACCCGGCGAACCCCAAGTATGACACGATAGCGCCATCGGTTGCAAAGCCGCCTCAGGCTCAGGCCGGTGATCAACAGGACGTAAATGTGAGCCTATCTGTTCCGAATCACGGCTTCATATCTAACAATCATCAGAACCCACTGGAACTCGGAGTACTACGGAGTTTCGAATTTGTCTCACATCTCCGCCGCGCAAGCGTCGTTGTCCGCCAATTTGGTGATAATGGAGCAAGTTTCTTTGTCAAGGGTGCCCCAGAAAGCATCAAGGACATTTGTTTACCTGGATCCCGTAAGTAACCCAACTCCCCGTTGAAGCCTGGGTTGCTGACCACATCATGCAGTTCCTGCGGATTATGAAGATCTCTTGAATTACTACACTCACAAAGGATACCGTGTGATTGCCTGCGCCACCAAGCACGAACGCAAGTTGAGTTGGATGAAAGTTCAAAAAATGTCACGAATTGAGGTGGAGTCCGATCTGGAATTCCTGGGTTTCATCATTTTCGAGAACAAATTGAAGCCCAGTACTGCTGGTGTGATCTCCCAGCTGAACGAGGCGGGAATTCGCAACGTTATGTGCACTGGTGACAATATCTTGACTGCTATCAGTGTTGCTCGTGAATGCAACATGCTCGGCCGCGATGAGCCCTGCTTTATTCCCCATTTTGTCGAAGCACCTGGTCTCTCATCCAAGACTTCCCTCATATGGGAATGCGTGGACAACCCCGACCTTCAGCTAGACCCCAGAACACTTACGCCTATGAACACCGCGGAGATCGATTTGTCAATCCCCGGAAGCTCTCTCGTTGAGCGAGAGTACTCTGTCGCTGTGACGGGTGATGCGTTTAGGTGGCTAATCGATTATGGAAATGAGGATGTACTCAACAAGGTACTTGTGTGCGGCAAAGTGTTTGCGCGAATGTCCCCGGACGAAAAGCACGAATTGGTCGAGAAACTCCAGTCTATTGATTACTGCTGTGGCTTTTGCGGCGACGGTGCCAATGACTGTGGTGCGTTGAAGGCCGCAGATGTTGGTATCTCATTGTCGGATGCCGAGGCGTCTGTTGCCGCACCCTTCACTAGCCGCGTGTTCGAAATCTCCTGTGTTCCGACGGTGATTCGGGAGGGTCGTGCTGCTTTGGTGACAAGCTTCTCCTGCTTCAAGTTCATGAGTCTCTATTCCGCCATTCAGTTCTCCACGGTCAGCTTCTTGTACACCTCGGGATCCAATCTCGGTGATTTCCAATTCCTCTTCATCGACCTTGTCCTCATCATGCCCATTGCCATATTCAGTGAGTGGTTCATCTTCCCAAAACCTATGTGTCTGAGCTAACTGCGATTTCTAGTGGGCTGGGCTGATCCTGCTCCGACATTATCTCGGAAACGACCAACCGCCGATCTTGTCTCGCGGAAAGTATTGACACCTTTGCTCGGCCAAATCGCGCTAGCTGTGCTATCACAATTTGCGGTCTTCCAGATTGTTCAATTGCAGCCATGGTAAGTGACCATCACAACATACCCAAGGGAACTACTCTAACCCATGATACAGGTTCTTGCCACCTCAATTGGACCGGGAAAAGAGCAACATCACCAACTCGGAGAACACAGCTCTTTTCGTATTCTCCTGCTTCCAGTACATTTTCATCAGTATTGTTCTCAGCGCGGGCCCGCCATTCCGGAAACCCATGACTCAGAATGGTAAGAATATCAACCCTTCTTCTTGTCCATCGCATACTGACTGTGACGTCTTAGTGCCGTACTTATGTACAATCGTCGTCAACGCCCTGATCTCGGCCTACATGCTCTTCAGACCAGCCGAATGGGTTCGGAGTGTGATGCAACTGACATACATGTCTGATGGATTCCGAAGCTGGTTACTCGCGCTGGCAATCGGGATCCTCATTCTATCCTGGATCGCAGAGAAGAACATATTCCCTCGCGTGGCACAGATGATTGGACATGCTCGTGCTCGCATGCAACCAAACTACCGCAAGAAGCGCCGGACCTACAAAGTGCTTTTGGAGGAACTGCGCTTGTGATGTGTGAAAGCAGGACTGTACTTTAAAGAATACACATAGACCTGTACCTATATTTCTTAGTCTTTTTGGACACTATGATCTAGTCTTTCGCCTAGAAGGCTCGGTCTCGATCATTACCAATCTACTCTTTGGAGGATTGAAAAAGAAAGGGTATGATACAATTCGGCTGTAAAAATGGCTATCGCGAACCTGACACTTGTGGCTTTCAACGAGGTCTCGACAACCTTTCGGTCCTATGCCCCTCTCTTATCTCCAATCCAAGTGAATAGTACACAATATGATCCAACCACCACTGTCCTCAACAACGAAGGCACCGTGCGACAGAAAGGAAATTGACAATTGCGCTCGGATCAGTGATCCCAAGGGTGCTTCCAGCCCAACAGAGCGGGACCGTCCTTCTTGGCCCGGTACATGAGCTATGCAGAAGAGTCATGTCAGTGCACACTTTCGACAGATCAAATACGGGATAGTCTTACGAAGAACCACATGCTAGCGCCCAATGCAGTCGCAGTGAAGCGGTAAAGCGGTCGGACCGGGTGGATGTGGATAGGGTGGGAAGAGTGGCCTGCCATGACTGTGCGGTTACGGGGGCTTCCAGTTAGCTTCCGAGTCACAGGAGCAGAGGAATAGACAGAGGACACATACTGGTGAAAATGGCTGTTGTTTCACAGAACGCCAATCTCGAATTCGCTGAAGACGGAGGGTTTGCGGGTTCGGCGGAGACGGGGAAGTTGAATGCGACACGTGACCTGTGACGGCACTCGAATTCCCAGCTGCGTTTGAACTGTTTGGACCGGCAGAACTGTCGTGATTTCCAGGAGTGTCGCCTGGCTCCTACTGTATTCTCACTTTGGGCTGGTTCCTACACACGTTTATGTTGAGGGCAGTGAATGACCGAGCTCGAGATCTAAAACGCGCGCCTTGAAACACGCGGAATCGTCACATATGCCATTTATCTCTATGACATTGACTCGGCTCTCACTCCATTCGATGCGCCTGGCTCTTTCCTGAGAAACGACCTGCTGATTGACTACATCGTTCTTTGCACCCCGTATCTGACAACTTCCCGAACCTCTTCCTTAGCCCGACGCCGATATCAGTCCGAAGCGGAACAAACGCCTTGACGGTGGTCGCCAACCCATACCGACATTCTCCCCGTTACAACGTGTGGACCCTCTTCATCTTCAGTGCGAGCGACGATCTCCTCCAAGCGACGTGAGCAACATACCTTTCCAAAACAGCGCAAGCTGCCAGCGCGAGCAGCTAGCGCAAACGAGGCAGCATGGATATCAAATCACTGGAAATGAACGCAGATGGACAGCCCCGGTTTCCCGGCTGTTCAAACATCCGCAACTATGAATTTCTCGACAAGCTTGGAGAAGGCACATTTGGGTAAGCTGGCAGCTCCGTTTCCAACCCCGGAAGCCAACTGACTGGTTGCTAGCGAGGTCTACAAAGCAAGGTCCAAAAAGGACACCACAGTGGTGGCTCTAAAAAAGATTTTGATGCACCACGAGAAAGAAGGTGTAAGTCCGCTTGCTTTCCGTGCTTGTTTATCATTAACTGACGGTGGTTACTAGTTCCCCATTACTGCCATCCGAGAGATCAAACTCATGAAGGCGCTTTCACATCCAAATATCCTACAGCTCAGGGAGATGGCAATCGAGCGAGGGAAAGGTCAGCTTGGGAAAACACCCTGCTCGCAGTCAAAGTACTGACATTTCAACAAGGCGAAGGACGGAAAAAGCCTAGCCTGTACATGGTCTTCCCATATATGGAACATGACCTGTCAGGACTCCTCGAAAATCCAGCGGTTCAGTTCAGTGAACCACAGATCAAGTGCTACTTGATGCAACTCCTGGAAGGGCTCAAGTTCATGCATGCAGTACGTCCTGACACCGATTTCTATGATGCTTGTCTAACAGCTTTGCAGAACCGTATCCTACATCGTGATATGAAAGGTTGGTGTCGAACTCTGATATGCCGGTGAATTTCCAAGCTGACATAGCTGAATAGCGGCAAACCTACTAATCAGCAATGGCGGACTTCTCCAAATTGCCGATTTCGGTCTTGCTCGCCCTTACGACGATGCACCTCCACAACCAGGAAAGGGCGGAGGCGATTCCACCAGAGACTATACCGCACTCGTCGTTACAAGATGGTACCGTCCTCCCGAGTTGTTGCTACAGTTACGGAAATACACCACAGCTATCGACCTATGGGGAGTCGGGTGAGTCTTTCCAATATTGTCAGTCAAAACCACAATCTAATATCTTCCCAGCTGTGTCTTCGGCGAGATGTTCAAAGGGAAACCCATCCTCACAGGAAACAGCGACCTCAACCAAGCACAACTAATCTTCAACCTAGTGGGGACACCCACAGAAGAGACAATGCCAGGCTGGAGCGAGCTTCCAGGCTGCGAAGGCGTGAAGAACTTCGGCTACAAACGAGGCACTCTCACAGAAGTCTTCAAAGAGTATGCTACCCCCTCCAATACCCCAAACGATACATACTTACATACCCAAAAGACTCCACCCAGCAGCAATATCCCTCCTAAGCGAACTCCTCCGCCTAGATTGGCGAAAACGCATAAACGCAATGGACGCCCTAAAACACCCCTACTTCACAACCCACCCCCTTCCCGCCCGACCAGGCGACATCCCCCAATTCGCCGACTCCCACGAATTCGACCGCAAAAAACTCCGCAATCAACGTCCACCCGTCGCTCCCATCCCCTCAATCCCCTCCGACACAACCGGTAACGCACCAGGCACCGCACCAGGCAGCTCCAGCTGGCAAAGCACCGGTTCCCGACCCGACTCACGTAACCGTATTCCCGCCGTCGCCCGTGGAAGACCCAATGGTCCACCCGGTCCTGGTCCTGGTCCTGGTCCACACGGGCATGGAAATGCACACGGACATGGAGGATACCATGGGAATCAGCAACGGCGCGCGCCGTACCCGCCAAGAGACAGCGGTTTACCGCCTCGTCCTCCGGTGCCGGGGAACCCGCCGTGGGAGGGAAGAGGTGATGGACGGGATGATCGACGGAGTCAATATCCCGGACGGTCTGGTGGGGGTGGTAGATCTGGGAATTTGGATTCTTATGTGCCGAATTACAGTGAACGGCGAGAGTCTGAGTCGAATCCGGGTTCCGATTGGCGTGGAGCGGGGACGAGTCGACGGGAGTATCGGAGGGATCCTCCTAGACGGAGGAGTCGGAGTCCTGGGTACAGAGATGGGAGTCGGGGGTAAAGTAGTAACTAGTAAGGTAGTAAGATGTGCAATGTGCAGCAGTTATCTTCACTGAATGCATTCTACTAGTCAATCATTCTACACAGTAGATGACCAATGGATATGAAACGGAAATGGATAATGAAAGCAGTTCATGTCATAGCTTTTCTCTAATAGCATATGTAGCATTCACAAAATGTACGGTCTTTTTGGCGCCGGTATCCAACTCCATCGGGAGCGGGTAAACTGGCGGCTGTGATCTCCTGGGACCTCGTTGAGAGTATCCGCGATTGAGATCGAGCGCTAGAAGGCTTTATCTAGGTTAAGTTGATTAAGGCTTCATAGCCAGAAGGCTGGATTGTGTTTTTGGGTTCGTATTGTTTAGTACAACACACGGGTCATGATGCGAGCTGGTGGGTGTGTTAGTGGGATGTGTAGGCGAGGTAGGAGAAAAGGGATCTTACAAGGAAGGCTCTCGAGTCTGTTATACAAGTCTCTGATGGTGGCAGTGTCGACGTTGCTGATATCGGCCATCAGGTAGGCAACCTATACAGAATTAGTTCCCGGGACTTCCAACTTCTTTGCGTTGCGTAAACTTACATCGCCTCTGCTATCGGTCATCTGCTTGTCGACGTTGTGGTCACCAATGATCTCGTTGACTGTGCATTGTTAGTTGAAAGGCCATTATCTGGAAGTTCGAAAAGTCCTTACCCTTTCTCAATACACCAGGAATGTTCTTGTGAATGTAGATAACCTAGGCAAATCAGCATCGAAGCAATATCATGAGACCAAGTGTAAAACTTACACGAGCGTGGTTGGGCTCATCCATAGTCAAAGAACGGAGGACAACCTCGGGCATGTTGACAGCACCCAGGGTCGAACCCTCGTTAGCATAGCGAACCAAAGCCTGGGCAACCTCCACACCGATAGCCTTCTGAGCCTCCTCGGTACTTCCACCAATGTGAGGGGTGAGGATCAGGTTCTTGAGCGAGCGGAGATCAGCTCCCCAGGCGTTCAGGTCGTTGTTGAAGTAGTCACCGTTTCCGGCAGGCTCGTTGGGGTACACATCCAGAGCGGCACCGGCAACCTTACCGCTGCGCATGGCATCGATAAGCGCAGGGATATCGACAACAGTTCCACGGCTAGCGTTGATCAGATAGCTTCCCTTCTTCATCTTCTCAAACTGGTGGGGCCCGATCATGCCCTTGGTCTCGGGGATCTCGGGCACGTGGCAGGTGATGAAATCAGCCTCGGACATGAGATCATCCAGAGTGTCGACCTGGCGAGCTGTGCCGAGAGACATAATGTTGAGCACATCGTAGTAGATCACCGACATTCCCATGGCCTCAGCCAATACCGACAGCTGGGCACCGATGTGGCCGTATCCAATGATACCTGAGAGAGTCAGCGCCAGAAACCGACGGAACCATTGAAAGATATCACATACCGAGGGTCTTTCCGCGAATCTCCCAGCAACCATTGCTCACCTTGTTCCAGGTGCCGTTGTGCATCTCGTTGGAACGATCACCCAATTGACGGGCAAGCATGATAATCTCACCAATGACCAACTCGGCGACACTGCGGGAGTTGCTGAAGGGGGAGTTGAAGACCGCAATACCCTGTTCAGCAGCATATTGGAGGTCAACCTGGTTGGTGCCGATACAGAAGCAACCGATGACGATGAGGTTCTTAGCCTCCTTCAAGACGCGTGCGGTGAGCTTCGTCTTCGAGCGAATACCAATGACGTGGACATCACTACAATTGACACAATTCCTGAGCTTCGTGAGTCACCAAGAGATAATGATTTGGGGACCCACCGGATCTTTTCAATGAGCTGATCTTCGGGGAGCGAAGACTTCAAGAATTCGACCTGGTAGCCCTGCTGGGAGAGCATATCACGACCGGTCTGGTTGACATTCTCGAGAAGCAAGACCTTGATATCTTCCGTGGCGAATGGCTTCAGGTGCTTGGCGTTGACGACTGGAACTGTGCGGCCTAGGACGGAGCTGTGGCTGGAGGGAGAGTGGAAGGAAGCGTTGGGGGAGGTAGCGAGGTGGGCGGTTTCGTCCTGACGAGGACGGATATCTCTTGCGGTGGCCATGATGGGGTTATAGTGTTATAGAGGAAAGAGAGAGATGACAAGATGCGATACCTTTGTTGGGTCCGCCTCTATCAATATGACTCAAGTAATTATCCGGGTCTCCGGAATCGGCCTTGCGACCAAATTTCAAAAGCAGGTGGGGGCTACTTTCTGCTTTGGGTATTAGTTCCTGCCGCTTTTGCTCGGTGGGTAACAGCAACTCACTGAGTTTGAGTCCGCCTTCGTTAAAGCGGCAGTTACCCAGGTAAGATAGGAAAGCCCCACCGGCAGAGAAAATTTGATGTTTGTATGTATAACCATAGTAAGCATGTATATGTGGCTAAATAAAGTATTGCATACTTCCAATTCGTTACTGCACGATATGTTTGTTTATTCATCTTGAAATGGCCTACACAATGTCCTGGGCTGCTGCGGAGGTGCATCGAGGGGCATCGCGGGGCAAGACTTTTTTGTTTTTTTTTTTTGCCTAAGTTCAAAGGTCCGGCCAATCACGGCACATGTAGATCACATGCTGATCGTATGAGCTTATCTGTTTTCGGCAATATCAGTCCGCTTATCTCGATAGTGTTGACACTTGACAGATACCTGTGCTGTACTACTAATACACATTACTATGCAGGTACCTGGAAATTCATGAGATATAATTTCATTCAAGGTACATCACGGGATATCTAAACCTTAAGACCCTGCATCTTCTTGGCCGCATCATCGGTGCCCTTGGTAGCCTTCCCCTTAGACTTGGTGGATGTGCTATCTTTAGGAAGCTCCTTAGTGTAAGGAAGGAACTCGGGGTTACCGGGAATGTACTTGCGCAGAACCTCAGGAACCACAATACCCTATAACATAGTTAGCAATGGTCAGAGCAAATCATCCCAGGACGCTGCACTTACCTCCTCCGTCTGGTAGTTCTCCAAAATACAGCAGAGAGTACGCTCAGTTGCGCAGAGAGTGGAGTTCAAGGCGTGGACATAGGTCTTCTTCAGATCGGTGGCCTTCTTGATACCGTACCGAATCTCAAGAGCACGAGATTGGTAGTCGGTGCAGTTGGAGCAAGAGACAAGCTCCTTGTACTCCTGCTGGAAGGGGAACCAGGCCTCCAGATCGTACTTCTTGGAAGCGGCGTTGTTCAAAGCACCGGAAACAATGGCGACGATGTTGTAGGGGAGTTTTAGGGACTGGTAGAATTCTTCCGATGTGCTGATCATGTCCTCAAAGGCTTGCCATGAGTCCTCGGGCTTTGTAAGGACGAATTGCTCGATCTGCATGGGGTGAGCACATGAAACCAAAGGGCAATTTGAAACTTAGACCGACCTTCTCGAACTGGTGAACACGGAAGATACCCCAGGCATCCTTTCCGTGGGATCCGGCCTCCTTACGGTAGCAGGTGCTGTAACCGGCATACCTGATTTCCGTGTTAGCAAAGCGGATTAAAAGTAAGGGACGAGAATCCTCACTTGATGGGAAGGTCCTTGTCCTGGAGCCACTCGCTGTCGTGCAGAGCAGACAATGGTTGTTCGGAGGTAGCAATGAGGTACTTGTCAGTCGACCTGTCCTCGCTCTCAGTGACCTTGTACAGTTCCTCGTCGAATTGCTCCAATTGCGCGGTCTTGGCCATAAGATCCTTGAGCATGAATTGAGGGGGCTGATTGGGCGTGTAACCCTTGTTGAAGAGGAACTCCAGACCGTAGTTGACAAGAGCCAGGTTGAGGAAGAGTCCATAACCAGTCAAGCAGTATCCACGGTGACCAACAATCTTGACACCGCGCTCAGGGTCGTATCCATCGAGACGAGTCAACACCTCGTGGTGGGAGAGGCAGTTGGGCTTCTTCATTTCGGCGTTCTCGGGAGTCCATGACTTGATGAGCTGGTTGTCTGCCTGTGGCCGAGAGAATCCATACGTTAGCCTGACGGTACGTTCCTTCACCAGGCGATTGAGGAGACCCATACCTCATCGTTGCTAACGGGGACTGATTCGTGGACGTAGTTTCCAATCGTGCGAATCTTTCGGTCGCGCTGGACTTCCTTGGCGACAGCAGCCTCCTCCAGAGCCTTCTTCTTCGCCTCAAGCTCGGCCTTTTGTGCGAGCTCCGCGGTGGCGTCCTCCTTGTTCTGGGGTCCAAGTAAGCATTCCCTCCACACTCCAGACCTGGCCGAGATATGCCTACCTTCTTCTTCATTCCAATGGCCTTCTGGACTCCATTGATCTGAGTGTTCATCTGCGACACATCATATCGTGCTGAAACAGTCAGTATAGCTACTCCGAGCATGCGAAAAGAGCAAACATACCACGGCGGGCCTCTTCATAGAGCGCAACCACTTCATCAATGGTCTCCTCTGGGGCAAAGCGCTTCCTCTGGCTCTCCTTGAGCTTCTTGAGGTCACCACCGCGCTCGGTAACAAAGTCAGAGAGGTCCAACATTTTGGTTGGAGATCAAAGGTTCAGGGAAGTCCAAATGTTAAGAGGGGTGACTCAAATTGTGGAGGGGTAAAAACGAGGAAAATCAGAGCGCGTGTCTCCACGCACTTGGGGCATTGACCTTACTTAATCGGTATGGCCCACTCAGGCCCGCTATGTTTGAAATGCCCTTTCTAGATGGGCTAGTTATGACCACGGACGTTATATAGATCTGAATCAATATGTCTGAAACACCAAAAGCCCGTCCAAAAACGAATTTGAGATTCATTACTCCATGCCTGGTACCGATCCATGCTCCCGTGATTCGACCTTAAAAAACTCATTATTCATGCAATAACCCCAATGTCCCACCGGATAGAAATAGACATAATAAAACGAAGAGCCAAGAGAGGCTCAAGCAAAGCCATTGAGTCGGTATAATCAGATTGGCGTCGCTGATTCCTTGGTCAGATAATCAAGTCAGCGGACAAGATATTCCAAGGCTCTGGATTTCGAGTGAAAATTGAAAGAGCAAGGCGAATAAAATTGTCGACTCCAATAAAAGAATCATCCCCCGGTTCAGAGATATAGGGATCTTGATCGGATGATGGCTTCGCTTACCATCCCGGGAGAGAAAGCCACGTATTCCAGTGAAAGCCCTGAAAGCCCCCGAGATTACATCAAGGTGCACTTGTTGTTCCCAGTCGGTTGTGAGGGATTCTGGGACTTCTCAACCTCGCCTATCATAAGGTCAAAGGCTTTGGAGACATTGAAGTCGAGGAAAGCGCTGGCCTCGGTGAAGGCGCAGCCGAGCTCTTCTGCTAATTGCCGACCATCTTCGAGGGTAACCTGGCGATGATCCGGCTTGAGATCGCTCTTGTTCCCTACTATGACGAGAGGTACATCGTCGGCTCCCTAGAGAGAGAATCAGGATTGTCTCTTGCTTAATAGTCATGGAAAGGGGGACTGACGAGATGGTTCAGAATCTTGTCGCGAATCACCCGCACCATCTCAAACGACTGGCGTGATGTGACTGAGTAGACAATGATATACCCATGGATTCCAATGAAATGCTTGGAGTTCAAGATGCTGTATTCGTCCTGTGGAATTATCTCAGTAGCCGACCCGCATCACGGACGGAGATCACATACCTGTCCTGCAGTGTCGACGATTTCAGTTGCATAGTCTTGGCCATTGTGCTTGATAATCCGGCTGAAGGTATTCTCGATTGTAGGGTAGTAGCTTTCCACGAAATGGTGCTCGACGAAGCGAACGGTGAGAGATGATTTGCCTGTAAGGTTCAGAACGGTCAAATTCGGCCATGAGAATTGTTGCAACTTGAGACGGAGAGCCCTTACCGACGGAGCGACTGCCGACAATGGCGATCTTACGCTGCTTAGGCGCGGCAGGCATCTTGCGCGTGTTGTGTGGTAAGACTCAGATAAACCGGCCAATGTGAGAGGTAGCGGGGTGACCGTCAAGGGCACGGTGAATTAGATCGATGAGAACGATCTACGGGAGTTTCAGAAAGTGAAAGAGCGCCTGTCCAGAGATGAGGTCGTCGTTTGGGGGGTGGCAAATCCTCGAAGCATGCGGAGCTCCAACTCCTTGTAACCTGCAAACAGTGCAAACGGTTGTTTCTCCAATTCCCAATTTGATGGCGAACTACAACAGGGTTTAGCCTAAATGTAAGTATATCTAGTGATCATTGAATCTCTGTAAATGATCTGAGGTCACATTTCATTTTGACTGCATTTGCATTTTAATTAGTGATAGCATCAGGACGTCAATAGTCAACAACGTCAGATATCGTAGCGCAGATGTCTCAGCGACAAGGGACAAATAAAGGGTATCAAAAGGTTCCAAAAGACCAAGGACTAGCAATGTCGTCGGCCTACATATTCTGTAGAAAAGAAAGGACCAAGCGGACGTTCATGAGAAATGTGTGGCACACAACACCAGTTACACCATCAATCATTGCTCTACCAGTCGAATCTGAGTGACCAGTTCTTGCAACCTGGACAGGAACCCAGTCGCTGGTTGTCCCTGGCCTTGAGCAGGAATCTCGTGTTCGATTTTCAGGTGGTATTGCAAGAATTCATCAACGGTAGAAATCACTGCCGTCAACCCTTTTGGGGCGAGTGACTTCTTGATTTTTGACCGAGTCTCCGGATCCAGACTGAGTATCAGTAGAAGTACGGCCAAATACCCCACGGCTACATTATGGTGAACTTCCAAGACCGAATGAGCCTAGACCGATCTGATTAGTATCATTGGTCGACAGGGAAGAGATACCAAGAGTGACCAACTTACCGTAGAGATTGAATCGACATGGGTCATAAATAATTGCAGGAGCCGTCCAAGGAAAGTCTTTCCAGCGCCGGCAGAGTGACGGAAAGTCGATCTTGATATTTCACTCTGTTCAGTAAGATTGATAAGGGCGCCGAGTGCCAGTATGACGTTATCCAGGGAATTATTCGCTTGGCCAAGCGCATCTTCGGTCAAATCACCGAAATTTGCAGAGACAATATCAACTAGCCCCCCTATCATCTCCAGATTTGCAAATCGATCGCAGAGAGACGGATTGCTGTTGGTGATATTTAGAATAAGTCTGATATACAGAGCTTTTATCGGACTGAGAGTGTCTAACTCCAAAGAGAGCAGATTATGGAGCTCAGATAGCGGGTTCAGGAGATCCCGATGCTCGTTTATGAGAGGTTCGGTCGACGCAGTACAGGCTTCCAGGACTGAAAAGCCCATGGATAGTGTTTGGGAGCTTAGGATGTTAATTTTTCCCAGGGAGACACAGCGTTGGCTCTCAGACACAAGTATCTGGACCAGCGTTTGGAGAACAGTCGTGGAAAGGCTGGGACTCTCGCCTTTGGTTTGCATTGTAGCAATTGTTGACCTCAGGCAATACAAAGCCAGAGCGCATGGGCTTAGTTTCGACATTGTAGTACCGGGGAACAGCATTTCAGCTAATTGTGGGACAATATTCTGAATTGCCTTTTGCAAAGGTCGAGAAAGGCCGCTTGTTTTAGCCCTTGTGACCACTGATATTTCCTCCTGCATGCCCAATAACATAGGCGATGCATCTAGAAGTTTGGGCCAAGCCGAAGTTGCAAGGACATAGGACATGAGTCCGTCTGATGATCCCAGGGCGTAGGCGGAGAAGGCCAAAATCATGGGGACCACCTCAAGCTTCATTGACAGGCAATCCACAAGCCTTTTGTCAAAATTGCATTCGACAAATCGCCGTTTGAGCCCCGGATCCAAAAGTTTGCCACAGAGTTGGAGAAAGGCATTGCATCGACCCGTTAACGAATTTTGCACATCTTCGATATCCTCGAAGATAGATTCGACGGCACCTCGATAACGAGCATTCCCTCCAGCTTGCCTAAGCTCGTGAATACTTCGGACAGACTCTTCCCCGTTGATATCCTCATTTGGCACGATCAAACGGGCATTGGAAGTAGCCTCATAATTCAGCTGCCGCTGAACCGATTGAGAACGGTGACTCGGACCAGAGGGAGTATTGTTCTCTGGAAGATCTTCTAACATCATGTCATCAAGGAAAGATCGCTGACGCGCGTAGGTGGTCCGAGAGCCTTGTAGATGCGATGGAACCGAGGCAGGGGTGTCTTGGACCTGGCTATTGACGGGGCCCTCATTAACAGCCACATCTGAAAAAGGTCGGTCAGGAATGACTGGGTTCCGGGATGGCTGACTAGTAGGAGTCTCTGGTGAGGATTCAACTCGGTCCTCTGTAATGCCAAGCGAATCGATCAGCCTCCTTCGGCCAGGGGTGACGGTCGCTTTCGGCGTACTGGGCAGGCTGGCTTCTGGCGAGCTTTCTCGCATAGGCTTTGCCTCTCCAGGACTCTTGTCGGTCGAAGCTTCTAATTCCTGGTTGAGACTGAATATCTTCGCCTGGCTTCTCCCGGACCTACCAGCCCTCGGATATGATGGCGGCTTCGCGGAGCTTATCGCCTTATGTGCTTCTCGCTTTCTAGCCGATGGGTTCCGGTCGCCCGGCACCTTCTTCGTCTTCAGTTTCGGTGACGCGCTGCCCTCGCCGTTTACTATCGTGCTTGGCTTCTCGGCCGGCCTAGTCGCAAGGACAGCGGTGCTTCCATCGGGGCTATACCGCCTTCGCTTTCTCCGGACCATGGACATCTGTTCATCATCGGAAGAGGGTATGTCAAACACATTGAGTTCTGTGGTAGACTTGGATGGCGGAGCGCAAGGTATGGCCATGTCCACTGATCCTGGCTGTGGTTCAACTCCGTTCTTGTCGCGCTGTAACCGGGCGTGGGGTGGCCGTGAGGGACGCGACGAGCTTGGCAAAGGCACATCTTTGGGAGAGGATTTAGCCGTAGATGATCGCATAGGCTTTTCGGTATTTGCGCGGGGCTGCCCTTTGGCAGCAGAGCCGTAGGTTACGAGACGCCGATTCCGAGGGTTTGTGTTCTCCATATTTGGTTCACAGGAATGGGTCAGATGCGCGCGCGTATATTGATGCGTTGGTCGAGTATTTAGGTTCTCAGGCAGCAACAAAGGTATGCTGCAAACGGACTGGGTAAATGGATTGAGCAAGATGAAGTCGTTGAGACGAAGCCATGTCCCTGTGGTTCAATGGAGCTTACACCAGCTCAAAGGGATGTGGCGCAGTTATGCAATGAGGCGCCTGACAAAAGTCTAAATTAAGCTCTTTCAGCGGAGTTGCACCGTCCTCGGCTTTCATCAATGGAGAGGGAGTGCTGATTGGAATGCAAGTGATAAGAGGCGGAGGAGATAGACGGGGCAGAATCACCCACTGCGGTATAGCTTCAAATGATACAGAAAAAGATAAGAAAAAACCGACATGCTTCCCCGCTCTTGGCTTTAAAAGACAATTCTGTGTCCCTCACTGTGCCTCACTGTGCCTCACTGTGCCTCACTGTGCCTCACTTCCCCTCTTTTGAACTCGCATACTTATATAAAAGGTACAGTGTAACTTTGCACTGTCGAAGGAACTCCCGGCAGCTTCCGCTTTTTAGGGTCATTTCCTAACCCTTTGTTTTCTCCCAAAGACCTACTTCCTACGCCTCCCACTTTTTTGCTTTTTCGATAAAGCAAACAATGGCTAGCAATCAAGATACAGCCCCTCCTCCTGCACAAGGTCTTGGACCTCTGTATCGGCCCGATGGCGAGAAGCCTACTGCGACCGTCTCAAAGGACGTTTCTTACGATAATGTCCACGTCCTACCTCAAACGCCGCAGTTGATTGCTCTCTTGACGTGAGGATCCATTCTTCGCACTTCAGCTCACCTTAGGCTCATATGTCGTACCACAAACAGGATGATCAGAGACCACCGGACCAGCCGTGCCGATTTCATCTTCTACTCGAACCGCATTATCCGGTTGCTGGTCGAGGAGGGCTTGAACCACTTGCCCGTTGTTGAGCAGTCCATTACCACTCCCGTCGGACGGTCCTACCTTGGTGTGAAATTCGAGGGAAAGATTTGCGGTGTGTCTATTATGCGCGCTGGTGAGGCCATGGAGCAAGGGTTGCGCGACTGCTGCCGTTCCGTCCGCATTGGAAAAATTCTCATTCAGCGTGACGAGGAAACTTGCTTGCCTAAGCTCTTCTACGATAAGCTGCCCACCGACATTGCTGAGCGTTGGGTTCTTCTCCTTGATCCCATGTTTGCCACTGGTGAGTTGAGCATACTCTACACGGTCTCGACCTCGGCTGATTTTGCCCAGGCGGCTCTGCGACCCTTGCTGTGGAGACCCTGATCGCCAGAGGGGTCCCTGAGCACCGCATCCTCTTCCTTAACCTCATTGCCAGCCCGTCCGGCGTGGCCGAGTTTGCTGAGCGTTTTCCCAAGCTCCGCGTCGTGACATCTTTCATTGATGAGGGACTCGATGAGAAGAAGTAAGATCATCATACCTTAGTTTCATGGCACGACAATACTGACCGTTGATAGGTACATCATCCCTGGTCTGGGTGATTTCGGCGACAGATACTACACCATGTAAAGTGGCTATTGTCAACCACATCAAAAGGAACGGGGTATCAATGGTCGAGAGGTAATTGGGAAAAGCCGATCATCAGTTCCCCATTTCCCATTACTCAATATATTCCAAGCGCCGTGAGATGCATTCTCACGGCACATCCACGTCGCTATACAAGTCTTCTAAAGGAATCTGACTTGCTATAATGGTCGTAGTGGTGGCTATGGTCTAGATGGTTGAGGTACTTCTTGCATGGCCGGATAGATGATATAGCATATGCAACAAGCATATGCCTGAAACGATATCAAATATGCGATGTACATAGAAGAAGAAGCTCACAACTCAAAATTGTCCATATAATGCCCTAATGCGCCGTTCGCCGTCCTCATATGATCAGTATTCATCATCGTAGTCATCTGGGGCATCCGGTTTGCTGCTCCCTCGAAGACCAGCTTGGCTCGGGGCTGGATCATATTGGTTGGCAGTATCCTTCGCAACGGCATCACAGGCATCGACCCAGTCGGAATACACATCCACGGGAGCAGAAAGATCTTTGGGGTCTAGTTAGTACATGTTAAGCGCCTCGGTGTGTTTTCCCAACTCACAGTTGATGCCTGTCTGGAACTTTTGACCACAGACTTTGCAGGATAGATCACCCAGGCCAAGCTTCTTGTCTAATTTGACGACGACAGAGTTCTCATGGTTGCAGAAGAGGCAGGAGAATGTTGTGGGTAGGGGCTCTCTCTATGTCACCTAGTCAGTGCTGGGTGTGACTGTCGGCAGCTCGAGATGCTCATACCTTCTTGGGCCCTTGCGGTTTGGAACTGGACTTCTTGCGCTTACCCTGTATATAATCAGCATCTATCCACGGTTGAAGCAGTTAATAAGAGGCATGGAATATGACGTACCATTGCTGCGATGTGAGTTGCGACACGTATTTGGTGAAGCTGTGGGGAGTGTTGACTCCTGCGGAGAGCAAGGTAGGGCCGGCAGGCATGCCAAGGCTCAAGTAGGAGCGGATCAATGAGCCTCCAGTCCCCGTCATGTGATGTCAGTCGGTGGCAATTCTACTGGCGATCTACATTGAGCGAAAGTGACAATAGTCACAATACTAGTTTCATATTGTTCAATCATCAATCAATCAATCAAAGTTCTATTAACCGGTTGGAGCCTAAGTGCCTAACTAGTATCGTAATGGAATTGATGGTTATGGGACATTGTCGGCAACGTACAGCTGAGCTATGGCAGGAAATTTTGTTAGGCTGTAAAGTAAAGCGTGGCACGTGAGTCCAGCGTACAGTAACAGTATGAACACAGCATTCAATCATAGCGTAGGCCCTACTCCGTATGTAGCAGCAACCACAGATCTGCCACATACTATGGGAAATTGGGAAGAGCACAAATGTCTTGAATCTTCTAACGTTACGATAACTACGAGTACTGTTACTACTGTACAGTGTACGGAGTATGTACTCCGTAGTAGTCAGAGCCTTGATGTGGGTGGGTTCGAGCTAGCCCTGGAGGCTGGAGCAATATGGTGAGGGAAAATAGTGGGACCTTTTTTTAATGTTCGATCACATGACCTCAAAGGATGACATAATCGACTAGGGCCCGCGCCTCGCTTAGCCGAGTTTTCTGTGGGTTTTCAACCCTCCCAGTCGAGCGTCGAAACCCTCTGAGCGCGCGGTGCGATACCTTTTGTCTGTCCTCCAACAACACACAGATACGACTCGCAATCATGGCTGTTGGAAAGTAAGCGCCCTATTCTTTCTTATTTCCTTGCTTTCAATTATCGAATTACTTGCGCATCAACAACCTCTGAATTTACGAACACACGGCTAATCCTCATCGCTCAGGAACAAGCGCCTATCTAAGGGTAAGAAGGGTATCAAGAAGCGCACCGTCGACCCCTTCACCCGCAAGGATGAGTACTCTGTGAAGGTACATTGGATTCCTTTCTTTCATTATCGATGTGCAATGCTAACTGTTCTCGTCAGGCTCCTTCCACCTTCCAGACCCGCGAGTATGCATCTCTCCCCGAATCGAACATGATGGAAAAAAATTTATTATGAAAGACTGGGTTGGCTAACGGAATTCTCAGTGTCGGCAAGACTCTGGTCAACCGCACCAGCGGTTTGAAGAATGCCAACGACTCCCTCAAGGGCCGTATCTTCGAGGTCTCTCTCGCCGACCTCCAGAACGATGAGGACCACTCCTTCCGCAAGGTCAAGCTCCGCGTCGATGAGATCCAGGGCAAGAACTGCTTGACCAACTTCCACGGCTTGGACTTCACCACCGACAAGCTCCGTTCTCTCGTCCGCAAGTGGCAGTCCTTGATCGAGGCCAACGTCACCGTGAAGACCACTGACGACTACCTCCTCCGCCTGTTCGCCATTGCCTTCACCAAGAGACGTCCCAACCAGATCAAGAAGACCACCTACGCCCGCTCGTCTCAGATTCGCGCCATCCGCAAGAAGATGACCGAGATCATCCAGCGCGAGGCTGCTACCTGCACCCTGTCTCAGCTCACCCACAAGCTCATCCCCGAGGTTATTGGACGTGAGATCGAGAAGTCCACCCAGGGCATCTACCCCCTGCAGAATGTACGTTTCACCTTTGGAATAGGTTTCGAGGCGTACCGGTTTGCTAATATGCATATGTCTACAGGTCCACATTCGCAAGGTTAAGCTGCTCAAGTCCCCCAAGTTCGATCTCGGTGCTCTCCTTGCTCTGCACGGCGAGTCCTCCACTGATGACAAGGGCCAGAAGGTTGAGCGGGAGTTCAAGGAGACGGTCCTCGAGAATGTTTAAAGGTTATGTCAACGAAGTGGTGTCACGTACTGGTCAGCCGGGGCAAATCAATGTCTTCTGGTCATAGGAAAAGAAAAAAGTTCATAACGTGCATGACAAGATTTGAACTGGCGTCGGACTTTTAGCTACGCGTTGCCAGTCTTAGACATGATCCCAAAAATTCAAGGGTAGTAGTTCATTCATGTTCATTTTTTGTTCACTGTCTGCTCCTACCTGTAGTTTGTAGGTCGTTGAGTAGATCTACGCTCGCCATAGTCCTATTGTGGCTTCCTACACCATCTTGGTGGATACATTTTCATCGACGAACTACAACCTACAACAATGCTACACCTCCTACCCAACAGCTCAGTCGACTGAAACTACCGATTGAAACTAGTCGAAGGGATGAAGGCAAAGTGTACACAGATCTGGTGTGTATAGCCAACATTGCCAAATCCCACTGCTCTCGTTCCCGCGAGGTCTTAGACCTCGAAGAACACAACAACATAGTAAAGTGGATTTATCAAGTCTTGCCTCTAACACGTTTGATAGGATGAATGCTGCTCTAGTCTACTCCGCTCTCTGTCCTGCACCCGTGCCGCTAGACTCGAAGAACCTTAGCCCCGTGGGAGTAGTTGGGCAACTCTCATGTTCCCGCACCTATCAATGGTGTGTTATCAAACTAGATCATACGTAATTGGTGCAGTTGCAGAAGACAGATACTCAATTGTTTCAAATCCATGGGTTGGAAAGTCTCGTGGGGTAAGTAGACGTCCATGTTGACGAGAACATGACTGGTTGGGATGCATTCCTCGGCTTGCAGTTGAGAGAAGACCTCTGGAGATGAATGTGAAGGTCGACGTAAGGAGTAGACTCGGTGCCTCCAGGAGTTGTGCCTTATTCGTTTCATGGTTAGAATTACGTTGCTCGTGAGGTTGTCATTGTATCGATGTTAGGGTCATTGACAGGTCGGTGGATCCACCGGGGATGGGAGCCGGGGTTTATTTACTCAAGCGCTTCCATCATCTGGAAGTGGCATGGATGGGCAATTACAGTGTTGTTGTGATAGAACAGTGTATGTACTTTTGAGACAAACTGAATTGAAATAAGGATAGGTTGCACCTCGATACCCAGTGTAACTAGGTACTAGTGGTATATCTGTAGTGGATGGAGTGTTGTCTCGGTAGGTGATGGCGGTTATACCGAGTGTCTGGATTGAAACGAACAAGCCAATTCATAAACTGGACACCATCGACTGACTTCAAATGGCCTTCCAAGCATTGATTGCATTCAATCCTGGTCGTTTCATATTCTATGGCCTGATCGCCAAGCTTGTACATGCCTCAGCCCAGGATGTCCGACAGGTCATGTTACTTTGCATTCCTACTTCCCAAAGTTCATTCTGTTTTTTAAGATGAAACGAGAAAGAAAGAAGATGATGATGATGATTAGAACTGCTATTTCGTTGCTATGGGTAAAGCTCATGTATGTGAAGTGGCAGAAATAAAGTAAGTGGAGCCCTCCTTAGTGTCAACCCCCGCATTCTCAAAGTATGAGGTCACGAGTCAAGAGTTACGCCCCCTTCTCCCAATGGTTGTTCCTTTCTCTTCTTCTCCTTTCCCTTTCTCTTCCTTCCATCATCAATTCCCTTCCTATCATACCAACAACATTTATCCAAATTGAAACAAGTAAGCCCTCCTGACGATCTACTTTCATCCTTGGCATCAAAACTATATACATCTACATCACCAACAACAACTAACCATCGTAACCACCCCATCCAGTGACTCGCTCGCACAAATTGAATGACCGTGAGCACCCAGTCGAAGGCACGATGGGGACCCGCGACAATCTGCCGAGATACTTCGGCAAGACAGGCCCGACTGACGCCGACCCTCGCAAGACAAAGAAAGACGGAGGTGGCAAGGGCAATTGGTAATGACTGCCCCCATGCATTCTGTTCGAAGGACTCATCAGTTAACCATGAATCAAACTGCAGGGGTCGATCCGGAGATGAGATGCAGGACACCCACTACTCGTTCGCCAATGCTCGGCGTCACTCCAACAGTAGCACACATGGTCTGTCGGACTTCAATACCAAGTTTGAGGGCATTGACCAGGAACCCGTCTTCGAGGAGGAGGACTACGGCGATGCTGGCATGACTAATGAGAGCAACATGACCAAAGTTGATAGTGCCAGCAGCAACAGTAGCGAGGCTGAGCGGAGAGTTTAAGTACCAGGGAGTTAGGGCTATCGCTTTGGCAGGGTTGGCTCCTGTCTGTGATTGCGACGCCGGGGTAGACACGAACAAGAACCCCCATCCCAGATATTATGACTCGGTGACAAGGAGCACCAATGTTTGTTTTTTTGAGACGATGAGATGATAAGTTGATAAGCTGAGAAAACCATACTTTACCTGTCATGATCAAGGCTACGCGACTTTGATAGTGTACAGACTACAATTAGATGGTTTGGTTTATGTGTTGTACATCATCTGTAGTCTGTTTCATACGTGTGTAGGTATTTGATGTCTTCGAGGAGCAGGCCATGTGCCATACATAGTCGGGTAGTGAAAGATCGAAGGACCGGGCTTCATTGCGGGACCTGAGGAGTAGAGTTGAGAATGTGAAGGCCTGATGGTCCTTGGTGTACACAGTATATGGATCGAGCCATCAACTATCACACCATGTTATTCGGTGACTACGATCTTCCTAGTACTATTCACTCCCGAATTTACTTATACTAGATCTTTCCTATCATATTGACAACCGTTTTCTTTGAACTTCGAGCACCAATCCAGCCCCCAACGGTGCGGGGATCTCATCACGGGTTTACGGAATAATATCATAGCCTGTAGTTTGACCAGACATAAGGCATGGACACCAAAGGATTTCTTTGAGATTCCATACATACAACATAGTATTATGACCTATGGCCATGGAATAACTAACAAAATTGAGAGAAAAAAAACGCCGCCATGTCAAAACCCCCAACCCGCGTCAATTGCAGAGAAAAAGTAGTTTATTGCGAGGTCGAAGTCGAAGTCTGGACCTCAGCAGTTTCCCTTAGATTCTGGAACCAGAAATCCAGTTTACCGACCTCAATGCACTGGCGCAAGATATCGTTCTCGGTCTGAAGATCGAGAGCCACACGCGTCTTCTGCTCGGAGCGGAATCGCGAGACAAGGATATCGGAATCGGAGTCAGCCATCAAAGCCTCCGCGGGTGAGATAAGAGTGTAGACTGAGTGGAGGCCACCGCTTCGAGGTTCTAGACAAAACAACGTTAGTTTAAATGGATTGACCAAGTGAGGGTCTACTAGGGTAAACTCACCTTCCAAGCATGCAGTTAGTGCCCGGTACAGAGCAGTATTAGCGACCGTGTTATCTGCATGACCGTTAGGTCCTTCGGCAGCCTTGCCCCGAGCTACCCAATCATCCTTGATCATACAGCGGCGCCAGATCAACCGCTGCACAGCCATCAGGTAGGATGGATCTCGTTGTCCGTAGCGACTGTGTTCAAGAACCTGCAAGGCGAGATGGAACTCGCTTCGGATGAATACATCGCTCTCGGTGTCATCTGCAGGCTGATCAGGGCCCATCAATGTCAGGATATCAATCAGACCATCGACACCGACGACCTCCTTGTTAATCAAAGTGGAGAGGGCCTCGCCAAAGATTTCATGAAGTGATGGCCGTTCTTCGACGAGATAACCTCCATAGTGACCGAGTGCCAGGTCAACCTCTGCCTTTCGGTCAATAGCGGCTACCAGGACATGTTCAATGTGTCCGTAAAGGCTCTCTTGGAACGCATCGATCTTGATATAATCATCAAGGCGTTTCACATCCTCTTGCACGGTGGCAGTCACAATCTGAGATTGATTGCGCTCCTGCGTTGCTAGTTTGCCTAGCTTTGCCAGGGAGATCTCCACCCGGTGACTCCACAGGTCCTTTTCACTGTTAAGGGCCAGGTTCTCCAAAGAGGCGGCAGCAGTCTCATAGTCGTCTTCACCGGTGACATCGTTGATCCAGCTGAGGCGAGCATATGAGGGGTTTCGTCGAAGGAATCGAGTCACGGCAGACTGGTAGTTTTGCATGGTGAACAGCGTTCCAGGGTAACCATTCGCTATCTGCCGGGAGAAGTACGCATCCGCCCATTGGTCGCCAAATTTGTCGAAGTATTTCGCGATCAGTTGGTCTGCATCAATCTCAGTTTGACCTGAGGTTTCTGCAGACGGTTGTTGGCCTGCCTTTTGATCTTGAAGCTCAACGATCAACTCTACCAGCGCTCCCATGTCTCGGAAGCTTTCCGCCAGCTCGATGGCATCAGAGAGATGGTCGATACCGGCCAGTTTGAAAAGTTGCCATTTGCGGTCTTCGACATGGGCCTGCTCAATCGACACACTCTCGTCCATCAGTTTAGGATCGCCTTGCGCAGACAGCCATCGAGTCCGCTCGCGGTGCATTTGACCGAGCACGCGAAGATGCCGATAGCTGTTTCTGGCAACTTGGTTCGAGACAGATGTGTCAGGGACATCTGCGGTGTTCACGGGCGTTGTCCATGCCCGGCAGCTATCCAGTTCCAAGTCGAGCAAATGTCCGGCTTCGGAGTAGCCAACGCCTCTCGATGTCCAGAACTCGGGAAGGTCCTCATATCCATCAGAAAGCACACCATCCTCCAGGAAGTCTTCGCTCAGGCCATAAAGTGTAACGTGCTCATCGCGATATCGGAAAGCAGTCTCCGTAACAGCCAGGAATAACTCACTAGCCGCCAGTATCCTTTCTGACAACGCGCGTGCAGGGTTGTAGGTGTTGCTCCGCCCTTGCTTGACTGCGTTCTTGATCCATGGGATAACATGCTCCATGCGGTAGGAGTCTCTCAAGAACCATTGACGCACAGGATCAGTTTCCCCTTGTTGCGGGTTCACGGGAGTCTTGAATTTGTCCTTCATGGTTTTAATGACATGGCTAAGGAAGGGCTCCTCATCTGTGTTCTTAGTCTTGCTGGACTCTTGAACCTTCAACATGGCTCTTTGTGCTGCAATTTTTTCAGCTGCCCAAAGCAACTCCCACCTTGCCGGTCGGCTCAATGGATTCCCTCTGCGTGACAACAATGAGGCAAGGTCATCCAATGCTTTGGCTCTTAGTCGGAGATTTTGCTCCAGTGAGATAGCCGTGGTCGGAATAAAGCGTGCTTCAGATGTGAGTAACTCCCTGCAGATCTCCAAGGATGCTTGCTCTATTTCCGATGCAGGGAAATTCAGATCGCCTTCGCCAGATAGATTCAAAGGGTTCTTCACCATGGTACCAAAGAATACCGCCTGCTCAAGCTTGTGCTTTGCTGTGACTTGAAGCTCGTCGATATCTGCCTCGGGGCGAGGAAGTACAGTGACACGAAGGACGCCGAAATCCCGAAGCATGAGCACACATGCTGCGCTTGCCGAATTCACTTGATCTTCTGATGTGGTTCCCAGAATCTCGTGGTCTGTGCCTGATCGCAAGTGGATGGTGTCTTGGAAAGGCAGAGGTAGCTTATTAGAGTCGAGAAGCAGTTGTGAAGACGGAGATTCTTCGATTTCCGCCAATGACAAGATGAAAATAGATTGGCCAATAAGAATGAAAGCTGTTTCTTCTGGCTTTGGAACAAAGATCTGGGGTTTCGAGTCTGCAAGCATGGGTGCAGGGATGTGATGAACATCCACGGGATGCGTTGAGATAACACGAGATTCATTTCCCGACAAGAGGACCTGGACCACGTAAAGCGCCTTCGTTTCCGACCATTGAGGGGACCTGACCACCATAAAGAGGCGCCAGGATCCATCGGCGAGTTGAACAGCAGCGTCAGAAGACTGCATAGTAGAGAACGCAAAGTCCATGATTTTGAGCTCGGAATCGCCTGCCGACTTCACGTGGTGCTCCGGGAGAGCCGCCAAGATCTCGTCCTTGACATCGTATCGTCTCTTGAGGGTGTTTCCGTGATTCCAGTGTGCGTCCCATATTTCTACCAGCCCGGTCGAGGTTGCAACAATGACATCTCGCTGGCCGCGTTGGTGGGAACCACCAGCACGAACGGCAGTGACCTCTTTTCTCCAGTAACCGCCTGCAAAAACGTTCTTGATGCCGCCTAGAATACCGCCGCCCCCGGTCCCTGCATTGCTTCTGAGGAAGTTGACGAGCACGGAAGGTTTTCCCTGAGGATCCCTTAGAGTGATGTGTGCTACTCGTCCCGACGAGAATGTGGTAATGATGCCGGAAGGTTCTGCGTTCATTATGTCCGTGGCATACTCACCAGAAAGCATACCGGGAGTGGTTCCTTGAATGCCATTCTGCTTTTGTCGAGATAAACCTAGGGATGCGGCACTGGACACAGTCTCCCAGTAAATGATCTTTCCCGTGGAAGGGATTATCACCAAAAGACCGGGATGATCTCCACTAGCCGTCGATAGTAGAACTCCGAGTGGGACTGCGCCTTTGGGATCCCTGCATGACTCCGGGATAGATACAGTGAACGTGTCCGACGGAGACGGGGACGAACTGGGCGCATTATAGGGCCACACAATTGCGTGCGAGCGAGTCAAAGCCAATGCGTGATCATGGCCGGTTCCGAAGAAGCACCTGAGGGGTTCTGCTTTCCGATTGTTAACGAGCTGCGCCTCAAGCTGAGAAAGAGCTATCGAATTTGAGATACCTGATTGTAAGCCACGGATCTGGTCTGGAAGAGCGGGAAGTTGCTCCACGGTGTAAAAATCGGTGCTTGACTGTTGAATTCAGTTAATTAGCGGTTTGGTCTTGAGGGTTTCACTCGAACGCGCAAAGATGGTCGTTGCCAGAATAACCCACCAAAATGATTGTGCCTTCATTGTTGTTTCCAGGACCATCGCCTTGCTTCACGATTCGTGTTGATATGTGCGACTCGGTATCGACTTTGTCTGTAAGGGCAGTTTCGCCGTTTGATGGAGCAGTTGCTGCCAATTTTGTGAGCTCACGCCCCAGTTTGGTATCGGGCGGGGATTCGTCCGGGCGTCGCAAGACTGAGCGTTGTCTCTTCGCCTTCGGTGGGTTGACGGAGTCATCCGAACTTGTGCGCTGGCGTCGACGAAGACTGCGACTACCAGCTTTAGGAACGAACATTTTCAATGTACGCAACCTGAAGTTGCGGGAACGCGCTAGCCAACAAAGCTACTTGGAAGGTTGTTGACCCTTGGTGGTCCGATTCGACCTGCAGATTTGGTGCAAGGTCAGAGAGAAGGGGAAGAGCTAAGCAGAGGGTGAAAAAAAGCTCCCCAAATGAATTAGCTTCTGAATTGGAGCACAGTGACAGCTGCGATAGGGTTGGTCAATAACAATCGAGGATGTTTGTCCGAAGGCGGTGAGACAACAAAATCCAGAGTGCAGGGCGGTAAGTCACGTGCAGACATGTATGTACTGTGTACTCCGTACTTCTTAGGGAGCCATCAATCAACTCGTGCCAGAAGAGGTATTCAGACAATGCTATGGAAACTTAGCTTTATGGTCTCTTTAGTCTTTCCTTATCTACTAAACCCCCCTCTCTCTCTCATCTAGCAGCACTCTTCTACCTATCCGGAGACGGCATGCTCAGCAATGTGCATGCAGCAGGACTCATCTTCACGATCCACGCTCCCTCTACACAGTACACAGTACAGCCTGATAGCTGACAAGCCAATGAATACTACTTGTCAATTTCTGCGAGACCACAGGTGTCTTCTTGGGATGTTGAGGGGGCCGTGGGAGCTCTAGCCTCCATCCGATTCTCACACGGGCCTGGCCGTGTTCTAGTATCCTCGTCTTCCTCTTCTCGATCCCTCTGTCAAGATGACTTCGTTGTTCTGTCCGCTGGGATACTGAGTATCGGAATCATTCCCGCCGTATCTCTATCCGCATGAAAGTCTATTAGGCCGGGCATACGCACGAGTACTTCTCTCCACCGATCCCGGGTGTCATCCTCGTAGACAATCTCATCATTTACAATGCGACCCTCTAAGACGCCACCTCCAGCAACCCAGGCTGATTTCTTCATTCCATCGTATCTTTCCGTAAGGGCGTGATATCATATCAGGAACCAGACTGGCTTCTAGACACTACAGAAGCCGAAGCGCATGTTACGTTCTGCAGAGCTCTGTTACTGTCGAGAATTCGCATCGGATCATCTTCACTTGCAGCAGACGTGTTTTCTGGATGGATTAGTTTGTAGTAAGGCTAGCGCTCTGCGCTATGTCGACTGCTTCCAGAATATGTACAAGATCACGTGGGTAGAACTTCACCGTAGAAGTTATTGTATTTAACGGACTGTTGAGGCATTCGAAAGGCTACCCGTCGTGGCTACCCGGGGTAGCCAAGGCGGGTTCACATAGCCGATTACCCCGAAAAAAGGAGCTCACGTGAATTCCACGTCCAACCCCACGCGAAGTTACTCCCTTTACAACACCATGGACTGAAGGACTACATTCCCCTAGCTCTATGGGATAGTGCATCTCACCCTCGCGATACCGATTTAGCAATCATGCTCATATGTTGTGTTGATACGGCCAAGATTAAAGCTCCCGAGGGTTGCTTAGGGCTGCAACTATAGACAAGATGCTCTCACGCTTCTCGCATCCTAATGGTCATCTCCGACCGAGATCCATTTCACAAGTCGCAATACAATCTCTGACTACACCTTCGAGATCCACACGCCTTACTGTCCCACGCTTCAGACGAGACCTGCACACTGCCCTCTTTTTCCCGGGTTCGTACGGCACTTACACGCCTTTGCCTTGGAAATCACAAATGGCCGCTAACACATACGACAGGACATGGAGTACAACGGGTTGGCATGGCCAATGCCTGGATTGAAGCCTTCCCCCATACTGCGGCAGAGGTTCTGGACGAGATGGATAGCACCCTTGGATTCAAATTATCTAGCGTCATATCCGACGGCCCCAGCTCGAAGCTCAACAAAACGGAAAATTCCCAGCCTGCTGTCATGGCAATTTCAGTTCTGATCCTTCGCATCCTGGAAAAGGAGTTCAGGTTCGACGCCAAATCCCGCGTCGATGTTACGCTTGGACACAGTTTAGGGGAATTCTCCGCGTTGGTCGCCGGTGGCTATCTACAATTTGGGGACGCTCTTCGATTAGTCCGTCGCCGAGCTGAGATAATGGCCGAATGTACGTCTCGGTTGACGAAGGAATCTGGCGAGACCTATGGCATGGTTGCACTCCTCTGTGAGCCTGATCACCTGGAAAGTCTGCTTCGAGCTGTTCAGGAATTCCTTGGGATCGAATCGCCGGGCCTTGAAATCGACAGAGACCATAGGGTCCCAGCCATCCAACAAGTGGTGGTTGCAAACATCAACTCCAAGAACCAAATTGTGCTGAGTGGCAGTCTTGAGCGAATCAAAATCCTGTTGGTCCAGCTGCGTCAGTTTGGAGGCCATGACCCAAGGGCTGTCAGACTGAAAAGTGACAGCCCGTTTCACAGCCCTGCTATGGCGCAAGCTGCAGATTACATGAGAGATGCAGTTGAGAAGATCAACATCACATTCCCGGCTTCGATTCCATGCATATCAAATGTATCCGCCTTGCCATTCCAGTCGAAGGAAGACCTCAAGGATTTGCTCTCAAGGCAATGCAGTGAAACAGTGAGATGGTGGGATAGTATTCGCTATCTCCACCAGGACCGAGGGGTAAAGCGGTGGGTCGGCATCGGTCCAGGGAAAGTTGGCAGGAATTTGGTTGGCAAAGAGGTCGGACGGGTTGACACCAAAGGTGGTGGCGTATGGGCTTTTTGTGACCCTCGTGAAATGTCAGATATCATAACTGCTTTGGAACAAACTGAACCTGAAGCTGAAGGCTAGTACAATAAGATCATCCTTCTACAGTCTATGTTATTAATACCCATATCAACTATGAGCTACATAACACATGAAGTGGTCAATAACCTTAGCTCAATGATCTAAGGATACAATGACTATTGTATGAGAAGTTTCGGTAAGCCTCGTGGGGTATTCGCTATCTCAAAATGGCACAAATTGATCTGCTTGTCCTGTGTCTTCACAACCGCGGTATTCCTAATATCTGCCGCCGATGCATCGCCTATGCAGAGGAACCCGGAGCCCATGTCTCGCCGATGCGTTTCACATCCGCAATGAACCTTTGATTGGAGATTGGCTGGCAAGCGGACACAGAGGCTGCTTTATTTCCCGGGACAGGTACATGGTCATCAGGGGAGTAGAAAGGATTCTGCAAAAGCTGTATGTATGCACTTTGTAAAGCGCAGAATGCCTGTGATAAATCGTCAGCAACCTGTGCTCTTTCGGTAGACAAGTGGCCAGGCATAGTTGCAAAACACACCGGCTTCATATCAGAATCTCTCAACGCATTAACCGCCCCCCTCGCTTGCTTTCCAGTGCTAGCTTCTTCTTGACCATATGAATCCACGATGATCAATAATTTTACTCCCGTCGTCGTCAACCAGCCGTAGGCCGCGAGTCGCTCGTCGATTGCATGTAACAGGCCTAGATCCTGATCGACGGAGGTTTGTTTGCACCGAATTTCGAAGATGTCGAGGCACGAGTTCAATAAAAAGGAGAATTCGATACTGGAATCCGTATACGGGGGAAATAGGGAAATGTGAAGAGGGTTATCCTACAAGCGAGTTAGTAAGGGCAATCTCCAGAGGATCAAGCTGTCGGGATGATACTCACTGCCTTTCCAATCACGCCGATGCAGGCAATTCTGGGGCCTGCCATTTCAGAAATATCTGCTGAAGTAGCAATTTATGTGGATTGGGCGTGGTATTCTGAGCTCCTGGGGTTTGGGGTTAGTTGCAGTGTCTCGACACTGTGATCGGGTGAAAGTGCCTGGTTAGGTTCTATCACTCCATATCATATCCACAGTGCTCTAGATCTGAGCAGCCCTTGAAGGGAATGAATTTTTCGCAATGAAAGAGTACGGAGTACAACGCAGACAGTAGTGGAGTGGTTGTCTCCGACTCCCCGCTGCATGATGTACGGGGAAGACGCGCTCAGGCACCCAGGCAGAAAAATGAGATTGAGAGCCAATGACCACACAGGCAATTGGATTTGGGAGCACCTCACCGCTTTACAATACTTCGTCTAGTAATATATAAATTACATCACTTAACCAATCACCATCGATACATTAGCTTACATCATTGTCTTCATACCGGTGCCATACATCATCTTCTTTGCGGTCTTGACTCGGCACGTTTTGGGGTTCTCCTTGTCTTTGCCGGCCCGCCACCTCTGCTCTCTTTGGTTTCTATATCGTCGCCACCAGCCCGGGCTGCAATCACCTTCTCTCTTCAGCCCTCCCGAATCACGAACCCCTATTTGAACCGGTTTTCTCTCGATTAAGAGACTTTTCTCAAGATGCTGCCGATGGCGAAGCCCGCCATCTCTGGCGCTCTGTGCGGTATGGATCTTCTACAGTCGGTCGACAATCCCAATTTACTAACAGAAATCAGCTGTGCGACCCCGTTTCGCTCTCGCTCTGCCCCGTGCCCAGCCCTTGGCCGCTCTTTCGACTTCATCCATCAAATCAGCGACTGCGCTCGAGCGTCAATCACCATCAGGCCAGCAATTGACCGCATCAGGCAAGGTCCGGACGGAGGTTCCCCTGCCCAGCCAGGAGAAGAAGGAGGGTGCTATGCAATATGCCTTGTTCGTCGCTCTCTGCGGTTCCGTCTTTCATGCGCCATGAGTTCCCGCTGACCCGATATCACATAGGACCACCCTCGATCAGGTTGCCAACTGGGCTCGTCAAAGTTCTTTGTGGCCCATGACCTTCGGTCTGGCATGCTGCGCCGTTGAGATGATGCACTTGTCCACCCCCGTTATGATCAGGATCGTCTGGGAATCATTTTCCGAGCTTCTCCGCGTCAGTCTGATGTTATGATCGTGGCCGGCACCTTGACCAACAAGATGGCTCCTGCCCTCCGTCAGGTTTACGATCAGATGCCCGACCCCCGGTGGGTTATCAGTATGGGCAGCTGCGCCAACGGTGGTGGCTACTACCACTACAGTTACTCCGTTGTGCGGGGCTGTGACCGAGTTGTGCCCGTTGATATTTACGTTCCTGGATGTAAGCATTCACTCCTTCTGTCGCTTTTTCCCTGCCGCAATCAACTGACAGAATCTAGGCCCGCCCACTTCCGAGGCACTGATGTACGGCATCTTCCAGCTGCAAAAGAAGATGAGACATACCAGAATCACACGCATGTGGTACCGCCGTTAATTTCTGATACCGATGATATGGTGGACTGTTTTCTTGTCTCTTCAGTCATAGTGCATGGGAATTGGAATTCAAGCAACTCAACCTGACCGCTGTGGAGTTTTCATTTGTCTTTCTATATTGTATATCAATGTCAGGCCTCAGTATCTGATATTCTGTTTTACTTCACTTTCTGGTCTGCTCCCTTTTTTTTCAAATGTCAGAATATCCATAAGAATTTCAAAAGCGTCCCATTCAATGGCTAACAACCGTACTTGACTGGCATTGTTCTCAAAGTCGTTGAAGGTCTATGAGTGGCCGCATTAAAACGACACCTGAGGTGTCAATAACTTGCACTTGCTCCTTCTGTTTAACAAGATTCTTCATGTCCACACTTCCCCTACACCATTGCTCTTCTACTTTCTCTTCCAAACTCACCGACACACATAACCTAACGATATTTATTAAACCCTGCTTTTGTAGGTCGTCGAGGGACGAACGGTCAGTGAAATTACTAATGCAAGAACTTGTGTGGTAGTTCGGTGGAAAGATCTTCCGCACCGGTCGTCGCACCTCCGGGGTTACCATAACGAACCTCAATCTAAAGGCTTTCCACGGACTCTCGACGAATCTTACGGATTTCAGGCAGTAAGTCAAGCCATATAGACGCAAGGGACTTCTTATTGTGTCATGTGAATTCCACTCTTTATGTGCCAATGGGCTGACGTTGATTCATAGGTCAGAGTCTTCTCATCATGGCTCGCGGTATCGTGAATGCCGCCAAGTCGGCGGCCAATGTCGTCTCTATTAACCAGGTATGCCACGCTGCCAGGGACGAGTAGGCACAATGCCATTGCTATGCGCCGGGCACTAATCCTTCTTGCGCTGCAGAAATACACCGTCCAGTCCACCGGTGTCTGGGAGCGGATCCGCCGCCTTCTCGCTATCGACCCCAACCGTTCCACCGGTGTCCCCCTGAACTCCCAGTACCGTCTTCCCACCCCGGGATCTATTCCTCCTTTGGCCTACGATGACCCCGTCACCGTCCCCGCCGCCGACCTGGCCGACAACCCATACTGGAAGCGGGATGTCCGTCGGAGTTACCCCCAGCTGAGCACTGTGAGCCAGGCCGATGCAGTGGGCCTTCTTACAGTCGGTAGCCAGGCTGCTCCCAAGGACGATGTCCTGAAGCTCGGAGAGGCTGGAGAGCAGCAGCTGGTTGCTGTCAAGCAGCAGGGCGAAGAGCGCGGTCTCGCAGCTCTCTTCGAGCAAGATAAGAAGAGCATCCAAGGTGTGCTCGGTGCCAATGGCTTGCCTCCTCTTCCCTGCAACATCAACACTACCCCGAAGGCCACACAATCCAAGTACGAGCTTGGTACGGAGAATGGCTACCCCGAGAAGTATGCACCGCCAATTCCTCGCTCACTTGGTCCAAGCTAATGATGACACAGATATCCCTGCCGCACTTTTGTTTGATTAGACTGTTATTTACAGCAGATAAATACATTTTTTGTTCTATTATTCAAGGCATTAAGCTCCTCTGGGCGGCAATTGCAACTACGCAGTATGAACAGTAGTATATTGTCATAAACAGATCCTCGAGGTACTCACCTTTCCTTTCCCGTCGATAGGAGCGACAGCTGGATCTTGTTCAAATAGCCGAATAACTCCCGCTCCGCCGTAAAAGCGCCTAGTCGGACTTTATTGTGCTCAGCTCTTGGCCCGGTCGACGGGAACCTTGGAAGGGGGAAGGTTGGCCAGATCACGCAATAAGATGGGGGAACTATGCGGATATATACCTGAGAAAATAAAATGTGTGGTCAGCAATTCTAAGCATGAAGTACGGAGTACCTACATAGTCAACGGGTACCTATAAGTATACTCTCTGTACTCGGCTTTCCCAGTCGCCATACTTCCCTTTACGGATGTGTACGGATATGCATCTCCGGATCTGGCGTAGGATGTGACGTACTAACGAATGGTACCTTGAATCGGAACGAATCAAGCAGTAATTAGCTAGTGATCGATCGGTTCAGACCCCTTGAGCTAGCTCCCAATGCTAAAGGTGGCTTGTTTCTTGCTTCATGGGGCCTATGCCCTCAAGTACACGTCCGATTCTGAGTGCTTCGTTCGATGCAACATCTGTGTAGTGAACTGTTAACAGTCTTTAATCGGCGTCCTTTTCTTTCCGCCTAATCTAACTGAGAAGGAGCAAATGTGCAAAACTACGTAGCTTGATTGGGGTGGCGCCGCCGTGGCGGTCGAACAGTTCAAGATGGTGGATTAGTAGAGGGTCTACAGTAATGACTCGAAGACGCAACTTCCAAGATCAGGACATGTCTCGAATATAGTGACAATATCCACACCTACGTTGTAGAGTAGATCATATGAGACGCGCCCAGCATTCCCCCAGTTACTCCCTTGATTTTCTCCGCCAAACCTTGGATGCGGCCCGGTCTGCGCGTTGACGTCATGGTCCTGCATCGCAACTGCTCTGGCGCTGAATCATGACGACGTCACCTTTCTACCCCGGTTGCATAAAGCACGCCCTCTCAGTATTTAAGACTTTTCTTTCCTTTCTACTCTGTATCCTTCAACCACTTACAATCACACACCTTCAAAATGACTACCTTGCACTGTGAGTACATCTGACGAAGATACTCAATCATTTTCAGGCAACTAGGTAGCTAATAACAAGTCTAGACCTTCCCCCGTCAAGCCCTCCGCCATTGCGTTGGGTACAATCTTCACCCACACTGCCTCCCTCGGCATCTTGGCCCCTGTCTTCGGTGATACCTACCACCGTGCCCAGGCCGCCAACTCAAAGGAGGAGTTCCTTAAGTCGAAGGAGGCTGCCGGTGCTGCCGCAGCCTGGGGAAGCTCCCTCGTTGGAAGCGCCGTCCAGACCTACGGTGTTGCAGCACTCATCAATGCCACCGGCACACTGAGCTACAAGGGTGCCGCGTACCTCGGAACACTTATCTTCCTCGCCAGCTCCGCCCCCGGCGTAAGTTCTTGTATCTCTAGTTTACGAACTCAAAGCAATCATACTGACGAATGTCTGCAGGTCGTGAGCCAGGTCTTCTCCGAGAAGCGCCCTCTTGATACCGTCGCTGTTGGTGCCGTCTCGCGAGTCTTTGAGACTGTCGGTCTCAGTTTGTTCCTCACCTGGTGGGGAACCCGCACTCACCCATTCAACTAAGTTATGGTTATGAGATGAGAGATGATAGCTTGAGCGAGAGCCTCCTGGTCGGGATGTGATCGGACATGTTTCTGAGCCCCGAACCAACCTAGTTAATGGATGTACATGTATTGAATATCACATCGCCTTTAATCTGCTATCTTCCGAAAACCAGGCCTTTCGGGCGCGAGAATCTAGTTCAGAACCTGCGCGAAAAACGTTGTATCTGTTTGCCATATTTTGCATTCTTGGATGGCTTCAGTATCTACAGATCCATCCAACGGAGCCTTATGGGAGTATATCTCACACCAGCATCCCTCCCATCGTCAGAACGGTCTCAAAATATGGCAAACAGATGCAACGTTTTTCGTGCAAGTTCTGAACTAGATTCTCGCGCCCGAAATGCCTGATTTTCGGAAGATAGCAAATTGTTCCAACTTCGCAGAGAGGGACGTGGCCGGAATTGATGTCTGCGCACCTGCTTCAATCAATATATTTCGTAGTGTCAGCCCGGCCACCAACATGCATAGTGGTGATTGTTCTAGACTACCCAAGGAGTAGTCAAATTCCATTGAACTGGGGTAAAATGAACCCACATCGACGGATTGATCGTCCGGTTCCAGATGGGAGAGTCTCTAGGCGAGCTTCACCTACGCAAGTCTTGAAGTGAACCGACTGAGTAGTACCAGAAACTCACCGAACCGGCAGTACACGTTCTTCTATCGATGCAGATAGTCAAGTAATAGATGCAGACTTGCAGATCAGTTGAAGATCAGTCGAGTTCGCACGGGCCAAAGCCAAGCTTATCTTGGCTGGATCAGGTCACCAGGTGCATCAACCTCTAGTCCACGTACATGTTTGTACATGGTACATCTCAGATACAAATCTCGAATATCGCACAAGTCCAGATATCTCCCTTTCTTAATTCCGCAGTCCCTGTCCACCTCTCCCATCAAACATAAAGAGCATAGATTACTATATCTCGCCACCCCTCCAATCATGTGATCCTTCTAGATCGGCATTTGCGATAAGCTTACTCCGTACAAATTCCCCACCAAAAAAAACATTTGAAAACATTTGAACTTTCCCCAATCAAAGACCACCCACAATGATAGACATACCAATTTCAACCCATCCGGGCCCAGAATTGAGCCCGAGCCCACCATCGAGTCCAGACGGACTCACTGTCAGCGAATCCCTAGCGCCACCGCGCGAACTCAAAGCCGCAACGACAACAGACCTGACATTCGACGGACTCCTCTCACAACCCCTGCTACTAAAAGAAGACTTGAAAGATGGATGCGGAGGCCAATTATGGCCCGCAGGCATGGTCCTATCCCGCTACCTGCTCAGCCGACACGCAACCGATCTCTCCGACAAAACAATGTAGGTTTTTTTTCCAACCGCACTTGTTTCCCTTCCATCTCCTTAGTTCTCCCTAATCCCATCTTCGAAAAAAATAGCGTGGAACTCGGAGCTGGAGGAGGCCTTGTCGGACTTGCCGTTGCACGAGGCTGCCAATTCAAAGAACCGATCTATATCACAGACCAAGAACCAATGTTCTCCCTAATGAAGACCAACATCCAGCTGAACAATCTCGAACCCAATGCGACTGCTGCGATACTAAACTGGGGCGAGCCGATCCCTGACCAGATTCCCGCGAAACCGGACGTGATTCTCGCGGCTGACTGCGTCTATTTCGAGCCTGCTTTCCCGCTCTTGATCACTACCCTCCGTGATCTGCTGGGTCCGGATTCGGTCTGTTACTTCTGCTACAAGCGGCGTAGACGGGCTGATATGCGGTTCATGAAGATGGCGAAGAAGGCGTTTGATATGGAGCCTGTGCTGGATGATCCGGGTGCTGATGGGTATAACAGGGAGAATATCTTTCTCTACACGATACGGGCTAAGCGGTCTGAACAGAAAAAGTGATGAGAATGATTATGTGCAATGCTAGAAAATAGATTTTATGTAGAAAATGTTCTTGACTCCTGGATAGTACATATACTGACTCCCCCCGTTGAATCAAACACCTCACAATTTCAGATTGTCTCCTCTGTTCCTGGCCGCTGCATCGACGCCACCGTCGATATTCGTTACACGGCCTTCCTTGTCAATGACCTTGACACCTCCCTTCTTCAAGTCTGATAGGACCTGCTGCTTTTCAGCCGCTTTGCCAGGCTTTTGCTGGGAAGGTTGGGCATCGGTCTTCTTCTGATTCTGCTTATTCTGCCGTCTGATCTTGGCCTTCTGCTCGCGAGTCATCTCCTCTTTGGAGATAGATGCACCAGTCTTGAGAATGACCTCACCCTTAACCGTACCACTGTCACCAGGTGTGTAGATCTCCTGCGGTGCAAGTCCAACAGGACCAGCGACAGCACTGCCAGCCGTAGGACGAGCCTCCTCCATCATGATAGTTGGCGCATCGGTAACGACGTTGATGCTGGCCTGGGCGACCTTGGGCTTGTAGTGCCAGTTGCATAGCGTATCCAACTGGGCGCTGACCTCGTTCCAGAGTTTATTGATCTCGGCATGTTCGCGCATCAACTTGCGGTCCTTAGTATCCACGAAGTTGGGATCGTTGGCCTTGAGATGCTCGGTTTCGTACATCTCAGCCAGACCCTGCTGCGGCTTGGTATCGTCCAATTCAAACCGGGGCTTTCTTCCGGCTTGCTGGGTCTCGGCGCCTGGCCGACGACGGATCACTTCGTCAAACTCCATGGCGAGAATGCGACGCTTGACTAGCTCCTCGATATCCTCGGTAGTCTCATTGGTGACGACAGGGACGGGTTTGCCAATTCGCTCGAAATCAAGATCCTCTTCGATGAGGGAGTTGACGGGTCGCTCAATAGCTCTGGCTTCACCGGTATACATCCATTCTTTCTTGGCCACGTTGTTCGCTTCCAAACGACGGATTTCATCTGCGATCCGTGCCCGCATCTTCTCGTGTGTAGAGCGCGGGGCATTGGCATCCCCGGATCCTTCATCAGCCACCTCTTCATCGGCGGAATCCGCGTCCTCTTCATCGAACAGGTCCCGTCGAACGTCAGCCATAGCACGGTTGACATCTTCTTCGTCGACTGCAGGCGCAGGTTGAGTCTTCGGGAGAGAGCGCATCTTCTTGTTGGAGGCCTTGCGAGGCGGAGGTGCGAAGAAATCGGCGTATTTGATATCACTAGTGTTCACCCAAGCATTGGCCTCGCCATCCTCCATGTCCGCACCCTCTTCATCATCATCATCCTCATCAGAGTCGGCGTTGAGATCGACATTACCAAAAGTCGGGCCTTCCTCCTCGCTGTCGTCCATGGCATCATCGTCCTTTTCCGTTGGGCGTCGCTTGGAGTCGTCGCCGCGGATGGGCGCAGCACTTCCTGCTACTAGCGGGTTGGAATGCCAATCGAAATCCTCCTCATCGCTGTCTTCATTCTGCTCGGGGCCCCCCGCAGCATCTTGTCGCTCCAAAGCTTCGGACTGTTTGTTGAAATCATCGATTGAGAAGAATCCATCGTTCAGTCCGAATTTATCCTCCACGAATTCTTCGGGCTCTCCGTCCGCGGAGCCGAGTGATTTATCATCGTCCCAGTCTTCCATCTCATCGTCTTCGGCCAGCTCGTCGGACTCCATTTCGACGTCTTCTTCAGACCCTTCCTTGAGATCCTCCTCGGCACCTGAGCCCTCAGAGAGATCTTCCATCATGCTCCCTTCCATACTGTCGCTGTCACTTTGCGCACCCTCGGGGTCAGAGACATCCTCAAGATCAGAGTCAGCCTGATCCATGTAGCCGCTGTGTTGGGCGATCAAAGTGATATCACGCTCGATCTCATCGCCAGTCGACTCGAGGATGCGTGTTGCCTGCTCCCATATTTGATTCGAGGTGAAACCATCCACATAGAGGTTCTTCAATTGGAGCTGGGTGATCGAGTCCGCTTCGAGGTCTGAGCGTTTGCGCTTTTTGTTGAGTTGTCGGCGAGTAGTCTGGGCATCCACGACAGATCCAGCGAGGGAATCCAGGATGTGCTTTGCTGAATCCACGACCGTTGTATGTAAGTCGGTGGTGGGCCGGAGGAAGCCCCATGGCGTTGTCAGAGCGGATGAGAGGGCCATCTGCTCGGTGGGTTGGGCGGGTTGCACTGATGCAGACTTGGATTTGCTCTGCCCTTTTGCCATTGTGAAAAGAGCGAGGCAAATGTCGGTATCTTCGTGATGTTCTAGAGGAGCGGAAAACGCGATAGAAAAAATTATCGCCGGGCGGACGGTCGTGAGCCAATCAGATTGCTGTGCGATAAGATAAGGAACTATCCCAATTTTGGTCCATCGGACTTGTCACTCAGTCACTTACAACGATGACTACATTGCATATTGTATTGCTTTGGGTTTCGTTGTATGGACTCACTTGGTATTCCCAAGTCCACCTGACTTCTGAGTCTGCAAGGGCTAGCTATCCTGTGTGGAGATTACCAAATTGTCCTACATGATACCCTGCCCCGCTGCCCGAGGATCTACGTGTGGTGACGGTGTGGCTCTTGGTATTCTCCTTCTGCACTGGGCCCGACTCGAAGAAAACCTGTCATCTTATGATCTTACCTATAGCTGTTGCATGTACAGAGATTCCTTGGACTGTTGATCCAAAGTTGAGAAGAGTGCCACCAAGGAACAATTCGCGCAATGACGCCAATCCTTTGTCACGCTTTCTCGACGGCCAACATGCCACAGAGACAGTTGAGATATGGACATCAAGCAAACTCTCATATAGGCAAGCAACAACATTGTCTGACTGAACCTTGACTTGTTCTACAAGATACTTATGGCAACAACAATAAGGAAACCGATCCAACGCGATCAACTCGTTCCCGCCACAGTAGAGGTCTAGAACAGAGATGCCCTCAGTGGCTGAACCCCTGGGCCACTTGTTGCCTCTATCCAGACGCTGGGAGATTCGAAATATATCATAGTGACATCTACGGACCATTGGCTTCTAGTGGCCACGTCCCCTGGCACTGTCTACTTAAAACAGTGATGTCCCTGGATGACTGCTGATCAATGTTCAGAAATTGAAAGCTATCTTCACCTACTAGCATCCACAAGCTAAATCTCCCAATATGCCTCAGTATATCGAGCGACCGGCCAGCGGCTCGAAGTCCCAATTTGAGCCGGGTGAGCAGTTAAACAATGTCAAAGAATACTTTCCAACTAACATGGTATAGGCCACCAGATTCCAATCCAACACCTGTCAAAGCCCGGTCTGCAGTCTGACATGGGAGAACCCAAGCCTGTGTCTACTCATATCCCAACCGACGACTGCGGCTACCAGACCTACAAAGCCGCTGGCAAGCTCGAAGGGAAAAGAGCGATCATTACCGGCGGTGATTCCGGGATTGGAAGAGCAATTGCAATCATGTTTGCCATGGAGGGTGCATCAAGTTTGATCAATTACCTGCCAGAAGAAGAGTCGGATGCGCAAGAGACTAAGAGGCGTGTTGAAGAGTGTGGCCAGAAGTGCCATACCCTCGCTCTCGATCTTCGCACGAGCGAGAATTGCCAAAAAATCATCAAGACCGCTGTGGAAAAGATGGGTGGCATTGATATTCTTGTGAATAACGCGGCCTTCCAACACATGTTGAGTGATATCAGCGAGCTTACTGAGTGAGTTGAAGGCTCATACTGCACTATAGCAATACTCCCTACTAACAGAGTCAACAGGGAACAGTGGGAGCGCACCTTCTCCACCAACATTAACTCGTTCTTCTACCTATCCAAGTATGCTCTACCTCACATGAAGCAGGGATCCACTATTATCAACTGCGCTTCCGTCAACCCTTATATCGGTCGAGGTGATCTGCTTGATTATACCTCGACCAAGGGAGCAATTGTGGCGTTTACTCGCGCCTTGTCAAACCAGCAGCTGAAGAAGGGCATTCGGGTCAATTGTGTCTGTCCTGGTCCAAGTAAGTCTTCTGAATGTCTGTGTTCCAAGTTCACTGCTAACGAGACCAGTCTGGACCCCTCTGATTCCCTCAACCATGCATACCTCCGCTATGGAACAGTTCCATACAGTGCCAATTGGTCGACCTGGCCAACCCAGCGAAGTTGCGACATGTTTCGTCTTCCTTGCAAGCCAGGACAGCAGCTATATTTCCGGACAGTGTCTGCATCCTAACGGCGGTGTGATGGTCAATGGATAAACGGGACTTAAGAAGAGATCAAGATCAACTGTGGTGTACCAGTGATTAGATTGTATAGATAGGGACTTACAGTAGGTATGCGAAATAAAATGACAGATCTTGATCTCAATGGATCTTCTTGCTATGTAATACTGAGCACGTATGCTGAGAGTGAAAAACCAATTGTATTGCTATGCATGCACTGTCTGACGCCTGGTATATCATAATGTCGCTTGTTGGGATGGTGATTGTGATTGTGACTATGCGGTCAATCTCGCGCCGAGTCACTCGGCCTTATCATCTTCCTTCTTCTCAGGCTCTTCTTCCTCAGGTTCTTCCTTCTTAGGCTCCTCTTTAGCTTCCTCTTTGAGCGCAGGCCCAAGTGCAACAAGCTTCTGGACAGCGTCGACAGTCGCATCTGGGCCACCCGGCTGACGAAGCAACACCTTGCCCTCCTTGTTCACGGCGAAAACACCTCGAAGTGTACCCTTGGGAGATTTCTTGAGCCCGATAGCAGCGATGAGCGAAAAGTTGGGATCGCACATGAGCGTATAAGGAAGATTGTGCTTTGTCTTGAACGTGGTGTTGGCCTTGGGAGAATCCCCGGAAAGACCATATACAGACAGGCCAGTGGAGCTCAGGTGGGCATAGTTGTCACGGAACAAGCAAGCTTGTTTGGTGCCTGGACGAGGTAGTGTAAGCAGCGAACTAGATCAGGAAACACCATCCAGCTCTCCGAAGAGCTCTAGATGTGAGTGCAACTTACAGCCAGGTGTGGAGGCTTTGGGGTAAGTAAAGAAGACGACACCAGCCTTGCTCTGCTCAAGGAGCTTCTTCAATGTAGTTTTCTCGCCATCATTGGTCTCGAACTCGCCGCCGAATGTCTCTATATCGATTGTATCATCCACCTCGGGCAGCTTTGGCGCGGGACCCTTTTCGGCGTCATTATCGGTAGCTTCTGGTTCTTGTTTGGGCTTGCGGGCTTGTTTGGTCTTCTTTTCTGCGACCGGAGGTGGGGCTGGCGCCTTACGTTTCCTGAGTTCGACCATATTGTGGAGCAAGGGGGAGAAAATAAAAGGCCGAGGGGCAGAGTGTTATGAATTGACCAGTGTTTATTGGACGTTCTGGAACATTAGCTTGCACCTGTGGCAGGTGCCAGCTCGGGCAAATCGTTTAGTCAGCAGCGAGTTTCATCCGAGGCTTGACCGGGAAAACCCGGTGGCAGATAATGTGGCGCTGTGGCTCGAGCGCCCTGGCCCTGACCCGGACAGAAGAAAATCGAAAAGATTTTCCCCTCAGAGGTCGATCGTAAAATCCACTTTTCTCCAGTATTTTCTCTGATCTGACTCAATTCTGCCTCCCGGTTCATTCATAGACAATAGACTGAACTTCGTTTGTTCACCCTTTCTTTCTCTCTTACCTTACACTCGACCACATTTCCCTCTGCTCGCTCTCTCTACCCTCGGTCCATTCGCTACTCTACATTCTATCCGAGCACATCACCAGTATCCTTTATCACAGCATCACGCGACCTTCAGCGTCGTTAAAGTGATCTCCAATCAGCCACGATGAAGGTCTTCTCTTCCGGCTGCACCTTCAACTACTCATGGGACGAGGTATCGACTGCCAACTGGCGCAAGTACTGTCCCTGGAACGATAAGTCTACACACGTCGTGGGCGTCGACACGCTCTCCCGAACAGTCGACCCGAGCACTGGCATTGTGAGTCATTCATCTTCGAAGCCACGGCTTCCACACATCCCGAGAGGCCTTGTACTGACTTTTCCCCTAGCTGCGAACTGAGCGTCTGATCACATGCAACCAATCCGTACCACAATGGGTTCTTTCACTTCTCGGTGGAACGAACACCTCCCACGTTTACGAAGTTTCCTACGTCGACCCCGTCGCCAAGAAGGTGACCATGTGCTCCACCAACCTCACCTGGTCAAACGTCCTCAGCGTACGTGAGACGGTTGTCTACCGCCAGTCCCCCATCGATCCGGCCACCACGACCGAATTCACCCAAGAAGCGAAGATCACTGCTCTCTGCGGTGGCTGGCAGAAGATCAAGAACAAGGTCGAAGAGGCAAGCGTGGATCGATTCCGCGAGAACGCCAAGATCGGCCGCGAGGGCTTCGAGACCGTCCTTGAGATGAGTCGCCGCGTGTTCGGCGAACAGCGTGAGCTCGAAAAGCAGCGTCTGTAATCGCCAACGCTTGATGACCGTCGACCTCTTTCGCATCATTTCAGCCTCTCCATTTTCATCAGCATCAAGCGAGTGCATATCCCGGCGTCTGTTTTGCATCTTCCAGCACGTGGCGCCAATTGGAGTTCTTTCTTCTCTCTTCGACTTTTCCTCTGCTCACAAATACCACCATCTGCTTTGCTTTGCCTTCGGGCCAAAAAAAGTTCTCTACTAAGTCATTACGAGCGAGTCTTGTTTGTCTTGTTTTCACCTCATGCTTTCTACTGATCAGCCCCAAACCAAGGCGGCAGATGTATTATTAAGAAGCTCCCCATCATAGAACTGAAGTTCTTTGTCGTACAACGTTCACGTCGATGAATTCATACCTCATTAAACTGTTCATAAACCCCAGACAAAATGTATAGACCGCAGCCTTGCTGCTAACCCAATAAACCACCGAGTACCACCCGACTGACACCCGCGATCTCACTCTTAACACTGTTGCGGCTCGCGTCTTCAAACTCACGCACTGCGCCAGCCACCATGATCTTCCGTAACCTGGCATCTGTTTTAGAGAATAACTCGCCCAAAGCCACCGTGCAGACCGATGGAGATGCTACTAGAGCGGTGAGCCGAGTATAAGTGTCAATCAAGACATCACAGAGGGTCGCAAACGTCTCGAAGAAGTCCGGCTCAAACGGCAACGACGGCGTGAGAAGATACGTATATTCTTCACCAGGCAGCAGATCCGAGGATTCCGTAAGTGGGAAAGAGGTAACCGACGCTGCCGCAGAGGAAGCCGCCCCGAGATTTCCTGCTATGCTCAAGTCTGACGGGTCACTGGTCTGCATCGGGAGACCGATCTCATTCGCCGAACTCGTCCGACGGGTCTTGGTACCAGCATGCGTCGCCCGCTTGAACATCTGCGGTATACGGGCTCTGGCCAGACTTGACGAGGAGCTCCCGTCCGGGGGATGCACTTGCTGGAAAGCTTCGAACTCCAATAGCAAGGCATTGAGGGCGCGCAAGTACTCGAATGGGGTTGTATTGACATCGAGGATTGTTGGCAATGATAGGCCTAGAAGCAGATAGTTGACGGCGCGGCGGGAAAGCTTCCGTGCCTCGAAGTATGGTAGACGGGCGATGTCTGCCCGGGAGAAATGTACTGTATTGAACCAATATACTCGTCCTTCGTGGCTGTCAATTCACACGATTTGTGTTAGTGGGTTTTCTTCTCTTCGGATCGGTATGCGATCCACTCACGCCTTTCTCAAGTAGTCGAGAGTTTGTATCCTTTTCGCGGCCATCTCATGGATCTGTTGATAGATTGCGCCTGCACTTTGCGGGCCGAGAAGTCCTCCCCCGGCCACTGCAGGTGGCAGGGCAATTGTTTCAAATCCACCCCCGGACTTGGCTGTATCCCGCCGTGTCAGACTCGGGGCAAATGTAGAGGGGACCATTGGCGTTGGTGGGCTATTCGGGAGCCAAATAAAATGATGCGACGGGAGCGAGTGTGGACAGGGGGTCGAGAGCAAGACCAGGGAGGTACTCAGTATAGGAAAGAGACAAGAGAAGAAAGCGATCAGATCAGTAAAGTAGGCGAACAGATCAACAATATATGTGAAGACTGAAGAGTCGACTCAGGAGATCCAAGAAACTGTGGGAAGTTCCCCGCAAGTGCCTGGGCCCTGGACCCAAGGAATTGTGTTGGTCCTCTTCACGGGTAATTTACCGTCGATCACATCCCCTCCCCCCCTGTACTCCGTCCAGATCTAATTTGGATCTGTCTTATTCTTCAAAATGACTTCAACACCTCCCGAAGAGCAGATTCCTCTGCCTGGACAATGGCCCGTTGACCCTCAGGAGGATCTACCCATCTCGGAGGACCGCCTTTGGGTCGATGGATGTTTTGATTTCAGCCACCACGGTACGTCTGCATTTACCACCTGGTCAATGGCCATGGACTAATCTTTGTCTACAGGCCATGCTGGGGCTATGCTTCAAGCCCGCCAACTGGGCAAGGCTCTTTACGTGGGGATACACTCCGACCAAGCTATCCTTGAGAACAAGGGCCCGACAGTAATGTCACTGGAAGAGCGGTTGGTTCTATCACTTTTACTAGCTGCTAGATTCTATCTCTAACCTTGCCATTACTTGTCTAGTGTTGCCGCCGTTGATGCGTGTCGTTGGGCAACTCAGAGTGTTCCCCATGCCCCCTATGTGACCTACCTACCCTGGGTGTCCCACTACGGCTGTAAATACGTCGTCCATGGAGACGATATCACTTCCGACAGCGATGGAAACGACTGCTACCGCTTCGTCAAAGCTGCTGGACGCTTCCGTGTCGTCAAACGAACCCCCGGCATCTCCACAACTGACATTGTTGGTCGCATGCTGCTGTGCACCAGGAACCACTTTGTCAAGTCTGTAAAGGGCACACTCGCTGGACAGGAAGGAGTTGGAAGCCCAGAGGAACGCCAGGCTGCTGCGGCAGATCTTTTGCGGAGAATCAAAGATTTTGCGACAGACGAGAGTGGTCTTCAGCCTGGACCTCAGGTTTGGACCTGGACTGGCTCAGGTACAGCGAAGCTAGACCACGTTGCCGAGGAGGCTGGCCTGTTCGAGACGTTGGTTGACGGAAAGGGACCTAAACCGGGACAGAGAGTTGTCTACGTTGATGGAGGCTTCGATCTCTTCTCCTCGGGTCACATTGCGTTCTTGCGCAAGGTCATCGAGCTCGAGGAGTCCGAGGGCCGTCAACGTGGCTGGTATGACCAGGACCAAATTGAGAAGAGATTGAAAGACTTCAACGAGGACTATGCTCCAGCCTATGTTGTCGCAGGTATCCATGACGACGATGTGATCAACCACTGGAAGGGCCTGAACTATCCAATCATGAACATCTTTGAACGTGGTCTCTGTGTTCTTCAGTGCAAGTACATCAATGCCGTCATTTTCTCTGCGCCCTTTACACCCACCGAACCCTACCTGAAAGCTATTCCCTGGGGCACTCCCGATGCTGTCTATCACGGACCTACGACCTTCATTCCGCTCACCTATGATCCCTACACTGCCCCCAAGAAGATGGGAATCTTCCGTGAGACCGAGCAGCATGCATTCCAACATGTGAACGCTGGCGAGATCGTTGGTCGCATTCTGAAAAGTCGGGAGGCTTATGAGGCCCGGCAACGCGCGAAGTTGGAGAAGGCCGTTGCCGAGGACTTGGTCAAGGCACAAGAAGCGGCTGCCAACACTCAATAGGGGTCTTGATTGTGGCAAATATTAATTCAGGTAATGAAGATCAACTGTGCATATGATGTCAGACCTCATCAACTGGGGTTTGTTTTGAAACAAGCGTCTACTTCATTCTTTCGACTTGCAATAAATCCATTAGACCGTTGATCAATGTATAGAAATTGCGCATACGGCGTATAGATATCCAAAATACATCCTTTCAAGCATATCCACCCCATATAGAAAGAAAGAACAGCTCATCCGACCAGCAGGATATTAGACCAGAATAAACTAGAGACAAATAATCTTACAGAAACAGCCGTCTACCAGATCGGATAGACACCCACCTTGGGTTCCACTGCTATTTATTCATCCGCCGCGACCAGAACACCCTTAGTCTCCAGAAGCTTCGCAAGCTCACCATTCTGGTGCATGGACATCAAGATATCGCAACCACCAACAAACTCCTTGTCGAGGTATAGCTGAGGAATAGTGGGCCAGTCGGAGTACTCCTTGACACCTGCAGAACCGATCAAGTTAGCAATCAACACCCAAGAAGTACCCAAGCAAACCACCAGAAGAAGACTCTACATACCAGAGCGCAGCTCAGCATCCTCCAACACATTGAACGCAACAAACTTCTTAGGATCAACACCCTGTAGTCCGAGGATTTGGATAGTGGCGCGGGAGAAACCACACTGCGGAGTCTCGGGTGTACCCTTCATGAAGAGTACGACGGGGGCAGAAGAGACGGCCTTATCGATCGCTGTGCGGGTCTCATTGGATAGAAGGCGGGCATGGAGGACGGAGGGAATAGAAGGGCCCGAGGGGAACTGGATGGCCGAGCGGACGGGCTGCAAAAAGGTTGGTCGTGAGACCGGGCGGAAAGCCTGTTCGTGTTAGTTGGGGACTCTGGAATGGGAGGATGATGGGCTTACCGATGCAAGTGCTCTGGAAAACATGTTGAATAAGTGTATGGTAGTTTACAAGAGGAAGGGTGAAGTTTCGGGGAACTTGGAGGTTTAGTATTATTTAATCAGCGGTTGGTCGGATCCCGGTTGAGATCCCCACTTTGATATCTAAGCTCCAGATGTACGGACTACGGAGTAGTCATTGTCGTCTTTTCTATTTGCTTGTTTCAGGTGGTAGATCTAAGATCTTCTTCATCTACTGTGTACTGCATTCAGCTGCAATGGAATCTCAATCGCCTACGCCACTTGTTGCCGAGCAGCATATGCACGATAAGAAAATCCATATCCTGCTGGCAGCTGCTACTTCGAAGCTGTACAACATTGCAGAGGCATTATGTCAGAACAAGAACATTGCAATACGCATTCTAATCAGCGAGCCTGCGGAGAAGCATTTCCTCGGACAGAGCCCGGAACAACCGGATTATGAGTCTCTACTTCAACTAGATGGCGTGGATGCGATCTACCGGGACGAGGATGAATGGACCCCGCCATGGACGCGCGGGGGACCGGTCCTACATATTGAACTACGAAAATGTCAGTGGTCATTTTGAATCTGGTCTAGTGAACTGACTGACATGAGCAAAGGGGCACATATTCTGCTGGTCGCACCAATGTCAGCAAATACCTTGGCTAAAATGACCAAAGGGATTGCTGATAACCTGCTGCTCTCGGTCATTAGGGCCTGGGATACGACTGGAATGGTGGACATGGGATTCAAGACCCAGAAGCCTATGATCTTTGCAGCATTGGCTATGGACACCTGTATGTCCCGACATCCTGTGACGGAGAAGCAGCTGAAAGTCCTACGTGATGAGTGGGGTTGCAGTGAATCAAACCCAGAAGGCTGGGTGACGGTGCTGTCTCCCTCGGAGAAGGGGATGGCCAGTGGAGACATCCATGCTGAAGGCATGATGGAATGGAGAGATATCGTCGCCGTTGTTCTAGAGTACGTCGCGGGACTGTCGAAGCCATGAATAACCAACCCGGCATTGAATGCCTATCTATATCGTTACATGATTATTGTGCGAGCTCGGCCACCATGGCCTCTGGCTCCGCCTTATTGTACAAACCAAGGTACTGCGCCGCATACTCAGCGAGCAAGCCCAAGGAGATTCCTCCACCGGTCAGCAAACATCCGTTCTTGAACCACCACCAGCAGTTCCGAACGCTCTTCAACTGGACCTTCCAAATCATGAGACCAAGGGACAACGCGGCACTGCCGCAGCTGCCGACGAAGAACACCGGACCGCATCCAGCAGCAACACCGGCAGCCGCAAGGAGCGAAACCTGGGTCACCGCCAGGCCGCTCAGGACAGCCTTGGTGTTGTGCTCATGGCGGAGAGCAATGGACTTGATGCCAGCCTTGACATCGTCTTTAATATCCATGTGTGCATAGATCATATCGTACAGAACTGTCCAAGCAATGCAACTGGAGTAAAGGGCTCCTGCCGCCATCAAAGCATCATGATTAGCAAGCAGATCCACCCCCAACGCTGGGAATCCCATAATCGCTCCCCATGAAAACGCAAGACCCAAGACAGCCTGCGGGTAATTGGTTACGCGCTTGGCAAGGGGATAGGCTACCACGATAGGCAAGCTAGGAATCCCATACCAAAGACACTGAGTAGGGAATGAAAGGAGTACACCCAAACCAGCAATCAGCTGTGAACCCGTGAAGAGGACCGCCTTTTTGGGCGAGAGGGCACCCCTGGCAATGGGTCGAAATTTTGTGCGCTCGACGTGAGGATCCAGGTTTCGGTCCCACAAGTCGTTGATCGCGCAGCCTGCACCGCGCATGATCAGCGCACCGGAGAAGAACAGTGCTGCTGTGCCCAGGACATGGAGCGGTGTTGCCCCGGCCATTGGCGCAGCCAGAAGGGTAGAAAAGAGTGTGGGGAAGAAGAGGTAGTATGTGCCCGTGGGTTTATCCAGTCGCACCAATTCTGCATATGGTATCCATGAGCTCGGCAAGGATGCGATTATGCCGGTTTGTGGAGGGGTGTAGTGAGTGGCTGGATTATTCTCCGCGTTTGCCTGGACGGATTGTGTTGCGGGTGATTGCAATTGCGAGTTGTGACGGACTAGGGCTTGTGTTGGCAAGGCATTCTTGATTGAGGTGCCAATGCCAATGAGGGACCGACTACCCTTCAAATGTGTTGAGTAATAGGCGTTGTGAGTGAGTGTAGGGATGCGCCCATTGTACAGGCTGCTGTTGATGCTTTGCCTGGCGCATGGGGATAGCCGACTGCGGAGGAGACGGGAGCTATTAGACAGCATGGTGAGGGCGGAACACCGAACGAGGGTCAATCAAGGCAGGCAATATTCATGTTCTTTTGAAGCCTGCGAGTGTTCTGGCCCTGTCAATGTCGAGAGCTTGTCATGCAGGAAAAAGCGGCCTCGGCCTGGGTCTCACCCTAAGCCTATTCGGGTATCAGATCTATACAGTAAAGTTGAGTGTCGCCAATAATTGACCTACACACTGGAGACATATATTAAATTGAGTATCTATAATCTAGATTAGTAGAGCCTTGAACTAGAAGAAGGGATACAGAATTTATATACTTGCGAAGCTTCTATACAAAAGAGTGGCATTTCACGTGTAAATCTCTGCCTGAGGCCGTTCATCCCGCGTTCCGAAGGTGATCGCCAGATTGAAGCAAACAAGCCGTTGAAGGCACCTTCCGCATTCCTTTCATATCTGCACACCACATCCCTCATATAAGCCTGTGATATACTCTGTCCTTTCATTGTGCAGCTTCCCACTCTATTCTTCCCCACTCTTCTCATCTGAATCACTCTGACTCACGATCAATCGCGACCCGCGCGAAACCACAGCAAGAGCAACACCATTAGTTTGCAAATCTGAGCTTGTGAGACACCAATCTCAGTCCCGACACCTAATACTCTCCTCAAACCATGAATTTGGTTCCTCCGAGCTTTGCGCGCACAATCACAATCAACTGAACACCAACTCATGCCCCCGTTGGGGCTCGGGGCTTCGCGCTCATTATGCCGGCACATCGAACGCGGCTGGCTTTTGAGCCACTCTCGCCTGAACTCGACATTCAACAGGTGGTCGAGTCTACTCCCAATTTTGAGTTCGCGATGAAAATCACCTGCGATGCTGTGGATGACTTTCCCCTTGAACAGTTCGAGAGGCTCGTTCTGTACCAGGTCGTTTTGACAGGCAGACCGCTGGTCGTTGAGGGCTTTCACAAGCGCCTTGACAAAAATATATTCTCGGAGAAATGGCTTCGGGGGAAGTACTCGTCGAAAGGTGAGTCCGTTCTATGGGGTTCTCAGTCTCTCCATAGATCAATATTAACTGGCGCTGCGGACAGTCGAGGAGGTCTGCGATCTTGGGAAGAAAGTGAGCAAGCGGTTCACGATGGGTCATTACCTCAGGAGTCTTCATCTCCTTACTAGCAAGATCACGGCCGACAACTATACAAATAAAGACCGCCAACGCCTGTACCTCAAGGATATCGACTGCCCCCCTGAATGGCGCGATCACCTCGAGAAGCAGTTACCACCCTCTTTGTTCTATCTGAACGAAGCTCCCAAGCCCTTCGAAGGCCCAGCATCGGGAAAGGCGAATCTGGAGGCAATCCCAAAGACCAGTCAAGGCGAGCGCATCGCCCCTGCGGGCGACCTAATGAGCAGTCTTCCTGCAAAAATGCGCGCGGAGAATTTGATGTGCTATATCGGCCACGAGGGTACATATACCCCGGCACATCAAGAAATGTGCGCCAGTCTCGGTCATAATATAATGGTGGATGCGTCCGATGGGACGCCGGAGGATGGCCACCCAACTGTACCTGGCACTTCTATATGGCTCATGACAGAAACTAGAGACCGGCCGATTGTTTCCGAATATTGGATGTCCGTTCTCGGACACGACATCGACATTGAGGATTTCTTTGCTCCCTTGCATGCATGGGAGATTGCACCTTTCAAAACCTGGGTAGTTGAACAGAAACCCGGGGATCTCATTCTGGTTCCCCCTCTCGCTGCACACCAGGTCTGGAACCGTGGCACCCGCACAATGAAAGTTGCGTGGAATCGCACGACAGTGGACACGCTCGAGTTGGCGTTGAATGAGGCTTTGCCGCATGCGAGAATGGTCTGCCGCGATGAGCAATACAAGAATAAGGCCATCGTCTTCTTCACGCTCGACCGATATTCGAAATTATTGCGACAGGCTAAGAAGCTCGACAATCCATCCGTTAAACAGCTCTGGAGTGACTTCAAGAGACTGTTCAATATGTACAAGGCAATCCTGTTGTCCGAGACCTTCTCACAAAGGAAGCCGGAGAAGAACGTCGAGTACCACGCGTTCCAGAGCAATGTTACTTGCTCATATTGTCGATGCAACATCTTCAACAGGTTCCTCAGCTGTCCCGGTTGCGTTGACCTTGGTGGCGAGGATGACCCGTATGATGTCTGCATGGACTGCTATGTCATGGGCCGAAGCTGCAGTTGTATATCCAACCTCAAGTGGGTGGAGCAATTCTCATGGAAGCAGCTGACAGATCGCTACGAATCATGGCGACGGTTGATTGTCTCGTCCGACGAGAATGACAAGGAATTGAAGCTGCAGTTTCCAACATTCGTTGTCGCCCGTGGTCAAGCTGGTAAAAAGTCCGTGGCAGAGATATGTCAAGAGCAACTGGCGCGTCGGCCATGGAATGACCCGAAGAAGCCCAAGGCCATCATTAACCTTCAGTCAGATGACAGCGAAGGCGAGGACGACGAGCGGTCGAAAAAGCGCCGCAAAATGCGGCAGTCTCTCAACGCCAAATCAGCCGACATGCACCGCTGTCACGTTTGCTTGCATTATGAAGTCAACTGGAAACTAGCTCCTTGCTCGAACTGCGACCAGCACTACTGCTACGGCAGTCTTTATCGCGCATTTGAGATATCGCCCCAGGAAGTCATGGAAAAGCATCACTGGCTCTGCCCGAAATGCCGCAAACAGTGCAGCTGTGGGGCTTGCAAACGTGATCCTTCCATGAAGCCATATGAGCCGAACACTACTGTCCTGGGGCACGACACGAGCAAAGTGGCCGATCCTCGCAGTGTTGACACGTTGGTCGACTTCCGTAAGTCGAACCTTTGGTGGTTAAGGAAATTTGGCGACGATGTCCATGGCCGGATTCAGAAGCGTCAGAAAGAAGCGGAGGAAGCTCAAGTGATATGGCAGAAGACGCTCGAGCAGCAGGGGTTCAGCTTTGAGACGAGTCCTTTTGAGCAGCCGATGCAATTTGGCTCGGCCAATGACGAGAGTCTGCAGTTGGATGGCTATGATGAAGAGTTGCCTGTGGATCCATCTCTGTCATCACCTGGGCTGAATCGATGAAATAGATGGAGACCGAAGAGGATTAAGAGCTTCTTGTTGGAATACTTTCTACATATAACCAGGAAGGCTTGGCCAGTGCTATTTGAATAAAGATGAAAGAAGGAGATGTGGTTTATGATTCCCCGAAGGGCTTGCGCTCTTCTGCCATGCTTTAACAGAATCTCGTTTGAACACAAAGGAAATTTGATATTTACGTTTGCCTAGGCACCTTTGTACTCGTACTGTAAATCCTTGAGCGAGGCAAGGTCAACAGAGAGCATGACGCTTCGGGCCAGTAGGATCGATACCAGCATGACTGCCCATAGTCAGACTTGATATCAGCCAACACCTGGGGAAGATGTAAACATACCTCCAGGAATCAAATACAACACCGGCTGAATCCTCCCAGTCGATCCAGAGAAATAAACCAGCCCCAACAACACACAAACCACACCATTACCCGGCACCAGCGCCGCATGAACCCGAGCAATCCGTTCATTGTGCACAGTCATCGCCCTCTTGCCTTTGCGATCCCTCTGCAACGGTGAACATCTCATAATATACCCCGTCGTCAACAACGAGACAAGCCCGAGCAGCGCAAACAACCGTTCAGCCTGACCGGAAGCTGTGAAAACCGGGCCCACGAATACCGTAGCAGCCACCAGTGGAAGCGCGGTAAAAATGATCTGGACTGTTTAGCTTCTGTATTCTGGAAAAGAAGGAAGATATTATGTACACTGTATTGGGCATTGCGAGCATCATTCTGCTTCTGCAAGTGCTCGATGACTCGTTCTTGTTCTTCTTCATCTAGCTCTTCGCGCTCGTTTGATTCTTCGGGGTATCGAAATGCCTTTCGGAGTCTTACAGCTGCCATTCTGCATCGAATAAAACAAAAGTGAAAGAAATTTGTTAAAACGAAGCAAAACATAGAACAAAGTCAACACTCAACAGTGACGTCGCAAGATAGATCCGAATGTTTGTCTTGTTTGCCAATACTTTTCAACCTTCCAACTCAATTAAGCTCAAGCCTCACCTCTAAACCAAAACCACCCACACTCTTAGTCTCTTCCTCTCACAACCCACCAAAATGAACCTCACACGCCCCCTAATCCGCAAAACCATCCTCCGACCCATCCTCCACCGCACCCTAATAGCCGCCCCAGGCCCGAACACCGGTCCCCTCCTAACCCGCCGCGCCGACCGCGAACTACCCAACCCCAACCCAGGCCGAAAATGGCTCTACACATTCCCGATCTTCGTCGTCGCCGTCGGAGCAGGCATGCTGGGCATCTTCAACTACCAGAAATCGTCCAGTAGCGTTGTGCACAGCACGCTGTATGCGCTGCGGACGTCGCCGCGGGCACGGGAGATCCTCGGTGATGAGATTTATTTTGCGCAGCAGATTCCGTGGATTAGCGGGGAGATGAATCAGTTGCATGGAAGGATTGATATTTCTTTTTGGGTTAAGGGGAATAAGCAGCAGGCGAAGATGAGGTTTAGGAGTATTAGGCCTGATCGGATGAGTTATGTGAGTTCTCTTTTTACTTCGTATTGGAAGGGTTACTGGAAGGAATGATGGGGATTGGTGTGAGGATATATGCTAATGGTTAATAGTTCCGGACTGAAGAGTGGAGTTTGGAGAAGGAGGATGGGACGGTTGTGCAATTGCTTGAGAGTGATAGTGATCCGTTCCGGAAGGATTGAGGTGGAGTGATGGAGGTGCGGATTGGTGTGTACAAAATACTGAAGTGCATGGAATTGGGCGTTTGGTCTTTGAATGTTTGTTTCGAGCTGGCGAGGCCATTGAGCTCATACAATGGATGGCTACAGCTACAGGCTAGCAAAGAAAAGAAGAAAGGATATCATTTTATGTATCATATACAAACGCCGCTCAAGTCAACCAATATCGCGCGTATGGTGTAATAGTACATGTCAGAACTCAAAAGCTCCGATCAATCAAGCAGCAGCTTCCGCAGCAGGCTCAGCAGCTGGCACTTCCGGCCATGGCTTCTTGATCGCATCCTGGATTCTCACAACACAGCCCTTGGGACCACTGACAGCACCTGAAAGAACCATTAGCAAACATCCCCAGCAAAGAAGCAGAGAAAGAGTAAACATACCGCTGACAACAACAATACCATTCTCCGAATCAACCTTGAGAATCTTCAAATTCTGCACCGTATTCTGCTGATTCCCCATATTCCCCGCCATCTTCTTCCCGGGGTAAACACGCGAACCACCACCCTGACCCGGACCCGACGAACCCATGGAGCGATGCGTCAAACTAACACCATGAGAGCGATCCTGACCATGGAACCCATGTCTCTTCATGACACCAGCGAACCCCTTACCCTTAGTATTAGATCTAGCATCAACGAACTGGCCCTCCTGGAACCAGCCCGCCTCAATACTCTGTCCAACAGGCAACAAGCCCTCCTCCCCCTTGACCCTAAACTCAAAGATATGTCTCTTCGGCGAAAGCCCATTAACCGAAAAATGCCCCAGCATCGCCCTCGGCACATTACTAGGATGTTTCCAGCCCGCACCAACCTGCACAGCGTAGTATCCGTGTCTCTCGCGGGTCTTGTGCGAGACGACCTCGACACGATCGAGCTGCAGAACGGTGCAGGGCGTGCGCTTTCCCGTCTCCGGGTCGAAGATGGCTGTCATGCCCTTTTTGATTGCAATGGCTCCGGACCGGAGTGGCAGCGAGTTGGCTTTGCGCCGCAGTGCCGCTGTCGATGTGGACTCGAGGACTGGGAGGCCCGGCCCGATGTTGAAGCGGCTGGGTTTCGGCGGGTTGAGGGAGCGGATGCCGAAGTTGCGAATCGGCATGAGTGGTGTAACGAGTGGTGCTCCCCATAGGGAGGTGGAAAGAGGGATCAGCCCTCCTAGGCGCGGCGACATGGTGGGTAATTGGGTGTTTTGGTAGGAGGTGAGTCCGGGTTTGGAGGTGGGAAGTTTTTGGGGGGTTTGTGCTTAGTCAGCTTTTCTGCCGCGGAGGTCGAGTTTCCAAGGTTGGCCTCGAATTGATGAACTTGGTCATACACAGTAGGGTCATATGATACGAAGATGATTGCAGAGAGATCTTAACATAACTAAAATAGCAATCACCGGTTAATCCTGTGACCCGTAGCTAACTTAACTCCGGCATAGACAGCCGCAAACCCGGTCGGACCGGAAGCCGAAAACGCCGAGAAAGAAAAAGATCCCGTCAACTTGGTCTTGTACCAGTTCAACCTCAACCTCAATGCTTTACAACGCACAAACTCTACCTACGCTACCTCCCAGACCCAACGCCAACAAGAGCACAATATCCTCCATTCCAACATGACCACATCCCTGCGCCCAAGCCTCAGATGGCTGCAACCACTCCTCAAAACAAAGCCCACCACAACACTCCAACTCCAACGCCAATTCCTCCCTCGCTTTACAAGCGCGCCATCACGAACATACACAACAGCACCCTTCAGGCAACCCCGCACCCCCTTCCGCACCCTCCCAAACCGACGCTTCAACTCCAATTTCTCCGGAGCTGGAGCTAGCTCGAAAGCCAAAGCAGAGGAAACCCTCACCCTCTCACAACGCCTAAAGAAACTATCCCGCGAATACGGCTGGGCTGCGCTGGGCGTGTATCTTGGATTATCCGCGCTTGACTTCCCGTTCTGTTTTGCAGCTGTGCGCTTGCTAGGCGTTGAGCGGATTGGATATTATGAGCATGTTGTTGTTTCGTTTGTGAAGGATTCATTGAAGAGTGTTTGGCCGGGGAAGATGGGGGGTGGGGAGGAGGATGGACAGGGGCAGCTTGCGCAGGCTGAGGAGAGGAATCAGGAAGAAGCTAGTGAGTTTTTCTTCTTTTTTTTTGGTTGTTTGAAGGGGTGTGAGTGGGTTTGCTAATCTGGTTTTTTGTGGCAGGTATTTGGACACAATTGGTCTTCGCATATGCGATCCATAAGAGCTTCATTTTCATTCGTGTTCCGTTGACTGCTGCGGTTACGCCGAAGGTTGTCAAGATACTGCGTGGTTGGGGTTGGGATATTGGGAAGCGCAAGCCGAAGAGTACGTGAGCGTCAGCTCTGGGATCATAATATGTAGCATAGCGGGAGACATGGATACAGGATACGGGCACAGGGAGGATTGGGATCTTCGGATCATTGTACATTAATAGCCATTCAGCTCTCTAATACGGCAAATCTATTGCCTCCTCCTCTCAATTTTCCAGATCTACAAATAGAGACAGCCAACCCAGGTCAAACCAAGCACAGAGTCTATCCGCCGGGAGAGGAACAGCAAGAGAAATATATGCTAAATCAGCTTGGTAGCTTGAGTAGCAAGAGCAAATATAGAGAGCACAAGGGTAAGAGATGAGGCAAGATACCCAAGCTCGTAATCTTCGTGGATCAATTCACGTTTATGTAGGTGGTTTCCCGAAGCTGAAACCGATCACATGTCGATCATATCGTTGAATCGCAGGATGCCGTTCGCGCGCATGATACCGTTGACACCGTCCGGCATACGGTATGCCCACTCGGCAACGCCCATGGTATCCACGGGCGGGAGTTCCTCAATTCGGTCAGACTGACCGGCTTCGTCAGAAGTGTCGGCCACAAGCACCAGTCCGAGTTCTTTGATTGTTTCCACGAGTGCGGGAACGACATTCTACAGAATAGATTAGCAAGGGCAAAAAGAGTAGGCGCAGGAAAGCAACGCACCAAAAGACTAGATCTACAGATCAATCCCATGAAGTTGTTACTCTGGGCTATCCGAGCGGACTCCTTAATCGACATCGAGGCCCGGCCACTGCTATTAACATGGGGCAGAGAGTCGACATTTCCAGCCAGATCCCGAATCTGTCCGAGATCATTGCAAAGAAGGACCGGATCTGGTGAGGCATTAGTATCAAGCAAGACATGAATGGCATTTCAAACTCACAATTGGGCTGCTTCCAGTTCAGCGCACTACAGATATTGGGGTTATAGGAGGTAAACACCACGGAACGCATGAACTCCGGGTTCTTTTCACGAGCCACACGCGCATGATCAAAGACATCAGTTAGAATCGCATCCGCGAAACTATTGACATCCGCCAAGGAAGACAGATCGAGCTTCTTTTCCTCCGCGGGTGATGGGTAGAGGATGGAGATATTGACGTTGAACTCGATAGGGAGTTGTGCCAGGACGTCGCGTAGTGACAAGAATGACGATGCCAGGAGTCTATGAACCTGCGGCATGTCCTGTGCTGCACCTGTTTGCAAGAAATCGAGGATCTCGTGTGACTTGACACCGCGTTCGGCGCCAATAGCCGAGAACTGGCGATATGTCAAATGCGAGACTGGTATGTCCACTCCGTGGTGGTTGATCATGAACTGCGGGTAAAGGACTGCGACACGGTCTCGAGTCAACTGTACGAAGAGCTGGATGTAATCGCCGGACAGACTGGAGCCGGTGACCAGACCGTTGTGCTCTGAGTCCAGCGCACTTGTGGCCTTCCAGTATGTAGCGAAGTGCGTGATCTCCAGGGGATCGCCGTGGTAGGGCTTGATAACTTGGAAGTTGAAGCGCAGCTGGCCGATCGTGCGGAGGCGAGGGTCGAACAGGGGCAAGCAGCACGAGCCAGTGCTCGACGACTCGGCGCGGAAAATATCTGGCAGAGCCACGCTCTTGGCAATCACCTTTGAGCCGAAGGTAGGGAAGATCTCGAAGTCCACGGCAAATGTATCCAGGTTATCCACGTGGAACGATATCGTGCGTGTCTCGTCCTGTATGGGTAGCATGATCGTGCGTGGGATCAGATCCGACAGCTTGGAAGAGATAGTCATGCGAGCCGCGGGATGGCGGCCTGCCTGGTCAAACGCGACAGACCCAACATTTTCTTGATCGAACAGAAGCTGGACGAACACCTTCTTGTCAAGGAAGTTGTGGCCGTAGCGGCGCAGAGGTATGATAGGCGGAGGCAATTCAAGATCTGGAATGCCATCGGCCATTTCCATTTCAGAGACAGTCGTGTCCATGGACATCGGATCGCCCATCGGACCAGGCTCTTGCATCCGCACGCCATTGAGAATGTCCAGCGGACCCATTGCAGGTTTACTGCGGGAGGGCTGGGCCCAAAGGAGTAGCATGCACTCCAGATGTCCTTCCCAGGCAGCATAGTACATGGCCGAAAGGCCCTTTTCATCTGCGACCTGAGCATCAACACCACACTCGAGCAGAGTGCGCAGACATGGAACGCAGCCCTCACTGGCTGCATGAAATAGCGGAGTCCACTGGTAAAGTTTATCCTTCTGGTCGAGATCGGCGCCGTGCTCTTTCAGCAGCAATAGTAGCTCTGGCGATTGTGAGGCGCGTGCGACCATATGCTGGGGATATAGGCCCTCGGCATCCGGCAACAATTGTGCTTTTCGCTCAAGAAGCATCTTCGCGATGGGAAGGGAGCCGTGCTGACAGGCGAGGTTCAAGGGAATATGATCCGGTCCCTTCAAAGAAGGCGACTCCGGCTCCGGATCGACACGGGCATTGCTACACAGGACCTGCTCCGCGCACGCCAGCTGGCCCTTGACAATGCTGTGGATGAGAGGGGTAAAGTTGTCGTGGTCTGTGATATCAACCGTATGGGGGCCGGCTGTTAGCAGATCCCGCACCATATCCACACGGCCGTGCATACACGCGTAGTGCAGAGGGATTCGGCCATAGACGTCGGCCCGGGCGAAATCGACGGATGCCTTAAGGCCTGCCTGGAAGACAAATGTCCGGCCCGAGATGGCCGCTTCATGGAGACAGTTCCTTTCGTTGATGTCGTCCTCAGCATGGAGATCAACCAGTTGACTCTCCAGTATCAGAGCTAGCACCTCGTCCGAGAACCCGTTGATGGCCGTCAGGAATGTGCGAGTGGCGCGCTCCCGGGCGTCCGGGAGCTGCTGTAACCTGACCAGCCATTCACGTAGAGTTTGCAGATTGCCGGTGGAGGCTGACTGCAGCATCTGGTTATCCATCTCATCTTCCTCAAAGCCCACGGGTGCAGCCCGTTCCAATGGACGCGAGGCATCATATTGAATGTTCTCTCCCTCGGCCCAGGCCTCTAGCTCCAGCCGGGCGGTGGTAGCCCTATCTGCAAGATCCCGGAGAACTTCCCGGTTGAAACACGGTTGCACTTCGACTGCGCGGTGCAGATACAATTCTTTCATGCGAGACTTCGAGGTCTTGTCCCATTTCTTGAGGATTTTGGACATGGCAGTCTCGTTGATCTCGACGAATTGCTGTAGCTTGTTCAAGTCACCATCGAATTGCTGGAAGCCTTCGAACATGGCCATAAAATTGGAGGGAGCTTTGGAATTTGACGTATTCCGAGACTGAGTGACCCTTTTCTTATCGACCAAACTTTTTAGGCGCAGCGAAAACTAGAACGATCAGATGAGATTCTGGGATAGGGCTAAAACACCGGGAAACAGCCATACCTCTGATTCTTTCTGAAGATAGAAAGTATTAACCTTTTCAATCTCTCGTTCCTGTACACATCCTCGTTAGCACATCCACCCTCCCATCTACCGACATATCAAAACCTACCAAGCGGAAGAAAAACACCTCCTTATTCGCACGCAGAGCAGTCTGCGGATCAGCATTTGCTCTCGCAATTTCCTCAGCTGTTCTCTGTGCCGGAATAGTCGGTGTGGCGCTGAGCTGCTTGATCAGCTGTACGAAGGGATCCATTAGCCAAGCGCTTATTCTCCCAAGATGAGAATAAACCAACCTTCTTCAGCGCCTTGTAGTTCACAAAACTGGCGGCATATTCAGGGAGATCTAGCTGCCTGCGCTGGATCTGTTTGCCGAACTTCCTACGGGGGTCAGGCGATATCAGTGGCCGTTCAACGCTCATACTCGACTGCAGGTGCCACAAAGCACATTGCGCAGGGGACTACCCACATGTTTGCACACTCTCGGAGAGAGCTTCAGCTCTCCCGAGCTATAGAAACCGAAAGCGCAACTGCGTCGCGACGTACTCAGCAACGCGGAGCTGAGAGGTAGATAGGGATGGGCTTTTCTGTCGAGCTGAGAGTGCGAGGTGCAGGCGTATTCAATGGGAAGAGGACAGAGTGGGGGAACAAGGTGAGAATGTCTGGGACCGGAGAAGGCTGGTGGTCCTCGAGTCGGGGAGACGGGGGTTCCGTACTGCGCAACCGCGGTGGGGAAGATAGTGGGACAGCGGGCGAGACTAGAGAACGGAGAGTGACACAAGGGACCAGATTAAATGTGTGACGTTGCGTTGGGAGATAGGTGGATCGAGTCGAGAGGGGGAGATTGAAGTAGCGCCGAACGGTAGAGGTGCTGGACGAGTTCAAGGATGCTATAGAGGGAGGCGGCGATAGAGAGGGACGATAGCGGGGCAGAGAGAGAAGAATGATAAGCGTATAGAAGTGGATAGGTACCTGGTACCTCTTAGATGCGCTCACCCAGAGAGGGTTATAGTTCGGATCTAACAGAGAAGGGAAAAAGTTGGTGCAATTAAGGGAGTGGGGAGCTGTGTGAATCACTTATCGCCAATCACCGCAATCAGCGGACGCACGTTTTCTACTTACTGGTACGAGGTCGGGGAGGTGGGGGAAAGGATCGGAGAAATAGATTCAAGTACAATCTTGAACCTGCAAACTTTACGTATTATCTTGACAGTCCTAATCTAGGAGTTCTACAATATATATGTCTCCTCTGTTCATCTGCCAGGAGGTATCTTCGACTCCCTGAGATATTCTGCCGATCTTCACCGCTAAAGTGGAGCCTCGGACGTTATTGCGCAGATCTGCTCCAGATCAGCATATCTATGTGCAATGTACTCCGTACATACATAGTGTACAATCATATACTGTAGTCAATCCGTACCAGTTGAAATATGCAGGGAACTGGGAGTAACTCCACTCCAGACACCCGAGGTATCATTGCAAATCTCGAGTATATCCAATGCATGGGAAATCTCCACGCTCAACAGAATGTACATAAATGCAGCTCCTTACAATTCCACGTCCGAAGACATAACACAAAAACAGTAAGCACAAACAGAGGCGGAGTAAACAGCCAAAAGACAAGAGCTATGCAGCTGGGATCAGATGCGCGGGATATATCAAACAGAGATGACCAGAAAGAGATCAAAGCCCGACAGGCTGATTAGAGATGGAAAGGGGGTAAAAAAAGAGATGTAAAAAAAAGGGTAGTGGACAATAGGGACATGAGAAAGCGAAGGTCCATCGCGCCGGGAATTGGAACATGAAAGACCCGTAATAACGAATGTATTCGGCGGTGATCAAGACGAAAGAGCGTGTGGTATTGTGCAGGAATAGACAAGAAGAGAAAAAAAGAAAATGCCGAGCTTTTGGGAATCAAATATTAGTCAAAAGAATCCGATTCAAAGTCGGGGCGGTCATCAGAAGTTCTGGGCGATACCGGCATTCCCTTGTCGTGGGTAGACACCGGGGTTCTCAATGCGGGTATTACGGCGCGCCTGCACATCGCGAATCACAGGCTGGTATTCATCACCGCCGTACGCCCCATGTGTGGCCATGTCGCCGTAGTACGGATTCTCACTGTAGTAACCACCCGACGGGTGGTGGGCGGACATGTGGCTTTCCTCCGAGGCCTCGGAGCGGTTGGCGGCCGAGTAAGCGGAGGATGCGTTGGACGGACCGCGGTGGATGTCGCCATTGCGGTTGTTCGCAGCCACCGGGGCAGCGCCCAGCACACCGATGGGCTCGACAACCTCGCCAGAGTCAGGACGAGCGCCATCGGAGTATTGCACAGTGCCGTCACTAGGTGTTGCGGCGTGGTGATAGCCAGGGCCGCTTCCTTCCGACATGGCAAGACCACCAAATCCGCTGGAGAGATTGGTGGACGCCTTGCGCCCGGCGGAGGTGGTTCCCCAACCGCGGTAGCCGGAAGAATCGTCCTTGGGAGCAGCTACAACGCCTGCCATGCCGGGCAGGGTTGGGTCGTTGTTTGGGTTGAATCCATACTCCTCCACTTCCTTGCGGCGCTCTTCCTCGGCTGCCTTCTTCGCCTTGCGCTTGCGCCAGAAAAAGGAGGAGAGCCAAGATGATCAATGCCACTGAAGCAACGGGAACAACGACTGCGACCGCGATGGTGCCGCCAGGAGTGAGTCCGCCGGATGCTGCGGCTGCGGTGGAGGTTGCGAGTCCGGCCGCATCGGTTGCGCTGGTAGACGCGAGAGCCGAGGTGCCGGTGTTAGGGGGCGGCTCTTGGGTGGATGTCACGTAAACAACAGTAGTGCCCTGGCTGCCAGTGGAGGTCGAGGAGCCCACTGACGTCTCGGGGGCAGAAGTAGTGCTCGGCGGGGTTGTGGTAGAAGATGTGGACGAAGTGCTCGTAGGCGGGGGGGTCGATGTGCTAGACTCAGGCGGGGGTGTGCTGCTAGTGGTAGTACTTGAGGAGCTCGGGGTGGAAGTTGGTGGTGGTTCGGTAGTGGATGTGCTAGAAGAGTCCGAAGGCGCGGGGGTAGATTCGCTAGGAGAGGGACTCGGAGTGGCAGCGGGTTCGCTAGGCTCGCTCGCCGAATTCGATGCGGAAGGATCCGCGGGGTTTTCGGAGGGCACAGCGCCGCCAGAAGGAAGGGCGGCAGCATTGGCGGCGGCGTTTTTAAGTAGAGTAGACATCTTCAATTGAGACCTTGTCTGGATGATGTTCGTGCTCTCCGGTGTGGGTGGTGGTTGTTAGGATCAAAGCGATCCTGAACCGGGAGACCGTTCGGCGAATTTGAGAGATCAGGAATACCTCCGGAATCGAATAATATGTGATGAAAAGACCAGAGGTCCACGAGTAGGATTTCGAGAAGATCGATTTAACGAAAGACTGCGTCTTGGGGACGCGTAAAGACAGACGGGGGTATGATCGGAGCCTCAGGGGAAAATCGGTAATATCTCAAGAACCATCGGTCGGAAAATTGAGAAGTGGAAGAAGAAGAAAAAGATGAAGATGAAATGGAAATGGTGAAGAAAATGCCAGAAGCGTCACAATCTCTCTCAAGGCCGAATCTAGTCGGGAGCCATGGGAGAGTGTGAGAGAAGTGTGTGAAAGAGTGAGACGCTCTGGAAGTGGGAAGTGGAGATTTCTTACGATTGCAGCGTATCTGCATTCCTAGTCGTATTAATAGAATCGGGATCTCTTCCATTTATTCTCTTAACGGCCTTAAATTCTGACATATAACAGTCTAACTCCCCGTATCCTTGCTACGGTCAAGTTGCAGTTGCATCCCCCACAAACATGACGCCGTTTCCAGTAATCCCTTGATCCGGCCATGCGACTCCCCTGTCTGACATAGGGCTGTTCCTACTGTGTACTCCGTACACACCTTTATGTTGTACATGTACATGTATCGTTCACACAACACAATGCGATACATCGGTTGAACATTATTCGGTACCAAAGATCCAAGAATTGACCCGAGATGAGGGTACCCATGGCTAAGTCGAACTCTGACTCTCAGCAAGGGAGAAATCTGCCTCCAAGAGTCCGTGGTCGAATCCACCTACTATTATGTACATTTATATGGTAATCCGTTCCAAGCTACCAGGTAAAATTGAAGTCAATGATGCACAATGTACTCAGTCGCCACAATTTGAATCTGTTCCTATTTCCCCACTTCAACGTTGGTAAATAAACATCATTATGCCATGTCTATGATCAAATACATAATGCATAAAATACGATCAGCGTAAAATTAATCTTGTTTTTGGTGTCTGGCCCATTGCTAGCGTTTCAAAATTAATTTATTGTGATCGCTCACTTTGTTAGCCCCTGACTGTTTGAAGTTCTCGATTGTCTTGGCAGTGTGGCTCATCTCTCGTCCATGGTCTAAACACGATAGACATGGAGGGGCCGGCGCTTGATCGTAGTCGACTTGGCGATTACATCGTAGATCGGTAGGCTAAGAATAGCGGTAGCATTTGGTAGCCTTCAATGCTAAGTTCCGCGTCTATACTGGGGATCACTCTCACAACTAATATCACTTCACCGAACTAATATCGTAGCTTCATAATTAGCTCGAGGGCGCTATGGCCCCCAACACCCGGCTCGCCTAGTTGCACGCCTAACTGCGTGGCCTAGGTTCCGACAAACTCAGCAACCCATGCCGATAAGAATGATCCGAATGTACAGCCCCGGACAGGGCAAACGAAATGAAATTTCAGGTCACGGGAAAGGAATTCAACCATCTTCTATATACGCCGTAGATAGCAGAGTTCCAGACAAAAAGACAAAGAGAACACAGTAATGTATATAACAAGGCGGGATGACCATCTTCCCGCCCCCAAAAGCCTCGAGCACCGGAGGACCCAGATCCCAGATCAGAAAAATAACGAAACAAAACAGAATCATCACATGCTCTTATTCTTATACAAGGGTACCAAAACAGCAGAGTCATGACGTTGGAAATAAAGCAAGTCTGTTTCCTTATGTGTTGTTCATATCCCACTTCGGACGCAGAGAGGCCATCATATCGTCCTTAGTGCCAACCGCCTCGGCCGGTAAGCGGCTGACGCGGTAGTTGCCCATGCGGATGTTATTCTGGTGAGCAGCAGAGACCGCACTGCGAGCACTGCGGATACTACCCGCATCGCTGCCGGTGCCCTCGTTCTTGAACCGGGGCGGAGGCACGAAATCCAGGTTGGTGAACGTGCCGGACTTGCGCAGAGCGTGGGGACTGGGCATAACGGAGAGCTCTTCGAAAGCAGAGACCAGCGGGGTGTGGGCACGCACGGCAGGGCTGTAGGGTCGAAGGCCGCCAGTGGGGGTCTCGGGACGACCTTCACGGCGGTCCTTGTAGCCATGCGCGGGTGCAAAGTCCATGGCGCTGAAGATGGCGTCGTCGGTCAACATGTGAGGAGTGGGGAGGACAGCCAGCGGCGAAGGAGGAGGGATGGGCTTCCTGAAGCCGCCGCGGGGACCGGGCATGCGGCCGGAGGCGGAGGAGAATGCGCGCGGGCCGGGGTAGTCGTTGAAGCCGGCGGAGTTGGTGGCCATGTGGCGGGCGGCTCCCTGGAAGCGGGGAGGAGCGCGAGGTGGCGGTGTCATTGCGCGGCGGGTGACCGGCTCGGCGTACGGAGCGACAGGAGCGGCATCGTAGTAGTCTCCCGTGGTGGGATCGTAGATGAAACCGCCTGCACCACCACCCTCGTAGAACTCCGGGCCGAAGTCCTCGTAGTAGGTTGTCTCCCGCTTGCTCTCATCGAAGTACTCCTTGTAGAAGGAGCGGATTCGATTGGCACGCTGTTCGGGGTTGTCGGCAGGGTCTTCTGGAGGCAAGGGGCGCAGACCGAGAGTCATCCGGCGGGTGTCGCGGCGGTTATCATATGCCGCATCCAGATTGTTCGGGTCCTCTGGAAGGTCTGGGAGTTTGTTGTCATTGTTTAAGGTATCATGGCGCACATCTTCTGTGTCATGGATGTTGACCGCAGGGAGAGTGTACTGCGACTTGCGGTCATCGCCATAGTCACTAGTGGTAACATCGCTGGCCGGCAGGGAAATACGAGGAAGCTGTGATGCAGGAATCTGGCCATGCTCCCCGTGGGCAGATTGAGTGGGATCAGGCAGCGGGAAGTTCAGGCGCTCTTCGGGCGGACTGGTGTAGGCGTTGTATGTCGTGTTGTCCAGTCCGAAGTCAAGGCCGGAGGTGGTGTCCAGATGAGGTAGTGGCTCTGGCGAGGGAATCCTTTCAGCGGTAGGACTTCCGATAGCCATCCCGGGTTGCACTGCAGGAGGTGGAGGCGACAACCCCGGAACCGGTCCAAGGTAGTCATGATGCTGGCCCAACGAACTGGGTCCACGAGACTCAGTGGGAGAGTACAGCGGCGGAGATGAACGGGACATCCTCTGTGCATTCACAAGAAGACCTGATTTACCATCATCCGGGCCGTCAAGTCGGGAACCGACGAAGCTCGATGCATCGTCGTGGTTGTTGTTCCTGGAATATGACCGAATGGAAGCAGTGGCCGGACGGTACTTGCCGTCATCAATTGACATGGAGCGCAAAGATTCCGGAGATGCACCTTGCAGACCCGGAGGAGGTACCAAGTACGGGCCGACATCCAGTGACAACCCTTTGGTATGATTGGGTTCTGACATCGGTGGCATTCTTCCATGTGGTCCTCTCCTGGTGGCAGGCCCCACTTCGTCCATTCCGAAATCGAGAGATTTATGTTTATCGTTTGCATCTTCCCGCAGAAGTTTCTTGACGTGTCTCCGGTGAAGCACGATGAGAACAATGATAGCACACAGAATGGGTACACCTGCACCGAGCACGACTGGCAAGACCGTCGTGGTCAGGTTGCTGGTAGGCTTTTCACCCGTCGTCCTCCCAGATTCTTCGGCTCTTGCCACGAGGGATGGAAGCTCAGCAACTATAGAGGTGGCACTGGGGGCCAAAAACGGCAGACGATGTGAGGGGACGACATCCCGGCGGAAGTGGTTTCGCATCACCAAGCCGGCATGGTGAGCAGGAGACATGGTCGAGGCAGTCTGGTCTATGGGGATAGACCCGACTCGGGTTGGAACGTGAAGACCGGTCAACACGTTTTAAAATGGCGATGGCCGCTGATGATTGATGCTCGTCATTTAAGATCGGATCACAGTTCAGAGAGCAGGATGATCTTATGGATAGGATAAAAAGAGCGTGAAGAGCAGGGCAATCGGAAGGAATGGACAGGAACAAGTTCCTCAAATGAACGGCGGCCAGCAGCCCGAGGGAATGAATGGGGGTCGGATAACGAGTGTGTTGGAAAGGGAAAAGAGGAGAAGGAGAGAAGACTGAGGAGTTCTAGAATAGTGGACTAGCGCCCACACAATAATACCACTCGGTAATGTGTAGTACTCTGTCTATCTCCGCATTGTCCCCCTGAGTGGAGAGATAGAACACCTGACCGATTGTCCTCTCTTATTATTGTTGTTATTGTCTCTAGTTTTGTTTTGAATCATATATCACTCTGATCTTTCACCCTTTTCAGTCATTATCGAGACTCGGAAACTGCAGCAAGCAAGGTGAGGGTAAGACTGTGTTTTGGCCCTTTGGGGGGGTCTTCTGCGGTTAGCGTCAGGAACCCGCTCGGTGACAGCCAATCATAGGATGGCTGCCCCTGAGCCAATTACCCCTGGTGGGACCTGACGGTGTACAGCTTGTTTGGTTACACTGGAAATTGCTGTACTGTGTATTATTGTATTCAGCTGTTGTGCTGTGTACTGTGTAAGAGGCTAAGAGCAAGGGATTTCCTACGGAGTACGACTGCGTACACTGTTCGCTTATCTTAACGCCAAGCCTGGATCTCCACGGTAATGCTTATTTTTCGAGTAGACAGCCTGGGAACCTACAATATCAAGCATTAGATAGATGCAAAAGTCCGTCTATAGATGAGCGAATTCGAGGCTGTGATTTCCAGATTCCTTCAGGCTGAAACGCCAATGAGCTCTAAGTAACTACTCTAAGCTCCCTCAGTTCCTCATTTCCCGATTCGTCGGATAATATTCGGAATAATTCTGTCCGCTACAATCGGCTTTATCACGCTTAGTATCGAATGGCAGTGCATTCATAGAAGCTCTACAGCAAATAATAGAGACAATTAACCCCCCTTCTTTACATGTGGATAGGTTATTCCATGATCCATGGACCATGGTAACCTTGGAACGGATGCAGCGGCAGCCACAAAGCGCCTCCACGAGCAGGCCGCAGTGGACTTATCACTTATCAGATCTATACCAAAGAGGAATCGCGGGAACCGTTGAAGCTAATGCAATAGATTAACGAATAATTCATAATGAGCTCCTGTATCAATGGGACGTTCGAACCATCCTGGATGTCCGGCACGGGTAGCTCCGATATATATCGAAGCTAGAGGGTGACCCGGATACATATTGTCGTCCGCTGAAGTATACCTTACCCAAACATCATGCCTGCCATGGAACCTAGGTTTCAACCTGTCACCTATCACTCTATACCTTAGAATATTTCTCATAGTACAATAAACACCGGAGCCCAGATGGTGGACACAGCCCTAAACATTAGCCTAGGTCCATAGGGTGTCGCTCTGCGGCTCTCAGCCCGCCACTGGATATTGGGTGCATGTTTCAAACGGCGTCTATCCTATAATTTACAATGGAGAATGCATAGCGAAACTTTGTCATTTGAATTAGACTTAAACAGGTTGGCAAGTTCATGATAATGCTCTTGTCCCCGGGTTGTTGATCATCACATGTAGGGGTCATTGCTTTTCATCTTGTCTTGTAGGGGCTGGTCTTCGTGTGAAAACATCATCAGAGTGTAGGTCATCCACTTTTAAAGGAATCCTCCGTGATTAGTAGCGCAATTAGAAGATATGGGTTGCGCAAATATGAAACAACGAAAGGAATAGGAAAGAGACGAGACAAGAGAAAATGAAAGGTCATGAGCCCCGTAGGTACTCGTTGGAAACTTCGGAGTGTGGAGGCACACATGAAAGTAAAGAGAAAGGGAATAACGTAGGATGGGCGATGTACATTTGGGGAAGAGTTGTACACGAGAAATAAAGCGGAAAGAGGTGTTGTCGTTTTTGATCATTCGAGATCAGTGAGGGGCGGAAACATTATGGTATGAATGGTGAAGATGGTCATACAAATGATCTTCAGGTGTTTTTGTTCGGGTCATCTCATGAGTGTGTTGGCGGAGAAGAAGATAATGAGAGGGAGTGAGTGTTGATGTATGATGTCGACGTGAAAGAAGGAAGGAAGGCAATTAAGACATGTCGGCTAGCGCTGCTTCGAAGCTAGCAATATCATCGTGAGACGGCTTATCAAATATACGACGGAATGGCGGGTCCTGGGGGAAGTCATGTGGGCTGCTTGCTACCCCATCTGCCTTGCGAATAACCTCCTTCAAGGAACGTGTCACCACTCCAGCGCGAGCAACCAAATGCTTCAACGATGTAGTATCAAATGGGAGTTTCTTCGCACGAGACGAGAGCTCCGACTCATTCAGAGTAGAAGGTGATGGCTGTTGTTCGCGGTGAGGCTGAAGGATATCAAGCACGGATTTGGACTTTGGGGGCTCCTTGGCAAGCTGAGTGAGGGATTGAGTGGGCTCGCCACTTTCACCCCGAGGACCGTCCCACGAAACCTCGCTATTTCTCTTGGATGCGTGGAGGCCCTCATCTTCATCATCTGATTCATCAAAGCTGAACGTGAGTGAAGGAGATCGAGGTGGCGAATGATGCTCTTCCTCGTCGTCAATCGTAGCAAGATTCACGATCTGCTCGGCTTCCGCCCACAGCCCGCTGGAAGACCCGTTCAGAACACCTAGCACGTTTGCCTGATGGCGGAGGCGTTTCAATTCTTCCACTAGCAATGTCAATTCCTGAACCTGCCCGAATTGACCGCGGAGACTGGCTTGGCGCTCCAGAATGGCCTTGGGGACAGTCATGCTCTGGCGACTGATATCAGACGCGGTAAGTTGTTTGTCTTCGGCGACGGGTGTTTCCTCCGTCTCGTCAAAGTCGAAATCGTTATCCCAGTCCTCACTAACGCCCTTGCTGCCCAGGCCCCAAGTACCGAATTTACCAGAAGTTTGACGTGTTTCGTTGACTGGGAGTTCACTGACAACGGGGACGCTCTGGCTTCGAAGGTGGACAGTGGATGGTGCCTTCCGGCACACAGCGCGGCCGTTTCGGTCAATAGCGCCCTCTTGTTTGCTTTGCATGGTTTTGGGACGAGTTTCACAATCAAACGACTCGCGATCAGGGCGTGGTTGTTCAGACCAGTCAAAGATGTTTGTCTTTTTGTTGTCAGAATCCATGGCGCCAGCAAACACATCAGACAAGTCCATGCCTGAGTCAGGTAATTCAGACTGTTCAGCATATTTGGCCAGTGATCGTGTCAGAGATGACGAGAAACAGTCGCCATCGTCATGAAGAGACTCGATCATGCTGAGATTGTCGAGATCCGGACTTTCGGGAGGACCCGACGGAGCTTCAATCTTCGAGACCTCGGCCGATGCGAACGTTTGAGGACCCTGGTCCAAAGATGGAGGCGCCAAGGAACCACTTGGAAGGAGAGACTCCAAAGTTGTGACTTCCTCGTTAACCAAACCCGTGCCTGCCTTGTCGAACATTGTTTCGATCCGCAACCCCTTCAGACCACTTCTATTTGTCTCACGTGTGCGGACCGAGTCCCAATAGTCGGATATCACGTCAGTTTCATATTCATCGCATGATGTAAACACGCGAGTGTCATCTGAACCAATGATTGTGGAAGCCGGGTCGGATTCCGATATTGAGAAGCCCTTGGGACGGCGACGAAGAGAACCATAAGCTGTCTGACCAGGACGTGAGGCATGCTGCCAGGCCGACAGGGCGACCGCATCCGAAGTCATTTGACGTGGACCCGACCGAGATCCCAGGCCAATACTATAATCCTGCGAGACCGATCGGGGCCCAACTTGCGATCGTCTTTCCAAAGCCGACAACGCCCAACCAGGCTGCGAGTTAGAATGCGGAGCGCAAGACAGGCTTGGATCGGTGACGTTTCGCCGCTGGTTAGGCTCCCGGGAAGTCGGGCTAACGACATCGTTTTCTTTGGCTGAAAGTTCAGAGCTAGGAATAGAAAAGGTCCTGCCCTTCACACGTTTCAGAGAACCGCCGCGAACAGGTCCCATAATCGGTGTCCCGTGCGCGGTGACTGTGTGAGCCATGATAACCTTTGGCTCGACATCATTGACCGAGTAGGAATGCTTGTGGCATGGTTTTTCTGGTAGGCGGGCCGGGGCTAGTGATTGCTCGGGCCCAGGATTTACCACGGCCGGTTGAAACGGATCACGGAATTCAATTGGTGTATGACACACTGATTGCTCCTCGCGGAACGTCACGGGGTCAGGCGAAACGACATTAGCCATAACCAAGGCGGGAAGATCACCCTGATCGGACACGATCTGTCGAAGGCTCTGAGCCTTTGGCACAGTGGAAGTAGAGAACCTGCGGGAAAGTCGCTCTGCCAATGTACCGGCCTTGGAAAAGAAGAAGGGTTTCCACTGCTTCTGTTTATCGAGCTCAAAATCCTCGATCGCTGGACCTTCGACAGATAGCTTGGGAAGATAAGCTTCATAATCAAAGATCATGGACTCGGAACGTTGGTGACTGGTGGCAGGCCGGCGCAGCGCATATGGCGACGGCCCAGACATGAGGGGGTGCATGTTGGTGTGCTGTGAGACTGGCCGCTTGATCAGCTTATTCGGCGATCGTCGCTGATTGGGACTTCCTAATCCATTGAACGATGGCGACACTGGACTGTTGGCGGTCGGGGTTTCCGACTGGAACGAGGCCTTCGACAAGCGCCGCAGCCAGCCAGTGGATGGTCGCTGGGTGTGAGTGCGGACCGACGAGTCCGTTGATTCATTCTCGGGGATGCGCAAAGGCGGGTTGGTGAGGGTCTGACCACGGTTCCGGCGTCTGGCGCTAAGAGGCGGTGGTGTCTTTCGCGCATCGAATGCTTGATATTGATTCTCATGCCCGCTCTCCGCCTCCCTGGCGGCGAGCCATTCGGCCGCCGGACTTCTAGATGGGATAGCGGTCTTGGGCCGGACATCCACTGGGATCTGTTTGGTTTCCCTCGGGGCCTGACTGGGGGTATCTTGAGCGAGTGTTTTGCGCCGGAAGAGGCTGGGGCGTTGGTTCCGTTCAGCGCGACCGAGTGCGAGCCCGGCGGGGGCTAATCCGACTGTGCTCAGAGCACATAACTAGAGTTTTCAATCAGCACAAGTCCTTCTTGATCACAACATCCCGTCTTGCAAAGCAATTCGGGTCTTGCTCCGCATCCTGATATTGGCTTGGCAGCTTACCGTTGATATGTGATCCATCCTTAGAGGATGTCGGAAAGAGTGTCAAACACCCCGACGATCAGCTCCAGGTTGATTAACTTCGTGAATGACATTCCAGATGGAAGCGCAAGCGGAGGTGTCGAGAGAAGTTAATGAGGGATCGAGGGATGGGAGTGCGCAACGTTAAGGAATGAAATGCGCTGCCTTTACCGGGCCACGATCTAATGACGCATAAATTGGAAGGAGGAAATGAATGAATGAGCATCGACGAGCAAAGATTGAGCTGCCTCTCGCCCCTAGGAGGCCGAGTAAAGAAGGAGATCTGATGAACCGCAGATGGGGAAATCAACAACAACAGCGGCCGGGGATTAATCTCAGCTCCGCCCGCACGCTAGGAGCAACTTCAATAACTCCCTCCTTTTAGACCCTTGCAAGTTGCGAATGGATTTTGGCCTCTTCAATTATTTTGTGGTGGTCATCTCTCATGAGAAACGAAGATTATGAAGATATGAAGATATGAAGATTATGAAATATCAAGTATACTCTAAATCAAAACAAACCCGATCTTTGACGACTAATCATCGACCAACCACCCACCACCCTCAGCTAGTCTCGCATGTCATCCTGTGGAGATAATACCCCGATTGCACTCTGTGGCAGGGAAGCACGAAACAGTGCCTATTCGTGCACGATCCTGCGGGTGTTATTGCAAATGCAGGCCAGAGATTAGGCGCAATGTTGGCAGGCCACTTGCGTCCCTTGCGGCTCACATTGCATTGGCGTCATAGTCCAGAACTTATTCCAAGGAAATAAAACGGAAAACTCCGTCCTTCAGTGGCTCCACGAATGGTCAGAATAGCAAGGAAATGGCCCAGAAAAAGCCATCGGTCCAGAAGTTCCCCACACATCTTGTTTCGGCTGGCTGGGATCGCGTCCTCGGCCCCCTAACCTGACTGGGATTGTTAGTCGCGAGATCGCAAGCCCCTCAGGCCGATCAGTGCCCACTGGTTTCCCACGATGAACTCTTTCTCCGAGGTAGCTCCATCCTGAACCATGGTGCGAGGTTATTAACGAGGTTTGAGAAGGCTCAAACAGGTGCGGTATATCTCGGCAGCTCGGCTTATCCACCATTGAACCTGTCAAGCCGTCATCATTTATGAAAATGCTTTTGTTTATGCTTTCTTTCAGGTCCACTTTCGGCTGATTCTGCTTCTAGAGCGGCATACTATCCGGCCGCAAGCTGACCAGTCGAATAGAGCCGGGAAGAGAAGCAATATGTAAGGCTACCAGCAGTGAATAGCTTCAAATTATCATCATGCGAACGAACGGGGCTCAGTACGAAGTAGTAGCTCACTATTCCACATCGATCTTCGCTATTGATGTTGAGTACGGAAGACACCGAGAATCTGACCTGTTCGATTCTGTCAACCTAAAAGAGTATCCAGTCCCTCGGTGTTACTCTTTTCTGGTTGATCGTCATATCGATCGAACCCCACTCCTTCCAATTTATGAACAGAGAAAAAGAGAAACAGAAGACCCCCTGGATTGGACGAGAGCACCCATCGGTTTCTGTTTCCGAGTTGTGTGGTGGCATTCGACCGTCAACAATGGACCACAACGGCGTCTCCAATCCAGAGTGGAGAGAGCCTCTTGTGTTTCAAGCTCATTTTTCTTTTCTTTTATTTGTCCATATCTGATCTAGGTCTTCCGAAGCCCTGAAAGGTGAACTTAGTTCCTCGCTTCTACGGATCGGCATATCCAATCATTCAGTTGGGAAGGTCAACATACGAACAGGGGTTACGTTCCCACGTTCGAAGTGATCGTCTCCGGTGCTGCCATGTGTACCCTGTCAACTGTCAAGATTGTTCGAGAAAGTTATGAACCAATGCTTTCAACCTCGTATATTCAGGCATTTCTTTCCCTGTCACCCCCGTGATTCAATCTGCCACCACCCGTTATATCAGTGCCAACTGCGATCTGCAGCCCGGGATAAGATATTCCTTGCAAATGCTGGATCTTAAAGCGCTCTGATCGAATGATCATTTCTTGGCTAATCCCGAATCGGATCGGGCCATAATAAACAAAGATCGCGACCGATGTCTTTTGACTTCGGCGTTCAACTCTCGGCAATTCTGCAAGCCCGTGCTTTGCAATTTCCGATTCTTGCGATGAGTGTGATTTCAAAATATCTCACCTAGTCAGCTTCCGGCCCCGAGTTTCCGAGTTTGTCTAATCGTCCTTGTCAGTACTGAGTACTCGGTACGGAGTACACGAGGTTCGATTAACCAGTGCTTTTGGGTGCGCTTGCCGGATCTCATTCCGCTGCCCATTGCTGGTCTGATGCATCTCTCAACATGAAACTGCATATGAAACCCTGCAGCCTGCAAAAGGCATCTAATTAAGGCAAGAGTTTCGTCACAGTCTGGTCGTTGATGCGAAGCATACATACTACAGATCCCGTCTTCCAACTCCACCATCTCAACAGAAACTTACATATTGTCATCAGCTGTAGCTGAAATGTCTCCGAGCCAGACGAGCGGTCAGTCCTGCCTCTCCCTCAAACCGAACATGAGATGATCATCGCCGGAAGCTAAATCTCGTATAGCTCATCAATCGACGATTGGGGAGACGGCAGACACTACTACTAGGATTGACCAAGTACGATATGCGCTAACTACATTTACATACAGTACATACTTGCCTGCTACTAAGAACCTTTTTACCGACAAACATGAGGTGTGACATTCGGGTGATCTGATGCTTGTTTCCCGTACGCAGGTATCACAAACGCCCCCCTGTGGTTCAAAATCCGACTATTACGCGGTCAATCAATTAGACCTATGGAAAGTTACTAACTAACTAGAGCGCGGTTATTTCTTCTAGGCGAGGCGAGACTGAATCATTCCAAAATCTGGTGTTACTCCTATCTTCCGATAGCTCTGATCCCAACCTATTCGCTGTGTCGGAATGGTTCCTTAGGAGTCAAGCATATGTGATGGAGGCTCTGGCTCTCAGCCATATAGCGGACTGGCTTCACGAGAGATCACGGAACATACACAGAAGACAGCGTGCTATTAAGTACATGTGTTCACTGACTCCCTGCAGGCCGGCTCTCAGTGTCCAACTTACTGGCTCATCACTCTGACTTGGCCAAGGCTCTCACTCTATGACCAATAGTGACTATCAAGGCTCTTTTAACTCGTTCCATCTGTTTCTGACTCATCGAATTCTAAGCTATCATGCTATGGATCGACTATCTTCGCATTGTCCAAGTTTGTAGAACTCGCTCACATTGTATAGTCCATTGCTGTACATCAGATCCTGACACCTGGAAGGGAGAAGAGACTATGCTATCCAAGCAAGATCCAAATTGAATCAAGTAAAACAGCTAGGCAAAGATCTGAGCTTACAAGGTTCCCACTATAAAATTGAGGGTGAACATTGACTGCTGAGAGTGCCATCGGAGTCAACAACATATACACACGTGACCTTATCGATAACGCACATCCAAAAATCCGCGGACCGCCACTATCCCAGACGGGGTCCCTCGATACCAGAACCTACTTATTCCAGCTCCCTCCCTCTCGCCTGTGTCGGCGTGACCTAAACCCCACCTGTCTTACAAGATGGAGTCTGAAATTCAAGCTCAGATCCCTGGCATCGACCACGTCATTAGCGAATACGCGGTGGTACGTCTCTCCGCACAAGTGCCGCCGAGGACAGTTGCGAAATAGTCGAGGCTAATTATACAATAGGGCTACTTGAACCACGCTGCAAACTCTTATGTCGAAGAGACCAAGGACCAGTCTCCCTTGTCAGAGGCCGCCGAATTCATTACCGAGCTCCTCGTCTCCGCCTCGGGAGATTTCTCCCCGCAAAGCTATGAAGCGATCGGCAACATGGTTGGGAGATTCATCACCATGGTGAGCTCGAAGGATGGCGACCCAGAGCGAAGGCAAATGATGCCGTTCAAGGCCAAAAAGCTCGAACAAGCTATCAATGTCGGCGCGCAGCGAAACATGTCTTCCACACTTGGCTTGACCGGAAACGCGGTCGACCTGGAATCTGCCAATGCTAGGAAGATGGAGTCCAAGGTGGACAAGAAGAAGCTTGAGAAGGCCGAGCGCAAGATTCGCGCCAAGCAGGACAAGAAGACAATGAAGAACGTCACCTATGAGGCGTCCCGTCTGCTCAACCAGCCCGATGAGACCATGTCCTACGAGGAGTTCTTCATGGCTGTTAACCCTCTGCAAATGGGCTCCGACTCCCAAGCCAAGAGCAAGGATATTAAGCTGGATAACATTGATATCTCGATCAGTGGCCTGCGTATTTTGACCGATGCCGCGTTCACACTTGCTTATGGTCGTCGTTATGGCCTTGTTGGTCAGAACGGTATCGGTAAATCTACGCTGTTGCGTGCTTTGAGTCGCAGAGAAATCCCGATTCCCACTCACGTCTCTATTCTTCACGTTGAGCAAGAGGTATGTCTCGATGCTAGCTTGGTGGTCGGCTCTTACTGACTCTCCGCCCTAGATTACTGGTGACGATACACCGGCGTTGCAAGCAGTGTTGGATGCCGATGTGTGGCGGAAACATCTTTTGGCCGAACAAGCTGTTAGTCAAGTCACCACTCTACTACTAGTTATAGCATATCCACTAATGACCCACAGAAAATCACCGCACAACTGACAGCCCTCGAAGAAGAACGATCTTCAATGGCCGACACTTCGAAGGATGCCGCTAGACTTGACGAAGAACGAGAGGGTCTGGATATCACACTAACCGATATCCACTCAAAGCTTTCGGAGATGGAGTCAGACAAGGCCGAGTCTCGTGCGGCCAGTATCTTGGCTGGTCTTGGATTCTCCAAGGAGCGCCAGCAGTATCCCACCAAGACTTTCTCCGGAGGTTGGAGAATGCGTTTGTCTCTTGCACGAGCCCTATTCTGCGAGCCTGATCTCCTTTTGCTTGACGGTATGTACCATTGGTCTTTTCCTTAACAAGCAGTCCACTGACTCGAACAGAACCGTCTAATATGTTGGACGTGCCGTCAATTACTTTCCTCTCCAATTATCTCCAAGGATACCCCAGTACTGTTCTCGTTGTTTCTCACGATCGTGCATTCCTGAATGAAGTCGCCACGGATATTATCCACCAGCACTCTGAAAGACTGGACTACTACAGGGGAGCTAACTTTGGTAAGTCACGCGATATTCAAGCCATGATTTGCACTAACACCTAGTAGAAAGCTTCTATGCAACCAAGGAAGAGCGTCGGAAAACTGCCAAGCGCGAATATGAGAAGCAAATGGCCGAGAGAGCTCACTTGCAAGGTTTGTCACCCTACCGATTTGGTTATCAGGGCTATGTTAACAATTGTCTCTAGCATTCATTGATAAGTTCCGATACAACGCCGCAAAGTCCTCCGAGGCACAGTCAAGAATCAAGAAACTCGAGCGCATGCCAGTTCTTGAGGCTCCAGAGGCCGAGTACACCGTACACTTTGCATTCCCCGGAGTTGAGAAGCTTTCACCGCCCATTGTACAGATGTCCGAGGTCTGCTTCGGTTACACCAAGGACAAGCCTCTTCTCAGGAATGTCGACCTGGATGTCCAGCTTGATTCACGTATCGGAATCGTCGGACCTAATGGTGCTGGTAAGACCACTGTTCTGAAACTGCTCACCAACCAGCTGGAGCCTACCAGCGGTATCATCTCGACCAATTCGAGACTGCGCATCGGATTTTTTGCCCAACATCACGTCGACGCTTTGGATATGACAACCAGTGCAGTTGGCTTCATGACGAAGACTTACCCCGGTAAAACCGACGAGGAATACCGACGACACCTGGGAGCGTAAGTGAACCCAAATCTCTCACAGTCCTTGCATTGACTAACCGTATCATGCAGATTTGGTATCACCGGTACAACCGGTCTTCAGCGTATGGAGTTCCTGTCCGGAGGTCAGAAGTCCCGTGTCGCATTCGCTTGCTTGTCTTTGACCAATCCCCACATCCTTGTTCTTGACGAGCCTTCCAATCACCTGGATATCGAGGGTATGGATGCTCTGTCCGAGGCATTGAAGGTGTTCGAGGGTGGTGTGGTTATGGTTTCCCACGACGTGACGATGTTGCAGAATGTCTGCACCAGTCTGTGGGTTTGCGATGGCGGTACCGTTCACAAGTTCGATGGCACTGTCAATGCCTACAAGAAGAAGATCACCGCGCAGGCTGATGCTGCTGGTGTCGTGGCTAAGCACTAAGTTTCGAGGGCTGTTATGTAAATATTAATGCCACAAAAGTATGAATATCCTGCACGAATCAACGTGATTATCGTCTCTATCGAGCATTCATACCTATGGCCCAATGCCGGGAGTTCTCCCTGAGAGACAAGATATTTATCTTAGCTCAGTAGACACAGCCAGTCCCTCCAATCTCCATCCTGTATTTACAGTGTACTCGCATATATAAACGGACTTAGTATTTCTGCTCTGCTAAAGTGTGTTACTCTGTAGTCTGTACTATGTAATAGTCCGAGCACGTGGAATCGACTTCCGCATGACTAGGCATGAGGCCGGCTTATCAGCTTATCAGCTTATCACAATCTACCCCAGACGTCAGTTTAACATTGCCAATGCCTCCCCCCGGGCTCCATGGACCTGGTATCCCAGCAATAGAGCTTACAGAGCCTGAAGATATGCCCGGCGCAGACGAGCGGGATCTCTCAGGTCCGACGGCTCCTTTGCTCGCCCGGTCCCACACCTCCGACGACGACGCCAACCACGACGAGAGCCTAACTTCTGAGCTAGGATACTCCGGAGGCTGGTTTATATGGGCGCTGACCTTCTCAGCCGGAATAAGTGGTCTACTATTTGGATATGAGTATGCGCACTACCACATTCCACGCCATGACGCTGCTCCGTGTGCTATTGCGATCCGCTAACGCCCATTGAAACTTCCAGCACAGGTGTTATTTCGTCTACTTTAGTGACCATCGGCTCGGATCTTTCGGATCGCACGTTGACAACGCTCGATAAAAGTCTCATTACATCATGCACCAGTCTTTGTGCGCTTATCGCCAGTCCTTTTACCGGCGTGTTGGCTGATAAGCTTGGTCGACGGAAGGTTATACTTGGCGCAGATGCGTTATTTGCGCTTGGGGCTTTGGTACAGGCATTTACGAGCCAGGTTTGGGGTATGGTGCTTGGGCGCAGTATTGTTGGGCTTGCGGTTGGTAGTGCGAGTGCGGTGACTCCGTTGTAAGTTGATGGCGCATAAGCCTTGGCAGATAATTGGCCAGTTGTTAATACGTAGGGATTGCATTTAGGTATATATCGGAGTTAGCTCCGTCACACGCAAGAGGCAGACTCGTCACGATCCTCTGTCTGTTTGTCACCGGCGGCCAGGTGGTGGCATACATAGTCGGGTGGCTGTTCTCGAGTACGACTGGAGGCTGGCGATGGATCGTGGGACTCGGAGCATTCCCTGCTTTCGTTCAGCTCGCTATTCTCATTCTTCTACCGGAGACGCCTCGCTGGCTGGTCCAGGCTGGACTGAACGACCGGGCGAAAACAGTTCTAACCAAGATCTACCAGGATTGTCCTGGCTGTGATCGGGTGGTAGACCGTCTTCTGAGCAATATCAGCGGGGAGATAGCGGAAGAGGCGTCTGAAATGGGACCAGTTAAGCCCCGTGGTTTGAAGCCGCAGTGGCTACATGATGCTCTTCAACGTGGGGAGCAATTGTTACATGGGGGAAACAGAAGAGCGTTGATCATAGCGACGATGCTCCAGGCAACCCAGCAACTCTGTGGATTCAACAGCCTGATGTACTTCTCTGCAACCATCTTCTCCTCTCTTCAATTCTCGTCCCCGACACTGACATCGCTTTCGGTGGCGATGACGAACTTCGTCTTCACGCTTCTTGCATTTGTGCTGATCGACAGGATCGGTCGTCGACGCATTCTCCTGTACTCAATCCCTGTCATGGTCATTGCGTTGGTCGTATGTGCCTTTTCTTTCTCGTCAATGGACGGTACATGGAACTCCCATCCCCCAGCTCGGCGTCAAGAGAAGGGCACTAGCTCTCTTATGCCCGTCGCAATCCTACTCTGTCTTACTGTCTACACTGCAGCGTACGCCCTTGGACTCGGCAATGTCCCCTGGCAGCAGTCTGAACTCTTCCCTCTGAATGTTCGCTCTTTGGGGTCGGGGTTAGCAACGGCAACCAACTGGGGATCGAACTTCATCATCGGTCTCACGTTCCTACCGATGATGGAATGGATCTCACCCTCATGGACGTTTGCACTCTATGCAGTTATCTGTGCTGTTGGGTGGGTTGCTGTTTGGGCCATTTACCCTGAGCTGAGTGGGCTTGGTCTCGAGGAGGTCAAAGGTCTTTTGGCTGATGGCTGGGGGGTGAGAGAAAGCTTGCAGCGACGTCGTGTTTCTGGACGTGGATAGAAGATGATTAGAATACTTGGTCTGGGGCTGCATTCCATGTCTAGAAGTGATGGAATAGAACGAGTGCGTCTCTTCTCAATGGCGGTAGTGTCCAGTCTGAGCGAGTAGTCCTGAGAAGGAAAAGTCCTTCAATTGTAGAAGGTCATGAGACGACGACAATGTGAAACAGACCGAACTCGCTTATAGCGCTGAATTGTCCTTGCGAAATCCTCGATCTAGTGGAGTGTCTATGACATGAAGCAGTGTAGCTTGGGGTGAAAAGGAATTATGCGTTGAAAAAGGGAATAGTAGATAACATATGAAATCAAGCACCCACTACTCCTCGATATCCTTGACCTTCTCCCACTGGCCCTTAAGATTCTCCTTCCACAAGCTGACCTTGTTATCTCCCCCGCTAACGGCGAGAATGTTGCCGCTAAGGCTCCAGCTAACGCGCCACAGAACAGTGTCGAACTCCAGTGTCTGGCTGGACCATTGGCCTGGGTTAGAAGCATCAGAAGTCCAGATGCGGACTGTCTTGTCTTGCGCAGCGGAGGCAATGTAGGACTTGGAGAGAATGCTGGGGGACCAGGCCACATCTCGGACCCAGTCGGAGTGTCCCTCAAGCGTTTGAGTGAGGTTGTATGATTTGGTCTCCGCGCTAAAGGCAATGTGTTAGCGCACGCAATGGCTGGATATCTCGCAGTTGAAGAACATACTTATAATCCCAGATCTTGACCAGGTTGTCGCTACCACCGGTGACGAACCGGCGCTGTTGACCGGGCCCAGGGTTGGAGCTAATAAGGCTACCAGCAAAGGCGGCGGGAGCCCAGCTGACGGAGTTGACACCCATCCCGTGGGCGTGGAAAGTCTGGTGGGTCCAGTTGTTGTCGCGGAACTCCAACACGCTGACATGACCATCGGAAGAAGCGCAGGCAAGCAGACATCCGCTTTCATGGGGAGCCCAGGAGACCATGTTCACAGAGGCCGTGTGAAGGGAGAAATCGAAGACCTTGCTCCATGTGCTACCAGCGGAGGGCGAGGTTGCGGTCTGGGGCTGCTCCCGCCAGATCAAGACCTTTCCATCATAAGAAGATGAGGCCAAAATTGTGCCGTATTTCGGGTGAGCCTAAATCGGAGAATCACACGGTCAGCCGGGTGGACAACAACTGCATTTTGGGATATCACTCACCCATGCGACGCACCACACAGCACCTTCGTGGCTATCAAATGTCCATGTCAATGACCGGATCGCTAACTGCACCGACAGCAGGACCAGCTTACCCTTTCAGCGTCTCGACCAGGCGGTGTGATTCTCCCTCAATGTCGAAGATCTTTATCGTTTTGTCGGACGAACATGTCGCCAACCGGCGGCCGTAGTAGTCCAAACCAGCATCGTGCTATTTCCGGATAGCTCAGTTAGCTCATCTTCCAACATGCAATGACAAGGCATCTCAATTGGAAGCTGATATCGCGGCACTTACAATCATCTCTTCGTGCCCCGAATTCGAGATCACCTGGGGGGTGGCCTGGAGGTTCAAAGGTGTTAGCGAGGGCACTGAGGGGCTAGCGCAGTGATATGCAGCAAGAAAAAGCTTACCATTTTGTTAGATTAAATGAAGCAAACAATGAAGTGGACAATTGTGAAGGCGCGGGGACTCTGAGCAGCTCTCCCTGTTGGTATGAGGCCCAAACAACCTGGCCCTTCCCTATCTTATCGTGATGATTAAGCTGGTGTGCACGTGATCCATATCCCCATACCTTCACGTGATGAGCCTCGGCCGTCGGCAACCCCACGGAGGGCGGACGTGGCGTAGACAGTCTCCCATCTGGAGTTCGACACCTCCTTTCCGTTATTGTTCTCCTCATAGACGTGAAGACTTAAGCACGGCTTTACTTCACTACTACAATATCCGCCTTTCGCTTGATTCTAGTTGGCCTCAAGACGTCATCATGGGTGATGCGCTGTGCGGGCCGTCGAATGCGCTTCAGAACTTCCAGAAGCACACATCTGTTGATCGAACCCTTCAACAAGACCGATTGACTTCGCGTCAATCACCTGCTCAGGTTGGTGGTTCTCTTACGGTCGCATCGTTTCATTTGTGCTAAACATATGCTTTCAGGGTTTCCGATCTCAGAACCGCCAAGAGGGAATACTTGACCCCGAGTTCGCTGCATTCGAAGGAAACTTAGGTGGCCCTGCACTGCCCGACTTACAACATCCCGCCCACTTCGGCGCACCCATACACCATGCTGCGGCACAACGTCCTGCAGCGCAACATCCGGGCAACGCCGGTTGGGCGGCAGACTTCCAGAACTTGCAAATCTCAGGGCCCTCACATCCTGTAGCACAACTACAAAGGCCAAATGTTGCACCGGCGGCGACACATGGCGGGTGGCACTCGGAATTTATGAATCAACATCGAGCGCCAGTCCCCCAGGCCCAGCAAACCCCGCAAATGCATGGTGCCTATCAGCCATCCTTTGCACCAAGCTTCCCGATGTATGGCTCCGCTATGAATCAGATGCAGATGCAACCGCAGGGTATGCAAAGCATGCAGCAAGCCCCCGCACAGCAATTCGATGAATCCGCCTTTGAGGCTGCGTTCGACCAAGCACGGGCGGATCTGGAGTTGCAAGCCACAGATGTTGATCATAAAGATACCCAGCAGAACCTGAAGGAAGCTCCTGAAGCCGAAGTTGTTGAGTCAGTCATGCAACAGGAGATCCGAGTTGGCTCGGATCTCATTCCTCAGAGCGATAAGCAGGATCCGCAAAACCGGAGTCGGGATGGAGACGAACTAGCGCGGACAGCAGGACAACTGCTCGACAGCGTGCGCAATGAACAGAATCAAAAGTTCCAACAGAGCAATTTCCTGGCTTTGATGCGGCGGATTCGGGATCGCGAGGTGGAAGTTGAAGGGGATGCTTTTCGCGAAGTCAGTACCAACCCATGACGGTTTGGATGTCGAACGCGACATAAACACCGGTATCACTCGAGAAATCTACAGGGGCTGTTGTCCTTGCTAATAACTTGCAGACGGCGCAGTCTCTCCACCCAGGTGGGCCATACTACCCGGGTCAACCCCACTCCAACCTCCCGGGTTCCGATGTTCCGTCTCACAGTAAGGAGTCACCCACCCTACCGGTAGGGTCTGGTGCCCTGCGTCCATGATGAGACCAGCCAATAATCTGACCAGACCTACGCACTGTCCAGGTGTAAACGTCAACAAAGATCCCCGGCCGACCGAAGAAGAGACATCCGATCACCAGGGATCCAGTCCGTTTGTCCACGGTGACACAAATGCACTGTACGAAGGCTTACTCCATAGCCAGGGGCTTGTGGATCGACGCAGGATTCCATTTTGCTTGTTTGGAAGAGAGTTGGAGGCGCATTTTCTGCATTAGCGAGGTCATGTTTTAGGCCGAATGTACAGGTACTTCTTTGTGTATGATGGTAACCAGCATGGTTGAGGTACCAGTACATGGTTCATTGATACCCCATGAACAATAACAATCACGTGATCTTTATTGAGAACAATAAGAAGCCCATTGAGGTTCCCAATTAGGCAACTCAATGGCTATTGAACAGCGCGTCAATGGCGTACGGCTGGCTCTGATTGGCTGGCTATTGAATGTTTCTTTCCTATTGTTTGCGCATTCAAACGCCTATTCAAATGTGTCTATTCTCTCAGATGTGAAATTTTGGACCATAAATACCCCCCCAAGTCTCCTCTCACTCCTTTCTCCCCCCATCTTCTTGTACCAAGCTTCCCTTGTCTTGAATCCTACATAGAGTTCTCAGTTCGTCACTTGATTAAATACTACAAAATGCAGCCTCCAACAGATTCTCTGCGACACCAACTTCACAAGCTCGCTGAACTCAGAGCCAATCGCAACGCTGCTGCTAATCACAACGCTGGTTCTGGTTCTACGACGACTCCAACGCCAGCCTCACCTCATTATACCCTCTCTATCACCAGACCAAGTGGGACCAGAGTCATGACTGTCCCAAACTATCTAGCTGATCAGGACGACTATATGGATCCATCACCTATCAACATCACCATTGACAGATCGGTCACCTTAATCGGAGACGGGAATAATATCCAGCTTCCGGAGTCTGGACTCTCATCTCAGCCGGATCAAACCGATGGCTCTGGCACTCGCCTCACTTCTCTGGCAGCTGTCATCATTGGCGCCCTCAACAGGGCTGACAATCTGGTTGACCAGACTGGCAATCCGAGGCCCTTGAATATCAACATCAGAAATGGTCTTCATGTTCAGGGGTCTAACAACACCGTTTGCGCAGTCTCTACCGTGGGGGAGACTGCACAGAATGCAGAGTCCGACTCTGCTGATGGGCCTAGCAGCCCATCTCAAGCGGCACAGACCGAGACTGTGCCTGCTGGCAGTGGAGAGGCGGAAGGCGGCGACCGCAAGCGCCGTGCTGATTCGGTTCGCACTCCATTCCGTCAAAGGGGTCTTTAAAAACTTTATCACTGACTGTGTCTTTATAGGAGCCCACGTTGAATGCTCCGGCTGCTCAGCGCCGCCGGGTGGACTAAGATGCGGCAAGATGCCGTGCGCGATCTGATCTGATCGCATGGCTCTGTTGATAATTGGCACTTCAACAGAGCCTCTGAGTGTGTTCCTTGTTTTGTTTAAGATTGCTTTTGATCCATCTTTTACTGGGTTGGCCATATTGGCGGGTTTTTCATGGAGTTTAATTAAATGCCTTTGCTGCGATTTGGGGTGTGCTTGCTCTAGGAGTCTAGATTGATACCTTTTTGTTTCCTTAAAACCAATGTATACTAACTGGCAGATCTGACTATTCAACTTATGATTAATGACTTCTCTTACCTTATTGTCGCAGATGTATCAGATCAGATTCAAAGGGGGAACGAGAAGTGTGTTCTCTTTTACCGGATCTACATCCATCTCATTATACGCTATACTGTGTAGTTATATAGAGAACTCCCGACCTTCGCTAACCTTGGCCATCTTATGACAGTGGCTGAGAGTTCCCAAGCGAACCATACAATAAGCCCAATAAATGCTCGGATCGATTCGATATTCAGCTATAAATCCAGCAGACTAGCGTTGTGTATACCGGTGTGAAATCCTATCCATATGCAGTCTCATATGAACTGTTCAGAGGCACCGCCGATGATGGGTGAATGGATACCACTACCTACATACTGTATGAGCATCTACCCGAAACAACATGGCCGCGTGAGTGATAGCTATCGATGTATGTCTAACTAACCCTGAAGACTGGTGGCTGCCAGTGAAACATGCAAATATGATCACCATCAAAAGGTTAGAGAATAATCGCACAGGGGGCAGAGAAAGTCTGGCGCAAGGTGGGGGGTCGAGTTAGGGCTCGGTACGGCTGGACTGTAGCTATAGATCCATGTGCATATCACTGCTTTGCTAGAACCCTAATGTGAGGCAGCAGGTTGTTATCATGCTGTCAACTATGTTAAATTTGAGGTCTTTCTTCTCAGTGACCGGGGCAGGTAGGGTACGCACACTTCCCTTGCTTTCGGTATACACTAAGACAGCAAGACCAAGCATGCCACTAAGCCCCGATAGCACAAGCATGGAGCTAAAATCCAATCATCAATCCTCGTTCCAATAGTTTTTATGTACAAGCAAAAGGTAAAGATCAAGTATATGCCTCAACCCCCCAAGATCCCAGCAACCATAGACGTACCAGCATTATGATAATACCTGCCAACACTATCCTTCAAGAAGCAATTCCCATCCTGTCCACCCTCGAACGAAGCTGTCAAATTCGCAGAGTAGGCGACTCCCTTGCATTTCACATCATTCTCCGTATTCCACTCCACACACTGTGAAATGCAGGATTTCAAGTCGTATTCAGTCGATCTCGTCAAGTCACTGACTTCGCCATCGCCATATGCTATTCGACCACCACTGGGCCAGTCAACGGCACACAGCAACGTAAATACCGATCCATCAGAGCCGGTGACTGTGGTCATATTCTGACCGGGACATGGATTTGCAGCTGTCCCCGTCGTGCCTGATGTGACGGGCGCTGATGATGTTTTGGATGGCTTGGAAACGGTTGTGGTTTCTGAAGAAGATGCTCCGGTTGTTATTGGCATTTTGGAACCCTTGTCAGCTTCGGATGTCGTTGAGGTCGTGCTGCTGTCGGATGTACCGCTGATGGGCAATGCAGAGGTAGAGGTGGTATTAGATCCGGACGTCACTGGGTCAGAGCTGTAATGGACAATGTCAGACGAATATCGCCTCTGGAAAGGGACAGAACACTTACCCCCGGGTTTTTATCTTGTTGATCAGATATGATCCCCCGACCCCACATCCTACCGCAGCAGCAATCACAAGTAATATTGAGACTGCTAATAGAGACCGAAACACGGTAGGTCGGAGTCCGCATACTCTTTTGGCACCCTTTGTCGTATCAGTTTTTTTCGGACCATCATCAGGTGTGCCATCAGATATGCTTGTTCCCGCTCTGTCCGGTCCAGATACATAATATGCTTCCTCCCTGCTGATTGGGACTTCCTTTCCCGGTTCAACAACAACCTCGAGACCCTCATAGCTCTTTGGCCATCGCCCGAAACCAGAAGCCACTTCAAGCCCATCACAGCCGCTTGAACTCCTCTTTAGGTCAGAGACAAGTTCAAGCCCATCACAGCTGCTTGAACTCCTCTTTAGGTCAGAGACAAGCTCAAGCCCTTCCATACGAGCAGATTGGCTTCGACACAGCTATAGTACTGCCCGTTATGGGTACGCACGGGCTCTGCGCACTGAAGATAGAATATGTTGGTTCATTAACGGGGCACCTTGTCTCAATATGTGGGAGTACTATTATACTGCTCAATTATAAGACCAGTACCAGCACTGGGATCTGAAAACAGAAATACTATTGTTAGACCATGCAGCCTCATGGCGGGCGTCTAACTACCATCTATGCGTCCACCAAACGAGCTGAGGAACTCAGTAGCCGCCACTAAGTCTTCCCGGCATTAGCCTCCCTTCAGTCTCCGGAAGATCTATCAGAATTCAGCTTCGTGCTTGGCTTGTCTCAAGCTAGAGGCTTTTAGGCTGTTTTAGCATGGTGTAGATAGATATTTCTGTCGAATGAATCGTCTTGGTTTAACGCTCATCGCGGCGTCTAAGATTGCTGGGATTTGTAGGCTAGTTACGGCATGTGACCGGCACGGAAGAACCACTCTTCCGTGCACTGGCCAAAACACCCTCTCTAGCCCCTTCACGCCTGGAAAGTACAAGTTGGAGTTTCTCCACATTGACCTCCAGGGGCCCTTTCCCCCTGCACATGACGGTAGTCGCTACTCTGGAACGATACTCGACGACTGGACACAAAAGAGCGAAATTCAGCCTTTCCATTCGACTGGTGTTGGGAAACTCGAGTTCAATACCACGCGTGGTGCAAAGCAACTGGAGAGAAGCAGTGATGTTTTCACCGCCTTGATCCAGGCGAATTCGCTTGCAGCGGCGCTCAGGGTATTCATTCCTGGCCAGATAGCCCGTGAGATAACCAGGGAACTCATCCTTCGTCTTGAGCGGCTGGCGTTCGCGCTCTTATGTGTCCAGTCGTCGAGTATTGTTCGAGAGTAGCGACAACCGTCATGTGCAGGGGGAAAAGGCCCCTGGATGTCAATGTGGAGAAACTCCAACTTGTACTGTCCAGGCGTGAAGGGGGGCAAGGGGGTACCCTTGCTAGAGAGGGTCACCAAGGTTGGACATCGAACTTGTTCTTCCACTTGACTTGGATTTTGTAGCTGAAAGTGCAGTACGAGTTTAAATGACTCAATGTGAATGAGGCTCCAAGTTGCTGTCGAATGTCTGCAAAGACATGAATATCGATGTGGGGATGTAAACAAACCTGAGCCTGGGGCCCTGGGCTGCGGAGAGTTCCCTCCGAGATTCTGCTTGTTGGTGTTTGCATTGTTTGCACCTTCCATGTTTACCCCCGGATGCCACGATGGACGTCTTCGTCATCCAAGCCACTTCAACCTTGAACTCAAGGTAAATATGCAGACCTGCCGATTCTTGCATTTGATTCCACAGATTATCATCTTATTGGACTTTGCTAAGGATGATTGTGGAATCCTGAGCTGATCCTGAGTTGAGAAGGAGAATCGGGCAGAACAAATGACCGAGCCGGGCCTTCAAGGAATGGGGTTAGGGGACACAACTCTTTCGGACTTTCAGTGAGGAAAGGAAAACGATATCTTCAAGTCACAACTTACGCAACAATTGCGCACAGTGAAGACACCCATCACCTATTCATCTCAGTAGGCGATGGCGCCACGATCTATTTTCGACTTGATCTATTCTTGGACCCTGCCCGGGTAAGTACAAAGATCTGACTGAGGTCTATGAAATAACTGGTCAATGTCGATCTCTTCATAGCCCTGGAGGAGCCCTCGTGGAGAGTTCGCATTGAAATGGTGAATTCACAACCTTTGTTCGACAAGTCCAAACCGCGAGGATCGAAACCACACCCAATGAGGTAGTGACTTTGAAGAGATCGAGATTAAAGAGATGCTACAAGCCAAAAGAGGACTCACAGAGAACATGACTGTGCCGACATGGCCAACCAGATGCGCTACGCGGACGTCAAGGGCACGGTCAAAGGCTGTTCTGAAACTCTTGCTGCATGGTCTCCAATCTCAAAGAGAGCCGACAATTTTCTCCCACGGTATACTCGGTACTCTGCGGACTCTTTGTTTGGTCTTGTCTGTGCCTCGGATTTCTTTGACTTCGTAAGGAAAAAACTGCATTCGGTGTTATGCACATGGAAACTACTCGAGATATAAATACCTCAATGGTTTCTTTTCTAATCGATCGGGCTCTATGCACATTATACACATTACACGTCTGAATCCTAGAAGTATACATTCGGGCAGTCGTGATAGTTCTGTCGGAATTGCAATAGTGGAACAGGCGACAGACGAACCAGCCACATCACCGACTGAGATGCCTCGCCGTCGCCATGCCAAGCGATCACCAGGAGCATTACCTATACCCAAAAAGCGCAGAGCAGAAGATGACAGTGATGCTGGCCCAAGCAAGAAGCGAAAGGATGGAGACGCAACAGATGCTGCTGCTTCTAAACCTGCACCCATCGATGTACAGAAACTACTAGCTGACCTGAAGATCGATTACGCCAAAAAGGCACCACCTCCAAACCCACCAATACTTGGGAAAAAGCAGGCCTGGGGAAAGGCCAAGGACGGCGTGATCAAAGATATCGAAAGGGCCCCTAAGGGCTGGAATTCCGATGAGCCTGATCTACTGCCTGAGTAAGATCCAGCTGTCCTGACTATTCGATGGTAGATTCATTGCTCAATATGGATACTGATTCTAATATGGATATGCGTAGTGACTTGGATGCGCAGATCAAACGATGCAATGAGAGGATCAAAGATGGAATTATGCCTCAGGTCTATGAACTCAAACTGCGGGAGCTCGAAGCAAAGCAGAAGGGACGCCAGTGAGTCTATACAGTGCCCAGGCTATTCTATTTATAACTGATCCAATTTTTGCTACCTAGGAAGTTGATGAAGGAGAACCTTGGACTGCCTTGGCCCGTGGTTAAACGCCTTGACGGGCTGCGGGAGATCCAGGAAGCGCTTGCGACGGGACTGGGCCGGTATCCGAAGGAGTCCAGTGATGAGGACAAGGCCAAGCACGGAAATCAACTCGATGCCGAAAGCATGAGTAAAACTGCGCGTGCCATCGTGGAAGCTTACACAACGGGCAAACTGCAGTGGAATCCGGGATTTGTCACCTATTGGTGTGATGGAAAGCAGCTCTGCAGCCCTAGGCCGTTCAGATTGGATGAATATCGTGTCCTCCACGATCTAAACAAAGGACATGCATCGTTTTGGGTGGAAGGGGTAAGTCCTCCCAACCTCTATGAAAGATCAACATACCAACGAGATGTACATTCAGCGCGAGGATTCCACGCCCGGGTCTCTAAAAGCTAGTCGAATTAGGGGCGCGCCGCCATCTAACTACGACGGTGGCAGGAATTTGTATTATGTATGTTTCTCATGTCTTATTGACATCGTTTTGGTGCTAACCGTTCTAGATGGACATTTGTCTTCGCATCCCGGCCATTCAGCCGCAGCCGGGACAATCTGATCCAGCTGCTGCTCCACCAGCACCACGGCGGACTAATACGCCACTTTCATTCAAATGTCTTGAGGACACTGGGGCCTCAGACATGCTCATATACAACAGGGACGTGGAGTACCTGCAAACATTAGATCGCGATTATAACGGGAACCCGCATCCGCTGCCCCGGTCCTTGGGTGTTTGTAATTACGGAATGGCGAACGGTAGCAATGTTTCCATGGCGGTCAGAGAGTTCGAAGTCAACATGTGGGATCCAGCAAAGCACAGTTATGTGTTTGCCGACTGGGAGGCGATCCCAGTTTGTCTCAGGGATGGTGAACCCACTGTGCATGGTCGGTTGAATGGGCCATGGGTTCGGAACAGGCTTTACTGTGCAACTGCTCCTGATCGAACAAACCAACTGTGGATGTTCGACTATAACCCTGGAACAAACATTCCTACCGCGACTACGGCTCAGATGACTGCTCCCTATGAAATGCCTTATCTTGAGTGAATTTGTGAATTTCTCAGTCATTATATAGCTTTGATCTCCGTTTGCTTCATGTTTGTTCGTTTTGAATTGCTTGTCTAGTATTTCTTTGAGTTTGGCACATCTGGAGAGAATGTTCTGCAATAGTTTTCTTATTTTCTTATAGATCTCTACCTACTACCCAGAGAACATGGCACTTGAGTACATCTAAAGCACGAGTCCAATACTAAGAAGACTTCTACCAAGTCAAAGTGAATGAAAGAAAATCATTTCAAGTTCTATCAAAATGCAGCTGTGTTATGTGTGTATACGTCATTGACTTGGGTTGTGGTTGATAAAAGCTTCGTTTCCAAGATTCTTCCTCTTATCTTCATCAATTCCCCTATCTTAATTGTCAGAAGTCATACATTGTCAGTATTACACATGGCATCCAATAAGAAGAGCATCTCTGCTTACGGCAGGGCTCGCTCGACGGTGGAAGGTAACCCGCTCGACACCGAGACAGTCCGCAAAACCCATGCCTACTTCCGAGCCAGCATGTATCTATGTCTGGGCATGCTCTACCTCCGCGACAACCCACTACTCAGAGAGCCCCTCAAGCTAGAGCATCTCAAAGCTCGACTCTTAGGTCACTGGGGTTCCGATGCCGGACAATCCTTCACCTGGATACACATGAACCGGCTCATCAAGAAGTACAACCTTGATGTCCTGTTCGTTTCCGGTCCCGGACACGGCGCCCCCGGGATCCTCTCGCAATCCTATCTAGAAGGTGTCTACTCCGAAGTCTACCCGGACAAAGTGCAGGATGAAGAGGGCATGAAGAAGTTCTTCAAGCTATTCTCCTTCCCGGGCGGGATTGGAAGTCATGCGACTCCAGAGACGCCCGGTAGTTTGCACGAGGGAGGCGAGCTGGGGTACTCGCTCTCGCATGCCTTCGGTACCGTATTTGACAAACCCGATCTCATTACTTTGACAATGGTTGGAGACGGCGAGTCCGAGACGGGCCCGCTTGCAACTAGCTGGCATAGCACGAAGTTTCTGAACCCCATCACCGATGGCGCAGTCTTGCCTGTTCTTCATCTGAACGGATATAAAATCAATAACCCGACTGTCCTTGCGCGCATCAGCCACGAGGAGCTTTCGTCCTTGCTTTTCGGCTACGGGTGGAAAGCCTACTTTGTGGAGGGAAGTGAGTTTGACAGTATGCATCAAGCCATGGCGGCTACACTTGAACAATGTGTCACCGAGATCAAGGGGTACCAGAAGAAAGCGCGCGAGACAAAGACCCCATTCCGACCCCTCTGGCCGATGATTGTTCTTCGCACTCCCAAAGGCTGGTCAGCGCCACGAGAAGTTGATGGGCATCTTCTCGAGGGGTTTTGGCGCGCTCATCAGATCCCTATCGTTGATGTCCGCACTAATACTAAGCATCTGCAAGTGTTGGAGAATTGGATGAGGCGCTACAAGCCAGAGGAGCTCTTCGACGAGAACGGCACATTGATTCCGGAACTCAAGGAACTTGCACCAACAGGCAAATCGCGCATCAGTGCCAACCCGGTTGGTAACGGGGGTCTCCTACGCCGGCCGCTTAATCTACCGGATTTCCGAGACTACGGATTCACAGACATCAACGCGGGCAGAACAGTCAAGGGAGGAATGGCCAATATGGCCAAGTTCCTTCGAGACGTAGTCGCCCAGAACATGCACAACTTCCGACTCTTTGGACCCGACGAGACAGAATCCAATAAGCTCTCCGAGGTCTATAAAGCCGGCAAGAAAGTCTGGATGGGAGAATATTTCGACGAAGACGCAGACGGCGGGAACCTCGCCCCAGACGGCCGGGTCATGGAGATCCTCAGCGAACACACCTGCGAAGGCTGGCTCGAAGGCTACATTCTCTCCGGTCGGCACGGCCTCCTCAACAGCTATGAGCCCTTCATCCACGTCATCGACTCGATGGTCAACCAACACTGCAAATGGCTCGAGAAGTGCCTAGAAGTCGAATGGCGAGCCCGCGTCGCCTCCCTCAACATCCTCATCACGGCCACAGTCTGGCGACAAGACCACAACGGCTTCACCCACCAAGACCCAGGCTTCCTCGACGTCGTCGCCAACAAAAGCCCGGAGGTAGTCCGCATCTATCTCCCGCCAGATGGCAACACCCTCCTCTCGGTCATGGACCACTGTCTCCGCAGTCAGAACTACGTGAACGTCATCGTCGCCGATAAACAGGAGCACATCCAGTTCCTGAACGTGGACGCAGCCGTGCAGCACTGTACCAAGGGTGTCGGGATCTGGGACTGGGCGAGCAACGACCAAGGCGCCGAACCGGATATAGTGATTGCGTCTTGCGGCGACGTCTCGACGCACGAAGCACTAGCCGCGACAGCCTTGCTGCGCGAGCACCTCCCGCAGCTGAAAGTGCGGTTCGTGAACGTGGTTGACTTGTTCCGGCTGATGTCAGCCATTCAACATCCGCATGGAATGCCGGATACTCAGTGGAAGGCTATTTTCACCGTTGACAAGCCCATCTTGTTTAATTTCCATTCGTATCCATGGCTTATCCATCGACTCACGTACAAGCGGCCCGGACAACATCATCTGCATGTGAGAGGGTATCGGGAGAAGGGCAATATCGATACTCCGTTTGAATTGGCCGTGCGCAATCAGACTGATCGGTATAGTCTCGCGGTGGATGCGATTGACTTGGTGGAATCGCTTGGGAATACGGCGTCTAGCACGAGGGAGAGATTGATCAATGAGCAGCTTGCGGGTAAGGCCGAGGCCTTTGAAAATGGGCTTGATCCGGAACATATTCGCAACTGGAGTTGGCCCTGGCCGGTTGACTGAGTGAATGTTTTAGGTGAGATGACCATAATGTTTAATATGTCAGATTATCAAAAGTCTTCGATCAGTAGTTACTATTGCAATACTATAATTTACTATTTATGTGAGTGAAGTTGATGAAGAACTGGAATCAAAAAAGAAAAAAAAGAAAAAAAAAAGAAAATTGAATTGGCGCCACCCGGAATCGAACCAGGGCTAACACAGATCATTGTAAACCACAATGTGTCGTCATACCACTAGACCATGGCACCTATTGATGGAAAGGTTTACACATCAGCGGTATATGTTGACCTTGTGGATAGTACTGAAGAGTTACACTTACTTTGCATGTTATGGCGAGACCACCCTGGGGACCATTTCGGTCCCTCGCTATTTCTTGCTTTAGAGTCATAAAGATTAAGGAATGCGGCGAATGCCATATCTTGCAAGAGTCGATATGCAATCCATTTTACTTGAAAAATGCAGCTCGGTAGGGGTTGTCCGGAATTTAGACAAACCTATGAGTCACTGTTTACTTGCGAACCCGAAGACCGATGCCAGCCCCGGGGCCTCGGGCACCTAAGCCCGCTAAATATCGGCTGACAAACTGCCCAATGACCCCGCATGCTCCGGGGCCCCTGGCAGCTTCCCCTCATCAGCCCCCCCATATCCGAGAAAATCACCCACCAGTGCACAACATGGTTCAAAAAGGCTTCTCAGATATACTGGCAGCTGCAGCAGTCAATCTAGACCCATATGAAGATCTATACAAGCACTTCCATGCTCACCCCGAGCTCTCACTGCAAGAAAAAGCCACATCCGAAAAGATCGCCGACCATCTATCCAAGCTCGGAGCCTACGAAATCCACACCAACATCGGAGGCTATGGCCTGGTAGGCGTTCTACAGAATGGCCCGGGCAAGACCATCCTGCTACGCGCCGACATGGACGCACTCCCAGTCAAGGAAGCCACGGGCCTCCCCTACGCAAGTACAGTGACGATGGTCGATGCCGAAGGCATTGAAAAGCCCGTAATGCACGCCTGCGGACACGATATGCACATTACCTGTCTTCTTGCGGCGGCGGAAGTCCTGGCCCGCACACAAGATGCGTGGAGCGGGACGTTGATTGTGCTCTTCCAGCCGAACGAGGAGCGGGGAGGCGGTGCACAGGCTATGGTTGACGATGGGCTTTATTCGAAGATTCCCATGCCGGATTATGTCTTTGGTCAGCATGTGATGCGGATGCGCGCCGGAGCTGTTGGTTCGAGACCTGGGACGATTATGGCTGCTGCTGATAGTATGAAGATTACGCTATTTGGACGTGGGGGACATGGGTCGATGCCGCATCAGACGGTGGATCCTGTTCTTCTTGCTGCGCATGTTGTTGTGAGACTGCAGGATATTGTGAGTCGGGAGGTTGATCCGAGTGATCTTGCTGTTTTGACGGTCGGGAGCTTGCAGGCTGGGCAGACGGAGAATGTGATTGCGGATCAGGCTGAGATTGGGGTTGATTTCAGGACTGTCAAATTGGAGACGAGGCAGAAGATCATTGCTTCTATTCGCCGTATTGTTGAGGCGGAGTGTGTTGCTAGTGGTTCGCCGAAACCACCGGTCTTCACGCCTACGAGGCGGTTCCCGCCTACTTGGAATGATCAGCAAGTGGCCTTGCAGCTTGCTGCGTCGTTTAAGGATCATTTTGACGATTTTGATGGGGATACTCCCCGGACAAACGTTAGCGAAGATTTCTCTACGTTGGGTACTTCTCAGGGCCTTCCTTGCTCCTTCTGGTTCATTGGAGGAATTGATCAGGAACTTTGGGATAAGGCCGAAAGAGGAGAGTCTTCTAAGGAGGAGATTGCTGGAAACCATTCCGCTCGCTTTGCGCCTGTAATCCAACCAACTCTGCAAACTGGTGTGGATGCCTTGTGTGTTGCCGCGTTGACATTCTTGAGGAAGTAACCCAGCCACATACACCGGAGATTTGAGATGAAACCCAGAGCACAATGCTCACGCATTACCAAATCATAACTATGGAAATATAACTACACCTTCGCAGCTACACAATGAGCGACTAAAGACCCTAATTGTGATTTCAAGCATCTGCAGTAGCGTATTCTGCAAGCTGGCTTCCGACTCTCGGGGGAAAGATTAATAGCTACTAATTTTATTACATGCCTTAGGGTCAAACAGAAACTAAAAACTAAGAAGTTAAAGCGCTCAATGCGATACTCTTCGGCGTCTTCGGCGTCTTCGCTCTGAAATACTGAATCAGCACTACCTAGTAACTTGATACGCGTTGCATGGAAGAAATCGGGTACTGTTAATGGAGTCGATTTGGCACACCCTCTAGTCCCAATGCGGTTGGCCCAGTATTATAGACAAAATTGTAATTTATCATGCGTTTCTACATGGTATTACACTTAGCCCTAAATCGACGTGGTGGAGCCCCTTGATTCCTTCCATTGCTCAATTTTCCCTCACTTCTCAATTCTCCGCTACTAGTACTAACTACAGTACTCCGTACATTGCTAGCATTTTTGACAGTCCCAACAATGGATGCTCTCTCTCATATATGAGAGCTCGATCCGTCCAGAAGAACCGAGAGTGTGTTCGGCCAAGTCTTCTGTGAGAAAGAGTCTTCTGTGAGAAAGAGTCTTCTGTGAGAAAGAGTCTTCTGTGAGAAAGAGTGCATTCAACTAAAACAACAACTATGAAGGAGGAAGAGAGAAGAAACAAGAATGGAATCGGCCAAGAAGCTATTTATTCCACTTCTTGTCACAGGACTCAAGACAACAACCATCAGGCATCAACAGGTTGTCCAACCATGGATGGCTTGACCATACAAAAGGTACTTGGTACTTGGTATTTGGTTATTGGTTGATAAGTTGGTGATGGGTCGTCCGTGGCTTCCCACACCCCTCAAAGGCACAGATATTGTACCTAAAGCGGAGCTAAATCGGGTAAATGAATTCATCATCACCATCATTTGTCTAGCGCCGGCGGTTCAGCCGCAGATCCCTGAATTGCACAGCCGGAAACCCGAAACCCCTCAGCTTATGACAGTCGTATAGCTTGGATTTTCCCTAGTCAAGCAGCTATTCATGCCTCCACGCTTTTGATGGAAGTCATCCATCCCAATACCTAGGTCCATATACAATCCGCTTACTAATTACCGACTCCATCCATGGAACCAATGCGGCAGAGCCCACCAATCAGCTATGAACCAAGCCACGACTGTGTATCTGCTCACTTTCGCTCTATCGGTCGCATTCACCTATTATTGGGCCGCCAAAAGAATTCCGAGTCGGCTCATCGCTGATCAAGCTCCAAGGTCGAGATTCGAGCTCGTTCCAGTGAAGAGCTACGTGCCCGCGCGTGCTAGTGGGATCGAGTAGGTGGAACAGCCACCCGAAAGTTTCGATGTTGTTGACGTATGTAAACAGTATCATATTCGTCCATGGCCTCGGATCCAACCCTGATACGACGTGGCAAGCGAGAAACCCCACGAACAGTGAGCAATACGTGAACTGGGTCAGCGAATTTCTTCCAAGTGACCTCCCCCGGAGGTCAGCAAAGATGCTCGCATCTTTTTCTATAACTATGACTCATATTGGAAGAGGGATGCGATCTATACACGGCTCCAGACCGTCGGTACCCATCTTCTCGAACATATCAACGGGCAGATCCGTCAGTCGAAGCATGTGAGTATTGACAACCCCCTTAGCCAATGCTTCTTGCTGATCACTCCGTAGGAGCAGAGTCGATGCTTGGTCTTCGTGGGACATAGCTACGGGGGGGGCCTAGTAGTCAAAGAGGTAGGAGATTGATGTTCCTTTCACGGGGCTTAGCTAATTTTTTAGGCGCTTATTCAAGCCAAACGCAGGCGCGAGTTCAATCACATTGGGGAGCAAACAAGGGCGATTCTTTTTCTAGGTACACCACATCGCGGGACTAGCTTTGGCCCTTGGGGTCGGCTTGCCGCATTCGCCTTGCAACCGCTAGGATCTAATCCATTGATCCTGGCCAATCTGGAATACGACTCTGTGGTGTTGAGTGATTTACACGAAAACTTCATCTCTAGTATACGAGATGATTTGCAAGTGGTCAATTTCTATGAGCAGAGGCCGCTTTGTCTTGTCCGACTAGGGTTCTTTCAATGGCAAATGTTTGTGAGTAGACCTGAAACAATGCACAGACTGCTATAGAGCATACTGATACCGAGAAAAGTGCGTTTCCGAGAGGTCGGCCACCTATCAGGGGAATATGGTCAGCAAAATCGGTCTAGCCGTCGATCACTACGGGCTGAACAAGTTCGATTCAAGAAATGAAAGCTATAATATCATCCTTTCAAAGCTTGCCAGAGTAATGGCACCTTTGGTTCAACCGACGAAGCGCCAATATTCCGTTCCACTTGAGACTGTACAGACCTTTATTCAGCGTGATCGGCTTTGGAAGGAGCTGGAAGAAAAGCTTCAGATACGGCACAGAAGGGCCAGCGTTCCATTTGCAGTCACTCTGCATGGATTAGGGGGTCAGGTAAATCTCAGTTAGCCCTGAAGTTTACGGAATGCAGTGTTGATCGGTTTAACCCAATTCTCTGGATTGATGCAACACGTGAAGAAACTGTCCGATCTAGTTTCAGAAGATGCGCTGCAGAAATTGGGCTTGCGGACGAATCAAACAATGAGCAGTGTACAGCTCTTCTGGACGACCGGGTCATTCACGGTGTGCTTCGATGGCTTCGCGACCGCACTGAAGGGGACGATGAATGGTTGGTTATCGTTGACAATGCGGATGACCTCACTTGGGGCATCAAAAAGATCATGCCAAAGGGAACCCGAGGAAGAATAATTATCACCAGCCGCGATGCCCAAAGTCAAAAGCTGGTCGATAAAGGCTGCGAACAAATTCGAGTTGGTGACATGACCCCACGAGAAGCGAGGATGGTCCTTCTGCGCCATTTGTCCGACAACACCGACTTGCTCCCAAAGTCCGTGCAAGAGGGCTGCGACGAAGTGGCGAAGAAGCTTGGATACTTACCACTGGCGATTGACCTTGCCGGCGCGTACATCGGCAATACTGTTGCCCCTGAACTGTCCCTCACGCAGTATTTAGAAGACTATGAGAAGCACCGCGATGAGCTCTTGCAGATGGATCATCTTCGAGGGTTAACCTCTGCGGAGAGAACTGTGTGGACGGTATGGGATACTACTCTAGAGAAAATTGAAAGAGAGTATTCCCACCTGCAGCCTGGTCTACTCTTGACACTATTGGCTTGTTTCCAAGGAAATATTGTGCAGGACGAAATGTTTCGTCTAGCGAGTCTAGGTATGTCTACGGTCGTCAACGAGCTCGGCGAAGGAGATTGCACTGAGCTCCGAATGTTTATTCCGGAATCCGAAGGAAAGTGGGACAACTTCATATATCGACATAGCATAGATGTCCTGGTTCGCTACAGTCTAATACAGCATGTGCACGGAGATTGGCCTGGTACCACAATGCACAGCCTGGTTCAGTGGAGAGCAGTTCGTCGCGACCAAAGTCGGAATTGGCAGTCGTGGTACACTAGGTTTGTGCTTGCTGCTTGCTGGCAGATTACGGAAGAAGATCACCAGCCACAGTTCCGTCGGCATCTTATCCTGCATCTTCCGGATGTAGGTAATATCGATCCAAACTGTGTTAGCACCAGAGAAATAGGCGAGATTTTCATTTGGACAACACTGGCAAGGGTACACGATGATGAAGGCCGATGGGAGGAGGCCGAGCAGCTCTTTGTGCAGGTGATGGAGACATGCAAGACGAAGCTCGGCGAAGGTCATCTCGACACGGTGACCAGTATGGCCAATCTAGCCTCAACACTTTGGAACCAGGGCCGGTGGGAGGAGGCCGAGCAGCTCTTTGTGCAGGTGATGGAGACTCGCAAGACGAATCTCGGCGAGGACCATCCCGACACGTTGAGCAGTAAGGGCAACCTTGCCTCAACGTTTTTGAACCAGGGCCGGTGGGAGGAGGCCGAGCAGCTAGAGGTGCAGGTGATGGAGACTCGCAAGACGAGGCTCGGCGAGGACCATCCCTCCACACTGACCAGTATGGGTAACCTAGCAACGACGTACAGTATCCAGGGCCGGTGGAAGGAGGCCGAGCAGCTCGAGGTGCAGGTGTTGGAGACTCACAAGGCAACGCTCGGCGAGGACCATCCTTCCACGCTGACCAGTATGGGCAACCTAGCATCGACGTACATGAATCAGGGCCGGTGGGGGGAGGCCGAACAGCTCTTTGTGCAGGTGATGGAGACTCGCATGACGAAGCTCGGTGGGCACCATCCCGACACGCTGATCAGTATGGCCAACCTAGCGTCGACGTACAGTAACCAGGGACGGTGGGGGAGGCCGAGCATCTCGAGGTGCAGGTTATGGAGACTCGCAAGACGAGGCTCGGCGAGGACCATCCCATCACGCTGGCCAGTATGGGCAACCTAGCCTCAACGTACAGTAACCAGGGCCGGTGGGAGGAGGCCGAGCAGCTCGAGGTGCAGGTGATGGAGACGACCAAGACGAAGCTCGGTGGGCACCACCCCGACACGCTGGTCAGTATGGCCAACCTAGCGTCGACGTACAGGGACCAGGGCCGGTGGGGGGAGGCCGAACAGCTCGAGGTGCAGGTGATGGAGACTCGCAAGACGAAGCTCGGCGGGCACCACCCCGACACGCTGGTCAGTATGGCCAACCTAGCGTCGACGTATAGGGACCAGGGCCGGTGGGAGGAGGCCGAGCGGCTCGAGGTGCAGGTGATGGAGGCGACCAAGACGAAACTTGGCGAGCACCACCCCTACACGCTGGCTAGTATGGGCAACCTAGCCTTAACGTACAGTAATCAGAGCCGGTGGGAGGAGGCTGAGCAACTCGAGGTGCAAGTGATGGAGTCTCGCAAGGCGAAGCTGGGCGAGGACCACCCCCACACGCTGGCCAGTATGGCCAACCTAGCCTCAGCGTACCGGAACCAGGGCCGGTGGGGAGAGGCCGAGCAGCTCGAAGTGCAGGTGATGGAAATGAGCAAGACGAAGCTCTGCGAGGACCATCCTTCCACGCTGACCAGTATGGGCAACCTAGCCTCAACGTACAGTAATCAGGGCCGGTGGGAGGAGGCCGAGCAGATCTTTGTGCAGGTGATGAAGACGAGCAAGGCGAAGCTCGGCGAGGACCATCCCCATACGCTGACTAGTATGGCCAACCTAGCATCGACGTACAGGAACCAGGGCCGGTGGGAGGAGGCCGAACAGCTTCAGGTGCTGGTGATGGAGGCGACCAAGACGACACTTGGCGAGGACCACCCCTACACGCTGACCAGTATGGGCAACCTAGCCTTGACGTACGGTAACCAGGGCCGGTGGGAGGAGGCTGAGCAGCTCGGGGTGCAGGTCATGGAGACTCGCAAGACGAAGCTCGGTGGGCACCATCCCGACACCCTGATCAGTATGGCCAACCTAGCATCCACGTACAGGGACCAGGGTCGGTGGGAGGAGGCCGAACAGCTCGAGGTGGAGGTGATGGAGACTCGCAAGACGAAGCTCGGTGGGCACCATCCCGGCACCCTGATCAGTATGGGCAACCTAGCCTCGACGTACAGGGACCAGGGCCGGTGGGAGGAGGCCGAGCAGCTCCAGGTGCAGGTGATGGAGGCGTCCAAGACGAAACTTGGTGAGGACCACCCCTACACGCTGATCAGTATGGGCAACCTAGCCTTGACGTACAGGGACCAGGGACGATGGGGAGAGGCTGAGCAGCTCCAGGCTCAGGTGATGGAGGCGACCAAGACGAAGCTCTGCGAAGACCATCCTTCCACGCTGACCAGTATGGGCAACCTAGCCTTGACGTACAGGGACCAGGGACGATGGGGAGAGGCTGAGCAGCTCCAGGTTCAGGTGATGGAGGCGACCAAGACGAAGCTCTGCGAAGACCATCCTTCCACGCTGACCAGTATGGGCAACCTAGCCTCAACGTACAGTAACCAGGGCCGGTGGGAGGAGGCCGAGCGGATGTTTGTGCAGGTGATGAAGACGAGCAAGGCGAAGCTCGGCGAGGACCATCCCCACATGCTGACCAGTATGGCCAACCTCGCCTCAATGTACAGGACCCAGGGCCGGTGGGAGGAGGCCGAGCAGCTCTTTATGCAGGTCATGAAGACGGGCAAGGCGAAGCTCGGCGAGGACCATCCTTCCACGCTGAGGAGTATGGCCAATCTAGCGTTAACGTTTTGGAATCAGGGGCGGCGGGAGGAGGCCGAGAAGCTCTTTGTGCAGGTGATAGGGACGAACAAGACGACACTCGGCGAGGATCATCTCCTCACGCTGACCAGTATGGCCACCCTAGTCTCAATGTACAGGAACCAGGGTCGGTGGGAGGAGGCTGCAGCTCGAGGTGCAGGTGAACGAGGCGAGCAAGACGAAACTCGGCGAGGGCCCTCCCCGCACCCTGACCAGGGTGGCCAGCCCATCGTCAACGTAGGGGTCCTTTGAAATTTGAAATTGTATGAATCTATTTTGCTCCAACATTGTCGGTGTAGCATGAAAGCTGTTGAGATGCTGTTACAGCAAGGAAAAAGTATCCGTCGGGGAAATTGATTCGTGGGTCGGTACGTCTGTACCAACACGCGGAAGCTATGCATGGGTACATGGGGAAGCTGTGTTGGGTGCTTGGTACGATTACGGGGTAAACCCCAATACGTCCGACAGTCTACTACTAGACAGTATGGAGTTGCACACGTGACAGAATCTTGAGAAGCCAAGGGGAACCAATGCAAAATGAATGGATGTATTGATTGAAGAAAAGAAGAGACAACGCGGAGGAGAGGACACATTGTGAGCCTCGATTACACAACATCTAGTCTGGCGTATTTCTACTATCCATATTCCTCAACACCATCCATCAGAGCTAAACACCAGATCAGACGCGGAATATGTCCCTGTGGGACGATGGTAATGATGATGGTGTTCTTATTAACTCGATTCAGCTCGCTTTACATACATGTCATCGCTGTGGGATTATTGCGGGAAATTCGTAGGAATATAGCCTTGCCAGTTTGCTGAAGGCTCGCCAGTTGGCTGGAGGATTGCCAGTTGACGGGAAGCCCGCTATGTTCCATAGAATGGACCCCGATGGTATTTCTCGCTCTATCCTCTTCATCCATCGAAATACATACGCAGTCATCTCTTCTAATCCATCTGGATATCGCATTTCTATGAAAAGTGGATAACGCCAAAGCAACGGGGAAAGGCGATTCGTCGCTGGCAATGGATGGGCTGGATGATGCGCCCGACTGGGCCGCTCTCCAAGGCGAGTTCCACGAAGCTCGCTGGCGCCGGGTCGGGTAAACCTGTACGGTGGACTGTCCCATTCATGCGCAGCCTGGGTGCGAGAGAAGAACATCAGGATCTGCTGCCAAGGAAGAACGTGCCGGGCAACGTTGTCGGCATCCATGTACGCTTGCAGTGGCTGGTCGGGCTGTCGGTTTTGCTCAGTCCGAACCGCTTCGGTGCGAACGATATGCCCGGTTTCTGTACACACCTGCTGCGTGACACGGCCTACGATGGGCATGGCATCCCATATCGCGCGGGCAGCCATTTCAGTCGGGTCGGATGACTCCGCGTCGGGCGCCTGAACGCAGTCCACCAGGTCCTGGGTGTTGATTCCGCGGAGGTAGACGGTCCACCTCGTCCGATGAATCCAGGGTTCGCGTCATCACGCTCCTCGGCTTGAACCGGCCGAGGGCCCTCGTATTCCTCAGCAAAGGCAGACACAAGTTCGTCAATGACCCAATTGCTGATCTCCTGCGGAGGGATGGCATTGGTCGGGATATCGGGGTCCCCCCGCACCAGAACGTATTTGGACCAACGCGACAGGAGAATGGCCGCTGGCAGCGACCCGGGCGGGTGAACTCCGCCATGTTGTCCCCCACCAACGTTCAATCGATAGAGGAATCCATCGATATTATTCAAAAACAAACTTAGCTGTATTTAGATTTTTGACGTGGAGATGAAGCATTTGTAGCTGACCCATCACCCACAGTGCCACACCGATCTTGGTGTGGGGCCGCCCACATACATAAGTACAGGAACTCCACGACCCACCGCCGTGGCCCGTACCCACCCACCCACTTTCTTGTTGCTGGAGCTCGTTCACTTCCCAGTGCCGCTCACAATCGGATAGTTCGTCTTGCCAGACGCTGTCTCTTCCAGTCGATTTCCGCACCGAATATTCTTCACAGTACAGAACCCTGGATTTCATTTGTGTATCTCACGTTCTACCCAGTCGACAAACGTTGAAGCTGCAATGGTGAACCTCCAGGCCATCCAGGCGCACAATGCGACTCTCAAATCCCTCACCTCAGGTCTCGTCGCGGTGTTTGGTAAGTTCAATCTGCTCCAACATGCCACCCGCTACGGTGAAGCAGTTGCTGCAAGATCTCATCGCAAAGCCTTACATCTCACTAATCCCCTTCCAGTTGGCGGCACTTCGGGCATCGCCCTCTCAACCGCCCTCGCCCTCGCCCGTCACACCACCTCCCCCAAAATCTACCTCATCGGCCGCAGCCAGTCCGCCGCCGATACTGCCATTGCCTCCATGAAAACCATAAATTCCTCCGCCCAGCCAACCTTTCTCCAAACCGACATATCGCTTCTGAAAAACGTCGACAGCGTCTGCGCCGAGATTGCGGCAAGAGAGAAAGCAGTGAATCTGCTGTTCATGACACCCGGATACATGACGCTGAAAGGCCGGGACGAGACGGCCGAAGGTCTGGACCGCAAATTCGTGCTGCATTTCTACGCGCGGATGCGGTTTATCACCAACTTGCTTCCCCTCTTGAACGCAGCCGCTCAAGATGCCTCTCTCAACAGCAACGCCAGACTATCCCGCGTCGTGTCTGTCCTGGACCCGATGGTCTCCGTCCGCGCGGGCGGCTCCGGTACGCTCGACTTCTCGGACCTCAGTCTGAAGGACACCTTTAGCCTAAAGAAATGCGGCTGGCACGCTAGTCTGATGGGTGATTTCTTCCTGGAGAGCATGGCCCAGAAAAACCGGCATACCTCCTTCGTCCACGCGTACCCCTCTGGTGTGGCCACTGGTGTGTTGCGTGAACTGCCGGCTGGACGCGTGCTGTCGGCCGTGCTGACGCCGCTGTTAAGACCAATCATGGTGCCCCTCGAGGAGAGTGGCGAGAGGCATTTGTTTGCGGCGACGAGTGGGAGATATCCTCCGAAAGCTGAAGGGGAGGACATGGAAGGGGATGTCGCAATTGGCAGCGATGGGGCAAAGGGGAGTGGGTGTTATTGGGTGAATTGGGACGGTGAGGTGTTCCCGCCAAACAACAAATTGGAGAGGACGAGGGGCCAGGACGCGGTAGAGAAGGTGGTGCAGCACACAGAGGAGGTGTTTAAGCAGGTGTGCGAACAAGGCAAGACATACCCGTGATATGTCATTGAGGGACAAAGTCTCAGCTGGTCGAGGTGAGATCGCACCGTGGTCAGTTCCTGGGATGATACAGATTGCCAATTCAGCTCGTCCAGCAAGCAGCATGCATGATATCATTCTCTTATCATATTTTCGTAAGGCAGCTCTTGCGTCTTGGTCAAAGCCAGGCTAGGTTAGCCGTGAGGGAAGGTATTGCATAATACTACGGTCTATTGCCTTCTAGGTACAACGACCGCCTCGGCTGACAGCCGTGAACCGAGTCACCGCATCAGTAACGAGCCGCGAGTGGTGGGGATGTCGGGTGTCTGCTCCTGGTGACCTGGTCCGACAATATTATCCCACTCACTTCCTCCCTCACCCACAACCTTACGTGAGCAAGCTTCGCTGTCCATGCCTCGATGAGAACGCGCTGTTAATGCACTATTAAGACTTCGAAATGGCTCGTGACGACCGGCGAGGTCAAGTCTGGCACAAAAAGCATGACTTCTCATAAAAGGCCGGTTTCTGCCTCCTCGGAGGAAACTTACCTTGATGAGCCAGAGCACCGCGATACCTTCTCGGTAGAGCAACAGTGAACTAGTACGCCACACATATGCGAGACGTCATCATGGCCATCTTCGGTATCTCCCACACTAAGGACACCATCGTCGGAAACGATTTCATCCGCGGTGTCTCTGGTTGAGAGCGCAAGCGTGTCAGTATTACCGAAGCCTGCCTGGGCATGGCTCCGCTGCAATGTTGGGATAACTCCACTCGTGGTCTCGACAGCGCTAATGCATAGAACCCAGTCAAGCGAATTGCGTTTGAAAGAAGGTGCATTGAAGATGTACTCACCGATAAGAAACGAGTAATTCTCTTGCAAGAAAATCCTAGCAGCAGCAGCCTGGGGCCACTGTCGCTTTTGGGACTGCGTCCCATACAAGTCATATGGAAAACCTAATATCAGGTCAGCATTTTGTTTCAATGTTAAGAACCTTTCTGATGGATGGGTCGCTGCGGTGGCTGCGGCACGAATGGATATCGGTCGATCAATGGGTCCAGGCACCACGACCAACACGAAGCATGGGTGGCAGTAAATAGGCCGGCCGTGGGCTTTGGTACACGTGACGCCAAGACCGGCCACTGTGAGCGAGCGGATTAAAACGGCGTCAAAAGCGGCCGTTTCTGGCTTCCCATTCACCGTGTCATGCATATTTGTACTATTCTTTCTGCCAAACTTCCTGTTCCATTTCACCGTTTATTTAGTCTACTCAGACTGTCTCAGCTACTGACTATATCAATTCCTCCACGTGAAAGATCAAGGGAGTGGACAGGGGAAGCATCCCTGTAATTAGATAACGCTACTAACCGCGCTGAGCGCTGAGGCTATGTGGCTAGCTCCTCCTCTTCGTGACTCGTCCGCCTAGCCTGATAGCTCTTCCCAGGCTCAGTTGTCTAAAGTCTATGATCTACAGGGTATGTAGCTGCGGGTGCGCGCCTAGCTGCCTCCATCCAACGGTTCAATAACATTACAACTCAGAATCCTTGCTGTCTTGATTGGCTCTGGGTGTGGCTACGATTGAAATGGCCTTATGCAGACATGTTGGGTAACCAATCGCCTAGACCTGTTGGATGTGGCTTTGCGACGCGAACCGGGGCTGTCAGCCAGCTTGGCCCAGCTATAGGCCACTCATATGCGCAAGTCAGTATAAAACGCCAGATACTCAGTAGAATATGCGCGCATGCCTCACTATTATGTCCTCATGCGAAGCTGGCTGATCCGAATAGTTACGTGTGGGTTTTGGCATTGACACGTATGCTGAGGCTTGTAACATGGGTGCTTTCTATTCTCCCAATAGCCCTCTTTTGTAGATTAGACTGATTCATGCCTACATCGATAGGCCCCCAGGCCCTCTTACAGACTATCTATTCTCCTAGTAATGCTTGTGACAAGAAATTGTGAGGCAGATTTTGTTTGCCGCGTATGGAGAACGCCTCACTATCGCTTTTTACAAAGTGCAATGGGGTATTTACGTCTCTGTTAGCAAACAGGACATCCGTTTGCCATATTCCATTACTTATATTACTTCATAGACTCTTTCCATTCTCTGACCCCTCTCTAACCATCACATTCATCGGAAATCTACTCTCATTTTCAGCGATAGCCATATATCTGTGCAAGCCTCTGAGCTAAAAAGACACATAGTGCTTGAAAGTTCATCGCAGCTAGACCTTCTACGGCTCAGTCTCCTTCCAACCCCATCATGATGCCCCGCCGCGGAAATTGGGTTCGGGGTAGAACGAGCTACCGAGGAGGATACAACAGCAGAAAGCGCAATGAGTCGGAAACACCCTGTGTATACTTTCAGCGTGGCAGGTGCCACTACGGTGAGAGGTGCAGATTCTCGCATGACGTTACCAACGCTGCCGACTACGAGTTGAATCCAGCCAGAGATCCGAACGCTCGGAATCAATACTTTGTCTGGAAGAGATTCCTTAGAAGCGGAATATCAAGGTCTGGGTATCCTCCTATGGAACAAGAGCTCGCTCAATTCTGGAAAGGGGCTCTCGAAATCCTGGAAAGTGATAACAGAGAGAATCATCAATCCCTCGCCAAAGATCTTGTGGATGACGATCTTCATGGATATGATTTTATCCTGGCAACTGCGGATGCAGACAACTCAAAGGGAATAAGACCTATTCCTGCTTACGTTGAACCGTTCCTCAAAGTCATTACCCATCTCTCTCTCTTGAATTGTCTTTCTATCGATTCATTTGTTGGCACTCTGTACGCATCTTTCGGTGGCACGAATGGAGATCGAGCAATCAGATATCTGAGAGATGTCTGTCAGAACCTGATGGGTAGGGGTGAAGACATCCGCAAAGCTAGACCGGTGATTTCCCTAGACATGATGAAATTGCTGTTGAACACCCTTTACCAGCTTTTGTCAAGGGTCCGACGCGCTCGATTCCATGATGAACTCCCCGTACTGCTCGACCTAGCCCGCGAATTGGGCTCCAAAGTGACGGAAGATTGCTCGAAAGCCGACCTTGACGGACTTGAAAGCAGAATCGAAGTCATGCAGAGCCTGGTCACGAGCGCAAACCGCAATCTTGTTACACCCAGGGCGCTTGAGGGGGATCCTCAGACCACCGGGCCAGTTTTGTCGTCTTTCCCAATGGATATGCAAATACCTGGTGGGAGACACGACAACGACCTCGCAGATATATCCCAAATTCAGATTCTTCCTACCCATGGAGAGATTGTCAACGGCAGTTCAGTGGAATATCTACCCTCTACCAACTTCCTACAGCCGCACATTCTCGCCGACCCTTTGCAAAGATATATCGACTCAACATTCCGACTCCTACGCCATGATATCTTCGGTTCAGCTAAAGATGTTCTTAGAGATCTGCTGCAGCAAATTGATCTGACACGAAGTCCCTATATGTCAGGCAAGGAAAGCAGGGCACATCTCTATATGGGAGCACAAGTCCAGCACATCTTTATCAACGAGAGACACGAGCTCGAAGCAACTATATCCTTTTCTACTCCATCCCAACTCCGCAAAATGTCATCCAAAGATCAATGCAAATGGTGGGAAGACTCCAGTCGACTTGACGAAGGAAGCCTAATCTGCTTTTTGGCGTCACAAGGAACTCACAGAAGACTTATCTTCCTCGAGGTGACTGTGAAGAATGCTTCCAAGGACCAAGGACCCCGGAAGAGCAGTCTTGTTTCTGATACTTACCCACCTAGTATTACGGTCAAGCTTGCGGCATGCTTACAAGATGAACTGATGTTCCTGGGCCAGCTTTACAGCGAGAGACTCACTGGTATTCTTGTCGAATTCCATGGTTTAATCCCTGCCACGTTCGTCCCTATCCTGGAAAACCTGCAGCAAATCCAACGCGAAGGGGATTTGGCATTCCGAAAATGGATCTTGCCAGGCCAGAAGGGTGATAAAGATGGACAAAACATACCCCCACCGGCATACGCACGCAAACCAGGATTTATCTTCCCCCTGACGTCGATCGCAAACCTTCCGGCTGGCGATGTTGCATTGGACCCGAGTGCCTCTGAGTCTATTGACATACTGAAGCTGCAAACCACGACTGGTCTCGATTATGGCCAGTGTCAGGGGCTTATCGCAGCTCTCACACGAGAGTATGCCCTAATCCAAGGTCCACCAGGCACCGGAAAATCCTATTTAGGTGTCAAGATTGTTCAAGCTCTGCTCGAAATCAAGACAAAGGCAAAGCTGAACCCGATCATTGTGATGTGAGTACTGAGTTCATGCCTTTCGGTATCTTCACTAACGGGAACCGCAGCTGTTATACCAACCATGCCTTGGACCAATTCCTCAAACATCTTCTTGAGGTAGGTATTCAGAGAATAATCCGCATGGGTGGCCGCAGTCAGGCCCCCGAGCTTGAAGGCAAGAACCTTCGCATTGTCAGTCAAGATATTGGGAAGACTAGGTTAGAGTCGAAGTCCCTCGGCATGTCCTATGGGGGAATTGAAGACTGCATGAAAACTGCTGGATATGCAATGAAACCTCTACACCAGTCTCAAAAAGGCCTGTCTTGGGCCGCTCTGGGGAATTTCGTGCGCCGGAAATGGCCCACTATACATGAACAGCTTGAGCGACCAGATCCGGAAGGTTTCGAAACTGTCACAGACGACAAGTTGCTTAACTGGCTTGGAGTCAAATTCATGAAAATACAGAATGGCCAGAACGAGGGTGAAGTTGACGGTGTGCGCTTGGAAGGCCTCACACGTGCTGCCAAGGGAAATATTCATAGTCTCTCGATGCCGGAACGCCAGATCCTTGCAATGGACTGGTTCAAACAGTGGCGGGAAAGCGAAACCGCCTCGCTTTTTGAGGCTATTGATCGCGCTACGCGTCATCGCAACAACATCAATGCAGTCCATGAAGAGGTCAATCGTCGAGCCCTGATTCAAGCAGATGTGATTGGAATTACGACAACATCCCTTGCACGCCATATCAAGACACTACGCTGCATAGGAACAAAGGTCATCATATGCGAGGAAGCAGCTGAGGTGATGGAAGCCCACGTCATCTCAGCCCTCATGCCAGGTGTTGAGCACTTCATCCAGATTGGAGATCATCGACAGCTGCGACCACAGATTCAAAATTATTCACTTAGTCTTGAATCATCCACGGGAAAGGCGTGGCAGCTCGACAGAAGCCAGTTTGAGAGACGTGCTCTGGGTGAGCCAGGTCTCAAGCCTGCCCCTATTTCACAGCTTAATGTACAGCGAAGAATGAGACCCGAAATCTCGCAACTTATCAGGCGTGTCTATCCCAAAGTCGAGGACCATGAAAGCGTGACAACTGTACCGAATGTTGTTGGAATGAAGGACAACCTCTTTTGGCTTGACCACCAATGCCACGAAGACTCGAGAGATGATGGCAGCCGTGTGAAGTCTCATAGCAACCAGTGGGAGGTCGATATGGCTACCGCTCTGGTTCGGCACCTTGTTCGGCAGGGAGCGTACAAGAGCACGGATATTGCCCTCTTAACTCCATATACGGGACAGCTGCGGAAGCTCAGGTCATCGCTTAGCAATGATTTCGAGATTTGTCTTAGCGAACGAGACCTAGAAACCTTGGCTGCAGAGGGGTTTGAGACGGTCGAAGATGAGAATCCTGAGTCCAATAGTCACAAGGCACTCGAGAAGAAGGCGTTGCTTCAGACGCTCCGCCTTGCCACAGTCGACAACTTCCAAGGCGAGGAGGCAAAAGTGATAGTGGTCTCACTAGTTCGAAGCAACACAAAGAGCAAGGTTGGCTTCCTACGCACCGAAAACCGCATTAACGTGCTCCTCAGCCGGGCCCAACACGGCATGTATCTCATTGGAAATGCCCAAACATACCTTAATGTGCCAATGTGGGCCGATGTCCATTCTCAGCTCTCCCGTGCGGATGCAGTTGGCACGGAATTGGCTCTATGTTGTCCTCGCCACCCAGAGACACCTATTCTATGTTCTGAGCCTCGCGACTTTGAAAGGAAGAGTCCCGAGGGTGGGTGTAGTCTCCCGTGCACCCGTCGACTTGAGCCATGTGGTCATCAATGCCAGGCCAAGTGTCATTCGACGGTCATGCACGACGGCTTTGCATGTGGGAAGCCTTGCCCACGCATCCGAGCAACCTGTGATCACGAATGTCCGAAGCTTTGTGGTGAAAAATGTGGCCCTTGCATGACGAAGGTTCAAGACGTTGAGCTTCCTTGCGGTCATATTAAGCAGGTTGTCTTTTGCCATCAGAGGTCTAACCTGGGAGCCGTCAAGTGCGACGTTCAAGTTGAAAAGACTGTTCCTAAGTGTGGCCATGAAATCCAGGTTGGCTGTTCTAAGGATGTAGCATCCCCGGGGTTCCGTTGCCCTGAGCCATGCACCGATATTCTCAGCTGTGGCCACAACTGCAGTGATTGCTGTGGAAAGTGTCTGAAGGAAGTTGTCGACGGAAGAAGAATAACCGAGCATCCGAAGTGCAGAAAGAAATGTGACCGTCCACACGGTGTTTGCAACCATAGGTGTCCCAAGGAATGTCACGATGGGCAAAGCTGCGGTTACTGTGAGGCAAAGTGCGAAGTAAGACTCACTATAACCTGTTATCTCATCATCGTACAGAGACTAATCATATCATAGGTCCGATGCTCGCACTCAGCATGCGACTTAACCTGCGGAAAAGCATGTGCACCATGCATCGAGAGATGCACCTGGTCTTGCGTCCACCAAGGCTCCTGCTCAATGCCTTGCGCGGCACCATGCAACCGACTTCCTTGCGATAAGCGATGCTTAAAGGTTCTTGAATGCGGTCACCAGTGTCCGAGCCTCTGTGGGGAAGATTGTCCAAAGGATCTGTGTCAAAAGTGCGGCGACAAGAGTGATGCTCGTGTTGACCTCCTCGAATGGAAAAACTATTCCGAAATTAACCTCGATGAAACTCCGATTGTCGTTCTTGGATGCGGCCATTTCTTTACAAGCGAATCGGTCGATGGATTGGTGGGCCTGGAGCAAGTATACACGAGAGATAAAGATGGAAATTTCGAAGACCTCCGAGATGTCTCTTCTTCTCTTGCCAGTGCCATACCCTCATGCCCTGACTGCAAGCAACCAATTCGCCAGTTTGTGACGAAACGTTACAATCGTGTTGTCAATCGTGCTGTTATGGACGAGATTTATAAGCGGTTCCATACCAAGGGTCGCATCGACCTTGAGGTCCTTGAATCGCGGTTGAATGATCTTGAACGAAAGGTCAACTCCAAGGCGCTGCTCGTTGGACTCGCCAGATCATACCACACATCACTATGGACGGCCTGTGAGCGTCTTGGGACAGATGCTGTGAATCTCAGCAGAAGCATGGAGGTCGAGAATCAGCCGATGAAACGGCTCAGGGATGCGATTACCATCAACCAGAAGCTACAAGAGGACGGAATAGCCTCCCTATCAGCCAGAATAGAGGCAATCAATCTAGCAACACGAGAACCCGATAGCCAAATCACTCTCCGTGCACGACTAATTCAAATCAAATCCCGAGAAATTGCGTTTAGCCTGGTGTTCAAAGTCGCGGAGTCAAGAAAAGACCGTGCAGAAACACGGCCAGCTCTCGCCCTATCACCAAATTCAGTCTTGCCCCAGATGTTGAAGGATTGCCGAGACTTGATAACTCAGGCGGATGAACGAAGACTCTACCGCATCGGCATCACGGCAACCATCTCATTCGCGAAGATCGCCCAGCTGGACGCATGGTATCGGCGCACTTATCCGGCAGAAGAAACATTGGATCCACATTGCAAAGAAAGCGACACCTCTGTTGAAAAGCTCGAAGATCGTACTGAAACCATCCGCGATCTCCTTGCCGCTGCGTTAAAACTATGCGATAGACTGGGGAACTGCCCCGAGCTCCAAGAACAGGTCCAGGAGATGGCCCGTCTCTACGAGGGGCCGCGGTATGAGACAGTGACTCTAGAAGAACTGCAATCAATCAAGACGGCCATGGTCAGTGGGCGAGGAGGAATCGCGACTCACTCTGGGCACTGGTACAATTGCGTCAATGGACATCCGGTGAGTAAATCCCCCCTGATCTGTCCGTCTATTCTTACCCCGATGGAGACAAGCTAATAAACATCCCTAGTTTGCTATTGGAGAGTGCGGTATGCCGATGGAGCAAGCTAGATGCCCTGAGTGCGGAGCACCTACTGGAGGTCAAAACCATAGGGCCGTTGAGGGCGTATCTCGAGCGCAGGAGATGGAGTAGATAGAACAATAGTTATTGCTTTCCCGATTATAATGTTATGTGCTGAATAGACCAATACTCTGATCTATTCGGCGCTCTACCTGGCTTCCTCGATTACTCAAAAGGACCTACCCTGCAGTAAGGCCTGTTAGGCAATAGTACGGTTGAGAGTACACATTGTCGACGTTGGAAACCCAGGGAGTATAACGCTTCCCAGATCAAAATTGTATTTGTGCAGTTTGGAATACACTCGCAAACTTCGCTCTCTATACGCAAAAGAGACAAGACCAAAAAAGCACTTTTCATCGTCATGCGCATATTCCACCTGTCATTCCTCAACTCCAGCCAAGAAACACACAACGGCAGAAGCAAAAGCCTTAGAATCATCCGCACCTTCCTCAAGATCATCCCCAACCTGCTCCAAGAACAACGCCAACTTCGACTCCTTCCACCCCATAATGGGTGCAGACTCGAAACACATCTTCGTCATGCCAAAGGCATCCATTTCATAATGGCCCTGCACAGACAGTACCCTACCAGGGTAGTAGAGTCCCTGGATGGGACAGATAGGCGTACTGCCGATATTAACCCACGGCGCCGGCAGAGAAACAGGCGGCGAGTCCGTCAGCGTAACAGCAGTCCCCTTTTCAACAGCCATTACACGGTCACCGTGAAACATTTGAATGCGCAACTGTCCACCGGGAAGCTCACCGAGCGCAGCAGGGAAAGCTCGAGTAAACGCCTCCTCTAGCTGAACGGTGTAAATACCAACTTCACGACCCAGAGGACATTTCTCAACCCACACATCGCGGACCGGGTCATTCACGTCGCGCACTAGAGCGTGCGAAATGAGCTGGTGTCCGAAGCAGGTGCCCAGGATCCGGACTTCTGGGTATTTATTGAAAACAGTCGTGATAAAGCTCTGCAATTTTTGCATCCAGGGAGATCGCTCCATTTCATATACCCCTGGCGAACCGCCGGTGATCAGGATTGCGTCTACCGGGTATTGCACGGAGGCATTGTTGTCTGCGTGTCCGCGCAGCTTGTATAGTTCCGGGTAATGGCCGCCTCGGATGTCGTATGGGGTGATTTGAACTTCGAGTTGGTCTCTGTTGGAGAAGAAGGTCTCGTTCAGGCGTGATGCCGTCTCGCGGAGGATTGTTCGAAAGTGGGCGCTGCACAGTCCGCGGGCTTCGTATAGCTTTCGAGCCGGGATGTCGACGTCTAGGACGGCAATGTGAATGTGGTGGACCATTTCTAATGTGTTTGTTTGTGTTCTCTGTTCAGGTCGTGTATTTGGTCTGGGAAGAGGTTATTTGTGGTGGGTGGTGGAAGATTTCAGTGATCCCATGTACTATATAGGAAATTGGTCTCCTCATGTTGACTTTGAAGGAATATCGGATCTAATTAGGTAAAATGTGAGAATCTCGGAACCGTAGGATTCTCATGAATAATAGAAAATAGTCGAATGCACTTTGTCCCAGGAACAGCAGTGGTGAATTACTCCAACGGACTCCAACCGCCATGAAGCTATTAGGTAAAGGCCACCAAGGTTAGAAGAAAAGATCCATCCATGGTTAGTCGGTAAGCTTATTTTTTACTTCTGGTCTACCAGGTACTGGGTACAAGTAGTCACACGTCTCGGTGGAGTGGACAGTGAAAACTCGATATCCCGATTCCTTCGCAGCAACCTCCAGAGATTCGGCAATCTATCTCATCACCCTGGAGCCTTCTTGGAATTGAATCACCAGTTGGACTATCCATGTCTATATCCCGGCTGCACAATAACACCTCTTGCGATGTCCCCAAGTCAGATGCCAAGGACCCAAGGTGCAGGGACTCGGGGAGAGCCTTGGGATCGCATTCATTGTTGCAAAATTCACTCAATATGATTAGGCTAATAGGCCTCTCCTCGACTTCTCATAGCGGAACACGTCGACACGACAGTGTACACTTGCCATGCTCCTGTGAAAAAGCAGCGAAAGCAACAGGACAGTTTCTGCCCTCTGCCTTGGCGGCTCGCTATCGGAGCCGGGCCCATATCTCCGAGTATCGGCTAACCGAAAGGGGAAGAAGTCAGGATGAGATCTCAGATTGGCGAGTAAAATGGTGAAGATCGTTCAGTTAAACTAGCGTCAATTCAATTATGCCTTCAATATATAAATTCTAGCTCCATCTATGATCTACATTCCCTCGCCTTCCTAGCCTCAGAGTCCCGCGAAAACCATGGCTTCAAGTTCACCCCTGAATGGGGCCAAACAACCCCCAAAGGGCCAAAACTCCATCAGAGACAGACGGAGAACCACGAACGGCACACAGGCTAATGCAAAGGGGAATAATGCCATTCCAGCAACCTTGAAAGCTCCAACCCGGAAGCGCAAAAAACAGCCCTCTCTACTCCGCCGCTGTAAACGCTTCGCAGCCAAACACACATGGGCACTCCCACTGGCTCTCCTACTGGGCATCCTAGGACTATACGCCCTGGATCCGACCGAGTCCAACCCCCTATCCCATTTCATATTCCTCTCCTACAAACAGGAACCCCTAGACACACACCCAAATGCAGCCCCGCAATACGGCAAGGGTCTATGGGACATAGCATTCGTCTCATTCTACGTGATCGTGCTATCATTCACGCGGGAGTTCATCATGCAAGAACTCCTCCGCCCCCTAGCACAAGCTCACATCAAATCCCGCTCCAAGCAAGCCCGCTTCATGGAGCAGATGTACGCGGTCATTTACTTTGGCGTCCTCGGTCCTGTGGGACTGTACGTTATGCGCCAGACGCCGGTCTGGTACTTTAACACGCGGGGGATGTACGAGCTATTCCCGCATAGAACGCACGCGGCGGAATTCAAGACTTACTACCTGTTCGAGGCGGCGTACTGGGCGCAGCAGGCTATTGTCATGTTACTTGGGATGGAGAAGCCGAGGAAGGATTTCTATGAGCTTGTTACGCATCATATTGTGACTTTGGCGCTGATTGCGCTCAGCTATCGCTTTCACTTCACGTATATGGGTATTGCCATTTATATCACGCATGATATCAGTGATTTCTTCCTTGCTGTAAGTTGTCCGCGGTATTTGCGAGCATACGCTATTCCTCCCAATCGCACAGAGAGACGTTCAGAACAGACCGTTAACACTTCTCCAGGTATCAAAGTCCCTGCATTATATAGCACCCGATATTATGATCCCCTTCTATGCAGCCTCAATCGGTGCCTGGATCTATCTGCGTCACGTACTCAACCTGCGCATTCTCTATTCTATTTTGACAGAGTTCCGCACCGTCGGGCCCTACGAACTCAACTGGGAGACACAGCAATACAAGTGCTGGATCTCGAACATCATCACCTTTGGGCTGCTTGCTATTCTCCAGACTCTGAATTTGTTCTGGCTGTACTGTTTGCTGCGCAGTGCGTTCAAGTTCCTTCTTACAGGCGAGAAGAAGGATGATCGTTCTGAGCCGGAGACTGAGGTTGAGCAAGAGTCCAGTGCTGTTGAGGTAAATAGCCTTTCTTCGAATGGAAGTGCATTGGCCAGGAAGACAAATCATGTTAGTCAGGCCAGCTAGCGCTGCTTGTGTGTCTCTTATTCTCCAGCGGATCATTCTGGCAATCTGTGATGCTGCCCTGGCCAGTGACATGTTGCGCGGTTCCATGCCTAGTATTTTCTGCCGATTATGCAAAGTGGAAGATGCGACATGTCCTCACCATTCTAATGTAACATATGAGCATATATCTTCGCATACTACATTAATACTTCACCTATATGGAGGCCCTCTCCCACCCCCAGGAAGATAGGCGGGCCCAAGTTCTCCAAGCTCACCATAAACCTACCCAACCCTCCTTCCAACACCCTTGTAGGGGGAATTGCGGCACAAATCTATGCTGAGGGTAGACCTGAGGTGGGAGGGACATGCACGAAGACGTCTAGGCGCTAGCTGCCAAACCCATTTCCCGCCTAATATTGTTGCCTTAATGCCTACAGGTCCGCTATTTACACGCCCAATAGAAACTCCATAGTATGTGCGAAGGTATGCAATCTACAAGAAAGGTGCTTTGCAGTCGTGAACTAAACATAGAATCAAGAAAAGCGCAGTCCCTGGCTAGGATCCCAGGTCTTTGGTTGAGGAGCACGTGTAGGCTGGGTCGGTGCTGGTCCCGGCCCCGTAGCGGGCGTGGCGCTTGGAGGGGCGCCGGCCGATCCAAAACGAATACCCATCTCAGGAGACCACATACCAGGCATAGTCCCTGGAATGCTCGGTGTAGAGACTGGTGGTGGGGCTACGGGTGCCCGCACCGGTTGTGGCGCTGTAAGAGGAGGTGCTGTCTCAGCTGGGCGCACAGCATGCACTTGTGGAGGTGGCTGTGATGGCGGCTGGCTGGGTGGCCCAGCTGTGTAAGAGGATGGGGCGTAGTGTGTGTGAGTTTGTTGCGGTGGTTGTTGGCGGAAGTGTGGCTGAGAAATATGGAGTGATGCCATCGCTGCGGCATTGGAGATTTCTCTAAATCGAGGGTATTCAATGTCAGTGATTGTCCATTGGGTCAGCGAAGGATGGTAATACATACGTTTCCAGTTGGCTTGCTTCCATCCGACGTTGGTGAACAAAGGCCTTGCCGTCGTCGCGGAATCGACCCACAATCTTTGCAAGGTCATTGTAAAATTTCCGTCCGACTTCGAGGTTCGAAATGATCTCCTTATACTTCAGGTATCCGTTTTCCAAATCCTGTAGTGCTGCCTCTCGTTCCTTCGTCGATGCGTCGCCCTTATGAGAGCCAGTAAAAGCCCGATTGGCTTCTCGGACTTGGTTTGAAAGATGCTCTTGCTCTCTCCGCTCTTGGGCCAACATTTCACTGTCCGAGTCATACAGCTTCAGATGTTTTTCGAACAAGTCCTCAAATTGGCTTGCCCGGATAGGTTGCATGGGGAAGTCTCGCTCAAGCCGAGCAGTCTCTCTGAGAAGTGCGGGATCTATATGCGCGTAAGATTAGTGAGTTTTATAGAAGACGAACAGGAAAAGACATACGGATGTCATCCGCTCGAGCTTTGTCCTTTAATGATTGAATTCGCCGTTTTCGCCGATTCTCCATACGAGTAACCTCGCTCAAGCAACCGCGCAGCCGGTTGGCCTCGCGCTCAACCTCTGGCGGGATTACGGCTCTCCGGCTACTAGGTACGTATGCCTCCAAGTCGCGATTCGTACCAGTGAGCACGATGAAAACAGACTGCGAATCTCGAAGCTTGCGTTGGACGAGATCATCACTCGCTTGGGCGGAGGTGAAATAGCCATTGATCTCAGTCAGTGTCTTGTAGAGTTTAGGCGCTGCAGCCTCTGATGTCTGGCGGGTCCAGCGATCAGTGCCGTATTTCTGGCGAGCTGCAAGGTCCTCCGCCTTCTCAGCGGCGAGTAGCTCTACACCTTCGTTATATACGGCCAGGTCATTATCCTTCACTCTGGCGGTGTCTGCGATGGACCGGTGCAAGCGGTTCATGCCGTCCTGTTGTCGCATTTCCTCGGCGTGCGACAGAAGGGTTGGAGGGAGGCCCAGTGGCTTCTCGAGGGCTTGTAGTGACCCTGGTAAGTGAAGGGATGAAAGCAAGCTGGAAACCGAGATTAGCAAAAATATCGCCGAACGCATTACTAAAAACATACTCTCGCAACTTATCAGTCATCGATTCTAACTCTCCAATGAGATTGTCATTGACCAGTCGGTCCCGGCGGTCAGTGTAAATGCTGGCAGCAATGTGAACTGCATATGGAACCAGCTTCGAGAATAATGGCTGACCTAATGGCCCATTGCTACCTAGCATGGAGATCGCATCGGTCACCTGTGAAGGCGCCTTGGCCATCACCATGCTGGCACGCTCGATTGCCCTTAGTTCGGATTTTGGTGGCACAGGATTTAGATATATCATGTCGTTATCCTTCTCGGCACGCTTGAGATCTTCCCCTACGCGGCCCTTCAATCCGTTCAGGTCGCCAAGAACAGTCCGATTGATCCACCGTTGTTCCTTCAGGCCTTCAGCTGCGCACAACAAGCTATCGCGCAGTCGAGCAATCTCCTCTCCGTACTTGCGCTTCTCCAAACAATCGAGAGACTGGCGGAACTGAGCAGCTGCAGCAAAATGGTGATGTTTCGCAGTCATGTGATGGATCCAATCCGTGCTGATCGCATTGGACTTGACAGCCAAGTCACCCGCGTCGCCGTAGAAATCGGACACCTTAGCTGCTAGCTTGGCAATGGATGCATCTTTCAGTCCATCTTTGACAGCTTTTTGCCAGAAGCATTCCTGGCCCTGCCCAAGCAAGAGAAGTTCTAAACTCTGCAGTGTCATTTCATCCATATCCTCCGGCGGTGATGTTCGCAGATCGGGAATGATGTCTTCTCGAAGATGCTTCAATACCCCGGCGGCGGAACAGAGATAGTTACATGCCTGCTTCAGACCTTCTGACGTAGTTCGGTTGGCCGCATACGCCAGTTGGGAGTACAATGCGGCAAGGTTGAATATGATGTTCGCAAGTTCGAAGCGCAGGTTATTCTGTGATACTGCAGCACACGATTCCTGTCAGCGCATGTCCGCCAATAAGCCCAATGCGGAAGCTTCGGGGGCCATGAAAACACAACTAACCTGGCCGCGAGGCATTGAACCCAAAAGCAGGATACCACGAGAAATCTACACCGACCTACATAGCGCACCAGGGGTCAGCTTCACAAACCGACACGAAGACTCAAGAATTCGAAAAGCGGCGCACATCGATCGGGAACTTCCCGCCCAGCCATTTTAGCTGAGCCGCATAAGTGACCAGGCGGCTAATACCACTGAAATGAGGTTCCTGCACATTAACAGCCTCTGAGCGGAGGCGATCAATAATCATCAAGTCCTCCGCGAACATATCCGGGCGCTGGTCATATTTTGATGAAATGTACTGAGTGATCGCTTCGGACAGTGAGACGGCATGAGAGCGCCGGAACGGGATTTGGAGGATATTGCTGTATAAATCAAGAAGTCCCATTTGTCAGTATATCTCAAACGGCCTCCATGCGTATGCATGCTGTCTGGGTGTACTCACGACGCCATTGTCGCTTGAGGCGGGGGTGCGGAAGTCTTCGTTTGTTTTGACAACGGAAGTTCCACCCCACCGGGCAACCAGATGACGTATTGACGGCCTGAGGCATCAAAATTGGGTAACTAAGAGAGACAGGATGGATGTCTGCACAGTACGGAGTACTACTTACTACTACTACTACTACTACTACTACATATCTTTTGGGTTGTACATTCTGACATCGGCTCACAGTGCGCTTAAAGTTCATTCGTATATGTACTTGGGTAATGAAATACTAGAAGATGCCTCTCAGAAGTCAGAACGCACAATGGCGGATAATGTTCAACAAATGCACCATCAACTCATTTCGACACAGATGACTTTCATTGGTTGAGTCGGTGTGATCAGTTCGGCAGCTCGTCGATGCGCGATTTGAGATATTCGAAAATGGTGAGCAAGATCATGTTGTTCACGCCGGTCCGAATAAGAAGGATAGACAAGCCCCTGTACGTGCTGGATTTAGCGACAGCTTGCGATGCCTCGCCGATCTCGCTTGTTTTGCCAAGTAGCACGCTCTGTGCACGAGTTTTACGCGTGTCGAGGGGATAAGTCTGTGAACTGTCAGCACACACTGTCTAGGGAAACGAGGTGTTGAGTTCATCACATACACAGAACCAGGGCACAGTGCTGCAGATTGCACCAGCAATCATGGGTGCACCGAACGGGTTTTTATCTTGGCCCAACTCCTTCGCAGCTACCTGCTTCACAGTTTCGTAAACGCCGAAGTACAGTCCCGTGCCCACCGTATCGCGCAGGGCATGCAAGCGGAAACCAGTATAAAGTCCACGGAAGCCATATCGCCCGTATATTTTCTTAAAGGCTTGAATAGTTCCTAAGCGGGGCTTATGGCGCAAAGAGGAGTCGTGGGCTGCGTCTGGCGCAGCCATCGCGCGATTCGAGACTAGGACCGATGTCTGGACGACATTTTTGGCCAGCTCAAAAGGGCCTGTGGTCAATGTCAGTTCGGCTTCTGCCAGGGCTTCAATGGCTCTATCAAGATTAAGAACATACAAGCCAAAGGCGATGACACCAGGCCAGATACGAGGCCTGCTGCAGTAAAAGTGAGCACACCCGCCAAGGTTGGGGTGCTTCCAACCTTCTTGTAATCGTCCAACGGATTGGAACCCGTTACGCGCTCCACATTGGTGGCAATCATGTCTTTGAAGGCATTGTACACGGTGAAGTTGACAATACGGACTACCGCGACGCTCGCCAAGGGTGGAAGTGCGCCTATAAATTCGTCAGTCAACCGCTCGACGACCAACGCATGGAGATTGACTTACCAGCTACATATCCTCGGGGCCCTTCTGTGCGCCATAAATAGCGAACGCATTGCCAGATGTTTTGGAAGCTGTGACTTTACGCCAGTTAGCGTGCTAGTACGCGTTTGAGGCTGCGTAGGATACTTACGTCTGCATCCGTGTCTTGACATTCTCCAGAGGGGTCTTTTCGACAAATTAGCAATGGTTCAACGATATGAATTGACGAATGAAGGGCTCCAAAGCTCCGATTTCCAGGGAGCACTTACCACGGCCAGCGTCGCGCAAACAGCCGACGCCCCCGAAGTCACCTGTGTTTTGTACTTTTTCAGAAGCCTGTTTCGTGTGGCCTCATCCATGATCCAAGATTTGCTGTCCGGCATGATGTCGGATTTTGATTGTTGGGTCGAGGAAGGAAATGGTGCATGTTCAGATCGTTTGTCAATAGTCATCCCTGGACGTTCTCCATTGGCGGCGACAACGACAACGAAGAGCTGGCGGCGACAACAAAGATCTATGGATAGATCCGGCAGGTCCGTTCAGAACGTTTCTTCTGTACAGACTCGTATGTTTGCAGGCTGGGGAACCCGATGGAACGCAAAGCGGTCTCTCAGAACCCGAGTAGACCGTTCGGCGTCCCACAATTGTTCATTGAACGGGGCCGACCAACCAAGTTCTATCTTGACTCTGTTTAAACAGACCCCGACTATCTCCCTCGGTGGTATTTAGCACGTTGAGATCCGTTTTTGCGAATATTGAGAATAAATCGGACCTCAGTGGTCGAGACAATCGCCGGCCACGATAACGTTTGCGACCCCGCGTTTACGAAGATGCGATGGGGCGTTACAGGGAATTGAGGAGTCCAAGTAATGTGTTGCGAGGAATATCTGTTGCAGAAAATTGGACTTGCCTCTCTCCAGGTGTGTCTCCCACGGCAACGGGTCACGGCAAAAGGTTACTGACGGCGATTGTGAGCTGTGGGGAGGCAACCATTAGCATCCGAACTGCTTCCCTTGCCGGCCCGGGCACCAGGGCAAAAAAAGCCATTGCGGGATTCCGGATTTTGAGAAGACGACTTACTGACAGTACCCCCACCTATCGCACACTTGGGAGGAACAGTTGACCTGATGCTATGCTGAAGGGAAGAAAAGAAGATCAAATGGCATGTGGACCGAGCTTAACCAGAAATCTCAATGCGGTTTAGGGCGAACGGGGTGACGTCGTCGTGAATACCCGCAACAACGGATATTTTGACATAGTGCTGACGCTCCAATGGGCCGCCTGGGACGGAGCTCCTTTGGTTTGCTTTACATTGTGTACAAGGCACACTGATCTGCCTATGTCTTTGGTGAATATGACCATATATCTCCAGACCCAGCTGTGGAATATCTCACGGTCGCATTCTGGTCATGCTTATTCATGCGGAAACAGACAGAAAAGGCACTATTCTTATGCAAAGCGACTCCAAGAGCTGATCTCTCTGAGATAAAAGGTTCCATGGACCATGGGTCGTGTTGATCTCTTGGTGGAGGACAGTACTCCGCAACGTATCATGGCCCATGGGTTAGGTCTCACACAGGGATAAGCTTTTGCATTGCACACCACTAACTCACATCTTTAACAACCAGATGGTTTTGAACCGGTCTGGTTTGGACTGAGATTCTAAACTCACCTAGCAATATTGGTCCTATGGTTGCTAGGCACAGCAGGTCGTTAAACAGCAATCCGATTTGTCAGTCGAACGGCTTCTTATCATGATACCGAGACTGGAGTGGATCGGATGTGGCGTGTCTGCATCGTGCCACCGTGATGAGCCGTAGGGGTTGTTCTCCTTTTGAAGATGCTCTATGCAGCATGCAACGTGCTACGGATCTCGGTTCAGGCACTGCAATGCCTTGCCGAAGTTGGTCTGGCGGGAATTTGGCTCATACAGTGTACCGGAGTACATTATCAGATGGCGAGCAGGCGGTACCAACTTGCAGCTTTGTTATAGATGTACTAGGTTGATTCAAAGATTGTTCATTCTTGTTTCCTCCAACTCAACTTGTCAGCTTGGTCAAAAAGTGTGGAAATGGACATGGAGGTTGCCAGGGTTGGATTTCGTTGCTTTCACGTGAGACCCAAATTATGCACAGCAGCACAGTACAACATAAGGAGACATGCATCTCCTATTTGCTTTGACACGTATCATAACCACGGGTATATATACACAACCTCCGTCAATTTCCAGTTGAATAATCTCCAACTCACAATGCTGAGGTTGTGCAGAACTATGCTGTGCCGTGGTCCCTCGGGAGTCGGGACCTCGGTTTTCCCCGCAATTTCACACGAGCTCCCCACATGCTGCTGACTTATTTATAAAGACCCATCGCCTCAATCCATCGTAGCCTACCCTGCTGCTTTCACTATCTCTACCTCTCCACATAACTCCTCCACATTCTACATCATGGGCAAGAAGCAAGGAACACCCGCCTACGTCCTGGGCGTGGGCATGACCAAGTTCATCAAGCCTCGTGGCAAGGTCGACTACCATGAGCTGGGCTACGAGGCCGGTGTCAAGGCCATGCTGGATGCTAAGATCAACTACGACGAGGTTGACCAGGGTGTTGCCTGCTACGTCTACGGCGACAGCACCTGCGGCCAGCGTGTCTTCTACCAGTTCGGCCAGACCAGCATCCCTATCTACAACGTCAACAACAACTGCTCGACCGGCTCCACTGGCCTCGCCATGGCCCGCACTATGGTCTCCCACGGCGCCGCAGACTGTGTCCTGGTTGTTGGCTTCGAGAAGATGAACCCTGGTAGTTTGCAGTCCATGTACAACGACCGTGAGAACCCCACCGGTCTCTTTGGAATGATGATGGCCGAGACTCGAGGTGTCACAAACGCACCCGGTGCCGCGCAGATGTTCGGCAACGCAGGTGTGGAATACAAGGAGAAGTATGTTACCCTGGATACTGCAGTCTTATACAGAAATTCATTAGCATGATCCTAACAAGTGACAACAGGTTCGGTGCTAAGAACGAGGACTTCGCCGAGATTGCCCGCATCAACCACGAGCACTCCAAGCGCAACCCCTACTCCCAGTTCCAGACCGAATACACCCTCGAAGAGATCATGAAGGCTCCCATGATCCACGAGCCCCTGACCAAGCTGCAGTGCTGCCCTACCTCCGATGGTGGTGCCGCCGCAGTCATCGTCTCCCAGGAGTTCCTGGACGCCCGTCCCCACCTGAAGGAACAGGCCATTCTCATCGCCGGCCAGACCCTTGCCACCGATACCGACTCAGTCTACAGCACCAGCTCCATCGACTTGATGGGCTTCGGTATGACGCGTCGCGCCTGCCGCGAAGCTCTCGCCGAGGCTGGCGTCAACGTTAAGGATATCAAGGTCTGTGAGCTGCACGACTGCTTCTCCGCTAACGAGATGATTACCATCGACGCTCTGGAGCTTTGTGAGCCCGGCAAGGCCCACGAGATGGTCCGCCGCGGCGATATCACATACGGCGGTAAGATGGTCATCAACCCCTCCGGCGGTCTCATCTCCAAGGGCCACCCTCTCGGTGCCACTGGTATTGCCCAGTGTGCTGAGCTGGTCTGGCATTTGCGTGGTTGGGCCAACAACCGTATGATCGATGGTACCTCTTCCGCACTCCAGCACAACCTCGGTCTGGGTGGTGCCGTCGTTGTCACCGTCTACAAGCGTGCCGACGGCAAGGTCGCCGCTGCTGTTCCCTCCGACGTCGTTGGCAAGATCAACGGCCTCGGCTACAACCCTGCTGTTGAGGCCAAGGGCTTCACCGCTGAGCAGGCCAAGGCCGTGGTGAGCAAGAAGCACAGCTCTAAATATGCTCTTGCCGATACCCAAGAGCGTGTCATTGCCAGATTCTAGAGACAGATTGACAGCGGGATGTAAGTATACCAAATTGTATATAAATTCTGATTTTAAATGATATGATATCCACAATATGTTCTATATGCTTCCCAGTCTATCCCAATCTATATGCCCGTATGTATCTCAGATCTACCTTATGAACAAAAAACTATAATTAAACAATGTGCAAGAAACCCACAGACAAGATCATGCATCATTCATGTGTCGCCTCCCAATCATCAGGGAGTTTGTAATCCTTCGGAATGGAATACTGTCCCTGACAGCTCCCAGGACCGCGACACTTCAAATCACACTTCCCATACAACCGACAATAGCACTCAGCCGCACTGGGACAAGAATCCTGATTCAGCTGATCAAGATCAATTCCCCCGTTCTCTCCATACTTCGCAAAAAGAATATGCCACAAGTACGAGACCACCCTCCCAGCAACAAGGTCATCCCCAGGCGCAGCCTTCGAATCCCTCGGCCGCCGCATATCCCTCGCAACCCCATCATCACTCCCATCAAGCAACCACTGCCGCAAAGCAATATATTCCTCCCTCCCATGCTGCCAAACCCGCTCCCGCGCAACAGCAAACTGCGCGCAACACTGCGCACGCACAGCATCATTCCTCCCAAGATGAACATGAAAATCATTCCGAACCTTCTCAACATCGGCATCCACCTCCCCACCAAAGATATGGCCCAGCGCACGCGGCAGCGCCAAATCCGACGCCGCCCGCGGATTCCACGGCGACACAGCGCTCGACAGCCTCATCTCGAGACTTCCCTGCGCCGGCACAGCCGACGGACACGTCCCCGCGCTCCAGTCACAGCGAAGATTGTGATACCCCGTTGGCTGTAGGGCGCTCTCGACGTCCAGGCTGCGCAGGAGTGCGGCGTTATCGTAGTCCGGGATATCGTTGTGCCAGGCCCAGCGGTTGCCGTGGACGAATACGGCGCCGGCGGAGGGGATCTCCGCGTAGTTGTCGATTAGGAAGGTCAGGTAGGCCATGGCCTCGTGGCCGCGGTTGGCGGGGACTTGGAGGAATTTTGAGGTTTTGTCGGCCGGCGCATCCACATGGTAGATGCATACATGGAAGTGGGTGGAGAGGGGATCTAGCCAAGATGGGTCACCGTCGCTGGCGACATGGGAAACTACCAGGGCTGGTTTTCTCGATTTCTCGAGACCTGGGCAGATGCCGCGGGCTTCGGGGATGATTGAAGAGGTTGTTTTATAGCGGATCCTGGTCCAGGCGAAAACTTTGTCTTTCGTTGGTTGAGGGCGGTTTAGATATAGAATGAAAAAGAGAATGCAGATGAAAAGGATGAACTGGGTGAATGATCTTTGTACTTTGCGACGCATTTTGTGTATTTATTCATGCAATTATGTCCATGTCTTCTTCTTTTCTTCCTGCGTTGATCCATTCAAATATTTTACGCCTGAGGGGTGTGTACCAACCCCTAATGTGGGGGCGCCTGGCTCCACATACACGCGGATCATGTTCCCCTTGGAAGCTTCTTTAGTATTTTGCTAGTCAAGATCGTCTTGGCAAATGCTTGTCACAAAGAAAATGATCGATGTGAAGATTGCATCGAAGTATCATTACAACTATCATGTAATGTTCATGCCATTCAAACAATCAGACTTGACTCCGCCAACTTTCTTCCACCTTCATAAAACTTCTTCCTCTAATTTCATTCACTTTCCACCATACCGGCATACCGGCATACCCTCCTCTGCTGTAAACCTCCTAGAGTCTTATGCGGCCTTGGGCTGTTGTACTTCCGCTGTGATACCAGCGTCCATGAGTCCTTTCAGAATCGGTCGGGCCGAACCGTCCCAGCCAGTCTCACGAATCCAGTCCTCCAGAGTCTGGAGGTCAGGATTAATTCGTCGCATCTCATCCAAGTCGCGCGTTCCAACTTTCAGTAAAATACTGTCTTGGAACCCAGACCACCACATGCTGAAGTTTTGCCCCACCGTGATGCCATCTGGATACATTGACGACACTGGTGCACTGGCGTAGGGCAATGAGTCAATCCACTTCTCAATTGTGACAGGCTCGTAGCGTGCCTTAACACCAGAAACACGGGACAGAGTTTCAGCCAGCTCCTTCCCAGTTGCGAAATGACTTGTCCCCAGAAGAGTCTTCCCAGACCAAGACTCTCGGTTCTGAAATATGTGTAAGGCGAAAGCTCCACAGTCTTGAAGCGTCATGAATGGCAAGTGGCCATCCCCCAGTGGAAACCTGAAGACCCTGGTTCCATCCGCCTCAACAACTGGAACGAGAGGCCCACCCATCAGATCCTCATTGTACACACCAGTGATGAGAACTGACCAAACAAGTTTTGATTCAGGGTGCGCAGGAGATGTCATGCCATTGAGATAGGTATGGACCCGACCCTTTCCATTTGTATGATGAGTAGCGTACTTGTGGTCGAAGTTCGTAAGTCGGAGGTAGTAGTCAATACTGCTGTAGACGAAGTGGCGCAAGGTCGGAATTGTATTTGCAATCTCAAAGATTCGGATACCAGCCCAGAGCTCGTCTGGTTCATTGACGGTGAAGCCTTCCGGTTGTAAGCGAAATAAGCATGCATCAAGCTAAGACAGATGAGGATACATACCATCCGTGTTGACAAACACGCCATAGCAATCATGAAGTGCCTTTTCAACTGCATCAAAGTCCATGAATGACCCCTGGGCAAATTCAACCTGAGGATAGTCCTTGAAGGTCTTTTTAACTGCTTCTGAGGTGGGGTTACGCGAAAGCACGCGGACGGTGAACGGGTCCTTGGCTTCAAGTAGAGCCTTGACAACAGCAAACCCCTGCGCCCCGGTACCACCGATGACGAGAATTCGTTTATTAGCCATGCCCTTCTGATTGAGAATTTCGTCAATTTCGAGTCGGTGTGGAGAATTCTTAGGTCAAGTTGTTCAATGTTGTGATTGTCGTTCGAAATATAGTAGTAGCTGTCGCAATCAATGGAATATTGATAGACATTGTCGTAAGCGAGGACTATGGGAAAAGTGGTGTATAAGTACCCATCTCCAACGAGAGGATTATAATGCGGTGGTGAGTGATGATGAACAACATGAAAGAATAACTAATTATTAAGTTCTTGAATTTGTAATCCAAATTGTACTCCAAATTGGATCAGACCACTGAGACACTTGCATTTGTATGTTAGATCAAATCATCAATTTAAAATCTAAGAAATGGGAGTCGCGCTGTTTAATCATCGGAAGAAGGGACGGGAAATCAGATGCATAATCGAACCGGTAGCCCAATCATCATGAGATCTTGGGACAGAGCTCCGTGGGGCTCCACAAGTTTGCCTCAACGTTATGGAACCATGGAACCTCTGATTGATGTGTCCTTCCATTTTGCTATGATGTGAGCGTTGATAAAGACCTCAGACTCGTGGGATAGCGTCCAAGAGAATGCATTTCCTCGATCGGAGCAGCAATGCGGAATCTCAGTAAGATTATCTGGAAGAAAGGAGTATTCGCTTTACACATACAACACCCAATTTCTGAAGCTCCACGTATAAATACCACTGTTACCAAGATGTGATGCATACCAAAGCTATCATCTATAGTGGAGCTAGAGAAGCGAACGGATGGTCGACGCATGGATTGATTCACAAAGGCGAGTCACACTCTCTCATGCAGAAACTGATCAATGCTTATATTATAGAATTTGCTTTCTGCCAGAGAAGTAGACTTGATGTCTTGTCTCGAATTTCACGGTATATGTCCGACGGAGTCTTGTTTGGCCTGCGTGAATTGATCAGTTCCCGAGGCGAAATCTGACAAGACATCCAGTGTACTATCTGTGGCAGAAAGCAATTGCTGAGATATGTAATAAATCAACCACTGGATTAAAAGGGTGAGGGTTCGACAAGGTGCTTGCTCTTGCATGGGAACCGATCCATGGCGGAAATCACAGCAGTGAATACTGTATAGCCAATCCTTTGGAGACTCCTGTTGCGAAGACAACCATGATTGCAAAATCCCATCGGAAAACGTTGAAGCATGATTATCTACATCGATTCAACCGGCTGCGAAGTGATCTAGGGTGTGGATTTTGACCTCTTCTCCCGGACGCAATTCATCGGATGCAAGCAATTTTCAACGGGCAGGTCCGCGGCTTCAAAGCCCGGTGACGAGATAAGTTCAAGAAGCAGTGGAAAATACATTCCCGTAAAGCAGTTGATGCCCGACAAGCTTCAAGAATACCACACTAACCCAGAGGATCTTAATCGACACGACTAGGTCAATTGGCGTCCGGTTGAGTCGATAGAGTTAATCATGCTTGAGCGTTTTCCGATGGGATTCTGCAATCAGGGTTGTCTTCGGACAACAGAAGTCTCCACAGGGCTAGCACACCAGTCAATATAGGCTTGAACGAGCCATTTTGATCGGGTATAAGCGGATGCAAATTGAAATCGCGAGGCAAAATGTCCAGCACCGTGTCTCGGTCCTCTGCGTAGTCTGCCATTCTCCTCAATTCTTACATCTTTCGATTCTTGAAGATGTAGAGCAAAGGAACGCTGGTGAGGGTGAGGGTGGACTGTGGAGGTTGAATATGAGATGCGGGCCGCGGCGAAGGAGCGTGTGAAAATAGGTGGGGCCATTTTAGCGACACACTAAGCACGTGATCCAGATGACATAATCGGCGCTACTGGACAAACCGAATGAAATTTCGCGAGCCGCTTTCTTTTCCCTTTCTTCTTCACTTCAAAACATATACACGGTCCCCAACACACTCTTGTCGACGGAATAATCTCACTCTGTCTACATATTTTAGCTTTGGGACCCAGACAGAAGAATGCTCGTTCTAATCCCGCCCCCTGACATTCAGCCAGAGGGGAACGGGTTCGCTTTTGAGCCAACATACCCAAGAAAATCTTGCGGATATACGGAACTTGCGATTTAGATTCGCTGGTTTCGTTGAGTGTTCAACTCGCAGAGGTCAGCCATGGCTGGCACTGAAACCTTTAATGCTTGGGTTTCAGGGTCTGCGAGGCACCAAATTGTCTTTGGCGACTCCGTTATGGTCATATCCTACAATAAGGATCGATCAGTTCCGCTTTTTTTGCACTGCTACTTCACTAATATTATACAGCTTAGCTAGATGTAATTGATATTGGCATCTTCGAAGTCTTGTCCGTCATATCGATGATGTTTGAGGTCAAAAAGATGCCAAAACTGAGCCCTCACAGTTGGACAAGTCCTTCTGGAGCCTTCCTCGTGTTACGTCCGCTCCCTCTTATGGGGCTGTGCGTGTCAAAGTAGGGAGATACATTCCTTGTACACAAATGGCCATATTGCTTTAAATCGTGGATGCCTATCCTATCAGTGCCTTGCTGCAAAGGACGACGGAGAGAGGCGACGCCTCGTGATATCGGAGAAAGGCAGGAAAAATGCTGCGTATGTGCGGAATGTTGTAGATCTGCGTCCCACATCAGTCCTTACTAGGGATTGGCTACATAGCAGCGTTTCCTTGAAGACCTACTGTACCTGCTTGTTCCATCCCTGTTCGCTTCCGTTTGTTCCTGCATTTAGAGCGACTGACACTGAAACATTGATTGCTCGGTGCTCGGGCCATGATCTCTATGTGCTGCCAGCCAGTACGTAGTGCTTTCGCTAAAACTCCGCATATGGCCAGGCCAATGGATACCAGACATGAATGTACACAGATTTCATTATGAAGCGAAACGGAATTGGTCAATTATCTGCGGTCCTTCCCATGGGCTTGCTATCCTTCAATATCCCTTGATTGCTGCGATGCTGATCATTAACTGCAACAGTTATCATCCATAGCTCTCACGTAGTATTAAGTTCCAAAAGATGAATAGATCCCTCTGCACCGAAATACAGCTATCATGCACGGCGGAAAGCTGGCAGACCTAATAGGCCAGTGCAATTGTTTACTGATGGGGTCCATGGATCTAACATCACATACCGCGCGGAGGGGCAACAATGCCCCTCACCCTAGACCCCCTTCTGGCTTCCCATTCCCTCCATACAATGAAGGCAATGAAGGGGCTAGATATAAATCCGACGTAGTTCGCTCAGAGCCAGGGGCTCTGTCCTCTTCAGCTCCATCCATCTTCAGCTGCAGTCACTCATTCGGGCACACCATTTGGACATACATTCATTCTTTCAATCCACATCTTGTTTAACATACACCATTCAAAATGGCCCGTTTTAATATCTCCATCCTTTGCACTCTCCTCGTGCTGGCAGTTGTCGCTCTTTCCATGCCTGTCAAGCGTGGTGGGGATGCTCTTCCGCTCAACCTTGATGGTACCCTTGACCAACTGAAGGTGAGATAGTCATTTCCAAACGAAGACATCCAAGAGCCAGACTGACGAATTGATTCAGAGTGCCACTAGGCTTATGGATGGCCTTGATCGCAAGGAAAGCAACAACAAGGATAATCAGGAGCAGCATGATGAGGCTGCAGCTAAAGCCCAGAAGAAGAAAGACGAGGAAGCCCAGAAGAAGAAAGATGAGGCGGAGACGATGGCCAAAGTCAACAAGAAGCTAGAAGAGGCCAAGAACGGCGACAACGCTGCTCCTACTCCTACTGCTTCCCACAAAAACAAGCTCTCGTCTGGCACATTTGTTACTCCTACTTCCACCCCTACCCACAAGGCCAAGTCTGAGCCCAACGCGCTCGGCAAGATTCCCCTCATTGGTGGCCTGCTTGGTGGTGCTGGAGCCGGCCTTTAAGCAGCCGTTGCTTGCCCCTCGAGTCATAGGCCTGGGTAACAGGATATTGGTCGTCCGCTGATGATATAGAAGCCGGTTTCTGTGGGTTGGATTGTTGATGGTTATTCCTTTGCAATTTGTACTTTCATTTCCAGGGCATTTCACGATTGACTCGGCCTGGAAACTCACTTGAGGGATGAGAAACATGATTGTCAGATTTCACGTTCAATTTAATTTGTTATCTTCCATGGCAGGTCTCTCACATGATCCTCAGACTTGTAGGTATCAAAACTCGTATCCACTCATGTTCATTTGCATGGATAAGTGCCACATAGCCATAATCACTGGATCTTGGTGTTTCACAGGATCTAGAAGACACAGTCCGCTCTACTTGCGGCTTGCCTGCTGCTGGCCCTCATGGAGGCCAGTGTAGTATCCCGCATAGTACCACGACATCATGAGGTTCTTCAAAGTCTCATCTTGCACTTAGAAATATGTCAGTGGACTGCGCCCCAACTAGCGCGAAAGGAGAACTCACCATTTGCCATGACGGCGTGAGGCATGGATGCATGAGCAGTAGAAACACCGGGACCAGAGGTGGCCACAGACTGAGAAGACTCATAATCGTCAGAAACCATAGTCCCGGAGATGCAAGCTTCGAATGGGAACATACCTCAACAGCAGGCTCGTTGCTAGATACGGAAGGTTGCTCGTCAATATTCATCGAGATATCTTCATCCTTAGGCTGGACAGCATGATCATCTGCGACCGTGCCATCGGGCTTGTCGGCAACTTGAACATCATCGATAGTACCAGATTCCTCTGCTTTTTTCAGAACCTCTTCAAGATTTTCACCCTTGGCATGTACACTGTGATAGAGCTGCCACCAGGTTAACTGGAGGTCACGTGCACTGAGGGTGCCGTGACTTACCTCGTATTCTTCAACAGCATCATCCCAAGACTGGACAAGAGCAGCGTCGTCCCAGATCTCTGCGTGAGTCAGATGAGTCTTTTTATTTTTCCCCATGGCTGAGGGCCGTTTAGGGTAAAAAGGGAGTGAACGAGCTGTATCATGTAAACATGCGCAGTGATCGGGTGTGGAGCACCTCTTGACCGCCTTCCGAAAAAACAGAGATGAAAAAAAAAGTTCCTAGCAAGATCGAGCAGCCAAACGGTCTCCAATTCGACACAACACAATATCAAAATGGCACCTGACAAGAGAACTTCAAAGCGCAAGGGTGAGTAAAATTCAACATTCTCAATTCATTTTGTTCATACCATGCTAACGCTCCTACAGCTGCGCCTGTGGCCGCCGACTCGCCCGCGAAAAAGACAAAAAAAGTTGAGACCAAGCCTGCGGAAGAACCCAAGGAGCCCGCTCCTAAGTCTATCTTGAAGAAGAAGAGCGCCAGTGCCGCAAAGCCCAAGACAGAGAAGACCGCTGCACCAGCAAAGACCAATGGTGAGCCTACTCGCCAGGCTAAGCCTCGCAAGCGCGCTGCCGATTTCCTCACCGACGAAGAGGCTGAAGAGCCTGCCGCGCCTTTGAAGGCCAGCAAGAAGACTGAGAAGAAGCCCGCTGCCAAGAAGTCAAAGAAGGAGGAGACTGAAGCCGTCCCCACTCCCAAGAAGGCTGCCGCGAAGAAGGCCGCTCCCAAGGCTAAGAAGCCGGAGCCCGTCGTCGAGTCTGAAGATGAAGACATGGAGGAGGATATCTCCGCTGGTGAGGAAAGCGAGGCTGAGAACGAGGGTGATGATGACCAGACTGAGGCCCTCATCAAGGGCTTCGAGAGCAGTGGTGATGAGGACGAGTCTGATGGTGAGGGCTACAAAGAGGGCGAACCTATTCCCAAGGTCCCAGATACCAAGAAGGCCGAGCGCAAACTTGCCAAGCAACTCAAGAAGAACGGTCCTCCTGAGGAGCCCGGTACCGTGTACATTGGGTAAGTTTTAACCATATCCATTGACCAGTTTCAATATCCTAACATACCATTCTCAGACGCATTCCCCACGGTTTCTACGAGCATCAGATGAAGGCCTACTTCTCCCAATTCGGCGACATCACCAAACTCCGTCTCTCACGCAACCGTCTGACTGGCCGCTCCAAGCACTACGCTTTCATTGAATTCTCCTCCGAAACCGTTGCGAAGATCGTCGCCTCCACAATGGACAACTACCTCATGTACGGCCACATCGTGAAGTGCAAGTTCGTCCCGAAAGAGCAGCTGCACCCAGAGGTCTGGAAGGGCGCCAACCGCCGCTTCAAGGTTACGCCGTGGAACCGAATTGAGAAAAAGCGCCTCGAGAAGGGCAAGACCCGTGAGCAGTGGTCGAAGAGCATTGAGGCCGAGCAGAAGAAGCGCCAGGCCAAGGCTGATAAGCTGAAGGCTCTGGGTTACGAAATTGACCTGCCCCAGCTGAAGAGCGTTGACGATGTCCCTGTCCAGGAGACACCCAAGGCCATCGAGGCCACTGAGACCACCGAGACCATTGAGGCGGCCACCGAAGAGCCCGTCAAGGCTATTGAGACTCCTGCTCCCACTGATGATACCCCCAAGAAGGCCAAGAAGGGCAAGAAGACAGAGACGCCCAAAGAGGTTGCCGCAGAGTCTCCGGCTGCCAAGTCTCCTGCTACCAAGACGAAGTCCAAGGCTACTAAGAAGACCAAGTCCAAGGCGTAAATGGGATCATGTAAAAATTGTTTTTAATTCATCGAATAGCCTTTTTTTCAAATGCACTGTTATCATGCTCTTCAATCTCAAACATCCTGTGCCACCAAGAATAATTCCGATGTGATCCTCAATGGTGTACGCAGGGCTGTCAATGGCTGCAACGAGTTCATCTAGACCGGCTAGCCAAGCTAGACTCCGAAGTGTTCCAATCACCCCAACGCAGGCCATATGGAAGTAGGAAATATATAGAAATCGATGGAGAAATAAGATTAAAGGTTAGCCTCAGTACCAGGGGGCTCTGGCGCCCCCCGGACCCCAGCCTCAATTGCTGAGCGTTAGCTTTATCCAAATCTTTTAAACGCCAGTCTTAGTCCGTAGTTAGGTATTTTGATTAGGTATTTTAAATTTTAAGAAGGCTCAGACTGAATGGCTATTTGAGAAGCGCACAGTCGCCAGTCCTCCACCTTGGCCTCATTCATCCGAAGGTTATCCAGCGCCTGACGGAATGCCTTCTCCGACTCCCCTTGCTGGCGGACAACCTCATCCAGCTCGACCGTCTGATTGAACTGAAGGTTGAGCTCGCGGGCTTGCATCAGCTCAGGCCTCCACAGTGCCCCAGTGAAGAACATGGGAAGGCGTCACCTCCGACCCCCGCTCTCCGGAAGAAGTGACTCTGGTCCGAAGGATGCCTACAGTCAACAGTCTCAAACTGAACCCTAGCATGCTCCAACGGAAGATCCAGGAGAATATGGGAGACACCTGGGCAGACCAGTCTCGCTCGCCAATCAACGAATTGAGAAGCTTCGTCACAGCAGAAAGCAAGTCCCAGTACAGTAAGTCGCTGTCTCGGCATTAAGCACTCTTGTCTCGGTTAGGCATGTCATGTGAGCACGACCAGCCAATCATGTTTCGTCTGAGCATGCTGAGGTAAGTCAACCGATACATGCGCATTAGTCCCAAACAAGTCTAGCGCAATCACATGATCAGTTTGGAAAAAAAATAAAAGTCTCTCCTCACATTTGCAAAATCTTCTTCCTCTTCCAACTCCTCGCTCAAAGAATCGCATTCAAAGCTCACACACGCAAGGAAGCTTCGCTCCCTTTCTCAATCTTGCTTTGGGAGAAAGTCCCCGGACACCCTGCGCTTTGGGTCAAACCAAAGTTACCAAAGTCAGGCAATGCGGAAACGCGCCGCCATAGAAGCAATTCGATAGCGGCTTACGCCCTGTTCTCTCACGGTACCCCGTGCCGCCCGACGGCTGCATTTCACGATGTCGCTGGAAATAATGGGGTGTGTGCTGGATGCTGGAGGGAGGAAGGATTGGTGGTCACACATCCCTCCTTGTATTGGGTTGCCTTTCGTCGAGTTCGGATAGTCATGCGATTGCCTCTTGTCTGGCTTCTTCGGATGTCGGATGGGGGTAACTCAATGGGGCTCATTCTTGAGGCGAGGAGTTCCTTGATCTTTTTTCACGAGTCTGTAGCTTATGGCAAAGCGGTGATGAGATGATGTCTCGTCGCAGAAGCCCTGTCATAAGGGCCGGACTCTTTTATCTTGCCATAGGCTTTTCTTTTGTTCGCGTGATGATATACCAATCATAGAGTCAAGCACAGAGATCCTAAAAGGGTCGTTGACGATAAACGATTTAAAATTATCTGATGAACATCTTATATAGAAGCGAGCTATTCGAGCTTTTTTATTTATTCGAACAATACAATGATCTTATTCAAGCTGATGATTGAAATGCAACTGTCATAACTAGGTCGTAGCAACTAGCATCCCACTGCGTATAGTACAATCTGACCCCATGCCATAGCTGAGCTCATGTGTTCACTGTGCCTTGCCCATCCCAGCACCAACAGGCGTAGCCTGCTTCTTCTGCTCCTTCTGGCCCATCACCTGCACCAGCATCGCCCCAATAACCTCTGCGGCGACCGCAATGGCAGTCGCACAGACATTGCTCCAAACCTGGATGCTGACGGACCCCAGCGGTGCGCGAGGGAAGGAGACAATCCATTGTACATAGTATGGGAACCAGTCTTCGGGCAGCGGAAAGACAGGCGTTTTCGAGTACCAGAACTGTAGGAAGATCTTGAGACCGTTCGTGCTGAGCCAGCGGGCGATCTTGACAGCCCAGTCGAAGGAGGATTTGTGAGAAGTGAGGGCCTTGTCTGTGGGGAGAGAAGTTGTATTAGCGGGCCTGTCAATGAAAACAGCCATATGTACTGCAGCTTTGTGGCAGAAGACATACTCAGCGCCTCGTATTCTTCCAAGGTTTTGTCATGGCGTCTTCGGGCCTTTGCCCACTTCGCGAACTCATCTTGCGAGCTTGTGCTGTTCATTTCGCGCTTCTGCTCGAGGACTTGACGCTTCAATTTCTGCTGCTTGCGTGCAGTCCGCGCGGTTGGTGTCGGTAATCTTAAGTAGAGGAGCCATACCTGCGTATCAAAGAAAGTAGCTGTTAGCCATGAGGGTTCGGATTGTGGTAGCGCAACGCAGCTGCGGAGTTTCGGGGGCTTTTCGAAGTCCACGTAGTGGCCGATTGGGGACATACGAGGTTATCAATGGTGCTCGCGCCAACCGTGTTGACCAGGTAAATTGCGAGGTGCACAAAGAACACCGTAAGGACCAGGGACAGCATTGTGGCGGGGAATGGCGAGACGGTGTTTAGAGGCGCGGCGCAGGCTAAGAGAGCCCGGATAGAAGTAACGACCGCTCAGTCAGCCGACCAAAGCAGTAGATGGGTATCTCGGCTGTGCGAGACAGGATATATCCTGGCGGAACAGAGGTGGGTTGCTGTTCGAAAGAGTGGAATGACGTCCGTTGTTGTGGAAAGGTGGAATTAACAGCGGACTTGGCCTTTCCGCCTTCACAGCATCACGTCTACGATGTACACCACTTTGAGACTTTGACCATTGATTTACCTGTCGCACAATAAAGTCACAGAATTGTCTCAAAATAAACAAATATGATGAGGTCTTGACCAAAATTCTTCCCAATATCAAGCGAACAAGCAATCAAATGTCCAACCCGAAGGATGCATTCCAGGAACTTGTCCGCATCCTCTCATCTAGAGACAACCAAGTCCTTGAGATCGAGATTATTCCACCAAGTCTAGGCGCTTCATTCCTACAAGATGGCTGCTCAGTTGGTATAGCAAAGAAAGCACTAGTGCAGGCCTTCACGGTCGCGCGACAGATCTTCTTCGACCGGTTAATACCATTGTCCGAAAATGACTTGCAAGTCTCAATCTCTGAAGCCCAATATGGAAATGCAGACTCGGTCATTACAGAGGTCATCCTCCTCTTCGACTGCGAACATCTCACAGCCTGCAATTGGCGCAAGCGCCGACTGCGCGCCGCCCTGGCCTGTAACAAGACGGCTGTCGCCCAGGAGCTGTTAGAGGCCGAGCTCACGCTCATGTCGAGCTACCAGTGCTCACCGCTGCATAGACACACCAAGTCACCGACGCTTTGGCATCATCGGCTGTGGGTGGTGGGTCATCTCCTTGGAAATCGACACTGGGGCAGCGGGGAATTGCTCGAGTTGCAACGAACAGAGCTGGATGGCGTTCTCCGGGCTGGGGAACTTCACCCCAAGAATTATTATGCATTCAACTACATGCGTCAGCTGTGTGTGCTTCTCAGTGATACAGTCGCGTCGGTGGCTGAGCAACCGATCTGGAAGACTGAATCGGCGCTGTCGATTATCGACCCGGTCATCAATTGGTGCTTGGCCAACCCGCGCGATATATCGGGCTGGAGCTTTGGAATATATGTGCTAAGCAATGTCGCTGGCCCGCAATATCGGGTGCGTACTATTTCGAGGGTCGTTGAGTTTGCGCTCAACATTGGATGGGAAGGCGAGAGTCTCTGGACTTTCGTTGATCACGCCTCGGGACAATTCGGCCTCGAAAGCGTGGTTGAAGATACCATGGCATTGCACAGTGGTCAAGCAACCAGGTTCAGTGACTCTCCGACGGCCCCAGAGGGTCGACATAACAAGTCGTGGCAGACCTGGCTGGCCCGGGCAAGAGTGTGTCGGGAGGCGGAAGGCCAAAGGCAAAGTATGTGACTGAATACGAGATGTATGTGGTTATAGGTTTACGATTACAACCAAGAATTGCTCCTCCGTGATATTTCTCATGCGTCGTTGCCTCGTTCGATTAGCGCTATGGTATACAGTCATGCTCGGGCCAAATGTGTGATGAACGCCAATGGGAGTCAAATAACGCCTCGCTAGACACCCAGCCCCGTACTTGCAAATGGGGGATGGGTGTATGGTTTTTCTTGTGTATATGAAGCCAGTGCCGTCCTCAGCTCGTGGTGCACTTTGCAATGTCGATCGGAGGGCTGTTTGTTTGCTCGGGCACGATCGCGAAAAAGGCGGCGGGAGATGAGGTTGACTGGCGGTCTGGGTCAAGGATCAATCGGATCATTTCTTTTTGGCTCCTCCTGCTGCTGCCTCGGCAGCCCTCTTTTCGTCCGCTGGAGAAGGAGAGCGATCAGTAAAGAAACTCATGCGATTAGGCGCTTTGGCCGGTCGCCCGGCGGCTTTCAGGGTACATACCTTTCCGCTGCTTCTCGCGCATGATGGCTGCAGCATCTTCTTTGGCCCTAGCAAACTCGCTGCCGCTCTGCTGGTTCTTGTTTTTCTGTGGGTTGGGGCAGTTAGTGGCACGAACTTGCAAAGACGACTGGGGATGGAAACCAACCGAATTGCCGGCCTTCTTCAGGGCCTTGGCCCGATCGTTCTCACGCTGGTTGCCCCGTGTCATCTTATATAGGTTATAAGAATATGAAGAAATTGTTGTACACAGTAAAGCGCAAAGACGAAAGATGAGGAAAAGTTTGGAGGGGTCGAGCGGCTTTATTCCTCCGGCGGCGAATCACATCGAATTCCGCGGGATCTCCCTCTCCCTTGTTCATCGACTTGCCCTGGACCTCATCTCTCCTTCTCTCCTTCTCTCCTTCTCTCGTTTGTATCAAAATACTAGACATATTTTCCTTACACTGGGCTCTTAGCCTCCTACCTTCACTGTGACACTGACTAATTTCTGCAGCGCTCCTGAGCTTGTGCTGATTGGGCGCCTAAGTTATGTTTCAACACCATCTCTCACTTTCTACTTCCATACTTCCACTGGGCGCTTAAGTATGTTTGCCTCTTAACATTCCGAGGTCGAAAGATCACGAACTATCCAAAGCCCTTTACTTATATCCCAATCCTATTTGATACACGTCTAACACAGAAATGGTTTCGACTATACTCGTCAAGCAAACAAGTCGGGTTTGAAGGTTTTGAAACGAAACCCCAGAGAGAAGAGCGGCAACTCTTGCAGGCGCTAACTGGTTTCATCATGGGAAGGTGTCTTCTGCCGACAACCAGTCCTTCAGCTAAGTCGAGTCCCGGTTGAAATCCCAATAGCAGAGGCGTATGGAATTAAGCTTCTTCAGGCTACCACCCCCGATCTGTGCGCTTAGACGTTCCTGTTACTGCTTCGATCTCAACAATGAAACACCTCCTGCATCGTATTTCTCTGGCTTCGATTCAAGTGAAGGATCCCAAACGATCCGCTCGCCTTGGACTCTGATCTAATATCCTTTGTGGTTCGTCCGGACGTTTCAAGTCTATTCATAGACAGGTGGATTATACATTTAGGCTACGGCGCTTCAATAACCATTCTTCGTTGTCGCCTTCTTTGTCCATTGTTCCCCCATACATATTCTCTTTTCCCTTTGTATTCCTTTCTGTCCTTCTTGCTTGTAATCCCATTCTGTTTCTTTGCACTCATTGTCCCTGGGAATATCAAAGCCTCCTGCTGGACAGTCGCTTTTTCGCCCTTTATATCCCAATCCCCACCAAAGTCTGCTAGCAGCTAATCTTCTATATTCCCTCGAAAGCGAGTATCTGCCAAATTTGAGACGTGCAAAGCCAGACTTGTGCCTTCATCATGATGTCTCGTTTGCGCGAATCCCTGGCTGGTCCAGGCTACGTGATCTTGAACGTCCTACGCGTTCTGAACATAATTACTCTTATGGATCTCATAGCTGCGTGTGCAGTCATGCTGGTAAAGATCCACATGCTGAACAGCTTCTTCTTCTTCGAGGCCGTGACCCATGCTGTCGTGGCTCTGGTCAGCGGTAAGTACAATATTCCCTCATGGTTGTGGTATAATGCTAACTTCTCTAGTCTTTCTGATCATTTCAGAGCTCCCGATTCTCCGGACTTACTTTGATAATCACTGGCCGATGTTCGGACAACAATCCAGCTTCTATTCTCTCGGTGGCATCATGATGATCCTAGGCGTGTCAACCCTCGGCAACCTGAACACGAAATCCATGACCCAAGATTCTATTGGCATGACCTTCTGGCGAATTATCATTTCTGCCGGCATCTTGGCCATGATCTCCAGCGTGCTGAACGTTCTAGCAGTAAGTAATCAGACCTGCAATTTTTCCGTCCCCCATTATGTTTTAAAGCCAATGCTAACCGAGTGTTTCAATAGAGCTTCATCTTCAGCGATCGCGAGACCGGGGTCACTGCCCGTCAAGTGCGGGCAGATGGCGCCGTTGCACCACAGAAGGCAATGAGCCGGTCTAGCAGCAGCACCCACAGCCACCGCACCCTCCATCTGAGCATGAAGCGCGAAGAAACCTTACCCACGTATACTCGCCAGAACCCCGTCAAGCGCGCTACCAAGCGCCTCACCGGCCGATTCCCCCTCAAGATCTCCAGGCCGGTGGAGCCCAACTTGGTTGAGCCCGATTTGGTTGCGCAAAATGAGGCTGCTTCCTCCAAGTACTCTCGGGACTCTATGGAAATTCGTGCACCAGATCTGGCACATCACCCGGCTATGTACTCGGGTCACATGGTTTGAACTGGTTGACTGGTCGACTGTTAAAACCTGATTCTCTGCGTTATTGCGATGGTGCTCTCGGTGCTGTTTTATTCCCCCGGTCTGTGTTCTTTCCTTTAACTTCATAGTTTTCGCTGGCGATCTATTTAATCAAGGACCTAACTACTCTCGTTATTATTTTTACTTGCTATTCGTGACATCAATGTACGTGGTACATCGGACATCCTGTTCATAGCTGTCTAGAAGCCTGTCCGGCCCTAGATCCGCAGACATCGGGAGGTGTAGAGTGGAATGTGTAAAGTAGATGCAGGTAACAGCATGGAATTAGCCCTAGTCATTGCTCTTTCCAGTCTCCATTGCTTGATTTGCCCTTTCCTTCCATCTTCTCTCTCGTTCCTTCCTTTGCCAGAACTGAGGTCCGGTCCCATGCCGGCAGCCCCAGAAACTAAAATACCGTATTTTCGGCTTGAATACTGTTGCTGCCACGGTATTTTAGGTATGGAGGTGGAAGAGAGCGTCAACAAGCAACTCCGAGCCACGAGATACCTGAATTTGACCTCCGATGAAAGCACAAATATCGCGCAGAATCGAATCATGAACATCTCGTTTATCCGAGGAAAGATAGTAGTTGCGATTGTGGGGGCGTCAAGTTTCATATCCTTCATATCAAGCCCACAATGATAGAACGAACGCTCTCGTGTGTTAAACGAGATGTTCATGATTCGATTCTGCGCGATATTTGTGCTTTCATCGGAGGTCAAATTCAGGTATCTGGTGGATCGGAGTTGCTTGTTGACGCTCTCTTCCACCTCCATATATACCTGATCCAGTAACGGGCCAGAGAGCTGGCGCCGAGAGGGAGGTTTGTATGTAGGCTCGTGCTTCCGGGAGGGCCTCGATAAAGCCACGGTCTTCAATGATGCTGAACGGCCGCCCAGAGGCGTACACCCAGAGCGCCCAGGCAGCATCGTGCTGCTGCGGTGATGCGTGATTGAACGTGAGTGGCTGCTGCGTGCCCTGCCTCGGTGTACCCAGTGGCTGCACCTTGCTTTGCCTCGGGGCCATGTTGTTGGATACCTGCGCGCGTACCTCTGCCGGTGCTTTTTTGCAGGAGGCAGTGTGAATTCGCAGGCGAGAAATATTCTCTACGCGTTGGTGGTCGCAGTAGATGCAGAACAGCGACTTTCTGTGGTGGGAAGAAAACTCTGTCAGCTTGGCCTTAATAATCGGGCCTTCATAATCGGGCATGAATGCCACGGGCCAGCACCTTTCTGCCCTCCCCTAGTACGAGCTTCCAGTGCTTCCAGGTTTGGTTATCCTTGGCTTTAGTGCCAGATAAAGGTCCTAGCGGCATTTTGAGGGCAAAATTGAGGGCAAAATTGAGGCCAAAATCGAAGGTCCAAGGTGTGGCGTGGAGAGAGAGGTAGTTCCACCTTCCTTAGCATGAGCTCTTGTTTGTTACGTGTGGGAAATAAATATATAAAACCCCAACTTTCAACGTTGCTGCCGTTGCAAAGCTCACCAGCACTTCCCTCGTGCTGTTCTCTGTGTTCTGTCCTCTGTTGGCGTCTGTCAGCGAGTGTCTATATCATTGATTCATTGTTGACTGTTGTATTGGAAGGGTCCAGGGGATATAGAAAGGTGGCTTAAAGACAAGTGGACCCACGTCGGGCTCCAGCGCCACTTCCACTGGATGGAAGCTGTCTATGCTGCTCGACATCCTTATTCTTCCATCCTACTATGTACATCTCTTCCAAGTCTGACACTCTCATCCTGATCGCTAATCAGATGAAGTAGGATCTTTTTTGGTCATGGGACCTATGCTCCTTCGCATCTATATAGGCTGCTTCTCACCTAGCTCAGGTCATATGTCCTCCTAGGACCTAGCCATCCCCCATCATGGCCACAGTCGCAATTTCCTGGGGAACGTAAGTCCTGAAGCTCTCCCCACTCTCCGTCATACAGCTGACAACGAATAGCGTCAAATCCCTCCTCATTTTCTTTGCCCCCGTCTTACTCCCCCGCCTAATCACCGCATACCGAAGCCTTCGAGTATCCATTGCGAGTCGACCACCGCCTCGTCCTCTACCTGCCGCGCCCGCTCGAGCGCTCAACATCTTGTTTGGCGGCATTGTGTTCTTTCTGCTCTTGAGCCTCCCCTTCAACCCGCACGCGCCCGACTCCAACATCTTCTCCCTCACTCGCTCTCGCCTCAACACTCCTACCGATGTCATCTTCAACCGCCTCGCCCGGCTCCGGCCAAATAACCTCCTGACCGAGGCCGACAAACTACTTCAGTCCAAGTTCATCTCTCTCGGTGCCCGCAAGGTATACTTGACCTTTGGCCCTGATGCATTGGTATCATGCCCGTACTGCTCCTTCGATGACCTCAACACATACTTGATGTACTATCTACCGTTCAATGTGTTACTACCCCACCTAGTGCACCTCCTGCTCCTCGGCGTGGCAACGTCGGCGCCCATTGCAGGCCCCGAATCTTCCCGCTGGCGCAACAAGTTTACAATCGGTGGCCTTGTTCTCGTAGCGATTGACATCTACATTGTTGCCACCTACGACGCGATCCAGGGTGCGCCGCTTTCCGTACGCGCCGGCCAGACGCCGCCCTCCAGCCTCTACAACCACATCACGTTCCTCCGACCGCTGGCGTTCGTGCTCTACGATGTGGTCTGCTCCGTCGTGCTATGGCTCTCCGCGACCAACCGGTTCTTTTTCAAGCCACCCTCGCCGGTGGATCAGGTTGACCAAGCTACATCGATGGCTATGCAGGGGGTCATGAGTGCAAACTCCAAACTACATGCTGCGAACGTTACTCGCAATGCGGTGGTTCGGGACCCGACTTTGAAGAATCGCGATGATCTGTATTGGCGGACTATGGCAGCTTCAGAGAACCCCGCCCAGGGGTCCGGAGAAGGTGGGGAACAGATCCTCAACAATATTTGGGAGGAGGAGGATGTCGTAAGGGCCATATCGCGAGCAATGGCCGGACAGACTGGTATTGATTTGGCCCAATTGGGGGTCAATGCCAATGACCATGTGCGAGAGATTACGGAGGGTTTAGACTGAGGTAGATAGATGTGTTCCAGTTATATGGGTCTTCGGCAGCTTTGATTGCCACATCTATTAATAACCCATTTCGCATATCTCCAAGATCAAAGCTGAAGGAGTCAAAAGAGGGTAAATAAATAGGCCGGAAATGGTAGACTGTTGACATATTGAGTCATTGACCTCTATGCAAATCAAACAAAATCAAATCAATTAAATCTCAACCATGTCACCAACTTCTTCAACAATTAACGAGGCGGTGAGTGGGATCGTCGTCTCGAAAGAGATGAAACAAGCTGAACCACGTTCCCCTCCATTCCCTCCTTTTCTCTACAATTTCTTTCTTTTGCCCGTTACTTCTCAGTTCTCACGTTCGTTGAACGAGCCAGGCAGTACGTAAATAAACGTGGCTCAGATGAGGCAGGTCCCACATCCATCTCGGCGTTGATTCTGGATCTCTCTGGACTCTCGATTCTCGACTCTTGGCCCTCCGGTCCCCGTCCCTCGCTCCTCTTCCTCCCCCACAGTCCTCGAGAAACCTCAATTCCTCCCTACAATACGACTGGCGATATCTTCATCATGGCAGACACTGCTGTGCAACCACAGCCACCAGCGGAGCGTGAAAAGCGCAACGCCTACGTTTCCTCTCCGAGTGGATCACGGCCGGCCAAGGAGACCACGTTCCGAGAATGGGTGGTCGCCAACCAGATCGGTATGAAGAATCCACCTCAGCAGACCTGTGCATTCAATGGGCATGGGAAAGCTCGCACTCGACAGAGTAGCTGCTCTCCTTTTCGAGAGCTTGGCATATATGCAAGCACCAGCATCCTTGTAAAGCTACTAGCGCTAACACCAATTGCTTCTCATAGGAATCTCCTTGACCACCCTGGCGATGTTACTGGCCCTTCACAACCTCTACCCTTCACTCCGTCCATATACCCAGCCTTTCTTCCAATTGTCCTATTATAACGCATCCACGGACTCTTATCTCCAGGGCTGGAATGATGTCTACTTCGTCATCAGTGCTGCAATCGCACTCACCGGGATTCGTGGTATCGTCATTGAATGGGTCATACAGCCATTGGCTCGCGCTTCTGGTCTGAAGCGCAAGCAATCGATTCGCATTGCCGAGCAGGGTTGGCAGGCTATGTACTATGGATTCATTTGGGCAGTCGGACTGGTGCGTTTGGATCATGAAAAGTATACCCGATAACAGTTGACTAACTATTGGCTCCCATGTTGCAGTACCTCTGGAAGAACTCATCCTATTGGGGTGATTTTTCTGCCATGTGGTCGCAGTGGCCGGCTCGTCCTCTGTCCGGCTTGATGAAGTGGTATCTTCTCGTTGAACTTGCATTCCTCGTTCAACAGATCTTCATGATCCACGTAGAGGAGAGACGCAAGGACCATGTTCAGATGCTTTCCCACCACATTATTACCACCGTCCTTCTGAGCTCCGCCTACATCTATGGGTTCTACAACGTCTCCAATGTGGTGCTATGTCTCATGGATATCGTGGACGTTTTGTTACCGGTGGGTCATTCAATTCTCACCTTTTTCATCCAAACGGCTACTAATGCAACATATCCACAGTCTGCGAAGATCCTCAAATATTCCAAATTTGAAAACGCTTGCAATGTGGCCTTCGGCGTCTTTATGGGCACATGGCTCATCACTCGGCACATCATTTACCCCATGGTATGCTGGTCCGTTTATGTCGATATTCCTTCCGTGCTCTCATACGGCTGCTACTCCGGTTCGACAGGAGACTTCCTCTCCGCGGAGATCCCGAACTCCTTCGCATATACGCTTGCTCCATACCTGAATCTGGAGAACCCGATCTGTTTCAGCCCTATGATTAAATACATGTTCCTGACCCTCCTGCTGATTATTGAGGGGCTGTCCATTGTATGGTTCAGCATGATCATCCGCGTCGCTTACGGGGTGATCTGTGGCCGTAACGCCGAAGACTCCCGCAGTGACGAAGAGGACGAAGCCGAAGTGGAAGACCAGGCCCCAAACCAGGTCCCGGCACACCTGGTCGCCAAGGACGGTGCTACAACCGACCCAATCGAGACCGAAACTGCTCCGGCCTTGGGCCGTCGGCGGTCTAACGGCGCTGCTCCAGTGCGTGCGCGAGGTCGTGGCCGTGTTCCTTTCGATCCGAGCGAACGGAAAGCCCTCCTGGGCCGCATTGGGTGCGAAAAGCCCACATAGATGCTCTTCAAATATCTCGTTTTTCATTGTTACTTGAGCAAAATCTGACGACTCCCTCCTCGAGTGCTACCTGTCCCATGGGCCCTGCTCTTGTCCTTTTTTCCGTCGTGTTATATTCATCGCCTGGATACCGGTGCTAATTTGCCCGAGCTGGCCATGGAGTGAAATGCCCGAGTCACGATCCACTTCGATTTCCAAATTATGTTTGCGGCCATCGTTTCCCAGTCTGTTTGCCGGGTCTTATATCCACATTGTTTCTGTTTTCTCGTCTTCATATTCATACTCATCCTCGCCCTCCCACCGCCCTGGGTTGAGGATGGTTTCATGCCATGCTTTTTGTTGCCGTGATGATCTCCCTGGACTTGAGATCCGTTCTAGAGACCCACATAATACCCAATGGAAGCATATGATCTTGTACATGTATCATCAAATCTTGTCCGTATCAATACGGAGATCTACCGCGTTACGGTGAAGTGATATTACCCGTAGCATGATTCACAGCATTGGCATTGAGAAACTTGACTACATCGAAACATGTGCATCGTAAATCCCCTACATACTCGTATTATTCAGACGTACCAGATCATTCTAACATATGTACCTCACATAGGTAATGTTTGCCCCGAGCTCACATCCATCCGACCCTATCCAGAGTATAGCTTCTTCACTTCTTCCTTGTCTCCCACACCATTCACCTTCCTTCTATCTCTCCCTTCTCTCTCTCCCTTCTCTCTCCCCATTCTCTCTCCCCGTTCTCTCTCCCCGTTCTCTCTCCCCCACACCATCGAACCTATGCAACCATGACTACCACCAAAACGAACCTATCGGCCCCTGGCCGCAGCTTCGCCGAGATGTTTGGCGGGCCGTCGCCCCCTGAGAACATCGACTTTGCAAAGCCCTTACCCGCTGAAACCCCTCTGCTGCCAGTCCCCGAGCCCACTGACGACCTGGAGACGACCGCCCGCAAGATTGCCGCCCTCGCGCGCATTGTTGAGCAGGGCAAGAGTATCGCAGTACACACCGGTTTCCATTATGGCACCCACGATAGGCGCGATCCCGAGATCGTGGCACGCGACTCCATGACGCCCCTGCAAGCCCGCCAATACGATGCGTGGAAGGCTGGCGCAACTATGCCTGACATAGACTGGTCCCGCTGCCACAGTGTCAAGCCGGTCCCCTTCGACATCAGTAAAGAGGACTATCAGGACATCCACTGGCATGCCTACGCCCTCAAAGCGATCTTCCGTTGCAACTACCTCGGTACCAAACACGCCTTGTGGTTTACTAGCAACATGGCCTTCGCTATGCCGCTTATCCACGCGATGTGCAAGGTCGCCGCCGCTCGTCACTCGCTCACTGGATGCGAAAGCCCCCTCGCGGAGGATCCTCGTCACTGGTTCACTGGAGGCCAAGAGACCCTCACGGACGATGAGGTTTCTGAGATCCGGGCAGCCCATCGCGTCGTCGCTGTCAAAGGAAAACATGAAACAGTTTTACGAGCGCTTCGATATCCTCTCCAAGGATATCAAACGCTCTACGGATATTATCCAAGACCGTGAGGACACCCTGCAGAAAAAGGGCAAGAATCAGAGCAAGATTCAGAGATTCGGAGAGTTTGGCCTTCTCATGTAGCCTACGCGATAACTGGCCGTCTGTTCCAAATTGATGCGTGTGTCTTTTTCTACCCATACTGTCCAAGCTGCTAGTTTGTAAGTGTAACACATGAAGAGATTCCGAGAAGTAAAGTTGCGGGTGGTCATTAGGGTTGGTCGTTAAGGTTAGTTATTTGGTTGGTCTCCCAATATAGACTAGTGTACGCTAAGAAACATGCCTTATCCAATGGGATCGAATTGTATCACGATGTTGACCCACAAATATCTCCGTTGGACTGTTGATAGGGCAGGCCGATAACTATGCGTTGAATTCTCACTATCTCACAGGACGCTTTTCCCTTTCCATGTCTGTAGATACCTCTACCCAGAACCCTTTCTACCATCTTCAACTCTGTACAGCCTTGCTGCCTTTCATGATCTCGTTGACATTGTAGATCTCAACAGATCATGACTCATGAGATGGGATCCTTCTTGGGCTTATAGGGCTGTACAATCCACACCAAGGAACAGACCAGAAACCTGATTTCACTATGCAGGCGCAGCATGCGATCTACAGATAGCGTCCAATTATGGATACCTCGATGCAAGTCGACACATCAATCCATGATCAAAAATCAAGCGGAATACATTCATAAGTAAGCCGCAGAGAATCGCTAGCAAGACCGCGCTCAGTCCGCGAAACCCGCAAAAAGGCTGATCAATGCTCCGATTCCACTTCGCAACGTCTCTCTCCGTGGTCCCAGGAAGCAAGCCATCTGACGGTCGAAACACATCGATAGGCCCAATGCGCACTTCTTCAGGGATAACCAGTGTTGTTGGTACCCTCGATACCAATTCCGACGGAGCAGATTGCAAGCCTATGGTAAGCTCGGAAGCAGCAGCGGGGTCGCTTGCTGGCTCTATTGTGCCAATATTGGCTTGATAAGTTGCGTTCATCGCCATTGCTTGAGATTCTTCGAGTTCCATGATCTTTTGGCTTACAGCTGCTCCGAACGAGCACTCGTAGAATCCTTGAATGTGGGGTGATCGATGCAGTAGGGCTAGTGCCGCGCGACGGGTGCGCGGTTCGCGGCATCGGACACTCGTGAACCAGAGCGGGAGACCGACGCTGAGTTCGAATGTGAATGGTGGTTGTGTGCCGTCTGATCGGATCGAAGCTTCGAGTGCAATGGTAGATTGTTCGACAATGTTTTGGAAGTTTGGTAGGTATGCGTCGAATTGCATTAGTGATAGTGATGTGCAAGTCTGCAGCATTACAAACAGCATGTCATGGTAGCTTGAGAGAAGGGCGCTTGTGCCAATCTGCTGCATTGATAGAACGCCCTTGCCGCGTAAACGATGCATCAAGTTTTCAAAAGCAATATGCCAATTTCTCAGTCGGGCGCCTAGGCTGAATGCTTGAGTGATGAATTCTTCGGGGACACGAGTGACATGAGGCTGTATTAGATGCTTCATGCAATCTCTTTCGAAGAGTGGAATCTCCACAGCCAAGTAGACGATCCCCTGCCGAGCGGCCCTGAGAGAGTCGAAAGTTTGCGCCGATGAAATTTCGGTATCCCGAAGTAATGCGGTCACCGGAGTTCCAGCAATGGCGGGGGCGATGGCCGCTAGACGGACGAATATCGGGATGATCGTCTCCTCTAACAGGGCAGCTTTGTTTGCAGGTATAGCACCAGATGCGATTTGAGGGCGCATGGTCAGAATAAGCTGTACGCCTTGCCTATACAACTGCAAGGCACCCTCTGCATTTCCCTGTACGGCTTCAATGCAGATGAAAAGCACACAACTGATCAGCCCGACAAAGATGTCTACGCTACCACGCTCAATGCGCTGCCGGACAGCAGATACCGACCGTGAATACCAGCCCAAAGCGTCTTGATGAGATTGACTGAGGGAATCCGGCCCCTTTTTGCGTTGGGAAAATGCATCCAGGCCTTGCTTGGAAGTCTCAAACAGCGCGCTTATGGCTATGATAGCATCCCATACGGCAGGCTCGTCCCGGCAAACCTGCGGCACGATGGTGCGCCAGAAATCGAGATCTAATCCACCTCCAACGGAAGAGGCAGCGAATTCAAAGTAATAGGCGAATGCACGGCGCTCTCGCCATACCGTGTTCGTGTTCGATGATAATGCCGAGGGGCTGATGATGGAAACCGTGGAGGGCGATGGCCTCTCTTCAAAGTCACATTTGCGGCCTGTACTGCTGCATCGGAGACAGCTCGGTCTCTCCTCTCCGCATTTCACTCGTCGGATTCTACGACATTGCTCAATATGAAATTCCGTCTATGAATAAGAGACAAGCACCTACTTGCATGTTTTGCATCCTAATTTCGACCTCAAGAGCACCCTGGAGCGTCCCTTTGAATGGTCCGAACGAGGGGACATGTCGGAAGCATTCTAGCTTGACAGTTGACACGCGCCAAATTGTCTCAGGCGTGCAGGACGGAGTTGGAAACCAGGAAAATGCACAGTGCCTGCGCATTCTTGAGTGCTCTTGGGGGCCAAAGCTTTCGCAAAATCACATGATGCCTAACCACGTGCTTTCGCGGGCGGCGGGCCCTGAGCCGAAACTCGGGAGCGCCCTATTCCGAGGGTGCGCCCTTTTGGGCCGGGCCGGGGCCGGGTTCCCTAACTTAACTTCTAAGTACCCCGAACTAGTTACGTATCTCAAAGCGCTAGGATCTCAGATCTGGATACAATGGTATAGAAAACACACAGTGAAGTAGGATTCTAGGAAGAGCGCGAAGGCGGTCTAGGAGTCTGATCTCGATCAGGTGGGACACTCGACCAAGTGGAACTTGACCGAATTCAGAATCAGCATCAGACAGTTCAGATCAGAGAGACCGTTCAGGCTAGAAGAACAGTTCAGACGAGACATAATCAGGTGTTCTTTAGACGTGAAACTACCTGGCTGTTGTGGTAACGATAGAAGTGAACGATGAATGCATTTCTATCGTTACCGCACACCGGGAGGGGTGGGTAAGCAGAAAGGCACGGATAGCATCACAATCCAGGTCTCGGGCCCGGTGGCTAAGATGATGCTACCGACTCTCTCAGGCTCGGGAGGCCTTGGCTACCTGGCTTGGGGGCCATAGTTGGATAGTGCCATGATTGACACTCAGGTGGGTAACCACCAGACCTCTCTCCGAACGAACGGAGACTTTGGGTTTGATTTATAGAGACGACAAAAAAGCTCGAATCTCAGCCACCGTTCTCTCTGAGCCTCGCGAGTGCAGCGGCAATACCTTCACTCAACTCTTCAGGCTGGCGAGTCCCAGTCTGCGGCTCACTAGTCTGCGCAGCTTCCGAAGCTGCTGTTTTCCGACTCTCTGCGAGAACTGCACGGAGAATGGCTTCCTCTTCATCCTCCTCGTCCATATTCTGATCCGGGTTGTCATCAACATCCACAGGCGGCAATTGAGCCCGACGTTGTGCGGGACGAGCAGAGGACTTCTTTGCTTTCTCGACTCTGAAGTCTTCCCGAACTGCACTGCACCATTGCTGGACCTTTTTCTCTCCCCAGCCCGGCACCGCGCTGATTTGTTCTGGCTGTGCATTGATGGCGTTTTGCAAGCTGCCAAAGGTCGAGATCAAACTGGCAGCATCGGACTTGTTGATGCTGCGTGGGACAGTGACAAACTCCACCAATGACTCTTTATACGACTGGGCTTGTTGCGTCCGGATGGCGGTGGGTTGAGCGTTCTCCGAAGACTTGAAAAGTTCGAGATAGTGTGCTGCTTCTGGTGCAGACCAGCACAGTACTAACGTCAAGTTGTTGATGATGGATGTTTTGGACAGCTCCCTGAGACTGTCTTCGTGATTCTGAATGTCAACCATCACCAGGACAAGGCGGAGGTTGTATTTGCCGGCCAGCTGCTTTACTCGGGAGTAGATGTATTCGGGGTGTAGGCGGTGGTATTTTAATGAGAGGAACATTGCGCATGTCGTGGCGCCGACGACATAGTCCGCAGGGATATCGGCATATTCCCACGGCAGAAGCTTGATGTGAGATAGGATCGGGTTGCCTTTTTGCCGCGTGGACACGAGAATCGCCGAAGGTCCAGGGCGGTTGGCAAGGGCTTGAGGTTTCGGTTGTTGGACCTTTGGTCTTGCAGATGCGGCTGGTGCTGGGGAGCCTGAAGGGCGAGCAGGCAAATTGCTCCCTGGACGTGATGGATCCATCTCGTGCCCAATGTGTGGTTGTCAAAAGCAGAACAAGGATAAGCGGAGGGACTTGAGGTTGATCGGCTCGATAAAGCTATTTCTTATCTGGAGGATAGATCCACACCGCCCAGGTCAATCTGGCTCACTTTTCTGCCGCCAATTTTTTTGTTCTTCCTCGACCGCAGAAAAACAGCCTCAGTCGCAACAAAACCACAATGGCTGAATCACACAAAAAACGCCGGGTCTCGGATGCCGAGAGCCCTGAGATCAAAGTCGAAGCCACCACACCCGCCGCCGAGGCTGCGACAACACCCCAGAACAACAGAACCCTTTTCGTCCGCTCACTACCACTTACGGCCACTTCAGAGAGTCTTGCAGAGTACTTCTCGCAGTCCTACATTATCAAGCATGCCGTTGTTGTGTCCGATAAAGCGACAAAACAGTCTAAGGGCTTCGGTTTCGTTACATTCGCCGATGTCGAGGATGCGCAGAGCGCTCTGAAGGAACTCAATGGGTCCAAATTTGACGGCAAAATCATTCGTGTCGACTATGCTGAGTCCCGTAAACGTGAGATCGATGAGAAGATTGGACGCAGTGTCCCCACTGCTGCGGCCCTGGAGTCAAAGAAACGGAAGGAAGAGGAGAGAGGGCAAGGTCTGCCTCCCAAGCTGATTGTTCGCAATCTGCCATGGAGTATCAAGGAGCCCGAAGATTTGTCTGTTTTGTTCCGCAGCTTTGGAAAGGTCAAATTTGTTACCCTTCCCAAGAAGAACGGCAAGCTTGCCGGTTTCGGTTTCGTTACTCTACGAGGCAGAAAGAACGCCGAGAAGGCTCTCCAGTCGGTCAACGGAAAAGAGATTGATGGTCGCCAATTGGCTGTCGATTGGGCTGTTGAGAAGGAAGTCTGGGAGACTACCAAAAAGGAAGATGAGGATGACGAGGAGGAACAAAAAGAGGAAGAGAAGGAGTCTGCTGATGTTGAGATGGAGGATGCCGAAGGTCTTCTCGAAGAGCCCTCGGAAGATGAAACGTCTTCCGACGAAGATGATGACGAAGACCAGGACCTGGATGATTTGGATGAGTTGGACGACGAAGACGAAGATAAGGAGGATGACCGAAACGCCACTACATGTTTCCTTCGCAACCTCCCCTTCACCGCCACAGACGAGACCCTCTACGACCATTTCAGAACTCACTTCGGCCCCTTACGCTACGCACGTGTTGTTCTGGACCACGAGACCGAGCGCCCCCGAGGCACTGGATTCGTATGCTTCTGGAAGCCCGAGGATGCCAACACATGCATTCGCGAAGCCCCCAGGGGAGGTGATGCTATGGCCCCGAACAAGGACAAGCCTAAGTCTAGCACCGCCATAAAGCAGTCCATCCTTCAAGATGAAAATTCCGACCCTAGTGGCCGCTACACTATGGATGGTCGAGTTCTCCAAGTTGCCCGTGCCGTGAGCAAGGGCCAAGCCGCGAAGCTGGAGGAGGAAGGTGTATCACGCCGCATGGTCCGCGACACAGACAAGCGCCGCCTCTACCTCCTTAACGAGGGTACCATCCCCTCCAACTCGCCGCTGTACAAGAAGCTCTCCCCGTCGGAGATCAAGATGCGCGAGGACAGCTACAAGCAGCGAGAGGTCTTCATCAAGAAGAACCCCGCTCTCCACCTCAGTCTCACCCGTCTCGCCATTCGCAACCTCCCCCGCAACATCAGCTCCAAGGACTTGAAGCAGCTTGCCCGTGAGTCCGTGGTCAACTTCGCCAAGGATGTCAAAGCAGGCGTTCGCCAGCCCCTGTCAAGAGAGGAGCAGCAGCGGTCCCGTGATACGATGAAGGAGCTTGAGCAGCTGCGCAAGCAGAAGAAGATGGGTATTGTGCGCCAGGCCAAGGTCGTCTTCGAGACTCGCGAGGGTACCAAGGTCTCCGAGAAGACTGGCGGTGGCCGCAGTCGTGGTTACGGATTCATCGAGTTCTTCACTCACCGTCACGCGCTTATGAGTTTGCGCTGGCTGAACTGCCACTCCATGCCGGTTCCTCCTTCTGCCCAGGATGCAGAGGATAAGGACAAGAAGAAGAGCCTTGTTGTTGAGTTTGCCATTGAGAACGCCCAGGTCGTCAAGCGCCGCAATGAGCTGCAGGCCAAGTCCCGTGAGCCTAGGCCGAAGCGCTCGGACGATGACGATGGTGACAGGAAGGACCGAAAGAGGAAGCGCTCCGATGGCCGTGATGGAAAAGGAAGGGACGACAGAAAGGGTAGAGATGATAGGGATGGAAGGAGCGTGAAGCGTGGAAAGACCGAAAAAACTGCAGGTGGAAAGGACGGCAACGCTGGGAAGGATGAAGACGCGGACAAGGCCGCAAAGCGCAACCGCATCATCGGGCAAAAGCGCATGAAGCGGAAGGCCCGCAAGGGTTAAAGGAGTGTTTTGTTTAATGTATAGACATTGTTTATCCTAACTAACAGTCTGAGGGGAAGACTGTTTTTGTACCTACGCGATACCACCATTCTAAAAACGAAAAGCATTGTGGATTTGATTCAACGACTAGATTCTTGGTCCATTTCCAATTGGGTATAATCTCGCATGCGACATCCTCGATCAAAAGGAGAGCTACTGCTTCATCGCAACGGCCTAAGTATTCTTAGCACCTTCAACCTTGCCGACAATGTTGTATCGCTTGCTGAAGAAGGTGAACCATTCATCTAACACGGTCTTTTCCTTGTCCGGCAGGTCATACCATTCAGGCACACAGTCCTCAGGCTTGAGGGAGGAAGAGGCAAGGGCACGGGAGGCGTCTTTGCCAGCGAATACTAGAACATGTAACGTCGGGTCAGCGCGCTTGTCCGTCATCCTTAGATTTGACCCAGTTCGCAGCTGTACTTACCGCGATATTGACCGGAGGCGCCGTAAGCCGCATTCCGGCTCACATCGAAGACAACACCCTTGATAGCGACCAGAGTCGGGCGGCTAGGATCGGAACCTGGAGCGCAGTATACGTTAGCAATTGCAATTGCACCGCGCCGGACGCATGGGGGAGGATGGAGGGGTAGGTCAATTCTTACCGTCGCATTTGGCCAATTCCTCTGGCGAAATGGGGTCGTCCTTGGGCGGGTCAAGCTGGACGGGGACCTTGGGCTCAAAACGCTTGGGTTCGGGCTCGTGTTCGACCATTTTGTCTGCGATGGGTGTTCGACTGAGATGAGTCGAAGAAAAAGGCTGGGGTTTGTTTGGCGGGGTCTTCGGCACGGGGTTGCTGACTATTTGCCTTCTGATTGATCGGTGTGATTTCCAGGTTTGGATGCAGTTACAACTTGTCCTACCCTTGTATTATAGAGATTATCACTGCATAGTACATCTATGACTTGGATCTATAGGATCGATGGCCATATTTCACTTCCTCCTGTTCATAGCTCTACGTTCCATCTACTTATTATGTGCCTCGGCTCGCGGAAGCGGAAAACAAGTATGAAATAAGCTCAACTTGCATATATGAAAACAATGATCATATCTATGGGCATACTACAGTAGGTGGGAAAAGCCAATGTTCAGCTCCCGTCTCTCTATAAATGTTCGACCGCCAAATACACATACTGTGTAGAGCAAGAGAGTGCTGTCTCAATGCGTTCATGACGTCAACCTAAACCTTCCAGTCAAGGGACGCATGACTGCATCAGATGACCACGATGACAGGGTACAAACATATGCCAACGTAGAGCTGGAGCTCTGAAGTTGATATGAACCGTACACTCGGACAATACTCAACCTCAAGATTAAGACATCAGATGCAAATCTCCTCATTCCGGAACACTTACACAACCATAGCGGAGACCACCATAAAACATTACTTCGTACTACATCAAAATGTCCTCCTCCAATACACATCCACACATAAGCCCTGCCATTCCTGCCAGCAGTTCAAGTGCCGGCCCTACCGCGCATACCGACCCAGATCAACGCCGAAACTCCACACTGTCCACAGACTCCGATGTGATCCACTTCCTCTATTTCGAAGATAACGATGGTTTCTTTCCACCTAGCTGGATTGGCAAACAGTCACAGCAAGTACTATCAGACAAGGGCACGAGCAGCCACGGGTCCGGGGGCGAAGCTAAGAGCATGAATGCTTCCAAATTCGAAGGTCACACATAGGAGATTCGGATTGGATACGGGGATCAGTCGGTGACTCGGTGACTCGGTGACACAGGGTTTCGAATGTGCATACTTGTCAGATGCTTCGGATATTATATCAGGACTGTCTTCCTCCGTTCACTTGGTATTTATCACTCTTCTTCGTTGTGTTTCGTCCTGTCGTACATATGCCGGAAAATAATATTCTCCGTGGTCCGTGAACCTCGGCAACCGTCTCCGTTATCTCTTATCAGTGGGGATTTTCAAGGGCGGCCAAGAAAATCAAATTAGCACTTCTTCAGGTCCTTCCCAGCAGACCTGGAGACGACCCAACTTGTCCCATGTTGGTTTAAAAAGCATAATCAATACATTTATACACTTGGCACCTCTTCTATGACTGAACTGAACTTGTCGTGGCGATTCATTCCTTGATCTAATGGGATATTGACCTCCAGTATTTGGCTCCCCTAACGGACGGGGCACGTACCATGTGGGGATAATACAGACGACTGAAAGCGGACATTGGGGAGCTCCTCGCTCATTCTGATTTGTCCTCTGAGTCTGGACTGCCCGCCATACGCCCGCCATTCACCTCGGGCTTTGCCGTATGCAAATTTCCCGCGGGGCCAAGCGTCAAGGCGCTCCGCTAAGGAAACAAGAAACCACTTGTGCAGCTGAAAAAACTTAGAGCGAAAAAGTTTCATCCGGATCGGCCTTCTTTTCTTCCATTCTCATTCTTGCCTATTTGATTTTATATCTTTCTCTTCCAAGGTTGGACCCTCCTGCGCGCCTATTTATGCACGTGTTGCTTGGCTCCTGCCCGGTGTGAGAATCACCTTCAACATGTCGCATTCTCCCAACTCGGACTATGTCGCCCATACGCCAGTGGCGGCCGCCATACAAAGCGCAGAGCCTATTCGCGCCTCCGATCTCGAATCGAAGTCTTCGAAGCTACATAAAGAGATGGAGGTCACCGAAAAGGACTCGGCCGGCGGCAGACGCGCCCCCTCCGTCGATAGCGGGTCAATGGAGTCTACGTATGACCATACTCACCGCAGGCTCAAGCCGCGCCATATACAATTGATCGGGATTGGAGGGACAATTGGCACGGCGCTGTATGTTCAGATCGGAAGTGGACTGCGCACCAGTGGTCCTGGCAGTTTGTTTATTGGATTCACTCTTTGGTTAGTGCTCCTCCTGTTGAATTGCCTTTTTGATGCTTTTGGGGTCTTGACCTGGGTTGTCCCGGCTCTGCTACTTGCAAGCACGTCGATGTCATGTGGAAAAGTGGCAAAACCGTCAAAAAAAAGACAACGTCGAGGGACCAGCAAAGAGAGGAAACAAGATACCACCAAGCCAAGCAGCAAACAATATTTGGACTCGGATTTCGCAACTACAGATCGTCCAGGATGTAGCACTCTGTTAGCTCAAGGCGTATTCGTGCCATTGAAATGGGTCAATGTCGACCAATCTGCCGTTAGCACCACCTCTGCCCATGCATCTACCAAAGCCAACCAGCCGGACACCCAAGAACGCAACCCAAGCCTCGAACCCCTTACCTGTTTGCTGCGTACATTCTGAAGGTCCGCAATCTTATACGTTCTCTAGGTCTTGTGTGATTTTGATGATCACCGTTTGTAAGAACCCTTGTTCTTTTTTCTCAAAGCCCTTTGCAATTTTCCGACACCGTCCCACGCAACTGCAAATCGTGTCCCCCATTGATCCCAAATGCGCTCGAAATTTTGCCCTAATTCGGCCGACCATCGATTGCTGCACATTACTTCCACGTGGATCCGTAGTATGAATTCTAAACTCACACTGTTCTTTAGCCTTGGCGGAAATGACCACCTACCTCCCTATCTCCTCGCCATTCATTCGATTCGCCGGCCGTTACGTCGATGAAGCTCTAGGTGTCGCCGCCGGATACAACTTCTTTGTCTTCGAAGCCGCGCTGGTACCTTTCGAAGTCGTTGCTGTCAGTCTGATCATCAGATACTGGACTGATATCATTCCAGTCGCAGCCATGAACGTCATTGTTCTCGTACTCTTTGCGTCCGTCATCTCATATCAACCATGTTTGAGCTTCTAGCTAACAGGTCGAATCAGGGGACTCAATTTGTTTGCTGTGAAATGGTATGGCGAAGCTGAATTCTGGCTTTCATTAGGCAAGGTCTTGCTCAGTATAGGCCTGATATTTTACACCTTCATCGTCATGTTGGGCGGTAACCCGCTCGGCGATAGATTTGGCTTTCGGTACTGGAACGACCCAGGTGCATTCAATGAGTTCTACAAGACAGGTGACACGGGCAAGTTCCTTGGTGTTCTTGCAGCTGTCATCACAGCCAGTTTCACCATCGCCGGTCCGGACTATGTCTCCATGGCCGCTGGCGAGGCCATGAACCCCCGCAAAGTGCTGCCAAGAGCGTTCAACGGCGTCTTCTACCGTCTTACCGCATTCTTCGTCCTCGGAGTTCTCTGCGTCGGTATCCTAGTTCCGTACAATGACCAGACCATGGCCGATGCCTTCGACACTGGCAAGCCCGGCGCTGCTGCCTCGCCCTATGTCATCTCCATGGATCGCCTGAAGATCCCCATCTTGCCTGACATCGTCAATGCCGTCGTGCTCACTGCTGCTTTCAGCGCGGGAAACAGTTACGTGTACTGCGCCAGTCGCAGTTTGTATGGTCTAGCCCTGGAAGGCAAAGCCCCGAAATTCTTCACAAAGTGCACCAAGCGCGGTGTTCCCATTTACTGCGTTGGGGTCGTGCTTCTCATCGCCCTGCTCAGCTTCTTACAGGTATCTAACAGCGCAGCAGTGGTGTTGAACTGGTTTGTCAATCTGGTATGAAGTCCAAACCGGCCCCAAGTTATCCTATCTTTCCAGTGAACGTGAAACTAACCACAACCACTAGGTCACCGCTTCCCAGCTCATCAACTTTTCCGTCATCACTTTCACCTTCATCCGCTTCAAGAAAGCAGTCGAAGCCCAAGGCATCGATAGAAGAACCCTGCCCTACCGCAGCTGGTTCCAGCCATACATCGCCTACATCGCTTGCACCTGTACCACAGTCATGGCTTTCGTCGGCGGCTACACCGTCTTCCTCCCTGGAAACTGGTCCGTCCCGACCTTCCTCTTTTCGTACACCATGATCTGCGTGTTCCCGTTGTTGTACTTTGGGTGGAAGATCATCCACAAGACCAAGTTCCTCAAGCCTGAGGAGGTTGACTTGGTTACTGGTGTCCCTGAGGTTGAGGAGTATACTCGAGACTTCGTCACCACGCCACCAAAGTGAGTACATGTACATACAATTGGACTATGATTTTGTGCTAATGATGTTGTAGGAATATCTACCACAAGGTGTTCCGCATCCTCTTCGACTGAGACTAGTGATGGTTATATCTGCCGGTATATTCGAATGGAACCCGAACCTGGGCCCATCAACAAAAGTGCACATTCGTCTGTTGTTGGATTAGAGGGCTATAGAGAACTTATCTTTAGCTGAGGACATCAATATGATACCCAATTCGTTGTTGGAAATACTCTACAAAAGGATATACCTACCTACAACCTAGTAGCCATCTAATTCTACCAAGTGGCAAACAACCTGTAACAAAAAATCTCCATGATGCTCGCTGCAACGGCGCCCTGCTCGTATAATACATATGCAAAGTTAACTCAACATCCTCAATCACAACCATCTGCAATTCATCAAGCCGACCCCTCACCCCCAGCCTCATTCTCCTTAGCCCTCAAAGCCTCCAACCTCTTCTGATTCCTCTTCCCAAGAACCCGTAGCGTATTCTCCCTCTCAATATCGGACATCTGCTTCCAATTCCCAATCTGCGACAAAGTCCCATCAACATTAACAACCATCGGCCCAAGATGGTCCAGCTTCACGGTCGTCCCGCCGCCGCTCATATCGAATTTAATGTTGTCTCCGTTGACCGGGTTTGACGGATCGCTGGCAGGGAGATAGAGGGGTTGTTTGGGGGATTCTTCTTGGTTTGATTCGTCTTGGTTTTGCGCTTGTGCTTGCGCGTCTGGCTTTGCGGCCGCGGGAGCTGAGGAGTCGCTCATTGTGCGGGTTTGTGTGGTATTGAAATTGGAATCTGGGGTTTTGAGTGTGGGTGTGCACTGTGGGAAGAGGATGCTGTGTAGTCGCGGGTGGTGTGCCCAGATGCTTGTGCTTGCTGGGAGGGTGGCGCGGACGAATGGAGTGACGGTGAGGTTTAGGAGCGCTGCGCGGTAGAATGTGCGGGATACTTGCATCGTTTGAGGGTTGAAGGTTGGGGGTTGAGGGGATTTTGTGGTGAGGAGGTGGAATAGTTGGGCGGGAGCAAAACGGGGGATTGCCATTGGAGAGGTGAGTCGAAGGTTCGAGGGGAGACCTTTGGGTTCTTTGACTTATTTATGCATGCTGAGCGCTTATTGGGTTATTTTATGCATATTAATAGCTGCTAATATTTACCATCTTCTACACAATTGGAAATCAGTATATTGTTGAATATCGTACACTACCGAAACCACCAATTGACCTAAACCCATGTTAGCAACACCTTAGAAGAAGAGAGATGAATACTCACTGAACCAGTAACACCCTCACCAACACCTTTGATACTATGCCACCATCCCTTAGGAATAAATAACCCATCACCAACGCCCAGCCTTGCTTCAAAGCCAACCCCAGCATCCGAACCAGCAGACACCGGACTCTCCCAAACCATCTCATCAAGCAACACCCTCTCCGCACCCTGCATCATCTCCTCACCCCGAAAAGCCGCCGCCTCCCTCCCGCCACTCTTCCCCACCTCCCTCCTCACAGCCCCAAACACAGCCTGTCCATCCGCCGGCGCGAGCAAGCGCACAACCTTCTCCCCAGCCAACTGAACAAACAAGTTCGGGTTCGGGTCGCGATGTAGCGGCGTGTACGTGGGCGGGTGACCAATCCATACATTCGTATCGTAGACATCGCCCTTGCCTGCATGTGCCACGAGCTCAGGGACTGGGAAGTCCTCGCGAAGCACGGCTGGCAGATCTAGGAGCTGGCATTGTGCCAGGTAGAGCCTTGAAGACTGGGGTGTGGTCTCCGCTGCGCGCATCCAGTCTAGGAATAGTGATAACGGCGCGTGGAATTGTCGGAAGCTATGGAGCTGGTTTGTCTCGCTTTTGGTTTCGGTGGTTGGGTCTGGGGATGGGCATTGGGTGAGCTCGAGTGGGACGAATGCTTCGGCTCCGTGTTTATGAAGGTAATCCGCGTTTAGGCTTGCGATGGGATTGCGGGTTGGCTTGCCATTGGCGGGCTTGAACCATTTTTTGAGGGCCGGGAGATCTTGAAAGGAGCCGCGAGGGAGGATCGCTGGGTGTTCGGGGACGAAGCAGCGTTGTTGGAAGGTGTTTAGGGTGGCATTTTCGAGGACGTCGAGGGGTCGATATTGGGTGCGGGTAGAGGTTGAGAAGCAGCCGGTTGATCGAGTATTAGGGAGTGCCGAACGGGTCCAGACTCGAATTGACCACTGGAGATTCATCCAGATCGTCTGCAGGAGCGTGTGTGAACACAAGTTCTGCCTGGTTAAATCAGTTGATGAATCATGATCAAATAATCCTGGACTCCTGGAGATCCCCAAACAAAGTGGATCCGCCAACCCTCCTAGCCTCCCAGGGCTCCAACCATATCAAGCTTCTCCATCTTTTCCCCTCAATCGGGATGTCTTTCTACAACTGCAACCAATAATGATGTCCTATGCAGCGTCTATTTGTATATCTGTGGGTCAGCCCTGGATCAGCCAAACGGGGAGCTTCAGGAGAATTAGGAGCATGCACGCAGCACGTCGGCGTGAGTTGCCGAGGTTGATTATGATCCCTGAAAGCCGACCGGTCGACAAAAGCCACTAGGTTAATACCTGGTGACCTGTTCCCCTCTTACGCTTGGTGTGCATATTTCAGCTCTTGCTGTCACTGCCTGTCAGATTTCCCCCGCTGCTGTGTATAGGCCTTCTTCATTTCACAACTTACACGTGTTGTTGACCGACTCGGTACTCCCAAGGTATCGAAGGATATTGGGCGCGAACCGTATATTCACCGGTGATATTTTGGCATTCGACTCGTACCTTTTCATAGCTTACAGGGACTCTACTGCTTGGCCTTCTGTAAAGCTGCAACATGTCTTCCTCGATCGCCAGAATCCATAAGCGTCATGCATACACGAAGGATGCTCACACTTATTACCCGGTCCTCATAGTAGGTGCCGGAGAGTCAGGCGTGGCCATGGGTTGTCGTCTCAAAGAGGTCCTGGGAACAGATCAGTTCCGGATCTTTGACCGCCAGTCCGGTATTGGAGGTACCTGGTGGATCAACCGGTATCCTGGAGCTGCTTGTGATGTGTATGTGATCCGACTGCAAGTTCGTCTGCTGAACATTCAGCTAACAATAAAACCCACAGCCCCGCGTTGTTATACTCGTTTTCGTTTGCCCAGAAGAAGAACTGGACTACACTGCATCCGTCGGGCGCTGAGCTGGCCCAGTATTTTGCGGATGTCTGTGAGAAGTACGAGATCGTGGATAAGATCCAATTCAATACCGATGTCAAGGAACTTCGATGGATCGAAGAAGACGAGGAGTGGGAGGTCACACTCTCGCACCTAGTCCCTGGAACCGGCGATTTGGCCCAGCATGAACGAGACAGAATTGCAGCCGAGCACGGTCAGAACAGCGTCTACGTCAAGACAGAAATTGTACGCGCTAAGGTCGTCGTCAGTGGTGTCGGTGGTCTGGTAGAGCCTAAGACATGGCCCAAGGACATCCCCGGCATTGAGGACTTCGAAGGTGAGACCATGCATACCGCTCGCTGGAACGACAAGATTGATCTGCGGGACAAGGACGTGATCATAGTTGGTTCCGGCTGCAGCGCCGCCCAGGTCCTGCCTGAACTGGCCAAGCCAGAAGCCAATGTTCGATCCATCACTCAACTCATGCGAACTCCTCCGTGGGTCCAGCCTGATATGGTTCCTCCTTCGAAACTTCCCGTGTACGAAAAAGTGTCACCTTTGTTGATGACTTACGTGCCTGGACTGGCATCTTTCGCGCGTAGCACGCTATTCTTCACGTTGGAGAAAGGATTCTACGATATGTTCTCGGACTCTGCGTGGGGCCGACGGTCTCGGGCGAAGTTGGAGAAACGGTACTTGGAGCACATGCGCAGCGTTGCGCCGAAGGAATACCACGAGATCCTGACGCCAAACTACAGCCTGGGCTGCAAGAGACGAATCATCGATGGCACTTGGTATCGCAGTCTGCATGCGCCTCATGTGGAGTTGACCACTCAGCCTCTGACCCAGGTCCATGCAAAGAGCGTGACGCTTGGTCCAGGTGCTCACTATCCACCCGGCAAAACCGAAGGCGTGGATAAGGTGAGGGAGATCCCCGCTGATGTGATCATCATGGCCAACGGATTCGAGACCAATCAATGGCTGCACCCCTTGAAGGTGACTGGCCGGAATGGCAAGGACCTGGGAGAGGTCTGGGCAGAGCGTGGAGGCGCTCAGGCGTACCAGGGTATTGCCATGGATTCTTTCCCCAACTTCTTCATCGTTTTCGGTCCGAATACAGCAACTGGACATACCAGTGTCATCTTCGCGACGGAGAATGCCGTCAACTACTCGCTGCAATTCATCAAGCCCATTCTCAGTGGCCAAGTCAGCACATATGAGGTCAAGGAAGACGCTGAGCGCAACTGGACTCGCTGGGTGCAGGATACACTTCAGAACTCAGTGTTCCGTCGTGGAGTTTGCTCCAGTTGGTACATCAATGCCGATGGTTGGAACTCGAGCACATATCCGTAAGTTGTTTGGTTTCGTATCCTTTTACTTACTTTACTGACAATATCTCTAGAACCACCCAGCTTCACTATTGGTACCGGTGCACGTTCCCCAAGTGGGAGCATTGGAACGTTAAGCTCACACGCAAGGGACGCATACTGCAGGCAATCCGGAAGACTCTGCAGGCTTGCATTATCTTTGGTCTGAGTGCGGCTATCGGTTGGCTGTACAATCATCCTGAGCAGAAGACCCAAATGGTGCAGGCATTGCTCAGTGGGAAATCGTGGCTGGTGTCCTTGGTTGGACAGCAACTGGGGCGCTTGAGCGCTGCAATCTCGCGTTATAATTAGTTTATAATTTTATTTGAGCTTCATTTGTCATGAGACTGTAATACTGTATCTCCAGTGCGATGAATTTAACATACTGTCAAGTCAATAAGATGCATCTTCCTTTTACAACTAAACAAATCCATAGCTCTGGTCCAATGACCGGCTCCGAAACTCCGATGAGTAAGCCAAATCCGGGGAAACCCCGCGACAGAGGAATTTCTCCGCACTTCGACGTCGGCGTCTCTCTCCCGTCAACTTGTCTAAGCTGTTTCAGACATCCTGCGGGCCATGGCTTCGGATTCACCCCAGCTGCAGATGTCTCCGCCGGAGACGGATCTTCGCGACCAGTCCACTGAAGCGCCTGATTCCAACAAGCGGAAGGCGGAACAAGGCAACGGAACGCAGGCGCGCGCAAAGCGGAATCGCTACATTTCCATCGCATGGTACGGTACCCTTTTTCTTTCCGCTCTTTGGGAATCTCGTCTTCCGGCTTTAGCATTGGTCCGATACCTTGTTTGCATGCCGAGTCATACGACTCGACTTTTCCCGTTTGGTCCGGGTACATTTGTCGGAACCGAGCTAATCGCTAGCTATCCAGTAATGAATGCAAGCGGCGCAAGATTAAGTGCAATGGCCAGATTCCCTGCCAACGATGTGGTCATTTGAAGCTAGAATGTATGTGCCCTACATGCAGACTGTCTGGTCCTTGATCTCAGACGCTGACTATTCCACCAGGTCGTTATGCCCCTAATTGCTGTAACAACAACTTCAAGGACTCAGAGTAAGTGGTGGCATTTACTTCCGCGCCGCGTTCTATACTAACTGCCGAGATAGTGAATTCCGATCCTTGACAGATCAGATCAGCATTTTGCAGGACCAGGTCAATAGCTTGTTCAGCAATCTCAATGACCTTCGCACCAAGACTTCAACCTTCGAGTCACCACCGTTTGACCATCTATCCCGTGATGGAACTCAATCGATCTACACTTCACTGTCCGCTGGGCCCACAAAGTCCCAAGCTCGCCCCCCACGCTTCCACGGCCCAACAAGCTCTGCTTTTAACTTTGATGTCGCCAAATCCAGTCTGCAAAATATGGGTATCACGCCAGCGGAAGACGGGATTTCAGACGACATGACGACAGCACATATTACTCCAACAGGCTCACCAGCTCCCAATATGGGGCAGCTTCTTCCGAACATACACCCCACCAAGGATCCAATATGGACCATCCGACGGGAAGAGGCACTCCGTCTTCTGAAAGTGTATGAAGAAGAGATCGGGATCATGTATCCCTTGGTAGATATTGGCAGGATTACCAACCAGGCCAATCTGCTCTACATGTTCATTGAAGCTGCTACCAGGACAGGCTTCGCACAGCGAGGGCTTCCAGGGTCTGATAGCTTGCATGATGAAGACTCAATTGTCTTGAAACTGATTCTAGCCACCACGCTGGTCGTGGAGGGGGCGGCGAAAGCGAGCTGGGGCAGCGACTTTACTTGAGTGTTAAGCCGTACATAGAATCGAAGTTGTGGGACTCACATACGATCAAAACAATTCAACTATTCGGTCTTGTGGTAAGTCATAGCCTCTACATGATTCACACCCAATTACTCTGACACTTCTCCTTCCCAGGCTACATATCATTTCCACACAGATGATGATGCTATGGCATATCGGCTTATCGGATTGGCAGCGCGAATGTGTCTAGAGATGGGACTGCACCGTCGGGACGCTTTGGTAAAATCCTTCCCCAATGAGCAATGGGTCGATATCACTCGGCTATTCTGGTCAATTTACAGCTTGGACCGACGGTGGAGTTTGGGAACGGGATTACCATTTGTGATCCAGGACGAGGATATTGATCCCAACCTACCAGAGCCTGTAAGATTTCCCTGCATTCGTCACTCAATGATTGAAAAACTGACATGTGGGAATTACAGGATGCAACACTTCCTTACTTGCGCTGCATGATTTTATACAACCGGATCAGCTCCAAGATTTGGTACTCTGGCTTGGGCTCCGAGGGCACGACCGACATACGTCGTGATGAGATTGGCTACCTGGACTATCAGATCTTGCAGTGGTACAAGCAGGTCCCAGATGAGCTGAAGTTCTATCCCGTCGAGTCTCCTAAGAGCGGTGAACCCGTAAGCAGAGGCATGAGACGACTGAGGGTTCTCCTATATCTGCGAATGAACCAGTTGCGGATATTGATCTATCGCCCAGTGCTGCATTCAGCGGCTAGCATTTCCGAAGATCGAGGCCACGCTCAGACCGTTGTGGACGTCGCCAAAGACACTGTCCAGGTGCTCACTCGGCTGAACCAGATGTCCGATATCTACCGGACACAGCAGATCACATTCAACTACTTCCTCGTTGCTGCATTAGCCGTGCTGCTTCTAGCAGTGTCCCACGCTCCCGCTGACTTCAACCGGCAGGTGCGCGATGAATTCTACATGGCCCTTGATCTGATCAATGGGTTCAGTACCAAGTCTTACGTCTCCAAACGGTTATGGAAGACAATCAAGGGTCTTCGAATGATTGGAGAGAAGCTAGGAATGCTCGCCCGTCCCTTTGGAACGGACTCTACAGATCCTCACTCGAGTGCTGCGGTGGCAATGGCCGGGCTCGCGGGGCATCCAATCCAGGACCTTTCTATGTATGGGCCCATGAATGGTGGACACGAACTCGGAAGTAGTCCTCTCAATGGTCTCCAGATGAGCCATGAGTTAACGAATCTGTTTGAGGCTGTTGGTTCTTTTGGGAATTTCATCCCGACGACCACTGCTGACGGTCTGAGTGGTTTCGTTGGGTCGGATGGGGAGATTCACAACACCGGAGAGGGTTTATCGGGGGTGCTGGGTGACGAGGGGGAATTTGCTCGCGTCATTCGAGATTTATTTTGATCTTTAGTCCATAGTCCATACCCTCAGATGTATGTAGTCTACTTCGAGTCAATATGGAGGTAGTCGAATACCTAATGACCTTCCGCATCCAGACCGTGGTTGGTCGGACTGCACGTGATTCTTGCCATTCAGGCAGAATGATCTCAGTCCCGAAATAACTTCACTTTCGACATCGTCGCGCCCGATAAGCAGATACATATACAGCTCTGTCAAAATAAGAGCCAAGGACTCTGGAGACCTTTTCCCACCGCCCACCGCCCCACGAACCGAAACCCACCTTACCCGATTCGACCGCCACATCCAACGTCCAGGCTCAGATCAACCAAGACTAATCGACATTTTTAGACGATCTCCAGGTAAGTCATCTACTCAACAGATGCAAGATGCAGGTCGCAAGGAACTGATCACACTTTGGTGGCGTTGCAGCCCTAGATCCGACGTCTCCTGTTGATCGCACAATCTTGAACCCCCCCCCCCCCCCCCCCTCTCTCCCGCACATTGCCATGAACCTCTAGCCCTTCGGTCCCACCATTTGACCACGAGATCCGCGATCTCATCTATAAGCCCACGTGGATCACTGTATCCCTTCGCTCCGAATACACCACCCAATTCAACCGTCTCTCAGCCCTTCCGCGTGACGAAATCACTTCGTCTTCGCCAACATCCCCCGAAGCCTCACCCCCCAGCTCGGCAACGTGTCGAGAGAGATAGGTTCGGCGTTGGCCGACGGCCTCGACAGGCTGGATCTGAGTCAACTGTCTGAATCGACCTTATCGTCATCGGTGTCCGCCTCGTTTGACATGTCGTCCTCGGAAGGAGCTCCGGAGTCGTGGATCTCCTCGTTCTGTTCATTGATGGGCCATGAATTCTTCGCCGAAGTGTCGGAGGACTTCATCGAAGATGACTTCAACTTGACTGGTCTCCAGTCCCAGGTGCCTATGTACAAGGAGGCACTGGAGATGATTCTCGACGTGGAACCGGAGGATGAGGAAGAAGAGGAAGAAGAAGAGGAGGAAGAGGAGGAAGATGACGATGCTCTGGGCGGTGATCAACCTGTATACCGAAGGGCGGGCGATCGGCGACACGCTCGCGTCGCAAGCGACTTGAGCGTGATCGAGAGCTCCGCCGAGCTCCTGTACGGGCTGATCCACCAGCGGTATATCACCTCGCGGCCGGGCATCCAACAAATGCTCGAAAAATACGAGATGCAGCATTTCGGCACCTGCCCGCGAGTCAACTGTGACGGATGCAAGGTGCTCCCCGTTGGCCGGTCTGACACGCCCGGCCAGGACACCGTCAAGCTTTTCTGCCCCGGTTGTATGGATATTTATACACCCCCGAACAGCCGCTTCCACTCCGTCGACGGCGCATTCTTCGGCACGACGTTCGGATGTCTGTTCTTCATGACCTTCCCCGATCTGGATATCGGGCCGCGTCTGGACGCAGCCTTGTCTATGATGTCTCCCCGGAACGCATCGTCAACTTCTCGCACCGGCTCCCTAACCCGTCCATCAACCTCGCAGCGCCAGGCAGAGTCGCCCAGCCCCGAGAACCAGCCATTGGAAATCAACGGTGTCCGGACGTCCAACCTCTGCCCAGGTCTTGGCAAGGGCAAGATATATGACCCCCGGATCTACGGATTCAAGGTCTCGGAGGTGTCGCGCGTCGGCCCGCGCATGAAATGGCTGCGCATGAAGCCTAAAAATGTCATTGAGCTTGACGAGGCGTGGAACCATGAGCAGGGAGGGAATGCGCAGGGGAGCCGCGGTGATAAGGATGGCGATACGGAGATGAATCTGGAACAGTCGCAGGATGCTGCTATTGCGAACCGCAAGAAGGCCCCGATGCGGCGCCGGCGACCTAATCTCGGGGCGTCCTCTACTGATCCGACGAATGTACACGGCCGATGATGTTGAGATAGAAACTAAGCATTTTTCTTTCGTTTATTTCCAAGGCTGTATCTACTGTATTCAAGGAGCGATGGGAACATGCCCACCTAACCGTGGAGCGATGGGTTCTGGTGATGATGATGACAGTTGTTGAGCTTGGTTTGACTGTTTGAATGGTGTTCTTTTTCTTCTAATATATTGGGCTTTTGGTTCTGCATGCACGCATCCCCGGTTTCTCTCTTTCCACAATTCTCTCGGTCCGAATCCCAGGATCGAATTGTCCGATTCATTGTTCTATTCTTCACATTACTGAATAAACGTGACAATAGTACCCCCACTTGCTCTGTTTGTCAGGACTCAGCATGTGCTAGGTATGCCCTCTACCTATTTAGGTGCCATGGACTGACTCCATGACATGTCTACAATAAAATGCCTGACCAGATCTAGACTCAGTCCAAAACAAAAAGAGCCTCAAGCACATAAGCAGCCTCAGAGTAATCTACAAGGCCCGGGCCGACACCCATGAGGCTCCAACGATTCCCTCTACGATCTACAAGTATGACACATTCCAATTGGAAGCCTCGTGAAGCGACCGGCGTCTCCGATTGATGCATTCCCAGAATCCCAGTCAGGGCAAAAAGTCCAAACTCAACCAATTTGCAATTCAGGCAAGCTGCAGCAAATCCCCTCGTCTATTCCATGGAGTGCACACCCTTGTTTACATGTAGTAGGTAAGTGCACAACATGTACAGTGTATCACAAGATATTCCCATGTAGTGTCTAGCATTAGCGCAAATCCCCAGTTCACTCATCTCGAAAATGAGTCTCCAACCACTTGGAAAAAGACACCCTCGGCGACCTCCGACGGGGATTCGTGAAACCTGTGACGACAGTCTCGTATTGGGCTGTGCCTTGCTTCTAGTTTGGTGTGCAATATTGAGTTACAATATACCTAACTAGATTGCCCATTACCAGATGTAGTATTGAGTGTACAACATAGTTACATGTGTCATCTCCATAGCCCATCGTGGCTATATAACTGTAGCATCAACCCCCCATCCATATATGCCTGGAATTAGGCCTCCCCCATCCTACTACCTACCCATCACACTCCCGGCCCCGGCACTAACAAAGATACGGTTACCCCCCACTTCCTTCCCTATCCCGCATAGCGCACACCGGACTGGCGGACAGGCGGAACGGCGGATGTGCGGTCCACCTGGGAATTCCCATGGGGCGGTTCAGCGTACATGCATTGCATGGGGCTAGACTGCATGCTGTTCTTGGGGAGGAATCGGGCGCGTAAACTCGACTGGGATTGTGTGGGTTATTTTATTCTTGTTTTGTCTGCCATGTCTGGAACTGTCACATGGGTAGGATCTTTTTGTTTGCTCGTTTCTTTGTGTGGGGAGAGGTTAGGGGTCTTGGTCTTGGCTGAGGGTGTTGGTTGTTGGTTTTGGGGGCGATAGGGGGGAATTGTATTGCCACGCGCTGTTGTGTTAAGGGCAGCTGTAGGGTTGGTTGGTGCTTTTGTTGATGCGTTGTTCTATGGCTGGGTTTGGTAACCTCCACACTGGCGTTGGATGTTCGAGGGTATTTATGTAGTTGGTCTCGTTTTGTTTTTCTAGCCTACCTAGCTGTATTGCGAGCATTTCTTCAGAGATTCAACTGTCTATAGATATATAAGACTGACATAGATCTGTGAACAAATGGTAAGATCTTTAACTTTAATCTCCCTGCATAATCTCATATCTTGGCATTGGGGTTGATATCTCGATGGTAAGCGTTGTGTGCTGGATATCCTCATTTCTTTGCAAGTCAATACTATCAGGTAGTGCATACCTACCATGGAACACTTTACATCAGAGAGAAGATATCGGTGATGTGATCTTAATGTACGTTGGGCGGCTGCCTGTAGCACTAACATTCTTATAGTGGGTTGCTCTTGCTTCCTCTTCCTCTTTCCCTCTATGTGAAATCATCCTATCGCAGTTTCCTCCGTTGGTCTGTCGTCTTTGTCGATCTTGCCTTGACAGCTCTCTTTTCGCATCTGCGCAATGTCTACATGGTTCCTTCCACTCCCATACCTTCGCTCTCTTCAGCAAGAGATGCTAAGGCAGGGGCAACAAGTGACGTCCACGTGTTTGGGGGATGGCATAATCTTCAGTCTAACTCGTTTAAACAATGCCTCTGCGGATGTGGTGACATGCAGGCTTGTCTACAGCATGGAGACCGATGTTTGTGTCAAGGAAAACACAGGATCTTGGCCGCACTGAAGCCTCCTGCTATGTTCTACAATGTCTTCGTAGACTCTTTCAAGGTCTTGATGTGCTCCATCAACCATGGCTAAGAGCCACTACTCTGACTGTAACTCAATGTCTATTCCTACGACTATTTGGGATTGGAAGACTACAGCGGTCTTGCCTCGATTCTCTCACAATCATCTTCCACTTCAATCAAGGCTTCTCGGCTCTTCAACTTCCCTTCGGGTAATCCTCTACAAAACTCCTCATACCATCCTCAACTTACACCTCTTACTAGTAGTTACTACCATATTCGACTTTCGACTAGGTCCTCTACCATGTAGTTGACAACTACCTTTACCCACTGCAGTGCCCACTCGATGGCCTTTTATTTGCCCGCAATATCTTGAATGAGCTTCGATTACGGTATCTCATTTTGCAGCAGATAATCAGAAGTCGAGCCAGAGCCGGCACGCGTCCCGACTTTGCTTATCAACATACCCAACCGACTACAGCCGCAGCTATGCTACAGTGCTGCGCAAAAATCCATTGTCGGCTGGAAGAACACCGTTACGCCGGATTCTCTCTCTGTGGAACTGCTCGAAGCTTAATCGTTTGAGGGAAATGCTGTTCGCGCTTGATTAGGAGCGTCCTTGTAGCGTTAAGGTTTCACTTTGTACAGTTCCGTTTTAGGATGACAAGACGTGGTCTAGGTACCTATGGAATGACCCGCTTCCAATGGGTTTGGATGCCAACAGACCGACGTGAAGATCCGGACAGGCGTGTGAGACATTAGATAGAACCAGACCAAATTAGGTGATTAGATGTTGGAGCTGTTGACGGCTGTGATATCTGATGCCGCGTTGGAAGATTTGGGGTAAGATAGTTCAGAAAGCTTTCTTGCTCTCCCTCTTCTTCTTTCTTTCCCATCTTTGGTACGTCCAATTGGACTCTGTGGCTTTTCATATCTGCCTAGTATCACAGGACGGATCTAGAGCTACCTATGTCCTATTGAAGACATACTAACGCTAGTGTGAATGTAACCAGGGCATTGATGCTCGGATTGCTTCTAGGCTAAAGTGTATGGTCTCTCGTTCCTCTGTTTTCTTTCTGGTTCCTTGACTAGTCTTACCAAGAAGGTTAAATTAGCGCCACGTACTGCAACCTAGAGATCCTGAACCGCAGCGGCGCAGCCCCAAAAAGCCAACTTGAAGCTGAACACAGACTGCGTATCTAGTTGCCCATTTTGTAGATCACATCTCTGTAGATCACTCCAAACTGCTTCCATACGGAAATAACTCCCAAGATCCGACGCTAGTTCACCTTAAGCTCCCTTAGCACCGACATGCAACTTCCCTAACCAGTTACCATATGGTCTCTAACTCAAACTAGTGCCTGGTACCCCTACGCTGCAATATCCAACCCGTCCCACCACAACGGTCCTCCCACCCCACTCGGCTGCCAAATGTGGAGTCCAGACTAAGCATATTTGGTTGGGTCTAGGGCTGGGTGGTAGGCCGAGATCTATTTGAGATGTGAGGGAGCCGCGCTTGGAGATTTCAGCTGCCTTGGCATGGTGTGATCGTATGGCGTATGGCTATTCTCTGAATTGAGTTGGGTGGAGGTGGCATTTGGATTGCGGGAAGCGTTGATGGGGCTTGTTCTCTAGGCGCTGGATTGTCTTTTTTTCTCTATTGGATTTGGGCTTCACCCAGGACTACATGTATGTGTCGGTAGATACTCCGTGGTGATATACTCCGCTGGGCTCTGAGCTCTTCCATGTTTATCACCTGGGCAAGGTAGTATGTAGTAACTAAAGTATTTCGGCAGGAGGACTCCCCGGTAGTCAAACATGAAACATTGCTGGATTCCAAATCCAAATCGTCTCGGCAATATTCACTGAGTTCAGCCCGGTGTTGGGCATAAATATCCGCAGATAAGGCTGGGGCTAATACGGGTGAATCACTGCAACATGTAAAGAGTTGCAGAATCCAGATAACAATGCCAAAAGTAACTCAAATGATTTTCGCTACGATAAGGCAGCCCATACATACATATCCCGAGAACTACTGTACCAGTTCTCTTCCAAAAAAAGAAAAAAGAAATATTAAATCATCACCTTCCCTTTTAGCTCAGACCCACTCACCTGGGGATAGGCGGGAACAGCCAGAGCCGCGGAATGGCACTAGTCCAAGAAGGGAAAATGAAGGATACAGTATGTATACGTCCTTTTAGACGTTTACCGTCTTCGCCCCCAATCTTCTCTTTAAATAGGTCCTATGTTAGTCAACCAGGTTGATGGTCAGTACTAGCTACGGTAACTGTAGTGTGGGGGGGGATACCAACAATCCTGGAAGAACGTGCTACGAGCTAACTTGCTACGGAGTGTAGCCTCCGTCTCACAATGTTTTAGGTTTCCATTGATCCGCCTCGGTGTTCGGTCTTTCAGCCTCAATTTATGCGGAGGCCTTATACTTGGTGCGGGACCGAGTGGGTTGTCCCTGCCCGTGAGGGGTATTCCAGGATGTTTTTTCTTTGCTCTCTGCATGGCAGGATCACTTACCCCGTGTCACCAGTCTTCAATGGGATAGGACAGTATATAGTATAGTGGTGTTTCATGAAGAAGGTACCATCCCAATCCTTCTGGATAGTAGCTGTCTCGTCGAGCCGGGGCGGAACATCGCCAATCCCAGGTGAATGCGAACGTTGGTCCGACTCCGACTAGAGATGCAGGGCGTTTATGTTTTTTGTTTTTATTTTTAATTTTTTACATCCGCTCGGGTTTGGCTTTGGTCCGCGTGGCTTTTACTAGATCCTTAGGTAGATCCTTCATGTCCATGGTATGCACCCAGTGGCCAGGAATGTTGTGTTTAGCAAGCACTCGTTCGGGGATTGCTGATAAATTCCAGGTGACAAATTCATGGGGCGCACCTTGTGAGGCAGATATCCATCTCGGACCGGTTCCGTCTACGGGGCCGTGGATGGGATGGCGGGATTCGATTCGCAGACATATCCCCATTCTGCATGGCATCATTCGGGTGCAGGGCGTTTTCGGTTTTACCTGAAGATAAACGGAGTTTACATGAACATAATGCCGGGAGCAGTACGGAGTATGTACGGAGTACCTCGTAAAGCCTGAAGGGTTGCCTACATTTTCCATGTAGAGTATACCCGTGCTGAGCAATCAAGGACTATTTGCGGGGTGCGGTATTGTTCTGCTTTTCTGCAGGGATCGGGTTCGACACCCGGCAGACTGGTCTGGGGCATTATTGGCTGTTCAATCGACTGCTTCTTGAGTCATGGACGAACTTGTCGGGTCTAAGAATATGGTCTTTCTTTTCTTTTTTTCTTCAGATTATTAATGTACCTAACGGAGTTTTGGATCTTGGCTGCGCCCTAAAGGAGTACGTAGTACGGAGTACTTCCGTACATAGCCTATCAGATGGGAAACGAGAAACCGAGAGACTTGTCAAGAACACCCGACTTGGAATAGATCGAGATCACCCCGTTGAAACCTCGGGTGAACGTGATAGGTTGGGAATTTATTGGGGCCAAGGTGGAAATTGGCAAATCTCGCACGGTGTTTGGGGGCCGTGGAGTTAGGCCGTTATGGGGATGGACCAATCCAGGTAGCAGATGAGAACGTTATAGAATGGGGAATTGGGGATCGTATTTTCATTTCTATTTGAGTGAAATCTGTGTAGATCTGCAGAGAGTCGAGACACCAAAAATCAGAAATGAGAAAGGAAAAAAAAGAAAATAATTTGATTCAAACGTGGCTCCCTAACTCATCCCTGTTCCCTTTAACACCACGCTACCAATAGAACCAATTTCAACGCCAGTTATCATGCAGCTATCTCGTCACACATATCCGTATTGGAGAAAAATAATAAAAAAAAGGAGAGGGGGCTATTCGCAAATAAAAGTGGAAAAAAAAACCCAAGAGAAAAACAATCGGCAAATCGATTTAGCTCTGGACAACGGGGAAAAAGAAGTGACAGGGTCTGGACGGGGCGGAAATATCCGCAATTCGGCCTTTTGGGTCCCCGATCCCCCCGATCGCCCTTACCGCCGTAGATCGTACTCGTACAGCATCGAGCGAGGCGAACAAGGCGCCGACTCCGGTGTCAACGGGAATGTGAAAATAGATTCCTCGGGTGATGTTGACGCTCGCTGTTCCTCGTAGCTGTATGCAAGCGCTGGCATCTGAATAGGGTGATATTAGCTGACCGTCGAGACTGGGCATAAAATCACAACTCAGCGAGGGTAATGTACCGGCAGGGTGGAGGCTTGGTGTTGCGCATGTGACTGGGTTTGTGCTTGCTGTTGGCACAGGTCGATCCCCGCCATGGTTGCGTAGCTCATGCTGAAGGGACTGATCAGGTCTTCGTCGTAGGCGAGTTTGCGCTGCATTGATGGGAGGACTGGGACCAGCGAGGAAACGGGCTCGCCGTATTCGGCTTGGTAGTTGATTTCGCTGTAGGTGCTGGGGGTGGCGTGGTAGATCTGGGACTGGGTGTAGGCGGATGGGCGGTAGGTGTCGTAGGGGGAGAGAGATGGGTAGGAGAAGACTGGTGGAGGCGAGGCTGAGAGCTGGCGGGTGCATTGCTGGGCGAACATGGTTTGGCGGTCCTCTGGGGAATAGTAGTCGTAGGGGCCTGCTCGGTCTGATTGTTCGGACTTGACATCTATGGATTTGGAGGCTCGCTGCTTCGTTCGGGCCTTGGCTGGTATCTTGGGAGACACGGGTTCTTCAGACCGTTCTGGGGATGCGGAGGTTGCAGCCCGTCTCTCGAGATCCTCCAGACGACGCTTTAGTTTCTTGCCTATTGCTTCCCGTCAGAGATGGGGATCTTGAGACTGTGTTCTCCGTTCACTTACGATAGTTGCGCTGGGCGATACGATTTTGAATGCGCCGACGCTCTGCAAGATCTGAGATCTTTGTCCAGTCTTCATTTGGATTGGCGTTGGGACTGAAAGCACTACTATTGCTGTGACTACCGCGAGAGCCTGCACGGCCATCATATGGGGAACGATGCATGATGTGTGTGTGTGTGTGTATGAGAGAGAGAGAGAGAGAGAGAGAGAGAGAGGTGTAGAACTGTGAGTAGATAGAATAACGTTATGAGGCTAAAGAGGTCAAGGCCCCTCATATATAGAAGTCAATCAGCATTTGGGCCTTGCAGCTAAGCCCCCGATAAACCAGCTTAGTCCGTGCTTTTAGACTCGACCTGCCATGTGCACGGTTTTAATTATTATTTTATTTTTTAATTAAAATCGGATTTAACCGATTTATTCCGTTTATTCCATTTTAACAAGGATTCCCGTTCAGCCTCTGGTCACAATACCTTCACTTTCCTTTCCTGTCCTCTCTGGGGTTTATACGCCTCGGGGATACGCCTGCCTTCGGGATTCATCCGTTCCTCTCTTCAAAGGTCTTTGAACCTTTACACCCTTTATTACTACTAACTTACTAATCCACTAACCAATGGATCTCATAAATGTAGCACCAAGGTCATACGTATCGAAATTCAGGTTGGGCCGGAGACGTTCGCTTGGGGAATCCTCATTCGACCTGACTGGCCCGAGACACGATATGCCCAGGGATGAAACGGGATGGTCTTTGGGGTTACACCTTGGTCTTTTGCGATCTTTCGGTCATTTTGCCTTGGGGATTTCTTTCTCACGTGGGTTCTCTGAGGTGCACGGCCATAACCACGTTTTCTTATTTACTAGTTGGATGTCGTATTGCTCGTCATTCTTGGCAACGGACTAAGGGGATAAAGATCTCACTCTTTGGCTGATCTATTTACTGGAGATCATTCTGAAGTACTAGAGAATAGATAGACTAGTCAAAAGTCCATGAGACGATATAGGTGACCGTGTTCAACCGTCGACTAGTCAAGGGTGGAGACATAACAATTGGCTCGTATACTGCGTACTCTCCCGCTAATTATTTCTCCAGAGATTTGTCAGTCTTTTTCTATATTATTAATCTACTTATTCCCAATCATCCATGGATTAGAACATCCCGGAATAACTCAATGACGCACTCTACCTGTCACCGATCTGGACATATCGCTTTTATGGAGTTAAGGCTGACTGCTTGAACTACTCTTCCTAGTCCCGGAGATACGCTCAGACTTTCACTTGACTCCGAGAGAGAATTTAGATGCAGAAAAATACGCTTTTACATGCGCCGACAAAGGAGGAAAACCAAGGGCAACGACTAAAAAAGGAAGAGGCTCTGTCCAGGTAAGACAGCTAATCTATGAATAGCCCGTGCAGCGTCTCTCTCTCCAATCCCGAAGCCGGAGTTAATATGCCAAACTTATTGGAAGTCCGTAGCCCCTAGACGATTGCTCATTGTCTTGCCCGTATAGGGCTGAGCTGGACGCCTTCTTATTCCCATTCGAGTAATTGTCGGCATCGCATGACCCAGCACTGGACACAGCAGCTCAGGTACCCGGTACATCAAGTGTCCCCCATTCCCCCTGTTCACCGCTCATGCTGTCCAAGCCTCCAGCCGGGATTCCAAGTATTGCACAGCCATCCTGGTGGGATCTCTGCCTTCTACAAGGATTGCAGCCATTCACAGTCCGTGCTGGGCCCCGGATGCTTGGATGGGTTGCATTTCGAGCCTTCTAGTAACCATCTAGAAGAATGTTCCTGGCGGTGGACTAATATGCAGCGACCTTGTCGTGCATTCCGAACTGCACTTCCCTCACCCATGACCTACGTCTAATTTACTACTTTCTTTCTTCACTTTACTTTTCCTTTTTTTTTCGAGGAGGGGGTGCTTGCCGGTGTCACTTAGGAATATCGATGACGGCAATCTCCGAGCCTCTTGGGTTCGTGCTGGCACGTTTTGTCGCTTGCGCGTTGGGGAGGTTACACCAAACGTGAAATGGACCGAGTGCAAAAGTCCATTTAAGCATGTCTACTGGGCAGTGTCAACTTCATCCCCGATATTCTGCGCTTCGAATAGATTCCTCCCTTCCCCCACTTCCTACATCGGAGATGTCGGACAAGGCGTCCAGTGCTGAAAGTCCCAACTCCCTCCAGCACAATCTCCGAATCTGCGCATGGCGGACTGCCTCGAGCATGTTCAAAGGACGAGTTTGTGTTTCGGTTTCTCGAGTCGCACCAATATCCAACATCGCCCTCGGCACTTAACTCCTCCCAGTTTGCCTTCCCCGTTATACTATATTCATATGTATTCAACAATAAGTCCGGAGAAGAGGAAGTATAATACTCATTATGACCTCTACACCCCTTCGGGGGTATCTAAGAATAAGAAGCTGACCACCAGTTCCCCAATCCACACCCCCGGTTATTTCCCGTGGACGCATGATTCCATAAAACACCTCGCTTACTGAAATTGCCGCACGCCGAGTCAAGTAACCTACGAGATAAATCAAGTTTGACACCTATCATCGTCCATGCGGAACATCCTGAAACACCTGTCGTGTCCCGCCGCCCTCGCTTCGGTCTGTGCCGGGTTCTGCGCCCGGATGGGCGTACAGACCCAGCCTGAAACCTTCTCTGCCTCCTAGCGAACTATCTGTTGCTGTATTGTGAATCGCACGCTCGCTAACCCTGTCAAGTTCCGGTTTAGCCTCATACCCACGTGGTCCACATGCGGTGTCTCGCCTACCTTACCTTATTTTGGGTCTGGTCAGGCAGTTGGTTGGCTACTTTGGGTTACTAGCTATTGAGTTGGTATGACACAATGAGGGATGTGTAGGTTAAAACAGGTTGGTTCGTGTTTGTAATGTCTGGTTGGACTTGGAGGGTATGGTCTGCCCAGTGCGTGCATAGAGATTGACGGTGGAGTCTGCGGACGGGTGGCTGACAGTGGTCAGCACTGTGTTTGTGCAAGGTCCAGATGTGGATCTGACTAATCTCTTTGTTCTATCTTTGTTGGGCTTGGGGATGGCTCGTGGATGTTTCCATTCATTTTGGTCTGAACTTGATATCGGAGCTGATGCTTTGGAGTATATCCATAGCCACCTGGCCTCCACATTCCATCAACCGTAGCAATACTAGGTACGAAACAGAAGCCGACACTCGAGGCTGGATAAAGATCGCTGGATTTTGTACGTTTTGGCAAGCCACAACGAGGTAACCGAATCGTTCATACCTAGGTAGACTACCTGTCTGTCGATCCGAGTATGACTCCTGCAAGCCCCGTAAGTATAACATGCGCGTGGGTTTCATGCCTCACTATCTTTGATGATAGGCAAAATGAATGGCATTAATCTGAATTCATTTTATCGAATCTATATCCACAACAATCTGAATGTATTCCCAACTTCCCGGCCTTTCGAACTCATTACATCGGTTGTCGTGCTTCTTTCGTTGTTAGGGCTTGCTACGCCAAGTCCGGGACCCACCTGCATATTCTGTCAACGGATGTCGGTCTAGAAAAGTGACATATTTGGGAATATAGCATTGGGACGTGACGAGTATTCGGTGGATGAGAAGACTGAAATGGCAATTGCTGGAATGAATTTGGTTTCTCGCAGTTGGAAGTTTGCTATAGGCTACTATACTAGGTATAAATGTGGGAACATCGTTCCCTTGCCATAACGCGTGAATATAGCAAATTCTAGCCAGACTCTAGATGAATATGTTGGTGACAGCACTGCTGCTCGATAGCATCGGTATGGCTGGAGATGTCCAAGCAAAATGCAATACTACGTATCAAGGAAATATTCCCTGGGTAAAGACTTCGAAAGCTTTTGTGACCATACACCATAGCCTGGGTATCATTCAACCGCTTGGCATATAAACCAATGGGCATCAGCCCGTTATATCAACGATTCCTATCTTAGATAGTGACACTACAAATAGGTTAGTATATCTTCGTATTTAACAGCATGTGCCGGCTTACCTCCACGGGTTCGGCTCATCACCGTATTGGATACCCTCAATCCAGTTCTTCATCTGGAGAGCAATCTCGCCAGCCTCCTCGTCCTCCTTCAGACCGCAGTCGACCATCTTACCGCGATAGCTGATGTTACGGACAGGGCTGACAATAGCAGCAGTGCCGGCACCGAAGACTTCGATCATGCGGCCCTCGGCAGAGGCCTCCGCAACCTCGGACATGCGAATCTTGCGCTCCGAGATGTTCCAGCCCTTGGGACCCAGTCTCTCGCGGGCAAGGGTCAGGACGGAGTCACGAGTGACACCCTCCAAAATTGTACCGTCCAGAGGAGCGGTGATGAGCTCCTTCTGTCCAGTCTCCTTGTTCTTCAGGGCAATGAAGAGGTTCATTGTGCCGACCTCGGTAACATACTCCTCCTCGCCGAAGAGCCACAGGTTCTGCTGGAACCCGCGGGAGGCGGCCTCAAGCTGGGGCAGAATGCAAGGAGCGTAGTTGGCTCCGAGCTTCTTGTCACCGACACCACCTGGCCAGGCGCGGACGGCGTAATCAGTGGCCTCCAGGGAGATGGCCTTGAATCCAGTAGGATAGTAAGGACCAACAGGACTGGCAATGACGTAAAGAAGGGCGGAGCCCGGTGGGCCAACGCCAAGGGTCTTCTGTGTGCCGATCATAGTGGGACGGAGGTACAATGAATAGCCGCGAGCACTATGAAAGTTAGCGAGGACCTTTATCCAAGCTAGATGGGGCCCACTCACTCAGGAATAAACCGACTGTCCAGCTTCACGAATTCTCCAATAATCTTAGTCAATGCGTCGCCGTCCACGGTGGGAAGAGCAATGCGCGCGGAAGACTTGTTCAGACGCTCCATGTTCTTGTTTGGGCGGAACAGACGGATGCCACCGTTGCTGTCCTTGTACGCCTTCATTCCTTCGAAACATTCGAACGCATAGTGGAACACACAGGTCGCTGGGTCCAAGCTGAGATTCTGGTAGGGGACAATGCGAGGTGCGTGCCATCCGTCGGTAGCCGTCCACTCCACGGAGAGCATGTGATCTAAACGTGCGTCTGGTCAGTGCCTGAGGAGGCAATGGAGCGCAGATAGTGGTTTACCAGTGAAGTACTTTCCAAAGACGAGATCCTTGGGCTCCTTGGGCTCCTGGGGAGTGGTGGTCTTGGTGATAGTCAACTTGGACGCATCGAGACCTGGGAGCTGAGAGGCCGCCGCTGCGGAGGCACCAAATGCGCGCTGCCACGTCCGGCTGGCGGCAATGTTCTGGGAGGAGAGGACGCGGGGCATGGCCAGCCCGGTCAGGGCCTGGCGGCGAGCCATCTGGTGAAGCGACTTCATGACTTTGTAAATGTTAGGGACGATCCTGTGGGGCAGTCAAGGGTATTTAGAGAGGAGATTGTGTCAATTCAGTCACTGGAGAGAATATAGACGTACTGAAGTCGAGGAGATCCAATGGAATTTATGTTTGGACTAGAAAGATGACTCCGCACCAAAAATGCAGTGAATCTGCGGAGCTTGATGACAACTCCGAGTCATCGGAGGCCTCGAACGGATTATTCTGCCACCGCCTCATCAACAACAATGACTCAGCAGAATTTTGGCCAATAGGCAGCTGCAAATCAGAGCTCCCAGCCGATTTCGGCTGGCTTCGGTTTGCGTCGGGCACCAGATTTGGACACCTGAGGCGACGACGGAGCTCCCATTAAGATCACGTGGCATTCCGATAGCAGATATGGAAGTTAGCTGTGTTATCGACGCCCGACGGCCTCGGCGGTGGACCTCGCGTGGAACAATTGAGCCTGTGTACATCTCCGCACCCCGTGGACAGTCAATCTCCGCATTTCGAGCCGATGCTACTGACTATCCAGTAGCTCTCCCGAGGTCGTGTCTTAAGTCAGGCTCACATTCAATTGGCGCTTTCTCTGAAATCCACTGTGTTGTTGTTGAAACTGAATATGTCTTGTGCTGGCTACACGGTGACTTCACTGAGATAAACAACTGCCTTTGTTCCGCGACTATCCCGAGGACCGATCTGCGCCTTATCGTCCAACCACCATGTTTTCCTCCGCGCTCAAGTCGTTCAGTTCTAATATTTCTGCCAATTACCAAATCTCACCCAACCCCACCGTGTACGCCGGCCCCTGGAAGATCCACGATGCAAAGAAGAAGTCTACGGGAACAGCGGCGTCGGTATTTATCTTTGATCGCAAGTCATTAGAGACACGCTCTGGTGGATTTGGGAGGAGCTCTGGGTCTTCTAAGAAGCTGCAGGACGATGTAATCGAACGACTGAAGCGCGAAGCAAGCAACCTTGCGCGTCTACGGCACCCATCCATTCTCCAGGTACTCGAGCCCGTGGAGGAGACGCGCAATGGTGGCCTTATGTTCGCGACAGAACATCTCACTGCTTCGCTTTCTGGGCTTCTGCTGGAAAAGGATGACCAGGAGAATACCACACGCGCTGGTTCGCGGCCGAGCCGATATGTGGTCGAGGAGGCTGACGGGACTCGAAGGAGAAGGGAAATTGAGATTGATGAGCTGGAGATTCAAAAAGGACTCCTGCAAGTTGCTAAGGGTCTTGAATTTCTTCACGAGTCTGCGGGCTTGGTGCATGGAAATTTGAATCCAGACGCCATCTACATCAACGCCAAATCAGATTGGAAGATTTCGGGTTTGGGATTTGCGGGGCCCCCAGACTCTTCTGAGACACGTTCATCACTTCCGCCATTGGCTGTGTCCGAGGTTCTATACCAAGATCCAAGGCTCCCCGCTTCGGTACAATTGAACCTTGACTTTACATCCCCCGATTTTGCACTGGACTCGAATGTATCGTCTGCTGCGGATCTCTTCTCTCTGGGCCTCATCATCGTTGCGCTGTACAACTCTCCGCATGTCTCGCCTCTACAGACGAATGGGAATTTGACCACATATAAGAAACTTTTGAGCTCTCCCTCTACTACTCCCTCGCAGAGCAATAATTTCCTCTCTTCGAAGCCAATCCCCAAGGATTTGCTTTCTCATGTTTTACCGAGGCTCATTACCAGAAGGCCCGCTCAACGCACGAACGCTCGAGAGTTCCAGCAATCCCAGTACTTCGATAATGTATTGGTCTCGACGATCCGGTTCCTGGAGTCCTTGCCAGCAAAGAATCCGAACGAGAAGTCTCAATTCTTACGTGGCTTACAGCGAGTATTGCCCGAGTTCCCGGTATCTGTACTAGAGAGGAAGCTATTGGGAGCATTGATGGACGAGCTAAAGGACCGGGAATTACTCCCTCTGATATTGCAGAATGTGTTCGGTATTCTCAAACGAATCCCCAACGGGCGCCGAGTTTTCCCAGAGAAAATCGTTCCGCGCCTGAAGGAGGTATTTGCAGCTGGATCAGGCAAAACGGCTGCTGAACGGGATTCCAAAAAAGATGCCGGTCTTATGGTCGTGCTTGAGAATATGAAACTCATCGCTGACAATTGCTCAGGGATGGAGTTTAAAGATGGTAAGTTCCGCCAGTTGACATCAGAAGCCGTTTCTAATTGCTGTTTTAGATATACTACCCCTAATCCGACTGGGTTTGGATTCGCCTACACACTCCCTGGTGGATGCGTCTCTCAAGTGTCTCTCTGTGATACTCCCAGTCCTCGACTTCAGTACGGTCAAAAACGAAGTCTTCCCTCCCATAGCCGCCACTTTTAGTCGTACCAGCAGCCTTGCTATCAAGGTTCGCAGTTTGGAAGCTTTCAGTGTGCTCTGCGGTGCTTCCGCAGATGATGGGTTTGACGATGATCTGTCTGGAATCCAGACGAGCAAGTCGAAGCCAGCCAAGTCCTCCATATTGGACAAGTATACCATTCAAGAAAAGCTTGTCCCGTCGCTCAAGGCGATCAAAACGAAAGAGCCGTCAGTGATGATGGCAGCTTTGAAGGTGTTCCGCCGAGTTGGAACTGTCGCGGACACCGACTTTCTGGCTTTGGAAGTTCTGCCCGTCCTCTGGGGTTTCAGTCTGGGGCCACTTTTGAGTCTATCGCAGTTCAATGAATTCATGGCACTTATCAAATCCCTCTCGACTAGGATTGAGCAGGAACAGTCCAAAAAGTTGCAAGACCTGTCTTCTGGTGCTGGAGGGACTGGCTTCAAGAACACCGCCGATGAGTTCTCACAGTCTGCCACAGGCCTCAACTCGCCCGACGCGGACACCGCTGGTAGCTTCGAGCGCCTCGTTCTTGGGAAGAAGGCTTCCCCAGCGAATGGCCAGAGTATGGACATGTGGGGTAGCATGGAGCCAGAGCCAGCCAAGCCTGTCGTTCCAAGCATGTCTCCTTCATTCTCTTGGTCTTCAAATAACACAGGCCTGACAAACCAAGCCAGTGCCTTGAATCAGCAGTCCAACCTTGGCTTCCGTTCTATCACTCCGGATCAGAAATTGGGTTCTTATCCATCTCTTGCCCCCGCCCGTCAGGCTTCACCGGTCACTCCTGCCTTCCCTGCCATGCAACCCTCATCATCTATCTGGGGAGCCCCTGCCAACCCAGTCGCCCGATCCCAGACGGGTGCAGTGACTTCCTCTCTTGGGACAATGTCGACTATGACACCTTCGAATCATATGTCCGGGTCAACAGCGCAACCGGCACCCAATTACTCCGCATTCTCAATACCTCCTCCACCTCCTGGAAATACGGGTTTCAATAGTGCTGTGAGATCCCCGCCGTTGAACACCGCAAACAGATCTACGTCTTTCCAAAGCACAGTTTCTGGGCCGCAACAACCGACTCAAAAGCAAGGACTGGACAAATATGAGAGCTTGATTTAGAGCACAGTTCTCATAATCTCTGGTCGATACCCTTTTGATTACTTTCCATTGCACATTCTCTAGTACATAACACCGTTTGCAATATAAATATAAATGAAATAAAACAACAAAGATGCAACTACGTTAGTAGTACTCCGTACTCAACCAAATATGATGCCAAGATATTGTAGATCGGGGCTCCATCGGTGATCCGAGCGCCGGGTACCGAGAGACACGTACGCAGTACCTGATTGGTGCCCCTCGTCATATGTCATACCTCTCTCGCCTCGAAGCCCCTCCATATGCACTCTATGCGTGGCATTGCGCCCTTACTCTCCCGGCGCTCCGTGTTACCTTTGTTACCCCTCCGTGTTTCTCGCCTGTCAACTCCCAAACTCGCAAAACCCTTCTCCTCATTTTCACTCCTCACTCGCGCGCCAGCTATGGACGCAAGCGTCAAGCAGCATTACCTGGCTGACTCGCCTCCTACGGTGGTCAGACTGGAAATTAAGACACACTTTGATAAACTCAAAGATCAAAACTTGAGGAAATATGCACACTTCATGAGCAGGTAGGGTGTCCTGGGACGGTCCATTCGCCAGGTACCACATGCTTCCAGAGCTACTGAAAGCTAATCTCTCTTCAAATTTCCCTAGGGCCGCATTTGAAGGCACTCGAGTCACACTCCGTCAGGTCTCCCCCGAGTCCGAACCCATTTACGACCTCATCTTATCACTCTATCGTGCTTCCAATGGCGACTGGACCAGCCTCGCTGAGAAAACCCAAGTCAGCTCTGAGGACCTCCGGTTTTTCCTTGAATATGCAGGTCAATTCTTGGGCAACTGCGGAAACTACAAGGGCTTCGGCGACTCCAAGTTCATCCCTCGCCTGTCCGCATCGGCGTTTGAGGCTCTGGCTTCGGCCACTGAAGAGACGAAGGCCGCTTTCCAGAAGGCTAACACTACTGGAGGGGGTATCTACGAAACCAGTCTACAGTCGATGATGCACCTCGGTTACCCTAAGGATGGCCACATGACAACCTACTATCCCGACTCGCCGACGATCTCGCAGGATGAGATCACGGCAATTGGTGATTTGATGGAGAAGAAGGGACTTGCCTTGGAGAATACCAGAATCCGCAAGACTTCCTCCGGAGATTTCGAGCTTCTAATTGCATCTGGTGTTTCCTCGCCCCCTGTAAGGGATCGGGATCTTGGTGAGGTGGACACATTTGAGCTTGAGGGAGATCTGAAAGGGAAGACGCTGCGTCTCGTCTTCGGTGATCACCAAGAGGAGATGGCCAAGATCGCGCACAGTGTCAAGCAGGCAAGCCTCGTTGCTGCAAACGATAACCAGAAGAAGATGCTGGAAGCATACGCTCTCTCATTCGGAGCTGGCTCAATTGAGGCTTTCAAGGAGAGCCAGCGCATCTGGGTTAAGGATCAGAAGCCTGTCCTGGAGACGAACCTGGGCTTTGTTGAGACATACAGAGACCCCCATGGTGTACGCGGAGAATGGGAAGGCTTTGTGGCTTTGGTAAGACCGACGTGATATATCAACATGAATCTTGGATTGCTAACTTTCAAAGGTCAATCTGGAGCGCACACGAGCATTCGGCACGTTGGTCGACAGTGCCGAGAGCATGATCCCCAAGCTTCCCTGGGGCAAGGACTTTGAGAAAGACAAGTTCCTCAGCCCCGACTTCACATCATTGGAAGTGTTGAGTTTCGGTTGCTCAGGTCTCCCAGCTGGCATTAACCTGCCCAACTATGATGATATTCGCCAAAACCTTGGCTTCAAGAATGTGTCCTTGGGCAATGTCCTAAGCGCCAAGGCTCCCAACGAGGCTATCCCTTTCATCGCTGAACGCGACCAGCAGGTATACCGCGACTTCCGGGACCCAGCCTTCGAAGTGCAAGTTGGCATTCACGAACTCCTCGGTCACGGGACCGGTAAGCTGTTGCAGGAGACAGCGCCAGGGGAGTATAACTTTGACATTAAGAACCCGCCCATCAGCCCTGTGACAGACAAGCCCGTGTCAACCTGGTACAAGCCCGGCCAGACCTGGAGCTCGGTGTTTGGTTCCATTGCTTCCTCGTATGAGGAGTGCCGTGCCGAGTGCGTGGCCATGGCCCTTGGCTGCGACTTTGGCATCCTGAAGATCTTCGGATTTGGCGACGGCAAGGAAGACTTGGCCGGCGAGGCCGGCGATGTCTTGTTCGCAGCATACCTGTCCATGGCTCGTGCCGGTCTTGTTGCCCTAGAGTTTTGGGACCCCAAGACCCAGAAATGGGGCCAGGCACACATGCAGGCTCGCTACAGTATTCTGCGCACTTTCCTCGATGCTGGTGACGACTTCGTCAAGTTGTCTTATAGCAAGGAGGACCTCTCTGACTTGGAGATTCATCTTGATCGCTCGAAGATTCTTACCCACGGACGTCCCGCCGTGGAGAAGTATCTCCAGAAATTGCATGTCTACAAGAGTACCGCCGATATTGTGGCTGGTAAGGGCTTGTATGACGATATTACCTCTGTTGATAGCTGGTGGGGATCCACTGTTCGTGATGTCGTTCTGAAGAACAAGGTCCCGCGTAAGGTGTTTGTACAGGCCAACACTATTCTCGAGGGTGACGAGGTCAGCTTGAAGGAGTATGAGCCTACTCTCGAGGGTTTGATTCAGAGCTTTGCTGAGCGCAATGTCTGATCAGCATATTAAACATGAGGAAACAGGTACAAATGAATACCGTACATATCTTTATACTACAGAAGGGAGCCCCTTTTGCTTCTCAAAGAACTCCTTTGTCTCTGAGGTCCCGGCCTTTTAGTAACCATAGCTCTGTGGTAGATCCCTAATGTCCCTTGATGTTTTGTAAAGTGCTAACTTTGTGAGTTTGTGTCGTATTCTTTCGATACAAGCACCTGATATTCATAAAAACACGTGCCCAGGTGATCCCTAGAATGGATTCCATGGACTACGCAGGCATATTGGACAACGCATAGCTGAAAATAGGTTCATGGATTGCGGGGACCGGAGCTTCAAAGCCTATGACATGATTCGGGTCCGTAGGCGTTGAGCACTGTCAACATAATTTAATACTACAAAGTGAAATAGTTATAGGCCAGCACATTATAACACAGCTATAACTCCCCCAAGTTCCAATCCAACGCAATAAAAACAAGCTAAGGAAAGGACACGGGCACGTGCCAAGGTTGTGATGGCCACCTACTGCCGCTGCGGCTTTACCGCCAGCCAAGTTGATCGACGTTTCCCCAACCTCTAGGCGCTGCTCTCGCCCCCCGTTAACACATCTCAATCACTGCGACGGACCTCAAGAAGAGGAATTTGTGTTTATATAAACTCGATTTGGTATATCATTTGATTTGGTGGTGCTGAACCCCAGTACTAAATTGGAAACAGGTTAGGACACCCCAGCCTGCTGCAGCGACCTGCTCAACGCTAGAACTCAGATTGATCGCATGGCTAAACCAGTGTCCAGAAGCTCATCATTTGTAAAGCGCAGACCAATCTGCCTGTTTTGATTCAGGCAGCTCATAAACACGGTGTCGCAAGAATCGTCGCAACCATCAATCACGGCTTGCCCGCCCCATTTAACGGACTCCCCAGAGGAGGACGGCGACGACGCCGACCACTACTATACTGCCCCACCGCCGCACACACCAGCCTCAAGCTCAAACCTCTCTCATACGCATCCTCCGCCATTCTCATCCCTTGTCTTTCCATCACCCTCCGACCCCAATCGTGCATCTAAAGTCACCGAGCCCGGACCCGCTTGCCATCCTGCGTTAGCGCCTCCAGCACCTGGCGACGAGTCGCTTGAGCCAGCCCCTTCTTCGGCGGTTGTTGCTGACACAAAAGCGTCATTTTCTGAGACGAAAAACGACGGCTCCGACGACGGCGAACCACCGCCGCCTTACACAGAAGGTTACAGTCCCTTGGAGTCTTTCACCTACGTGATGGCTGCTGCAGGAGGTGCCTCCAGTTTGATCACTCAGGTCCAACAGACCGGGCCGCTGAACACTCTTAGTGGTATGTTTATGAGATACGCCGCTTGGCGCACTGCGTTAACGCTTTCCATTTGTAGATATCGGCGGAGATGAAAACATCAATCTCGACCTTAGGTAGGATCGGCACCTTTACCATACCCTCAGTTTATGTATGAAACTAACACGTTGATAGGGGTACACGATTCAGCCTCTCGCGAGATGAGCTGTTGACATTGCCTGAATTTGTCTTGCTTTCACTCTTCCCCAATGGTCTCCTCCCTGATGGACATGCGACTGCAAATGGCTACGAAGGCGATGTTTTCCCAGTCGACGTACGTAACGTCCTGTCTGTAGCACATGGAAACCCTCTAACAGCGTCATTCTAGTACGATCCGGCCTCTCTTCAGTACATGCTGGACTTCTTCCGAACGGTTGCCCAATCAATTCCCTCGCCACCAGCTTCTGGCTCAGCCTCACCTGAACCGGAGGGAACAGACCCAATGCAGAACTCCACCCGCGACATGCTGCAGGACCGTGCGGGCATCATCGTCCTACGAGAGGACCTCGACTTCTATGTAATCCCCCCACGTGCGGACATCGGACACGAGGAGATGCTGGAAGTCAAACAATCAGCTGGCAGATCGTTGTTGAGACAAGACGGTATTTTCTCTGGGCTCAGAAAGAGTGAAGAGGTCGGGTCAACTGAGCAGCATTTGATTGAAATGCTGACGGCTGGGTGAGTAAGATCCTAAATTCAGATCATGGTCCAGCGCTAATATCGACAAAGAGGATTTGATCGTGCGGACCAGTGGGGCCATCGTGCTCCGGAGCCTCACAAGGCGGTTATCTGCAGTCTTGCACTCGCCAAACTCCGCACCGACATCCGTGGAGACCTATCCAACAACAATGCGGTGGGTATGGCCCAGAAGCTTCTATTGTTCTGGCGCAAACCCGCCCGTCGCTGCTGGTGGGAAGGCATCGAGCTTACCGATGTCGAGGGGGTTGAAGGTCCAGTCAAGATCTGGATCAGGCGTGTGTGGACACTGGAGATGGTGAGACCTATATCCCTTGATTGTGTCGTATTTCCGATGGCTAACCCGAATGTAGAGCGTGATTGGTCTTCGTTGATTTGGTCTTATTTTAGTTCTCCTTTTTTGCATCTTTACTGCGATCTGCAAATACCATTCCCCCGGCTGTATGCCCCGAAGTTTCGTTTATTTCTTGTCTACTGTTGCATGTACATATGTCTGCAACCCGAATATTCCAGTCTTCATTTAGTCTTTATCTCACTTCCAGCAGGGCTGGCGTACTTGGCAGTTCAGGGGTCTGTATTGTTTCATCTTTGAGCTCTCTTTCTGTTTGTTGTGAATTAATGAACATCTTGTCGCCGAGTGACATAGATCTCGTGGCATTATTTGAACCACAAAGGGTGGGATGGCTCCCTGAGAGCTTAGTCCTAGCTTATATCGAAGCGAAAATGGACGAGAAGCCACTCATACAGCCAGCCATGGGGAGAGTAGGTATAATCAAACGATCATTCTAGGTATTGATGGGGTTGTACGTACTGAAATTCCAGTTGACTGCTTTGTTGTCGCCTGAGGCATGGGTTACGTGATGGTGGTCCCAAAATGGACTAGCGCTGAAATGCGCAAAGTCGCGCAGAATATCGGTCTCACAGCTCGACTCTCCAGCTGAGCATATTTTGATACCTATCACGCGACTTCGATCTTCTTCGATCTCTTCATATTTCCTCTCACTTGACACTTATCTTCGTTGTCAACTCTCTCGCGCTTGGACCATCCCAAGTTATACCTGACTGCCGTGATCAGCCCTTCGAACATTGAATTGATCAACAATCGCAAGCTCTCTATCTTCCCGCCGATATCCCCGAAGGGGCATGTTACCGTGCAATTGAATCGCCAACATGTCCCCTCTTCGAGGATATATCACCTCCTATCCCCCGCGCATGCGCCAGTATGGCAACGCGCTCCTCACACCCGTTAATCCTCCGACTCAGGTCGGTCCGACGCCGCGCACCACGAAGCGTGGAACTACAGCCATCAACTACGCAGAGGACGGCTTTGATGAAGAAGATTTTGACGAAGATGGGCCCCGCCGCCCAACGGGACTGAGAAGTCTTCGCCGCGAAGAGACCGCCGACAAGTTGGTGCCTTACTCAGATAAATTGGGTAAAGAAGTGCACGCGCCGGTGGAGGTGCAAGGTATCTTTCGCGAGTGGATGATCAAGAGAATGCTGCGACCAGCGTAAGTTACTCATTGGCAAGACTCATGGGGCCACCAAAGACAGTGGCCTCCGTCTTGTCTTTCACTTTTCGAACCTGACTAACACCCAGCGTGGTGATTCCAGATGCGCCGATCAATTGCAGATTCAAGCACAGCTCCCTTTGACTCTGGTTCCCATCCGGATCGATGTTGAAGTCCCCGCGCACCAACCCCTCGAACCCTTCCCCTTCCCACGCGCTGCCGTCGATCCTAGTATCAACCAAACTCTCCCTGCCTATCGCCGACCTGAGCCATTGCCCCCGTACCGCATCAAGGACAGCTTTTTGTGGAATCTCCATGAATCGCTCTCCACCCCCGAAGAGTTTGCCATTGGATTTGTCCGCGATATGGACCTCCCCAATCCTCAGGCCACGACCATGACCATCAGCAACCAGATTCGACAGCAGCTCGAGGAGTACGCTGGTGTGGCTCTCCATCCTCTTTTCCAGAGCACAGACGCTGGCACAGTGACCAGCCTTCCGGCACAGACGGAGCCGTCACGGGACGCATCTACGACGCCCGCCGTTGTCAATGTCGCGACACCTGATAGCGGCGCCAACGCGGCAACTACTGTTACAGTCACCAAAGAGGCATTGGTGAATGACAGTCTTCTGAATCCCGACGATGCATACCGCTGCTTAATCACTCTCAACATCAACCTGCAAAACAAGCTCTACACCGACAAATTCGAATGGTCACTACTACACCCACCCGGCATGGCCGAGGAGTTTGCGCGCATCACTTGCGCGGATCTCAGCCTCGGTGGGGAGTGGGTCAGCGCGATTGCGCACGCCATCTATGAAGCAGTTTTGAAATTCAAAAAGGAAGTCTGCGAGAGCGGCACTCTGGTCAGCGGCCTCACTGGCTACGGCAATGAAATCGAAAACCTGGCAGCAAACGGCATCGAGGCCGGCTGGCGTTATGACCCCGAGACCATCTGCGATGGCTGGCAACCGCAGGTTGAGGCTTTGTCCAAGGAAGAGATTGAACGCAGAGAAGGTGACCGCGAGCGCCAGATCAGACGTTTGCGCCGAGAGACAGCTAGGTTCTCATCAACTACGGGTATTACCCCCGAGATTTCACGACAAAGCAGCGGCAATTACTTCGAGGTTGACGCCGAGACTCCTCTTGGACGTGGTGAGCGCAACAAGCGCAAGCGTCGTTTCCGCAGCTTGAGCCCTTCGGGCCGAGGTGGAACCCCCGGTGGCCGGGGCACCCCGGACAATGGAGCAGGTGCTGGTTATGGCGGCGGCGGTGGCACCCTTTCTGAATGGTATGTGATTGTCCAGCTCACGTGACTGGGGATATGTACTAACGTCACTGGTTGATAGGGAACGGCAAAGTTGGCGTTGCAGGAATTGTGCTGTCTGGGGAACGGCGGTTTGGGCTGTGCGTGACGGCCCAGATGGACCAAGGGTAAGTGAAAGCTCTTCGGATGTATTGCCAACTATTTCTAATGACTGGTTTTTACAGACCCTTTGCCACAACTGTGGCCTGCTTTACGAACGCGACAAGGTTGCACCGGAGTGGTCGAAAGACCTCCACCGTCATGACGTCCCCGTTGGCCGCTACGCAGAGCGTTAGGCGGGCCTTGTTTTCCCTTTTCTACAACCTTCTATCATGTATGACTATTTCTAGCCAATGACTCGTTTGATGCCAAGTACTTCTTATTCTTAGCCGCTCAGTCTGTTCTGACGGAATGTTTAGGCAGTTCTAGTTCGGCGCCGTGGCGCATCATGTTTCAATATCCATAGCTAATCCGTGACTTTATCGTCATCTGTTCGTTATTTCACCGTTACTGGGCCGTTACTTCATCCTCGCATTTCTCCGATTTCCGCATCAATAGCTTCTTTGCCCCTGATGCAAGCTTTCCAACACCGCTGGGGGTTCGCCTGACCGATATATAGGCTTGGAAGGTTGGGGCATTTTCATGTTTGTCCTCTTCCTATAAATTCTTCTTGCTCTTTCTCTCTCTCGTCCTCGTCACTTACTCTCATCACTGCGACTTGTGACGATCCAGTGTGTAATGATCAGGCAGCTTTAGAGTAGGTCGAGAGCAGGCATGGACTCGTCATGTGGTTGGACAACCTGTTGATGCCTGATGGTTGTTGTCTAGGTTGAGTCCTGTGACAAGAAGTGGAATAAATAGCTTCTTGGCCGATTCCCTTCTTCTTCTTCTCTCTTCCTCATTCATAGTTGTTGTTTTAGTTGAATGCACTCTTTCTCACAGAAGACTTGGCCGATCACACTCTCGGTTCTTCTGGACGAATCGAGCTCTCATATACGCGCTCGCCAGCACGAATACGCGGTAAGCCCGCCGAGGTAGTAGCTAGTGGCTATTATTGGAGATTACTAACGGTATCTAGATGTGCTTAACTATCAAGTGCCTTCTTCGCTACGCCCCGAAGCCTGATAAGGCGTGTCTAAAGCGGCTGGTCGGTACATGCGCCCTAGACCTGTTACGTGCCGGCATACACGTCTGACCGTCACGTAACCTGCCTTCCACAAGCAGAAAAGATGGGTTGGACTGGTCATATGATGGGTTCAGGACCATGGTTCAAGACCGATGATACTTTTCTTTCATGCTACAACCATCTTTTCAAGGAAAGAGGCGAAAGTATCTCTCCAAGGGAAGGAGCGAGCACGGAGGAAGAATATGAAAAGGAGTTCTTCTGTGCTGCTCTTTTTCTTTTCTCTTCCCTTCTCCAGTTCTGTTACCTTCTCAGCACAGGAAACAGTCATCTCTTCTGTTCTTTTTCCTTCTGGCTTCTAACAGAATGTGTCAGATGGATAGTGCGCACAGAATCAGCCACAGAAGACATGGTTCTCGAGTCCGGCTTCAGGCCTCTACCCAGCTCAACGTCGAGGAATCGTGGTTCATCACTTCGCGGTGTCCACAGAGCTCCCTGAGTAATTTCAGCGGAGTGCACATACAAACCCAATCATTACTGTGAAACCTCAAATGTGAGATGAAACCCAGCCGGGCTGTGACCATACAGATCAGGACTACACTCTTGTCTCGCGAATAGAGACCTGAATCTTGGTTTGCGCCTGGGTCGTGGAGGGAAGGGTCCTTCAGTGTCCTTATCCAGGAATACGCGGTAAGCCCACCTAGCTACTAGCTACTTACCACTAGAGATAACTAACAATATCTAGGCATGCTTCTTGAATACCTTCTTCACCACGCCCCCAATCCTGAGGACGCATGGATCCAGCCCTTCCATGGTGGTGGAATTAATCTGATGGTGATATGCTTCATCGGTGAGCAAGGTTGGCTGTGCGTCATTATTAGGTTCTTCCAAGTGGATATGACCTTCAGACAGATTGCTGTCACAGAAGTCGTTCTTGCCACTCAGGATCGATACGAAAGTTTCCGCCATCTGCTAAATACCTGGAACAAGTCAAAAGTGGGAGCGAGATTCTCAAGTACGATCCCCAGCAATTGAACCCCGAAGCCAGGGGGAACGGCATATTCGATATCCCCGCTCATGAGCAATATCGGATCCTTACAACCATAACGTCGAGTACGACAACGACGGGGTCGAGGAAGTCGCTGAATGAACAAACTAGGTATAAATGCCGCGCTTATGGCATTTCTAACATCCATTGCCATGAAGCACCCGTCAATTGAGGGACATTCGTCCCCGAATCAAAGGATGCTCCGGGCTGAGTTCAAGCCCGGGGTGAGCTTTACCGTCAAAGTTGACGGGTGCTTCATGGCGACGGATTGCTCCATTGGCATACTTGTCGAAACGAACAGGTCCGAGCGGTTTATGCACGAGCCCGAGGTATCGATGCAGGAATCAGCTGAAATGGTTGCATGGTTGATGGATGATCCCATCATCCCCCAATCCATTATCCGCGGCGGGTAGGAGTTCCTATTCCTTAATCAATGGCTGGCCGTTAGAAAACGCTGACACACTGAGATCTAGCCACCGTTTAAGTTTTCTGCCAAGACGGCCCAGATGGAGCTGTACATTATAGGTTGCGGCAAGTTTCGACACAGCCTACATAAACTGGCTGAGGAGTAAGCGTGCCGTGCGCCTACCAAGGAAAAGCTTCTGTGCATGACCCGAGTTGGGCCATGGATGTTAGACAGGGTCACATGGCCGATGATATGGAGGATTTTGCCATTACTGCTAGCAATTATGATAGCAGCGCCCCCGTGGACGGCGGCCGCGGGTATCAGAAGGATCACGAGCCGCAACATCAGCTGAGCTGAACATGGAGGAGTTCACCCGCCCGGTTCTCTGCCAACGCCCATTCTCCAGTCGCGTTGGATCCAAATACGTTCTGGTGCGGGGGGACCCCGATATCCCGACCAATGCCAACCCTCCGCAGGAGATCAGCAATCGGGTCATTGATGAACTTGTGTCTGCCTTTGCTGAGGAATACGAGGGCCCTCGGCCGGTTCAAGCCGAGGAGCGTGATGACGCGAACCCCTGGATTCATCGGACGAGGTGGACCGTCTACCTCCGCGGAATCAACACCCAGGCCTGGTGGACTGCGGCACCCGACGCGGAGTCATCCGACCCGACTGAAATGGCTGCCCGCGCGATATGGGATGCCATGCCCACCGTGCCCGTAGGCCGTGTCACGCAGCAGGTGTGTACAGAAACCGGGCATATCGTTCGCACCGAAGCGGTTCGGACTGAGCAAGGCCGACAGCCTCACCAGCCACTGCAAGCGTACATGGATGCCGACAACGTTGCCAGGCACGTTCTTCCTTGCCAGCAGATCCTGATGTTCTTCACTCGCACCCAGGCTGCGCATGAATGGAACAGTCCACCGTACAGGTTTACCCGGCGCCAGCGAGCTTCGTGGTACTTGCCTTGGAGAGCGGCCCAGTCGGGCGCATCATCCAGCCCATCCATTGCCAGCGACGAATCGCCTTTCCAGCTCCCTGGCAATCCTCCAGCCAACTGGCGAGCCTCCAGCCAACTGGCAAGGCTATATTCCTACGAATCCCCCCCCAATAATCCCACAGCGATGATGACATGTATGTAAAGCAAGCTGAATCGAGTTAATAAGAACACCATTATCATCACCATCGTCCCACAGGGAGATATTCCGCGTCTGATCTGATGTTTAACTCTAATGGATGGTATTGAGAAATATGGATAGTAGAAATACGCCAGACTAGATGTTGTGTAATCGAGACTCACAACGTGTCCTCTCCCCCGCTTTGTCTCTTCTTTTCTTCAATCAATACACCCATTCATTTTGGATTGGTTCCCCTTGGCTTCTCTAGATTCCGTCACGTGTGCAACTCCATACTGTCTAGTAGACTGTCGGATGTATTGGGGTTTACCCCGTAATCGTACCAAGCATCCAATACAGCTTCCCCATGCATAGCTTCCGCGTGTTGGTACAGACGTACCGACCCACGAATCTATCGCCCCGACGGATACTTTTTCCTTGCTGTAACAGCATCTCAACAGCTTTCATGCTACACCGACAATGTTGGAGCAAAATAGATTCATACAATTTCAAATTTCAAAGGACCCCTACTTTGACGATGGACTGGCCACCCTGGTCAGGGTGCGGGGAGGGCCCTCGCCGAGTTTCGTCTTGCTCGCCTCCTTAACCTGCACCTCGAGCTGATCGGCCTCCTCCCACCGACCCTGGTCCCTGTACATTGAGGCTAGGGTGGCAATACTGGTCAGCGTGAAGAGATGATCCTCGCCGAGCTTCATCTTGCTCATCTCCATCACCTGCACCTCGAGCTGCTCGGCCTCCTCCCGCCGCCCCTGATCCCAAAACGTTAACGCTAGGTTGTACATAGTGACCAGCGTGGAAGGATGGTCCTCGCCGAGCTTTGCCTTGCTCGTCTTCATGACCTGCATAAAGAGCTGCTCGGCCTCCTCCCACCGGCCCTGCTTCCTGTATGTTGAGGCTAGGTTGCCTATACCGGCCAGCGTGTGGGGATGGTCCTCGCCGAGCTTTGTCTTGCGAGACTCCAGCACCTGCACCTCGAGCTGCTCGGCCTCCTCCAAGCGGCCCTGGTTCCTGTACGTTGAGCCTAGGTTGCCCATACTGGCCAGCGTGGAAGGATGGTCCTCGCCGAACTTCGTCTTGTGAGTCTCCGTCACCTGCACAAGAAGCTGCTCGGCCTCCTCCAAGCGGCCCTGGCTCCAAAACGTTGAGGCTAGGTTGGACATACTGGCCAGTGTGGAAGGATGGTCCTCGCCGAGCTTCATCTTGCTCGTCTCCATCACCTGCACCTGGAGCTGCTCGGCCTCCTTCCACCGTCCTTCATCATAGTGTACCTTCGCCAGTGTTGTCCAAATGAAAATCTCGCTCATTTCCCTGGTGCTAAAACAGTTTGGATCGATATTACCTACATCCGGAAGATGCAGGATAAGATGCCGGCGGAACTGTGGCTGGCGACCTTCTGCCGTAATCTGGGAGCAAGCAGCAAGCACAAACCTAGTGTACCACGACTGCCAATTCCGATTTTGGTCGCGACGAATTGCTCTCCACTGAACCAGGCTGTGCATTGTGGTACCAGGCCAATCTCCGTGCACAAGCTGTATTAGACCGTAGCGAACCAGGACATCTATGCTATGTCGATATATGAAGTTGTCCCACTTTCCTTCGGATTCCGGAATAAACATTCGGAGCCCAGTGCAATCCCCTTCGCCGAGCTCCTTGACGACCGTAGACATACCTAGACTCGCTAGACGAAACATTTCGTCCTGCACAATATTTCCTTGGAAACAAGCCAATAGTGTCAAGAGTAGACCAGGCTGCAGGTGGGAATACTCTCTTTCAATTTTATCTAGAGTAGTATCCCATACCGTCCACACAGTTCTCTCCGCAGAGGTTAACCCTCGAAGATGATCCATCTGCAAGAGCTCATCGCGGTGCTTCTCATAGTCTTCTAAATACTGCGTGAGGGACAGTTCAGGGGCAACGGTATTGCCGATGTACGCGCCGGCAAGGTCAATCGCCAGTGGTAAGTATCCAAGCTTCTTCGCCACTTCGTCGCAGCCCTCTTGCACGGACTTTGGGACCAAGTCGATGTTGTCCGACAGATGGCGCAGAAGGACCATTCTCGCTTCTCGTGGGGACATGTCACCAACTCGAATTCGTTCGCAGCCTTTATCGACCAGCTTTTGACTTTGGCCATCGCGGCTGGTGATAATTATTCTTCCTCGGGTTCCCTTTGGCATAATCTTTTTAATGCCCCAAGTGACGTCGTCCGCATTGTCGACGATAACCAACCATTCATCATCCACTTCAGTGCGGTTGCGAAGCCATCGAAGTACACCCTGAATGACTAGGTCGTCCACAAGAGCTGTACTCTGCTGATTGTTTGGTTCCTCCGCAAGCCCAATTTCTGCGGCGCATCTTCTGAAACTAGATCGGACAGTCTCTTCGCGTGTTGCATCAATCCAGAGAATTGGGTTAAACCGATGAACACTGCATTCCGTAAACTTCAGCGCTAACTGAGATTTACCTGCCCCCCTAATCCCTGCAGAGTGACTGCAAATGGAACGCTGGCCCTTACATGTCGTATTTGAAGCTTTTCTTCCAGCTCCTTCCAAAGCAGATCACGTTGTATAAAGGTCGGTACAGTCTCGAGTGGAACGGAATATTGGCGCTTCGTCGGTTGAACCAAAGGTGCCAATACTCTGGCAAGCTTTGAAAGAATGATATTATAGCTTTCATTTCTTGAATCGAACTTGTTCAGCCCGTAGTGATCGACGGCTAGACCTATTTTGCTGACCATGTTCCCCTGATAGGTGGCCGACCTCTCAGAAACGCACTTCTTTTGGTATCAGTATGCTCCGTGGCTGTCTGTGCATTATTTCAGGTCTACTCACAAACATTTGCCATCGCAAAAACCCTAGTCGGAGAAGACAAAGTGGCCTCTGTTCATAGAAATTGACCACTTGCAAATCATCTCGTATACTAGAGATGAAGTTTTCGTGTAAGTCACTCAACACGACAGAGTCGTATTCCAGATTGGCCAGGATCAATGGATTAGATCCTAGGGGTTGCAAGGCAAATGCGGCAAGCCGACCCCAAGGCCCAAAGCTAGTCCCGCGATGCGGTGTACCTAGAAAAAAAGTCGCCCTTGTTTGCTCCACAATATGATTGAACTCGCGCCTGCGTTTGGCTTGAATAAGCGCCTAACAAATTTAGCAAAGCCCCATGGAAGGAACATCAATCTCCTACCTCCTTAACTACCAGACCCCCGTAGCTATGTCCCACGAAGACCAAGCATCGACTCTGCTCCTATGGAGTGATCAGCAAGAACCCTTGGCTAAGGGGGTTGTCAATACTCACATGCTTCGACTGACGAATCTGCCCATTAATATGTTCAAGAAGATGGGCACCGAAGGCCTGGAGCCGTGTATAGATCGCATCCCGCTTCCAATATGAGTCATAGTTATAGAAAAAGATGCGAGCATCTTTGCTGACCTCCGGGGGAGGTCACTTGGAAGAAATTCGCTGACCCAGTTCACGTATTGCTCACTGTTCGTGGGGTTTCTCGCTTGCCACGTCGTATCAGGGTTGGATCCGAGGCCATGGACGAATATGATACTGTTTACATACGTCAACAACATCGAAACTTTCGGGTTGCTGTTCCACCTACTCAATCCCACTAGCACGCGCGGGCACGTAGCTCTTCACTGGAACGAGCTCGAATCTCGACCTTGGAGCTTGATCAGCGATGAGCCGACTCGGAATTCTTTTGGCGGCCCAATAATAGGTGAATGCGACCGATAGAGCGAAAGTGAGCAGATACACAGTCGTGGCTTGGTTCATAGCTGATTGGTGGGCTCTGCCGCATTGGTTCCATGGATGGAGTCGGTAATTAGTAAGCGGATTGTATATGGACCTAGGTATTGGGATGGATGACTTCCATCAAAAGCGTTGAAATATGAATAGCTGCTTGACTAAGGAAAATCCATGGAAGCTATACCACTGTCCTAATCTGAGGGGTTTCCGGCTGTGCAATTCAGGATCTGCGGCTGAATCGCCGGCGCTAGACCAATGATGGTGATGATGAGTTCATTTACCCGATTTAGCTCCGCTTTAGGTACATTATCTGTGCCTTTGAGGGGTGTGGGAAGCCACGGACGACCCATCACCGACTTACCAACCAATAACCAAATACCAAGTACCAAGTACCAAGTACCTTTTGTATAGTCAAGCCATATAAAAGGTACACGGCGGGCACCAGGTATACATCGAAAGGTACATGTCCGGGATGAAATCGTCTTAGCCACTGACTCTGTCCTGGTTCCCTCGTCAACTCTGGCCACTAGACCTCTTACTCTCCATCCTCCCACCTGGAAGAAGCTACGGGTATCTCGCGACTTTCAAACAGCGTCATGGAAAGCCACCAAGCACAATTTTCACAGTAAGTCCTTAATTCTTCAATAAAGGACCACCTAGTTAGTAGAAGATTAATATTAACAGATGCGTCCCCTCGTCATCGGCCCCAAACCTGACCCTGAGTCTCTCATCGCCAGACAAGATCCAAACAAAATTATCAGTTTTTCATAGTGACGGGCTACTTATAACACTCCAACGCCAGAAAGACGACATTCCTAAGCCCTTTATTTTCAAATGGACACCTAAAGGAGACTTCTTTAATCCCTCAGAACTCAGTCTATTCCGCGTTGTCGAGAAGACTGGTTCCGATGATATTCGGGTGAAAGAAGAAATTCAGTTCTCCGACCAGGACAACCATAAAGAGCCAAAACCGATTACTGTCAGACAGTGGGCCGATGACCATGTCTTTGAACTTGGTCCTGACAAGTCTATTTCTTTTAAAGTGAATTTCCCCGACTCATGGAGGCAGGCTCTTGTTCCTGGCGAGAGGTATGAACTGTTTTGGAGGGGTGCGACGGGGATTGCATTATGGGATTGGGGCAACTTGGACGAGTATATGGGCAGAACATTGGAGGTGAAAGAAGCGGCGAAGAGAATCTACCTACGTTGTAGTAGTGACAGTGGAAATGATCAGATGAGCGATGGGCCCGGAGTGCTGATGCGTTTTACTGCCATTGGCGAAAACGTGAATTTGCAGCGCGATTCTGGTGCGTCTATGTTTACGTCTCCAGACATGGACTTGGCAATAACTCGGAAGAGCGTGTAAGTGAATACCCTTGCTTTCAATATCGCTATCGCTGACATTTAATAATTTTAGTTCAAGCGCACCGATGCTTAGCCTATCGCTCGAAATAGTGGATGGTCCCGGAAAGCTAAGGCGAGACAACAATGGAGCTCTAACGATGGAATTCCGATGTAAGGTTTTATATCACGGGGTTGGAAGCGCTAATCCCGCTACTGCGAGCCCTATCACTTTTCACTGCAATATTTTTCGCGACGAATTAAGTTACAGATTGGATTATCATCGTCGTGATGAGGATGAAAAGTGGAAACCCTGTGGTTACCGCAGCATTTGTCTCGGGTTCGCGGATTGGCCCGACGCCGAGGTCAATATCTCCCAAAATACGGACTTTGTGAGTCTCCGCCCTGGCGAAATCTGGACTACGCCTATCGGGCTTGACGATGAAGTCTGGGAGTTTCCGAATGATCTTCAGCCAGGGGATGTGTTCCGGTTTGTATTTAAGGGCGCTACGGTAGAATGGTGGGACTGGGGTAGCAAGGATCAAGCGCATACTCAGACGGTGGTCACCGTTGAGTCTATTGCTTTTGGCAGCGTTGTCAACCCAGCTGATAATGGTGGCAGGCCTCTGATTGTGATACCACCCTCTAACCAGGTCGAGTTTGATTTTGCTGGTTAGACGTACTCTTGCTACAAATCTTCACACAGGCTCAATGTTCAAGGATATACATCTTATAACATAATTCATGCCCCGTAAAAACACGGAGAATAAGAACAAGAAGATATTTCCAAATTCTACTCGGCCAACAAGGGTTCTGTTTCCCCACCAGGACTTTGAGCCGAATTGACACCACGTCTCCAGACAATAATACAAAGAAGCGTCTGCCCAAGCGCGTAAACGAGATGGTTTATAGCTGCCCATCTAACCAGTCGTTACATCTCGACAACGGGCGACCTGTAGAATGCGGGCATGCCTGACGGTGACCATCGAATTCGCAGCAGCCATGATACGCCCAGCAAAGCGAAAACAAAGGCTTCAATCGCGAACACACTGACACTCATGAAACAAGAAGGCTCTTGCAAAGTTTAAGTCTGGCGGACCTGAAAAATAATTGAGATAACGATAAAGAGGGTCACAACGGGGTTGACGAAGATAAGGTGGAAGCCGCCAAAAAGGGAGAGGGGCCGCTGTTGTGTTGTAGGCTACGGCATGTGACCGGCACGGAAGAATCACTCTTCCGTGCACAGGCCGAGACACCCTCTCTAGCCCCTGACTGCGCCCAGCCTCTTAATTCATCCAATGCACAAGATATATCCTGAATCCTAGGTACTCCGTACACCTGTAGCATCAACAGCCGCATCGCGGCATCCGACCCCTGGCCGCTATACACCTGCGTACCCCCCGACTCCCTACATGGGCTAGTCTCACCCTCTAACAATGCCATGCGAACTTTAATATTATTCTTAGATCCGACTTTCTTCCAGAAACAGAAGACGACTATAAACTCCGTTATTCACATGCAATGCGACAATTCTTGCTTTAAACATGCGTGGAGCACCAAGACATCCAGTTTCAGGATGAAGCTGTGACGATTTAACCGATTTCAACCTATTGTTTCACAATGAGACCTACTGAGGCCTCGAGAAGGACCAAATCTAAAGAAGAGCTCTAAACCAAATATAAATAGCAGACCTGGAATGTTATACTCGTTTGCTTTCCCTATACCCTCAAAGAACTTTCATTCAGCTTTCCGGCATTCATCTCCTGTCATCAATCATGATGCTCACCAAGTTCTTATCTCTCACGTTGCTGGCTGCTACTCAGGTTGCTTCGCACGGCCTCATTACCCGCATCATTGGAGCGAATGGCATTGAGATGCCGGGCCTAACAGGTAATAGGCTATCCAGGGAATCTTGAGTCTTCAGGTTTTGAATTTGGCTAATTGTTTGGCTTTAGTTGTCGACGGCATACCACGCGATTGCCCTTCTGCTGCATGCGGCGGGCAGAAAGATACTGCAGTGATTCGAGATCAGGAGATGGGAAGCATCAAAGCATCGGCTTTGGGTCGCACTTTGATTTCAGGCCCTGTGGACCCTAAGAGGGTGATCGAGAATTTCATGAAACCTAATACCGAGACGCGAGCTCATGCCCGCCAATTTCTTCAAGGTCTCTGACGCTTTTCAATTTTGAATCCCATACTGGAGAGTGGAGACTAATGTTTCTCATAGATCGCCAAGTCATTAATGATGCGGCTAGTGTTATCACTAATGCCGGTGGAGCTGTTCTCAATGGTCAGTATCAAGAAATTTTCTCTATCCCGCCCGAAAAGAATTGAAAAGTAACTAACTTTTTTCTAGGTGCGCAGGATCTTGCGGACAAAACGCCTTTTGGTGGTGCTATCAAGGGTAAACCCGCCCTCCTTCATGTACGAAGATTTGAGACTGATGACCAAACAGGCGCGCAATCGGCTGTTGATGATGTGGCAGGCGCTTTGCCAGGGGTTAAATCTGGTGCAGTTACGCCCAGTGGTACTGTAGAAAAGGGACTTGAGATTTCTTCGGGCAAAGGTTCGGTCAGTGGGCTGCCTTCTGCTTCTGACGACGGAGTCATCACAATGATTTATCACCAGGTTCGTCACAGGCTGCGAAGCTACTTTAACTGCTCATTGCTTACCATCTCAACACATAGGTAAATCAAGACGGCGCAGGGCCTTTGTCGGCAGATATCGACGCAACGAGTGGGGGCACCGACCCCAAAGCATTCAAACCAGCCAGTGTTATCCAAAACATTCCCGGAGTCGCGGGATTTTCAACCTCCAGCACCATGGATTATGAGGTCAAAGTTAGACTGCCCTCTGGAACAAAGTGCACCGGCATTGTTGGTAACATCAAAAACGTCTGCCTTGTGCGGGTCAGGAACAATGCCATTTCTGGTCCTTTTGGGGGTTCAGCGGCTTTCACAAATTGATGTACTATGGCATCACTGGCAAGTTCTGATCTTTAAGAAGACTGTAAATTAATATCGCGCTAAACAATTTCTAATCAAAAGAGATATAAAAGGTCTATTCCTAGCTATGGTAAATGAACAGAATATACACAAAAGAATTATCAACTGGCGAGCCTCCCATCAACTGGCGAGCCTCCCGTCAACTGGCAAGGCTCCAGCCAACTGGCAGGCCTTCCGGCAGCTGGCAAACCTATATTCCCTCGAATTGCCTAAATAATCCCACAGCGGGAGGATGTATGTAAGGCGGGCTAAATTCAATTAATGATCTGCTCTATCACGCTGTAGACTCATACTTCAAAAGTATCGTGCATGTTGCCTCCGATCTCGAAAAAAAGTTGGGATTGGCTACCTCGGGCGGGTAACACGCCATGAATCGAACGAATGTATCAAATGCTGCATCCCTCGTATTTGTGAAGCTGAATATTTGAGAGATCCAAAGTTGGAGCTTATCGCCGCGACGGTCGTAGCAGGCTTGGACGATCCGCCCGTTGCGGGGGCCGAAGAGAGAAATCACCAAAACCTATAGAAGTATGTCATTAGCATAGCTTCAAAGGTCTAACTAGTCGATGTCATTTAGCTCACTGGGAATAGCATGGCGGTCAGGAACTCCGGCTGGGTGCGGCGATATTCAATGACCTGAGCGATTGCTCCAAGCTCACTTATTAGTAGACTGTTTTCCTCGGCAATCCCATCCGTGCAGAGAACGAAACGGACAGAGGGTCCGGCGAGGATTTCGCCATCCCACCACTCTTGTACTAATTGATGACTCCAGGCCGGAGTGTCGACGCCCCTACATTTCCCGGACGGAGAAAAGAGGAACCCCGAGTCCTTACCACCGCAGAACTTCTCAAAGCTATACACCGTTGTCAGCTAGGTACCTATACGATACTAGGTATATTAAAGAGGCTCAATGTGCGGGCATTAGTGTTACTTACTCGATCCGATCCCACCCAAATGTCTTACTCAGGTAGGTTTTCCCTTGGCGGCGGTAGCTGAACTGTATCCTGATGAAATTGAACACCTGCAGCGTAGCGATTGTGATATTTGAGGATGCCGACTCCGCGACGTAAGCTTTAAATCCGGGATATCCAGGTAACTTTTTAGCTGCGCAGCCTCACTGGCCGATATTTTCCATGGTTTGATGGCCTTCTCGGAAATGGGCTCGAAAAGACATTGCGTCTGGGAGGCCAAGAAATCTTTGTCATTCGGTTCGAATGTCTCAACGGTGGCTCCTAGACCCATAATCTCCTGGGTGAATAAGTTAGAGCGGGTGGCCCCCGCCACCGTATGGAGTATATTGAGCACAATATCTCTTCGGACATCGGGAGGCATAGAAGGGGTGGGCGTCATTCTGCATGGGCTGTGGTATCGACTTTAGAAGAGCGAGATGAAAATGAACAAGAGGAGCGGACAGGTTCTGGAAGTGAAAAGATAGGGACTGTGGTCAACTGATCACTATTACGTCGCGTGAGAATCCAATAACTATCCTTAGAGCCTAGGTAAAGGGACATATCTAGTAGCTATTCTCTTCACGCTGCTGCCCTGGATAAAATACTAGGTATTTGTTACTGGAAGACGAGATCCGAGACTGCGTCCAGAAAATATCTTCCTCTCATTCCCATAATACCTATTAAGTGGACTAAAGAAGCCACAATTACCAAATGATCCTATATAACTAGCTTTCGACCCGACAAAACAACAATTGGTCAATTCAAAACAGCGGTGCGACAACAACCCACAAGAGACCCAGGAAGCCAATGCGAGGAATATCCTCGGACGTTGCGCCATTGTAGATGGGAGAGGAAGATGACGAAATGGCAGAGCCTGTGGAACTTCCAGATGAGCCTGATGGACCGCGAGGTACGGTCATTATTGACCCGGGCACCGATGAGGTGATGACTGATCCAGGAACCGAGCTGCTGACAATTGATCCCGGGACGGAGGTCGTCACTGGCGTGCCTGAGATTTCGGTTGTAACGACAGATCCGGAGAACGAAGTTGTCACAACCGTGCCAGGCTGTGTGGTTGTGATCACAGTACCGGGGATCGATGTTGTGATGGAAGTAGGCGCTTCGGTTGTCGTACTTGTCTCAGTTGCACTGGAGGTTTCTTCTGCCTGAGTACTTGTGGTGATCTCCTCAGTGGTCAGAGACTGGGTACTTGTGGTCTGACCGCTTGTAGTCATGATACTGGTAGTCTCGGTAGTTGTGAAAGTGGTTTCAGTTGGTGTGTCAGAGGTAGAAGTGGTGGTCACCGAAGAAGTGGTGGTGACTTCGGTGGTCACTTCCGTAGTCTGAGTGACTGAAGACGTGGTACTGGTAGCCGTAGTTGCCGTCGTGGAAGTCACCATATCAGAGCAGTAATTCAACCACTGTGCAAATGTCGGCTGCATTTGCGATGAATAAATATCAGATCCAGACTCAGAATCTTCCGCGTTATTGGTAACGCAGTCCTCGCAAATCGCCACATCCTCCATAAACGCCGAGTCGCTCTGACAAATCTCGGAAGTCTTGCCCAGGACTTGCGGTTCGTGGGCAGCACTGTTGCAGTCATTGTAACAAACCGTGGGTATGTTCGTGATGTCAACCCTCTTAGCCTTTCGGCCCGCAATGAAGTCCCGCAGAGAAATAAACCGCTTGCCGACTGCATTGTCGGCCGATGTGTCGTAGATAGAATAGTCCAAACCAAAGCCCTCTGGATTCAGATTGAAGTACTCCTTGGAGAGATCGTACTCCGAGGATGGGTCAGAATCCAAGGGCGGAGCTGGCACACAGTCTGAAGGGGTGCAAACGTATCCAACATCGGGAAGACCAGCTTCAATTGTGCAGTCAGCGCGATCGCCTACGTGAGCTGGCTGACAGATATATCCAGGTGGGCAGCCCCATGTGTAATCAACTGGCAACGCAGCAGTGGGCGTGTAGGTCGGATTGCTGATAAGACTGGGGCACACGGAATTGGGTGCTGGGGAGCTGGGGCTCTCACTGGTTGTAGTGCCAGGGACACTAATCGTCGGAGTGATAACTGGAGGAACAACTGGGGTTGTCGGTGATGGAATACTGGTGACAGACGTAGACACGAAAGTGCTCGTCGGGGGCAGCGGGGGGTTAATTGTCGTATCTGTCAGACTGACGGTTGAAGTGATGGTGGGAACAACCGTTGAAGTGGGCACTGAAATCGGCACAGAAGTGGTTGGAGTCACAGTAGATGACGGAATCACAGTTGGCACCGTCGAGGTCAAATTCTCCGTGCATGAGCAAGAAGTGATTGTTGAGACGGTTGTCACCGTTATCACGGCCTTGACCCTTCCCAGTGCAAAAGCGGTTGGACAGCCATTGACAGTGTCGGTAGTAGTTTCGGTGACGGTAGCTGGAACGCCAGTACGTTCAATGCTCTCGACAGTCGTCGTAGTATACGCAGTGACTGTTTTCTTGAGATCAGAGACTACCTGTGGTGTGCAATTCTCGCCATCACCCCGCCAGAACGTAACTCCGACGGTTCTGGTGACCGCCAATGGCTCTTCTCGCTCTTGTGTCTCTGGTAGTGTTGGAGGCTTAGCATTGATCAAACTGCTGTGACCTGATGCCACGAACGTGAATCCAGTCGCCAACAGCGACAACCAAGCGACGTCCTTCATGGTGTCAATGTTGTCTGTAGGTAGAATTTTTTTTGCAAGACAGGCTCAGGAGAAATCAACAAGTTCGACAAGCTAAACAAAGAAAACGACTCGAGAAAAAGAAGCAAATCACCATCGAGTGCATATGCACGGCCCCCTCAATGAAAGAAAGATTCAATAGCTCATGACGCCGAGTTACCTCGAACCTGTGCACAGATACCTTGACAACACGACATGGCCACCATCACGAAAAAACGCAAGATCCGCAGATAAAAAAAGAAATGGCCAAGTTCTCCGCAAGTTTGACAGGTGTGGAATCAGGGCAACGGTCTGTTAGTGGAGTGATCGGCACTTTTATTTCCCCGCCACTCATTTAGACACGTAACTGCCGAATGCCATCATTGCCATGACGCAGGCCTGCAGGACGTTCCTGCCTAGCAATGAACAGATCAGTCGGGTTGCAATCGAGGAAGGTTACTACGAGCTGTGTAGCGATTCTTTATTCTTGTTGGTTGGGTCGTATTCGCACGGGGCATTGCAAGGGAATTGACAAAGAAAAAAGTGCCAAAGAGAACAAAGCCGGATAATCGCGACAAGCCCGAAAATTCGCCTCTTGGATTTCTACAGGGAGGGTGCGATCGATATGTCAGCAGTCAATCAGGGCTCGTCTGGGGCTGTCAATCCGATCGTGGACTTTTCTGAGACTTAACGATGACTCTGCAATCGCAAGAATACGAAAATGCGGTTTCTTGTGGGAAAAACACTGACACTGCTGGCAGTCGTAATAGACAGTGCAACTGCAGTCTGTAGCACATTTCCGAAACAGATCAATGTTTCTATGTGCAATTGGCAGGGAGTGCGAGGTGGGCAAGTCCTTGATCTTGGTTGTCTCTAGGGTGTCACTTACTGACTTGTATACAGCCAATATTCTGCGCAATACAATATTTATAGATGGAGGACAATTGTGGTATCAAAAGTATGTGTCCTTTCTACGTTAAACGTCGATTTATTCTCACAAATTCAGAGGATATGATGATGGTTGTGTCGAGCCCAACCCAGACAACAGTATGTCAGATTAGCCAGTTGGCTTGACCTAGATCGCTAACAAGCAACAGACTTGGAAGGGACGATCTACTACCTCAATCTTACGACCCCATTCGATACATCCTCGGATTTTATGACGATTCTCAAGAATATGTCCGTGGCAGGTGGTGCTGCTAGTAATATAGCTCCCACCTACGTGGACGGCACAATGTTCGCTAATGACAACGAGTTCTATCTATATGGGTTTGTCTGTCTCGTGCCCAAGTCAAGAGACATTTAACTGACTTCCATTTGGTTACTATAGAGGTATGCTTCCCAACACAGACAGTACGGAGCCACCACCTGCGAACCAAGTTCTTTCCTACGCTGCGTACCAGTACGGCGCCTTCAAGAGCTCTTGGACACCTGGTTGGAACCAGGAATACCTCTCCAAGAATGTCACACGATATATCACCAACGGAGCGGCAGCCTCGGTACCTAGCGAAAACTTGGGGTTCTATTTCAGCGGCATGCGGGCGCCGGACTGGGGCGACTTCACTGTGAACCAGCTGCAATCAAACGTCACAGCGCATACCCTCATCACCCTAGATATGTCCACAATTCAGGACGGTAAATGGACCAACGATACCCTGCCGAGCTATATCCCTGGTCGAGCAAATGCCGAGCTGGTTTGGGTGCCCGTGTCTGACTCTGGTGTGTTGGTGGCTATTGGTGGAGTCATTGATCCTATCCAATTCTTCAGAACATCCAAGTCAAACTCATCTCGGACAGAAGAAAGCAAAAAGATTAGTCCCACGTTTATGGAGACCGTCTCTGTCTTCGATGTCAAGAGCCAAAAGTGGTATCTCCAGAAGACGACGGGTGATATACCGCCACAATTGACGGAGTTCTGCTCTGTACTTGCTAGTGCGGAAGATGGCTCTTCCCATAACATTTATATCTATGGTGGATATGATGGTCTCGACTATAACTCCAACCCGTCAGATGACGTGTACATCTTGTCCCTGCCTTCATTCCAATGGGTCAAGGCGTATAAAGGGACGAACACTCACAGTCGCAGCGGTCACAAATGTATCAAGGTATATCCTGATCAGATGCTGGCGGTTGGAGGCCAACACGTTGACTCAACTCGGTGCCTGGAGGGTGGTATCATCGTCAATTTCAATCTCAACACTCTGAAGTTTGATGATGAATATGATCCAAAGACGTGGGGTGAGTATGAGGTGCCAGATGCAGTGATAGCACAGATTGGCGGCGAGTGAGTATTACCTAGTCGGCGCAGAAGACGAATCATCAACATCGCTGACAACGTAAATAGTTCCAAAGGAAGTGCAACCACTACCGCCCCAAATTCATGGACAAACAGCTCCCTAGCCGCTATTTTCGCGAAGAAATACACGAAGAATATCGAGACATACTGGCCTTACAATAGCTCCAGTACCGATACTTCCCCAGAAGCACACAAAGCCGGTGGCGGATTTCCTGCCTGGGCAGGTGGATTAATCGGCGCGATAGTTGGGTTGCTCGTCATTGCAGTCCTGCTAGGACTCTGGTTCTACCGCCGGCGCCACCGAAAATTCGAGGCCGAAAAAGCAAAAGTCACAGAGGAAGAAAGCGACAGACAGTCCCCAGAATGGATGTATGGAAGTGGCCCTGCCTCGCCCGGACCAGGTCCTGTATCTACATCCACAGACAGGGAGACTTATCAGACTTCGGCGACACTGCCCTCAACCCAAACGCAGCCCTCGATGACACAGTCTCCCACAGTGGCGGACACGATTGTCTCGCCAGTAACCCCTGGCACAGTTGAATCTGGAGGCGGCGCACTATATGAGCTACATGGTATGTTCATGACAATCTTCTCTCCCTTTACGTAAATAATGCGCGGTATAAGTGCTAAGATCCTCCAGATTCCTCCCCCGCCGAGCTTCCCACGCCATACAACATCGCCTATCTCTCCCAAGACAAGGATTACAAAGACGACTCCGCATCCGACGTCAAAGTCGACATGAGACGGGGCTCCCTGTCTCCTGTTTCACCGCAGACTCCCAGTGACACGGCCACGCAATTCTCATTCCCCACGGGCCGGAACAGGCGCATATCGACACTGTCAGTGGCACCGACATGGTCGATTGATAATGTAATGAGTGGCCGGATGACGCATTTCAATGCAGATGACGATATGAATATCCGTCGAGCACGGCATGGATCTGATGCTACTCTGGGAAGTAGTGCTACTCTAGGGGGTGGCGATTCGGAGAAGGGGTGGGTGTCGGGTACCGAGACGATTCGGGAATAGATAATAGAGCCCGTGTATTAGTGCGGTCATAACGAGATTCTTTTCCTTTTTAGCATATAAGCCAGTTCAATTCCATTGTCCAAGATCATATTGCATACCATAACCGTTCTTCCAGACCTCGGGGCTATAATCGAATATGGTCATGATATGCTTCTGGCGAGGCCCGGACACCTCGATCCATCGTCGCCAAAGCCGCTACGTTTATACAACGCTAGATACAATGACTCGCAGAAAATGTCCAAATCAGACCAATATACCTCGTCCGCCCGATTTCCAGTCACCCTGACCCGGTGTATCTAGGCCCTGACGATCAACCACATGTGCATTCGACCCCGTTCCCGCCGTGGCATTGAGGGATACAGGTATCTCAAAATGCTTGTTAAGAGTGGGGTTCTGCGTTGAAATCCCCGGTTCCCATGGTGAGTTTAATATATTGACCGTCACCCGCTCGGAACGCAATTGTGGCTGCTTTAGATCTAGATTTGTATGTGAGCCTGGAACAGGAAAGAAGCCTAGTCGCTGCAAATACGATACCTGCCAATGAAAGCTGGGAAGCTATGATAGGCTGCATCTCATGAACTACTAAAGGAGAGCCTTGTCCTTGGCCTCGCAGATCCCATCTTCGCTTCGATCGTGGTGGTATGGATTCTTTCACGGGCTTCTCAGCGCCAGAGTACTTGCCTCTGGAGGCAATGCCAGCACCCCACCGTAGTCGAATTTCATAGCCCTCGCAAGTGATGCCTCGAGAACGGCACTTTCGGCATGTTGGGTGTACTTCGTCGCATTGAATTCTCCTTTTCTTACAGGTCCAGCATCCTTTGAAGGATCGGTGATGGTTGGAGAGGGTCTTTTCTTTGACGGCTGGAGACATGCTTAAGATGAGGGACTCTTTTATATGGAAGTGAAAAGGGCATATGAAGGAAAATAGACTTAATAGAGGAGTCTGGGAGAGAGTGTGGCGTATCCCAGTCCATCCATATATAGTCGTGCAACAGTGGTGTTATACCCAAACTCGAACGCTGGTTGGCTGAAGAAAGAGCTCAGTGAGCAGGACAAGGGACAACATTCTCCTATGGGGGTGCTTTCCGGCAGATGACCATTGACAATGATATTTTGCAAATTCTCTGGCATTTCAGGCAAGTACAAACAGATCGCATGGTTATTGCTGTGAAAGTGTGCAGTCTCGAGCTCGGTGATCGGATAAAAGGGGCTCCGAGCTTAGCCAGATTAGGCAGGTACTACCGTACTGCTAGGAGCTTGGACGTTCCCTCATCTGCTATCTTCACCATGTCCGGGCTCTCGGTCTAATATCAATGCCATTATGTCAATTCGCCAGGTAATTGTAATTGAAACCTGTCCGCTTATCCATCTACATATGAAACAATGGGACTACTCCCTTGAGAGTTGAAGTATCCAACCGAAGTGTACTTCGGCTTCCACGCGCTTTTGGACCGGCCGCATTGACTCAACGCCGCAACGCGGGAGTCGCCGAGTCGGAGCTGTGTATCGCGGAATCGGATATCAAAGTCAAGCATTGACACTATATCGGAGATCTACCGAACAGATCTTCCCTGATCCCACAATCGGCGCTGCAGGTACATACAACATGGAAGCAACCCGCATATACCTGCCAGAGAAGGCATCTCCAGCCTTCCGAGGTAGAAGGTGGAGTCTTCCCCTCTAGCAAAACTGGAGCTCTTGAAGTCCACTTTTAGTGATTTTACGATGACATGGTCGCGTTGAATGTCTTCAGTGTTTCCCAGGTTGGATGGGTCGAGTGGGCCACTCGGGATGTATCCCCACTGTCTGTGCCCCTCAACGGACGTGGGCAGCCGATGTCCATGCCCGGTTCCCCCAGGAAAAGTGTCAAAACACCCCGGTCTGGGGGGATGAGAGCGGGACAGCGTCCTTCCCCGAATGATTTGGTGACCCTGTTTCCGAACCCGGTATATCGCTCTTATACCTATCGCCCTCGAAACATACATTCAACCAGTGAGGTGCTCAAATTCAACAAGAGTTCAGATTTAACATCGGGAATGATCCAGGAGAAACTATTGTCAATCTCATCCCTCCTCCCCGGCCTTCAAACTCTCGTCTCTCGTTATGGACCTGAACCTCGACGAAAACCTGAAACCAACCGACCAAGACACCCAGGATGCCAACGACCTGGCAGAATTCGGCCATGAGCAAATGCTCGCTCGCAAGTTCAACATCTGGAGCATGCTAGCGCTGGCATTTTGCGTGCTGGGAACATGGTCTACATTCGCACAAGACCTTTCCGATGGTTTGGTGAACGGAGGTCCCGTCTCCATCCTCTGGGGGCTGGCCCTCGTCACATTCTGCAACACGTGTGTCGCGGTCTCGCTGGGCGAGATTTGCAGCAGCATGCCAACTGCCCTAGGACAGGCGTACTGGGTTTACCGTCTTTGGGACTCACAGTTTGGACGGTTTCTCTCGTACATGTGTGCTTGGATCAATGTTTTCGGGTGGTGGACATTGGCCGCCTCCCAGATGGCTTTCATGACCAATTTCCTTCTCGGAATGAAGGTCATGTTCAACCCGGGCTGGACGGGTGCATCGACTGGGTGGCTCGAGTTTGTTATTTATATTGGATGCGTTTTTGTCGTCACGTTGATCAATGTGTTTGGTTGTCGTAGGGAGCAGTTCTTGCCATGGCTGAACGGTTTTGTCGGAGTCTGGTTTTGTGGTCTATTTTTTGTCTTTTGTCTTGCCCTGCTCATTTCGGTGGGCACGAAAGAGAGTCTCTCATACCAGCCGGCCTCCTTCGTCTTTGGAAAGTGGAGCAACGAAACCGGCTGGCCCGATGGCGTCGTCTGGTTTATTGGCCTAGTTCAGGCTGCGTATGGGCTTACTGCCTTCGACGCTGTCATTCACATGGTGGAAGAGATCCCTGCACCACGCAAGAACGCCCCCAAAGTGATATATCTCGCCGTGATATCTGGAGCAATCAGCGGCTTCATCCTGATGCTTGTGTGCCTCTTCTGTATTCAGAATGTGAAGACAATAGTCGACTCGCCGAGCGGTCTACCATTCATGCAGCTCGTCCAGGAAACGGTTGGACAGACAGGGGGCGCCGTGCTCATGGCCTTGTTTATCATGAACGGCCTCGGTCAGGGCATAAGCATCGCGACGACCGCGTCTCGCATGACCTGGGGCTTCGCTCGCGACGGTGGACTCCCTTTCAGCACATACCTGTGCCAGGTGAGTCCCTACTGGAGAGCCCCAGTCAGGGCGCTCTGGTTCCAAGGAGCTATCATAGGCCTGGTTGGAGTGCTATTTCTCTTCGCAGAGACAGTGTTGAACGCAATCCTTAGCGTTAGCACGATTGCCCTGACGATCTCGTACGGCTTGCCCATCATGACTCTGCTATTGATGGGCCGCGACAAGCTGCCACTTGGAGGCCAATTCCGCCTTGGGAGATTGGGTGCATCGGTGAACTGGGTCTCTCTGGTCTATTGCTGTGTGACGACTGTCTTCTTTTTCTTCCCGAGTGTCCCCAACCCGTCGGGAGGTGACATGAATTACGCCATTGCTGTATTCGGAGTGATGCTTGTCATCGCTGTGTCATTCTGGTTTGTGCAGGGGAGCCGCACCTATCTGAACACCGAGGAGTCCAGTCCTCATGTGATTCAGGCGCACGCAATTGCGAGTGAGCCATTGCCACGTGTGCCCATGAAGAAGGACTGACGAGTGGTTTCTTGGGGTAATCACCACAAAACCGCGAGATTGTGCACGAACGGACGCCGAACATGGCCTTGGCCCAATCAAAGAACGCCTGGGGGTCTTTCCCACTAGCAGGTTTCCGAGGATTTTTCAGGGTCAATAAGAGCGCTCCCCTCTTCACGAACTAGCTTTCACGAACTAGTTATCACGAACTAGTTATCACTTACTGTGTAACAGAGATATGAAGCTTTCAGGGTTCATAATTTCCTCGAACTAGTTAAAGTACAGCTACGGACAGATAGCTAAAGACCTGATCTAGGAGATCAATCCAAGCAGCCGTTGGGGCCGTTGAGCAAGATGAAGAGCTTTAGTGTTTTATTTATTTTTTTTGCAGCTTTATTGTTGGGAAATGGTACCTACTCTGGGTCGATGGAAACGAGTCGCTGCGGCTGGATTTAGTAGGGGAAAGCTAGCTGACACGAAGAAATGGATGATTAGACGGGTTATGTACAGTCCCTTCGCAAAAGTTTCTGTGATATCCCCCCGCGTTTTTAGGATTCGTGCCCACCAACTCACCTTCTTCAAACACCTACCATGGTTTCCAGAACGCTCTTACGTGCTATTAATTTAAATAGGGTAAAGGGAACTGAATTAAGTCTATGGTTTGGGCGTTACAACCATCCAATATACCCTCGAACAAGAACGCGCCCGTGCCGATGGGACGAGCTGCCCTCGATCTGGGAGACCCCCTATTCTCTCTGAGGGTGACAATTTCTAGCCTTCCAATGGCTATAGTCCGAGGATTTCACCAGGCGAAGAAGGGTGTCGTCCGAGGCCGTGAAACCGCTTAGTTCGCGAATTTCTCGGTACACGATGAAGGGATCGCGCCTAATCAAACGCAGGATCAAGCGCTTGTCACCCTCAGAGAGAATAGGGGGTCTCCCAGATCGAGGGCAGCTCCTCCATCGGTTCGGGCGCGTTCTTGTGCAAGGGTATATTTGATGGTTGTAACGCTCAAACCATAGTGTCGCGCAATAGTGTCCAATTGCCGCGTACGTATGGAGTTAATTCAGTTCCTTTTACCCTATTTAAATTGGTAGGACGTAGGGGCGTTCTGGGAACCATGGTGGGTGTTTGAAGAAGGTGAGTTGGTGCGCACGCGTCCTAAAATCGCGGGTGTGGGGCCGACAGAAACTTTTGCGGAGGGAGTCGGGCCGAGGGACTGTATGCTCGCTAATACTTATTTCGAATAACTAGTCGTAGAGTATAATATAGACTGATTTTCAGTTTCCCCTATGTACATTACATGATTCTCACTTGATTCCAGCTGTAATTCCACCCTAAAGCTTTGACTTCATGTTCACATGAATAGCCTTGACATTCGAATAAGCAGCAAGACCGGCCTCACCAAGCTCACGACCGATACCAGACTGCTTAACACCACCAAAGGGAATGCGCCAATCACTATCGTTGCTAGAGTTAATCCAAACCATACCGGCCTCAATCTGCTTCGCGACGCGATGCGCACGAGTCAAATTGGTGGTGAACAAAGCACTTCCTAGGCCATAGGTAGTGTCATTGGCCATCTCAATAGCATCCTGCTCTTCCTTGAAACGCGCAATCACAACGAAGGGACCAAAGACCTCTTCCTGGTAGATCCGCATCTTAGGCGAAACATCGGTGAAAATAGTAGGCTCAATGAAGAAACCCTTCCCATCACCGACACCAGTAAAAGGCTTGCCACCGGAGACCAGTGTTGCCTTCTCAGACTTGCCGACATCGATGTAAGACATGATGCGCTCGTACTGAGCCTTCGTGACCTGGGGACCCTGGAAAGTCGACTCCTCGAACGGATCACCGACCTTAGAGACGTTCTTGACCTGAGCCTTGAAAGCCTCCAGGAAGCGGTCGTAGATCTCGTCTTGCACTAGAATGCGGGAGGTGGCAGTGCAGATCTGGCCCTGGTTATACATGATACCGATGTGAGCCCACTCCACCGCCTGCTCGAGGTCTGCGTCGTTGAACACGATGAGAGGACTCTTGCCTCCTGTCTCGAGAGTGATATTCTTCAGGTTCACGCTCGCCATCTTCATTATCTGCTTGGCTGTTGCCGTGCTGCCTGTGAACGCGATCTTGTCCACGTCCATGTGCGACGCGAGGGCGGCTCCGGCGACTGTGCCGTGACCGTTCACGATGTTCACGACACCGGGTGGGAAGCCGGCTTCCACGATGAGGTTGGCAAGGAAGAGGATGGAAAGAGGGGTTTGCTCGGCTGGTTTGAGGACGACTGTGTTACCGCACGCAAGGGCAGGGCCGAGCTTCCAGGCGGCCATGGCGAGGGGGAAGTTCCATCTATGGGGCACTGTTAGTGGCTGCATTCGATAATTCTTAAACTAGAACGTCGTTAAAACTCACGGGATGATCTGCCCGCACACACCAACGGGTTCCCGCACGGTGTATGCGAACTTCTCGGGGGTTGTATCAATGACCTGGCCGAAGACCTTGTCGGCAAAACCACTGTAGTAACGGATTGTCTCGGCAGTCTCGGTGAGATCGTCATTGAAGGAAACGGAATAAGGCTTTCCGTTGTCGATTGTCTCGATAGTGGCGAGCGTGTGGCGGTTGTCCTCGATCAATTGGGCTAGACGGTTCATTCGCTTGCCACGTTCAAGACCGGACATATCCCGCCAACATGGGTTTTTCAAGGCAGCCCGAGCTGCCTTGACCGCGGCATCAATATCTTGAGCTGAGGCTGCGTGGATGGATGTGATTTCCTTTGCGGTTCTTGAACGGAAGTCAGTAATGCTATCGAGAAACAGTGTTTGTTTTCGGTGCCCACGTACGTAGGATTTATGCTGGCAATCTTCTCGCCAGTCGAACACTTGACCCATTGGTTGTTGATGAACAGACCAATAGGTTGGGTCCAAGTGAGGCCATTGGGGGCTGTAAGCTGGACAGACAAGTCGGCCATGATGATATGTGGTCTGTATTTTCAGAGAATTCTAGCAACGGAAGAAAATTATGTAGCTAGACGAAATGAATGTGTAAAGAGTTCTTAATACGAGTAGCTATCGAGGGATGCGATAAGCGTTTCGGCTGGACATGCCATTCCAGGCAGTTATCGGGGACGCATGGACTTGTACCGACGACCCCACATGGCTGGGCCCCACGTTTCTCCAGATTCTTGAGGTTAATCTCGGGGTTCACGTCGGACGGGGCCAATCTTGGAAAGCGATAAGATAACGAGCCACTAAGCCCAAACAGGGAAGTACAGCCAACAGTCTGAGTCTTCTTGGAGGGGCACTGGGCCTCGACTTTCCGAGTGTTTGGGGTTCATTATATCTGGGATTTGAATGACTTTTGTTACAGGCGATACATATCATAAATGAAATAGGCCTGCTCAACGAAGCCACCCAGGCAATAACTACTTGGCGGGCGAGCATGTACCCTTATGTAGCACGTTACACGAAAATAAGCTTGATTTACCGCCTTGGCACTGCGACCCCTGCCCAGGGCCCCAGCCGCAGCTCCGACCCATATCAATGATCATGTCGCAGTAAGGCAGGTCTTGCCTAGCTGTAGGGCTACCGCTATTAACTGCACGGTCTTTGACTCTTGTCTGCAACACTTGCCTTATTAGGTGGGTCACTGGCACAACGCCGAGGCCAACACATCTCTCCGAGCCGTTGCAATGTGATTGGCCAAGTCATTATAATGGCAAACGTTTACGTGAGAGATATTATGGCATAAGATCGAACTGGCGTTTAAATGATGTGCAAGACATCAAAGCTTCTCCAGCTTTCTCCCGAATCGAGCAACTCTAACAGACCCCACACTGGTCTGTCGGAGTTTGATAGATAAAGATCCCGATTGCCCAATTGGGAAGGTACATGCGGAGAGTTCTATCAGAGACCCCGAGTCCATTGCCTATATAAAGTCCAGCACAGGGTCGGCATGAAGGTTTTGGTTTTCGACAACTCTGCAACTTCCTTTTCTCTCTTGATACCTCTCCCACATATTCGTCATGGCGTCTGCCCCAGATACAGAGTCAGTTCCCGGCTACACTATCTTCCGTGAAGGAGATTATGACAGCGTTGCCGCTGCTGCTATGACCACAGAGGGAACTCCTCACCCATTAGGTGCGACAGATATGTCCCAATTCTCATGTCCAATACAAGACAGTTGCTAACTTCATACCCAGATCAACTTTCAATTTTTGAAATTCCTGCAGCGGTGAAGATCATTCGCGAATACGCCAGCCCTAAGGCCCTCAAATTCAACTGCCTTACACTTCGGGAACCTGCCAAGGCAGAATACCGGGCTTTCCGTGCTGGTGCAATCCCCGCACCTGACCGTCGCGCTTTTGCCATCGTCATCGTGCAGGGCTCCCAGCAAGTCGCCGAGGTGATTGTTAACCTCGCCACCGGCAAGGTCGAAGACTGGAAAGATGTCAAGGATGTCATGCCCACTCTCACGCTCGAGGATCTTGATGTGATGGAGCGCATCGCCCGCAAGGACGAGCGTGTCATCCGTGCCTGCAAAGAAATTGGCCTCACAGACATGAGCAAGGTGTTCCTAGACGCATGGGCCATCGGTATTGACGAGCGCTGGGGCTACGAGCGCCGTCTCCAGCAGGGCTTAGCTTATTACCGCAGCTCTGAATTTGACAACCAATACGCTCACCCACTGGACTTCAGCGTTGTCGTCGACACCGAACTCGAAGAGGTCCTTAGCGTTGACGTCCGCTACGTGAATGGCGAGCGCACCGCCGTTCCTCTCAAAGAACACAACTACCTCCCCGAATTCATTGGAGACAAGTACAACCATGACCGCCTTAAGCCCATTGATATCAGCCAGCCTCAGGGTGTCTCCTTCAAGGTCCGTGGCAACGAGTTGACCTGGGCCAACTACAAGATGCACATCGGTTTCAACTACCGCGAAGGTATCGTTATCTCCGATGTGCGCACTCACGACATGTACGAGGAGCGTGAGCGCACTCTTTTCAACCGCATCTCCGTCGTTGAGATGGTTGTCCCCTACGGCTCCCCCGAGAAGCCGCACCACAAGAAGCACGCCTTTGATGTTGGCGAGTACGGAACCGGACTGATGACCAACTCCCTGAAGCTCGGATGTGATTGCAAGGGCGCCATCCACTACATGGATGGCATTATGACGACCAGCAAGGGTGAAGCTGCCGTTGTCAAGAACGCCATCTGCATCCACGAGGAAGACAACGGCCTCCTCTACAAGCACACCGATTACCGCGACGGCACAGTGATCTCTGCCCGCGACCGCAAGCTGATCATCTCACAAATCATCACTGCCGCCAACTACGAATATGGGTTCTACCACACCTTCACTCTGGACGGAACCTACAAGCTGGAGGTGAAGCTCACCGGCATGCTGAACACCTACTGCATGCACCCCACGGAAACCGCCGCCCCCTGGGGCACAGAAGTCGCCCCCTCAATCAACGCCAACAACCACCAGCACATCTTCTCCCTCCGTATTGACCCGGAGATCGACGGTCAGAACAACACCGTTATCCAAAACGATGCCGTCCCGGCCGAAGCCGAAGTCGGCTCCGACGAGAACCCCTACGGCAACGGCTTCTACAGCAAGAAGACTCCCCTCCGCACATCCCTCGAAGGCGCGGCAGACTACTGCTTCGAGACCAACCGTACCTGGGACATTGTCAACTCCAATCGCATGAACGCCGTCTGCAAAAAGCCCGTCGCCTACAAAATCATCAACAACAACTGTCCCCCACTCCTTGCCAAGCCCGGCAGCACAGTCTGGAAGCGCGCTGCCTTCGCCCGCAAGCCCCTCTACGTCACCCCATACAAGGACTACGAGCTCTTCCCTGCTGGTGACTACGTCTGCCAGTCTGATGGCTCGGAGGGCCACCCCTTCAACTCGACGATTGCCGACTGGGTGAATCGCAACGAGAACATCGAGAACACCGATATCGTTGTCTACTTGCAGTTTGGTTTGACGCATTTCCCACGCACAGAGGACTTCCCTATCATGCCTGCGGAACCGGTTAGCATCATGCTGCGGGCGTCAAATTTCTTCGAGAAGAACCCTGGTCTGTGGGTGCCGCCTTCCAGTATTTGTGTTGATACGCAGTCGAAGAATGCGTTCCCTTCTTCCTGCTGTGCGCCGAGTAAGTCGCGTATGTAAGGGTTCATGAGGATATGGCATGGTTTTGGTGTTTGAAATGGACGGTTATGCTTCTTTTGTTGTACATAGGTCACTATACTCATCCCTATATCACATGGTACAGTCTTCGGTAACATCCAGATCCTTTCTATTATATACGCAGTAGGTCTCTCTACCCTTGGAATGGTTGGAAAGCTTTGTTTTCGTAGGCCAGCCAACTTAGATTGCAACACTCCTGCCACTGGTTTCCCCTCATTCAGCTCAACTTCGAATTCTGAGACGGAAATAATTGCATAAGAATATTGTTTTTTTCTATAGTACAGACTGCCGTCCTTATTTCTCATCCTTTCGCATTCTAACCTCCAGCTTTGCATCTGGATCACACAGCATTTCAAACCCCATCTCCACAATCTTGGGTGTTACCCCTTCAGGTATCCTGACATCATAAGTCAAAAGAATCTTCGCCAGAGCAATCTTGACTTCATTGCTTGCGAAGAATCTCCCAGGACAAATTGACTTGCCAATTCCAAAAGCAATATGCTCTGGGCTCGTGGATGCCAGTGCTGCCGCAGTATTACCGGATTTGCGAAGGCGAAGAAAGCGGTAGGCGTCATAAGACGATGGATCGGGATAGATCGCTGGATCCCACATCATGGATGAATCAACGGCAACATTCGTTCCGCGAGGGATAGTCAAGCCGTTGGGAAGAATAACATCTCGCAGGGCTTTCCGCTCGAGATTTACTGTGGGAGAGTGAGTTGACTATCCTGAAAGCAATGATGATTTGGATGCAGGCACGTACCTAACAAACCTGGTTTGAGCCGTTGTGTTTCCTTTACTGCACTGTCCAACAGCTGCATCTTGAAGACACCCGCAGTTGTCCATCCACTCTCCTCAATAGCTTTATTTGCTTCATCTCGTAGAACCGGGATCAGATCTGGGTGCATACAAATATCCAGTAGGGACTGCTTGAGTAGCTCAGAGGTTGTGTGCATCGCGCTTATCGCAAATCCGATTTGCGATGCAGCAGCATCATAGGGACGTCCGGCAGCGGTCTCTTCAAGCCACTGTATAGTATCCTCGAACTTTTCCATCTTACCAGGCTCAATAGATTGAGACTGCCCATACCCCCTGCGGTCGAAGATTGGCTGCAACATAACCCGAGCAAGACGAATTTGCTGACGGCACTTTCTAAGTTCTGGTAAGAACCAATGAACCAATGGACGAAGAAAATCCGGCAAGGCGCGGAGTGATCGAATTCCCATAAAGGTATTCATCGACGAAGTGAGAATTAGCTCTTGCCACTTAGGATCACGAGCTAATTCAGGGCCGACAAAGACAGATGCTGACATTCGCCCGATGAAGCGGACTGCGTGTTGAGACCAATCAACGGTGTGCCATTCTGAAGACTAAGTCAGTCAAGTATTCTAACCATGTATATAAAGATTTACCATCAGAATCCGTCCAGGTCTCTTCTAGAGCCTCCGTAATATGTTCATGGAACAGCCCACACTCTTTGATGGAAGGCCATATTAGTGAGACTCCGATGTGAATCATGGGTCCTGAAGCTGTCACGTACGATTGCTCTGATTGTTCAATTTCGTTTTGGTGACATTGATAAGAATCTTCCTGGGATCAGTGACAACTCTCTGGCCATCCATCCCAGGGTATGCCGCGAAATATTGCTGTATGAAATCATGCCGTCAGTCCCCTTCTCTCATTGGCAAAGACACACTGCAACATACATCATGGACAAGCGCCTGATGATCTAGATGCGGACAATTCTTCAGCCACTCTGTATACGAGGCTGGGAGAATCACCCGAGAGCCAAGATTGGTTATGATGCGAAATGGGCCGTCAAACTGAAGCGTGTACATTAGACGCAGTGTTTTTGTAGGAAAGGAACGCAACTTGCCTTCTGAATTCCTTCCTTGATTAAACCCCTGGCATCTGACATGAACCTTGACTGAGCCTTTTTCAAAGTTATATCACCCGGGTATGAGTTGACAACCGGTATTGTCGGTTCTCCCGTCCGGCGCCATGCGAGAACAAAGAAACCCAAGAGGGCTGTCGACAGAAGATATACACCAGATAGATCTTTCATAAGAAAGCCATCTGAGTGGAAAGCAAGATATGACATTGTTTCTTGAATCTTTTGTCCACATCAGAAGGAAATTGTCTAGGCAAGGGACCATTCATGGAAGTATGCGATGGGAATATAGTCTTATAGATGATAGGTGCGAGTCACGTGTACAGTCCCTCTTTGGTGCCCGGGATCCGTCACGATGAATAAGAATGAGTCATTAGTTAGGGTATCCACCCACACATGAGAGTCAATGTCCTCGTCCTCTTTGTCAGAACCAAACCATGGAAACTAGGGTTAGATCCATGTTGTGCCATACTCTCACCATGCTTCACCAGCTCCCACTCAGACATATTGGCGTGTCGACCTGGAGACATTTGAGAATGGTATTGCACAAGTCAGATAGCTACCAGCTGACGTTCGATTACTGGTTACCACACGTACAAACCAAGCACTTGAATTTGAACATCAGTCCATCTATATGTCCCAATGCAATCTATGAACAAAAGAAACCTCAACTCAAATAATGTTCTTCAACTCCTGCCCAGCAAGCAGCCGCCTCAAGTTATACGCAATAAGCGCCTCAGGCTCACGCGGCCGTCCACCGGCAGCATGGGGCGAAAGCACCAAATTCGGCGCCGCATAAAGCTTTGACTCCTTCGGCAACGGCTCAACAGAGAAGACATCCAACGCGGCACCACCAATCCTCCCGTTTTCAAGCGCCTCGACCAGCGCATCCTCATCAACAGAAGTTCCCCGCCCAACATTAACAACCCAGGCATGTTTCGGCAGCTGCTGCAAGCGCTCAGCACTCAAAGCACCCTTCGTACTCTCCGAACCAGGCAAAATCATAACCAGCGCATCGGTCTTCGGCAAAATCTCACTCAACCGATCCTCGGCAACAACCTCATACCCATTCCGCACCCCCGCGCTACGCGCAACACCAGTAACATTCGCGCCCAGCGCAGTCAGCACCGGCGCAAGGGTCTTGGCAATATTTCCGAATCCCCAGATAGTGATGTTAGCACCCTTGAGGGTGCGGAAAGTACCCGGAGCACGGTCGGGCTGGAGACCGCCCAGATGACCGGGCCACTCGCCGCGGGTCTGGTAATCGCGCATTTCGTAGAAGCGACGGGCCGCGTTAAGCAGCATTCCCAGGGTGTGTTCGGCGACTGTTTCATCGTGGAGGCCGGAGCCGGTGGTGATTGCGATGCGGGAGGCGTCGAAGCCGGCCGAGAGAACGTCGTTGGGTCCGGCTGCTAGAGATTGGATCCAGCGGAGGTTCTTCATGCGTGCGGCTGCGTCGCGCAGGTTTGTGGCTTTGTTGCCCCATGTTACGAGGAATTCGGCGTCGATTAGGGAGTCGGGGATTGGGGCTGTGACGTCGTAGGGGTGGAGGTCGACGGAGAAGCCCTCGAGGGACTTGGTGTTGATGTGGAGGGAGGTGGGGTAGAGTAGTTTCATCTTGAGGGTCGATTTGAGATGGTTTGTGAGCGTTCTGAGGCGGAGGTTGGCTGACATTAAGAGGGTTTGGGCTTAGGAGAGGAGGAGAGGAGTTGCAAGACTGGGGTGTTGTTGAGAGGGTGGGGGGCACAACGCGGGGGTCGGTGGGGGTCCGAGACCGGAGAAACTCCGCGTCCGCGTCTGCTGCGACTGCCGCCGCGTTCGGGACAGCTGTCTTATTGCAGCATAAATGTACCTAATGTACATAGCAAGGTCCTACTGTGAAGGGTCACGACTGTCCTTTCGAGGCACCAGGCACCTTCCAATATTGCAACGAAGCTATGTAAACAAAGACACAGCCACAGCAGGCACGTTAATATGGTCCTGCAATTGAACAATTGGCGGTTGCCATAGTCTTGGTAAAACTGAGACTTGGCATACGCCACAAGAATAAAGAAATTCGTGGCTGAATTCAACAGAAACTACCTCGTATATGATCGGCATCTCAACATCCGTGGACATACTACTGTAGATGCTACCACACCCCGCAAATGCGGGGATGGAAATTGGGATCAACCAAGATTGAGCCGTGTAACCGATACTATTGCGAGCTAATGGAATAACTTACAAGAATGCCAACTCTTCCGTCCATTCCCAGGTACTTTCACAATAACTTTGCACCTACCATGAACTCTTGCCATCCTTGACCTTTCTAAACCCAAAGCCCACAGTCAACATGCTGGGTGTTCTACCTGTCCTGGTCGCAGGGCTCGCAGGATGTACATGCGCCCTACCAAAGGGAACAAAACATCGCAGCACAAATTACCATGAAAATGCAGGTGTTCTCAACTTCGTCAATCCCCTCATCGGCACTTACGGAACAACCCCAAATGGAAATGGCGGTATGATTCCCTCTGTCTGTCCCCCATTCGGAATGACTCGGTGGACACCCCAGACTCGCGAGAATTTCATTTCTCAGGTTCCTTATGGCGACAGTGACCGTCTTATTCATGGATTCCAGGCTACTCACCAACCTGCTATCTGGATGGGCGAATCTGGTCAGGTGGTCTTGACGCCAGGTATGGGTGATGTTCAACCATTGTTTGAGAATCGCGGGTTGGAGTTTCGGAAAAAGGATGAACGGAGTACGCCGTACGTCTATGAGGTTTTGGTGAATGCCAACCAGCTTATGGATCGTGATTGGAATGCCACGGCCGAGGCTGTTGGTGACGGGGAGGTTCCCGGGGGTGCTGGAACCGTTCCTGATCAGGTCAAGGAGGGTGCTAATGGACGGACGCGAAAACGTGAAGTGGAATCGACTCTTCCCACTCAGTCTGATGACGAGTATGAGCGATCAATTCAGGTATCTATTCCAAATTATGATTTGTTGCCATGGGTGATTTCTGATGTCTTCATTTAGATTGCCATGTCGGCAGATGCTCACGTTGGCCACCTTCGCTTCGATTTCCAAAGCGCCGATGGCGAAGCTCAGGATCCTTGGGTGTTCATTCAAGCTTCCCGTCGGAATTGGACTGGTGAAGTCCACATTGACGTGAAGAATAAAGAGATCTATGGCTACAACACCGAGCGCCAGGATTACCTTCTCGGGCCAGACAAAGCATCTTCATTCAAGGGATACTTCGTGTCCCGATTCTCCGAGCCTTTTATCGAGTATGGCGTCACGAACGGCGGTTCTCTAATGGAGAATGAGAGACAGCGACATGGAAACTTTACTGGTGCATATGTGAAATTCAGCAGCAAGACATCGCGCGTAGAAGTGCGGACGGGCGTTTCATATGTCAGTATCGCCCAGGCTCGGAAGAATCTCGAAATTCAGACTCCGGATGGACACTCATTCGAAGACACCGTCGACAAAGTGAAGTCCGCCTGGCTTGAGAAATTGGGTCGGGTGTCCATCAAAGGTGTCAATCATACCGATTCAGATCATGACCCTCGCACTATCTGGTATACCGGCCTCTTTCACGCACTCCAATACCCCAACGACTTCTCCGAACCTACGTCAAAGAAGGATGGCGCCCCACGAACCTTCTACTCTGGCTATACTGATAGCGTCCACACGGAGAACGACTCATACTACCAGTCCTGGTCAATCTGGGATACATATAGAGCCGAGCACTCACTTCTAACCCTCTTCGCCCCGGAACGTGTCAACAGCATGATGCGCTCGTTGCTCCGCATCTTTGATTGGACTGGCTGGTTGCCGATGTGGGCAAACCTCGTCGAGACGAACATCATGATCGCGACAAATGCAGATGTAGTCCTGGCCAATGCATTGGAGCGCGGATTCAGGGGGTTTGATATTGCCAAAGCTTGGAAAGCCGTCAATAAGGATGCATATACCCCGCCTGACCATGACACCGAGCTGCTCTACTATGACCGCGAGCCAGGAACTTCGTATGAGGCTCGCGCTGGTCTCACAGCATATATGAAGCAGGGATGGGTATCGAACGATGGATGGTCCGAAGCGGGTAGTCGAACATTGGATTACGCTTTCGATGACTATGCCTGTTCAATTGTTGCTGCGCATGCCGGAGCGGACAATGCCACTGTGGGCGCACTGCGCGAGCGAAGTGGGAACTACGCTTATATCTGGAACAACGAGACTCAGTTCATGCAAGCTCGCAATGCGAACGGGAGTTGGGCGGATAGTACCTGGGGCTGGACGGAGGGTGATGATTGGGTATACACCTTCGACGTGATGCACGACGTGAAAGGCCTAGCTAGGCTGTTCGGTGGACGTGAAGCTCTGCGAGACAAGCTAGATGCCCATTTCAAGGGTGGCCATAATGATCATACCAATGAGCCGAGCCACCATGTGCCTTACCTGTATTCCGTTCTTGGATACCCCAACCAGGCAGCGGAGACTATTAGGGAGATTGCCTGGTCCAACTATAATACCACCAGTGGTGGACTGGGCGGCAATGAAGATCTGGGTCAGATGAGTGCTTGGTATGTTTTCTCGGCTCTGGGTTTCTATCCTGTCAATCCCGCCAGTGACGAGTATATTGTTGGTACTCCTCTTTTCGAACATGTGTCCATTCGCCTTCCCAGTGGAGCGAGCAATGGGGGACGGGTTGTGAATGGCAAAGAGGCAATGCTGGAGATTGTCGCCCCGGGCGCATCTACTATGCCGTATATTCGGAGCCTGAAGGTCAACGGAAAGGCCGTTACCTCCCCAGTCTTGAAACATGGCCAGATCGTGCACGCCAGAAAGATTGAGTTTGAGATGAGTGCGACTCCAACTTCCTGGGGGAATCTGCCACTATGGTGTGATCATACATGCATCGGACTAGGTTTTGACTAGATCTGCATAGATCGCGAATTTCATTTCAATGGAAAGTTTCATGCTCTCGTTTCGTTACCTTATGAAGTCCAGTTCAGATATGTAATGTTGAACTATCTCTTGTACAACTCAGCAAATCACCCGAACAATCTTCACAAGATACCTACGAAAGAGTACCTACGAAGATATCAAATATCATAATTATCATCACAATGGGTATCAGTCAATTCAGCCACACCTAGCATAAAGAAACAAAGCTGAAATAGCAGAAAATATAGAAAGGTTATGGGTAATATAGGTATAGGCGGTAAACCGCTATTCAACTCCAACCCAGTCTACACATCCCCATCTTTCTCAATCGGAATCTCCGAATCCCCCTCAACAGTCCCAGTCGCCGTCAAGAAGAAATCCAGCTCACTAGGCCCACCTTGCGAGTTCTCGTTCTCCGCGAGCTGTTCCAGCAAGCTCAGGAACGGGTCTTTCTCTAAAGAGCCGCCCTCACTACCGGCTGTCGTGTGGGTGCCACTGGTCTGCGACTGGGCGCCTGGTGTGAGGGCCGGGCCTGATTGGGCCATCCCATTTGGATGAGTGTGGACGGCATCGAAGGGGAAGATTGCGTATTGGGGATTTGAGGGGGGGTGTTGGGGCTATGTTTAGAGATGCTTCCGTGTGGAAGGCTGGTGGGGAGAGGGCGAAGGCGGAGGGGGAGAAGCCGGTATGGAAAGAGAGGTCTGTGCCTGCTGGGAGGGACAGGATGGAGGGGAGGGAGGGTGATTGTTGGTGGTGAGGGCCGGGGATTGTGTGCATTTGGAGGCCGGGCGAGAGTGGGACTTGGTGGGAGGAGCTTTGGGATATTGATTTGTGATGGACGTGGGAGTTCCGACGCCTGTCTGGGCTCTGGGTGGATGGCAGGGGAGTTGAGAGCCCTGGCCGTGCGGCTGAGAAATATGAAGGTTGATATGAGGAGGTGATGGTTGGTCGCTGGTAGTATGCATCTTGACGGTCGATGAAGTTCGTGGGGCTATGGCCAAGGTCAGTATGGGAAATCTTGCAAGGGACGGTGCCAGGGGGTTACCTACCCCGGAGTAAGGTCATCTCCCGTATCTAGTAGCCGAACGTGCGATGCATCCAGCGTCAAACCGGGATACCTATCGAGGAAGTCTTCGAGGTGGAAGACTGGCGAGAAACGCATTGGGCTGCTAGCCAGGTTGCGCACTAATTCAGAGTGACATGTATAGATTGTCTGGAGCAGCTCACGCTGATGCTGTACCCCGGTCCAGATATTGCGCAGCCAAGCAAGCTGATGCATTTCCCGAGTTAGGAAGTCAGCGCTGGAAGAGAAGACCTCTCCTTCACGGCCTTTATAGTGTACTCCATGGACGTGAACAGTACCCGCAGTGCACACACAGTAGCAGACGAAAGCAGGCCACTCGATCAACGGAGAGTTACGACCCAATTCAACCAACTCTGCTATAGCGTTGGCGTGTGAAAAGCACAAGTTTGTGGCCTCAATCTGCCAGGACTGATGCTGTCCAGTCCCTCGCAATTCTACCAAGTCGATTGGCAAAAACGGACGGTAAATCAAACAATGCACCAGATGGTATATCAACTTGCTCAGCAAGAGTGTTGTACTTTCAGGGTGGCCGAACAACGCGTCAATAGACGCAAAGACGTCCTGCGTACCGGCCGCCCATATATCCAGCTCCTGTCGGATCTTGGAAAGATTAGAAAGCGCATGCCACGGGAAATGGGAGTCACCCTTGACCCCGCCAGCCGCTAGGTATTTATTAGTGACACCGAGAATCCGGGTGACGTCGATTAGCAAGGAAGTAGCGCTCGGTGATTTGCGGCGAGAATCTGCGGAGAATTGAATGTTTGGCCCAACGTGGAAAAGCTCCCCTTCCATGTCCAGACCAGCTGCATGTGGTGACCAAGACGGTAGGCGCAGAACCACCGAGTGATCAGAGATGAGACATGGGCGCCGCGATCCGCAATTTATGAATCGATCCATAAGGTAGACAGACCAGAATAGTCGCCGCCTCATTTCGCGCTCCGCTGGCGCAATGTTGATTTTGGAGGCAGCCTCGCGGTATAGATCTAACGCAACGATCATGGCCACACAATTTGCTAATCGTTATCAGTCGATGTCATCAAAATATAACATAGATAGAGCTTACAGAATGTCATATAGGCTTTCTTGCTAAGCCCGTAGGCGTAGAAAGCCTGCGAAAGTAATAGCACAGTCTGCAGCCCTTCTAGTGTGGGATTGTCGACATCGACCATGCGCCTTGCCTGCAGCGCCGCATCGACTCCCGCACGCATTGATTGTTCCGCTGGACCAGGGGATGACGTGTATCTGAAGCCCGTTAATACAACACATCGAGCCTGCAAGATTCAAACTTGGCGATTTCACCTTATGGCTACCGCTGAAATGGCCATAGCCAAACAAGGAGGCAACTGCCCTAGTTGATGGCGCTGTCGTGTTGTAGCCTCATCGAGTATATGGAACGGCTTACCGTGCAAGCGCGCAAAATAAATCTCGAGAATCGAATCGGATAGAGCTACAGGCTGTATCGGAGAAGGCCGCTGCAGAATGCTTGGTGGATGGTCAGTCGGTCTAGCGGAGTGATCTGCCTGTTGCGATGGAATATTTGACAGCGTAGGTCTCTGATTTGAAGGGTATATGTTGAACGAGGTATCAATAGTGTTGCGCCGGGTAGGAAAGCTCGATGACTCGTCCGGGGTATCGGGAGAAGTGGGCGAGTTAGGCTTCTTTTCGTCATGTAGTCGCTTTTCTAGGCCGTCCACTCGTTTGAGTAGGGCTTCTAGCACGTCGGTCTTGGGACCCCGTTTCTTGGGAACAGCATCTTTGACAGAATAAAGGATTAGGAGAAATCTATGGTGCACTGACAGCGGCTGACTTACCGTAAACACATGGAGACTGGAAGATTTTACATGCCTCGCAGCTCGGTCGCAAACGATTGCATTTGATCTAGAAGGAGTTAGACCTACACAATTGCACCCAAAGTGCCAGGAAATACCTTTCGTTTGCGACATGACTTGCAGTTCATGCTTTCTCGCGGCTCGACCGTCGCACGGCGGGGCGTGAGACGGTCAATGCTGACCTGGGGACGAGACATGGCGGATCTACATAGACGAGGAAGATGAAGAGGAAGGAGAAAATGGCGGCCAAGAGGGACAAGAAGTCAAGCGCATGGCTGTGGCGTTATGGGAAAGCCTATGCCACTTTGAGCACTTTGACCTCCGAGGTCGAATTGTGGAGAGAAAAATGCGGAGAAGGGGAGAAGGGAAGGGCCATCCCGCCGGAATTCCCAGTTTGGGCGTTGGTTTTATTTGACTTTTCTCTTTTCTCTTTATTTCTGAGATCAGTTTATTTACGCAGTACGGAGTAGTACTAGTCACGTCTATCCTCTGATTTTATAATGATCTACTTGACTCCTAGGTCAATTGCCTTCCCCACTCGCCAATCTAGCCAACTGGCGAATGTCTGCGAACTGGCCAAACTTCGGAGAATTCCCCCCCTTTAACCTCCCGAGGTCGCTTAGGGCTCCGACGCCATCTTCCGAGATCATTCAGGTACATCATGTACCCCATAATTGCAGTACATAGCTTAATAATTTTGGCCAATCCATGGTTGAAATTACCCGAAGTGTCCCCTAGCTAGTTCAATGGCTTGCAGAACCACCTGTCTTACATCCGAAGGTACAAACATGTACTTCTATCCAACTGGATCTAACCTCATACGCCATACGATGATAGGATTTAGGTCCTGCCCGCGCTTCTATTGAAACATTCACAGGATGTCACGTATGCTCCAGATCCGTTTAACCCCAGAGTAAACGCCTGATCATCCGCTGCAGCTACTGTTTTCGATACGGAACCTTAATTCCTGGCTTACCTGTCTCCAAACTTTCTGCAACTAAACTCGGCGTTTCTTCAGACCCTTTACCCCGACACTTCTACATTGCCTTGCATATTTTCTTATCCATTTTATGCTGGGTTCCAGTATGACAACTCTGACGTACTGCGTGTTTCTGGAAAGTCAGTGAGACTCCTGCTATGCCACCTAGACCGGGCCGTCGAATTATTACCCGGCTGGTGGCCCCGTTTTGGTGGAGAAGGAATAAGGATAAATGACCCTCCGTTTTCGTTGAAGGCCATAGTAATGCTTTCATTGAACAGGTATACATCAATATACAGTATCCAGTTCCCCCTTCCAATTCGAGTAAGGTTTCGGAATTCGACAAGACACCGAGGTGATCGGGCCGATACTTCCTCTGCTCCATTGTTAAACAGTCCGAATCAAACTTTCTTTAGAGACCACGGCCATCCCCACTAACGAGCATCTCTTAACTTGGGGCTTTACCATCCATTCGTATTTTTAAAGATGATAAAGTAGTTATGGAAACCAGAGATAGCTAATACCCTATACTTCATCCTTACCTCTCACAGGTTCCATGGATGATTCTAAGCATAAAGTCTATCTGAAATCCACGTGTTTTAGTTATACAGCACAACTTAAGGCTAAACATTTCCAAGGTTCTCAATTCAAGCTATGGAAGTCAATCCCCACGCAAAACCCTCCCCGATCTCACAAACTCCGCCATATCCTTCGCCCTCCCACCCATCCTCTCCAAACCTTCAACAACACCCCCACGATCCCCAACCGGCCGTTCCTGACTAACCTTAAACCTGCCCTCAACACGCGTAATCTCCACGCTAATCCCGACAATATTCTTCAGCAACGCAGCAATATACCCCGATGGCGCATCAGCGATTACCCACGGGGCCGATGCCGACGATGCCGTCCCACTAGCCCTAGCCCCCGTGACCATCGCACTCTCCCCCGGCTGCAGCTGCAGGTCTAGGCTCCGATTCTTCCTAGTCTCATCTCTACACAGGTGGTCTTGGGCCTCCCCGTCGTGAGTTTCGTAAACCGAACCCGAGCCGGCCTCATCCTGGAATCCCATAATCCGCTCCTCGCCCAGCTTAGCTAGATCATTCAGCTGTTGCCGCAGGAACAGTTCGGTCCGCTGGTCCTTGCTGTCATGGTAGATAGTTGCCCGGCCGTAGACTTGCACGGCGGCGTAGTTCCAGGTCGGGGCGACTTTTCCTGTTGCGGGCTTGGACTCGGTGTAGAAGTTTGGGGTGATGTAATGATCTACCGGGCTGGTGAAGACGATTAAGACTTCGCCGGGGAGGGTAGAAGATTCTGTCTCTTTTTCTGTGGAGCTTGTGGGAAATGCGCCCGGAATACTGCCTGTTTTGAAGCTGTTGTTCAAGGCGCATTCTACCATTGCTTTACTTTGTGGGTTTTGGCGCGCGATGTGCCCACGGAGGACTCCCTTGGAGTGATTGGGTGGTCCATTATTGACTTGTTTTGATTGGCTTGCTGGATTGCTCCCCGGTGAAGTTGCACGGTCTAGCACCCAGGGGATGTGGCTGCATTGGAGGGTTGGGTGATCGGCAGAGGGGAGGGATGTGGTGAGGACGCCTAGTGGGTTTTGTTCAATGAAAGAGTGAAGAGTCGGGATGTCTCTGACTGCGTGATCGGGTCTGAGATGCATTTCATCTACTTGTGAATGTGAAATAGGAATAAACAAGGTACATTCAGGGATATGGGCCTAAGACCAGATAGGTAGACAGTGTCTGGCCCTCGAGCCTCTCCCCACTTCCATTATTGGGGTTCTCACCTGTTGCCGCTTCCCGGGCTCAGTACAATTGAGCACGCCCCTGAGCACGCCACCTGGGGCTGTCCAGGCCGGCTCCACGGCCGGCAGGCACACAGCCGGACAGCCCGAGGTCCCGATATTACATCCGCTGATTAAGCGGATATTTTATCACTATGGAACTATTCCGGGCATGACCTGTGTACTGTGTAGACATATACGGCAGCATGCACCTCTTCAGCACCAATCATCTATGCATACCCGTGTCCGCTACGCTCCCTTGCCAACAAAAACCGGGGTAACTCTGGGCCAAGCTTCGAAATGTGGGGTTTACCCCGGATTTACCGATAAGATATTATTTGGTCGGGCGGCGTCGGCCGAGCATTTAGGTTCGGGGCTAGTATTCCTTGGATGTCGAAGAGATATAGGTGCATATTCTATCTGATATGAGAGAGGAATGTGCAAAGGTTGTCACATATTCTGAAGGTCTATCCAGAACCTCGAGTGGGACTCAACAACAGACAAGAACTCAAAACATATTCATATATGCAGTAAATCGCTAGAACAAAGGCCTCCCAGAGGCCATCCTCACAAAGTCAAACGGCACATTCTGGCCAACAAGCAACCTGAGCGTCTCCACCGTCGTCCATGCACTAACATCCTCAACTCCATACGCCGTCCAGCCGGCCGCAGTAGCAACAGCAAGCGGATCCCCTTTCCTCAGCCCACTAGTCAAATCCAGATAAACCTTCCCCCGCGTCGAAGGCGGCGACGACCGACCGTTGGTCCCATAATGGCGCAGCAAGGGCTGGACAAGAAGTGATTTTTCCGGCGGAAGAGCCGAAACAATTACGAACGGCTGCTCAACTCGTTTAACAGACTGGATGGACGTGAAGGGCTCGAGACCTGCGGCTAGCGGGCCGGTGGCTTTGAAGCCGACGGTGTAGATGGTTCCGACGGCCAGACTACGCAATGCGAAGATAGCGGGTGATGCGTCTGCCTCGGAGGCGGAGAGGATGATTGCTGCGCGGCTGCGGTATGCGGATGGCACGTACTCGCGTGTCAGGGTCGCGCGGATGCCTTTCCAGGCGGCGTTTTCGCCGATGAAGCGGGATGTGCCGCGAGGGGAGTCGGCGGCCGTCATGGCGATTGTGTCGACTAGACCGATTGCGCGGGCGGCGTCGCTAACTGCAGGGATGAAGCTGGTGGTGCTTGGGACCGGGGGGTTGACGTAGGCGCCGCCGAAGTGTGGCTGGAGGATGACGGATTCCATGTAGCCCTTTGGACCGCGGTCGAGGGAGGTGAAGGTGTGTGGGAGGCCGAGCTCGTTCAGGCACTTCTCCATGAACATTGAGTGTGGGGTTGAGCGGAAGGAGCCGATGGCGTAGAGGTCGCGTTTGGGGAGTTGACCCATTATATGGAGCGCTTCGTTGATTTCGGCTGCGGTTAGCTGACCTGGGGCGGCGATCATTGGGAGGAGTGGGTGGGTGATAGGGGAGAAGACGGTGTTTAGGGCACGGGATACCTGGCCCATTTGTCCCATGTTGACTGCTGATAGGAGTGGGCCGGTGCCGCGGCTTTTGATGGTGGAACGGAAGTACTCCAACTCGTAGTTCTCCTCGATTGTGTGGACCATGGCGATCATCTTCACGATGTCGGCGTATTTGGCACTTTCCGAGAAGATGCGCTGAGCCTCATCGGAGGTCCACTTCCAGTTGCCAGAGAAGTCATGGAAAGCAGATAAGATCATACTATGACCCTTTTTCTCAGCCAGCTGCCGCCGGATCTCCTCTGGCAGCCACAGCTCTACATCGATGTATTCAACCCCCCACTGTATTGCACGCCGCAGATACTTATAAAAGAGGGCAGGATCGTCGACCGGGAACTTCCCGTTCTCCCTGGTACAGCGCACGGTGAAAATAATAGGCAACTCAGTATGCTGACGCAGCAGCATCAACTGATGCCCGACATACTTCAAACTCGGAACTGGTGGAGTAGTCGACACCACCGGCCCAGGCTCAACGAGCAAATCAACACGGATCTCAACAGCGTCCGATCCAACCGACAGGATATCCAAATTCGGCAGTGCAGCATGCACATCAGGAAACGTAGTCGAGATAAAATTCGTGCGGGTCTTAGTGCGCAAGTCATCATGTGGCCTCGTCTGCCCAAGAATCAAAGACAAAAACCTCGCCAAGTCTCGACGCAAAAGCGGACTCCGCGAATATAAGAATTCGTAGTCACAGCTCTCCGTGAGCAAGTCGTCCGGCGCAGACCCGTCTTCCACGCAATATGTGTTCACCAGAACCAGCGACGACCGTTCGCACCCTTGCAAGCTCGGCGCAAGGTCATGCGCCAGAATCCCTGCCACCGCTGCATTGCTGGCTCGCGCGAGCGTCCCAAGCGAAGTCTCCGTTGTCCATGGCTTACCCAGCACCTCCGCAACCAGCTGCACAATATGCTGTTGGTTGTGGCCGTAGACTATCACGACGGTTCTCGTAACGCTCTCGACTGCCGGAGTCGAATTGCTCACGTCAGTCTGCTGGTGAGGTGCGGCGGAGGGAACGGAGGAGAGGATCGTGTTGGCATTCGAAGGAACGGCCACATGGTTTGCGCGGGGGACGTCGGGTGTCTTGAAAGCGGTCGCGGCGACGGAGGTGTCGTCGAGCAGCGGCGTAACCATGTGCTGCGGAAGAGCTGTGGGAATCATCGCATAGCAGTCCCACGTGTTTTCATACTTGATTATTGTGGCGACGATGTATATGCACGGAGTATGTCGCGGGTAGAAACGGGGATATCCGGGGAGAGAAGGAGGGGGACAGGATGGCGCAGAGATCCAATGGCAGGCTTTCGCAATTTGCTCGATAATATCCACGACACGGATGGCGTACCAGGGGTGTAGTCTCCGCGGAGCATGGACTGGACGTCGTGATCAAGAAACAAATAAAATGGGGAATTTGGCGCCGAAGGGCCAAGCTTTAGGGTATGGGGTAAATCTGGTGGAATTCAAGGGACTCCCTAGGTCAATTTGCCCCGATAGGTAGAGTTTAATAACCCAGGCGAGGTCAAAAAGGGCGGCATGTGAGGCGAGATGGATCGATGGAAGAACTTGTCGGAGTTGTTCCGCCCAATGTGCTTGTGATTCCACGAGGCGGACGCGGGGAAATGTAGGAGCGGCGTTGGGTTTCTCCGCCAATCAGGGCTGCGAAGTATACTAGTACCTTTACGGCATATTTGAGTAAAACCCGGACTACTAGTTTGTGGGATACGCTGCTAGATCTATAAATATGATGCTAAATTAGACCAATTGCTACATTTATAAACAACGAGGCCCATATCAGCCTATATAAAAATCCCGATTCCTACTGGATCCACTACAGCCTATTGTCCGGGGCTCTGATACGAGGGAAAACAGCTAAGATCTCAGCCTCGTCAGATCGACTCATTGGCCCTGGGAATGAGTGCTACCTTGCCTATTCCATGTGCATGGGCCCAGCTATCAACAGCAGCCAATGCGAACAAATCAGACACAAGGACTACAGACAGATCATACTGAACAAATGGCAACGAGCAATTTGCTCCGATAGTCACGATCATGAATGCAACAAGACAACATTCTATGTATTGGCCTTCCTGTGTCCACTGAACAGAAAGCAATTTGAATAATGTGACATTGCCAAATCAGGTCTCAATAGGAGATTCACCCCAGATGGCAATCATGAACCATGTAACATACACATGCAAGCTAAAGGAAACCGAAGAAGACGAAATATGCAAAAGGAAACGAGACAGAATCGAGAAATCCGCCCAGTATTGCAATTCAATCAGATTAAAAAATAACGAGAGGAAGATACCAACCAGATCAAGCAGGGGTATTGGATAGTAATGGGCAAATCAATCAAATACGGAAGAAATCACAGGCCGAGAGTAAGGGGACGAAGATATGGCAGAAAAAGCAAAGAGGTATTGGACCAGAGAAGGATGTATGTATCAGTATCAAGCACACAAATAATCAGTGATCCACATCGTTTTGCAAACCAGGATGGCGCTTTTGAGGGGTTGTTTGTTCAAGGTTCCGTGCATCAAGCCGGATTTTCAAGAGTATGTACGAGGACAGAACACGGCCAATGATTGCGGCGCGTGGACTGTCAGATAACTTTGGAATGTCGTTTGTTTACCAGGCAGAGCGTGGTAGGTCGACAAGGAAAAGTGTTCAAGGGAGATGGAGGGAGAAATGTGCAATCACACATGTAGCGTTCCCTTTCTGGATGTGAGGAAAAAGCGAGATGTTCAGCCGAGCCAGCGGCCTGTCATTCTCAGCATGGGTCAACACGCATGCCCAAAGGACTACAGGCAACAAGCAACAAGAATTTGATAGTGCTCATCGTAGACGAAACACAGAGCGCACGGCAACGTGCGAGAAGTCGAGAACCGGGTGAATATTGAAAAAGAAGGTTCACGTTTCGAAGATTTAGGGCCAGGTGAGGTGACAAACTGATGTTCCAAACGGTGGACGTGGCACATGGCGCGGGCAAGACCCACCCGCCCGAGGGTAGGATAGATAGCGGCGAACTGATAAGACGGGCCAACTCCGTTTGGAATCACACCAATTAACCCGAGGGAGAGATGGCTAGTCCGTTCATCAGCTTCGGTAGTGGCTTTCGACGGGCAGTATTTGCCGTCTTGGACACCCGTGGTGCGCCGTGGATCATGCGGGGTTCTGTCATTAGGCTAGTATCCAATTTTGCCGGCGCTGCTGGGTATCATTAGTAGGGGTTTCATCAGGACTCAAGCTTTAGAGGCGTACCTCTAGTGACACCTCTGCCATAGTCGGCCGAAAAACTCTGCTGGCTGCGGCTGCTAGGGGCGAAGAAGGTGGCATTGGCGGTGCGCCACAAATGATTCGAGGTGTCTGATAAAAAGTCTGTGGTAGAGCGTCCAGAGAAGATCGTTGAGCGGCCACGGTTGCGCTTTGAGAGGACGATCTCGTCAAAGAGAGTCATCCGAGGGTCCTTCGACTTCGGGTTCGTTCGCTCTCGGTCACTGATAAATTCGTTGAAGCCTGTTATCGGGTCAGAATTTGATCAGTGTGCGATGATAAGATCACTCTTAAAGACTTACCTTGAGTCTGTTGCAGGATCGAGATGTATTCCGCATGCTCGCTGGGGAGACTCTTCATGAAGGCGTCTACGTTGAAATTGTAATACATTCCCGACTTCTTCTTCTCGCCACTGGCTGGTACGAGGAACTTCTTGTACGTGTAGAACAAGCTAGCGAAGCATCTGACGAACGCCGCGCGGACCTGGTCAGGATGGAAGGCGGCGTCACACGGCAGACACACCATCGAGGAACACCGGTTGTGAACTGTCAATTTGCATGCAGAGCATTTGTACATGCCCTCCTCTGCCTGCTCATCACAAATGGCACAGACAAATTTGTCATCCCACGGCTGGGCCTGGAAATAATGACCCTCGGCCCAGCAAGTGCCTTCGTTATTACCGATGGGCTGTGCTGTGGACTGTGGAACGATCGTGGATGCAGCGATGGTGGATTGCGCATACACAGAGGGGGCATATGTGGATCCACCGCCGTAATCGGTGTTCAAAGTAGTGACAGAAAGGTTCGAGGCATGACCAAGGAACGGAGCACTTGGACGTCGAGTCATTCCGAACGACGAGCTTCTGCGCGAGGCAGCATCGAAGTGGCCTGATCGTTTTTCTCGAAGTGAAGCTTGCAGTGCCATTCCAGAATCGTTGCGAGATGAAGGAGCTGGCGGAGGTGGAGGGAAGTAGCCAGAGGTGGGCGAACTCTCCCTTGGAGATGGCGGAGACGCAGCGGCTCTCATCGTAGAACTGGTTCCCGGGCGCTCATTCCCGCGAGATGAATATCCCCGAGAGGGACCAGCCTCATGTCGGGCATGCAAGAAAACATTAAAAACCGGTGGTGTGTAGGCCCCCGGGGCCACGGCAGTCGCACCGAATGCACCGGAATTGAGACCAACGTATTTGGAAAGGTTAGTCGCAGTCGCTTTGGACGTAAACGTAGCCTTGCTCTCTGACATGAACGAATCCCAAGGGTACGTCTCAATGGCATATGCGGGAGGCCCAGTCGGGACGTGGAACCGGGTGTGCTGAGGGGCAGCTAGCTGCAGCAGAGACAAAAGCTTCCTGCGCTGATGCCGCGGAAGAGCGGTTGGTTGGATAGTACTTTCAATCATATTGTTGTCCAGATCGACCAGGACAAAGTCGTCGGTAGGCAATTCCACCTTCTCGTACCGGCGCTCGATGCCCACGATGTATGGACAGGGGGCCTCCAGGGCTTGGATCAAACGGGCAGGAAGAACGGGGATCAGAACACCGGTCCATTCCAGAGGGAAGAGGAGATCAACCAACGCTCTCGTCGCCAGATAAAGCATGGAGGTATGGGAGGACAAAAAGATGATGCGGGATTCGGTAAGAGCGTACTATGTGCGAGTCAGTATTTTTTCTCAGGCACCCAGAAGACAAGGTAAACCTACTTCGAAGAGAATGATGATATTAGGAACCGATAAGGTTCGGAACAAGGCATAGAGATCAGTCTAAACTCAGTCAGCAAGAGGTTTTTCGAACAGAGACCTCGATCAAGATTGCGATGCACATACGTTCCGAGACCCAGGTATCTCATTCGGCGCCTCTTTCCGAGCAAATAAGCGGAGCTCACGGATTGCAAGTTCGACCTGCGTCTTTGAAGATATCGGGGCAAACGCTTCTGTGCAGAGATTCATGACATATCGCTCCAGCGGCTGCCATACACCCATGCGCGGGGACGGAGAAGGCACATGCTGTAAACTGCCCTCAGTCATAGGCACCACGACAGCTTTGAGCCATTCCTTCCAAAAGGTCGTCATTGTGCTCTCCCGGCCCAGAATACCGTACGCGCGGGGAATCCAGAACCCTGTGTCACCATCAGTCAGACCCTCGATCTTCGAGGCCGCCCCATGGCGGACGGGACGGAGGAGATCGGTCATTAACCCAATCTTCTCTTCCACGGCGCTTATTTCGTCTTCAAGTCGGTCGCGGGATTCAGACCCCGACTGGACCGTTGGCAGCTGAGCGAGCAAGCGCGATAACTTGGCCCGCTCTAATGCTAATCGTTCACCCAAGCTCGCAGCCAGCTCACGCTCCTCGTCTGTCATGTTGTCCTTCCGCCATTCCTCGCATCGTTTCTCGAGTTCCTCCGCCGCATTCGGGTTGAGCGGTATCCAAATAATCACACAGATGGCGTGCAGTCTGGAGCCATTGTCCGTGGTCATGGCGAATCCGTGCCAGGTCGAGCGTGGCCGCTGGTCAGAGGAGACGATATTGATATCATTAGGGAACGCAAACATCGGAACGTAATCAGGGAAGTTACCGCGCTGCTTCGTTTCGTCCGGCATGCCACGTGTGGGGTATCGGTCAAGAAGAACGGGCTCGAATCGTCGCTTCAAGGGGTGCATTGTGGGGGAGATCTCGAGGGGTTGCGGAACGGGAATCACCGAATTGTAGTTGCTAAGTCGTCGAGAAGTGCGTACGGAAGCTGAAGACGCTCCGCCGTTAGTCTGTGTGTCCTGGGAAAGTTCCGGGCGCAGCTGCGGGTGCAGTGGCCATTCCGATAGAGTTAAAAGAGAGGTCTCACCTTGGCGAGCAACGGACGGCTGACGCTTCATACTGTTCATGTCCCGAAACGCCATGTGTCGTCGCACGCTGCCAATACCCGACCTCAGCAAGTTCCCGCCAGCCGAGGACGACTCGTCGGAGACGATCTTCTGTGTGCGAACGCGGGATCGCGGACGGGTATTCGGGGTGATTGCGCCGGCGCTCAAGCTCAGATCGGTCAGAAATGTTTCCCGTTCGTTGGCAAACTTGAATAGCGCGGAGTCGAAATCGAAGTCGTCGGAGAACAGCGCGGAGGTCCGCAGGGGGGATGAGGCACCCTTGACGGTCATGCTGCTGCGGTTACTGTTGGTGCCGCCATTGGTTGTTCCTTCGGAGCTTTTTGAGAGGGTGGAAATTCGTTGAACGGAACCGCGACGACTGGCGCCAGTAAAGAGCATCGAATTTGGCCGGGAGGCCGTATCCGGGTTGTATTCCTCCTCCGCGTCGGCATCCTCCTGAATAGTATCTGCGAGCGCAGGGCCTGGAGAGGCAGCGCCATTGGCACGGTAGTCTTCTCCCAATCTCTGGAACGTGTCCAAGATCTCCGTACCATCCACGCCGGCTATCCAGAAGTAATCGGCGAGGGGGGCACCCTCCGAAGTTGACGACGATGGCATTGTGGAGAGAGTCACGGCGGACTGTAGCGAGATAATATTGTCGATGTCACCACATGAACAGTATTTCGAGGGAGACGTAAGGAATTGAGCGCATGGGGTATGTTGGGGGGGAGGAGGGGAGGGGAGCTGATAAAAATGGGGGAGAGAACGGGAGGGAGGGGCAGTTCACAGCGAAGATCAAATGTTTCCATTGGAGACAACGTTGTATTGAAAAAAGGAGTTCTTTTATCTGTGTATTCTATTATTTCTGTTCTCTTCTTTTAAGCTATACGCAATTTTCTCTACTGTGCATTATAAATTTTCTTTTTTCTTTTTATTTTTCCTCTTCCACCTAGGATCACGGGTGGTTGCGTACTCGGTGGTAACAATGTGCCTAGCAACATAACCCCATACTGAGCATACTGAATGTGCGTACATTTCTCTACTCCACTATGCGATGATCATAACAGTAGGAGAGAAAGCCTTGAGAAGTTCTCACATTCAATGGCACATTCAATGGAATATTGCAAGCCAGTCAAGGGTCCGGGCCATTCACAGCCCTAGCACCCATGCACAAGAGTCTTGACACCGTAGCGACCTGCAGGCATCTGCAGGGTGGCTGGACTCAGTCTTCTGGGGTAAAGAGTCATAATACACAGATAGTATACATATCAGGCAGAAGGTTATAACTATCCATTAGTTCGATGTCTTCTTCTCACTTCATGTCGGTGTATGTCCCTGATACTTCCATATCAACTCCGCATAAACATCTGCCTCGATTCTATACCCAGCGAACTTCATTTTTCAAAAGCTCGGCTATGCTGCGGTCAAATTAGCCCTGCAAACCCCAGGGGTATTCCTCGAGGTCTGTGGTTCATGATCGAGCTTCAAGACACGGAAGTGGCAAGCGGGTCAGGGCTGATCGTTCCAATTGAACCTTGGGGCAATCCTTTGAAATGAGGTTCGTCTCCAGCTTCTGCATACTATCCCGATTTATTTTCTGGTGAGCTCTTAGAGGGTGAAGTGAAACACGGCGTCATAAGTCTTTTCTTTTTGGTTAAGTTAGGTTCTTGGTGAAACGCCACAATGTCATTCTCTTGGAGACTTTGCATTTCAGGGGATGAAGATAAGTGTCGAGGAGTTGTAAATTTAGTGTCCTCGTGGTGATGCTATTTTGTTCTTCGGTCTTAGATTGTAACTGCCTATAATTTCCTTTTCTCTTGGTTAATTTTGTTACTTTTACACCGATACTAAGATCTCCCACACATTCTTCTCAATGCACATGCAATTGAAGTAGTCAGGAGTAAGTGGAGTGACCGGGGAGACGATCAATACTGGACCTGGATAGAGTGGAGCAGGAGAGAAAGCCTATCAGTTTCCACGGTTGAGATCGTCAAAAAGGAAACGTAATTAGTAATTTTGATATTCCCACAGTTCGTACCAGTGCCAGTGCTCCCTTGGAACTATGCCAGTTATACTTCGCTTATGCTGGAGTATTTATTCAACCTCACTGCTCATACTTAACTTCCATCTTCCCATGCACCGGTTACCCCCTTTTGAACATCCCGCATCCCAGCGTCACGGACAAGGTTATCCAACCCGCCTTTCCCCGTCGACGTACAGACATACATTATGCTACATAAGATGGCCTTGTGTGCACAAATGTTCGCCGAGGAGAGGCGGTGGAGGAAACAGGTAGTGGAGTCCACATAGACCGAACTCGACCCCGATATCTTTGCAAACAAAACGAACAAAAAAAGCAATTATACTAGTTGAATTCACGACTCAGACAGAATAGGATCTGTCCGACCGGAGCCCTACCACACAAGACAGAGAGATATGGACTCTTCCGTTGAGATCGGGCACCCAGCCTGACTGCCCCAGGGCTGAGCCCATTGATCAGCCCGTGCCCGAGTCTAGACGCTTCTATTCCACCACTTCGAATCTGGACTCCAAGAGACTCTACATGTATACATACCCAAAGTATGTACCAGATCTACTCCGTAGGTAAGTGGAATATGCGAGAACCCGCAAACTACGTGGCCTTGGGCTACAACAAGATCTATCCATTATTGCGCTTCTTCCTAAGCGAGTCCTAGACTTCAGCATGGGCTGCATGCCCGGTAAGGCCGGTTTCCGCCCCGTGCTAGTGGCGCGAGGGCTTAGCGGGCAGGTGCGGCTCCGCTGATATATCAGACTTTATTTCCAACCCCGGAAAGCCTTAAATGCAGTACTCGGCCGGACTATGTGATGGGGGTGGTATATATAGAGATCCCAAAGATTACACTGTACACCCCCATTTTAGGATGCTGCTGTAAAAGCCAAGGGTCATATTGTGTAAGTAGGCCCTATGATTCTGGAAGGAATGCACAAAACCGCCCTTGCGGCGCCCCCTCCATGCAACCGCGCGGCTGGATGCACCATACCAACTCGGCATCCAGATTGTGGTACAATGGTGATAGGAACCCGCTGAGGTGGTGTACACCGCGTTTCAGCTGCGTTTCCGACTCATCAGGTTGCCTGTCGTCAGGAACCCCTTGTCCCCCATGGCACCGCGCCATTCGATCGACAACTGGCCCAGCGTGGCACGACCGTCCCGCTTCAAGTCCTTCTGTAGGGTTTCAAGACCCTCATTCTGGCCTTCTTCTTGTTCTACTATGAATGCCACTTGCAGGACATCCCGGGGATTGAGAGTTGGTAACGTCGTGGTGGACATGTCTGGGTTCAGCGTGTCCCAGTTTAGCGATTTTGATTGGAACGGTGGCTTGGGATTTAGTTTCGTTTGCTATACATCCCAAGACGTTAGCCAAATGGTTATTAAACTCTTTCTCCTCCACTGCGGTTTTCAGGTACAGTCGGGCTTCGCCCCAGAGATCCCATGAACTCGCCAAGGATCGGAGGGAATTTCATACCTTGACTACTACCGCACCTTCGCCCACGTTTTCCAGCTGTGCCTCCAGGGCAAACCGGACTAGTCTCGCTTTCCCGTACGGACCGAGCGTCTTATTATCGACCTCGAGTGGCGGGAGTTCAGATGCTTTGGTCCGAACGCTTAAACAAGGCTGTGCCACGAACTGATATAACTTGCGGAAAGTCCTGACCCGGCCACTAGCTGCCTGCGAGTCTGAACCAATTTTCGTCTCTGTATAGCTGACACTGACTGCTAGTATGTGGTTTCCTTCTTCCTTCAGATCGAACCGTACGATCTTTTGTAATGACTGGCCGATCTTAAGGCCGTCGGTTGTTGCCGAGTCGCTGGGTGGCTCCAGTTCCAGTGTGGTGACTGAGGAAGGCGTCTGCATTTCGGCCACTATGCGCACTGATGTGAGGACTCTCGCATCGTCGCCATCACCGATCTCATTATTCGCGCTGAGTGTGCATCCGAAGGTTTCTCCGACGTAGACGGATCCGAAGGAGGGGGGTAGGGTAAGCTATTGTGGGTTAGTGAGCGTGTTTGGGAGGTCTCAGAGATGGGGTGAATGGCCGACTCACAAGAGGCGTTAGTATGAATTGACTATCGGAGTGGTCGGATGGATAACTTAAGGAGGCTTTCGCGGAAATTGTGGTGTTGGATGTCGGGAGGGGATGCTGATAAGCAAGCGATGGGCGCGCAAGGCTACATATTCGCATTGAGGGTCAGGAACTGGCATAAATCCGGCCAAAAGAAGAGTTGGAGAATTACCGCAGCACTAAGTGGCCCTCTGGTTAGCTAACAGCTCAGACTACAGGTCGGATTCACGGACCTTTTAGAGAGACGGCATGTGGTTCCTTCGGGGCATCAGCGCCCGACAGAGCCCGAGGACGTGACATGACGAATGTATTTGTGTGTCAGGGCGGCCAGGAAAATTGATGGCTTCAGGAATAGCTAGGCTCCTTATGGTTCAGTGTAGAGTCATCTTGAAGAGGGACAGTACCTCATGTGGATTCTCCACGGGCTGATAGCGATAGCGAAGCTTCCCCAAACAAACAATGCAAACAGGACTTTTTGAGCATGCACGTCTACTAACTTCATGCTTTACATTGGATAGTATTCTTAGGGTTTCAAGCTCGAGGGTGCTGACTGCTGATCGGCTGTGACTACATAGTTTAAGTTAATGCCTAGATCGGTAGGATACAATGACACACTGAGCCTGAGACGATGATGAACTCCTGGCTATACGAAAGGCATCTGATAATGTGCAGCGTAAAAATTCAAACCTGAAACACATGTCACCTGGTTTGATAACAATTTAATGTTGGGTAACTAGTCTGACTTCTACCGATATCCAACCTTGCAAGTAGATTCAGATGAGCAATAAAGGAAATTCATTCATCCAGCTAAGGGTATCACAACAAGACAACAAGCCCCAAACCCCCAAAACCCATAAAAGCAGCATGCTTGCCGACTCCACGACTCCAAGAAACATCCAACGCAATACATCTATCTCTTATTTATCCTTCTGAAGCGGTCGACCCTGTCGGACAGTTGCCACGCTAACACCCTCCTCGCCGGTCATCCAAGACGGCATCCGCTCGGGATCGACAATCCCCAGCTCCGCAAGTTTGCGAATTCCAGCGATGACATCGGATCCCGTAAAGGTAAGCGATATAGCAGGTAACGTCGACACAGATTCATCCTCCTCGTCGCTTTGATCTTGGCCTGAGCCCAGAGCATCGAGGAGTCTGATATCAAGACGGTCCAGCGGTGCAGGGGTGAGTGAAGACCCTAATGTCCCGAATCGGGAATCAATGGCCAAGCGGCGTTTCTTTAATTCTGGGCAGAGAGAACCGGGGTCTGGACCATGGGGTCGTTTGCTCGTTGATAAATCAGTATTTTCTTTATCGTCTGCTTGATCTGATTGACTCGTTCGGATATGCTCTTCGGCTGAGACTGTGCTGGAGGGTCGAGGATCTAGTGGACTTCCTTCAATTGCTGCGTCTGCAAATATGCTGAATGCACCATTTGATGCCGTTGAACGCCCGGGGCCCCGAAGTGCTAGGAGCGTTGGCAGATTCTTCGCTGCTAGGGATGTCGCCTGCAGGGAGAATCGTTCCTGGGGACGGGAGAGAGCCTTGGGGATGGAATCGCGCACCAGGCGCTGAAGAGTCCTGGTATCGGTAGCCGCCGAGGTTGTTGATGGGGTAGCTTTTGACCCCGTGGGTGCTGTGATAGAGGTGTAGACGTAGGGGCAACTATCTGGGAAAGCGATGTAGATGACGCGCGATGAGTCGGCGAAGATTTCGGCTGTCTGTCTGGGAGATTGATATGGCGAGTCAACGACAAAGATGCGTAGGAATGTCAATGGCAGAGTTGCCGAGCGGGCGAGGTGGTAATGCGCTTTGACGAGTGGGGAGATTTCCCGTTGGAGAGCCTGCACAAACGTTGCCGCTTGCATGCGGGGTATAGAGCTGGACCAGTCGACCGATGGTACCTCTTTGGATTTCTTATGTTTTGTATCAATTCGGCTAAGCTCGAGCGCCGTCCATCGGAGACTGGCGGGATGGTCATCCATGTAGCGCAGATCTGCCATTGCCAACTGGCGCAGTGTAATTCCATGTCGCCAATCGCCTTCTAGGATCCGTTCCAGGACTTCGCGCTTCGCGCCCTTTCTATCTTGCAAATCTTCGTAGGCCCGGCGAACTTCTTCGATTGTCTCCCCGGCGGGGTAGGGGAGGGCTTCGTCATCGACTTTGTCGTCATGTTGGTCGGATTGTAGATATGGTGGAAACGAGGTGACGTTGCGATCATCAAGCCATAGGAAAGCCAAGTCCAGTAATGCTTGTCTGGATAGTTTCCCCAGGGATTTTGCGAGGGACGGAGCCGTTGAAGGAATGCGGAGGTTATGTGGGAGACTGGCTGTTGTCGGCGCGCGGACTGTCTTGGGACGCGCCATGGCTTGTATTGACAGATTTGGGCCCAAAATGTGAAGGTTCAAGAATTTATCTTATGTTAATGTGAATAGCATGCTTCGAGCCCCATTGCTTGTGTTTATGTTACAGCTCCCCAAGTTCTTTCGCGTCCGAATTCCCAACTCGCCGTCAACAAACACGCACGTGCTGATAAGCTTGATAAGGGATTTGATGGGGGCCTAGATACCTGATTCTCAAGGCGTCCATCATGCATAACTTAGTTAACTAAAAAGCACAGCCTTGGAGGGTCGCTGTGGGGTGAACTTCAGTAAGTACGTACGCCCACCGCACATCATACGACGCAGTATGTAGGCACCAAGACACTATTTCGTTGTCTCCAAAGCAGACCGCTTAGGCAGACATCATAGCCTGCCACATGTGACATACGGTACCCTACATACAGAATGAGTATCCCGTTCCTTCGAGTAGATCCCTTTTCACCCAGATCGTGTTTGAAATCAGGGACGGTGCTTGGATCGAATCATTTCATCGATATCGGTCTATCAGATCATAACTTCGTGAATCACTGCATCGTAGACATGAAGAGTGATGTTCAATCATGCCGAGGCTTTAGGCCTGGACCCACCCATGGATATGCTGACAAACATGTGGACCTCGATCAAGTCCCAAATCCCTAATCGCGTTACAGGACCACGGGTCCAAAGGAAGATGCGATTGGTCGTGGTTGACTTGCTTCTAAGCGAATCTCGCGAACTTTTGGTCTGAACGATTACGATCTCAGGAATGACCACCAATCTTTCCTCCCGTGAGCCTAACCTATAGTACCCCCTCCTACATCATGGGGGCGAACGAGCCACGCAAACGCGTCGCCGTAATTGGCACGGGGATGGCAGGGCTTGTCACCGCATATATACTCAGGAGCGATGCCCAGGGAAGATACGACGTGGAAGTATTTGAGAAGGTATGAAACCAGAGAGAAATTCCAATTCGCGACGCCGCAATACACGATCTATAGCTCACACAAACTTAAAAATCACACAGCAAGACAAACTCTCCCTCGACTCCGCATCCTACAATCTCTCAGCGCAAGATAGCGCAGGCAAACAAGCAGAACGCCTCGATCTCCCCATGCGCACATTCGCCGCAGGATATTACGAGGGCCTGAAACGAATGTACGATTATCTCGGCATCCCATATGGCTCGCTACGGTTTATATACTCTCTCTCAAATATGCCGGCCACCGCAACCCAACAAGCCTCCCCGTACTACATGCATGCCTCAAATAACCACCAAATACCGCCCTTGCGTCCGGACGGCCTATCATGGGCTGGGTGGCTGATCGAGGTGTGTTACCTGGCAATCTGCTATTATTGGTTCAAAGCCTGCTGTTTCTTCGTCCCGCCCAAGACGGTGGAGTCGTGTGGCGCAGAGGAAACTCTCCGCCAGTATGTGGAGAGGATCATGCTACCAAGTTACTACGTCAAGCACTATTTCCTTCCGGTCTTCGCGAGCGTTGCGACTTGTTCACACGACGCGTTGATGGATTTCCCCGCTCTTGATCTGGTGGACTATGGGAGGCGGACTTTCCGCAAGAATCATTACACTGTTCTCGGTGGTGTCCAGCACGTTGAGAAGAAGCTGTCGGAGAATTTAACGTGTAGACTCGGCACGGAAGTCACAGCTGTCGAAAATATCGGGACGAAGGTTCAGATCAGCTGGACAGATACGCGGGATGGCAAACGCAGCGAGCGACTATTCGACCACGTTGTTCTGGCCGTAACACCCGACGTGGTCGGCTCAATCTTCCAGCCTCTCCGCAGCGCAATGGCAGCTGTGCCCACAACGACTGTGGAATCGGTTGTGCACCGCGACTTTTCCAAGATCCTGGATTCCAGCAGATCTCTCTGGAAGCAGGTGAATTTGAAGCCAGGCGATTCAGCGCCCCACCCACTCCACATGTGCTCTAATGCCACGGCAACGGAGACGATTCACGAGCATCCGTCATCTGCTCTGATTACGACTTATCCTATTACTCCCATTGACGCCGAGAAGGTCTTGTACACTGCTACATTTACCCGTGTGTTGCGGTCTTCCACCAGCAGACAAATTGTCAACCAAATCTTCAGCCAGCACAGGTCTGGAGAGGAGAAGAGTCAGCTCTGGCGGAATGGCGATGGCAATGTCTGGCTGGTCGGTGGTTGGTGCTGGGATGGGATGGTGTTGCTTGAGGGATGTCTTGCCTCTGCGACGAGGGTGGCAAATGCCCTTGATGTTGAGGTGCCCTGGATGAAGGGTTCCTTTTTATAATGACCTGTCAAGAACATAACGAGGCTTGGATGTTGATATGCAGATTGCTCGGCAGACTTTTGTTCGTTGCCTTTCTGAATTTCTTGATGAGATTCGGTGCGGTCATGTCTTCTTCAGACCAATGGAGCAACGAACAGAAGTCTGCCGGGTACATATAATTGTTGATATACGCGTTGGACATAACATATACCATTTGAATAAACACTTCTTGATCATTTGATTTCGGCAATGCGGGAACCCATTGCTACCTATGCGCAGTCTCCATGTCATCCACAGGTCATCTGGCTAGCTTCTTCGGCCCTTCTGTGCGTTTAACAGACTGGCGTCCAGCCTCAAACCTTATACTATGCAACCAAGCTCGGCCACAATAAGACTATATGGCAATGGGCACTATTTCACTAGTCCATAGCCCGATGCTTATAGAAAAGGTAGGTAGAGGTCCACTAGAATGCAAAAAGTTCATTGAAATATGCAACATAACACGCTAAATGACCACTTCTAGCAATCAAGCTTCCCTAGTGGGAACGTAATAACTATATACAGGATCCATTAATGCGATGGCGGGCCAACAGTCTCCTCCGCTTGCGCATCCAAATCATCAGTCCCATGTCCTTCCTGAACAGCCTCATAGAACGGAGCATACTTGCTCTTCATTCTCAATTTCTTACCAAAGAAATAGAATCCAATGGGAATCGGAACAAGGATAGCTGCAACGCATCCGAGAAGCGTGGACGCCCATTGGATACCCATACCTTGGAACATCTGTCGCGAGAAAAGCGGGAAGCTGGCTGCTAACATTGACCGGCAGAATGTGTTTGCTGCTATGGCGGATGCGGCGCTGGAGATGATATGTTAGATGACGGACCGAAAATCGAAGTATAGAAAATATGACTTACAACACGAGGTATGTGTCAATCAGATAGTTGAACAGTTGGATGAAGATGACGAGAAGTCCAAAGCCGGTGAAGAGACCGCTCAGGGTGGGAACGATCCAGTGGATAGTACCGTTGAAACCGGTCCATCCGAACCAGAAGAGCCCGGCAGCGAAGAGACCACCACCGAAGATTACGGGCGGAAGACGCCACTCCGGGACAGGGACACCGCCGTTCTTGCTGAGCTTTTGATTGTACCACCTGCTTGATATGATGATATAAGCCGCGGCGATGAATAGACCTGCCACCATGCCGAAGAGAGGAAGACCTCCAACTCCGGCGTTCATGCCATATTCCCCTTGGAAGACGAGCGTATAGGCTGTCAAGAAGCAGTAAAGCAAGCCGTAGATGAAGCTCAGATAGATAGTGACAGCAAGAATCAAGGGCTCGTTAATCAGCAGCCGAAGTGGGCGGGAGAAGTTATTTACAATCAGCTCTCGAAGATCAACCTCGATTTCTTCCTGCTTGGCGTGGATTCCCCAGTTCTTAGTCCGGCGACGCAGCTCCGCGGCTTTGTCAACAAGGACAACAGGCGGATATGACTCCCTCAGGAAGAAAAGGTTCAGGACGAAAGCGCCGAATCCCATGAACGCGGGGATGTATGCAGTCCACCGCCAGCCGAGATGGGACATGTTAATGAAGCCTCCAATGAAAGGTGCCAAGAGAGGGCCTAGGAACACTGTGGACGAGAAGCAGGCGATGGCGGGTCCACGGCTGCGGTTGTCCCATATATCAGAGAACACTGCAGCCACAACCGCCAGGGGACAACTGCCGAAGATACCACAGAAGAATCGACAGATTAAGAGAGTTTGTAGGTCTTTTGCGACTGCAACTGCGATGTTGAAGATGCCGAATCCAAACATAGCGATGATAATGGGGAAGCGACGGCCCCGGAGCTCGGATAGCGGAGCCCAAATTAACGGACCTGAGGCATAACCGACGATATATAGCGAGCTGGAGAGAATAGCAACTTCGAGACCAACGTGAAAGTGGCTCGCGACATTACGGGAGGAAGAACTGAAGACGGCGGAGTCGAAGGTCGAGCAGATACTGGTGAAGGCGAGGATGGCACTGATGTAGCATCTAGGTTGGTAAATATTAGCATTGGAAGATACAGTCGGCAAATGCGCAGCGCAACATAACTCCTACAACCACAGTTGTTGTACTTACTTCTTTTTCACAGGCCAATTGAGCGGGTATAACGGGTCGTCCGGCCCATCGAACTCCACAACGTAATCTTCGCGCGCAGGGAGAAGTGGGGGATACTCCTTCCCCCCACCAAAAGGGGGCAAAGGCGTCCGCGACGGTCGCGACTTAAGGCTCTCTCCGACAGTGAGCGCATGTTGAGCGCGTTGCGTCTCAGTCCTGCTCAATGCGCGCGAAGCCGCCGTCCGCTGACGTTCCAAGTCGAGCTCCGTATTCCGTGATTGCAGCCTGTGCACCTGCGGGTCATATTCAAACGAGCTACTTGAGCTCAACGACGACGCACTCGAACTTGAAGACCTCGGTCTGTCTGCATCAATGGATCGCCGTGGCTTTTCACTCGATATGCGTGGATCGGCCTCAGGCATTCGGTCAGACATATTGCCCGCGGAGACCGCTTTACTGATGCGGATGTTGGAATCTGGACGATCTCGCTGCTCTTCTTGGCTGTAGTGTATGTCGCCCTGCTGTCAGAGTAAAGAATCGAGTGCCTGATGGGAAAAGAAAGGCTTTGTCAAGTGCGGATTACTTGATATAAAAAGATTTTTTTCATTAGAAAAATAGGAGAGCCCGAGCCCCGAAGTACTAACTATGACCGTCTAGACCCACCGGATAGGTAGCACCGAGCGGCTTCAGCGTAGGAGAACTGCCGAACAACCGGCCGGTTTAGGGCGACGAAGTTGGGATTTGGATTTCATGAGTAGTTCTTGAGATAGACTTATGAATCCAAGTCAAGTAACAAACTAGTAATCAACAATTTCCATCTTTACTGGAGATGTTTGAATTGGATTGTTCTTTTTCTGGAGGTCAGGTGTGAATGTCTCGGCTTGCCGCTGCCGAGATGGTTGACTAATGACGTCATCATTATTCAGCGCATGCACGATGGATCCAATGATTCCAATCTCGTGGCTCGAACCTAGGTAGTGAGGCACAGTACATGTGGGAAGCTGATTAGATTAGATTGAATATATGGCCTATATTATATCGTTATATACATGATCATACTCATACGGGCCTACAGTGTACACTAAGCAGAGACTCAGACTATCTTGGCACAGCATCAACATCTTGATACATGATATCACGGTTGCTTGATGTGGGGATTGGGCATCCAACTACTAGTATGGTGGTCAAAGCCCAAGGCCACACTCCTATGGGCAAGGTGAAACATGAATGGACACATCGAGAAATTTCTTCAACGAACTACCTAAAATGACCAGTCACCACTCTCAATGAGTTGGAGGATCTACACAGTATGCTATCAGTATCATCTTTCCTTTCTGCTCTTGTACTGGTCCAAGATCTACCAGGGAACTTGTATCATTCCATCCAAGGTCAATCTATAACTAGCATTTACGACGAGGTACCATTGACATGATACTCGCAGCTGCAGCCCCAAGGGTTGTACTGTGTAAATAACAAAAAGACCCTGTCCCCCCGAATGGAAGAGGCTCAATCATTTACCCACCCTAAAGTTCGCCCATTACCAAATACCACATCAAGAAGACCTCAGATAGCCATCTGAACACACACAGAATTTAGAAACCTCACTCACCCCCTCTTCGCAACAACGACAACCCCTTTAACAACCCTCCCTTTAGCCCACCACGAAAACGCAACCCTGGCAACCGAATACTTCCCCATCCCAATACCAAAAGGCCTCGCCTCCCCAGTCCTCCTCTCAATAAACCCCGCCAACCCCCCAAAAACATGTTTCGAGATATCCCTAATCTCAATCTGCGTAGCGTCGTAGCCCGCCTCAACAAGCAGATCCACGTATTCCTTTTCTGAAATGAAATTGCCGAAAGGCGCGTTCGTGCCCCAGCATACAAGTCGCAAGAGAATCTTATCGTACCAGGTTATACTGCTGCAGAGTATCAAGTCGAATGCCATGAATGAGGCGTTGAGGGTATTGCACGCGTAGCGCAGGATGGGGAGACGGGAGGGACGGAAGTGGTAGAGTGTGTCTAGGGCCAGGAGCCATGTTGATGCGTTGGTTCCTCCGGTTTGGGCTGCAAGGGTCGCGGTTGATTTCTCCAACTCGCCGGCCCAGGAAGTGGGAGCTGCGGCGTCCGCGCAAAATATTTTTGCGGGAATTGAGGACTCGTTTTCGCGGTTGAGACGCGCTGCGCCGAGCGAGGCCTGTGCTGGCTCGATTGTGATGCCGATGTAGGATTCTAGACGGGGTAATGCAGCGGATTGCATGCTCTTGCCATGACGAGACCGTAGGCTTGACTCTGTTGATTTGATATCGGGGTATGATTTCATTGAGGCCGTTATCCCAGATTCAGCCCTGGGATGGGACTGGGTGGAAGAGCCTTTCAACAGACTAGTCAGGTACAGTGATTGATCACCGCATCCACACCCGATATCCAAGATTCTCACGGCGGATTTGCGCTCCGTTGATAGCGCCGCTGTGAGTACTTGGTCCAGAAGCGCTTGGCAGGCTTCTGGAAAGTCATTTGTGTGCTGGGAAACTGGTTAGCGTTGTCTAGAATAGGCATTGTATGTGGTGTGCTCGTTGGAGCTGAGGTCTGAGCTCATTTACCTCCCAGTACCCCATGTTCATCCACATAGTCTGTGGTGGGAGCTGAATGTTGAGAACGGCATGGTCTAGGCCGTATACATTTGCGCGTGGTTTGCGCAGGGCACGCTTGAGGAATTGTAGCATTTCTCGATGACCTCTCCGGGTGTTACGTGGGAGCTCCCTTTCTTGAGTGGTTGCGAAGCTGATAGACGGTGGTCAATGCCAAGCCTTTTGCTCGGGTGGATGATCGATCTGTTATCAATGCCAATTGCCAAGGTGCGTTCTAGACGCACTGATCTTGTTCCATACAGATAACTATAGATTAGATCGAAGCATTGACCAGGTTTGATCATTACGATGATATGCTACGCAAGTCTAAAGGCACTGAAACAGATCAAAACGTAGTGACGTCTGAAATTATTATAAACTGCGTGAAGAAATTCATCACTCATCCACCCACCCCCCTCGACTTTCAAATACAAGATCTGAAGTGGCTCTGGCTGCTAAAAATAGAGGACAAGATCGCTGAAAACAAACACTATCAACAAGAAAGGCAAAGACGGTGAAGCCGGGCTAACGTAAAAGCCCAGGACAGTCACCATCTAGAGCAGCAGAGTAGAGCGGCAGGGCAATCATCAAAGACTGGGGTTTTGTTTTTTTTGGGGATTTTTGCCGATAAATTTTTTCTTATTTTAGCATCGAAGACAATGCTTTAAGCAGCAGTCCCCACACCGTGCTTCAGGTCAAGAGTACTTGAACCATCGGGCTTCTGTGAGGCCAGGAACTTCTTGAACATATCGGAGATGTCTTGCTCGGACTGCTCATCCGCACCGTTCTTCTCCATGATTAGACCACGGAGCCAGTGGTTCTCCAGCTCGAGTTGAGACACGCGGGCCTCGAGGATCTCGTTCTTTTCGGTGGTCTCCTTGACGGTCTGCTCCAGGGCAGCCTCACGTTGCTTCTTCTTCACACGGAAGCGAGCACTGGCGGCAGTGTTACGGCGGCGCTTGTCCTCCTCAGCCATCTGGCGGCTAGCCTCCTCGGCGTTCTCCTGGATCGACTTTGCGGAGCTCTTGCGCTTGGTGCCGGTGACCGGGGCGGGAGGCGACATAGAAGTGGTGGGAGGGGCCGGAGCCACCTTAGGGGTAGCGCTGAATGGCGCAGTCTGAATGGGAGCCTGGTTCGACGTCACATGCCCGCTGGGAAGAGACGGAGCAGCCGGGAAGTGCGCATTGTGCATAGGCACCTGGGCATTGGCCCCGCTCAAGTCGTGATCGTAGTTGGGCAAGGCACTGAGACCCTCGGCTGTAAGCTATTAGCATTCATTCAATTTCCAAGTAGTATCCACGTCGCGGTGTTCAGTGGCCGGTGCCCCGAAGAATGATTGAGGGTCCGGGAAGAGGTGTTTCCAATCACGTGAAATGGCGTAATAGCGGGGGGTATTCACGCCAACGCCAAGTCAAGTTTGATTGAAAACCCCCCTGTTTAAAAACATGGGAAGGATGCGCAAGGAGGACTCGAGATCCGACATCGACGGATCAAGCTGTGGAAGGAGGGGAGGGGAGTGGGCAGGGAAGAGGAGGGTATGAAGCGCACGAAGCGCCTAAAAAGCCATCCCGAGCCAAGAGTTGGCTCGAGCATTGAAGCTTAATGAACAAAAATGACGAATTCATGAGGCAGCCAATGACACAGCATGTAAGATGTAGACATTGGGCCCATGCACACGATTTTGATGTAGCCCACGGGGAATGGTGTGATCAGGGGAAAGATATGCAGGCCGAACTCTCAACTGGCCAACCAGCGACATGAGATACAGGAACAGATTATGAACCACACTCACTATTTAGGAAATCCAAGAACTTCAAATCCGCGTTTTGCGTGGCTTGGTCGACCACATCGTGTGTCTTGTCATCGTCAGAGGGGAATGGAGGCAAGCCGAAATCGGTGAACTTGTCGAACTCGAAGAACTCTGTGTTGGTGAACAAAGCTAGATCCTCATCGTTGAAAGTAGCCTGCTGCTGCTGTTGCTGCTGCAGGGCCTGGTCGTACGGCGAAGGGATCGCATTCAAATCATCGAGGTATTGCGAGAAGTTGGGCATGCGACGCCCGTTGTAGCCGGCCATGACGATGGTTTCTGGTCGCGGTGCGAATCAATCAAGGCTTAGAAGCCCGGGTCCTGTTTGTCGATGCCGATGGCTAACGTGGAATTGCGCGTTGCGCGAACGGAGAGAGGCGTGACTCAAATGCCGAATGCGGCTCGGTGCGGGATCGTGGAAGGTGCGATGAAAGTCGACGCACTGGTGACAATTCTTTCCGCGATTCGATGGAATGGCGAATGTGAAGATGTTGGAACGTGGGTAGATTACGGAGAGAAGGAAGTAGAAGTTGGGGACCCCCAAGTGGATTTTTTCTGTGAGCGTTCGGTGGGGTTGCAAGAGGGAAGCCCGGGGGCCGGAGGGGTGATGATTAATCCCCCGATTTGCCTAATTTGCCTCCCGGTCCGAACAATGGCCTTGCTTTGTCTTCTGTAGGTCTTGGATTTATTGGAATGGATAGAAAATATCTCACTATTTTGAACCTATTCTACATCGTTACTTCTCACACTCCTTCACACTCTCTGGTTTCCGTGAAGGAAATATCTTTGTACAGACTACAGAGTCCATCGTGAGGCGATCCGTTGCCGAAGATCGGAGCCCACCGAGTTTAAATTTCAGGGTTCCACGTTGCCCTTTCCAGGACATTCCCACGTTGATCAATGTGCATGAAAATGACAGAAATACTGCAAGACTTACGCACTGTTCTATATTCCTCATTCCATGTCAATCTTGCTGTCGATTGTTCAAAAAGTACCTAATTCTTCGAATAAACCAGCGACAAACGCGGCTCCCACCTACTCCGTACAGTAGTCCAAATGCCGAGACGGCGGGCCCCGAATGGATGTGACACCGTGATTGGTCGACCTGAGTTGGTTGGTCAGCCTGGGTTTGTCAGCCTCGGACAAGGAACATGATGTCCGAGTGAAGTCATTCCTAATCATTCCGAGGTCGGCCATCAAGCTGAATATGTGCCCTGTATTGATTATGCTGTTGAACATCTGTTTAAGGACATGGGGGGGATTTGATCACTTTGCATTGGTGTCGTACAGACGGTCTACAACGTATAACTACGGAGTAAGTGGACTTACTTTTTCAATAAGGCCCCATGCTGATCACAAAGCACGGGCTTCGATAACCTTCTACCACAGTAACAGATGCAACAGATGCCGGACATTTAGTTAACCACTTGTGGCTTGAATTAGTCCCCTTTCCTTCGGGATAATACACCCGGAATGTCAGCCAATATTTCAGTACAACCGAGGCATTAAGGCTGGACTCAATCGATTTGTACATCGAATTGGTAATTGAAATAGACAATCCGAATCCCCGATCTCACGGCATCACACCCCTATGTGTCAAGAACATCCTGTGTCAGAGCCTCAGAGGTGGATGCAATGAATGACAGTTAGCATGGAAAATCATGTCCTAGTGTACCCACAGTAACTTGTTTACTCCATGCCGTTGATTCCACGTTCAGAACCAGCACACATCATGGCCTACTAGATTGGCTAATCAGGACATTCAATCCATGTTCCACTAACTATTCAGGACTGACCTTTGAAGCTACTATAATGGACCTCGCTTGACTTCTTTCCATTGCGTGCTGGTTCTCCGAACAGTGATCTCTTAGCCGCATTCTCCGCTCACGGGTTCCCATGCTCTGAACATTGACAGAACATCAGCTCTAGGGAGCTAATATGCCGGTTGAAGACACCTACACAGTTACCGGAGAACAAGATGGACGCTTTCCTGCATGCCCACCTTGTCTTCCAGCCACTTATATCTTCTATCAGAAGCATGAAGTCTATTCTGGAACACCCAAGGCCTATAGACAAAGAACTGTCCGCGTATGCGAAATTCTTTTGAGTAGGACTCAATAAGCATGGTTACTGCGTGTTGTCTAGAAAGCCTCGAAGATCGTCAGGTGCGTCCACGGGTATTTTTGGCTCATACTGTGACGCATGGCAAGGTTTGGAGGTGTTCTTAGGAACTTGCTGGAATAAGTCTTGTGACTTGAGGGGAACGAGTGCTTCTCAGACAGGAGCAGGACTGGGATAAATGGTTCTCTCACAGCTGTTCTTCTTCTTCTTCTTCTTCTTCTTCTTCTTCCTTTGTGCACAGAAATATCAGATATCATCTTTGTTTTCCTTCTGGCCGTCACACATCCTTCCCAATCACGCGAATACAGGACAACCGCTTGTAGGTATAAAATGAACTGGGAACCATTGCTCTCATCTTCCGGGGCTGCGCCTTGCGTATCGGAATTCCACAGCCTCATTTCGCCGAAGCCGTCGACAGATGGTAGCACGTCCTTGGTTTTCGTTTTCCAGCGGGATTCCTCTGGGTTGTTTCGTTTTTTCTAGTCAATTTTTCCTGGCACCCCCAGTGGGGCCTGGTCGAGTCGAGCCGAGCACCTTTGCTTCTCCTCGTCATCCTTTCGTCGCCTTTCGAAAGAGGGGTCCCTCTTTTCATCACTTTTGCGTTTTTTTACCTCCATTACCGTCTCACGATTCCCTTTTCCTGCGGACTGGCCGATCGATAGGTCTTCCATTCATCGTGCCGTCGCTGAGTTTATCCGCCGTACTGATAGGCTCGGGTTTGTTGATCCCCCGCTTGTGGGCCCTCAGCCGTTACGGCCCCTTGGACGCCGAGCTCCTAGCTGAACTGGGATTTCGGCCAGGCGAAGGACACAGCCAAGCAAGAGGGCGACTGGAACCAGATCCTCAATTTCTGGGGGGATATGGGTTGCGATCCGGCCTATGACAATGTCAAGCCTGGGCTAGAGACCTTTGGAAACCTTCCACCGCGCATGCGAGCACTGCAGCGGCGCCATAAGGCGAAGTACCCGAAGCGACAAACGTTCATCTCCGGTATGGATGATTCCGACGATGACACCGAAGAAGCCGACCTCGAGGACGATGATATACCGGAAGACGCGGTACCCGAGATAGTCCTCTTAGAGGTCATTAGTCTAACTATTCGTATAAATACACTTTTGCCCAATATTTGTGATTATTCATTCCGACTTGGAGAAACCATTCACGTGGTCTTTTTATACGTTACCGACACCTCAGTGATCATGTTAATATTGTCCTCCTTTTGAGTCTCAAGCTCTAGAATCGACGTTTGACTCTCCGAGTCACGGATATTTGTATGCACAATGTCGGTTTGTGTTGCGCCCAAGGTGTTGTCGAATACCCTCCCACGAAGAGGCAAGATCGGATACGAAATCATGTTGTAGTTCTCCGAATCTGTGCTAGGGAATACCTTCACGAGAAGAGGCTTCAGAGCAGGAATAGATGCAGCGGTGATGGCGAGGCCATCTTCCACGGCTGCCCAAATGAGTAGCGGAGCGAGTTCCCCTAAGCAGTAAAGACAGATTAGCTTGTGGTCGAATCAAATGAATAGGGATAGGGCATTCATGTAAACGTACAGGTAAAGTCGGATTTTGCTGAAAGGGCCTTGAGGTAGATCGTCTTGACTATGGAAGCTGCCCCAGCGCTGTGAGGAGATAAGTCAATGAGAGGTTGCCCTTGATAGTTGAAACGCTGGAAGGGTTCCATCTGCGACTCACAAGATTCCAAGGCTCATTGCAAATGCCACACCAAACTTTTCTTTCTTCTTCATTTGCAGGTTCCAGACAATCGTCCACGGCAGCAATGCTAGGATGAAGTCTTGTAATCCGGAATAAGCTGCGTGAGGAGAGTTAGTTGATCCACAGATATCTCGAGAGGACCGTCAAGCATCCATACCCCCAACGAATAAAGAGAAATTGGTAAAGACGTCTGGAGCCCAACACTCTGATGGAATCGCCGGATTCCACAAGTGCCGAGGGTCTTTGCATTGCACGAAGACGAACAGCGCAGCCAGGATATTGACGATGTTCATTGTAATGATCACAACCCAAAGCACAATCTTCATCCATTTCTCAACCACAATCCGAAGCAACGTGACCGCAAAGGACGTTTTCCCAAGGGTGCACGCCATGATTGCGAGGCTTTCACCGATGTTGCACAAAAGTCCGACTTCCATCACATTGTTCGGATTTCGCGCAACAACTGCGAGATGTTGACCAAGTCCTGCATTAGCGGCGACATGAGAGACAGCAGCGTAGGCAATCAGACAACACTGTCAGGGATAGAAGTCAGCCAGGAGGTCCATGTTGCCCAGGTACAAAGCCAATGAAGCGTCTTACGATGGCGGTTACGGCAATGCCATCATCCCAGCCGAACACCTTTCGCAAGTGTACTCGCACATACAAGCGCATCAAAACGAATATCAATGCGGAGATTGACATCGTCCACATCACAGCTTGCACTGTGGAGGCTCGACTCTCGAGCGAGAGAGAGGTATCCGCAGTAGCAGCCATGTTGAGCGTTGAGGCTATGCGGAATCACAGTGGGATGCGTGTGAATCCGAGTATCGAATTATCCCAGCCCATGTGGACTGAGGACTGGGAGTAAATAAGGCTCGTCCGCATGATTCTGTCAAATGCCAAGATTGGACTGGCCATCTAACGAATATGACAGGGGAGTTGGTGGCGTTGTGAGGTCAGATATTATTTCCAATATTATTGCCATGATGCACGGAACCCCTAATTGACACCTCGATATACGAAGAAACATGAGCGATCGTTTAAGCGTCCCAATCGACACAAGCTTCACTTTTCGCACGGGCTAGCCCTGGGGCAAAGCGGGGCTATATCGTGAAGAATAGGTAATTAACAGGTGGTTGTAGGCGCAAGACTACCCGAACGGCTGGTAAGCGGAGTCCAGACCCGATATGATATATCACCGGCCATACGCATCAGGATGCTTCTTCAGACGCTAGGGTTACGCCGCTGTCAGTGTGCCGCTGTCAGTCCGCGGTTTGCGGGTCCAACCGCCAACGGAGTTGAGTGGCTTTAGTCTCATCGGAAAGCGATTCAGATTCGTCGAACAATACGATAGACTCCACATCCCGGCTTCCCCGTGTGTGGAGGTAGAGCGCTAGACAACACTTGGAATAGCGTCTCCAGAAAATGGCACCCAAGACTGCCAGCACTTATGCACTGTTAGAATGGCCTTCGCGCCAGTGAGACTCTGCCCTTTGGCAAAACCCCTGCCCAGATTTTGTGGTAAAAAGTTTAAGCTCATCCATCTTCCCCTTATAATCCAGCGTATCCCAGAGTTTGGAGAGCTTGAGGAACTGTGAGGTAGCAATAGTCAAAACTGCACTGGTCCACACTGTCTCATCTATCTGCGGTCCCATTGTGTTTCAAAAGCGGAATCAATTCGAAACCCGTTTACCGCACGTACTTTTGGGTGCGCACAGGATGCACCCTGTCACAATGTTGAACCCGGTCGCTTTTCCTTCAGGCGTGTGGGCCCAGACCCTGGCCACTATTGGTCTATTGTTAATGACAAAGGTGATTTGGGATGTTTTCTTTTCACGGCTGAGAAACATCCCTGGTCCGAAGCTGGCCAAGATAACTGATCTCTGGCGCGCTGCACATGCACACGGTGGACGTATCGATCTCAAGAATGTTCAACTGCACCGGACTTATGGCACAGCAGTACAAATCGGGCCCAACTGCGTGAGCATATCAGACCCAAGTCTGATTCGGACGATCTACTCCACCCGCAATCCATGGAAAAAGGTTGGGATACATCGTCCCAGAGTGAATGACGTCCGAAAGAAGATCTGCTGACCTGTGGCAACAATGCAAAGAGTGACATGTACCGTCCCAACGATGTATTACTCAATGGCCACCGACTTTCAAACCTCTTCAACACCCAGGATGAAGAATGGCACAACCAAAACATCCGGCCTATTCGGAGTCTTTGGACTATGACCAAGGTTCTGGAATACGAACCTCTCATTGATGAAACGATTACCAAATTTGTGGACAAGCTGGCGTTGAGATTCGTCGATGGCGATAATGCTGGAAAAGTTTGCCCAGCGGATGAATGGATTGGTTTCTGTGAGCATATTCAGCAATATACTGGGAAAACTGAAACTAAAAATCTGTAGTCGCTTGGGACGTCACTGCCAATTTTAGCTTTGGTCGACACTATGGGTTCCTTGACCAGGAAAAGGACGTCGACAATCTGATCACAGACTCCACTGCTGGCCTGAGATACTTCGCACCAGTAAGTACCCTGGTGATCTCAGAGGGAACCAGCCATGTGACTGATACAGCCCACTAGGTCTCACAAATCCCATGGATTGACAATCTTCTTGACAAGAACCCGGTCAAGCGTATTGGCCCCAAGCCTACCTTGACCGGCGTGTTGTATGCCTTCAAGGTTGTTGCAGAGTACCAGGCACAACTCGCTGAGAAACAAATCAGCGCTGGCACTGTCGACCACACGCTTGACAAATACGTGCAACTGAAGAAGACGCACCCCGACATGGTCGATGATAACCAGATCGTAAACTGGCTGATGCTGAGCATCCTCGCTGGAGGGGACACAAGCTCCGCCACCATGCGTGCTGCCGTTTATTATCTAGCCAAGTCGCCCAATGCGACGGCCAAACTTGCCAATGAATTGAAAACTGCCGGTGTCGTTGCTCCTGCTCCTTGGAAGGAGATCCGGGACTTGCTATATCTGGACGCTGTCATTCGGGAATCTGTGCGTGTCAGTCCCGGTATCGCTATGGTTTTTGAGCGTGTTGTCCCAGAGGGCGGGCTTACGCTTCCGGATGGTCGATACATTCCTGCCGGGACCAAGGTCGGTATCAACCCATTCGTCACGAACCGTGATTACGGAGTCTTCGGAGACGATGCGGATGACTTCAATCCGGACCGTTGGCTTCAGGGCAAGGATGAAAGTTCAGAACACTTCGAGGCACGTGAACGGCGCATGAAGGATACTGTGGACCTTTCTTTCGGTGGTGGAGGTCGAGTCTGCATGGGCCGGTATCTCGCTATGTTAGAGATCAAAAAGCTGATCGCGTCGCTGTATAGCTCGTTCGATGTGAGTGATGAACAGTATTCCCTGGTCCCTTCTCGGTGCTGACGTGTCGTAGATTCAACTGGTGAATCCCAAGCACGAGTGGAAGTGCCAAACTTCCTGGTTCGTGTATCAGTACGATATGCCTATGGTCATTCGGCGCCGGTGAAATGGCCTCCCCGGGCCATTTGGTGCAATACCGCAAACCGGACATGAAAGAGGTCTAAAGAAGACATGAAAGCTCTGAAGATGCATGGAATATGAATTGAGAAGTAAGAATGAATTCGCCCATACCGCATTGGGTATCAAAGTCCCAGCCTAGAAAAACGCCGTCAAACAGATATAAATACCCAGGCCCTCGATCCATGCATCAAGTCATTATCTTGTAAAGGATCGTTGTTACTTCGCTCAAACTTCCGAACCGTCCAGGCGTAACATCATGAAGCCCAAACCTCACCATTCGTTTTGTGGCTGGTAGAGGCGTGCGAGCTGTGCCATCAAATCATTTCTTGATAGAGTCATTTGTATCTCTCGTCGCTGTTCCATCATCGTTATTCTGTACTGACTTTTCAACTTCATCTTCCTCTCCTGTAATTTCTCCCCAGCCCGAGCTTCTGCGACTCATACGACCGGTTAGAGCCAACGGAATTGTGACACCTCCAACCATGCTAGCGGACGTGCTGTCATTTCGGCTATGTGACTGAATACCGCTGCGGATGCTGGCCCCATCACCGCCGGCAGTTTGCTTCGCAGCGTACAAGCTGGTCCGCTCAGAATTGGCGCCGGCTAATGGAGTTGCTCCGGAGGCAGAGTAGACACTGATGCGCTCGGCGCTAGCGAGTCCAACAATACTCGGTCGACTCAGTACTCCCGGGGCGTTCAGCACAGAAGTATTCGATGCCTCGTTCGTGTTTCCACTCAATACACTCAGCGGCAGGCTCTCACGACTACCGCCGAAAACGGAAGATGGAGCCAATGCGCGTACGGAGGCATTGGTATCCAAGGAATTACGGCGACGACGCTTAGACGAACTTGCCAAGGTAAGAAGAGAGGCATTGTCAGTCAATGCATTGTTTGCGGTTGCAGTGCTGTACGTCATTCCATGGTTCTGGGGAGCCAAGTGTGGGGGAACTGCGCTAGCGGGGGCGGCTGAGGAGGTCGATGGGAACTGATGAGAAAACTGAACCTGCTGGTTCGAGGCGCCCTGTGTTGAGCTGCCATGGTGATGTCCATGATGGCTGTTTTGCGTGTTGTACAACTGGGTCGAGGGTGCCGCAGAGTGCACAGTGGTGAGAGTGGTGGCTAACGATCGGACCGAAGGTGCGGGTGATGAGAAGGTGCTACCCTCTCCTCCTCCATGGGTACTTAGGCCTTCAGTGCCAGTTGCCAATGTACCTGCCTTGGAATACGCGGCGTCGGAGAATGCTGCGTCGCCGGTGGTGGATATGGTCGGCGCGGTGGATTTTGCACCTGTTTGAGGAGCCGGGTTATCGTAGCCCGAATAAAAAGATGGGTCGCTCCTGGAGCGAGACTCTGAGCCATAACGCTCATCGGTGTATGAATCGGTTGATGTCTGAGTCCCTGTGACACGGTCGACGGTTCCAGAGAGTGGATAGGGGTTGTTGGCTTGCTCGCCCTTTTTGCCCTTAGTACCCGCATGGCGCTTGTTGTGCCATCGATTTGTGGTGGAGTCGGAAGAGCTCTTGAGGTTCGCTAGGCGTTTCATCCAACTTGAGAATGGGTGGCGACGTGCATTTCGGTCTGTTATGATGGGTCCCTTAGGGATGTTTCACGGAGGCTTTCATGAACAATCGGTACTTACCGTGCACCCTGGCAGGACCTTCGGCAGTAGCCATTCTGGCTTCGAGAGACAACTTAACAACTCTTATGCGGGATGAAAGACAGACAAAGAAACAAGGCATTGGAGATCGAAGCGCGCCGAGGCAGATGGGGCAGCTGGGGCAGCGGGGCGGGGCGACTGTTTATCCGCGGACGTCATGTGCTCTTGCCTCTTGCCCTCGATATGAAGTAGTTCGAACATCTTAACCCTCTCCATATGATGTTTGATTGATGAACTTTAGACTATCACAGTCTATCAGCGGAGCTGCTCAGCCTGCCACAGCAACAGAAATAATGATGTGTGACAATGATTGAAATGCACAGCTATAACAGAGTTCTCGACATTCTTTTCGAGGAATCTTCTCTTCACGTCGTGTGGCGCAATGCTCCGGTGAGCACCAAACGACAACATCAATGCCTCTTGCCCAGTCAAACATACGAGCCCTTCCTCCTGATGTGATTGCAAAGATCAAATCCTCCACCTCGATTGTGCATCTGACTGGTGTTGTCTTGGAGCTAGTCAAAAACTCTTTGGACGCCAATGCACATACTGTTTTTATCACTGTTGACTTCAAACGTGGTAGCTGTATAGTGGAAGACAACGGATGTGGTATTCCCTCAGTCGAGTTCGAAGCTACAGGAGGGCTCGGCAAAGCTCACCGTATGTCTCCCATTCTCAGGTATAGCCTTGTATGCTTGCTAATGCATGCAACAGATACGTCCAAACTTGAATCGAGTGGCGTATATGGACATCGAGGGTTGTTCTTGGCATCTTTGGCCTCTTTATCTCTACTCACTGTGACTTCTTGTCATATACACCATGAAACCACTAATTCACTCATATTGCATCATTCGACACCTCTGGCTCGGCTGATCCCTGCACCACCACATCAGGTCCTTCGCTTCCCCTGTCATGGCACGTCTGTCACTGTTAACGACCTTTTTGGTAATATGCCAGTTCGCGTTAAGAGTCGTGCTCTCTCTCTTCAGAGGCCAGACGAATTGGAACGAGAGTGGGACAATCTGAAAAGCTCATTGGTCTCACTCCTGTTGGCCAATTCTCAGGTCACAAAACTTGTGCTCCTCGATGCGGATAAAAGCAAGCGGATGTCCGTTCGCCTTGGATCCGCTTGTATACCGGCAGCAGGTATCTCTCATCGGCCAATGGAGTTTGATCTCGACCGCATCAAATCGATTTTCGCACAATATGGGCTGACAACGCCCCAGAATCTGGATTCGTGGCATGAAATGTCGGCATCAGTTTCTGACCTTACAGTTCGAGCAGCAATCTCACTTCAGCCCGGTCCAACTCGGAGAGCCCAGTTTATCTCGCTGGGAAACGAACCCCTGCTATCACGCAATAGCTCGAATATTCTTTACAACGAAGTGAACCGGGTGTTCGCTCTGTCAGATTTCAGCAGTGTCAGGGACATGCCCGATGGAAGCTTGCTTCCAAATCACGCGTCTCCGGTACGCCACGATACGTTAAGCAATGCGAGCACCCGCAGCTGGACCAAGCCTGTCAATAAGTGGCCCATGTTCTACATCCGCATTGATACCAAAACTGTTATTCAGCTGGACGATGATGGATCTGAGCATCTGCTAGAAACAGACAAGTCTTTCCAGCGCATTGTTGATGTACTTGTGGCAATGGTCCGTGAATTCTTGAAGCAACACAATCTGCGTCCCCGTGAGGGGAAACGACGGCCCTTATCGTTGGAACGAACCCAGAGCATCGGTTCCAAGGATTCTCGAGTAGCTGGCAGCTCTCTTGGCTCACTAAAGGAAGGCCACTCCATGTCAAGTACTGAAGAAGCCTTCAGTGGTCATCTGAAAATTCCCTCCTTCTCAAGGTCTCAACCTGGTGATTCCGGTCGAGGTTTTACCAACTGGTCCAGAGTCAAAACTGCCAAGGACCTAAATAGTCATCCTACAACCCACCGAACTTCGCGGCGTTCTCAACCTGCTTCTGATATCATTCAAAGAAGGAGCTCATTGCCTGTCCTTCCCGCACATGCGTCAGACAATCCAGGCCATGGCCGAGAGCTGACTGTTCTCTGTAACTCTCAGAACAAAGGGACAAGCGGTGAGAAGAGCATTAATACGAAAGAGCCGCCTGGGACCTCGTCGTCAGATAAGATGATTACCTGGATCGATCCACACACGAAGATGGCCTATTCGATCAATCCTCGGACGGGTCAGACGATGAACTCTCGTAAGTCATTAGGTACCCAGCAGTCTCCCGCGGATTTCGAGAACATCTCGTCAAGGCCACCGGGACAGTCTCTATGGATCGAAGGTATTTTAGGGGCGTGGGATAATCCTTCATTCAGTCGAACAGAGATGCCAATACCAAACCTGGGAGTAGAGTCTTCAGGTCAACATATTGTGAACATCTCTTCGCACGACTGTTTCAAGGGTATCGGGTCCCTTGATACAGCCCAGGTCGCCAAATATCGAGGCAAGCTTCCACGTGCCGCCCTCGAGACTGCCGAAGTGATAGCCCAGGTGGACAAGAAGTTCATATTGGCAAAAGTCCACACAACTAGCGTCAATTCAAACCAGGGTGGTGAATCCAACGATGTTCTGCTTCTAATTGACCAGCACGCGGCCGACGAGCGATGCCAAATCGAACAATTATTTGGGGATATGTTCGTTTCTCCCGAGTCAGCTGAAAGTCTGCACACAGAGACTCGGGTGTGCACCGTCCACGTGGACTCGTTGACATTTGAGCTTTCACCAACGGAGGGTGGCCTCTTTCAAAAATATATGGATCTTTTCTCGGCCTGGGGTATTGGATACGTGACTGATCACAAGATCGATTCCACTGTCTTGATTTCCGTGCACACCCTTCCTGTGCTTATAGCCGAACGATGTCGACTCGAGCCTCATGTCTTGGTTGACCTGATGCGACGAGAAATCTGGTCTAGTGAGGAGGAAGGCAGGAAGCCATTTCAGCCAAAGAAATCATTCGAGATTGAAAATTTGGACGAGGACCTAGAGCTACCACAAAGTGAGGGATTGGTACATGAAGAAGCCACAACGCGCTCCGCCTCGCGCTCATGGGTCCAGCAGATGAACGGTTGTCCTCAGAGCATTGTGGATCTTCTGAATTCTCGCGCCTGTCGAACTGCCATCATGTTCAACGACCTGTTGACCATTGAAGAGTGTCAAGCGTTGATCTCCAGGCTGGCCCGCTGTGTCTTCCCGTTCCAGTGCGCTCACGGACGCCCTTCCATAGTCCCCATACTCGATTTGCGATCACTTTCACACACTGCAGTTACTTTGCCTCTACATCTCGGTGCCAAGGCACCTTATGATGACGATGCTGACGGCATGAACTTTATGGAGGCATTTCAAAAACGATATGCGGAATAGCCGGTATACACTTTACGCAACAAGGCTCAAGGTCGTGGTCCCGGAAGACTTGTCAAGAATGACAATTTGTACAATAGGCGATATCGAGAACGAATACATGATCAACCTTGGAAGCATATGCCCACTCACTCAAGCTATTTGTCACTGAAATCCTTCCCGGATCTTCATACACAGTAAGTAGCTACCTTCTATACAGACATTCGAATTTGATGTAGCATGCTGGCCTCAGGCTGCCGCACCAGGATCAGGTGTTAAATTCAAGCCAGTCAGAGATCTCGAATAAATACTGGTAAATGCGGGGATGCGGGAACAGCCTTTTGCCGGACAAGGTTCTTTGTTCCGTGTTTTAAGGCTTTCTTTCCATGGATCAAAGGCCAAAGTGGGTCATGATCCCCCGGCCTAAACGGTCAGGCATGAAAGTCCGGGGTTAAGGCATCAACATGTCCCAAAACTATTGGAAATTCAACAAGACCGGTCGGAAGTACAACTACCACTACGACTACAAGGACAGCACATAAATATTTAAATTAAGCGTATTGCATTTGAGGTAGCTATGAAGATAGCTCCATTCCAAGCCGCGAAGCGTACAAGTAACCGTCTAGAGGGGGTATCCTAAGGAAAACGCCCCGAGTCGACAGAAGACAAACCCTTTTCCCAACCGTTTTTCCCTTTTTGCAAAACAGCGAACAAGAAACGAAAGGTGGAAAATATTAGACGGAGTCACGTAAGCGTAAAAGCAAGGCCCTTGGTAAAACTCCATGTGAGTCTCGGACCCCGTTTCATACAAAAGCCGCGCTTCAAATGCCAAGTTTCTCGAAGAATCAGAAACAGAGAGAATGAGAAACCAAATGCACCGCCCAGGAATGAAAGAGACAAAGTCGAAAGTAGATGAAAGCAAATGGAGGAATATTGACACATTGCGAAGAAGATTGGGCGCTGGTAAGCGTAGTAGGACAGTGGCCAGGTGTGAAATGGAAATGCGACACCAGTGGGCCGGGAATGAGAAGGAGTCGTGAGTCGTTATATTGTGAAGAATGTGATGGGTGATACTGAAGGTAGTGGTGGTTGGTTATCAGTGTGTAGGAACAATCTTTGCTTTGGACTGGGTGGTCCATGAGAGGAAGTCGAATTTGTCCTTGGCGTTATCGAGAATCGAATGGTTGGACTCGGATTGAGTCGGTAGTGCATTTGAAGAGCGAGAGGCCTCTCTGGGCTCGAGCACTAGAGAGCGGCGGTAGAGTAGGGTTTGTGCGGTTGTTTCGCCGTTTGAGCGCACGCGGATGAGCTCATTCTGCATCCAGGCCTGCAGCTCAGGGACTTCGGTCAGGCGATAGGGGATCTGGAATCGCTGAAGCTCGCTGATAATGCGCGCCGTCTTCATGTGCTTGTCGAAATTGATCACCTCCATTTCGCTTTCGTTGGTGGAGAGGGTGCGGAGAGATTGGTTGCCATGGTCGACAAAGGTGAGGTCGGTAAGGTAGGTACCGACAAATGGAAGACACGGAGGCACGTGGTTCTGGAGACGTTGACGCAATACGGCGTAGTTGCGGGAGACATCGACGATGGTGCGAAGCTGTTCGAGGCAAGTCTTGGTCTTCTGAGAGACGATGTCCCAGGTCTTCTTCAGTCGGGAGATCATAGACAGGTTCAGAGAGCAAATAATAGCCATTAGAGAGTCGTAGTTGTTCAACTCCAGGCACTTGTTGGCTATCTTGACCCAGTGCTTGATGGTGGCGGCACGCTTCTTGGGCTCCTCGAGGTACAGGATTGAGTCGGCAACAAGGTGAGCAAGATCGGTGGACAGAGTCGACATGGCGCGGACGTTGACAGCCAACGAACCTGTCTTCCTGGCCCATTCGGTGTCCAACAGTTCTTCGGGGAGGATGGAGCAGAAGATGCGGGACTCCTTGATGGTCAACTGCCGGGCAAGCTCAAGCGGGTCAAAGTCAAGAATGGTAATCGAAGCTTCGCCATTCTTCCATTGCTTCAGCAAGTTGTGTTCCTTCTTTCCAAGGATGGGAGTGGGTAGAGGGGTGCTAGGGTCGATGTATTGGGCAATGGAAGTATTGGTCTTGCCCATGGAAGATACCAAGCGAGGCACAACGGGCCCACCGACGGCTGAAACTTTCTCAGCCAGCTCTAGTAGACGCTTACCAGCGGTGGGAAGTTCCTCTGAAAGTCTCGACTTGGCGAACTCGACTATGAAATTAAGGGCAGTGTTGTCACGGTCGTGGCGCCAGTGGGACTCGAGCCAACCTTTGTAAATGTTGTACACACGTAGACGGACGGGTCCCGCGGCGTGGGGCGTATCACCAATGTACTCGAAGCGTTCAGCGAGGGCTTCAGCAAACTCAAGAGGGGTGGCGAAAAGACGGAAGGTGAGATAGAAGGTCGAGACGAACATGGCATCCGGCGTGGATTGGTGGGCAGTCAGCTTCTCAATCAGGGCACGAAGACTTCCACCCATTACTGAACCTTCCTTGTAGATGAGTTCGTGTGCATAGGTCTTCTCCAACAGATTGGCTTCGGTCTCCTCATTCTCCTCGGCGAGTGTCGAGTAGCTGAGACTTTCCTTCAGAGAGGGGATCTTGAAGCTTCCCTGGAAACTACCCCCAATGTCAGGGGAGGTAGCCCGGGTCGAGGTCTGAGAGACACCACTCATTTCGGAATCACGGGTGTGGCTGTTGTATGTGAAGCTACTACCATTGCTGGTAACTCCACGTCCAAATGACTCGCTTACGTCAGATTTTGGATGGCTTTCATGATAGCCACTGTCGGTGGAAGAAAATGATGCAATGTTTTCGGGATGTGTGGGGAGAATGGCGGAATTAGGAAGTGAAGAAAGAGCGGAGAGATTGGCAGGGGAGTTCGAGAGATGAGACTGGAAGGAGGAAGGAGTCGTGGCGTCGGTAAGAGCAGGTGTGGGGGGAGAGTAAGTAGTGTTGGGAATTTGAAGGGGAGGTGGGGGGAGGCGAAGTGAGAGATCTTGTTGTTCTGGTTGGTTTGTTTCCTCTGTTTGTTGTTGTGATTGTTCCCCTCCTCTCTGATCGTCAGACTCAGAGTCAAGCTCAATATCACCACTTTGCTCAAGCACCAGGCGAGCCTTCGCCAAACAGTTGCCCGCTGCTCTTACACAGTCTGTGGCGGCATCAACAAGACGCTTTCCGTCATCTGGCATAAACACCATATCATCATCTGGTAGGTGTGCGGGGTGGAACGCATCGCGTGCAGCGTGAACAAGCTCGGATAGCTTCTCACACATTGTCTCTCGTGCCTGCTCGAGGAACGCGCTGCGCTGGGTATCGTGCTCAATGACTGCCTCGACAACATTGAGCAAGCTCCGGCAGGATTGAACAGCCTGCTGGGTGGTGGCAACCAGCTCCGTTGAGGAGCGGGACTGCATGTGAAGGCCAAGAAACGAGCCGAGCACGCTCAGGAACGCGTCATATGTTGTGCCGAGGCGCTCAGACGCCAGATTTTGACCGCAGATAGCAGCAGAAGGACCAGAGACGGACATTCGGTGTGAAATTGAAGCTCGTTTCATGGATGCAGAGACTGGTCTGGGTTGCTCCAACGATTCGGTGCGCATTGACGCCCGACTCATACCCATTCGGCTGTGGTTCATTTGTCGGGATTCCATTCGTGATTCCAGCATTCGCGACTCGGATCGTTCACCAGTCTCGGCCAGGTTGAAACTCTCGGATGCAGGGGTTGGGGGCATGTCGTAGCCTTGGCCTTGGCCTGGTCCTTCCATCTCAGCGATGGTCCTACTCAACCCTACTTCCTCGTTCCATACATCGAGGAATCGAACTCCACGGGTAACAATCTTGAACGCCTTGAGAAGCATCTCATCCAAGATGGCTTCCACTTCATCTTCTGAGGGAATCCCATTGGCGACTTCCTGGAACTTCTTCGCTGTCTTCACCAGCGAAGACAGATCAGATAGCAAAGCCTTCCGGATTCTTCGAAGCCCTTCGAACCTCCTGACCAGGGTCGACTCTCGGGTAAGACACTCTGATTTTTCCTGTCCAATCATGAGCATTGTACCGATTGGTTCGGTTTTAAATGGGACTCACCAGCAGAAAGCGAACGCCAGCAATAGGGCCTCTCATCAAGTCCTGGTTTCCGAAGTCCTTTAGTGATGACCCGCATCCTCCTCGAATGATATCCCAGAAATCAGTCAAGGCCTTCAACAAAGGACGCATAGCCAATTGGTCGTATGCCTCGCAATAATTGGTGGGTAACCAGCCTCGGTCCCCAGAATCTAATAAAGTACCATCGGCCCAGCCATTGGTGTGAACAGAGTGGACCAAAATGATATCTCCCTGGTCTAAGGGAAGTGTTACGGTCGACGGAGAGACATTGCCGGCCGGGTGAAAAGGATAGAACGCGCGCAAATAGTTGTGAAAGACAGGTCTCGGGGCCTCCAATTGCTCCATGTTGGTGCCCTGTGTTCCGTGTGGTGTTAACGGAGGGGTCATCTCTGATGAACCCCAGGCGTTATAAAATCGAGGGTGTGAGTGCGTTGAGTCGTCGATTGACCTGTGTAAATTCGAATTGGATTTCGAGATCTTTAACGGGGGGATGTGTGGCTTCATTGATACCAGCTCTTGTCGAGTCGTTGAATGAGTGTCGTTTTCTTCCTTTTCCTTCTCTAAGCCACTGAGGTCACTGACCGAAGGCGATTATTCGATAGATGCAATGGACATCGTTCAATCCAACAGAAAGAAAGGTATCACAAACGAGTGGCGGATAATCAAGGATGGAGGGAGGGATCGGATCGCCAGTGGCTGGGGAGTATTGATCCTACACAATCCAGGTCAATTGGTGGTCAAGGGCTGAATGACAGTATAGAGTATGAGAAACGAGTGTTTGAGGAATGCGTGGATTCCAAGGAGTGGGAGGGGAGGCTTTGGAATGCCAGGAGGGGGAGGATTAAGGAACTTTGAACCGCACATACACCACAGACAGGATATTAACAAGTAACCAAAACTATAAACAGAACCAAACACACTTCCTTTTCAAGGAGCGGATTCATTCAAGGTCCGATGACGAGTCGCAATGCCAATCCAATGACAATTAAGAAGGGTAATAGTAAATGCAATGCCTATTGGAAAGGGAGATTTGAGGCAGAGCAAGATCGCAGCAAGGACGTTTCAATTGTCAAGCAATCAACAGTGACCAAATAGGGTTTCCCAGGGTTTCCTAGGTTTCCCTATTAGGATGATCAAGTCACGCAAGGGCGGTAACCTTTAGGAAGGGATAGAAAGGATAAGATGATAAGTATAGCAGAAGTATCGCGTAGTATATCTCACATTTACCACCAGCATTTGGAAGGAGAATAAAGAGAGCTTAAGCAAAAGGGGAGAAAAAGAGGGACTTAAGTGGAATAAATTGGAGTTCAAAGCCTTTGAATCTTCCTTGGGACTCGATCGGGACGATCCACGCTCCACCCATGGGACGCTGGTAATGGGTCCGTATTGATATACAGTAAAATCCCTTTAAATGTGACGGGTATCTTGGGTATTTTTGTTTCTCCTATTTTTGATTTTTCCATTTTGGTTTTTTATTTTGATTTTTTACTTTCACGTTTTCTTTTCTTGGATCTTATGCGAAGTCTGCAACAACATGTACTTGACGATATTACTTCTTCTAATATTCCTTATACTACTTAGTATATGGTCAGAATAAGAGATAACTATTATACCACAATGTGATGAACAGAAAAATAACTAATGAACATTCACAGGGGAAGGAACAGGGGCAACTCCTTGAGTTTCGCCTCTACGATAACGTTAGATACCATAGCAACCTACCTCTAGTACCAACACCAAAGGTACTCGAAACACCATTGAGCAGGCTAAAAGCTACCTCTCTCCAAGGTACCCAGAAAGGTCTACCACCTTGCATCTGCCGCACGCACTCCGTTCCAGACCTTCCACCAAAACCTCCCAAACGCAATAAATCGTTCGATTCAATTCGTTTAGAATTGAAAACCACGACCCCCTAAGACCAATCATATTGTCAATGGCAAATAAATCTTGTGGGGTTAATCAGCCCATGTCTTAATGCATTGACCGTATGTGCTAGAGCCTGCAGCAGGGGGGCGTTAGCGGACTCGATCAATCGTTAAAAGTGAGGGACAAAAAAAAGAGGACCTTTTGTTCGCCTGTCAGTATCTCTCCGGGATGAGATCGTCAGCGCAGAGACCGGCCCCATAGTGACAGCAGCCAAAAGTCTTCTCCTTCATTTACTCCGTACGTTATGTGCCGTTGTCTAATAGAGCTCTGCCTTGTGATGCAGGCACATCCCTCGGTACCTTAAGTCGACTATCTCCAAAATCCCTGCTTCAACACCCCCTTGTCAACATCCCAGTCTCCATTCACAACCAGACCAATCTGTACCAGATTTCAACCCCTCCATCTTTTCGTTTCTTTTCCCCTCCCGCGTGGGGCGATACCGAAGGGAACAGATTCGGATTGGCAAACAGGATCCACAAACGAGCTGTCACGAAAATTCGGACAAACACCGGCGCATACGTTGAGGGCTGCGGCAGACTTGATCCTGGGCAGATTCCAGTGAAGCGACCGGAATAATATGACGCAGACCCGCTCCTGTCTAAGATCTGATGGAATAATAATAGATGCGAGGAGAAAATGGGGAATGCCTTGCCGCATGGGGTATTCGATATGTTTCGGTTGAGTGCTCATTGAAGCAGGGGAATTTCAATTCCAGAGGGACATACGTAGACATACGTACAGGACAGAGAGGCTCGGTAGATCTTCGCTAGGTATGAACACATTGAATACTCCACGCGGATACAGAATCCAACCGATCAACACGTTCTCGTTGACAGTCACATCGGGGCAAACATACCTACCCATCCGTACAAGATACTCCACATAAGAATCGCAATGATAACACGATAACGCGATTCCACTCACCGATCTAGGCTGGGAGTAATGGGGGACCCATCTACGGAGTAGGGCTTAGCGATATGACAATGACTCAATGAGCTCCATTATTCCAATTTCCCCATCACAGTCGCCTCGCACGTCCTCCCGCAGCTCGACCAACGGATTCGCAGAGCTGCGTCCACTCCGTGATTCTGCAGTCGCCAGTCTACATTGCAATAAGGAAAGCGCATGGTCTATTTTCCTTACGCATGCATCGTCCACCCATCACATGTTCTACAATCCTTCCCTCCTTCAGGGAGGAAAATTGCTAGTTCCTGGGGACTAATGTAGGTCAGCCAGATTATCTAGCTACTAGTAAAGATACAACGTGCGATCCATCGGCCGGCGCTGTCAGGGCTATTTCACCGATTATACAGAAAAAAAGCAAAACAGCACAAAAAAAACCCTCCGACGCCCCGCGCCTCGTGGGGGCCTCCAATCGAGGGCTGTCATGTTCTTAGGGCAATGCAAGCCCCCTCCATATCATCACATCCGGGCGGGTGAGCCCTAATGCAAAATGCGATCTGCAGGCCAATTCTTGAATGGGAGGAATGTCCGTGTCGGAGTCACGTTCGATCCATGGGAGATGCTGGGCCTAGTTCTCATCACTCTCTGATTGAGAGGGTCGATTTTCTTACGGTCGCAGATAACTGTAGCCTACAGTCGCCATTCGAAGTGGCGAGTCCGTTTGATGGGCATGTCTTGGACTGCCCGTCTAGCCAGATCCAAATTCTCAACAAGGTCGTATCATTCCCAAATACCAACCTACGGGCAAATCAAAACTGCCCACACCGTATATGTAAACAAAAGCCCGTCGCACAATACAACTCGAAGGATGCACTGACGGCCTAGCCCGCGCGGTCTCCGAGAAAACTGTTTGCTTGTTTTAAAACACCTCGATATTGCCTACAGCCACACAAAGCCCACTACCTTAGTTTCCCTAGCTAGACTCGCCCTCCATTCCTCTGGTCTAATTTTGTTTTCACACTAAGCTGCATAGCACATAAGTATATCACGCCCCTGGCGACTCGTGCCCAAGCTGTGGGGCATGCACGGCCATTCTCCCAAATGACTTTGTGCTTCCGTCCTCCTGACAAGGACGATGTATGGCCATTGTGATGCAGGACCTGTCTCGTTGACAAGGGATCGTCGGACCAGGCGTGGTCTCGTCACATTAGTTCTGATCGATTAAGTCTCCGTGCGAAGTAAGCTGCTCGGGGAGCAAGGTTGAGAAGCCCGACCGGCGTCCTGGCGGACGTTTTTGGTAGGAGCTTTGTGAGGTTGTGGGGTTGGGCCAGTCGGGATCAGGGTTGGCTTATCACCGGCAGAGGTGTCTCAATTTTCGGTAGCGAGAGAGTTGATGCGTCGGGTGAATCTTCCACCTGGAGATATGTACTCTGTTCCATGGTTCCGACTTAATCTAGTCTCGAATATTCCTAGCGCATTGATTATCAACGGCTTATTCCCGTCGCGGGGTAGAATGAAGGGCGGAGTCTTGAGTTTTTGAGTTCTTCATGTGGCGCGTTTTGCTCAGTCTTGTCACTCTTGTGGATGCCTCGACTGTCAATGCGAAACAGGGGAAGCGAGCTGGTGGTACTCCATATGAGTCGATGTCTTGAGCTTCGGGTCGAGATGAAGACTAACATTGGTATCCGCGAGTCAATGGAACGTGCCAAATAGCGTGGTCTGTGCCATGCGGCCGGATCAACAAGCGCGGTCTACGTCGTACGGAATGGCCTTCCAATGGATGTAGTCTTCAGATGCCATTTTTCGGGTCCTGGTAACATGGATATATTCACGGGTGCATGGAAATGATCAGCTACCTCGAAATTAGTGTATTGGATCATGGTTGCTGATTGAAAGCTAGGTCGGAAGGCACATTGTTCCAAAGATACCAGGAATATGTAACCTACTGCATTTTACAACAATATATCCTCGGACCCAGGGAGAGACAACGACCTCTGCTAACTCCGCCATTGCTGGCTCGTGAGGATATTCGGCCACTGTAAACCTACCTCACTATCAAGCGAAGCCTCCATATATAGGTATGTTGTGTAGCCTCGTGGAAAAATTGTCGAGATGCAGTGAGTGGCTGAGGTTGAAATAAGACTGCAGATCTAGGTGCATATGCCATGGACCCAGCATGTCAGGTACCTGCATCCGGCTGCAAGATCGCGCTCCAACATTTGGAATCGTACCCTGTAGTCATGATCTGAATAGAGTCGGTCTGTCGGTTCTTATGGGACTAGAAATGTAGCAGGGAAGATGGGTCTTCTTTCTCTTGTGTTTCTTGGCTCTCTCACCGAGATTTCCTCAGGGATCAAGGATCGTGACTTCTTTGTGGCTGTTTACCCCGCGCTGCAGGCTGGGACCACGTTGTTACACGGACGGTTATATCGAGCTCTATTGGAATATTCAACTTGCCACGTTGCTAGTTCCATACGCAGTAACTACGGAGTGTTCTCGACTACGTAGTTTGCATGTCGATGACAATATCCACTTCTAGTCTGATTTAGCTTTTGCTGGTCATGATGTCAGGAATCCCTTGATCTCATGTGTTGATATAGTTTGAATATGAGACGACAGCTATTCCCTTGAGATACAGGTATCATGACAGAAGCATGCCAGGACTGGACTTTAGACATTGGATTAAACACAGGCTCATCCATGGAATGGGGGAGCGGGACAGCGGAAGGCAACCTTGGAACAGGCATTACCCATGCATCATTTTATCGATATAATGGAAAAGCCGCCCAAATTGCAATACAACAATGAAATTAGATACATCGATCGTACTATTGCAACTACTCTCAGATCCGAAAAGGCAGCCGAGGACAGTGGTTGAAGGCAACACGAATTTTTCCATTCAATATCGATTCTAAAGTTTAGATATTGGATTCTAAACTGTATTTTAAGTACCATCTGACAGCGGGAAAAGCACAGGCACGATCTTTCGGCGTCTAGACCGTGCTCCAACATCCCGGGATTGCTAAATCAGACTAGTAACCCCGGAACGTGTAGCCTAGTACTCCGTAGCCACCGGAGAAACTACAGTACCCCGACACTGTGTACAGGACATAGGGCACGAAATGTCGTAAATAATTTGCTCGAACAGAGTAACAGACACGATAACTACATTACAGCGTATATTTCTGATCCGGTCAATTGATACAGGAGCCCACATGGACCGGTGCAATGGAAGAGAAATGATCCACAGGGACAAAAACACTCTCTGAGGGGGCGATAAGGTGGCAATGAACAAAGAAAGACAGAACACACCCTTCTCCACAGATTATGTCTCCTCGCGGGAAAAATGACACATAGAGCAGAAAAGTCGCGAATCGTAACAAAACCTAACCCATTTTGTTATCTAGGATAGATCCACGAGCTGTCAAGAAAGCCACCATGAGATGCTAGCAGACGTGCACGGCTGGCCGATTAGCTAGCACGTTTCCGCGCAACGGTTCGGACGACACTATTCCTGAAGAGAAGTGACTAAATTGCGCCTATAGCACTAATTTACATCCCCGGCGCCACAAACAGATCATGTAGATGATAGCTCATATTACCTGTTTAGGAAGTGACGGCGTCGAATTAGCGGCACAGTTGTCTACTGTGTATTACAGTATCTCTCCAGCTGTATTCTCCGTGTTTGCGTTGGGAGGTGGACCGTGGGGGCTGATGCCACCCGCGATTCATTCCTTTGTTGCTTAATTGACCAGGATCTCAGGATCGGAGATCGTAAATTGGGGCAAGAGAGTATCGAGTCTAGATGCGATGTGGCGGATGTAGCCTTGTCGCGAAAATAAACCGTGTTCTTTTTCGAGTACGTATGTCCTCTTGTTGGTGCGCTTTGGTGGCTTTAGCTTGTTCGCGGAAGGACTTCCGGCGCCAGGGACAAAGAGTCGGGTTCGCCTTGTGGAGACTCGGTCTGTCAGGGGCTTTATGATTTGCAATGCGTCTTTCCGTGGAGCTTGATGTATCGTGGAATGTACCTGGTGTGGTCATGAATCCACTTTATGAAGTTTATCGATGAATCTACAGCTGCGATGATTTCATTGTCCGCATTAATAATATTAGCAATTGAGTTCGTGCAAGGTTGAATTATATTGTGGTTACAAAATGACCAGAAAATGGGGAGAGAGTCGTATGTTACGACCAGTGTATTTTGCCCGAAATCAATAGTACCAACGTCCTCATCAGGATTGATACAGGGGCAGATGTGCCGCAGTTCTAGAACTCTCCGTAAATTCGAGCCCAAAACCTGCACTGAACCAATAACCTGATTTGTCAAAAATCCCTGGGACGCGAAGCAACTCAAGAATTGCTTAGGTACAAAACACGGGTTGCTCATATTTTTCTTTGTTCGAAGCGAAGCTTCACGTGTTTGGATTGTAATGCGGGACTAGCAGGCGTTCCTTGCCAATCGCCCCTGACATGAACCTAGCCGTTGCGCAGTGAGCAGGGGTTTGGTAGAGTGTGGGGAAGCTAGGAAAGTAGTCCTGCCTATGGCAAAGGCAACGATGGCAAAAAGATCGCCGAATAAGTTTGGGCAACTCGTGGACTACCGGCGGCCCACAGGAATGACCACAGGAATGGCCGTGCTTGGTTTCTGGGACGAACAGTATCGTCTTTCAATGTTGGCTGGTGTCTATCAGTAGTAATGATCATCCTTAGTCAACCGATGGATGAACGAGTTATTGTTTAGAAGGGTACGTCATGAACGTTACCACCTAGATTGGCTGTTGATCACAGTTCGAAACCGTTGAGCACAATGTGTCTCCGTACGGTATGTTTCGATACATAGTCTGAACTTCCGGGTCCTTTGAGTGCTGACCACGGTTCGGATTCCCCACCCCCGCGGTCTGTTCCATGGGACGGGATGAAGGAGGTGTTATGATAGGCATCACAAGGCGGGACGGCACGGTTAGAGGGAATCACCCTCGCGTCCGCGTTGGCGACGTGACAGAGGCGTCTGGTTCAGAATAGTGCCGATTTTCAGGTTAGTCTGGGTCAAGGGCCTAAGGCCCCAGTATTGTGCTCAATGCCTCGGCGCAGAAGAGAACATGTGGCTGGAGAAATTCAGGGGGTTGGCTCCGTCACGTGGCCAATCCTTTCCATTAGGATTTAGGAACAGAGTCCAATGAGATCGTCGCCACTCACTATATTTTCATTGATTTTCGGTCTTCCAGTTAATCTATTAAGCATACTGCAAAGTCAAATTTCCTTCTGGAATCTGCAGGAGACGAAACACCATCCACAATGTTGAGTTCAAACGTGATTGCATCGACTCCACTGCTTCATCGAGGACTCCAGCACTATGGATAGTTTGAGATAGGGGCGCATTTCATTTTACCCGTTTAGCCGTAGCTAGTGACGATCAGGGATGGGGCACTCCGTACAGTATGGTCACATCGGTCACACTCAAGCCTTATGTTGTACGCAAATAACACCTTGTGCATCGCAGTTTCCATACTGGAAATTGGGTGTTTCTTACTACCATTAAAAAAACCCTACAAAGATAACTGTTGTCTCCTTTGATCCTTCGCTTGCACACTATCATTCACTCGTCCACGGTCTTGAGTCCCCTTCCTCTTTTGGCAACATCTTGGCACGGCTAGCACCTTCTTCCCGATAAAATCAGCGGGATCAACTGCAAATGGCAAGTTCTCATTCGCATAAGCACCATCATCATCCTCGATCTCAATGATGTTGATCTGCAATACCTCTGGATCTGTGTCGTCAGCCGGGACAAGATGGTCGAATGTCACTCCATAATAATCAATCTCTCTAGTTAGGAAGAAAGGGAGGTTAGCTATGATAATTTACCTCCGTCGAGGAGAGAAATACCTATAGCTATACTCACGTAAATGGAGGAGGTTTCTTGACTACCCAGCCTAGGTACTCATCCCGCACAACTAGATCACCCGGAACTTCAGGACAGACATCCCGCATATAGATCTGTTGATATGCCAACCTTGCCAGCTCTGGGCCCGCTGGCTGTGGAAATTCAAAGTCGGAGTACCCCATCCGCAAACGCCATTGTATGTGTGGAAGGAGCCTTTCTATCGAGACCAAAGGACCTTCAATTTGAATTCGGAGCGGCCGTTCGTGTGGCGGGGGATGAAATTGGCCAGAGGGAGTGTGAATGCAAGGCGGGATGTAGAGTGGGATCGTCATAGGTAAGAGAACAGAAAACCTTGGACTGATGCTGCTAGGAAATTCTCTTGTACACAGTATGTCTAGGCAGATGAGGTAGGAGGGGGTTGGGCATGAGAAGATCACATGATTTGCTATGGTTTGATCTGATACAACCACTAAGATTCTACATACTACCAGATCAGAATAAAACCTACTCTCAGTCGAGTGCTTCTCCATTTCACCAGTCACACAGAATCTCCGTTGATTCCAGTAACGAATCCGCTTAGCAGAGATGGCTGCTGCGCCTGAAGTCTGAACCCAAGAGTTCGCTCTACTGTGTAGTGGATCCCTGCATCGGCGATCAAGTCAACAAAGCCCGAGAATTCCACGAGCTCATCTCGCTCGTGGCGCGGCACTAACTTTCGTTGATTCGTTCTCTCAAAAACGTGCCTATCCATCTCCACCATGGGCGCCGATCTCTGCTTGGCTGGGCCATCGGATCATTTTGAAGGGTTTTTGCTACCAAACAGAACGGAATTAACGGGAAGTAATGACGCTCCTCACTTAACTTGTTTGGATCTAGGACAAAGAACATGTCTTTGAGCTGAGGGTCCCCGTAGACATGGCAACATGTTCTGTTCGACTCTCCACAAGATCTGACGCCATAATCCGTCTCTCATCGCAACTCGCCCCCACCTGGAAGGGGAGTACTCCGTACTACTAGTACTAGTACTATTCCTTATGTGGAGACCTCCGAAAGATCTGCAATCCTTCCTGGACCGGTGGACCCTGTGTCTGTGTGTCTGAGATGTGATATTGTGATGTTGAATGCATCTGCCGAATCTGCGACAGCCAATCTTCGATGAGTAAAGTCCACGAAGTGTGAATAAATGCCGGGCGGCGAATGGAAAAGTGCAGCGCACCACCTGCATTTCTGCAGGAACGAGCTCGTGGCGAATTACAGCTTTCTTCACTGCAGCCCAGCCCCGCCAATGCAGGCAGCAGCAGCGTCGCGCACAAGCTCTGGTCGCACGTTGTCGATGCTAACTTGCAAAGGTCAGCAATGCAGAGAAACACATTACCACACTGGCGCCGGGCCACGATCTGAGTCCATGCTCTACGATCTAGAATGCATCCTTACACTCGGACAACTTATTATCCACCATGTGAGACGAATATCAGGTGCATTAGTTCCTCTGCTTCCGTCACAAAGACCCAAACAGGAAGGTGAGATTGAAGTCGAAAGATGAGAAGGATCCGACTTGGGACTCGACATTGTGTCGACTTGACTGGGCCACCTGGAGCCTGCACCGGCCAAAGTAAGAATCTGAATCCTACGTGTAGGCCTGGCCTTGTCGACAGGTAGGTAGATCCATTGATTTCACTATATGGAAATTTATATCTTCCGCCCAAGAGAGCCGATACCATACATTTTCTAACCTTGGAACAGCTAAGCTACTCTGAGGAAACTGTCGACAAAAAACACTATCATATTCACTTAGAACTCACCAGACGATCCCCATCCCCACTCTAACTCACTATTTCAACCATCTCACGAGGAGCAAAAAGTACACGTCGGTCAAGCCACGCCTTCCCAAGTATAACCTGCTCAATCCACCACATCACCATCCGAGAGGTCTCAGCCTGGATCACCGCATAAGAATCCGAAACCAGGCTAATCAGCCTACAAGGAATCGACAGACACCTAGGCTTAATATAATGCTGCGCGCAAATATCGACAACGGCGTTCCCCAACTGGATCTGTGTAAGCACGAACCGCAACAGGCTCTCGTCATCGAGGCGAATCATACCCTCCTCCAGCTCTACGGTCATCCACCTAGCGTCCAAGTCTGCTACCTCATGGAGGATGCCGGAACTGGACCTCCAGGGACAGAAACGGGATTCGAGGCTGCGGCCTGCTCTCCGGGTGGCCGGGTGGGAGCGTGGGGGGTGTGGCATGTTGATGTTTAGTAGTTGTTGGTTTGGATTGTACGTTATAGAATTGTTTTGTGGTTGTGATGATGGAGACTTGGACTCGGGGATACGGGGGCCTCTTATACGTTGGTTGTATGTACCTGGGAGAAACTAAATGGGCATAGGACAATGCCTAGTCAATGTTCTCTATGCGCTTTCATTGCGACAATGACTGTTTATGCTTATAGTTAGATAGTCTATTCTTCGACTGTCTTTGAGATGAGCTTTGTTTAGTATTCAATGAATACCTATAGAGACTTCTTTCAAGTTGCTTCCAGTGCTTTGTTACTTCTGATGTACAATGTATTGTAAGGTCTATGATTTAAAATCTATTTGCTAGCAACAGACATGCACCCGAAAACCTAGAAAGAACTCCACGATGAACAGGACAATGAAGATATGCATGTTGAATGACTCCATGAATGCAGGTTGGGAAGTGTGGAAATAAAAAGGGCTGTGAAGGTGGTGGGCAATATCTGCACGAAGAGGAAAGAGAAAAGAGTATAAGCGAAAGAAGTTATAAAAAAGAGACCAGAAAATGAGGTCTCTCAGTCAACAAGACAGTTGAAGAATAGACCGCCTCAAGGCATCGAAGGCATAACCAACGAGGAGCGGATTTATTCCGCCTTCTTCGAAGCCTTGGTCCTCATCTTCATCAGACCAAAGACCAAGGCATAGCCACTGATAGCGAAGATGACCGAGATACCGATATCCCTCCATCCAACAGTGTAGTTCGGAATATTGAGAGTATTCAAGAAATCAGTTCCACTCCGATACTGACACACCTTGCAAGACGAGGTAGCATCAGGGTTTATCAGATTGATAGCCGAACCAGCACCAGCCATGTAATCCGACAGATACTCAGCACATGTGCCATTAGCAGGCTCGAAGAAAGCAAATTCCTCCTCGTTGCAAGTGACCTTAGCACCCCAGATGCCGAAAGTCAACATACCCGAAACAACATAGTTGAACGGATTAAGATAGTACATCCAGTACTTCCAGAACACATTGAGCTGTACGTAGGGGACGAAGACACCGCAGAAGATGACAAGGATGCTGATGATCAAGGGATTGACGAGCGCAGCGAATGTCGCATTGGGCGAGTAAGCGGCGATGAACTGGCCAATGCCGGTGTAGATAAGCTCGTAGATCAGCATCATGAAGAAGGTAGCGCCAGAGCGGTTCGAGTCATGGGGCAGTCTCCAGACGGGGTAGTACCAGCAGGCGAAGTAGAGGACTGCGCAGATGCAGAGGTATGGGAATTCGGAGACAATGAGTCCAGTGACGAAGGCAACCCACGAATACATTTTGGACTTCTTCTCGCGGGCGTCGTAGATGTCGCGGCGCTGGATGAAGAGAGGCTGAAGCTGGTTGATGACGCCTGGGGCGACGAAGACGAAGTTGAAGATTGTGAACATTTTCAAGTTCAGGGCTGACACACTTGGACCAGGGCGCCAGAATGAGAACCCGTTGAGAGCGGCGGAGATAATGTGGAGAGAGAATTTGTTGTTGATGTAGTTTGTGTTTCGGAAAAGTGCGACGTTCATCCGCTGAGTGACGATTTTGGTCTGTTCCCAAAGGGGCATAGAGAATTCGAATCCGTCGTCGACTGTGCCTGGGGGTTTGGCAGCGGCGTCTTGAATCATTCCGTCCAGTTCTTTGATCATGCGAGATTGCTCGGGCGAGTCGAGCCAAATTTGATGCCAGTCCTTGTCCTTGACAGCCTCGATACCACCAGTGACCACGTCGATCATGAACTCGGCTGGGTTAGCTTGGGTAGGGCAGTCAGCTCCATACTGGGCGAAGTATTGCTTGACACTGGCTGCGTTTTCACCGATGTCTCCAAAGTAGACTGTCTTTCCGCCCTTTGCGAGAAGAAGGAGGGTGTCGAACTGCGCGAACAACTGCGCCGAGGGCTGATGGATAGTGACCTGGAACATGTTAGCATGGTTATCTTCAAATTGTGAGAACGAAGACTTACCAAAACAGCTTGGCCGACATCGGCCAGTTTGCGAAGGAAACGGACTGTATTATAGGCCGACTGTCCATCCAGACCAGACGTGGGTTCATCCAAGAAGATCAGGATGCTGGGCTTAGAGACCAGCTCCACGCCAATAGTAACACGCTTTCTCTGCTCAACGCTGAGTCCATTGCCAACAGACCCGATAAGAGTGTCTGCCAGGTCATGTAGCTCGAGAAGATCGATGATAGTGTCAACGTATCTAAGTTTCTCTTCCTTGGGAGTGTTACGAGATTGGCGAAGAAGGGCAGAGAATTCCAGAGCTTCTCTCACAGTTGCAAATGGCTCGTGAACATCGAGTTGCTCGCAGTACCCTGCCATTCTCTGGAAGGACACCGGAAGCTCGCGGCCGTCTACCAAGATAGAGCCTTTGATAGTACCGTCAGTCTTGCGCTGAGCAAGCACGTCAAGGAGCGTTGTTTTTCCTGCACCCGAAGAGCCCATAAGAGCGCCGAGCATGCCGGGCTTGACCCATCCGTGAATGTTATCCAGAAGCACTCGATCACCCGTGGGGGTTGCGACTGTATAAGTGAGGTTTCTCCAGGTAAAGATAGAGGTATTTCGGGAAAGGTTGTCATCTTCCACTTCGACCGGCTCATCGGTAGTCTGACGGGCAGTGATCTTTTCATTGTGCTGGGCCTCTTCATCAATGGCGGCTTGGTGCTTCTTGAGTTTCTCACGCGGAATGAGAAGGGAAGCGCCCGAGCCCGCACCTTCTTTCCAGCGAGATGTGAAAATGATCGTTAGAACGGCGAAGAGTCCCCAGAAGGCCCAGACGACACCGAAGTTTCGCCACAGCTGTGAATGTTTGTAGTGAAGTGATGCAAGATACTGATCGCCGGTGACATAGTTCGCTCCCGGCAAAGCACCAGCAACGCCTGTACACGCTTGATTCTCTGCTGCAATGTTCTCATAGCCAGGCCCACTCGGGACCAGATTTTTACCCACACAAGGGAAGGTCCGGTCGTGAAACTCGTTGGACAAGGCAGCCTGGAATGCATAGGCAAAGGGATTCGTGTAGTACAGCTCGAGGAACCAGTTCTTCATGTGAGGCTTCGGGATCATATAGCCAGCGTACATGACAATGCCTTTGACTGCGGTACCTGAGATCTTCGACGCGGCCTCAAACGTGCTAAATGCGGATCCAATAAATCTGAATAGCGCGGTAATGCACTGAAGGCCCGGGAGTTAGTTTAAAGCCCATAGATCGCACTCGAATCAAAGACGACGACTTACCAGAATTGTCGAAAACAGGATAATCCAGAAGGTAAAGAAAGCAGCGGCAGTGTGCTTCAACCCCGACATCCAGTAGATCACAACGGAGAAGATAGTGCACTGGAACAACAGGACCGGGAAATCCGCGGTGATCTGAGCCAACGAAAATGCAGCTGGGTGGTACATAGCAAAGCCCTTATGCTTGATCAACGTCGGACGGCCCTTGAAAGACTCAGTGACCTCAGACATGGCCACAATGCAATTGTACAGCAGCGCGAAGAAGACGGCACCGCCCTTGGTAAAGAGGCCTTCGGAGGTATCTGGCGAGTCGTAGAAGCAAGAACCTGCGATCAATGCCATGACGCACGATAGAACCTGTTTGATAATGAACGTTGACTTCTCACCCCACAGAATCTGATACTGTCGCTTGGTGCATGCGACAAGCTGAGCCCAGAAGCTGGTTGTGAGACTACTACCCTTGGGCAGGTGGCCGGACTTTTCCCACGCGACAGACTCCTTGAAGGCATCTGTCCTCTCGCGGCTGATCTCGGAGTCAGGATAATTGTACGTCGATACCATCTGTTCGTAGATATTGGACTTTCTGTACGCTCCCAGAATGTCGTCTGCATTTCTAGGGAACGTGTTTTCGTAGCCTGGTCTGATTTTTCGCTCCGTCGGAACAGTCAGACCGGTAAGGAAGTCGCCTGTGTCCATATTAGCTGAGATCAAAGTTGTCAATCAGGACAGAGAAGAACTAACCGACGTTTGCTCCGTCAGTATACACAAAGCCTAGATCTTCCATGAACGGCTTCGCCGCAGCTGCAGGACCATAGTAGATCTGCTTTCCCTCATCGAGGACAAGGACTTTGTCAAAGAGGTTGTAGATTCCATTCCCCGCTTGATATAGGGTCACAATAGTGGAAAGACCCAGCACATCGGTCATAGCACGAAGAGCCTTCGCCCACTCCAATGCAGTACTGGCATCTAGACCACGGGTGCTGTTATCCCAGGAGTAGACAGAACCCCTAGTGGCGAGGCATTCAATGATAGAAACTCGCTTCCGCTCGCCACCAGACACACCGCGGACGAACTCATTTCCGACCTTTGTATCAGCCGTATGAGTGATTCCCATTGACTGCAGAAGGAACTGCTTCATCTCAGCTGTGTACTCAGCGGCACTTTGGACACCTTCCGGGAGATGGAACGGGACCTTGAGTCTGGTGGCAAAGTCCATTGTCTGGCCGACTGTTAGGCGAGGGTAAAACAGCTCTTCTTCGGTGTTCATCACAATCTGGCCATTGTAGTCGTCGGCTTGTTCCGGGGTCATGTTTCCGAAACGGACGTCGCCTTTCACGGTGTGATATCCAGAACGCCGGTTTGATAGCATCTTCAGAAGCGTGGTACATCCCGAACCAGGTCGGCCTAGCACGAGCAACATTTCTCCAGGCTTGACGCATCCATGACTGTCTGATAAGATCGATTTGAGGGGCGGCTTTCGACGGAAATCTTTGATCAATTGGGGGATGTTGAACTGCGAGATCATGTTTTCGTTGACGGCGGCTTCGGCGGCAAGGACATCGACCGTCAGATTTTGCCATGTAATGCCCAGCTCGCGTCTTTTGAATCCGGCTGCTTCGTCACGTTCTGCGTTTCGAATGACTTGCGGCGTCATGCTCCACTCGGGAGCTTTCTTGGGAGGTATGGAAGTATCGGCATTGGCGACGTTCAGTGTCTCGGAACTCTTGGAGCTCTGGATGTTGGCTTCGGGGACATGCAGGGTCTCCACGCTGGTGAAATCATGGGTGTTGAGCTTGTGGACTGGCTGACTATCCAGTCTCTGACTATATTCTTCGTCTTCATTGTGGTGATCGCTGTGATGCTCAAATGGCGAGGCATCATCGGCCTCATGGTGCTCCATGATGGGAGACTTTTAGGAGTGGAGATTGTTCAAAAGGTATGAGAATTGTTAATATCAGAACATCCTCACGTTGGGCGGGGGGAGATCCAGCCTATATATCCTTCACCATGAATACAATTTTGCGAAGGGGAGGCAATAGATCCTATGCATACCCGTGCCAGTTCCGAGAGCATAGGGTATGGGAAGCTGGCATCAACAGTAGCCCTCATTGGCTGAGGAGCAGTAATGCAAAGACCTTTGTTCACTAGAAATGCTAATGCAGTGTTTATTGTTCCACTTCCTAAGAATAGCCTTGAAGAAATCAGGAACCCGGCACGCACTTGGCACGCCGAGTTTCCCGCTTTGCGTGAATTCGGGGTTGTTTCCGATATGCTTGATCATTGGCCTATACACAAACATCAAAGGTTTGAAGAAATGCCCGATCCACTCGAATGCTGCTATGGCTGGTTTCAAGCACCGTGAAAGCTCTGGATAAGACATTAGCAACCGTTCCCACTTCTTGTCTCAATGAGGAGTATGAGGGGATAACCAATTTGCAACAATCTCTGTAAACTCGCCATGTGTGGCAATTAAACAATCATATTGGTTGGTATCCGTTAATGTGCTCATAAGGTCACGACCTATATCCATCACGTCCGGAGGAGTCTGAATCTTCGCTCGAACTGGCCGGCTTCGAGAGAACCGCAATCCCAGTAGAATCCAGCTATCAATATCAATATCAACCGTATAGATCGCCGATGACGATGTCGATACAAATTAGCATAGGACTATCCACGGACTCTTCGCGGCTGGCTTCTGTCAATCCCTGGAATAAGCCGAGAACCAGCCCGACGACAGGTCGGTCCACGGCAGTGTGGTGGCGATCCCGACCTACCCGAGTTCTTATCTTGTCGCTCCCGATCTCGGGACTGGCCGGACGGATTCCTGCTTGCCCCAATGAGGAAATATGTACCTACTGTTCCCAGTCAGGAAAGAATGTGAGAATATGTCAGCCTGGACCCAGATCGATGGGGGTTTTTGTGTCCTGCATAAAATGACCAGTTCCACCATAGGGCTGTGTCTTCGGCGTCCAATCCCACCTTGAAACTCCCGGATTATGCCTCCGTGTCATCGCATCATAACTAAGGATAACGGTTATTTCCCGGATGCTGGGGAATTGCATAGGATTATTCCAACTATCGCATAGAGCGGTCAATTTTACCACTGACAGTCCTGTACCGGGAAGCCGTTAGCTGTTTACCTCAGCATGCTCAGACCAAACTAATTGGCTGGATTATGCTCACAAACAGTTTGGCCCTGAAGTAGCTGCATCATCCCGTCTAGTTATCCTCTAGTATTGACCTAGATGATGCAAGGCCTCATGGATATGGTCCTGCTCGCTGTCATATCCGGTACATACAACCATAGGGTGATATGGGTGACGGGAGAAGTCTTGACTAGGCGAGAGAGGTGAGAACAGGGGTGCATGGTCTAGTATCCGCGTACACGGTCCGATCACGTTATCTGCAAGGGGCCAGAAACACAGAGGCAATCGGTCATAGGAGCGGAGGCAAACTATACTCCCCAAAACCTCCAACGAGAATGTGTTTCGATGGGTATGGATTGCTCCAAATTTGTATTTTATCATGCTGATCTCGGCCCTGGAAATATTATTGTGGAAGAGATTCCGGAGACCGGCAGCGTCGGTATCATCGATTGGGAGGTTGCGGGCTTTTTCCCAAAAGGATGGATTCGAACCAAATTTCGAATAAGCACTGTTAAGCAGTGGACTGGATCTTCCGGATTCAGGATACCCCATGGGAGTGGAGGTCGGGTGTTCAGAAGTTGCTTGGGGCGCATGGGTTCGTAGACCACGTATCGCAATTCAGTTCATTATCTTGAAATAGACACATGGGTTTGGGGTGTGTGAGTGAATCATGCATACTAGGCGTTTCGATTGATCCAACGAGGAATACCAAAAGGCCATCTCAAAATATGACTTAAATGGGTAAATAAATAGGAAACGAGTACGGAGTATGTAAGAATCAAACACCTACATGTAGCACCAGTCCATGAATATTCTCAGACATAAATCCCTTGGAAACCACCACATCACCTCGCATCCCTAAAACATCCCCTCCATATCCAAATCCAAGAACTCAGGATTCCCAACGGCCATATCCGCCGCATTAAGCACATCATCAATAGCATCCATCCCGCCCACAGTATCGAGCCCCATTCCCTGCCCCATATCCTGCCCAACCATCGCCCCCTCCATCCCATTATCCATCCCATTATCCATCCCCGCCGCCGCCGCAGCAGCCGCAGTATCCAAAATCTGGTTGATATTATCTGGATCATCCTCCGCATTGCCCGCCTCAGGAGCACCTTCAAGCCCCGTCCGATGCACCTGCCCCTCAACGCCAAGATGCATATTCTGAATAATATTCGAGACATCAATATTGGACACCTGCGACGGCGACGCCATGAGCAAATTCACATGCCGCCAAAGACGAACAATGACCTCAGCGCGCAGCGGGTCGCTCTCCGAGACCTTGGGAACGGTATCATGCTGCAGCGCGAGGGCATCGCGCAGCGTGAGAATGGGACAGCGCGGGAGCGCCTCCTTTGCGTCGACGGGGTGGTAGTTGTTTTGATCGACGGCGAAGGATTCCGTCATCGGGGCACAGATCATGGTTGCTGCTATGTCGAGCGCGATATGACCATTGCCAGATTCGGTTTGCTGTTTCACTTCGTCGATTATGGAGCTGAGAATGGGTGTTGCGCCTAGCACCCGGATCCCGGCTAGGAGCTGGCGGTGGGTGTAGTTGTGTGGCGCCATGGTGATCTCTGGGTTTGCGCTCCAGAGGACGAGGCCTTGGAGGGTTGCGCGGATGCTGGCTTTTAGGCCGCCGCCGGCATGGGAGGTCCAGGGGTCGAGTTCTGAGCGGTGGCAGCTGCCGACGCGACGGAAGGAGAGGTAGGGGTCCAGGGCGTCGAGGATTGGTTTTATATCTGTGCGTGATTGGTTTCTTGTTCGGATGTTCTTGAGTTGCTCCTCTAGTGGGCGTCCGGTTATGTTGAGGACGGTTTGGTGGATGGCTTGAGCTTCGCCGGAGATTGAGCTGGGTTTGACCAGGGAGTAGAGGGTTTTGAGGGGGATTGTCGGGTCGGTTTCGGACTCCCAGATGTGATTACCCAGCCAAGTCAGGGCGACGACTAGCGACGGAAGGAGGAAGGGCTCCAGCAGATCTGTTTTGTGGTTAGCTGAGTGGTCAATGGTGAGCGATCGTAGTGCAGTGGTCTTACATTCAAACCCGCCTTTCAGCGTATCGAAGTCCAACTTTCCGGACTCGCATGCACCGAGACTCTGATCGAATAGTGTTGTTACAAGCATGTAGAATTCGTGCGGGCTGCAGCTGGACATGGTCTCTTCGCTGATGCCTTCAGCGATGAACAGAGCACCTATCCAAGCGCCAAGGTCTTTGTTTTGTTTCTCACTTAGGTCGCTCAGCTTCCGGCTGCAAGCACCGCGGTCCATGAGTTTCAACAGGAACGAGTCGCTGTTCGCAATACCCATATCAGAGGGACCCAGATCGTAGCGATATTTGAATGCAAGGACCAACAACAGAATACTTCCAAATTCATCATAGACCGGTTGGTTTTCGCCTTGGTCCTCGTCCCATTTCCAAGAATCGATGACAGCACAGAGAGGTTGCAGCACCTGTTTGGTGGCACGGAATAGCAAGATGACGTCCAAAGTCTGCGGGCGGCGCGAGAGCGAGTTGCAGATGTTCTTGAGTGTCATTGTCTCTTTCTGATGACACAGATTGTGAATGACCTGGACGATATTAGCCTTAGTAACCACAGAGAAGCATATCGGGCGGCTTTGAACATACATCAATCACGGCGCCAACGATTGCACCTGCATTACCCTCCATCGACTCAATCTCGCCGATCAGTTGCTCAGCACGTTCGTGGTTATTGTTGATTTGCGAGACGAGATCGTCCTTGATGTAGGGGCCTCCGCCAGACAGTGTTTGCATTGGATTCTCTCCGAGAAGTTGTTCAATGCTAGATTCCTGGATCAGCTTGTGCGACGCACAGGCAAAGAGGAACTCTTGACGAGCATCCGAGAGGACACTGCTGCCTTGCATGGAGAACATCTGTGAGAAGGAAGGGAAAGCGTTCGGATCCAGACGGCTTAAGGCTTGGCTGATGCAAAGCTCCATCGATATTGGCACCATGGACGCTGCTGAGATGGCCGCAAAGAACACAGGAAGCTTGTTCACGAGGAAAGATCGGAACAAGAACATTGTCCTGCTGGATTCATTGCGGTAAACGCCGTTGCAGAGGACGTCAAAGGCGGCTGTGATGATTTCCTCGATGAGGACATCGTTGTGGCCCTGTCAGGGGTCAGCTGAGTGCTCTTTCACAATTCTGTTGACGAGAACCATAATGATCAATGTAACTTGGACTCACCTGGTACCGATTTGTGAGATAGTTGATCAAAATGGTATCATCAACCAAAGGACGGCCCACAAGCTATATCAAGTCAGCCATAAGCTCAACCTCAAGCCCTTTAGCTATAAAGGGAAACACATACCATTGAATTGATATACACATAGAGTCCAGCTCTAGTATTCACAACCGGGCCATCCATGACGGAAGCCTCGAACTGCAGGGCATTGACATTCACACCATTGATAGCAGACTCATCCAAAGCCTTGGAAGGCTGACCGGGATACAGATTGAACATTTTCTGCAGCTCTTCAAGCCGATGACGAAGAGGCAGAGAAACATCAACACAAAGAGGTAAGTAACCAGACAAAGCCTCGGCAAGTTTTGTTTTCAGGGCTAGGGGGCATTGTCAATACATATTCAACGAATGATAGAAAATCATCTCCAACACAAGCTTACCCTGATCATAGTCACCCGACAGCACCACTAGCCCTTTACTAGTCCCAGATAGTGCCGCAAGCAAAATCCCAAGCGACTCAAACAACGACACTGCGTCAGGCGATCCCAACAAGCCACCCGTTTCCTGCGAACCGTCCTGGCTACGATTGTGCCACGCCACAACAGCCAAAATCCAATCCACAGTAGCAGAGTAGAGATCCGCTGCCTCGACAACATTCTTCGGGATAGACCCGGTAGAAATAAACATCATGACATCCTGAATGACCTTGATATCAGTCATAAGGGTAGAAGGCTTATCGTTCTTCAACTTGGCCGGCGATCCACCCTGTTCTGTCCCCGACTCTCCCACATTAGAGATAGAAGAATGCCGCAAAAGACTAGCCAGTGCAGACGAAGATTTGACCCTCCCAACCTTACACAGGCCATCAACATACAGCGGCAGAAGGGGGTCCCAGGCGACACTGGACGAAGCGCGAGCTTCAAGCAACAAATCGAGGAGCTCAGTTTCTTTCAACGGAGCGCGAGCGAGCATCAGCCCTGACAAGTTCGTGAACTCGTCAATGTCTATGCGATTGGCCAAACATTGGTGGAGGAAGATCCTCCATTGTTCGGAAATTGCCCTGTCCGGCAGCATGGTCATCTTACCACCATAACACTGCACCCTGACAGTTATTACGCGAGATTGTTGCAAGTTATAGACTTGCTATGCGCATTTTTAATTCCAGGGAATTGATCGCTGGCTTTGAGGCTGGGAAGGATAGCTCTTCTCAATCTCAGGTTGCGGCCGGGCCTGCCAAGACAATTACATAACATTCACGTGATCTAACTAGCTCTTCCGCCGCTTCGTTAGCATCACGTGAATAAGTAAATAGGTGCCTCAGGCCATACGTCTAGATGCTGGGATAGTAACTGTACTGAAATGTTGCTGCAGCCAGCTAAACCACATTAAAAGTCATGAAAAGAAATTGATCGTGGGATCCAGAGATCTGCAAGCTTCTGTATCGACGATGATTTTTCACCCAGACGCAAATATACTCAGCTTTGACGCCTTGACGATGCTGAAGTGAAATACTTGGTAGCTGAGATCAGACAGGCTACAATGTGCTAGTTTTTTACAAGAGCAGGTAAGTATTTTTGAATCATTTATTCTCATTATCATCAGAAAATCCCAAGTGCTGAACCCAAAAAAACACAGCGTGCTCGAGAGGATATCAATCAAATGCAACAGGGGGAAACAACCAAGCGCCTCTATCCATAACACGCTCGACAAAAGGGGGTAAAATATTTTTAAAAAACAAGGAAATGCATCAAAGCCGCCTCTCCTCAAGAGAGGACAGAAATCATCACAGAACAGAACACCACCCATGATATATCATGAGAAGGGTGAACTGATTTACCACCAGTCACCGTGCTCCTTCATGGCCTCAGCGACCTTGGTGAAACCAGCAATGTTGGAGCCAGCGACAAGGGAAGGGAGGACACCCTCACCAGGAGTAGCATACTCCTTAGCAGTCTCAAGACCGTTGTTGAAGCAGTCCTCCATGATCTTCTTGAGACGGGAGTCGACCTCCTCGCGGGACCAGTTGACACGGGCGGAGTTCTGGGCCATCTCGAGACCGGACACAGCAACACCACCAGCGTTGGCGGCCTTACCGGGGGCGTACCAGATAGCAGCGGCGCCGGGGTTGGCGTCACGGTGGGCCTCGAAGACATCGATGGCCTCCTGTGTGGAGCCCATGTTGGAGCCCTCAGCAATGAACTTGCAGCCGGCGGCAATGAGAGCCAAGGCCTCCTCGCCAGAGACCTCGTTCTGGGTGGCGGAGGGGAGAGCGACGTCAATGCGACCAGCGATGTTGGTCCAGGGGCGGGCACCGGGGATGTACTTGAACTTGGAGTTGAAGGGGGCCTGGGAGGCGATCTCGGCGATCTGCTTGCGCTCGACCTTGATCTCGGCAATGGTGTTGATCTCCTCGGGGGTGAAAGAACCCTCCTCGCCGTTGAGGACGAGAGCACCCTGGGAGTCGGAGAGAGAGACGACGGAACCACCGAGCTCAATGACCTTCAGCGCGGCGTACTGGGCGACGTTTCCGGAGCCGGAGATGGCGACGCGCTTGCCGGCGAAGGACTCAGCACCGCCAGTGGCGTGCTTGATCATGTGCTCAACGTAGTAGACAACACCGTAACCGGTGGCCTCGGGGCGGATGAGAGAACCACCCCAGGAGCCGCCCTTACCGGTGAGAACACCCTCCCACTGGTTGCGGATCTTCTTGTACTGGCCGAACATGAAGCCAACCTCGCGGCCAGTGACACCAATATCACCGGCGGGGACATCAGTGTCGGCACCGATGTGCTTGCACAGCTCGGTCATGAAGGAGACACAGAAGCGGCGGATCTCGTTGTCGGTCTTGCCCTTAGGGTCGAAGTCGGAACCACCCTTACCACCACCCATGTTCAGGCCGGTCAGGGCATTCTTGAAGATCTGCTCGAAACCAAGGAACTTGAGGATGGACAGGTTAACGGAGGGGTGGAAACGGAGGCCACCCTTGTAGGGGCCGAGAGCGGAGTTGAACTGGACACGGTAACCACGGTTGATTTGGACCTGGTTATTTGAGTTAGGAATTGGTGGCCGTCGATGAGATCGTAATTTTCAGGAACATACCTGGCCTTTGTCATCTTCCCAGACGACGCGGAACTGAATAACACGCTCGGGAACGGATACGACCTGGAGGGCCTTGCGGTACTCGGGCTTCTTCTGGAAAAGAGTGGAGTTCTCGAGAGTGGAGGCGAGCTCTGTTTCGGGTTGGTTAGCTGAGTCATTCCGAGATTATGGAGCCACAAGCCGGCGAAGCCGAATGGACAGGAATTCATTCCGAGAGGCAAGGTGATAAGGCGAGTTGTAGCAGGGGTGACGCATTGAATACATACCCTTGTAGGCCTGCTCGAACTCAGGCTCGAAGGGGAGGTTCTGCATCATCTTGGCTGGGGGGTTTTTGTCTTGTTACTTCTGCTGTAGATCTGTTTTGGGCTTGGAGATCAATGCTTGGCAATGATCTTATAATTATAATAGTAGATGAAGTAGCCCCAATAGCAGAGTAGAAGACAATTGAGTATTTGTGTAGAATGTAGTGAGGAAGAGGAAGAGTCTCGGGGAGTCTTCAACGATTATATACAATCCGGACATGGGACAGGTGGAGAGATCTCAAAGCCGGAGTCGGACGAGGGATTCCGGGAGAAGGTCGACGGGGAAAAAGGAACGGGAGTTGCAGTGCTCCTGCTGTCGCACGAATTAAGATGGAGAACATCCATTAAGCATAGGTGAAACCCAATGAATTCGATGATTTCCAATGATTTCCGTGGGATCGAACGTCCGAAGTTCGGGGCCCGCCCAATGTTATCTTATGGTTTAAGGTCACAGAATTGGCTTATCTCTCTAGGGTGGCGGCAAATCCACCCAACCCTTTTATTCTTTTTGCATAGTTTAATTATTATTACTCGACCTTCATGACTTTACTTTATTTTCCAGGCAATCACAGCTCGTCTCTCGTTCCTAAATCTTCCTTGTCCAATCTTTTCTCTTCCGTATTCATTTCGTTTAAGACCCGTCATCCATCGGATCGGTCCCCTCCGACATTACTACATTGATGAATGTAACACAGAAGATTTACGAAGTGAATATTAAAGCTCCTAAGATGTATGTTGTAAAGACCCTAAGACTTCTATCGAAATGCATAATTCTACTTGTAGGCACTATCGGGGATGGAGTTGTATGAAAAAGTATAAAAAATAAAAAGATTCTCCGCCACCGACTGCCATCTTCGGCAACTTATCGGCTGCAGACCAGGTCACGTGCCCATCGTACTGCAAACGGTAGCTCAAAAATGGGTCCTGTCACCATTGGCCCACCGACCTTATCTGATCGTCTCTTTTCCTTCTCACACACTTTTTACTCATAATTCTTTATCTACAAGCTATGCGTGGGAGCAATTATTCACACTCGCTTAACCCCAACGGATGAACGGCACTGAGGGGTAAGGGTGGAGGGGTAGCTTTCAGAGACGCTAAATCTGGAGTCAGATTATCATATTACATGTACAACATCAGAAAGGAGTTCTCGTGCTACAGAAAGAATGAAATGTATAGTGAATCCATCGTTCATACACAAGCTCAACCTTAGATAGGGGAGCATCCAGTCATTTCTCTCCTAATAGTCAACTCAGTGGGTGCGATCCAATTCCAAGACAAGCCCCCTTGCCCCGATTTGGGTCAGGCACCAATCCCGAGAGATGCCAAGACTAAATGCATTGGTATCCCCGATATTCGGCTTGTGTTTACTACTACATTTTACTTCAGTTGTCTATGATAGTGCGGAGATACACATTGTGGCCGGGGTGTTGATGTGGCGCACTCTTAAGCATTCACCCCTGAGACCACTGTGGAATAATTCTGGCGGCTAAAGCGTTCACCCGATCTTCCGACCCTCCTTAAGTGCCAGTTTGCCACTCCAATTAACCCATGTCCACAAAAAGGAAAATAGGAAATTGTCACAGATCTTCGTGTGGTCTTTACAAAGTACTGCGTAGGATATCCGTAGATCCGCGCATCCTGCGGTCGATTGCCCACCGATCTGGGGAGTGTGCATGCTGCTGCAGCATCTCCGCACGACCCCCGATTTCCAGATGCACCCTGCCCCACTCCGTGCTGCTTGCTGCTGCGATCACGGCTTTGTCTTCTGGGGTGCGGAAGGGGCTCTCACCGAGAAGCTAAATGCAGGTTCAAGTATCACGGGCCGTGCCCCGTGCTTTCGTTATTTCCGAGCTCCCTTCTTCTACCCTCGAAGTTCTCCTCGCATATGTCTATACCCATGGTACACCCGACACTTTTATATCCTTGAAACTCACTGTGAATAAAGTACGGCCAACATGCGGCACGTTCACGGATGTGGGACCAGGGCCCCAAAGCCCAGTGGGATTCCCTTGCAGACCCAGAAGCTTGAATCCTTTGGGGCTCTTGGAGCTTTTTAGCCGGAATGGGGCTAAATCCTTGGTTCCCGTCGCTAAATCCTGAATTTTATGAACATTATGCATTGTGCTTATCGATCTCGGAGATTCAGTTGATAAGATTGTTTGGTCTTGGGTTGGACAACGTGCTTGCCCTGGAGCAGGTGTTGCCATCTACGTGCCACAGCGATCCTTTAGGTATTTACTGCGTACTACTGAGGTCTACAATGTAAACGAGATTATGAATAAGCTGTACAAAGTGCCCGTGTTGTACTGAGCGATGGGATTTGTTCAAGATAGTTGAAGATGGAAGAAAGGGTAGAGCTATCAACAGACATGGGGGGGAGGAAGAGCGTCCTGTGAGGCTGTGACATAGTGAGGATTCAACATGTCCTGGCTAGATAACTTGAATACGTAGATCACCAGGCTCAGGTGGACAGTTGCCAAAAGTCCCTAGGTAGCAAAATTGAAGCCCAGGGGCCAGGATCCACCGGCTAGTGGTCGATATATTCAGCTCGTGGGATTCTCCCTAAGCCACGTGGAGTCGCCATTGAGCCTCAACTCCGCGCTAATGAAGACACCTATCAAGCAACATACTAGTAGTATAGGTATACAATGTGTGTATCTCTGATAATCTGGATCTACTCCATCACGAGTCACAACATAAGGTACCTAGTAGGCTCGGACAAATTCCAAGTCTTCGGGCATGATCTTCCCCAAGGTAACCTTGGAATATCCCGCGACGTCATTTCACCTACGCATTTGAACATCTCACATTCCCAAACACAACGACCCTTAAGGTTCCCCAGATCTACAACCTGCACGTATCCCCGCTCCCGCAAAACCAGCTGTGGTAACTGTGCGCGACCCCGGCCACGGGAAAACCATCGGCGGTCTCCGCCGCGCGACGGAATCAACACCAGCCGCCTCTTATTTGCCTATCTCTACGACCTATCGTCCGAATCAAAGAAATCAAGTTCTACGAGACAGTATGACACATGGCCTTATGTACTCCGTACGGAGTACAGGAATGTATAGGGATTTTCTTGGAACCATGTGTCCTTCGGCCGAGGCATCTTTTCCTGAATCCTTAGCTACCCCTTGGCCACGCCACAAGATCTTATGCACCTGGAGAGAGTCGAGACCCATATCAACTCCAAAAAATGGACACAAGAACAATGGATGCCCAACCAAAGCGAAAGCAATTAATTGTCATCACAGTATATTGACACAGTAAAAACATATCTCTAGGTAGCGATCATCTCTACCATTTCTTATCCAGGAGGCGATCCGTCATAGCTTCACCCCCGCTAAAGGGGGATCTGGCTCTCACAGTCCGACCGGTGACCCCGGCTCTACCATTTCCACTCTGGCCCTTGTTAGCAGATCCTAGCTCGTGGCTTCTAGTGACGCCATCTGGGGCATTGGGCGAAAATGCGGTCGGGAAATCCGGGCCCAACCTGGCCCATTGCGGAGATCTAGGTCTTTATCGAAGGAGATCCGGCCGAAGATGGCAATGTGCGGATAGTGATTTCCCGGTGCATGCCTCTTTCAGACATGAAGGTTCAATATATAGAGCTTCAATATATAGACTTGGAAAGCTGAAAGATGGGTTGTTTTCGGCCCATCGACGGGGATGTCGGGTGCTGCGGTGTTGGAGAACCCGGTTCATGGGAGCTTGGCGCGAAGGATGATACTGTTTGATACAGATCAACGCCCTTTCTGGTCTTGACTCTGTCAGATATGCCAGACTGTTATAAAACACGTCACTTCCCGAGCGTTTCCATGGCTCGAGTATCGCGATCCTTCTGTACGCTGTAGTGTTGAGCCTGGTTTGGCCCGAGGTGGAAGTGGGAATATGGCCAATGCGTTCGATAAAAGACCTCACGGGCCACCCGGTAGACATTGCTGACAACTGGAAGGTTCGGGATGCTCTGGACTAAGATTCCAATCATGACTAGACGCCTTGCAGCGCGTAATCTGGGCATTTACCAGGAAGTCTTAGAGAGAGCCCCCTTTATTCGCTGTTTAATTCGAAATCCAGGACGATGGATGAGTAGAGGATCAGGGGAAGGAAGTAATATTATCATCGACGCCAATGCGATCTGGCTAGCCAATAAGAGGCGGATGATGGCCGATGAGATCTGTACCCAAGGCTAAGGTGTTCCAGGTACTGGGGAAATGTAATTCTAAGCGTATTTTTAGTGGAAAAACATAAACCGGACGTCCTTCCTAGATCGATATAGTCCCCACAGTCAAACCCATGGTTTAGCAGATCTCAGAATGATTGGCCTGATCGGATAGACCCGTCGTGATGGATCCGATTCAAAAATTGCTACATGGAGTACCTTGTACCTAATATGTACGCTTGACGATCGTTTGATTAGTTTAATAGAAGTGACTTAGGGCCCTTCTTTTTCTATGGATGTTCCAGAACCCTACTAGTTTCTTCTAACCTCACCTTTTTCTTCCTTTCTTTCTTTGCTTCTAACCCTTTGATTCTGCTTCTACAATCTCATACTCTACTTATACCATCCTTTTCTCTTCCTCCACTAGAGACTTGGAACTTCACATGTATGTTTACGAAATCGTGGACTTCATAATACCCCCAATGGGTATTCTCATCTTCACTTTCCCAACCCTCTGAACATCCTAGATGGCTCCCTAATAGATGTCTATCAATAAGCCTCAATCTCGTGGACTCGGGTCCTTCAGGGATCTCTTCCGCTCTTCATCCCCGCCCTCCCCGACCTCACCATCACGACGTCGAGTACCTCTCCTCGTCCGCCGAGGTAGGGAAATTTTTTCCAAGTAACCACTCCCTCCCCCCTTGCCTTCATCCCACCTGCCCCTCCAGTTCCCTCAAATGGGGGCCGCGATTCGACCCCACTGGAATCCCAGTAACCGGGAAAAGAGGCGCAGCCCCGAAAGCATGCACCGGAAAAGAAAAGAAAAGAATGAACATGAACTAAAGAAGCTTTACAAAAACCTTAGCAAACAAGTAGATCCTCCAAGACTACACCCAAACTCAACCTCAACCTCAACCTCCCCTTCATCCTCACCTCCCCACCCCATGAACCCCCATCCACAATTCGACCCGGCCACCATGATCGGTCTAGCCGGTGCCTCACCAGGAAGACCAAACGACAACTTCGACATCTTCGAATGGTACCCCCGCTACCAAAGCTGCCAACGCTACTTCCTAGACCACGCCCAACACAGCGTCCCCGTCCAAGCCCTCTCTGCGTTCCTAAACATCCGCCTCCCATTCCAACGCCAACCACACCCAGTCTACAACTCAACCTCACCATCCTCATCCTCCTCCGCCAACCACGTCCCCCAACCCGACACCCAACCACCAGGTCCCCCCTCCATCTCCCTGATCCCCTACATCCGCCGCCTAGTCGCAACAGGCATGGACTTCCCCGGCGTTCTACACGGCTTCTTTGGCGACGACTGGGGCAATGGCGTAGGCCCTATGCACGAACAAGAGCGCCGCAACTATCTCTTCGCCGCGAAAAGTGGTGGCTGGGCCTCGGTGAAAAAGGACTACGACATGCCACCGCTGGAAACTATCCCTTTCCTCCGTCCGTTGCAGGGTCCCCTCGACGCCGAGATCGAGGCTGCCGAGCGCAGCTGGAGTGAATGGCTTGCTATGGAGGACTGGATGGTTGGGCCCCGGGCGCCGGATATCCTGCACGATTCGTCCTCGCAGAATTCGCGTCCAAGGAGTGCGCGCGGATGAATGAAAATAAGGTTTTCAAGTTTTTCTTTGTCGGGCAGCTGGCTCTTGACTTGCCGATTTTCGCCTTCTACCTTGGACATTGTCGGTTTGGGTTTTTCTTTTCTCATCTAGCGGTCATTGGTTCATTTTTGTTTCATTCTATATTACTTTGCAGTTACTCGCATTCATCGGAATTCTCCAAATGGGAAGGTGTGTCCTATACATCAAGGGTGTTGATCATCTGCAAATAATCAAAAGCCGCAATCTGGAGCGATTTGTTCTATAACTAGGGCGTTTTTTACGGTGTTTGTTCAGCCATCCGATACCGCGGAAAGGTCATCGGAAGGAAACTGGCTACTTAGCAGCAACAAACGGCAATGAGCCGTACCTCTCCGTCTTTTCAGAGGTTGATCAATTCAAAAAATTACAACTGAAACAGAACTAGATCGGATGTCCATTCACCCGTTAGGGAGTCCACTTGGGAATCCACCAAGATCTCAACAGAAAAAATCTTAAAAATATCAATCCCCGTACCAAACTGTACCGTGCCGTTGCCGTACGTTGCCCGGGTTGATCGGCGAACCACAGTCTCCAATAGGTACTCGCAACCCCACTGGTTTGTGCTTCCAAGGTTCTTCCGCTGTGGATTCTTAGATCCAATCGATTACCCCACTGCCTGTTCCTTGGATGCCTCACCCCTTGGTTTTTCTGGCGTATCTACGAAAGAGTACATAACATACACCGATGATACACGTACAACAGCTATGCTTAGTGCTTGGAATGTATTCGAAATTGACTCGAAAGGAGTACTGTACTATTACACAGTATGTTCAAGGCTCATGATAGTGGGGATGGCCAGCCAACAGACACAAAGATAAAAATGAATCTTCCCAAATCCAATGGAAGCGCAATCTGTAACTCTGTTATGGCCGCGTCTCTTGGCTGGATAAGATCCTGCATAACTACCGGCCGAAGGATCTATGGCGTAGCTGAGACCGGGGACGCTAACTCATTCTTCCAAGCTTCTAGGCCTGAGCTAACTTTAGTTAAGTAGACTTTTGACTTGGCATCTATCAGAAGGAAATTCTCCGAGATCGTCGATTCATACATGTCGTATTGGTCTTACGATCGGCACTTGCGAGGCTCTGGTGGGGTCTGTTTTAGTGGAAGCGGACTTTTGAATCCTTAGTCCCCCGTGGCTGTTTCGGTGTTTCTCCGGTTGTACGGAGTGGTGTAGATCAACTACTGTGTAGGAAATGTGTAACTAAATACTCCTTACGTAGTTGCGCACAGAGAGAAAGAGAGTTAATACGCAGACTGCAGTACAAGCTATAAAGGACACAGGACTAGTCTAGTTCTGGCATATCGGCCGTGATCCCGCACAATCTGACGATCAAACTTTGGAAAAGATTTCCTGAAACGCGTCTCCAGAGGAGTGTGCGTGTCGCGTTTTAGCGGTGGGGAGGTGTAAATCGATGGACTCTGACTTTGCGGTATGCATATTTCGGTTAAAATATTCCTACGTCCTACCTACTTGTAGAGCGTTCGCTGGTCTTATATCGAGACCAGTTGGGGGGAACGCCCCTGATTGGGTCGCCTCCAGCATTGAATAGGGATCCCGGCATAGTTCCTCTTGAAGTAACGTTTCAGGGCTTCTTCACACTCTAGACACAATGTTCTCCGGGCTCAAGGTCACGCCTGCCTCTTGACTAAGTGGGCCAGCCTCGGCGCCAACGGCGTTCGAATGCCGGATCGTGCTCCATTGGATCCATTCAATGGCTGTTCGTTATTAGCTCAAGTCTGGTTCGGAAAATGAAGGGTTGCCCTAAGGTGAACGAGGCAGTGGGGTCACAGGCTCGACGGCCGATTAACCTGCTGTGACGTACCACAGAAAATGTTGACCGTTAACAACTGAGTTGGCATGATGTTCAGTTGCCTACCTTGGAAGTATGTCGGCCTCTTCGTAGGTTAATTTCGTATCTGCGAAAGGAACCCGGGTGATTCCAACAGCAGACCTGCTCACTTCCGTGTCGGCAGTACTGGAGTGGAGAGCCAGCTAGACATGTTATGTCTTGGCTGATGCCTGCAGACCGTATTCTACTAAGAGTTTAGCCGGCCAATGATGTGATCACCCCTCGACCGAAGCAGGACAAAATACATATTGCAACGTTACAAATGGAAAAGTGTTCATCGCGGCCAGAAGCGAGTCTTTGAGAAGTTGTCAAATGTCATTAGGGTATAAGACCGGATATAAGCCAAGATTAGATCCCAAAATTTTGTTCAGAAACACCGTCGCTGAAACGCTGCAGAAGAACAAGAAAATAACAGTAGGAAAGACAGCGTCATGGGTTTCAACATGCGCATGACAAAAGACTGTCCCAGGTTCCAAATGAGAAGACAAAAGGGTATCTATAGTGATAGGAAGTGTCGGAAGTGTCATCAGGTGTAGACGGTACAAGCGAGAAGGTAGGAAGGGAAGTGTAGAGACGCCAGTGAAACGGCCAGTAGACATCTGTCATGAAATGTCGTCGCCCCTAGCAGAAGACCTGTGCTTCGAGCCAGAATTACGAGGCGAGATTGAGTTAATCCGCGAGCTTTCAGTTGAGCTCGATTTAGCCGCCGAAAGAACGGCATTGTCAAGCGAGTTCTGGTGGATCTCCTCTGGCAACTGAAGGTCGGGTAAATGGTCTGGACTTGAGACGAGATCGCGCGGACGCGAAAGGACACCGCCAAGAGATGGGTTATCCTTTTCACGATGCATGGGGTTGACAGGAGCGCGACTTCGGCGACGATGTCGGCGGAGGTATTCGTTCGGGACAGGGTCGACTTGCTTTTTGACCGCAGGCACAAAATTGAGGTAGATAGGGAAGATGGCGCCGGCACAGAAGAGGGCGACGAGAACACAGAAGGAGTACGAGTCGCCGTGTGCGAGGTATGCGGCGTACTTCGCGAATGGGAAGAAGGTACCGCCGCTGATTGCCATTGTCATGAAAACGGCGGCTGATTTTGTATGCCGGCCTGTGCCGCGCAGCGAGATGGCGAAGATGATGCTGAATGCACCACTCTCGAAGAGGTAGACCAACATCACCATGACGATGGCTGATGTGCCGGTCGTTTTCATACACAATATGGCGAAAACGATCATGCCGATGTAGCTGACCATCAGGATCCAACGCGGTTTGAGGAACCACTGCGCAAAGGCGGCGAGGAAGCGACCGACGGCGAAAACACTGTGCCCGATAGTCAGGAAATCGAACGCACCAAGTGATGAATCTGGGCGGGTGGCCTCGATAAAACGGGTAATCGACGATGAGAGGACTTCCTGTCCAGCGACGTAGAAGAATTGAGACCAGATTCCGAGGCCGAGAGTAAGCCAAACGACCGGAATACCGATGACTTTGGTCATGTTGTCTTCTCGGCGTCGGTTTGCCAGCTCTTGTAGATCTTCATCCGAGGCTTCGGGGATTGGCAGATAGTAGAACGCCACTGCCAACAGTACGTCGAATAGAGCGATGCCAAGGTAAGTCCATTGCACGTCAACCAAAGAGGCGACGCTCCGGACATCCTTGAAAAGAACTCTTTTGGCCAAGACCGGCGACAAGACACTTCCGACCGCCTGCACACCTTGTGAAATATTAAGTCTGATCTCAGAGTTCTCGAGGGGCCCACATAGAGCAATAAAGGGATTTGCTGCAGTCTCCAAGACAGCGAGACCGAAGCCAACGATAACGTTCGACACAATAAACGCAGTTGTCGATGTCAAAACGGCAGAGGGCCAGAATATAAGGGTTCCACAGGCGTAGATGCATAGGCCCGTTATGAACGTGGCCTTGAATCCCCAGATTTTCAGAACAGGCCGGCCAACCAGCAAAGGGCCGAGGAGATAGCCGCCGAAGTATGCACCGTGAAGGCCCAGGGAATGCCATGTATCGAGGTGTACGATACTTTGGAACTGCGAGTTCAAAATATCCAGCAGTCCATATGCGAAGCCCCACAGAAAAAACAGCAAAGTCGTCATTGCGATCGGCGCAATCGACTCTCTGTTGTTCAGTTTGACCATACTCGCAGGTTTCTTCATATTAACAAAATCGAAGAACGTGATGTCGGGCGGATAAGACGTGCTAGTATGAGTTCCTCCCTCTGTATCGAGGGGCCCCGTTGGCGGATGACCCAAAAACTCCAATATATCCATGGTCTCTGAGTCCCGGGAGACATGTCGGCCAGCGGACACGCTGCCCACGTGGTTTTGTAGACCTTTGTCTCCTTCATTCCCAGACGGAGATGGTGTGGGAGGCTCTAGCGACCCCGGGGATGCGGCCGGCGATGGCACTGCCACCCCAGGATCCACAGCAGAAAATCCTTGAGGCGAAGTAGTTGATGTACCACTACCGTCTCTGATCAATTTTGGGACAAGTCGTGTGACAAGAGGTTTGAGACTTGGGACACAACCGCAGATTATCGATAGGTTGACTTCGACGACCGACCACATGAAAGAGAGCGACGCATACCCTGAGACATCCCCGCTATTAGCTCGATTGACACGTTAATTTATTGGGAAAATGGGAAGTCGTACAACTAAAATCAAGCGCTCCGGCATTTTGAATATGAATCGATTTGACTTCCAGCGAACGAGATATCGCGGCCCGCTGAAGAAAGGCAATTCGAACCACGTCGACCACAGCCACGAAGAAACCGAAAGAAAACGTGATCACCAGGATGATCTTCTGCTTGCAGGGAAGGCGCATTTTCGTTAAAAGCGGCATTGGAAGCAAGAGAATGACTATATCGGTAATGATATTCACCGGAGACGAGGAGAGGTACAAGGTGACAATGTCGGTGCAATTCGCATGACGCGAGTCAGCGTGGAACGCTGCTCCGATAGGACTGCATTGAAAAACATTGACCAAGGTCAACGCAAGGCCTGCTGCATTCACAACGAACAGAGTGACGTAATTCGCATATCGAAAGACCTTCTGGTTGCGTGTCAACGTTAGGTAAAAGACAAGAATCGAGGTCTTGACGGCCATCAAGGCTGGATTCTGAATGGTTGTCAGCATACTATTATTTTCTTTTTCTCCCCAAGGAGCGGCGACTGACGTAAAGGACCGTGAAGGCATAATTGGCCTTATTCAAGGCGCCCTCATCTTCAGGCCTAATGTCACTCGAATGGAGGCCAAGACCTTTCTGGACAGCAAAGAACAATGAGAAGGAAAAGCCGAAATTAGTGACCTGCGACCGATTAGCCTCCGAGCTTGAACCAGAGCTCCCCCATCATGTGCCCGGTGCGCGGATCCAATCGACTCCATTGTCGCTACATCCCCGGGAACATGCAGGGATCAAACCGAGGGATCCTACCCATGCGACCAACATCAACCAGTCGTGTAACCCGATTCTTCTGACCACGAATATTCGCGAAATGAAGCGAAGAGCAACAAAGATACTGGCGAGGGTGAAAAAGGTGACCGAAACACCTAGTGTAGCTCGTTGACGACCCTCCATCTTGGCGGATTTCACCAAGACTGCCCCAGCGGACAGTCTTCTCGTTTGTTGACGACCCAAATGTAGCGCGAAGTAAGAAAGGTTTGTCTTCGGTTTCTAGCGTACGATCGCGGTAGGCGGGCTGAAATGACGCGTGTGGGGAGGCATCATTATCCGAGACGTTTCCGGGGATTCCGAATGTGCGTAGTTGACCACGACAAGATGGAAAGAAGAGTAATCGATACCAGTAGGAATTGAAGAAGATAAAAAAGTAAAAGGAGTTGGAAAAAAAAAGCAGGGAAGGAATCCTGAAGTCAAAAGATGCGTCAGATTTGTCGTGGGGAAGAAAAAAGGCCCGTTATTTACCCCGGGTTTAGCCTTTTTAGCCCGATCTCGACTCTCTCGAGTCTTCCTTCCTATCTCAGGGAATTAAATATTGCAGATACCAATAAGAGCCTAACTTACCATGGTACACTTCCACTTTATTATGCTAACCACGCTGCTTCCCGCCACCGCCCGCATAAACAGTCAATGGAGATCCCCACACCGCCGTTATACGCATGGAGTAGCTGGTTCACCCAATGGGCTTCCTGGTACGATCTCTACGCCACCACAAACCTGGGCAGTTCGATAAGACCAACCATTTCCTTCTAAGATGTGATCCATGGACATGTTCCTGTGATGGAGGGGATAGAGGCTGCGCTCTATCACCTGTGTGCGCATTCAACTGAAGGTCAGGGGGTCCTGCGATGTGGCGCCTATATAGGCAATTTATCAACCATAGTCCCTGCATGCGAATCCTGGCTTTGGGAGTTTGTGAGTTAATGTTAGGGGGACATCCGATCTTTAGGGGCCTTTGACTCGTATTCTCAGGTGTCTTTAAGGGCTTCGGTGGTTGAAGTACTCCGGAGTCCCGTCCCTGATGATGTATTTGCCAATTTTAGCGCGATATACGCGGGATGGGGGCCAGAAGATGCACTTCGCCTATGCTGTACATCACAAGCACCATGCAAGCGTCAACACGTCGAATCATCGTCGGAAATTGGGTTATGTCTTCTACCCCAGGTCAACACCTCCAGATGTACATAGTCCATTGGATGGACCGCCAATCGGTCCCCTGTGTCGAGTTGCGCCAACAATTATCCACCGTGGGATGCTGCAGGCACTGAGCTTGGCACGTCATTCGGGCGCATTAATCAAGATGATTGCTGTCAGTGGACGAACTTGGTAAAGCCATGCATACGGTTTACCTAACTATCTCCATGCAGCTTGTCATTTCTCATCCCTTAAACATCCCCGGACACCGTAGTAACCATTAATCTTACATACAAGCCTCCAATTTATGCGAACAAGCCAAGAGGCCCCAACGGCATGTGATCAACAACCCTCTGTGTTTCCGGGTTTCGCTCTATGATCAGCGACCGCGCACCGTTACAACTTTCAAGGAACTGCACATCTGCTAGTTTTCTTGGCCGCATTGCGGCTTTCTAGCGTGTAGTCCTGAACCCCCTCATGGCCTTTCGGATGCATCTATTTCCCGATGGTACCCGCTGACTCCGCTCTCTTATGCTGCCTGCCAAGTGGGTAAATGTTCCGACGACCACTCAAACGCGGCACGTTCGATGTGAATGCTACTCTACTGGAGATCACATGGGAGAAAACAATGTCGGAACTGAAGAAGATCTACCTTGCTAAATTGGTAGCTGCATGTTCTTAGTCAAACTACTCTAAGCGAGCTGTATGATTTTCCAGCTAACAGGAAAGGTACAGAAGGATCAAGCCCAGGTTGGCGGTATTTAAGATGGCCACTGCCCAAGGGCCACATCATTCTGGGAGAATACGGAGTTCACTGACTGTTCAACCTCGGGACGTTTTTCGTTCGCCCCAGCAGTCAGCCAGTTCATCGAGTCAAGTGTCGACAAGATGAGAATCAACACCTTGCTGCTCGCATGCGGGCTCTCTGCATCCTTCCAGGGGGTTCACGCAGAAGCTAACACCGAAAAGACCATCGCTACTATCTGGGATGACTTCAAGAACGCAGTGGATTGCGGTGGTTGTCAAGTATGCTTACGCCTTACAAGCCCATTACTTATTAGGCCCTCAATTAGCTGACTCCGAGGTCTACACTAGGCTCTCCTTGGTACACTCAAAGTTGCCTCGGGACTGGGTGAGAAGTTCTGGCTCGACGTATTTACCGGGCTGTGCACTATCACCGGGGTGGGTTGGCGACCCTGAGCTTCCAATTGGATTTCTTTAACAAGAAGTATACAGATCGAAGACCCAGATGTTTGTTCTGGAATCATCGCGGCAGAAGGACCTTCGCTATATGCCGCTTTGAAGACTATGCACTTGAACTCCGGCACCTCCAAAACGTTATGCGCTAGTTTGCTTGGTCTCTGTCCGTACCCTGAGGTCCGTCCCTACGACCTCACGTTCCCATCCCCCAAGCCAAAGACTGTAAGGCCGCCGCCTAGCGGTAAGTCACCGATCAAGGTCGTCCATTTCAGCGACACACATGTGGATCTCCTGTACGAGACCGGCTCCAATTACGAGTGCAACAAGCCTATCTGCTGCAGGGCCTATGAAGATAAAGATGCACCTGGAGTCACAGAGCATCCGTGTGGGCCATATGGAAATCCGCAGTGTGATCCTCCCGCAAGACTCCAGGAGAGCATGCACGCCGCTATCGCACAAATCAATCCGGAATTCTCCATCTACACCGGGGATGTGATATCCCACGATGTCTGGATGGTTGACCAGGCCAAGGTCCTGGAAGGGCTCAACGCTACGTACAGTGCAATTGACAGGGACATCGGAACCGTATATGCTTCCATCGGTAATCACGACACCGCGCCCCTCAATCTCTTCCCACCAACCAACGCCTCAAAAGATGATGACCCGGAGTGGGCGTATCAAGCACTCGCAGAAGATTGGTTCTCGCTCACGGGCGTTCCTTCCGTCCAAGACGCAGACCAATACGGCTCATACTCAGCCGTCCACCCCGGCAGCAACCTGCGCATCATTTCCTACAACAGCGTCTTCTACTACATCTACAACTTCCTCATGTACGGAGAACCGATAGAGCAAGACCCACGCGGGCAATTTGAATGGCTCATCCAGGAACTGCAAGCCGCCGAGGACGCGGGCCAGCGCGCATGGCTAATTGCACACATTCCCTCTGGCGTCCCAGATCACTTCCGCGACCACTCGCAATACTTTGACCAGATCGTCCAGCGCTACGAAGCTACCATCGCAGGGTTATTCTACGGCCACACGCACACAGACGAGTTCCAGATCGCATACTCAGACTACAACAACCGGGACTGGAACACCGCCACAGCAATGGGCTATATCGCTCCAGCAATGACCCCGACCGAAGGGTCAGCCTCGTTCCGCGTCTACGACATTGACCCAGTTACCTTCGGCGTGTTGGATTATACTCAGTACATCGCCAACATCAGCGACCCGTCCTACCAGGTCAAGCCTGAGTGGGTACCGTATTACTCCGCGAAAGCAGACTACGGATCCAAGATCTCTCCTCCGGTCACGGATCCTAAGGCCGAGATTACGCCTGCATTCTGGCACAATGTCACCGTTGCCATGGAGCGTGATCCGTCCGTTTTCCAGGATTTCTGGTCGAGACGCGTTCGTGGACACGAAGTCGAGGAATGTGACGGCGACTGTGCGAAAAGTGAAATATGTCAGCTTCGTGCTGCGAATGCGCAGTATAACTGTGTAAAGCCGAAGGCCTTCAACTTCAAGCGTGATGGAGAGGAGAGTGTTTTGGTCGAAAAAGATCCCCATGTTAACTGTGATCATGCTGGAATGGCGACTATTATCGCGAAGATGATGCATCGGGCTAAGATTGACCGGAAGAAGGAGATTGAAGCTCGGTAGACTGTGGGTGATATATTGCCAGTCGATCTATACTCTGCGTATATAGTAATTGGATACTAGACACTAGTTAGTTGGCTATATTAATGCTAAACTTGTCAAGTAGTACTACAGACTCCGGAGTACTACATGGGTTCTGTCTCATGTGATGCCTGAGGCAAACGTGTTTGACTGCCCCAGGCATCAAATACATATTACTGGTGAATGGTGATTCTAATCATTCTATGCGCCATAGCCCGCAACGAGTCTGACAGCGAAAGAAGATGTAACCCTCGTCAAGTGATATCTAAACTACGGCAGTGTGTGATAATGAGTCTGACTGTTTGATACAGGGAAACTGAGGTGGTAGTACCCTTATATATGGCTATAACCTCTTCTGGGCCATGGCCGAGGGCCACGCCTGTGAGATTTCTGCTCGTCGCAACGCCGGGCATGGAGAACGCCTCCAAGAACGCTGGTGAAATGATCAATAAGTACGTGCTATCTCTTATGTTGTTCCTTAAAGCAATTTGAACTAGCATTTTCCCAGGTTCCAGATCTCCTACAAACGTCAATGCCAGGCCACCAGTTAGTTACTGGAGAGCTGGTTGGGATTATGTATTGTCAGGTATATTAGAGGGTTCTCATTTTGGCACTTCTGGTGTTTGTGCTCCACCCTAGTCGGATCAATTCTCCTCCGAGGGCTGTCGGTACACAAACCCCTGAATTCCTTCATGTCTAGGGTTTCACTACTTCAGTCATTCATTCATTTTCATCTTTTTGTATTGGATATTCGCATTCATATCCTCCCTCATCATCTCTGTGTCGGAGATGAAGAAGCATGGACATTTCTTCAACAGTGAGATTCCAGCCATCGTGAAAGGAGGAACTCCAGTGCTCAAGTGTGTTGAACGGTACGGATTGTATCTGCTGGATGAAGTAGAAGCACCCTTCAACTTTGCCGCTGTCAAAACCTCTCCTCGACCTGGGGTCTCGATTGCTACTCCGAAGACCTGGCACCGACGAGTTGGTCACCTGTACGAAATCTGGCGTTTGGCTTTGGTCGTTTGACACACCTCGCAAAGTTCAGGGTTGGACGAGGTTGAGGTACTCGCGAAGATGGTTGATGGAGTTGAGATTCGGCCTGACAACTATGATTCGGCCTCGTCCAACCCTGAACTTTGCGAGGTGTGTCAAACGACCAAAGCCAAACGCCAGATTTCGTACAGGTGACCAACTCGTCGGTGCCAGGTCTTCGGAGTAGCAATCGAGACCCCAGGTCGAGGAGAGGTTTTGACAGCGGCAAAGTTGAAGGGTGCTTCTACTTCATCCAGCAGATACAATCCGTACCGGCCCTCGGCAATTGATTTGCCCGCTCCAAGGGTCACCTTTCGTCGGTCTCTCTCATAAGATTCGAAGTGGTCACGCCGATTGGTGATGTGCGTGTTGGCGCCTGAATCCAGAATCCAGCAGGACTGTAGAGAGTGTCCAGCAGCAGTGTTGAGGACATATGATGAGACTGTGAGGAAGCTGATTGACTCGGTCGCTGTGTTGTCAGAATCCGCGATGGTCAGTTGGGCAGTCTTCTCTGGGTGCTCCGCCATGAACTTCTTAACCTCCTGCTCTTCATCGGCACTCAGCTTCTTGAGATTGTCCTCAAACTGTTTTGTCAGATTATCACCGGTTGCTACTGCCAGGGAGGACATCTAGAAGACGTTTCCTTCTCCGGGACGAAGTAGCTTCAGTGTAGATTTGTTCATATTTAATTCGACCTTCAGCTTGTGTAAGATCAGAGTCAATCCATTTCAATTTTCTTATGGTCTTTACCCGTGTAGCCCTAAGCCCTGGATGCTCATCAGTTGTGTTCAATAAGCTCCAGCCCTAAATAAGCTTCAATTCTCTATTGTTCTTGGTCCATTGATATACTACACAGTAGTAGCCCTAATATGTCTTTGTTCAAATGTGGTTGGGTGGTACCTAGGTTGTGTATAAACATTGTTGATAGATTCTTTGTTCTTCCCAACCTCTTCATTCTCTTAGGTTGTTCGATGATATACTACACAGTAGCCCCAACATCTCTTTGTTCAAATGTGGCTGGGTGTATAGAGTTCGCTGAGTTACTTGATGGATTCTTTGTTCTCTTCTGTGTACCTTTTGAGACCTCGAACAGCACCCATGTAGCATGCTATACACCTGTACCTATCATGCTATCATGTAGATTTACATACAATAGCATCTATTGTCAATAGCACTATCCCAATTGAGTAAAAGGTATTCATCCACATCCTCGAAACTTTGTAGACTTCGTAGATTCCCTTCGGTCTATAAATGTCCCCTTCTTCTCCCCATCTTCTCTCCTTCTTCTCCCTCTCGACTTCTCAATTCCTCGTTGGTTCGTAGCAATTGACCTTCGTTCTCATTTATTTTCTTCTCATCGTCTTCTCACTGCTTGAATTGGTCTTCTCGATCATCTTTTTTTGCAAACGTCAATTTCCAACATTGGTCTGGTAAGTAGCTACAGTCACCCCAACAATATCTCATTCAATACGCACATGCACATACTGTATACACATACACGGGACACTGACATCCATTATAGAACTTTCGTGACGGCGAAATGTCTTCTCCCAAAGTAACCATTGACGCCTATGCCATCCTGGCCGTTGCCCGCGATGCTAGCACTCAGGAAATCAACGCTGCCTACAAGCGTTTGGCTCTGAAATTCCATCCTGACCATGCTGGCAACACTGAAACCAACAATGAAAAGTTCAGAGAGGTATGTCTCCAGCAGAAAGAGATAGTTCTCGGTCAAATTGGCATAGCTAACAAGCCATTGTCAACAGATCAATGAGGCTGTCGAAATCCTTCGTGACTCCAAGAGCCGGGGACGGCTTGATGCCCAATTGAATGGAAAGCGCAAGAGAGCGCGCGCTCCTGATGAATTTTCGTCTTCCTGCAGCGGGCGGGCAAAGAGAGAGCGCCGCTCCGAGTGCCCCTCTGAGCGCCAATCCCAGGACTAATCTCAGGACCAATCTGAGCGCCCATGGACCAACCACTGGGAAAGGAACTTCTTCCCGCAAGGACGCAAGGAGCAGATGCGTGATCGCATGAAGCGCGATATTATTCGCCTGATGGGGGGTAGCTGTGGCCCCGACTTTGAAACTTTTCTTAGTTGGGTCATAAACAAGAGCATTGACGAGATGGAAGCCGACCATGCCAAAAATGCCCGTCGCCGTGAAGAGGTGCCGAGGACGTGCAATCCCGCTGACACATTTGCCAACTTTGCCTATGAACACGGCAAACCTCGATCTACTCGAAGCACCCCGCGTCCTGGTGATGGCCGCGGCCATTGGCATTATTATCGTGCTGGCGGTGCCCCCTCACCTGAGAGCAGCCGCTCTACAAGCCACGACGTAGCTGGCACTGCTGGCAATCATCCCCCAGCCCCAGCCAGACATGTCTCGCCGATCCGCCTGTTTTTCAGGACCGGCCGCAAGTGAGCAACTCGGCAAATCGACCCAGGGAATTGATACAGACACCACACCACATAACTAGTTAGTTAATCAATTTTACCCAAAATTGTTACCATACATTACCAGAGCAACTGCATGACTTACTAGTTACTACAGTAGCAACTACATCCACTCCCGTATACTACTACATAAACTTCTCTTCCTACTTGTTGTCTGATTCTTCATCAGGTCATTCTTCATTGATTCTTCCTCCAATCTTTCTTTTGGTTCTTCGCTGATTCTATCTGATCATGGACGATAGAGCCACCAATGGAGCTTCATTATGGAAGAGGTCTTTGAGACTTGAGACCAGTGGCTTGCTTCTATCCAGGAGCATAGTCTATCTCGAAGCGCAACCTTCTTAGCTCCCGTATCTCTCGCTAAACGCCGATCTGGCGGAATGAACGGGGGGAATTGGACTAAGTCTTGAAAACTACCATCCACTTCTGTCAAAGACTCAAACAACCTCTTCTTTAACACTCACCATGCTAGTCTGCTTGGCAGTTGACAAGGTAAACGCGGGGATTGCGGTGCTCCTCGTCCAAGACACCGACTTGTAAGCTGATAACAGAGGAAGGATGCACGAGGATGCCCTTACAACGGAGAGATTGCAAAGTGGCAGCTTCAATTGCAGTAGCGGGCCCAGCAATGTGAAAGGAGTTTTAAGGATTGCCGCAAACCTGAACCCATCATCCATATTCAGAAGGAAAACAACGCGATTGAACCCCCTTCAGTCAGTTAGAACAGGCCAAGTTGAAGCCCACACCACCGGCTTTCGCCGAGAGCAAGAACTAAGAAGACCAGGATATCCGAGTTCACGTTCTACTCTCTTTGCATGATCACCAATTCTTATACAATTTACACAAACGAGTTTGTCGAGGAAGCAGTTTGGATTGACGTCTAAGTATCCATATCATGTAACCAGGTGCCTCATCGCCCTGATCCTCATATAAACAGGACAATCAGAAGCCCTCCAGGTATTTCAAACGTCGGCCCAAAGCCCGGGAAACACAGATTCGAACCCGGGACTTTCATTTCTTGAACTGGCAAGTAATCCCATGATTACGAGGTCCACATGCATCTCCTCCATGCTGCAGGTTGATTTTCTGGTCTTTGTATGTAATGGACGCACCATTCAACCCGGAATTTTCGCTTCCAGTGCAACCCTGCCCTCCAACAACCTTGAGATTCGCCTTGAGCTTGGTCTGCTTAGGAGTGAATGTCTGCCCCTTCGGTGCACAATTCAAGCCGAGGGGCTCAACATCAGTCCATGTGCCATCATCATTCGGAAGACAAATGCGGATCTAGTTCATGGTATCAATTGAATTGTAACTTTTGTTCTTGTAAGATTGGTGACACTTACCCATGGTGTCTTGTCTTCGTAGTGACTATCACTCCAACGCGTGAAATGTACCAGGAACTTAGAGGTATCGACGGGGAAAACATGCTGGTCTGATCCGCAGGTCCAGAGAGCATTGACACCGGTAGACAGAGATAAAGCTAAAGCACCAATAAAGGTTGCCTTTTTGCTTGATAGAAACAGCATCTCTGGATTCAAGAAAAGCTGAGTTGCTAGAGAAGAAAATAGGAGTTGGCCCAGTACCGTTTGCTTGAGTATTGAATTGATAATCGGAAGCTCAAGACCGCATACTTCCAGCAGGTATTTATAGTTATCGTCAGTCCTGTAGAATGAACAACCTCTACTAGCCTGGGGCTTTTTTTGCTCGGAACTGCCTCATATGGAAAACTTCAGTGATAATCCTGTCGTGCAGAGTACATCGCCACAAGGGAATCTTTTGGCCCCGACTTCCAGCTGTAGCTAATTGGATGGCATATGGACTACATCGCCGAATTAACATGTGTAACTGTTTACCTCCGGGAATAAACCTGGGGCCTGAAGATTGTGGGTCTTTTTTGGTATGTAATAGGTTCGGTGCAATGAAGATCACTGCTACTATACTCCGTACTTCACCTCCACTTTTCAGCCCCATCGTCGCTCCATGGGTGGCCTTACATAGTATATCTTGGCTTACTCACTATATCAGCGTAACCGAGACATAAAAACTGGATCTCAATTATAGCCCCTGCGTCAAGTGGCATCGCCGCTTCTTGGCGATAGGATGTACCTCAATCTCTTCCCAATCTGGCTATAGAGATACTCCGGTTCCAAGTGAATTGTAACTTCCACACGATTTGGCTGTAGATCTCTCAGAAACAAACTCCGAAGGTCTTAGGCTTAGAGGCTATGACCCGCTAGCAGTCATGATGGCTCACTGGCAAGTACAAGGGAGACATAAATAGCTTCATCACCCCGCACATACTTCCTTGCGACTTCCTATATCCTTCAGCATTCATTTGCCTCCAGTCACATCCCCGTCAAAATGTATACCTTCAAAATCGCCCTCCCTGCGCTGTTTGCTCTTTCAGCAAATGCCTTGTTTGACTGCAACAAAAACCAACACGCCTTTGATCCTACACCGGGGAAATTTGTAGTCCACTTTACTACTGCCCGAGACAGCCATTACAACAACGAACCCTGGGTATGACCGTGCCTACCATAGTTCTTTACCAGTCTCCAAGCCTCTAACAATGCCATAAAATATAGATCCGAATCTGTGTCCCCAATAACTCAGGCTCTTGGGATAATGTTGACCCGCTGGGTATTCCCTGTGACACAGCAGGCCCGAAGAAGTTCAGTCCAAGTCAAACTGGCCTGAAGGCCGATCTGAAGGTCGGACTTGGTGATGCATGTGATGGGAGGGGTACAATGAAGGGGTCTTATCTGGAATACAAGACTGTCACCATTGATTTACACGGAAACTATAACAATGGCAAGACTTGTGGGAAGCGTGACCATGGAAGATCGTGTCAGCTCGAGATGTAAAGGATCCATCTGTCTTAGATCCTGGGCTGTCTGATAGAGCCGTGCTTCAAACACGGAGGAGCCACTTTGAAGCCTACAGATTCCGAACCCTCGGCACTTCCCTGATCTTTGGTGAAACTATTCCCAATCACTGCATTTCATGATGCTCATACAGCTTCCACTTCAAAGCCCGGGCCTATGTCATTACTGGCCTAATCATCTTGATCATGAGTTCTGAAGTTCAACGCTTCATTTAATTTGGTTCTTATCGTGACCTATCGAGGAAGCGATTGTCATAGGACAGAATCCTGTGCAGTCGCTGGACTGGTAGCTGTAGGCGGAGAAATTGCATCCGCGATAGACGCGACGCGTGAATCGTGATGCCCTAGACTACGTAGTTACGCGCGCTCCTGCACCGCGTCTCATACTCAACCTTCACTCTCACCCTCACCCGCGTTTTTGTTCTACGTCTTCCTAAGAATGGATAACCAGCCCATCTTTTGCACTAAGTGCAATCGCAGCTGTGCCATTGATGAATTTCTCGTCAACAAGCAAGGGAAGCGCAACGCAACTTGCAAGCGGCATTCGAATAAACGTTCCTTGGAGGTCGATGACTGGGAGAATTTCATTCAGGTCCTTCGCGATTGAAATAAGCCAGTGAGTAATCTAAACCGACTATGCGAGTAACTTGAAGCTGACTGCGCCTTGCTGCTCATAGGACCAACCTGAAATACTGGACGGGAAATACACAGTTAATTTGGATGCTCTACCGGTCAACTCTGGTTCTCTACGTGCCCAAGAGAATGCAATTCCTCGATCGGAGCTAAATGCAGCAATGCGAGATCTTGCTGAGATTATCTGGAAGGAAGGAGAATTTCGGTTCACTCATAAAGCAACCAACTGGCCCAGCCTAACGTACACGTACCGCTGTTCCCAAGATGCGATGGGTACCAAAAAGTATCAATCTCCCGTGGAGCCAGAGAAGCGACGGGATGGCCGACGCATGGATCGATTCCCATGCGAGAGCAAGCTCAGAATACGCCCTTGTTTACACAGTCGAACCCTTGCCGTTTCAATCCACCACAAATGGCATACACCCTACGAGGATGCCCGCGTACCGCCACCTGTGCTGGAATTGATTAATTCCCGCGTATCAAGCGAGAGTTACAAGACTGCAGCGGAGATAACCCGTGAAATTCGAGCCGTCCCCGAGGCGAAATCTGTGTCAAGACATCAAGTGTATTATCTCTGGCGGAAGGCAAATCCTCAGCGACACTCTGATCCCTTCGCCTCAGCTACAATGCTCCTTGCTGAAGACAGCGACTCTCAAAGTCACTATGCTGTGGCGTTGGAGGCCACGGGAACATGTCCATGACTACGAACAATCGACAGGCGCTATTCCAACCTGGAAAATTCCTGGCCACTCAGTTTGCCGCCTTGGAACACTCCGAAGATCTTTTCGTTCCATTGCATTGCTAGAAACTTGGGATGCTAGCGAAGAGAGCAAGAGGAGGTCAAAGGGCGTGTTTTACAACCGGGATCCGGCATGAGCTTTCGCACGGGATATTTCAATCGTACTCCAGCGCAGGGGGCGAAGATTGATCACCTCGTGGGGCCTGAGCGGTCAGGCCCCATTCTTAGCTTCCCTCGATGCATATGAGTGTTCAAGGACATCGCCAAGAATAGCCTATGACCGAGTCCATCCAGGTCTGGCTGGAAGCTTTGGCCCATCTCCTCAAGATTGGCTTCTCTCGGTTTCGCAAAGACTATTATCTTGGGAAATTTTGGGACCTGATTGTGCGAACCATTGAAGTCATACCAGGTGGCTTGGCCGGATGGGTTGTGTCGGATGGGGGCGGCTTAGGCCGGAGCATCTCCCAGTGTGACCCGTGGTGGCATTGATTCGGTCTTGGATGCAGGTGGCCGGTATAGATTTGATCACTCTCGAGACAACCAGTATGTTATCATTATCATAATCATGTATTATGGAACCAGCTGCAACTCGTCTAATGTACATCATTTTGTACAGCAATATACCTACCCAAAACATACGGAACTCGTCTCATCATAAAGCGGAATAGCCGCAACCCAACAGGCCCTGCGTCGTTGAACGAAACACGCGGGTTCAAGCCCGACCTTTGGAAAATAGGTACCATAAGCACCGTGAAACACCATAGCTATATAAGTCGAGAATCATCCACCACTCTCTTCGGAACGTGAAACCACTATCTTCGGTGGAAACTGAATCACTGGCGATACCGTTGTTGGACTGATATCCGAATTAGAGGAAGTAGATGTTGCTCTACTTCGTTGACTCGGCCTCCTATCCGACGGACGCAACTGTCCTCCAGTCCAATTTTCCGATAGCGACCCTGGAGAAAGGGACTGTGAAGTTGATGGCTCAAATAAGGCCCCGAGGGAGTTTGCGTGATTGGGACGAGACCTTGGCCGCGCAGGGGTTGGTGCAGGCACTGACTGCCGGACCGGACTGCGAGACATTCTCGAGCTTCCTTCTCCATTATCCACGGACTCTCTGCTGCTTATGAAGCTTCCTGCTCTTGAGCGGGTATCGGGTGTATGTGTGATTTGGTATTTGAGCTGTTGGCTTTGGAGTAATTTGTTCTTATATTCTTCTCCTGGTGTTGTAGGGTAGGTTGTTTTCGCGTCGTGGTTGAAACCTCCTCTCTCAATTTGTTTGTAGGCTTTGACTGCCATGAGAGTACTTGTTCTATTTAAGAATTGGGCAACCTTTCTTCTTCCCAGATCGCCTTCGGACTTGGAGTGAGTGGTGCTGGTTTGGTTGGTGGTATGGCGGCGCATGTTCGTCATGTGGATGTCGTCCGTACTTGTTCCAGACTCTCGGCGGGAACTGCTTCGTGTCTCTGAAGAAGCACAGTTACCGCAGTGTGCACATGGACCTGCGGTAGGTTCGTTTGGTTCTCCCTCTGGCTGGCCATATCTTTTGTCTTCGGCGTCCATATCAGCGGACAGGAGGAGATATAGTGATCCCAATGCAGCAAGTCCTGTACCAACGATTGGTGCCCATTGACCTTGAGATCCACTTGTTAATAACGTCTGACAAGCATGACGGGTCGAATTGAAGATAACAACTTACCAATGCTTTGTATTGGCTCTGTCTGGTATCTCACCTGATCGCTCCAAAAGTTCATTTCACCTTTGATAAGAATCGCAAGCACTGCTGCAGCAAATATCGGTATCCCAATGACAGTCAACCATCTTTTGATCTTCTCGCTAATTCCAGTCATTTTCTCAATGGTAGCTCCATTGGTTCCCTCGATGGGTTGGTTGGGTTCCAGCGCTATCCCATTCGAGGTCTTCTTCCCGTTATTGTCCAGGATCTTGATCCACATGGATATCAATGACAAGATTCCCGGAATGCAGCATGCAGCTGCAATGAGGGTTGCCGCATTGAAGGACAGCTCGGTAGGTACTGGAATCACAAAGATATTATCAGCTGCGTCTAGCCGCAGTGGTGAGCGTGGACCATCTTCCGGTGTACAAGCAATGCTACAGTTGGAACCATAGGTGAAGTTACCTGTTGCGGCCCAAGAAATGCTCGCTGGGTCATCAGCTGGGCAAACGATGGGTTCGAGGCGCATGAACTCCACAATCAAGCTGATTAGCCCGACCAGAAGAAGAACCGTCCACAAGAAGATGATATCTCGGCCCGGGTTATAGAAATAGGTTCGAGATATCCTCACAGTTGCAGGCGCGGTGAGGATGCCGATTGCGCACAGCTGAAATGCGCCATAAACATCCATATCAACGGCACCTGTGCGATGTTAGACTGTTTGATCATCTTGCTTGGTCGGAGCATGAGCAAATTCTTCACCCCGAGGTAGGGAATCCAGTTGGCTCACCTTCGACATGAAGCGCAGCAAGCACAATCCCGTGGAGCGCTGCGATAGCGGGAAAGAGTAGCACAGCGGCCAAGCAAGCATTCCGAATCCATTCATATTTGCGAGCGACCACACAGGCTGCAATTAAGACATAGTATCTGGGACGGGAGATCAGTATACTGTGATTGTAATGCTAATCTTTTGCCAGGGAACTTACAGGGCTCGTGTCCCCGGGCCATACTGACCGGAGACAGGCCAGGCGCAAACAACCTCAAGAGGCGAGGATTTCCCAGTCGCATTGAGGGATGATGCTGCACGGTGCACAAGAGCATGTTCTAAGACGGGAGCAACGGAAAGAATTGCCGGCATCGCATGTTATCCGCCTACGGCGATGGTAACGAGGGTAGAGTAGCAGAAACGCATATATTGACGTTCTGGTCTAATCTTGACGAGGGTCTCTGAAGGAAGTTCAATATGAGAACAAGGAAACGAGGATGGGAAGAAAAGAAAGAGCCTCCGGGCCGTCTTATCCACTGCGGACTAGATCGACTCTGATCGACAAAGCGAATAGGGCGCACCCCGGGGCTGCAAGCTGTTTCGTCAGCAACAGCCTCCTCCCGGGTTTATGAGCCTCCGCTTTGGCTAGGATTGGATGACCTCAAGAATCCGTCTATTATCGCCCTTAGTTTCTTGATTGAGGAGGTACTCCCGTGATCTTGACCGGGGCGGGCGCAGCATAACCCGGGCGCCAATACGAGATGGAGATGGGGCAAAGCCAGCTTCTGCTGATTGGCAAGTTGAGCTTTATCGTACATGTTGGACAGTGGCTGTGTCTGCAAGCACTCTCGGAAGTCTCCGAGGTGCAATATGTTCTCGAGAGGAGGGAGCTTTCAACATCTTTATAGTGTAGGAAATATTTAATGATCCAACTTTAAAGTCAACAAAGGGGGAAAGATTGGGTTTGATAGAAACGAACCATGGGTCGGCCAACACATGGACATCTGACTTCATAAATTGCCCGTGCGGGAACTTCGCCTTTTTCTCCAACAAGTCTCGCTTCTGCTTGGCATTTCTGGCGGGCTAACTCCATCTGATCCTTGAGCTAGTCAGATTGTCCTCAACGTGCTTGTGCGGTCTCTCTGTTTTCTGATTGACCTTCCCGTTTTGAGGCGCAAGCACAGAACCCCCAGACCCCCTCGAAATTTCTCCCTCCAACCCTTTGGGCCTTTATGACTGTACTGTACAACGGATCGATGGAACATTTGGGCTTCGCCCACTTCTTATGCATTTTAATAAAGCACGTCGTCCATCCGCGAGACCCCCTTTGAACACGGAGCTCCCTCACAACCCCAGGAATCTTGGCTGAGCCTTCATTAGCAGCTGGCTCCCGTTTCTCTCGCTCGCGACCCAAATCGCAATTTTATGAACTCATCGATCTGAAACCGAGGGACAATCTACTCTAGCTCCTCAAATCCTTAATCAGTCCTTAAGCGCCTCAGCGTTCAAGTACCAAGGGCAGAACTCTCCAACATATGATCTCCGGATCTTTAATTGGGTGAAAATACCAACACCCAAGATTGTCATATTTGTCGCTCTGTCGCGCGAGGGAAATGTTCCTCCCAAAATCTGACAACTGGATCTTGTTATAAAATTTTCTTGCCTGACATTCCGGTAATTGGTGACCAACCATGTTTGCAGGTGGCGGCGGCTGAAAGGACATTGGAGGCTGACATGATGCGCGACGACCACAGCTAGTATCCGGTGAATGGACTTGAGCTAGAAGCTCAACGACCATTTCGAACAGCCTGAGAGCAAGAGAAATTTTTCAAAATGGACGACGAACTCGACACATCGAAAATCAAAAGTTGGCGGTCAATCATTACTCTAATCATTTTTGTCATAACTAGTGAGTCCTTTTCGTCTACGCAGAGATTGTGACTCATGTTCACCAATTTTGAATACAGATATCATCGTGCTTTTCCCGTTTCATGTGCCCATATACCTTCCTCGATGGCTCGCGAACGGGGTTGTGGACACACTCAGTGCCTTGCGCATAATACCGCGCCGGATCAAAACCAGCGACCCCAATGCTAAAGAGAGCCGTTTCATCAGACTTCGCTTCCCATTGAACTTTTTGACAGCACCCCTGATAGCGGATCTCTTTCTTCTCGCTATTTTGGCTATTGGCCGACAAGAGGTACACGATGGCACTATCGGAACACACAGCATCTCGCCCATCGATATCATGGTCTTCTTCCTCACTCTTGCATACATCGCCATCTCGATTGACGCTTCCGGCCTTATCAGATACCTGGCTTTCAAAGTTCTCCAAAAGGCCGGTAAGGTTGGCCACCGGTTGTTTTTCTACCTATTTGCCTTCTTCTTTGGATTGGGCACCTTCATCGGAAACGACCCGATTATTCTGTCGGGTACAGCATTCCTTGCGTATATGACTCGAGTATCAAGCAACATCGTCCACCCTCGAGCCTGGATTCACAGCCAGTTTGCCATAGCCAACATCGCCTCCGCGATTCTTGTCTCTTCCAACCCGACCAACCTAGTTCTTGCTGGCGCCTTCAAGATCAAGTTCATTGTCTACACTGCGAACATGATTGTTCCAGTAGTTGTCACAGCAATCGTACTCTTTCCGTTCCTGCTGTACATTATCTTTGCCGACGAATCCCTCATCCCCTACTCCATCACAATGCACGAGCTGCCCGAAGGAGCCAAATTCAAACCGCCCGTCAACCCCAACATTCCGAATGCCAGAGGAAACGCAGAAGAGGAGGAAAAAGAAGGCGACGGGCCGGGACAGCAACTCTCGCTAGAAGAGATCATGAACCCCTTCTTGGACAAAACGGGTGCTGCCTTTGGCGCAGTCATCATGGCTGCCACTCTCATCACCGTCCTGGCAATCAACGCAGCGATCCAAAGGGACACAGAGGTTCCCGTTTTCTACGTCACCTTACCCGCTGCTTTCGTGATGTTTTGCTGGGATCTCGCATTCGGTTGGTTCCACCGCCACGAGACACGAGAAATCGCCGCCAAGGGTCGACGGGATATCGAAGACGCGCGGGCAGAGCGAGAACGGACAGGACAAAGCCCAGACACACAGACATTGGACCAGTCCGAGCAGTATGATGCTTCGGGCCTACGCCACCGCAGTGAACACACATATGACGAGCTCTCGCTTGACGCAGCCGACAGTAACACGGCCTCGAAAGCGCCTTGTTCAGAACCCGAGACTCCATTGTCGGTGTCTGTTCTCGTCGACAAAGAAAAGTTCCCGGAACTAGAGCTACCAGGGGGTGTTGCGAGGGACAGCAATAATCATGCTCGCCCGTCTTCTCCCGAACCATTGGACTCGAGACAGACTACCGAGACAACGACAGACGTGGAGAAACGCACGTATACTTATGAACGAGACACAGGACCCCCCACGTTGGTCTCACTCTGTGCTGATCTGTACCGCTGGTCACAAGAGACGTTCCCTACCGTGACGGTCGTAGTATCCCACATGCCATTCGCCCTGGTCCCATTCGCCTTTGCGATGTTCGTTCTAGTGCAGGCACTCGTCACCAAGGGCTGGGTACCCGTTTTCGCCTATGGATGGGACCATTGGGTAGAAAAGACAGGGACAGTAGGCAGCATCGGTGGAATGGGATTTATATCTGTGATCTTATGCAACGTGAGTATTTCCCTTCCCCTTCCCCTCTTTTCAGCTCGCTTCATCTCACCGCAGGCAAACCAGCTAACTCTCCTTCTCCATCCAGTTCGCCGGCACAAATATCGGCACCACAATCCTCCTCTCTCGCGTAATCCAAGCATGGCTACAAATCCACGAAGTCAGCGGCGTCCCGATCAGCGATCGCACATGGTGGGCTACTGTGTACAGCATGGCGCTGGGCGTCAATTACGGCGCTTTCAGCAGTGCGTTTAGCGCTTCGCTGGCTGGAATGCTTTGGCGGGATATTTTGAACAGGAAACATATCCGCGTTGGCAGTCTGGAGTTCGCTCGTGTTAACCTTCCTATTATTGCTATCTCTATGGTGGTTGGCTGTGCTGTGCTTGTTGGAGAGGTTTATATCGTTCGAAGTGATAAGCCGTATATTCCGGCTGCTTGAGTGGAGGGTTTTTGAAGGGCTTTTTTGTTGAAGGTTTAGAGTGTGCTCTGTTGGTTATAGATTATGATGATGCTTGGTTGGGGTGGTTTTCTTGTCCATTGGGCCTCTTCAACGCAACGATCTTATGAAGTCAATGAACCCGTTCTATGGTTTATGAAACTGTCAAACTGTTATGAAACTGTATCTGGGGAAGTATCATCGAGACATATTGTGAAGTCGTATTTTGTTGGATTTTATGTCATTCTCTGCCACTTTGATGGGACCTTGAGGAGGGATGTGCTGTGAATGGATTGGATGTAGACAAACATTCCGACCGGAGTTTGATCTTCGTACGGAGTAGATTCAAGACACTTGTCACACAAAGAACAAGGGAAGACCCGTAACTGGCAGCTCAAGTCCGAGGTGAGGCGCAGCTGTCTCACGCATGGACCAGTATATTAGGTACCTGCCTTGCCTAGATGCAGGTCTTTTGCCATTTAGGGATAGTCGGGGGCTAACTGTGCTGGAAAAAGGGGCACCTGGGGATACACATACAAGAGAAGGGAGGCTGCAATATAAGAGTTACGGATAGAACATGTCTACAAGATAATACTAGACGAGAACAGTGAAATAGAAACGAGTTCATTGAATCGGACTCTCAGAGTCCAGTGCCTCCGGGTACGCCATTCTGGTCTTTTTTTGGACTTCATAATCATCGTAATCATCCGTCGCATTTGCACAGTCGAGATCTCATCGAGAGATCAGATCGATCCGTACCTTGCCAGCATGCGCGCAGGGATAAGAAAAAACGTAATGGCCAAGGTCCATCATAGGTAGTATTGCACAAGGAAGAGAAGAAGGGTTCTATGAACAAGCAGAAAAAGGGGTAAATGATAAAACTGCGGTCCGCTGGACCCGGCAAAGATGGCAGATAGATGGTAATGTCAAACGAGTGACAGAATGGGTAAAAAAGGGCCTGTCTTCGAAGAGTTGAAAGAGTGCGTTCTTGCGAAGAGCAGGAAAGAAGTGGAAAAAAAGATATCAAAAAGAATGATAAAAGAAAGGAAAAAAAGGAAACAGTCGTCAAGACCATATCCACTTGCGCAATCTACCAGAGATGTCGTTCATACCGGGCCACGATCGACGCGACGATTTAGTTGATGTACCACTTGGCACCCTCGACACGACCCTTATCCATAGCGGCCAACTGACCGAACAGGTGACGGGACAGATCGATGGAGGTGTTGTCGCAACCCATGCACTTGTCAACGACGGTACCGGTGGCAGTCTGGCCGTTGTACTCGATGGTGACGGTCTTGCCGCAGTCACTGTCCTGCATGATACCGTGGGGAAGGGCAAGGACGTTCTCGACAGTGCCGTCGTTGGTGTTGCCGCAAGAGCTGGGGTTGGTGGCGGTGGTGGCAGTGTCGTAGAAGGTGATCATGCCTTCACAGGGGGAACCCTCGGAGCAAGCGCCGCCGCTACCGCTGCTGGCAGGGGCAGGAGCCGGGGCCGCAGCACGGGCGGTGGCCTGAGGAACGGGAGCCGGGGCAGCGGAGGTGGTCTCTTCCTTCACGACGGGCTCGGGGGCGGAGTAAGCCTGCACGACGGGAGTGGTGGGAGCGGGAGCGGCGGTGGTGGAGGAGGTGGTAGGCTCGGCCTTCACAACCTCCTTAGCGGGTGCCTGAACGGTAGGAACGGTAGGAGCCGGGGCAGCAGTGGTGGTAACGGCAGCGACGACGGGAACGGCAGTGGTGGTGGCCTGGTAAGGCTGAACGGTGGTGGTGACATCGACGGTGGTCCAGACGATGTCGGTGACGGTCTCCCAAACGACGGCGCGTTTAGCGACGGGAGCCGAGTAGCCAGTCAAGGCGAAGAAAGCGCCAGCAAGGGCGAGAGTCTTGGTGATGGGAGCCATTTCGAAAAGTAGCGTAGAGAGAGAGAGAGTGTGTGTGTGTGTAAGGACTGATCACTGCACAGCAGGAAGACAGAAAAGGCACTCGAAAGGAGGGAAGTGCGAAAGAAGTTGAAAGGACCGAGGTGGATGGAGAAGGGAAAGTTGGATCGGGGGGAGAGTCTCGATTTTATAAATCCCGGCCACGGCGAGAGCGTGCAAGTGGGTCTTGACTTTATTCTTATTATTTTCTTCTCTCAGTCTACACAGTCTACACTCTACTCTCAGTACTCTCAATCAAATCATTCAATCCTTTTGATCTCCCTCTATTCTTCTCATTCCAATCACAGCCTTCAGGTACCTGAACCGAAGGTCCCGACTGTATCCCATTGGGCCCAACCCTACAGGGGCTCAGTGAATACGACCGAGACTGTGGCTTAGGATCCACCGGTACCTGAGTGGACCGGACCAGGCTTTCCCTCTCAAGAGGATATCATATCCGATCTCTTCCACATTGTCAACTCATATTTTCTTCCGCCTTACAAATGACGTGTCAGTACAGAGTGCAGTCTGCCATTCCACACTGTCTGACGTGTATAGTGTATACCCACTACCCAGTCACACAAAAGACGATCTCTCCATGAAGCTTGGCTTCTCCACCTTGGTCTGGACTCGTTTGCAGGATTTTCTTTGTGGATAAAGTGCCGATCGGGAGAGATCGCACATCTTCAAGCCTCTTCTCACTAGACATCAGTCTAGACTTGAAATATTCGTCTCTCTGTACGGAGTAGTACTTCGTATCTGTATCTCCCAGCCCTAAACCAGCCCGGCCTCAATGCAGGGCACGACATAGCTAAACATAATTAGGTCCACATGAGACAAAGACCTTGGTTTTCAAATTATCTCGCAAGCTAGCGCAATCAGACCCTTTGTACCTTTGACTGTAACCTCTACATTCCAGGCCCGACCGTCCCCTCTTCAGAGAATACATGGTACAGAACTCGAGGATTTGGTTGGCATCCATAGCGACTTCGTTTCGTCCAGTCCCCTGCGCTCCACTTCACCGATGATCCTCCCGGAATTGGACGGGGTGACCATGGGTTTGCATACTGCGTGGGAATGGGGTTCAGGTTCATGAGGGGTTTCATGTCTTGTGTGAGCAGTGATGAAAGCTATTGTGAAATAACGGGGAGGCTAGATCTTGCATTCACATAGATAGGATAGCCGATAGTTAATTCAAAATCATCCTCCATATCTGAACTCTCGACTCGAAACTGAATATTACTGAGTCAAAGAACAGAGAATTCTTTCAAACTCTTCAAACCCCACAAGAAATCACCTTGTAAGTGTGGCAAACTATGAAGCATGTGGCTTGGGGTACCCATTCGAACCAGACGAACGCAGTGGCTCCCGGTGGATCCATGAAGGCGTTTCAGGTTGTCATTGATCCATCTTACCTTCTTAAGTTCTTGCCCTTTCTGGGGAGATAAGCGATTGGTCGGGGCCTCTTAGCCTTAGGTTCTAGGTTTTTGCCATCGCCGGATGGGGAAATAACGTTTGATGTGGCTCAGGACTTCGGCAGAGCTTCATTTTGGTAGTGAGGCTCATGAAAGGGAACGACTACTCAATTTAATGTGAAGAAAGTATAACATTGACTTGCCAAATAAGTAGTAAGAAATCCAGATCATAACCCACGCCGAAACACACTGAGGAAACAGAAAAAAAAAACAAAGTCCATCAAAATCATAATATGAGTACACGTACTAAGCCGCGATGAAGGCATGCACAATCGCGAAAGAGAATATCCAAAAGCTTCAAACAACAACCTTAACCCTGGCACATGATACAGGCATCCTTGTTCTCAATGCTACACTGCAAAGCCGCATCCGAGTAGATATCACCCTCGCCGGCCTTGCTCTCAGCATCCTCAGGCTGGGCTTCGGCCTCATCAGCCTTGGCCTCGACAGCGGGGGTGGCAGCAACCGGTGCAACCACAGTGCGCGGGTTCTCGTCAATAGGGGCGATGACCTTGGTGGGAGCGGCATCGACGCCCATGGCACGGGGAATAGCAGAGTAGGCAGAGGCGCCAGTACCACCGACACGCTTCTTGGATCGAGCGACGTTGGTGTCCTCCACCAGAAGCTGCTCCTGGTCGACGGTGAACTGGATAGGGGCGGAGGCGGCCATGGTACGGAGGTAGTACATGCCGGTCTTCAGACCCATCTTCCAGCCGGCAAAGTGCATACTGGTAAGCTTGCCCATGGTAGGCTCCTTCAAGTGGATGTTGAGGGACTGCGACTGGTCAATGAAGGCACCGCGGTCGGCGGCCATCTGCAGGATGTTGCGCTGGGAGATCTCCCAAACCGTCTTGTACAGCGCCTTGATGTCGGCAGGGATGTTGGGGATGTTCTGCACGGAGCCACCGTCGGCGATGATGCGGTTCTTCATGTTGTCCGACCACAGGCCGAGGTCGACAAGATCCTTCAGGAGCCAGGGGTTGACAACCTGGAACTCACCAGCCAAGACACGGCGGGAGTAGATGTTCGAGGTGTAAGGCTCGAAGCACTCGTTGAAGCCGAGAATCTGACTGGTACTGGCAGTGGGCATGGGAGCGACCAACAAACTGTTGCGGACACCAGTCTCGGCAATCTTGGCCTTCAAAGAAGCCCAATCCCAGAGGTCGGTCGGGGTGCGATCCCACATGTCGTACTGCAGAATGCCCTGCGAGACGGGAGAGCCCGGGTAGGTCTCATAAGGGCCCAGCTCCGCGGCAATATCAGCGGAGGCAGTCAGAGCACCGTGGTAGATGGTCTCGAAGATCTGAATGTTGAGCTGTCTAGCCTGAGGGGAGTCGAAAGGCAAACGCAGAGCCAGGAAAGCATCGGCAAGACCGTTGACACCCAGAGCGATGGGGCGGTGACGGAAGTTGCTCTTCTCGGCCTCGGGGACCGGGTAGTAGTTGATGTCAATGATCTTGTTCAGGTTGCGCACCAGAACCTGCACGACCTCGTGAAGCTTGCCAAAGTCATACTCGCCACGGGCAGAGTCGACAAAGGTGGGGAGTGCGAGGGAAGCCAGGTTGCAGACAGCCACCTCGTCGGGGGCACTGTACTCGATGATCTCGGTACACAGGTTGGAGCTGCGAATGGTACCCAGGTTCTTCTGGTTGCTCTTCTTGTTGCAAGCATCTTTGTAAAGCATGAAGGGGTTGCCAGTCTCAGTCTGGGCCTCGAGAATGGCATACCAGAGCTTCTGAGCCTTGATGGTCTTGCGGCCACGGCCCTCCTTCTCGTACTTCTCGTAGAGAGCTTCAAACTCATCGCCGTAAACATCAGCCAGGCCGGGGGCCTCGTTAGGGCAGAAGAGAGTCCAGTCACCGTTGGCCTCAACACGCTTCATGAAGAGATCGGGAGTCCACAGAGCGTAGAAAAGATCGCGAGCACGAACCTCCTCCTTACCGTGGTTCTTGCGCAGATCAAGGAACTCGAAGACATCGGCGTGCCACGGCTCCAAGTAGATAGCAAAGGCACCAGGACGCTTGTTACCGCCCTGGTCCACATAGCGTGCGGTGTTGTTGAACACACGCAGCATGGGGACAATGCCGTTGGAGGAACCGTTGGTTCCGCCGATGTAAGAACCAGTGGCACGGATGCGGTGGACGTTCAAGCCGATACCACCGGCGGTCTTGGAGATCATAGCACAAGTCTTCAAAGTGTCATAGATACCCTCAATGCTGTCCGCGCTCATGTCAACCAGGAAGCAAGAAGCAAGCTGGGGCTGAGGGGTAGCAGCGTTGAAGAGAGTGGGGGAGGCGTGAGTGAAGTACTTCTGGGACATCAAGTGGTAGGTCTCGATAGCCTTCTCAATGTCCTCTCCGTGGATTCCGACAGCAACACGCATCAGCAGGTGCTGGGGACGCTCAGCAACGTTTCCGTTGATCCGAAGAAGGTATGAACGCTCGAGAGTCTTGAAGCCGAAGTAGTTGTAGTTGAAGTCACGGTCGTAGACAATGGCGGAGTTGAGCTCCTCGGCATGCTTCATGACAATCTCGTAGTGCTGCTGTGAGATCATAGGAGCAGGCTTATTGTTCTTGGGGTTCACATAGTGGTAAAGATCAGAGATGACCATGGAAAATTGCTTTTTTGTTTGCTTGTGGAGGTTTGACACAGCGATACGTGCAGCCAGGATGGCATAGTCGGGGTGTGTGACGGTCATGTATGCGGCAGTCTCGGCGGCCTGGGGTTGTGGTGTTAGTGTGGTCCTAATATTAAGATAAAGCGAGCCAACATACCAAGTTATCGAGCTCAATGGTGCCAACACCCTGGTAGACGCCGGAGATGACCTTCTGGGTGATAGCTGCGGCATCGACGTGCTCAGGGTCGAGGCCATAACAGAGCCTCGAGACACGTGCTGTGATCTTGTCGAACTGCACGCGTTCTTTGCGTCCATCTGCATTTTGATATCGTGTCAGTTCAGGAACTAACGCGTGTGGCAAGACTGGTGGCTGTGGCAAGATGCAGGGAGCACGGGATAACCCTTGCCACCAATGCCCCTCGGACTACCAGACGATTGTGTATTCACTTACCTCTCTTGTAGACGAACATTTTGATAGGGATGAGGTGGCGGTAAAGGCTGAAAAGAAGAGAGGAGTGAACAGGGGTATCAAGATCACAGAAGGAAGACTGTTGAGGTAGTATTAGGTTATAGAAAAGTGAGGAAGATGAATATTGAAGCCCGTAGAGGGGTGTGAGAAGAAGAAGAGACCAGAGGGGCAGAGGAATCTTTGGTTGCTGAGTGGACGCGTTGTCTTTTCGCGTGTGCCCGCGTTTTTTCAGCTTACCAACCTCCAGTACAGCCCCACTCTGTTCCCCCAACACGTCGTCCTGCCTGGCAGAAAAACATCAATTGATACCACTTACGGTTAGTACTGTTACATTCAATGCCTAGTGGGAGGTTACTAGCGGGGTTCAGGAAGGCGGTGTAAGCTGAGAACAGGCGGTGAGAGTAATCCTTGCATCCGAACCACAAAGGTCGCGAATGGTCACGTGGACACGCGCAGGACAATCTTGAATCATCAATGGCCGGCCTGGGATGTTCCGAGCTCAGATGATTTATGGACCACGCTGCCATCGTCAGATCAATATCATATGCACCTTCCGGAGGCCTGATCGCAACCCTTACTTGCGCTATGCATCGATGAGGTGGATCTCCTTCTGATCTTCTACCAATGGGCCGGCGCACCAAGCGACCTCGACAAACTCATTCATTCTACATGTACTCTGTACGGCAAGATACTTGCCACAGTAGCCAAACTGTGACAGACCAATGATTGATTCTTAAGTTTCCGTTTACAAGGACTGGCAGTTTGCAACTGGTTCAGCTAAATTGCATTCAAGACTGTTCCGTCATAAAACAGAGCACAGAAATCAACGCGACTCCGGCAAATGGCAATATTAACTTCGAGGGACCCCGAGTTGATACAAGACAAGCAAAACAAATTAGAGAGTTCAAAGCAGTTTCCTCAACAACAATTCAAACCAGGTCGAAAGCAGCGACTTCGAAGCTAATAATTTATGCTCACATCGATAGCCGCATTACCATGCTCTCGGTTATAGTTGTGTTCTCACAGCAAAGCAGCGGCGCCGAGGAAGATAGCAGCTACAAGGCTGGTAGCAGAGAACTGACGGTCGGAGGAGGCGGCGTTGAAGGTGGAGGTAGCTTCCGCAGCACCCTCGGTCCCAGTGGCAGTGGCACCGCCAGCACCAGCGCCCGCGCCAGAAGTTCCAGTAGCGCCACCGGCACCACCACCAGCACCACCACCAGCACCACCAGTACCAGTAGCACCAGTACCAGTAGCACCAGCACCGCCGCCAGTGTGAGTAGCAGTGACGAATCCGGTAGCAGTAGCGCTGCCACCAGTAGCGCTGCCAGAGGTAGCGGTCATGACAGCAGACGGCTCTAGAGAGTAGATAATAACAATGGTTAGTGACTGACACAGTGATACAATGACAGCTTTTGAATGTGTGTAAATCCTTACCAATCTTGTGGCCAAGCTGGGCGCAGTTGCTGACGAAGAACTTCAAGGAGGTCTCGCTGTCGGGGCAGCTCTTGGAGATATCGGACTGGATCTTGCCGGCGCTGGGGCCGCAGATAGTCTTCGCATCGGCCGGGTTGGCTTGGTTGCTGCAAATCATTAGCTCAGGACTCCACGGGCCGCACATTCCTTCCCCCCTTCCATTCCTTCTTCGCACTTACCCGATGATCTTGAGAACGCAGGCGGGGGTCTGGGGGTTGCCAGCGGCCACGACGTTAGTCAGAGCCATAGCGGCAACGACGAAGATGGACTTGTTGAACAGCATGATGAACGATTGGAAACGGTTGATCGGTAAAAGACTGGATAAAGATCGCACAGCGACTTTAGAGGAGTTGAAAGAATGTGGTTTGCTGAAGAGCGACGGAGAGAGTGTATAGGCGAGAAAATGAAGGACAAAGAGTGACGAAGTGGAAGGAGGATAAGGTCTGGACCAGAGGAAACGGGGGGGGAGAAATCGGCAGGTTTGTTGTAGCCCAATCTGGAAGCCACGATTGGGGGTGGTCCCGTGGTACAGGATCGGTAATGTTACACCCAGGGTCCCTGAGTGAGATGTACTCAAATACGGCATTATCAGTGGAAAGGGTACTTTACAATACACGTTATTTATTTACACGCTGTGTTTTATTCCCCATGCCTTGTCGCACTTGACTCCCAAAGCAGGTTAGCGTCAGGGACCCGTCCCCAGATATAGGGGAGAGGTCTCGGAGATCTCAATTCATTGGAGGTGAGGCATATGGATGTATGTGAGCCGATTGTACTACCTGATGGTCAACTTCATCTTACGGTGGTATTCAATAGGGTTTGGGTGAAACAATCAATTTTTCGATATTTTGAAATGTCTTAGTGGCGATCCACATGGAGGTTAGACCTAAACTTCGAGCTCTATTAATAACTTCATTTCCTCAAATCAGACAATGGGAGTACCAGAATCACCAAGCCAAAGACGCGTGGTCTGTTCAGGATGTTCAAAATTATAAGATTCATCAGGATGGCTGTCCCACGGTCACACTACAAGTTCCGAGAGAAGCAGTCGTCTCTGGAGGTAATTAGGCTTCGTGATGTCGCGGTGCGATACTAACTATTACCGCTACACCTCGGGAGTTCGTTAACAGTGATATCAGCATAATACTATTAACAGGACTCTAGAAATTCTAATCATTCGTGCCAGCGGTCCCCCAGCATCCATGGGTATCACTTCTCAATCACTCGTCATGACTTCTCCCAAATTGGATCGAAGATACTCGAAACAACCTCCTGCACCGGCAATCTCTCCTCGACAATCTCCTTCCCATTGACCAGATCATTCTCTCTGGCCCTCTTATCCGCCTCCTCCGCATCTTTCGCAATGCCAGCCTTAATATGTCTCAGAACCAACCGCTTCCTCGCAACCTCAAAGTCAACATCCACAAACCAGAGCTCATCCATCAGCGCAGCAGCCGTACTCCACGGCTCTCGATTCAAACTCAGATAATTGCCCTCGAAGAAGACCACCCGACAATCCGCCGGAATGACAATATCCCCATCAACAGGGTCCTTGACAGCATGGTCGAAGCTAGGAGCGTAGAGATTGACCGTCTGCTTGTGAATTGGTTGTCGCAAATCACGAACGAGCGACAAGAACTTCTCGCCATCGAATGTAAAGGCAGCGCCTCGCCGTGCTGCCGCGTAGACCGGGTCTGGCATGGCGGCCAGCTGTGCGCGCGTCAGGTGGTATCCATCCATTGGAATGGCAATGGCTATCGGTCTTGGACTAGGGCTGGTTATGTTCTCGGAGGCGTGGATTTCGTTAATGCGCGTGGCCATCATGGTTGCTAGACCTGTCTTCCCGGAGCCTGGAATGCCACTGATGGCTACCATGATGCGCGCATCGTCCGGAGTCGAGCAATATTTGACTGTGGTGTTTGTTAGCATGATAGACATGGCGGTGGTATCGTAATTGAGTAATTTGCGTATCATAGAGGCGGTGTTTCGTGCATTCGTGGGAGAGGGCGACGGTTCACTTACCCCAGATCTTGTTGACGAGTCGGGTTACTTGCTGATCCATGGTGGGGGAGACGATGGCGGGGTCACGCTGGGATCATATATGTACGACAATGGATGGGAGATAATGTCGGACAGGAAAAATCAATCTCCTGTCACTCAAACTCAAGATGAAGGTGTCCCTCTGGGGTGGTTGCGCAGAATGCTATGATACAAGAGGACTGGGTTGTGTTGAAGAGGTGTCAAAGATTGGGTTGAGTGAAATGTCCGACTCTCACAATTGCAATTTACATAGACATCCTTATCATATGACTCAAGGTCGCTGGACTATGTGCGTTAGATAGCGCGTTGGCTCTCTGATTGAGTGGGGACTTCAGTCCTCCGAGGGGTACGTCACTGAATCGGTCAGTTGGTTAGTCATTGCGGAGTTCATCCTGTTCCAACTGAGGGCTCAACTTACGGTACATAGTTAACAACAGTTTCTGTTGTAGTTCGTGATCGTCTTCATCTTGCGTACTTATTCCCCACATACAAGATAGGGACTTTTCGTAAAGCCTCTTAGGAGGTAACCATTGTCTATTTGTACAGTGGATGCTAACAATTAGACACAGGTCAAATTATTCATACATGAAAAGAATGCTGTCAAATACAGCCGGGGAAACCTCTCAACGCCATAACCAAACATATTTTGCAGCCAGTGCAAAACTCGCTATCAAGATAGATTGTAAAATAACCCATGTAAGAATCCCACAAACGCCATGGTGTCATTATCAAAATTCGCATCATTCAACATCCAGATGTGTGCTCAATTGTCACCGCGAGTTGTTCGCGAAGGGCCCTCGATATCGGTGGAATCCATACTGGAATTCAGACCACGGTCAAGGGTACGTGAAAGGCCAGCAGCCGCCCACCAGTCGTCGGGAATATCCTCACGGCGAGCAAGTCGATCCAGGATGACCTGCATGTGGTGGAGTTCGTCGTCCTGATTTTGATCCAAGAGTGTCGCGATGGTAGGAAAAGGGGGGTGTCTACTGATGGTTGAGCGCTGAGAATGGAGCCTCCGACGATTTGCTAGGAACTGGTTGTAACTGATCGGGGGTTCTTCATCATCGGAGGAAAAGTCGCAATTGAGGCTGTCAAGTAAGGGCTGAATTCGGAACTCGGCACGGTTGGCAGCAGCTTCGATCATCGGCCCGCTGAGAAAGTCATGAGGAACATCGTTGCGTGGGTCATCAGCAGCAGGGGCAGAATTAGAGGCGAAGGATGTGTCGGTTGAGGGGGGAGTCGCGTCGGGAATCATGGTCAACAGTAAGGTCTGCCAGTCCCCGAGGTTGCGGTCTCCATCTGGACTGGGACTGCGCTGGCGATCTCCCAGCCCATCCGTGATCGGGTCTCGGGCCGGGCGACTTTGTGCATGGCTGGAGCGGCGAGCGCGTATTTCAGTACCGCGGATCTCAGGCGGGAAGAAGGCGTTGGCGGGGAGTTCGCGTTCATTTCGATCCTCCCAGTCACGCATAGGAGGAAGCTGAACGCTGGCGTCCGGGCGGGTGGAAGAAGCGCTACTGTGGTATCCGAGAGCGGGGGCGAAATTTGGAGTGTAGGATGCGACACTCCGAGAGTGACCATCCACGCGAGCAAGGAGGTCGGTCAAGGCTTGGTGGCGAGAAGCCCTTCGTTGAGCATCTGACTGTCGGGGAGTCCGTTCATTCCCACGCGAAGTAGCCCGGCTAGCAGCTTCGCGTTCGGCCTGTTCGTAGGTCATTCCATTAACACCACCATCGCTCGACCCATTCGGTGGGATCAACGAAATCCGCGACACACGCCTGGGTTCGCCAGCGCGTCGGAGCTCGTCAATGATTTGTGATTGGAAGGAAGACATGATATTAGAGCGACGCGCGCGGGAGCCAGTGTGGCGCAAGGTCGGTCCTCGGCGAATAGATGAGCGCGCAGCGGCGGAAGAGTCCTTCTCCAAAGCAGACCTGGAGTCTTCGGTCTTGGAAGGCTCACGCCACATCCTGGATAATGAAGTCAGCAATGTCTCCCGAGACAGTGGCTTTCGCGATAATATGTCGCGCCAATATAAGGATGGGGACAAATTTACGGGATACCCATCTTGCTTATCACGTAGACAAAAGAAGAAGAAAAAGGAATGAATGATAAGTGAACAAGAAACACGAACAAGGACCAAGAGGAAAGACTATGATGAATGAAGTAAACGAGACCTGCGATAAAGGTGGAGATAGGTTATGGAGACGCGGAAGATTGGGGGATTTTTGATCAAACCTGAGGCCTGAGGCTGAGGTGGCTGGACGATCACGTGATAGTCCAAAATTCGCCGCGCGGTCAGTTTCGGGGAACATTAAAGAGTCAACAACAATAAGCCCACCTCGCTCTGATCTAGGTGGCTTTACATTTCTTATTGACAATGGATACTTGACTGTTCAAGCTGTCTGTCATCTTTGATATTGTGCACCTGGTAATGTCAATTGAGCTCCTAATACTCGAGTCACCTCCACACTACGTCTGGAGAAATGATTGAGCTAGGATTGAATCGAGTCGCAAGTCTGCTTCAGCAGACTCCGCTCACATGGAAGGCCATCCACATCGCCGGAACCAACGGTAAAGGGTCTATCAGTGCCTATCTCTCCCACATGTTATCCCGCGGAGAAGTGCGTTGCGGTCGCTTCACTTCCCCGCATTTAATTGATCGGTGGGACTGTATCACGATCGGAGAGAATGTGGTCCAGGAATCCCTTTTCCGACAGATCGAAGACCAAGTCAAGCTGCGAGACCGAACCCTGGGCATCGGTGCCTCCGAATTCGAGCTGCTGACGGCAACAGCATTTGAGATATTCAACCATGAACAAGTCGAAGTCGGTGTGGTTGAGGTGGGCATGGGAGGGCGTCTAGATGCAACGAACGTTCTCAATAATGTTCTTGTATCAGTGATTACAAAAATAGGCGTGGACCACCAGGCCTTCCTTGGATCAACGATCGAGGAGATCGCTCGTGAGAAAGCGGGCATCCTCAAGCCTGGAGTTCCCTGTGTGGTGGACTATACAAACAGCCCGGAGGTGATTGAAACCGTGAAGGAACGTATTCAAGAGTTGGGTATCGAGTCCACCTTCGTGTCGCCCGCTCGGGTTACCGAACAAATTCCAGCACTTGCACCTTACTTTGAAAAACTTGATCTCGAGCCTCACCAGCAAGCCAACATGTGCTGCGCAGTATCTGCACTTCGCCTGGCCCTCTCTCAACTTCGGCCACAGATGGACGCCTTCTCTTTGCTTCCATACCTGGCCGATGTAACCTGGCCCGGCCGTTTGCAAGAAATCGTGCTTCAACCTCTAATTGCTCGTGCAGAGCCCGTGCTGCTAGATGGTGCCCACAATGCCCAATCTGCCGAAGTTCTCGGTCGGTATGTGGACCGCAGAATGCGTGCTCAAGGAAAAGCAATAACCTGGGTTGTTGCTGCATCAAGTGGGAAGGATCTGGCCGGGGTATTTGGCTCCATTATCCGCCCTGGGGATCGCGTCGCAACTGCTGAGTTCGGTCACGTCGACGGAATGCCCTGGGTTAAACCAACTAACGCCAACGAACTTGCCTCCTCTATTCAAGCTATCCAAAACATTGGGCAAGTCCGGAGCTTTGAGGGTGATCTACACCCCGCTCTCCAATGGGCCAGTGCGGAAGCTCAAGGGGGTCCCCTCGTCATTGCTGGTAGCTTGTACCTTGTTTCCGATGTGTTGCGCCTTCTCCGCCAAAAATGATACCCTGTATACGCGTCGCGATCTATGTAAATAAATAAACGCGGAATAACTACAATCTGTTCATTCTACAAGCCACTCGGAGCCATATCTCTAAACCAAATAATTGTAGTGATTCGAGTAGAGATCTTGTCTTAGTATCGTAGGGCTGATCGGCGATTATCCAGCACAGCCTGCATGATGCGGGTGGAGCACGAAAGTTCAAAACAACCATCTTTTTGCGGTCCACCCCCTCCACGCTCTCGCATCGCTTCTAACTTTATATTCCTCGGAATTCTGCAGGTCACTTCTATTCATCTGAAGACCTTACATGCACCCCAACTTGTCGAGAAAGCGGCTCTCGTGGGCGTGAGAGCTGAAGTGCTGTAATGTCCGCTTGGTGAGACCATCCCCCATTCAATGCGGAGAAGCATCTGCGATGCGATTGTGCTCAAGTTCCTCGGACTAATTGAAAGTTCTGATTGCTAGACCACATGGACATGAGCTCTGACACCGTTCCCATCAGCTCTTGCCTCCTTCCCCGGCTTTCATCCCACCCCCCTCTACGCGGAACCACATTCTGAGGCCAACAACTCGCTTGGATACCTACTGGAACACCATCGGATTTGGTTTGCTACAATATGGTTGCTCGGCCCGGCGAAGGCAGCGAGGGGCAGCCTCGTCCTCTTACCCCATCCTCAAGGACCCCCGGGACCCCGATCAAGCCGCGATTAACCCGAGTCGGAACGAGTCCAACAAAGCGCGAAGAGAAACCGAAGGATGACAAAGTACTGAAATCGTCTGCGAGAGATGTTGCGGAGCTCAAGGACTATGTATGGATATGGCGCCCCTGTTTCCCCGCAAATGTGGATTTGAGCGGATGCTGACCTTGGTAGCAACTGGGCGACTGCCTTGGGAAAGGTGCATTCGGTTCTGTGTATCGGGCATTAAACTGGAATACTGGAGAGACGGTCGCCGTCAAGCAAATCAAATTGACTGATCTCCCGAAGAGTGAATTGCGTGTTATCATGGTATGGTATCAGATCATCTTCTGTCGTCTAATGTTGGCTAATGCGTGCAATAGCTTGAGATTGACCTTCTGAAAAATCTCGATGTGAGACATCCTGTCAAATGAACTACGTTGAGAGACACCTATACTGACCTCGATGCAGCACCCGAACATTGTCAAGTATCATGGATTCGTGAAATCTGCTGAAACTCTGAACATCATTCTAGAGTAGGTCTCCCCGAGCACAAGTCCAGACACAATCCTGATGGTTTATAGGTATTGTGAAAATGGCTCGCTGCACTCCATTGCAAAGAACTTTGGACGTTTCCCCGAGAACCTCGTGGGTGTTTATATGTCCCAGGTTCTCCATGGTCTATTCTATCTACATGAACAGGGTGTCATTCACCGGGATATCAAAGGTGCGAACATTCTGACCACAAAGGAAGGACTCGTCAAACTGGCAGATTTCGGTGTGGCGAGTCGGACCACAGGCTTGAGTGAATCGAGTGTGGTTGGGACACCGTACTGGATGGCCCCCGAAGTCATTGAGCTTTCAGGCGCAACAACTGCTTCCGATATCTGGAGTCTAGGATGTACAGTCATCGAGTTACTCGAGGGGAAGCCCCCTTACCACAACATGCAGCCCATGCCAGCATTGTTCCGTATCGTGAACGATGACCACCCTCCGTTCTCGCAGGGTGCCTCGCCAGTATGATCTCCTCAATTGATCCGAGAATGTATGCAATACTGACTGTCTCTAGGCAGTCAAAGATTTCCTCATGCAGTGTTTCCAGAAAGACCCCAACCTTCGAGTCTCAGCAAAGAAATTGCTTAAGCATCCGTGGATACTCAATGCAAGGAGAACCGAATCAGTCATCCCCAAGAAGTCGACGGAGTATGAAGAGGCCGTTAAGAGTGTCCAAGAATGGAATGAGGCTCTACGATCACCAGAGACAGGGACTTCGAAGAAGAAGCAGAGACCAGATCACCCCAGTGTGGCTGGCGTAGCATCTTCTCGCAATAATCCACTTGTCGATACCCTGCCATCGCCAACCTCCATTAAATCTACGGATCGGTTTCGTTCGCCTGAGTTGGCCGGTGATGACAACTGGGATGATGACTTTGCTACTGCGATCTCTCCTAGTGCACTAAAGTTGCCGCATCTGCGACCGCATGATAACTTTGGGGGCATGCTCTCTTCGGAAAGACTCAAAGCGTTTGCCTCACTTGACGGAACTATACTCAAATCGGATGAGGACTTTGAGGGTTTTGAAAACTCGGGATTCTCGGACGAAGATGATCTGCAGACCATTCGACCATATCCCAAAACCTCTGTAGCAGAGCCTTCCAAGTCTCAGAGCTCTGCACTATCCCAGCTTCGTTCCAATGCGCCTGTGTCGGCATTGCAAAATGTCCCGATCCTCACGCAAAATCCCAAGCCGAGACGCACTCGTACTCGCCCGACTAATCTTTACAAAGAGAATTCGGTCGATGATTACTCTGATCTAATCATGGCTAATGAGGATGTACTTGATCGAAAGCTTGGTAATTATCAGGTAAAGGAATTGGCAATGTTTACATGCACTTGTATGAAACTAACTATTTCCAGGATTTCGAAGACGATCCATCATCACCCATTCATGAGAACATCGGATACAACCAACTGGATGACGATCTTGGTGGCCCGCATCCGCAACTGCGCAAGCAGCTTTCTGTGAAGCGAGACCGTTCTAGCATCGAGATTCAGCGGTTTGCAGAGAATGAAAACGATGAAGACTTCTCTGATATTCTTGGGGCCAGCCAAGCTGCTCTTGACCAGTGTGGGAGCGATAATGGCTCAGACCAGAGTACATTGATGCTGAACTCCAAACTGTCCAACTCATGGCTCGGCGACCAAGAAGACGAAGATGATCCCTTTGCGCAATTGGAGGAAGGCTTTGATGAAGTCGATCTGGAGGAAAACATTGCACGGGACAAATATGCACGTCTTCGCAACCAAGTTGAGGGTCTTGTGGACTCTCTCAAGACATCGCAGGATGAAGACGTTCTCGCAGAGATTTCTGAGCAACTGTTCACGATCTTCTGTGATCTCCCAGAGACCAAGAACATCATCATCAGTGCTCACGGCATGTTGCCCATTCTCGAGATTTTAGACACCACTCGCCGGCGTGATATTGTCTTCTGTCTTTTGAGGGTTGTCAACGCAATCATCTACGATGACTATGAGGTTCAAGAGAATCTTTGCTTCGTGGGAGGAATTCCTATCATCAATGAATTCGCATCCAAGAAATACCCCCGCGAAATTCGACTTGAAGCTGCAGCTTTCGTGCAGCAGATGTACCAGACTTCGACTCTGACTCTCCAGATGTTTGTCAGTGCTGGAGGCTTGAATGTCCTGGTTGAGTTCCTAGAGGACGACTATGAAGATGAACGCGAACTGGTCTTGATTGGCGTAAATGGAATCTGGAGCGTCTTCGAGCTGCAGGTAAGGCCTCACCTTCTGTTCACTTTGCTTTTGTCTCTAATCCGGTCTCTTCATAGGGTTCCACTCCAAAGAACGACTTCTGTAGAATTTTGTCACGCAACTCCGTCCTTGATCCCTTGTCACTGGTTCTAAGCCGTGCTTTGGATGAAGATGGAGAGTTGACAGAAGTCATCGAGGGCCGTATTGCTAACATCTTCTTCATATTCTCGCAGGCCGAGAATCATGTGAAGGAGATGGTCTCTGAACGGACAGTCTTGCACAGTAAGATCTCTTGCACAAGGAAACCCTGTTACACTTTTTGCTAACCACTGATAAAGGAGTTTTGAAAGAACTGAAGCGAATGAGCCCGGTTCACCAGATCACGATGTTGAAGTTCATCAAAAATTTGTCCATGCTCTCGACTACTCTAGATTCACTCCAAAATTCCAACGCCATTGATGTCTTGACCGATTTGCTTCGATCAAACCTGAAGCAGGCACACTTCCGGGAGCTCTCGAACCAAATTCTCAACACCATTTACAACATGTGCCGCTTGAACAAATCTCGGCAAGAAGATGCCGCCCTCAACGGCATTGTACCGCTTCTGCAAAAGATAGTACTTACGGAGCGGCCGTTGAAGGAGTTTGCCCTACCAATTCTCTGCGACATGGCACAATCCGGCAAAGTTGGTCGCCGGGAGCTATGGCGCAACAAGGGCTTGGGCTTCTATATCTCTTTGCTCTTGGATCCATATTGGCAAGTCACTGCCTTGGATGCTATTTTCACATGGTTTGTCTCTCGTTCTGAAAGCGTAGCTGGTCTCAAAACTAACAGTGAGTAACCAGGCTTCAAGAAGAAACCGCCAAAGTTGAAGAGCATCTACTCGATGGTGTCTTCGAGAGTGATACGTTCGAGGGCCCTGTCACGTTCACCGGTGCCATTGCGCAATGTTTGAAGCTTTCCAAAGCCAACGCGTTCGAAAACACTCTCGAGCCTCTGCAGAAGCTTTTGCGCCTCAGTCCGCATGTTGCAGCCACGTTCGCACGGCCTGACATCCTGCAGAGACTGAGACAAAAACTGCACCACTCCAAAGCCGCTGTCCGGCTCAACCTTCTTCGCATAATAGCCAGCATCTGTGATGCTAGCGAGGAGCAGGGCGGCCTCCTCGCAACTTATGGTCTTCTAGACACTATTCGAAACATGGAGAACGATACTGCAATCCTTGTCCGAGACATGGCAGGCAAGCTAGTGCGGTCCAGCGAGGCATATGGTTCCAGCAAACGACGGCCAGGAACCCGGCGACAAAGCACATGTCCTACCCCGCCCGTCATCTTTGCAGCGACCTCCACCCCATCCACGCCCGGCTCCAGTCGTACCGGCCAGTCGAGGGGGTATCTGGAAGGACGGGAAACCCCGCGGCATTCGCGAAACTCCCTTAGTGTTTCGTCTCTGGGTATGAGGCCTGGTAGTCGTGATGGCAGCAACCCCGTTCTGAGTGCTGCGTCGAATGGAAGCAGTGCGTCAGCTGCCAGGCCAAGGTCTGCTCGGCCACTCTCCAGTAGAATGTCTCATGTGGGGATGCTACGGGAGGAAGACGACTCGACTCCTAGCTTGAGTCGTCGGCCTTCGATCATCCCTCGTCGACGTCGCCCCACACTTGCAGATAATGAATGGGCATGAATTCAATGCATCATATCTTCGTGCCGTTGTGTTTTTAGTCTTCCACGTTCATTCCAGCTTTCTTTACATAGGCCGTGGCGTTGTCTATTCCGAAAAGGTATTGGTGTGGTGGTTCCTTGGTTTATGTCTTCTGTCTCAATGTTAGCACTGGTTGCTGCCCATAGTGTCTAATACACGTAGGGTTTTTCTTTGAATCCAACATGCTTGCTTCCAATGCATAGATCCAAGATCCCTTTCATGTTAATAGGCTTTCCAAGCCATTGTGTTGCCAAGGGTCTTAAACCTACCCTCCTATACTTTGGTTGGAACTGAACTGGTAGGGTATCTACTGTGTGTATATCTTACCGTTTGTACTGACCAGAACTACTGTGTAGTACTACGGAGTATCTGCTATGACGTCTGTTATGGGGCCGATGCCGCCGATCTATATCTTGTCACGTGCAGAGCCGAAGCCCCGATTGGCGGCGAGAACCGTGAAAAATCTCCCTGAGAATCATGCGACCTACGATGAATTAAGACGCTTGCAAGACTCTCTTTCTTTCTCTCTTTATTTTCCTAGTTCCTGACCGGTGGCCCACGCTTTGGGATGAGCGCAGTGCATCGCGTGCCGTTGCGGGCATTCAAGACTGATCCCGCTACGGTGATCGGAAAAACACCCACAGCCTCCACGTCCGGATTCCTGTCTCGTACTGTGTCAAACTCGCCGCTACGACCGTCGCCTTCCAGCACAAACAATGTCCTATCCCGGATCCCATTACGATCTTTGCGGGGCTCGACTCTCGCCGCTTCCTCTCGTTGTTTCTCCGTGAAGGCCGCGCCTCTTTTTCCTGCGAAGACTCACAGCCTACCCAAGCGAACGCAGTCAAATATAAATCCCAATGGATCGCAGCGGAGCATTCTCAAGTGGTTCATTATCGGAAGTGTTCTCGGTTTGGGCGCCGTGACGTTCTCTGACCAGGCGCGGCATGCGTACCAGGCAGCGCAGAGAAGTGGGCGCGTTGTTGGCGCTCTTGCTGTCTGTATCAATGAGTAAGTGGAATTGCAATTGTTCTATACAACTTGGTCCAGAGCAATCGGTATAGAGGTATAAGTTATGCCTTGCTAACGCGCTCGCCAATCTCAGTTACCGTGTCACCCTGAATCAAACCACCTCATCTCCCGAAGAACACGACGCACTCATTCGTGCCTGCCACAAGCGTTGCGCCGAGCGTACTCTCCGCGTGCTAGAGAAGAACGGATCAGTCTTCATCAAGCTGGGTCAACATCTCAGTAGCATGGGCTACCTGCTTCCCCTCGAATGGACCACCACCTTCATCCCGCTCCAGGACCGATGTCCCGTCTCATCAATTGAGTCAATCGCCGAGCTATTCCGCAAAGACACGGGCCAAGATATGAGCGAGCTTTTCACCTCTTTCGAACCGACACCTATTGGCGCTGCGTCCTTGGCACAGGTGCACATTGCCACGCTGAAGGGATCCGGACAAAAGGTCGCGGTCAAAGTGCAGCACCCCGCGCTGGACGAATGGGTGCCGCTGGACCTGGCATTAACCCGCTTCACATTCTCTATGCTCAAACGCTTCTTCCCTGATTATGACCTCGAGTGGTTATCCAAAGAGATGGACTTCTCGCTGCCGCAAGAGCTGGACTTCCGCATGGAGGCCCAGAACGCCACCCACGCCGCCGAATACTTCAAGGAACACTCCAACGCACCGCTAGTCATCCCCAAAGGTAATCTCCAGCCCCCCCATATCCGAGCTTACAACCAAGCTAATACCTCCCCCAGTGATGTGGTCCCAAAAGCGCATTCTAGTCATGGAATTCATCACCGGCGGCCGCCCAGACGATCTCGCCTACCTGGACGCCCACAACATCGACCGCGATGAAGTCTCCGCCGCCTTCGCGCACATCTTCAACGAAATGATCTTCGGCGACAACGCCCCGCTCCACTGCGACCCGCACGGCGGCAACATCGCCGTCCGCCCAAACACCACCCGCTCCCACCCCAACTTCGACATCGTCCTCTACGACCACGGCCTCTACCGCACCATCGACCGCGACCTCCGCCGCAACTACGCCAAGCTCTGGCTCGCGGTTCTGGACGCGGACGTGCCGCGCATGCGCGAGTTCGCTCACAAAGTCGCCGGCGTCACGGACGAGCAGTTCCCGCTTTTCGCTAGCGCTATCACCGGTCGTGATTTTAGTGTGCTGAAGAAGAATGTTGCTTCGTCACGCACTGCTGAGGAGAAGAAACATATTTCCAGTGCGCTTGGTGAGGGCATGTTGCAGCAATTGGTTGTTTTGCTTGGACAGGTGCCGAGGATTATTCTTTTGATTTTGAAAACTAATGACCTTAGTATGTTTCCCCTGCTTTTTTTTTCCTATTATATCTTCCTTTATACAAGAGAATATTGTACTGACACATCCCAGCTCGCAGTCTAGACGAAAATCTGCATACACGTCAAGGCCCCATGCGCTCATTCCTGATTCTCGCACGGTATGCGACACGCACCGTCTTCGAAGAACAGCTCGAGATCATTACCGAGTCTGGTGGTGTTCTCCGTAACTTCTTCCGTTTCTTGTGTGCATATGGGAGTTACCTTCGTGTTGAAGTCAAGCTATCTGTCTATGAGACTTTGCTGTCTTTGAAGAGTCGTTTCGGTATTCAGAGCGTTTAGCGCTTTTCTCCAGAGATAGTCTGTCTTTGACGGTTCCTTGTGTTGCTTCTGGCATAATATTCCCCTTGTTATTGGCACGGATTGTCTTGTCTGTGCATCAGCGATGGCGTTTTCTTTGATGCATCTTCTGGCTGATTGCCAGAGATGGATGTGTTTTCGGACTTTATCTCCTATTTTTTAAAAGGATTTGTACAGATAACTAGATTGTATTAGATTATAGACAACTTCTATGTTGCTTTCTCTACTCTGTACACGTTACGTAGACAATGATAGGTTCATGGTTTCATTGCGAAAGTATCAAGACGCTGCTTTTCGAAAAATTGGAGATGAGTATCGATCAAGGATCCCATACCGAGGCGCCATTGCAGAAAAAAATAGAACAGAAAAGGGAATATGTACATGGGCAATTTGTTCGTTTCATCTCATCCATCGTCGATTTGAGAACACATTTTCAGCACGAAGGAAAGACGATACATCGCAATTGCACTTATCACTTGACTCCAAGAACTTGGAACACATTGATCAAATGATTGTGGTAGTAAGACAACCTCGGAAGACCACGGGATTAAAAATGAGTCGCAGCGTATCAAATAAAAACGAGTGAGTTCATCGCGGGAAACCCCATCCGCTCACGGACAAAAGCGAGTTCCGCAGATTTAAACAGCAGCAGCAGGGCTGCTGGTAGTCTGCTCAATCTCAACCTTAACGTCAGGGATAGAAGCACCTGTCCCGGACAGATCCGTGGTGCGGGCGTTGGGGTTCTTCGTGTAGTAGTTTGCAATAGCGGACTTGATAGCATCCTCTGCAAGCATAGAGCAGTGCACTATTCAACATGTCAGCGAAACAATCCCACAATCCATAACCAAGGAAAGGAAAAGAAACATACACTTAACAGGAGGCAGACACAACTCCTTCGCCACATCGGTATTCTTAACCTTACCCGCCTCATCCAGAGTCATACCGCGCACCAGCTCAGTCAAATAACTCGACGAAGCAATAGCACTACCACAACCGAAAGTCTTGAAAACAACATCATCGATTCGGCCAGACTCCTTGTTAACGCGGATCTGCAGCTTCATGACATCGCCACAGGCAGGCGCGCCGACGAGACCCGTGCCGACGTCCTGGTCGCCCTTCTGCATGGAGCCGACATTGCGCGGGTTGTTGTAGTGGTCCAGGACTTTCTCGTGGTAGCCTCTGCGCTGGGCGGGGGCGGGGGCCGATGTGCGGATGGTGTTGGCGGACTGCAGGCTGGAGAGAGGGGAGAGAGTGCTGCGGGTGGCGATGGAGCCCATACGGGGCGCGACGGTGACGAGGCGCTTGAACATGATGATTATTTGATGGATTTTATTGTATGGTGTTGTGTTGTGTTTGATAGATGTTGGTTGTAACTTGGGAGGCGAAAAATGATGGATCTGATAGGGGAGAAGGTGATGAAATTCATAAATACTCGGATCCGGGATTAGGTAAGTAGGCTAGTCCTAATGGGGTAATCTACTGGCCGGATTCGCCGGTGGTCGGAGATGACTAAGATGACGTTCGTTCCTTCCCTTTTCTTTGCTTTTCGATCAGTTTGGAGTGTTTGGAGTGTTTGGTGATTTGCTCTATCAAGTGAGCGGGCGATATCAGGAGTGGCGATCCTTCACTACTCAACGGTGGACTCGGTCTTGTTCGCCTCTGTGAGCCAATTTTGAGCCAATGCAGGGCAATGATATCAAATGGCTTTAGTGATATGCATGAACTCAGCGATCATCGTCATTACTAGTTTCTTTCTTTTCGCTCTGCCGTTCGAATATCATTCTACTCTTGCTATTCCGTTGTTGTTGTTGTTGTTATATTTAACGCCCAATGGGTCGCAGGTGCAGCCTGCGTCCCCGGACCTCCCGAAGGGCATGTGGGCGTGCCACGCTATGGAATTATATACAGTAATATACATTAAGGTACGCCCATCGATGGCAACTCTGGCTGTGGTAGCGGGCACGTTTGGCCCTTGTGACTGGTACCCTCCCCGACATGTGGGGTTCTCCAGGTCGTGTCTTGACGCGCTGGTCGGCGCATATCTTTTCGGCCACACGGCCTCACAAGAACCCCTACGCTAAACAGCGAGACGCCAGCACAGCGCTACATACCCATTTACACAGTATTCCCGCAGTGATAGCTCTCGGAGACCGAATCGGATATCTCCAGCTCGGGGTAATTCCAAGATCACGAAGTCCATGACTGGAGAGATAAGATATCTTATTGCGCAGTAGATTCTCTATTACCTCTCAGGTATCGGGAAAAGGATATACTGTGTACACCAACATCCCCCGCATGATACCTTCCATCAAGCTAACCATAGCTGCACTCTACAAAGCCTGTCTCACCGCAGACTTATACTGCAGTCAAACACTATTAGCAAAAGCCAACCCCAAACCCAATCAAACCTATAACGTACCGGAATAATCTGCGCATTCCCCAAATCCCACACCCCAGAAGTAGAATAAATATCCTTCTCCAACAGCTCGCGCACCTCGGCCTCACTCTCCGCAACGGCAAGCATCATACTCCCCTTAAAGGAAGGTGTCTCGCCCTCAGCGGGGTGTGAGTCGAACATCGCACCTGGATCAAATCAGACATGGTCCAAACAATGTGCCCAGCACAACCCAGTCCAGTCTCCCAGGTACAAAATAGAGAAAGGGATTACATACCACCAGCAACGATGTGACCAGACGCAACCAGCGGCTTCACGTTTTCGAGGTGTTGACTATACAGAAGCACGCGTTAGCAACACACTCGGACCAAGATACATCCAGGAGAATCAGAGGGACTCACGGCCGGACTTCCAGTCGCTTCGCCTGCGCACCGGGGAAATCGGGCAGGATGCAGAGGAACTCTTTCTTAGCGGGTGCGGAGGACATATTGCGGATCTGGAGCTTGTATGGAGAGGGGGCGAGGTATGTTTTTGCGGTGGTTGAGAGGGAGGGGCAGGAACACGGGGAGGATGTGAGTCGGGATGGTGGGACGAGGAATTGGCGCGTGCGGGGGAAAGCGGGGGCTTTGATTTGCAGGGCGCGGGTTAGACGGGGGCGCATGGTGATGGTTCTAGAAGGGGAGGGATAGTTTGATTGGGATTGGGTGGAGATTGGTGTTTGGGTGTTGTATGTCTGAGGTGAGAGAATGCGGAAAGATGAGGTTAGTAGCGGTGCTTGTTTTGCCGTCGGGCTTACTCCGTTGGCCGGGGTCTGATCGTCGATCTGGACTGTTGGTGCTACTGGTATTTTATGGATTACTGAAGGTATCGGGTTTTGCGAGTGAATCAAATCGTGCAGATTATATACATGGGACTCAGCGGTAGACAGGCCAGTGCTATGTGTCTGGGTTGCTTCACATCGAACGCACTGAAAGCCTGGATCTCCCGCCGATCTCGAAAAAGTCAGGGACGCCAGCTCCAGCATATGAGAAATGGAACAAAAAAAAAGGTTGAGAAAGACAATTTCCATATCCGCATAGCAGCATCGGAATCAGGATCGACCTGTGGAATGAGGCAATAAAACGACATAGACATGACAGTAAACGGTCCGGTTCTCCCCTAATGTAGGTTTGCGCAAGAAAAACAGATGATCGAGATTGTAACTCGAGTGTCCATGCCCGAGGACATCACCCACGATGGGAAGGGATGTCCCAGGGCACAAATTCAGTCTATCGATGAGGCCTGGAGAACCGGCGGACTCTATAGACCTGCAACCAAACAACATTTTCCCCCGTAGCGCCAAGGTAACAAATAGACACACTCCCTGAACGCACGATAATGGATTAGGGAAAGTCATTAGGCCTCTCGTCACGAAGCTTCCATCCAAATGAAAAAAAGGAAAAAGAAATGGGTAACAAGGGAGGGAAGTGAGAGCCGCCGGCGTAGAATCTTCCGATAGAAGACATCGGGCGGCAGGGCAACAAACGGCGGATGAGATTGATGGAAGTTCGAGGACGGGGTGGAATCGACTTGAATCCCAAGCGGGATTCCAGCGGAAGGGCAGATTAAAATGCTTTGCGGTCTCCAAGATTGCCGGGCTTCTCGTCCGTATCAATGTGCCAGACCACGTAGTTGGGCAGGCCGATCACCTGGTAGCCAGCTCGCTTGGCCATGCGAGCGAACCCTTCGGTCTCAGCCTGGTTCTCGAAGGCGTATGCAGGGAAGTTGATGCCGCTGCGGTGAACGTCCGCCTTGACGAGGATGTTGACACCGCCAATTCCGTCAAGCTCGATCTCCTCATCCTTATTGTTTCGCCAGTCACCCATGCTGACCAGGTAGGTACGGCCGGTATCGTACTCTTTGTAACCTTCGGCGAGAACGGTATCGGTAGGCAGGCTGGCGCGCAGACGGCGGCCCTTGTCGGATTCGATCCAGGAGTTGTAGTCAACTAGAGTGAACAGGTCAGCAATCTGCGCAGCTCAAGAGCTCACAGGAGATACATACAGCGACCCTCGATGTCGTGACCATCAGCGTTGTAACGGTGGAACCAAATGTCTAAGAAAAGTCATTATCAGCCAACTGTCCGGTCCCAATCTCCAAATTCCAGCAGAAGCACATACTCGGCACCAAGATATCCTTGTCGTGGGCCATGAAGTCCTCCAGGATACGCTCGGGGCAGTCGGTGATATCCACATCCCGCCAGTACACCCAGGAGTGATCGGGCTTGAGAGCCGAGTAGAGCAGATAATTACGGGCACGGCCGATAGCCTTGCGTCGGGGACCTTGAGCGGCAAACGAGTGTCGCTCCTCCACACTCATCTCCACGTCGGCACCGAAATCCTTCTTGATCACCGTTGCACTGCGGAAGCGAACCTTCTCCTCGGCATGATTCTGGATACGGTCGAGCTCGGAAGCGAGGTTCGCGAGTGTGTCGTCTTTGCAGTCACCGACGAGGAAGGCCAGATCGATCAGGTCGTGCGGGTAGGTCAGTTTGTAAAGGAGGTCGAAGTATTTGGCGAGGTAAGGAGCGGCATCACGAAGAGGTGTCAGGATGAGCACACGTTCGCGGTTGAGGACAGCCTTGGAGGTAGACTTGATGGGGTTGAGGTCGTAATCGGTGATGGAGGTGGAGTTGACTTCGTAGGGTTCGTGGCGGTTGAAGAGGACGGGGGTCTGGGCGTGTGCACTCCATTCGACCATCTCGTTAATGGACATTTCCATGGGTGACTTGTTGGAGCCATAGCAGTAGAAGCTGTTGACGCCTCCGAGTCAGTAGGGATTCCTTTCGGCGGGAAATTGTTGTGTTCGGAGTCTCTCACCTTTGCATCTCCGATGCAGATTTGCTGACGCCGCGCCACATCAGGATGAGCAGGCCGGTCAAAGCTATGGAGACCAGGAAGCGAGTGCGCGTTAATAACACGAGGATTGCCCTCCATGGCGGCAATCTGGCCTTGGCCGACTTCCAATTCACGCCGCCCTTTGGCAACAACATGATGAGTTAAATGGGGTATTTAGGGGCAAATCCCGTCTCGGACAGTCGTAAACCCCCCCGAACGAATGTGGGTAAAATGAGGGTGGGAAAATGAAAGGGTTGATAAGTTGATAGGGGAGGAGAAAATACAATCAGCGGAATCGAAGGAAATGCGCTTGCCAAGAACGGCTAAATTCAGCAGTAAGACAATGTTATGGCGACTTATTCAAGTCATCAAGTGAAGAGAAATGGGAAAATCGACGAGAAATAATCTTCTTCTAGGTTTACTGCCCCATGGTTAGCCCCTGGTAGGGTTCTCGAAGGTAGTGTGAGTACCTGACACTGTGTGCCTGTCAAACTCCTATCTTCGAGTCTAGACTCTACGGTATCACAGCGGTCACTCCTATGTTAGCTACCTCTATTCTACTTCTACTTAGTTATTCCATTTGCTATTCGTATGCCTCAGAACCCATTATCTCTACACAATACCACCACAAACACCAAAAGTACCAAGTGCAATTGGTCCAAACTCCCACAGGTTAAAGTGAGACTGTGAGACATAACCTCGTGACTTTGTCCAACCATATCATAAAAGCATGCTTACTCTGTACACTTAGCATTCTTAACCTATGTACAGCCCTAAGCCCCGGCTCCTTCTTTGTGCTTCAACTTGTTTTCTAATTTCCCCCTTGAAAAAGCAATATCCAAAGGTCCGGCGGAGAACACTTGTCCGTTCCAGAACGCTCCACCGGCTGATCGACAGACCTAAATGCTCCTAAACAACGGCCTTGAGCCGATTGAGTCGATCCCGAATCGCGACGAGATGAAGATATTATCTATTCCCTGTTCAAGGGGCTACCTACCTGGTGGTAACTAACCTTTGGCTAATGGCTATGACTAATTGACTATTTGTGACATGTAAGTTAAGTAAATCGGAAGAAGGGTGAAAAGGGGTAGAGCAGCAACACTGTGGCCCCGGTTTCGTACACACAGTACAAATATGACTCTCACTATCCTACAGGCAAGCGAAATGTTCATAATAATCCATTGAGTCATAGTATGATGATAGTTATAGACATGAGAAGAAAGCAAAAGAAAAAGCCAAAATATATCCACCAGCTCATGTATATCCAGATTATAAACAACGCCAAAAGACAAGACAAAAGGAAACAACGAAAAAAATAAACCCCCGTTTTTGTCCAGAAAAGAAAAGAAAAAAACACCGAAATCAATCGACAAAGGAAATTCGAGTAAAATGGGAACATGTTCATCCCAGACACAATATTTATTGTACAATGCAGGCGCTAAACCGCGGAAGACGACAGACGGACTCATGAGTAAGGAAGATAACCGCTGCAGGGTAATCAGAGCAGCGGAAGAGGAAAGGTAGATCGGAAGGGTTCATGAGGATCATCAGGGAGATTCAATATGCGTGGATCATCATCTCCATGCGGCCTAAGGCGACGCAATGAGAGAGTGGCGACGGGGTGCCGCGGGGAACGTGAAGGAGGCTGGGTGGGAGGGAGGGAAGGCAGGAGAAGAAGGGCCCGTTGTAGGAGGGGTGGCAGTGAGGTAGGAGCTGGAGAAGGACTGCGAGGCCGAGCTGGGCATGGAATCATATGCAGCAGTGTATGAAGGCTCGGAGTGCAAGTTGGCAGCGATCTCATCGCAGAAGACCCGCATCCCGGGAAGACCATTCTTCTTCTGGCGCTTGTGTTCGGGGAACTCGAGCACGGGAGCGGGACTAGTGCTTTCAGCCTTTGGGGAGCGGAACATCTGCTCGTAGGACTTGAGCTGGAACTCGAGGGCACGGTTGCGGTCAGCGAGGACCTCGTTCTCGGCCTTGGTGGCCTTGAGCTGTTGCTGGGCCGTCTGGTTCTGCTGCTGCAGGGAGCTGACCAGCTGCTGCAGCTGCATGCAGCGGACTTGCGGCTGCAGCTTCTCGGAGAGCTGCGGTGTGACCTGTTCCTGGCGGATGAGGTGGACGATGATGGCGAGCATGAAGTCGATGAGGTAGATGGCTCCTTGCACGATGTGCTCCTTGGATTGTGTAAGGCTCTTGGATGGGTTCCAGCCTGCGCGCTCGAGGAAGTAGTCGTGGATGCGGCTGTCTAGCTGGCGGTGCAGGTCGCTCAGGTTGCTGCGGCGGTTGCCCTCGGCAATGCGGTGCTTCTCGCGCTGATCGTCTTCGTTAGATTGGGCGCTGCCCTTGCGCTTGCGGCCGCAAAGCTGCTGCAGAGGGGCCTTGCGGTTCAGGTTCTGTGGGGCCACCAAGGCCATAATCTCGGCCTGGGAAAGATCGTTGGGCCATTTGACGGAGCTGGTCTTTTGCATGGCAAAGGATTCTTGCCAGGAGCTTTCAGCGGAGTTGGCCGGCGAGGGAGGCGCCACAATGTGCTCGGCAGCTGCCCAAGGCGACTTGAATTGGAAGGTCTCTTGAACATTAGGAGTAGTCGGGACCAGGGCATCCTTCACATTGAATGGGTTGAAAGGACCACGCGGTGGCAGCGGCAGAATTTGGGGGAGAGGAGGCAGTCGGCGTTCCTCGCCAACGTCGGAGGCGGCCATGCTATTGCTGGAGTTGAAAGAACTGGGTTGATGTTAGGATGGGCTGAGATGCTTGGTATGTGGAGGCAACTCACGGCAAAGAGCAGCGGCGGATGGAATCGTCAGTCATAGAAGCTCTTTCTTCATACATCGTGGATAGTCGTTGAGGAATGCGTGATATGTGCAGTGGTGGTGGTGGTCGTTGTGGTCGTGGTGATGGTGTCGAAGTGGCACGAAGGATATGCCAAAGGGATATGTACTAAAAGGGCTGGGTTCTTCCTGTTGCTGGAAGATATGGCGATGAATCGTAGAGGAATCAGAAGTTGTGGGGTGCAGATGAAACAATGGGGTTGTATATGCACGATGAACGAAGGGTTATAAACAGAGAAGACAAGCAGAATGGAAATCTACACGAGGGCGACTGAATGAGTGAGACAATGGAAAGGGATGCCATGAGGGAGAGGAAGCGTGTTTATATGTCGAGACGTCTCAGATCGAGGGTCCTTCACCCAGGAGAGGGGAATGGCCGATCCAACATGAAGCGCGGAATCGGGATGTCATACAGACAGGCATAGTTCGCCCCACAGCTTCATCACGACGGGGAAGCAAGATGGGGATCCCGTAGGTGGATTACTTTGCTAGTGCCCGCTTGGGCCCGAGAAGAAAAGAAATAAAATCGGTGTCATAGAGTATCTGTCACATCATGCACAGACCGCATCTCGCATTGAATCTGTGAGATTCACGAATGAGAGCCCTACGATCAAGCCCGAGAGAGAGGTTCAAGACGAGGATCCTGAGCCCTTAATTTGTCACCAAGCTGTTGGGAGTGCGATCGACACGGGGAAGATTCAATTATTCTGTACACAGCCCTTGCATCAATAGCTAACCAAATTTATCTCTGATGACGTTGAGAGTTGAAACGGAGTCCGGACATATTATGCGGATGTGAACTGTTGAAAAAAAGCAAAGTGACCATGGAAAGAAAGAACCTTAGAAGCTATACTTACCCAATCTGGTAACCCAGATTGAGTTGCATCTCCAATCCATCCATGGATGGATATAAGCTATGTATGAACATCCACTCAGGTACGCCATGTTGCGATTGATCCCATGGATCTCCCCGCTTAGAGCTTGGTGAAACGACCAGTGCCAGGAAATATACGCTTGCATCAATAGAGAACAGATATTACCATGAGTATCAAGGGGCTCAACGAGATAGTCCCCCTCGAGGGGCTCTGGCAAATCTAAGTTGCCCCTAAAGTAAATAGAATCAAGCAAGGATGAAGTGTCATCAGATATGCGAGGAGGTAGATATGGATCTTAAGTTCTTAACCTTCTATACTCCGTACTGTGTACAAGAGCCAAGGATGAATGAGCTAGAGATGTTCACCATACAATTGATAGCCTCTCACTGAACCATATGTCTACCGAGACATCAAACCCGAAACGAGATGATCGTCCAAGGCAACCGGTCAATTGGGAGACCCAAAGACCAGGTACGTTTCCTGTCAGATAGCAAATCATGGAGTAGAAGATGATTTGGAATAACTTGACACACAGACGTTAGAGAATGGACGAGTCAGAGTAAATAATAAGATAATCGAGGAAATATTTTATTGGTTTTATCTTAGCGAAGGCCTAAAACACCCTAAACTTGGACACGTTCCCCAGGTGGAGATAGCCCTACAACCTCAAATCTCTTCCACGACAATCAATCTGCCTCGGTAATTACTGTGTAGTAGTGACATTATATCTAATATATGCACTTAAATCTCCCTCCTAGTCCTTAAATCTCGTCTAATAGTACAGGTGTCTATACATACCCCCTCACTCCATCGAATCTTCACCAACACGAGTGGGTCATCAGAAATAGAGCTGTCATATTCTCCCTTCCCGTCCCAGCCAACCGTCAATCACCAGCCCTCATGGCGACTCCATCCACCACACTAAGTCCCCCACGTTCTGACCGTTCATCTTCAATATTCCATGAATGATGATATGTATTTACTATTTACTATCACCCAAACCCTTTCCCACCCCCACCTCGAATCACCAAAAAGGACCTACTGCAGAACCCCATTCAAATTGGTCAATGGTGAACACGCAACTTCTATGCATTCCATGCAGACAACCACTCTACCGGAACTGACCTTACTGTTCTCTTGCCCCTCCTCTGCAGTACCTCTGCAGCCTCGCCAAACCTGAAACCCCAGTTCCCACCGTGTCCACAAGTTCACAGCCAGATGCAACCGATCGGTGGCACCAAACTGAGTTCCGCGCCTGCGCCTAAGAGCCACCTGCAGACGGCACGTACCAAGACGCAGGAGGTTCCATCGCTCGAGGCAAAGACCAAACTCACAACATAACCCTGTTACACCCGTCCCTACTGTAGCTACCGTATACTATTTTGCAAGGCTGGAGAGTTTCCCCGACCCATCTGGACCCCAGCGATCTTCTTACCTCAGATTCTGCTTTTGTCATCCCTTTTACCAGTTTACCAGTTCAAGTGGCTTGCATACTAGGGTCTTTCTCTCCGGATCTTCCGAATGGCGTAGGGTCTTCCCAAGGTTTGACTTTACCTAGTTCAGAGCTCGACCCCGATCCCTGGGTTCGATTACGAAGGTTTCTTTTCTTATGGTTTCGTTCTAGTCTCGTTTTAGTTCTGTGGGGCACATCCTTGTTCCTGAGTATGTGTGCGTTGTTCATCGTGGATGTATATGCGTCGACTACTCTTCCGCCGTCGATCGTACCTTGCACGCCCTCGTACTGACGCCTCCCCGGCTGTCACTGGTCATGAACCTCATAGACTCTAGCCCCTCGCCCATACAACGTTGTCTACATCTGTGATGGAGTAACTATTCATTTACATAGACGGGATCCCAGCGGCTCTAGCAAGGGGACCAAAGCCATAGGTTACACCCACAGAGTTCATGGCAAAGCTTACAATAGACGCCAGAACCAATAAGCATGTCAAATCCCTTCCTTAGAAGAGTGTATTCTCAATAGTGTCCTCGAGTAAGCCGCTCCCGTCCCGTGCCCTGACCTGTCAAGTTTCAACTGTCAAGGATGACGGCGGGGACAATATAAACGACTCTGCTTTGAATAGTGTAAATAGCGTAGAGTAGTGGATGAAGATGTCGATGCGGCTATTTCCTCCCTGATTTGGAATCTTGTAGGTTAATTGACAAGGGCCCTGGGGGTGGTGACTGGAGACCTAAGCGAGGAATCGAACGGGTACAAAAAGTACCTGTTCATGCACGATGCACTATGCGAGATCCGCTTCCTTGTTTTACCATGCAGCCATCGCTACAAAGATCGAAGATATCGCTTTCTTCTCTCACTGTTTGTATCCACCCGAGTCTTTATTCCGTAGTGCGCCGCAAAAGGCAATCGGCTAGTCTCGATGCTATACCGAGGTTCAGAAGGTATTTATGCATTTCCCTTATCAGTTTACTGTGTAGAAAACAGAGGCCGTTCCTGCCAAGTCAAGAAATGCAGACTCGTGCTAGACTCGCCACGACGGAAGGGGTTCAATGTATAGACCAGATCTATTAGCTGTGGAAGGTTTAATATCCACGAACTGCCCTGCCATGCCTCCTCACCCGTGGCAAGTGTTTCAAATTATTGCCACGGTACATTACAACGCATGGTCCAATATCGGTAGACCCCAGCAAGGGCAGATCCCCATAATCGACCACAAGAGCCATGTGGACCTCAGATCTATGTAGTTACCTATCTTCACTTCACACAAGGTCTTTGATTTGCAGTCTCCTGTCCAGGGAGTATACCTTCTGGACTCTGGTTCTACAGCACATCTTTCAAAAGTACCAAATCCCCAACCTCAACGAACCCAACCTAAATCCCAAAACGAGCATGCACGTCTCGATATCCGCGCAGGTACAAACGCAATGCAGACATCCAAATCTTATCCCCGGTGCAGCCACCACCGGCTCCTGCAAGGACGACTTCCTAGTCCCACAGATCTAGCGACAGTGCAGCAATAGGAAATGAATAAAAATAGAACTCAAATTCGCCGCATCTGACATGTCTACTTCAGCGCATGCCTCGTACATGAACATCTGTAGCTAGGATGTCCCCCGTGGAGGTTTGCGATCGAGAACATACAGCATGAACCAGTGCGGAGGCATAGTACTTTGTCTCCAACCTTCTTGTACCTCTTGTAGATCGCCCGGATCTGGGTTCCTACATGATTTGCAAGTGCGCTCGGGGACTCTCGAGACCCCGTTACCTGGATGGCCTGGTTGCCTTTAATGCAAGGCGGATGTAGAGGCTGTGGAGCCAATGTGCGTCTTTATTCAGGTACCACTTTTTTTCCTTTTTGCTCGTTTCAGCTGGACATGCATCAGATTTATGCGAGATTCTAGTAGGTTAAGGCGAAAGGAAGGGGGATGTTGGGCTAGTGGTAGAATTGCTTTGCCACCTTGATAGTTATGCATTGCAGGTAAGATGGAGCTGGCCCGGTCTGTAAGCAGCAATATGTTCATTGCATACATAACACGATCGCCCTCATCGTTCTGGACTAAATAGACTCTTGTAGGGCTTTCTGAAGAAGGTTGGGTCTGATACCCACTCTCGCTTAACAGTTCGTCTTGGCAGATCCCCGACGTCCCCGGACGATGACGAAGAGAATCGAAATAAAGATCGAGATATAGAGATACATCGAAGATCCCGCCAATCGGGGACCACTCTCGGTGGTATTCGGCTATCTGTAAATCCCATAGAAGTCTGTCTCGGTCGATCAGAGAGATCGAAACTGCCAACGCATATGTTTCAAAAAAGGCTTCAACTCCGAGATGTCAAACTTAAGTGGAAAAAAAGCAAAGAAAGGATAGAAAAAAGTAACTCATCCCGGTAGAAGTATCCAGCCCCATGGTACCTATGGATCTCGTATCCCGTTGGTGATAATTGCTTCTTCGAAATGTGGAGTATCGAGGCTCTAGCACGGTCTGGAGTCCCTGTAGGTCGACACATACGGCAATCTTATATGCGAGTATATATCCAGTTCCTAACATCTCCATCCCGATTATTCAGATCGTTCTCCCCGGGTAAGATTCCCGCGAGGTCTAACTGTCTTCGTCACTGATCGACGCTTCTCTCTTTTCTTCCCAGCCACCGAAATAGAGAACGATCGGCTCTAATGAAATATCTTAAGTTGGGTAACTTATGTTGCAGTTACATGTGTACTTCCTGCGTAGGTACGTCTATCAAACCCTAAGGCTACACTCCCTCAACATTGCCCTTCAAGGCTCTGGAATCGGAACAAACGCAATCCAGAGTGGATTCGACTTATCAACTTGCCCAGATTTGTGAATTAGCGCGGGCTCATACCTGCAAGTCAGATCTTCTGAAACGCACATGGGACTTTTCAAGATGTGCAGATGTAGTCTGGAACGCAATGCAGAAACTACCTACGAAACTACCTCCAAACTGGAAACATAAGACAACCACCAAATACAACCACCAAATAAAAGATATCGAAAATAACCACAACCCCGGCACATCACACACGCCAGCCACATGGAAGCGTTCCTCCGACGATCGGGTGTCTACCTAGTGCGCCCATTTGGGCTTAGTGCATCTACACCCGGGATTCATTCGGGATCTGGATTGGAATTGAGCAGGAGTCGCGAAGGAGTTGCCCTGTGAATTTGGATCTGATGTCAGATTCATGAGGCTAGGTGGGGGTAGAGATGGAGGAAGTTGATAGATGTGTACGCAGTATTTCATTGGGACTCTTGTGGCTCTGGTGGGAGGTTCGGGGGTATTCCGGTTTGGAGATTGCGGGATTTTGGGATTCATTTCTGGATGTTGAGGGGATATTCTGGGGGTTCTGAAGGTAAGTGCACGTAGTATATGCTTGATGAGGAACCTAGCAGTCAAGGAACCTGGTAGTTAGCAGTGTACCTACAGAATGTAGCTGTTGGTGGAAGGTTGACGCGTGATGATGAGTGATATATATATGGACTGGATCTGGTGAGGCTCTCTAGATATAAATGCCAGGTACCAGGTAGGTACCTAGAATGGTCGGAACCTGTTGCGATGACCATGCTCCGGAGCGCTTGAACATTAGGTTGTACGTGGATGAGCACCCTCGGCTCTCTTGTTCAAGTCCACAAGGACCGGGAGATACGCAGACCATCACCCTGACGTGGATGGCTGGTTCTGATAACGACGGAACTACAAGCCTAAGACCAAGGTCAACAGGAGAAAGGTAGTATTACAATCATTAGGCTGCACGCAATTAAAAAACAATATTACTGGCATAAGAAAGCTCAAGGAAAGTTTACACAAGAAGTACGAAGAACCGCGAAGCAACAACCAAGATTCCCCGGCTTGACAGCCTACCCTCTCGGCGAATCGACAAGAGAACGAGCAGGTTACAACGTGTAACCGAATGCATTAGGACGCGATGAGCGAACCACAGAACATAACAAGACAAATAACAAGGATGAGAACTCCCTTCCTGGTGAACGACGGGGTGAATCCATATCGCGAATTTTCTCCATGAAAGACCGAATTATTATCGTAACACCTGCGGCGGGAACGAATACTGAAATCGTTGCTTGGTAGACTTTTGTACAAAACCCCCAAGGTCATTTGACTCCTCCGTATATCAACCGCTTACAGAAGCTGGGCAAGGGCACCGAAGACGGCGGCGAGACCAACGACGGGAACGTTGGCACCGGTCATGAAGGCAGCGCCGGAGCTGGTGCTGGAAGAGCCGCCAGAGCTGGAGCTGGAGGTACCTTTGCCGCCGTTGGCAGTGGTGGGGTTGTTGTTGGTGGCATCGCACTTGAAGTTACCCTTGATGACGTTGTCGCTCTTCAGCTTGCGGAGGTCGTCGCAGCTGAAGTTACCGCGGGTGGACTGCATGTTGAAGCTACCCTCAACATCCTTGAGAGCACCAAGAGAAAGCCTGTGGTTTTGTTAGTCTATGCGTTTAGACAGTATGATACCGAGGTAACTCACTTGTTGAAGGTACCGCTGAAGTCAATGGCACCGTTGACACGCTCGAGCATGGGCAGAGAGATGGTGGACAGCTTGTCATCACGGGCAATGGTGAAGCCACCGGAGACAGTCTTCAGGACGGGCATGCTGATGTTGGACAGCTTGCTGTTGTCCTTGAAGATCAAATCACCAGTCTGGGTAAGGTTGGGAGCGGAGAAAGTCTCAAACTGGGTACCCCAGAAGCCGAGCTGGCCAGTGAGCTTCTCAAGAGAAGGCACAGAGACGGAGGAGATGTTCTGGAAGGTCATGTTGGTACCGGTGCCCAGGTTGGGGAGGTTGATCTCCAGGGTGTCGAAGTTACCCGAGAAGCTGATAATGTTGGTGGCGTTCTGCAGGTTGTTGATGTCGATGGTCTTCAGGTCACGGTTGTTCTGGATGCTGAAGGTACCAACGGTCTTGAGGGAGATACCGTTGAGGTCAGTCAGACCGGTGTTAGCGATGCTGACATCGCCGGCCTGTGTGACACCCTTGGCGAAGTTCAGGGACTGAAGCTTGGGGAGAGCCTCCCAGTTGATGGAACCAACAGAGTCAAGCTCAGCGAACTCGAGCAGGGTCAGGGTGGTGAGACCCTCCAAGTCGAAGCCCTTGCCGATGGAGGTGAGGGAAGAAGCGGTGATGGAGCTGACGTTAGCACCGCCAGAGCAGAGAAGGCCACCGGTGATCTTTTTGATTCCGTTGAGTTGGAGGTCGCCGCTGAAGGACTTGTCGATGGTCACATCACCCTTGAGGGTGGAGCAGGTGTTAATGCCATCAGCATCGCTCTGAGTCTTGATCTTGGTGTCACCGCAGTCGGCTGCGATAGGCACTGTTAGTGACTGTTTGGTAGGCTGTTCGTAGGAACGTGTTACTCACCAGCGAAAACGGCCTGGCTAGCAGCCAGAACAGGGAGGATGTACTTGAGAGACATGGTAGATTCTAAAAATGCAGGCTTGTCAGTAATCTGGAATTTTGCTCGCGATCAGGGGCCGCGACACACGTACCGATTAGAGATATGGGAAACTGGATAGAATTCGCAATGAGTGATAGAGAAGAAGAAGCGCTTCAAACGAAGGGGAAGCGAAATACTGCCAAGGTTAAAAAGGCAGGAACTCTCAAATGGTAAGAACGAATGGATGTGGTTGGAAGAGAGACGAGAATGAAGAAGAAGAAGGAGCCTTGGGCGGGAAAGGGGAGGTGGAGATTGTTTGTATTCTAATCTTATGATACGAAGGGGTAAAGAACACACACAGTACCGCATCCGGCGGATCAGGGCGGTGCCAGGTATTTTATCACTGGTTTCAACCTTGCTGATTAGAGGGAATTTTACGAGATGTTACGAAAAGTTACTCAAATACCCATAAATTACCTCCAAAAATTTCAGTTTCAATGTTGATTCCAGGCCATTTCCTGCTTTTGAGCGCTAATTAGTTTACTTGGTCCTCGTCCCACCTTTATCCCAGGGCCCCCTTTCTCCATTGGTTATCGATTGGTCTACCACAGTACTTCCCATGATAGCGCTGCTTCAATTCCGTGGCTCAATGTCATGTATTGGATATCATACTGTGATGTTGATCCTCAATCCATGGAAGATGTTTTTGTCACTTTCAAATTGGACCATGCACTCGGCAAGGTACACTGTACCTTTCGAACGTTGTACTGTGTAGGACTGGAGATTTGGTGATCAGACTCGTCATGGTATGATAATTGCCACAGTAGTTCTGTACAACTTGCTGTGCCACTGCCATGCGCCTTGGCTTCGAAGTTCGACCTATCAAACGTACTTCTGTGCCCACGGTATCCGGATAATACGGAGTTAACATATGCAAGATCATGCCAGCTCATATTTACATACTCTTCATATTCATATTATCCCGACAGCGTTGACGCCTGAATAGCCTAATTATCTACGAGAAACGAAGCTTGATAGCGATGGTCAACCAAGGGTTCACTAGCTGATTATCAACGGCCCGTCCTAAGTATCGACTATCGACTACTGTGCCGCTGTCGTCATCACAGCGGGCATGCTCGAAACTCCCCTATTGATCTTCACAGTCTCCTTTGCATCAAGTCAAATTCTCATTGGATATCATGGCATCTATATGAGACAAGGATATAACAAAATCGCTACACGCCCCTGGCAGCCATTGACTCGCTCTGAGTTACTAACACACGTCAACGATCTTCTTACACGAAACACAAGATGCCATCGTCCAAATCGACTCTGAAGCTTCTTACTTTGATACAAACTAGTGGTCGATCTGAATTTACAAGAATCTAAGCCTTCTATGGACCCGCACCCCCCTGCCGCTATCGTCGGTTGCCCCCGGTATGCACACCTTCTGATTGGCACCTTGGAATGACGCGCCCTGGATTACTGGCAATCCTAGCTGCCTCTGAAAATACGGGGACAGCTCGTCGGGAGGCGAAACGATCGCCCCTCGCTCATGGGATATGCAATGGTGTCAACAAAACTTGTGGATGTGATCTCAACATCAAAATTCAAAAATGCGATCCAATTCCCTAAGCAACCCCTTTTTATGGGCCGGCAGGTGGAACAACAATCAACCGTCATAGATCAAGAGCTGATCATCACAGTTTGTGTGAATCCTCGCTTCACTTACCATTTGAGCTACTAAAGTGCTTCTGTCGGATATATATTAAGACACCTTGCCTACGAGGTACGATCGTATCTGCACAGCTCTAAGCACAATGATGCAGCTCCAGCCGATCGATGAATCGCTGATCGGGAAATTTTCCATACATACAAACGAAAATTTCACCATCTGTGCGCCGATTCGGTAATAAACTTACCTGTCAGTACCACGTCAGACTTCAGGAGCTTCAATTAGGGCGTGACGATCAAGCCAAATTTAGGTAGACCTTCATCGGCCCGGCGAATCTTTGTAGTTCCATCGCATGTCTTTCTTAGCTCTAGGTCAATTGATCCTTTGAGAATCGAACTCCCCCATAACTTACACAATTATCGAGACCCCATGTTTAGGTACAAAGCCATTGTGAGCGACAGCGTTACAGCGGTAAAGTTGGCAAATGTTTCAGAATGGAGCCGATTTACTCCATACGTCTCACTCCACTTTTGCGACAGCTCCACAGATATGTTTTTCTCGATCGCTTAGACTTCCACTCGAATATTCGGGTCACTTCATGCGCCTCTTTCGTTGAGATCGGGCCTTCTACTCCGTACCTTACACAGTACGGAGAGGTATCATACCTACGGAGGGAAAACTCAATTCTAAAATTCTGCACGAATCGAAAACGTGGGTCTCTCTTCTCGCTCTTCCCCGTGCTTGTGACAATGGTACGCCACACATCGGCCTGAACACCGCGCGGCCACAGGCTAAGCCTACATGGCTGTGAGCTGGCATTCTAACCTTGGCAGCCATTCACTTGTCATAATGCAAAAAGACACATGTGTATGGCGATTTCTGCTCATGCCAGTCAGTTAACATTCCTGTCCTGTCTGTCTGGCAGGCTGCTGGCCACGCACCGGAATGCGTGGAACGCTCAGGAACGAGGGTCTGTTTAGCTAGGGGCTGTCAATGGCCACATTCTCCATAGCACGAGACCACGGCTGGGAAGAAAACATGCAGAATACCCTACCCCGACCACTCTGGGGTATGTTTATTTACCTACTACGGCTTGATCTGGCTAGGCAGATGCGAATTCCAGTTATGTGAAGGGGGTGTGCCTTCTGAGGTTTTGTGGCTGGTGGTGTCACAATCAGGGGTTCATTCTTGTTTGAACTGATTTCACGAACGCTTGGTCTACATGCTAAAATCTGGTTTTTATTGGTCGATCATGGATTGCATAGATGAAAGGTTGGCAAGCTTGGTCGCTTGGTATCCTAGATTCAACGTGCTGTATCCCAAGGCTGTGTGTATTACAGCCCTACCATGGATCCGAATAGCTACAGTAACTTCAACCCCGGTGTCCATGAAATAGTTCCTTGGGACTGCACTGCAGCGGAGTATATATTATCCAATCGCGTAACTTCTCAATAAGAATACCAAGGTACAGTCATTGTCCATACTTCAATCTAAAACCTGATTTGCTATCGTTGACCATAGAGCGTGTCTGGCTTGATGCGATGATTTTTGTGTTTATTTTTAGCGACATACAGCATGGAAAAGATTGGCACTGTCATGCGCTAGATCTAATGAAAATGTTGTCATTGGTCTTCAATATCTAATTCCATGGATCTTGGTTGCTGTCATGGACCTTGGAAATCAAGATTGAGTTTTTTCACCTATCGTCAACATTGTGTTGATATTGGGAAAGCTGAAGTACATGGCGTCAAGTTTGCCTTTTGTTGGGAACCATTGCAATATAGGACTCACCCACATCATCATTGACAGCTCTTCATGGCAGGATCGCGTGCGGCGTACATGTGTCCACGATACGCAATCAGCCATGTCTAGGCCTTCATGTTTACTTTATGAACCCTTATCGCTGACATATGGGAGTAGAGAGCCGACTGATACCAAGGCTCATGTACCTAGGACGTGACTAGAGGCTTCATCAAGTATACAACTGGGCAAGTCAGGCTTGAGTGTATCAAGAGACAGGCTGGGGATACCCCCCGAACTGGTTTTACTTGTGGGTATGGATAACGAGCTTGTTGCCGATCTTCCGCTGCAGGTAGCACCATAGGTATGCTGCATCATCTGATTTCTATCGGTGATTACTTAGGTATCCATGGCTACTCAGCGTTTCTTGGTGTGGAAGATCTATCTACTGTGTAGGTATACGCTTTCACTTCACTTGAGGAATCTGGAATGATGAATTTTCATTTATTCAACGATATATCGCGCTCCAACCAGCCACTCTGCATATGGTGATCTCTCTAGCACAAGTAAGAAACAAACTAGTCATCACATCGAGCATTGTCATTCAAGATAGTAATATCGTGTCATACTCTGCCCGTTTGAGGTGCCATTGGAGATTGTGTCATCATGCTTGGCACTCGTGGGGTGCCTAGAATCTCCAAGTTCTCACCTCCGCACCTCCAACGTTCCGTGTCTCCTCACAACGAGTACCTAGGTTCTCCAAACAGGATATTCCCTGCGGTCTCAAACAATGACGCTCAGACGCTCAGCTCGCCTGGGTTCTCTGCCAACAATCAAGCCACCATTACTGCATAGCCCAGCGCCGAGCAAAGCAACGAGAGTACAACACAGTGCAGTGACAAAACCCCGCAAAGCGCCGGCCAAGTCCAAGAAGGCAACACCCAAAACTACAAAGACACAGCCAAACTCAGGAACCTCCTATTGGTCCCCGGAGCCAGCAGTCACAGAGAAACAAGAACTAGACAACCATCCCTCACCCACTAACGCCCCAATCCTCAGACCACAAACGCCTCCTCCCCTCGACCGCCCTGTCGACCCGCACCGAACAAACGCGACCCTCATAACCCCGCACGGCTCAACAGTAAATGCTTACCCAGCGCACGCGGAAGATGCCTCGCCCTCGAAAACCGGACTCCCCCGACCAACAGCCACAACAGGTACGCTACTCGAGAAAGCCACCGCGCACCTCATAGCCACAGATCCACGCCTCGCACCAGTCATTGCACAGCATCCATGTCCGCTCTTCTCGCCCGCCGGCCTGGCAGAGGAAATCGACCCCTTCAACAGCTTGGTTAGCAGTATAATTGGTCAGCAAGTCTCCGGCGCGGCAGCAAAATCTATTCGGAACAAGTTCCTGACGCTGTTTGATTTGCCGGATACTGTTGCGCCGGATGGGCATCGGCATCAGAAGTTCCCCACGCCAGATCAGGTCGCTAAGTGTGATATACCGACTTTGCGCACGGCAGGGCTGTCGCAGCGCAAGGCGGAGTATGTCTTAGGTCTTGCGGAGAAGTTTGCTAGTGGGGAGCTTGGGGCGAGGATGCTGGCAAAGGCTACGGATGAGGAGCTCCTTGAGAAGCTGATTGCTGTTCGGGGGTTGGGGAAGTGGTCGGTTGAGATGTTTGCTGTCTTTGCACTGAAGCGGATTGATGTGTTTTCTACGGGGGATCTGGGTGTGCAGTAAGTTGATACTGTTCTCTTTCACTCCTTCCCAGGCAGGCTTTCCGTCCGGGGGCCAGATAACGTTATCTTCATGGCCCAGTGAGACTTTCTACTGACGCCATATTAGACGAGGATGTGCTGCTTTTATGGGCCGCGATGTGAGCAAGATCAAAGGCAAAGGTGGTGGTAAGTTCAAGTATATGAGTGAAAAGGATATGTTGGAACTTAGTGCCAAGTTTGCACCATACAGGTATGTCCGACCCTGTCTGTTCGTGACATTGATAAACATTCTCACTGTTGAATTAGAAGTCTGTTCATGTGGTACATGTGGCGGATCGAGGACGTCGATGTGGCCGTCCTTGGCGGTTGAGCGATGTATGAGAAGCCTGCTGCGGGATATTGGCCTCGACGTGATGTAATTTAAAGCTTGATCAAGCGTTCAACCCGCGCTTTATTACAATGTGATACTAGTTTACAGTGTGAGATTTGATCTTGAATGGTGGTTAGGCTTGCCAAGAATAATAGAACGTGTTATACCCATGCAGCCACATATTGTCGGCGGCTAGTGCCCAAGCTGACAGTCACTTCAAGACGTATGCAACAAGCAAACTTGAATCTTGAAAACAGACAGATTGCAAATACTGTTTGCTAACTACGATTGGTAAGAGAGTTAAACGCAAAGAAATCGATTTGTACAGTATCAGTACACCCAGGCTGCATAACCAAGACATGGGTCGCCGACAACGACGGGCACCCATTTCATTACGAAGAAAGCACACCCGGCGTTTATAGAATCCACAACCATGCTACCCCTTTCCCTTGTTTTCACAGTCTATCGAAAAGCAGCAACATCTTACTTGCGGACAACAAGGTTGTCGAGGTCCGCACGCTCCTTAGCCTCCTTCTCAATCTCGCGGATGATAGGGCTGAGGTACTCGACGTCCTATTTGATTCATACCATTAGCATGGAGTTCCCTGATGTGAGTGGATCGACGTGGATGCCTGAGACTGAGTCGAGGTGGATGTGACAAATCCGTGCAACAGGATTGGCCGATATGGAGACTAATGCGGGGAGAGGGAAATTTGGATGCTGGGACTGACCTCCTCGGGCTTGATCTGCTCGTTGGCGGGAAGAAGGGTGTGGGAGATGGAGCACTGCCAATCACACATTGGTTAGCCTTTGCGCGAATCGGATATAGAGGAAGGGGGTCGGTCGAACCTGGAATGCACGGCGAATACGGAAGACACGGTCATAGGCCTCCTTGGCCGGAAGACGCTTGATGGCCTTCTGGACGTTCTCGCTCTCCTCGGGGATCAAGTCATCGAACCTAGTCGAGCGATTAGCAAGTGCTTTTGTCGGACCCTGTTACGAGCGGTATCCGCAGAACCGGGGCGCCGGATAAATTCGACGATGCTGCGATCGCATTCAAAAGAAATGCCACCGCTGCGTGACAAATCGAACCGGACAATCCCCAATTCCTGCGTCAATCGCTCGTGGTCGGGTGGTTTTCGATATGGGAGGGCAAGATTTACTTGAGCCCGAGTCTCCTGTAGCCGGCGGCATCGGTGTACCAGTGAGAGAGAGGGGTCATCCAGCGCTTGAGCCAGGGGCGCTTGACAATGTAACTGGCGAGCGAAGGGGCAGACATTTTGAATCCCGGGTATCCCAATTGACGTGGGTGTGGTGAAGGGTTAGAGAGGCTATCCGACTGGAACACGAGATGACCCGATGTTGCGAGGTTGTGCAAAACGGAGCTCGGAACGCTAGTCCTGAAACGGCATCTCCACGCCTAAGGCCATAGGCACGTGACTGTATACGCCTCAGGCAGCCAGTGGATAGATGATGGAAATCAATCGGCGGACTTCACCTCACACTTGGGCAAACGGGGTTCTTATGTCATAGCCCTTCTCGAACTTATCGATTGCTTATGCAGACTGTGTCTTTGTTGAGACCCAAAGCAACCATCCATTCCTGCTTCAACCGACAAGCTTGCTCGTGCCGATAACCCCGCCCACCGACCGTCCTGCAAGATAATAGGACTGCGCATCGAGCAGCCACACCGGCTTCGGTAACCATCGGATCCAGGAACCCTCACACAGTCCTCACTCTCTTTTTCCTTACTCTATATCCAAACTTGGTCGGTTTCGATAAGTTTACTTTCCTTCTCGGCTTGCTTCGAAATAGGTCCTTGGGTTCCGGATCGAGCACCCGATATGCTCGTGTCCGGGAGCCCTCGTTGATTCATACGGCCCGACAAGCTACGTGAGCGCTGGCCACCAAGATGACTTCAGATTCAAACGGCCGAAGCGCTCCGAACAGCTCTCAAGACCAAACCCAGTCTCAAAATGCCGACAATATTTCACACGTGCTCGCCGTGCCGACCTCTGATTTCAAAACCCGCCTCGAAATCTTTTCCACCAAGATCCCAAACTTTTATATAGCACCTTTCTGCGGAGCCAGCGCTGGCGTGGCCTCCGGTATTGTCACATGCCCTCTCGATGTCATCAAAACCAAGCTCCAAGCTCAGGGCGGGTTCCGGCGGGGAACAAAAGAAGTTGCGTCGGCGCAATTATATCGGGGGATGCTCGGGAGTGGAAGGAGGATCTGGCGAGACGATGGCATTCGCGGCCTTTACCAAGGATTAGGACCGATGTTGCTAGGATATCTCCCAACGTGGGCTGTTTATCTAGCGGTCTATGACCGAACTCGTGAATATTTCTATGACCAGACAGGTTGGTACCTCCCAAACTGAGGGATCCGAATGCAAATTAGTACTGACTCAATTGCAGGAAGCTGGTGGTTATCCCGCGGCTATGCCTCGATTACGGCCGGTGCATGTTCAACGATTGTGACGAACCCCATTTGGGTTATAAAAACAAGACTCATGTCACAGAGCCTCAAACAAAACGCTGAAGGAGCGCGAGCCCCTTGGCGATACTCAGGCACATGGGATGCCGCTCGCAAGATGTACCAAGTCGAGGGTCTTCGATCCTTCTACTCTGGTCTCACCCCGGCTCTGCTGGGACTGACCCATGTGGCCATCCAATTCCCACTGTACGAATATCTGAAAATGGCATTTACAGGCTACGGTATTGGAGAACACCCTGATACCGGTAGCTCACACTGGGTCGGAATCTCTCTCGCGACCTTCCTCAGCAAAGTTTGTGCAAGCACAGTCACATACCCACACGAAGTCTTGCGCACTCGACTCCAAACACAGCAGCGGACTGTACCAGCGGCATCTCATGAAGAGATTGCGTTCCGCGGCGCATTGTCACATCCACATGACCGCGGCCAGTCACAGGGTATCTCCTCGTCAGACGGAATGGCCAGCCGCCCACGCTATAATGGCATGGTGCGCACATTCCAAACAATCCTCCATGAGGAGGGCTGGCGTGGCTTCTACTCCGGGATCGGCGTCAACCTGTTCCGGGCCATTCCGGCTGCTATGACCACCATGCTCACCTATGAATACCTGCGGAAGCAAATCAATACCTTGCAGCATGAGGGTGCACAGAAGCTTGTGATGGAAGAAGAGGCACGGGGTTCTATCTAATACTCATGATCTAGCAAGAAATGAAAGAACAGCATCATCCTCAATCTCCTCCACCTCAGTATCGCATCCCGGATACTGCATCACCGCTTCTCGCCAAAATTCTTTTCTCCTTTGTCAACTCACCACCTGTATAGACATGGGCGAGGCGGTCTGTTAGTATGTCGTATCGTTCTTTAGCGAGTGCATTACGGTCATTCGCATTCCAAGCCCATACAAAGGTCTCGGCAGAGATGGACATGTGAGCCAGTATCACATGCCTTCACGTGCTTGCTTTATGCCAGCTGAAAGATCTCCCTGGCTCTACATGGCGTATTTCTTGCTTGCTGCTTATTATTGGTTGTTATCTACCATCTTCCTGGTTTCTGCATATTCTTTTTTGTACATACACAGCCCATGCTTGCCTATTCTACCTAGTCAATACACATTCATGAGTAAACATTTAGATCAATCGCAAGACTAGATCTCCACAATGTCGAGTTGAATTTCATATTATCATCTGGTAAGGTAACTTACGATGGGAAGAAGCGCTCTCTATTGCGCTGGCCCACCAGGGTATGGGGTAGGCACGTGACACGGTATTCAAATTTGGCGCGAATATTTTTTTCCTCTTCCTTCCCACTTCACCCAGTCGCGTTTTTCTTCTACGACGACTGCCACACATACCGGGTGTTCGTTCTTCGGGTGTTTAATGTCTACATCCCGATGCTCAATCACTTCAATGGGTTGGATTCATCTCGAACCAAGCAGTCGGTTGTGTTGACCAGGCTCACTCACTAACTTCCTTACATCCTTGATTTCTCAGACAGCTGTTGGAATGGTTCTGTAGCCATTTGGTACTTCCCAAGGCACTCTGGGCTCTTTCTTTTCTCCACGTCACCCGCAAATCCCCTCGTCGAGTCGACATCTTTCCTACCTATTCGCATGATGAACAATTTCAAGATTGAACTGGGTTGTCAACACACTTAGACTCCCGGTGCATGATCATTCATACACTGAAAATTCTGATTGAATATGGAGAGATGTTGTCTTTAATGGGTTTGGTCTTTGCCACTTTTTTACATAAATAGCACCCAATATACGGACAAAGCAATGAACAGACGATTATATGCATTCGCAAACTAAGTACCACACGGCCCATGGCGGATCGAAGGTTAGCTGTAGCACCATTAAGCACATATAGAATGCTCGCGTTTCATAGAGCTATCAAGGTCGTCCCTTCCCACTGTTCTGCGCCCTACTTTCATCAAGTGCTTGTTGAACCCAGGACTCGTCTTTCCTCTCAGATGGCGTAGCACGTTGACCCGATCTGGGAGCTTGATTTAGGGCATCCCGCCGCGCGGTGCGGATAGAGCTAAAACAGTACGAACATAGAATGACAGCCATGGTGAAGGCTGCAATAGGGGCGTGGAGAGACTGATCAAGATCGGCGTTAGATAAGGCCGTACAGATTATCATGGGCAGATGTATAAGCCTTAGAGCGTGGCTAAGACAACAAACGAAGGGATGATAGTGATGATTTCGCATCGAGAGGCAGCACTCACCCCCTTTGGCTTGCCTAATGTTTTGGGACTTGGTCTTTGTTGAGTCATTGTGTGTGTGACAGTGTGTCGCATCATCTGGACTTGGACTATTCAGTGAACACCCAGTTGACTCAGGGCTTCAGCTATATTGTTATGCTAGTCCTTCACCAGTCACCACAGATTCATTGGATACACTCTGAAAGGAAGGGATAGAAGGTCAATGATTCTCATATAAAATCTGTTGACAAGTAAATTGTAATAGAGCATTCGGGGGGACTCGGGGGAGATCGAGATCGACGGGATGTAGAGACAGACAATAGGTGGGGAGTGCAAACAAGTCAAAAATTGTTATCAGTTGCCTTATCGCCAGCCGCCTTCCAATATTGCCAATCGCGTGGTCGTCAAAGACGTCGACCGATTTACGTCGCAAGTCGCAACTCGCACACAAACTCACACCACGCAGCCATGGCTTCTGAACCCGGCCGTCCCAAGAAGGGATTGTCTCTGTATGCTGAGTTACTTGATCAACCTGCTGATTCACCTGGCGTCATCTCGCGCGCTCCTGTTGTCTTCAAGCAGAGCTTGGAGACTGAGCCGCAGCCCGGCGATACGGACAAAAAGCCACTACTGAAAGATCGTATGTACACCTTTGAGCTCCTTAAAGTGGTTTTATCTTAACGCTTTTATTTTCGACAGCTGCTCTACGCTTTCAACCAACTCGACGCCCACAGCAATCAGCTTCTAAGCCCAAACCGAAACATTTACCCAAGGCAGCGCCGCAGCCGCAGCCCTCAGCCAAGCAAGCTTCGGTGCCGACAAAGAGTACCTTGGCCGACTGGGCTGCCTTGGAAGACGACGATTACGGTTATACGCGCGAGAAACGGCAACGCGGCGGAAGAAAGAAGCGTAAGAAGCATGTTGAAACGCAAGTCTATCAGAACTGGGATGGTCTTTACGATCCCCATCGACCCTCGAACTATCAGCAATATCGAGAGAGTGACGAAAGATTTGGTCAACCGCGTGAATGGAAGAATTACTTGTATGCGCATCGCAGCAAGCGCTCCTTAAGCAGAGATTCGGATAGCGATGACTATGACCGGTCGAGCATGCGTACGTTGGGACCAGATTGCAGATTGTTATTTACCACGATTAACAACAAGCATCAGGACAATTCACCCCACCGATCAGCTTCGCGCCGCCGCCAAATCTCAATGACCTGCCACCGACAGCAGTGGGCCCCGATGACCCGACTGGTGAGGATGCATTTGCTCGCCGCGCCGCCTTAGGACAGCACTCCAACAACGATTCTACCATCGGCCACGTCCCTCTCTCACCTCACCCGCCTCCCGAAGCACACACTCCAGTGCCCGATAATCTCGCTGCTCAAGACGAAAACATGCGGCGCCCACAGAATGCTGAGAACCAACCATCCGGACAAAACATATTACCTCCTCCACCAACCCGTCCTCTGGACGCCTTCCAGCCCAGCTCCGCCACGATATCACGGGCTCCAGTTCGGTACAATCTCCCACCCCCGCCCGATGATATCCCCGCCTCCCAGGCCGAACTTGACGCTGTGTTGGCCGATGAGGAACCGGCGGACAGGGAGGAAGAAGATGACTCCGCACCACGATCGCTCCGTCCCGGTCAGAAAGGCTTTGCAGAGCGACTACTTTCCAAGTACGGTTGGACGAAGGGATCTGGGCTCGGCGCTACCGGCTCCGGTATGGTGAAGCCCCTGCAAGTCAAGGTCGAGAAGCGAAAGAAACGGCCGGATTCCGAGGGTGGCGGCTTTGTCACTCCCGCCGGACGGGGCAAGATTATCGGTTCCAACAAAAAAGGCGAATACGAGACCAGCAAGTTTGGCCCTATGAGCGAAGTTATCATTCTCCGGGGAATGCTGGATGGCATGGACCTGGATGCTGAGATGGAGGGAAGTCACAATGGCGGCATAATGCAGGAGATCGGGGAGGAATGTAATGAAAAGGTTTGCTTCCCTTGTCGACGGTGACTAGGAGCTCTTGCTGACTTGATACGATTGTAGTATGGAACTGTCGAGCGAGTTTTCATCGCTCGCGACGCCGGAACCCCAGTCCTCGTATTCGTCAAGTTCACCAGCCCATTGTCTGCGTTACGGGTAAGCTTTGAGATATTCGGGTTTGCTTCCAGTTGCTCGGTGCATCTCTAACAAATAATCAGGCTGTGAATGCACTTGAAGGCCGTATCTTCAATGGGAACACAATCATGGCGCGGTTCTACAACCCTGAGAAATTCGAGCAAGGAATCTACACGAACTAGTTTTCGTGGTCATGCCCTTTATTATGTCGGTCAATCAGGTCTTTCGTTAGACCATTGATCCTTGATGAAAACTTTCAACCACAAGGAGTTGAAGAGGGGTTACATGGACTATTTTCTCTTCGAAACCTCTTATGTACGCTAATGATTATGGTCGAGTGTGGACATTGCTCTCAACGGAGCCTCATGGAATGATACTCATTAACAATACAAGGAGTGCAAGCTATAAGGTATCTGACTCCAAACAATGTTCTAAGCGATAAGTCCATTTATCTATGTCCGCGGCACCCTGCCTATAGGCCTGGGAATCCGAGACCGTCGGCCTGAGCACTTGCGAGATCTGGAAGTTCCCAGCAAAGGCTCCGCATCCGACATCTCGTCGTCAGAGATCAACTCGGAAAACGAAGGGCTCTGCCGTCCCCGCATCAGCCTACTAGGAAGAGGAAGCCGGCTCGTGTTCTCGCGAGGCCCAGAAGTTCCCAGCAAAGGCTCTGCATCGGACATGTCGTCGTCAGAGATCAACTCCGAAAACGAAGGGCTCTGCCGTCCCCGCAGCAGCCTACTTGGAAGAGGGAGCCAAGACCGCCAAGTCTGGCTCTTCTTACCCGGAGGGTCCTGCACCAAAGAGGGCAAAGACTCGACATCGGAATCTTCTTCATCATCAGAATATTCAACCAAAGCACTACAAGATGAGTAGGGCATCGCCGGCTGCACTAGGGTCGGCTTGCATGCTGGGTCGTTATAGAACGATACACTGTCCCTTGACGACCCAGTGGGAGACCTACGAGACAAATCAGGAGACTGGACTGCTGGTGTTTCCGCAGCATATTCTTCATCATCGCTTTCATCGGCGGTACAGTCGCCTCTGTGATAACGATAGGTGCCGTTCATCGCAGCCCAATAGCGCTGTCTCTTCCAGTTGCGAATAATAGACTGGCGGAGCGTCAGTGCATCAAGTTTGCATTTCAAACAGTACCCTTTGAGTGCAAAAGGAATTTCCTCTTGGTATTCGTCGATGCAATCATAGCCCTCAAGCAAGGCTTTCTTGCATGCGATGATAGAGGTAGCTTCCGGGTCAGGGTGCTGGCATCGGCCATAGTACCAAGTAATTGCATGACACATGATTTTGCTTATAGAATATAGCTGCTTATATTCTCTGGGTATTGTTAGCAGGGGCTTGGTGGTGGGTGGTGGGTGGTGGGTGGTGGGTGGTGGGTGGTTGGTGATTGGTGATTGGTGATTGGTGATTGAGAGTTGAGGGTCGTGGAAGTGGGATGGGATGGATGGAAGGAAGAGTTTCAGAACCGGTGGATCTTCACTTATAAATACATTGTCAGATGCACTTGCTGAACTCGTAGGACTTTGCCTACAAACTTAGCCTTGGAAGAGTCTGTCAAAGCCCATTGTCGAGGGTTTGTCCTTGTCATCGAACAAAGAGCCGCTTTTGTTGTCATGTGGAATCGGCTGCGGGCATTGTCCTTGGTAGAAGCCCTTTAAGAGCCAGTTTGTTTCTTTTTCAGTGCAAGCTCATGGATACTAGCTAGGGATTATCAGGATGGCAGCTCTGAAGAAGAATGGATCATGGTTCAAAGCCGTTGGACTCGATATAGAGCGTAATCCATAACAAGAAGGAATTGCGAATTTCTCAGGGTGCTCTATCTCTATATTCAACCTGGAGGGTGGTGAATGGCATTAATCAAGTGACTCTCGATCCCACCAGCTTCAGCTCAGTCATTAGTAGGTAGGTCACATAGGTATTCGGCAAGTACCTATACATATGATCAGGTAGGTCGGGCACAGCTTTGGACGCTACATGACGACTGTACTGCCCGATTTCTTCTCATTAAATCCCATGAAAGGGGAATATACGTACCAGTATGCCCTCATAACGACCTACCCCGTATCCATAGGGACAATTTACGATATTCAATCTCTGACAATACCTAGGAATAGATACGCTAACAGCTCTTTATAGAAGCCCCAGCCCATAGCTCGCTCAGGCAGACAAAAAGAGTCGGGATTAACACCAGGCGCCAAGATACCAAGCCAAGCTACACGTGGCACGGTATTAGGTATAGACTATAGAACACCGTAGAAAAAGAAATACAAACCGGCAGAACCAGTTGTATTTGCTATTGCCCCAAGTCCAACGCAGGATGTAGAAGTGAGGCTCTAATAGGCCCGGGGTGCTCATGCGGCGTTACGTAATCAAACAGAGAGGTTCATCGCAAACATCTCCCTGCCCTTTGAAGATTGCCACCTCTACAGTCTTCCCTCTGCTTATTCCCTTCTTCTCTCTGCTACTATCAGCGTCACTTTCTCTTGGTCTATAGCTCATTCAGACCCGGATCGCACCTTATTGCTGCCTAATCTTGCTCCACCCCACGACCGTTCTACCAGCTACTCATCTGCGGAACACCACCCGAAATGTCGCTGTGCCAGAACCGCCTCCAAGAGGAGCGGTAAGCATACCTCTTCCTGAAACTCTTGCGATTCTGCGCATCCTATGCGCCTATCCCGGACCCCGCGCTGACATTATGGCTTCAATAGAAAGCAGTGGCGCCGTGACCACCCATTTGGATTTGTCGCAAAGCCGACACGCACTGCCGCGGGCGGCCTCGACTTGAAGAACTGGGAGTGTGCTGTTCCAGGGAAGACTGGCACTCTTTGGGAAGGTGGTTTATTCAAATTGATGCTCGCGTTCCCCGATGGTGAGCTGCGCAATACATTCCTCCTAGCCGATGATCCCTTTACTAATCACATGGTCTTTTGTGCTTCTAGAATACCCAACCAAGCCTCCCAAATGTACGTGTCGCCTCTACAACAGGATATTCGCATAACACAGCGGGGAGAAAGAGCTTTATGGAGGACATAGCTAACCCAAGGACTGTCTAGGCAAATTCACCCCGCCGCTTTTCCACCCAAACGTTTATCCTTCTGGGACGGTGTGCCTGTCAATTCTGAATGAGGAGGAGGATTGGCGACCTGCGATCACCATCAAGCAGCTCTTGCTCGGTATCCAGGATCTTTTGGACGACCCGAACCCTGAGTCGCCCGCACAGGCTGATGCCTACAACCTCTTTAAGAAAGACCGTCCCGCCTACGAACGCAGGGTTCGCCTCGTTGTGCGTGAGAACCAGCCGAATTAGGCTCTAGGCCAAGCGAGCAGTAATGCCACGGTACGGCATACCGAGGAGATTGTGGGGAGGATCATGCATTATTTTCTTAACGAAGCATGTTTTGCTTTAGTCGTGAGCATGGAGTTTTCATATCAGCCAATGGACGGCGTTTTCTGGGCTTATCTTCAATTAGAACAATGATATTTCACACATCCATTGCTCCCTGGCGGGGGGCTTAGGCTTGCCGTGTCCCGAGTAAGGCTTAGCCTGTCAGGTACATAGGTAGACGACGTGTAGTTCCATGTACTAATATTACTAATGAGCAGCCACGACAACACGTTTACCTCTCTGCTTCAATGGTGTGAACCCAGGAGCTATGCTTCCTTTGCCAATCTAGCTCGTATGATACCAAAGCTAGTACAACCTTGCATCCTTATACGTTGCATTACTTCCCTTACCCAGGTCTCTGCAGTAGCGTTCTCTGGCCGGAGCGAGCAAGGCATCCGGCATCCTATAAACCTACAAACCGGTATCTTAGGAAGGTGAATGAAGCCGTAGACTAGATCATGATACGAAGAGTGACTTCCACCTCACGCTCGTCCGTTGACCCTGTACAAAGCAGGATTCGTCTTCCCGCTCTGGACTCATGGAGATATATCGGCCAAATCCCGGACAGGAGATCTACACATATCATCATAAGATGAATGACGATCAAGCCTGTATGAGGATTGGTGATAACGGTACAGTGATTAGACTGCCAGTGCCATGGCATCGCTCCACTAGACAAGCACTGCATCCAAGCCCGGGAGACCGGGACGTTGCCGGTTGAATGTCAATACTCTCAATAGCGAGATGATCGCTAGATACTGTGTACAACTTTGCCTTGGCAGGCTTGGCTAGGGCTTTCAGTGCTCGTAGTGGGGGTAGAGATCAATCACGTGTCAACGAAGAGACCAATATCACTTTACAATGTCACTTATAGGGAGATACTGCCAGCAGCCCAGCACATCCGGATAAGACAGACTAATAAGACGGTACAGGTCAAGCGCTCCTGCTTATATAGTTCCAAACTGGACGTAGACAGGCATAGATGTATTCTTCATTGGTGGAAGGAAAAAAGGAATTGAGTTTCTTATCTTATCGGTGACTCAAAGAACTTGCCGACATCGCCCCTCGCCCCGCCGGGAAGACACCGGGGCAAATTTGAAAAAAATCGCCTGGACCTTTCCCCATAGACCCGGATTAGTCAATTACCCTTCTTTCCTCTCTTCCCTCCCGAACGGATCTTTGTCTTCACTCACAATTCTTAATCGCCCATCATGTGTGGAATTTTCGCCTGCCACCAGTGCGTCATACCCTGCCCTTATCCTCGCGGATAGCAGTGAGATACGAATATGCAACTAACATGATTCCTATAGTCACCCCGATGTGCAAAAGTTCAAGCCCACGGCTTTGCGCATGGCCAAGGCGTAAGTGTTTCAATTGCTATTCCCCAATTGCTCCAAACTGTAGTCTGCAATCTATGGAATTGTCGCTAACTTGTGTCTTGTTCACAGTGTGCGCCACCGCGGTCCCGATTGGAGTGAGTCACAGTTCGAATCGCGAAATCACGCAGCATACTCGAGGATCATGTGGTTAACAAATGACTTTCAACAGGTGGAAACTTCTGCGCTGAGAGCACTAGTGAGTTTAACACGCGATAAGAATGGTGCTGGCATGGTATTCTAACTCATGATGATAGTCTTGGCCCACGAGCGTCTGAGCATTGTTGGTGTCGGTAAGTGTGACTCATATGAAGAATCGTTGACTCGAAGGTCTGTTTGCTGACATCTTTTCTAGACTCCGGTGCCCAGCCCCTTGTCAACGACGACAGCAGCCTCGCCCTCGCCGTCAACGGCGAGATCTACAACCACCGCCTCATCCGCAAGAACCTTCGTCACAAGTACAACTTCAAGACACACTCTGATTGCGAAGTTATCATTCCCTTGGTAAGTTGGGTCAGGTACATGGAAGTCAGGATTGAAGTGCTCATTGTGTTTTAGTACGAGGAGTATGGCCTTGATGCCCCCAAGCACCTCGATGGCATGTTCTCTTGGGTCCTCTGGGATAAGAAGCAGGACCGTGTCGTGGCTGCCCGTGACCCCATTGGTATCACCAGCTTTTACCTTGGTCGTTCCTCAGAAACCCCCGGTGCCGTCTACTTCGCCTCCGAGCTTAAGTGCCTGCACCCCGTCTGCGACAACATCATCGCATTCCCCCCCGGCCACATCTACGATTCCAAGACCGACAGCCTTACCCGCTACTTCGAGCCCAAGTGGTGGGACCCCGCCAACGTCCCCTCTACTCCCGTTGACTACAAGGTGATCCGTCACAGCCTCGAGAAGGCTGTCCGCAAGCGTCTGATGGCTGAGGTTCCCTACGGTGTATTGCTGTCCGGCGGTTTGGATTCTAGTTTGGTCGCGTCTATCGCTCAGCGTGAGACCTTGCGCATGGCTGAAGCTTCTCGCAACGCGCCCCCTGCCCAGGACTCCGAGTTGGTCGGAATCGATGACGACAACGAGCTATCCACCGTTACCACCTTCCAGCAGTTGCACTCTTTCTCCATCGGTCTTCCCGGTGCCCCCGATACCCAGGCTGCTCTTGAGGTGGCCAAGTTCCTCGGCACCAAGCACCACCCCTTCACTTTCACCGTCGAGGAGGGCCTCGATGCCCTCTCCGACGTGATCTTCCACCTCGAGACCTACGATGTGACCACCATTCGTGCCTCTACCCCTATGTACTTGCTCTCTCGCAAGATCAAGGCTATGGGTGTCAAGATGGTTCTCAGTGGTGAGGGTTCCGACGAGATCTTCGGTGGTTACCTCTACTTCCACGCTGCTCCCAACCGCGAGGAGCTCCACAAGGAGACTGTCCGCCGTGTTAAGAACTTGCACTTGGCTGACTGCCTGCGTGCCAACAAGTCCACCTCCGCATGGGGTCTGGAGGCCCGTGTGCCCTTCCTCGACAAGGAGTTCCTCGAGACCTGCATGGGTGTTGACCCCCAGGACAAGATGATCACCCCCGAGCGTATCGAGAAGCACATGCTGCGCAAGGCCTTCGATACTACCGATGAGCCTGAAACTGCCCCCTACCTGCCCGAGAAGATCCTCTGGCGCCAAAAGGAGCAGTTCAGTGACGGTGTTGGCTACAGCTGGATTGATGGCCTGAAGGATGAGGCCGAGCGCCAGGTCACTGACGAGATGATGAAGAACCCCAAGCCTGAGTGGGGCACTGACGTTCCCGACACCAAGGAGGCGTACTGGTACCGTACCATGTTCGATGAGCACTTCCCTCCCTACTGTGCCGGCACTGTCGAGCGCTGGACTCCTACCTGGTCCAAGCAGACCGATCCTAGTGGACGGTAAGTCTTTCTCGATTTCCTCTAAATGATAACATCTAACCTCTATCCACAGCGCCATCGCCATCCACAACCAGAAGTATGACAAGACGGAGTAAAAAGTTACCTTGAGAGCGAAAACACGAAGATCTGAGCTTTCTGATTTAGCGTTTTTCTTGGGGGTATAGTACCGGATAGATTGTATATACCCTGTTGTCGGTATATATCGGTATAATGTTATGATCTCAGTCACGTTTTGTAGTAACTAGTTCGTTGTTCGTACGGAGTAGTTCGTACACAGTAAAGAACAAAACATGGCATTTCCCTTGGCACGTGATCCACCAAACATGACCCGGCGGGCTTTCCCGGCAACCGGGCAACCGCCAATCACCGCCCTCCCACTAACCCGTGCTAAGCCCCTAGCCTTCCCCCAACATCATCGCAACTCTTCTTCCCTTCCTCTCTTCATCTCTTCATAGAACCACTCTTCTCCTCCTTCATCCTTTTTATACTTCTCTCGTCACCATGTCTGCCCCCGCTGCTTTCTCCGATATCGCCAAGGCGACCAACGATGTACGCAACCTGTTGGGCACAAAACTCGGCATCCGGAAACTTGGCTAATACATTATCCAATAGCTCCTGAACAAGGATTTCTACCACGCCGCTGCCGGTTTGTTTATCTCTAAATGGCATTGCGCCCACTTTGAAAGCTCACATAACTGATTGAAAGCTCTTTAGCCAACCTCGAGGTCAAGTCTAAGGCCCCCAACGGTGTCACTTTCACCGTTAAGGGCAAGTCTGCTCACGAGGGTCCCATTGCTGGCCAGGTTAGTTGGGCCCTATTTCCAAATATGCCCTAGAGACATTGCTAATAAGTGCGCCTACAGCTCGAGGCCAAATACGTTGATGCGCCCACTGGTAAATGCCCCGCCCACAGAAAACCACCCGATCCTGGCGCGTGGATGGCACCTACCATGCCATTGATATTTGGATGCGGCCTTCCAATATCGCGCCAGGTGAATGTGTTCATTTTTTCGGATGCCGCGGTTCACAGAATTAGGCTAATGTGCTCACTCCGACCAGGCCTCACCCTCACCCAGGCTTGGACCACCGCCAACGCTCTCGACACCAAGCTCGAGCTCGACAACAACATTGCCAAGGGCCTCAAGGCTGAGATCCTGACCCAGTACCAGCCCGCCAAGCAGTCCAAGGGCGCCAAGCTCAACCTGTACTTCAAGCAGCCCAACCTGCACGCCCGTGCCTTCTTCGATCTCCTCAACGGCCCCTCCGCCAACTTCGACGCCGTTCTCGGCCACGAGGGCTTCCTCGTCGGTGCCGAGGGTGGTTACGACGTCACCAAGGCCGCCATCACCAAGTACTCCGCTGCCGTCGGCTACAGCGTTGCCCAGTACTCCGCTGCCATCACCGCCAGCAACAACCTGTCCCTCTTCTCCGCCAGCTACTACCACCGCGTCAACGCTCAGGTCGAGGCCGGTGCCAAGGCTTCTTGGGACTCCACCTCCGGCAACGCCGTCGGCCTCGAGGTCGCCAGCAAGTACCGCCTGGACCCCTCTTCCTTCGCCAAGGTATGTTTTCGCGTTCTCAGGGCCCTAAATGGCTTCATCTATGCGTATCGAATCACCACTAATCACGCACTTTTCTCTCAATTTAGGCTAAGATCAACGACCGTGGTATTGCCGCTCTGGCTTACAACGTCCTGCTCCGCCCTGGTGTTACCCTCGGCCTCGGCGCTTCCTTTGATACCCAGAACCTGAACCAGGCTGCCCACAAGGTCGGTGCCAGCTTCACATTCGAGGCTTAAGGGCTTGATCCTTTGAGGTGTTAGGGCCGTGGACGATACACTATACTCTTTTCTGGAGAACTTGTCAACTTCTGTTATTTGTTCACTCGTCTTGCTGATGGGCCAGAATGATTATGGTGATGGAGGATGTCGTTCAAGATATTAACCCTGTGTGTGCTGTAGATCTTTCTGCTCAATCACCCCCTTTGTACATCAAATACAACTGTTTCCTTTGTTGACCAAGTCTGTTCATTCCTACGGGATACCTTAGAGAATTCTTCAAGGCGTGCGTGTCATGCAGGAGTAGGAAGTACATCAACCAGTAATGTACCTGACCATGAATTATGTACATCTATGTAGAAGAGGAGATCTACTCTAAGGCCGCCGGTTAAGTCTATGAAGAAGATGCAACCTCCGTCTCCCTCCTCCCCTTCTTCCCCTCAACCTCCTTAGGAGCCGACCTCCAAAGATTCCCCACAACAAACGTAACAACCAGAACCCCCGAAGTAAGAAAAAACCTCGCAAAACTCTGATCCCTCACCGGCCCAGAAGACCCAACCTCCTCATCAAGCCTCCTCCTCCCCTCTCTCCTCCTTCTCTCCCTCCTCCTCGCATCCTCCTTAACCTGCGTCCGAAAATGCTCCCGCGCATTAAAATGCCCCAACGGATTCCGCCTAATAAACCCCTCCCAATCCTCCGGATCCGTATTCTTTCCCCCTTCCCCAGTCCCAGTTCCAGTTCCAGTGCCAGCTGCAAACCCCTGCCCCCGCCGTCCCGTCCCCCCATACCCACCCTGCTCATAGAAACTCGGCGGCGGCCCATGGAACGCCGACCGCCGCTTACTTAGTCCGCTAGCCGGCCGGGAGCCGGCATAGCTACTGTGACTGCCGCGCGGGTTCTGGTGGGTATGAGTAGGTGGAGGCCGGTTGAAGCCGTGATCGCGATCGTAGGATGAGCGTTTTGAGGCGTCGCCGAGGACGTTGTAGGCTGCTGAGATGCGGGCGAAACGTTGGCTGGCGTTTGGGTCGTCGCGGTTTCGGTCTGGGTGGTGGCGCATTGAGAGGGCGTAGAATTGTCTTGGATTTGTTAGAATTGGGGTTTTCTTTTTTGGGGAATTGGGGGATTGGGGGATTGGGGGATTGGTTGGGGTGTTAGGTAGGTGGGATGTGTTGTGTTTACGTACTTTTTGATTTCCGCTGCTGAGGCTGTTGGGGGGATGTCGAGGATTTCGTAGAAGTTTGGCTCGCGGGCGCGGGTTTGTGTGCTTGTTGTGAAGGGGTGGACTTTGCGGTTTCGGTTTCGGTTTCGGGGGAGTGGGCGGACTTTTGGTCGGAGTGGTTGGGCTGTGATGCGAATCATGCGATGGAATGGTTGCGGAGGGACGGTGTGTGGAGAGAGGAGGATTGTTGTTATCCGCGAAGGTGGCATTGTCTTGTATATAGGAGGCGTTGCATCGAACGGAAGGTGCAAAGAGGGTAAGTGTTGTGGAGGTGATGAGGAACGGGGAAGAGGGAAGCTGAGGAAGGTGAAATTGGGGAACCTTGGAAGATCGGAATGGCGTCACTGCCGTTTGAGCTTGGTGGATTGTCGACAACTTCGACGATTTTGGCCCGACAGTCATTTAGTCACGAGACTATGGACTCTGAGTCTCTGTTCTCTAATCTTTCTTGAATATGACAATCAATATGAGTTAGCACTTCACTGCTCCACTTCACTGCTTGTTGCAATGCCATTCATCTGCTTGGACTGGAGCTGATGATCAGATTAGATAAGGGATTATCTCTCTTGGTGCGTCCCTTTCTAATTCTATTCTCCAACGAGGTTCGAGAAGTGAAGAGAGAGGGCTTGGAGAGGTGGACGGTCCATCCGCAACCATCTTAACCCGACAACCGCATAAGCATTTATGAACACGTACGGGCCCTACGTCGGTACTCGACATCTGTTATCTTGGATCCCCGCTCACGTCGGCCTGCCGCCTGGCAATGGGAAGTGCCAAAATATCACGCATCGTGATTAGTCCACTAATTATATGGCGTACACTCAAAACGAGTCCTTGTCAATTGACCGAACCTGGGAGGTGAGGGCTGAAACACCCTGCGACTGTAATACTCGCCCGCGCCTCTTGGTTACCAACGGCGCTTATGGCTTAAAGCGCTGATTGGGGGATACCACATGTTCTAAAGATCTCAAACCCCAACCCCAGTTGAGCCGCAGATCCTGGATGTGGCCCCTCAAACAGAGACATTGATAGAGTCGTTGCGCCAGCGCTTGGACAATTTAGCTGAGAGTCGGCTGAGGATAATGTCTAGTTCAGTGAGTACTCGATGGTCTTCCAAGTGTAAGGGCCAGAGTTGGATTCAAACCTTACTATCTTGCATTGTCTGCCGCTAATAACTGATCTGAGCTCCGTGCCTACATTTGCGTCTTCTCCATGGTCTGTCATTACATCATGGACACTGACAACCCGACTAGCTGGCACGACCGTATGAGCTGATCTTTCCATTCGTTCCCAAAAATAAGTCAAACACCAAACCCCCGTTCACCATAAATCTTGCTATAGCCGCCCCTAATAGAGACTAGGATGCGGCTCTCGCAGCCTAATACTATCGAACCCGCGGATGTGAAGCGCTATCTTGAAACGCGACAATATGACTTCCGACGAGAAACGGCCCTCAGAGGCGGCTTCGCTTCATAGCCTGAGATGTTATAAGAAATACTGTCAAAGTTGGGATATGCTGGGATAAGCCACCCTAGGCTATAAACAGGAACCTGGGTTTTTTGATATGGTCTAGTGGTCATTTTTTCCCCATAGTTATGAGCCCGGTTCGCTCTAGTGCCTTGAAAATACTAGTTCATGGTTCGAAGCATGGTGGGCGCGAAGAAGTAGGTTCCCTTACCCTTGTACGGTCTTGTAATGCGCTCCCGAGGAAAAAGAATCCCGATGAAAGAATACCGAGGAAAGAATCCCGGCATGCGTTTGAGACGACTAAAAAAGGAAAAGCGTCTGAGAACCTGCTTAAAGAACATCCCACAAAGAACAGTCTACATGCACAGAGCAGGGAATCCCAACGAGTCGGCATCCCCTGGGGGGGTGTGTCAAAGTTGGGATATGCTGGGATAAGCCACCCTAGGCTATAAACAGGAACCTGGGTTTTTTGATATGGTCTAGTGGTCATTTTTTTCCCATAAATACCGATACATAAATATCTCTTCCCTCGCACCCCTCAATAACCTGCTCAAGCTCCTGCTACTCCTCTCAAACACCGCAATCTCAAAAGACACGCTCGAAGAGATCATTCTTTCTCGTTGAAACGCACACGCTACACGGGCAGGCCCCATTGAGAGATAAAATGCCTCTCGCAGATCTCCCCAATGAGATCCTACTACTGATATCCTCCTTTCTCAATGAGTATGCCGACCTCAACGCATTCTCACAAGTCAGCCACCACTTCTATGCATTGTCAAATAAAGATCTCTACAGGGCCCTCGCAAGGGCCTCACCGGCGAGAGCAATAGTATGGGCAGCACAAAAGGGCAGCGAGGCTAGTGCACGGAAACTATTGGAGATGTGTGGCCAAGAGATATTGGAGATGCGTGGCCAAGAGATATTGGAGATGCGTGGCCAAGAGCTATTGGACATCATCGCTGATGACTATCAAAGACCAATAGTTGTTGCCGCAGAAAACGGACACAGCCATCTCGTCAAGCTATTTTTGAGTTACTGTTTGCCATACGACAACACAGAAAGAGAAGCCAGTCTATTTACAGAAACGCTTAATGCTGCAATTGAGCAAGGCCATGAGGCAATTGTCAGGCTTCTTCTTGAATCCAAGGTCGACGTCGCATTCTACCGCCAGGACAAGTATCCCGCGCAACTTCTGTCTGTGGCGGTCCAATACCGGCGGCTGTCCATTGTCAAGTTGCTCCTTGAACATAATTACTACAACCCCAGTACGTCCAAGCCAAACGAAAAGACCCCTCTAGCCCTCGCGGCATCTACGAGGGCCTCACCCGTAAACTTGGAGATTGCGCGGCTCTTAATAGAAGCCGGCGCAGATCTAAATACCGACAGCTCCCCAATTCTCGAAGCCGCGCGATCAGGAAACATGCCAGTCATGAAGCTCTTCCTAGAACAGGGGTTCGATCCGCGAAAATTAGACGAGCTCGAAGTCCTGCTTGAATTCTCTTGGCCTCGCCGACGAGACCGCGCGATGGCGGCACTACTTCTGAGCTGGATTGACGTCGACCACGCCATTGCATCTGGCAGTATCCAACGATGCTATCTACTGCGCGGCGCAATCACCAACCGATTCGATGATCTTTTGAAACGAATTTTGGAGAATCGATTCGTCTTTGACGAATCTCACAAACTGGATCGAGCACGGTTATCAATATGTCCGCTGAAACTGGCCGTTTGCTATGGCCGGACCAGGGCTGTCAAGTTGTTGCTTGAGCATGGTGCTGATCCCAATGGCGAGGCACCTGGTATTCGACCGATTGTTCTTGCCATTGATAGAGGTCGTGATGCGATTGCGAGGTTGCTGCGTGATAAGGGGGCAGATGGTCCTCCTGTTCGGGTTGCTGGGACGACATCGGTCCTGCGGGCGAGAGAGCTTCGTAGGGTTCGGTTGATACAAGAGAGACCCTCTGCTGGCTGGGAGGTCTGCTGTTAAGAAATATATGTCCATGGATTACCAGAGTGAGCAGTTGTCTCGACTCGAATGTGATGGAGGGGTGTATGTAAATAGTCTAGATCGAATTTCCACCAGCGACAAATGAATCTGCAACTTATGCTCATTAGATTGAGTCTTTGCCGTCATTTTGCATCCCGAAGTAATATAAGAGAATTCAAATATACCAGGCAGTGGACGAGATCTAAGAACACCTCTGAGGTAGGAGCGTTGGATCGTAGGGCAGCTCCGTGAATACCCGTTCGTGTGAGATGCGGCCTAGTTGTGTATGATCGAGGAAAAGGCTACCAGCATCCTCTCCTCGGAGTCTCCTCCGAAGACTGTGGGCTGGATTTTAATCTGTCATGAGTGTCATCTGACATCTGTAAACCCAATGCCTTGAAAGCACATAGATCATAGAAGGTAACTAAAACTTCGCAAGTACACAGTATAGTAGGAATCCGGGGCGGGGGCGTTATGGGCTTAGGGCTTATCTCTTATCAGCAAAACTCTTTCCCCGAAATCCGACGTTCCCCTCTTTTGCCTTCGACATAACTTTGTGACCCCAATTTTCAATATGGCGGCCCAGACTACAGAAAAGCTGGATAAGTTGGACTGTGAGTTATCTATCCGGGACGCGGATTTGCGCTATGTCATGTGTGACTGATAGGATACCAGTGAACGGCCAACCAAACCCCACCGAAAACCAGGTCCCCGCGGAAGCGGAGGAGGACTCGGAAGACGGCGAGGATGCCGCAGAAGCTGGAGCTGCTGGAGGTATGGTTTATTCTGGAATACGTTGTCCTTTGCTGCCTTCGCCGAACTCCGCTCTACTGAAGCAATTCGACTAACAGCCAGTTCAATTGCAGCCGACAAGAAGAAAAAGAAGAGAAAGCCCAGAAAGAAGAGCAAGAAGAAGGGTGGTGCCAAGGTCCAGAGCGAGCCACCTCGCGTGCCCGTATCCGACCTTTTCCCCAATGGCGATTACCCCGAGGGCGAGATCGTTGAATACTTGAACGACAATGCCTACCGCACTACCAATGAAGAGAAGCGATACCTCGATCGCATGAACAATGATTTCCTGAAGGAATACCGTCAAGGTGCCGAGGTCCACCGTCAAGTCCGCCAGTACGCTCAGAAGAACATCAAGCCCGGTCAGACTTTGACTGAGATCGCGGAGGGTATCGAGGATGCAGTGCGCGCTCTGACAGGCCACTCGGGTCTGGAAGAGGGGGATAACCTCAAGGGCGGCATGGGCTTCCCTTGCGGTCTTAGCATCAACCACTGTGCTGCGCATTACACGCCCAATGCAGGCAACAAGATGGTTCTGAACCAAGGAGACGTGATGAAGGTCGACTTCGGTGCTCAATTGAACGGTCGCATTGTGGACAGTGCTTTTACTATGTCCTTTGATCCGGTGTATGACCCGCTCCTTGCTGCTGTCAAGGATGCCACCAACACAGGTATTCGGGTAAGTAAACCTCACGCTTCTTAATTATGGCAGAGCTGACGCTTCTTTAGGAAGCTGGTATTGATGTCCGTATGAGTGATATCGGTGCTGCCATTCAAGAAGCCATGGAGAGTTATGAAGTCGAAATCAATGGTACGATGTACCCCGTCAAGTGTATTCGCAACTTGAACGGCCACAACATCGAGCAACACCTCATTCACGGCGGAAAGAGTGTGCCCATTGTGAAGAGCAGCACCGACCAAACCAAAATGGAAGAGGGCGAAGTTTTCGCCATCGAGACTTTCGGCAGTACTGGAAAGGGTTACGTGCGAGAGGAAGTGAGTTGATACTGCAGTTACCGGAGCTGAGAACCCATGCTAACCTAGTACTAGATGGAAACCTCCCACTACGCTCTCGCTGCTGATGCTCCTAATGTCCCCCTGCGTCTTTCCTCGGCCAAAAATCTGTTGAATGTGATCAACAAGAACTTCGGCACCCTTCCCTTCTGCCGCCGTTACCTTGACCGTCTGGGTCAAGACAAATATCTCCTTGGTGTAAGTTTCGGATGAATTATATGGAAGGTCTTTGAAGCTGACCTGAATTCAGTTGAACAACTTGGTTCAATCAGGCATCGTCCAAGATTATCCTCCACTCTGTGATATCAAGGGCTCATACACTGCCCAATATGAACATGTATGTTTCTATTTTGGGAAGTCTCCACTTATACCTACTAACATGTTTTGCAGACGATTGTGTTGCGTCCGACTGTCAAGGAGGTTATCAGTCGTGGTGACGACTACTGAGGGTTGCAGAGATATACAAGTAAAATTATCAAGAAGCATAGTTTACGGAGTAGTCCTCGTCCATGAGCAATATCCTAGTCCCGACTTTATCCTATCGGTCTGTGCCAAGCCTCCCACCATCAAGTATGCTCCACGTGGACGGTGGAACAACCATCTCCCCGACATTTTAGGACTTCTCCTATCTCTCATGGCTCTATCTTCAACACATATCGACCAATTCTGAGAATGTCTGTGGTTGAAACATCGTCGCCGCACCTCCGTGTGTCGGCCAATTCATCTGCGAAAACACAAAAACAACAACAATCCACCCGAATCCAGGCACCAGAGGCATTGGTCGACGACCATTTCTTCTGGACATACACTGAAGAGCCGCACCGATCGAGACGACAGGCAATCATCAAGGCTCATCCGGAGGTACGTGAACCTACTCTGTGGGCGCTTGTGTATAGCGCGGGCTTCGTCGACACCTCCATGCGGAGAATGTGCGGAGTTCCTGTCTACACCTGGCCACTTTTTCTGGGCGACCAAACAACCTCAACAATTGCAAATTGCAATGCTAATTCATGCTATTCTCTGTCTATATAGGTCACCAAATTATGTGGCCCCGAGCCCCTCACGAAATGGGTCGTCCTCGGCGTCGTCTCTCTGCAGCTCACCTGTGCCTACCTCCTCCGCAACACTTCAATGCTCGACTGGCGGTTCCTGGCCACAGCATACGTGATCGGTGCAACTTGCAACCAGAACCTGTTCCTCGCTATCCATGAGATTTCCCACAATCTGGCATTCCGGTCTGCCTTCGCCAACCGGTTGCTTGCCATCTTTGCCAACCTCCCTATCGGACTGCCGTACAGCGCAGCCTTCAGAGTATGTCTTTTTTTGCCCTTCCACCGGCGAATATAACCCAAGTCCTGCGAGAAAGACCTCAAGCTAACAAATTTACCACCAACAGCCCTATCACCTAACCCACCACAAATCCCTCGGAGTCACAGGCCTCGACACCGACCTACCAACAGCAGTCGAAGCCTTCTTCCTCAACTCGCTCCTCGGCAAGACCTTCTTCTGCACCTTCCAAATCCTTTTCTACGCCGTCCGCCCAATGTTCATCTACAGCCCCCCCTTCACCTCCATCCACCTCCTCAACCTCAGCGTACAACTAACCTTCGACTACGCCCTCACAAAATCCTGCGGCTCCATCCAACCATTCCTCTACTTCATCCTCAGCTCCTTCCTAGCCGGATCCCTGCACCCCTGCGCAGGCCACTTCATCGCCGAGCACTACTTCTTCTCGAACGTCAAGAACGGCGGGACCGAGTCTCTGAGCGAGCTGAAGAAGAGCGACAAGTCCAAGACACAGACTGCCCACCCACTCGACTCCCTTCCTCCCCCGGAGACATACTCGTACTACGGTCCCCTCAATATCCTGACATACAACGTCGGCTTGCATAACGAGCACCACGATTTCCCTGCTATCCCATGGACCAAACTGCACAAGCTGCATGAGATTGCCAGCGAGTTCTATGAGCCGCTGCCTTGTCATCGCAGCTGGGTCTGGGTTATCTATACCTTTATTCTAGATAAGAATGTTGGTCCGTGGTGTCGTGTGAAGCGCGAGCAGGGTGGACGTATTGTTGGCGGTGGGAAGAAGGGAGATACATCTGCGTCTAAGCAAGGAAATGGACGTAGTGGAGAAGGTATCTCTGCTGCGTCGGCGGGTCCGGACGACGAGGAGGGTGATGGGTGGAAGGAGAGTGAGCTTCAGTGTTAGCTCTTGTCTGCTCTTGAATTTGTATCATATCTGGTGTTGGACTTCACATTACTGGGAGGCGTTTGGTTATATGAGATATTTGTTCACAATTAAAAAGGCTATTGTTTGCTTCTATGTTGCATGAAGGGCAGTGTCCACCTGCCTACATGGTACATAGCTGTACCCTGTACGCAGCACAGAACAACTGAAATACAGCCGGGGTGCAGCACAATTGAACAATTACAATTACGACATGAACACGGCTGAGGTAGCAAATACGAAAGGTCCCAAGCTCGAGAAAGGGTTGACACACACAGAAAAAACCAAATCAAGAAGCTGGAGCCGTTCCATCGTAAATTGATATTAGACAAGACAGAAAAGGAAGTTTAGAAAGTGGCTACAAAGGAAACGAGACGGACGAGTGTCAAGCCTCATGGGAGATCCGGGGCAGGAAGACAGCGTGAGAGTAACAATTGATACCCACGAAAAAAAAAAATAATCAGAGTAGACGCAGTAAAAGGCTGATGCTGAAACACATAGAAAAGGGCATGCTCGTCAAGTAGCAAAGAGTAGATGGGAATTTCAAAGAGGCGTCAGCGACGTTAGACCGGGGGCACGATCACGCGGGGAATCAGCGCGATGAAGCCGGATAGACCGTGAGAAAGCGACAAACAGAAGACCTGCTTAGAAGAAGAAGTAGGCGATCAGGAAGCTGAGAAGACAGAGGAATGCGACAGCTTGGATCGGAACCCCACTGGCTGCAGGCGCATGTGATTGCTGCATGGTGGCGGGAATGGCTGTGCCGGTGGTCTCTGTGCCGGTCTTGCGCTGTCTCAGTCCTTGATCTGCAAGTCGGTCTTTAAGTCGCTGGATTTGTGCGTTGGCTTCGGCCAACTGGGACTTCAATTCGTCGGTGGAAGGCAGAGCGTTGGCAACAGCAGATTTGGCACTTGCAACGATAGACGTGGGCTCGCGCTGCGGAGTCTCGGACTTGGTCTTCTCGGAGAAATTGGGGGCAGGAATCGGGGACGCTTCATCGGTGTCAATCTTCTTCGGAGCCGGAGTCTGGAAGTTTCCGCCAGGAGAGGTGTAGGAAGGAGGTTCCTCGTCATGGACCTGATAAGGGTTAGATCGTGTGTATGAAGGGGTTATCGACGAAGTGCATACCGAATCGGGGCCATTCTCGTCAGAGGCATCGGTAGCTAGGTAGACGACTCGGATCTTGCGTTCAACGACATCGGTCTTCGGGGTTTGATCAAACTGGATACGAATGTCAGATATTGAGTTCGATGTTCGCGATTCGATGTAGACGTACGATCTGTGAAACACTCGCATCCTCCAATCCACTGGTGACAGAGACGGCCTGGACTAGGAACTTGTCCTTGCATTTGGCATCAGGGGCGGGATCCTCCTTCATGGCCTGAAGCAGCACTATCGAGACCAATCAGTATGGTGTGCTAAGTTTAGGCATGACCGATAGTCGACCAACCTTGAACCTCAACAGTCTGGCCCGGCTGGATATGACCAGAGTTCGGGCGCACGCAGTAACTGGGATATGGTCAGATAAACACGAATCGAACAAGGATGATGCGCAGGCGATCGCTGTGACATACTGCTTGGGAGCGGTGGTTTTGACCTAGTGCGCCGAGATACGTCAGTACTGTTTGTATTCCGCAACAGAGGTTGATGGGACCGTCACACGTACCTTAAAGACCACACCCTCATGGTTGGGGTTGGTCAGGCGAAGAACCTGGCACACTTCCTGGGTGAAAGGACCTATTATCAAGAAATGAGCCTTTGAACCAGGTCTAAGACAGGCTCGGAATCTGGCACTCACGCTTGAAGCCCAACTCGGAGGGCTCGATTTGGATAGTCATGGCTTGTGTTGTCGGAATGAAAGTAGTGGGGAAAGAGAAGAAATGGAAAGGCAGTACAAATAACTGCACGCGATCAGGCTGTAATTTGTAGACAAAGGCGTGGGATGGTTATCAGTTCACACCTCAGGAGTTTGATTACTGTCCACTTTGGGGAAATTAGCTGAGTCAGCAGTCAGGTGATGTCACTGTTGACAATCCGGGGTGCGATCAGATTTGTATTCTCTTTGTGTGCCTGTACTCTGACTGTACTGTGTATATTGGAAATTATGAACTTCTGTTGCTTGGGAGTTGGGACACTGTCTGTGAGTCTGTCCACTCTAATCAGCATGCCTCCATGGCCTTAGCCGGTCATGCCTCGCACCCTCGGGTGATCAATTCTCCACTGCATGTGATGCCCACTGTGCGTGACAGTGGGGTCAGTGATCCAGACTGTGTCCTCACTCTCCAATCTCATTGATACGTTCCATGATGAATAGGAAAGTATAGGCTGTATAACTCGCGAAAGAGAGCAATCTGATTCTCTGGACCTAACTTGCTGGTGCATATAACTCAACAGACTAACTAGCTCACCTATTGACGTTCGGTGTGAAAGTCATAGTGATCGCCTACCATGATATTGATCCCCATATTGGAGCAAGCAAAACGCCATATTGACAGCGAGTGGACCCGGCCTCTGCTTAGACCCCTATCAGCATCAACAATCTCAAGACCCCAGGCCCAAATTATCAGCTTCTCGGTCTCGGAAAAAGCTGCAACCGACAGTTGTCATAACACTGACCTTCCACCGAGCAATGAGCTATTCTCATGTCTTTGGCCAACGCAGCACTCACACCTCTATCACAGCTCTATCATTGGCCATCATAAGCTTCGGCCTCAACCAGGTCTTGGTGCATGTAGCATTGAGGAGTTCCAAGATTCCCCTGAGCTTGGATCCTATCTTGATTGAGCCTGGCTCTGCTATCAACTAGCTCCTCATACGCCTCCATTCTCGCTGGACAAGCTATCGGTCCAGCTTCAGAATCGTTATCTGATCGGTTCCTGCGTTTCCTTCGAACTAAATTCCCCCGAGGTTTCATCGCCAACACAGCCAAGCCACATGCGTCGTCCATCCGCACAGCGCTTAGCATCAAGAACATTCTTGGTGTTGAGCGCTGTGCGAATTGATGTCGCATGGGGCCTGGCCGTGTTGGCAATGAAATAATCAGGTGAACTGATCATATGGGTGTCGCATGCAGTGTCGCATATCCATTGCGTGGGTGCAATTCGTGTGCCAGTGCTGAACGCTTGTACAGCATCTTCATCTTGGATGGCCTGGGTAATCAATGTAGGTGTCTCGGTGATGAGCACCTCGGTGACGCAAGCTGAAGCTCCAGGGGTCTGGGCTCTCTTTGGAGCCAATTCAGGGTGCTTGCTGTAGCACTTGTCGTCTGAATGCCCTCTCTTTGTGCAGTGCGTGCAGACTGGCACTGTCGACTTGGTCGACGGAGAGGGTCTTCTTCTGCGTTTTTGGCCACGGAACGCTCCACGACCTTGGATGGTGTTGCGGCCTGGCGTTTCCGTTGTATAGGCTTTTCTGTGTGAGGAGAGCTTCATCCCTTCACGATGGAGTTCATGGCAAATCGAGCCAAACCTGTAGTGATCAAGGGGGTCGTGAGATTTTCCCGCGCTTAACTCGAAGTTGGAACGCCACGGCTGCTATTCTGGGCTAAGTGGGAGATGCTGCACGCATGCTGCGGTGAATTCCGTAAACTGTTCCAGGGTCTATATTTGCCACGTCAAAATCGGCAGAGGCTGAGTCTGCATTGAGATGGCCTTATGCAAGTGTGACAAACAATACAATGATAAGTCCAGATTATGCAGGTACGTGTTGTCGAAACCTGGGAACTTGTCCTGATATAATAACTATCTCACGTGGCTCCTGAATCTCATTCTCCTCAACAATCATCATACCCAACACGCCAACATGGGTTCTACTTGGATCGCAGACATACCTCGCCCAGAGGCAACGAATCTTGAAGAGATGCCATCCATTACGGATGTGGAGCATCTGTCTTCTTACAATTGGATCGAGTCGTCCATCCCCACGATTGCTGTTCCTGGCTGCCCCCATCGTTGGTCTCCGCCGAAAACCCCCCATGAAAGTGGCCAAAGACTCGGGACTCATTTACATTGCTCAAAACGCGTTTCGCCATCCTGCAAGTCCGTTTGAGCCACTGTTTCGCTCGTTATACATTGAACATCCCTCATACAACATGCGCCAAGTTGACTTGATAACTGATCGACACAACGTCCGCAAACTTCTGTCGTTCATCAACCCAAAGCTCTCTAAACCTTCACGGGAGCCTTTTAACATTCATGTTGAGATCACCGGCAAGACAGCGATCTTTTGTCGGACAGAAACCAAAACATATGCATTCATTGGGCGACACGTTTTCAGGGGCCACGGTCACGAGTTTGAGAAAGCGTTCACCACAAGCCAACTAGCCGGTAGCACTGGACATCATCGGGTCATTTCCTACAACTTGGGTGGTTTGAAACTCATCGTACGCTACGAAACCGACGCATACGTTGATGGAGTTGCAGGTCAACCCCATGTGGATTCGGCAAATGAGAATCTCTTGGACATGATGGGAAACCTGTCTCTTTCGCGACCTGAAAGTCACTCACATCTTCCTACCGAATCCAAATTAGTGATTCGGAAAGAAGGAAAACAGGTGCCAATCGAATCAACTCTCGAGATCAAAACACGTGTGGCCCATAGGTATATCGGCATCCAAGAAGTTCTTCCACAGCTATGGGTATCGCAAACACCTAATCTTGTCCGTGCCTACCACCAAGGCGGCATATTTGCACCACCGGAAGTCGAAGATGTCACTCGTGAAATTGCTGAGTGGGAAGAAAACCATGCTAATGACATTTGGTGTTTGGTTGGATTGGTTAAGCAAATTATGAAAGTGGTGAGAGAGAATGGGGGGAACGCCGTCATCAAATATGACGGTCGAAGTGATGGCCTTACGGTTTGGACAAGAGAAGGGAGCAAGATGTTACCGGACGACATCTATTTGAAATTCGGTGATGAAACGGCACCGGCTCAGGCGATTGAATCGGATCCTCGGAAAATAACTCTCAAGATCGGGGATACTTTCCACAATGTTGACATCTCGATGATACCATATTTATCCTCCTTTGTCAGCTTTCAACGTCGTGCCCAGCCGCAAAACATAAACCTCATACATGGCGATATTCCGCTATTTGAGATTGCTCTCAAGGGCTTGGAATCAGGCTATCGGCAATGTTTCCGCTCTTTGCGAGCTGACATCCCTCGGTATAAGACTCTCTGTGAAACATATGACTTTCTCCAGGTCGACGTACTTGCCGGGCAGTCAATTGACAATATCTTTGCCGATTTGAGGGCCGGCAAAACCGATGACGAACTCGACTACAAGCGCTATCGAGCTGTAAAGGGCGATAAATCTCGAGCACGAGACGCCGCATTTCGACTGTTATTTCTGATAATACGGGGCGAATTCAGTGATGAGAAGAGAGATCCCGACAAGGTTTACAACGCCGTGCTATTCGTTGTCTCATACCCAGGCACCTTCAAACAGAGCACGAGAATTGTGCTGCGGTCAGCCTTTGAAGAGCGCTTTGTCGTGTCCAAGAAGCAACGAAGCCAATTAGATCGTTGGCAAATGGGGGTTACGACCGACTCGTCAGGCGAGGAGAACACAACTGAAGATGAATATCCTGAGCCGTATCTTTCTGACGATTCTTAAGCCAACACAATTCGGGAGAACTTGCAAAGGGATTCTTTGGCTAGGTCTCTGGGGATCTGTGTTTTGCGCTGTACGAGTGGTCGAAGCACGTCTACTACTCACCAATCATGCCCCTTGCACCCCACTCTCATATTCCCGTGAAGTATCAATTGTATTCTCGTCATTTTTCTTAAAGTTGATTAACCTGAAATTGAATCCAAGAGTATTTTACCCTCTACGTTTTCCTGCTGCCTTGCTACTTTTGCGGGCAGGTCAGTGCCAACAATGGCCCCATAGTCTCTTCTCAATTAATGACCAGAATTTTGGCCCTTTGGCCTTTGGGTTGCAGTCAGAGGCACCATCTTCAATCCCTTCCCGCAAGAAGCCTGTAATGTCCGGAGGTATTGTAAACGCCATCGGAGGCCATAGAAACCCGGGGAAGCCAAGTGGGCCTTATCGCTCGCCGCCTTGCTGATACGTCACCCATCCTCGCGAGCGCACCTCTTCACCACCTGGCTGATTTTGAATCTCGAAAAAGCGCGCTTATTTTTTGGATTTTGACTTTATTCACACTTTATTTCACGGCCTAACATTTATTATGGCGTCGGATCTGGACCAACTCATTGAAATGGGCTTCGACCAAGAGCGCGCCCAGCTCGCAGTAACGAAGACTGGCGGCTGTAAGTCTCTGCGTCCTCTCCAACGCAACGAGACACCCTCTAACACAATGGACAGTGCAAGGTGCTCTACAGTGGCTAGAGGATAACCAAGACAAGTCGTTGGAGGAGATTCAGGCACAGTCTCAGCAGACAGGAGACGAGGAGAACCCCGCTCTCCAACCGGGTGAGCAACCGCGCAGCTTAGTGTGCAACGAATGTGGCAAAAAGTTCCGAGGCCAGTCACAGGCTGAATTCCACGCATCGAAGTCCGGACACGTCGACTTCGCAGAGTCGACGGAGGAGATCGCCCCGTTGACCGAGGAGCAGAAGAAGGAGAGACTGCAAGAACTGCGGGAGAAGCTTGCAGCGAAGCGCGCAGGGTTATCAGAGCAGGACAAGATTGACAAGAAGAGAAATGAAGTGTGTATTCATATATTTCAGGTCCCTGCTGATCGAAAGCAACTTGCTAACTTTATCATTAACTAGGAAATTCGACGGAAGAGCACCAAGGAGAGTCAAGATGCAAAGGAGCAACTAGAGCGCAAGCAACAGCTTAAGGAGGCTGCGCAGAAGAAGAAGGAAAAGCAGGATGAAATCGATGCCAAAAAGCGCATCAAGGCTAAGATCGAGGCCGACAAGGAAGAGCGTCGATTGAAGGCGGAGAAGCAGCGCGCTGAGCGTGCCGGCCTGGCTCCTCCCCAGCCCACTGCTGCCGCAGGGCCTACCTCCTCCGGTCCCACTACTTCCAAGCCTGCTTCTGCTTACACAGAGACACGTCTACGATTTCAGTCATCCCAGGGTAATATCATGAAGACATTGCCTGTGGAGACCACCCTGTTCGAGGTTGCCGCCGCTTTGAAGGAGCAGGATGGCATCGAGGTCCAGAGCTTCGTGCAGACTTTCCCGAAGAAGGTATTCAACAACGAGTTGTTCGGGGAGACCTTGAAGGAACTGGGACTCGTGCCCAGTGCCAGTCTCGTCATCCAATGATTGATTGATCCATACCAAATCCCTATACTAGCTATTATCAGCGTGCAAAGAACGAGACATGAAATGAGAACTTGCATTGCGAGTGAGACGTGAAATGGGCATTGGTGTATATAAGCAATTTTCCATAGAGTCATGCATACAAGTTGACCAGTTGACCAGTTGACCCATTCTTAAACTGACCAGTTGGCTTGAATCGAGAAAGGCGGAAACTTATCTTATCTTATCGTCATGTGATGTCGCGCTGAGCCGCGTTTTGGTGCCTAAGCCAACGCGCTCGACACGTCGTCATCGCATCTTTACCCAACCTGCCACTAATTGTCCGATATTATGCCAGCGTGAGACCCAATACCCCAGGACCAGGAATTTCACGTTACCCATGGAATCGACAGCTGATAGTGATACTTCCAGCGTTGGCGACCAGCATCGTGGTGGTGCGGGATCCATCATGATGCCAAACGCTAGAGGTGCCGCCACAGCAAACCCCTTCGAGGAACCCCAACGTCGGATCAACGAATACACTGCACAGGAAATTGCAACTCTCCAAGCCCGTCTCGACAAGAAACTGGGACCCGAATACATCTCTGCGCGTCCCGGTGCCGCGGGGCAGAAAGTGCACTATCTCTCCGCGGACAAATGTATTAACCTCGCGAATGAAGTGTTTGGATTCAATGGCTGGTCCAGTTCGATTCAGACCATACAGATTGATTTTGTGCGTATATCAATACGTTGGTCGACACTGAGATTCACTGACGATAATCAATCAGGTCGAGGAGAGCCAAAACACAGGCAAGATCAGCTTGGGTCTTTCAGTCATTATGAGAGTCACACTACGAGATGGGACCTTCCATGAGGTAAGGCGTTCTCTTCGAAAACTGGATACTGCCTTTGTTAACATCGGTTACAGGATATTGGCTACGGGCATATCGAGAATTGCAAGGGCAAGGCCGCAGCTTTTGAGAAGGCGAAGAAAGAAGGCACAACAGACGCATTAAAACGTGCATTGAGAAACTTTGGCAATGTGTTGGGTAACTGCATCTATGACAAAGATTATGTGTCCAAGGTGACCAAAGTCAAGGCAGCGCCTGTAAGGTCCCCACGTCTCTCAGCGTGTCATACATTGTGCTAACTATCAGGATAGGGAAGATGGGATGTCGACGATCTACACAGGCATCCTGACTATGCACCACAGGTGAAAAAGCAGCCGCCCCTACCACCGAAACGTATACCTGAAGAGGATGAGCTACCCCCCTCTCGTCCTATACAGCAAGCAAGAAACAATGCTCCAGGGAGTAGTGTTTCGTTGGAGGGGGACGGAGAATTCGGCAGTATGTTTGGGCATATACAATGTCGAACTTGACTAACGCTACTCCCAGGTGACGTTTTCGATGAAGCCGACTTTGGGGTGGCCGAGACAGAAGCGGGCAACCCCGATGAGATTGTGATAGACACAGATATCATTCAACAAAACCAGCCCCCTGCGACAACGAATGACCCAACGCCTCAACGAGGACCGCCTGTCCGCGCAGGATTCAACCCTGCTATTGTTACACCTTCAAAACCAGAGCGATGGAACGGTCCCGGCGCGGCAGGGCGACCTAACCCAGCCATTGTGCGACAAAATTCAGCAATTCCGCCTCCAGCTGCAGCACAAGGTCGACCGATGGCCGCGCAAGGCCCTCCTCAGAATCTTGCAAACCCTCGACAGTCAGTTCCACCACAGCAGATGGGTGCTCAAAATGCCCCACAAAACAGCATTGCGCAACCTCCAATCAAGAGGGAAACTGCCCCCCGGGGGAATCCAGGGAGCCCAAGACATGAATCCACCGCAAGGCACCCCATCAGCGGGATTTTATTCCGCCAGAGCAGTCGATCTTCTCCGTGAAAATCCCAATGCGGTCCCTGCAGGAGCACCCCAGTTCGACCCACACGCCGAGAGCCCCTCAATCCGCAAAACAGCTGGTGTGGACCACTCCAAGAGCCTTCCTATTGCCAGACCTATGCTGTCGGGTGGCACCGTTTCTCCCGCACCCGCAGTCAATGTCAACAACAACGCACGCGATTACGTCAATCCCTCAACCGATCTACAACGCCGAGTCGGTGCTCCTGCCGGTGCAATCGGCGGTCCCATCAGCAGAGGCCCTTCTGTCTCATCATATCGACCATTAACTCGACCTAATCCCGATCAAAGGAGCGTTTCAAATCCAGCCGCCATAAACCGAGGCAGTGTTACACCCCAACAGAATCTTAACGGCAAAAGACCTCCATTAGTGGATGTCACCAATGCAGATGCTGCGCCGGGAGCATATCCTGGAGTGCAGGCACCCGGGCCGAATGACCCTAAACGTCCCCGAGTCTCGGATGCTGACTCTGGAGCTTCCTCTGGCCCTCGCGCACCGGCCCAATAACCAATATGATCGGATTTGCATTGATCAGGACGGTGCATTGATAGCAATTCTCAAGTACAAGCGTTGTTATTTCGTCCTACCTTCGTCTTTTGCTTTTCTGTTCATATCCCTATCCACGGCGTCAATCACGGTTACAACAGTGTGGAAGTATGGCGGGCGTTTCGATATCTTCAATGCAATGATCCACAGCATCCCAGGGGGGAAACACATATGGGTTACTGGATCCCAATATATTCTTTTCAGCGGCTTATGCTATTCGTTATCCATAGAGCATGCTGGACTCTCAGGTGCATTATGGGAAGATCAAGCAATACTTCTAATATGACGGGGTTGCAGCATATCTACTCATGTCAGGAATAAATCGAATGAATGACTTAACCAACTTCATGCCCAAGTTACGTAGTCAAGAATCAAGACCACATCCGAACCCGAATTCAATCATGATAACACAGGGACACGTACATTGACGAAAACTGTACTTTTCTTGGGAAGGCGGATTGCCTTCCACTTTCGAGAAAATCCCGAGTTTCAACGTGCTGGCGGTTCTTGGCTGCGCCATCGGCAGCCGCGGAAGTGTATCCAGTTGATCGCCAATTGAAGGGGAAAGAGACGGGGGTAAAACGAGGAAATGGGAAGTTGACACGTCTGTACTCTGTTGGGCAATGGTGTATGAGGAGAACGAAATGAAAGTAGAGTAAACAGTCTGTCAAAAGAAAGAAGAAAGACCCAAGGAACTAGCGAACGGCAGGAACGGCCCGAACCGGTGCCACGTTTCATGGGAACAGGACATAGTCACCTCTTTATCATCAAAGGAAGACCAACGTCCAACATAGGTACCTATACATAAGACAGTGTGATGAACGATATTTGTGCTATCCCGTCAGTTTCACTTGACTCCTAATCCTACGTAGTTCCTTTCCTTCTATCAAGATTACATGGCTCGGTAGAGAAGCAATTTAGAGCCTACCCTTGTATCTTGTCGAATTGAATCGAGACCAAGGCAGACGAGCCTCCGGACTCGAGACACAGCATAGAAGGTCCTGTTACTGTCCTGTATATAGACTACATCTACGACATGAATCGGGATTTTCAGAACAACTGATTGTTCACATTATGGAAGTTTTGGTTAATCATACAAAGCCTGTATCGAACGATCATTGATCCTTTGTGTACTGACAATTGGCGAACTGCGAACAGGAGACCTATCGGTCAGAAACAAAGTATCTCAAAGCTCTCAAGGCCAGAAGAGAAGCTAGAACCATAATGCAAACCCTAAAAACCCGAAAGATCCGGCCAAAGGGTGAACCAAATCCCGTAGAAACTCCGGCGCTGTAATTTGGCCCCGTTTACTTACGGGGTTCAAAGGGGGGCAGACGAGTCTTCACTTTGGGCTGGGCAACCGGGGCGAAATCAGGCATGGAGAAAGATTGCCTAGCCTGCTGAGGAGCCTGGTTTTCAAGAGAGGCACGAGGCTCTCCTTTGGGTTGGGCAATCGGGGCGAAATCAGGCATTGAGAAAGGTTGCCCTTTAGGCTGGGCAAGTGGGGCAAAATCAGGCATAGAGAAAATCCTACCCTGCTGAGAAGGCTGATTCTCAAGAGAGCCGGTAGGCATGTAAGGGGCAGGACCGATAACGCGAACACCATGTGGCTTATCAACCTGTTGCTTGCGAACATTCGGATGATCCGGGCTCAATGTTTGAGTGGAGGCTCGGCTTCGTCCTGCGTGAGTAACATTGGTACTGGCCTTAGGAGAGCCAGAGACCGTGGACGAAGGGGCAGGACCTGCATGAATAGAACTATGCAGAGGAAGAGATTTCTTGCTGATCTCCTCCCGAGGACGTGGAGGAGCAGCATCGAAGGTCGGCGGTCTCTTGGAAACATCAATTGGCTTCGGACTAGGAACAGGGGCCGTGTTAGTAGCACGCTGTGGTTGCAAAGGAGCCGCAAGTTTGCCCGAGACTTGAAGTGTTTCTAACCGGGTGATGATATCGGAATCCTCGCTTCGAGTAGGCGAGAGACCAGGCACGCGTGGCTTGGACTGATGCTTCTCCGCAGAGCGAGACGAGTTTGACCCAGATGAGGAAGGAGGCGGCGGCGATCGGTGCCGCTCGAACGGGGTGATGTCGCGCTTTGCAGCCCAAGAAGTCACAAGTGGCTCATTTGCCATCATATCCCGGAGCTTCGATTCAACAAGTTTTTCGATATCATGAGCGCCAGGTGGGCGCGTGACCTTACTGAGGTCACGAAGTTCATCCCAGATCTGTCCCTTCTCCGCAGATGGAGGCGACATTATTGACCCAAAAGAAGAAGGGGGCGGTGGCGATCGGTGCTGCTCAAACGGGACAATGTCGCGCTTTGCAGCCCAAGAAGCCACAAGTGGCTCATTTGCGATCATCTCTCGGAGCTTCAATTCAACAATTTTCTCGACATCGTGAGTGCCAGGTGGGCGCATGACCTTGCCGAGGTTACGAAGTTCCTCCAGGATCTGTGGGCCATATGTGTCGACATTCTCTTTGCTTGTTGACTGAGCCATAGGTGTCAAAACAGCTGGCCGATCCATCAAGTTGGTCGAAATGACTTCATCAATGGTCCTAGCAGGCTTCGTCTCTGCCGGTCTGTCCATGAACTTAAGACCAGCCAATTCTGCAGCACCCGGGCTATCGATAGCCTTCGCCTCCGAACGGGTCGGAGTTACTGGAATCTCGCCAATAGTTGGGAAACGAGTAGAAGGTGGATCCATATCAAGAAGATGTTGAGGGGGAGCAGTCTGCTTGCGCTTGGCCACTCCTGCAGCAGCAGGATCAACGGAAGTACCGAAGGGTTTCATGTTTCCAACCGTATCCGCTTGCGCAATGGTGGCCTTCGCCTTCGCCTTAGAATGGGGAGAAGTGGCCGGACCCTCGCCAACGGTTGCCACGCCGGCAGAAGATGGACCTACGGTGGGAAGAGGCTCAGGCGGAGCGGACTGCTTGCCCTTCATCTTCTGATTACTTGCTGGAATAATCTGCTTGCTAACTTTGGCTGGAGGGCCGCTGGCGACTGGTGGCGGTTTCTTGCTCGGAGTCAACCCGGCCTGTTTTCGGGGTTCCTCGTTAGGCGATACCTTCCATGGAAGCTGTTCCACGGGCACACCTAGTGCTTTTTGCTGGGGAGGACTGAGTGCAGCTGCTATCGCCTTCGATGGCTTATTAGACACAGGGCCTTTAGCGACAGGAGCAGAAGGCGGTGACCTTGGTGTCTGCACTGGGTACGGTCCAATATGCGGCCCAGGTGTCTTGGATTTGGTAGCCTGGACATTAGTACCCTTGGTCGATGCCTTCTTCTCAACAGAGTCAGCGCGAGATGGTCGTGTCGAGACCTCCACTGGTGGAACTGAAGGTTTGGGAGGCAGATTTGCAGCCTTCTCTGGCTTTTTCTCCTTATTGTCGCTCAATGGGACCTTGGCCTCTGGCATGCCGGAAAGAACTGGTCCCTGGGCAGGGTTGCTTTTCTGTGTTGGTGATTTTGGGGGCTCTGTCACGCGACGAACTATGGACATGAAGTCTGCGGGCTGAGTGATCCTCTGAGAGAAATCGATGCTGGTCAAGAAGTCAGATAGGCATTGACATTGTATGGGATGGTAGAACCACTTACCTTGGAGGCGGGCGTTTGGCTCTAGGGGGGACAACCGGAGTTGGTTCCTCTGATAAACATGTCAGCTGAAGATACCTTCTGTGACCGCAGTAGTTACTCACTGTGAATCGGTTCGTGGGCTCTGCCCCTCCCTCTACCACGGGCACGGCTCCGGCCTCTTCCCCGGTCACGAGCATCACCGTCATCAATATTGCGACTGAGTGCGGGATCCAAACCGCGGCCGGGAGACACTGTAGCAGAACGAGCATGCTGTCCTGCGCCACCTGGGCGACCTTTCACAATGCTAAAAGCCCTACAGTTAATCTTGTAAGCTGTGTTCTTTCCAGCTGGGAGCCACCAACTTTCGTACCTTTGAGCAGTAGGTGTGGCACTAGCATGCCGTAGAGCCGGAGTGGGAGGAATGTCAGGACGTCCTCTCGTCCTCGAAGGGCCACCACCGCGACCCGCAGGGGGGCGTTCATAGGGAGATTGATGTAGGCTTTGGGCTGAGTTCCATTGGGATGCAACATGGCATGCAGATTAGCTCGATGAGACTGGCCGGCGGCTATGTCATGGAGTCCTTCCATTCCTCCAGTGTCCCTAACCTCCTTGTGCAAATCTGCGACAGACATTAGTACAATTTGAGAGACTCCAGATAGCTATCCTCCAGCACGTACTTGCCCACTTGTTCAGCTGAGCTTGATCTTGCGGAGCGATTTGTCTCCGAGACTCAATCGCGCCAATACGCACTTGAGCCTGCCTGTGTTCGTCACTAGTAGTTATCATTTCACGGCGCGCGGATCCCAAATCGGCCTATGGAATATCGCAGTTAGAAATGTCATTCACCAAGCAAAAGGCTGGGGCGTACCATCATCAGACTCTGCAGCCTGCGAGCATTCTCGGATTCGCTCATGTTGTCGCTGTGCTTCGTACAGAGGGTAGAGCTTTGATAACGGTAAAATGAGCGAGGTCGAAGGAGTAGTTTTAGATGTTGTTTTCGATATGTGTGTCGGTAGAAGACCTGTCACTGGGTCGAAAATGCGCTTTGGTTGATCAAAATGCGACAGTCAACGACGGGACAGAGGTTGGATCTGAGAATTTATCTCAGCGTGTGAGTTGGTACCCTGCCAGGTTGCTTGGCTGGCAGTCCACACAAGGGTGACGGTCAACTGGAAATGGGGCTAGGAACACAAGTTGATTGACAAGATTCAAACGTTTAGGAGATACAGTCTCCTAAGGAAATGGGGCGAAGGTCGAGACTACCTCGAACGAACGACCCTCCGATAAAGGATTGCTCCAGGGAAGGAAGTTTGGTTCAGGGTCGAGAGGACCTCAAACGGAGGGCCTGCGAGCAAGGACAGCTCCGGGGCAGGTCCGAAAATACCAGGGTGAAGACACAGACAAGTTGACGCGGGAAACGACAAGTCTGCAAGTAAAAGAACGAATAGCAGTTCCAGCAAAGCACGGCACTGAGGCGTTGATGATGTACCGTGCTTTGCCTGTCCGAGAAACACTCTGATATTGGCCACTAAGCAAACGAATACCCACAGCAGTGTGTGGAGGATGAAATGGTGGGGAGAGTAAGAGAATGAGGGCGAAGAGGAAAATAAAAACAATCCATTTCGGTCCACGGTCCACGGACGCGTTAACGCTCGGATGAAAAGTCAACATGGGAAGTCGTGGTTGTGGGAAAGAGCGACTCCATCGTTCCTTCCTCGAGCCGACGAGCCTCGAGGAAGTTATGCCATGTGGTGGACCACGTGCCCAGCTATTCGCACCTAGTCAGATGATTCCCATGGCTAAGTTGTATGGGCAGGCAGCGAAGATTAAGAAGCATGGCTGATAATCTTTCGAGGCATGGATTGGGTAGATGTCAGGAAAGAATACGTTTCAATCTTGGAGATATCGATGCCAAATCTGCTCTGCTCACGTGTACCACCACGTGCCTGGGCACCATTGCTATCTCCAGCCTCCAGGACAGTGAGCATTATCGTTTCCACTCTTAATGACATTATGACTTGGCTATAAGCTTCCATCTAAGGACCCGAAATACACACGGTGTCTCTACCAATTACCTTACTAAGTTGGAGATGCGCTGCAGCGCTGCCTTGTGATTGTCACTAAGCATGTTATCCGACTTGATCATGGCAAGCCTCTATATCTATACAAAAACTATGGTATTGGTGACCCCCCACTCTGTACCTATATAATTTGTTAACAGGGTAGACTGCGTGAATGCATTGTGAAAACTTCCAAGACCCCAGGGCATTGCTAGTATAAACAAAGCCAATCTCTCAAGATTGACATAAACACCTCCCTAAGCTGCATTGCAGCTATGGGACTCGGGATCATCTGCAAATAAGAGCCTTCATGTCAGTATTTGCGCCGAAGGGGCGGCCAACTGACAGGACAGACTTACTTCGGATAATTTTGACTACCGCCTGCACAACGCTGACAATCATGACAACCACACCAAAGGCAACGCATAGATACGCAGGGATCTTCTCTCGCCGAGTAGCACTGCTCAGCTTGATCCAGCATAGAGGAGGGAATATGTAGGCTAGAGCAGCAGCACTGGTTGCGCCAATGAGTTCAAACACACTTCCCAAGTCGCAGGTTATCAACGATAGGCCCAATGACGTTAGAACCAGCGCCGTTGTGAATATGAGGTGGCGAGCGGGGTTATGCGGTTCGTCGGGAAAGTAGTAAGTCGTCATGACGGAGCGGCAGACGAAAGCCTCGAGTGGTAGAGTGGTCAGCATGTTCAAACCGAAACAACTAGTCAAAGTCAGCAAATGCGCCTGTAACAAGGTCAATGTGGGAAGTATACAATCGTGCGATATTTACAACAATATTGTCAGATGGAAAGTTGTTCAACACATTGCCCTGTGTCTTAGACCCGAAGGACAAGAACCCTGCGATGCCCATTGCTAGACACATCACTAAGGACACACCTGTCGAGTAATGTGTGACGCGAGTAAAACGGTCGAGTGTAGGTCGTTTCAGCGAGCCATAGATCAACAGGCTGTTGTGGTCTGTAGGAATTAGCGACTTCTCTAAATACACAAATCGGAGACAACATACGGCAAACGAATGCTGACTGTTTGTTAGCAAGCTGCTTTTCAATGATTGACAGGCACGGCTGAAACTTACCAAAAGAGATCACACCCACAGCTTGGAAGAAGCCTGTATTGAATATGAGACGGTTCTTAATCTCTCCGCGGGACTCAGACGGAACCCGAACCCCTTGGGTAATAACCGCGACGACAATCACCGTCATGCTAACCAGGGCCAAGGCGGATGCTTTCGCCAGCTGATTGTGCGTTAGTCTTTGCCGCACAGCAAAGAAAGAATGATCTCACCTTCGCGATGTCTCTATATAGGGACAATGGGTACGAAACTCCCACAACAAAGATGATGATGACAGCCCGACGGTCTGTGAGAAGCCATAGAAAGGACATGTCCCGCAGAGATGGGAACAAAGCTCCTAGAACATGCGGAATGGTGTCGCCAACGATAATGCAAAATGCGACCATGCCGCCAAATGCAAATGCCCACTGCGCAATCGATATCGCAATGAGCCCGCCTTTCCCAAAGCAATACTGCATGGTCGCCTGAAATGAATCCGCCCCACTCAGCTTGGAGTTGACCACAATCAGGCGGATGGTCCAGTCCACTGTGATGGTCAAAGCAGTCAAAAGCAGGATTCCCATTGCCATGCCTGCTTGGCGAAGCGCATAAGGTTGGCCAATGATTCCAGCTCCAATAATACTGTTGGCCATGTTCATAAACGCCATCTTCATTCCACTCCGTGGTCGCGCCTCTTCGAGATGCTCTTCAGGAAAGAAGTCATCCGATGTCGCAAGTGTCACGCTAGGCGCTTCAATGTTTGTGAGAAGAGGAACAGATTGGCCACTGTGATGCGCTCCTGGGTCCATGTTCCCAAGTTCAAAGTCCTCGGCGTCCATCCATTGTGTTTCGTCTGGGCTGGGAGACCGCTCAATCGAAGTGCGATTGGATTTGTCGTGCTCTTCTGGCAGGTCGAATCGAACTCGATTCATGGTACGGGGGGTGTGGCGCTGTCCGTCGGGCCCAGGTCGAGAGATTGAAGAGTTGTGCTTGCTTGTCGCATTGCGCGTGGGTATCGGCGACGGGGGAGAGCCTGGAAGGAATGCCAAGTCCCGCTCCTCGGACGAGGCTGATATCAGTGATTGAGCTTCATGGCCATCCTGGCCATCATGGGCATACAGGTGATTCACTGGCTCCTCATCCCCTGCCATCATTGACCGATGTAGATGGTTAGAAATTCAACAGCTGCTCTCAGGCCACCTGTATGGGGGCCACACGTGATAGCTTATCGATACGAGGCTCTTTGAGCGATAAGCGATAACGGTCTTGGTCTTGGTACCTAGGATACGAAGACCCACAGCTACCACAGCGCCAAAACCCCTTCTAGAGGGCCTCTTCAACTCTCTTGGTGCCTGATCGTACCTTGGAGGTGTTGTGCCGATGGAAGTACACGTTGAAGACACAGATGAAGGGCTAGGTGATGATGAATTAGAATATGCAAGAGATTCAAGCTTTGCGTTATCGTCTTATCGATGGGAAATCTATTTGCTCGAAGAGGAGACTATTCAAACCAACCACCGCTAACTGCTCCCCTTTCCTGGTGCCCGCATGAGTACCACCTTTGATGCTACCTAACAGCTAACTTTGGAAATTGTGATATTCTCTTTTGGTTGAGTTCAAAGGCGAAGACAAGCAGCCAGCGCTGTGGTTGTGAATGTTGACTTCCAATGTTTGTCCTAGTGCAGCTCACCAAACTTCCCAAATCAATGAAGCCCGATGGGACGTTTCCTCTGAGATGCGCGGGCATGGAAGCGCAACCAAAAAGGTCACAGCATTCATGTTTGCTCTTGTCAACCGGGGCGTCCCGATTGAGACAGCGGAGGCTAGTGTTGCTGTCAAGCCGTTATGAGAGCCCAGAGATAACAGAGGTCTAGCTCTGTGGCTTAATCAATACTCTTAGACAATGCCAGTAGCAAGATCAAACTGATTTGACAGTCAAATGTTATCAGACTGCTGTTCCTGATCATGTGCGCTACCAATGTTTAGCTATCGGACTAAATCATGTGCCTTTTATCCAACCACGGCACCATGTGCAACTTCCCTTTTGAATACTTGGCACTTGAGCTCATACCTTGTGGCACACAGAGAAATCATGCAATCTCCTAGTGACTGCCGCGATTCACAATGGCACAGGAGCTCGACTTGGGTCACTCTGTCCTCCGAATTCGAGACTCAAATCTTCAGCTTTGCCTAGCTGCATCAGCTCACCTCAGCCACCCAATGAGCAATGGAACCCCCGCAATACACGCAGATCTACACGTCTCGACCCTTGATGACATTTGGATTACAGAGGGACCGGAGCTGAAATTGTGTTTCTTCGTTTGGGGCGCCTGGGATCGCGATGTCTTGGTGTCATTTGTCTCAATGTTGAGTGCCAAAATTCGTGACATGAAGGTGTGTGCGACATCTGAGCCCGGAAGTCAGATCGAAGGTTGACTATCCAACGAACTAGATATGGTCAGAGCTTGGATTCTCAGCGGATGCTACGACAGATGAAGATGCAGAGAACATTGGTACTTTTGGTTTTCACTGGCTCGAGATTAGCCTGCGCAAGGATCGTCCGGATCATCGCTCTATCACCCGCCGTACTTTACCCGACTCAATGATCAATCCTCCAGATGTTTGTCCTCCGCCAGATGTACCGGTCGTTACTTTGAGCTCAATTGACGTCCAGCTGGAGTATCGGTTATGTGAGGGGGGCACAACACAGAACCAAGGCCTCTACCTCTCTGATCTAAACACTCTCGGACGAAGATCAGATATATGCGAACAACATTTTCAACTGTTGGAAACCGGTATCCGGAGGCTCGTCATCTCCAGCTCCTTCAAAGATCCCACGATTCACGTCTCGAAACAGGCCCCAACTAAGAGCCTCACAAATTTGTTTCCCGTGGTGTTCAATCCTGGTTATCGAGATGTGAGTCTCCATGCCAGTGATGCAAGCCATGGTCTAATCCCACAGCCCTCACACAGGCGATGAATCAGCGTGGAACTACCATACCAACATTAACCAGATCCATGTCTTCTATGCTATTGGGTAGCAATAACCCATCAATCAAAGCCCGGTTTGCGAACCTGCTACAGCTCGACCATTCCCCGCATACAGACGAGTCCACAGCACGACCTGAAGCTCCCCTAGTGAGGTCCGCAGTCCACGCCTCGTTTTGGCGCGCTGCTTTGAAGAACGTATCCAGGCCAAGGCACTACAAAAGAAAAGGCTCCACCGTCTCCGCCAGTGCCAGTTCAAGCAGAGTCGCTGACCAAGAGAATGATGTGCCTCCCTTGTCGATGGATCAGCATTTCGGAAATGAAACACTTGAGCTGCTTGATAACTTGGAGGACCAGGCATATCCTAGACACGTTGAAAGCGATGAGATCCTGTTGAACAGTGAACCCGATTCTGAAGACCAGCTTTTCGACAATGTCAGCGATATAGGTTTCACAGACACTGGAAGTGGAGAGTCGACCCAGACATCGCTCGATACCTTGCTCTCGACCCAAGCGTCTTCTGAGGATTTTGATGGTGATCATGAGGCGATGATGCTCTCAAGCCCTGGTGAATTGGCAGATTACGAGGAAGACTCCGTGGCAGACTATGATGCTTGTGAGGATATGCAGAGCTATGATACCGATATGATAATGGCTGATGACTTTTGAACTGCATGTATGATAGGACTTTCGGTGTAATTTATAATGATACAAGGTGTTTTATGATCTTCATCAGTATTCGAACTACCTATCCGCCTCACACCCTCAATAAGCTGACGAGGGATAGGTATCTTGCATACATCTACCATCAACCTCCAGAGAAATCACCAGTCAAGGTGATGCTTCGCCCAACCCGAACATTCTAATAGAGTTGTTCCAAGCGCTAGCGCGACAACAAAGTTAGTCAAGCGGAGCGAGCATCAAGACAAGGTGACAACTTACGCTTCACACACTTCCTCCACAGTGATACCCTTAACGCTGGCGATAACATGCGCAACACGAGCAATAGCGATAGGTTCATTCCGGCCCTTCACCATACATCCTTTTTGCCACTTCTCCTTCTTCACGGCCTTAGGCAGATCCGGCGCGCCCTCCAGGTGCTTTGCAGACGCATGTGAAGGGCGGATTTCACACTGGGAGAAAAGTTAGTCTGTGATTATATGGCCAAAATTCAGTGAGAGACATACCCAAGGCCCGTCGGTTTCGATCTGAAGCCGGTCCAACGGAATTGCTTTGACAACCTCTAGATTCTCCTCCGTCTTCATGCTGCATCCATTAACACCAACATCGAGACCCAGCGCTATCATCCTCCCCATTTCCTCCATCGTCCCCGTGAAGCTGTGCACAAGTCCCCGCTTAGGAAGCTTAGCCAGCCTGGGCGCGAGGAGTTTTTCAAAATCCTCGCTTGCAGCGCGCGAGTGGAGGAATAGAGGGAGTTGAATCTCAACAGCAAGGTCTAATTGGGCTTCGAAATACTTTAGTTGCGGTTCCTTCTCACTTAGAAAGAGTCTGTCGTAATCAAGGCCGATTTCACCAAATGCGACGGCGTGACCAGCTTGCGCGGACTCAAGTGCCAGAGCACGGAGCTCCTCTAGCATCTTCGATGGACCGCCTGGGTATTCATCAAAGTGCTTTGCTTGGCACGGGTGCACACCGACGGTTGCATAACAGAAGCCCGCTGCAAGGTACCGTTGTCAGCGAAAGAAAGGAACGTGATGGCAGGTTCGACACTTACGGTATTTAGTAGCGATGTGGACGGCGTGCTTCGATTCTACGAGATCTGAGCCTGTTACCATGAATTTTGAGCAGCCTATGTCCCGAGCGCGCTGGACAACGTCATCGAGATCGTCTTCGTGGGCTTGCTTTCCGTGATATTCACCGCGGAACACAGGGTCGCTCAGATTAATACCAATCTGGTATCTCAGGGTTAACTATGAGCTGAGTTGGCTTCTTTCCAGGGGAAGTGACTCACGTCGACATATCGGAGAGGTTTAGATTCGGCCATATTCGATGTGGTCTGCCGTGCTCTAGCCGTGGAGAATGTTCTGTGGTTTGCAGCAGATATGGGATGTACTGTATGCAGCCCAGCCAACCTGCAGCTTTCGTTGGAGCCTGCAACAGCCAACAAGTGTCAATTCAAGCCCTGATCGATCAAGTAGTCCCCGCATATATTAACTATGCATTGGAATAGGAAACAGACCTAACGAGACAGACCTATTGATCCCTACCGACCTCACACTTGGGCTAAAATTGCGGCTGAAAAGTTTCAAGATACAGCCACTTGCAGAGTTGGTTTGCATCAGATCAACAGAGTTGGAAGAGTCGTTCTTGTGTTGTCAGATAATTGTCACCTCATGTCGAGGGTTTTGTTGACTCACGGTCGGATGTGCCCAGCCACACTAGGGCTGAGGCTTGAACTGTGGCTGGTGTATTTGGATGCCTGACAACGAAGGCGGCAATTCCAGGGGACAGTTCGGGGAGAAGTCCGCTATCCAGTCGGTGCTCCGCCGATTCCAGACCCCTCGATGTTCGGTCTCAAGCGCAAAATGTGTATGTTGTGGTTGGCTCAAATTGCAAACTAGTACCTTCTACAGTACTGTATGCTGCCTTTTTGCCATCATAGGTTGCTACATTTCTGACAAAGGGGTGGTCAGCAAATGCGGTAGGAAGAAACCACTGTTTGCAAAGCGGCAAAAGTGAGTAATTTTGGACAACTCATAACCTCATTATTCAAGGACCCAGTCCTGAGCGCTCCTGATAAACACGCAACGAGGAAGGTGAATGAACAGTACTGTGTAAACTGTAAGCTCGGGGTGCTCTGGCCCGTGCAGTCCGGGGTAGGTCCGGGGACATTGCCGAAGACCCCCACGCGGGGCCACGCCTGAACCCTTGCTAAATACTTAATGCTCTGTGGAAGGCTGCTTCGTCTCTAGCTCTTCGTTGCTGCTTTGCTTTACGATTCAATTTGCACATCATCGATCGGAATCACAAATCTTTTCAGCCAAGTTGCCAACCTTAAAGTCCTTGTGAACAGCAATGGCAGACCAAAAACTGTTGTCTGCCCAGCAGATCTCAACACACAAAACACCAGAAGATTGCTGGATTGTGGTCGAGAAGCAGGTGTGGGACGTGAGCGACTTCTTAGAAGAGCATCCTGGGGGATCTTCCAGTACGCACATTGACCAATCTTCATCATTGGACGAAATCTAATCTTCTACGCGAACCAGTCATCCTCAAATACGCAGGAAGTGATGCCACAAAAGCATATTCGGAAGTCCATGCACCAGGCGTATTGAAGAACAATCTGAACCCAGAAAAATTCAAGGGCGTCCTGGATGAGTCAACAATTGACGCCGAATGGGTTAAACCTCCTCCGGGAGAGAGTCCAAAGGTGATACTCGAAAATGAGAAACCCCCGTTGCACACCTTGATCAATTCGCACGACTTTCAGCTGGTGGCCTCGAAAACAGCGAGCAAAAAGACGTGGGCCTTCTACTCCAGTGCAGCTACAGATCTGATCACACGCGACGCCAACAAATCATGCTTTGACCGGATATGGTTCCGGCCTCGAGTCTTGCGAAATGTTCGGTCGGTAGACTCCCGGACCAATATTCTCGGCGGGAGTTACAAGCTACCCTTGTTCGTGAGTCCGGCAGCAATGGCAAAGCTCATCCACCCGGATGGAGAATGCGCTATTGCCAGAGCCTGCGCCAACAAAGGAATCATGCAAGGAGTGAGTTGATAGCGCGTGTTACACCATCCCCAGCGACTATGCTTACAGTATGGTTAGATCTCGAACAACTCATCGTACACGATGGACGAGCTGCGCACAGCAGCGCCTTCTGCGGACTTCTTCTTCCAGTTATACGTCAACCGGGAACGAGAAAAGTCCGCTGCGCTCTTGCGCCAATGCTCAGCGAACCCGAACGTCAAAGCTATCTTCGTCACCGTTGACGCTGCCTGGCCCGGTAAGCGCGAAGCTGACGAGCGCGTCAAAGCAGACGAGAGCCTATCGGTGCCTATGGCGCCGGCGAAGGCCCAAATGACAAGAAAGGCGGCGGCCTTGGGCGTGTCATGGCCGGGTTCATTGATCCCGGGCTGACATGGGAGGATTTGAAATGGGTAAAACAGCACACGCATAAACCGGTGTGTTTGAAAGGCGTAATGTCAGCGGACGATGCCCTGCTAGCCATGAAAGCGGGACTGGATGGTATCTTGCTCAGCAACCACGGTGGTCGTAACCTTGATACTAGTCCGCCGTCGATTATTACGCTTCTGGAGATTCACAGACGCTGCCCCGAGGTCTTCGATCATATGGAGGTTTATGTTGACAGCGGTATTCGACGCGGAACCGACATTCTCAAGGCTGTGTGCTTAGGTGCAACGGCCGTGGGTATGGGCCGGAGCATGCTCTTTGCTACTAACTATGGCCAAGAGGGAGTCGAGCATCTGATTGACAGTAAGTGACAGCCCTACATCTTGGGTTTATAGTGTGCTAATTCGAGTTCCTTGCAGTCATGCAAGATGAGCTGGAGACAGCTATGCGGAACATTGGCATCACATCCCTGGCGGAAGCATCCCCTGATCTCGTGCACACAGGGGACGTTGACCACCTGGTTCCGTCGTCCCGCTCTCACCCGTACGCTCGAGCCATAGCTAAAGGACGGCGACAAGGGTCGTCTAAGCTTTGAAGAGAATGCGGGGGATTGCAATGTTGAGCGATGATTGGCAAGCACAGGTCATGTGAGCAATCCAGAGTAATATTTTGCGAGGCTGCGAGCACGGCACGCCGCATACATGATAGATCGTGCATCGTTCGCTTTCCTACCTACCAAAGATCGAAGGTTGCCTTCCTAGTCAATTACCAATACCGTGTAGTGATTAGAGGTCTTGTGGTTCACTCAGTATAGAGCTCAACAAAACGTAAGATTCCCGCGCCACTCAAATATCCAGGGGTGGACTGCAGGGGAAGAATTCAGTCAGAAGAAAAGAATTCCTGCCAAGACTTCCTTGACGCTCGTCAAGCTGGGCCCTTACAGAGTATCGAATTGTCCCGCACCTTCTGGCACAAAAACGATAAGCTCAGCCACATAAGGTCGGCTGATCTCATGATACGACCCGTAGGCTTCGAAATCCGCTTCGGACCATCCGGGTAATATAAGCGATTGCGGGGTCTGCAGAGAAGTGCATAAATCTCGACAATATGTTACGTATCGACAGGGACACGTAGCACTCTAAATTCAGTAGTGACATAGACGTACCTTGGTGACAGTGTATACCGTGTAGAGCAGAGAATCGGGTGCATCGCAGTAGATCATCCGGAAGGCGGAACCATCTCCGACTCACACCGCTCCACTTCTCAACGCTAATCTCCCTCCTTCTTTTTATTCTTAGAAGCTATCTTAGCTCCACTAGCAGGTCATGGGATTCCCCTAACTGTTGAGGATCACCAATTACCCTGGGGTCTCCAAGTTCCAGTTTCCATTCTTATCTGAAGTGGCTTACGTGCCTCCAGGCCCCAGGGTTTGGCGCAGACCGACTCACCGGTTGAGGGGGGAGAAGGAGTGGTGAGAGCCACTTACGATCAAGGGATTATGAACTGATGTGCATCGATGTACTCCGTACATAACAGAACAGTTTCTGCAGGCATCTTCCCACCGGATACCTCTCCCCGCTTTTTTACTATGTACTGTAGGAGAATTGAAGAGGGGTTACCGTCGAGACACCCAGTTAGAGCGCATTGTAGGGCAAGGTAGATTTACTGATTACAACATTGTACATCAGCGAGCGGGAAGTCATCCAATAATGGCCGAAGTGTGTGCTGGTGATTATTCGATTGGAAGATCGTCTGCCAAGAAGAGGTAGTGATCACCCAGTTTCAGGAGAGGAGGCAATGTACTGGGTACATCTTGTCACTCTGTGTTCTGGTGGGTACGGGGTGATATGCAGGTCCACCGATGGGGTACCTGGTACATACGCCGTAGATCTCCGTCCGAAGGGAACTGTTGAACTCGAAGATGCAGTCATACTGAGCAAAGTGTATATAAGGACAAGCTCGTTTCCCCTCATTTTGGTGGCTTAAGTTTTTTAAAAATATCTCAGCCTTTGAGTTAAAATAAATCTACGACCAAATCTATCCATTTCTACTCATTACTACCCCATTTCCCCAGTGTTGACGTCTACTTTTCGACTCCACGACACTATCGATAACGGTCCAGACCGCCAAGAACTGGACTCATAGCTCTCCCCAACCATTCTCGTCCTCAGTTCTATTAAAGCTCTCCGTTGTCCTCCCTTCTGATACTTTCTCCCTACGCTTTTCTTCCGCTCTACTTCCGCTTTACACTTATATCTGGAAACTTCTCCGTCAACCCGTGCATTATAGCTCTATCATCTCCCAGCTATAGCTCTATACACTTCACATCACAATGACTGCTCCTCGTTCATCATCTATCCGCGCTCTTCGCGCCCTTTCTCAACAGCCCGTGGCACCCTCTGCTCGCCGCAGCCTTCACATCACCGGAGTCCAAGCCGCTCAATCCGCCAACGCCGGCGAGAAGGCCCTCTCCAACCACGAAGTCCTCCAGTCCCGTGCCATGAACATTGCCCTACGCAGAATCAACGGCAGTGCATTCTCAGAGTATGTTCCCTCCCCGTATTATACTTATTCCTTCGTACCTATACCTATACACCTACGTGTTCCATATCTACATCTTCATTCTCCACACCCCAAAGTTGAACACCCAAACTGACTCGCAACCAGCTCCCCCTCCCGCCAATTCAACACCTCCCGCGCCTCAAAAGCTAATACCACCGTTGACTTCGTCTACATGCCGACAATGGCAGACCTCGATGCCGCTCCTTTGCAATGGGGGATCCAAGTCCCGGTCCTTCCCGAGCTGCCTTCCATCCGGGAGCGCCGAACCCCATCCGCCCCACCCATGAAGCCCCAGATCTACACAGTGTCCGGCACCGGCGCTGACGTGCCCGCCAGCGCGATGAGTGAAGTCGTCGACAACCACGCCGTCGATCTGGACCCGTTCTCACTTACCGAGGCTGTCGGCCGCTCGCGTGTCGGAGAAGAGATCCAGCGCCGGTCAAATGGTACCTCCCAGCCTGGGGCTATTCGCGAGCTGTGGAGTGGCTTCCTTGACGATCTGATGGGTCCTAAAGAGAGCGCTCAGAGGAAGTAGATGCCTTTTTTGTTCATGCTGGTATATTATTGTTGTCTTCATTCCCGTTGAACAGGTTCTCTGATGAAACGAATTCTCTTTGCCTGATACATTGTTCGGGCTTTTGCTTTCTTTTTCCCTCCGGGCTGGGTTTGTTGGATTGTCTGAGATACTAGCGGTTTTGTATCATCTTTTATTTCCTTGGAGTGGATGTCTTCCTCCATGGTGTCGGCCGGTCAGGCTTTTTCTTTTCTACCTACTTTTTATTACATCTCAATGTCCAACTGTGGCAACCAATTGAACCATACGAGTCTTACCCTTTTCACTTCCACTGAGATATTCATGATTTCTTCAAGCACTAATGCGATCCTAAAAAAGAAAAGCCACTTAGCAAATACCTACAAACCCCCAATGGCTCAATCAACTCACCATGGACCCGACGTCCGTACCAATCCAAACCCACAATTCCGTTGTACCTCGGCAGTAGATCCCTACCCACCAATGATCTGCAACAAGATCCAACAACCAATTTAATCTCCGACATTCCAAGGTTAATTCAAACAGTCCGAATTCAACCCGAGGTCACCAGACTCGAACATCAGGTGAGTCATTGTCGCAGCTCTAACCCCAGTCCACCATCCACCGGCGATGATACCAAGACAGGAATCCGCCGTGTCTACCCCTGGTTCCTTACACCATACACAGTAGAATAAGTTTCAGCACGTATATCTCCATTCGATCCCAACATCCGTCGGCACGTCCTCGTCAGAACCCGACCAGACTCCTGTGCCGAACGAGAATTAAGCAGAAGAAGCCGCCTTGGTATTCTTTTCTTCTTTCGTGCGGATACTAATCAGTAATCACTTTGCAGTTCCGAGGCTTTGGGGATATCCGCCGAGAAAGGACGGGGAGCGGGTTTTTCGTGGGGAGGACCGGAGGCCCGTCTCGGGCTGTTTCGGGGGTGCAATCTGGAGGGGTGTTTGAGTTGTCTGACAGTCTGATTGATTTAGCAATTGGGGTTTGAACTTTGGGTGCGGGCTTGGGGTTTGCTGGACGTAGATTGTTGTCATTGGGTGATTTCTCTTCGCTTGATTAGGCTCTGGTCTTGGGGATGGGTGTGGCTGGTTGCTTGTTTGCTGTAAGGGGTTTTGTGGCTGGATGTTTGATTCTTGCAACGGCTGGTTATCTATCTCTGCTTGTTCGACATTCCCGCATAAGAGTAGGGATTCTCGGGCTTGCAGTTTTGCTGTTGTTGGGTTCATTCCAAGGTCTGTAATGTGGCTTGGGGTTCTCTGGGTTATGTTCACACTGGGACGGCTGGAGGCTGGCATATTGTATTGTGATTTTGAGAATTGCCCCTAGCACCCTTCACGATGGATTTGGTGGCTGTCTGGGAGGTTGACACAGGACTATATCTCCGTATGCATCTGATTGAGGTGTCCGTGGCCAATTAGTACTGTCAGTGATCACTTTCTCTAGCATCAGCGCCACTGGATACCTATAGGTGCAATTGGGCAACAAGCGTAAAATGGGACAGAGACAGTAACATGGAAGAACAGTAACTCCGTTGTTGTTTCGCGTTTTAATTGAGTGTTATAGGTGACCCGAAATAAGATTGCTCAATTTGCTTGTAGAACCTCGTGGATGTTGTGCTATGCGACGTAGTAGCTCGTGATACAGTTGGTAAACGCCATTGATTCGAAATGTGTGTATCCTCTCCACTCCATATGACCACACAGTTGGAAGGGAATCCATAAGCTGACTCAGTTCCAAGTTTGTAGTTATGTCCTTTCTGGTGACCTCGGGATAGGGACGTGCGACTCTCATATCACTGGCTTCGGCCTATTATCTGAAATATTCGTGCGAGCAGGGTGATGTCCGTCTAATTTGCCATATGTATGCAACTACGTAGCTGTGCAGAGCTTTGCATGTATCCAATATGACCAATTAGAAATTCGTAAGATGATCTGCATGGATGGAAAATAGATCTATCGATGTCAGATCTCTACTGCTATATCGTATACTCGCACAGTACATGGGTTCTATTGTAGACACACCCCCTATTTTTGACTTTGGTACGACCTATGTTGATGACTGGTGTGTTGACAGGCAACTCAATTGAGAATGAAATATGTTCAAATAGACACAAGCTCATGTCTGATGTTGATTCTGCGGAAAAAAGTGGTTCCTGTCAGACAAATGTTCTCGGCCAAAGTGGAGGCGTGGAGGCACAGGCCCGGCGAGTCTAGACCGCTGATGCTCGCTGCATGCCTCATGGTTTCTGTGCCAGTCGGCATTATCTGTCGATTCCGCGGTGGTACATACTACATGTACATGCCTAGGAATCAAATGAGCTGGTCTCAAGTTATTGTTACATTTGAAGTTTGGTAGCCTTTCAGGGGTTGGCATGAAAGACTTCAATTCTTGGCGAGGAATTTCTGGGAGATTGAAGAACGTACTGCGTATAGACAAGAAGACCATACGAAACATAGCAGAAGGTTATGTTCAATAGTAGCATCAAAATAGTCAGAAATAAAGCTTCCCAGCAATGCTGGACTATCGCGTGGCGCTATGGTCCCGTCCAAACAAGTTTTGGTTGGCGCTAGAGATTAGAGCACGGGGTTTAGCTCTGACTAGTGCCCAATTAGTGACAAATGAGCCGATCAGGGCTCAAAAGAGGGTTAGACTGTGGTTAGACAAGTGGAAGATAGTTCCTGCGGGAGAGCTAAGACGTTCCCAGTTTAGAGGCAAACTGGACTCTTGTCAGGGGTTTTTTCCCTCTTATGGTGGAGCTCATGTCCGCCACCTCTGAACCCCCTCACATCTTCCATGAGGCCTCTCCAACCTCCTCTTCTTTAAATCTCGGTGTTGGATCGTCTTTCTTTTCTCTTGCTTGTTTTCAATTCCTTCATAGTCTTGCACTTCGTTCTATCGCTTAATTCAGTCCTTCAATAATTCCTCATCTCATCCGTCAGCTCCATCTTCACGCATCGTGAAACAGCATCCAACGGTTATCTTGAAAAGACAGACACTCAATTGATACTGTCTTCGATTATTCAGATGCAGCTTACGACTTATCGCGTCTAGACTCCCCAGGGATCATGCATCTCTCATCATGCCTGGTCTTGGTTGCCGGCATTTCAGGCGTACACGCCTTTTTCCCGTGGGAGTTGAAATTGCGGGCAGAACTAGGCCAGGGCTCAACCGAAAAGAAAAACGAACGTCGCTTTTTGCCATGGAATTTGATTGAACCCAAATCTGAGGATGACAGCTCCGACTCGAAACCTTTCACTCTCGACGTGAAAAAGATGCCCGTTCGTCGTGCCAATAATTACACCATCGTCGAGGCGTATACACCGTCGCTGGATAACAGTGTGCAGTTGAACCAGGATGGAACGGACTATTCATACTTCTGTCCAATCCAGATAGGTTCCGAAAAGCAACTCATGTGGATGCAAGTCGACACCGGAGCACCCAGTACCTGGGTCTACGGCTCGCAATGCGACAGACCCATTTGTCAAAATCGCCGCACATTCAACTCATCAAAGTCCACCAGCTACGAAAAATACTCATCGTCGGGATTCACTATCTATTACGGCAGTGGCGAAATTGATGGAGAGCTGGGGAACGACACCATCTCAATCGCAGGTCTCGAGATAACGCAAACTTTCGGCCTAGCTACCAATGCCTCCGAGCGTTTTGAGAACTATCCATTCGACGGCATCCTTGGTCTGGGGCGATCCTATACAAATGGGTGGAAACTGCCATCCTTCATGGATATTGTCGCCGACAAGAAGCTCCTCAAGTCAAACTTGGTTGGGTTTAGTCTTTCTCGCGCTGAAACTGATGCCAAGGATGGAGAGGTCAATTTTGGTGGTGTCGATACAACCAAATTCGATGGCACCATCTCCTATACCCGCACCGAAGGCGAGGTCTGGAGCATCCCCATGGATGATGCTTATGTAAATGGGCAAAAGTGCAACTTTTCCAGAACCTTGGCTACAATTGATACAGGAACCACCTATGTTCTGATCCCTCCCGATGACGCCAAGACGCTCTTCTCTCTTGTCCCTGGTTCCTTCCAGCAGTCGGACAACCCGAGCAACTACCTGGTGCCGTGTACCTCAACTGCAACCATCGAGTTTGAGTTCTCGGGTGTTAGATATAACATCTCTCCCAAGGACTACATCGGTAGCGCCCTTGAGGATGATCCAGATCACTGCATTTCGACCATTGTCAGTTATGCACAAAACAACGCAACCTGGCTTGTGGGCGATGTCTTCTTGAAAAACGTCTACACGGTGTTTGATTTCGACAATGCGCAAATTGGCCTCGGGGCGCTTGCCTCTTCCTCGGCCGAGGCCCAGAACGCGACCTTGGAGTCAATTTCCTCTTCTGATTCCTCTTCCGGCCCCTCTTCCCCAACCCCGGTGGCGGTTCCCGCTGAGGGCAATGGGACATTCACTCCACCGCCAGTCGCTACGACTACTACGTCGGCTGCGGAAGCGACTTCCTCATCGGCGGTTTCGGCCGCATCCCACTTTACTCGTGGCATTAGCTGGTCTATGCTCACTGTTATCATTGGCGCATTTGCTATCTGAAGTGCATTTTAGCCAGTTTTCCATTCTCAGCGGTTTTGATTTGGCGACAATCATATTTCTGCTCCTGTATCACTTACTGTACACTCGCTCATCACCTCTTCGTGCATATTCTCTTCCTTTGCCGATACACTTCCTTTCACTTGTTAATACACCAGGGTCTACATATCACCAGCCATTCCAGCATGACTTGGCGGAGATCTGTTTGGGATTCTGTCTGCTGCACATATCACTCGTTCGATGTCATATTCCATCCTTTACGGGGATCTCTATAATACATAGCGAACATAGCGAACATGCTCCACCCGCTTCTCCCCCAATCGTAGTCCTGTTTTAGGTTCCGTCTGCATATCCCAACCAAGTCCAATGCATGTACTACGATGCACAAACTTCCAAATCTCTCCCACTTACAATTTCTCTACGGGGCCAGCGTATAGTTCTTCGGACCCGACTCTGTATCCAAATTAGCCCCCCATCCTCACATCACAACAGCAAGACTTACCCAGAATATCACGATTGAAATCATCAACCCCATTGAACCCAGCAACCCCCATCAAGATATCCAAATCCGCCAACAATGACTTCATAACATGTCTCACACCCTCCTCTCCCTGGATGCTCAGCCCCCAAATCCAAAGCCTTCCAATAAACACAAACCTCGCCCCAAGCGCCAAAGCCTTAACCACATCACTCGCCCCCCTAACCCCAGAATCAAACATAACATAGATCTTGTCTCCAACCGCCTCCACAATCCTCTCCAAAGCATCAAGACTAGCAACCGCCCCATCAACCTGTCTCCCAGCATGATTACTCACAACAATCCCATCAACCCCAAGCTCAACACACTTTCTGGCATCCCCCACCGACTGAATCCCCTTAATGGCAAACGGCCTTCCTCCACTGATCCTCTTCCAAGTCTCCATTAACCAAGGAATCTTGTCCCACCCCCAAGCCCGTCCATGCCAGACCGAATCAATCCACTTAACCGACGCCTTCACAACGTCAACATCAGGATCAATTCCGTCCGCTTGACACCTTTTCCGAAAAACCGGATCCTCAAGACCCATCTCGGCGCCAAAACCACGATAAAAAGCATAATTCGACGTCGCAACGTCGTCATGTCTCCAGCCCAGCTGCCACGTATCCGTCGTGAGGATCAGGGCGTCAAACCCGTTCTCCCAGGCGCGTGTTAGGAGCGAGATGGTTAGCTCGTCGTCGTGCGGCATGTAGAGCTGGAAGAAGCGTGGTCCGGTGCCGTTTGCGGAAGCGACGTTCTCGATTGAGGTGCTTGCTGCTGTGGAGAGGCAGTAGGGGAGGTTGAGTTCGGAGGCGACGGTTGCGACGGCGGATTCGCCCGAGGGGTGGTAGATCTTGTTTATGCCGATTGGGGCGAAGCCGATTGGGGCTGAGACTGTGTGGTTGAAGATTGTGGTTTTTGTGGAGCGCGTGTTTGTGTCGACTAGTTGGTTGGGGATTAGACGGTGCCGGTGGAAGGCTTGTCGGTTTGCCAGGTGGGTGGTTGACATGCCGGCGTTGGATGAGGCGTAGTACCTGGTTTGCGTTAGTAGACTAGCGGTTGTCTGATTGGAATATGGATGGGAGAGGTATTGTACCAGCCGCCCTCGCTCAGCTTCTCTTTGGCTCTTTCTTCCATCTTTCGGGGGTCTGTGTTGAATAGTGGCAGCTGGCCTTCACTCTGCTTCAGGAAGTTCTCTCGCTGGTACAGAGCCCATTGGGCTGTGTCGCGCTCTTTGATATGCGGGTTCGTTGGGTCACTCATTTTGGAGATTGTGATCTTGGGTCTCAAGTTGTTTAATGGATATGTGTATTGTTGGTGCCCAGAAATGCTCGTATATACAGTATGGCAGCAGGCAGACCATTCGCTTCAGAGCTCACGGGGAGTCCTCGTTCTTATAAGTACGAAGTATATATAGAATCAGGTTATAATTCCGATGACTTCATCTTGACGCAGCTTGGCTGTTCTTGGACGGATGAACTAACTTCGGCCCGCAAGAGTTTGGTCGAGTCTGATCGGACTTCATTCGACGACCCAATATATGGATGTGTTTATGGACAGGCTGATGAACAAGGGCCATACACAATGGATTTGAGAGGTCCACGAGAATTGGAACAGTCCTTTTTCCAGGTTCTGATGTTAACCTTATTATTTATAGACCTGAATTGTGAGCGGTTTGGATAGATGGAAGTATACCTGCACTCAAGATCGATATATTCCGATGTGAGTGATAATCCATTGCTGATAGCACTGGCTAGCTAAAAGTACCTGAAGCTATTCCACTGACCTGAAATACAAATACCCCAGACATTGACTTAAATTAGATTCTCAACCCCAGCTTCCCCAGTATCAAATTACCCCAACATTTTCGGGACCGATGACGTCCCTCGGGACTGATTTTCATATCCGAGCCGAGATTTTCCGCCGGCAAGCCAGAACGGGTAGCTTCTACAATCCATTTTAGCGGCCACAGAAGCCTCAACTCATAGTGCTCGTTTCACTTGTGCCAACGAGGGGACCTGTAGAAGTATTTAAGTTTTCCATGAGATGCTAAATGCCTCTAAAATGGACCACCTTCACACTACCTCGCCAATAAGAGTTTAGGAAGTATCATGACCTAGGCGGTAGCTACTTTCTGCCACGCGGGTTTAAGTCCCACGTGGTCGCTGCTTGACTCCGTACGCTGTGTAGATCAAATCCTCGGGTGTCGTCACTCCAAGTACTCCATACAAATCAACATCTATCCCCATTTCAACTCCCCAAGCACCTGAAGTCACGATAAAAATGCTTGGCCTCGCAGGTAGAAGATCAGCGCTCACACGCTCAAAATATCTGGCGACTGCGCTGCCCGCTCGAGCTGCACTCGGAGCTCAACACTCGTACATCAACAGTCAGGATTTTCACTCCACGCCGGCGCAAGCTGATTCCAGACCGACATGGATGCCCATGCGAGTCAAGACGCCGTGGGTTGATGCATTGACCCAGGCCCGCGAGTCCCAGGATTCTGGAGAGCAGAAGACGTCCGCGAAGACCATTGAGCGTGACCTCTCGCCGAAGAAGATGTCCGATAGCTATTACAGTGCTGTATGATCATTTTTCTCCCCGTTTGAGGAAATTCAGGGAATTTGTTCACTAACTACTTTTTAGATCCTACCTTTGGCCCAGGATAAATGGCTTCTGGATTCTTACCTCAACTCATCCGGTCATATCAGGTACGTCGTTGATATCTTCTCACAAAGAGCGGTTAACTAATCATCCGACTAGATTGGGCTCACTGCTGATGGACCTTGATGCTCTGGCCGGCATAGTTGCCTACCGTCACACGGGTGACGGAGTATCCACGGTCACCGCAGCTTGTGATCGAATTACCATTGAGAACCCGCTGATGGAGATCTGCGATCTTGAGCTCAGTGGTCAATGTACATACTCTACAGGCCGATCTAGTATGGAGATTTCCCTTCAGGTCACCAAGGCCCGTCCGGAAGGAGAGGAAGCAAAGCCCGAAGACGTGCTGATCACTTGTGCTTTCACAATGGTCTCCCTGGATCCAGCTACCAAGACGTATGTCCCTCTCAGTTATGGATATAAACGAACAGGAACTAACACCACCCAACCAGTCCCGTCCCTGTGGCCCCTCTCATCGTCGAAACAGAAGAGGAAAAGAGGCTGTTCCAAAAGGGCGAAGAGAATCACCAAGCCAAGAAAGCCCTTCGCACCCGCAGTCTCCTCGAAAAAGCCCCCGACGCCGAAGAGAGTAATCTAATCCACTCAATGTGGACAAAAGAAATGTCCTACCTAAGTAAGTCCATCCCATCCCACAACCTCCCAAGATGCCCACCTAACAAAACCAAGAATCCAAAACCCCCCGCCCCCAAAACCTAACCTTCATGAGCGACACCGTCCTAAAATCCGCCATGATCATGCAACCCCAATACCGCAACCGACACAACTTCATGATCTTCGGCGGTTTCCTACTCAAACAAACCTTCGAGCTAGCCTTCTGCTGCGCCGCCTCCTTCGCCCACGCGCGCCCCAACTTCGTCGCCCTGGACCCAAGCACCTTCGAGAACCCCGTGCCCGTCGGCAGCGTGCTGTATCTGCGCGCGACGGTCGCTTACACGGAGCCCGCGCAGCGCGAGGGCGATAGCACCAAGTACACGAAGGTGCAGGTGCGTGTTGACTCGAAGGTCAGGGATGTCGAGCACGGGACGAAGAAGTCCACTGGTATGTTTAATTATACTTTCTTGGTTGAGGGCGATGTGCAGGTTATGCCGAAGGGGTATGGGGAGTTTATGCTTTGGGCTGATGCCAGGAGGAGGGCTTTGAGTGCTGCTGAGATTGATCCGGCACATAATGCTCTGCGGGGGATGCAGGATAGTGTTACTGAGTAGGAGGGTGTCTGGTTACATATGGGGTTTTTGTTTTGATCTAGGTAGACGGTGGTGGCATCAATGTTATCTTGTGTACTTTTAGTATCTGTGCTTGGTTTCTCCGTTTTGACTCCTAATATCGAAGAATCTATGCATAGATTGAAAAGGTACTGATCGAGCTGTAAAACTCACAGAGCCCACGTCAATTCAAGGCTACCATGCAAAAGAGAGTTCTATATACAACGCCCCATGCCCATCGCCTCACCATTCCGTATGTATAAAACAAAAGCGAGTAGAAGAAAGAGTATATATAAGACCAGAAGGAGAAGTAGAAGAGAAGAAGACACAAATATTTCCAGTAGATTCCAGATTCCATTCCACTCCAGCATGAACAACATGAACCCGACTCCACCGATGTAAAATGAGAAATGTAATCCGAATCCCCACAGCATCATTGCAATGCAACTGGGGGTATACACAAGTTTGATCCGATGATTTGAAAGAGATCGCAGGTCCGATTTGTATAACTCCCTTTTGCTCCTTTTCTTATTGTGGAAAAAGAATTGATAGAATGGTCGTTTCGAATCGTGAGGTTGCCCGGGCTGGTTTTTGCCCGGGGTTCTTCGAAGTGGGCTTTTTGCACTTCGTTTTTTTTTCTAGTTTGTGTGTAGGCGAGATGTGTTTTGTTTCTGTTCGGCTATGTTTGTGAGAGTTGGGTCGCTTGTTGTAAGGGTGGTTGATGGTGTGTGAGGATGATGCGGTTCGTGATGACAACTTTGTGTTGTATAGAGTCGATCCTGAACTCGTTGGTATAGCACAGAAAACAAACCTGGTTTGCTGGTGATCATATAGCGGAAGACGGAGACCACCAGATAGCGAAATTTCCATCATGGGAGACAAACAAACGCTGACTATCATTGCTCGCCAAGAACCTCAGATATGGCGTTAGATGTCAACGACCCCCATTCTGGGGACCAGTCGCAGTCGAAAGCATATCTCTAGGTTCCCTCGGCTCCCTCGGCTCAGGCGGCTGTTCCTCTTTCATGCAAGCGTTCTCCAAGATATTAGTCCACTTCCCACTGGTACCAGCATGACTATGCTTCAGGTGTTGGCGGAAATGGTCCGCACGGAAGAATTTCTTGGCGTTGTTGCACTCGCCGAATTTGTGCACTGTAGTCAAGTGCTCGAACCGACGATCCCAGTCTGGCTGTGGGAGGTTGGGGAATTCCTCGCCGCAGTAGCCGCACGTGTCGTGGGAGGCTCCGGCGTTTGTTTGGCAGCTTTGTGCGCCAGAGGAATGGAAGGCGGACTGGAACCTGACGAGGGCGGCGCAGGACCATGAGTGACGGCGAAGGTGGAGGGAGTTTTGGTGGCGCTCGGCTTCGTTTTTGTTTTTGAAGCGGTTGCTGCAGTAGGCGCAGGCATACTGCTTTTCCATCTCGTGTGCACTGGTAAATTGATCAGTATGGGGTATGGGGAGAAAAGAAAATCCCGTATTATCAACTTACCGTAGGTCCTCTGGGCTGTCAAACTTTTTAGGCTTCTTTGGACAGCAATCGCAGATGAATAGTCCGGCGATTTTTGGCGCGGCGGCTTTCGGTACGTTTATGATGGTCGTTGGTACAGACATTTTGCCTGTGGCGTCTGTTGCGGGTGGTTCTAGGGAGGCGGGACCTGGGAGCCTTGGAAGCACAGGCTGGGCTATCGTGACTGGAGAGCGGGGGTTGAGAATTGATTTTTCGTGGTAAGTGTCGAGATCTGAGCTTGGGGAAAGACCACCTGGAGACGGGCGGTCGTACGGGGAAAGACTGGTCATACTGCTGCCCCCAATAGACAGCGTCGACGAATACGATCCGGTTCGGATACTCAAGGATGAGGCGGCAGAAAGAGTTCGCTGGCTTGTCGCGTAGTTGGGGTTCACCGTTAATGAATTCGTCGACGGATGACCGCACAGTCTTCGTTGGGACAGGTCTCCGTTACTCGTAGTAAGATGCAGAGTATGCCTGTCATCACCTATCGGCTCGCGCGGAGGCGAAGATGCCCGTCGTTTCATGCCAAGTCTCGAAGGATCCGGGTAAGGCGGAGTAGGTTCTCGAAGAATGAATTGTCGCGGAGCTGCTGGCTCGTTCGTTGAGAATTCCTCCTCCACGTCGGAAAACACTCCCTGGTCATAACTTCCACGATTCGATCGACTGGGTAAACTGATGCTGTCATCTCGCTGTGGCGTTGTCCCTCGGTGACGGCGACGGCCCAATGATCCTTGGTCGTGATCCGGTGCTGATGACGGTGTATTGCTTTCTACACTTGGGCTGCGGCCTTCGGCATACTCTCCCCAGCCGACCTTGGTCCTGGGAGAGACGCCCCCAGATTGAGGGCTGTTGTACCATTTCACGTCTAGTGTCGATCCTTCTGAAGGTCCAGGTGATGGCAGATTACTGGGATTCCGCGAAGGGACGGTAAGCGCGGTGAGCGAATTTCGGTGGTCCGTTCCACTGATAGATCCCCTCGGGGAAACATGTTTGATTTGCGGCTTTCCAATTTTGGATAGTAGATGTTGATCGTATGCATTTGACGAGTCGATGACACTCCGCAGTGAAAAGTCGCGCTCACCACTCAAACTATCAGTAGTTTAGCAATGAAACCAATCATGTAGAAAAGCGCGGTACTGCGAGCCCAGCTGCTCGTAGCCCTTGCGCATCATGCGCGCTTACATTGAACCGACCGGATTCGGGTTGACCGGCATGGAAATTGGAAATCCGTCTGTGACTGCCCGCGGGGGCTCAATCTGGATCTGAGTTTCAGGACTGCCCGAGACGGGGGCACCACTCTGCCTCCCTTCTAGCTCGTCTATTTGCATTGGGTCACCTTGAGACGCCATTTCAGGCCGCCGATGACCTCCAAATAAGCTGGAGCTCGGATCTATTGGCGGAAGAGAAACTGAAGATTGGGGATTGGCGTGTTGCCAACCAGCGTCATGACCGACCTCCAGATCGCGAATTCTGGGTGGGGGCGGCAGTGGCGGAGGAGCACTGTTCATGCTAGTTCGGGAAGCTATAGGTAATGGGCCGTGGGATGAGAGTGCCAGCTCGGGCATAGCGTGTCGGAAGATTCTGGCAAAAGTGCGGCCGTGCTCTCTGTAATCATGGAATTTGGCGAGTGGGAGAATCTAAGATCCATTCCAGAACCAGAACACAGGGCCAAAACCGCAATCAAGACTGGCCGGCGCGGACTCCCATGAATCTAGGCTGAGATCGGGAGGAGTAAAAATCCCCGAGAAACGAGGGAAGGTTAAGCTTGATGGATATCGGAATGGGCAGGTCGAATCAAGATCTCAATGTTGCAGCAATAGCCCAATCCAGTTGAGTGCAAACGTCGGTCGTGAAACCAGCTCCGATTCTCAAGCGGACCGTTAGCCAGTTGAACACCCCGCCTCCGATGAAGAGACGCTCAGAAGGTCCAGCTTCTGTTCACTTCCAAGTGTGGAAGGCGAATGGTTATAGAGGATGGCGCAAGAATGGAGGAACTTCATGCAGTGTAAGTCTACTTCGGGCATCAGTTCATCTGACCGCGGAACTTGACCTGAGTATACAAGACCGGGGTCTTGCAGGAAAGAGAATAGGGCTGAACAAGACCTACCTCGGACCCTTGTTCGGCGATTCGCCTCATAAGATGGAACGTTTCCGGGTAAGTGACACAGGGAGAGCTCTGTGTCCCATAGAAGTTGGCCACTGCAACTCAATCAAAGCGAGGCACACACATGCTTAAAGAAAATAGAATAGAGAAAGATAAAACAAGATAAGAGCTAATGTAGTGGTTAGAAGCAATACAGAAGAGTATAAAAGCAATACACACTTGGTGCAACCAAGCGTCCCGCCACTAGCTGAAGTTCGATAGGGAGGGTTTAGAAAGGAATGAAAGGTCGAAAGCTGAAGCTGTTAGAAAGGAGGGGGAGCTGACTGAAGCTGAAGATCAAATAGAGCAAGCAGGGTAAATAAGGAATGAAATGCCAGAAGCGCTAGAAATGCCAGATCGGAGAATCAAGCAAGTTCTAACTTAGGCACAGAGAGGGGGGCAAGTTGGGGGTGATCTCATTCTCAAGGGAGAAATATGGAAAAAGGCCCAACTAATCAGAGGCAAAGAGGCGAAAAAAAAAGAGGAAATTGAAACATACCAAGTCTCGGGCTGGAAGTTCTTTGGGTGACGTGGGAAAAGCCGTATGTATGTACCGTGGTGTATAAGGGTCACGTTCGTTACATACCGATTACAGGGGCGCTGAATATCTGGTATTTCCATTGTCATCATTGTTTTTTTTATTATATTTTCGTTTCTTCTAGCAATTCATCCCAAGTTTAATCCAACCTAAAATAAATCCAGATTGACCTCGTGGAATTGAGCCACGTTGGAATGACAGCGCCTTAGGGCACAAGGCTGGAATCTAGTATGTAACCTTAAGAGGGGCGAATCAGCCTTAACGGACACACCGGTAGCTTTCCCTTTCCCACAGCCGCGGTTCAAACGGACTTGAACTTGGTTTGTATTCCAGGAACTATCTGGACTACACATACGCAGTAAGGTAAAGAATGAACTGGTCCAGATTTCCAAACAATCCCGCTGATCTATGTGAGTCGTGACGCACTCTACCCCATATGGAGTCTTCACGTTAGTGATGGGATCGTGGAAGCCAACCAGAACGTCGCAGAACGTGCGGTCAACTACCTAGTGGAGAGACTCGCTCGTATTTGTATTGGACGCCTCGCAAATGCGACCCAGATGAATATCCCGTTGTATCGTAGTACTCCCTAGTACTGTGTATGTGTACATATGCCTTGGGGCTTGGGGTCAGTCAGTTTCATACTCCTCTTCCTAGTGAATGCCACATGTTCGTCTAATTCAATGGTAATGAGTGAGTAGTCCTTGTTTCTGTTGTGCCTTTCCCAGCCAAGTCAAGTAAAATAAGGCTGAAGATTGTTGGCAGAGCCACGTTCGCTCCTCGAGGAACCATGGTTTGTTTAAGAGCTGGACCTGGCGACTTGTTGACCCGCAATAAAATGCCCAGACAGGGGGATATCCCGCGAAGATACGCCTTTCTAGGAGAATGAAGTATAGATTGGCAGGGTCTTGAGCATATTCACAACCTACCAGTGACAATTGGTACCGAATGGCTTGGAAATCTTGGCATTTAGGCTTAATATCCTCCCGGGGGCATAGACGACATCGAGCCTTGGAGTGAATTGGTTGGGCTCCTGAACCCTGGACTGCGGGAAGATAGATGCACGAAGCAACTCAGTAGAGCCATTGGGCAATACCCAGGTACATATACGAGAACCCGAGATCTTGTGCTGCGTCGGAGGTTTCGGGCCCTACATTCGTTAAAGAACATTCTTTTGCCTCCACTCCATCAAAAGGCGGACAATGCTCGAGTCGTTGGACATTGACCCCACTGATTTGCTAGCGCGCTCCACTTGGCGTCTGGTATTGCAGGCACTGCCACACTGCCGCTCTGTCCGTCATTTGGGCGCAGGGGGTGTGAACCTTGACTTGGGTGGTGTGGTCAAACATTCGAAGTCGAATCAGACATGATAGACCGCATTTCTCACAAAAAAATCGCAGAAGGTAGCGTGGACTTTGGCGATAAAGGCGTGGGAAGTAAAGCCGAACGTTGGAACAAACCCTCCAGAGCTGCAGGGAACAGCTGAGTAATCGGAGCGATGCTCCACATTAGCTTCGAGAACAATAATCTGAGCGATTTTCTTTTTCCACGGGATGGTTCGACAAATCAGCTCCTTCGGGTGACATTCTATGTAGTGTGAATTAGTGTGGACTGTATTCTAGAATGTATGTATGCCGTATGGACACATATACTGTAGTACACAGTACACAGTATATGGCACGTAATAAGATGAAGTTTCATGCCTTCAAAGCTTATGGATACATGATGGAGCCCTACCAGATGCATGACTTCATACCGAAACATCCTATCAGATCGTTTGCCATCTGACTCGATCAGTCTCCATACTCTGCACAGCCATAATGATTGACATACACCTTTCCCAGCACTTAGGCTATTACCCGATACGAAGGCCTAGCTAACTACATGATTGACTGTAATCATGTCAATAGTTTACAGTAGCCTCGCCAAGCAAAACAGTCACCAGTAGTTTGTGATGCCAAATGGAAAATGTGGAGATATCACACCCATTGCTTCGTCACTTGTGGCGGATGTCCGTCCATAAGTTTCCCATTACGCATGGATATCTGTGATCATCACCATAATCCCAATTTGGTGTTCCTGTAGGCATCCTTGACTCTTTAGGAAGTCATCTCGGGTACAGAGTACATAATAGCCCTGTTGGGCTGACACCTGCGTACATCAATGTACAAGGTGTCCAGCCTCTAGGCTGTTAGCAGAAAGTAAGCCTTGAACCCTGAGCTCGGATGCTGCATTGTAGGTAACTGTACGGAGATACCCCCTGAGGCGCAGCTAGCCTCAAACCTTAGAGGGCTGCAGCCTGCCCAGGTGGAAGCGCGTGTCACACTTTCAAGTTTCAATGTGATGCAAAGCGCATGAGCCTCTTTTGGTGTCATATTTACGGAGTACCTACTCCCGAGCAATTAGCCCGCGCGATCTGGTCCCGTGCGCTCTCCGGCTCCATGTCTGGTCAGGTTGATCCTCCCCGCGGTAAGCCTCACTCCGCGGTAAGCCCGACTAAGCCCAAGGTTAGCAAGCTAGTGCACTATTCGCGAATCGCTACCCCGTGACTCGTGAGCGACCCTTGCTCGTAGTTGTAGCCAATCAGATCGTCGGCTGATAAGGTCGATTTTGTTGTATTCGAGCTTCGTGGGAAGTAAGTCACTACTGTGTATGAACATATGTGCCAGGTTCTGTTGACAGTACTGTGGTACTTCGCGTCTTTGATAAACAATGTACCTAGTCAGTGTATGTACAAACAAAGTCTTGACGGATACTAGAAGATCATTCATTTAGCAAATCCAAACATCAAACAGCCTGAGCCCAGTCTGTGCATTGTAAACGGAGCGCCTAGAAAGCGCTAACCCCAGAGTGGGGGGATCCTCATGCAGCGGGCGACCTCCAGGGCTGTACACCGAACGGATCACTTAGTCGTACACACTTGGCATATTTAACATGTGGTTATTGGAAGGTTATTGATTAGTTATGGAGCCTCTTTTGAGGAACCTCAGTCACTTCCTCCAGAGACTGAAATATGGATATAGCAGTCAGAAACAACAATCTCCGTGCCTAAGGCGCTAAGGTCACATGCTTTGTCATACCCTTGCCCTATCAGACTTTTTGAGTTTGGCAGGGCCGAGGCTCAACCTCCGGCCTTCTGCGATCTAGGAGAAAGCAAGACAAGTTACAGACTTACACAGTATACTTCTTGCCTGGTTGAGCCCCGACTTCGTATCTCCCTCAACTACAAGAAATACCTGTCGCTGGCCAGCTGCAGCCACCCTGACCCAAAATGGCCATGAATCAAATTAAAGGCCACAATATCTATATTGGAGGGTTGGTCTCACTTCACTACTAAACATCCTTGCTGGGGTGTCGCTGAAATGGAACTGGATTCGGAGATTGACACTGCTGGTTCCTAGATTGGCGATTTTTATTCATTGCTAACCCGGCATTTGTAGTATTTTTAGTCTCAAAAACAAAGCAGCACTTGCGCGGGCAGATATCTCGCATGTTCTCTCAGTGCTACGTCTCAGTCAAACCGAGCAACTGGAGACTTTCGCACCGTACCAACATCTTTCCATAGATGTTGACGATGTTGAGGATGACAACTTATTGGAACACTTCCCCTCCGCCATCAAGTTCATTCAGTCCGGCCTTGACGGCGGTGGAGGAGTACTTGTGCACTGGTATGTCAAAATATGATATCTCTTTTCTCATTCCCCAGATCATTCCTTGGTCTCCAGCTGCCCACCATTTCCTCTTGTGGAATGCACTGCCTTGAACGGCTTCATGCCTTTTACATCATCGGGGTTTCCTCCATTGCGATCTACAGGTGGCCGGGGGTCCCCGAAATACCCGCTGATGCAGGCTGGGCCCTTTTCTGGAAATAGACAAGCCGTGCCTGAATGATCTTGGCCTAGAGAGATGTACAGTTGCTGACTAGGATCTAGTGCGATGGGGAAGTCCCGCTCCGCGACTATCTGCATCGCCTACTTGCTCCACCGGCAGCCGGGAGCACTCACACCGGAATCTGCCCTTGCACTGATCCGTGAGAGCAGACCCTTGTGTGAGCCAAATCCTGGCTTCATGCAACAGCTAGAGCTATACCATAAGATGGGCTGTCCAGACGATGTGACCGACCACCCAATGTACAAGCGCTGGCTTTATCAGCGGGACGTTGAAGAAAGCGTGGCATGTGGCCGTGCTCCAGAGCTTAAATCTGTGCGCTTCGAAGATGAACAGCCTTTACCGTCACAAACGGCCACCGGTCCAACGCTCGAGATCAGATGCCGCAAATGCAGGTCAGTCGATGCCCATTCTTCCAAGAAGAGAGTTCAACCTTACTAAATCCATGCAGGACCAAATTGGCAACGAGTCCATTCATCATTCCACACGAAGAAGAAAAGCAAAATACTGCCAAGTCCTCAGCCACTGCCGAATGCGGTCATGTCTTTCTCCACCCTCTGACCTGGATGCGCCCGAGTCTCTTCCCAACCGCGGACGAGGCCGAAGATATCCCGGGTGCGACATATGGTGCGCACCCCGATGATGCTCCCCTTTCTGGACGTCTCACTTGCCCCAACGCCGTCTGCGGATCCAACGTTGGCAAATTCGCATGGCAGGGTCTGCGATGCAGCTGCGGTGGATGGGTGGTGCCTGCCATCGGTCTCACCAAAGCCCGCGTCGATATTGCGAAACAGGTCAGCCTAGCTCCGAGAGCTAATCCTGCCATCCGTCTTCCTCCGGGCATGCGAGCTCCGGATGCCAATAGTTCTGGACGTGGCAACCTTTGAGATGACGGGATGAATACCATGCATGCATACATAGTTTTACGAGTCATGAAAGCCTAACGGTCTGAGTTACGTACATTACTTCTATGCTTTACGCTTTTATTTGTTTTCACATGTTCCCGCCAGGGGTTCACCGAGCTTGTTGTGAGAGTGATGTGGTACATCGGTACATCTGAGCTCGGACGTGAGTCATCGAAGTCCACGCTTCGTGCACAGCCGCGTCATAATCGAGGCAGCTGCTTTCTTCAGAAAACATCACAGGTCCATGCGAGGGAGTATAATCATGATCGCCTTGTCTGTACCGTTTCAGTATGGAAGATCAACCCACGAGCAGCGACACTAGCCACCAGGTCCATAGTGATGCTTGAGAACACCGCCTCCGAACCTTCATCAAATCTGACAGGAGGCTCCTTCGTTCTCCATCCCATGACTCACGAAAGCAAGACACAGTAAACCGCACGCCAAACGCCATGCCCCTGTTGATCCGTACTGCCTTTGTGGTGTCAATCGAACCTAATATTATCCAAGCCGACAGTTCTCCGAGAGCAACCTAGGTAACTATGCAACAAGCTTGCGATTCATACTCAACGCCTCTTCGTTAGCCGACCCCAACAAAGCAATTCTCACAAACCAAAGACATGCGTCTTACACAGACTCAACGGGATATAGAAGATCATTGTAATACAGCATCGGCGACATGAGACAGAAACCAAAGCCCTATTTTGAATTGTACATAAAACCTTCATGTAAAATCCAAGCCAGAACCAGCGCTTACCCTACCCTAGGGCTGCCAGGGCTGCCCCATATCCAACATACACAACCCGACTCGTGGCCCTGTTCTAGTCCAGCCCAGCCCCAAGCCTTGTTTATGTTTCCCCCTGTCTCCCGGGGTACGATCCCGTCGAGTCGAGCAATGCAGCTCCAACAAAGCTAAGGAAGATACCCACGGCAGTTGGTCGCGTGCCAAGAAATGCCGAGTTTCCCAGCAAGCCCACAAAAGCTACGGTAGATCCACCAGCGCAAACGCATACTCCACTCTTCTTCTTGTGAATCAGTGATTTCACATATCCCTCTCTGCTTTCTCTACTGTTGTAAGGTTTGTAGCGCTGGCATTTGAATTGTTTCAAGGGATCAGTGTAACGCCAATGACGCTGGGATTGTCAGAATTCATTTCCTCTCCCCCCCTCCCTTCTGCCGACTTCCAAGGTTTTGAAGCAGAAGGAGGCTGTGCAAAGCGGGTCTGTTTCCTATGTTTCCCGATTGGCTTGAAATATGTGTATTGGTATTACCGGTATTCATGTGGTTTTTGTTTATTACGGTATCTTTCCTTGAAGCATACTTGGGACATTTCTTATATCTACATCTACTTCTCACTGTCCTCGTTGGTGTTCTATATTGAACAGGCAGTCGACTAATGCTTAATCTCCTTAGCGCGGGCATAGCCACCATGATCAGAACTTGTACCCGCAGTTTGACGGGAAACTACTATATACGGAGAAGCTCTCACATACGCGCCAGATCCATATAAGATTGGCACGAAGCGTTTCCTAGTGGGGTGGGGCAGTGCACGCTGCCTTGCAGGGGGAACTCCCGGTGGGGGGTTCTCATCTGGTCTGGCTTGAGAGACCAGACAATGAAGGCGGTTATCGTTGGTCTTTTCCACATGGATCATGGTTAATGCATAGTTGCATACAGTACTGCATAGTTTACCAATAGATTCGGTCTTGATCGCCTTGCGTCGATCACCGATGTTTAGCGTTGTTTCATCTTTGTCTGAAATTTGATTTCCGGATTCGGTTGTGCTGCATATGGCTTGATAGTATATCACTTCAGTAGATTGAATTGGCAGTTAGAGGGAACCTTAGAGCTGAATTTAGTGATTCTTGAATTTGGCAGTCTGTGCAGCAGATTTCTAGCTATGTACCTGCTTTATTCGAAAGTACGTTATCTTAAGCCATTTGCTGCATGGTCTGGGCACATCATAGAACCCTTCACGTTTTGACTAGTTTATTGCTTCATCAACTTGCTTGTCAACTAAATAGATGCCATATGCATGCTTTAGGCTACCAAATACTTACGAAAATAAAACTAAGCAGGTCACACTCCCGGCAATGCCCAAGCAACACATGCATATCATTTCACGGTGTAATCTTCCGAGTACCCAAAAGAACACGAAGCAGTATCATGTCTGCCTTCGCTCGTCGTATTAGCTTAGAGCTGGTAGGTGATAGTCTCAAGCATGTATCTACGACAGGAGGTGCTCTAGCGTAGTGCCATCTACTGTCAGCCCAGGCAGCACCCATTTGATGAGTCTGACTCGAGGAATTCACGAGACATCCTAGGTATGGGCTTTTTCAGTATTCCAGCTTGTGGGCAGCCCCAGGCTGCCGCGTTGTTAGTCGGGGGTTCTATATCCAGGTTCTGAAAAAGTGTTGTTCGCTGACATGGGCATGTGAGATCTGATAGAAAGGTTATTACCATGCAAGAACGTTGACGACTCCTGTGTCGTACTAGCTGCTGTTCTGCCTAGAACCTTATAGGGTGTCCATAAACAGACATGTACCGGAACGGAAGTAAGCGGATGGTATAGAATATTCTAGCGTGAGGTGGCATCCTGCAGGATCAGAACCTAGTTCAGTTGAGGGATAAAAGAGCGTATTCTATTCAAGATAGTAATGTCTTCCAGTCAGACGCCCCGTGCCTGGGGCCAAAGCATGCTTTGACTTTGAACCACGAGCTTCCCGCTGGTGATGCTGTGGCTCTATGATGAGTGCGCTGACATCTTTATACATAGACATTAGGAGTGTCCAGAAAGCGTGGAGTATAGGATTTCCATGACATCATTCGCGCATGGAAGCATCTGCTGTTCTTGCCTTCTCGGAGTAGAACGTCAGACCGGCTATACAAGCACTAGACACATAGTAACATGGGCATCGCCTCAACCGAGCCACGTATTTGCTGATGTACAAGGTCTCCCTGTTCGCCCGGAGCCTCGATGTGCTAAGTCGGAAAGTGATGATGGCTAAGCCAAGACGACTGTTCTAGGTTATCTTCCAAAGCATGCTGAATCTCGAGAAGCGTCAGGCAGAGGAACCTAGGGATTCCCTGATGGCACAGAGGGAAACAAGGATGGATTCCTCAATCTCTCCTGGTTCCGTTTCGCCATCTCAATGTTCCGCAGCCGGTCGATGCGCATTTGATAGAAATTCCTATCATGCAGTTAGGGATATGGCTCAACAACTGCGGCATATATAGCATACTTATGCAAAGAGAATACTCGAGGTGAATCATCCGGCTTCGTTTCCGACTTAGAGTCTTTCCGAATAGAAGCGATCTACCACGAGGTATCGTCAGTCATGGGACGTTCTATGTTCGGTATCCCTCACCAACAGCAGACACGAACCTTATCATCTCTTTCATTCTCGTCATTGTTATTCGGTTCAGATGAATCTTTGTCTTTGTCCTTCGACTCATCCTTGCCCTTATCTTTCTTGTCTTTATCGTCTTTGCTTGACGCCTTTTCACGCTCTTTCTTACGTCGCTGTTTTTCTTCATACTCCCTTTTGACAATCTCAATCTCTTTGGCCATCGCTTCCTCTTTGAGGCGTTTTGCTTGGCCTTCTGTGTCGACTATTGGAGAGCAGAAGTGCCGGTCTTGCAGATGTGCGGGGCACACATAAAAGAAGTCCTGGTGAAGTGTTAGCAACTCGACGTGCATGGAAATTTAAATAGGATCTCAGTGAGAATAAATCCCATTGAGCAGTGGGTATATCCACCAGTCTGCATACCTTGTTATCGGGTGTGATCATCACAGTGGTTGATGGTTTGTAGCAAATCAAACATGCTTTTGCAGAGGTGTCTGCGACCCGACGCACATGGTAGACGTTTGTCAGTGCCATGATATCTAATTCAAGATGATTATTACTTGGTATGGTAAAGGGGGACTCCCGGCCGCTGAAGCTGTTTGTTCCTTTCCTGTTCAAGATTATGTGTAGATGGACTTGACAAGTTGACACTGTTGATCGAGAAAGGGCCGTCATGTGACCCATACTTCCATCACCAGACCTCTACACTTCAACACTTTTATAGGTAGTTCTAGGGTAAAATAATGTGGTATTGAATTCATTCACTGGACTTGTTATATTCCAACACATAGCATGCCCCTATTAAAACGCCGACCCATGCATTTGTCCGAGGTGGAACCTGAGGGGACTGAAAATAACGATACATAAAGTTTTGAGATCATGGAATAGAGAGTATTAGAGAAGCCAAAAGCAGAGAGGCCATCATACTTCATGAAGACGCCTCCTCCGCCTCAATGCCAGCTGCCTCTTTTGCTAATCTCAGATCCTTACCCGCTATGCCAATATCACGCAAGTAGGGCCTAAAGGCCACTAACAGATCTTTGAGACCACCGCGGAGGGTAGAAAGCAAGATCTCGACATCCGGGACCCGACGGGCAATTTCTTGCGCCTTGGGATTGCTCGTTGGGGGAAGTGGATATCTGTCCAGTGAGCGTCTAAACCACCCTGGTGGGCGAACGCGTCCAGGGCAAGAATGGTTTGAGTAAGAAGTCGCACGGTGGATGGTACATCAGCCTGAACTTTGCCATACGGGTCTTCAGCCAAACTGGCAACGAGGAGCCGGGTTAACGACTCCACAGCATCCACAATCATTGGAAGCGAGGACTCAGGCGTGCCAAGCACAATGGAAGAGAGACGCTGAGCGTATGTTTGACGAAGAGGTTGACCGATAGGTGAACGAAGAATCTGTGCGACGATTGGGTTGATATCCTCGGGCTTATAAGTTATGGGAGTGCCGCCGGTAAGTAACTTGAATTTCTGAGGCGAACCAAGGAGCTTTTGTTTCTGCTCAGGGCTAAGCATAGCGGACGATGCGCGGTCGAAAACATCACGAACACGGGCTCGTGCGGCTGGAGTCCAGTCTTCCGACTGACCGAAGGATTTAGCAGTGGAGCTGAAGGCCTCGCCAAACTTGTCCTGGCGTGAAGTGGCCTTTGGGGCGGTAGTAAAGATGTTGCCATCTTTGATGGGTTCTGTAAGTCGCGGAAGAGTCTGAAGTACAGGCTCGGGTTTCTCAGCATGCGGCAAAGGCTTGGATACCGGCGCCGGGTTTTTGCTGTCCTCAATGCGAGTGTTGATCGCCTTGATCACATCGGTCGTGCAAGCAAGAACCTGAGACCAAGCGGAGCCGCCCTCGCGATCAATTTCACTGAAAATTGCCTTTCGGCGGTCAGGAATGCGCTGGCTAATGAGACTGAGTTCCCAGAGTGCAAATGTCTTGACCACATTCTTCTTCGCCTTGAGACCACTGAGAAGACTGCCATTGGGATCTTTGGCTTCTGTTGTGAGAGGCTGGCCCCGCTTCAAGGGCTCCTTGGCCATGAATACGGAATAGAAGAGGTTCGCCGTTTGCCAGCTGAGGACAAGCAGCACTCCAGGGAGCAAAGTCCGGAGGAAAAAGTAAGGGAAAATCGAAGGAACGAAGCTCTGAGGGTCGGCAGCAGATCTCGGGAAGCTGAAAAAGAGCTTGGCAAAGTACAACGACCAGCTCCACGCGAAGCGTCTGAAGAAGACGGGGTAAAGAACGACAGTCGCTGCAGCCATACTGAGGCCTCTAAGCGCTCCAGTCGCCAGTTCCTTTGGCAAGGTGGCCTGTAGATGCTTGGATGTCGGTGGCACCGGATGAGTTCGCTCGTCCTCCGCTTTGGTGCTTCGCTCCGCGATGGGCACTGGAACTCGGTCGTAATCGTAATAGAGATGGAATACTGCTTGCACGCATGCTAGAAGTGCATGGAAGGAATGGAGGTAAATTGGCCGCTCGTTCAAAGTCGGTCGCTCGTGTGGCCTAAGCTTTGTTAGTCTAAATCCGAAGCCAGTTGAAGGATATTTAATATGAGAACGCACCTGCCCCGTTTCACAAGCTCGAGGTTGGAATCACCTGAGGACGACCACACATAGATTACGGTGAACCACCATGCCGAAAAGATGTACCAGCCAAAGGTTTGCGCAATTTGGAAGAGAGATATGGATTTCAAAGTGCCAAATGAGCAGCTAGCCGTTCTTGAGCCGATGTGCATTTGACTGACGCGAAGGACGAAGATGGTGAGGGAGGACATGAAGAGTAGCACGGTCCGGACACCGCAACCACCAAGGGGAAACCATAACCAGAAGACTGTAATGCGTACAATTGTTAGCTGTTGTGTCAGGATGTGAAGGTGTACATTCGACACTTGACTCGACAAGGTTGCGAGGGACTCACAGGATGATTTATCCCCGATCGCAATTGCAATAATGTAAGATACCAAAAGCGAGAGTGCGGAGGCATGGACAAATCGTCGGTGCAGAGCCGATGTCAGGATTCGCCTGTAGGGCCTAGTTGGTGTAGCGGCCATGATGCAAGCTTGGGGTGGGATGCGCTCGTGTAAGAGAAAGGAATAGTTGAAAGGTTAGAGCATCATCAGAATGACCGTTATAAGAAGGGCCACGGAGCTGTAGGACGCGATGGCGGACCCAGGGCAGTGTTGGCGACTGGTCAACGAGACAGCTGGTTGCGTTGAGCTGGTCGGATGGAAACAATTAACGGCGAGGTCCACCTAGGAATATTTTGAGGTATCAAAACACACCAGCCGCATACTGTCATGTGATGGGTGGCTGGTGCGGATGTTGCGCCACAGACACTAAACTATATCAAGACTAGTCAACGCTTGATGGTACGTCATGTGAGGGCGGTCTGTACCTCGAGCGTCCACACCGTTATCGAAGGCAGCAGGGACCTGCAGATAACCACCTGCAGTTTGATGTCCCAGTCTTCTTCTAATTTCACTTTGAGCACTCGTTTATTGCTTTCGGGATACCCATACAGCACATATGTCTTTCGACAGGCTAGACTCGCTGGAGGCCCAGCCTACCACCATGCGCAGGGACGAAGACCCGCAGTATCGCGACGATCCGGACTTCGATCATCTCGCCGAGCAGCTCTCGGATCAGTTGTTTACATTGACTTCAAACATTTCTCGCCTCTCCAACCAGATTGCTCTTCTCGGCACAAAGCGAGATACAGAGCGCGTTCGCGAACGAGTGCATAATCTCCTCGAGGAAACCCGTACGGGGTTTAGGGACGTCGGAGAAGGTATCAAGCAGATCCAGACATGGGAGGATGTGAATGTTAGTCTCTGCGCTTTCACTTGATTCCTGATTATCCTTGCTAACTTCCAACCCTACAGCCCTCCCAGAAATGGACACAGCAAAAGCTATCATCCGAATTCAAGGCCACCTTGGATGAGTTCCAAACTATCCAGCGTCGCGCTCTTGAGAAACAGCGCGCTTCTGCAGTTGCTGCGCGTACAGCCTTTGAAGAATCCGAGCAACCTACCACCGATAACGATGTCTTGTTGCAAGACCAGCAGTTGGAAGAGCAGCATCGTATGGCCAACCAGAGCGAAGTGGATTTCCAAGAGTCCTTAATCATCGAGCGCGAGAACGAGATTCGCAATATTGAACAGAGCGTGGGAGAGCTGAACGAGCTTTTCCGGGATGTTGCGCACATCGTCACTGAGCAAGGAGGACAGCTGGATATCATCAGCGAGAATGTCCAGAACGTCACCCAGGACACCCGCGGCGCCAACGTGGAGTTGCGCAGTGCCAGCAGATATCAGAAGAATGCGCGCAACAGGGCTTGCTGTCTCTTCGTAATTCTGGCTGTTATTCTTGCTATCATTGTGCTCGCAATTGTCCTCGGATAGATGTGGTTTGAACTGCCTTTCTCGCACTTGTTGCACGGTTACTGTCATTGCGGTCTTCGTTTTTGGTCTTGTTATGTATGCGCACGATATCCCTCTTGCATGATTTCACTATTTTCTAGTGAAGCATCTCACCTTTTCACTACGTTACACTGTCTTGCTTCCGGATTCATAATACTACAGCGGCCTTTCGATGTATATGGAATGGAGAAGATTTTTCTCGCTGCCTCTCGGCGCTGTAGTACACTAATCGTACAAAATATGTTATACATGTAAGACACACCCAATCGGGTCCCCAGTCATGCCCGTGCTCCGCTGTCGCCTTGCTATGTGCATTGTGATAATCTAATCTTCAATGGTCACTTATAGGCCCGTGAAGCGGCTGAACCTCAGCCTCCAGCCTTCATAACTGTTCAGCTTGGGTCGAACATCCAAATAGAAACTGAGCTTCCCAGGGTTGGAATTGGCAGCCAGACCTGCTGGGTTGTTTCCATTGCCTGCCGACGGCTTGCCCTGATAAAAATCGATAACATATTCAACCTTCTCACCACCACAGCGTTCCACAACCCAGTCATGTCGATCAAATGGGTGTTGGTAGCCGAGCCACCCATTAAGCCGCGCACGCGGACTCAGATACTGTGGATCGACACCTAGTCCTCGGAACGAATATAATTTAGGCCCTCCGCACTTCTTGCTACCTGGGTCTGTTGAGGGGCCGTTCTTCTCCCACTCGAGGATCTGAGCCCATGCGCGCTCGTTGACCGCATTGTGAATTGGAATGATGGAAGCTACAGAAGTGGCGAGCTCGGAGGGCGAGGATGTCGATCCGGGGGTGTTACCCTTGCGCATCAAAGCTTCGAAGAATTGCTTCTCGGACGGATAGATCCAGTTTCCGGTAGCTTCATCGCGACCAGTCTCGGTTTCGGCGTTGGATGGGGTACCGTGCGACGCGGCGTATGGGGACGGGGCGCCTTTGCTGGCTTCGGGGCAGGTGCTTGCTGCGCTGAAATCGCCGGCTCGAGGAATACTGCTCACTTCGCGGTCTGTTGACAGTGGTCGTTGTGATTTGGCGCGCGGTTGTTCTTCGGCAGGGACAGCGGGAGTCCCAGGATGAGGTGTGTTCTTATTCTGTTGTAACCAGATCTCGCGGGTTTTGTGGTCAACAGGACATGTTGCTGGCTCTGCGGAGGCAGAGGGTTTACTTGCTCCAGCTCCCATGGTTGAATAATTGGGAATCAATGACTGGAGAAGATCGGCGCATCGATTGGGGACTAGAGATATTTTTGCCCTCACCGCCTGGACAAAAGCACTACCCAACGAAGTCTCCCCTTTTGATTCATATAGTTGTCTGGAAATTTATGCGAGAATTATCTTCTTCTTGTTCATCAGAAGCAAAAATGGCGTCTACCTCAAACCAGGCTGTTTACCGTGCCACCACCACCGCTCCGGTGAACATTGCTGTTATCAAGTACGGTCAGCCTTGGGATTACCCCTCATCCCCTTTATACACACAAAGTCTGACTGAAATACTCTAGATATTGGGGAAAGCGCGACACTGTTCTTAACCTCCCGACCAATTCCTCCCTCTCGGTCACTCTCTCCCAACGTTCTCTCCGTACATTGACCACTGCCTCTTGCTCTGCCAACTACCCAAGTGCGGACACCCTGAACCTGAACGGCAAGCCGCAGGACATCCAGTCTTCCAAGCGGACACTTGCTTGTATCGCTAGCCTCCGTGCTCACCGCAAGGCCCTTGAGGATGGCGACTCTTCCCTCCCGAAGCTCTCCACCCTCCCCCTCCGGATCGTCTCCGAGAACAACTTCCCCACCGCCGCCGGTTTAGCCAGCTCTGCCGCTGGCTTCGCAGCCCTGGTCCGCGCCATTGCTGACCTCTACCAACTGCCTCAGACGCCCACGGAGCTAAGCCGCATTGCTCGCCAGGGATCCGGATCTGCCTGCCGCTCTCTGATGGGCGGATATGTTGCATGGCGCACGGGCGAGCTTGCCGATGGCAGCGACAGCCTGGCTGAGGAAGTTGCCCCTGCATCCCACTGGCCTGAGATGCGGGCGATTGTTCTGGTCGTCAGCGCCGAGAAGAAGGATGTTCCTAGTACCGAGGGCATGCAGACTACTGTGGCCACATCCGCTCTCTTCGCCGAGCGCGCCCAGCACGTCGTGCCCGCGCGTATGGCCGCCATTGAGAAAGCCATTCAGAACCGCAATTTCCACGACTTCGCGGAGATTACCATGCGCGACTCGAACACCTTCCACGCCACTTGCCTCGACTCGTGGCCTCCTATCTTCTACATGAATGACGTCTCTCGTGCTGCCGTCCGCCTTGTGCACGACATCAACCGTGTTGTTGGCCGGACGGTCTGTGCCTACACTTTTGATGCTGGCCCAAATTCTGTCATCTACTACGAGGATAAGGACTCTGAGCTTGTGGCTGGTACTGTCAAGGCTATTCTTGGCCCTAACTCTGAAGGTTGGGATGGTGCCTTCTACGAGCGACTGGCCAATGTCACTGCTCCTGGTGTCTCCTTGGAGCAGGTCGACTCTCGCGCCATCGAGGTTCTGAAGGATGGTGTCAGCCGTGTCATCCTGACCGGTGTCGGCGAGGGCCCTGTCAAAGTTGAGAACCACCTTGTCAGCGAGACTGGCGAGATCCTCAGCACCCTATAAACGGACTGGAAACGAGCTACTGGTTTAGCTACCTTGACCAACCTTGAAAGGTTGGACGACTGAAAGATACCCCACCGTTCTTCTTTGCATGGGACCAATGGAACTTGGCTGTGCAATCTTGATGCAGATATTCCTTTCGCTATATCTTCTTCGTTCCCTCGCGGATTATCTAGAACATAATAATTAACGGCAGCGTGATTTCGGTTTACATTACAGCATCTGGTTCTGTTTCTTTTGTAGATAACACATTTGTCACCAAACACAAATAGGTACTTGCAAATGACTCCATGCAATGTCTGCTTCCATTCGAGTCCACCCATAGGTGGAAGTTCAGCTTTGTTATAGGTACCTCATGCCAAAGTGTCGCCACCTCAACATGAGTGACAGTCATCACAGCGCCTAAATCCAAATCCCAGCGTCTGACACGATTCAATAAACCGAGCTTGTTCATGGTCGGCATAAACACAGCAACCAGCAAATCCACACCCATTGTCATTGAAGGCACCGCCTATATGGCTACAGGCTGACTGGGAATACTCGGTAGTCCCATCACAAGCGCATTTGATAGCCCTGGCTTGCCCTTGGCCTTGGGCTACCGCGATCGTGCCCAAGCCCAAGACAAGAGCGAGGTATTTGGAGACAGGGAGGCGCATGGTCTGCGGATGGGTATTAGGATGACGAGGGTCTATGGGAGGTAGGCATATAGCTAGTGACTTACATCGTTGGGGAATTGGCCTTGCTTAGGGCTTTTTGAAGTATCCTTTCTCGGTGGTTCTGGCAACTAGACGGAGGATATAGGCATGTCTTATATCTCCTCTACAATCGTTGAAGTGGCATGAAAAGAGAAATCCTCCAAACACCTGGGGCGTGACTTCGATTTGTCGTTGATGTGACATCCACACTAAATGGTCTCTATTGTAACACTCTGTTGCGACCAATGCAGTCTATGTTGTATACGACTTGATTCCAAGGCTTGCCTAATTGTCCCATACAATCTGTTGCACCACGAGCGTACCACATCGATGTTTGACGAGAACAGCCCAGGTCAGACTCGATCTCTGTCATTCTTGCTCCGCTTGGCAATGGTCAGGACGGACTCCGCACTTTGTGTATGCCGTAAGTCCGTAGGACGTAGCCTGGGGATCCGTTATGACTGCTCCTACGGAGTTATGTAGATGATCGAGGTAACCTGTGCAGAAGGAGTTGTGTTACTCAAGTTCGTCTGGAGAAATAACATGTGCTTCCTGGGATTGATCTTTGAATACATAGACATTGGATACTGTATGTCACCTTTCCAGATTACCCGCATATTTGTGGTTGAAACAATGGAACAGGAATAACTCTTTTTAATTTCGTCGTCTTGGATACTTGACATTTGGGATACCTCGTCTTGTCCAACTACTTCAAACCAACAGGGAAGACTTCTTCATCTCCTTGACAGTAGGAATCTCTTTAACACGAGCAGCACCACCACCCTCAACAATAGCTATACTCTCCATCAAGACACTGGCACTCCGACCCCCGTACATAGGCAGGGTCTCATCAGCATTCTCTTCATCCTCTTCATTTTTCTCCGGAGCGGCAGGAACTTCGAACACCTCGTCCCGGGAATCCGCGCACATAGTCAAGACTTCATGCAAAGCCTTCTCAACGGCAGCTGCGCGCTCACGCATACCACGTCGCAGCAAAGCATCAACAAGAGTCTCAGCCTCCGCCACGCTGGAGTTAACTCGTTCAATGAGACGACGAATACTGTTGACGAGATACTCTTCTTCATAAACGGTACCCTTCTTACCACGAGCGCGCTTGCGTTCCTCGCGCCGACGAGTCTTCGATGTGTGCCGTGACATTCCCGTTTTCCCGGTCTTACCGGTGTTGCCGGTGTACCGGGTGAACATGGACCGCCCGGCAAGCGTGGATGCGTCTGTCGGGGCCAGCGAGACGTTGTCGGGAATATCGACACCTGCGTCGCCGGCGGTGGGATCACCGCCGTAGAAAGCAAGCGGGTCGGCGGCGCGAAGCTGGCGGAGTTCCCGGAGACGGGGGACTTGGGCGTTGAGTTGGGATCGACAGTCGGCAAGAAGGTCGGTCATGTTGCCCATTGCTTCGGCGAGGCCGGAGTCGACGATTTCGGCAACTTGGCTCTGTTTGCCGTGGAGCGTTAGGAGGCGAGCTGCATCGGCGAACTTCGATCCTCGACAGAGAAGTCGTGCGGCTGTGATAATGTCGTGCAAGTGATCGGTGTAGATCGTTGCTGCTGAAACATAGTCTTTCTGCTCGTCGACCAGGGTAGTGACCAGACCGTCGATGTGGGTCGCCAAATCTTCCTCGGAGAGATTTGCCATCATGGCACAGTACAACGACTCGCGCCATTTGTGTGCCAAGTTGTAGCACTTGTAAGCACTCTCATAAAGCTCGAGAGACTCGTACGCTGGGATTGGAATTAGTATGTTGTCATTGCGAGGTTATTCCTGGATGGCTTACCAATTGCTGCGTCTTTGTATTTCGACTGGTCCTGGAGATAATCGGCATATAGCTCGGTGATTTCCCGCTGCTGCTCAGTTTGGTACTTGTAAAGCTCGAGTGCTTCCTTGTATAAGACATGTCTGACGACATATGTGCGGATTTCATCATGAGCATTGAGACCATACAGATGTCCCAAAGCCTTTTCGAAGCGGGAAAGATGGTTGTCGATCTCAAATTTACGTCGAGTTTCAGGTAGTTGTTGTAGCTTGCGCAGGAAAGGTAGGTACTCGCGAGGGTCCTGTGAATGCGTTAGTGGTTATATGACCAAAGCCCCTGTCGGATATTCTTACCATCTGAGCTTGTTGAGCAACCAACAAAGTAAGCTCCAGATCGTAGATACCCAACGAGTGGGAGTAAAGCCGGTGGGCATCAGTCAAGAAACACATGTGAGAAATAGCATCTTCAGCCTGTTCGGGGTTTTGCACTGGAATACGTTTTTTAGTTGTTGCCCGAGAGTTGTAAGATGAAAATATCAGCAAAGGTCGTACCTCTTAGGCCTGCAGCAAGACTCAGTCCTGCTTCCATGTCAGGGGGTGACTTGCAAACATGCGCTGTGATCAGATTCTGCAAATTGGTATCGACACGGCTTTGAAGTGTCGACAGGAATGCATCACAGATTTTGTTGATTTTGCTCTCCTTTTTACCAAGTTTGGATGCCGACGGGGTTGCTGGAACCTCCGGCTGGGCCACGGCTGCCGATACGTTCTTGGACATTTTCAGGGTATCTTTGTAGAGTGTCTGCGATACATCGTCCTCCCTATAAACCATTAGTGAAAGGGGCGGATGCAAGCTTGATGATTTGCACGTACGATAGACGCGAAATGAAGTCGTCGATGTATTCGATCTTCTTTACTTGATCAACGAATAGTGCGATGTTCTCCATGAATTGCTCGGGAGCATAATCATGGAGAATGTTCAGATCAACCATCTGACTGCGGCATGCTAGGAATGCAGACCGGTATTTCTTCTGATCGATGAAGGTACGAATTCCAGCCAAAACGAGAGCGCGAGGGAAGATAGTCTCAATGTTTCCTCGGGGAGCTTGAAGAACAACCGCGAATATCGACGGGATTACCGAAACCAAGCGAGAGCCACGTTCAATACTTCTGCACCGTTCATCGGTTTCTGGTGTATCCTCTGGAACTTCCATATCTATCATAACCAATTAGCATATAGACACAATAGCACGAACGAGATATCATCCTACCATCCACACGATTGAGATGAATAAACTTCAAAAGATGCTGTGATGTGGTGAACAACAGGTGCGAAGGGGTCACGAGGAAAGAAGTGCAGTTCCTCGCGAGGACCCGCTTGTTAGCATACAGGGTGCCAGTTCTTGTCAGGGCAATCAGGAGGCGCTAGTAGAGTCAGTGGCATGCTCCGGATACAATGTGAATGAAATCTTACCTCATCCTCAGAGATAGAGACAACACGGGCCCAGTGACTGTCGACATTAGGGCTCTCATCCCAAGGAGCGACATCAAGGGTCCCTGATGATGACACTTCAATGCTCGAGTAGCTGACGGGCCGAGTAGGTTGAGGGGCATGAGATAGCCATAAGGCTTGGTGGCCAATTCCGGCGAAAATCGATGCCAGTTGCTCTGAGTCTGCAGCCCGATACACAGATTCTGTCGTTCGAGTGTCCAGGATTGTTCGTTCAATGTGGCTCGAGTTTGGTCCGCTGTCCTTGAGTACAAATATCTCATTATCATTCAAGAATGCAATCTGTCGCGGCCGACTGGCGGGGGAATCTGGCAACGGGTGGCTTGACTCGAGGATAGGAGCGGGAACTGGTCGGCTCTTTAGAGACCAAAGGTAGACAGAGAATCTGTTGCTCATCAGTACAGCAATGCGGGTACCCGATTTGCTGAATGCAACATCAATGGCATTGGACTCCAAAGCCAGCTCGTTGTGTGCCATTGGGGGCGGTACACCAGCTAGTCGCAACGGAGTCAACTTGAGAGTTTCTGAACTTTGAGTTAGTAATGCTTCCAAAGAGCTTTAGTGAGGAGACTTACTTCCATCGATGACCGCGACAGCTCCAACGTCATCGGGAATAGAAGTAGAGCCATGGTTGATATCAAATACATAATCCAAATCGAGTATGGATCCTAGTCCGATCAGTGATTATTCGTATTTAGTTTCATCTGTAAAGCTAACTCACCCGAGGAACCGGCAACCAGTCTCAGCGCCTTCTCTTGGTGCCATTCGAGAGAGTATGGAAGCGAAGAGTTGGGATCGACCGTGATCGGGATCTCCTGCTTCAAGTACCAGTGGTAGTTTCCAGTTGTCCAAAATTGTACGCGGTCCTGAAACTTGACAGCAAGTACAGTGGAATCGACGTTCCAGGCAAGATGGATGCGAGAACCCCAAGACTGCATCTCGGCCTCGGATAGACGCAAAGAGAATTCGCCGTGACGAAGCCCATTCCTTTCGAAGAACACGACATCAATCCGATTATCAAGCCGTTGGATGCCGGCAATGAGGCTGCCAGAGGGCCGCCAACTCAAGGCACCTTCCAGTCCGTCCACAGGTTCGCTCACGCTGTCCAATGTGCCCTCTCGAGAGTACACGCGGATCACACGACGAATGCCTGTTTCGACACTGTTCACAGCGACGTATGCTCCGTCTCCTCGCCAGCTTATAGTCGTGCTGCCATCATCGTAGCTGCTCATAATACCCTGGTCGACTTTTTCTGGGACAGTTGGGTCTCGGAGAGCCTTGGCTCTTTTCCCATGGAACTGGGTCTCTTTCTTACCCCATCCAACTGACACATGTTGTGATGATTGGAGGTCGCCGGGCGTGAAGGTGATGTCGGCCACATTCTCGAAATCTCTAGTCATGTACAAGAATGTCTGGGCTCTAGTAGTGAGGGCCAGCAGTTCCTCATCGGGTGACCATGCGGCAGCCGTGATTCCAACATCGACTGAGCCGACAATTTCGATCTTATCTTCACCCGGAAGAGGCTCTTCACGGACGACGACAATATCACCTCCTTCCAGCACCAGACAGGTTGTCAGGTTGTCTGCAAAATAATGGAGAGAAAGTACACGGTCACATGCCAAATCTGGCAGGGGGCTTGGAGCATCCCATGAAGCAATGCATTCAAATGCCTCAGGAGAGAGGGGATCTGTGGAAGTGATCTCAGGGCGCTTCCGCCTAACCTCAAGGATTGCACTGTTCTCGGTTGGACCAAAGGTGCACACCACTGAATCCGAAGCAGTATCCCATGCTGTGGCAGTCAGGGGCAATTCGCTCTCAATATGCGTCTCAGCGAGACGAACATTTCTCAAGTTGCGCATCGTCCAGGTATGGGTGGGTAACTTTTTTTTCTATGCTTCTTTTTTTTACCCCGCCATGAAGGAATCAGGGATGTCGATGTATGAAATTCCAACAAGAAGCCAAGATGGATTCCTAAGACTAGCCTTTCTTCTCTCTCAAAAATGGTCTCGTTCCCCGTGAGTGGTTGTGTTTGTGAGAACTGATATCTGAATCTCGCCGACCCAGAATTTTTTTGGTTTTCCACAGCGGCTCAGCCAATGACTTCATCCATATTTCAACGTCCTTTCAAAGCTACACATTCCAACCTCTACACATTTACAATGGAGTTGGTAACGGATGGATCCAATTGGAAATAACAATTTCTAGCTTTGTACAAGATATCCGCCTCTGCTTCGAACCCGATCCAAGTTTCCGACCACAAAGTTACCCAGACTGTTATCGCAAGAAAAATACAGTATGACGGGCAATCTATTTGGTCTTGTAGGTTTGCCAGACTGGGGGTAGGAGGTATTAGAATACGATCATAGCATGCGATCAAAGGGAATATGTATAACTCACCAGCAATGGCGAAGGGAGTACCGAATCCGGTAACTAGATGATGCGCGAGTTAGTCATAGCACCGCGCAGAGGTCCCGGGCAGGATCACTAACTCATGAAGGCCCAGTAGCGCCAGAAGAAGTGCTTGGTCAGAGGGTTGAAGGGGATGTTGCTGCGAGGACCCTCAGCGTAGTGGTAGGGGCTGCCGAGCTGGGTGCGAGTGGTGGAGAAGCCACGGCGGGCAGCGAAAGAGGTGGCCATTCTGGCGCGGATAGCGGAGGAGTACATCTGGTAATAGAGAATGGTTTCAGCAAAGGCAATGGTTCCAATTGCAACAGCAGGTACTAACCTTGGAAGACAGAGAGGAGGGTGTGGACGATCGGAAAGGGACGGACGGAGCCAAAACGAACATCGCGAGGTGCGGAATGGGATGATCTTAAATCACGTGATATGCACGTCCAAACTCAGCTAGCGTATTTGTTCGGGATCGCTCACCGCTTGCCCCATTAGAACTTTTAAATTTCTCAACCAGAAAAAAAGTCCAGGCCGATTATTGTCGCCGCTCATTCTTGTCCTGTGGTTGATTTTCCGAATTCCAACCGCTGGAAATGGATGAGCTCTTTGACGTCTTCGAGGACCGACCTCAGGCGGTGAAGCCGTCGGAGGCTCCTCCCAACCGCCCAAAAAAGGACAAGAGCAAGAAACGACAGGTGAATGGTGATGAGAAGAAACCCGCAGATGTCGAGACTCGGCAACAAGAGGATACTGTCATGTCGGAGGCAGATGCTGCGGAAGCTGTATCAACAGGCGCCGAGGCACCCGAGAAGCCAGCCGAACAAGAACAGCCCGACTCGAAGCGACCGCGATTGGGGGATCAAGCCGAGCCTGTAGTTGCTGACTCTTTCGAAACCGAACAAGAACGCGAGATCACCGGATCTGGAGGACTTTCAGGCAACGCTGCTGCAGTTGTTGTGTCGCATCAAGTGCGCCATCAAGTCGCGATCCCGCCCGACTACCCATATATTCCTATCTCCGAACACAAGCCGCCAGCCACCCCCGCAAAGACATGGCCGTTCACGCTCGACCCGTTCCAGCAGGTTGCAGTTTCCTCAATCCAGCGCGAGGAGAGTGTTTTGGTGTCAGCTCATACTAGTGCCGGAAAGACCGTGGTGGCGGAATATGCGATTGCGCAAAGTTTGAAACAAAACCAAAGAGTGATCTACACGAGTCCGATCAAGGCGCTCAGTAATCAGAAATACCGTGAATTTGCTGCTGAATTCGGCGATGTCGGTTTGATGACTGGTGATGTAACTATCAACCCCACCGCTACCTGTCTCGTCATGACTACAGAGATTCTTCGTTCCATGTTGTACCGTGGTTCTGAGATTATGCGCGAAGTTCAGTGGGTAATCTTCGATGAGATTCACTACATGCGCGACTTGAGCCGTGGTGTTGTCTGGGAAGAGACGATCATTCTTTTGCCGGATAAGGTCCGCTATGTCTTCCTGTCTGCCACTATCCCGAATGCTATGCAATTTGCCGAGTGGATCGTCAAGATGCATAATCAGCCCTGTCACGTTGTCTACACCAACTATCGTCCGACCCCCCTCCAGAACTATTTCTTCCCTGCCGGTGGAGAGGGAATTCATCTTATTGTGGATGAGAAGGGAACCTTCCGCGAGGAGAATTTCCAGAAAGCAATGAGTGCCATCAACGAAAAGAAGGGCGATGACCCAGCTGATGCCATGGCCAAACGCAAGGGCAAGGGCAAAGACAAGCACCTGAACAAGGGTGGCACCAAGGGCCCATCAGATATCTACAAGATCGTGAGAATGATTATGCTCAAAAACTACAACCCCGTCATTGTCTTCAGTTTCAGCAAGCGAGAGTGTGAGGCAGGTGCCTTACAGATGAGCAAATTGACTTTCAATGATGATTCCGAGAAGAGCATGGTGACCAAGGTCTTCGAGAGCGCTATTGAAATGCTGTCTCCCGAGGATCGTCAATTGCAGCAGATTACCAATATTCTGCCGCTCCTGCAACAAGGTATCGGTGTCCATCACTCCGGGCTGCTGCCAATTCTCAAGGAAACCATTGAGATTCTTTTCCAAGAGGGTCTTATCAAAGCACTGTTCGCAACCGAGACCTTCTCTATCGGTCTCAACATGCCTGCAAAGACTGTTGTTTTCACCAGTGTTCGGAAGTTTGATGGAAAAAGTCAGCGCTGGGTCAGCCCATCTGAATTCATCCAGATGTCTGGTCGTGCTGGTCGTCGAGGTCTTGATGACCGAGGTATTGTCATCATGATGGTGGGAGAGGAAATGGATCCTGCCGTCGCCAAGGAGATTGTGCGTGGTGAACAAGACTCACTCAACTCTGCGTTCCACCTTGGCTACAACATGATTCTCAACTTGATGCGTGTGGAGGGTATCTCGCCCGAATACATGCTCGAGCGATGCTTCAAGCAGTTCCAGAACACTGGAAGCGTTGCAGGCATGGAGAAACAGCTCGCGGATCTCGAGCAGACACGTGCCAACATGCTCATTCCAGACGAAGGAACCATCCGCGAATATTATGACCTCCGGAAGCAACTCGACGCATATGCCGACGATGTCCAACATGTCATAAGCCACCCGAATTACTGCTTGGATTTCATTCACTCTGGTCGATTAGTCCATGTCAAGTACAAGGATGCGGATTACGGCTGGGGTGTGGTGCTGAAGCAGAACAAACGCAGACAACCGAATAACGAAAATGCCAAATATCCTGCTCATCAGTCATATATTGTTGATGTTTTGTTGCAGGTTTCGGGAGGGTCATCGGTTGGCACCAAAACTTTCGAAGATATTCCGGCTGGACTCACGCCTCCGAAGGAAGGAGAGCCCTCGCGCAATGAGGTTGTCCCCGTGATGTTGAGCTGCATCAGGAATATCGCTTACCTGCGGATCATGCTTCCGAAGGATCTCTCCACACCTGAGTCCCGGAATGGAGTTATGAAGTCTGTCAACGAAGTGAAAAGGCGATTCCCCGACGGCATTACCCTGCTCGACCCGATTGAAAACATGCATATCACGGATGAGAACTTTAAGAAGCTCCTTCGGGTAAGGAAACCCCTCATATCCAGTATGCGATTCGGTCTGCTAACAATTACACAGAAAATTGAAGTTCTCGAGTCTCGCCTACTCGGCAATCCTCTCCACAACTCCCCTCGGTTGCCCGAATTGTACGAGCAATATGCCAGCAAGGTGGAGCTCACCGCAAAAATCAAGGAGATCAAGAGGGCGATTACCGAGGCCATGTCCGTTCTGCAGCTTGACGAGCTTAAATGTCGCAAGCGTGTGCTTCGTCGCTTCGGATTTATCAACGAAGCCGAAGTTGTGCAGCTAAAGGCACGGGTTGCCTGTGAGATTAGCACGGGTGACGAGCTGATGCTGAGTGAGCTGCTATTCAACGGATTCTTCAACAACTTGACTCCCGAGCAGGTCGCCGCTGTTATGAGCTGTTTCGTGTTTGAGGAGAAGGTCAAGGAAGCCCCTCCTTTGGCCAAGGATGAGTTGGCGAAGCCGCTGAGGGAGATTCAAACCCAGGCCCGCACCATTGCCAAGGTGTCGCAGGAGTCTAAGATGACCCTTAATGAGGATGAATACGTTGAGAGTTTCCACTGGGAGCTGATGGAGGTAGTCTATGATTGGACTCAGGGCAAGTCGTTTGCAGACATATGGTAAGCATCCTTTCCCGCGAATCTCGTACCCACATTACTAACTATCCTAGCAAAATGACCGATGTCTACGAGGGTAGCTTGATCCGTGTCTTCCGCCGGTTGGAAGAGGCTTTGCGGCAAATGGCGCAAGCTGCTAAGGTTATGGGCAGTGAAGACTTGGAGAGCAAATTCGAGGAGGCCCTGACCAAGGTCCGCCGCGACATTGTTGCTGCCCAGTCCTTGTACTTGTAGATACGATATCCCTTTTCAAGTTCCTTCTGGTGCTATGAGATTCCTGACGACCAATTCATTTCAAGTTTTCATATTTTTAGTTTTTCCTTGTAACATGGGGGTGTAGTCTCCGTGTAGATGCCGGTGTCGTATTGCTCTGCCCGCAAGCAGTGGAGAGTCATCTGACACACTTGGTTCTTGTAAGATGTCCAAGACTTCGTACAGATGACACGAATTTAGAGAAAATATAAGATAATTAGATAAATAGGTTTCCAACTGATATATACATGAAACCCTTTTTATTCAGGCAGATCCCCTTGAAAGTAGCGCAAAGGGAGTGCGTTGCCACCTGCAACGCCTTTTCTCCACCGCTTCCTTTTACCTTTCTCTCCCCACCTCAAACCCTTAAACCTTTTCTCTCTCCTACCTTCTCAGCTCTCTCTCTCTCTCCTTTAAATATTCAAGTCCTCTGGACTATCACAACATATTCTTTGGCATCCGGTTGTCAACATGAACAGCCTGGTGGCCACGCCTCCTGTTCCTCCTCATTTCTACGAGAACCCCCGATTCTCTCCCTCCCGTATGAGTAAGAGCACCCCTTCGCAAACTCCGGAAGAGTGCATTCTCTTTGTTCTCGTAGAGATCGTCATGTTTGGTGTGTTCATTCACTTACAAAATTTCCAGTGTCTACACCTTCTTCGTCGTATTCCAACCGTAAACGGAAAGCCGACGACGACACCGATCATGATGGACGCATGTCCGCGTCACCCACCAACTCTCCCGCCTTCACTCCTCGCCAACTCCCTCATAATTACCGTAACATTAAACGTGCTCGACCGAATGTTTCAGGCCGACCCCTCTCGCTCCCACGTCTGCTAGAGACGCTCGACACAGACGCTCTGCGGACGGTGGTACGGACCATGTGTGAGCGTCATCCTCAACTCGCCGACGAGGTAGTGCACACATCCCCGCGCCCGAATGTTTCTTCGACCCTCCAAGTTCTTCGCAACTACCAGGCCGTGCTCCAGTCCTCATTCCCGTTGGGTGGCAATACTGAGTCGGACTATGCATACAATCGAGTCCGCCAGCCGCTCACCAATCTCCTTGACGCCTTGAGTGACTTCACCCCCAACTTCCTTCCTCCAAACGAGACTCAAGCATCCACATCTTTGAGCTACCTAGATGGGGCAACCGACATCATTCACGCCTTGCCACGATGGAGCACGCCACAGAACAACATCGAACGAGACTCGGCCTATGACGAGATGTGCAAGGCGTGGGTCCTGGTAATCCGGGAAGCGGCAAAGCGAGGCGGTGGCATTCAGTTGCAATACGGTGGTTGGGACCAGAAGCTAGCTAAGCACAATCAAACTTCGGGGGGCAAGCTACAAGGAGCTGTCAATGAACTCGGCTTGAGCTTGGGGTGGATGAACGGACCTGACACACCTTCCCACGGAGCTAGTGGCGATATGGGGTCCATACGTGACCAGCTCTTCTCTGGAACTTATGGGTTGGGAACACCAGTGAAGGTCGGACCCTGGTGAGATATGAACTTACTCGGACCTTTTTTATGAACGACCAACATCAAATATACACCTCTTCTGCGTGCCGGCCTCGCGTGTCCCATCCGCGTCGAACCGCATTTGAGCTTGACCGACGGCCTATACCCCTTTGACCGAGCAATTTTCGACGTATGTCACGATCACGATACCTGCTGCATGACCTTAGAATCGACATGGTCTCAGATGGCGTTATAGTACTCAAGGCGCATAACCTGACAGCTTTCTTATTTTTACCCGATCTCCTTGATTTTTAGGCTGGTACCCTGGGAGATGAGCTTCGTGATTACTCGTTTGTTTTCAAATTTTTCAATGAAATTCTCACATTTCGTCCCATTCCCTTTCTTTTCCTCTTCTTGCTCATTTATCTTTGTTGTATTCCAAATATGTACGCATGTCTTCTCTTTTCCTTTCGTGTGTGAATCTCGAGTCTTTCAACCTCTGTACCTCTCTTTCCATATCCCCGGGCGCCCTGGAGTCGCATACACCATTCTCTGTCATCCCATTTCTTTGTCTTGTCTTTTTTTTCTTTATTCTCTTCCGCGCTGTTGTCGGTTGTTTGGCCGTCTCACTTCTGAGTTTTGAGACTTTTATCCTCTTTGTCTTTTCGTCAAGGATGCCTCACTGGCCTATTGCGTCGAGGATTGCCGAACTACTTCTCTGTCCTCGCTAATTCTTGTGCGTTTCGGCTTCAAAAATCGGCGGAGATCTGCATTCATTCTATACTAGAAGAAGTCTCGCCATCCACCTCGGTCTCAATACGTTCTATGTCTGTCATCTCGCACAACATAGTTACTCTCGATATGTTATGAGTTGATAGAAATGTCCTTTGGAAATCAATAAATCATCTCATTAGAGCTGTTTGGAATAAGCAGAGACACCAAGTTCTCACAACAGAGTCTGCTGTATAGGGATTCATTGCTTGGCCGTGTAGTTATTAGGGCCAGCTGGCTAGACAGTTTCAACAAAGCTATGAAATAAAGCAAGCAAAACAAATTAATCACAATCTCCGCAAGAACATCGCTCAATGCAAATCATAATTCATACCAACGCCCTCTTCATCACACGAAGCAACCACCCAGCATCTTCCCACCCACCCCGACTCCCCGGTCTCTCAATCGCGGAAGCACTCGAACCCTCCCCATCACAAGACAAATCGCCATCCGACTCCACATCCCCATCAAGCGAAACCACATCCTCCCCCTCTCCACCAAACCGGGCTCCTCGAACGTAACAGTAGTAGTCGTAGCTACCGCACCAATAGCCACCGCCCCAATCCGCTCGGAACCCGTCGCAGAAACAGCAACCGGCAACTCCTCAACCCCGAACAGAGTCCACCCAACCAACCGATCAAACCAAGACCCCAGCCCAAACCCACGCTCACGCGTCAGCCGCTGCAGATCCGCTTCATCAAAGTCATCAGACGTCTCATCCGAACCATCCGAATACGAACACTCAGACTCGTCCTCATCATCCTCGCCGTGCCAGAATCCCTCATCCTCATCCGCCAACCGCCGATTCTGCAACGAAGCCATTTCCGCACGGATACGCTCGTCCACGAAATCAGGGAGTAGCACGCTACGTCCGTCCGTCGGGCTCGCCGTGCCCGTAGCCGTCCCCGTCCCCGGGCCTGGGCTACCGAGCGCTCTCTCAGTCGTCGGGAGGGTAGTCATCGTCAGACCAGCACGACTACCGCGTCTGCTACTGCGTCTACTTGCAGCACGAGAGAAGGCGGGCGTTGAAGCGCCGGAGCGAGACTTGCGCGACGAGCCTGATTTCGTGCGCTTGTGGTGGCGTACTGTTTCGTCGGGCGGGTCGAGACTAGTAGATGTTTCGCGCTTGGTGAGCCAGCTTTGGCCCTTTTCTTCGCGGGTCGAGGATGCTAGCGCGATTCCGGCGCGGAGCATCCATTCTGCGTCGGATTTGGGCCGCTGCGTAACATATGTATCGAGGGGTTGGCGGCGGCCTTGGGTTGATGAGATGCTGGAAGGTTGTTTCTTGTGGGACTTTGCGTGGTGTAGGGGGTGTGTTAGGTTGTGGTTGACTAGGTTTGTGTCGCTGGCTGGTCCGGGACGGGTTGAGCTCTTGCTGCGGACGTGGTGGCGGGTGCGGGAGTTGCTGCGGGAATGGGAGAGGATTGGGGGCGTGCTGGGGACGGAGACGCTGGCTAGATAGGAGGGTGCCGGGGGTGTGCGGGTTCCGCTTCCTGGTGAGTCGTTGTCTCGGTGGTTGAAGTAGTCTAGGGCGTCGGTGTCGTCGTCGTCGATGGGGAATCGGGGGGTTAGGGGGGCTAGGGAAACGTGGTTGAGGGATGGGTATGAGCGTCGGGATCCGAAGCCGCCCGAGGTGCTGGTGAACTATATACTGTGTGTTAGAGATCTGAAAATGGTGGCTAAGTCTGGCTTGGGTCGGATTGTGTATTGTTTACCTCCATTATGGGTTTTCCAGCTGATATTCAGGTGGAATTGAAGGTAGAGGTCGAGTCTGGGGGAAATGCGGAGATTCTGCACGTGCAGTTGGCATGTGAAAGAGGCCGGCTATTCGATTGGGATTATCTGCGTACTGCGTGTGGGCACCAATTCGAATAAATTGTTTCTTCCGAAGACATAGGATATAAGTTTCGCTGTCATATTATATAGCTGTGCACGTTTAAATATTTTTTACAGGTTTAGATACAGGGATAGCGTGATGAAGGCCGAGACGCCTCAGTGCGGAGTGAACTTATGCAGGCAAATCAACAGAATCCCCTCCAAAGTGCTCAGAATCTTGAAACATGGGGAGTAAATCCGGAATTCCATGATCAAGTAGCGACGTATTGATAGGAAATGCATCCTGGCTGTTTTCGCCATATAAGAGGTCATTCCAGACACGATCGTTCTCTATCTCAAGAATAGAGTCGAACCGCCCCGGTGTATCTTCTGTGTGAGGATACGCATTTCCACCAATTCCTGGTTCTTGAAAGTCCCAATTAGATTGTTCATTTGTCAGAGCATGTAGACCAATAGGAAGTGGCATCCCATTAGTCGAACTCATGTCCTCCGGCAAGACAAAGTCAACATTCCATCTTCGCGCTAGGACTTTTATCAAATCAATACTCTTTTGCGCACGATTGGGCCAATATGATTGAACTTGGTCAAAAAGAGCGAGGCACTTCCGAACTGAGCGGGTACTGAACCTCCGTAGTGTGAAGGATCCTGTGGTCGTGTTCATTAAATGAACAATAGATGCACTTAAGAGGTGATGGATGAGGACAGGACACGACTTTGGGAAACCGTATGTCTTGTAATAGTCTGAGACGAGTCTGACCATCGCTGTTGCCGCTGCTGTGAGGGATTGCAATACAATGGGCATGAGCTGTGGCGTATTTGGATTCTCGTTCCGCATTTTTGCGAAGATGCGGAGAAACGGTGGCATCGTTACTAGAATCGCCATTTGATATGCCATGTGGAAGAGAAGAACGGGCTTTTCGGATGCGCCTCGGTTTATTGTGAGTCTTGCATCTCGAGACTTGAAAAACTGGCTGAGGTTTTCGTGGGTTGTTATCAACAGGCTGACCTGATCGGGTGTGGGCAGTGTTTCAAAGGCAGACGAGAATCTGAAGATCGTTAGCGAATCCTTTATCTGCGGAGTATGGAGATGAGTATAGGCATACATTTGATCCATGTTCTGATCATGCATGTACCATAGCTTGCACTGCCACGCAAAAGATACTTTGGCCAGACTTGTCCCGTCGCTTGGGAAAAAGGTTTCAATTGCGGGCACATTCACACGACGCCACGGCAGCATGCAGTTCCTTCCTAGAATTGAGATAGATGTTCTATCGGTCATGTAGAATGACCAGAAAGTCTGCACGTCGACGAGTCCCGTCTTAGTCGATGCGGTATCAAACTCATCAAGAGCCAGAACGTGGAGCCGCAAGTGAACAGCCATTCCAGCAGCCATGGATAGGAATGTCCAGCCAAAGTGATCATGGCCTAGGGCGAGGGAGCGCCATGACAGGATACACAATCCTTGGATCACATATATTGAGGGAGACTGTCGAAAGCATTTGAAGACGAGACTCTCACTTAACTCTGCAAGTTGGTCACTAAGATTGAGAGAGTCCTTTTTGTTTTCAAATGTTGCTCCAGCCGCTAACATAGCTGCATGAAGGAAGAGACGATCGGTTTCCTCGGGAAACTGGAGAAAGAAATCCGGAGATTCATATTGCGTAAATTGGTGGTCCTCGTTAATGCAGTCGAGGAACAGTGCAGCTAGTTCATTAAGTCGCACTGTATCATCACATATCATGGAAAATTGAGGTGGCACACGAGGCGGGGACTCAACTTGAGGCATGTTCCTCCTTGTTGGAGGGCCCTTGACTGGTTGTTTGTCACCGATGGCCACACCGTCTGCGAGATTTGTTCTCCACATCATGACGCTCAACTCTTCCATGGCAGTCTGGGACTGATGAGAAGTTTCGTGCTGGACCACATGTTCTGAAGACGCGGAATGCCCAAAAGGGTGTGGATTTCCCAATGGCGCTAGGAGAGAGGCCGAAGGTAAGATGTTATCGGATTGAATTGATCCATTTTGCGGCAGTGTACTGGCACTGCCGCTGTTTTGGAGAGCTAGCAAAGCCTGGACTTGGCTCTCGAGGGATTTCACATAACTCTCATCCCAATATTTCCGTCTGTCGTATTGTGTTAATTTTACTAATTTTATGGGGTTCGCCGCAGCGAAAATTAGGGCTGATACTTTCTGCTCTTTTTCTCATCGGTATATCCACATTCTTTTGCAGTTCTTTGACAATAAGAGCATGTTGGTTTGACACCATCGCACTGTCAGATGTATCAGTACTCCGTAAACAACCTCACAGGCTGTCACAGCCCTGGAGCCTCAAGGTTCCTGGCGCAATGTTGAATGACGTACTCGGCGTTTTGAGGCTCGACATTGACGGCAGGCAAACAGAACTGGCTTGGTCAACTGGCTCGACATTGCTCAATGCATTTGGCAAATTGGCATATCATATCTTAAGAAAGCCTTGGAGCAAAAAATATTGGGCTCCCAAAAGTGTGTGACACTGAGACATCCCAGGTGGAGAAGATGAAGGTCTAGTTAAGAACTTAAGGGGGCGCATTCACCAGCGAATCATGTGATTCACTAGAAGGATACAAGGTATCCATATCCCGGCGCCCAATGGTCTTGGGAATTGGGATCATAAATGCGGTGTTGTGACGGCGATAGCTTGACTGTACAGGGGCTAACCAGTAACTGTTTACGGGAAGGCGTTACGGGGAAGCATGTGATAGGCAGGCGGTGCATAGTCACGTGCTTTGTTTTTCCCAACTAACCAATCAGAGGCCAATAACTCTGCCAAGTGAGATTTTCGGCGGGTAGGCGACGCTTGGCGACGCTTCGCGCCGCAATAAAGTGGGTCTGCACGGACCATGAGTTGATCTTTCGTATCGTGCGATTATTCCAACGTTAACCTTCTGTAAGTGATCAATTCTTCCAGGTTGCATGCTGCCTAGTATTTGAGACTAGTATGTCCCTACCTACCTACCTACCTCAGCGGAAGTCCCCTCCACCTGCGTGTTAACTGGGTCCTCACCCTCAATTTGAACCATCCTCTTGACCTTCTTCGTCACATTGAGTGTCATGAGATCAGGACGACTATAATGTCCTGTTGCATCGGCAAACATCTTAGCCGCAATTACCTGGTCCATGTCCAAGTCAGCGTAGATGATTGTCTCCATTTTATCATCAGTCGGTTCTGTCAGTCTTCTTCCATCGGGCCCAAAGACTGCAGAGCTACCCCCTCCTCGGGAAGACATCAAAGCGCCTCCCCCCGTTCCCATTTTCTCTATCCCCTTTTCGGTGATCAGTGCCGTACAGTGCAAGACAAAGGCCTGAGACTCTACTGCGTAAGTCCGAGAAAGAGTCTGGCAGCCTAACGATAAATTAGCAAATCCAAATGACCCAAGAAACACGGTCATGGTTACCCTCGGCAGACATGGACCAAAGATCGCTCTTCCCAGAGTGGGGTGTGAGACTCGGCCATGCGGAGACATGGATGTCCTCGCCTTGTGAGAACGTGTAATATTTCAATAGTGGCTGAATATGTTCCCAGCAAGACAAATGTCCAACTCGACCGAATGGAAGCTCCGTAACGCTAGAGAAACAATCTCCAGAGGCATCCCCAAAAATGGTTCGTTCCATGTGAGTGGGCTTCATCTTGCGCCGGTGAGATTTAATCTCTCCATCGGGCCCAATGCACACTTGCGCGATGTAGATAGAGTTGTTATCGTTTTCCGAAAATCCCATGGACACAGCAATAGCGTGGGTCTTCGCACATGCTCGGATTTGCGCCAGCTCAGGCGAGTCGAGACGAAGCGAGTTCTTTATGTACGCGACATTCAATTCAACGTCAAGCAACCGGTTCCTTGTAATCCTCAGTATGCTTGCCAGAGAGATCTTTGGGCGAGGCATACCATATCCAGCATGGATAACCTGGGATCCAGCATTCAGGAAAGGCAATTAGTTTTGCCTTGTTTTGTGCTGCTTGTGCAATCAGTTCGCAGGTCTTTGCGACGCCGGCTGCCAGGTCCAGCCATGCCGGCTCGGCTTGGGTGACTGCGACACGAACTGGGCCTGAGGTCATTCTGAGAGGAAATAGAATTAAGACCAAAGAAATATTTGATTGCGGTTAATTGGAATCCCTGTGGGATTTACTGTTGTACTTATGTTTTCGACGTAGATGGCCCATCTTCCCCGCAGCCCTTATAGTTAAGAGCTGCGGCTGCAAAACCTCCGCAACCCTGCATCATGCATGTAGCCCCTCCTCGGAGGCAGCATTCTGCATTTTTCAATAAAACAATCACCGCGATTCTCATTGGATAGGGTGCCTCTTCACAGACCCAGAACGGGCACATTTGCGGGCGGAATCATCTCCGTAGACCAGGGGTAATGACAGGGCATGTTACTATCTGGAGCATTTTGCGGCTGCAATGATGCCCGCCGGTGAGTCAATTGAATCATTTCTGGGTCGTTCGGCGAGGTGAAGAAGTCGTGCCTCGGAGAGCGAAGTACCTATAAATTTGAGGCGAGTGACCCTGAACTGTGATTCATTCAATTTACTCCCAGAGAACCCTATCCAAGTGCGCAGAAAACAGACAAAAGAACCATGTGGAGCGCTAAATTGGCCGACAAGCCTTTCGTTTATTCGATTTTCGGAATCCAGTACCCAACTGGAAACCCCACGAGTGTCCAGGAAGCTCTCACCGAGGAATTCGACAGTCTCATTTCCGGTCATGGAACTCATATCGAGAGACTTATCCAAGATGGCTGCGCCACCCCGTCTGCTGGAAAGTCGCACGTTTGGATCGCGTACTGGACGTCCAGCGAAGAATATCAGAAGTGGTGGACTCGAGACGATGTATCACAATTCTGGGCAAGCCTTCCCTCCGACGCGGGAATGTGGAGAGAGGTCCTGACACCATCACCCCGACGAAGTCAGTACGGAGCCAACAAGAACGAGCCCTCGGGTCTCGGAAATTTGGGCGAAAGATTCGATATTGGCCGCAAGTCGGGTTATTGGGGATGTTATCGCCATCGGCTGGCTGACCACACTTCAGATGAGATGGTGTCTTCAGCGAAGCAGGACTTGGAGCCACGTAGACCGTTGAGCAAACTCTCAGCTGGGATATCGAGTCCTGAGATTCGCCCGGGTCGGGTTCACATGACACACTTTCCAAACAACATTTGCTTCGTTGTCGAGGGACAAGACCATTCTGCCATTACGACCGAGGAGAAGAAACTTTGGGTTGAAAACTTCGATGAATCAGTCTCTCGTTGGATGAAAGATCTTATGGAAGCAGGGCCTGAGTCGGGCATTCTTGACAGGCGGATGTGTTATGAGAGAGACAGTGGTCTCTTCCTCGAGGGGGAACCGCAGGCGCTGAGATACAACAAGAAAGTGCAATTGTTTTATTTCAAGGACCTCCGCCACTTTGAAAAGATTGGACGGCAGAATAAAGGTCATGTCGATTTGCGGAAACGATTCCTTGAAGCGTATGGTTCTGACGGGCACATGATGAATGGGAACCTTTCGCTCTGGGTGGAGACGACCGTTTTGAAAGCAGATGAGATGGATTGTGAGTATGTTGGATGTGTTGACGGAACTGGTTTTATGGCTTTTAGTTCGGATTTAGATAATTTTGCTTAGACAACACGCAAAGTACTCCCAGAAACAAAACTAGAGAGCCAAGAAGGCTCGGCCATGAAGCAAACGCTCTTTTTCATATATCGGAGCGCCAACATTGTATCTTAACCGCTCACAGACGTAAACCGTCCCAATCTAAATAGCCCTGACCCTTGATCCGCAGGTCTTCCAGAACATCATACTCCATGATCCACCTCATGCGCTCCATCAATGCTTCTGGGTTGAATTTATTGGACATCTGGTCAGGCGAGTCCGAGCTAGCCAGCTTGCCAGCTTCGTAGCTGGTCTGCGTAACCCTGTCCGTCCGAGGCTTGCGAAGGTCCTGGTAGAATTTGAACGCAGCCTCCAGGTCATCTGTCTTCCAATGGCGGAGAATTGTTGCAAGAGCAAGGCCAGATTCAATAGCCATGCATGTTCCTTGTCCTACAGCAGAATGTTATTTATGAACTGCAAACAAATCAGCTTCTGGGCATAGACGGATTGGCACATACCTTGGTGAGGAAGAGTTGAATGCGCCGAGTCACCAAGCAAAATAATGCCAGCGTCCTTCTGCCCAACCTTCATCTCATACCACTTGTCGATTGGATCACGGACATACAGCGCCTGCTTGAGCATCTTGCCATCCCCAGCGCTCTTCCGCAAACCAGCAATGATATGCTGTACCTCCGGGCACCAGTCACGGACATGCTCCTGCAAACTATCAATATCGGATCGGGACATCCAGCTCTCCGAGTCCCATGCCTCAAGCGGCTCGGACATGAATCCGATAACAGCAGCACGGTCAGTTCCCGTCTCCTGGTTCCCAATAGGCAGAATTAGGACATGGCATCTGGGGCCACGGAAGTTGACCGTCTTGCGTAGCAGTTGAGCCGTCTCAGTGGGCAAATCTTTGTAATCGACGAATCCACGGTAGACCACTTGACCAGAGTAGATCGGATCATCTCCCAACCCCATATCGCGGCGGACATTGGACTTGATCCCATCACAGCCAATCACGATATCCGCTTCGGCGGTGCTCCCATCCTGGAAATGAAGAGTATACGGCGCAGCACCGACAGCAGTACTGCGGTCGATTGATACCAGATGTTTCCCTAGGTTGAGGCTTGATTCTGGCACGCGCTCCTTCAGCGAGTCCAGAAGGTGGGCGCGATGCAGCAAGCGCGCGTGTGGCTGCGAGAATTCACCAATATGGCCGACGTAATCCCCGGTCTTGTAATTGTGGTATTCCATATAGCAAGGCAGTTTACGCGATGATTTGCGCATCATGCTCTCTTGCAAGCCGAATGCGTCCAGAATGCGGTTGGCATTCGAGGTGATGTTCACGCCGGCGCCGACTTCGCCGAATTGCGCTGCTTGTTCGTATAGTTGCACATTCTTCAGACCGGTGTATAGTGCGGCATTGAGGAAGGACATTCCTCCCAGCCCACCGCCGATGATGGCGACGCGCTTGTCTTCGAAACCCATTGTGAGTGTGCGGGGTATGTTTAGAGTATGTTGATCGGGAGATACAGGTAGACGTAGTACTCTGGGCAGGTTGGAAGAGAATTGAAGGTTGAGAGGCAGATAAATGGTCTGCCCCGAGGCTAGCTATATGTACATTCGTCCGCCCTTTCCGCCCTGAAGAGATACCATTCCGAATAGGCGTACTGGAGACGTCCTTTCGGAGCGTGGAGTAAGTGTGGGGTTGGAATGGATGTCAATTCACAGACCTCGGGACTGACTCGGAAATCCCGAGCTCCAATAGAGACAGGTCGTCCCAGGGGTATTTCCGAATTGAGGAGAGCATATTGGCAATATGGAGCTACCCAGTACTCCGTACTAGCTTGTGCGAAGCTGTTTAGGTATGCTGTTTATACCTATCCTCTTCACTGTTTGATATGCTCGATTTGGGCATCTGAAAGGATCCGAGACTTCCGAGTCCGACCTTGAGGTCGTGGCCAGCCTGTCGTAGATATTTGAACAGTCAATCATATTCCAGAGCTCTGGTACGAGTGACGAGCACTGAGCAGGTATCATTGAGATGTTAGCTGTAATCGGAAATTCGGAATTATACATTATTATACATACGGGCTACACGGAGTAGAGTAGAGTCATAGTCTCATAGATGGTGCATACTTGCCTCAGCGACCTCAGACTACCGCCTTTGATTCTGCCGAATTTATGAAATTCTGCCACGAAGCAAGCCCTTCGGGCTCGCCGACGCAACTTTCCTACCGCATCGAACCTCGAGATGAAGCGCTGGTTTGAGACGAAAGCGCAGTCAACAATATTAACTCTGGAGCTGTCCCACTACAGAACACCTTGATTATCTGGCTTCCACCCAATTCAAGTGGCTGATACTCCAGAGTTAATATTGTTGACTGCGCTTTCGTCTCAAACCAGCGCTTCATCTCGAGGTTCGATGCGGTAGGAAAGTTGCGTCGGCGAGCCCGAAGGGCTTGCTTCTGCTCAATTGAAATTGCTGTACGGCGAGGCATATTGTCGGAGGAAGATACAAGGTAGAAAATATTGATGCTATGAGTGGAAAGCAGTGTACTATGCTTGTATTGGATGAAAGTGGACAAGGAGAGGAGAGAAAGGCGAGAGAGAGCTAACTACTTGGTCTGTTGATTGCTGTGGTTGCCCAGGTAATGCAGCCCGACACACAAATTGAGGGGTAGCGAGAGGTGCGCACGGGCCAATATACTCGGTATAGCGAACTTAGTATGGGAATGGGAGGGTGGAAAAAAATTAACGTATGTCGCAAAAGCGAGGATGTTCGTTATTTGTATGGGAAATCAATGTTGGGAATTGATTTCATTCGTTACGGCGAGGAATTCGTATTAATATTGCCGGGGTTCCGTAATAGCGGGGTTTTACTGTAACGGACAATGTAAAAAGGAGGATGTCCGTTATGTGTACTCCGTACTACGGAGTACGGGGAAATAATTTTGGGAATTGATTTCGTCCGCTAAAGCCAGGGATCTGTTATGAGGAGGGTCGCTATATAGAGGGTTTACTGTAAAAGGACAAATTCCTGACCCGCCAGCACAGATTTATAAATAATTTTAGTATCAACGGACTCTACTCATAAAAATGCAGAGGACCTCGAAGCCCGATTTTTAGATTTTGCGTTGGTTGGCGAGATATCGCGAAATCTGGAAAATCGGCCGTGACGTACTTCAATAGTAAATATGCGGAAAATGGTGACCTACTCTTATTGGCCACTGTATTCCCGCCTCAGACGTTCCGCAAAAAAAGATGATTCAGCATCCTCGAAGAGGCAGGCGGTGGAATAGCCAATGCCACCGCCTTTTTTGCCGGACGTCTGAGGAGTGAGGACACTACTGAGGCAAGTGCATACGGCGATACGCCATCAGTCGGAAGCCCCCCGCGTTCCAAACTTCCACCATCCGAAATACACCACGTGACCCGGAAGGGTAATACTAAACCTTATCCTCACCGGGAAAGTCCATTTAGCCCGAAATGAGAGTGTGACATGTGTGCCGTGAGCCGTCACTACCGTGTGGCCCACTGATTCAAATAGCCTCGCTGTTATTGGCCAGCTATGTCGTAAGCTTCCAAGATTGGAAGAGCTTAAATCCAAAGAAAGCGAAATATATCCGAGCTGGCCCCGAAAATCTACAGAAGAAAAAAAAAACCTCACGCATACATACATGATACAGGGATATATTTCTATGTAATTGCTCCGTAGATAGCACTTTTACTCCACAATTTTACCCTTGTTCACAACGAAGCCCTCCAATGCGGCGATGGCGGCCCACAGGCGGTTCTCGGCCTCAGGGAAGACCAGAGAGCGCGGGCTGTAGAAGACCTCATCATCAACTTCCTCAGGGTGGCGGGGCAGGCAGTGCATGAACTTCCAGCCCTCCTTAGCACCGCCACGCTTGGCCAAGTCAGCAGTGATCTGGAAGCCCTCGAAGGCCTTCATGCGCTTCTTAGCCTCCTCCTCCTGGCCCATGGAGACCCAGGTATCAGTGACCAAGATGTCAGCATCCTTGACGGCTTCCTCGGGAACGTTGGTCTGGGTGAGCTTCCCGGGTCTGGCGACACCCTCACCAGCGCGCTGGATGATCTCAATCATATGCGCGGGGATCTCGTAGCCCTTGGGGGTGGCAACGGCCATGTCCACACCCATTTTAGCAGCGCCAATAGCCAGGTCAAACAAAACGTTGTTCGCATCGCCAACCCAAGCCATCTTGAGACCCTCCACGCCCAGGCTGGAGAGCTTGTGTGCCTGAGGGGGGAAAGCCTCGTAGATAGTCAAGAAGTCGGCGATGATCTGAAGGGGGTGGAATGAGTCGCACAGGGCATTGATCACAGGCACAGTGGAGTGCTTGGCCAGACCTGCGACATCTTCGTGCTTGGCGACACGCGCAACAACGCACGAGACCATCGAGGAAATTACGACGGAGGTATCGTATAGTGACTCATTGACACCGAGCTGGATGTCGTCCTTTCCGAGGAACATGGGGTGACCGCCCATCTGGACGGTGGCGGCTTCTGTCGATACGCGGGTGCGAGTACTGCGCTTGTTGAACATCATTGCCACGGTCTTGCCGGAGAGGGATCCCAGAAGGCTCTCGGGGATAGCACCGGACTTGATGGCACGCTTGTGCGATGCAGCATTGCGGACGAGGGTTGCGAATTCCGTGGGGGTCAGGTCTGCAATCGAGAGGAGGTGACGGGGCGCGAAAGGTGAGGTAGCTGGTGTGGTCGGTGTCTGGTGGGCAAATCGTCGGATTCCATTAGCCTGGAGTGTTCGACGCAAAGAAGAGGTGGAGCCGGCCAATTGGTTTACACTTTGAGCACCATAACGGGCGGCAGCTGTGAGTCCACTAGCCATGATTGACTGGGGTGTATATTCAAATTGGGGTGTTTCGGGAGGACAAGGAGGAAGGAGGAATAGGGAGCTGTACAGAGTAAAAGTGAAGAAGAAATTAAAAGAATGACTCAATAAGATAAATCGGGGTGGATGTGGGATGATCCTCATGCCTTGTCGCCCAATAATTCAGGTATCAAGGCTCCAAACGCCGATCTCTCCACAGTTCCGTTATCATCAGGCCTATCGTCATCGAGCGCCTCTTGCGTACTGCATTGCCTCTTGCTCTCATTCTCACTCTTTCCCCTTGTTATCCGTGGTTATGACCATATGATCCAAAATTAAACCCCGAGAACCGCCAAATTACAACATACTCATTCTATATACCTTTTGATTCATAGATTTTGGGACCACGATGGCTGACGAGGCAAACCAGCCTCTGTTAGATGGGGGGTCCGCCGAGAGAGCATCCGATGACCCGCCCCAGCCGTCATATCCATCACCAACAGACCCATCGCTTCCACACCGTTCTGGAGATGGCTTGACGGTCTATAGCACTGAACAGACATTATCGCGATCCTCTTCAGGCGGGAGTCGGAGTAGCCATACTCAGACCATGGGCGCCGGAGACCAGCCTCTACCGAACGCAACCTCTAATCCTCCCGAATGGTCACCAGAAAGGGTGTCTGTCGACCAATCCAGAGTATCATATGAACTATCATCGGAATCAACACCCTTATTACATCGTCGGGAAGATGGTTTGGTATATGGGCCCGACCAACGATCTTCGCGATCTTCTTCAGTCGTTTCGCGCACCTCACTCGATGGAGGCGCCAATCACAAGCGGAGCCGTGTACCATGGCCGACTGTCATATCACTCTCTATATTAACGCTCAGTGTCTTGGCGATACTCGTACTTGCCTTTGTTGCCCCCGCGGCGGTAAAAGAATACGCGCAACAGGCTGCTATTTTCAAACCGACGACAATCTCCATCGACTCTACAACACCCGGCGGCGTTCGAGCCCGTATTCAAGGCGACTTCTACATGGATTCAGGCCGTGTAGAGAGTAAGTCGATTCGAGGCATTGGCCGATTGGCCACCTGGATTGCCCGGGAGGTAGAAACGGGCCCATCGGATGTCGAAGTGTACCTTCCGGAATATGGGAATGTGCTTGTTGGAACTGCAGCACTGCCGTCCATCAAGGTGAACATTCGTAACCGTCATTATACCCGTGTCGACTTCCTCACCGATCTTGAGGCTGGCGATGTACGAGGAATTCATGCGGTAGCTATTGACTGGCTTGAGGGAAGGCTAGGCCGCCTCAATGTCAAAGCCAAGGCAATGATACATCTCAAGTCAGGCTTGATCTCTCTGGGAAATCAAGTGTTGACAGACAACATCATCTTTGAAGGTATAGCACCCTTGGATATTTTAGTGCGATAGCATGAGCTAACTCATTCTCAGAAAACGATTTCCCGGCTCTACCGATTGTCAACATTCTCAAGCTGAATGTGCATGATGCAAGCAGTGGGGCTATGGCAGTAGATGTTCTACTTACGTCTATGATTGATTCTCCTGTCGCCCTCACCATCCCTATGCTCGGCTTCGATATTTTGGTCCCAAATTGTTCACCCGGAGATCCTTACATCTTGGTCGCCAATGCGAAGACGAGCACGATTGATGTGCAACCGGATAAAGCAACGCCGGTTGGTGTCAAGGGTCTCATACAACAGCTACCCGATGAATTGACCTCAAGCTGCCCTGGGCAGAAGGGCTCCCCCTCTGGACCTTTTGGTCTCCAGCTTCATGCAGGGTCATGAAACAACTATATACGTTCGTGGATCTGATGCACCATCACCCGATAGCCCAGCATGGTTAGTCGACCTGCTGCGCAGTGTGACTGTGCCTTTGCCATTCACGGGACATGCGCTGGACAATCTTGTAAAGAATTTCACGATGTCCGATACCCGTTTCTCTCTTCCAAATCCCTTCGCCGAGCCAGATTCCCCAGACTCTCAGCCCACGGTGTCTGCTTTGGTGGAGGTTCTCATTGCATTGCCAGAGGAGATGAACTTCCAAGTCGATGTTCCGCAAGTCCGTGCCCTTGCGGATGTTTACTACAAAGAAAATAAGCTCGGTGTATTGAACATCAGCAAATGGCAAGACGCCAATTCCACAATGGTGGATGATCTAGATGGCTCTACTGCGCTCCTTGTGGAGTTCGCAATGAAGGACGCACCATTACAAGTTACTGATGAAAGCCTTTTGGCAGAGGTGATTCAGGCGATGCTGTTTGGTAGCGAAACAATCGTGTTGCGGGTTGCTGCCACTGTAGATACCAAAGTCGCAACTGGTTTGGGCCGCTTTGCCCTGCGAGGGATACCTGCGGAAGGGAGAGTACCTGTCAAGGGTATGTTTTCATAGATTATCTTAGTGTCAATCAAGAACATTTGGTCATTGACCCTGCCTTAGCTTCCATCGGCGACTCCCTTGAGCATCTGGGCCCGCGCGTGGTATCACTGCGACTAGGAAACACGACCGAATCTTCGATATTGGTATATACGCAAGTGAATTTCACCAATCCAACGGAATACTCGGCTACAGTTCCCTTCGTTGACCTTCTCGTGCTATACAATGACACTGCCGTCGCTCATGTCACCGCTCGGAATATCTCTGTCACACCTGGCAACAACAGCTTCGTGCCCATTGAGTTCCATTGGTGCCCGTTGGATGCAGGTGGAGAAGATGGCCCTAAGGCAGGCAGAGCATTGCTTTCATCCTACATATCAGGTCGGTTTGTTCTAGGCACGGCCAGCTTAAGTGGTGAAACATACTGACACTTTTACCCAGGCTCGAATACAACAATTGCTATTAAAAGCCACCGCGACACAATCCCATCACTACCAAATTTGGGCAAAGGACTATCAATTCTCAACATCACACTTCCGGTCCCTCGTATCTCCACCCCAGGTTCCCCAGACAGCGAAAATGATGATGAAAAGCCACGGTTTATCCAAGATGCAACGGTACTGTCCCTCCCGTAGACATAACAGCCACACGCGGCGCCCCGATAACCGTGACGGATGAACTAGCTGTGTATACTGACACAATTACTCTAGTTCTATCTATGGTCCTCCATGGCAGAGTTCACTCTCTCCTCCCCCTTAACTGAGGACAGCATCCTGGTCACCTCAATCGACGCAACGGCTTTCTACGAGGAGAAGGAACCAATCGGTCGAATCCATAGGCGCTATCCCTTCCAAGTGCCGCCCGGTATATCGAAGTCACCACGCTTAACAGTCGATCTTGATATGGGCGGAGTTGGCTATGACGCCTTGCGCAAGGCACTTGGTCAATCTTTGGATGTGGATGCTGTGGCCAAAGTTGGGGTGCAGATTGGGAACTATGCGGATGTCGTTTTCTACCATGGGAAAGGCATTGGGGCCAAGGTTAGGATTTAGCTTGATGTTGCTTGTGTAGCTCTACGTATTTTCTCTAAACTAATGTTTGCTCTCGACGTGACAAGAATATGCACTGTAATTTGAATGTCCTACTTGATTAGGGCTGGTCCGATCTCTATTGTACACAGTAAGCTTCTATGATCTTTAGGGGCTCTATTAACCGGGGTTGGGACAGCGGGATATATGTGGAAACGCGAGAGAAAGAATGATTGTATCATTTTACATACAATGGCTAGGCCATTTGTTTTCAAATTAAACCAACTCCACACGAACAGCTATAATAATTAAAGCCAGAGAACCAATCCGACCCCATTCGGGTATGTATTTTGCTGAGTTCGGATTCAGTAAATAACTTAGCCGGGGGGCAGAGTGCTGGCATCGACAACATCGGCAGCATCCTTCTCGATTTCCTCGTTGGGCTCACTAAGAGGGGACCGGGGAAGGGCCATCAAACCAGTGCGGGTAGACTCAAGGATACCGAAGGGACCGATCAGCTTGAGGAAAGAATCGATACGGGTAGGCTTGGCAGAGCTATAGAAAACCGAATGAGTCAATTGTGATCAAAAGTCATGAGGTAGGAGAAGGAGAGTACTTACACCTCGACGATACAGTTGTTGGTGCTGATATCCAAGATCTTACCACCGAATTGGTGAGTCAGGCGGGTGATGGCATCCAAGTGCTCGTGCTTGTGACGCAAGGCCTGACTCTGGGGAAGGTGACGAGGGTGGTATTGCTGGGTAGACTGGCTGTTCTGAGTGTTCTTGTGGTCCAGGGAACCCGGCGAGGTGGTGATCTCGCGGTGGTGCTGGAGCAGCTCCTCGAAGAACTCGGGGCCAAGAATAGAGACCTTGGCCAGGAGCAGCTCACGCTGCACAAGAGCGGACTCGGTGTAGTCCAACACAGCCCAGACAGGGACGAGATCATCCAGCTGGCGGCGAGCCTGCTCGACGACGCCATCCTGGCCCTGTAGCACGATGGTCATCCGCGAGAGATCCTCAACCTCGGTGTTGCACACCACCAGACTGTCAATGTTGAAGCCACGGGCAGCCAAGATACCGGACACACGGGACAGCACACCGGGCTCGTTCTGCACGAGGCAGTTCAGGATGTGCCGCTTGGGTGGGTTGCTGGGAGCCACGGGAGTCTCATAGAGAATAGATGAAACCGCTGTGGGAGCATCCCATTGGGGGAAGCATCGGATACCGGCAGAGGGAGGGGAGACCGACGGTGCAATGCCTTGTAGGCAAGAGCTGAGGTTGAGCTCGATGATGCACGAATAGAGGTGAATCGAGGAAGCGCAGAGCTGCGGGTACGAGCAGTAGCTGCCACGGATGATAGCAGGGACGCTGACCCTGTGGAAAGCGTCAATGGACGCCTGAAAGCCATGGCGAGTTCAAGTGATCTGAAAAGTTGTGCGATGATTCACTCTAGACTCGCCCCGGGGATATTCTTCTTGGCAATTGGCCGACCTCGGCGACCGCTCGCTGACTCAGGTCTTATTAGTCCCAATCCGGTATAGCTCAACTTCTAGTATACAGATCACGTGAGCGTAATTCACGTGACTTTTCTTCTTTCATGCGACCGCGCACTGTACAATTGAATTAGCTCTTCAAAACGAGTCCTGCTATTTCACAGGCTTTGCTCATTGTCCTTGGCTTCCTAGCGCGAGGGATATTGAGTATTTTCGTCAGCAGTGGCTTTGTTTGGCCACCCGCTCTGTCTCTGCCAAAACTCCTTCCCGCAATTGACATCTCGGCCTTTCGAGCTTCTTTTCCCCGGCCGTTTCTCTCTCTTTCTCACTGCTTTACCCCACGATTCACAATGGCGGACGACGAACATCGCGTCAAGCGCTCTCGATTTGACCAAACGGAACCTGAACCCCGGCGGTCCCGATTTGACCGGCGCTCTCGCTCTCCGTCAAACCGCCTGTCGGAACCGGCACGTACTCGCAGTCCGTTGAGCCGTCCGCTGAGTCGCAGCCCTGGCGCAGACTCCCCAGCAAGGCCGTCTGATCCTGCGGCCGCTGCAGGTATGCGATCCTCAGGCATAGGCCCTCCCAATCCACGTCATCTGGCTAATCATTGTGGTCTTCATAGCGGCGGCAGCAGCCAAGATTAATGCACAACTCCAGGCGAAAAAGGGCATCCAACATGTCGATGTCCCGCCTATCCGATCCGTTAGTACCCATTCACTTCTTGATTCACTGTATTCAACGTCTAACATACTTGGACAGGGCGATAATGCGACAGCGAAGTCCGAGTCGCCCAATGCCGAGGGCGCCACCAAGTTGAACGCCGAAATCTATGTCGCGGACGGAGACTATATCAAGGACATTGAGATCAATGATCTGCGCAATCGTTATACCCTAACGAAGGGGTCGACTCAGAAGATGGTAAATATCCCCATGTCGCTTACTGACATTCCAGCCATGTTCCTCACAGAATATTGGAGGGCATTGCAATTTGCTTCTCGGCATTCTGCTCAATTCTTGTTGGACTGGATGAAGCTTACCCTTCGCTAATACATAGCATCCCATTTACCCTCTGTTGCATCTGCTGACCTCCGCTGCGTGACAGATTCAAGATGAAACCGGCGCCGGTACGCCTTCCTCTTATGTTTTGATAACTTAGGCACAGAACTTCTCGCTCACCTTTTTTCTCTCTCAAGATGTGACAACCCGCGGCAACTATTACCCGGATAAAAACATGGCAACTGCTGCTGTAAGGATTCAGCTCTGAATATTCTTCGGTCAAATGCTAATCAACTTGATACAGAGCCCTCCCCTTTATCTTCATGTGACCAGCACCAATAAAGAGGGTCTTGAGAAAGCAGTCGCTATGATTAATGATCTCATGCAGAAAGAACTTCCGAACCTGGTTGACGAGCGACGATTCCGCCGCCGCGAGCCCGAACAGCAGGTTGAGCGGGATGAATATGGCCGTGTAAGAGCATCATCCCTTTGCCAGTTATTATTTAAAGTAAATGTTCGCTAATTTATCACAGCGCAAATGGCCCGATGCCCGTATCCCCATCGACCTGGAGCCAATCCCCGGTTTCAACTTGCGAGCTCAGGTCGTGGGTCAGGGTGGTGCTTATGTGAAGCACATTCAACAGCAGACTCGGTGCCGCGTTCAGATTAAAGGCCGTAATTCTGGTTTCATTGAACAAGCAACAGGCCGTGAAAGTGATGAACCGATGTTCCTTCATGTGGCGTAAGTGATCTCTTTTTTTTACAATTTCCTTCTCTTGATCAGACATTCATTGACATGTTTGAAGTGGCCCTGATGCCGACGACGTGAACAAAGCGAAGGAGCTATGCGAGGACCTTCTCAGCAATGTTAAGGAGCAGTACCAACGTTTCAAAGAGAACCCACCCCAGCATAACTATGGTGGATACGGCAACCGCGGTGGTGACCGTGGCGACCGCTACCAGGGCGATCGCTACCAAGGTGGAGGTGGTGGTGGTGGATACGGTGGCGGCTACGGTAATCGCCAGCATAATAACCTATCCCCTAGCCCTGCAGGTCAAGCCGCTGCTGCCTCTCCGGCTGCTGCCTCCCCCACGGCCGCCGCCGACTACAGCGCCCAGTACGCCCAGTACTATGGCACTGCTGACCCGTACGCTGCCTATGGTGGTTACCAGAACTACGTCGCTTACTACCAGTACTATCAACAAATGGCTGCGGCCCAGCAGCAGGCAGATGGCACTACCCCGGCCCCTCCCCCAGCCAGCGAGGCCGCTCCTCCTCCTCCTCCACCTCCTGGCTCGGGATCCCCACCGCCTCCCCCGCCAGGTGGTAGTGGGTACAGCGCTGTAGGTTCCTTGCCTCCCTTTCATCCTACTGATGATCACTGACAAACGGACTGCAGGTCCCTCCCCCTCCTGGTCTCTGAATGGAAAGCATGGAAGTGGTGTAAGATGATGCTATTGCTGCCCGGCTGGCACAATGGCAAATAAAAGCACCTTTTGGTCTGGTTTAGGAGCAAGGTAATAGCACAGTTTGAATTTAGCAATACCATCGTTGTCGGTCTATCTACGCTAAAAGAAGTCTTTAGGAGTTTGCTTTCTATCTCTGACCTATCTACCTTGCTTATCTTCATACTTGCTAAATTTCGATCATTGTGTCCATAATAACAGGCTTCTTCCATTGAACCTTCGTGCATTTCTTGTTGCAGTTGTGTTCTTTTAGGTAAAAATCAAGAGTTAAGGACGCCCGTACGTATATCCACAAGAAGACATGAAAAGAGAATGTTCCCTGCGCCACTCATGCTGGCAACTCCTCAAATATGCAAGCAAACGCTAAAAGATGCCCATTTTAATCAAAATCAGCGTACAAAAGAGCCATCTGGGTTTCAGACGCCATCTTCTCCCGGCGTTTTGCCAGCCCCCCCCGACCCTCTTTACAAAAATCGCAGGCAAAATCACAGGGCGATGAACTCGCAACAGACACACCTTCTTTGGCCGGCAGTTGTGATCCCATTTCTTCCAGTTCGAAATCACCAAAGAACTCTTTGATCAATTCGTGTCTGCATCGCGTGATACTTTCACAATACCGAATAACCTTGCCAAAGCTCTCAAGCTTGGATTCCCTGTTCTCGTGGCCATTCACCCGGTGCGACTCAGTATCCCGGTGTATCATAGTCTCGATGAAGTTCCTCTCTTGAATACCATAGTAAACAAGCGAAGCAGCGGCACGACCGTCTCGCCCTGCACGCCCTGACTCTTGGACGAAGCTTTCGAAGCTCCGTGGTGGCGTCCAGTGCACAACGAAGCGGACATCTGGATTGTCGATTCCCATACCGAAGGCATTGGTGGCGACGATGATCGAGAAAGCAGGTATCTTTCTACCATCCGCTGGCTGAACTGGCCGTGATGACTTCCATGTTGATTGGATTTGGGACCGTTTGGTGGCTTCCACGCCGGCGTGGTACGCAACTGCTGTGACTGTCCCGTCGGATGATTGGCAAAGTCGGCTGGCAAGATGCTCGGCCATGGCCCGGGTCCCCACATATACGATTCCTGACATTGGAGGGAGACGTGCCATCTCCTCACTGCCAATGCGGGCCTCTCGTCGACTCTGGATGGCCCTGAGCCAATTGAGCAGATTCTTCAGCTGGCTGTCTTCTGCGGTACAGTTGTCCCCAGCGTAGTCGGCGAGATACCGGACCTCGTAGTGGATGTTTGGTCTATCTGAGGGCGTGTTAAACAGTCGAAGGTTCTCGAGGTCCAGTCCCAGGATGTTGATCATATCTGACCGGACTCGCGGGGTGGCAGTCGCTGTCAAGGCAGTGATTGGCACAGTCGGGTTGACAAGGTTCTTTCTAAACCACCCTAACTCTTTATACGCAGGGCGGAAGTCGTGGCCCCATTCGCTAATACAATGTGCCTCGTCAATTGCAATTCGAATGAGTTGGCCTTGCTTGTGGACTGTAAGTAGGCGGCGGCGGAAGTTCTCTGTCAGGCATAACTCTGGCGTGACATATAGAAGACGTGTGCATGGGTGGCCGCATAGCATATCCTCGAACACTCGCTGCCTCTCGTCATGCGTGGTGTTGGAGTTTATCGTCGCGACTGACACGCCAAGAGATTTGAGAGTGTTCACTTGATCAGTCTGCTAGACATTTAGCTAATGAGTCACAAATCTACACAGCTTATACACACCATCAGTGATAGCAGTGGGCAAACAACGACAGTCACTGGATAGGTTGAAGTCAAAACAGTCAGTTCTCTAGTATGAGGGTATAGTTAAGGGCCGGTACAAGCTCACAGCCCCAATCTTTCAACACAGCAGGAAGCTGATAACATAGACTTTTGCCAAAGGATGTCGATGCTTGGAGGAATACATCGTGCCCTTGGATGACAGAAGATATCACTTCCCTTTGAAGTGGGCTGTATAGTGGAGAATCCAAGTCAATACTCGACTTCTATGAGACTATGAGTTCATGAACTGACCGAAAATCATGCTTCTTGAAGGTGTTTTTCAAGACCCATCGCATATTAGCTATTTGGCGCGTAATATTAGATTCCGATCCATCATTTTTCCTCATACCGGGCATGGGACATGCGAAATTGGGAAAAGTGCGAAGGAAAATAATCTCAATCGCGTCCTCAGACGCGGTGTCACGTGATATCTTCCTGCCTAAGGTGTGTCGGTTATACAGTCACTCTGAGTCTGACCAAAGCATCATCACCAGGCCAAAGCTTTGTTTTAGGTCGTTTTTGGTCGTCTACAGCTTGGGGGCGGCAAGTTATTTATGAATTGGGAGGGCATCCGATGTCTCAGGAGGTGCGAGGCCCAACACTAAAGCGCCTCAGAAGCTCGATTCCATTTGCCGTCGGATTATGGTTGTGGAAGTTGTTTATATGAGAATAGGCCGGGAGGCCTGGATACGGTGAGTATGTCTAGGGTGCAAACCAGACGGACAGAAGAGGTGCGGAGACGCAAGCCGAAGATGCCTCCGTGAAGGCCTCAATGCGGAGAAATCGCATGCGGTAGAGACCACTCGGGGATTGGGATCACTCACTCATGAATCATGACACAGTGGTCTAGCGTTGACTTGGTAACCAGAGACCTGTAGGAGTCATGACAGTCTTTGTTTCCTGGATGCTTCAACGATATCGAAATGGCAAGGAAGAATCGAGAGAAAGCGTGTCACCCTGGTATCATGGCGTCAATTGAAACAATGTGTTTCCAATGGGCTGCTCGAAGCTTGTAAATGGTTGAAGGTCATGTTCTTGGAGGTTTTTTGACCGGGTTGCCTGTGGTCTTTCTTCTGAAGTCACAAGACATTAAATGTCTTCATGGTTGTGGCTCCCTTTGGGTATAAATATCTGGAACTTCTCTCAGTTCTTGACTTTTTCTTCTTCTTTCTCTCATCTCCCTTCTCCTACTCCCCTCTTCCCTTTCCATCTTCCTTTCTCCTCTTCCCTTCTTCTATTCCCTTCTCCTGTCTGCTTTGGTTATTATTTCAATATCCACTCTTCTCCTACAAGATTCCCATTGAGATAGTTGTGGCGGAGACCTCGCTGTCCTGGCGAAAAGATGTACTTCGGTACTAAGCGGGAATGACCAAAAGCCAGTGGGTTGCTGAGAGGCTCCGTAGCGCAGCTGCCTACGATGCTTATCTTGATGCACCTGGTCTCCTCTATTCAGATACCTCCTCGACAGGTGTGGCTGGACTTAGCCCCTCGCAAAGAGATGTACTTCGGTACTAGCGGGAATGGCCAAAAACCTGTGGGCCGGAGCTAGGATCCAGGACCAACCACACAACTGTCTGGTGTTCTTATATTGATGCACCATAGCATCACCTTGTCTATCTATTCCCTGGACAGGTGCGACTGGACTTAGCCCACCGCAGAGAGATGTACTTCGGTACTAGCGGGAATGGCTAAAAACCTGTGGGTCAGGGCTAGGCATCCAGGGCCGGGCAGCGAGGGATCCAGGACCAACCACACAACTATCTGGTGTTCTTATCTTGATGCACCATAGCAGCACCTTGTTATTATTCTTGTCTTGATGCCCCTAATGTATATAGTGATGAGATCTGCCGGCTTCTCTGTCAGATCGATGGTCTGCCTGTTTATGATCCAGAGGTGCGAGTCTTCTGTGGTCAGTTCATACAGCAGACGACAGAACAAAATGTCCGCCGCTTTTATGATCAGTGGGTATCTCACCGGTCGTACTGGCACTGGACGACATCCCTACAGTCCAATATGTCCTGTTGGTAGGTTGGTCTTCTCTCAAAGCGACGCATCGATAACGCGGCTGATGCTGGTGGCTTCTGACGTGATCGTTCAAAGTACTGGCACACTTCCCCGGATCGATGCCGGAATGAGCCTTGGGATCGAAAGGATCAGAGATATTGATTATTGACGGATCAGTGCGTGGATTGTAAGTGTATGGGTGCGTCGGGTTACGAAGTTGGGCCGTTGGACAGAATGAAAGCGTGGGAATAAAAGGTCTTCTCTTCCATGCCCACGCACCCAACCCTAAACGTAAGGCGCGACACCTGCACTTTCCCTCAAAGAGGAAGACCTACAACTCTTTGTCAGTGAGTTGTCACGGGATCTTGTGGCATGAGTCCATTGGAACACACGGCTTTCCCTACGGAGTTCTTCCCAATCCCTCATACACCTTTTAAGTTCGTTTTCTATCTCGTCTTCATCGCTGCCAGCCCTTGACATGATCTCCCTTAGCATACAAATACATAGCACCCAGCGGGTGCAAAGGAAGAGCCAACTGTGAACAATAAAATGGCAAGAGAAAGGGATATATATGGAAATTAATGTACAAATACTGAGTTCTAATGTTCAGCTGCTCCTTCTCCTCAGCGACCTGCTCGATTCCGATGCGGATCTCGAGACATCTGCTTGTCAAGCTCTTCCTTGACAGCCAATACATCAACTGCTTTGCGCTGCTGTGGATGCCAGAGCCGCTCAAGCTGCAACCAAACCTCCAGGACTTCTTTGGGCCCGCAGCACGTTCCAAATGCTTGCAAAATGATAGTGATCATCCGCCGTCCGACGAAAACACCATTCGTGAGACGCTTCTCGGAATCCCAGGGCTCTTGTTCTGCTTCGGAGAATGGCGAGCGAGGTTCGAACACCTCGTCTACGCCAAATTCCGCTATTTCGGTGGACTCGTCATCTTCTTCGTCCACAGGCCTCGAGTCTTGAGCCTTGGCTGGCGAACCGTGGGCCGAGAAGGTCTCGGGGGTTTCTTCGGAACTCGGTTGGCGTGATGTCGTATCGGCTGTTGGCAAAGGCATGTATAGACCGTTGGGAGAATCGGTCACTGGGAGCTCCTCCAGATCGAGGCTCACGCTTTTCGCCAGAGGGTTCTCCCACGTCATCTTTCGTTTGTTCAGATTGAGCCCACGGAGCCTTGCGTTCGAGTCGCGCAGAGCCCGAATGTATGCATGCCAGGTCAATCGAAGATTCTCGGGGCTCCATTGCTTTTTCTTCCGCCCATGAAGAGCGAACCCTTCGAAGAGAAACAGGTAGATGATTGCACGTGGTGGCACGGCAAAGGTCCTCTCCATGTCATGCATGACAGCTATGAAACTATCCAGCTGGCCGGTGTTGTGAGCGTAGTGTCGTAGGAAGAGATAGAAGGTTCGTGTGTCAGGTGTCATGGAGAGGGAATCCTGGAGAGCACGGTGGTATGCCGGAAACTTTTCCTTGAGTGCTGTTGACTTCTTCAGCACGCGGCCCAGCTTTCGGGATCTCTCTCGATACTCGGGCATGTCGTAACTTAAATTCGAGCCGCCAATGTGAAACTGACATGAATCCTCCGGATGCGAAAGGCGTTTATTCTTGCTTGATTGTTTTTCCAGCATGCGCGCGTATAGCTGCTCCGCAGTTTGGGTCTCGCCCGCCCGGAGGAAGGAGGCTATGAGGCAATTCATAACCACTGTGTCGACAATCTCGCCAGATTCCACAAATTCGTCAAACGCCTCCCGAATGCCTTCAGCGTCCCTGAGCATCCCGTGATAATAAATTTTTGAAACCTTTCCGCAGCGGGAGAAGCTAAGGCCTCGCTCCGTCATTTCCTCTTCCAGACGATCAGCAACTTTGAATGCGCCCGCTTTAATTGCAATGTCGAACAGAATATTGAAGACCACCTCGTCAGCCTTAACCCCAGCGACATGTTCCATTTTCTGCCACATTCCAACTGCTCGAAGAAGATCGCGCTTCAGCACTTTGCCATTCGCTCGACCAGCAAGATGAATCGCCGAAGACCAGAGTGACCGCGAAACAGGGAGATGAGCAGTTACCATGTCGTCCACCAAAGCCAAGTAGCGACGGGCATCTACCCATCGTCGGTCTCGAGGATGCGCAAACAACCGCAGAAGAGCTCCACGAGTACGTTGTGAGAGCAATGCGACCCCAGGTGCAGGAAGGTCTCTGTATAATCGGAAAAGGTATTGAGTAGATGGGGTTGGCTGTTCCCACAGTGTTGTGACAAGTTTTTCGACCGAGTGGATTTCCATTTGATCGCGTGACGTATCTTTTCGCGATTTTTGGTAGCGTGAAGATGGCGTTATGGCGTTCACTGCCTCCTCCCAGTCATGATTTACCAATGATCGCTGATACAGCTTTGAGGTGAAGAAGCGTTTCTCCTCCTGGGGGTCCATCCATGTAGGTAAGGATTTGTCAAGATGTTTGTTTGGCGATTTCCGTTCAATGTCGGATTTCGTATATGTTGTTATATCTAGTCTCTGATCGATGTATTGTGTGAAGTCGACTCTGTCACGGCGGCTTCCTGATTCCACGTCCGCAGCATCTGAGGGCCACAAGGGTATGTAGTCGTCGTCTGCCTCCCTTTGCTCTTGTGGCCCTGGATCAATATCAAAATCCTCCGTATTATCGTCGTTCGTACGTGCCAATCCGCTGCTGATCAATCTCCTGGGCCGCGACAGATGCAAGTTTGAGCTTGAATACTCTGATTGACGCCGGGGTGGTAGTACTCTGCGACCAGCTGCACTTTTGCCCCGGAATCTTTGCAGATTATGATCGGCGGAAGCCCGGGCTAAGGTCGAGAGCCCTCGGCGGTTCGGCGAGTGTTCATGGCAAAAGCTTGCCAGGACCAGCGAGCTGACAAAAATATCTGCTATCGACGCGACTGAGGGGCGAGGGCGACGGGAACAGAGTCTGCGAACGGAGGAAGTGTGGGACGAGAGTTTCGAGGGAGGCATTGAGGGTTGTCGAAAGAGAGGAAGCTCATCCATAGCCTGCTTGGGGTGATTTCGCAGGCTCGGCGAGCTGGGAGACCTATTTGGATGAGGCATGAGATGACAGACATCGTGGCATTGGGCAGGCCGCATCCAAGAGTGTGCCCTTTGCCACTCGCGCAAGAAAAGGCCGCCTACGTCTAGGCGCAAAAGACAGACAAGAAGGGAGGGGGTCAGGACTTGGGAGACGTAGGAGGTGTTTTTCTGAAGATGAACGGCCTGCACTTTCTGGCCTGGCGGAGCCCGCCCTCGACCAATCGGAGCCAAGCTTTGCGAATCCCATCTTTTTCGCTCCCGCATCAACCACCTCGTCCCTACAGCGCATATCTTGTCTCTTCTTCAATTTAGCCCGTCGCGTCTCAATTACTCTCCCGCTTAGATTTTGACGGTCATATTTTGTGTGCAACCGTCATGGGCAAAGTCAACCTCACAGCCCTCCGGGTGCGACAGACGGCGCTCAACCAATTCGCCAGTGGAAAGACCAGCAAACTGCCCCAATGGGTCGGTGTGGTCGGCGAGATTCCTCCTGCTGAGACTCTTATTCGTACTCGTCCGCCTCAGCATCAACTCGTTCACCGGCGGCTGAAGACCGTTACTGTTCCTTACTCAGAGAAGCCGAAGGTGACGGTCTCCCTCGAATACCAGGAAAAGCGCATAAAACCCAAGAAGGCCAGTCGATTGTTTCAGCCTGTGGAGATCAAATATGAGGAAGATCAGTTGCGAAGCAAGTTCTTCCGGGACCATCCCTGGGAACTTGCTCGGCCCCGTGTGCTTCTCGAGAGCACCGGCAAGGACTTTGAAAACTACGATTGGAGACGCATCGAGCAGCCAGGAAAGCGGTTAGACGGTGAGAGGTATGCAGCTTATCATCTTTTCAACCCTTTTTTGTTTCTTCTCGCGTGGAGTAAGCCTTTGTACTAATATATCAACTTTCTCGCATTAGTGTTGTCCAGCGTCAGCTGTGGCTTTTGAATCACGTCCCTGATATCACCGAGAGCGCTGCCTACGATATTGCTCGTCGAGAATTCTACCGACTTCGATTGAAAGAGGATATTCAGCGTCGGGTGGCAGCGGAAGAAGCTGAGGCGTATGGCGCGAAGTTCGGACCGTCATACATGGAGATTGGTATGAAACTGGAGAACGAGCAGTACGACAAATGGGTCACTTGGGCCCGGTCGGCAGCTCAGGTTCAAGATCAGCGCCATGCAGCTCTTACCGGTGCCCCGGATCTGGGCGATGCTGGTGAAGCAAGTGAGCTCGAGATGGAAGAACCAGAGGCGGTTCCTGCCTAAGGGTCGGAAGTGCCAGAGCTCATTCGCCATGCCATTTCTTCTTTCTCGGCAGTTCTTGATTCCCTAGTCCTTTTTCATGAAGGGTTATGTATATTATTTGATCTGTTTTGCTGGATGTTATACTCCCCCAGCTCTATTCACGCGATAGCACATGCATTCTTGATCACTTTACTTGTTCTTGCTGTAGATATATACAACATACGTTTCACTATCTAGACACAAATATGCGTAATATCTCAATTGACACCATAGCTACGCAGTACCTGAATGAGTGACGCACAATTAAGGCGCACAGGCGCGAAGTCGCGGCGGTCCGGGGTTTGAACGTGTCTCACCCAATCAGAATAATTTCCAGCCTCGCGAACTTCAATCTGCCCGATCCCCTTCTAGAACTCAGACTTGATTTTGTAGTGACACTTCTCAAAGATTTGGTTTGGTGATTGACTGCTCTGCACCTGGGGCTTGTTTGCCTCTATACCAGCATTCTTCGACCTCCCAGACCTCCCTTGCCAATCAGTTGATCGCGCCCGCAATTGTCAACCTCCGTGCTCGAGCTTCATCGCACCAGTTTCCTCGGCCTTGAACAAGCCTGCTCCAAATTCGATAGCTTAGTCCCTGCCAGTCGCCACTTTGGCACTCCGATCACTCCTCCTCCGCCCTAACTCCACTCCGGCGGACGCTTCGAGCTCCGTTCCCCCATCCAACGCCAGACAGCCCGCCGCCCCTCCGACATATCACAGCCAACAATGCTTTGCGCAGGTGTCTGGGGTGTATATATTGGTTACTGGTAGACGCCTATTCCAGATTCTAGCAGCACATCGATTTTACAACGCATCTGTCGCCTTGCGGTGAATGTAATAGACAACCCTGGGCTTGTCTAAATCATGACATCCGCAATGGCTCGACCCGAGGACACAGCGCAAGCGCCACGCTTGAATGGCGGCGAGATAGACGAAGGTGGGATGGGAATTGGGAGTTCTGAATCGAGTGATGTCCTGCCTGCACCAAAGGATGACCCTCCATACCCCGACGAAGATGAAAGTCGACCAGGCACTGCTTCGGGAGATCCATCGGAGGGTGCTAGCAAGCAACCGGCCGTAGTGAAAGCGCTTAGCCCCGAAGAAACTATTGAACTCGCTCGACAAGCCGTTGAACTCGGGATTCAGGAGACCAAACGTTCCCTGGCAGGTAGCGAGGGTGTTACGGATGTGGTGAAGCCAAAGCTCACCATTGATCTCGGTCATTCACACATTGCCCGCATTCCGGAGCCAGTTGTGGACTTGATCAAAGATGAGGTTGAACGGTACGTCAAAGCCTTGTCGTGAACCGCCGTGCTCATGTTGCGCGACGCCTGTAGCTCGGCGGCGCACTTGTCTGATTTGGACCATACTGATCATTATAAAGGCTTTCGTTGTCAAACAATCAACTCTTCCATATTCCCTATCGCTTTGCTGAATGCTCCCATCTACGCTATCTCAATATCAGAGCAAACAACTTCCGTGAATTTCCCAAAGGAGTAAGTGAAGTGACCTTCAGTCAGGCTTGCTCTGTGCTGATTATGCTAGGTTTACAAACTGCCTCTACTCGAAATTCTGGATTTAAGTCGGAACAAAATCAAGGAACTACCCAACGAAATCAGCAAGTTGAAATCATTGCGAGTTCTATCTGTGATGCAAAATCGCCTCACTGATCTGCCGCCCACCCTCGCCGAAATGCACAAGCTTCAGATCTTCAAGTGTGCCGAAAATCGTTTGCGCGAGCCTCTGCGGGCGATTCTGGGGGAAGATGAGGACCAAACGACTCCCTCCGGTATGACTGATAACGAGAGAGAAGTTGCAGCGACAACGAGACTCAAGAGATTCTTCCTCTCGTGTCGACGGGCCACTGAATCTCCTGAGCTAGAGCCTCCTGCTTATTTGATGTGAGTTTAACCCGTGGCTTAGAGGTTGATATAAGCTAACCCACTCAGCGACGGCGGTTTCGAAGCGAAAGTGGCACCAACACCGACACCTTCGATACCTTCGAATTCGAAAAGGAACCTGAGTGGCCGATTTCCAGTGATTCCTAGCACTGGGGATGGCTCAGCAGCTTCTTCCCGGTCCCCGTCGATATCTCGGCCTGTGCCACCGCCAAAATCACACCATCGAATGGCCTCCGGGCAACAAGGCGCTACTTACCATATGCCTGGTCTCCAAAGACCCGGTATAGCGCCTCATACTACCAACGAGCGCAATCGAAGTAATAGCGAGGGCATCATTCAAGGGTCATCTGCTGCTCGTAGCAAACGAATGGGACTGATAACTCGCAAGAATACTGACTTGGGCACATTGGATGAAACGCTCCCATATCGAAACAGCCATCTACGAGGTCTCAGTTACGGGTCTGTGCTGCGAACGCGTTCGCCTGCGCCGCCAATAGCTACCAAGGACACCACTACTCCCAGTCCCAGCAGCCCAAGAGAGCGTCGGCGTCCGCGAGATGGCTGGGTGAATCGCATGTCCAGTCTGCCCGAACACAAGGGTGAACGTGGGTCTGATCTACCCATTATGAAGAGTGCAAAGGGCATTTTATTTGCTCTCGCTCAAGTTCATAACCATATTAGTACATTGATCAACGTGATAAAACACGATGACACTCGACGTCACAGCCTCGAGCTAGTCTTTTACAACGCTTCATCTCACGTGGACCAGCTCAATGATACCATCGACAAAGCATCGAACACTATGCTCAATGACCCAGAGTCGACCGCCTCTGTCACAGAAACAATCAAACGCGAATGCGAGACGTGCATCGGAGCCTATATCCACGTCGGCACGCAGCTACGTAACAACGCTGCCAAGATCGTTGCTAACGGTGATCCACGCTATGTACGATCACTGATGCTGACCCTATTTGGCAGCATGGTCGAGCTGCGGAATGCTTGCGCTGTTCTCAAGGTTCCGCTCCGGGCCATCAACAAACCTGGCTTCCCTACAAAGCGCTTGATTGGCCCAAGTGAGCCTCTTCCCTCGGTTCCAGACCGATCTCAACGCCCGTTGGTTACACCGACAAGAGAAGCCATCCCACCCACACGTCGGCTGCGAAGCGACACGACAATCCGGCACCCGCAATATCCCATGACTACGCACTCCAGTCAGATTGGCACCAGCTCCCCTGTTTATTCGACGCCGTACTCCCGTAGTCGCTCGGGCAGCAGCTCAAACATGGCTAGCATGCCTCACGCGCTGGCAACCCCTCGCTCAGGCGAAAGTTTCCCACCTTTGCCAGCTCCAACAGGTCCCCGAGCCCATACACTGACTGGAATGGACGAGAATGACGAAGATCGAGCGTTCGAAAAGATCTTCCGACAGCTTACCTACGCCTATCAAGCCGCACATACGGCACTTCCACTGGTCCACGGACAATTCATCAAGTGTCTCGAGGAGGCCCAGCAGTCACGAGATCCAGACGGGATTCAACTCCTTTGGAACAATCTCATCCGTCGATGCCAAGGCTGCTTGGAAGCCACAGATGCCCTAGGACAGCGCCTTTCCTCCATGAAAGTCAAAGAACCAGGCGGCGGCCTCCGCAACCAGCGCGAGTTCTGGCTACTATGCAAATCGTTCATGCACTCATTCGTCGACCTGGTGAACGAGATGCGCGAGGTCAGAAGCATGCGCCTCCTTGCTCCAGACATCATCGTCCTCCTACGTCCAGTCCAGCAGGCAAGCCGCGAAGCAGGCCGCTTGATCGAAGTATCTCCCTGGGCCTTCCTGGCAGACCCAGACCGCCACTCGCCTCCTAGAAACCTGTACGGCCCCCCGCTGCTGATCCCCCACCCGCAACACCAAACATCCGTCTCAACGTCCGTCCTCAACAACCCCCACAGTTACCATCTCAACCCGCAGATGCCCCCACAATCGGCCACTGTTCCTGCCACCCCGCTGAGTGCGGCGCTCGGCCCTGCTGCGCAGGCCACTGTTCCGTCCACGCCGGCGAGTGCATACAGTGACAAGTTCTTTGAGGGCGATGTCTTCCAGCGAGCTGACTCGCTTCTCTCGTCCAATCAAGCTCCATTCTTCCGTCGCTAAGCGATGTTCAGCGTTTTTTGTGCTCCGTCTCAGAGAAATCCTTTTCTCTATGTGTCATGACTGTCTTGCATGCGTGTTACTCGCATCTACTGCGTAATGATTATGACTATGTTCGCTCCATCGTACATGCCATTGAGGATACTTTGGTGAATCCTCGTACCATCATCGCCCTTTTTGGGCTGTCGGACCCTCGGGTCTGTCTTGTGTTTTTGTTCTCGACATGGTTTAGCGGATCTATCACTGTGAATGAATTCATCTCCGAGCAATGATTTGTGCAATATGTACTTCTGCCTTTTGTTTCTGTGCATCAGCGGGTGTATCTCTATGCAAAGGATGTGATTTCGAAATAGCATTTTGCTTTATTAGTCGAGTATCAATCGAAATGTCGAGCCTTTTAATTCAGACGGTAAATTGGGTGCTGAAAACGGTTACTATTGACGCCACTTTAAGCGTCCATTTTACCAAGAATCTTAGTCACCCAGAAGGCACGTGATCCCCAATGCCCCACTTTTCGGATACACACTGAGACTGACTTGAGTGCTCAGTCCAGGTATTCTACATGGAAGAAATCAACTTGCCACGTTCTAAGGTAGTTGATGTGACATGTCACAGACTCACAGTTGACACAGTATACAGTCCTGAAAAAAACAAACAAAATTCGACAAATAACCCTGTACCCAACAATCGAAGCTTTCCAACATCACCTGACTTAGAATGTCTACACTAGAGAACCGGTCACTCGCAATTTCTCTCCTATCCATATGAGTCTGTCCCAGGATGCATCATGCAACGCCATATTGCTGGGCCGAGTATATAACGTCAAGCATTGGGTTTCTAGCACAGTCTGCTGCTATCTTTCGTTGTAACTTGGCAGTCTTTTCGACTGAAAGCCTGCCTACTGGAGTAGGCTGCAATGCGGCGCTAGGTGCGATACCATGAAATAGACGATCCAGTAATGAAGAATCGTGCATTCCTGGTGAAGAACGAAGACTGGCTTTCAGAATGAAGGCTTTCAGACCCCCAACTGACGCAGGGTATTGCTGTAGTCTATCATGACGCGGGGTCACGGCAGCGAGGATAAAGGACATGGCAAGTTCGGCCCACATTAGAACGTCATCTGCGGAGAGGCTCACTGCGCCGCGGCGGAACTCGATTGTTCGGTATGTTTTAATCGACAGGAAATTCCAACCAAAGTACTTGGACTGGTTAGGATTCATGATATCAATCACTTCATCGGCCGTGCGCAGCCTTTCAACCAAGTCAATAGACTGTTGCCTTGAGAAGTTTCGGTATCCGAAGTTAGGATTATCAATCCAATTGCTTCGTGCGTATTCGTTTCCGCGGCGTTCGGTTGGCACAAGAACCTCAAACGCCGGCTCAAAATGGATGATTGCTTGCGCAATGCTTTTCAGATCAGAGACAGTGAACCCGCGTGATAGCGAGATATGCACGTGGGTACTGCAATTGACATTTCCACTAACGATGTATCGCTGTAGCAAGAAGTGCCAGATTGCTTTGACTTGGTCTCTCCATGCTGAGTCTGGGTAAGACCGAAGTAGAGGCGATATGAGCTCAATTCCCCCTGTTTGACATGTTAAACTCCCAAGGCTTCTAAATTATACAATTTTTTGATAACGTACAAGGAGTATTATTCGTCTCACAAGTAGGATCATGATGCAGTGCCCACTGAGTATGTGGAGCTCCTTCCCACAATGCTTGAACCAGGCTATGCATCTTGGGCATCGTCGCGGGCGTCACACTGTTGTATGCCATGGCGCAATGCCTAGCAAATCGCGAGAAGGAGCTTTCGATTTCGGGGATAGCATGTCGAGATTTCAGAAGAAATTCGGTCTCAATCCCGATACCAATGCTATTTGGGATTGAGCTCGGTTTGGCTTGTGCAGGAAGCTGCCTAGAGCCACGATGCGCTGGCGGGGGTGGAGGAGGCGGAGGTGGTGGAGGGGCAGACCGAGGCATAGGTTTCGACTTTCGCCCAAGAAAATCCGATATAGTCAGGGGCTGTATAGGTATCCTTCTGGCAAGCGGGCGTAAGAGCTCGTTTGTAAAATTTAGCAGACAACCGATCTACTTTCAGATCATTTCTCAGGTTCCTACCTGCTACTTGTACTGAAGCTTGACACCCCCAGGAACCGTCTATCTATATTGAGAAACCTTCGAATATCCTGGACTATGTCATCCTGTACTCCGTGCAACTTCATCACATCCCACGGCGGCTAGAAAAAGCTGTATCAATCAATCCCCCTGGGAAGTCATGTATCTCGCGCGCGTCTCCCCTTCTATGCTCCGAGGAGCGCCTCGTGAAACACTGATTGCATCAAAATCGATGCTATTTCGGGATTGAATGGCAAGGTCACTGCATTAAATGATAAATCGGCAATAGTTGACGTATCAAGTATATTTACTGAGATACCAACCTATATGTCGATCTTTCCCGCCTCGGTTGAATAGGTTAACGTTTTCGTTGGTAGTATGTATCAGAACGCGCCGTGATTAGGGGCTGGGTAAGGGTTTCGCTCCTTGTACACATATCCTACTTCATAGCCGCTCTGTGCGCCTCCCCTTTTTTAATTTCGGCCTGGCGTCTATTTAGTCTGTGTGATTTCTGTCTCGCCGTGGTCGTGGCCGGAATTACGTTACTGCGAAGTGCGCAAGGCAACACACCAGGTTACCCTCGTCACAATTTATCCTCCTGCACTTAACGCTTTCGCCTCTCTCTACTCTCTCCAAGTCGTCTCTCATAGTCCACCGGGAGCCTTCAAACTCTCTCTGGATCACCATGCCACAAGATCCCAAGACGCAAGAAGACACCGACTCTCCAGATGCTTGGATGCGAAACGAGGGGTTAACCCCATACGAGGTGGTCTTACGCTCCGCACCGGCCGACTATCTCACCAACATCGAGCACGAAGTATTCGAGCTCCCCCCGAATACCCGGCCTATTACTTTTTCTACGGAACATTGACAGCACCCGCAACCCTCAAACGAATACTAGACCTAGCTGATGAGCCCCAAATGCGGAAAGCCAAGGTTATCGGGTACGCGATTGCGAAATGGGGCGACTATCCTGCCTTGATCGATGGGGAGTCGAACCAGGAGATTTTGGGATCCGCGTATATTGTGCAAACCGAAGAAGAAGCGAAGAAGCTTGCTTATTATGAAACGAAGGCTTATCAAGAGGCTCCCTGCTTGATTTATTTTACGGACAATGAAGAGCCCGCCGAAGTGTCTGGGAAAACATTCATGTATGCTGGTGATGCAAATGCCTTGTTGGAACGGCGATTCGATCGCAAACTGTGGTTGCGTCAGATGGAGGGGAAATTAGGGTGACGTCTCTCTGCAGCATTGGATGGGGAGATTATGTACTGCTCTTATTTCGTTCCCTAAGTTAACTAGCTTCGAAGTGTTGGTTGAATGATTAAACAAGCGAAACACAGTATGGTTAGAGTAATATAGACATAAGATTCCATTTGCAGATCACATCCAATATATGGTGCCCGTATTTGGCTTCTCTTCTATTGCAAGCAGCTGTTTGGATATAAGTCTGATTTACTCCACGAATATTCAGTTGAAGCTGCGTTCAATACTAGCCTCCCTCCCAAAAACCTTTCAAACGAAGATAGGTATTCTGTCTCGTATTACCAGAAGGCTTGACCTTGTTGTGGGCCACGTCCTGAAATCAGGCACATTAGAGAATTGCTTCGTGGAGCATGATCGAACAGTACAGTGAAGAGTGGGAGGGGACCCCCAGGGCCAGGAGCAAGTAGCCTACAGCGCGGCCGCGGTTACCATCGGCGCAGTGAAGGGCCCAAAAACAAGATGAGGAACCTATGAAAGGAGCTGGTCAGGGGTGAGCGGCAGGTTGAGCGCTCAGGGTGCTCAGTATCCAGTGAGCAAGTCAAATGAGCACTCAGGGCCGCTCAGTGGGCTGCTCAGGGCGGCGGGGTGACTACTAACTGTAGTACCTCAGTCTGGGCTCCGGGAGCCGCTCGCTTCCCGAGGGGGTAGCCTTACCGTCATCAATATTACACAACAAAGGATATGTAGCCCTGGAGATGAAGACATATTATGATAATGAATTGGATGTCTAGAAATAGAATAATACTACCTCCTAGACCACCCATGATCTGCGAATCGTCCTTCTCATCCATGGGCTCTCTGCTCCACAGAAATATCTCGGACAAAAACCGATCGCTCCTCAGAGAGCCTTGAACTTGCTCAGAACTAGTAACAAACTGTCAGTCGCAAACCCAACAATCACGGAATAACACAAAATACATACTCGTAGCATGAGCCAATTCCGCCTGCGTATGCGCCTGCACATGGAGACTAATATCCAGCAGCGCATAGAACAGATGATCCTTGTTCGAAGTGTAGTACGACTTGTCATGGATGCTTGCACCCTCAGGAACCCTACTCACAACCAACAATCAGCAACCCGAATAGTAAAAACGTACAAGATCAGACCACCGCACAAAGCAAGGCGGGGTCAAGCAAATGCAACCTACCACGTGATGAACACCAGCTTGCTCCGCTGCCCATCGCCAGCTGGCGAATTGTACTTGAATTTTACAACAGCGTAGCGCGGGGTGTCGTCCTTGAAATGGGCGAGGAAGTCATCGTAGTTCTCGTACTTCCCGGACTCGGCGACGGTGATCTTCTTGTCGTGTGCGGATGCTTGGTAAATGACGTAATCGAGGTTATTGGTGCCTTTGACTTCGTCAAAGACGACCTCGCATTCAGGCGTGATGGTTGCGTGGGCTTTGGTCATTGTTGCGGGATTTGGGGGTGTGGTTGTGTTGGAATGGGGGGAGGAGAATTGAGGGGAAGAGAGAAAGAGAGGAAGGGAAGAGCAACAGCTGATGTACTTAAAGTCTGGAGGTACATACGTCGTCATTGGACCAGGATTATGCGGGGAAGCTGCGTACAGTAGTTATGAGACTTTAGACTTTTATGGAGTTGATTGTCATAACCCCGGACTGATCCACCTTGGCTAGTCATGACGTAGGATGTTAGGGTGATCATGGTGCTCTGTTGAAAGATATCTTTACTCAGTTGCATTATTTGTGGTCTGAGAGATGTCCACTGGCTACTTTCTTAGTATGAGTAGAGATAGAGGTGACATTGAGTTTCTTCTAAGGTTTGGGTAGCTTTTGGTAGCTTTTGGTCAACAATAATAAGCTCCGGGTATCGTCCCGGCTAAGTATAAAGTTAAAGCATCACCTAGTTACCCAGAAGCAGCAATGATAGGTAACAGGACACTTTGAATGAACACTCCATAATGTACCTATAACTAGTGTGTAGGTAGAGTCCAAAATTTTCTCTGAGCACATCAAAATTCCCGGGTGATGGAAGATGCCCAGTGACATAACTGTTTGGGTGGTTCGATTCAGGCAAACATGGCCCCATGGGCAATGGAATTTCCATGGTCTGGCAGGAACACACAATCCCACCAAGAGGGGCCCCAACAGGTAAACAATGATCAAGATAAAGAGTGTACCAGAGGCAATGTATCAAAGACAAGGCGGAAGGAAAGGAGAGAGAAAGCGAAAGTGAGAGAAGATGGGCCTTGATCTAATTCCCACTCCTGCAAACCATGCACATTTATCTCGCCCAAGCACTTCCATCTTGTTAAGCCACCAACATAACAGCAAACATCTCAGAAGCGTGATAATAACCATCTAGCTACCCGCGCAACACTCCGATGTTATCACAGGGCTGGCAGGCTGGAGGGGATGGAAAAGAGGGAAAGGAAGGGGGAAAAGGCCCTCAGAATATGTTAAGCGCGAGTCGCGCTGCGCGACTGAAAGCAGACTGCGCATTTCGAGTACACTCCTGGTTCCCGGGTAACCGAGGAGGCTCGTATCATCATAGGGCCTGGTTGGCTGAGTCTCTGAGAGGGGCAGGGAGAGGTGCTGGGTGGTGGGAAGGGGACTACGAAAAGGCGGAAGAGAGGTGTAGAAGAGAAGAAGAAGAAGAGAGACAGGGGAGGAAGAGAGTATTTATACCTTTAGGACGGATGTTTGTGGTGACTAAACGGGAAGGCGCCCTCCAGTTATACCGAAAGGGAAGGCACCTTCTATTCAACACAGCAAACATGACCAGTCGTCTTCTTGGTTGCTGGGTGTTCTCAAACAACCCTGCCTTTCAGTACGGGCTGTTACTATCACTGACTCACTAGGTAGGTAAACCGCTTGTAAGCGCGTTAGCACTGACTATAGTATTTTCTTTTTCTAAAAGTGACTCTAACTAAAACCTGAGGCCCAATCAAGAGGCATAGAAAACCAACCGAACTCCAAAATAGATGACGCCCAAACCCAAGTTACGCTAGGCCCACCTCTCCAAGTCTCTATCAAGGAGCAACCACCACATCGCGGACGTAAGCAAACATCTCCCGCGGCTTATTTACAAACACGCTATGACCAGCACTACGGAAGAAGTGATACGACACACCGCGCTCCATAGCCCACGTGCCCGCAATAGCAACATCAGCAGGAGCAGTCGAAATGACAGTCTGGAGGGTAGTAGCCGCTGGCTTAGGCCTGGACTCCACCTTCTTTGTCACCGATGGCGCAGCATCATTAGCGAAAAACCACTGGCTCGGCTTCTGCGACAAGCCCTGCGCACCGCGCCACGTCATGTTCTGCAACGATAGCTCCACGCCGAAGTGGTTGATCAGCATATCCCACTCGCCCTGGTAGATGTGAAGTGAGACATTGTGCTTGGTGACCAGAGACGGGAGGATGGAGTACTCCGGTGGCTCGGGAGAAGGCACTGAAAGGAGCGTGCCCAAGATGGCGGGGTTGCAGGCACTGTAGCTTCCACTGTTGGGGACATGCAGCGCAGCCTGGACGTCCGCGCGGCTGAAATACTCTGCCAAGAGTGGCTGCTCCGAGACAGCGCTGCAGTCTTGGGAAATGTCGTACATGTCGAAGCAGCCGCGGGTTGTGCTGTTGGCGGACATGGTTGTCATGTAGTCGCTTGCTGTGGAGAAGACGGCACAGGGGCCGTAGCATGTTGAGTTGAATATTGAGGTGCGGACCTCTGCGGCTGTCCTCGGAGAGATGTTGCATGTGCCGTTGACAGCATCTGTAAGGCCCCGGCGCTGGAGACTGAAGGATTCTTCGTCTCGACGTCGGAGGTTGAAGTACTCTGGGTTTCCGGGAATGGGAATTTTACCCTGAGGAGGATAGATGCCGGATTGTGCTAGCACGCGGTTGAATCCACATACTACGTCTGCTTCGTCGAAGACAGATAATACGTCTTCTGGAATTTGGAGCAAGTCCCGCTGTGACCTGAGGTATTTGCCCATGGCAACGGATGCCATGGCCGCTGCGTTTCCCCAAGAGCCGTCACCGAGAGACATTGAGCGTATGTTGAGCGGTGGTGAATGGTTGTCTTCGAGAAGCTCATTTGCAAAGTACGGTATGTAGATACCTGCATACGACTCGCCCATGAGATGAATCCGCTTCGACTGCAGATGTGGGAAGTAATCAAAGAACCCGCGCAGCCATTGCGTAAAGTCGCTCGTCACCCGGATATTGTCCTTCACTGGGTAGGGGAAGCTGGCAGTGGAGAAACCAGTGCCGACGGGTTGATCAACGTAAAGCACGTTTCCCAACTTGGTCCATGAGTGGGGATTGCGAGTGAACCGAGTCGAGTTTCCATCGAAGGTGATGGGTCCATTGCCGGTTGTGAGACCTATCAAAGATGAGCAGCCAGGGCCACCATTGAACCAAACTATATAACGTTAGCAACCATGTGTGCTCACTCGGACCTCATCTTTGCCATAGGTCATGACTTACTGATCAGGTCGTCATCATACTCCCGCTGCTCCGCTTCGAACAACCAGAAGAATATCTCATTCCCGTTCTGTACCCCCGGAACCGGAAGTCGACCTGCCCAGCTAGACGGCAAGTCCGTAACTCCCGGCAAGGAATGTACTTTGAACTGGGATGTATCGTGTGAGCCCATACCCCGAGAAAGGACAAAACCCGGCGCTGCCCATAGAGCATGGACAAAGTATAGCAATGCGGAGAGATTCATGATCGAAACTCCCGGTGTCTTGCTCAGCTATGATATTTTCGCTTCTTCTTGGCTGATGATCGATGCCAGGTTCGAATCTGCGAGGGCAGTATGAAGCTGGAATGGTCCTGCAAAACAGATTCCACGTGGGATATCATGTTTCCTTTTTATCGCTTTGTTCTCAGACATGGTGGTGGTTCTCGGGTTATTGAGCGGGCGGTTATTGAGACTGAATAAGGCGTTGTTGAGCCTGATTAGGACGTCAATAAGGACAGCGGGGTATTGAGCCCAAAGACATGGCGAGTTGATTCGACGGTCTGACCAGAGTCATGCCCCTCTATAGACTGTGGACATGTCCTGAATCACACTAATCTTATTGAGGTCTGAACTGAGCGTTAGGATTGGGTGGATGTCCAAATGAAGGTGGACGAGGGATCGGGCCATAGGGCTAATTAGACATGGTGTTAATACACACCTCGTAATAAGATACCCGATTCCAAGGTTGGATTCAGGATTTTCATTTCCATTTATACATGTCAGAGTCAGACTGTCAGAAATGGTATCATACTCAGCAGGGGGTATATTCAAAAACAACAGATAAGTGACGTCTACGGTCTACCACGCTACCTGGCGTCACGTGCTCCCTATCTCAATGCTCCGCATGATATGTCCCACCAAGACCTGGCCCATCACGAGAAGACGAGGGCGGACTCCGGAGTATGGCATACAGGCACCAGCTAAAGGCAAAACTTTCCTTTACCGCGCGCTTGCGGCGTACCATCGCGGCAAGGGTGAGATTGTCCTCTGTGTAGCTCTACACATGTGATGGCAACAGAGAGAGTGAGGAGTTTACTAATTACCGCGTATCTCAGATCGATCTCAGCGAACGGTTGTCTTCTTGGTGATGTTCGGCAAAGGCTTGGAGCACCGATCATGTTATTGCGTAACCTAGACCCCCGCAACGGTCTTTGCAATGGTACCATCATGACTGGAGGCATCTCTGCCAAATGTCAGTATCGATCATACGGGTACCATTGTAAAAACGTCGTGGGGGCTTGGGTTATGCAATAGCACGACTGGAGCACCAAGCCTTAGGCGAATATCAATCACCAAGGGGAAGACTGTTCACCGAGATAGTCAGAGATATTGGGTAGCAAAGTCGTCACTCTCTCTGTTCGCATCACAAGTATCAAACGACTTGAAAGTATACTGGTCGTCGTCACCCATAGTATGCAAGATCTGGTTGAATGCCCGAAGATCAACATTTCGTGCGGTATGGCGCCTTCAGCGAAGAACTCTCGAGCACGGCATACATGCGAATGGTGACATGCTCACTGTGCGTCAGACGCGGGCGTTCAGTTTTGTGGAGGGCCAAAGGTAACATTATCCGAATTCGGCGACCTTAATCGCAAACTCCCATGTAATGCTCGGACCGGCGACTCGGCGAGCTATCCCAAACTGCCGCGTAGGAGATATGCGGCAGATAGGAGACGCATCCGCAGAGAAGCAGCACTTCGAGATGCTTACTGGCAATTGTCGCGTGTCATCGATTCGATTCGGACGGGAAAGAGGGAGCGGAGAGAGAGGAGAGCAAGGAGAGACAGGAATGGATTGAAGACATTGGAAGGCGGTAAGTTAACGTATGCGGTAGTTAAGCGAGCTGCGGATACGTAACTTGATATCTCAACAACCACGTTTGTTTCTGCTTCCATGGTTTGTCGATAGCCATTGATAAGGCCTAAGAAGCCTGTAGATTAATCTTAAGTGAATTGAAACTGTGGTTTACTAGTTGACTAGATGTTAATAGACACCTCGTCCCTCAGGCTATAAGGCGCCAATAAATTGAGGCCTTAAGGCTCCAAGGCCGCAAGGCTTCAAGGCTTCTAACCTGTCCAAGGATCTTGGCAAGGCCCCAAGGCTTCAAGGCACGCCGAACCGAATACATTCCGATCCCGACGGGGGACCGAGTGCTTCATCTCCTCCGACCATACCGACTGATACCATTAGAGGGGATCAAAGGAACCAGTGTACCTATCATGTAGTATGTACGGAGCACCTGGTAACCTGGTCATCCACAACCCGCCAGTAGTTCCCCGATAAAAGAGGGAGAGACTCACGTGGTTCAAAGTTCAAAGTGAGGCGGACTTTGTCCCCTCCCCCTTTCCCCAGAATCGAATGGAATCAGATATGCAGATGCAGATGCAAGATGTGACAGATCGAATCGCAAATGGAATGTTACAAAAGTCCAAAGTCGAGGGCTCTGCTCGCGGGTAGCAGCAGTGGAATGCCTGCTTGCGTCCACCCGAATCCGGTGTCGATCTGGATACACTCACTATATCAGTTCATCCCGGTCGCTTTGCCAATGGTTTCCTTTTCTTTTCTTTTTCCTTTTCGCCTTGGATTTATTCATCTGCATCCTTTTACACAGTACACACATCTGCACCTCGGGGCTTGTTTGCTCTATCCCCAGACTCTCGTTGAAAGACATTCGAACTTCTCTACACCTCTAACACCACCTCTTTGTGTTTATTGGCATTTATTCTTCTTTATCCTTTATTCTTGCCTCTCATAATTTTTTATTATAAATTTTCACCCCTTTTACCTCCCTAAGGCACCCCTGATCGGGAACCACGAGGCGATCCACGCAGATCCAAGCAATCCTCGGCTCCACAACAATTGACAGCTCACTTGCATCACTTTTGGGTGACTGCGGATTGGCTGGCTGCCTGAGGCAAACAGGGGGTTACTTATTTGTGAGTCCCATCACATTCGCCTTGTTCGGTGCATGGGCCATTGCCCTTCCCTCATCTTCCTTTGACTGACAATCCTCAAGGGAGGCTCCCGATATATCGCCTGGAGCGATGGATCTACAAGGTACCAAAGAAGCCCGGACGCAGGAAGAGGCCGAAGGCTCTCTCGAGGCGTATGGCGCTGGAGGTGGTCGTTCCAAAGAGTATCACAAGAGTGAGGGGCGAGACTCTCGTAACCATGATGACCGAACTTCCATTCATCCTTTGCGCCGTCGCCAGCAAACTTTCGCCTATCCCCACGGAGCTCAACGTCCTGCCTCGTCGGTGCCGGTAGTTCTAGCTCGCTCTCGAGAGCCCTCACCGTCACCGGAAGCCATCAGTATACCTAAAGCCTTAGGGCTAAGTTCTCGCGATCAACGCCTGTTGCGCAAAGCCCGGCGGTTTCCACCAGTTACGAAGAAGACGCTTAGCGAACTCGATTTGCATTGTATCATGAGCAACATTAACCTCCGGATGGATGCCAACTTCGATCGTGACCTGCACTTCAAGCCTGATCTAGAAGGGGAGAAGGGTCAGCGCAAACGGAAAGAAGCTGCGGACTACTGGGACTCTTTGGCCACAGAGATTGCTATCTACGCATACCGTGCCGCAACTGCCGATAGCGTCACCGAGGAAGTCGAGACGAGTGATGGTGCTCGACGGACCTTCGATCCTCGTTTGCCCGCCTTATTCGAGACATTACAGGACGTCATCAAGACCCTTGTCCCGGAATGCGATCATCCGACTGTGATGCAGAACCTAGAGGTTCCATTGCTGATGCAACAAATACGCAAAGGCGTTCTCGACATGCTTACACTGGCGACATGGCTGGCAAAACTGTTGAAAACACATTGTGCTCCGATGCGAGATGAGTGGGCGGATCATATGGTCGAGCAAGTGCGAAAGGGCTCACAATCCCAAGACCCCGCGGAGATCGTCAGTGGTCTGCAGACGCTATTCAACATTCTCGAGGCGATGAAGTTGGTATGTCATATCTATTCCCTTCACCTCAAGGCTTCCCCAACTAATATATCCTTAAGGACGTCGCCAACCACCAGATCCGAGCATTCCGTGTCCTCCTCATCGAAGACACAGTCCCCTTCCTCCAGGAATACTTCCAAGGCAAAATAGCCCGAGGCAGTTTCCAAGTCGAGCCCTCCCGAGACTGGTACCTCTCTGTGCGCGAACAAGCCCGCCAAGACGACGCAAGCGCAGACCCTCAAAAAGCATCAACACCGCAAACAGAGACCAGCCTCAAACCGCTCGAAGCCCTATTCCGCGGAATTTCCGGCCAACTCCTCCAATTCCTTCCTCCCACTGACTTCCCCGATACCTTCTTGTTTGACTCCGAGCGTCTCTGGCAACTCCGCTCCACAATCCAAAACCTGATCAACCTCGACATCGCCTGGTACATCTTCGAGTCATATGTCAACAAGCACAAGCGGTATCTCTCCGCCCCAGACGAAACATACTCCACCTTCCGCTCGCGCATCTGGTCCCTAATGGAAAACGGCATGGACCTGCAGAACCGAATTGCCGGGAACCCAGCCAACAACGAGGACGATCCGGACCACCGCGGCGGAAAGCGCTGGACGCAGAATATGCGCTGTATCGCGCTCGAGATTGCCCGCTTTGCCTGTGCAGCACTACAGCTCGACGCTGTCGTCGCGGACGAGGTCATTGTCCCCATCGAAGAGGCACTTGAGTGGCATCTCTCGAATGAGTCCGACCTCTTTTCCTTCTTCCAGAACAGGATGCGTGGGAAGATCCTCACTGCCACGATGACTGCCGCTCGTCGTTACTTGCCACTCTCCCCGTTGGCTATTTGTGAGTCGCAGCGAGTCCCTCTTTCTGCCACACCGGCCATTCCTCCGTCGCAGGGTGCAAGATTGACTGCGCCTGGATCGTCGTCGCAGACTCTCGATGCACAGCAGTCCGATATTGAGCGCATTGGGATGCGTCTTGCTCATATCGGTGTGCTGCACTGGCGGGTTTGGGCTCCTTTGTTGTACCTTCGGGATGAACTCGCAATGGTGGAGCTTGGGCAGTGGGCGTTGGTATAGAATGTCCTTCGACCCTTGTTTGAGTTGAGTTTCGAGTTTGGTGTTGGTGTTGATTGTTGGTGTTGATTGTTGGCTGTTCATTATTCGTTGTTACTTTTTGTTTTTTGTGCTTTATTTTGTTTCTCTTGCCTTTCAGCGCCTTGCATTTACTACATCTTATCGGGGGAGTTCTCATCAGTCCAGGCGTTTACCGACAAAGGTACCGTCGAATGCCCGCAGACAAAAGGGTGTTATCATTTCACTGGGTAATAGAAGGCGCATATACTTTGTACCTATTGATTATTCACTTGCGAAATAGAATCGACTTGAAGCTATTTCTCCTCCTAGTAACTATGTTCTCCAACCAATAAAATCCAAGTCCCGAACTCAATCCGACCCAGTCCCACGGTAGACGCGAACGTCGACGGCCCGTGCGCCGATCAGCGCGATCAACATTCCACCCAATCCACCCTATCCTCAGGGACCATTCATTCCCCCATTCTAAAAATATTCACCATGCCTCCAACCTGATACCAAAACCAGTTTCTACCTAGAAACCCGCGATCAGACCGAAAATCCGCGAGTGACGCGCTTACACCCATGTGATCGCCAATATCCCAACCCAACCCCAAAAAAGCAATAGCACAAACAAAAAGCAAAGCAGCTTTTTCCCAATGCGTCTCTCTGCAGCGCTGTATTCCCCGCACCCCTGGCTCGCATGCTTGAAATCAGCGCAGTTGCAGCGCATAGCGCGCGCAACGGGGATCCAATCGTCCGGCACGAAGGGTGTTCTCGTTGAGCGCATTGCGGCGGAATTGACGTTGCAGTCGCAGTCGCAGTCGCAGTCGCAGTCGCAAGTGTCGGCAAGTGGAGATGGTGCTGTAGACACAGTCAGCGGGTCTGGTACCACTGTATCCCAAGACCGACGACAGGTCGAACCCGGGTCGATATCATCGGGAATCAGAATCAGACCGCGTTCAAGGCAAGACGCACTCCCAACGTCCAATACAAAACCATGGAGCATCCTCAGCATCGATATGGGCATCCAAAACCTCGCGTTCGCACATCTTCTCGTGCCGCGCTCTGAGTCCAAGGGGATAATAGATGCCCAGCCAGCACTGGAGCTAACAGCCTGGCACCGGCTGGCCTTATCCGAGATATCGACATTGAGTTTACCCGGCTCTGACGATGGTATCGACAAACCCGTTATCGGGGACCGTCGGACTATCCCAGAAGCAGAAGCGGAAGTAGCAAATGACCAACCTGCCAAATCCAGACAAGAAAAGGATAAACCCTCCTTCTCCCCGGACCTCTACGCCGCGGCCGCCTATACCCTAATCTCATCACTCCTAACAGCCTACCGCCCAACACACGTGCTAATAGAGCGCCAGCGTTTCCGCTCTGGTGGCGGTAGCGCGGTGCAAGAATGGACGTTGCGCGTTGGCGTGCTGGAGGGCATGCTGTATGCTGTTTTGCATACGCTGCGGCATGAAGGGAAGTATGCGGATGTGGTGGTTGAAGGTGTTGAGCCGAAGCGGGTGGTTAGGTATTGGCTTGAGGGTGAGGAGAATGGAGATATGGATAAGAAGGAGAAGGGGGAGAGACTTACTGCGCGGGATGTCAAAAAGGCTAAGATCGATCTTGTTGGGAGGTGGATTTCTGCCGCGATTCTGGGTGCAGATGGATCCCAAGGGCTGGAGTCTGGTGTTGAGGGTAGTAAGATTGTTCTTGCGGATAGGGCTAGGTGTCCTGTTGTGCATGGTGTTGCGGATGCGTATTTGCGGAAATGGCAGGGTCGGATGGTGAAGAAAGTCAAGGGGAGGGCGAAGAGTACTCGTGCGAGGACTTTGTCTTCTTCATCCACTGGATCGTCTGGGTCTGCTATCAATGATGAGGTGGTTCCCGATTTGGGGAAATTGGATGACCTTGCGGACTGTTTGTTGCAGAGTGTAACGTGGGTCGAATGGCAGGTCATGCGGGACCGCATTGCGAGGGATGGGGCTGCAGCGTTGGACTCGATCCCATAATAAGGGCATATATAGCGTTGCACGGTTCGATCGCGCTGAGTGGGGCGTTGTGATGGTTGGAGATGTATCCTGAGATGAAGTCTGTGGATCATGTTGAGTGCTCAGCTCTTCCAATAGGTATCATACCTGATGTACACTAATCTTTAAAATGCATATTATCAAAGAGATATAAGCCGCAACCTAGCACCGTTAGGTATTAGGCTACAAATCTATCTATTCCATGTTCATGATACTGAGGTCGAAGGCCAAGGACTTTTCGATAAAGGAAATGCTGCCCGTTTTATTAGACTAGAAAGCAAGCCTCCCGCAGGTGACCAACGAGCAACGCGCCTTCAAACGCCGTTTAAGGCCAAAGCGGCGCGGAACCCCAAACTCCTGACAAAAACGTGAAGCAAATCAGGCACATTCCCCCCAAGTCTACCGGGACCGTGGCCGAAACTCCTTCGCCTTCCCCTATTCCATCTCCTCAGCCACCTTCAGCCAGTGCTCGAGTAGATCCTCCTCAGGACTGGTTAATCTGGTCTCCTCCGGTTCACGGAGGGTGGCCAGTCCCAGAGTGTCAGACTCGGCCTGGTACTGAGGAGCTACCATGTCAGAAGGATCTGGCAGGCTTGGTTGAGCTACCTGCGCAAAGGGGCTCGGGCCGCTCGAGGGGAATTGTACCCCCCCGTATGGAACTTCACCTGGGTAGTTGAACCACATTGAGGTGAAGTCAAGGGTGCTTTGAGCTTCAAAGTCGGGCTGGTCAGGGCTGGGGGTCGGGGGAAAGGTTCCTTGGGACACCGTCCGACGGACGGTGCCAGTGGACTCGGCCTCCGAAGTCAGAGCAGATGCGGAGGGACCCCCACGCTCCGCCTTCTTCTGGCGCTTGTCATTGGAAGGGTAGCCTAGATCATGGTCCGAGGCTTCCGGGCTATCATGCCGGCGTTTCTTTGAGTGGCCAGGGCGGGAGGGGCTTTGCTTCTGCCGCTGGCTCCGCCGGTTTGCAAGCGCGGCACTCCGTTTCAGCGGGGGAGGCACAGGCTTCCCTTGGCCCTCTCGCGTGGTACGGAGCTTGGCAAGATGCTGGACGATAGCCCCCTCGGTAAACTTCGGACCCATGATCTCTGCCACCCTCTCCCAAGGAACCTTCACCCCCTCTTTGTTGCATGCCCACTGTATAGTGAGCAGCATCCGGATGTCGACGTCCGCTATATCAATCAAATGTTAGCTTGTTCTGCAACACATTCATCACGTTTATAAAGGATTTTGAGTGTGACTCTTCGTCCTGCTAGGTATGCACGATCCCGGGATTGCTTTAGACAGTGACGGCCTGCACAGACAAAGACATGAAAAGATTTAAAGACTCACTATTCCAACGGACAGGCTTCGCCCCCCGCCTGCTACTGGACGGCTCGGCGCCCTCCTCTCGGTTCGAATCCTCTCCAGCTTTCTGGAGCTGGACCTCCATCTCGGCACGGGCCTGTTTCTCGGCCTCGTGCCCGGCTTTGTCGTCCGTCGGCTTCTGATTGCCTCCCATTTTTAACCAACTGAATCAAAATAATGTTGTTAGCTCATGCATTTGTTGTGACACATAAGCACTTCAAGCTCTTGGGGAGGTGTATGCCATATAAGATTGTCTTAACTCCGTACATGGAAAAAGACAACAAACGTAAGAGACTTTCAAGGGGACCTAGACATTTGTCCAAGGTAAGAGGCCAAAGATGATATGTTCAGACAAAGGGAATCACAATGCTGACCATGGCACCTGAACTCTTGGTAATCATACACAAGTCCAAGATACGGGGAGATAGTGAACGCTCCAGGGAAACTCTATGGACCACCACCAGACCGATGTCACGCAACTCACCTGGCCGAGATTGTGCTAGTGCACGAAGCGGGAGAGGATCGTGGTAATGGATGAGGTTTTCACAGTTGAGGAGACTGTGAGCAAGAGAAATTTGACTGCAGTCAAAAAGAAAGTCAAGATATGAAGAGGGCTGTCGAACACAAAGTCGAAGAACGAGTCGCGGGTGTAGTGGAGGAGAGAAGAGAAGAAGAGAAGAAGAGAAACAGTTCAGAAGAGGGCCTATAATATAGCACTAACCCAACAGAAGCAGGGTGGTGCCTTAGGATTCTCTTCCCTGAAGACATAGTTCAGGAAGGAGCTCAACATTCAGACATGCTCCTTCCCTGGGACCCGGGCATATCTCACTCCCACTAGATCGTCACTGCAGCCTTGCAGTCATACTGTGTATATGAAATTGATTGCTGCGATGAGGACTAACTTGCTGCGCTGTTTCTTCTCCCAGGAACGATCTATACCCATACTACCGAGTTGCAAGTCTGGCACAGCCAACCAACCCCTAGGGCGTATTCTTGGACTGACAAGTAGTCTTCGCTTCTAACTGTCCCGGCTCAATTTTGATTCTCAACTAGAAATTAGATTTACTTATTGTTTAATCAAATGGATGGGCGTATCATATGGTATAGCAATAATTTTGTAGAGGCCTTGTTGATTTACTGTGTTGTAATTTACCTCTTTTACTATGTGGTTTGGAGCTGCCGACTCGCTTGGGTTCACGAGTCACGACTCGTCACGACTCGTGAATTACGTTAACTAATTGTTTCTTAGCAAGAGGTAATCGCATTTATGTCAATTCACATTCTTTCACTAGGATACCGATACCAATCCGATCCATCGGCCTTCAACTTGGAACCTAAAGAACGAAGACATGAAAGTAAAAAGGCACCACCTTGTGATCATCTGTGGAATGAATATCGTAGTAAAGAAACAAAAGAAGATAAGTTTTGGTTGGAAACAACACAAGCAAGGGAATATCCGGTCCTCGAAGTAGACGTGCCACCACCCGTCAAGACGATCAAAGAGAACTGAGTTCTGAGCCTAATAGAGACCGGTCCTATGATAGATCAATTTCACATTGGTAGATAAGAATGCAAGCTAGGAAATGTCATGCCATACGTCGATTTTGGGCATTGTCGTCCACGGTTAAGGTTGGCAGCCTGCAACAAGTAACACGCAGACTGGGAGACAACATATGCCCAAAAAGAACTAGGCAAGATAGATCCACGGCAAGAATAGAAGAGTCCGAAAGAAAGAGAAATGGCAGAAAATGGATCGTAGATAAAGAAGTGAAATCGAAAACATCTGCACCGAAACTTGGCGGTAGGCACAGAACCAGCGCGCCTTTGCGCGAGTAGAAGGAAATCGAACTCTCTCCAATCATCGACAGGCTCGCAACTCGCTACAACGAGGTGGAGATCCCCTCACATTAGCAGTGTGTTGTTTAGATGAAGTGGCGCCGCCAGTTGGCAAAGCGAGCCTTGATACTGGGGGTGCTACTGGGCGAAGGCTGGGCACTGGGAGTAGGGGTCGGTGTGAAGCTAACGGAGCCAGAAGGTGTCCGGGTAGCGAAGCCGCTAGAGACACTAGGTGTGCGGGTCTGAGGGATGCGGGTATAGGATGCAGTCTGAGGGCGGGTGGTCGCGCCGGCAGTTCTAGTGACAGTCTCATGTGCACCATCGCCGTGGCCACTGCCGGATCCGTTTCCATGTCCATTGTCATGGCCCTGGCTACCTCCCTGGTTGTTCTCGTGGCCAGTAGCGCCAGTTTCAGTAGGGAGCTGGAGAAAACGAAGAGTCAGCATTGTTTATTAAGGTCAGTGGAAAAGTAGCACATACAGCAGTCACGGTCTCAGTAACGGTAGCGGTGACGGTAACGGGATTACAAGCACCCGAGCCATTGCCAGCACCGTTTCCAGAGCCAACCTCATTGTTTCCAGAGCCGGCATTGTTGTTACCAGAGTCAGCTCCACCGGAGGCAGTAGGGACCGCAACGAGGGTGACAGTCTCGGTGTGGGTGGAGTGCAGAGTAGAGGTCAGATAGTGGGTGGTGTCCTCAGTGGGTTGGGTGATCTGGGCATCAGATCCAGTCTATATCAGTGTTAGCTCGATCTCTGAATCATCAGACACCGGAGGAAGCACATACAGCAGTGACAGTGTGCTCTGCAGTCACGGTCTTTGTCTTGTAAATGGTAGTGGTCATGACGGTAGTCGAGGTGCCAGAACCAACGGTGTAAGTCAGAGTCACGGCGCTGGTGGTGAGAGACACATCGCCGGGGATACCAGTACCGATTGAAGCAGACACAGTGCTGTCAGCGTCGCCAGACGAGGGCTTAGGGACACCGGTAGCACCAGGTCCATGGGGAGGAACGCTAATGGGGGTGCGGGTCACAGCCGGCTTGCTGGAAGAAGCGACAGGCGAAGACGAGCCAGCAGGCTTGCTAGAGGGAATGGGAGAGGCGCTGACGCTAGGAATAACGACTGAAGAGGAGACGCTGGGGGCGACAGACGGAACAACGGAGCGAATGACACTGGAAGTGACAGACGGCACCACGGATGGGCTCACACCAGAAACGACAGAGGAGGCAGCAGAAGACTCCACGGCAGAGCTCTCCTTGGAAGTGACCGCAACAGAGGTAGTAGTCTCTGGAGCTGGCTCTGCAGCGGTGGGCACAACAAGGACAGTCGAGGTAGAAGCCCCAGAAACCGAGTGAGAGGAACGAGGCTCAATACGATGAGCATGAACACCCTCATGAGCTTGGCCAGCAGCAGCTAGAGCGGCCACCAGGACGACAGAGAACTTGTTGATTCCAACCATGATGAAGATTGTTGACGATGGTGAAGTGAAATCGAATGCGAAGTGAGAAAAATATAAACAAAAACGCGTTGGATTTAAATAAGCGAAAGTGATGAAGTAGGAAGGAGCGAACGAAGGAAAGAGCGAAGTCAATTCGCAGGGAAGGAATGGCTTCTCACAGAGAAGGAAAGAAGAGAGTCGTGATATGCAGGAAGTAAAGAAGAAGTGAAGAAGAAGTGAAGGAAGAAAATATGGAGATCAAGACTAATTAACTCTCTTCAAGTTAATTACCTATCGAGCTAATTGCCCGTTATTGACTAATCTAGACGTATTAATCTAGGGTTATGTACTTCGAGATGGACCACTTTACATAGACCTTCTCGGTGTTGTGGACTTGTGGATCTACCGTTGACCGACAGCATCAGTATCCGATACGGCCCCACTGTCTCAGGTACGGCCAAATGATGGAAATTATTTCGGTATTTATTGGCCCAGCCGCCCAGCCTATCAGCCTCTTACTGGACTTCGGCTTTGAAGTGTGGCGTCATGACCTGTCACCAAACGGCGTTTGAGGGCACTGCTCCGACACGGGTGTATATGAACGTGGGACAGCATACCTAGTGAACTACGCAGTATCACCAGCCACAGTGTAATCAGTCAATTGCGGTAGACTCGAAGTTCACATGCCCCTATGTAGTTAAGGCCATAAGGAAGTCTGGCCTGACTCCCAAGAATCTAGACCTTGCCTCTTGGAACTGAGAGCACTGCCAGATTTCCGGGACGTTCGGGGCAGATTGGCAAGGCTGTTTAAGCCCCGAATCTCTGGGCTGTACTCCGTACTCCGTAATAATACGTGACATGAGGCACAGGCATGACGGCTGGTGGTTTCACATAAAACACTTCTGGCACACCCGACTCGGGAGTCAAAGACCCACCCCCCAGCTATTTCGCGGGATACAGATTAATCTCTGAAATAAAGACGGACATGGTATTCCGAGCTGGACCCCGGTTGATATACCGCCCATATATTGCCCCAACGTGGATAGTCTACTACAAACGCCGTCTATTGCTGTGGGGCATAGGTGGGAAATATTGCATCCAAAGATCGACGCTGCCTGAATCGAGGAATTGAGTCTAGGCTTGAGTGAAAAAGAGCACGGCCCTTGGGATTTCATGTCGTTTGGGTCAAGTTGTTTCATCTCCAGGGCTTGGAATCGACGCCAATGCGGAGGCTGTTTGTAGGCATCAACAGTCCTGGTGTCATTCGTGGCATCCATGTTGATGAATCCCCGATCAAGATATGATCTAGAAGAGAATTCAGACGATAGAAATCTGAGTCAAATCTCCGATCCCGCACAAATCGTTCCCAGCCGTGGATGGCACGGAACGGAGCTTTCAAGAATCAAAGATGAAACATTCCGTAGTTATCTGGCCCCGGTGTGCCCCTCATCAACTCCGCCAATTTCCAGATCTCGCGCTTTGATCTTCCAGGGTATGCAGACAATAGCCAATCTTCAATGGATTGACGATTGCCTGGACCATAAGATGATAAGTCATTTCCTGGGATGTAAGGTGTTAGCTATACAATTCACATAGTCTTCACCATAGCCTTGATGGAATTGTACAAAGTGTAGTCACTGTTTACGTCCATTTTAGCATGATCAGTGTATCAAAGGCGGTGACGATCTCGTTATCTTATCGCGATGACAGCATTCCGCATCTGCACCTGTGAACAGGATAGACCTGGAGCACGACACGAAGCCCGATAAATCGATTTAGGAGCATGTCTTCCTTCCAAGCCCTTCGGACCCAGTATGCCTCACTACTCAAGCGGTTTCTGGCCTCAACCAAGGACTTTGATGTCTTGACAACCATCCCACCCGACCACTCTGCGGAATCGGAGACACTCTATGTCCTGGACTCGTCCTTCAATCCCCCCACCCGCGCGCACCTTCGCATTGCCACCACTGCACTCCTAGAAAAACCCCAGCCACGTCCACGGCTGCTCCTCCTCCTCGCAACCCAGAATGCAGACAAGCCATCCAAGCCGGCCTCCTTCGAGGACCGCTTAGTGATGATGGAGCTGTTTGCGCGCGATCTCCGCTCCCATCTGGCATCGACACCGGCATATTCTGCCTTGGGACTCACGCACACCGTCGAGTCACTCCCACTGATTGATATCGGTGTCACCAAAAAGCCGTATTTCGTCGATAAAGCGGTTGCCATCGAGACATCCGATTCTTATCCTGTTCCGCTAGAGCAGATCCATCTTGTGGGGTACGATACACTGATCCGGATCTTTAATTCGAAATATTACCCCCCGGAACACACTTTGAAACCCTTGGAGACTCTATTCTCGAAGCACCGGCTGCGTGTAACTATGCGGCCGAGCGGTGAGTGGGGTGGGAGGGAAGAACAAGAAGAGTTCGTGGCGGCTCTTGCTAGAGGTGACCGAGAGAATGAGGGCGGGCACAAGGAATGGGCCCAGCGCATCAAGCTAGTCAATGGTCGTGCTCCCACTGACGAGCCAGTGAGTTCGACGAGAGCTCGTGAGGCGATACAATCAGCTCCTCAGGATCTCGACTTCCTGGTTCCAGATCAAGTACGGCAGTTTGTACTGTCGGAAAATCCATATGCTGGAGGTTCTTAGACGTAGATACCCAGACGAGTGTACGTAGGTAGCGAGATATCTTTCCACTTCCAATTCGTAAGATCACAATGCATGGATTATTGCATAAACACATCCATGCCACCGACGCCAAATCCGGGAGTCACCCCACATTGTCCCAATATAACCAAAGCACTTTTTTACACACATATGGTACATGACAGAGTGTGAACCCGACGGGGCATTCACATCCCTGATTGTCAGCAATCATCGCGACAATCGATATTTACTGCTTGTATTCTTCATCTTCTCGTTTTCCCAGAGTGTACGCTAGTCCACCACCGACCATGTTGACCAAAGCCAGACCCATGGTCGCACCGCGCACAACACCCCGGACGCCAAACCTCTTCATGAACGGTTGGCGGCGGCGGCCTGCGAGAAGTAGATAGAGTCCCGAGAAGGCCGCGCTCATGCCGGCAGTATCCGTCTTGAAGCCCTGCAAGTTTGCATAGCTGGTGAAGATCAGCGCTGGCGGGAAGAGCATAGGAAAGAATTGGAAAGGGCGCATGTGCTGAGCGGCAATGAGCGAGGCGAGCAGCGTTGGTGGGAATGAGTTTTCTGAATGAGAGACGTCATCAGTGACTGGTCAATCGCGACATAGCTGGCCCTGCTAGCTAGACCGTGAAGCCAGGCTATTCATGAGCCACTTACCACCCCATGCTCGGAAGCGCTGAACTATCGTCTGCTTTGTCTCTTCGACTACCGAATCGTTCGTCATGATGGAGGTGAAGTCGAAAAGTATTGGGATCGAGGTGAGACTTATATGAGACCGGCGGATGTTTGAGCTATGACAGCCAAGGATTGGTGCTTGCTGCAGGTATGTTAATGAAAGATGCGTCTACAGAATAGAATTCAAGACAACTCACAATCCAATGTAGTCAAAACGTTGGCAGGATTATCGGTTCGGCAGGAAGTAAAGGTAGCTTATCGCAGTGTTCGGCGCAACTTGACGTTCCGATGCTTGGCAACACCTTAAGACCACGCTTTTTCCCCAATTCGTGCCCGCCGAACTAGCCACATCTGTTGCTCGGATTCCTCTCTAATCTACCCAGGCCACCTGCATTTCTTGAACTCCTTATCGCACTGTGTTTGATTACTTCAAATCAGGGCCCATCCTTTGCCCTTTATCTGCGGTTCTACGCCACCCTGCGTCCTCTTAGATTCCCTCGGGCCCTCTCTTCCTTTACACACCAAGCCAGTGTCGCCGAAAATCCGCCAGATTCTCCTCAATAACCACCGTCGCCATGCCATCGGCTTCGGCATCTGGTTCTGACGCCAAAAGCGGAGGCGCGACGTCGCGCGACCATAAGCAGGGTAACCAGGATCGCAAGTACACACCAGAGCAGAAAGCCGCCGTGCTTCGAATTCGAAAATGTCAGCCCACAGCCTTCTACGAGATTCTGTTGGTTGAGCGCTCGTCCACGGACAACGAGATCAAGAAGGCGTATCGAAAACAGAGTTTGTTGACGCATCCTGATAAGAACGGATATGAGGGCGCAGACGAGGCATTCAAGAGTGAGCGACAACAGACCCTAGCCCACATTCTGGTATATTGATTCTTACGCGTGATGGCAGTGGTCTCGCGTGCCTTCCAGATTCTTTCCGACGAGGAAAAGAAGGCCAAATACGACAGATTCGGCGGCGACCCTGATAGCAGATTCCAGCCTGGACCCAGCGCTTCAAGCGGTGCTTCTCCCTTTGGTGGTTTCGGCGGCGGATTCCCCCGTGGAGGTGGCGGTCCGAGATTTGACGAGGAGATCTCAGCAGAGGAGATGTTCAACCGGTTCTTCAATGGTGGATTTGGCGGAATGGGCGGTGGTGGATTCGGTACGTACAACCATGTGTTGGCCTAATACTCGTTTCACCAGGATTAAACGATTTATACAGGTGGGCCAGGATTCGTCTTCAATATGGGGGGTGGTCCAGGGTTCCGAGTACATCAATTCGGAGGCCAGACACCCCGTCGTCGGCCTCGCCCAGCAGCCAATGAGCAGGAAGCCCCTCCGATTGATGCTCGCAGTCTCCTTCGCCAACTATTGCCGCTCATCCTTCTCTTCGTCCTGCCCCTTCTCTCGTCTCTCTTTTCTGGCTCCTCAACACCATCCGGACCATCCTATCGATTTGATACCCCTGTCTCCCCGCATACCCTTGGCCGTTCGACTCCGAAGCTCAACCTTAATTACTTTGTGAACCCCCTCGAAGTGGATAACTTTAGTGCACGAAACTTCCGGGAGCTGGACTCGCGTGTGGAGGTGGAATATGTCAGAAAATTGCGCCACGAATGTGACGCTGAAGCCCATGAGCGGGAGCGGAGGTTGCAAGATGCACAGGGATGGATCTTCCCTGATGTTGAGAAGATGAAGAAGGCCCGCGCCATGGAGATGCCAAACTGTCGACGTCTAGATCAACTGAAGACCAAGGGGAGATTTTAATTGCACTGGAATATGACCCGAGGCGGCTTCTTGGGCTACTATCGTGGAAGGTGCTTTAATATCATTAGCATACAACCCTAGGCCGGCGTCTGGATTTTCACTCCATTTTCTGTACATTGTACCTATTCCCTATATTTCCAATGCATCCATCAAACACGATGTTGTCTATGTGTCTTTTGCTCCCCGAGGTAGATATTAGTTTTCATTCCCATATAACTAGTGTTCTGGTGTAGCCTAGGCAAGATGACCGAATCATGCACTCAATAACGAGAAATAGGGTCTGTATTCTTCTACAAAGGAACAGATGCCCGATAGTCGGGTGTATGTTGTAGGTATCATTGTGGAAATCCTGGTGTTGGATAATTGGATGCAGTTCCAGAAGAAGTGTATCTACTTGAGAGTTACAGCCCTAACGCGGAGAGCCATAGCGAAACGGAAGTACCATCAGGATCTGAACCCTCACCACGCAAATCAACAGACCCCGGTAGCGCTACACAGTAGTTAACGGGTTGCCTCAGTGCGCTCTGATCGCATGGAGCCAATGATGAGGCCGAATTCTGCTGGATTCTGCCACGCTAAGCCCCAAATATGCTGATTCGCCTCGCTAGAAGGCGCAGGCGGTGGAAGGCCATCATCACCGCCCGGGGACCGAGCTGCTTAGTCACACGTGATTATGGCGCCCGCTTTGAATCAGATGAATCAGAACAAAAGCGAATCTCCACGATCACTCCGGTATTACCAGAATTCATCTTACGCTTCTAATTCATCTTCTACGGACGGTGCTATTCTGCTCCCCGCTCGGAGGCAATCAAGCAGCCGTGATACCACCTTCACGTTTCCTTATGATCCCCGCACGATCAATGCAATATTGATTCTGCCGACCCGATCTACCAGATTAGCGGCCCTATCAACCTCTCCGGAGGAGCGCATTGCCCGACTATAGGCAATATGTCGGACACACTATCTGATGCGGACAAGGTCAGTCGCTTGTTCTGTTCATGTCAATGAACGATTCCTTGTATCGGCACCAGGACTAACGCATTCCGAATCAAAAGATTCGCAATAAGCGGCTTGCGAAACTATCAAATCCAGTCCAGACTTCGAGTGATGGGAACTCCAATTCACCACAAACCTCGGCCAATACCTCTCCTTCACATTCACCGGTGTCCTCTCAGCCGCCGAATCGTGTTTACGACGCGCCAGCAACCCCGCAGCAGTCAGAAGGGAAGCGGATTAAGATCACACCAGCCACAGCTGCCCCAGAACGTCCACGATCAAGCAATTCCTCAGCGCCGAGCACTCCACCACCACCAAAGGTTGAAAGTATCGAGTCTTTCGAAGACCGGACACTGAGTGCTGTCTTCAGGTTGACCCTCAAGGAAGAAGGCCACCGTGACATCCATGGCACGCGCACATATTTGCCCGGGCTACGGAGCGAATTACAGGATGGGGGCAAGGAACTGCGCATCCAAATCTCGGTCCTGGATCAGGCCCTTCTAGAAGCTGCGTCCCAGGCCGAGGGGGAGCGTCCTCTCGATTATCTGCTTCCATGCTGGAAGCGCATCACAAAGCTCCACAAAGGATTCAGGCGGACGGGCGACGGTGACCCTAAATACCAGGTTCTGTGCGAGGCGCGGCGTCTATGCATGAGCTATTGTATCTTTGCGATAACGATGCCGGAGATGTTTGGGTGCGTTATATGGAAATGTTGCTGCACTAGCATTGGGTACTGACACTTTGAATTGCAGATTCGAATCCTCTCCAGCAACATCGCTAGCCACATATCTTATTGTGGATCCCGAGGATGACAAGGGTATTGATTTCGAGTTCATCAACGAGGCTGTCCGGAGATTTGACGAAGACGACCTTGTCAAGCCTGCCTTTATATCTGCCGTCGAGCAATTGAGCGCAGAGCTTGTTTTCAAGGACATTAATAGTGACTACAAGCCATATGCCACTGTAAGTGGTCGGACTCCTGGTTTTTTTTGGGCCGACTCTGACTGTTGTGTTCAGGCTCTTCGAAACCTCGTTCGCCATGCTTCCATCGCCACGGCAATCACAGAATCAAGTATCTTCAACAGCTCAATGGACCCTGCCTTATTCGAGAAAGTTACTCTTTTGGGTCCATGGTTCAGCTTGTCGCCTTTACAGGCAAAAGTGACCTTGACCTATTTCTCTAGCCCCAAGACTCGGGACCAAGCATATATCTCCAACGCTCAGCGTTCGCTTCGGATGACACAACAGATGCTTAGCTCAGATCTTTTTGATATCATCAACCACCTAATCCGGGCTTCGAAAGAGGCCCGCGATCGTGTGCTGGATTGGTTTGCTACCGCGTTGAACATCAACCACAAACGACGCGCAATGCAGGTAGACCCCAACCAAGTCTCGTCTGATGGCTTCATGTTCAACATTACCACATGTCTCGACCAGCTCTGTGAGCCTTTTATGGACCCGGCTTTCACAAAGATCGACAGAATCGATGCGGATTATCTTCACCGCGATTCTCGTGTCGACATGCGAGATGAGACCAAAATCAATGCTGATCAGCATGCTTCCGATGCTTTCTATGCTAAGAAGGTTGGAGGAGATTCTAACTTCATCACTGAAATCTTTTTCTTGACTGTCGCTGCCCATCACTATGGCAGTGAGTCGCTGACATCAAAGATGGAGCAACTTGAGAAAGATGTTCGACAGATGGAGAACACAATTACTAAATTCGAACTCGAACGTGTTCGGTGGATCAACAATCCACGGCAACTGCGCACCTTCGATACGGCTCTGAAGAAGTACAAAGACAAGCTTGATCTAGGTATCGCTCTTAAGTACAGTCTTCAGGGTGTCTTGTTCGATGAGCAATGGCAGGCCCGTTCCATGCTCTTCATGCGATATGTTACTGTCTGGCTTTTGAGACTTGTCTCTGGGAAGAACTTCCCAAAGGAAAAGATTACACTTCCTCTTCCAGAGCAACAGCCAGAAGTCTTCCAATGCCTACCGGAATACTTCTTGGAGGACATCGTCAGTAACTTCAAATTCATCATGTGGTGCATGCCACAAATTATTACCGCCACCCAGGGAGATGAGCTAGTCATGCTCTGCATCACATTCCTGGAGAGCTCTGCCTACATCAAGAACCCCTACTTGAAAGCTGGACTTGTGTCGATTCTGTTCCGGGGCACCTGGAAACGCCCTGGAGGCGCCAGTGGTGTTCTGGTAGATCTGCTAAACTCGATGCCATTTGCCAATGACCATCTCCTCCATGCTGTCATGAAATTCTACATCGAGGCAGAACACACGGGCGCGCATACACAGTTCTACGACAAGTTCAATATCCGTTACGAGATTTTCCAGATTATCAAGTGTATCTGGCCTAACACTCTCTATCGGGAGAAATTGTCCATCCAAGCCAGTCAGAATCTGGATTTCTTCATCCAGTACGTCAATCTTCTTCTGAATGATGTGACTTACGTCCTCGATGAGTCCTTCGGTGCCTTCAAGACCATCTCCAGCACTCAGGCCGAGCTAAATACCCAGGGCAACTCGATGGATGAGGCAACCCGTCAGCAGCGTGAAGAGCATTTGGCATCGGCCCAACGCAGCGCCAAAAGCTACATGCAACTGACCAATGAAACGGTGGCCATGGTCAAGCTTTTCACTGAGGCGCTTGCCGATTCGTTCACAATGCCTGAGATTGTGCAGCGACTTGCAGACATGCTGGACTACAATCTCGATGCAATGGTGGGACCGAAGAGTTCTAACCTGCGCGTGGATAACCTCCAGGAATATGGCTTTAACCCCCGTGCTCTTCTGAGTGACCTCTTCGACGTTTATCTCAACCTCAGTGGGAAGGAAAACTTCATCTTGGCTGTTGCTCGGGATGGCCGATCCTACAAACCAGCCAACTTCGAAAAGGCGGCCGAGATCATCCGCAAGTGGTCATTGAAGTCCCCCGAGGAGCTGCGTCACTGGTCTCAATTCCAGAAGAAGGTGCAGACTGCCAGGGAAGCGGATGAGCAAGCGGAGGAAGACCTGGGCGATATCCCCGACGAATTCCTCGGTATGTCCCTCCGACCTTTGATGCTGTTTAAAGCCTTACTCATTTTATTCTTAGACCCTCTTATGTACTCACTCATGGATGACCCGGTGATCCTTCCTGGGTCACGGGTCTCCATTGACCGCGCCACGATCCGCTCCCATCTTCTCAGTGACCCCCACGACCCCTTCAACCGTGTCCCATTGAAGATAGAGGATGTGGTGCCTGGTAAGAATTCTGATTTTCTCGGTTTCACCCCATTGCTAACATATATTCATAGACACTGATCTGAAAGCCAAGATCGAAGCTTTCAAGAAGGAAAAGCTGGCTGGCAAACGGAAAGAAATGGTGCATGATCAGATGGACACATCTGCTTGAGGGATTTGCATTAAGTGTTGCTCAGTACTTTCATTAGCGATCATAGGCCGAAACGGGACGAAACATAGCTGATGAAACAGTCTACATCTGCCTTCGAAACTTGTGTATGCCAATCAAATGAATACTATCCCATGCGATTCTCCCACATTTCAGCCGCTGTCAAGCTGTTATCTCCACTCTTTACGAGCATGTAACGTCCGAATGCTATTTTGGGATTCCCGCCTGGGGCCGCCAAGCCTCGTACCTATTGCCGATCCCCATCTTGATGCAACATATTACTACATTGGGGACGTAGAAAGGGACATTGCTAGAGGCTCGTAATAGCAGATCGTCGCTCGTCTAAGGTTAGTCTCGAATGTCGACTGTATTTAATATTTGGAATCCGCTCATTCAATGAATCGGTATTCATTAACCCTAGAACATCCAAAATGCGTTACTCTTCATTTTTCCAGTTGACTACCGCTCTCCTTTCCCTTTCTATACCTACCTTTGCAGCAGACTCTCGCTACTGCATGAACAAAAACGTCATCGACGCAAAAGACTTCACTCTCCAAGAATCCGCCGACAGCTCTCATCTAGCCGCACTCGCCAAACACTTCGAAGGCTTAGGAAAGAACGTCAGCGTCTCAGCCGTCCTAAACTCCGCCAATCGCGCTCTAAGCAAAGGATCCCCTCCAGTCGGCAATGGATCTCCATCGGAGGCATGGGCCTGGAACTCAGGAGACTTCAAGACTACCAAGTGGACGCCGCAGGGGATCACCAGCTCGGCCGATGCACTGGGCAAAGGCGACTGGAACGAGCATGAAGCGTGGATCGTGAGCTGGTACCAGAAAGGAGACAGCGTGCGAGTCAGCTTTGTTGATCGCAAGACACACAAATACCGCCATGTTCTCCTTGTCTACCCGAGCGCCGACGACGACTTCAAGTCCATTGCCATCCATGCTGGAGGGATTATGTGGTATGGCAATTTGTTGTATGTTGTCGATACCAATAACGGTATCCGTGCCTTTGATCTGGATAATATTTGGGAAGTTGAGATTGCGGATGGTGTTGGTAAGATGGATAATGGGAAATATTCTGCTGATGGATATCGATATGTTCTTCCCCAAGTCCGGTGAGTAGACTGTAGAAACCTATTGTACAGGAGGAGGGACCCGGGGCAATGTTCTAACAAAGGTACAGCTGGTATAAATGGAGTCCTGGTGCAGACTCTCCCTTCCGCTTCTCTTGGATTTCCCTCGACCGCAGTGACTCACCCGATTCTCTCCTGGTCGGCGAATTCGTGCGCGATGGCGAAGTCGACAAGAACCAGGACCCTGTTCCTATTCGATTGGTCAAGTACGAGTTGGACTCGACCACCCGCCGACTGCGCACCGACAAGGGCCTGGCTACTGCCAGCTGGGCTCATTGCGTCGATATTCTCAAGATGCAGGGCGGTGTCTCCTATGAGGGGAAGTTCTATATCTCACGCAGCAATGGTCGTGACCCTAAGGCTGGCGATCTGTTTACCTGGGAGGAGGGCAAATCTGCAAAAGAATACCCTGGTTGGTTCATGGCTGGCAATGAGGACCTGAGTTACAACCCGGTGCGAAAGGAATACTATACAGTCACGGAGTATGATGGTGGGCGTTACATTCTGTCATACAAGGCATAGCGAGACTCGTTCAGTAGGATATCGCCGATGGAATAGCGAAATGAAGTATGGTGCTTGGTCAATTTCCTCTTCCATCAGTGTAGGAAGATAGACAGTTCTACCTATTGGTCCCTTGAGAAGCACTACCTAACAGACAGATAAAGGTGTTATAGACCAGAAGGAAAAAGAACAAAAGAGATAACTTGTGTGCTGAGAAGGTAACAGAACTGGAGAAGGGAAGAGAAAAGAAGAAGAACTCCTTTTTATGTTCTTCCTCCGTGCTCGCTCTTTCCTTTCTGGCTCCTGCTACGCCTTTCACCCACACCTCTCCAGTCATATGACTCTCTCATATGTCTGCTCCCAACCTCAGGAGTTGAAATCCTGCAAACACCACAAAAGGTTCGCCGTTCGACCTGCACAGCTGTACGCCTCATACACACTTAGTAAGTTAATACTTATGACCCCGCCCATCTTGCGCCATCTAAGACCTGGCTTTCTGAGCCTAGCTGATCGTCTTACTAGCCCGTAGGCAATGCTGTCTGTATTAGCCTTATCAAAGTGGGGCCGACTAGCTTGAGCCCCGGACGAATTGGCCCACCGTGGTCTCATCCACATATCGACAGCGGGAATCCATGTGGAGGCTACTGTTCAATCGGCATTCTATAGCATTCCAAGGTGCTAGGGCAGAATCATGCAAGGATCACGATATCTAACCAGTGGGAACAACCACTAATACGTATTCCCAACAAAAACCGTCAACAGCCTAGCCCAACAAAATGGTTGGTGCCGAATGCGGCTCGGCGGGACGTGGGCTGGGAGCGACCAACGAAGTAGTACACCAACAAATTATCTCGTTCATATTATAGCGCTTTCCTGCGGTACGACTTCCCTCTTATTCGATTGCATGCTCTGGAAAAAGACACTCTAATTCTACTCTGTGCGCACAGTATCGAAAGAGCACCACACACCTGACGGAGGATGGCCCCTAGAACGGGCGGACAAGAGTCCAAGACTAGCCACAATGCTCAAAAGCCTCATATCACTGAGATGCCAATAACACCGCGAAACTGGTATCAACATATCAACTGGTTGAGTGTTTTCTTCATTATCATCGTTCCGTGCCTTGGTCTTGTGGCGGCATATTACTGTCCACTCAAGCGCGCCACAGCCGCCTTCGCCATTTTCTACTACTTCAATACTGGACTGGGAATTACAGCAGGTAAGTACATCGACGGAGCTTCCCTCGGCCAGCAAGTGAAATGCTGATCCTTGACAGGATACCACCGCCTCTGGGCCCATTCTTCATATAGAGCATCAATTCCCCTTAAGATCTACCTCGCTGCCGTTGGTGTTGGTGCCGTCCAGGGCTCTATCCGATGGTGGTCCAGGGGCCACCGTGCTCACCACCGCTATACCGACACAGAAAAGGATCCCTATTCTGTGCGCAAGGGCTTCTGGTATTCCCATCTGGGATGGATGGTGATGAAGCAGAACCCCAAGCACTACGGCCGGGCCGACATTACCGATCTCAACGAGGACCCGATCGTGGTGTGGCAGCATCGACACTATATCAAGGCCGTTCTATTCATGGGTCTCGTGTTCCCTACTCTGGTCTGTGGCCTCGGCTGGGGTGATTGGCGTGGCGGCTTTATCTATGCCGGCATTCTGCGGGCCACATTTGTGCAACAGGCTACATTCTGCGTCAACTCCTTGGCCCACTGGTTAGGTGACCAGCCCTTTGACGACCGCAATTCGCCTCGAGACCATGTTGTCACGGCTCTCGTGACACTAGGCGAAGGGTACCACAATTTCCACCACGAATTCCCGTCAGACTACCGCAATGCCATCGAGTGGTGGCAATATGACCCGACAAAATGGGCGATCTGGACATGGAAGCAGCTCGGACTGGCATACAACCTCAAGGAATTCAAGGCAAATGAAATTGAAAAGGGACGTCTCCAGCAGCTGCAGAAGAAGCTGGACATCAAGCGGTCGACACTGGATTGGGGCACCCCCATTTCCCAACTGCCCGTGATGACCTGGGATGACTTCAAGACCGAGTCTGCCAAATCCGATGGTAGGGCACTGGTGGCCATCGCTGGTGTGGTTCATGACGTCGCTCACTTCATTAAAGAGCACCCTGGTGGTAAGGCGTTCATTGCCTCGGCCATTGGTAAGGATGCGACAGCTCTCTTCAACGGCGGTGTTTATCAGCATTCGAATGCGGCGCACAACTTGCTGTCTACAATGCGCGTGGGTGCTATTTACGGAGGTGGAGAGGTGGAGATCTGGAAGCGTGCTTACTCCGAGAAGTCGGATGGTTACCTGCAGGATAATAAAGGGGAACGCATCGTACGACGGTACGAGCTGGGGAGCAGACCTTGAAATTGCCTCTACCGGAGGATGTCACTGCATCTTAGAAGGATGTGTTGAATCACGAACGCACTTATTTTCTATTCATATATTTTCCGACAACTATATAGAGACAAATTATCCTGCCGAGTATGCTCCGTTCCCCACTGTCGCATCTGCCGCGAGGACCATTTTGCATATAGAACACAAGAGAACTGAAGCGAAGGTCCACGGACCACATACATAATTTGGTTGGCTGATGGCTCCATTAGCCATACAAAAGCCTCGGCGTACATTGCTTACGCAGTAAAGTGGGCACCGAGAGAGTCGGAGGTTAGGCGGTTGTTTATGCTGCATTTTAGCTAGTCCCAATTAGGTCTAGTAATAAATGATTATCGCTTATCGCTTATCAAGGACCCACCTGACACCGCCTAGCGCATTACATCACCGAACTTTCTTAAACCTTCCGAGCATTTGTGTTTACTCTGCGCGATCTTCAATTCTCCTTCTTTCAACTACTCAATTCATCGAGATGGGTGCAATTATCTCCTCTTGCTGGGATGCTTTACCTTCAACCATGGAGCTCCTCCCGCCATCCCCTGCCGTCTACACAACCATCCTATGCTGCTTCCAATACTTTCCCCTGGTAAGCACACCCAAGCTCTCGATGAGCCAGTCACACCCTAACATACTACATTCAGGTGACAGTAGCCCAATGGGTTTTATCATGGCACCCAGCTGGCAAAACCTCCTCAGAGTCCATTTTCAACATCCCAGGACGCATAGCCTGGTGTGCAATGGAGATAATCGGCCCTATCAACTTGATCTATAGCCTAGCCACCCCATCACCGCATTCACCCACACTCACTAACCTCCCCGCGTCCAACGTGCTCGTTGCATCCCTGTACTGCCTCCACTACCTCAACCGTGCAATCATTTCTCCATTCTTCTCCGCTCCCAGCATGTCCCCAATTCACCCGTTCATCATGTCCTCCGCCATGCTGTTTAACTGGTTCAACTCTGCCTGTCTGGCAGGCTGGCTGCGCGGGTATACGGTACCTACTATCCCAGCATTCTTCCATGAGAGTCAATCTCCCCGCTCAGCAGCGGTGGACCTACTCCCCGCAGTGGGAATCGCTTTATTCGCTATCGGAATGGCCGGCAATATCTACTCCGAGACATCACTATTCCGGCTTCGTCGCGAAGAAGCTGAAAGGCGTGTCTCCAAAAAGACAGATGACTCCCAACTGACTGGTGAAACTGGAAATAATGGAAACAAGTACCATAAGGTCTATGTTATCCCGCCTGCTCGTGGTGTCTTTCGATACATCTTGTACCCGCACTACGTCTTCGAATGGCTCGAGTGGACTGGATTTGCTCTCGCCGGTACGGCAGTAGCACCTTTCTCCGCTTTGCCTGTGTCTGCGTCTGCGTCGGTGTCTTCTGTCGCTATCGCTCCTCCGCTGCGTCTTGCACCCTGGTTGATCCCAGTGGCTTGGGCTGCTGGTAAACTTGCTGTTCCCCTTCCTCTACCCGCCGTGGTCTTTGTTGTCAATGCTGTTACAAACATGTTGCCGCATGCGCGCTGGGGTCGGAAGTGGTACGTTGAGAAGTTTGGGGAGAAGGCTGTTGCTGGTCGGGGAGCTGCTGTTCCAGGATGTGCGTGGTTGTGAGAATGGAACTGTCTTTGGAAGTTCTATTCTGAGATTAGTATGAAAACTAGTGCATGTAACGTAAGGTCCGCTTTACAAAAACATCCACTAACTGAAAACCAAAGAATTAGTGGCTCACGCTGACACGCGTCCAGCCGTCCACGCTTGAAGCCTTGGGACCTTGTCTCTCTTCGTTCCCACAAGACTTATCTGTTACACATTGTAGTGGGAAGGTGTGACCGTGTGAACCCCCCTATCCCACTGTGACTTGGCGGCTTCCCTTCTTGCGTGCCGCTCGGCGTTGTGACCGCCGAGGGCCGTTGTGTCACGTGCGGGATCCAGGGGTTACTTTATAGTTTATTTACTTAAATACCCCTGGGTCAGCTTAGAGTTAGACTTACCTAGTTACACACAACATACATCAACATCAATCGAAGACTATTCACTCTTTGCTACTATAGCACATCTGTTTACTTAAACTTTACTGTGTACACAGACCCTAGCTGGTGATACCAACAGTCTGCGTACGGAGGTTTTTCAGGACAAGACTCACAAGAGGCGCTCTGAGCGCAGCCCCTAGAGACGTGTACTCCCTCGGGCTTCTCCAGACGGATGTGATCGTCGGAGAGCATGCCCTGACGGTAGACACCGGTTCTTGTCTGGACGTGATTGGCCTGGATTTGGCGAAACAACTGAACCTGCCGATAAAGAAGGATCCCCAGCTGCACCGTTGCACGTGCTCCCTGTCAATGGGATTAAAATGGGGTGTCTCGGCTGCATCCAAGGTATGCCCGTCTCCATTGGGGACATTACCGTGCGTGTCAACGCCATCGTGATTCGTGAGTGCGGATTGATCCTGCGCAGACCTTTTATGGACGCTTCTATGGACTATGATGGGTTTGACGCAGAAGAGAGACGGCAGTGTGGAGTGCGCTGTCTATAACCCGGAGAGGACCTGAGGGGCCACCTTCCCCCGTCTACAGTCCAGAGGAGGGGAATATCCTGAGAGCCTCAGCATTGTGGCCTGATGGAGCCCCGTCGCAGAGTTTCCGGGGTTGAGCACGAAGACTCCATCGACGAAGTTCCTTTAAACTAGTGCGTGATAACTTGAGTCCCAACAAGTGACCACCGGACCGACCGAGTTAATGGGACGAAGAGAGTAAGAAGGAGGGCCTCTCAAATTTGAATTTCTTGTCAGCCTTGCCGCGTTTTGAGGAAGAATCGGGCATTCCCGACCGTGTGAGTCTGCGAGAGGTTCCACCGGGGACCATCATTGATGCCGAGAGACATGACGTGCCTCCCGAGTGGAAGCTGCTGGAAGTGGACAATTGGATGAACTGTCGAGAAGAGTTTGGGGACTGCGAAGAGCTCGGGTGGGAAGGAGCAAAACCGTTTAATTTGCACTACCGGACCACTGTGAGGGAATCAGACTTTCTCCCCAAGGTCGAGGAAGTCGGGGCGCGGCAAGGCTGACAGTTCATCCAATTGTCCACTTCCAGCAGCTTCCACTCGGGAGGCACGTCATGTCTCTCGGCATCAATGATGGTCCCCGGTGGAACCTCTCGCAGACTTCGGGTTGCTGTGGTAGATAAAAAGACACTCCTACACATCTCCAATTTGACTGGTTGTGCGCAAGCGCCCAACCTCTTTGCTACCTCTGGTCCTTTGCTACCTCTGGTCGGATGTCTATGCTAGGTGGTATCTGCTGAATCGACTCGTGTGCCTCAGACCACACAGCCTTGAGCGTTCCCCTCTTCAACATGTACCGATAATCTTCAAAACATCAACCTAATACTTGTCGCTATCTCACTTGCTTAATTGCGATAACGAACGAGACCTCCGCCCTTAAATAGCCTGGTCCCCCAAAGATGATAGTACACACAAAAGACAGTGTAGCAAAGCATTGACCAAATCCAATTCGCAAAACACCTAACAGTCCTAGACACGATATTTCGCCGGTGTATCCCCTTGCTTCCGCCAATCCGCCGCCTTAAAAGGCTCCAACTCCTTGAGAGCGAGATAGACCCGCTTGACATTAGGCACGAAGTCTAGATCCAATCTATACAACAGAGCCTGATCAACAGCAGGGACCAAAACCACATCAGCCATGGAGACGTCGGCACCGAAAGAGAAATTCCTCTCTCCAGCCTGAGCCTGCATCAGAAGCAAATCCTCATAGGCCCTCAATCCGTCCGTAAACACCCGTTTAACGAAATCAACCTGGTCATCGAGCCCCCCCCGAATGGATTTTACCCGCTGCGCTATGCGAGAATTCGTCGGGGGCTGGGTATCAATAGCGATGACATTGACTAGGTCTCGCACCAGCACCCGATCCTGCATTGCGGGAGGGTACAGTGGTGCAGTATCCGGGAACCGTTCCTCGAAGTATTCCAGAATCGTCATGGATTGGCGGATGGTGGTTTTTTCGCCGTTCTTGCTCGTCACTATCAATGTGGGCACGCTGGCGCTGGGGTTGTGTTGTTTGTATTCTGAGGTCGTGTGCTCTCTGGCGCTGAGGTCGATGTAGGTGTATTCAAGCTGGATACCTTTGAGATGGGCGGCGATGATGATCCGTTGACAGCATGAGGAGCAGTAGTATGTGTATAGGTGGAATGTATCGGTATGCATTATGGCTTTGAGTTCGGAGTTCCGTTGGATTGTCAATTGTCAGGACTGAGGACTCTGCTATGAGTAGGATATGCGGAGGGAGATTGAGGATTTCTTGAGGTTAATAAATGAATACATGATCCCAGGGGGCTTTAGGCTGATTAGCGCCTGCCGGAACCCCAGCCTCTGTTGCTGAGCGTTAACTTACTGGGACCCCTACACAGTAAGTAGATATAGATTCTCGCGATGTGATTGGTGGAGAATATCAGAGAAAAGTGCGCTTACCATATTAGGACAAGCGGGTGATATCGCCCGTTAGGGGGTGTCCCAATGACTCCCAAACCTTGCCATAGTTATGCCTAATGCCATATACTCGAGGTGGACAAGCTCAACAAAGGAAGCCTCATAGTTAGTTAAGGCATTTATTAGTATTATATAATATAGTTATGATGTATCCGCATCTGGACAATTGAATGTGTACACAATTCAGGCACAAAAGAATAGAATCAAACCCGATCCTCCCCATTAACCCTAACTCCACCGACCGACCCCATCCTTGCCAACTTCGGTGCACTAGTCGAAGTACTCTCCTCCTGCGGTTCATGCGCGTGCGAGATCGAGACCTCAGTCGTACAGAAAATACCTCGGTCACCATGCGTAGTAGGCAGTATGCGCTCTTCACTGGAATTGCTACGCTCGCTTCCAGCATAGTTGGCATTGACGTTGGCAATGCGAGCCCGGGGCATCTTGAGGTCGAGGTCGTGCTCGATGATGCTGAGGTTGCTGGTTCGGTGTGCGTGGAATTGGGCCTTTGTGCGGGACATTGTGTTCATTGTGTGCATTGTGTATCTCTGGCTGTCGTGATATTGGCGGGATTTTGTTTGGGGGGCGTATGTGCCGAGGATACTCTTGAAGAGGGGTTTTAGGGTTGGCAGGGTGCCGGCTACGATGCCTGTGTTGCATTCCGTGCTGGGGGTGGGTGAGTGGGAGCTCTGGAGGAGATAGGGGGATTAATGTACTTACACGACCCAGATTGTAAGGTTGGTATACTCCCAGAGGGAGTCGGTGGTGTGGCCGTAGTTTTGGACGGTGGAGAGTTTGGCGCATGCGGCTGCGCAGGCACTGGAGGAGAAGGAAGTCAGTTTGATGGATTGGATTTGAATTGAGTATTTACTCACAAGATTCCCAGGCCTAGAATGCAGATCAGGGATGCTTTCACTCGAATGTTGACTTGGAGATGACTGGTGATATTCGTTAGCGCAGCTAAGAAGGACATGCAACTGCACATACCGGAGCATGAATACTGGCAGTATTGCAAAAATGAGATCAGATACGATATTCAGTGCTGCTGAAGTTAGTAATGTTCCGCTGTACTCGCTTTGTATAGTCCTCACCCGTGTTTGCATAACTCAGAGTCAAGATCTGCTTGGGTTTGAAACATTTCGATTGAATTGAAGTATCCCAGTTGGATCGGATATCCTTGCATTGGAAGATAAGAGTCTGTCGATTGTTAGTCCAATGCCGACTTGTAAAAGGGATATCCCATACCAGGAAGCAAATAGTCGTGTAGAGGGCCACAACAACTATATCAGAAGGCATGTCAGTAGCAGTCCATGTCAACCACCAAGCCTGTACACACCAATGATGGACCAGATAAAGTTCTTATAGACCTTGCGGGATGCGAAGCGAACCAAGAACAGGCCGATTGACACTTTCGCCAAACCAATAGCCCACATATAGATACACTGAGTAGCGAAATTCAATCGCATTGCTTCTACCGCGGTCTCTTGGACGTAGGCCTGGTGCCTGCCTGCGCCGTACTTCACCTCAGGCACGATGATAGCAAACCCACAGGCAGATAACAGCATTGTCAACCCCATGGCATAATCGTCCCATCCGACATTGCGAATCAGGAATATGCGCACATAGAACCTGGCCAAAACAGCAATCAATGCAGCAGAAGTTGTGATAGCCGTGGCTATGATAATCTTAGGTCCTTGGTCGACATCCGGCAGGCCTAAGCCTCCGGGATGAGCAATATCCGTCATGGCTGTATCGATGTTTGTTCAGAACTGGACGTTGGAAGGAGAGAACCGCCCAGGGGATTAAACCAGAGGGGATATAAGGTATCGAGTACTCGGAGTTACTCCTTTTATTTTCGGCCTTCCATCATACAAGTAAAATCACCGTTTATTGTGGCGGCGAAAGCCATGGGAGGCAGTTGAATTGAGTTTGGCCTCATACATCGTCAATGGCATGATCTGGCTTCAGGGGTTCCGACGAAGCTGTCATCGCCATGTACTTCCAGCATCAGGTACCAGCCATGGAGATAGAAAGCGTGAACTGGCTGTGGGCGTTGCAGCATATAAACCACGCCGGTTTGAGAACAATGCTGTGCTCCCCTGCAGATGAGGCTCCAGAATCCCCCGCAGAACCCCGAGATGCAGGATATCCAAGAGAAATATGACAAACATGGCCAATGAGGAGCGTTGGTCTCATCGGCCCGAAAATCATTTAGACCATAAATTCGACCTCGGATCTGATGGAAATCCACATTCGGAGAATTAGTGGGGGTCAGGGGTCCTTTTGTGGTAATTCATCAGAGCTCGCCTAGAACACCACCTGACTCTGAGACTCATGACTCCTGAGCAGCCACGGCGAAAGGTGCATCTAGATTCACCAGAAACCAAATTGACTGCTCGTGACTGGGTTGATGGGTTCTATCGCCTCAGGAGATGTCCCAACTTCCAAGTCGCCAAGAAATAGGGCTGCACGAGGTGGCGGCCGATGTGACAGGTATGCTTTGGACTTTGGAGTTTGGACATGCAGGTCGGTTGGGACTGGGACCTCCCAGTATTTAACCCAAGGGACGGTCCGGAGCTCCATCGGCCTTGAATGGGAGAAGTAATGATCGTCCCAAATGGCCATGTTCTAACTTCTAAGTTCTAACCCTCTAAGACTACTGCATAAGACCTGCAGAAATGTCCCATCGGTGGGGCTTAAGCGAAGCGGGAACATGGGCCGATGCCCTAAACAGTGGCTAGCTCCGGGGCCTCGCAGCTCTGCTATGGGGATGCTCAAAAGATAGGCCTCTGATTGACTCGATATCTACGGAGTACTAAGCGGAGGTAGTTTAGTTCGCTGATCGACATTTCGTTGCAGGGGTGTTCAGCTCCATAAAGCAAGAAGCAAACCCCCAACCCACGTTTCCCCTTAAATTTTTCCACCTCGGAGTAAATAAATCATGGTCGCTCTTTCCCTCCTCGCTCTGGGGGCTTTGTTTACACAGGCATTGACTGCTCCCACGGAAAGTGCCGTGGCTTCCGTGGTTCCTTCCACTTCTCCCGCTGAGAACCAATTGGACAGCTTGGCCGGCTTGGCATATGAACACATCCTCGAGAATATCGAGGCCGACTCTGATCTCGAGAAGCGCAACAGTTGTTCAATAAGAAACCTGCGCACTCGTCGCGATTGGCGCACTTTCACCAAAACCCAGAAAAAGTCTTATATCAACTCCCTGCTATGCTTGCAGAAGCTGCCTTCGCTCACTCCCCCGGAGCAGGCCCCTGGTGCCCGCTCCCGCTACGATGACTTCGTCGCTACCCATATCAACCAGACCACCACTATCCACTACACTGGAACCTTCCTAGCATGGCACCGTTACTACATCTATACCTTCGAGCAAGCCCTGCGCAACGAGTGTGGCTACACTGGCGACTACCCGTAAGTCCGAAAGTTTTGCAGTCTTCTCGCCGATATACCAGGGGAAATGGCTAACATGAGTCCCCAGATACTGGAACTGGGGCTCTGACACCGACAACCTGGAGCGTTCGCCCGTCTTCGATGGCAGCGAGACCTCCATGTCCGGTAACGGCGCACCCGTCGAGCAGTCTGGCGACATCCAGCTGACCATGGGTGACTACCCAGTCATTCACCTGCCAACTGGCAACGGCGGCGGTTGCGTGACCAGCGGACCTTTCAAGGACTACCAGGTCAACTTGGGGCCCGTGGCTCTAATGCTTCCCGGCGGCGAGACCGGCAGTGCCGCTAACCCGCTTGCCTACAACCCGCGCTGCTTGAAGCGTGATCTGAGCACCCAAATTATCAGGGACTACGCTAACTTCACTGCCATCGTGGACCTGATTCTTCGTCACGACAACATCTACGATTTCCAGATGAATATGCAGGGTATCCCCGGCAGCGGCAACATCGGTGTCCACGGTGGTGGTCACTACTCCATGGGCGGGGATCCTTCCCGTGATGTCTTTGTTAGCCCCGGTGACCCGGCTTTCTGGCTTCACCATGGTATGATCGATCGTACCTGGTGGATTTGGCAGAATTTGGACCCCCGTGAACGTACCAATGCTATTTCTGGGACTGGTACTTTCTTGAACGGACCTCCTTCCCCGAATACCACTCTTGATACCCCGATTGACCTTGGATATGCTGGTGGTCAGACTGTCACCATGCGTGATCTCATGAGCACCGTTTCTGGCCCTTTCTGCTATGTCTACCTGTGATTGGTGACTAACTAGCGGGTATCGGACACCTATCCATATCTTTCGCGACAGGTATAGTATAAAGATCAGAGGATTGCACGATGTGCATGGAATCTTGGAACCGTGTAATACAACGAAAAGCATTGCATATAATTCATAATAGAAGAATAGAGCACCAAAGGCAGACCAACCTCTAAAGGGTTCACTCATGCATGGCATTCGATTCCCATTAATAGGTAATATAAGCACTCCCGTCCCAAAAGCATTTCAAGGACGGGTCCTGATAAATATAAGCAATTCCAAAAGCCAAGGACAGCAGGAAACACTGCATCACATCTTCCACCGCCACAACATCATAATCGGAACCCAGATCCAAGAGAAAGGAAGCAAAGAAGTCTCCGTCTGGGCCCCGATATTCCCAACATCACTCGCAAGAGCAAGATAAGAATCCTGTCCATAAGTCGTATTCAGTGTGACATGTGCCTGGGCAGACCCATCCTCCAATCGAATCCAAGTCTCCGTATCTTCTTTCAGATTACCTTCGTGCAACAAGATCTGTCTTCCACCGCGCGTCAGATCCCCGTACCCCCCATACCCCGTGTGCCGACCGTAGCACATGTTGATCCCGTTTCCGGTGAGATCTTGATCAACCAGGGATCCGTCCCATTTGAAACACCTGCCGTAACAATTAGCATAAATGACTATAGTGGAATCAATACTTATGGTGAGAGGCACATACCAATCATTCAGATGATCGTGTCCACTGAACCCCGCGATCAGCCCTTCAGTGCGCAGCAGCGCATGCATGAAGTCAAGATCCTGTCCTTCGTAGCTCCAGTCGCCAGTTCCTTGCGGGTTGACGCGCTCACCATCAACACCCGGCGTGAGGTGCGGGTCGATACCCTTTACCTGTTGATACTCGAGCATGGCATGGGCGGGGATATGGTAGAATGCCAACGAGGGAATGGGCTTTCCATGCTTTTTGCTCAGTTTGGCGTTGGTTTTTGTAAACCAGTCCACGACCTGCGATGCATCAGTCAGTCATTGCCCTAAAGAGTAAGGTATCATGTTCTCGTAATCGGATGTTCTTCCTTTCATACCGATTTATCAATCCAACTAGGCCTCTTTACAGAAGGGCCGCCCTCCCCTTCGGGCTTATAATAATGTCCGCCCTTCGAATCAAAGAACCAGAGCAGCAGCGCGGGCGCACTGGACTCTGTATTCGTCTCTGAATGGGGGTAAACCGGCAAATAATAATTCGTGATTCCGGCTCTATCACCCGAAACACGACTTTGAGTCAGACTATTGGAGTATTCATGCTCGGCCTTGAACATGTCCTCTTTGGGATTGAGGTTGATCTCGCTGTCGTGGTTGCCGTAGGTCGATCCCCAGCGATACCCGCCATCAACAAGGGGGGAAACGACCTCGTGGATGAACCGGCTAGAATCGGCTTTATGAGTCCATTCGCCGGATACCAGGTCGCCATTTATGACTACAAAGTCGGGGTTCTCCTTGTCCAGGATGTATGACATCACACCCTGGGTCTTCTTATCTTTCTCTGCATCTGCGAAGGGGTTAGCCCTCGTTTGATGTCTTGGAGAGGAAAAAGGGTACCCTCGGCGAAATGTAAGTCCTCGAAAACTGTAATCTGAAATGTGCCATCTTCTTTAAAGCGCAGGGTTTGGTCGCTGGGTGGCTTCAGGACTGTCTGGTCCGATGCTCTGAAGTCCGGTCGGGGTACCATTTTGGAAAGGTAGGTTGGATCAAAGATGAAGTGCGGGGAAAAGAGAAGGTCTTTTTATATATTTGAGGCGTTTTCCTCTGCAGATTATGGAAGTCCACGTGCTGAGAAGTGTCTCATCATTGGTGTTCAAGGTAGGATTAGTCCATCACGTCAGGGACTCAGGGCCCCGGAGATGATTGCCAAGGCTGACATTTCGTCTCATTCCTGGCCCTAGATTTCCTGGATGATCTAGAACCCATCATGTTCCTAGGTTAATGCGACTCTTGCTATTCAAACTTTTAGAGGGTCGTTGAAAAGGCCCTGTCTACAGCATCATTATCTCCACTCATGTCCGATTTTGCTAAGGCCAACTTGGAAGGGTAACCCTACGGTGACCTACCATACCATACACTGGGCTGACCAACTCCAGCCACCGCGAGGAACTTTGAACTTTGAAGTCTGCGCCTCGAACCGCGGCAGAGCGCGCTTCGCTCTACAAGAATATGAACTGGCAGCAGCAACCCATGGGTGACGGGAGTTGTGGACATGATGAACGCCGGGAGCAGGGCGGGGAAGAAACGATGGGGATACCAGTCACGTGCTTGCGATAGGTACATGACCGAAAACACCCAACTACGGAGTACTTCGATGTTGACAGACCTACCATCACCTACGAAGACGTAGACGTCTTCATACAGATCTACTACAAATCAATGCACTTGTTTTTGGAATTGTAATATTGACAACTGATTCTACATGATAAGAAACAGTAGACCGTACTCGACAATGCGAATCCGATCAAGCAAAGCTGTAGAGCTCGCTGCGTGTGAAAATCACACAATGTTGAAATAGTATAACTGGCACCACGCAAACATCAAGACGGAAGTAGGTCTTGATGTAGGCGGCGCTAGTCGAAAACGTCAGTCATGTTGAAACTCCAGGCCCGCTTTTGGTATCCTCTAGAAAACCCGTTGAAACCCATATGTTGAACTTTTGGTATCATCGTCGTAAATCATCAGAAAACAAAACTCCTCAGTCCCCGAGGCGACAGGTTGATTGTCGCCTCCTCATTAAATGTATAAATTGAAAGAATTTACTGCGCGTACTTCTGGCGGAAGTACTTGGCAGCGTTGACCATGGCGGTAAGAGCCGCCTTGGTCTCGGGCCAGCCGCGGGTCTTGAGACCGCAATCGGGGTTGGCCCACAACTGTTCGGGCTTGAGGTAGGCCAGCATCTCCTCGATGCGGTCCTTGATCTCCTGCTCTGTGGGAACACGAGGAGAGTGGATGTCGTAGACACCGGGTCCAATGTGGCGAGGGTAAGCCTCGTCAATGAAGACCTTCAGGAGCTTGGCATCAGACTTGCTGTTCTCAATGGACAGGACATCGGCATCGAGAGCGGCAATAGCGTGGAAGAAGTCCTGGAACTCAGAGTAGCAGAAGTGAGAGTGGATCTGAGTGTCATCGCGGACACCGGCGGTGGACAGCTTGAAGGAGTCAACGGCCCACTTGAGGTAGGCTTCGCGGGCAGCACCGGTGCGAAGGGGAAGACCCTCACGGAGAGCGGGCTCGTCGACCTGGATGACGGCGATGCCAGCGGCCTCGAGGTCAACAACCTCGTCGCGGAGAGCGAGAGCAAGCTGCTGGGCCTGGACGGACTGGTGGACGTCATCACGGGGGAAGGACCAACGCAAACAGGTGATGGGACCAGTGAGCATGCCCTTCATGGGCTTGGGGGAGATGGAAGCGGCGTACTTCGACTCCTTGACGGTCATGGGGGCGGGACGAGAGATGTCACCGACGATGATGGGGGGACGCACGCAGCGAGAGCCGTAAGACTGAACCCAGGCGTGGGTGGTGAAGACGTAACCAGTGAGGCGCTCACCGAAGTACTGCACCATGTCGTTACGCTCGGGCTCACCGTGGACGAAGACATCGAGGCCAAGCTCCTCCTGGATCTTGACGACATCCTGGATCTCCTTCTCGATGAACTTCTCGTACTCCTCGGGGGTGATCTCACCCTTGGTGAACTTGTTGCGCTGGATACGGATCTCCTTGGTCTGAGGGAAGGAGCCGATGGTGGTGGTGGGGAACAGAGGAAGCTTGAGGGTCTTGGTCTGCTCGGCGTAACGCTCGGGGAAGGCAGACTTGCGGTTGTGCATCTCAGCGGTGACAGCGGCCTGACGGGCCTTGACGGCGGGGTCGTTGGTGCGGGCAGAGGAAGCACGAGCCTGGACAGACTTGGCGTTGGCCTCGAGCTGCTCACGAACAGTGGCGGGGCCCTCAGTGACAGCCTTGGCGATCACGACAACCTCGGAGGCCTTCTCAACAGCGAAGGAGAACCAGTCACGGACCTCGGCGTCGAGGGTCTTCTCGCTGGCGAGGGTGTGGGGGACGTGGAGGAGGGAGCTGGAGGTGGCGACAATGACACGGTCCTTGCCGAGCTTCTGGATGGCGTTCTCGACCTTCTCAATGGCAGTCTTGAAGTTGGTCTTCCAGATGTTACGGCCGTCAACGACACCAGCAGAGAGAACCTGCTTGGGGCCAAGAGCGGCAATGACGGTATCGAGCTGCTCGGGGTTGCGGACGAGATCAATGTGGATAGAGTGGAGGCTCTGGAGGTCGGCAAGGACATTGATGTTGTGGACGATGTCACCGAAGTAGGTAGCGAAGGTGATGCGAGGACCCTCGGCACCAAGGGCGCTGATCTTCTCGTAGGTGGGCTTGAAGGCGGCCTTGGACTTCTCAGCAAGGTCGAAGACGAGGACGGGCTCATCAATCTGAACATCCTCGACACCAGCGGCCTTGAGCTTCTTCAGGAGCTCAACGTAGAGGGGAACGAGCTTCTCAATGAGAGTGATGGGGTCGACGCTCTGGCCACGGTCGGCCTTGGCGAGGGTCAGGAAGGAGACGGGACCGAGGATAACGGGGCGAGTGATGATGCCAGCAGCCTTGGCCTCAAGGAACTCAGTAACGGGCTTAGGCTCAGCAGCGAGCTTGAACTCCTGGTTGTCCTGGAGAGTGGGCTTGACGTAGTGGTAGTTAGAGTCGAACCACTTGACCATTTCCTGTTGACGGTATTAGTATGCATGGTATGATGTAGAAAAAAATGTAGAAAAAAGGCAGGGACAAACGTACCAAACTGGGGACATCGATGCCCTCCTTCTGGAGACCACGGCCCATGGCGAAGTACTCATCGAGGGGGTGGAGGTTGTACTTGGAGTAACGCTCGGGGATGGTTCCGAAGAGCTGGTGGTGGTCGAGGACCTGATCGTAGAAGGCGAAGTCGTTGCTGGGAATAACATCGACACCGGCATCCTTCTGGATCTTCCAGTGCTCCAGACGGAGACGCTTGCCCTCAGCGAGAAGCTCATCCCGCGAGATCTTGTCAGACCAGTAAGCCTCGGTGGCCTTCTTCAGGTCACGGAGTCTTCCCATACGGGGGAAACCCAGAATTGATCTATCCAGACCGTCAGCAGCTGCATCGACAACCTGATAAGAAGTTCGAAAGACTTACGATTGAACCATTCTGACGGATGTGTGTGAAAGAGAACGGAAAAGGATCTCTGGTATAGAATTTTCACAAATCCGATACCTTTTGAGAGAGAATGAAGGGAAGGAAGGGAGAAGGGCTGGGAAAAGCTGCGAAGAAATATGGAGGGGAGGTAAGAGCACGCTAACCCAGATAGGTATTTGATCCACTCGAATGTTTGGAGGGGTAGCGATACCGTACCAAACCCACACATGACGCTTAATACGACTAGGGAACTTTGCTTTACACCAGTGGTTCTCGGGAGAATATGTCATTTACCGTTCTTTTTCAGGTATTCCATGTATCAATACGCCGTATATACTCCGTGATCGGGCCTGGAGGACGATCACGCCATTAAGAAAACACCGATAAGACCTCACTCAGTGCAGCAGTTTAACTGCTTCTGATTAGTAGTGTCCTTTCTTTTTTTAGTACGGCCCCTGTATGTAGCATACAGAAGGAATTGAGCTGGTCCAAGTCACAAAATGAGCGGTCAGGCCCTATCAAAACAATGCTCAATTGGAGTCCAGGCAGGGACTCTGGGGCCACACGCTGACAATCTGACAATCTTACCCCGCCACTTAACCTGCATGACCAACAGCTTACGCACACCAGCACATTCTGCTACCTGAAGCGATTCATGGTGTACTGTACTAAAGACCAGATCGTCCAGGAACCCACAACAGTCTGAACTAATCTGGCAATCTCCATATTTTTACTCCGGACAAAGGCCGAAGAGTTCCAAAAATACTAATGGCTCAAACTGATCCCCCGGTCTCGGTGTCCGTTCTAGCAATTGATCGGCCCACGTGACATTGAGATGGAAAAAGTTAATTCAAAACAAACTTTCTTTTTTACTTCGAATGTTTGCAAAACAATCTAAAGCTATCATCTAAGAATCTTTGCCAACCTCCAGAGTCTCTTCCCTAGATAGACCACACTGCACAGAAACCCTGGAATGACTACTTGTGATGCAGTTGTTGGCCCCCAGATTGCCAAGTCCCCGCAATTCTATCCGCAGCGACACAGCAGGCCCAGATCCCCGATGGAGATTCCGTGACTAATGAAGATGATCGGGACCTCTTGAAGTTTGGTTATCGGTCCGTCCTCGCGCGTAGCTGTGGCTCATGAGTCATTTGACAATTGCTAGGTTGCTCTTCCTCGGCATTGTACTGCTTTGGGGGAATCTGTGTTGTTCAAAACTGCCCTCCGTGGAGGAGGGCCCGCCGCGATGCACGTATCACCATCTGGTGAGTCTTCGGTTCCCGGGTTTTCTTGGGCATTAGATCGCTAATATACTATTCCGTTTTACAGGTAGAGCTCTTGGGTTTCCAGTAGCATTTTATCAATCATCGCCGCCGATTGCCTTGCGAAGCTTGTTCCAACTACCCCCGTCACGGGTCGATCTACTACTGGGCCTTTCGATCCTTGAGTAGTAGTCAACTTGACCGCTTGGTCTCGGTTTTCGTTGCAGCACGAACACTAGTTGCCTGGACCGCGATTCTGGCGGCTGACTCGTTCGGTCCCGCCAATTGTCTGATGTCGGAGACCCTGGTGTTCATTCGGATACCGACAGAGCACAACATTTGGCCCTGCGGAGAAGACCCATGCGACAGCCGGCTCAGCCACAGTCTGAACTGGTGGCCAGCTCTAAGGGATAATATACTCTGGAGGCCCGTGGGACTATCGGATGAAGCCCTACATGAAGGTGAAAATTGGCATCCATCGCAGAATGTGTTCGGTAAGTGTATTTTCATCTGGCATGCCTGACCGCTGTTCGAGGTTCTGCGTTTCTGGTCTCCCAGAAGCGCGAGTCTTGTGCTGAGAAATACCCGTTGAAACTTGATCTGGACAATACCAGGGTCCAGCGAAAGGACATGCATGCTTCCTCGCTCTATTCCCTTTCCATGGCGTCGTGCCATGCAGATCTGATCTCAAAACAAATGCTGCTGACTCCCCCCTGTCCAGTGGTCGGGCTGTTACAGTTCTATCCTCTGGCCAGCCGTGAGTTTGGGACGCCCACGGTCGCTCATTCTGTATTGATGTGCACATTGTCGGCAAACCGCTCGTTCACCGGTAGGTCCAAATGACATATAAAGGATAGTATCCCAATCGTAAATCTAGGGATGGTTTACTAGAAATTCAAGCGAATACTTTGCACATCCGGCGACGAAAGAAAGGAAGACGTAGCATACCCGAGCAGGCAGGTGTGCGACAACGGATATGGTATGGCCGATCAGCTCCTCCCTTCCTGTTCAACAGAACAATGACTTGCACAAAATTCAGCACATAACATTGAAGCTCAATTCCACTGGTTTTCCCTACACATGAAGCGTTTCACTACGATCAGTACATATTCAACGGACGTCATGGAGGAAGACGATCATTTCCGAACGCGTCCATCACCCCGCAGCGGAGCGGAGATAATAAGAGAACAGTCCCTACCCTTATGAACAATTGGACATCCCCTATGCTTCTGTGACTCTATCCTCCGATAAGACATACCAATCCCACAATGGCGTTCGCAGGAAGACTGGCCATTCTACCAGGAGGCCTCGGTATGCCCAACCAAACCCCAATACCACATACAAGCCTCCTAAGTTCTAACCTCCAAACAGGCGGACTAGGCACAAGCATAGGAAATAAGCTGCGACAACAAGGAGCCCGTCTGGCAATCCTCTACGCCCCCTTCGAAGCCGCACGCCGCGACGAGCTTCTCGAGTCCGGATACAGCGCCAGCGGCGACATAGATGGCATCCACACCTACGAATGCGACATTACAAGCCCAGACTCAGTTCACTCTGCTTTCGACGCTTTGCAAAAACAACTTGTTGACCCAGCCCCGTCCTCTCCCTTTGAAAAGGCATTTCCCAGCATCCTGATCAACACCGCCGGCTACGTATCTCTCAGTGACATGGAGATCACACCACCGGAGGAGACAATGAAACATCTTACTACTAACGTCTTCGGTCCGATGCTCTGTTCGCAGGCATTTGCCCGACTATACTTTTCCGCGTCAAAGACAGCCGAGTCATCACCGCCGCCGGGGAGGGTTGTTAGCATTTCCTCTCAGGCGGCGCATGTCGCGCTGCATCGGCATGGCGCCTATTGTGCTTCGAAGGCTGGGCTTCTGGGGCTGACGCGTAGTATGGCATCTGAGTGGGGTGGGCGGGGTATTACTGCTAATACAGTCTCTCCGACTGTGGCTTGGACGGATCTGGGGAAGAAGGCGTGGGGGGAAGAGAGTGTTCGGAATGCTTTCTTGGCGGCTATACCGACGGGCAAGTTTGCGCTTCCCGAGGACGTTGCTGATTCTGTGTTGTTCCTTTGTCAGGTATGTCTCCCATGGGCTTTGGGGTTGGGAATCTCATTCTGATTTGATCTATAGGACTCTAGCGGGATGATAAATGGTGCGGATATTAGGGTTGATGGCGGATTTACTGTTCGATAGATTCTTACATCTTGAATGAGCATAGAGAGATCGCTTCTGTCATAGAATTCATATTCAGCAATATAGATTTTCGTAAATGCAAGGTCATACGTAGAGCTGGAGGAGCTTATATCAACCTTGGAAGCCACGCGAGCAAATCCCTCGATTCGTTCCACTTGCTAGGGTCCTGACGTTGATGCTGAAAACAACTCAGACAACATGCTCCTCAACCCTCGGCTGGTTAGTCTCCTTCGCATCAACTCGAGATGAAGCCCCCTTTGCAACCTCAGGGGTGGTACCCTCGTTCCGAGCACCGCCAGCCGTCTCGGTCACAATGGCACCACTCTCAACAACATCATCGGGAGAATCATCCTCATCCCGATACCTCTCGACATCATTAACGACATTCTTCCCATGCCGCCGATCCATCCACCTCCGCCACGGCTTGTAGGCCCAAACACTCAATCCGCCGAATACAATAAAGCAACCACAGATTCCACCGCCAATAGCATCATAATATTCACCAGCAGTCTCGACTCCATCCCAGAATGGGCCTTTGGCATCTGTAACATTCAGAATCAGACTGAGCAGCTGAATTACGCCAATGATGATCGCCACAATGACGGTTAATGTGGTTAGCACGATTGAGTAGTACAGGAATGCGACTGGGTCGCGGTGGTTGTTCCGCGATTGCGGGAGCTCGTCTGGAGCGCTGGCTGTTGATGATGTGTCGGAGATGGTGCTGGCCGGCCTTTTTGGCAGGAAGTTGGCTGCTGGTTGGATGTAGAGGGCGAACATTAGGGCTCCGTCGATTGTGTCGAGGAGGCACATCCCGGCTGAGGGTTTGTTAGATAGAACGAGATGAATGGGGTCAATGGGCGGTATGATTTGGTACCCACCGGTGAATAGAGCTGGGAGAATGAGGATCACCCAGAACGAGGTTCCTTTTGCTGCTTCGATGGAGGAGATTCCAAGCAAGGCGATCTCGGAGGAGGTGTCGAAGCCGAGACCGAATAGGATGCCCAGGGGATACATCTTCCATGGGCTATAAGAGTTAGGATCTGTAATGAGGCGAACCCAAAAGGAAAGCATACCGGTCAATTAACTTGAACATCTTCTTCAAGATCGCGAAAAGAACTCCTCCACCCTCAATCTTCCATGCTTCATCTTCGCGATGCTCAGGCAAGTTGAAAACCTTCTGCATCTGCTTGATGAGCTTGTACAAGATGTATGCATTCATAAGACCAAGTAGGATAAGGAACGCAGCGCTGACAGAGGTGCCAATAATCCCACCAACTGTGCTGAAGCTGTCGAAGCGCGAGGAGACTGCTGCTGCTGTAGCTGCCACGACAATTGATGTGATGATCACAATGCTATACAGTGTCAGTCTCGGCTTGTGATTCAAAAAGGCCAGTTAAGCTCACGTTGAGTGACCAAGGGAGAAGAATGTGCCCACAGTGACGGGCTTTTGTCCCGTTGCCAGGAGTCTTCTGGTCATTAAATCGATGGCCTATGGTGGACATGGTTAGCCATTTGGTATTTGCAGAGAATTAGCAAAGTGAACTTACAGAGATATGGTCTGCATCAAATGCATGTCTCAAGCCAAGCGAATAGGCGAGAGCAGCGGTAGAAACCAGCGAACTGTCGTTCCATTCACGAGATTAGTACACAGATGACTTTCAAGTCAACCTTGGAACGGGTCCTAAGAGAGCAGTAAAGACTCACGGATGATAGCTCTATATCACCGTTAGTAAATCAATTCGGCATAAGATCCAGAATCACACAAAACATACCAGCACAATGGCCGCCGCGACCCAAACCAATATATTCAACAACGCAACGAGCGCAATAATCCCAATAGCTCGAAGAGGGATCTTCCTGATGCCCGGCAGCTTGTTATGCGAGCGCTCAGCGCTTCTGATAAGCGGTTTCAAGCTCCATCTCTGCTCGCTGTCCAGACTGTGTGAGTCTGCAGGCGTGTTTGCGGGCTCCTCGAACGCCCGCATTGTCAATAGGTAGCTGCTTGGGGCAGCGCTCAATGCAACTGATGTTGGATTGTGCAAGAAGACCAAGATATATTGCTTGAACCAAACCCAATCTCGTTCAAGAAAGCAAAGAGATATAAGAGGACTTCATATACACGGTACACTCACAGTCGAGCACGTTTCAAGACCAAGTCAGGACTCAGAAGTCTCGTAGATAACGGTATCGATTCCCCGCCAAGGCCGATTCGGTCGCCAAGATTCCAACTATCCGATGAGGGAGCTGTTCTGCGTTTATCAAAGCTGCGGGATTTTACGTCCCCCGGTCCCGGGATCTTCAAAGAAGGAATCGGCTGAATTCTGCGCTTGAGATCAAATATGATTCCGTTTCTGTCCATCCAAGGCTCACGGCGAAATCACGTGATATGGAGGGGCCGAGCCGCGAGCGGAGAGTCCCGATGATAGCGGGATGTTTTAAGATTATTCACGGCTTGGATTTCTATATGCTCATTTCTCTATCAAGTCTCCCGTGCTTGTGGGTAATGTCTCGCTTTTCGGCCGCATATTGCGGGGCTTTTTGCCTTGGCTTGGCTGTAGTGTAACAGTGTTTGTGGACTATTGGGGGTCTTCTAAGGTCTGTTTGTCTTCTACGTGGGAGTTTCAACATGAGGTCAATCTTAGAATATTAGAAATTTGTATGGTCTGGAACTTCCAGGTGAACTATATACGGAAACAATGTCCAAGAAAGCTTTGGAAAGAAGCCGTCATAAGATGGTCATATCTCTGGACATCTGGTGCCCAGAGAAGTCGGCAGCTTGAACACAGGAAGGCCTTCTTACTCTTGGCATGTCAAAACTGACCAATCTGTCCTTCACCAAAGTGGCCTATATAGGTCCATCATCGGTGGAATCAGATATGAAGAAGGCGTAGAGATGATCTGGCAAGTAGACACGGGCTAGATGGCACTCGTTTTTGCGTCTTCATGCTCTAGCCAACCAAACACTAGCAAGGTTGATGGGTAGTGTAAGAGCTGTGAGCGAGACGCATGCCGCGCCTCAAGGTTGGGGATGTGTTATGGGTATAACATGAAAACGGGTTTGCGTATCAACTGAACCATCTCAAGTTCAAGCAGCAGCCAGCACGGTCGGCGACGGAACCCACTTAGTGACCTTAGGCTTCAACCGGATGTCCTGGCTAACAAGAATATTCCACTCATTGCGCGTGATGGGCGTGACATCCGACGCAGAAAGAGGAGTCTTCGGCCCACGTTTAGTGTGTCGCATCTTCGATACTGGGGGTTGTCTGCGACCGCGAACAGTATGGACAGACGACCTTTTCACCTCGCGTGGGCGTTCGGCCTTGACGCGGATAGGGATAGGTTCAGCCTTGGGTTTGAGAATGATGCGATCAGCTCTGGCCGATGCTCTAGCCTGAGCCTTAACTGGAGCTTTAGGCTGGGCTTTCACTTCAATCTTTGGTTCGACCTTTTCGACCTTTTCGACTTTTTGTTCAACTGGTTGAATGGTCGCTTGAACGGTCGCCTGTGCGGGAAGAATGATAGCATCCTGTTTGTGGACTTTCTTGTATGCGATTGCGACAGCAGTCAGCTGCTCGTCTGGAACATCGAGCTGTTCGTAAACGCGGTGGAAGAATGCTTTGCTGAATGGGCGACCGGAGAAATCTGCTACGATGCGATGTAGGAGTCGGATGCAGGATGACATTGATTGTTCGTCGTTGCGGGAGAAGGGGCGGGTGGAGAGAATGCACATGCGGCGCTTGAAGGTATAGATACGGTCCATGTTTAGAAGAGTGAGACCCTCCTGGCTGAAGACAACTTCGTTCTGGAGAATGGATTGTTTGACAAGGTGATCGTTTGCCTGGCGCTCGTACTGGCTGCGGCTCAGAGCGTCGCTCCAGCTGGGACCGAGGGCGAATTTCTTTGCGCCTTTGGCGATGGCCCGCTCAAGGACTCGCCATGCTTGTTGCTCGATTGGGTGAATGGGGATGATCATCAGATCGGAGGGTTGGCCGGTTGGGTAGGGCTTTCCTCGGCCGATTAAGAGAGTAACGTGCATCATTCTTTGTTGGAGTTTGGTAGAGATATATTCCAGAGCTGGGAGAAGAGAGGGAATGACTGTCTCAGAGTCGAAGCTGAATTCTGGGGATAGTGGTGGAGAGATCATGTCGTTGGTTAGGGTTCGTGGCGAATTGGGGACATAAATGCCCGTTGGGCGAGGGAGACGCATGACACCCATGATGTAGTGGAAGGTCGCAACTATTCTATTTAATTGCCAGTTATAGACGGAGTCCAGATAAAGATCTCCTTTTGGTTGAGGAGGTGAAGTTGAAGAAGTTGAATCCCAGACTGCCACGCGGGCCTGATATAGGGAGCAACTCAGGAGAGTCAACCATGCACTCCCTCCCCGCATCTCTTTGATCTTAAGTTCTTAACGTGGAAAAGGATCAAATTAGCTTGAATTTAGTGTTGCTAATGATAGCAAATTTCATTTCAGCAGACAAATCACAATCCTCCGATCAGCGCGATAAAAATACTTGTAACCGCTGCGGCGTTCACCATCCAATGGATGGCCTCCGTTAATCCCAATCTTCTTGCACTTATGCATGCCCACAGCACCCGGGCACATCTACCAACATCCAACACTGGCATTGGTCTCGCAGGCCAACCGGACCCCACTTACACACTATTGATCACATTTCCACCATCCACTGTGTTGGTAAATGTGGCTCCTATCGACAGGCTGGCAGAGTCTCCCAGCTGTTAGCTTCGGACATGTTCACAGTAGGTAACCGGGCTTCGTGCCTTGATGATTCAGCTAATTGTGCTAGCTTCGAAGTGACAGCGGATATTATGGGATCTTAACTGGCTGGACTTTGTTCCTCTTGCAACTAACTACATTGCTAGACTTCACCCTGGCCACCACAGGGGTGTCCATTGTTGCATTTCTGCTCAGTTCATGCCACATGGGTGAGTACGGAGAATATGAGCCATACCCTCAGCGCCCAATTCTTCCCCCTGCACCAACACAGGCCCACCATCTCTTTTACCCTATGAGGCTGCGCTCAGCGGCTGAGTCTCACATGTGAGAGGCAGAGCATCGTGAGTTCCTGGGTGCGCTATGGAGTACGTACCCTGTCGGTTTGCATATGTTGGCTTGACACCTACGCATTTCTTGCTTTCAGAGGAGTACACTCCAACGGTCGACCTTGCCGGCGCCACGTTACTGTCAAGCGCTGTGGCCCACGACCCCCATTTTGCGGCTCTCCATTGTGGGCCAATTATTATGTAGCCGCTCTAGCCGATGGCTTCGTCGCGCGCAGCATTTTGGCGAGGCTCAAGTCTGCTTGATTACCAAAAGAGCCTCCCTTTATGTTGGTATGGCCAAAGCTGGACTCTTACTGGCATGTGGAAGTGTTGGTTAGGTGGGGGCCATTCTTCCACGTCACTTGTGCATGGTTGGAATTCCAGACCGACATTCATAATTAAGCTTAATTTGCCCCAATGTTGAAATGATATCCAGCAAGCGCGATTTTCTGATGTTGATATCGTTGGTATTGCCTACATACTAAGTAGGCCCCTGGCCCCGACGATGTCCCCTTCCAAGTTGATATGACTACCTATGATATAGGTACTTAGGCTAGGCATCCTATTACCGATGCTATTGTTTACTGTCTTGCTATCTATCTTTCTAGGCACATGCGGGACGACCTCTCCATTTATATTTCCTTGACTGTGGCCATACCTACCACTGGAAGCACCAACTCCATCCCATAGTTCTATGGGTGTCATGGAATTACTCATATGAATACGATACAGATGGGAAATGATGGAGAAATATCTGCATGTATTCGGGTCGACGAAAAGGAGAGAAGAGAGAGAGAGAGAGAGACAGCAGGCTCAACACCTGGCGAGATCAATAACAAGTGGGCAATACCCACACAGATGAGCTCACCAGGAAACAAGGATATCTGCTTCGTGTGGACATTCATTACCCGATACGGTCCAACGGATGAGTTGCCAGTTCTCAACAATTATCAAATTGCTAGTGTCAACAGGCTCACCAAGAAGAGGACAGTCATGGCAAAGCCGTGCCAAGCTTTCCTTCGAGCATCGCTCTAATCTCGGTGCCACTGCGGTGACCGGTCCCACTCGGCCCTTTCCATGGACCATGATCATCCCTTATCAGAGCCTTGGCTTAGTGCTACTCCGTAGAGCGAGGCGCTTTTAAGGATTTACCGGTGCGCCAGAAACTGCAAAAAGTGGCACCACAGAATGAAAAAATTTGCTTTGCAGGAACAGAGCCCACAGTTGCGGCCCGCGAAAATGCAAGCGTGTGCAGGCAAGATAAGCTGCTTACGCAGGACTGTGAGAATTCCTTCACGCAAAGGAGCGTGGGGTTGAGCCGACAAGATCCACAAGCTCTGCGCAACTGTGTACGGAGTAGTAGAAGCATCCAGTTTACAAGATCGTCGACGTCTTCACGGTCTCGTGCCTTTGAGCCTCGGGAGTCCGGGACATTGTCTACTCGGCACCCCCTGTATATCCTGCTCACCTTAAACCCAATCATGCCAAGCCCCACCTCCCGAGGTCTTGTCCCATGTAACCTTACGCTTGCCAAATGTTCCAGAAAACCGAATGCCTTGCCAACCACAAATCACTTCCATAGATTAACGAGTCAGCCCCGCAGTGCCCCCGCCAAGAAATATAAAGTGAGATTTGAACCGGGCGGTTTTGCTAATCGCTCATAGTGATTGGCGGAAGCGTACAAAAGCAAGTCTTGGCGTAAGCGCACAGACTCGGGAAATATGCATCTAGTCTGGTTCTAGACTAGCGTGCGCCTGCCAAGATGAAGGTCTGGCTTGGCAAACACTTGGTGCACCGGACTCTCCGTTCGGGGACTTCGGGCTGTTGCTGATAACTGGGATTTTCCACACTGGCTAAGCTAACTAAGAGTTACTCCTCCCGGGTGGCGGAGCTATGTGAGTGGTGGCGGATTCCATTTTGCCTTTTCTATCCCTTCACAGATTCCACGTCACGGAATACGGATTGAAGAGCCTCAGCATTGTCTCGCGCTTTCTCGCTCGAAACTCCAGGAATTGGAGTAACTGTACATCCATTACAATTGCCGAGTGGCCTCCAAGCGAGAATCTGGGGAATATTGGAGCCGAAGTCAACCTAAAACGGCTTTTGAATATCTTTTACATAAACAAAGCCGACACAAAGCGCACTCCCCGCAGAGCCATGGGCCATGGGCCATGCCCCCCGTCTTGGCATAGTTCCCGCTTCCATTTTCTCTTATCAACAAGCTTTGACGGCTGGTTATTGGACGTTTGCCATGTGCACAGTGCCCCTTTACCAGAATACGCAGAGCAGTGATCCATAATATTACGGAGTAGAGTCACCTGGGCAAGTACATGCCATAACAAACTCCATAGACCTTCTTCTTGGATCCCGAGATGTGTCCGAGAGAGGAAGCATGCTGCATAGCCCGATTTCGACAGACACCCCGGATACCGGAAGCAGCCTCAACACGCTCAGCCCAGATCTAAACCCTGGCAAATTCCAGCTAGACTAAGCTTGAAGCGACGGTGTTCGCTTCTGGGCCGTTGATAGACCTAAAATCCACATTTTTTACCCCATAAAATCATAAAAAGGTCTTGGCTAGCTAAAGTCCGAGGTGTGCCCGTACCTAGCTCTTATAACCGTGCACACCCACCTCCAAGGATCTTCTTAGGGGTTTCCTTTTTCTCTCTTATCTTCTGTGTACCTGCCGCTCTTGACTGGATATTTAAGTGGTTCGCCTCTCTCTCTTCCCTCGAGTTCCCCCCTCTTACATCTCTGTGCTACACCTATCTTTAACGACTTCATTCCTCTCGGCGCATACCTCTGTGCGTCCGAATACACAATGGAGAAGTCTCTCAAAGCGGAAGATACCGTCTCCAAGCAGATCAGCGGAGAGGGAGACATCGAAGATGGTGGCCTCAACAACCCTAACCATGTTGAGCTTCACCGCGCGCTGAAGGCGAGACACATTACTATGATTGGTAGGTGAGATCTCGACATGAAGACAAGCATGCGCTAACAGTACCTAGCCATCGGTGGTGCGATTGGTACTGGTTTGATCATTGGAACGGGAGAAGCTCTTGCAAAGTAAGTGACAAGTTTGCCCTACCTGATATCCGCCATGGACTGGAGGCTAACGAATCTCGTGCAGGGCCGGCGTAAGTGTTCTATACCTGAGTAGAATTGACTCGAAGACCCTCTTGCTGACTTGAGTAGCCTGGTTCCATCCTAATCTCTTACTCTTGGGTTGGTTTTATCGTTTATCTGGTTATGTGCGCTCTGGGAGAGATGGCCGCCTGGTTGCCATTGCCGTCTGGTTTCACTGGTTACGCCGTTCGCTTCGTCGACCCTGCTCTTGGCTTCGCTCTTGGTTGGACGTACGTGCTCTCAATCCGCCTTCGACGTTGCTCTTGCTAACCCCTATTCAGGTACTGGTTCAAATACATCATTCTGTCGCCAAATCAAATGACTGCTGGTGCATTGGTTATATCATATTGGATACCAACGGAGAAGGTCAACGCCGGAGTATGGATAACCGTCTTCCTAGTTTTGGTCGTCTCCATCAATTACTTCGGTGTGAGATTCTTCGGTGAATTCGAGTTCTGGCTGTCGTCATTCAAGGTCATTGTCATTCTCGGCCTCATCCTCCTGTCCTTCATTCTCATGCTCGGTGGTGGACCGGACCATGACCGCAAGGGTTTCCGCTACTGGAAGAGCCCAGGTGCTTTCAACACCTATGTGATGGAGGGAAACGCTGGTAGATTCCTGGCTTTCTGGTCCACCATGGTGTCTGCTACATTTGCCTACTTGGGTACCGAGCTGGTCGGAGTGACCGTTGGCGAGGCACAGAACCCCCGAAAGACGATTCCCAAGGCTATCAAATTGACCTTTTACCGCATCCTGGTTTTCTACGTGCTGAGTGTGCTCCTCGTCGGTACTCTGGTCCCATACAACTCTCCGCTGCTTCTCTTCGCCACCGGATCCAACAACGACAAGAAGGGCTCCGCCGCTGCTTCGCCCTTCGTGGTCGCCATCCAGCTGGCAGCTATCCCAGCATTGCCCCATATTCTGAACGCCTGCATTCTGCTCTTCGTCTTCTCTGCCGCCAATTCCGATTTGTACATCGCTACCCGTACCATCTACGGCCTGGCCCGTGAGGGCAAAGCCCCCAGGATCTTCGCCCGTACCGATCGCCGCGGTGTCCCCGTGTTCGCACTGGCCATTTCCTCCCTGATCGCCCTGCTGGCCTACATGAACGTCAGCAGTAGCTCGCAAACCGTCTTCAAATACTTCGTCAACCTCGTCAGCATCTTCGGTCTCCTAACCTGGATCTCCATCCTGGTCACTCACATCCACTTCGTGCGCGCTCGCAAGGCCCAGAACGTCCCCGACGAAAGCTTAGCCTATAAGGCACCCTTCGGCGCCGCAGGCTCTTACTTCGCTCTGGCCTTTTGCTGTCTCATCGCCCTCACCAAGAACTTCGATGTCTTCATCCACAACCCTAAGTACGGCAACTTCGACTACAAGAACTTCATCACCGCTTACCTCGGTATTCCTCTGTACCTCATTATGATCTTTGGATACAAGCTGTGGACCCGCTGTGAGCGCGTCGACCCCAAGACTGCCGATCTCTGGAGCGGAAAGGACGAGATTGACCGTGAAGAGGCTGAGTATCTCGCCGCGAAGGAGGCTGAGGCGGAGAAGAACTCTGATGCGAACATCTTCTACCAGAAGTTCGTCTCTTGGCTCTTCTGATTCGTGAACGTCTCTTCATATCTATCTTGTCTTAGAATTTAAGCGTTCTTTTGTGCCCGCGGTTTTTGCTGCGTGGGCTGGCCATTTATTTGGATTTCAATACATCTTAGATGTCTCGATGATTATGAGAAATGATGATCGATCTACAATATATACTTACAGGATAGTCTGTGCAAGCGCTCTCAGGATTAGAGCGGTTTTTCATCTCTAGCCGTGCACTGTGCTCGTTGAGCAGTACTTTGCACGAGAACGAGGGGAGGGTCGAACTTAGGGCAAGTCCAAACTCCTACGGTAGGTAGTGATACGGTATTTGATTGAATCCCGTTTTCGAGATTTCCCCTTCAAAAATGCAGAGCGAGGCCAGATACCGCATCACTACGGTATCCAAAACCTTGGGCGGGGCGGCATATATCGGGTTTGTCCCATCACCTCTAAGTTTCATGGATGTCGTTACCTTACAAAACTTGTCCGAGTTGAACGTTGTACCCGTGTTTCGTCGTAATGCTTACAGTTCATTGCACCCTGGACATGTAGAAACATTCTGCATTACATTTAGGCGCAGACAACCGACATGATATACAAGCCCTCACTAACGCTAGAAGAAAAATGAAATAGAATTCGCTTGTGAAGGCAAAATGCAGTCATTAAAAAAGAACGGGGGAACTATTCAAGGGCCAGCGGCTAAGGGTATTTGATCGCCTGTCAAATCATCAAAGCTGACGGAGGCCTTCTCGCCCTGAACAAATTTGCCAAATGTCAATAAAGCACGATAAATCTCCTTGCCTGTTGGGACAATGTGCTCGGAAGGCAGAAGGAACCCATAACTACCGCGGTCGCGGAGCTTGATCTGGTACGAAAACTTGGCGCGCAGCTTATGGTAGAACCAGTCCAAAGCACTACCGCCCGCGGTAGTTCCAGCAGCTACGCTGTGACTGAGAATCCCCTCGCAAGCCGAGGTAACATCATAGGATTGATGTGATGTCTGGCGAATTGACTTGGCTAGACCCAATGCTAGCTCCTCCAGACTCTCGAGCGTGGGCGGCACAGACGAGCAGCTGTATGAATATGGGTATAGAATCTGCTGAGAGTAGGAGTGTAAGTCGATGTATCCAACGATTTCCGCGCGGTGCTGGGCTGTCTCATTTTGAGCCCACTGCGCTAGGCGTAGTGACTCAAGTGCTTCAAAGGGCTCCGCGCCGGCGTAGTTCTCTGAGCACGGGTTCGAGCGAGTGGACTCGCCGTCCCACTCATAGTCCCAGGAGCGATCTAGATCGACGCCTGGGCAAAGTGGGAGGCCTGTTGGCTGGCGGTTCTTGCGCCATAGCCGGTCCGATTCCCATGAGTAGACATATCCGTCTGGATTGAGGGTTGGGATTAGTACCCAGTCATACTCGTGCAGCAATTCTGTTACTGTGGCTGAATAGCGGTAATGAGTGATTAAGCTGTATGCCACATATGTTACCGTGGATGTGCTGATCCACTCCCGGGCATGAGTACCACCGACAATGACAATTGTCTTGCGAGGGCCCTCTGTGGGTTCTGCCGAGGCAGAGGCTCCCAGTCGCAATGCTGGGATATCTCGACCCTCATAGGACACCCCCACACTGGTCATTTGTACGTGGGTGGAGAACATGGAGGCCATCAAGCGCATCCATTGCGTAATGACGGCCAGGGGTTGGTATTCTTGAAAGAAAAGGTCCCCGTTCGATATCGTCTGGAGTTCACCTGGTGTATTCCCAACACCAAATTCGGCGTTTGTAGGGCGACGAGAGGGATACGATTCATAAATCTTCTTGGCGAGGTTGTCCATAAGCGGAGTGTAGGAGGTGCGGAGCGTTGACGGTAATAAGTCCAACAGGGAAGGGATCTAGCAAAATTAATTGGGCGATCATAAAGCTATCGGAGTAAGCCTCACCATATCCTCTGCCAGTCTAATATCCACAAATTCCGAAGTGATGGCCCAAGTGTCCAAGAACAGCACCTGTGAGGCAGAAGCCAACGCCGCTGCCTCGTCCGGTTGGCGCAAGTAAAATCGGAGAACGACATCGCTGCCATATCGGTCATAGATATTCGACGGTGGCGAGTGATGTTTTGAAGAGCATCGAGTATGGTCAATATCCCAAATGGAACTGATTACCCAGTCGCGCAGTCGAGCCCACGGGCGTGGGTTGGAATGGGTGAGACGGACTGGCTGCAAGGGCGGCGGTGGGGTGATGCTCGAACCAGCGGGGACAGCAGAGATGAGAGGGAGAAAGGCCGATGCGACCAATATCGTAGGAATACGCATGCCGAGTCACAAGATGATCTATTTCAAAAGAAGGGAAAGAGTTGGAGATCACAGGTTTACTGTGAGGAGTACAGCCTGAGGTCCACACTGATGAGAGCCTCGGATGCGGAGAAGAGGCGAGGGGGCAAAACGTCAGAAGACGGGGGCGGGTAGGGGGGTAGGGGAGTAGGGGACTAGGGGAGTAGGGGACTAGGGAGGAAATGGAAGAGAGATTCAAATCATATGCGACGTATAGAAGTAGATGAATTAGATGAATGGCAAAAGATAAGCCGGAGATTGGGAGCATTGGGGGAGAAGATGAGGAGCTTGTTCGTTCTACGTCAGTGTCCGTAGTCAGTGGTCTCTTGGCCTGGAGGACTCATGAATCTACGTGTGGTACAACATTAAACAAGGACTATTACTGTACCTCTGCAGTTTAACTACTGTATCGCTGTTTAGTAAACTACAAATTACATGAAGTTATACAAATTGCACAGATCTCTTTCTATACTTAAACCGGCCGACCCGACGCTCAGGTCGCTCGCCTTAAATTCATCTGCCTTGCCCCTCTTATCTTTCTTGGCCCACGACTATCACGACATTTCGATGCTCTTGATCTTTTGTTTTTTCTATTTTTAAAAAATCACCCTCATCGAGTAAAAGAAGGAAACAAGTGTGGCGGCAGAAATAGGGCAATCTAGAACGTTGCTCCCTTTTCCCACGTTCCCCTTTTTGCATGACTGAACCTCTCCACGTAATCCCGCGTCTGGACCATGTCCTTCTCCTCCATCCTTTGTTAAACAACCACTCTTTTCTTTCTCTCATGGATTGTTAGCTTGGGTTTATCCTGACGCTTTGTCCTTCACCATGCATTGGAAAGGACTGCGTCTTGGGCCCGATGGCAAGAGACAGACCGTCGACCAACCTCAAGTCCGTCGCAGTGAACACCTTCCTCGTCCTTATCCCGCCCCCGAACCCAGATTTTCCGAATCAATTTCTCGTACTTCTGGTCAGCCAGATAAGGGGAATAGCACAGGCATTCACACACCAGATGACAGGTCAAATCATGGGGTAGCTCAGTCGGACTTTGCACCATCGGCGGAGACCCCGAGTCTACGCCAAAAGCGGTTCAGCTTTATGAGGCTACGCCATGCATCTGACCCTCAACTCTCCAAATCTTATGTCAAGGCGGGCGAGGACTCACCCCCGGTCCCCTCCTTACCGCGTAAGTGAATCAATTGACTATCCCACTCGTCTAGGATGAAGGAGCTAACCGTGTCTACCATATAAAGCTCCCAAAATCATCACTACCGCCCCTACCAGTCACGACCTCGACCAGCCCGTGAAACAGAGATCTAGGCTTAGCTTTCGACCATCCTCACGCAAACAGTCCATGGAGGAGATGTCTCGGAAATCAACGGAACAATCTGTGAGGTCTCGCCGGAGGGGCCAGGGGTCAACCGACTCTCAGGGCGACTCGACGCTCGGCATGTCCCCGAGCATCACCGAAGAGCCCGGACGCTTGTCAATCAATTCGCTTCGGGGCGGTCACCAGCAGCACACTGACTCCCAGCGCTCGTCGGTGATCGATCCCCGATTTTCCGAATCCTCTCGGTCAGACCAGAGTAATGGTGACCAAACAGTCCCTCTAACCAACTATCCTCGTGAGGGTAACTCCACATCGGCCAAGCGATTTCGTCTACCACGCTTAAAGCGCAATCGCAGCCCTCTCTTCCCTTTGCCCCCCAAAGTCTCGCAACCGGGAGTTTTCGACAATCGACCCAAGTTTCCGCCGGTAGATACGCCAAAATCGGAGAACTCAGATGGCCAGGATCACATCTCACCACTACCGTCACCATCTCGTTCCGCTGTGGTACTCGCCTCGAATGCACCGCCACTGTTTCGGAACGACTCAACGAACTCAGCTCGATCTGTTCGATCCAATTCGTCCTTGAAAAATCGCAGACGTTCATCCACCATGGGATCGCTGGCCGAGAACCATGATGATTTGTCCGTACCCCCTTGGCTTGCAGCTTCGACACGCACGTCTACTTCGACCAGTGGCCGCAAAAGCTTCAGTGATATGTTCAACCTCACTCAGCGATTGAGGCAAAACTCATCCCCGCCCGCTCCCCGACACGGTTCCCCCGCCATAGGCGGCGCCTCCACCCCAAACTTGCGAACGGTAGAGCTACCAGCAATTCCGAAACGGGAAGAATCCGACACTCCCGCATCATATTTGACCCGTTTAGAAGAAAGCATACCCCGTGGAATGATTGGCGGTGTTCTAGCACAATCAGATGAGGAATTCTTCAAGATCGGTTTGCGGAAATACATGAGAACCTTCTCATACTTCGGCGACCCGCTCGACATGGCAATTCGCAAGCTCTTGATGGAAGTTGAGCTTCCGAAAGAAACACAGCAAATCGACCGTTTCGTACAAGCATTTGCTGACCGCTACCACGAATGCAACCCGGGTATCTTCACCAGCCCGGACAATGCCTACTTCATTGCATTTTCGCTTTTGATTCTCCATACCGACGTCTTCAATAAAAACAACAAGCGCAAGATGCAGAAAGCGGATTACGTCAAGATCAGTCGAGGGGAGGGGGTTTCGGAGGACATCCTAGAGTGTTTCTATGAGAACATCTCATACACTCCATTTATCCATGTGGAAGACGCGAACCCGCCCGATCGCCACTTGGCAAAGCCACGTCGCACGCTTTTCAAGAGCACTAGCACTGAGAACTTGCCCAGGATTACGCGGGAGCCTGTCGATCCTTATTCGCTCATTCTGGAAGGCAAACTGGAATCTCTGCGCCCTAGCCTGAAGGATGTCATGGATCTGGATGATACATACGATCACTTCGGTACCGCTGGGCCACCGGACATGGATGTCCTTCACCAGTCCTTCACCAAGTCAGGAATCTTGCAGATCATTTCTTCCCGCTCTCGCCCTGACGCGTTCATGCCGGCTAGCTTGGGCAGTCCACTTGACTCAAACCCCGGTCTGGTGGATATCAAGGTTGCCAAGGTTGGCTTGCTTTGGCGGAAAGATCCCAGGAAGAAGAAAGCTAGATCGCCCTGGCAAGAATGGGGCGCAATTCTCACTTTTTCTCAGCTCTACTTCTTCCGCAACGTGAACTGGGTGCGCTCACTCATCGCGCAGCATGAGGCATATGTCAAGAATGACCGTCACGGTACTCTTGTGTTCAAACCACCTCTTGCGGAGTTCAAACCGGACAATATTCTGTCTACCGGTGATACGGTTGCTCTTTTGGACTCTAGTTACAAAAAGCACAAGCATGCATTCACGTTTGTTCGACACAATGCGATGGAGGAGACATTCCTCGCTACCTCAGAGTCTGAAATGAATGATTGGATTGCACACCTCAATTATGCTGCGGCCTTCAGGACCACTGGCGTACGCACCAAGGGCATGATTGCCACTAACTATGAAGGACAGCGATACCGCAAATGTCAGCGAATGAGCTCAGTGTCTTCTCAAAAGTCCCACCAATCGACGGACCAGGAGCCCGCTTCTCCTAGCATTGATACCGATATCGTCGCCGAATTCATGGCTGCGCGCCGCGAATTAATGAGCCAAAAGATTCGAGAGAGAAACGAAAAGCTCTTTGTGTTGCAAAAGCAACTGGAAGATCTCCTACAAAATGCCCGACACTTGCAGGTTCTCACTCCTGTTCATGCCCGGGCTCGGGAGAACGTCATTCTGGCTGCAGGTCGCTTGTCTGCCAAGATCAAATGGGTGAGGCAGGATATTTGGCGTAGCAAATGTTACCGCCAAGTTCTGCTCCGAGACCTCGGCAAGGACGAAGAGGCGGTAGAGGCTAGGGTGGAAGCTGTCGCTGACCCGACGCTATCGCACGCGGATGGGACACGCCTGGCCTCGCTTTCCAGGCCATCCTTGAGATCGGAGCCCAGCGTGGAAAGAGCCGGCAGTATTGTGCCTACCGTCTCTAGTGCCGATACGCCTGAGTCCAATGTAACCGCAACTGAGCAACCAGCAGAAGCCGGATTGCTGGCCAAACCTTCGAACGACGAACTCCGCCGTCCCAGCATCCCGACGTCAATCACTTCATTTGATGTCCTCCGTGTCGGCCGTCAACGCTCCGCTGTACCCGTCCCCGAGCGTGCCAAGTCATACTCGCCCGACCCAACAACAATCACACTCGAGCGTGAAGCATCTGTTCTCAGTCGTGCTAGTCGGTGGGATGGAGCCAGCCTTGCGTCTAAGACCTCAAAGCTGACCGCACCATTGAGCTTCGACGACGGCGAAGAGCGCGTTCTGCGGGAAGCTGGTCTACTCGAACTGCCAGCATCACCAAAGGGACGCCAGGACGAAGAGGTTGCCCCTGACACCAACCCCAGCAAGGCCTCCGAGGGTGACACCAATGTAAACGACAAAGGGGATAAACCAAGTCGCGTTCGCCGCAGCCTTCATCGCACTCTTCGTGACTCGCACTCCCGTAGAACCCATTCTCACTCAAAGAAGAAACGCGGTTCGGTGTCCAGTATTGGACCGGAAGAAGACGATCATGTGTCCGGCGATGGCGAGGGCCTTCCTCGCAAAGCTCCCAGTTTCACCGTGCATGGCAAAAAAGCATCAATCATAACCTTCGGGTCTGAATGGCAAAACATGCCCCCGGAAGGGCGCCTCAAGCTCCGCAAGCCTACCCCTCATGAGGAGCCACGGGCGTCGGAGCCTACTATCATCGGCAGCGGTGAGTCGATGTTGACGGACCGGAGCCCGGAACGTCCTCATTCGATCCACAGTATGACTACCACTACTGGCCTAAGCGTGCGCAGCGCCGATGATCTGTCGGAGTTCAAGGATGCTCAAGAGCAACTGGAAGAAGATATCGGGGGTCCTGCCTCCCCAGTGATTACGTCCTTCTCGAATGTTGATGCAAATCCGTTGGACATGGAACCCACCCCTTACTCCCCTTCATCTACGACATACAGCAGCCATCTTCTTGCACCAAGACAGGACGGCTCCTCTTCTCCGTCTTCTACGTCAATCAGCGAGCGCATCGTTGATACGCCATCCAACGAAAACCTTCGCGAGCAGGCCGTAACTGCCTGAGCATTTACCACCTCTCCCTCTTCAGTGCATCTTACCTTACCTTCTTCTGTACATCCTATCACTTCTGATCTTGATCTTCTGTTTGACGATTATTATACCCCTTTTTCAACCTCTTGCAACTTATTCCTCTTCCTGCTTACTTTACTTGCATTGTGTCTGGCGAACTCGGGCTTCCGAACGGTGGTCGAATCGGTGTGTTTTTGACTGTCTGTCTGCATTTTTGTATAGGAATTGTATGCATTTTTCGTCCGGTGGATGGGTCCAATTTGTGCGGTGGGAGGATGCATGGGCGTGCCAAATTTCTCATGACCTGGGCATTTTGTTCCGGCTCTTTTTTCTAGTCTGATAGACAAAAGCGCTTTATGATTGACAATGATCTGATCTATTACTCTTACTCTTTCGCTTCTTGGAGATTTCCATAGCTTTAGACGAAAAGAACTACGCTCAAGGGTCACATCACATATCTAGCTAAGACTAGATCAATAGTTCTTCCCAAGCTGATCTGTTGGAACTGGTGCAACAAGTTAACCTGGGAGGGTCATGTGACCTAGCGTGCGTTTGTGTGTATTAAGGGGTAGTTCGCGATGCCTTCATTCTTAGCTTGAACAACGATTACTACACAGATTACACCGAGCAGGAGCCTCCACGAGAGTAGGCCCTCTGCCCAGTAATCGCCGTAGTCTTCGTCTTCGACGTTTCGCATAGTAGCAATATTGCCGTGTGGAACCAACACTGATCAGGCTCCTGCTCTGTGTAATCTGTGTAGTAATTCGTTGTTGTTCAAGCTAAGAATGAAGGCATCGCGGTCGAAAAGGGGTCTACAGATACCGTTTCTTCCGAACTCATCCCCAAAGACCCGATATAGGGCTGACCAAAGCGGTGAACGAGGCGGTGACCCGTCCCACCAATCCCAATCCCCAACCATCCGCGCCCCAAACACAAACCCCGTCAAAAACCCTATTACCATTACGCCATTATCCCAAAGCTCCACCAAAAAGCACAAGCACCTTCTCTCCATACCCCAACCCACCGCACCAAACAACCACACCCCAAAATGGCACACTCAAAACGCAACACCTCCCTCCCCCACTTCACCTCCTACGAACGCGGCCTCCTGCGCTCAACATGGGGCACCAAGCGCAGCGCAATCGGCCGCGACAGCTTCCTAAGCTTCGGCTCCTGCCGTCTGTGTTTGCAGCCGGCGCGCGCACCAGTCGTCGCATGCGCCAGCAACGGCGACCTGTTCTGTCGCGAGTGTGCGATGAATGATCTGCTTGCACAGAGACAGGAGATCAAGAGGTTGGAGAAAGAGCGGGATGAGGCACGGAAGCGGATTGCGGAAGAGGAGGAATCGGCGTTGAAGGAGATGAGGGAGAGGGATTTGAGGGATTTTGAGCTTGTTTCTATGGGGCTTGAGAATAGTGGGAACGGGAATGGGAATGGGACTGGGAAGAAGAGGAAGGCTGGGGAGGAAGAGGAGGCGTTGGAGAGGTTTAAGGCTAGGGAGGTTGAAGTTGAGGGGAAGAAGAAGAGGGTTTTTGAGCTTGGCGTGGAGGGAATGGCGAGATTTGCTACGGAGGAGAGGGAACGGTTGAGGAGGGAGTTGAAGAGTGAGAAGGTTTGTTTGATCTTTTTACTTCCTTGGGTTGTGGCTAACTAACTGCTTGCCTTGATAGGAGTCTAGCAAATCTGCTCTTCCGTCTTTCTGGGTCCCGTCTTTAACGCCTAATACTGATGCAAACGCGATCGCTGCCAATAAGGCTGTCAAGTTGACGCCCGTCTGTCCTGGCTCGACGGAGGAGTGCAGGCATAGTTACTCGCTCAAGTCGTTGGTTGATGTCAAGTTTACGGAGGAGAAGGCTTCCGATGGGACTGTTTCCAGGATTTGTCCGAGCTGCAAGAAGAACTTGAGTAATGGGCTCAAGGCGATGCGTATGTGTTCGATTTGGGCTGGGCCATGGAATTCTTGCTAATGATCCTTGAACAGTTACGAAACCTTGTGGACATGTCATCTGTGCTCCGTGTGTGTCGAAGTTTATGATCCCGCATGATCAACATATTCCCAATCCGCATGCTTCAAAGGAAGAGCAGGAGACGGCTGCTGCGTTGCACGGGCAAGTGCTATGCTATGTCTGTGAAACGGATGTTACGGGAAAATCAAAAGATGGTAATGGCAATGGGACGAGCAAGAAGTCTAAGAAGAAGGATAAGGAGACTATTCAGCCTGGTCTGGTGGAGATTTCCTCCGAAGGAACTGGATTTGCCAGCAAAGGTGGGAATATGGGTAAGAAGAATGGGGTTGCATTCCAGTGCTGAGCCAATTCCAAGAGAAAACAACTTTCGATGATGTGTACGATATAATCCTGGTATTGCCGCCCGGAGTGGCTATGAACGCCCGAACCATGCAAATACAATATGTTCTAGATATACAGTGAAGCCATGCTTGGCACTTATAGGAGAGACCCGAGCTGCCTCTCCTATTCGAAAATTCCAAGCTCAAGCCCGCTTTTTGGCATTGTTGAACTCGCGCACAGTGATCTGGCAAGCGACTTCCTGACAAAGACGACGGCGACGGCTAGGGTCCAACTTAGAGCCGAACTCCAAACCAGAAGCACGCTCAACAGCCTCAAGGGGAACCTCAAAGTCCGTCAGACGCTTATCATTCGCAATGCGAGCATTGGGCAAAACAAAAGCACCGAGCGCAACCTTGCTAGTAGGCGAATTGGTCCCATCCTCGGCATAAATAACCTTATAGAAGTGCGTCGGCACCGCGACATTAGGCGGGTTACCAATGACCTCGTAGTTAACACGCCATTTCCCATCCGGGTCACGGTGGGGCAGATACAGAGGCCCAGTCACGATACGAACAGACGGGTACCGCTTGACGAGATCCCGACAGAAAGTCTCAAAATGCGCCCAGTAGTCACGGTTGAAGCCCTCTCCGACCTGCGGACACATATTGCTGAGAGCAAAAGTCCCGTCCATGGCTTCCTGCGACCACTTGGCGTCCGCCGCCGGCACCTGGTGGCCGCGGTCATAGCCCGAGCGGAAATAGTCGGACAATTTGGCGCGGAACATGGTTGGCACCGTTGTGTCTTCGAAGAAGGTGCTCTTCTTGCGGTCGCCGATGTTCAGCGCGATTGATTCCGGCGTGATGTGTTCGGCTACCCAGGCTGGGTTGCGGGTGCGTCGGTCGTAGGCGCCGTGCACGGGGAGGGAGGAGAGGTCGTCGGCGATTGGGCCTGGGAAGCCATATTGGAGGATTCCGGCTGGGTTGACGGGGCCGGTGGATAGTTTGGAGGCCAGTGTTGGGGATGGCAGTGTGGTGGGTGGTGCTGGAATTGTGGGTGTTGCGGTGCCCGGGGTTGTGGGTGTTGGTGTGAGAGTTTGTTGCGGCTTGGAGGACTTGCCGGAGAAGAGGAGGGCTGTGACTCCGGCTCCTGTTGCTGCGCTGGCGGCAGCGATGACGGCTAGAGTTGCTTTGGACATGGCTCCTTTCCCTTCCTTTGGTTTGGAGAGAGCCGAAAGTAGACGTCTTCGTATGAGAGGAAGTCGAAAGATTTCAGGAACCGAAACAAAAATAAGTCCGAGTCACGGGCCAATCAGAGTGTCATATAGGAAACATGCTATTGCTATTGTTCTAGGGGGTAAGAGAGGGATGTCTTCTTTTATATCTTCACTGGATGAAGAGGATTAGCGTGGAATACTCATATTTCGAATCATCTGCGACTGTCAGCTGCCGAATTCCAGCGTTGCACTAAGACATCTCGTCGATCATCACAGTCTCAGATATCACCCGACCAATCCAATTAGTTGCAATGAATATTACATATCCTTCAAGTCTTTCCTTTCTGCCCTATTCCCTGACGAAGAGAGTCACATATTTCCTTCATGTCTTCCGCGTATTCGCAACATCCCAGATCCCAGGAGGGGAGGCGTAGGCGAGACGCAGATGAGAACCTTGGGGACAGGAAATGCATTCGCATCAATGCATAAAGCCTCACCACCACCCACAAATACAAGATGTCTTCATCCTCGACAGATATACGTAAAGAAAGAGGCGAAGTGTTGCGTTGACCGCCAACCTTCTGCTGATTACATCACCGGTTCTGTTTTCTTCAACTTCAACCCCACGCCATGTCTGCCAACGACCTTCGGGGGTGGGTGATGAGCGCCGTCTCAGGCGTCGGTAAGTGTCTCCAGTCCTTGATCTCATCAATTACTAACTGAGTCCAGCCTGCGTCCTTGGTTCGGCTATCATTTGCATCGATGTACTGGTACAAGTGCTCTCCCGCCACAAGAGCTTCCAGATCGCCAACAGTAGTAACTTTCTGTCGGCTTCATTATGTCTCAGCGCTGGTGTTATGGTGAGATATCTTCAGGGTTGCATGTTCGAGAGATAGAGAGATAGAGCTAACCTCCAAACAGCTCTTTACCTCCCTCTATAGCATGCTACCCACGTCGAAAGAATACTTGACCCGCGCCGGCTTCTCCTCCGCCGCATCCGCCTATATTTTAATCGGCCTTTTCATCGCCGGAGTCGCTGGTATACAAATAGCATCTGCATTTGCACACCGATTCATCCCCTCCCACGTTGTCGACTGTGCCCATACCCATGACGAGTCGGAACTTGATCCCGAGCGCGGCGAGCCCCGACGCGAGGAGCACCATGCACACGACCATAGCAACGGACATACCGAGCGAACACCGCTTTTACGACCTAATGACCGTATCTCCTTCAAATCAATGCCCGCGGTGGTACAGCGGAGCCAACATCCAGAGCCAGCGCCCAGACGCCGCGAGACGATGCGCGCCAGGCTAACACGCCGGCTCAGCTCGCTCATGGGTGGAGTAAAATCCACCTGCGACGAGAACGGTCCGTGCTTTGGAGTCTCTCAGACTTGTGGCAGCGAATGCACCAAATTACTTCCACCCGTTAACGAAGATACACGACCAACCCTGCCGCATCGTGAAAGCATATCCGCACCCTTGGAGTCGGACATCTCCCGCGCGCAACTCGATGTTGGAAATGAACATCTGCAAGATGCGCCAGAAGGTGGATACTTTGACAATCTCGCCGCGCAACACCACACGCATCCGTGCGTTTCCTCGTCCTCCTCGTCTCAGGTGCTATCCTCCCATTCCGATAATCATTATCATGAAGAGCACCGTAACCATGCAGACGCCCTTGAGTCTCCACGTCCCAAATCTGCTGGTGGCAACCCTCACCATCATCACGTCCCTCAAAATGCATTCATGTCGATTGGACTCCAGACCTCGCTTGCCATTGCTCTGCACAAGCTTCCAGAGGGATTCATTACATACGCTACCAACCACGCCAGTCCGACTCTCGGTTTGACCGTCTTCCTGGCATTGTTCATTCATAATATCGTGGAAGGTTTCGCCATGGCCCTTCCACTGTACCTAGCCCTCAACTCCCGCTGGAAGGCAATGTTTTGGTCCAGTCTACTGGGAGGCATCAGCCAACCCGCCGGTGCCGGCATAGCCGCTCTATGGATCTGGAGTACCGGGCAACATGGCAGCGACGACTCGAGAGGACCCTCGTGGGGTATCTATGGCGGCATGTTCGCCGTTACCGCTGGCGTTATGACATCCGTGGCATTGCAGCTCTTTGCCGAGGGTCTCGGTCTCACCCACCACCGCAGAATCGGCATTGGGTTCGCCGTTGCGGGTATGGGGCTGATGGGTCTCAGCTTTGCCTTGACGGCTTGAGTGCTCAGTTCCTTCTCATACGTGGCGTTGTCTGGCCTCATTGATTTCTTTTGCCTTCCATTGCTTTCGTTCGACATGGCCATAGAGTGGTCTTGCACAAATGATATTCTTACGATCAAAATTAGGAGTTGCATTACACGGTATTTATGCATGGTTGAGTGTCTTCGGTGGCACTGTGCTATACGCTCAGATTAATCAGTATCATAGTTCTTAGTATGTAGTCTTATCAATGCATACCAGTGAACCACTCATGTACTGTGTACTCGCTCTTTTTCAAATTCTTCCCTGCTTTCTTACTCCCTCCCCCTCCCTCCCCCTCCCTTCACTACCCTCTCAAGGTCCTTCAATCACGTCCATCGAACACCGTCATGGCCGATCGCGAGGAATGGAAGCGACAAGAAAGACAATTCATCGACCGTTTCTTTCAGGAGAAAGTGCCCGAGGCTTTGGGGAATGAAGCTGCGTCTCTTTGCACGGAAGATACTTGTATCCGATATGCACAAGCCCTTTTCAATACCGACGATATCGCCGCTGTCAACAACCAGGGCTCTAACAGCTTTACCCTCCAAACCCCAAGTACAATCATTCAATTTCGCCTCACTCCACTGAAAACCGACATTCTTGCGCTGGCCAACGAGATCTACGGTGACCTGGTGCCCAAAGTCAACCTCCATGACGGGTTTCTATTGCCAGTCTACAGCTCGAAGGTGATATCTGGCCAGATACACTTGTTTCAGCCATTTCCTGAGGAATTTCCCTTGGAACGGGAGAAAACGACCGTCACTGAGCTCGGCTTGTTTATTGCGAAAGCAGCCTTTTTCGAACAGCCCAAAGCCTGTGTGAAAAGCGACAGTTGGACGAGTACCGCTCCAGAACTGTTATATCGTCTAGTCCAAAACAATTCCCTAAAAATCTATGCTCCAGAACTCTTCGACGTTGTTCGCCGCCTACAACATAAGGTCTATCTATTAGAAAGCCTGCCCAGAGTTTTGACCCACCATGACTTTTCACAAGTGAATATCCTTGTGAACGATACTGGGAATATCACTGGTGTGATCGACTTCGACGAAGCGGGGATTGAGGCGTTTGGAATGTGCATTTGGGGATTATACGAATGTTTCTTTGGGAGTATGGAGGCTGGCAAATGGTCATTCTACCACGAAATGCCGGTGCTTGCGAACGCTTTCTGGGGATCCCTCTGGGCCAACACTCCCCCAAGCCTAAAACGAGAAGAGGCCCAGACGGCAATCAAAGTCTCTTTAGGTATTGGGGTTCTTAACCGATATTTCATTCACGGTATGGTGGACAAGATCGACCTATCGAAGAAAGTCCATCGCCTGTCCCTCGAGTATGCAAGGGGGATTTTGCCTCGAATTTGGGAATGAGAAGGTCCTCAATGTAGGTACATAAAATTTGATGCTTCGATACTATAAGCAAGCCGTACAAGATTAGGTCTAAGGAATTACGACCAACTGTAGCAGTATAAGGCATGGCTGGTGACGCTTCACTGAGGGGACTAAGTGCCTGCCCACTGTGACGACCATTCCTCTGATTCGCAACTGTGACTGACATAGGAGACTACACCCTTGGCACTTCTACCTGGCTACGAAGTCCGATGAACTCAGGCTGTTTCAACATTAAAAATAACAAGTTTCAATAACATTGCTGTATGGACAAGGTACCCAATTTCGGTCCACTTAAAACATCACAAAACGCATCATATACAGATCCAACCCATCCATACAACTTTAGGCAAATATTCAAAGGGCCTGCACCGAAATCCGTCTCGGAGCCCCATTCCCACTAGACTCCCTCAAATGATTCCGATGCGCCAGGCCCTCCTCCTCCATATCCTCAACATCAATACTAAACCGTCTAGGCTTAGCCCAAACCCCAAAGTCCTCTCCATTCCCCTCCCCAACACCCTCCTGCACACCAAACCTATCCGCCAGCGACTGGAACAACTCCGCATGCGCCGAATCCCTACCAGAACCCTGTCCACCCAGCCTACCCTTCGCTCTCCTCAGCAACTCCATATGCTGCGACGCCGTATCAGCGGCACGCGCATGACCCTTCGCCTCGGAATCACCGAGCAAATCGTAAAGCACGCCCTCGTGCAACGTGACCGCCGACTGGTGATTATCCGAGGCAGTGAACAGCGCAGAGAGGAGCTTGGTCATTTCCAGTGTGACGGGATCGCAGCTGCCCCAGACTTGGCGCAGATTGTAGCAGATGTCGCGGCAGAGCTGGATGGCGGAGTCGACGTTTCCGCGACAGAAACGGGTTTCCACGAGGCGGCGGCCGATCCAGACGACGACGTCGGGCGTCCAGGTTCGTTGCACGATTCGGGAGGTCCAGAGTTGAGTGAGGATTGTTTCGAGTTCGGGGAACATGTCGTGTTCGCCGAGTAGGGTGATTGCGTCGTTTAGTTCGTTGAAGGGGAGGTCGACCATTTCGATGCCCAGGGATCGGGAGGTGGTCATGATCTCTTGGAGAAGTAGCTTGGCTTTGGTGGACATGTCGTTGTAGGTCTTTTCGTCGGTGCATTTGGTCGCCTTGTGGCCTGAGAGGTAGAGGCAGAGCTGGGTGGCGGTCTTGATGCTCTCGTGGCTGTTTAGACCGTCTGTCAGGTGCATGAAGGAGTGCAGGACACCTGTCACGATGGCGGCTTCTTGGAAGCGGGAGGCGTTGCAGAGGGTGCGGACGAAGTCGGTAGTTCTTGTGAGGATTCTCATGTTGTAGTCCTCGTTGTGCACCTCGCGCAGACAGATCTGGTAGAACTGCTGCACGACTTCCTTGTCGGAGACGTTCATGGCGGACAGGTTGGTGCAGAAGTACTCGTACAGCTTGTTCTTGGTGTCATTGGCAGGGCGAACTCGCTTCTGCTCAGTCTGCATAGTGTAGAGCAGGTGACCCGAGATGAGAGTCGGGATGAAGTCGTGGCCAGAGAGATTCCTGGTGAAGTCCCGGTGGGTCTTCATCTCGGTATCCATTTCTCTCATGATCTGGTCGTAGCTAGCGCGTCTGCCGAAGACTTCCTCAAAGGCAGCGACGAAGATGGCGTCGCGACGCTCGGGCAGCGCCATTGTCGATGCCTCGGGACTGTAGACCACACGGTGGCGCAGCTCATCAAGGACGTTGTTGCCCCCTTCGATGAAGCCACACTCAAGATAGATACTGGCGATCCGACGGGCCCAGTCGCCAATCATGTCGGGGTCGCCGCCGGCCTGCAAAACATCCGTGGAGTAGGTGTGTAGAATGACATTCCCCTGTTGCACAGATGCGGTTGTTCCCTGTCGCGAGTGGGCAAGGGCAAGCTCACGCAGCCAGGATAGAGTCGTAGTGGAGAAGTGGCCTTGAGTCTTCTTCGCCAGCTGGTACTCTTCCGTGTACAGGGAGCGGGCTTCACCGGTCGAATCATGCTTGCGAACGAACAGCTGTGCCAGCTTGTGCTTGAGCGTGATGGGCAGTGGTGCGGTCATCTGATCGAGAGGCTTCGATGACTCGCCTGCTCCCACCCACTCGGTGGTCTCCAAAGGCACCTTGTACAATGCGATGGCTCGGTCAATATACGCGTCATTGGACTCGCACAGCTCGGCAAAGAGCAAGGTGGCATTGAGTGTCTTCTGACTCGTTGGGCCATGCACATGCTGACAGGTCATGACATACTCAGAAGCGATCTTGTACTGCTCGGAGAAGTCGGAGCCCTTTTCAGCTGTCAGAATCGACATGTAACCCATGTAGGTCTTCTCCAGCATCCGATCAACCAGTTCATGGTCATAGGTCCGTTGCTGTTCCTTGTTGTCTTCGACAACCAGGGTCGGCCAGAGTGATCGGTAGACGTGCAGGGAAGAACTCCAGTCCATTTCCCTCTCGTAAATGCCAATGAGAGCAACCGCAGCTTCAATACCCTCAGGAGCAATCGCATTCTCCCGCGAGGTGGCTCTGTGAATGCGCTGATACATGCGCTTGGCATCACTGTGCATCTCCAAGCGAGTTGCCAACGCAGCCTCGAGATACACATTGTCAATGGTTTGCTTATGAGTCTCTCCAAGGCGAGCGGCCAAGAAGTTGCTCACGGTGTGAAGCAAAGTCAGTGCCTTGGGGAACTGGAAGGAAGTCTCGTGGAACTCAACCACGGCCTTGGCAACGGCCAACACGGAGGGCACAGGTACATTCTCAGAGGAGAGCAAAGAACCAAAGGCATTCTCGTACACCACGGTAGCCTGTTGCAGATGCAGCCTGCGGAAGTGGCAGTAGGCCAAAACCAGAGCAAGGTCTGCCGCGGGCGGCGCCAGGTCCTGCGAGAATTTCTGGTGAGACTCGGGCTTCTCGACGGTCGGCCAGATATGCTGCAGAACGGCCATCGTGCATTCGCTGGCTTGCGCCCAGTCACCCTCACGCACGTAGATACTGGACAGATTGTGGCACATGATCAAGGTAGTGACAGTCATGTTGTCCTTGCTTGCCGAAATGCTGTCCAGCAGCTCAACCAGCAACTTGCGGTCTCGAACAGAGAGCGACGATGCATCGTTGGGTGAGACAGAACTTGCCATGCTCTGGGCGATGGAGAGGGCCAGCGCGGTTCCCTGAGGCGAGTATTCCTGGTGATTCTCCTTGTAGTAGCGCCACATGAGAATCGCCAAAGAGCGATCGAGGTTGTACATAAGCATCTCCCGAGTCTCAGCGCGGAGAAGGTGCACATGCTCCATCATCTCTGGCGAGTGGATACCGGTGACCTCGAGGTCTGCGACCAGTTCGCGGATGACGACCTCAGCTTCGTCGTTGCGACTCTGGCGGCGTAGGAACTGGTAGTACGCAATGGCGACGTTGGACTTCTTGTCCATCATATTGACTGAGTCAATGTCGTGCGAGCTAAGACCAGCCCAGAGGCTGGAGAGAACTGCCTGGGCGTGGACATTGTCGCCCTGTTCCTCGTACATCTTCGCCATGTACAATGAGTACTTGATCCGACGATCATCGGTGACATCCATGGTGCGGACGATGTTGTCGTACTTCGTTCTGGCAATGTCGCGGCCCATCTCGTCGGTTCCAGTGGTCGAGAAGTGGCCAGTCAAGAAATCGGCAGTTTCCGATGACTGGCGCGAGTTCGTACCGTACTTCTGAAGAATCTGCTGGTAGAAGTGCTTCGAGATGAATAAGGCAGACTTGTTGTCGCCACGGGACTTGTACATGCCGACGATCATTCCAAGATACTTCAGACGTTGGTTGAACTGCACGCCGGTGATTTCGGAGTCTGTCAGGATCAAGTACTTCATGATGTCTTCTTGTTGGGAAGTCATGGAGTCTCGCTCGGAGAATGACTGTGTCATCATCTCAGCACATGCCAAAGTGATCGGGTGCGACTGGCCAAGAAGCTCTTGGCTCAGCTTCCAGCATTCGTAGCTAGTCTCATCAGCGTGACTGGCGTGCGCTAGCCTCGAGACGCGGGCGCTGAAGATCATGCTCTGTAGCAGTGCCATGGACTTATCACCGAGGACCAATCGGCGAATGTCACTGGCAAGTCTGTAGAGCTCAACGACGCTGGAGCGAGTGAACTGGGACTCGCGGCAAGTCAACTCCAGTCGTGCAAAGAGGACAGCTGCAGGCAGGAGCTTTGTAAAGCTGGAGGTGAACTGGAACTCTCCGTCATCTGTGACCAGAGGCGACGACAGAAGATGCGAAAGCCAGTAGCGTGCGGTGTATTCCAAAACGACATACTTGTCGAAGAGGTGGTTTCGCTCGTCGATGCCTAGCTTGTCCATGGAAACATCGACATCTTCGTCCATGCGCAATTGCACACTGGCGAGGCACCTGGTGAGCAAGTCGTAATGTCCGTCCTTGATGTTCAGCTGAGAGGTTCCGATGGTAGACTTGGCCTGTTTGATAAGATGGTCGCGAATACAGGTGTGGGCAAAAGAGACAACACCGTCCCGTGTCATGACCAGCGGGCTCAAGGCATTCAAGATGTCATGGCTATCGGTAATCTTGTTGGCGGAGTAACTTGGACCCTTAGGATTCACGTTGAGCAGCTCCTCGATCTCTTCGACCAACAGGGGTCTCTCAGCTGCTGCAAGCCATGAGACAATGTTGATGGTACCCTGCTGGCTGAAGTCGAGACCCTTGGAGTGGAAATCAAGAAGCTCCGGCATCGACTGCGGCAGGCTTTGTATGGCGGAAGCAGCAAGGCTCAGGGTCTTTTGCTGTTTGGCGTGAGCAACCGCCATCTCGGCCCAACTGAAAGAGCCCTGAGCGCGGCCAGCAATAGCAGACACGGCAGCTTGCAGTTGGTCGCTCTTGTGAGTGTCAAAGCTGGCGCCAGAAACGAGCATCTTGGTAACATAGGCTTCCAGATCGGTCTTGGTCTGGGAACTCTCAATGGTAAGCTGCTGAACACCCTTGGAGTCGACCTTCAAGCTCAGGGGTCGGGTGAAAGCGATCATCTTGGATCCAGCATTCTGTGCTGAGAGAATCTCGCAGAACCGGTTGAGACACGCCATTGCACTGGCATCACCCCCCTTGATCTGGTCAATTCCGTCGACCACGAACATGTACTGGATGTTGGTAGAGAGACCAGCTTGAATGCCTCTCCAAAGGCTTTCTTCGACCGTGTCATCCCCAGCGCCTTTGATCGCCCCTTCGGCTGCCTTGGCAACTTCGAGTAGGACAGCCTCCTGGGTGCGCAGATCGCTGACAGAATGGTCTAGCATCTGGTGCAGGATGCCCTTCAGAATACGAAGAGGCAATGTGGCAACGGGAATGTCAGCACCTGTATTGAGTTAGTCAAAGAATCAATCAACGAAGAAACAGAAGCAGACTCACGGATCGTATATGGAATCACATTCCAATTGTCATGCTCAGCCGACTCTTGGAGTCTCTCGACAGTCCATTGGGCCAGTGCGCTCTTTCCCGAACCGGGACCACCAGAGATCAGCATCACAGGAGAGCTCGCAACGGTGAAGTCGTAAAGCATGTTATTGAACCACTCGAACGACCCATCGGCAATTGAGTGCGCGCGAGAGTCGAGGATGAACTGAAGAGGGCGGTCCTGCACTGCCAAAAACTGGCGCAGGCTACCCAGTTCAGCCGAAGGATGAATCAAGGCGCTGCCTTCTACCAGTTTCACGGTATGGGCATCGACAACACAATTCCAGTGGGTGGAGAATCTCTTGGCGTAGGCCACAAAGGCTGCATCAACATGGCGTCCAATGACTTGGTCGGATTCCTTGCTCTTGAAGCCCTCAATGCAGCTTGCGGTGGTACTGCAGACCATCTCGAGCAAGTCTGCAAACACTGCTGCGACCTCGGGTTGGAGCTCAGGAGAGATCTTGTATGCAGTCTCATACTGCAGAAGCAAGTAGATTCCAACAGCGACTCTGCCATACCGGCCAAAGACGCTTTCGAACACATCCGTGTCATCCATATCAGACTATGTAACAAGTTAGCAACGATCTCTGAAATCCTCGAATGCGCAGACTCACCTCCAGAAGGAGAATACAGAATCCCCAAATGAGCATCGCAGCTTCATTGGCAGCAGGGGCAAAGACTCCGACAGATGATCGAAGTGCGTCAACGGCATATGCCAGCCTAGATGCCCACCGGAGGCTGCAGTCGAGTCTGCTGCCATCACGAGGCATCCAGCGGAGACGTTCGGCCGCAACTGCATCGAAGAAAGCATCCACAGTGGGGCTGCGCTTGCTGATCTCGCTGGCAGACACGCCCAACTGAGTCTTGCACTTCTGTGACACAGCCTGGACCTTGTCCTGGAGAACAGTAAGTTTGTAGCCGCTGCCACTCAGTGGCCTAACAACACGTCTGGCCCCGGCGCCGCCAGAGACACCGGAGGTGCCTGCTTGTCGAATTCCGCCACCAGCAATGCTCGATTGCTGGGCTCCAGTCCTGCTGCTGGACATTCCAGGACTGCCTTCTTGCTGAAGGCTCCGCATCCCTCCGCCAGCAACGTTTGCTCCGTCCGATCCAGTGGTGCTGGGATTGTAGAGAGCGTTGTTAGTCTGGCTCGTGGTGGTAGACCGCAGACCACTTGTCTCGTTGGGTCCACCCGCAGGGGAATATCCTGTGGTCGTCGGAGTCTTCGAAGCGAGATTCTCCCCAGAGACCGCACGGGCATAAGTCCAACCTGGTCTAGCTGTCTGGTTTGAGGCGAGTCCTTGTCCGCTTCCATCACCTACTGCGGTGGACGCAACCTTGCTCTTTGGGCTCGTGGGGGCGTAGTCTTGAGCTCCACCTGAACTGAGAGTAGAGCCGGTATCTCCTTGTCCCCGTCCATAGCCGCCGCCAACGGCTGCGGCAGCCGCAGCAGCTTCGGCGACACCGTCTCCCATGGAAGGCTTAGAGCCTTGCTTCTCAAGATGTTCGTTGTCGATATGGTACTTTCCAGAGATGTCTTGGTCGGCAGCTTTCATCTGGGTAGGCTCAGAGCCTTGTTTCGCAAGATCTTCGTTGTCGATATGGTACTTTCCAGAGGTGTCTTGGGCGGCCGCTTTCTTCTGGGTCGGCTCAGAGCCTTGCTTGGCAAGATGTTCTTTGTCGATATGGTACTTTCCGAAGGTGTCGTGGCCGGCAGCTTTCTTGGAAAGGCCTTTGCCGGCGGTTCCATCATCGAAGACATCCGAGCTGATGTTCTCCTGGTCGTGGAGCTCGTTCTCAATGAACTCATCGCTGAAGCCTTCTCCAGCGCCTGCACTCCCAGATTGGTTAGTGTTTCCCGTTCCTGCGAAAGCGACTTGTGGATTGCTTTGCTTGCGGGCGCTTGATCCACTAGCATCGGCAAAATCCGCTGTCGCTTGGTCAGAAACTGCCTTGCTGCTAGTCCCTCTCTCGACAATCGTTTCTTTTCCGCTCGAATTGTGGAAGTTCTTCGCTTGGAAAGTGCCCGGCTCCGTGATAGGGCCCTTGCGGATGTCATAATTGGGCTCCAGAACTCCGGCCGCCACACTGCTTTTGCGGTCAGAAATTTGGGCTTTGGCCATTTTCTTTTTGTTGTTGGTTTTTTGCTCAGGCGGTTCAGCTTCTCGTTCCTCCATGTTTGTATCTCCCGTGGAAGGTTTGCCAGTGTTATCTCGGGCGGTCCCTCCTTGGTTGACTGGCATTGCGGCCTGTTGGGTATTGTCCTTGTTCAAGTGTTCTGTGTTTTCTTCAGCACCAGCAGCGCTGCCTGATGCTCCACCGGCGCCGCCGTTTCCAGTTTGGGTTGCGGATCTCTGGACATTCTCCTTGTTGAGGTTTCCGTCGTTCGCTCCAGTAGCACCGCTTGATGCTTTGCCGGTATCATCTTGGCTGGCCGACTTTTTGTTGGTTTGGCCTTTGGTGATGACGTCCTTGGCCCCACTGAAGTTGCCGCTGTTGACTTCGCTGCGGATAGATGAGCTCCTTTCGAGAATCTCGTTGGTGATGGCTCCCTGGTTGGGGCCCTCTGAGCTTCCGTGGCCCAAAGAGAACTTCTTGCTCAGTCTCCGGGCAAATCCCATGTTGCGTTCGGTCTGTTCGGCAGCTGGAATGGCGGTTGGTTCTTTGGCAGACATGTTGGTTGAGTATAGGGTAATATGTCACGAATGAAATGGAGGTAAATATACAAATTAAATCAGTTCAATTGGTAGTCAAAAAGTAGTAAATAGATAGAAATGGGGAAAATATCCGCGAGTTAGGAATGAGGGAACCTAAATAATGCTACCAACCATCGTTCTGCTCATTGCATCATGGGCTCGATTCAGTAATTTCCGAGCGGCGCATGCTGAGCAGTGGATGCACAAGAACGAGTGGGCGTATGAGCGAACAGCTTCCTCGGTATGCAGTTGAGCCATGCCATACTTTCACTGGTTTTCCAAGGCCTACAGCTTGTTCCAAGGACGCAAACAAGAGCTCGATGTCATGGCACAGTAGAATACCAGAATCGATGATGCTTAGCCGAGAGGAAATGCGGGATGGGTGGATCTTCCGAAAGCTGGTCCGTCTCCACTCCAACGTTTGGAGCTTCAGCAATGGCTTGGGCCTAATGCATTTCTCATTTCTGTTAGCCGCCGAATGGAAGCTTTCGATTCGTGGCTGTTTCGAAGCTTCTGGTTAGATGTTTGTCTTGACTCATTGGGTGACCAAAGCCGATTTCTTGTTATCTTGCAGCATTACGATAGCTCAAATTGACCAGGGACGGTCAAGGACGGCAATTGAGTTCAATCGATGTCATAGCAATGTGTGGGGTAGGTCAGTATCATTGGACCCCATGCTGTAGATAATGCAATTCTTTGTGCTCTGACGTTTACATCGCTGTAAACATGCGTGGGGTATTTGCTTGGACATGCCCAGTATTCATCGCAAGTGGATGCTGAGTGAGGATTGAAGTCGGGCGACTGGCCAATATGCGGTTAGTCATCAGCGCTATCATCCGATAACCTTAAATTAAGCGGTCGATCCGTGGGCGTTGCGGGTTTGGATCTTCAATCAGTTGACGAGAAACATCCAGGATCAATGCCGGAGGACCCGGAAGTGAATTGGTGTCTGGTGAATGGTGAGGTCATTTCTCTTTGCGTGGCTTGCCCTTCCCCACGACGGCGAGGAGTTCCGTATTTCATGTCATGACGTCGGCTCCGAGAAGCATTATCTCCATCACATGTTCTTGGCCTTGCAAACAGAGACATCTATTGAACATGATCGTCCAGAGAAGTTGCTCGGTTTGTTAGAAAATTTCTACCGACTTTTCTTCGGATTCCCAACGTTGGTTCAAGCTCACACTTCTTTCTAGTACTTCGGAAGTACTGACTCCTAAGTTCCTCTTGCACCAACCATAAAACGACTTGGCCGGTTGGCCCCAAGTAGGGACTACCGACTACCTGTGTTCTACACAGGTAGTGGCTACTTGGGGCCAGGGAGTTGAAAGTGTAGGGGTCACTCCAACTCGTCCTCTTTTTCCGATGTCGTTGACTTCAGTTGAGCCCCTTGGACAGCAGTCTCTTTTGTCTTGTCCTTGTCTTTATTCAACCCAGTGAACAGTGTCCGCGAGATCTCCTTAGAGCTCGCTTAAAGAGATGATCGCTTGACTGCAACCTAGTGAAGCTTCACGTTTCTATCAAATCTGTGGTTCGAACGTTCACCTACTAGGTCCGCTGGTGGGTACTCCAAGTACGGCAGGAGGGCGCCGCACGGTTTCTTATGCGGCTTTGTACCTCCTCGACCCTTCCGATGCGCATGATATTCGTGTAACCGCGAATTACCCACCAGCGGACCCTGCAGGTGAACGTTCGAACCACATATTTGATAGGAACGTGAAGCTTCACTAGCAGTCAAGCGATCATCTCTTTTAGCACACATGGAAGTGAAAGCCAGTGCGGTATTGATCTGACGCATCTTCTTGCTGATTTGGTGACCGAATCAAACCCTTTTGTCGGCCTTTTCCGTCATGCCAGAGACGTTCTGGATGAGCAGCGGATCCCCGAACTCCGTCTCACCGCAGCGGTCTCTCACCTTGCTTAGCCGACGTCTCCTCGTTCAGTTACGTTGCCGTGGGAAACCACATCTAGGTGTCTGCAACTGATCCCTTCCAAGATTGACCGAAGGTTGAACCGTGAACGAGATAACATGGCCCCTAGTATTCCAAGTCCGTTAGCCCACATCAGCCCCGGACTTTCCACAACGTGGGGACCCCACGATGGACACGGTACCTAGTGTAAGGGCATAGCCGCATAGGGGTTCACTACTGGTGGACTTCGACTGTCAGAAATACTGCCAGGCACAAGTTGGCCCACTTCAACGTGTAGTCACTAACTACTGGACCTCAAATTCGCCTCGCAAATAACCAAATCGAGATCAAATCGCATGTCGAGGAATCTACTCGCCCATTCTACGACTCTAATGACAGAGGCAGAGAGTGGCTAAAAGCAAGTATCACCCTACTAGGCACGGGATCAGGCAGAAGACCTGATCCAAAAAGAATGGGAAAAGAGGTAGAGTCCATTTCTGGATCGGAAATGTAGTTCATAGACAGCCTATAAAACGAATCGAAAAAGGGACTCTGGTCTAGCCTGTGAGGACTGTCCGTGGACAGCTCACATCCAGCCACAGCTCTCCATCCTCAGACCGCCATGGGTATTCATCCATTTCCGCGAGCCATCCTCCAAGAAAAAAAACCCATCCGTTTGCCAGCAAAAAAAGAATTCAAGTGAAGACGAAGAAGCGTGATATCATCCGTACAAGTACCAGCCGTATCTGGTGTGCTTTCGTTCGTTCGGGCCGTGGTCGTGCCGTAGTCATGCGAAAATTTTCATCGTAGAACTCGACTAGCCGATCAGGGCGCAGGTGATTGATTTAACAACTTGAATGATCTATTGGCCAGGGTTGGGGTTCATCTGCAGTTCGCGATTTGTCAGCCTGTCTGTCCTTCTCTCTCATTTCTGTGGTGTGTATTCGTGGATAATTTGCTGGGGCTTTGGGTTTGTGTGTGGTGGTGCTTTGTGGGTGGATGAGTCATTCGATATGTACCTTGCGCTTGCCACCGGTCATGGTAACGTTGACGAAACGGCGAGTGTACAAGATGCGCTTGTAGGCGCGACCCTTGGGGTTCTTCTTCTTCTCCTGGGGCTCGACCTGGATGCAAAATTGTCGTTAAAAGGCTGATCGAATAGAGGGGCCACTGTGGTCTTGTGTCGAGTGGCGTGGGCTGGAAATCGAAGAGAACTCACCTTAGGAGTGGCAGCCTTGACCTTACCGGCACGGGCGAGAGAGCCGTGAACCTTACCCATGTTGGATGATTGACGTTGATGAACGGGAGATGGAAGTGGTTTGGTGATGAAGCGATTCTTGAATCTCGACCGGGAGTGTAAAATTGGGAGTGCGACCTGTGTGGGGCGGCTTAGCGAGCACTTTCGGCCCGGATTAACAATGCCCGTGTGGGGTCATGTGATGTGGCATAGATTGGTGAGATAGGCCGGAGTTAATGGTCTTGGCATGCTTGTTTCTCCGAAGTGTGAACGGGGAAAGCACTTACCTTGGAAGTCTTATGGATAGTAGATATCGATAGATATCTAGTATGTAGAAACTGCTGTGTGGATGGGAAAGGAAGGTGCAACAACGAGCAAGACGTTCTTATAGTTGACGGCCTCTTTACGGTTGAAAACTTTGATCAGAGCTTGGGGTCTATGACTCAAAGTCGGGGTCTCATTTTAGTATTATGTGTAATGTACAAGTCACTCTCCGGCGCTATGCAATATTATTCCAAGGTTCCACAGATGTAAGAGACAGGTGCTGTTGAGTACAGTGCACTCAATCCTTCTTTGACTTCTCTCTGGCGGCAGCTTCTTCCCGTTCCCTCTTTCTTGCCAGGTACCGTTCTTTGGCGCTGGAAACGTCTTTCTCAGTCTTGCGACTACGAATCCTCTCGGCAATCTCTTTTTGCTTCGCAGCCTCGGCCTCTTCTTCTTCTCGCGCACGCGCCTCGTATTGGCTTGCGACCATGTCAGTTTGTCGAGCTCGCTGGGCAGCACGAGCATTCGGGTACCCAGCGCCGGCACCTGCCCGTCCAGCCGTAGGCCGGGCAGCCCCCGGTCTGGGAGCAGACGGTTGAGCCTTCGGCTTCGGTGCCACGTTAAGTCCTGCAGACAAAAGTTGCCGCTTGTCGACGACTTGGCCCTCGTCGTTAAGAACAATCCGGGCACCATGAGAGTTGAGTTCTTCTGCTTTCTGAGCTTCAGACTTCTCCTCTTCCTTCTCCTTCTCTGTCTCTTCGAGTATCTCGCCTGCCTTGAGGCGGCGCGCTTTTTCTTCCGCGGCTTTGACAACTTCCTCGTGCCGCTCTTCTCCTCGCGACAGGACATCCCGGTAGAATCCGATCATACCAGAACCACCATTCTTCTTCCGCTTTTCCTCCTCCTCCTTCTCCCGGCGCGCTTCTTCTTCCTCCGCTTTCCGGAGTTCTGCTTGCTGCGCCTTGTAGGCAGATGTAACGAATTTCTCCTTGTCGGCAAACTCATCGCCCTCCGCTTCACGCTCTTTGGCGAGTTGGCGGTCTTTAGCCCGCAATTGGTCGCGTTTCCGAATCTCCGCGCTCTCTAACAAGTTCTTCATGTATTTGGGTGTTTCGCTCTTGGTTTCTACCGTAGACTTGGCAGGTTTGGCGTGAAGACTGTCGTATATCGCATCGTACGAGTATATCGACGGGTCAATTTCCTCAGCTTGTTTTGCATGCATCTTGCTGGTGCGCATTGCCGATATGTTAGTGAAGTCCTGAGGAGCGGTTGGCTTCTTCGGCTGCGCGTTCAATCCAAATGTAGTTCCACTTTGCTTCTCTTTCTCTTTTTCCTCGTCCTCATCCTCGTCATCTGCAAATATCGAGTTTTTGCTGAGTGGCTTGGCAGTTGGCTTAGGGCCGCCTCCGAGCTGCATCTTGCGTTTCGGCGGTGGCCCTGCGGCTGATGAGGGTTTCGGGTTCGCGACTGGCTCATCTAGCCCTCCGATCGTCGTGACTTCAATTGCGCCGTCGCCATTTTGCTGGTCTTCATCCCCAGAGTCATCCTCAAAAATGTTCTTCTTTCTTTTCTGTCCGAGAGCATTGCCCGGTTTCGTTGCTGAGGAATTTTTATTCGGTAGGTTCAATCCGTAGCTGAGGTTTGGGGGCATTTTGCTTGGTCACTGAAAATTCCAAGCTTTGCAGTTGGTTCGGATGGAAAGCAACGACAGATGTCCGAAGTAGGAGGTGCTTGTCGAGGTCCAAAGGTGCGGCGATAGCGATCGACAACGATAAAGCCGTGGCTGGTTATCGGTTGATCACGTGGTATGGACTTTTGCGGGGATATTGAAGTACTTGAAGTGCACCAAACACAACTTCATGTCATATTTGGCGATAAATTCTAGTTAACTTGCTCATATAAATGTTAAGTCATCTGTCCAGGGCTAATTTGATTGTCAAATGATACAAATGGAGTCGTAACCTAGCATTCTTTGAGTTGCCACAGCTTAACGCAGAGATATATCGTAGTCCCACCTCATCCACCTATTCTCAGAGACTCAGACAGATACCTAGATGGTGCATCCAAAATTGCCAGGGAACTATACGATACTGCAAACCAAGCGCAATAAAAGCTAGAAGGCTAGAAGCTAGATCATAGGTATTACACAGCATTATTCGACCATTGAGCTGACCATACAGACAGTGTCTACCTACACCACCAAGACCAAGCTCATCTCTTATCAGCCACGTGATGGCGGCCGCTAGTAAAGCCACGAGCTTCAACTCGTCAACCGCTCACCTCGGCTTGAACAATCATTTTCGGCTCAAAATGTCTTACTACTTCACTATACTATCACCTACCGACACACCTTTATTCAACATCGCCTTCGGAACGTCGAAGGGGGGTGGTGATGGCATTGCCCGCTTCCGCTTCCCGGAGACAGCACAGTACATGAACCAGTTCATCATCCACTCAAGTCTCGACATACTGGAAGAAGCGCAATGGACGAACGGCGGAATGTAGGTATAACAACTTCCCAATGCCACCAATCACTTTTACAACACACCCCTGAAGCCCCCAAGAGCCACCCGGGAGCCAGACAACTGGACGCGGAGGAACCAAACCGAGCGCAGGGACCCGTGGCTCGCTTCGTACTTCACTCCAAGCATCAATTTCAAGACTAACATATGGTAACAGGTATCTGAAGCACATTGACACCTACCCGCCCGCCGCAGCCTATATCACAGCCTTCCTCACCCCAAGCGGCGCGCGCTTCCTTCTCCTCCACCAACCCCCGCATCTCCCCTCTTCAACCAGCACAGGCAGCGGCCTTGGATCCTCGTCACTGCTAGGCTCGGCAGGATCCACCACGCGAGCGTCCTCGAGCTCCATCGCTGCAAACCCGACCTCCCCACAGACCGAAGAGGCCGTGCGCCAGTTCATGAATGAGGTATACGAAAGCTATGTCAAAACAGCGATGAACCCATTCTATAGGCAGGGAATGGAGATTAAGAGTCCTGTGTTCAGGTCGCGGGTTACGGCTGCAGGGAAGAAGTGGTTATAGTTTGGCTATCAGTCATTTGAGTTCGTGAGCGTGGCGTTTTAGGGCATGTGCATTTTCTCGGGGGTTGATGCTCTGTACATATAGTTACAGACTGCTCTGCATTACCTACGGAAACCCGAGCCGTTACATGTAGACCAGTGATTGGATTGATCGTCTACTACGAATACAAAAGCAACGTTAATGAGGAGGCTGATTCTCTTGATTCGATAGGTTGATTGAACTAGCAATAAAGATGGCAATTCCTCCTTGTACCTGAAATGGCTGGTGACGAATGAGAGGATTTGACATAAAAAATGCTCGACTCGCTAAGCTCGATGGACAGGGTTAAACAAGAAAAGCAAGAGCGCGTGCGCCCGTACGATGTACATAAAAAGCTGGATTCGAACCGAGGAGGGACTGCTTGCCCACAGGGGCGAGGCGGCCAAGCGCCTAACCAGAGCAAGAATAATGAATAAATAAGAAAAGCAAGAGGTATGCGCGTCGCGTTATTGCAAAAGAAAAAGAGAACTCCAAGCCTAAACGCCGGAAATACACCTTTCAGTCCCAGCGTCCAAAGCAAATGCGCCAAAACAACGAGTAAATATTTATACCGCTCGCTGAGGAACCAGCTTTTTCAGGGTGACGGCCTTGAAATTCTCAACAGCCTGGATCGCGTCTTCCAATTTGGCCACAGTGCCAAATATGCCACCTTCCATCTTCACTGACTCGATCGTGCTTGTATGCAGCGATGGCTCTGCAGCTGCAGTGCCGTCGTCGAGAATCACACAGTCAAATCCTCGGTCGTTGGCTTCGCGCATGGTCGTCGAGACGCAGACGTCCGTAGTCACACCTGCGATGACGAGGTTCTTGATTCCCTTGTTGCGGAGGAGGAGTTCGAAATCAGTGTGCGCGAAGGCACCTCGGCCGGGCTTGTCGATTACCGGCTCACCGGGAAGAGGGTACAGCTCGTCAACGGTGTCGTGGCCCGGTTCGCCACGAATAAGAAGGCGGCCCATAGGACCGGGGGAACCAATGCCCAAGCCAGCTGCATTGTTGCGGGATCGGTATGCCTCACGGCTGGAGAGAGTTGACAAATCGGGGCGGTGACCTGATATGAGTTAGAAAAAGTAAATTGGAGGTGAAGTGATGAATATATGCACCTTCACGGGTATGATAGACCGGGAAATTCGCAGATCGGAAAGCTTGAAGTAACCTCTGCAGCCGAGGAATCAAGGCTTGCGCAGCAGAAACATCATAGCCTTGATATGCCATGTATCCTTCAGGCGAACAGACTAGAGAAAATTAATTAATCATCAGATAACTGTTTGAAGATACCAAGGATATCGGGATACCCACAGTCCTTCTGCATGTCAATGATTACCAGTGCACTGGTGTATGGCGTGAATGAGGCATCGTGAGGCCAATCGTAAGGAAAGGCAGAGAGCTGGCCTTTGCGAACCTTTTGCTGAGGCATCTGCCGCGGTTTTTCGACAACAGGACCGTGGTTATGCGTTGCGTTGAGAACTGTCAAGGCCCAGATACCCGATGAGCCAGCTCCGACAAGCATGAAAGGACAATCCATCAAGCGTGAGGTTCTGCGGCGTTTGCGTGTCTCCTCAGTCAGGCCGTTACGGGGACGATAGTGGCCACCACGATCACAGCGCAGCCACACTTTCGCGGTACGACCAGGTTTCTTCTCTGTAGGTGTGCTTGACGATTTGACAACCACATTGTATCCATGTCGTTTGCCATGTTCCTGAACTGCAGCAAGAAGAGATGCCCTATGGAAGGAGTTCTGATTAGTTTCCCAAAGGAAAGTAAATTGAGATACAAAGACAAGCCTACTTATCAGGATAGGTCGCCTCCGGAGGAGGCACCAACTGCATTGCTAATTCTGGGATGTCTTGAAGATCGCTGGGCGCATCGTCAAGATTCAGATTGTTCAGATCGGTGGGATCCGCCATGGTGATTAAATCAGGCTGGTCCTTGGCCTTACGGAAGGGGTCGAGTCTGGCGGAGAGCGATCGTAAGTACTGATGTCATGCCCTTGCCCCACGTCTAGCCAATGCACCTCAACACTAGGGAGGGGAATAACTAGATGGAGCTTGCGAATTGGGAGTAAACAAGTGCGTGGAAGCAAATAGGCACGGTCGGCCATCTTTATCGCAGCGTGCGTGGGCATAGCACATGAAGTAGTGTTTGGAGGCAACAACTCGTGGGCCAGCGCGTAGAACAGCGCGTGGAACTGAAGTAAATGCGAAACTAGACAGAGTCACTTACCTCGCTGATTGCCTAGAGAATGGAGACTGGGGAAAGCTGCGTCCAGATCACGGAGGTCGATCTCTTGGGTCCACTAGCGTGCCTGAAGGCTGATAAAACATTTCGTCGTTGGATAAGCTGAAATAAACATGTCAATATCTGCACGTGACCATTGGCCAGCATGGATGGCTGCATGGAGTTCGTTACCAATCCCTCCTACACCTTACGAGTGCGTTCTATCTCATCCCCATCGTTTTTTTATCGCTGCCGGCCCCTGGCATGGTCTCCCTAACGTACTCTGGCTCGGCTCCCGAGTCAAATCCCCGAATCCTAGCCGAGAAGCCTGCATCTGACATTGGCAATTTGAGGATCCCCTGTAAAGAAGTTAGGATCAAGAGAATTTCCAACGAGGAAAAAAGGAAAAGGAAACCAATCTCTACTGTTGAAATTGAAGAATCCGAGAATCTCCGGCTGCATCCACTTCATGGGTACTATACATCACCGCTAGAACGGGGACCACCTATCTGGAGAACATCGACGACAATACCGGCATCGTAAATTGCGAAATAAAATCGATTTCCCCTCAGAAAGCTCATCAAAGTCTGGTCTCGGCGTCCTGACTCCTGTCCCTTTTAGGGCAACCGCTACTCATGCCCTTCTCGGGCCGTTATTCTTGTTGATCTTTCCCATCATACTGAAGCATCGTTCAACTACTGGGGTAGGTATGAAGCGAAAGTTAGAGTCCTCGGATGCGCTGAGAAAACGGGCAGGCCAAGAAGGATTAGAGGTTTCAAGGGCTCTTCTGTGAGGGGCTGTAAAGGGGAGAAGCCCTAGCTAAGTACACCCTACTGCTACGTGCAGTCCTACTGTCCTGTGACTCGTGAGTTGAGTCCCCTAAGACACGGTCTGTTTCTCCATGTCGTCTATACCGGAGAAAAGTCTCCCTATCTGTTAGCAGCGGTGATGTCTCCTCGTACGAATATTTTTACTTTCAACATGCATGTCTTGCTGCATTGACGGTACATTGTGGTCTTGTAGATAGCCTGCCCGGTCGTTCCATAGGAGTTGATGCCTAATCTTGCCTTGCGATGTGGTAAACTTTCGCCTCAGGCAGCCAAAGAGCGGTGGGTGGCTGAGCCCAGATCTGCCAAATGAGGACTAGCGCATCTTGCGGGCCCCCTGACGACCGAAACAACAACATCGGTTTCTCCCAGCCCGATCTTATCGAACCCGCTTTGCGACACGAGGCGGGTCGAAGGAAACCCAGCTTCGGACATCTTAACTCACTGCATTCCTCGATCGTCTCTTATTTCTCTTTGGAGGAGCACGTTCTCGACCGCACCCCATTCAATCCCTTGCGTCACCGCCTCGGCGAGGGGTTCTTATCAAACGCACGGTTGTTGACATCGGGCCACCACACAACATATGAGTCTTTGAGAGGGGCTGGCGCGATCTGCAGGGCAAGACAGCCTTGTTACAGTCTTTAGTGACTTTCGCCAAATTTGGACGACATCTGTCGTCCAGACATCTTTCTTGCGCCCGGTTCTCTGGGTGCCCAACGCGAGAAGATGCCGGCCGTCGAGGAGTCACCTTCCGAACGGAAGCATACCAGTAGCTCTTACAGAGATGAACTGGCTCACTACAAAGCCCAGTATGAGCAACTTGAGGCGGAACTTGCGGACTTCCAGTCCTCTAGCCGGGAGCTGGAGACTGAGATGGAGAAGGACATCGAGGCTTCGGAAAAACGGGAACGGCAACTGAAGGAGAAGCTCGATACAATGCGATATGAAGTCGAAGAGTGGAAGGTACGAGATCACGCTCATTGTTCACAGATGCGTGCAAACCGAGTCACTGACACCATACTCGCAGACCAAATACAAGCAGTCGAAAACCGAAGGGAACGCGGCGCAGAACAACTTGCAGAAAGAGATCACGACACTGCGAGATGCAAACCGCACTTTGCAGATGAAGCTTCGAGATATTGAAGTTGCCAACGATGACTACGAGCGCCAAGCCCGGAACACCACCTCGTCCCTGGAGGACATGGAGTCAAAATACAATATCGGAATCGAGCGCCAGGTTTTGCTGGAGGAGGAAATCAGGACCGGAGAGCAGGAGCGAGAACAGCTGCGCATCGACAATCAACGCCTCCGGGACGAGCTGGCCGATCTGAAGATCGAGGCCGAGATTATTCAAGAGAAGCTTCGAAATGCCGAAGGAGGCCATGGCATCCGCCGCCGCAAGCCCACTCCTCTGTATCACCGCAGTCCATCAACTCCGCAGAGCTTGGAGATTTTCGACCGGTCCCCAGGCACAACCACCTCTTCCCCAGTCTTTGCTACACCCCCGGCTAAGGCATCCCTTGCGTCGTCGACCGCTACCCCACCTTCGCCCCCTATCTCCGAGTCATCTGTGAACATGCGCAAGTCGATTAACGCAACGCCTACGTTCCCTCGACAGAGAGCCGCTGGCGCAGACCCAGTGAACTCGAGGACCCTTCACGCTCGATCTCAACCGCGTGCCACTCATTCCCATTCCCGAACTCCTTCCCTGGCTTACAGCAATGGCGCTTTCAGCACGGGCAATGGCCGATCCACTCCCTCCATGTCGATCTCGTCTCGCAACAGTCTGACGAGAGCGAATACCTCGCGGCCGCCGGGGATTCCCAAGTCTGGATCACTGTTCCAGATCCGTGGACTGATTGGCAAGATGCAGAAGCTCGAAGAGCGCGTCCAATCAGCCAAATCCCGACTCCCCGCCCCATCCGACACGTCTTCTCGTGGATCTCCTCGTTCTGGGTCTGTGGCTAGTGAGAGCCCAGTCGCCTCATCCATCACCGTTCGCAGAAACTCTCGCAAGCGGCTGAGCAACAGTAGTCTGGGTTCCTCTGTGCGGGATAGCGAAGGCACGCCGTCCTACGCCCCGCAAGGCCGCCAGTCATTTGGAAGAACAGGCGAGAGTCGCCCGAGTAGTCGTACCAGCTATTCCAGCCGCAGCTCCTTCAGCCAGAGCGTGCACTCTGGTGTCCCTGTGAACGGCCGACCAGAAAGTCGTTCGAGTCGTCCCGGTGCCAAAACGCCGCTGGGCCACTATTCGATGAACCCCATGACGGAGGCGAGGCGTCCCCGGTCGTCTCTCAGCAATCATGCTGGCCAGCTCCCCAACATCGCGGGCATGTCCCTTATCGATGAGGACCAAGATGTTTCCACGCCGACGCCCTCCCGCGCCTCCCAGGAGATTCGGCGACCGTCCATCACCGCAGCCCCAACTCCCGTTGTGAAGAAACGGACCATTAGCGGCATTCCAGCTCCCCGAAGCTTCAAGACTAGTATTGGGCCTGGTGCAATGCCACCGCCGAACCGGAAGCCCCAAGTCAGTGATCTTGGAGAGACCTTTTGATTTGATTGCCTTCAATATCTATGGGATTTGCATGGGAAATTAGGGAACGGGTGATTTGCGTGCTAGGGTTCATTGTCTTTTCCAACGTTTGTCTTCTACGGACTTCACCTCGATCAAGTGCATTTACAAGTGGGTGCTTCCCCAGCGGGCTGCAAACTCTCGTCACCCCCTTTGGTGTACAATTTTGCAGGTTGATCTTGGACCAGCCAGGCCTGGTTCTCGAAAGTGGTTCCCGGTGGATTCCGGGGGCGTCCTAAGCTGTGTCTCAGCGGATTTGTTTTTCTTCGATATTCAATAATACCCATGATTGTTTATTCTCAACTATGTCCATTAGAGTTCCCTAGATTTACGGAGTAGAGCAGGTAGGCCCATGGGGTGTGGGGATGGGTTGAGTTGGGTGGGATCCAAAGGTGTAGTATTTGATTGGTCTATTGTTAGTCTTCTATACTGAGTCTGGACGCCAAAGAAGAATAGTGTTGAGAAGGTTATGCACGATCGCCCAAATGGGAATAGCGTGCGCGCCATTCCAGATTAGCTATGACGTGGTGTATCCATGGATCCCGTCTAATCTAGATGGCGGGAGGATTGAAAGTACAATGTCTTTGACGTCTAATACAGTACGAAGTACATAGTACCTATCGTTATGTATGTGCCTATCGTATGAAGTACCCGATATCTTGTACCACCCAAGAAAAAAGAAGGCAAAAATAGGCAAATCACTCAAACCAGCAAAACAGAAAAGTCGCCGTCAACGTTAAGTGCACGGAACTCTGTTGATCACCGAGAAAAACCCTCCGGGTGCCGAAGGGCCCGAGATTGGTGGGGACACCTCAGATATGTACGTACTTCGTCTTCTATGCTCCCGATATTATTGTGCTTGTAAGATTGAAATAGTACAATCATAGAGCTGGATAAGGATCAACATTTCGCCTTGGATACGAGAAAAAAAAAAGAAAAACCCCAAAAAAGAAACAAAAAATCAGCGGTGGAAAGCGACAGAAGTGGTGGGCGTAAATGGTGGAACCGGCCCAACAAAGCCAAAGGAAGTTGGGGGAGACCGTGTTCCTGAGAGGTACGGAAGGTACCTCTCCATACTGTTTATTATGCAGGGGTACAAAGAGTCTTGGCCACCTTAGAAAATCACCCAGTTGGGATCATCTCCACTTAGTGGACTCTGCCCTCATCAATTTCTCTCTTCTTCCCCCTGGAGACTTTAATTGAGCTTTCTGAATCCCTTCAAATTCCTTGTACTACGTGGAATTGTTATTTGGGTGGTTTCCGGTGAGTCTGACTGTAACCTGACAAGGCCGTTTGCGAACTGCTCGCCAAGCCGCATTTGGCGCTATGTTTCGAGTCTCCGATCTCCCATGCTGACTTGTCTTTTCTTCTAGAGCTCATCTTTTACGATTATTCCTTCTTTCTCCCCCAAGTCCAATTCTCTCCCTAACTATTTTTCTGCCCCCAAAGCCATCATTCGGGCCCCGCAACTTTGAGCATTGTACATTACCAACTTTTTAATCAGCGCTGTTGCATACGCGAAAGCGTCTTGGACTTCTTCAATTCTTACAGGGGAATCTGACCTGTGATCACTTTCAACAACATGGGTGTTACAAATGGCAACCCGGTCAACGGCAGCTCGTCTGTCTCCAAACATGACCTTCCCTCACATTTCATCGGTGGCAATGCGCTTGAATCGGCACCCCCTAGCGCTGTGAAGGATTTCGTGGCCTCCCACGATGGTCACTCTGTTATCACGTCGGTATGGAATTCGAGCAAAACCACTGCGAGTGGCGGAAAAAACTGCAATTGTGACTGATTTTTTTTTCTTCGATAGGTGCTTATTGCCAACAACGGTATCGCCGCCGTCAAAGAGATTCGTTCAGTGCGGAAATGGGCCTACGAGACCTTCGGCAACGAGCGGGCCATCCAATTTACCGTGATGGCCACACCAGAAGATTTGCACGCCAACGCTGACTATATTCGCATGGCCGACCAATATGTCGAGGTTCCCGGTGGAACCAATAATAATAATTATGCCAACGTCGAGTTGATTGTCGATGTTGCCGAACGCATGGACGTTCACGCTGTTTGGGCAGGATGGTAAGTGCCACGCAGATACCGAGAGCAGAGGAAAACAAAAAGAAATTCGATGAACGAGATACTAATACTTCTCTTGCAGGGGTCACGCCTCCGAAAACCCTCGGTTACCCGAATCTCTCGCTGCCTCACCGAAGAAGATCATTTTCATTGGACCCCCAGCCTCGGCCATGCGCTCACTGGGTGACAAGATTTCGTCGACCATCGTTGCACAACATGCCGGTGTGCCTTGTATTCCCTGGTCTGGAACCGGCGTTGATGAGGTGACGGTTGATGATAACGGTATCGTGACAGTTGAGGAGGAGATTTACAACAAGGGCTGCACCTTCTCCCCGGAGGAAGGTCTGGCTAAGGCGAAGGAAATCGGTTTCCCCGTCATGGTCAAGGCCTCCGAAGGTGGTGGTGGTAAGGGTATTCGGAAGGTCGAGAGAGAGGAAGATTTCTACTCCTTGTATAACGCCGCCGCAAACGAAATTCCCGGATCGCCCATCTTCATCATGAAGTTGGCTGGTAACGCTCGCCATCTGGAGGTGCAATTGCTGGCTGATCAGTATGGCAACAATATCTCCCTCTTTGGTCGTGATTGTTCCGTCCAGCGTCGTCACCAGAAGATTATTGAGGAGGCCCCTGTTACTATTGCGAAGGAGCCCACTTTCCAGGCCATGGAGCGCGCTGCTGTGAGCCTTGGTCGCTTGGTTGGATACGTTTCCGCAGGTACCGTCGAGTACCTCTACTCCCACTCCGACGACAAATTCTACTTCCTCGAATTGAACCCCCGTCTGCAGGTCGAGCATCCTACCACCGAGATGGTGTCAGGTGTCAACTTGCCTGCAGCTCAGCTCCAGATTGCCATGGGTATCCCCTTGCACCGCATTCGTGACATTCGTCTCCTCTACGGTGTTGACCCCAACACCTCCGCCGAGATCGACTTCGACTTCTCCAAAGAGGAGAGCTTCGAGACCCAGCGCCGTCCTCAACCTAAGGGCCACACCACTGCCTGTCGTATCACGTCCGAAGATCCCGGCGAGGGCTTCAAGCCCTCCAGCGGTACCATGCACGAGCTGAATTTCCGCAGTTCGTCTAATGTGTGGGGGTTATTTCTCTGTCGGTACTGCTGGTGGTATCCACAGCTTCTCCGACAGTCAATTCGGTCACATTTTCGCCTACGGTGAGAACCGATCTGCTTCGCGGAAGCACATGGTTGTTGCTTTGAAGGAGCTGAGCATTCGTGGTGATTTCCGCACCACTGTTGAGTACCTGATCAAGCTTCTCGAGACCCCCGCTTTCGAGGACAACACCATCACGACTGGGTGGCTCGATCAGCTTATTTCGAACAAGCTGACAGCAGAGCGCCCTGATCCGACTGTCGCCACTATTTGCGGTGCCGTTACCAAGGCTCACCTTGCTAGCGAGGCTGGCATCCAAGAGTACAGCCACAGTCTCGGAAAGGGCCAGGTTCCTTCCAAGGATATCCTGAAGACCGTTTTCCCTGTGGATTTCATCTATGAAGGCGAACGCTACAAGTTCACCGCCACTCGTGCCAGCTTGGACAGCTACCACCTCTTCATCAACGGCTCCAAGTGCTTAGTTGGTGTCCGCGCCTTGGCTGATGGTGGCTTGCTGGTCCTGCTCAGCGGCCGCAGCCACAATGTTTACTGGAAGGAAGAAGCGGCTGCGACCCGTCTCAGTGTTGACGGAAAGACTTGTCTGTTGGAGCAGGAGAACGATCCCACCCAGCTCCGCTCACCCTCCCCCGGTAAGCTCGTCAAGTTTACTGTCGAGAACGGCGACCACATCCGCGCTGGCCAGGCTTACGCCGAAGTTGAGGTCATGAAGATGTACATGCCCCTCGTCGCCAAGGAGGACGGTATTGTGCAGTTCATCAAACAGCCCGGTGCCACTCTCGAAGCTGGTGATATTCTTGGTATCCTTGCTCTCGATGACCCATCCCGTGTCAAGCACGCTCAGCCCTTCACCGGCCAGCTGCCGGAGCTTGGCTCTCCCACTGTCCTCGGTAACAAGCCGTCTCAGCGATTCTTCCTGCTTCACGGTATCCTCGAGAACATCCTTCGCGGTTTCGACAACCAGGTCATCATGGGTTCTACCCTGAAGGATCTGGTTGAGGTGTTGCGCAACCCAGATCTCCCCTATGGTGAATGGAATGCGCAGTCCTCTGCCCTGCACTCTCGCATGCCCCAAAAACTGGACGCTCAGCTGCAGAACATTGTCGATCGTGCCAAGGCACGCAAGGCAGAGTTCCCTGCTAAGCAGCTCCAGAAGGCCATTGTTCGCTTTATTGAAGATCATGTTGGCACTGCCGACGGGGAGATCCTCAAGGCTACTCTTGCACCATTGGTCCAGGTTATCAACAAGTTCTTGGATGGGCTGAAGTCCAACGAGTACAATGTCTTCATTGGCTTGCTTGAGCAATATTACAACGTCGAGAAGTTGTTCTCCACCCACAACCTTCGCGACGAGGATGTCATTCTCAAGCTCCGCGAGGAGAACAAGGACGACATTACCAGCGTTGTCCACACTGTTCTCTCGCACAGTCGTATCGGCTCCAAGAACAACCTGGTCTTGGCCATCTTGGACATGTACCGCCCCAACCAGCCCAATGTTGAGAATGTGGGCCTGTACTTCAAGCCAGTCCTCAAGAAGTTGACTGAGCTTGAGTCTCGCTCCTCTGCCAAGGTCACCCTTAAGGCCCGTGAGGTTCTCATTCAGTGTGCTCTGCCATCTCTGGATGAGCGCTTGTCGCAGATGGAGCACATTCTCCGTTCTTCCGTCATCGAGTCGCGCTATGGTGAGACCGGCTGGGAACACCGTGAGCCTTCTCTCGATGTGTTGAAGGAAGTTGTCGACTCGAAGTACACCGTCTTCGATGTTCTTCCTCGTTTCTTCGTCCACAATGACCCTTGGGTTACTCTCGCCTCCTTGGAAGTCTACGTTCGCCGCGCCTACCGTGCCTACACTCTCAAGGGTATTGAGTACAATGCCTCTTCGGAGCAGCCGTTCCTTTCTTGGGACTTCACCCTTGGAAAGCTCGGTCAGTCTGAGTTCGGTGTTCTCTCCTCCACTCAGCCCTCTGCCCCGGGTACCCCCATAATGGAGGGCAACCCGTTCAAGCGCATCAACTCTATCAGTGACATGTCGGCCTCTTTCAACGCCGATGCCAGTGACCCTGTTCGCAAGGGTGTGATCATTCCCGTGCAATACCTGGAGGATGCCGAGGAGGTCCTTTCCAAGGCTCTTGAGGTCTTCCCTCTCGGTGGTAACAACGCCAAGCGTCCCAGCGAGACCGGCCTTCTTGCCAGTCTCGAGGGCAAGCGCCGCCCCGTCCCCAAACCCGAGACTGACGGCGAGCTCACTGGTGTCTGCAACATTGCCATTCGCGATATTGAAGATATGGATGACAGCGAGCTTGTTGCACAGATGAAGGTGCTGCTTGCTGACAACAAGGATGAACTCCTCGCCCGCGGAATTCGCCGTGTGACTTTCATCTGCGGTAAGCAAGGTGTCTACCCCGGTTACTTCACCTTCCGTGGTCCTCACTACGATGAGGATGTGAGTATCCGTCACAGCGAGCCTGCTCTCGCCTTCCAGCTTGAGCTTGGACGTCTTTCCAAGTTCAACATCAAGCCTGTCTTCACCGAGAACCGGAACATCCACGTTTACGAGGCCATTGGCAAGGGTCCCGAGAACGACAAGGCCATCGACAAGCGCTACTTCATTCGTGCCGTGGTTCGTCCCGGCCGTCTGCGTGACGATATCCCCACCGCTGAGTACCTGATCTCCGAGGCCGACCGCCTCATGAACGACATCTTGGACGCCCTGGAGATCATTGGAAACAACAACTCCGATCTGAACCACATTTTCATCAACTTCTCTCCCGTATTCAACCTCGAACCTGCCGATGTCGAACAGGCCCTGGCTGGTTTCCTTGACCGATTTGGCCGCCGCCTGTGGCGCCTCCGTGTCACTGGCGCCGAGATCCGTATCCTCTGCACCGACCCCACCACCGGCATGCCTTACCCCTTGCGCGTGACTATCAGCAATACCTATGGTTTCATTATCAACGTTGAGCTGTACATCGAGCGCAAGTCCGAGAAGGGCGAGTGGATCTTCCAGAGCATCGGTGGCACCACCAAGCTTGGCTCCATGCACATGCGCCCTGTATCCACCCCCTACCCGACCAAGGAGTGGTTGCAACCCAAGCGTTACAAGGCCCACTTGATGGGAACTCAATACGTGTACGATTTCCCCGAGCTCTTCCGCCAGGCCTTCCAGAACAGCTGGACGCAGGTCGCCAAGACCATTCCTGCCTTGTACGAGAAGCGCCCTCCTGTTGGAGAGTGCATTGATTACAGCGAGCTGGTTTTGGATGATACCGACAACCTCATCGAGGTTGCCCGCGAGCCTGGCACCAACAGCCACGGTATGGTTGGTTGGATCGTGACCGCCCGTACCCCCGAGTACCCCCGCGGCAGACGTTTCATCATCGTCGCCAACGACATCACCTTCCAGATTGGTTCCTTCGGTCCTCTGGAGGACAAGTTCTTCCACAAGTGCACTGAGCTCGCCCGCAAGCTGGGTATTCCCCGCATCTACTTGTCTGCCAACTCCGGTGCTCGTATCGGTATGGCCGATGAACTGATCCCCTACTTCTCGGTTGCCTGGAACAATCACGAGAAGCCCGAGGCCGGCTTCAAGTACCTTTACCTTACCCCCGAGGTCAAGGCGCGCTTTGACGCCAGCAAGAAGAAGGAGGTCATCACCGAGCTCATCAATGATGAGGGTGAGGAGCGCCACAAGATCACCACTATCATTGGTGCCAGAGATGGTCTGGGCGTTGAGTGTCTGAAGGGTTCCGGTCTCATCGCCGGTGCCACCTCCAGGGCGTACGAGGATATCTTCACCATCACGTTGGTCACCTGCCGCTCTGTTGGTATCGGTGCTTACCTGGTTCGCCTCGGTCAGCGTGCCATTCAGGTTGAGGGTCAGCCGATCATCCTGACTGGTGCTCCTGCCATCAACAAGCTGCTCGGTCGCGAGGTCTACACCTCCAACCTGCAGCTCGGTGGCACTCAGATCATGTACAATAACGGTGTCTCTCACATGACTGCCAACAATGACTTCTCCGGTGTTGAGAAGATCGTTCAGTGGATGTCCTTCGTTCCCGACAAGAAGAACGCTCCTATTCCCATCCGTCCCTGGTCGGATACCTGGGATCGTGATGTCGCCTACTACCCTCCCCCCAAGCAGACGTATGATGTCAGATGGCTCATTGGCGGTAAGGAGGATGTGGATGGCTTCCTTCCCGGTCTGTTCGACAAGGGCTCCTTTGAGGAGGCTCTTGGAGGCTGGGCTCGCACTGTTGTCGTGGGTCGTGCCCGCCTTGGTGGTATTCCCATGGGTGTGATTGCTGTTGAGACTCGCTCAGTGGAGAATGTTACCCCCGCTGACCCTGCCAACCCCGATTCTATGGAGATGATCTCCAACGAGGCTGGCGGCGTCTGGTACCCTAACTCCGCCTACAAGACCGCCCAAGCTCTGCGCGACTTCAACAATGGTGAGCAGCTGCCCGTCATGATCTTGGCCAACTGGAGAGGTTTCTCTGGTGGCCAGCGCGATATGTACAACGAGGTTCTCAAGTACGGATCTTACATCGTCGACGCCCTCGTCAAGTACGAGCAGCCCATCTTCGTGTACATCCCTCCTCACGGCGAGCTTCGTGGTGGATCGTGGGTCGTCGTCGACCCCACCATCAATTCCGACCAGATGGAGATGTACGCCGACGAAGAATCCCGCGGTGGTGTCCTCGAGCCTGAAGGTATCGTTGGAATCAAGTACCGTCGCGAGAAGCAGCTTGACACCATGGCCCGCTTGGACCCCACCTACGGCGATCTCCGCCGCGCCTTGAACGACACTTCGCTCACCACCGAGCAGCTCACCGAGATCAAGGCCAAGATGGCCGCCCGCGAGGAGCAGCTTCTGCCCGTGTACATGCAGATCGCGCTGCAATTCGCCGATCTGCACGATCGTGCCGGTCGCATGTTGGCGAAGAACACCATTCGCAAGCCTCTGAAGTGGGTCAACTCCCGTCGCTTCTTCTACTGGCGTCTGCGCCGTCGTTTGAGCGAAGAGCTCATCGTCAAGCGCATGGTCGCTGCTACCGTCTCTGCCGCCGGTCCTTCCAGCGAGCCTCTTCGTGCCGACCACCTCCGCACCCTGCACGGCTGGACTGGATTGCTGGATGAGGAGATCGAGAACGACGACCAGAAGGTTGCTATCTGGTATGAGGAGAACAAGAAGCTCGTTCAGACCAAGGTTGAGTCCCTGCGCACTGAGGGCGTCGCCTCCGAGGTTTCTCAGCTGCTTATTGGCAACAAGGAGGGTGGTCTGCGTGGTGTGCAGCAGGTTCTGTCTATGTTGCCTGTCCAGGAGCGCGAGGCTGTGCTCAAGTACCTTGCTTCTGCTTAAGCGATCCCTGATCGCATGTCTTGCATTGGAGTATACATTTTGATTTTAGTTTTACGTCTTATACATTGTGTCGATTGCATGGCGTTTTGCTTTTTTTGAGGTTCAGTGTACAGGGTTTCAATGTTGATATCACCACCATATGCAACCAGATAATTCTTCCTGCATAACCAATGACCCTTAAGATGTAGACAGTAAACAGAAAAGTGAAATATTTCCACTGCCCGTAGGCAGGAACAGACCCAACCTCAACGGTCCCCTTTACCCCCATATCTCAAATAAAACCTCCTCCAATCACCGTTCTGCCTCGTCCATCTCCGTCGCAGCTCACGCTCGCGTGCCCGTACCCGCCTGCTATGTGATCGGCTACTCGACTTCCTTTTATCTTTTGGACCGGTTGAATCAGACTGTCCAGTCTTTGGGCTATTCAAGGCGAAGAGTTGTTTCAGCCTGGTGAACATCTTCGGGGTGGCACGGGTGGGGGCTGGGCTTGATATCTGCCCAGGAATCTTGGGAGGTGAGAGGTGGTTAGGTGGTGGTCTGTGGTTCTGTGAATGAAACACTTACAGACTATCGAGTTTCTGATTCCTGTTCAAGGCCTGTTCACCTGAATAGGTGTCATGAAGCGCGTAGTTATATGTTCCATCTTCTTGGCATTGGTGTCGGGAAATTAGGGACGGGGCTCGGGCTTACGGGGTGGGGGCTATGCTTGCAATCGGGCCCCAGTTAAGCCCGGGGGCCGGTCCTGCAAAGTGGTGTGTGTGATATCTTTGGATAATGTATCGGAGGTAGGTAACGGAGAATGTGCTTTTGAAGGACTTCTATATATCTGGAGGGTATCTGTTTAGTCTTATCTAGCTTCTTGTCATCACTCTATGCCCGCTCATCTGTTAAACTCTCGAATCCCTAAATCCGCCCTCCTTCCCTCTGGTGACCACCACCAGTTGCCTCGATATCCCCGGTCTTCCCAACAGGCCCCATCTGCTCGCCGCGATCCCTCCTCTCCCTCGCAACATCTTTTCGCAAAATCCTAGCCCAGAAATAGGGCTTGTTAACCACTTCATGACCATCCCCCTCCAAGATCCACACATTGCCAAGGAAAGTGGTAGACAGGACAGAGAGCCACATGAAAGGGAGCATAGCAACAAATGCCCACATGATCCCATCCTGAGCATCCCGCTGTCCAACACCACTCTTGTTCGTAAATACCGTCGACATAATCGTCAACCCAAGCAGACCTCCAAACGGAACAGCGAAGGCAGCCAGACACGAGATCTGGGCCGTCATGGCAGGAAAGAATGCCAAACCGTGCAATGAGGCCGGATTCATTCGTATCCCCACTCCATGTCCGATTAGCGCCATCATACCGTATATCAAGCTCGTGTTGCCGGATTTGACGCCCCATGCTAGAACAGTCATCCCCGTTGCGGAGGTTATGCTGCCAAGAAGAAGGGCGGGGAAGGTTTGTCGTGGCCAGACGTTTGAGAAGAACATAGCCATGAAAAGACCAGCTGTTGGTGAAATAGTTAGCGGACTATCATTGATTGTAATGCAAGGAAAAGAGAAAACGTACCACCCAAGCCTGGAAGTAAATAAAGAAGCGCCAGACCGGCATCGCTAGAAGGTTTTCCCTCCACCAGCGCAAAGTATAGATCCATGAAGTACATAACAGCGAACAGGCAAATACCGACCGTGAAATTGATCACGAATAGCAGTCCAATGTCCCGTTGTTGGAGGAGTTCCCACGGCATCATTGCCTTTTGGCGCGGTAGCAGCCGTGCCATCACTGAGCCCGGCACCATAAGCCATTCATAGACGAGCCAAGCAATGGCCAGAACGGCGCCGATTACCATCGGCACCAGGACAGCAGCAGATGTCCATGAGTATGTACCACCTGCCCAGGTCAATGCGAGGATAAGAAGACCAAATCCCCAGAGGAAGAGCATTTGGCCGCCGTAGTCAATCGTAGAGATCCTCGCCAGCAACCGTCCCGACCGAGTCGAGGTCCTTCCCCTCTCGTGTTCAGGAATAGGCTGTGGACCTTGTAGCTCCTTCCTCAAAACAATAGCCACAACAAGCATTGCAACGACTGCGATGGGCAGGTTAATGGCAAAGCACCAGCGCCACGATGTCTGCGTCAGATATCCGCCGACGACGGGGCCGATGCTGAATCCGACGCTGGAAACAAGCGCGAAGATCGTCCAGTTCACCGCGTACCCAGATAGTGAAACACCGTCTGCGAGGATGGTGCGGATGGAAATGTTGACACCTGCGGCGCCGACGCCTTGCAAGGCGCGGCCGAGGAGGAGGACGCTGAATGATGATGTCGGGGCGCCGGTGCAGATTGCGGAGCCGATTGCCATAATAGCGATGGCGGATTGGAGGACGATGTGTCGACCGAAGAGGTCCGTTAGTTGGGCCCAGAAGAAGAGGAAGGCGGCGGATGTCAGGTTGAAGACTGAGACTATCCAGTTCAGTTGTTTGAGTTGATCTGTGAGGTGTTAGTTTCTGTTATACATTGATGAAGTTGGAATATGGTATGGAAGCACATACTGAAGTCTTCGGCGATGTACGGTAGAGCTGAGGCCACTATCGTTGTGTCCATGGCTTGTAGGCAGTAGGGACCAAATAGTCCCAAGACAATCTTCCATCGGTAGATTCTGTCCCGTCTCTTCTCGGCAGCTTGCTCGGGAGAGATGACCTTCTGTCCCCTCGTCTGTAGGAGTTCTGTGTCTTCAATGGACAGGTGTGTTTGTCTGGCATGGTCGTTGGATGCAGTCGAGAGTGCAGCTTCTAGGGCTTTCCTCTCGTTGCGCTTCTTGATTTTCTTATAGATTAGATACATAGCTGTCGTGATGTATGCAATTGAAGAAGAATGGCTTAGAGAAAAAGCCCTTCCAACAGGTATTAGACTCCATCTTTATATTCTTCGGCCCGACAGGAGAGAGTCAAGACCGAAGTAAAAGAAACTTAGCCTTTCGGTGAGTGGAGCATCGTGCTAACCAAACTAGGGTTAGCGCGGCTCTAAGCCTTCCTACTTCGGACCGCACTCATTTCCATTTTGGGATATCGTCGCGATATCAACACACTTCGATCGAGCTACCATCGCGAGAATGTTATATGTTGGATAGACTATGTTTCACTCTCAACGTCAGGACTCAGCCCTGAGGCCCTGTTCCAATTGTTCGTAGATATGATGATCGCTCGTTCCTTCGCTAATTCCAGGATCAAGGCATGAAGATCTTAGATCTGATCAGATAGAGTCCGATATTCAATTCTAGCAGTGGGTGAAATTTCCATCTCCTCGCAACTCAAGCCAATTTTGTATGTCATCAGTGTCTGCATAGCTGCCTATGCGTATTCGCCTAATCCTGATACTGCATGGAACCCTAGTTATGGAAATATGGAGTTAGAGATTGCACTTTTGCCGGACACATCATCTTCCTTTCACCTCCAGCAACACCTGTTCCAGGCTCTTATCTCAGTGCCTGAGTCCCTCAGACCTTATCACATGATCCAAAATTTCTGCCAGGCGCGCTAGACCAATCGGATTGCTTCCTGGTCTAACGAGTCGGCCTCAGTGCTCACTGGAAGCAGCAGACGGTGGATGGCCAAATCCACCGCCTTTTGCCAGGGGGATGGCTGAGGGAACTGAGGTCTCAGGTAAAGAGAAATTTACAGTGCAGGTTTTTTCAAATCAACCTATCAAGATTGCATGACTTAGATTTACTGCGTATCACCTCGAGTCCTCGACACCTCCTGTATGCCCAGTCAGGTTTAGTGCGGTTTAAAGCACCGCCTCATGCCCCAGCTGGGAGCCTGGGATGCTTACCAAGTTACCTGCGGCTGCAGTATTACTTGGGTATCCCCTTTGGATCCAATCAATAACAATACATAGCGTGAATTCAGCTGTGTCTGGCAATGCGCACAGAAATAAGCACTTGTCATAAGCAAGGCTAGTTATCAAGTGACGGACTATGTTCAATATTCAAGTCTTGTATACAGTATGGCTTAGGTTGCGAGCATCGTGGGTCAGGCTCAGCCCGGTGAACATCCTTGCCCAGTGATGCCCACTAAACTTGATTGGGGGTTTTCCGGGGTCAAAGCACTCGGCCTAGCCAATGAAAATCACCCGTATACGAGGCTGGTTGCCTGACACCGCCCCCGCAGCCTTGATAGTGGACATCCAACGCTACTTTGAACTTCCACATAAGCATTACACACCTGCAGTGCCCTGTTCCTGCTTTTATCTCATTAACATACCCAGAAACACTATCGCACCCAACTATGGGTAGTGCGACACCAACAGAGGCAGCTCCTGCCTACGAGGATCTGTTTGATGAACGTGGTGCAACCTCCCGAAATGGCGTAAGTAGATCATCCTGTCAACACACTGTTAAGATGAGCACAAATAGACTCATGACTGTACCAATATGCTAATTTACTCGGATGAATAGTATGCCATGGTCGGCCAAAGTGAACCCGCCGATAACCTTGCAGACGTGGAACAAGGTCACCGCCATGACGATGGCCCCGCCCTCTTTGAAATAACGCCTGTGGCTGACAGTCCCAATCAACACATCCACTGTAAGGAATGTGACCGGCAGCGGGATCGCAGAGAAAGGCGGGAGCATGCTCGGATGGTCTGTGGAACTGTTGCAATCACGATCGGCTGTATCGCTGTGTTTTTGATGATCTTCGGGATTGTCGGTCTGAAAGTATCGGCGAACGTTCACAAGAAGAAGTCGCATTAGGTTTGATTGGATATTGCTTGTTTTCAAGGTTGGAAACTGGATGCCAGTGATTATGCATAACTCGGCGAAATAATCCAGGACTATCTCGGGCTATCGACCAAGTACAACTCTGCTTATGACGCTCGAATGCCACACTTACCTATTTCCATAGCGGACGGCGTGTACACTCGTTCGATATGGGGCAAAGTCTCTCTTCTAGCGCTCATGCCTCGGCGTTTACACTTCCAAGGTTGCGACATCCTAGTCCTCGGATATGTACGATTAGGAAGTACTGCTTTTCTTTAGTACAATACCATTCTTCTGTTTTCATGCAACGGTGACGCCTAAGCCCTGTGGTAGCCACTATCGCCAATTGGAATCAATACACTGATTCTTTTCAACTCTGTGAAACTTTGTTATATTCTGGGAACAGAAACAGGGCATGCACAACTTAGTTATATGCCGCTTCAGAGGATTCAGAAGACAGTGAGTGATTCGTACCACAGACGGCGACTGCAAATAATGAAGTACAATATACTCATCCAAATCAAGCACAGAAGAGGTTTACATGCTGAACTCAAGTCTGTTCCCCGCATAGTCTCGTGCGAAGAACCGCGTGGGGTACTCTTTTCCTTGTGCACCTATATCAAAATCAGCAAACATTCGTCTGCGGAACGTGTTGAAGGTGACCTACCCGAGTCCGTCTCGCCGGGCTTATCGGCAGCCACTGGTGCACCAAGGCCGCCTCTTACACTATGCTCATAGATCCGCGTCTTGATCTTCTCGAGGTCTTCGCGGGAATCCAGCTTGAAGCATGGGTGTCGTCTAGAATCGGATTCATTGGTACCGAATGAGACGTGCACTTGCTGCCCGCTAGAACCAACGTCGAACCTGTTTGATAACGTTAGCAATGGCACTTGTGCAAACGGTAGTTGTGGGCTGATACCATAGCAATGTGCCTTTTTGGAGCTCTGGTACTGGTGCTGACGGTAGCCCGAGAGTGGCGCCGTAGAACTCTGCGGCCTGGTCCAGAGTGCCCTCGGGGACTGTGAGGTTGATGTGTGCGATTCCAGAAATCATGACGAGGAGACTGTATATTTAGGAATGTATTTCTTGGAAGTTAATAACTTAATGGGCGATGGGGGGCTGATATATGGTGTGAGCTCAGAGCCGGGAACAAGGTTCTGGATCAGATGAGGAAAGGTTTCTGAATGAGTCAAGTGCGACTCTGCTGTATGTCAACTTTTCATAGGTTCCAGTCTTCCAGATATTCATCGAATAGTTCAAATACCCCGCCTGGACCTTCCTTGAGTTTAGATGAGCCCCGCAAGCATTCTTGAGCCTAATACTGAATGCCGATGACGAACGTCGGCGCATCAATTCTCCGAGGGCAAACTCGTTAGTCATGGATGTTGCGCTTGGCGTGTTTGTTATCGACCTGTTACCACTGAGCGATGATGGGCAAATGTGAGCGGGTTTCATGGACCATGAAGATGGGCATTCCTTTCGATAGCGACATCCTTCCCTCCATAAACTATTCCCTCATAATGCTATCCGACACGACATTCAGACATTGGCTGTGGACGAGGATCTGGAGCAAGAATTGGAGTTCCGAGTTCAAACAAAACTCAACAAAAGAAACAAATTTAAGATTACTGTGTAACTAGTTACTAGTTAACTAGTGGTAAAATTAGCAGGTCAGTACTGACTACTGCCACAGTGTGTACTGTGTACTAGTTTGAACATCAACAGGCTAGTATTTGCGAGGGCTTCACGCGTCATCGCATAGTGGAGAACGAGAAAATACTGGAACTGCTACTCCGTAGAACTCCACCCATTTCAACTTTCTCCTTACAACAATCTCGCGATTACTCTCGAGAATATGACCAGCCCACGCCTGGTGGACCCTCTCACCGTCTTCCCCCCAGAGATTGTCCTCCAAATCCTGGAACATACCCCCGTCTCCGGCCTTGCTTCCCTGACCGCGACCTCTAAAGCCTGGCATCGTTTCATCGACGTCACCCACCAAGAAGCTATTTACACGTCTGAATCCAAAACTTCTCAGCCCCCTGGTAGCGCCCGCGATCTCTCGTTCCTACCCGACACACACAGCTTCGCGAAACTCTTCGAGGGTACAACATCATGGAAAGATCTGTGCAAGCGCCAGACACTGCTGGCTCGCAATTGGGCTGGTCCGTACCCGGCTGGCTGGTCGTCCACGATTCAAGTCGGCGATAATCCGGTATGGCGATTCCGTGCAGACTTCAAGCGTCGCTTTTTCATCTCCACCTCCCATAATGGCGGGTTGACCGTCACGGATATGGACACGGGTTGCATCATATGGAGTCGCCCGTCGCTTGACAATGACAGTGACGGAGTTCGCCCGCACGCGCACTTGGAATACCAGGATGGAATGGCTGTGTTTGACAGTGAGGGAGATTCAATCGAGGTCTGGCAGACGGACCAAGAAGGTACAAAGCGTGGGGAATTCCGTCGCATTGCGATCTTGAAGCACGATTGCCAGACGAGAGGATTTCAATTGTCCTATTGGACGCTTTGTGTTGTCTCCAACGAGGGTCAGGGCTTCGTGTATGATATGACACAACGACCTCCTAAGTTGACCACCAAGTTGAACATCGAAAGGGGCGGTATCGGCCATCTGGACCAAAGTGCAGACGTTGTGATTTACTCAATGGGCGCAAAGGGGTACTTCGCATACAATAAGGAATCGGGTGCCTTTTTAGGCTCGTTGAAGCCGCCCCCGACTTTGGAGAAGTATCACGTTCGCCTTCCTGCACCGGAAGATATTCGTGAAGCTGCAGCACTCGAAAGATCCACACGGAAGAGCCGGAGACCACCTCACGCCCTCCCTGGGGGATTACAAGAAGATTGCTTGGTGCCAATCCAGGTCAACAAGGGTCCACTCCCGATATTTGCGATGCAGCATATCAGACATGAGCATGATGACTGGGGAGCGGGAATGTTAGACGGCAACCTTTTCGTCGGCATCTCCCGTGGGGGACGTGTCTTCATATGCTCCGACTTCCGCAAAGCTCTTCGCGATGAAGCTAGTCTTGTGGCGCATAGTTCCATCGTGGAATGCTACTCAGACGTGTCAAGCTTTGACCTTGGTGGCTGGTTGTCAGTCCGCAATCACCGCGTGATGTTTGAAAGTGAAGATAGAGTCTATATTCTCGCCCTCGACGATAACAATCGGGTTCAGAATGTGGACAATCCTCCTCGTGCTTCTTACTCGCTGCTCACCAGCACTGCCCGAGAACTTGCTGTGCCTGTCAGCTATATGGCATTGGCTGATGATGCTATTATGACCACTTATACTGTAAGCTGTTGTCCTACCAACCAATTATTAAACACGCGAACGAGCTAACTTTGGATACTTCAGACTTTCGGCCAGCGTACTATCGATGCCCAGGATGAGCCGCGCCATAGACGCGTCTTCCCCACAAAAGTTATCCGCATTGTCAGCCTGGCTCCCGTTCTCTCACCCAGGTCTGACGACAATGTTGATTCAACGGAAGGCGAAGAGGGTCAAAGTAGGATCGAAGACCTCTTTAACACCCCGGCTGGCATGGAAGAGCTGGCCAGGATTCTCGGAGATGAGGCACTGAGAAATGTGGCAACGGCAGCCTTTGACAGCGATGACGAAGGCGAAATGCACGAACACGCATGGGATATTTTGCATCAGGACGATTCGAATTCAAGTGAATTCGATTATGATGAAGATGATGATGAAGATGCAGATGAAGATGGTGATGATGAAGATGAGTACCACGCGGCGGAGGAGGCGTCCTAGATTCTCCGTCGTTGGGTCTCAATGGCATCATCAGCGGCAAGGCTCTCTGCGACGGTGCCTGGGGACCTCGGCCCAAAAGGGCCATGTACTCCCCATGACTGACCTGTTGCAGTTTCTCAGTTCATTGACAGTCGTCCAGGGATGTTTCCACGAATGTCCCCCAGTCCACATGATTCGTAATACCCCAACCCTGCAAGCATGTACCTGAGGGGCGACTCGACACAGGCGACCCCACAGCAGCGCAATAGACAGCCTTCCAGCCGCTTCGAAGCGATACACAGAACTAGGATCGGCTTTCTCATATGTTAAGCGTCAATTTGGAGGTAGGCTAATTACTAGAGAAAGTAGAGAGTGAAGTACAATAGAGCAGCTCTGACGGGATAAGATCTAGAACTGCGTCTGCCGGCTTCCTCATCGAGTAGGTATAGATCCACAACGAACCCTGAATCCTGGATATACCTCTTGACACATGGATTAGGTATATACATGTTTGTACTTACACCTAGCTGTCCAGCAGCACAGGCACCTTCTCCACCAGGTATTCAACAATGGCATCAGGACCACGTTCAACCTGCAACCCCTCAGGAATAGCATGCAACTTGATATCAGGCCGGGCAGAGCGTGCAATCTGGTGAATCTGCCGGGCTTCCTCCGCACTCCACATAGAGGCGCTGAACTATTCCAGACAAGTCAATTTGACCTTCCAGCCAGCTCAGAAATATCCAAAACTCGGACTTACCAGAACCTCGGGATTGTGCTGCTTGACCTTTCCCTCGACCTCGTCGATCTCTAGAGACTTGTTATGAACTCCCTCCGCTATTATGTGCTTCTCAGGATTGCTTACTTTCGCAGTTGTCAACGTGGATGATGGTATACCGATCGCTCAGTGCCTCGGCAACGCGGCCGATGAGACGCTTGGCGCGCTCCGGTGCGGTGTTGACGGTAACCAGGTGGAAGGGACCTTTAGGAGTAGACATTGTGGGATATAGTGATGGAGAATACAAGGCGATGGTCTGGAGTTTTATTGTCCTTGCAGGTTTGATGATTGATCCCACTTGCCACTTCTCCACCTCGTGGGAGGCTGCCCCTCTTATCCTGCGCCGGCCTAGACATACTCCGCTATCGGTCAACTGTCAACATAGGAGTAGTTATGGGGTTTCTATCTTGATGCAGTAGTTAATTAGCGTTCTAGCATTGCATCTTCATTTTCGCGAAAGTACTCTGGACTTGACCCCCGTCACCTAGGGACCATTGTTCCCAGATTCTGATCGGTGAGCCCATGGATCCTGAATTGGATACCTGAACGGGCTCTCTATCGGGGCAACCTTAGAGGTTGCCTTGTGGTCATGGATTCTTTGGCACTTCAGTTCTGAACCCTGGCCAAGTAACCGAGTCGACGGAGACCATCATGCGCATTTTGTCTTCTCTAGCAGAAAACGTCGCACCATAAGCGATTCATTGCACTGGTTTAGATGATATCTCGATGGGTCAACTGTCCTCGCTGAGCTCCTCCCTCATGTTGGAACGCCGATTAACAAAATTGGGCACCAGTAAATAAGTAACTAGTTATGGATAGGTACATTTCTGCGTTTGTTTACATCGTATATGCCTTAAGTTCCAGAATAAGTAAGAGGTTCGCATGTCAAGGACTAGCTAGCCAACACAATGTTCATTCATGCACATGACCTTCAGACTGCGCGAATACGCACCATGATCGCCGCATAAGGTATATAAATCTCCTTCCATCAGCATAGGCTTCAACTTGGAGAATCTCAATATTTCCGTGAGAATGTTCAGAAGGCTGAAGGCCTGAGGCTTATCGGGATATGACTTGTTCCATATCCGGGAAAAGTCTCTCCCGCCGCCCCTGCCGATCCAATCCTCAGAACAGCTTTGCTACAGTCAGCCAATGTGTTCAGATATGCGCCATAAGTGAGATTCAGTACACGCGCCGCAATCACTTGAAAACCAAGTATGCGGTTGGAGGATGGATGCTGGATGTGTTCATGCAGCAGCATCGCTACGGCTTCAGAGCCAACGGCGGGAAGGGGAATCGGGATGTGTCTAGCCAAACTGCAAACAAAATAGGACAAGCGGGACCAATAGCCCCTGCAACGAGGCTTTCGACGGGCCTATTGACCCGCTTTCGCTCGATTTTGAAGGCTTCGTGATTTTAGTCGGGTCGGCGTACCGATCTGTTCCGTACCAAGTCATATGCTAAAAGACGGGTTGCGCCCAAGCTCCCTGCTATGAGATTTCTCTAGGCAAGGTTGTGTCTTCTTTCTGCCTGAGGTCCTCTACCATTTCCATTCAAGCAGCTTTGCAGGGATGTTTCAAGCAATCCCCGAGCTAACCCAGTTCGATGTTGGGATAATCTTCCCAATCACTACTGGTTTGATATACCTGGAACAAGGGCGTTCAAGCTCAGTTGGATGAAGGGTGACTGCCATCCAAGGGGTTCTGCACAGGAAATAGGTTCGTCAAAGACTTTGTGCACCTATGCGCCAGCTCCAATACCTAACTATATACACCAGTGCCGATGCCGACTCAAATCTAACTGCGGAGCCAAGTTGCCCAACTTATATACAAGGGTGCCCGGTAACCCGAAGGCGATCGCGGGACTTTGCACAAGACGAAGAGAAACGGAAGTCGAATGCTATTCCATTCCCTTCACTCCACGCTGCGCCAGGGCTTGCCACGCCAGTGCAAAAGGACGGTGGGAATGACACTGGCAACGACGACCATTGCCGACATGACGCCCGCGCTGGCAGCAATACCAACGCTTTCAAACAAAGCGTTGAACCTAAGCGCACGTTAGCGATGACCTTTGCAATACACACCCAGGACCGAGAAACACATACCAGAAAGGACCAAGGAAACCCCAGATCTGGCGAACAAAAGTTACGAATACACCAATGTTACCCGCCTCTCGCGGGAAGCAATCAACAGCATAAGTGATCATCACCGTGGTGACAAGCTGGTTTCCAACAGCGCCGATACCAGTGCCGATGATAGGTGAGACGCTCCAGCGGCCGTGGGGGGTTTCCTGCGTGCAAACGAGGAAGACAATGATGCCGATGATGCTCAGCGCGAAACCGAAGTAGCTGAGCCACAGGCGGAACTCGGGTTCAGCTTTGCGGCCGATGCGTTTGCTGCGTCGGCTCATCCAGAAATCGGATAGAACACCGCCCATCTGCTCACCCAGCACCGAACCGATGATTACGCCCAGGAACTGCAGGCCGAGCTGCTCGGCGTTCAGCTCGAATTTTTCTTGCAGTAGTTGTGGCACCTCCACGGTGGAAAGGACGCTGCCGAAGAGGAAGACCATTGCGTATGCGCAGGCTGGGATGAGAATTGAGGGGTAGCGGGCCATTGTTAGTGGGTGCACAAACTCGTACCATGAGAATGGTGTCGGGTCGATTCGGCGAACAGACAGGTACTGGATCTGAGTTGGTGATCTCTCGCCCTCAACTTCGCCACCCAGGTAGCGGGTTTCTGGACCGAAGAACAGATATAAGATAAACTGGCCGCCATTGATCTGTGGAGGTTGTTAGCTAATGAACAGGTGTTTCTGGCTTCTCCTCGGACTGTAGCTTACGATTGCGAGGATCCAGTAGATCCAGTGGTAACCGGCGCGGTAGGTGACAAAGCCGAAGAGGAACGGCCCGATTGGGACACCGAGGGTAATCATCAATGTCCAGACACCCATGTAACGACCGCGGTCTTTCTTGAAGGTTGTTTCCATCACAACTGCGCTGCCGATGGCAGAGGCAGGAGAGATGAAGAAGGCCACAAGTGCCCGGCAAGCAGCAACAGAGGCATATGTGGTGCTCTTGGCACAACCGACGTTACACACCAGACTGCAGATGAGGGAAATGAGGAAGATAGGTCGGCGACCATACCGATTGGAGAGTGGCTTCCAGAACAGAGGCGCACCTCCGAGAATGGCGATCTGCAGCGAGGTCAAGTAACTGGCCGCTTGAATGGTGACCCCGAGTTCTTCTGACATTTCGAGATACGCGGGAATGATTCCAGCGGCAGTGAATGTGCCCATGCAAGCGTGAAACGCCACGAGGACAAGGTTCATCATTTTCTGTACGCGATATCAGTATGGCCATTCGCTTTTGTCTCTGTTTTCCAGTTTGGCGATTGATAGCCTTGTTCCTGGGGGAGAGCAAGGACCTACCTTCCACTCAGGCCAGTTATAGGGGTCAGCCGGGCTCATACTGGGAACGGGATCGAGTTCCAACGTTCCATGTCGCTGCAGCAGATAGTCACGATGGGCTTTTGGTAGGTTGGCCGTCAACGACTCTTCGTATGTGATTGCGTGGTCATGTCCTGCGGACTCAATGAGGTCGATATCGGCTTTGGCATTTGGTGCCTTCTCGACCTCGTCGGGTCGAGAAGAGTCGCGGTGCAGTTCGACGGACCCCATGCTATTTGCGTCCCCCAGGGGAGAAATGTATGATCAAATGGACAATAGGATGCTATGAGCCTCTTTACTATGCGTGAACAAGGCTCTTGAGGGTGGTTTCGGGGGTAAACAAGATATGGAGAGAGGATGTGGCAGATGATGGACTGATAGTGTCACTAGATAAACCCTTTCGAGGAATCGAGGGGTCAGCTGAGTTTCAAACCAGAACTGCTGACAGATCTGGGGGACTTCTGTACAATTTGACTATGGTGGGCATGCAAAAATCCACCAGGCGGAAAATTCCCCCGTGTGGGTGTGCACAGCCAAGACGCTAAACCCACTACGTTTCTCCATGTGGCCATGAGTTGCGCCCGGGGTAGCGATTCTGGAGAGAAATGTGGGGATACTCTACTGTTCCTGATGGGACCGTATTGGTGGTAGCGAGTCACAATGCCGCTAAGCCAATAATGACTGTCATGGCGTTTTTACGGAGGCCGCGCCATGCCAATTGCTAGTCGACGGGGCTTGGGTCCTTCTATGCCGATGCCAAGTACCGAAACCCTCTGGAATTTGACGACTTGCCGCAATTTACGCCGGCCGCAAACCACCAAAGCTCTTCGCTTCGGCTAGGAACTCGTGGGGGATACCCGAATTTAGACGGCATATGTCAACTCGCCTGTAATCCGCTCACCGAGACATTTCAACGGGCTTTTTCCGATCTGCTGGGGGTTAGGGAGAGCTCGGGGAGAAAGATGGTGGCGGCAAATGGCAATTGCCACCCTTCTTCGGATGTATAGCCAAGACCGCCACGCCCAGGGGCTTTATTCACCTGCCAATTTACGCCTGAATGCTTAAATGCTGCACAAGCAAATTTCGCTGAACTCAATAATCTCCTTTGGTCGAACTTTCGTACGTGAACAAAGTTCAAACCCCCTGTCCATGTCAGCCAGTAATCTGCAATCGGAATAACTCCGAAAATGGAATAGTCCCGACAGAAGTTGTTAAACGTTTTTCCGCCACGCGGCCACCCCACAATCGCTTCTCCTCATTGTACAGTATTTCGGTTGTATTTACTCTTCTCATCGGCTAGAATGACATCAATAGAGATCATGGCAGCGTCATCTACTCATCTTCATCATCCGGGGCCAAGAAACTGGTGTGTCGAACATGTCACAATGCTTATTGCAGGATGGGCGTCAAGCCAGTCTCCCCGCGAGGGGACATCAAGAAGTTCGTGAGGGCTAATAAGCTCTATACAGACATGAGCGTTGCCGTATGTTCTAATACGTCCAGATAATCCTAAGGATTTCGATGTCGTTGGAGCTTCGAAGCGTGCAGGAGGTTCACCCGGCTGATCGAAATGCTTAGACACCGGATCCAAACCATATGTTTATTTGTAAAACGTGTCGAAGACCCTTTGCACGACAAGATGCTCTTACTCGCCATGAGAAGCTGCATGTCCGTGCGATGAATGCAGACAATGGCTCAACGGAGGCAGCTTTGCCACTGCAGCCTGCTTCGATTACATCCCACGCTTCTTGGGAAACGAGCGCTTCTACTACTGATCCAGCATCGACTTCGGAAACCAGTAATTCATGGGATGATTTAACCTACTCTGGAAATGATACGGAGATGCATCATGTCATCTCCGCGGGTTTGGACTTCACATTGGTCTGGCCTGATTTGGAGGACTTGTTCCGGAGCCTGATGTCCACAGACGCGTCAGATCAATGGCACATGCCGCTTGGCACTTTGCCGTTTCTACCCGTCGTGCAAGATGTGAAGGGTGTCAACTTTGGGTCGCCAAGCACATTTGATGACCATAGCTCCTCTGTTGGGGCAATACCCCGAGGAGGTGGACATCGACCTCGTGATGTGGGCCAGCTCTGCAGACGCACGCCGGGCTGTCCTCCACGTTGTCACCATCCAAGACATTGTTGAGCAGTTACCACGGGGCCATGCACATGCCGTCCACATGCCCAGCTCACTGTTCGCAGCTGCCACAATACCTATATGTGGCTATGTCACTTGCAGGAGCCGGCACAGTGAATCTGCCTCGAAACACTGTCCGGCAGGATGCCCTGCTATCACACTCGGATCTCAATATTGGTGATCAGGATATTCGGCCTCCATCTGGGTCGGAGACAAAGCGCTTTGTGGAAGGAGGAAGTGGATCTCCATCGCTCCAGTTTTCGGCCAATGGCAGTATCCGAACTCTGCTTTATGTCTTATGAACTGAATTCTATGCAGAAGCTCTTCAGCTGTTTGTCTTCCCAGTGGAGCATTGCCGCATTGCACACGATATGGAGGATATTATTGCTCAGTGGATTCAGCTGTGTCCTTAGGTAGGGTGATCCGTATCGTCTCGTATCTGCCAAATGAGGGAATTTCAGCACTTAGCCTGAGTCTCGCTAAGGCTTTGGTATGTGCGCTTTGGGTCTTATGCTTCAAGCGGCGTAGGAACTTGACTGTGCATCGATAGTATCACCAATCTCAAGGATATGAGTTTTATTGGAGCCGTACACTGCTGTCCAAAAAGAGCAAATTCCAGCATCAGTATTCTTTTGCACACAGTTCAGTCTGTTCAGTAGGACCACTGGACGGTGGACCAGTCTTTGAAACCATTAGACTATGATGCAAGTCGTTTCAAATGAAGTTGAAAATCGTCCCATCTCACTGTCTGCAGATGTTGTTGTTGTGACAGTACATCGCAAACAAACACTACAAACATGTTCGGGAGTGTCACGTGGTACATGTGCGCGATCGGTCGGACCGAAACCACGGGATTGCCGATTGGCGCGACGGGACACGCCCCACGAATCTTTGATCCACTTCCAGCATTGGAATCCCTGCCGCTTTTGACTGAGATCTGGCCATTGACATTGAGGCCCCATGGTATGTGAATGCCTGCCCCCTCTGCCAAACTGAAGTCTGAAGTCCGAGATCTATGCTCGCGCCCAAGCCAAGTCATATGACCAGACGTCGCGGTATGCACATGCGACAGAAGACCAGGTCATGACCACGAGTCAAGCTTCGGGCTCCACGATTTGACGTCCGTCTGGGCACTGCCTCCCATGGATCTTACATCAGTGCGTGGGGGGACCATTGTCAAGGACATTGTGGTCGACCACTGTCCCAGCACAGGCCGCAGACCCCGCGGTAAGCCACTCACCCCTGCACAAGAGGGCCTTCTGAGAGAACTCTTCGAACAAGAACTGCTCTTTGTGCCCAAAGGAAGCCAACCACTGAAACCCTTCTGGGTCAATCTCGCCTCTCGGTTTCGTGAACACTCAGGTCAGGAGTATTCTTGGCTGTCTGTCAAGCGGCGGGCTGCGGGTTGGCATCAGGGATCCCCGGAAAATGAACGCCCAGTCGATGTGTCTCGCGCCAGCCTGAATAGAGGTGAAAGTCCGGTCACCGAGAACAAATCTGAAGCCGCTGTCCGTGATCCCCCAAAGTCGCAGGTCCAGTCGGGGATACCCCGGCGGGCTCTGGCGCAAAATGGTTCCTCACAACCGCAGGATCCCGTCAATTTAGATCGGCCGGAACCTTTAAGGGGCCCTGGTGTTCCCGACGAGATGCAGCCCTCTCATTTCTCAAGTGCAAAGGCTCTTAATTCAGTGACGAAATCCAAATCTCATCGCAAGTCTCGAAGCCCCGACCGGTCAAGATCACCCGACCATGTATCACGGCATAGATACCGACATCGCTCTCCCCCCGCGAAAAGGCATACGATGAGGGTCGCTCTAACAAAGCATTACCGCTTGGCCTCTGCCTCTCATAAGGCAGCCCCGTCTGGTCTCAAGCCGGCATCAGATGCCTCAGCTGGTCTCAACCATGCTTCGACGCCAAATTTCGCAGGACTAGACCACATTCGTGATTCGTCAGGGGAAGATGACGCTGGTAACCTGCTTCGGGACTCGACAAGGTCACCACCCAAAGAGGACTCGATCAGCGACAATCTTCTTGAGATCTCGGACCTATCCGACACAGATGATTTACCAGCAACGCCCGTGTCAATTCCGAGAAGGGATGCCGTTCTGAAGAAATGGTGAACAGCGCAGCCGGTCAGGGCCTTAGATGCCCCATGTCAAATACATGTCGAGTCAATCGACCACCTGCATCATTGATATTTGCAGCTCCTGAGGAAGCCTTAAGGTCCGGACTATCTTTCTCCGGGCACGGCCGAGGTGCCATCGGGCCACCGTCGTGTCCTCTTCATCTTCTAGATCTCTGGGTATACCGTATTGACCTATATCCATCGATAGTCATAGATAATGCAGCATTCCATTATTCGCTCATGGGCTACGTGATACACCACCAGTGATGATAACCTTCGTTGTTGACACTCTACCTTGGGAATTCCGCGATTGATGATGTCCCTGATGTCTACTTCGTATGGTTAATACATGGGGTTGTATATCATTTCCGAACAACTCGTCCTGGGTGAATCCTATCAACTTCTGTCCCAATGTTACATAGATTCAACAAATTCACAATGGAAGTCGGGCAGGCTCCTAATGGGTCTGCTGTCTGCCACTAGGTTGGTGCATATTTAATGGGCCCGGCATGGGACGTTTGGAGAACGGCGACAGATGTCTTGCTACATGCGCCACATCTGGTCGACGGCTACAAGGATTCTCAATGATACGAAGAGCCCACTCTTCGAGAATGCATTCCTGGCATACCGATACGCAAAGAAGGGACTAAATGCAGCATGCAGCCTATCACAAAACTCAGTTAAAGTAACAAATGCGACCCGGGAATCTAATGCAGAAACACGAAAACTCAAACAAGAAATAGATAAAAGCCGCTCAAAATCATGTCTTGTACTTCCAAGAACCAATACGTACGACAGAGCCAGGACTCCGCGCCCTACAACTGCCCCGCAGACTGTGGAGTCTAGGGCCATGGCCCGCTAACAAATTGTGTCCCTGACGCTTCTCGTGGTTCACCAGGTGAATGTTCCGAATAAGGTCTCGGCTGGTGGTAGGGTATTTGATGACCGTGTGTTGGCGCGGAGAAGCCAGCAGGACCACTGCCATGGCCGTTATGTTGAGAAACATAGTGATGGATATCCCCTTGCGCCATTGGGTCATAGTATTGTTGCTGGTTTTGGGCAGTAGGTAAATCTGAACGTGTGCGTATCATGTGCTGTCGTTGATACTGACTCTGGACATGTTGCAGTGGTGAGAAACCATGCAATGCAGGGTTCGTGGGAGCTTGTTGAGAATGGGAACGTAAGATGGGATAGCCTTGACCATTTCTGGCATTGTCAACCATGGAGTGTGGTGAGTTGTCCCGGGAATTCTCCTCAGACGATTGATACGACTGTGCTTCCCGCCTAAGAGATGGTTCCGAGGTGTGATGAGCGAACTCTCTCGGAGACGGTTCGACATCCCGCGGGGATGGGAATGAACCAAAAATTGGCTTGGGGATGGTCGACGGTTGCGTGTTCAATTGCAGACCCTCACTAGGTGGACCAAGCTGGCCTTGTTGAGAGCCTTGCCACGGCGACTCGTGTGCAGATGTCCCGGGGATTTCTCTTCCCATTTGTCCTTGCAGGCCCCTAGACGCTGTCCACGACTCCGGGGTCTGCTGATTCTGTGTTGACACACGACCCGCAGGGAATCCCTGAGAATATTGTGGATTTTGGCCAATAGTGTAAGCACTCGAAAAGCCCTGGAATATACCAGGGTTATCACCCCACGCCGTTGAGGGCATACCTTGCCCCAAATGGTGTGGACCGGGGATTGCATAACCTTGGTGGACCTGGCCCGCCAAAAATGCCGGCTGGCCATTCATATTCCCAGCAAGGCCGTGTTGTAATGGAATCTAGTGAACAATAAGCATCATGCAAGCCCCGTCTGTCAGACTCGAAGACCTCAGACACGAACGTACCGGACCATATCCAGTTGCGTTGGCAGCGGGCTGCTGCTCATACCCGCCGGGCAGGTGCTGGCCAATCTGATTCGAATACCAACCCGGTAATCCAGATGCATGCATCGAATTATCCGCCTGCCCATACATTTGGGAGTTTAGGGATCTCTATCCCACCGTCAGTGCCACTCTCGCAATGCTTATGCAGACATAATGAGCGCGATTCCCTACGGAAATTCTCGCACTGTCCGCGGCGGAATATTTTCCTCCAACCATTTTGTCCCCAGTATTCACCTGTCGGGTGCCATCATTTATCGGGTTCGAGGATGGCGCTGGCGATGGTCCTGTCCCGATCGGCGTTGGTGTTGTCGACGGAGTTAGGATGACTGGTTCGGTTGGAATCTCCCATTGTGACTTCCCAGTCGTGCGCTGTACGTAATACCATTTCCGTCGTACGCCTTCCCATTGGGGTAGCCTGGCAGTGACAAGCGTTAGAGAACTGAGAAGACCGATTGTGTTTGATGTTTACTTACCAGCCGTCTGGAAGTTTAGGCGGTGGGGAGGACGGGCCTGCCGTGTCCGCAGGGGCCTCAGGCGCCATATCGGGCCTAATAGGGGTGCAAGGCGACGTGGGTATAGCAATATGCAGCACAATGTCCAACTTTATGGATACAAACGTCAGAGTGTGAATATATTTGAGGGATAAGTCGAGGACGAACAGATGTGAGGTCGAGCGAAACTCGCGGATAAGACGATCTTGTGGGGCTTGGCCTTTGATCGCCGTGCACAGACCGAGTCAACAACACCACAACGTGATCATTGGGATCCTGGCCAATATTTACTGGAGACTACTATGCTGGTAGATCGTATGATATTTGTAGAATGAATTATGACTAGATAGGTATGGATCATAACTTCTGTGTATCCCAATCCGTGTCTCCTTTTCCCCCCAAAGAACACCGCCCAGCGCCAGGTTCTGAACGTATCGTAGGGAAAAACCACAAAAAATACAACAGAAACCAATCCTGTAGCCTCACAAAAGAGCAAGCAGCGAGGAACACGTCCATGAAATAGAATAGAAAGAAACAATGGGGCGGCACTCCTTTTCGGACTTCGGATCATATCTTACTACATACCACGCATGTCCTGGGCTAGCTAGAAATCAACCAGCCCAGTCCTCGTCACCACTGAGTTCATCGTCGAGAAAATCATCTTCATCGTATTGTAATTCACTCGGCCGCTGGTTATCAATGCGAATGTTGACAACGTCGCACATTCCCTGTATCTTCCCCCTAGCGTAGCGCCACCAACAACGTCGTCGGCTTCGCGTGATTTCTGACGTGCCAGGCGAGTGCTCTGTCGTTGAGAGATAGCATGACTTTCACGGCTACTCGTGGCTTGCATTGAGTCATCGATCTGAGCTTCAGGTTCATCGAGCCGTTCCCCTGTGACCGACGAGTTGGATTTGAGCGGGCGCTTGTGAAGAGAGCGAAGATTGGGATTCGGTTGAGTGCTTCGGCGCAGGAACACCCTTTCCAGCTGGGGAATCCATCGCTCACGGAAATTGGCTCGATCACGCCAAGCAATCTCCAAAAGTGCACTGATTGCCAAACGTCGGAGGTCGCGCAGGCCGGGTGCCGCATTGACCAGCGAGTCAAAGAAGATCTCAGCAGTAGGCTCGTCCCAATTGCGTAACTGAATGAGCTCGATTTCTTGGAGCTTTGTGGGCCAAGTAGGAACCTCCGTCCGAGCAAGTAGATCCTCGAAATGCGGTTCTATGTCGTGGTAACTGGATGCGTCATGCATAGATAAGTCCATTTTGAATACTTCAAGGTTCTCACAGGACTGGGCCAGATTATGGATGAAAGACATGTTCAGATGGCGGTTGTGACTCAGGCTGAGCTCTCGAAGATTGGTGCCGTGTGATGACAAGTAGGATGTGAGGTCTGGGGACCACAGATTATCACAGTTATTCAGAGTTAGGGAACGGATGGTATGGGGCAGATTAATCAAAGTCTGGCCCCCAACCAAGAAGCTGTCAGTGAATGTCAATCGCTGAAGATCGGGAAGCATGCAAAGGACTTGAGAGAGGCCGGCCTCTTTGGTAGCGGAATCCATCTGGCTAGGATTATCAAAACGAAATAATCTGAGCTCCCTCAGGCTCTGGAAAGCGCGTCGCGGGTGCGTCCTCATCATCAAATCAACAAGCTCATCAGTGTTCAGGAAGCGAGCGTTCCAATCCCAGCTACGAAGTGAAATTCCACTCTTCGCAAGGGCGGAAAAGACAGAACTTCGGTATGTCCACTTTGACTGGTTAATTTGCCATTGTGAAAAGCCAAGTTCGAAATCGTCTCTGTGATACAACCGCACAGTGTGTACCTGAGGTGTCTTCTCGATCAATTTTGCAAGGTCGAAGTAGCCGAGGGTGGGCCCGCTCTTGTAAAGGAGCAGTGGTTCAACCTCAACATGCAGCTCCTTTATCTTGCTTGAATAGTTCATTGATAGCGACTCTTGGGGCTGTTCCAGTAGACGAAGCAGGGAATGGCTCTTGGAGGCAGGCAGAAGAGGGGGGAGTGATACAGCGCGGCTAGAGCAGGCTCGCGAAAGCTTCGACACAACAAAGCCGTATTTACTAGCCACTTAACAGAATCGTTGCGGGCCGAGCGGACTTCGTCGAATACCGGATGTGACGCATGCAGGAAGATATCGAGTAGAACATGGTAGGGGAGTGTTTGCCAGGGTGGAATGACACCAGACCCCAAAGATATTGGCTCACTCGCGAGTGTTTTGGCACGCTTAGGCAAGATCCTTCCCACTTGGCCGCTGCTTTTCAGTGCTCGTTTGGTAGTCTTTGATTTCGGTGTAGTTGTAGCGCGTCGAGAGGGTTGGGCTCTAGAAGGGCGTGGAGTAGAGGCAGATCCAAGATCCAAATATGGCGCCTCATTTGACGGAGTCACTGATGATTCAGACTCCAGAGCTTCCACAGATTCTTCGACGCTAGTATCCGTCGATTCTTCGCGATAGGACTTTGGCACTCGAGCTGTATTGCGCGAGCGGAGTGATAGCGAGGTGCGCCTCGAGTCTCGTAGATCTGTGGTTTCATCCTGAGAGGAACTTTCCTCTTGATAAGTCTGAACTTTAGTCCGGCTGGACCGCATAGGGCGAGTGGACCTTGAATGCGAGCTCGAGCGCGCCATGACGGATCAGGTCGCGCTAGCATAAGAGAGTGGGGTGCAGAGACTCCAGCGACACTGGACGCACGACGTCGGGTGCGCAACAATATGAGCACGCAAATCTCTTTGACTGGCAAAGCCCAAATAATCTGGAATACTGCCGTTCAGCTTCGACCCTCGTGAGGGTCCGAATGAACCCGGTTTCATTGGTAGAGAGATGGAAGACGTCAAAGAAGTCAAGGTTGCCAAGACTATTTGCCTTATCGATAACGCCCTCGACAAGCCACATGGAATCACGCTAACCGCTTTGACATGTCATATATCACGTGATAGTCAAACGGGTACCCCGCCCTCAGGCCATGACGCTAGTCCGTATTTGGGAGCACTAGATGGCCCCAAAATAGATTCTCAGCTTGACCTTTAAAGATGGGCGCTTCCAGCCACCTCGAGGGGAGACCTCCTGGAAGCCTACACCCTACACCCTCGGCGCATTGTTTCCAAGGCTCTGATTTTTTCCATTTTCGTTTTGCACCTATGCGATATAATGTGTTGAATATAGCATCCGTGCTGTGGCTCTTGAGTTGACCTTAATGATGACTTGCTTATGCGACCAACCCCCCTCATGATTATTCGTCTGCATCAATTTCTAGCTCTGCTCTGCAATCTTATTTTGAGCGTTTCCACTTTGAAATCACAATTCTGGAATGGAAGCTGCATTTCCAGCTATAATGGACTCCACAGATCGCTCGAACCGTGGGGAGCTCAGCGCGCCGCAGATGGTCATCCAACAATATGCGCGATACCCTCCGACCTTGGAATCGACGTTACAGAGTGCTTCATCTTTGGGGAGTGCTCGTAGCCAGGTAGCTACCAGCAAATCGCCTCCCCTGCAGCGAAGAGAAACCCCCAGAAGTCTACAGTCTTCCCCAAGAGGCAGGCGTACTGGTTTACCTCACTCGGGGACATCCATGTCTCCGCCTGTTTTTGAGCCCCATCAGCATCAGCCGATGAAAGACTCAGCCGATCACGCAGAATCTCGGGTCCTTCCATCACGGGATATCACGGAAGAGACAATTGATGATGCCTATGTGGCATTTATTCTATACTGCAATCCTAATGTTCCCTCCTCTGTCGACACTTCAGAGCTAAGAAAAACCTTCCGCTGTCTCCCGCGGAGCGATGGGAAAAGCTTCAACATATTTACCTTATATGGACTGGTTCGAAGGCGGCTTCTAAATGAAGAGTTGAAAACATGGATTCAACTTGCCATCGAACTGGGTGTTGAGCCACCGTGCTTTGAAAAGAGACAAAGCGCCCAAAAAGTTCAACAGTATACTGTCCGACTCAAAGTGCGTCTTTCTACAAGCTTCCCAGTCTATTGAGTTCGATTCATTGTGCTAATATCGTCTAGCGTTGGATGCGTGCTATGCATATTGATGCTTTCTTCGAGTACTGCATAGGCTTACCCCATGTCTACTATACTCAGCTGCCAGCATCTGGTCCTTTTGTGAGCGAAAGTCGCGACGGTGTGTCATTGGAAGAAGATTTAGCACTCAGGGCACTTGTGCCACAATGGAAGCCCAAACGTGGGAGGAAAAGGGTGGAAGATAGGCTCAACGAGGATGACAAAAGCATCAAGCGGCCACAGTTAGATACATCTGTGGGCGCCCTACATCAAGGTGCCTTTCAGCCTCATTCTGTGACATTTCCACAAAGTGCCATTCCTTTCAGTGCATTCCCTGATGACATGGATTCAAATGACCCTTGGATGGCCGCATCATCCGCTTTTCCAAGCGGTGCTGGGTCGGAACAGCAAGGTCAAGATCTACGCTGCAGACTTCCTGACCGCGATGCGTCTCCAGCAAATTATCCCCAGTCTGCTATCATCCCACGCAGTCACCTACCATCGGATGTCCACATCTCTGCTGAACCACGATCGGCTGTCACTCCATCAACCGGCGTGAAGAGCGGGTCTAGGAGAATACATGGCCCTGCGGTCTCATCGGCTTGGCCGAACAGCAATGGCTCGTCTGCCACCAAGGGTCGAGGAAGGCCTCCAAATAAGGGGTCGTCATCGGGCTCTTTTTCCACATTTCAAATCAATCATGGTCGACAATTCTCGCAGGCGCCAAATTCCGACACACAGGCTCCTTCCATTGCTATTGACACAGTGTCATCTCAGTCCTTCCAGACCCCTTCATACAATCAAACCCCCACATCTGTCAGTCAAGGGAGGCCCAATAAGCTTCAATTGCAGGTTCCCCAGCACTCAGGAGCCCCGGTGCGACTTGCCACCCCGCCGATGCTTGTAGTCAACGGTGTCAACGGCGCTGTTGTTCCCGGATCAGGGGAGCCATATCCCCATACCGCCACAGATCCACCGAACAACCACATTGCCAATCAAACGTCTTCTTCCACTGGGAATACTAATACCAACACTGTTGCAATTCCCTCCATCGACGAAATTGTCCGTGTACTTTCTTCAGAGCTACTTCGCGCAAGGCTGATTGGTCGTACGGTTGCCCTCAGTCCCAAGGAGGCTAGTTCCATGGCTTCGGAAATGGTGATCAACCTTTCTTCAATATATTCCCAGTTTCAACTTGGTACTTCCTCCCTACTTCTCGCCTTCCATCTTGGCATCGGTCATCATTTCGGACTCACAGGCAGCAGTCCGGGGTCACTTGTCATCAAGGTTGAACGTGCCACTTCAAATAACGATAGTGCCAGGGATGTCCCTGGTTCTAATGGATCAGTGGGTGGAGCTCAGTATACCATCTCCCACGAGTACAAGACGTCAGGCCCGTTTTCAATGCACATCACTCTTGCACACGTCAACTCTGATATGGGAGGTCAGAACTCTTCTGAATACGCGAGTGAGGCTGTGGTTCCAAGCAACGGAAATATCAACGATGGCAAAACGGTAGACCTGAATTCGGACGAAGATGATCCAGGATATCCTCTTTCTGAGGCAACATGGAAGCAGCGTTATACAAAACTCCGGGCTCAGATGCACAAAAGGGACCAAGCTCTTTCACAGTACAAACGGAGGATTGTGGAATCCGTCATGGCAGACATATGATTCCTGTCGACCGGAGGACCTCTCTTGGCTCTATCAAGCTTCCGGCGCCTTTGTTTTGTTCACTCCTCATATACGCCTCGCGGTGCTTTTTTCGTCTTGTTTCAATAGGATACCCCTTGATACATTCAATCCTACTATCTTCTGGCACCTTACAACTGAGAACCATTTCTGTGCGTATTTGCGGCTTGCTTGCAAATCTCGGGTTTATATTCCACAAATGATGCGTGCAACATCAGGGACTATCGATCGAACATTCAAGTTTCTGTTGTTGGGTTTTTGTTTCGGTCGTAACTGCTTGACTAAAAGATCACTACCTATCGAACTGATCCGCAACCCGGCATCTAGAGAAAGTGACCTTGAAGATCTATCATAAGTGATCCATGAGGCTCTCTCGGACTTGAAAAGATCCTTGGCGATAGAGCATCGAACTCAGCAAGTGAGGTCTGAACTACTCAAGGTTCTTGGGAGCGTAAGCTTAATGCTAAACCATCACCTCTATCCACTATGCAACAGAATCATCAGCATATAAGGACTCCCCTGGCTCATCAGGGTCTGGCAGTACTGGTACAACATGTATACAAGCCAACCTACCTTCGCATACCAAATATTCCTTCACGCTGTACCTCCCACCTTCGACCAGCAACTAAGAAGTACTACTTTAAGGAAGGGGACGAATTCAAAACAAATTAGTCAATCCATTGGTGAAGGCTGGTCACTGGCGATACTAGCTAACGAAAACATGAACCTGATTGAAAACATAGTTCATAACTCCTCAAACAATAATACAAGCTTAAACTCGTTCCACATCGATGACAGCATCTTGACCTTGCTGGCTTTGCCCTTGTTGGTCCTGGCCTTGCTGAACCAGTCCCTGATATGGCTGAGCCTGCTGGCTTTGGCCTAGCTGATCCTGAGATTCATGACTTTGCTGAATTTGACCCTGCTGCATTTGGCCTTGCTGGCCTAGGCTTTGCTGGCTCAAACTCAGTGGGCCTTGACCATACGGACTTTGGCCTTGCTTCACTTGGTCCTGCCAGCTCGGACTCTGCTGGCCCGGGCCTTCCTCTGCCTGACCACTAAGGCCTTGATCGCGCAATACCTGACCTTGCTGGCCTGCGCTTTTCTGACTTGGACTCTGCTGAGCTTGGTCAAGCGGGTCTTGTTCTTGCAGTACATGGCCTTGCAGCCCTTGCTCGACTGGGCCTTGCTCGACTGGGTCTTGCTCGACTGGGTCTTGCTCGACTGGGTCTTGTTGAACTGGGTCTTGTTGAACTGGGTCTTGTTGAACTGGGTCTTGTTGGACTGGGCCTTGTTGGACTGGGCCTTGTTGGACTGGGCCTTGTTGGATTGGGACTTGTTGGACTGGGCCTTGTTGGATTGGGACTTGTTGGACTGGGTCTTGTTGGACTGGCATTTGCTGACTCGGGCTCTGTTGACCTTGGTCACACATGTCTTCGTCATGCTGGGCTGGGTTTTGCTGATTTGAAACCTGCTTTTCTTGGCCCTGTTGGCCTTGACTATACGGACCTTGCTCTTTCCGAACTTGGTCTTGTCGACCAGGGCTCCGCGGGCCTTGGCTCTGTAGTACTTGGCCTAGCCCAACTTGACCTTGCTGGTCTAGACTTTGCTGGTCGTGGTTGGGTGGTTCTTGGCCTTGCTGCACTTGGTTTGGGCCGACCAGGCCTTGGTGGATTGGGATCTGCTGACCTGGGCTCTGCTGGACTGGGCTCTGCTGGACTGTGCCTTGCTGGACAGGGCCTTGCTGGACTGGGCCTTGCTGAACTGGGCCTTTCTGAGCTGGGCCCTGCTGAACCGGGCTCTGTAGGTCTTGATCACACATGTCTTCGTCTTCCTGGACTGGCATTTGCTGCATTTGCTGCATCGTGCTCTGCTGACTTTGGCCATACAGACCTTGGCCTTGCTGAACTTGGTTTTGCCGGTCTGTACTTTGCTGGCCTTGGCCATAGAGGCCTTGTTGCCGCTGTTGCTCTTGGTCTTGCTGGCATATGTCCTGGCTTTGATGACCTTGGTCATACATGTCTTGGTCTTGCTGGCCCAGGCTCTGGCTTTGTTGACCTTGGTCATACATGTCTTGATCTTGTTTGACTGGGCTTTGCCGACTTGAGCTCTGCCAATCTTGGCTCTGCTGACCTTGGTCACACCTGCCTTGGTCTTGCTGACTCTGACTCTGCTGAGCCCAATCTTGCCGATTCCCAGTGCTCAATAAGTCCGTCTGGCACTGTTGATTCTCTTCCACTTTTATGGTCGGTCTTTGTTGGTCGGAAGGGGCGTGTGGTTCCCAGTTGATAGTAGGGGCAAAGTCCATGGAAGAGCCCGGGAATTCGAATTCTCGCAAATCAAATCCTGACAGTGCACCATGCAATGAGTAAGGATACTCGGTTGACACAGACGGGGACTGAGAATGCTTCAAATAAGGCGGTGCTGCAAAGCTGGTTGAAGGTAGCCCGGTGGGAATACCAGATGCCATTCGAAACTGGGGTGAAGCAAAGTCCTGAGGTAAGTAGTACTGTCCTTGCATTCCAGTCTCTGGCATTGAAGCTGGGGCGTACGGCATAAATCTGCTTGGGCTGTTCTGCATCTCTGGCTCACTTTTTACAAAGGGATTGGTATGGATAGATGGATCGGTTGAGCTCGTGGGCATCATCTGGTGCTGAGGCATTGGAAACATCCCCGGCATGCCGGCAGGTGGGTCTATGATCTTCTCCTTCTTGGTTTTTCGCTTGGGTCGGGTTGCCCCCGTGGTCCCTTCCATTTGGTTGCGGAATCGGGACCACCGCATACGTGAAGCATGGCCATTGGAGACCTCGCTATCCGCTGCAACTTGGTTCCAGTCAATCTAACATGCCCTGTCAATATCGGATCAATTCTCAGTCATCATCATGAAATGAACTTACCGACTTCGTGTCCAGTTGCTTCATAATTGCGTACAGAAACTTTGCCGTTGGAGTATCTGTCTCCAACACTTTACTTCGCTTTCCCATGATTGAAATAATCCTTGATAGAACTGAGACTGAACTTGTGGAGCTGGGTGTGTTATCATATCGATGAACAGTCTTGACAGCACTGAATATATAGGCAGCATAAGTTCACTACATCCTGCGATTGAACAATTGCTTGCTTATTACATCAAAGATCACTTTGTGCTTTGCAAATGCAAGAAACAATAGGATACACATCTATGAATTAGTTGCATGGCCCAGATCCGGACCTATCAACCTTGTTTTGCCTTGTTCGGATGCAAAGGCATCCTGCAACAGCCCGTCTTCTGCTTTGATGCATATGGAAAGCGATTCCATACCTAAATGTATAGTGTGGCCTAAATGGACATCTAATTGGAAGTGTACGGGCTGCATACGGGCTACGTACCTAAGAAAATCTCTTCTTACAGCCTCATTGGGAAGGCAACTAAGATGAGCAGATGCAGCCCTAGAGAGGTCGTTGTTTTAGGGTGCGGCATGGGCACGTGCGCCCCACGTCGAGCCCACAAGGTATGCGTAGGTACTAACAACGATTTACTGTGTAGATCTTGCCCAGTTTTCATCGCAGGAAGTTTTGATGAATGAGCTACCTTATTACTTGAACAAAGGTTGATCTTCCAGATCCAGCTTGCCCATCTTGCTGCCACCACCTGGTAGTGTTTCTTTGAGTCTTTGACCTGATCCAAAAGTTCTGCCAGGTTTTGGCGAATGGCGGGCTAAACCTAATTGTAAGAAGCAGCAGGCGGTGGATGTGGCCATCCACCGCCTTTTGCAGGGCTGAGGACTGAGCCGGGCTAAGTGGCGCCCGGCTTTGTGGCACACGAGCCGTCGGAGCCGACTGACGCGGACAAGGCAGATAAGAATCTTGGAAACATGCATACTGTCATGCAACAACACTAACTTACTGAATGTTTTGAACTGCAAAAATCATAGCTCAAAACACTATCATGACCATGTCTTTGGTAGCTATAGGGGCATGCTACCTCGACACGATTTTAACGTGAGTTCAAGCTCCTTCCACTTGACGTAAACATACTCCGGAACGGAGAGGTTGATATGCACATGCACTCTGGCCAGAGTCCCTCATTACCCGGATGAAGACGAAAAGCTTCGCGCAACCAGGCTTAGCCGCAGGCGCGGTGGAAACTGCCCAAACACCCTCGATATTATGGGGCAACTGTTACAAGACAGGGCCACGAGTGATGATTGTTCCTTAGGTCTCATTTCGGTGCTTCCCTCGGAGTCCTCAGTGGCAACCCAGCAAATAAGATTAAGCTTAGGACCCTTGGTCCAACTGGACAAGTGTATCTTCCGAGAAGAGTTCAATGAACCCGCCTCCAGTTACATCATTGCGAGTCAGGACACCAGCAGTAGGACGATTGTCAATTATAACGAGCTGCCCGAAATGACCCATGCAGAGTTCACCACTGCTGTTGGGCCCCTACGAGCTGCAGGGGATCGACACTGGTTTCATTTCGAGGTGCGTGGCACAATAGCTAGGTTCTCCGGCCTGAATGAGCCAGACTAACTTTGACTAAGGGCCGCTCGCCAGATGTGACCCTCGAATGTATTCATTATATTCGCAAGCAATTTCCAGCGTCCAAAATCAGTGTTGAGATTGAAAAGCCTGGCCGGCCAGGCTTACAGGAGCTTGCAGATACAGCAGATGTTGTCATCTACTCAAAAGCATGGGCTCAGGTGAAACACCTTTTCATCAATATTGGCAAGTGTATGGATCTAATGGTGAGCAGAGCAACGGACACACATCTGCCAAGGATTGCTTACAAGATCAAGCATTGAAGACAAGCCAAGCGTAAGTTTTGTCGACGGAAGTGACAGAGGAGTGTCTCAATCTAATTTCCCTTTGCTGCAGGACATTGCTGTGTTGCACTTGGGGCGACGGCGGGGCCGCTGCACTTGAGCCAAAGACTGGCAACTTCGCTCATGTCCCGGCACATGTTACAGGATTGGAAGTAATCGAGTGAGTTTTGACCTTCCCGGGCTACAGTATACGCGGCAAACATGAGAAATACTAATCCATCATAGCACAATTGGAGCCGGAGACACATTCAATGCAGGTCTACTATACGGTCTCATCTGGCACGATCACGACTGGGATTTCCGAAAGACTTTGGAATTTGCAAACCTCGTTGCCGGGTTAAAGGTCACCCAAGATGGGTTTCAAACCCTCCAAAGAGCATTAGGCTTGCATCAAGCGTCCCCACATGTTGAAAGCGAACATGCAAGTGGGATGGGTAGATAATGGGCTAGTACCATGCTCAAAGGCTTGCATTTCAAATGGAAAGGGTTTTCAAAATGTCAGAGATAAATGATGACTGGGCCCCACGGTAAGCTGCAGGTGTTGAAGTGTTCCATGTGATTATTTCGCAGTCAGAGCTTCTAGGTAGTCCCACCACTTCCCACCAGAAGGCGCCACTGCATGAGCGGAAGGAAAGAGGTATGCTTCGGCAGAATCAAAGAAAATCAGATTTGAACTTCTGCCTTTGATTTAAATTTGGAGAAAGCTCTGTAATTCTGCTTTCTGAAAACACACGTGACACAGTAGATATGACGCTAACAATCAATGGAGAATATACTTAGCTCAATCATGAAGTACGCAGTACGCCGTAGATGGAAGACCAAGAAAGGAAGTGTACAGACTCCTGCTCGGCAGGAAGCTGGGGCGGTAACAACCGGCAAATAAACAACATCTGTATCTCACACGTGACCCCGCAAGATTCAGGGCGGTGGGAAACAAAAAATATTCTGCCATTAACTTTTTGATCTCGGGCGGCTTTTGCACGATCATTTTCAACTCCATTTAAGACACAATCAATAGTCACGATGGCATCAGTTTACAAGAGTGTGTCAAAGAAGGCAGCTAGACAGCCCACTGAGGATATGTCTGACGAGGACATCGAAATGGAGGAGCTCCTCAATGCAGAAGACGACACCACTGATAGCGAAGAGGAAGACTCCGACGATGGCGAGGCAGCTGAGGTTCTGAAGAAGCAGCTCGCTTCAGGATTTATGCCCAAGACCCGAGTACTTATCTTGACCTCTAGAGGTGCATCCTACCGGTATGATCATCATGTCTTGCGGGATAATCTGGACTGGTTCACTGACCTGTGACATTTTACTTCTTTCTAGCCACCGACACCTGATGTCTGATATCTGCGGTCTCCTCCCCCACACCTACAAAGAGACCAAGCTCGACACGAAAAAGAAGGCGGCCGGTTACAACCTCCTTCTTAACTCCCTTGCCGACCTTCACTCGTGCAACGTCATTTTCTTCCTCGAGGCCAAGAAGAATGGCCAGGATCTTTACCTTTGGCTTTCCCGGCCTCCCAATGGACCTACTATTAAATTCCACCTCAACAACCTGCACACAATGGGCGAGCTCGGCGCTGGGTTCGCAGGGAATTGCCTGAAGGGCGGCCGCGGCTTGGTCGTCTTCGATCGCTCTTTCGACGAGCAAGGTCCTGACATGGGCGTTCCTGGCAGTGAGTACCGTGCGCTGGTTCGGGAGATGCTGCGCGGAGTTTTCTGCGTGCCCAAGCGTGGTGTCCGAGGCATGAAGCCCTTCATTGACCGCATCATCGGTATCTTTGGGGTGGATGGCAAGATTTGGATCCGCGTCTACGAGATTCGCGAGTCAGAGGCTGCTGACAAGAAGAAGGATGGCGAGGAGACCGCTAAGCCTGTGCCGAAGGGCAAGGACGGTCTACCGGAGATTTCTCTGGTCGAGATTGGCCCCCGCTTCGTTCTGACCCCCATTGTCATTCTGGAAGGCAGCTTCGGTGGCCCCGTCATTTACGAAAACAAGGAATACGTCAGCCCCAACCAAGTCCGTAGCGAGATCCGCAAGGATAAGGCCGGTCGCTACTCCCAGCGCCGAGACGTCCAGACTGATCGGGTCGCCAAGCGCTCTGAGTTGGGACTGTCGGAAAATTCTGTGCGCAAGGTGGATGCATTGGATACAAGGAAGTTGTTTGCATAGGGGGTCTGCGTTTTTCTTTCGTGCTATTTCTAGACGTGATATCCCTTGGGATGATGTTTCGACTACATGTGTATATTTGATGCGACGCTTTCATCATGGTCCTTTATGGCGTCGGGGCAAAGACTCATCCTGGTTAATTTCAAAAGTTGTTTATTACATTGTTCTCCGTCCTAAGTTTCCTAACTTTTACCTGCTCATCTACGGTATCGACACCTGAATCTCTAACCTATCCACATGTTGGATGGATGGAACCTCCCTTGTCCTTGGAAATGCCCAGATGGCAACTTGGAAGTAAGGGGCGACCTTAGCTAAGCATGTTAGTTATGGCGATGCCATCACGCATTTCTACATTTTGACATCGATCATGGCATCACCTTCGCTAGCTAAACCCATATGGCCACAAGACGTTCACTTTTCAAACATGTTTACCCTTCATTCCAGAACATATTCTGCTTCTATCAGGCCCAACGGCGGGGTCCATTGATAGGCTCACTGTACTAGCGACAAACACCGATTGCTTCGGTTGCGACGGCAGCGTTTACTTCTTCGAAAAGCACCTGTGTACGAAGACGTATCCCGTGGATCTCCGAAGATCCCTCGCGCTCATTCTCGATTTTGCAACATCCCATCAGGTAGGTAAGATGCCATTGGCGGCCCAGGTGGTGCTCTATGGTGAGTCATGTCAGTAACCAGGTTATGTCGTACCAGGTTTATAGCAACCTACATATACATCTCCATCATGCCGATTTATGATCTTGCAACGGAGCTCTTGCTCCATATATTTCGCTCATGCGACTCCATCTTCGATATTCTAAATTTAGCATCCAGTTGCCGCCGACTTCACCACGTCTTCAACTCGCCAAGCAAACTGCATATCCTAGCCAGTGTGGCGGAGAGGCAGTTTGGTCCCCTCGACGATGCCATTCAGGTGGTGACGCAAAATGAGAGCCAGCCGGCTCATATCATCCGGCATGCACCCATGTCTGATTCTCTGTTAGAACAAGTCATACAGCTCGGCTTGGTGGCGCGCAAATGGGAAACAATCTACCCATTCAAAAAGTGGAAGATCGACTTTGAAAACCGCCGCTCGCTCACCGATGAAGAACGATTGCGCGTGCGCCGCGCAGTATATCGGCTGTGGTGGTATCATAGTGCATTTCACTCTCGTGCTTATGATCGGCATTCCCGCAGTCTTCGACACGTTGTATTGGAACGGGCCCAGCTGCTTCACAACTGGTCCACTCAGGAGCTGGCCGAGATTGAGGACTTGCGGCTTATCATGGATGATATCTTGCGAAACCACATATGTCCTAGTAATGGGACAATTCAACGCAAGTTTCGCAAGCGCTTCCCAGACAGCAGCCAGCAACCCGTGTTCAATATCCACCTAAACCATCCAAGGTTCAGCACTACTCCCCTATCACCTCATGATCACTCTTTCTTCGAAAAGGGCCCTGGTGCCCCGATTCGACAGTACTTTCACACTGCTCACCCGAACAATTACGCCGAATCTTCGGCCAAATACCGCTCTCGGTTTCGCAATGACCTCTCCCATGACCCAGGGTATGAAGGTTGGGGCGACGAGATCCCGCATTACTACATTGTGCAGGATATGCTGAAACTTGATCCTGGCCAGATATTGTGGTTGCGTGATCATGCTCTGCTGAAGGAGCAGGTAGAGGAGTATGTGTGGTCTCTGGGAGAGTGGTTTCGTGACAATGGCGAGACATTCGGTGACACAATGGAATATGTCATGAATGAACGTGGTCTCGAGATTCGAGAAGTTAGATCTGCAATAGTCAACCGTGGCATGGGCATCATTCTAGACTAGGGTTGTGGGTTTGGACCTGTTGATTACTTAGAAAATGGTATCGATTCTTCTCTTGCAGCCCTCCAGAGATCCAGCTCTGGAGTTATGTTCTCCTGGTGTGACTTTCCTAGGTTAGGCTTGTGCATACCTAGACATACCTTGGTTCGACTTCGAAAACACATAACCTCCCGAGTTAATCTCCGAGTAACCGACGGAGTATGCCGTCGGCCCCCTTTAGCATCCATCGTAACCTTGGACAATGATCTCTGAGGTTTTTTACACCCCAGCGCGGAGATGAATTGGCCCCGGGGAAGGCTGCCCGGCCACAGCAGATTGCCCTGTGGAGCAGGTGGACCCCTGGTACTACAAGTCTACACCTGACTGATATGACATGGAATACCTACTACACAGGGCTTGGAAGCTCCTCCCAAGCTTATTGTTCTTCAATACATGTCACATGTATGCTACCAGAAAGTGTTGGAATGAATATGCATTTTCAGAAGAAGTTTCATACAAAAGCTACGCAGCCGCAATGTCAGACGCCCAGCCAACCTTAGTTCATTGCACCAGCAAGATGTTCATCATCGTAGAAACATATCGAACACACCGGCCGGGCGAACAGGGGAAAAGGGGGATCAATTTCGTTCAAGAATCACGGGCAAAACGAATAATAAAAGGACAGAAGAAAGGGAACCCCACGGCCGGAAATATTAATTCCAGTAAACCCATACCTTCCCTTGTGGTTTCCACAACAGATCCCGACTGTGTATCCTCTTTGTAGCCGTCGAATTTCAGACTCCAAGGCAGATCAAGTCCATCTCAATATCCCATCGCTATAGAACAGTCGCGGCGGTCGGTACATCGTTCCAGGAAGGGTAATCTAGCAGCAGCCCTGCTTCGTCTCGCTGTCTTGCTTGCTAGGGTCGATAACTGGACGGCGGTCGAGAACCTGCTGGCCACCCTCTCCAGGCTCAAGAGCCTTGCTGGAAACAATGCGGTAGATTTCTGTTTCATTAGTATCGAGAATAGCCAAATTTGAAGAGACCGATCACCAACCTGTGAGGATGTTCTGGAAGGCCAGCTCGACGTTGCTGGCATCCAGTGCGGATGTTTCGATAAATGAAAGGTTGTTGTCACCTAGCTAATGTCAGCGACACATAACGATGCTTGGATTGACATAAACGAACTGGCGAACTGCTTGGCCTCCTCTGTGGGGACGGCACGCAAATGGCGCAAATCGCTCTTGTTACCGACGAGCATGATGACGATGTTCGAATCAGCGTGATCCCGCAGCTCCTTCAACCACCGGTTGACATTCTCGTAGGTCTGGTGCTTGCTAATATCGTAAACAAGGAGGGCACCGACAGCGCCACGGTAGTAGGCAGAGGTGATCGCGCGGTAGCGCTCCTGGCCAGCAGTATCCCAAATCTGTGCCTTGATTGTCTTCGAGTCGACTTGGATTGACCGGGTCGCGAACTCCACACCGATCGTTGACTTCGAGTCTAAGTTGAACTCGTTGCGAGTGAAACGACTCAACAGGTTGGATTTACCGACACCAGAGTCTCCGATAAGAACCACTATTTACCCCACGATTCCTCCATTGTCAGCCTCGGGTTCTTCAGAAGGGGGCGAAAGGGGGGGGGGGGGGGGATGTCGGATAAGACAAGGGCGGGCATCATCATAAAGTGGCGACAGTACCTTTGAAAAGAAACTGAGGGGAATATTAACATCAGTGTATTGTTCTAAAGACATATAAGAGCTTATCATCATGAATCCACTCACGTCATATTCATCGTTGGCCATTTTGGACGGGTACGAGCTAGGCAAGCTCGAAGTGTGGTATCAAAGTGCGGGTAACGTGGCAGGTAGATGAAGACTGAGGGGTGTACTTGAGAACTTTAAGGGCAAAAGCCAACTATGTCAGTACTGAGGTTAAAGTAGGCAAAAAGATAAGCAGGGAGCACACACACACTGGATGTAATAGAAAATCAGCAGGGGATAGTCAGTGATGCCTCAGTCGAGTGTCTCTCCTTAATCGTGCCGGGCTCATTGCGGTTTAGCGTGGGGATCACGTGTGCTGGCGTTTGATGCGCGGGCGGTATCCTTTATCGATGGGCAGTATCCATCTAACTTCGGTTCTTGCTTGTCCTGCGACTGCACTTGGTACTTCGTGCGCTTTCTTGTCCGTTCTTCATATTCTGAAGTAAGATGCGAACACGGTAGGTGATTATCCTAGCTCGAACATTCCTGAATCCCTGGTACTCAGATTGTCAATACAAACCCTACATCGCGTGAGGTAACGAAACATATGTTAACTCGACTTGCCAGGCTATTACAATGGCTCCTGCTACTGGGATGAGGGACGTTTTTCATAAAGATGGTGACGATGATGCTGACTCTCTGGCATCCACGGCCCCGAGTGACCCAGAAGCCGAGTATCTCGTAGGCGCCATTCATGCGGACAGAAGGTTCTACATAGAGCCAGTGTCTGAAGACGACGAAGGTGTCTTCGTCACCAAGTACTTGGTCGAGTGGGCTGGTTACAGCAGGGATCGATGGAGCTGGGAACCAAAAGAATCATTCACTTCGGAAGAGACCCTTAAAGACTGGGAAGCGAAGAAGAAGCAGATCGCGGAGGGGAAAATCAAACCGTTCAATCTCAGGTCGTGGGAGAGGTACACGGCAAAAGTGGCGAAGAGAACACAAAAGCGAAAAGCTGATCGAAGGCGGAAACGAGAGCAAAGGGCACGGCTCAGAAAGAATGCTCGTCCTGAATCGTCCCAACTCGCCAATTCCGGTAATGTGAATGATCACGAGCCTCACACAAGTCCTGGAGCCCACGAAGCTTCCAGACGGCTCTCAGGGGATTCGAACGCCTCTTCGGCCTTGTTTGTTCCGGCCCAGACTCAACCACCTCCCAAATCGCCGGTCCGTCACCGAGCGCCGCAGCAAGTAGCACCTTCAAGGCCAGCTGCCTCGACCCCGCAAGCAACTACGAACGCCGTCCCAAATTCTAGACTTACTCGGCTCGCAAAGGACATCAAGGCCAAGCAAAAACCTCCAGCGCGGCAAGCTGGTCCCCCACAGAAAGCAAAACCTACAATGTCTGTTTTTGGGACGGGCCCTGTCACGAAGTCCACGCATCGTGAAGGCAAATGGGGTGATAGGGCACCGGATATCTCACAGATGGAGATGATGAGGCCCTCAGAGTTTCCAGGAAGGACGAATATGGGCACTACAGCCTCGACGTTTGGCCCATCTGCCATCAGTCTCAAATCGCCGGAGGCCTTAAATCACCCTGTCTCCAAGGACCTGGTCGGCTTGACTAGTATCCCAATCCCCTGTGCTGGTGACTCAAATACTGTGTCCGCAGAGCAGCAGGAAAACCCTATAGACCATGCCTCTTCGTCAGCCATGGCCCCTCCAGCCTCACTCCCTTCGAAATCGGCAGCCGCTGCGTCGGCTTCATCGATGGCAGCTTTACCTGGGCCCAGTGCACGCTCGGATCTGAAGAGGCCTGCGGGCCCTGGTGATATATCCCCCTCTGCTTCCTCACCACTTGCTCCTTCCGAGACACATGCAGCGGCTTCTTCGCTTGATGCTACTGAACCTTCATCAATCGCCCTCACTACTTCCTTGCCAGTTGTTCAAACAAAGGCGCTCAATGGGCCCTCCGTATCCGTGAGTCCCCATGGCGAGGAGACCCCTTCATCTGTTCCCTTGGTGCCCCACGTGGGGAATCCTTCGGCAGAGAGTGCGGGCTCCAAGCCTCCTGCTCTTTCGGTATCTATACCCACTGGGCCCCGTGCAATGCGCCATGGCTCCTACACACCACACACTGCCCGACAGCCCCACCATACAACCATGCACAATACCGGTCGGCCCTCAGAGCTGTCACGTTGGCCATCACCCTCTCGCCGATCACCACCCCCTCGACGGCGGTCGCAATCACCCAGGGATGGCAGGGCTGATGCCTATGGTGCCTATCGGCCCTCAGAGCTGTCTCGTCGGCCGTCACCCTCCCGTTGGTCGCCACCCTTCCGTCGGCCATCACCCTCTCGTTGGTCACCACCCTCCCGTCGGCCATCACCATCCCGTTGGTCACCACCCCCTCGCTGGCGGTCGCCATCACGAAGGTTGCCGCCATCCCCCCAGCAGCCTTACCACCCAGCGAAGGCTGATGCCTATGATGCCTATCGACCCTCAGAGCTGTCGCGTTGGCCATCACCATCCCGTCGGTCACCACCCCCTCGCCGGCGGTCGCAATCTCCCAGGCCACTGCCATCCGCCCAGCAGCCTTACCACCCAGTCAGGGCTGATACCTATCGGCCCTCAGAGCTGTCTGGCCGGTCACCCACCCCTCGTCGGTCATTGTCCCCTCGTCGGCCATCACCACCTAGAAGATCACCGCCTCCTCGTCGGCCATCGCCCGTTCGAAGACAATCGTCCCCCCATTGGCCATCAATCTCTCGCCGCCCTTCAAGATCGCCGCCACCCCGACATCCATCGCCCGCTCGACGGCCATCGTCCCCACGTCGGCCAGCAGCTGTCGTTCATCCATCACCACCTAGAAGATCACCGCCCCCGCGTCGGCCATCGCCCGTTCGAAGGCAATCGTCCCCCCATTGGCCATCAAGCCCTCGCCGCCCTTCAAGATCGCCGCCATCCCGACGTCCGTCGCCCGCTCGGCAGCCATCATCCCCACGTCGGTCAGAAGCTGTCGTTCATCCATCACCATCCTCTCTTGAGTCGTCGCCTTCTCGTCAGTTGCTCCGTGAGATGAGTAACTCTCACCCGCCTCATAGCCCATCTCCAGGTCATTCTCCGCTTGGGTCAGATTCTCTAAGCTCTGCCACGTTCAACAAAAGCCCGCCATGTGTTCCTCAAGCTGAATCCAGAACTGCGCTTGAATCCAGAACTGCGCATGAATCCAGAAATGCGCCTGAATCCAGAACTGCAGCTGAATCCAGAACTGCAGCTGAATCCAGAACTGCGCCTGAATCCAGAAATGCGGCATCTGACCAATCAAGACTTTCGATTCAAGCCGAAATCGCAAGGATGCCTTTGCGTCAAAAAGGGCCCGGTTGTATGAACTTTGGCCCTTACTGGGTGAATCAACGCGAGGGAGAGGCTCTCATTCATGTGTTTGTCGGTCCCAAGAGGAAACATATCGGTCCTTTCAGACTCTGCGGCATTTCTCTGGCTGTAAAGAAGGCCCTTATCGCGGCTACGAATCCTAATTCACGCCAGGCTGAGATCTGGTTCAAGGATTTCTGCACGGCCAGAGAATATGAGAATTTGTGTGAGTCTAGTGTAAGTGTCATACTCGTGGATTTCTCCCTTATATATTGACCACATTGGTGGATTATGTACTGACTACATTGCTGGAATGTAGGCGGATAATACGGTACTGAGTACCGGTTGGGCTGAGGGCTATCAAGACACCAACAAAGATTTGTATTACTTTTCTCGGGGTTTGCGAAAAGACGATCTCATCGCCATTCACTACACTCATAAAAGAAAAAAGAAGAAAAACACTGCCCCTGAACCCGGGTTGGTATGGGTTGCTTGGTCACGCTGGTCTCAGGAGTCCAAGTTCCAGTGTCCTGCCCGTGAAGTGCCGCCTGGGGTACCTCTACTTATTGCCGCTCGCAAGATGCTCGCACCCATTGAATCGCTGGCGACGGATGGTCACAGCCAGGCCAGTGGACGCCCACAAGCTCTTCTCCCGGATACATCCCTTTCACTGCGAAGCGATTTCCCTGGAGGTGATGGCTTAGAACCAGGTAGTTCCTCGCGACAATCGGGCTTTCTTGATATTGAATCAAAAACTCAAGACCCGTCTGAAGTCTTCTTGACGTCCGAAGTGTTCTTGAAATCTATCAACATTGACATAGATGAACTTGCAGCAGTTGATGAAGCCGGGAAAATCTCCAGGGCTGGTATCTTCTATTTGCATTTTCCTTCAAACGACAAAGAAACCCAAGAAGGCTTACAATTTTGGTCTATGCACTTGAAATCCCGTGGAATGATCGTTTTGACAAGTCAGGACCCTGTAGCTTGGCAAAGATTTGTGGACAACAGCAGGCAGGGCGTGGCTATAGTAAGTTTCCCATTTCGCAGCGTCTTTCACAGCTAACCAAAGCAGTTTGACGAATCCTTCACCGAATACGACACGTTGGACCCTCCGCTCAACAGAGTACTTTACCAGCACTCATTCAATTTCTGGGTGGTGCGCCTTCAGAGACCACTCGAACTGATAGATACTCGACATGATTTGCCCAATGTCCACCATCTACGCATCTTCCCACAAGGTGCCGTCATACTCCTCACTGAAGATCTGTTCAAAGACCTCAAAGGGGTAGCTGTCGCCCTCCAATGGCTTTGGAAGACAAACAAGCGCAAAACTTGGTCTTTGATGCTTCCACCCAGGATACTTGAATGGATCGAAAGGAGGCTGGCTGATGAAAAACATTCTCAAGACCATGGACTGTATGTTCTACTTCTTCTCACTGTTCTTGTCCATCTGCTTACCCGAACTTAAATGCAGTCTGCTGCTCGTTCAATCCTTGATCATCAAGAACAATGTCTCCGACCCTCGTACAGCTTTATTCGATGAAGCTAGTCTTGATCCCAACTCAAAGAATAGTATCATGGCACCACCCCTGCATGATTATGGTACCCGCACCAAGAACCACAGCCCTAACATTGCGGATAAAGTCGAACGCGACGCGGATCATCTCATCGAATTCCTAGCAGGATGGTCACTGCTCAACATGGCGCGTTTCCGCAACTTCTTCGCTGTCACCACTCTCAAACCACCAGCGGGTAAACGATGGGACAAGTGGGGCCATCTCAAAGTCCTCCGTGGTGACTTTGTCACCTTTTACAGACATTTCAAAATACCAGATCCGGCGGGCATTATGGCCCAAATTTCGGGTGATACTAAGGCCAAAACTTCCATTGCTACCACTAGCCAGGTATCTGCACCTGTCTCTACGAGCACCGCCCGCACGGCCAATACGATAGCTCACGATTCCAACGCTGCCATCCCGTCTACCTCCAGTCCAGGGGTATCCCGCCAGACCAGGCAAGGATAAATATATACCTTGTTCCCTACGGATGGTCCTTGCAAGGTCTTCGTCAGTATAGATTACATAACTCGTCAGAGTTCCCCTTGTCGGACAGTGCCCTCCATGATACCCCAATGTGATTATTTGTTACATCCATTTGTTATGTCCATTACTACGATGCCTAGAAACGGATCACATCTTACTCAGTAGCTGAAACGATCGGTTCATCGAAGTCTAGTTTGATGTAAATTGGTCACGTGCCTACAAATACCTAAAGTCTAAACAGTCGATCAGTGATACAAGCCACCTAGGTAGAGACCCATTGATTTCTTGGAACCTACAAAGTGCAGTTGGAACTTTGATAAACCAGACGCTAATTACTGCCGACCCGCATAGGAGATGAAGGACATGCCAAAACATAGGAAATTCTCGACAGGTCAAGATGAAGGCATATTTACAGTTACCCGATCGCCCGACTCCGGTACTCCTGGAAGTTCGAAGGAGTGGGGCTATCCGCATCATCCTGCGGTTTGGTTTTCTTATCGGGTCCTTGCTTGTCCCCACGGTTCTTTTCCTCCCACTGACTTTCCTCGGCGGAGATCATAGCGTGGAAGCGACCACCTTGTCCACGGGCTAGATAGATAGGCTTTTCCTTGCGCTCAGCCACGGCCTTGGTTACAAGGACGTATTTTACGCTCGAGCCGGGAGCTTCGAACATCGCGTCACTGAGGATAGTTTCCATTTCAGTGCGCAGAGCACGGGCGCCGGTGCCCATTGTAAAGGCATTTGCGGCTACTTTGTGAAGTGCCGGGGTTGTGAAGCGCAGCTCAATGCCCGAAAGGGAGAAGAGGGTCGTGTATTGGGCTAAAAGAGAGTTGCGGGGCTCGGTGAGGATGCGCACAAGCAAGTGCTGTGATAGTGTCGAAAGGGCAGCGGTAACCGGGATTCTCCCTATCAGCTCTGGAATGAAGCCATAACTTTGCAAGTCTGAGGGTGTTAACAAGTCGAGTGCGTTGAAGTAGGTCGGTTCGGCGCCAGAGCCAGCTGGCGTTGCAGAGGTGAAGAAGGGGAGGTGCTTCTTGTATAGTGCTTCTTCCTCAGATCCGGGGAGAATTGGAAGTGGCTGACTGGGAGAGGTATTTGCAGAACCAGGGAAGTCACTGGTGGTTGAGGGTGGTCTGACCGGCTGGCCAAATCCTATAGATCCACGAGAAATTCTGTCCATGATGGTTTTGTGTAGTCCAACGAAGGCGCCGGAGAACACGAACAAAATATTGTCCGTGCGTACATTATACACCTCTCCCTTCACGGGTGGATTGGGACTGTTGGGTTGAAATGTCCCGTTACCCAATGGGCTGTTGGATGGATAACTGTTAGGAGGGCTAGCTGCGCGAGGATTCTTCTCTGGTTTGGCCTGGACTTGTACGGTTGTGCCTTCGATGATCTTCAGTAGTGCCTGCTGAACTCCTTCACCACCGACGTCTTTGCCATGACTGACCTTCGCCGCTGCGATCTTATCTACCTCATCAAGAACAATAATTCCACGTTCTGCTTGCTCCACGTTGTAGTCTGCGGCTGCCAGAAGTCGGTGAACGCATGTTTCGGCGTCCTCTCCAATGTACCCGGCTTGAGTGAACACGGTGCAGTCGGAGATACTGAAAGGCACAGACAGAACCCTAGCAAGAGTTTTGGCCATAAGCGTTTTCCCTACCCCAGATGGGCCTAATAACAGAATGTTGGACTTCTCAAGCTCCAATGGTGATGTATCGGCAAGATTCGGTAGCTCCAAGGGGGTGTTTTGACGAGACCGGGGGGTTTGTGGTATACCGACAGTCTTGTGTGGTACTGGAAAATCGTCTGTTGTAACGAATGATGTATCAGCCAAAGGTCAACAGATTCAAATGATTGAGTAGATAAGATACCATCTGAGGCATGACTTTCGAGTGCTTCTCTCCGCTGACGCTTCGCGAGAGCTTCAGCCGCTTCGTCCGCCCGACGCAGTAGTTCTTGCACGCGCTGATAGTGATTGTATACGGCGACACTGAGCACTTTCTTCGCGCGGTCCTGGCCAACGACATATTGGTCAAGATATCGTTTCAAAACTTTCGGTGTGATGCGCGGGGCGCCAAAGGCCGGCGTCGAGCCCAGTGGCCCAGGAGTGGGAACCCCAGGCTCATAGCTTCCAGTAAATGGCTGACTTGTAAATTCCGATCGGTTGAATTGAGACAATGTTGGGAATGTGGACGAGGAGCTAGACAGGTGGCGTGTTGACTGGCGGTACGACTGAATAAACCGACACCGGACAACGTTATGGCAGGCCAAGGCGGCCGGACGGCGACAATGCAGAGGCCGCCACAGCATTACTGGGCGCCACGTAATGGCAGGGAGTTATGAGGGGGATAGGATGGATTTTTACGGTGAGATGGGAGAATGGGAGTCATAGATAGTGGATAGCTCTTTCCCCGCATGACCCCAATGAAATGGCCGGGGCGGAGATCTTATCTGAGGAGTCATATGACGACCTGTTCTCACGTGACCTGATCATCATCGAACTCTTGAAGGATAAAAAGGAAGTGAACTGTTCCTACTATTAACGATGAAGAAGACAGAATCCCAACGGCGGAAGCACTGCTCAATCGAATTCGACGTGCTTAACTATAGGAATAATAGGATGGGCCCCACATATGACCGAAACTGAGGCAGCGAGCACCCAATGAGTGCTTTGTGGGGTGGTTAGTTGTTGCAACCTGGAGGCCATCAAAACCTTCTTCGCAGATTTTGCGATGATAACGCTGTTCATGATCGGTCTCGAAGTCAGCCACTATGGACACCGGAGGGAAGTACTGCCTATAGTTGACATTTCATTCGTCAGTGTGTTTTGTGTGCGCCACACAGAGAGGCCTAGGGCGGTCGGGTAGTAGACAGCGATTTGCTCCGGCTATTCAAGGCTACGGGCGGAAAGCATCAAGTCGGGTCGCTGAATTGAGTGATCACTACGATTGGGAAGAGTGTAAGCTGGCAGAAGAAGCATGTTGTGGCAAGCATCATCATGGGTATTGTATTTTTGATCCCTATTGTCGAAGGATGTTGAGTGGCGTTCGTAAATTAGATGACGAATTCCCAGACAGCAGATAGATGGAGGACCGTACGACCTTCTTGGAGGGCTGTAGTTTGAATTTCGCCATTCATAGACCGTGGTGGCGAGTATCGTGATGTGATCAAGCGTAGTGCGCATCAGTGCCTTGCGCTTACTGAGCCGCTGGAAGCAGAGCCGTTCTGCTTCGACCCTTTCAGCTGGTGCCAGTATCGACTGGCTAAGGCAGACATCCAAGGCCGGCAAGCAACTAGGTGGTCATCCGGTCACCGGCCGAGTGAGGTTTTTTTTCTGCGTTCCGATCACCCTCATTTATCCGCCTTGAACACAGGTTGCTGTTCCATCGTTTGCGAGATGAAGTTACGCAAGGCAGACCACCGACCGGCCGTTGGATTTGACCCGTTGTTGGCCTTCGCATTGTCAGCAACCGGGGCTGCGGTGATAGTGGACATATCGATCATGTTCTTGTTGAAGCGGTCGCGTTCCAATCGCTCAAGCTTTTCCCGGCGCTTCAAGGCTCCTGGCTTGTGTTGCAGAGTCTTCTGCTTGATCACATTCACTTGACTAGCAGCATCGTTGGAACCTTCAGCGTCCGGTAGGGCATCAGCCAAAGATTCGAGGTTCGCGACGAGTTTTTTTGATGGTCGTCGTCGCTTAGGGGTCTTCTGAGAGTTCTTCTCGATCTTGGAGACTAGGGCAGCATGCTTAATCTGACGCTTGTCCCTCTTGCTCGTGCGGAATTCATCACCAAAGATACTGGGTTTGGGTCTGGCGCCTTTGCCCGAGGCAGTTTTCGCCATTTTTGACTTGCGGATAGGAGCCTGTGAGAAAACGAAAATTAACCGGCTGAAAGTGGGACAAGATAAGCACTGCGTAATAATGCAGCTTACCATGTTTGCATGTGAGATCTACAGTGGGCAACAGCAGAAGACGAAATTGCGCCGGGAAAAGCAAAAGCCCGATGTTCCCAATTCGCTCACCGCCCGAACCCACTATCCCCACCCTTTGCGCCAGGAACTCAACGCTGTTTGGCTTTCTCGTTGGCTTTCTCCAATTTGCCTCAGTGAGGGAAATACACAGAAAAGCAAACTCCAGCTGTGACGTTATCTTATGCTGCACCACTTGCCTCTCCAAATTCACAAGATCCACCTAAGGTCAAAAGTTCTTTTCGGTGACATCAGACGTACATTTCTAGGGGCTTCGGAGGCCGATCCATTAAAAACATTGGGGCACCAGCACGAGAACTTTTATGGGTATTCACCTCATCCTACGTCGGATTTGCGTTCCTCGCTGTAACACGGCATCTCTACCTCGGTCATTATCCACCCGGTCGCACTCCCGATCCTTTACTATTTCCACCCCTCAGCTCACATCGATCTCTCGACCTTTTAAACCAACCTTCTCCGGACTTCTTTCCCGCAGATCATTCGTTTCTTCTACACACATCATGGGTTCTACCACTCCTTCCCAGCAAAAGCACAAGATCACGGTCATTGGCTCCGGCAACTGGTATGTTAATCAGCTCGCAAGAGGATCTGTCAGTTGATGCTAACCGTCGCTTCTATAGGGGCTGTGCCATCGCTAAGATCGCCGCCGAAAATGCTGCCAGCAACCCCGGTCTTTTCGAAGAGAAGGTAGAGATGTGGGTATTTGAGGAGACTGTTGAAATTCCGAAGACTTCGAAAAACTACAATCCCTCAAACGCTGGCCCTCAGAAGTTGACTGAGGTGATTAACACTGTCCATGAGAATGTCAAGTACCTTCCAGGAATTCAATTGCCGGTCAACTTGCACGCCAACCCGTCTCTGGAGGATGCAGTCAAGGACAGCACAATTCTCATCTTCAACCTGCCTCATCAGTTCATCATCAAGACCTGCGAACAGATCAAGGGCAAGATCCTGCCCTACGCACGTGGTATCTCTTGCATCAAGGGTGTCGATGTCAACAGCACCGGTATCCACCTCTTCTCCGAGACCATTGGCAGAATTCTCGGCATTTACTGTGGTGCCCTGTCCGGTGCCAACATCGCCAATGAGGTTGCCCAGGAGAAGTGGTCCGAGACCAGCATCGCTTACGATCCCCCACACCTTGACTCCCAGGCTCCCTCCCGGTCCACCTCCACAACAGATTTGGTGGAATTCCAGCACAAAGATACCTCGGGTCAAATCTCGGAGGTTAAGCTGCAGGCCCTACCCACGTCCTACCCTCCTATCGACCACTTCGTGCTGAAGTCGCTGTTCCACCGCCCCTACTTCCACGTCCGCGTTGTCAATGATGTCGCCGGTGTCTCCATCAGTGGTGCTCTGAAGAACATCGTTGCTCTGGCCGCTGGCTGGGTTGTCGGCATGGGGTGGGGTGACAATGCCAAGTCCGCCATTATGCGAGTTGGCCTGATGGAGATGGTCAAGTTCGGTGATACTTTCTTCAGCGCTTCAATTGACAATCGCACCTTCACTGATGAGAGTGCTGGTGTGGCAGATTTGATTACCAGTTCCAGCAGCGGTCGCAACTTCCGGTGTGCCAAGCTGAGCGTTGAGCGCAATATGCCCATCGAGGAGGTCGAAAGAACCGAGCTGAACGGGCAGAAGTTGCAAGGTACTTCCACTGCTGTGGAAGTCAACAGTTTCCTCAAGAAACAAGGCATGGAGGAGGACTTCCCTCTGTTCACTGCTGTTTTCCGTAAGTTCCTATTCCCCTTTGCAATGTGACCCTGGGAAGAAAGCTAACGTTGCGCAGGTATTTTGGAGGGTAGTATGAAAGTTGAGGATATTCCCTCTTACATTGAGCGGTAATAAATCCCTTCTGGCCTTATTTGCTTCTTGTTTGTGTTACTTATCAAAGTTATTTTGGTTTCCTCGCAGGCCACCTCAGGCCTCACCCACACCTGCATCTCCGAATTCCAAGGCTGGGAATGAAGGCGCTCGGATCACTGCTGCACGATTATGATTAGGGCTAGGATTGGGTATCGGACATTGCGCATATAGACTTTCATGACTTGTATTTACGGACTGCGCGTGGATTTATTCTAGACAAATATTTTATCTGATCAACTTTCGAAGTACTCAATTTCTTCGTAATATCTGCAGACTTTTGCGACTCTTGAAGTCTTCTAGCTCTAGTCTGCCCAGCCGCGCTAAGACTAGCCAGCCAAGGAATAATGCATGATGTCATCCCCCACGAGGTCTGGGCCCTCACCAGGAACACATGAGGGGAACGCTAAGTCCTTCTGTGCCCGACTTTTCCTTCCCTGCTTTTCAATTCTTCTTTTTCCTCTCGCTCATACCTGTCTCTGAAAGTACCAAGTCTTCGTTCTTCTCACTAGAACAGTGGAAGTAAGGTGAATCGGTCGAGATTCTCCTGTACTCTCACGATCCGCTGGTTTCAAGACCCGGATTCATCTCATTTGTCAATCCGTTGCAATGAGCTCTTCACGTCAGGTCTACTTGCTTCCGCTGAAGGATGATGGATCTCCCGGGGTGCCTGGGGGCTATATATACCTGCCCGCTCCGCCGAAATCTGGATACGTGCTTCGCTTCATCATCGAAGGGACGAGCTCCATCTGCCGACAGGGTAGTCTTTGGGTGAACATCCCCGAGGAGGGAAAGCCCTTCGAGCGCTACTCATTCCGAGAGTTCAAGTATGTACTCTACTGCATTCTCGTGTGCTGTGTGAATTGAATGCGGGCAGTTGCTGAACAGAAACAGATTGCAACCCAATTTCAATGAGAATATCCAGATCGATATCCCCGTCACTTTGGCGGGTGCATTCGCCTTCTACACAACATTTACTCCGCTGCCGGAGTTCTCAGTTGAGGATGTCTCTACCCCGAAGCCGACTCGGACGCCTGTTCACTACATCGATGTATCCCCCAAGGTCACTCTTCAGGGAAAAGACTTGCCGCTCAATGCGCTATCTATATTCTCAATGATCTCGAAATTCATGGGTCAATATCCCACGGACTGGGACAAGCACCTTCGTGGAATCAGCCAGCGGAACTATAATATGGTCCACTTTACACCGCTCATGCAGCGTGGCTCATCGAACTCTCCGTATAGTATTTTCGATCAATTGACTTTCGACAACACGTTCTTCCCTAATGGAGAGGACGATATCGCTGCATTGGTTGACAAGATGGAGAAATCTTACGGTCTTTTGACATTGACTGATGTGGTCTGGAACCACACAGCTAATAATAGCAAATGGCTGGAGGAGCATCCCGAATCTGGATACAGCGTGAAGACTGCACCTTGGCTGGAGGCAGCACTCGAGTTGGATTCAGCGCTTTTGAAATTCAGCAATGACCTGGAGGAACTAGGTCTTCCGACTGAGTTCAAGAACGAGGAAGATCTCGTGACAGTCATGAATGCGGCGCGCCAGCAGGTCATTGATGGAATTCGTCTTTGGGAATTTTACGTGCTTGACGTGAACAGTGGTGTCAAGGAAATTATTGGCGATTGGAAAACCACAAAGGTCGAACCTGGGTTAATTAACCAGCACAATATACAAATGTTCAAGAGCTGGTCGCTCAAACAACAAGCCAATGTTCTCCGGGAACTTGGCATACCATCCGTGAAGCAGATTTCTGGACGGTTTGGCCGTGCCGTCGACCCAAATTTCGGAGCCGTTGCTTTGACCGTGCTATTTGGTGATTACAGTGAGGGGCAGACCAACCTCGCCGAGGTTGAAGACACCCTTTCCAAGCTTCTCGATGAGGCCAACTTGTCGTTTTATAAGGAGTACGATGCGGATGTTGATACAATCATGGACCAGTTGTTCAATCGCATCAAGTATCTTAGGATCGACGATCACGGCCCAAAGATGGGGCCTGTCACCAAAGAGAGCCCTTTGATCGAAACCTATTTCACCCGCCTTCCTCTCAACGAAGTCACAAAAAACCATGACCCCAAATCTCTGGCCTTGGTTAATAACGGTTGGATCTGGAATGCCGATGCGATGAAAGATAACGCTGGGCCTGATTCTCGAGCCTATCTGCGCCGCGAAGTTATCGTATGGGGTGATTGCGTGAAGCTCCGATACGGATCCTCGCCCGACGATAGTCCTTTCCTTTGGGAGTTCATGACACGGTACACCCGCCTCATGGCAAAGTACTTTGGAGGATTCCGAATTGATAATTGCCATTCGACGCCGCTGGTGGTTGCAGAATACTTGCTGGATGAGGCTCGAAAAGTTCGGCCTGATCTGACCGTCTTTGCGGAGCTCTTTACAGGTTCAGAAGAAGCCGATTCCATCTTTGTCAAGCGTCTGGGTATCAACGCTCTTATTCGTGAAGCTATGCAAGCTTGGAGTATACAGGAGCTCAGTCGCCTCGTTCACCGGCACGGGGGTCAGCCAATCGGCAGCTTCGAGATGAATCTACCTTCTTCTGGCAGTAGTCATGCCATTTCATCCGCTCGTTCCGGTGAGAGCAATGAACAAATCACCCACATTCGGCCCTGCCCCGTTCCCGCCCTGTTTATGGATTGCACCCATGACAACGAGACCCCTGCGCAGAAGCGCGATGCTAGGGACACGCTTCCCAATGCTGCCCTTGTGGCAATGTGTGCCTCCGCCACTGGAAGTGTGATGGGCTACGATGAAGTGTATCCCAAACTCATTGAACTCGTCCATGAGACCCGACAATACACCTCGCAGTCTTCAGATTCCGAAAGCTTGGCCGTTGGAGCTGGAGAGGGTGGGATTGGGGGTGTCAAAAAGCTTCTCAATCAACTCCACACCATTATGGGCGTGGAAGGGTATGATGAAACGCACATCCACCACGACGGCGAATATATCACTGTTCACAGAGTCCACCCCAAGACCAGAAGAGGTATCTTCTTGATTGCACACACCGCATTCCCCGGCAATGAGAGTGGTGCAATTCTAGCTCCCACTCATATCGCAGGAACCAATGCCAAGCATATTGGGTCGTGGCAGCTCGAGGTTGATGCCAGCGATGAAACAAAAGAGAAGGTGCTCGCTGATGACAAGTACTTGAGGGGCCTTCCCAGTCACACACGTGACATTGAAGGCACCAAGATCGAACAAACTGACAAAGAGGTCATTATCTCAGTACTGGATACGCTTGTTCCTGGCTCTATCGCTCTCTTCGAGACGTGGATTCCCGGAGCTGACCATGCTGATGGGTTCGAGAACAACCTCGCCAAGGGTGCGGACGACGCATTCTCTGATCTCAGCTTGGTTGATCTGAACTTTGTGCTGTACCGCTGCGAGGCGGAGGAGAAAGACTCAAGCGATGGTCAAGACGGTGTGTACAGCGTCCCGAAGCATGGCTCTTTGGTTTATGCGGGACTTCAGGGCTGGTGGAGTGTTCTTGAGAATGTCATCAAGTACAACCAACTGGGCCACCCGCTCTGCGATCATTTGCGAGAGGGTCAGTGGGCTCTAGAATACATTATCAATCGCTTGGACAAGGCATCCTCCCAGGAAGAGTATGTTGCTTTGAAGAAGCCTGTCGCATGGCTTCGCGAGAAGTTTGACGCTATTCGCGACCTGCCTCATTTCCTTTTCCCACGATATTTCGCCATTATCGTGCAGCTTGCATACAATGCTGCGTGGAAGCGAGGCATTTACCTGCTTGGAGACAATGTGTTACATGGCCAGGAGTTCGTTCACCAGTTGGCTATGGTCAGTGTTCAACAAACTGGTTACGTCAAATCCGCATCCTTGTGGCCCACCAAGATGGTTCCCAGCCTTGCAGCAGGACTGCCTCATTTTGCAGTGGATTGGACTAGATGCTGGGGTAGAGATATATTCATCTCTATTCGTGGCTTGTTTCTTTGCACTCAGCGATTCGATGATGCCAAGGAGCATATCATTGCATTTGCGAGTGTGCTCAAGCACGGCATGATTCCCAATCTTCTGAGCAGCGGCAAATTGCCCCGATACAACTCTCGGGACTCTGTGTGGTTCTTCTTGCAGGCTATTCAAGATTTCGTTGAAATGGCACCCAATGGCATCGACATTCTGCAAGAGAAGGTTCCAAGGCGATTCTTACCATATGACGACACGTGGTTCTCCTTCGACGACCCTCGGGCTTACTCTCAATCTCCGACGCTTCTCGAGTGCATCCAAGAGGTCTTTCAACGCCACGCCTCTGGTATGTCTTTCAGAGAGTACAACGCCGGCCCAGACCTTGACTGCCAGATGAAGCCCCAAGGCTTCCAGATCGATGTAAACGTTGACTGGAACACGGGTCTGATCTTCGGTGGCAATCAGGATAACTGTGGTACCTGGCAAGACAAGATGGGAGAAAGTGGCAAGGCTGGAAACAAGGGAGTCCCTGGAACGCCTCGTGATGGGGCCGCTATCGAGATTACCGGTCTTTTGTACAGCGCTCTGACTTGGGTTGCCAGCCTCTACGAGTCCAAGACCTACCCCCATGAAGGAGTTGACATCGGCGATGGCAAGAAGATTGCATTCGCCGAATGGGCGCGCAAGATCAAGGAGAACTTTGAGCGATGCTACTATGTTCCCCTCGATCCCAGCGAAGATAGTCAATACGAGGTGGACTCGAAGATTGTCAACCGTCGAGGCATCTACAAGGACTTGTACAAATCCGGCAAGCCCTACGAAGACTACCAGCTCCGTTCCAACTTCCCCATCGCAATGACAGTGGCTCCAGAACTGTTCACGCCCAAAAAGGCGCTTGTTGCTCTCTCGATCGCCGATTCGGCTATCGTGGGTCCTGTGGGCATGGCCACCCTGGACCCATCTGATCTCAACTACCGTCCCAACTACATCAACTCTGACGATTCTGACGACTTCGCGACTGCCAAGGGCCGCAACTACCACCAGGGACCTGAGTGGGTCTGGCAGCGTGGCTATTATCTTCGTGCCCTGTTGCACTTCGATCTCCTGCGCCGAAACACACCCGAAGAACGGACCGAGTGCTTCCAGCAAGTCACCCGACGACTTGATGGTTGCAAGAAGGCATTGCGTGAGAGCCCCTGGAAGGGTCTGACGGAGTTGACTAACAAGGCCGGAGAGCATTGTAATGATTCGGTGAGTTTCTTTCCCCCAATACGTATCTCGCTTGCGACATGTTATTAACAAAGAGTTTAGTCACCCACCCAATCTTGGTCCGCCGCATGTCTGCTTGATCTTTATTATGATGCGTCGAAGCATTCTTAGACTTCTCTTTTCTTCTCATTACGTTTCTTATTTTCGGCATTGGACACACCGTTAATATGATCATCCTTGGAATACAACGCATGCCACCTACCAAATCTAATACATTGCGTCATGAGTTTTGTCTTGTCAGCGTTTCATCATCGGCTGAGCCTAAATAGTGTTTCACAGTTTCATATATCTGATTGGCAAATAAATGAACATTGCACTGAGGATATTCAAGACTTCCAAACGATTGACACGGACGATGTGGAGTATGGACATGGACGGTGGTCGGTGATGATTGTGTTGTTGACCGAGCTCTCTCTCTGAAGGCTCGTTGTTTCGTGTCCATTCACTCCATTGGACCATTGCTGGGCCAAGACAACACTTGGCAAAAGCAGAACATAGTTCGACTAATAGGGCGAAGTTGCTGTGCGGGCATCAACATGTTCATCAATTAGAGTACCTATGGAGTAGATCAGGAAGCAATCCGATTAGGTTTAGTGCCCCAGAGATCTGGCAGAAGTTTTGGATCATGTGATAAGGTTATGTGCATAAAATGCTGACTCATCCACATGCATGGCGCCAGCTCGGAGTCGTCATTGAAGGTTTGAGAAACGCAGAAAACAAAGGGGAAACTCACCGATTGTTCGCAGTACAATCTCGAAATTCAGACTCAAGCTGGAGATCTGCAACAATAATCCTCCTACGACCAGCAAACCAGTCATCTTCAGCCGTTAACCATCCCATCTCGCTGACGTCAGTTGTTGTGGTGATCACCGCAATCTTGCCGCATGCTCTTGACGAACTAGTCCCTCGCTCATCGAAGTGACCTCGGAACTCGGAGTGAGAAGACCCCTCGTACCAGACAATCATGTCTCTGACGGCATCAGCGGCATCAGCCGTGTTGACCGTGCTCGCCGATATGTCTGATGGCGGAGGTGAGAGGCGGTGGGAGGATCAGTTGAAAGAACAGCGCGATCTATACACGCAGTTCGTTATCAGCTCTGCGCTCGGCCTATGTGCCTTTCTGACATTCTGTGTATGTGACTACCTGTTTCTCATCCGCTCCTCGTTGGCTGACTGTATTCCTTCTAGATCTTGCGACCCAAATGGACCGAGTTGTATGCCGCGCGACGACGGCAACGAAACGCCGCTTCTCGGCTCCCTGAGCTTCCGAACACACTTTTCGGTTGGATACCTGTGCTGCATCGAATTACGGAGGAGGAAGTGCTGCAGTCAGCAGGCTTGGATGCATATGTGGTATGTTCGGATTCCTCGGGTCTTCTATTAGACAACGTGCCGTTGCTGACTTGTTTTCCGGACAGTTCCTATCTTTCTTCAAGTTTGCGATCCGATTCCTCTTGGCGGTCTTTATTTTCGCGGTCGCCATTATTCTCCCGTTGCACTACAAGTACACTGGCCGATATGGAGTTCCTGGCTGGGACAACCTGCCAGACGATAAGACAATTGTTGGTGAAGTCGACAAAGAACAGCCGATAACCAATCCTACTTATTTGTGGATATATGTTTTGTTCGCGTATGTCTTCAGTGGCTTGGCTATCTATATGCTTCTTCAAGAGACAAACACTATCATTCGTGTTCGGCAAACCTATCTCGGGAACCAGACCAGCACTACTGATCGCACTATTCGATTGTCTGGCATCCCACATGACTTGGGAACCGAGGATAAGATCAAAGATTTCATCGAAGGTTTACGAGTTGGCAAGGTTGAAAGTATCACGATATGCCGAAAGTGGCGCGAGCTGGATGGATTGATTGACGAGAGAATGAAAGTCACCCGGGAGCTTGAAAGAGCATGGACAAGACATTTGGGATACAAGCGGCCAACGAACGATGGAAATACGCTACCACTGACGAACCAGCAAGCGCGAGACGAGGATGACGAACAAACAGGGCTGCTAGCTCGGAGTGAGAACGAGCATGTCTCTGGCTACTCGAATGAGAGACCGCGTGTTCGTATTTGGTACGGCCCTTTCAAGCTTCGGTACCGAATGATTGATGCAATCGATTACTACGAGGAAAGGCTGCGGAAAATCGATGAATATATTCAGACTGCGCGGCAGAAAGACTATCCTGCCACCGAGATTGCTTTTGTGACTATGGAGTCAATTGCTTCATCGCAAATGCTCGTTCAAGCGATTCTTGATCCGCACCCAATGCAGATGTTCGCGCGTCTTGCACCCGCCCCGGCGGATGTTATCTGGAAAAATACCTACTTGTCTCGTTCCCGACGAATGTTCCAGTCGTGGTCTATCACGGTTGTCATCGGGTTCCTCACTGTGTTTTGGTCGGTGCTCTTGCTTCCCATCGCCTCGTTGCTGGAGCTAGAGACCCTTCATAAGATTGTTCCTCAGCTGGCCGAGTTCCTCCAAGAGCACCCGATTTTGAAATCCTTGGTTCAGACGGGTCTGCCGACCCTCGCATTCTCGCTGTTGACGGTGGCTGTTCCTTATGTATATGAATGTAAGTTGCGCGTTAAGAAATTTTCCTTTGGGTAGATGGTCATCCCGCTAATCTTTTTCACAGGGCTCTCGAACAACCAGGGAATGGTGTCTCGCGGCGATGTGGAGCTCTCCATCATCTCCAAGAACTTCTTCTTCTCGTTCTTCAATCTATTCCTTCTATTCACCGTGTTTGGAACAGCTAGTGGTTTCTATGGATTCTGGGAGAATCTTCGGGATGCTTTCAAAGATTCTACCACAATTGCCTTTGCACTGGCAAAGTCCCTCGAAGGGCTGGCTCCGTTCTACATCAACCTCTTGATTCTTCAGGGCTTAGGCCTTTTCCCCTTCCGACTCCTTGAGTTCGGAAGTGTCGCACTATACCCTTTCCAGTTTCTGTCGGCCCGCACACCACGCGAATATGCGGAGCTTTCCACCCCTCCCAAGTTCAGCTACGGCTTCTCCATCCCGCAGACTATCCTGATATTGGTCATTTGCGTGGTATACAGTGTGTTCCCGAGTTCATGGCTGATCTGTCTATTCGGCCTAATCTACTTCACCATCGGCAAATTCATCTACAAGTATCAACTACTCTACGCCATGGACCATCAGCAACATTCGACCGGCCGTGCATGGCCAATGATATGCAACCGCGTATTCGTCGGACTGGTTGTTCACCAGCTGGCCATGATCGGTGTGCTGGCTCTGCGCCGAGCGATCACCCGGTCATTGCTCCTGGTACCGCTTCTCGGCTTCACCGTTTGGTTCTCATACTGGTTTGGACGTACATACGAGCCTTTGATGAAATTCATCGCCCTGAAGAGTATCAACAGAGACCAGCCGGGTGGTGGGGACGTCTCCCCGTCATCTTCATCGACCTTCTCACCACCATCAGGGCTAGACCGTGATAGCCTCCCAATCCGGATTGCTGGACACGAGCTCGAGTTGCGGTTTAAGAAATATGTCAACCCGAGCTTGATTGTCCCGCTTCACGCTGCTTGGCTTCCCCGCCGCGGCCCTGGCCCTAACGGTAACAGTGCGCCCGCGTTCGAGGTCCATGAGACGCCGAATGTTTGACCTTACCTACCAGTTGTTGATTATTTCAGCTTCGCATGATCTACACCTGTGCTCTTAGCCATTACGCTCCTTGTTTGCATGTATTTGACCCGTTTATCATGATATACGACCCTGATACCTCATTCGCATTTCACCATTTCGTTTTGATATGTTTCCATGGTTGTGATATCCCTGCATGGCATCTCTGCTTTCCTTACATCGAACTTATCCCACCCGTCGCTTGCTATCTCGATTTCGCGCAGTATTTCAGCTCATACATTCTTTCTGAATTCGGTGTTTCATCGGCCTTTATGGACAACCCAATATAGATGATGTACGAACTATGATGTATTTCACCGCGAATATTGAGACCAGCTACTAGGTAGTATGGAATCTTTGTACGTTCATATGGAAGGAAACAATGGAAGGGAAGTCATGGAAATACACCAACCTAGGTTTCAACCGTCCACAAACCAGTGAAAGAACTATATCCATTGATCAAACAAAGCCCGTACCCGTACCTCGCGCCATGATCAGCCACCCCGAGGTCACCAAGGTAGGCCAGGCACAATAGAAATGTCGGTTAGATTAAACGTGCGGCTCACATCCTCCTCCCGTGGGTGGGTATCCATGAAACCATGGTCCATCGAACTTTCAGAACACGAATCCGCAACTATAGATATCTCGGAAGCGAACTAACATCATGTTCAAGGTTGTGGGTAGCTCTCCTTCCAATCTCTATTCCACACGTTCTCACAATGAACCGTAAACGAAGACAATCGGCGGAGTTGAGTTCATGGAAAGTCCATTCCAAGAAATCTATCTATAGCAGATTCCTACTCTTCGTCTTTGTTGATTCTGAAGCACCCGATTTGCCCTCGTTCCATAGGTACCTAACGTCCAGACTCTCACTAATTAGAACGATTCCTTTGCTTGGTTACCTCCTTTGACACTAGTGAGCTTGAGCCTTTGGCTGAAGCTGACGGCTACGCTTGCTTTGGCTAGTGAAAATGTTCTTAATACTAATACCACCACGCTCATATGTTCTCCCATTTCTGGTCTGATCCATACTGGGCAAATTGATTGCTTTCTTGCTCTGCAAGAATCTGCAAAATTGAAGCCCGACGTATATGCAAAGCCCTGCGAGTATGACACTGACGTTGATAACTGCGTAGATGGACAATCACAAGCCGGCGCAGTGTTACCTCTACACGAGCTTGCCAAAGAGCCGCCATGTTGCCCAGCATGATGTATGAGAACTCGCCAGTTTTGAGACGAAAGGGGTTCATAGTGAATGCTGACAGACCACACAGATAGTCATATCGCTTTGGAATCCTAGCCGCCTTAGTTCAGACGAACACACCCTTCACCTGGAATGTCTCGAAGATACTGGCGCATCGTACGCACCATGGGTTCCTCACTAGGCTCCGTTAGTGACTCCTCCCCCAAATAATGTGAGGAGACCTCGCCGGGTGCTCTGGCGCAGGCCCATGGAATGCTGTGCTCCCACATAGGTACTGGTACGAAACATGTATTGCCTGTGCCGGACGTCCAATATCCTATAGAACGATGTCTGATGTTAGACTCCGTTTATCGCCTGGATCTAACGCCGTTATTCTCTTCCTGCTGGGTCCTTTCGGGTTTGTCTTGAGCAGTGTTGGTGTCAGCCCCATCTCACGCACTCTGAAGGCATGGGGTGAAGTGGCAGGCTCCACTTGTCTGGGTTTTGGAGTATGCGGAGTATGCGGAGGCTTCTTGAACACACTCGTTAGATGAGACCCTTATATCCCTATATCCGCGCGGGCGAAATTGAGATATATATGGACGACTGGAGGCATACCTACATACCCGGCTATGTGTATTGACTTAGCGTTCGTTTCTATCCATGTAGTTGACCAGCAGGGACGTACATACCACACGATGAAGGGGAGGGACTGTGACCAACGTCATGCGAGATATGGGAACATTAACAGCAAGGCGGGATTGTCGTACGTTGTGAAGTGAGAGCCCATTACCATGCCGCCCCATTTTCTCTAGTCCCGTCGTGATCTCTCGAAGAAAGGGTGCTGCGAACTGTATGTTGAAGAATGTGCATAACCTGGTGTAACCGTATTGTACATTTCATGAAGTGCAGGAAGCAAAACATATAATCATCACGACCATTCCGCATAGTAAGTACTCCTTGCGCCAAGAACGCTAGCTAACCTAAAACCTCATGCTCAAACATCGTGGATTCACCGATTCCATTTCCGTCGGTACTTCTGGGTGTTCCGCGCCGGCGCATCGACCGTCATTGCATCGCTGTACAGGCCAGGCTGGGAATTTCCCTGTGTCTGGCCTAGCAAGTCATTCCTGAGGCCTAGACCACCGCGTGCCCGAATCCGTTCTTGATCGGCTTGTGCGCGGAGTGCACTGAAAGGATCGAACGGGGTGGAAGGAGGTGTGTACTGGTTCGTCTTAAGGGTCATGGTCAGGAGTCTCCCATCAGCCTAGGGAATGGAGAGCATATGTCAGCATCAATCTTGTAATGGTTTCCGACAAAAACGGTATTTACCCTCTGGTTGTGGAAATTGGCAACCACCAGCTCCGCGGCTGACCTCTCTCCATATGCAAATTCCGCAACAACGCTCGGATAATTTGCCGTTATCCGACAGCTGAGCATTGGTCCTGTTATAGGTTCGAGAGCCGACTGGATATCCGCGGCTGTTGTTCCAGGCGCAAAATTCCTCCCCACAACAATGAATGGCCCCGACGCGCCTTTGATGCTCAAGTCGCTGTTGCTGCCACCGACTATACGGAGAATGTCGCCTCCTGGAGCGCTTGGCGCGACATTCTCAGCCGTGAAAGCTGCTTGGACCTGATCCGAATTGATGCGATCTTTCCTGCCGTAGTGGTTACGTGGTCGGGTGTGGTTCGTGATGGGCGCTGACTTGTTCTTATTTGGTTGTCCGGTCGGGGAGGCAGTACGCTAAAAGACGCCGCAAGAGGTTGTCAGAATGTGGTCCTTGGGGATTTGCATTCACTGTCCGTTGTCGTATATTAGGGGTGTTCGTACCTTCGTCACTCCGATTCTGCTTGCTAAGCTTCCAGGCTTCGCATCTTGTGTTTTGTGTTGAGCTTTCTTGTTGGCGCGAGAACCCGAGCCTGGCGCATTCGTTGTGCGGTTCTTTCCTAGCAGTAGTTGGTTTGCGAGCTCCTCTTTTTGCTTCTTCTCGCGGTCTTTAGAGAATGCTGGTCAGTATTTCGCATGTACGTGGGTTGCAGTCAGCAATTACCAGCTTGGATGATTTCGTCAAATGAGACGGGGTTTTTTTCTGCCATGGCAGTGGTGAATTAATAAGATTAGAAATATAAAAGAAGAGAAAATCCAAAGAATCAAGAGGGTGGCAGTCACGATAAGTCAATATGTAACTGAAGTTAGGAAAGAGAAGAAAACGAAGCTCGGGGAGATCAGAGGCCCGATCCGCCCAGACGAACAACTCCTTGCGCGGATTAAATTAATCGCCGGTTCCTTTTATCATCTATCAAGTTTGGGGGCAATTCCTATTTTAGCCCTGATCGTTCGTATTGGAATTCTGCTTGATCGCGCTAAATAATCATAAACAAGGCTAAGGCCAAGGCTGACCATCTGGATGCTCAGGAAAAAAAAAGGCTAAGACATGACACGACGATATCTCCGAAGTGGATTGGATCCACCCAGACAAACTGACGAAGTATAAGGGAACATTCTTTGTTATTATGTGCTGGAAATGTGTCGAATATTCAAAAAGAAAAGAGCTATCCTAGTCGAAGACTAAATCCAGCCCCTACTTCCCCAGTATCTCCACCTGGAGCACCACCAAAGACACCCGCAAAGTCCAGCTCGGGTGCTTCTTGCCCTCGTTTAGGCGCCTCAGGCGTCTGGTGGCGTCTGCGTTTCTCCATGCCCGCCTTGGATGGGAACGTAGGGAACATCTCTCGCGGTTTAGGACGAGGATCTTCTTTGAAGTATTGGTGATCGAGGCATTGTCTTGCCGTCGGACGTGAGGCCGGATTCAACGCCAGCAATGCTGACATGAGGCTCAAACCTGCATTAGTAAGGTAAGGGAATCGGGAGCGAGGCAACAGGGGCGGATTGCCGGCTGAAGAAATTGTCGATGTCGGTGGCAGGCGCAGGGATTTGGCATTGGGTAGCAAGCGGAAGCCTGGCCAGGTCTGGGAATTCGGCGGCCCAGTTAAGGCAAAGATTTTGGAAACTTGGTCCACCTCATTCTTGCCCTGCAGGAGAGGCTCTTTAGTGAGCAGTTCACCGAAAACACATCCAATGCTCCACATATCGATCTCTGTGCCGTATTTGTCGGCGCCGAGGAGAAGCTCCGGCGAGCGGTACCAGAGTGTCACAACGAGCTGCGTCATCTTGGGCGGTGGGTCGCCGTAATACCGGGCCATGCCAAAGTCGGCGATCTTGATTTCGCCTCGGTTGTTCATCAACAAGTTGGAGGTTTTCAGATCGCGGTGTATAATCCATTGTGAGTGTAGGAATTCGAGCCCTCCTACCACCTGCAGCAGGACGGTTTTGATCTCAGAAGGAAGGAAGGGTTCGCGCATCTCGTCGAGTAGAGCTTTAAGATCGTGTTCGTGGAAATCCATCACGAGGAATACACTGTTAGGGCCAATTAATTAGCTTATAGCGCGATGTATATACTTCACCAAAGACTCACTCGTCCATTTTGTTGCCCATCACCACTTCGCGCAGGTAGACAACGTTTTGATGACGCGCCTCCATAAGTGTTTGGATTTCCCGTAGCCCAGTGACCGGGAACCCGTCCGGCGAGTTCTCTAGCTTGAGCTTCTTCAATGCCACAATCTCCCCTGTTGAAATATCTTTCGCCCGCGAAACCCATCCATATGAGCCTTCTTCGATGTGGTTAAGCTTTTCAAAGTTATCCACATGCCTGCAAGGCCCCCATTCTCCAACCGGAAAGCGCAACAACGTCGGCTGTTGCCTCTGTTCTTGCTCAATCTTCGCTACCGCCGCATGGTCTGAAGCAGCATCGGGATCATTTGAGAGCCTTCGTCGCTTTTTAGGGGGCCCTGGCTCGCCATTGGGGGGTTGGGAGTCGGCGTCTTGCTGAGCTTGGGCTTTTCTTGCTTCAAGTTGTCGCTGCTTCTCCGCTTTAGCGCGTCGCTTTTCCTCCTTTTCGCGTTTTTGTTGCGCGATAATTGCCTCTGTTTCTGGATCTTCATTTGCCCATCTGGATTTGGCGGACATGTTTGTCAGGAAGTGGTTAGAGGGAAAGGTAAGGGTTCGGAATGACGTGTTGGCGATCAGAAAAGGGCCGAGTTCGTCAACGCCGAATGCCGCCCCGCTGATTTGGACTGTACAGCTCCGTCCACCACTGAACACATGCGGGATATACTACCAGCAGCCCCAACAGCACCTGCATTGGATCAAGAGAGGACACTAAACGGCTCTCAGGCTGTTATTCTAGTCGAGGAAGCGAAGCGTATGTTGACACCAAGAAGTACACTTCGCATAGTTGCTTACCCCAGTTACCTCAGCCGGACGTCCCCCTTCAAAGGCGGTGGACATTGGCGGTGCGGAATAGTGGCGCCCTCGACCGCTCTGGTCATTTCGCTGCTCTTCTATTTGTAATACCCCATATAGCGCTTCATCTCTTGATCTGATCTGTGTTCTGAATAGTACTGTGTATTATCTTCAATTCAGCCATTCGCTTGATCCCACTGTTTTCTAGCTGTGCACATATTCCTCCCCACACCTGCCACTCTCCCGGCGTCGGAGCTCACTCTTCCCCGCCATGATCGAACCATTCCAGGTAAGCCCTATTCGAACGACATGCCTCACACCGGCTCTCAATACTAATGCGCTTTCTGTATCTAGACGACCTTCTCGGTCCCGATGACCTGCGGAGGCTGCGTGAAGTCCATTTCCGACTCTCTGTACACCCTCGAGGGTAACCATAGCAAACATCCTAGGTTCACTTGATCTAAACTGACACCGGGTAGGAATCACCAAGGTCGAAGCAAACGTCAAGGATCAGCTAGTTTTCGTTGAAGGCACTGCACCACCCAGCTCTATTGTCACCGCAATCCAAAACACCGGCCGAGATGCCATTCTCCGCGGCAGCGGAACTACAGACAGTACGAGATCCCTGGCCTTCTACCTACCGGCCTAATGTGACACATATGAACAATGCCGGCTGATACACTCTAAACCAACAGGTTCCGCCGTCTGCATCCTTGAAACACACTCAACAACCGTTCCAAATAAGGTCCGCGGCCTTGCGCGCATGGTCCAGGTCTCTCCGAACAAGACCCTTGTCGACCTCACTATCAACGGCTTAGCTCCGGGCAAATACTGCGCTACTATTCGAGAAGCGGGAGATATCTCCCGTGGCGCCGAGTCTACTGGGGGTATCTGGGAGGCTTTGAAGACGAAGGTGCTTGGTGGTGATGCTGCCGCCCCGGCGAAGGAGTCACGGGGCATTTTTGGCAGCGTGGATGTTGGCAATGATCATCGTGGGAGTGTATTTTTGGACCGGCCTGTGGCTGTCTGGGAGCTTATCGGTCGGAGTATGGTTGTTGCGAAGGATGCAGAGGGTCCGTTCCAGCGCGAGGATGAGAACACCCTTGTTGGTGTGATTGCGCGCAGTGCGGGCGTGTGGGATAACGATAAGATGGTCTGCTCGTGCTCCGGTAAAAATGTTTGGCAGGAGAGAAAGGAGCAGGTTATTCAGGGTATGGCTTGATTGGGGGTTGACGTGTTCAACGGCCTTTATCAGTGGCGCGGACAAGCAATGGAGGCGTTTGCTCTGAACATACCTACGAAGCTAGGTTTTTGAGCACCTCGTGACCTACCCGGTTAAACATCCATGTGATACCTGACGTATCAATGTGATTATGCGGGAATAACGGAGGATGATTTACGTTCAATATCTCGCAATGATGAATACAATGATCCCTGGGCTTCTAATTTGAACCCTTCTCTACTGTCAACTACCGTTGGAATTGACCGACAACATATGGAACCTACGACTTCAGGTAGGTATCCCCTGCCTGAAAATAGGTATACACAGGAAGAACAATCTGCGGTTAGAGAAATGTTTCGATCTCCGCCATCGCAAGTAAGAATACAGCGGGTTCGAAGGGTGACAGGTGTCACTATTGTACACATCCATAAACAACTGTGGTTATCCCGTGTCCACTCCCAAGCCTTGTCCTAATAATAACGTCTTAACTGTACAGCCCCAGGATAAAACTCGTCATCTGTGTCCTCCTCAAAGTCAAACGGTGCACCGGGAATGCCATTAGATGAATGTGGAGAAAGGATCTCCGGAGACGTCAAATCATTCAATGGTCGGTCTTCGATGGGAATGTTGTAGTCAATGATGATAGGCTGTGCGGGTTTAATTGGTTGATTTCCTCGATGTTGGCGACTTGTTTTGCCATCGACCAGGAAGTACTCATTCTCTTCTTCAATCGGGCTTGGGAACTGAAGCTCGTCTTCAAGTGGTGACCATGTATCATTTGTCATTGAGGTCATCTCAGAACCGAAATCTGGCGACATGAGCTCCTCAGTTGTGTAACGGCTCGAGTATCCATCGTCTCTCGACCACGGAGGCATTGACATTTCGGAGACTGATGACCAACGGTCACTAGAGTGTCGACTGTGCGTCAAGCTGAGTGGATTGGGATGGTGAGATGGTTGCAGCTCTTCAAAACGGGGAATCGGGTCTTGTGGGGGTAACAACGGGATGAGGCCTTCATCGTCCTCATGAGAAGACACCTCGCCGTGTGCGCCATCATGGAGATTGATGCATTCGTTTGGGGTGGGAGAAGCGTTCGGGGGGTTTTCAACTTCACTGCCATCAGGGCAACGCTGGTTAGGATGAGGAACAAGCTCATTCGGATCTTCCCTATCGCCCTGTCTCGAGCACTGCTCTAACATCTCCTGGTAGACTCCCGGAAATGCAAATTTGACCTCAGCAGAGCATTGCCTTGACAGTGAAAGTGAAGGTGAGCTCAGTTTGTCGTCGCTTCTCTGCGTACCTGAACTTGCGTGGCTGAGGCTTGAACCTTGAGGATTTGTTGTCCAGTGGCCGGCCCAATTTGACTGGGGCTCAGCGAGGTCATAGAGAGGCATTGCGTTTTCTTTCTTGGCAGAGAAGGCCACACCCCATGGTGGATGTCTCATAGGGTCATCTATCGAGGGTGTGGTGTGAGCGATACAATCGTCAAGATGCGTTTTTGCCTCCAAGTCTCCAGATCCAGATGGTTGGAGATCCAGATTCCGGTCGTGGGTCATGGTATACGTCCGTTTCGCCCTAGGAGTACTTACAGCATTGCCGCAGGGTCGTTGTTTGCGTTTGCTTTCGCGCTCGGGAACAGTCGCAAACGAAAGTCTATCTGAAAGCCCAGGTAGAACAAAGTGGAGTGACCCAGTCTCCGCATTGCCTGCTGGACGGACTGGAGTGCTTGTACGGAATATCTCAGCCCCAAAGGTCGCATTGTCGAAAATGGCTGATGTGACTGTCACAGATGACCCTTCAGTCACATCATCTTCGCGCCCAGGACTGTGCAGGCTGACATGATTCTGGTCGCGGGACCCGTCCTCACTGAAATGATTGATTATTCCTGCCCTAAGCGCCTGCAGCCCTGTTCGTGCTTTATGAAGAGACCGTCGTGTGATGGTTTGGATCTTTGAGATTGGGGTGGATGTCTCTGAAGCCGAGCTGTGTGAACGACGCCACGAAGTGCTAACCACCTCTGGATTATGACGAGGGTCCAGAGGATTGTAAACCGGATAATGGATACTTTCCAGACATGTTGGTTCTGCTTGTACTGCGTCAGGTATGCAACTGTACCTATTGGTCAGCGTGATATCTCTGTCATCCTCAGGCGTACCAATAACTACCTGGCTCTGTCTTTTGGTTTTGAGCGGAACACCGATGACAGTGTAGAGAAACGACGGCGCCTAGAGCTGGCATCGCTTTCTTTAGCGGAGCTTATCTTCTCCATATCTGGTTGGAATGGGTTCGAATGATGGGCTTCCAATGAGAAAGTAGAAGCAATCTAAGTCTTCCAAGAAGCAAAGTTGAAAATCGATAAACAATGAACGCGTAGAAGTGAAAAGAGGAACCAAAATAAAGTAAACTTGAGAATACATCCTGAAAACCAAAAGGGAAGTCGAAGCCCTAAATCGAAGGTGCGACTGATGAATAGTCGTTCTTGCCGTAGAGGCTCGTTCGTTCCTTTTTCGGACATCGATGAAAGCCCTCAGTGTTGGTCCTGAAAGGAGACACAATGACGCATCAGCGTGACAGGAGGGATTCAGGTATCTGGAAAGATTCACAGCTCTGAACAAAGGCCCCTACTGTACTCTCATTGATATGTGAAGGTTGTGTATGTACTAGAAAACCTCTTGAGTCTTGCATGGTTTCTCATGAATCCTTCCAGTGACTTGGGCGCGAGAGCTTGAAAATGATTCACCAATTAGGGCCAGTTAGGACCAGATGTATGGTCCATGAGACCGGCAACATCTGCATGTAGAAAGGAGAACAAGCGCGAAGCAACATGGAAGTTGCCTTCATCTACCTTGTACATTCAAGTTAATCAGGCAGCATTTGATATACGACTACCATGTTCCGGTAAATAGAAATACGGCTCCGAGCAGAAAGTATCGAATTTAGAAATGTGTATAAGACAGGGTCTTTCCCTATGACAAGGGACTCAGTCACGCGACACAACACCACCAGCAATATTTTAGCATGGAGCCACTGCTGGCTCAATTCAAGAGGTTGAGTACGCGTAGCATGTCAGAGAGATCTGGCTACACATTCCATGGACAATAGCTCTGCAGTATCTCGCCCAAATCAATAGCCAGAATTCTGCGTGGCCGTGCATTGTGATTGGTATGATGAATATCGAAAGAGGGTAAGGTGGATTGCGTAGGGAGATGTCCATCGGTCTCTAAACAGACCACCTAGGTCTGTTGATGAAAATTTGTCTTCGGACAGAGTCCATGTATCCCTCTCGTGGATGTTCACCCACAAGCATTCTCATCTCCCAAGATGTAGGGTCATCTGGTATGACAGGTATGCTCAGCGACGGATGGAGTGCTCTAGAATCATTCGGTGGCTAGTCTCGACTCAGCGACAAACCACCTAGCTCCTTGATCGGGAGATTTTGCTTTGAACAAAACCGGTTATGCAGAAACAAACACCCCGACTAGATACGAAGAACAACTTCTCTCAATTGGCCGGAAGGTGCGATGCCAATGCCATACGGACAACGGAACATTGATCGAAAGCAGCAAAAGAAGATGCCCCGAGATGCACCGAGATTGCAGATTCAATAGATAGATTCGAGCATAGGCCGCTGAAGCTCATAGATCTGCATGAGCGGATCGGTCAATGGATCTGGTCCGTTCGTGATCGCACCAATGAAGGCTAACACGGCGAGCTCCGCCATCTTATGCATATCGGATGTGGGTATCGCTCCTACAGTAGTTAGAAGAAGGTTAAATCCCCGCAGGGTACCAGAGTACAGACACATGCCAAGTCCCTTCGTACAATCCTTGAAGATGCATGTGTAGCAATGGCATGGCAATTGGCTTAGCGAAGGCTCACTGGAGTCACTGCTAGCGATTGCGGCATTGCCTGTTCCTCATGATCATATGCTCAGTTTGGACTGAATGAATGAAGTTGGCAGGACTATTACTAGTACCCAAGTGAGCTAACGCGGTACGGCTATAGTGGTACGGGGTCCGGAGTCCGGACCGAAGCTTATTCCCGATCGCGTGGATATTTCCCCGCGTTCCAAATTGATGGGATGACCACGTGTGGAAGGAATGCCATCATCATATGTAAAATCTCACGCACATCTGCATCTCCTGTCTGGCAATGAGGGGAACGAAGCTTGATCGACATTAGTCTGACTAAATGCATTGAAGTCCAGAGGGGTTACGCCAATGCAGACAAGGTTTGAACCCCTGTGAAAGGTCCCTGCGCGATCCTGCAAGGTGATCAGAGTACTTAGCGTCAAAGTATTCAACAAGCAATCAATGGCATAAGGGGTACGATAAAGGAAGGTATTTGAACAGTGAAGGTAACAGTCACTATCAGGGAGATATCGGAATCGGGGTTCCCCGATCGGGGGCCGAGCACCCACTTTCTCGGCTTGACATATCTTTACGACCAATCACAGATATCTTCAGTCAATCTGAGACTCGCCCGAATAAACCCATCGAGCGACTTTCTGATAAGCTAGCGCCCCTAGAGGAGCTATGATTGGCTCGACTGGGACCCGTTGGCGGGTCGCAAGGCTTGTTGTTTGGCACCTCCACTGGAAATTTTTGTTCCAGAGCCACACGCGAGGGCTAACATTGGCAATTGCCACGGTGCGACATGGCGGTGGGGCAGGCGCGCAAAGAATTCTCGCGACACTATATGAAGAGCTCCTCCCTTTCTGTGGAGAGAAAAAAAATGGAAGAGGTGTGGCATTGTCCCTAGTCTTACCGTTCATCCTGATCCCCTGGGTGTCTCGCTGAGCATACCAAGCTCTTCGATCAATCCCATCTATACTAATACGTTCCTCTCCTTCATTGGTGAGGATTCGAAACAAGATGCTCCCCGACATCACCAAAGCATTCCGCGGACCCGACCAGGACCTGGAGAAGGCCCCTGAGGTGAACACCGACTCTGAATCGAATCCCACGAAGCCATTCGACAATGCCAGCGATGGTGCTGTGCCGGGCGAGAGCTTCGAATATGGTGATTCTTTATATGCCAAGATCCAGCGGCTCGCTGGTAAGCTCAACATCGAGCAGCGAGGTGTCGAACGGGTCCCGGAATCTGAGCGGACCGATACGTCCTACCTCAATATTGGCAGCATGGTGTGTTCTTGCGACAGTTACCTGGCATGATTGCCATGGCGTGAAGCCTTTCCCACTGACCATTCCTAGTGGCTGGCCGCAAACATGGTTGTCAGCTCCTTCGCCATTGGCGTTCTCGGAAAGTCTGTTTTCGGGCTGGGCTTCATCGATGCCATTCTGGTTGATCTCTTCTTCAACCTCCTGGGTATAATGACCGTGTGCTACTTCTCGACCTTTGGTCCTGTCTTCGGACTGCGCCAGATGGTGCTCTCGCGGTTCTGGTTTGGATGGTGGACTACGAAATTCGGTGCGTTAGCTCTATGACTCCATTTATCTGTTTGTGGCAAACGGTGGTGCTGATTGGGGTTTTCCACTAGTTGCCGTCCTCAACATCATTGCATGTGTCGGTTGGTCTGCCGCCAACGCCATCGTCGGCGCCCAGCTACTCAACGCAGTGAATGGCAGCGTCCCTGGATATGCCGGTATCCTGATCATCACATTCTGCACACTCTCCGTCACCTTTTGTGGGTACAAAGTTGTCCACATGTACGAATACTGGAGCTGGATCCCCACCTGCATTGTGTTTTTCATCGTGCTTGGCTGCTTCGCTCACTCGGGCGATTTCGTCAATATCCCAATGGGAGTCGGCATCTCTGAAATGGGCGCATGTCTGTCCTTTGGATCCACTGTCTACGGCTTTGCAACTGGCTGGACCAGCTACGCCGCCGACTACACCGTCTACCAGCCCAAGACTCAGAGCCGCCGTCTTGTTTTCTTGTCCGCTTGGCTCGGTCTGATCATCCCCTTGCTTTTCACTCAATTCCTCGGTATTGCCGTCATGTCCGCAACGGCCCTGGGTGACGGCTACAACAACAAGTACGCCGCAGGTTACCGGGCCTCGCTCAACGGTGGTCTCATCGGAGCCGTGCTCGAGCCTCTCGGCGGTTTCGGCAAGTTCTGCCTCGTCATCCTGGCCTTGTCCATCATCGCGAACAACTGCCCGAACATCTACTCTGTTTCCCTAACCCTCCAAGTGTTGGGCCGTGCTACACAACGTGTGCCGCGATTCATCTGGACTTTCCTCGCATCGTGCGTCTCCCTCGCCATTGCCATTCCAGGTTATTCGGAATTTGAGGCCGTTCTCGAGAACTTCATGGGTCTTATCGCCTACTGGCTGTCGATTTACTCTGGTATTGCGCTCACTGATCACTTCCTTTTCCGACGTGGCTTTGGTGGCTATCGCCCCGAGGACTACGACAAGGCCCACAAGCTTCCAATGGGCATTGCCGCATCCACTGCTTTTGCCTTTGGGATTGTGGGTATTGTTGTGGGCATGAGCCAAACGTGGTGGACGGGTCCTATCGCCAAGCATGCTGGTGATCCAGCTTTTGGTGGTGGCGATGTCGGCTTTGAGCTAGGATTTGCCTTTTCTGCTGTGATGTATTGCATCTTGCGGCCGATCGAGATTCGTTTGATTGGTCGGTAACTCTGATTTTCGATTATATGATTCGTCTTGTACATACTGGGTGGACTTTCTATTTTTGGGTTGGTGGATTTTCTAGGGAATTGGTTCGATCAGAGATTGTCAATTGATAGCATTTTCGTATTTGCATGAAATCTTCACTGCTGATCAAAAATCCATGTTATCTGTAGCTGTAGCAGACTATCATTGACCAAGGGAGTTGCGGGGGCATAGTGTAAGTTCCTCGAGTATCAGCTCCATCGTACAGCCAACCGAAACGCTCATAGGGCCCTAGATAGGGCTCAGGGGGACGATCAACCCAATGCCCATATCGTACCAGCCTTCGCCCAAGTCCCAACCCCGATATCATAAGCAATCACAGGCTTTGGGATATCCAAATCGTTGAAAGTTGCCATAATCACGATTGACAGCCTTGGAACCCGGTCATACCTTCGCTATCCACCAAACAAGGCAGACCGAATGATACAGATCCCAAATCATTGCTGGGATCCCTCAAGGCTCCTCGCCATCTACAATATCCCAAGGAATCAAGAATCAATTGAAGCAATGAGCGAAGGATTTACCCTTAACATGATAGGATGAAGTGTTCTACGTTCGAGTATCGCTAATTGGGATTAAGTTATTCACATATTCAAACCCCCCTACAGTGAGATGATAACCCATTGATTTATTCACTAAGACGTTGCGATCACCAATTGACCGCCGCATTTCTGGCCCACTGCAGTTCAATCGAATTACTCCGGAGCAATACCCTTTTTGGATAGATTGCACGTACAAGACAAACAATATCACTTCCCATTACTTGGTAGCGGCGAATCTTCGGTTGGTAAGAGGTTCTACATCGGACTTGCGTTTATATCCCACGAGCGAGAACCGGCATACAATCAAGTGCTCCGGTGGCTGAAGGGGCTTCTTGACCAGCAGCAAATTCCCCACCCGATGACAACCATGACAGATAAGGAAAAGGCCTTGCGGAATTGAGGAGGGTTTTGAGTTTCTGGGAAACCCTCAGTAACTGCATTCCGTAAGGCCTTCTCCTTGTCAATCATGATTGTCCTTGGGTGTGTGATCTGCTGTTGGTCTAAGCCACCGTAGCACCGTTTATAGGCTGGTTCGAGTTCATCGGATATAAATGCAAGTCCAACGTGAAACGCCTTCAACGACAGACTCGCCGATAGAAAGAACCGGGAGATGATATCGTTTGTTTTATACGTGCAGCCCATCCAAAAAGGGATTACTCCGGAGTAATCCAATCGAACTGTGGCGGTGATCGCTATCCACTTCGTAGTGAATAATCCATTGATCATTATGCTGTAGGATGTTTGAATCTGTGAATAACTCCTAGATGCAATTGGCAATGTTCGAACCTAAAACGCATAATCCTAGTAGTATTAAGGATATTCTTCGCGTACTGCTTCACATTGATTCTTGATCCATGTGGAATCGTAGATGGTGACAAACCTGGATAGTAGCGAAGGTATGACCGGGTTGTCGATCATGACGATGGCCACTCTCAACAATGGGGAACGTAAGTGAGGTACTACGTATGGGCATTCGGTTGATCTGGTAGTCGACTGATGGTCGGTGGTCTTTCGGGCTTTGTAAGCCTTACTTCGGATGTATTGAATTCGTACCCGGCAGGCTCGGGGCTTCGCACCGAAACTGCGAAGCCCTGGGGCTGAGCGTACATGTCAATAGCCTCAGTAGCCTCAATAGCCTGTTTAGCTGAGCGATAGAAGGGCTCGACGAATTCAGAGATAGGCGGGAGAGGGAGGGTGAAGAAGATAGAAATGAATATAGTAGAGGGTGAATGTGGGGGATTGATGGGAAATTGGTAGTTAAGTAGCGGTGTATCTGTGAATCATGTGATGGCCTTAGAGCTAAGAGGGTATAGTGCCAAATGACTGAACCGAAAAATAGATCCCCATAGAATGGCAAATGCGAGGATCCCGCGAGGCTTTCTCAAGCATTCATGATTCGATACCCCCAGCTTCGAATCGACGAATTGCATTCGGCAAGTTGAAGTTGATCGCATCATCGCACAATGAGGCCAACTCCAGCACACCTTTGCGACTATATCGGGCGCATCACCTAGCCCTAACTCGCCAGCTAGCGCTCAGCCCTAGACAGCACCAACGTGTAGAACGAGGATAGTTTGCGACGAGGATCTTAGTCTGCATCTTGCATGTTGCCTCCCACTAGATTTTAACCCACTGTCATTTGTCACTGAGCATTCGATAAACCGATGCCGTAGATCACAAGAGACCAAATGCTTGCTTGACCAAAGGTACAATGGCCTGGCCGCCTGCCGAACTCATTGACCGAAAAGCCACAAAGTGCATTAAATCTGTTCGAGTTAGTATTGTAAATCAATGGGATGGCTAATCTCTTTTCTGTATCACGGCCGTAGATATTGGGCGAGCAGGTATTCGAATCTGGTATTTGCGACCAGGGGCATCAGGGAAGATAATCAACACTCAGCAGTGTCTGCCCTTCGATATGAAGGCTACATTGCAGGGCCCAGGCATTTCCTAGCCTTTTTGGGGCCTTCCCCAACGGTCAGGAACATGTATGGGATCTTGGCACACGATGAGAGCATCAGATCGTCTTAGCTGGATCTGAATTCTGATTTCCTCGTGACGCTGCTTCCTGCGAGGACATACTACATGTTTAAACAACATGCCCTGCAATTTCCGATTGACATGATCAGTCCATAAATCCGAAACCAACTATGTAGACTGAAGGCCAGAGAGACTCTAGTTGACAAGTTGTTGTCGTGATGGGGCGTATCGCCGCCCCACGTGACTGCATTCACCAGCCACATTACGCCACAGTAAATTATTAAATCCACAACGGATTCGCCTTTGAAAGAAATCCAGAAATTCAACAGCCGTAATAACACCACCATTTACACCATGTCTCCAACCGGGAAGTGAGTACAAACAGTCTGAAACCCTTGAAATTTTTCGATCTGACAGATATTTCTCATTTGCAGCCGCGCCGACTGGGCTGACGACGAAGATTTCGATGACCCCTCCGTGCTCCCGCCGCAAGAAGTGATCGCGAACAAGGACGGCACCAAGACCGTCATCTCCTACCGCTACAACGATGACAACAAGAAAGTGAAGGTCACCCGCCGAATTAAGACGACCATGGTCCGCGAAAACGTCAACCCCCACGTCGCTGAGCGCCGCAAATGGGAGAAGTTCGGGCTAGAGAAGGGCCACGCTGCCGGCCCCTCGTTCGACACCACCTCCGTCGGCGAGAACATCGTCTTCCGTCCCAGCGTCAACTGGAAGGCCAACGCCAAGGAGGCTGAGAAGGAAGGTGGCGAGAAGGGCAGCATGAAGGACCAGCTCAAGGACAAGAAGGTCAAGTGTCGTATTTGCAGTGGAGAGCATTTCACCGCTCGCTGTCCCTTCAAGGATACCATGGCCCCTGTCGAGGAGGGCACTGCTGGTGCTGGTGCTGGTGCCGAGGCAGAGGAGGATGTCGGTGGTCTTGGTGCTGGAAAGTCCAGCTACGTTCCTCCTCACATGCGGAAGGGCGGTGCTGCTGGCGGCGAGAAGATGGGTGGTCGCTTCGAGAAGGACGATTTGGCGACTCTGAGAGTTACGAACGTATGTTTGGCTGTTCCCATGGTTTTCACCAGCTATACGAGCTTATGGCTTGTTCGTTTTCATTCAATTACTGACTATTGTTCGTGGTATACAGGTCAGCGAGTTGGCAGAGGAGAACGAATTGCGGGATCTCTTCGAACGTTTCGGTCGTGTTACCAGAGTCTTCCTTGCACGGGATCGGGAAACCCAACGGGCCAAGGGCTTCGCTTTCATCAGTTATGCGGACCGCAGCGACGCAGCACTTGCTTGCGAGAAGGTGGATGGCTGTATGTTCCCAACGTCCTGTTTCATGATTTTATCACCATCAATCCCTCAAATACTGACCTCTTCTGCTTCTAGTCGGTTACCGCCACCTCATTCTCCGTGTCGAGTTCGCCAAGCGTTCTACTTAAATTTCTTTTTCGGTTTTCTCTTACGACTTTTGAATGGAACTTTTCCTTCTTCTCAGGCGGGCCTACTTTGGGCCGAAGCTCTTTTCCTTGTACTGTAGGAGCTGGTTGATAATGATGATTCCCAAAAAGACATCCACTATGTATGTCATCTACTTGCATTCGTCAGTCTATACAAAAGCAATGGGTTAGAGGAACTTTGCACTTCAAACACGATTTCTTTGGTTGTCTCATGGGCCGCGTCTAGGCTGTAGTCGGTAAGCAATGCTCTCTCTGTCTGATAATCATCTTGTGCGAGAAACGTGTGTACTATAATTGCTTCATGTCTACCATGGAACTTCTTGCACATCCCCCGGAACATCGAGCACGTGGTTTGTTTGAAAGATGTATGTTTCTCCTAAGAATAAACCTGAGCAGGTCTATATAACTTTCGGATCTTAGTCCAACGCCAGTAGGTATATTCTTGTCTTGTTCGAAGTCCAGCTCATCAAGGTTATGAGGAGCGTGAGTTGCTAAGTCCTACGTTTACTGAACTTGTGTATGCGCAAATTTCTTCGCGAGCCAAACCTAAGAGGGTGAGTGCTATCCATGCCAGCGCCACCAATCCTCTCAAAAGCTTCTTTGTCGCCGATTGAGGGGGCTTGCCAGCCTCCCACGTCTACCCACCACTCTCTGGTCAATACGGAATTGGTCCCAGACTCACAAACAGAAAAACTATCATCTGAGGGTGCGAAAGTCAAAGGCCTCGATTGTTCTATTGTTCGAAAGCTCTAGAGTCTCCAGTGAGACGTGGGATTTCCTGCATGACCCGGGAAATGACATCGGAAGGAAACGAAGCACCTAGAATATCCTCAGACGTTTCTTTCGCCGCACAATATTGCTCACAGAGTACGCCCTCGGGTGCCAGATCCCAGGCTCAGTCACCAAAGTACCTTCGTACAGATCGTGAGATCTCAACAATCCAAACTCAGAGCCAGCCTTGCGTGCAAAAGAT